ATGTATAAGGATCCCGTTGTCTGCTTGAGGATGTTGATGATTAACTTGGCTAATTTTTTTCCAAAATTTAAATGGGACAATAGTTGTTCCATATATTCGTGAGATATCCTATCGAACGCTTTCTCCAAATCCACAATTAGTATCAGCTTTTGTGGATTTGGTATTATATGCGTTTTATCTTTTGGATGAATTAGACTATCTAACATTTCTCTGAAAATGGTGATGTTGGAGAACGATGACCGGCCTGGAATAAAACCAGCTTGATCTTCCCCTATGATATCAGGCAAGTGCTTCAACAACCTATTATTAATTATTGTGGATAATAATCGAAGATTAGTGTTGATAAGGGCTATCGGCCTATAGTTTCCAATGTTTTCTTTTGACTTTCCAGGCTTTGGTATGATGTTAAAGAGTATAGTTCGGTAGTGGAATGGTAAATTTCCTTCAGTTAGAATGTGGTTAAATTCTTGAAGAAGGATGTGTTTGATTTGGGGAAATAATTCCTTATAAAATTTGTATGGGATTCCATCTATGCCCGGTGTGGACTTCAAATTTGCCGAATCAATTGCCAGTTTGAGTTCTTCCATTGTTATGGAGGAATCCATTTTTCTCTTCTCTTCAGGAGATATTCCTTGGGTTGGAATCACGTCCTGAAGATATTTATGTATTTTTTTTGTGTCCTTTGTTCCTCTGGTTCCATCAAACAAGTCCATATAATATTCAGTTGCTATTTTCATTATCTCTTCATGAGATTGAACTAGTGTCCCTTGTACATCTTTTAGCTGTTTTATTGGGCGTTGTTCTTGATATTGGTGGAAAACTTGGTTAATATGTTGATAATATTCCGTCATTTTATCAAGTTCAGGCACTTTCACTTTTTTCAACATGTGTTTGAGTTTTTCTGCTTTGCATTTAATATCAATTATTAATTCATCGGTTCCTTGGATATCTTCATTTATAGATTGGTGCCTGAGAACATTAATGATTCTGTCGGTCAATCTATATCTCTTCATATTATAGTAAGCCTTGGATGAAGTTAAAGTCAACTCCACTGTAACTGAATCATGTGTGGATCTTTTCCCAAAATGATTTGTTTGTGTCATATTCCATTTGTTTTCTTTGTTTTTAAGAAGCTCCCAGTGATATAGAACCTATCCAATCTCCGGCTTTTCCCTAATTCTGATGCTTTATTAGTGAATGTTTTCTTGATGTTATGTTTGATTGAATTGAATGAGTCCTTCAAGTTCAACAAAGTAATGAGATTAGTTAAGGATTCAGCAACTGAGTCTTCACGGCTTCTATAATTTAGGGAGTCCGAACGATCAATAAAATTATTAAAATCACCAGCTAACATGATGTTGATTGTCTTTCCTGGGAATCTAGTTTGAAGATTCTGATGTTGGGCAAGTAAACTGAGTTTGAGCTGATCATGGATCTGATTTTGCTTTTGGTATTGATTTGGATTATACAAGTTTATAATCCAGAGTGCTTGGTTATTTTCTAATTCAATTAAGACATCCGTGATGTGTTTTTGGAGTTCATGTTGGACAGTAATACCTGCTAATTTGGATCCTAACACTGGAATAGAATCATCAACAATTATTGCTGTTCTGGAACAGGTTGAATTATAGTATATGACTTTGTTATCGAACTGAAACGAAAAGTCTTCTGATAGATTTAGTTCTTGGAGCAAAGACACATTGGATTTTTGGGTGAAACTTATTACCAACTGGTCGCTGATACGACTCCGTTGTATATTTTGAGTATTGATTTTAATAATCATTATGTTTATTCATTGGAATTTTGATTTGTCTGTTTGTTTCTGGTTGCATCAGCTTCCAGAGTTGACAAATCATCATTGGTTGGTGTTAATTCTGTTTTCTCATGTACTGGAATTTCATCACCCAGTAGCATTTCATCCTGCTCATATTCTTCTGAATCCTCATATTCGTCTTTTGCATCATAGATGTATTCTCCATCATTTTCATACTCCTCATCATATTCTTCGTCATTATCATTATCAGGTTCTGCACTTGATTCAGACAGGGTTGGCTCTTTAGAGCCAGTTTGTGCCAGTTTTGATGTCACTGATGGGTGTGGGTCTTTAATGACTAACTTAATAGATTTTGGTACAAATGGTTTTGGTGCTGAAGGCTTGGTGGTGTTAATTTTGGTCAAAATTGGGGTAGAGATTGGGGTAGATTTTGGGGTAGATTTTGGAGTAGAAGCTGGGGTAGAAGTTGGGTTGGACAAGGTTTGATTAGATTTTGGGGTAATTGGATGGGATCTAAACACATTCAACTTAATTCCTGGTTTGGCTGACTCTTGCTTGGTTTCAGCTGGTTTCTCCCTTTGAAGGATTTTCTTTGGTTTGACGGATGCCTTCTTTTTGGAGGCCTTTCTAACTTGATTAACCGGAGGAGGGGTGATTTGATGCTTTCTGTTGATAGCTGGTGTGGTAGTTTGAATATTTTCATAATCATCATCTCTTTCTTTGGATATTAATCCCAATTGGTGGAATGGATTCTTCCATAAATTGCTCAGTTCATTTTGTGGTGGTTTTGACTGTCTGGATCTAGATGAACCATGAACCATGGTGAACTCGGTAGAAGGAACTTCAATCACTGGTGGTTGATTTTGCTTCTGTTTGGGGTTCTCATGACGATCATCTGTAACATTTTTCTTTGGCCGCTTAAAGTAACAGTCTTTAGCTACATGGCTAGGCTTTTTGCAAATCGCGCAAGATGCTTGCTTGCAATTGTATCTGGTGTGTTCTCTTGAACCACAATTGATACAGTGTAAGCATTTAGTAATAACTTTAGAAACAATGTTGTCTTGGTGAATAACCGGGATTTGTTTTCCTGGTTCCATTTCCAAGTAACCATAAATGTAACGATTTTTAAGCTCCTCGTTAGGTCTTTTAGTCATGTCACTTTTAATCACTGAGAATGATGTTGGTTCAATTTGGGCTAGGTCAAGCGCTTGCTTGATGGTAGCATCGACAAAATAGTCGGGGGTTGTTTCCAAGGCTGTTATCTCAATCAATTGGATTTCTTTATCATTCTTATTGATATTGATGCGTGGCTTGTAAGTGGATTGTTCAATGTCAACACTTAAATGGCTAGTGACAAAATCAATAAATGCATTACGTAACTTTTCATTCTTAGTTTGTAATTGACCTTTCAATATTGGGATAAGTGAGGATTTGAGACAAATAGTTTCATTTGAAATAAACAAGTAGTTTTGAGCTTCAATTAAAGCTTTCTTGATGAAGTTGATATCATCATTATCATTCAAATCAGTTTCAATGTTGGTTAATTTAACATCGATTAATTTTTGGAAGGCATCCTTTATTGTACTCAAATGATCATCAAGCTCATACTTCCGGTAGAGCTCAGGTGGGATAATAAATGACATCATGATTTTTTGTTTATCTTGATGGCTCATAATAAATTTAATGTAATCCTCCTCTGCAATATTAGATTGTTTCAATCTTGAGAATTCATTAATTAAATGGGAATTTGTATAAAATTTGAAAAACTTTTCAATGGTGTAGATTTTGACAAATTCTTGATATTTCTCTTCAACATTTTCCACTTTTTGTGTGTCAAATCCGAAAAGTGATCCCCTCATGCCCTTTTCCTTAATAGCATATTCAAGGACATCTTGGTGTTCGAACTTGATTGATTTGAGATATTTAGCCCATTTAAAAACTCTTTCGAATTTGGCTAAAACATTTTGAAAAGTGGAGGTGGTGTTCATAATCAGAGTCCCCTGTTGGGATGCGCCTTTAGAGCCCGAGGCGATTTGGGCGTAGGATCTGCTGAAAGCAGCAACTGGGGCTGGGTTAGTTTTTTTTGGGGTTTTTTGGTTTTCAGAGTTTTTTTGGGTTTTGTTGTTTTCAATTTTTTTTGGTTTTCAGAGTTTTCAGTAACAAAATCAATAGAAACAGAAGGTTGTGAATCTCCTTGAGATTCAATGGTGGCTTGATTTGACATATGCATGTCGACGCTAGTGTCACCTGCACTATCAAGATTGCGATCGCAATCAACTGGAGAAACATTAATTTCCGGGGCTGGGCGGTGGGCAATATCAACATCAGAATCAGCATTAGAGGCCTCATTTATGGTATTAGATGGGGTTGCAAAGGTTTCAGCAGTACTTAAAAAAGTATTGTCATCTTCCTCAGTGATTTCTTCGTCTGAATGTGGTTCATTTCCGTGTTTGTTTACATTGTTTTGATCGGTTGCGTTGGGATTTGCATGATCTAAGTCAACGATAATATCAGAAGAAACCAGGGTTTCTTGAGAAGGTGGATCATTTGTTGGATCAGTGGAGTAGTTGGAAGGCTTTGGAATTCTTTTGGTATTATTAATACTCATTATAATTTTTGATTTGCGTTTTTTTTTAGTGATTTTTTTTTTTTAAAGACAATTAAAATCGTGACTAACTACATCTAGTATAGTCGCATCGTAATATAACAAAACATAAGTGGCCGCGTGGTCTAGTGGTATGATTCTCGCTTTGGGTAGCGATCTTTGAGCAATAACTCAAGAGCAATTATCACAAGCATGCGAGAGGTCCAGGGTTCAATTCCCTGCTCGGCCCTTATTTTTGATGCCCAAGCATACACCACTTCAAGTATTCAACAAAAGAAAATTTGATTCCCTTTTTTTTTTTTTCTTTTTTTTTTCTGATGCTTACATAACAAACTTTGACTGGAGCGCCCTATCCTTTTATTTGAGTGTACTATTTCGATACTAGATAGATCGGTACTGAGGAAATGGGTGTCAGATTTTGTGGGAATCCTTAATTTGGAAAAATTGAGGAATCTGGGAAGCTGGGAAGCTGGGAAGCTGATAATGAGGTATTTATAAGTGGGCCTTGCCCCCCCCCTGCTTGTTAACCCTCAAATTGTTTGGTTTTCTATACCTCTCTATTATCTCGTTCTTTCAATTTTTCAGAAAATAGGCTTTAATTAGACTGTATCGAAATCAAAGATGCCGACTCAACTAACACCATTAACCAAAATAAAGAAGTGGGATGCCAATTCGGTGAGGGACACTTACATCAATTACTTCAAAGCCAATGGTCATCGCTTCGTTCCATCTTCACCTGTTATTCCTTTTGAGGACCCGACTTTGTTGTTTACGAATGCTGGTATGAATCAATACAAGCCAATCTTTTTGGGAATCATTGATCCTTCCAGTGATTTCTATGGGTTAGAAAGGGCTGTCAATTCTCAAAAATGTATACGTGCAGGTGGTAAACACAACGATTTGGAGGATGTCGGGAAAGATTCTTACCACCACACTTTCTTTGAAATGTTGGGAAACTGGTCTTTTGGCGATTACTTTAAAGAAAAAGCCATTTTTTATGCTTGGGACCTTTTAACCAGGGAATATGGCTTGGACCCAGGAAGAATGTACGTCACTTATTTTGAAGGTGATGAGAAATTAGGATTGGAACCTGACTTGGAGTCCAGAGACATTTGGCTTAAAATTGGGCTTCCAAAAGACCATATATTACCAGGAGACGCTAAAGATAACTTCTGGGAAATGGGCGACAAAGGTCCCTGTGGCCCATGTTCTGAATTACATTACGATAGAATTGGTGGAGGTAGAGATGCTGCGCATTTGGTTAACAAGGACGATCCAAACGTTTTGGAAATTTGGAACATCGTGTTCATTCAATTCAATAGAATTTCTCCGACCGAATTGAAAACATTGCCAAGCAAACATATTGACACTGGTATGGGTTTCGAAAGATTGGTTTCTATCTTGCAAGATGTCAAATCCAACTATGATACCGATATTTTCCTTCCTTTATTCGAAGCCATCCAGGAAATTGCCAATGTTAGGTATTACGGTAGAAAGTTTGGCAAGGACGATGTAGATATGATCGATACCTCTTATAGAGTTTTGGCCGATCATGTCAGAACCTTGTCGTTTGCTATTGCTGAAGGGGGTATTCCAAATAATGAAGGTAGAGGATACGTTTTGAGAAGAATTCTAAGAAGAGGTGCTAGATATGCCAGAAAATACTTGAAGTTTCCCATTGGAGAGAAACCTTTTTTCAGCTTATTATTTACAACTTTGGCCAAACAAGTTGAAGTAATCTTCCCTGAATTGCAAAAAAACGCTGATTTCATCAAAAAAGTAATGGACGAGGAAGAACTATCTTTCGCCAAGACTTTGGATAAAGGTGAAAAATTATTTGAGTCTCATGTTAAGAATTGCATTGCTACCGGATACAAGATGTTGGATGGCAAAGAACTTTGGAAACTATATGATACTTTTGGGTTTCCGGTTGATTTAACCCAGTTGATGGCGGACGAGGCTGGCTTGACTATTGATCAAGAAAGTTTTGAACAGGCCAAGAAACTTTCCTATGAAGCTTCAAAATTGAAAGCTGGTAGTCAGAAAACTTCTGAAATAGTTATTTTGAATGTCCATGCTCTTGACAAATTGCAAAAAAAATTGAATATTACGAAAACTAATGATTCATTCAAGTATACCACCAACAATATTAATGCGACGGTATTAGCCATTTACTATGATGGAAGCTTTGTTAATGAAGCTGACAGTGGCTCTAATAATCTTGGAATAATCTTAGATAAAACTCCGTTTTACGCCGAGTCTGGTGGTCAGGAATGTGATACCGGGATTTTTTTCAGCGAAAATTGTGAATTCCAAGTTACTAATGTTCAAAGATATGGCGGCTATATATTGCACACAGGAGTTTTAAGAAAAGGTTTAATTTCCGTGAAAGATGAGGGTATTGCTTCATTTGATAATTCTAGGAGAATTCCAATCAATAAGAACCATACTGGTACTCATGTCTTGAACCTTGCTTTGAGGAAAACTTTGGGGGAAACTTATCAAAGAGGCTCTTCGGTTTCCAAAGAAAAATTAAGATTTGACTTCTCCCACGATCGATCGCTATCGTTGGAAGAAATTTCCAACATTGAAGGAAGATGCAATGAAGAAATTGATAAAAATTTATTTGTATATTACGCAGATATTGAATTGCCAGTGGCTAAGAAAATCACTGGAATAAGATCTGTGTTTGGAGAAACGTACCCAAATCCGGTAAGGGTGGTGTCTATTGGCATTCCAGTTGAAGACTTGGCTTCTGATCCAGAAAATCCAGATTGGATCAATTATTCTATTGAGTGTTGTGGTGGTACCCATGTTACATCCACGATAATTATAAAGAAAATGGTAATAACCGAACAAGTTGGTATTGCTAAAGGTATTAGACGCATAACTGCTGCTTCTGGCAACAAGGCAATTGAAATACAAATGTTATCTCAACATTTTTCTGAAAGAATTGAATTTTTAACACACATGAAGTTTGGTGATGCAAAGAAGAAAGAACTCAAACAATTCAAAGCTGAGTTAAGTACATCACTGCTTTCAATTTTGGATAAATATGAATTGACTAAAAGGTTTAACGAAATCGATAAAGAATTCAAGTACGAGGTTAAGAAGGTCCAAAAGAAAGATAGTGACCAAGTCTTGAGTTTTATAAAAGATTATTTTTCTAATTCCAAAAAACAATATCTCGTCAAGTATTTGAACGGAATCACATCTTCAAACTTGAAGATCATTAATGATTCCCTCAATTATATGGAACATCACCAGCCTTCAAAATCAATTTGCTTGATTGTCGGGGATGAGGCTAACAAGACTTTGGTTCATGGTTCTTATATTTGCAATGAGGCAACCAATAAAGGTTTGAAAGCCCTTGATGTTTCGAGCCTTGTTTCTGCCCACGTGGGTGGTAAATCAGGGGGTAAAGGAAATGTTTGTCAAGGGACTGGTATGCACTTTGAATACATTGATGAAGCCGTCGACGAGGTCACGAAGTTGTTTAGAGAAATATTGTGAGTACTGCCAATAGATTGCTAAAGAAGCTTATCTCAATAACTATTGAGTTACACTCGTGTTATACTATATATATATATATATATATTTGTGCTATATTACACCAATAAAATCCAGCCCTTTTTTCTTTTTTGATGTATATTACAATAAGAAATGCTTGAGTGTTAGAATGTGGGATAAAATTTAGATATTATAAATTAAAGGGGGGCCATATGAGTATTTGATGATTGAACGTAAAGAACACATAAACTAAAGGGCTACGGGGCCTTTAGAATCTAACTTAAAGAGTTTATAATATATCAGTTGTAATGCTTCAATGTCAGAGTTACTGAGGCCATTTGCAGTTGGCAATTTGATACCATTTCCATTAATTTCAACCCCAGTTATTTCAGAACTCGTTTCAAATAACTGAAATTTATTTTCTATATTCAAATCTTCGAGTGATGAAGAAGACTTTTTCTCTTCGACTTCTGGTACATGATGATCACTTTCCAAGTCTTGTTTTTGTTGTTTCGGTTTCAAGTCCGCAGCAGTCCACCAATATAGAGGATAGAATCGAATTACATTGTTAAAGATCAACGAAACACAAATTATCAATAGCGAAGAAACGATTTGTGTTGGTAAGTACCACCAGCTCATCTTTCGAATCGACTCGTCGATACATGCAAGAAGAGCCGAGGCTCCTGCTGGTGGATGAACACAATTAAGAATTGTCATTACCACACTTGATAACCCAACACTTAGAGCCCCCGCGGCCCAGTAATTATCTCTTCCATTTGAAGATAATGAAAATAATTTTGAAATGCACACTCCGATCAACGAGCTGATAAAATGGCCAAACAAAATGTTTCGTGGTTGGGCTAATGGCGCATGGATTGTGTTGAAGCACAAGATTGCAGTGGCCCCATAACTGGCAATAATCATTGGTGCACCATGATAATCGGTGAAAACGTTGGGGCTTTTGAAAACTCCTTCAATAAGGGCAATACCACAAAAAGATCCTAGGAAAATATCCAACCAGATCCAATAGTCGTGAATCTTTGCGAAATTTGGCCGATTGCCACCAAGAAGCCTTCGGAATGGCTGAGGTAATGACGGCACCACCGAAGGAACAATGTGCCTATTGAGTAACTTATCAATCGTGAATTTGAATGCCATATTATTAGCAGTGCGATCAACGTCATCCAATGGTTTCATCTGGTATTAATTCAATAAACATCATGAAGATATTGATTATTCTTCCTGCAGTGTCAGACGCCAGTAACCCGGTTCAGGGTACCCGACCGTTCATTTGAAATGAATCATTGCACGGCCTTTTGTTCATACTTAGAAATACAGACTTATATGTTTTATTTTACTAAGTATCTTACGTTGGAATCTCCAGATTGTGTTCTGAAAGATATTAGACATACCCCCCCTCTGCCCCACCACCACTTTTGTATATAAAATACATTATAATGTATTACATGTGTAAACACCACACGGTGTTTACCCTACCAATATAATACATTTTTTTTTTTTCTTTGATATATGTGAGAGAGAGTAAGTAAATCACTTGATATACCAGGTATATTTACACTATTATTTCTTGAAGATGTCGGCGGCTAAGAGACCTCTCCAGAAAATATTCGATGCTTCTGCTAAATGTGCTGTTTCGGTATGTGTTTGCCTTTCGAAGACTGTTGATCCGGGATCAGGCGTGATTTACTAACTACTGTGGGCAGAGTGAAGCTTATGGTGAATGCATTTTAAAAAATTATCAGAATATCTCGAAGGATGCTTGTGCTCAAGAATTTAAGATTTTCAGAGAATGTGTTTCCAAAAACTTGAGGAAGTGAGGGTTCCCAGTAGATGATTCTCAATTAGCTATTTATTTCTTCCATCACCTTGTATTATATTATATATTGTCATTGCTTATAGTTCTTACAGCTCGAACGATATCAAAAAAGTGTAAAAAATTTCTTCCTTTTTTTTTGTTATTACTTTTTTTCGATCAATGGATTGAAAAATTATCAGAAAATAACATAGTAATTAATAATAAAAGTACAATAAACTGAACCAATCTTTTTCAAACATTCAACTCATTGATGTACTTATTGATTGGATCATTGGAAATGGAATAGGTTGACAAATTCAAAACCTCATTAGATGAAATAAATTCCTTCAATCTTGAATCATTCTGCCACCAGTTTTGAATCAAGTACACCATCTCGTTCTTGATTGACAGTTTATCCTTCGAGGTATTAATCTCGATCATCTCTTTCAAGATATAATACAATTTACTGTAAGAAACCCCCGATTTGATAAAACTATCCACAATGATACCAGGGGTCAATTGCACAGGACTCAACACCTTGAGCATTTTTTCAATCAACACCGGAATTGGGAACACAAATTCAGAATCATGTACTCTCTTACCAACTTGTATCATAACATTTGACACCATCACTCCCAAAGGTTCCATCTCACTGTTTGAATCATAAATCGATTTGATCTTTTCAAGAATGTGATCCCATTTCGTGTGGATCTCTTCAAAGTTTCTGTAGTCACTTTCTTTGAAAATAATCAAACATAAGTCATCGTATCCCAAAGGATCCGCAAACTCATTATAAAGTTGACTAATGTCCAAAATGTTCTTATTCAACAACTCAATGTTTTCATTTTTTTGAGCTTCGGTCAAAGCAGTATCATTTTGCAATTTATTCACCAATTCTAACTGAATACCTGCCACATCTAAATTGTTTTGGATATTATTGAGCAATTCAACGGTTTGTTGTCTCAAATTAAATTGTTCAACGCAATTACAGAAACCGCTCGCTTTGGCCAAATATTCAATTCTTTGGTCCAACGATAATGCAAAGTCACTAGTGGCCAACTTGTAGAAAACATCAGCAGATTCATAATAATATTGTCTTTTGGAATAATATCTAGATAACAAGTAACAGATTTCCGCCGAATGTACTGATCTTTCTTTCAAGTACGATAAAATGAATGGGGTGTCGATCTCCAATAATTTTTTATCAAGGTCTTGAGCAACAAACCAGTCATAAAATTCATAATGGAATAGTTTGTCATTATACTTGAAGCAAAGCGCATAACTTTGGTCCCTCAACTTGGTGCTTTCCAAATTAATAGGATCATTACCATAATTCTTTCTGAAGTTTTCATAACTTTGAATAGATTTGATATCAATCTCCACCAAAATATCAAAGATCAATTTGAATCTTTCAATTTTCATGTTATAAACCTTCCGTCTTTCATCATTGATTGGCTGGCCGTCATTGAGATACTTGATGGCTAGTTTATCTTTATCAATAATATTGGCAATGTCAAGTACAAATTCAATTACTTCCGGATAATAATCTAATTTTATCATAATGCTAACCGCTTCTTTCAAATTATCAATGGTTAGTGATCCTCCAACATTCTTTAATAATTTCACGGCAATCGATAATTCTTGTAGTTTGACATCATTATCCTTGGATCCGATGGAGTTGGCTTTACGTAAATGTTCAAAAGCTCTAAAGATAATAACATCATTAGCCGAACAGAATGAGCTGCAGTGCTTCTGTAAACTATCAGCCAAATAATCAACCGATACACCTTTGGCAATATTTTTGTTGATAATAGACGTGAAAACATCCTTCACAATATCTTTAGTGTCGTTAGTCAATGAAAACAAATCACTGAATTTCAATTTCGCCAATTTCTCTTGAGTTTCCAAAGAAATGAACTTGATGGTATCTTTAAATGCCAAAGATTGATCTTCAAAACCAACAATCAAACTTTCATCGAACAAAATCAACAAAAATGAAAAAGCTTCCTTCATTATCTTCAACATTTCATAAATCGAGTTCAAGGCAGTGTACTCGGCTTGCATGGAAGTTTCTTCCTCTCTAGAAATTCCTCTATTAGAAATCAATGAGTTTGAAAAATATGGGATTCTATTCCCATAATCGTCAAAGAACTTGATCAACACGACAACGGTGTTCAAAAATCCAATCACTTGAGCTTTTTCAATATTAATGTCAGAAAGAAATTGTTTACTTTCTGTCAAATGTTTTTCATTCTTGGTGCCGTTTGGAAGGAAAGAATTCTTATCAATGAGGAAAACCTGCTTAGCCCAAATATCTCTAAAAATTCTAGACACCAATAATGTGATACCATAAAATCTTGGACTTAACTTAACATGTTCAAATGAATAGTTGAAAGTTTCCAACGGAGTACTCGTCAATGAAGCTGGCTTCTCATAAACTGGTTTATTTTCAAAGCTATAGTTACTTATTGCCCCGACAAAGAAATTGAATGTATTCAACTTGATTGATTCAGAATACTTGTCATTACATATAATACTGAGGGCAGTCGAGCAAGCCTCTTGCAAACTGTATCTTTCGACAAAAGGTAATAACTGTTCTCCCAATGAAGTGAAAATCGATGAAGGGGTTCTCTGTTTGTAAATGGCAACCCCCTTGTTAGTTAAAACTGCAATGTGTAAAGGAATGGAAGTATATTGAGAGGCAAAATAATTGGCATAACCTTTTGGAGTGTTGGTGGCATGAACTGAAGGTGTCAACTGAACAATATCATAAATGACACCATAAGTTTCCAAAAATGTAGCATTTTCAATGTATTCGTGGTAATAATTCAATATACCATAATCTGGAACAGACACAAACAATTTATTATTTTCTTGATCTCCTTTGGTTTTCTGGACTGCCGCAACAAATATACCTGGAGAAATAATTTTACTCTTTGAAGTGGTATTAACCAAGATTGGAGATTCTTTTTGATACTCCAATAAGTTGTTTGGTCTACTATTTAGAGTTGCATTTGTACCCAACAAGGATGTCGATAATTGTTGTTGTTGTTGTTGTCCTTGTATTTGCTGTTGAATTTCGGCAACTGTCAATTTTGAAGGTGGAAATTTAATGTTTTGAAATCTTAACGCCGCCACTTTACCACCGTATAAAGCACCATTGAAATAAATTCTGCAACCACCTTGTGTGATGGCAACCAAGTACAAGTTATCATTTTCATTCTTTGTGACGACATTAATACTGACAATATTGAATAACGCTTTCGCCAATAATTTGGCACCCTTGCATGCGGTAGTTCTCAAATCGGTTAAAATCTGGGATGGTCTTAGAACGTAAGGACCATCTAAACCATCCTTTTTGATGGTGTAGGCTCTAATGACAGATTTTGATGATAAAGTATACAATACATCTCTTGATTCATCAATTTGCAAAGAAATCACTGTTTCAGCGGACTCACCAGAAGTGGATCCGAACATACCAGTAGAAGGGAGCAAATACGATAAGTTAGATCTGGTCAAACACTTTTTGTTGCACTTTTTATCAAACCATTTTTCATCACTTGAATAAGTCAACTCCCAAATATTCAATTCGTCACCATAGCCGGTGAAAAAGATTTGACCAGTTTTTTCAAAACAAATGAAATTGTTTGCATTAATTGAATTCACCGAAACTGACAAATCTGAGTTAAAAATTTCCAATTCGTTTTTCCCATCTGGCTTGACACAAACTGCCAAAATATAAATATTGTGAGACGTTGATACAATCAATAAATGCTTCACGCTATCAACAAAAGTATTTGGCTTTGGCTTGATCAACTTGACAGCAAGGATATCATGAGGAATTTCATCAATGATAGAATAATTGGCATCGTTTAAATAATCCCATAGAATCAATTTGTTGCCATTGATGATCCAAGCTTTATTCAACTCATGGAATAAACCCAAATTTAGATTTTTGTTATTTACTGAGCCTTTCAATTCTTCCAAAACTTTGTCAGGAATACTGGACATAGTGACTTTTTCAAAAGTATTGAGAGGGCCCAAACCATTGATGTTTTTATTATAGAAATAATTCACAGGATTTGATAAATGGGTTGATTCGTCGAGGATTGGGGTTGATCTATCATATTCTAAGACACTTTGAACATATTTGGATGCCAACTCAATTGAGTTTAAGCCAGAAATCCCCAAGATTTTCGAACTGACTTCATATTTTCTTGGAGTATCATTCTGAGGCTCTATTCTAGTGTTTCTAAAACTTGGATAAAGATTTCCAGGTTGTTGAGATCCCGGCTGGTTGAAAAAAGCACCAGACACTATAAAATTATTATTGTTAGTACACCGTGTTTCTTTAAAACGACTATAAATAATATTAACATACTCTTTCCAAGAAATTGGGCCTGTTCTGTATTATAGAAAGCGTCACAAATCCAAAACACACGATGTTTTGTTTATTGCACTTTATTTTTCTTTGTTGAAGATTTTCAAGCACACCAGTCACCCGGTGTTCAGCAAAGGTTTTTTTTCCTGCCACGAACACATGACCAAAAGGATTACACGTGCCAAACCCGATTCCCGTCATTTGTTTTTTCCCCTGTGTGTTTTGTAATCGAATTCCTGTGTTGACCGGTGCTATCGGGGCCTTCCGTATATATATAAGCCAGTCTATCCAACAGTTCCATTAACACATTACTCACACATTCACACTATCAGCAAAATATATCTCTTTTACTGAAAAGTAAGTAGCTTTCTAACTTGGTGCTGTCCTTTTTACATGGCTTACCAGCTTATCAGTGAGAAAAACCACCCAGGTCATCTCATCTCATCTCATCTCATCTCATCACCATTCAGAACAATTGTCCTTTTCCTGCTTTATCGAAACAAAAAGATATCTCAAAATAGAAATAATTTACTAACAAATATTAGACATCAATAACTATCATTATGAGATCCCAATTCAAAGATGAACACTCTCTTGGTAAGTTTTTATTGTCGTTGTGTGTCTTTGCGTGATGATATCGTGGGGGGCGTGCTTACACTTTGTTTGCTATCAACCCTATTGTGTTCCAGATATCATTAACTGATAGCCAATATTGAATGGCTTTACTACCAATTCTCATATTTGCTTAACAATTTACTAATAGTTATTTTTTTAGAAAAGAGAAAGGTCGAGGCCATGAGAATCCTTAAGAAGTTCCCTGACAGGATTCCTGTCATTTGTGAGAAGGTTGAAAAGTCCGATATTCAAGAAATTGATAAGAGAAAGTACTTGGTGCCATCAGATTTGACTGTTGGTCAATTTGTGTACGTTATCAGAAAGAGAATTCAATTGCCACCAGAAAAGGCCATCTTCATTTTCATCAAGGATATTTTGCCACCAACCGCTGCTTTGATGTTGTCAATTTACGAAGAACACAAGGATGAAGATGGATTCTTGTATGTGTTATATTCGGGGGAAAACACTTTTGGTGATGTATTTGAAGAAATAAAGGATGAAGAGTAAGGTCTTTCTTTATTGACTTGCTAATTCACCGTGATGCTTATCTAAATCTGATGTTTTTTGTTATTTTTTTTTCTTTTATATTGGGTTGTACTTCTAAACGAAGCATGGTTTCCTTGATACCTCTGAACCAATCAATGAATCAATTCATGTATCTACTGGAGGGTAAAAATGTTCTTTTTTTTAAACAATGTTTGGGTTATCTCTTTTTTTTTTTTTTTTTTTTTCCTTTTCATATGTTGATTTCGGTGCCTAATTTTCATTAATTATTCATTTGTCTGTCTATTATTGGATTCCTTTTTTATTTATTATTAATCCTATAATCAATTTATCGGCTACTATATATTAATGTAATATCCATATGGGTACTGATGTAGGAGGCTGGCCAGTCATTGGATTTAGGAAGTTCTACCCAAAAATATATCTAACTGTACTGATATGAACAAAAAAGTACAATATGGTTTGTAAACTAATGGATAGTTTGACGTAGCTGAGATTATAATCAATATAATTCATCATGCTCTTCGTAATATAGGTTATTATTAAATGAGTTTGGTCGCCTCATATTGTAAATGTCAAAAATCGCACTTCTAACATCTCTTGGTGTATAAATCAACCGAGAACAAAAGCATAGTACTAAAATAATTAAAAATTTTACAATATGAAGTCTAAAATCATAGAAAAAAAATCGAATATTAAAAACAACAGTGACATTTATTGATTTGCTCAGACTAGGAGGAACACAAGACTTTCTTGAGTGAATGAATTTAAGCACTCAATTCAGCATTCAATCTCTTGGCAACAGCTTCAATGAATTCTTGGGTGGTGACATAGGATTCTCTAGCGGTTTCACCTCTGGTCAAGGCCAAGTCCTTGGTCATGATACCATCCTTGGAAACGGTTTCCAAAGTGGCCTTTTCCAAAACTTCACCAAACTTGACGACGTCAGGAGTACCATCGAGCTTACCTCTTTGGATGATACCTCTGGACCAAGCAAAGATAGAGGCAATGGAGTTGGTTGAAGTTTCTTCACCAATTTGGTGTCTTCTGTAGTGTCTGGTGACCGTACCATGAGCGGCTTCGGCTTCAAAGGCCTTTCCGTCAGGAGTCATCAAGACAGAGGTCATCAAACCCAAAGAACCAAAACCTTGGGCAACGATATCAGATTGCACATCACCATCATAGTTCTTCATGGCTATTATATAACCACCCTTAGACTTGATCATTTGGGCAACCATATCATCGATCAAACGGTGTTCGTACCAGATACCAGCGGCTTCGAAGTCCTTTTGGTATTTGGCAGCGTACATTTCTTCGAAAATGTCCTTGAATCTACCATCGTACTTCTTCAAGATGGTGTTCTTGGTAGAAGAGTACAATGGCAACTTTCTGTCCAAGGCCAATTTGAAAGAGGATTCAGCAAAAGCAGTGATGGATTCTTCGGTGTTGTACATGGCCAAAGCAACACCAGCACCCTTGTAGTTATAAACTGGGATTTCTTGTGGAGCAGAACCGTCTTCTGGAGTGTAGACGAGCTTAAGTTCACCAGCACCTGGGATAACCAAGTCAGTGGCCTTATATTGATCACCAAAGGCGTGTCTACCAATGATGATTGGTTTTTCCCAGGTTGGGACAATTCTTGGGATGTTGTCAATGACAATTGGTTCTCTGAAAACAGTACCACCCAAGATGTTTCTGATAGTACCATTTGGAGACAACCACATCTTCTTCAAGCCGAATTCCTTAACTCTGGCTTCATCAGGGGTAATGGTAGCACACTTGACACCAACACCATACTTTAAGATGGCTTCGGCAGAGTCGGTAGTGACCTTATCGTCAGTTTGGTCTCTGTATTCAATACCCAAATCGTAGTATTTCAAATCGACGTTGAGGAATGGCAAGATCAACAAATCTTTGATCAATTTCCAGATGATTCCTAAAAGGTGGTTAGTCTATTGTCATGACTAATACATCAAGTCGATGATTTTTTGCTTTTCTTTCTTCGAGGAATATTTTTTCCTTTTCTATTATTTAGGTAATACCAAACAATAAGAGAAGCAATTAGTTTTTTTTTTTCATTTGAAATTGTAGTCAACTAACTAACTTACTGGTCATTTCATCACCGTCCAATTCGACAATTGGGGTCTTAACATCGATTTTCTTGAAAGCCATGGTTGCCTGGAATTTGATTTATTTTTTATAATGTACTATAATTTAATAATTTATGATGTAGGACAACCTTCTATGATTTCCTGGGTGCTGGGGCAAAAAATAAAGGGTCTGAGCTTTTTCAATTTTCGTTAAAAGTTTTTGTGGGTGGTGATATTGCTCATATATATATATATGTACGCCGTTCCCCGGGCATGCAACACTTAGTAAGAAAAATGTCGCGATCTTTCTGTCGAGAGTCACGCCTCTCCACAAAAAACATGAGAGTAAGTCCTGTGACATGTACACTATCACACTTATTATTGCAGATATACCAGCTTTGCGGTCGCCGAGTCGGAGTTATCAGGTGACAATGGCTTACTAAGCGATGGCAAATGCACTACAAACCGCGCAGGCAGCCATCCGGACCCGGAGATAGATGTCGTATCGACACAGCGCTTATTTATTTATCAATTAACTAATTTATTTTATTTGTTGAAGCACGCCTTCAATTCTTCTTTTGTCCCGTCAAAGAACTCAGCCATGTACTGGATCTCAATGTCGTGTGGATTAGGCCCAACAATCACAAGAGAGTGGAGCGGTTCTCCCGCATCGTATTCCGCAAGCTCTTTTAGACTAGCCACTTTGAAGCTTTGTGTAGGGGCCCCAAGTCTGCTAACGGCGACACACATGGTGTTCTCATCGTAAGCAGCTTCTTGTCTGGTTTGTTCGACCTCGATCAATTGCTGGGCGGCAGTGCTGATGCTCATGTATCTTGGAGGCTCAAAAATGTTATTGCCCCTCATAAGATTTTCAATACTCTGTTCCTTGACCTTGATATCCAACAACACAAGGGTGTGCAACCCGATATCACGGTTCTCTTTCACCCTGTCGTAGAACGAATCTGGTTTCCAAGTGTCAGTGAAAAACACCAACGATACAGTTTGACCATAACTGTATAATTGTAAACCACAGGCCCCGACGGCGTTCATTACTGAGGCATTGTGGATGCTTTCAACTTTGATCCCCAATTCTTTGGCTCTGATCACTAGGTCGGTATGGGTGGTGGCACCAAACACATCACCAACTACCAAGAACGCAATGTCATCTTCAGTAGCCCCGGCAAGAATCTCATCAGACTGACTTTCCACCATATCTCTATCGGCCAAAATGACTTCATGCCCGTAAAATTCTTCCAAGTCTTCTTTCGATGCGCTCATCAAAATCGATGTGTAATGTTCCAAGTACACTCTTTTACAGCCCTTGATGGCCTCAAGCCCTCTGACAGTCACATCCTTAACGGAGGACAAACCCAATCCAATCAAATAAAACATGTCTTTATATTTTTCCTAAAGAGATGGAATGGCTGTATCTACATAGATGTTGTCATTGAAAATTTTTGGCATTTTTTTTCCTCTGCTAATTTTTGTGCGCTTTAAACTTCCTTACATTCTGCAGATAACAATCACTGTGTCAAAAGATTATATTTAATAACCACCATTGGGTCTAAGTACAAATATTACAAGGGGAATAGATAAAAATAGTGAATCTTTCAGACGTTTTCAAAATAAACACAAAGTTGCACAGGTTTTCTCCCAGTAATCTTCATAACTTTATGTAGCCAATACATGTGGCATTTTAATAAAGGAAAGGAATATAGATCTTTCTCTTTTTTGGGTACTTGTCACCGAAATCCTTGAGATATCTTCTGTGCTTCTTAGTAGCCCAAACCATCATTTGTAATGAGCCAACAATCAAGAAAAGATAAGAGAACAAGTTGTTGTTGATTAAGGCAAAGAACAACCATGACAAACTTTCAAAGAAATAATTTGGGAAACTCACAAAAGTAAAACCATAACCCATTGGGATCTTACGTTCGGTAGACCCTGGAGAGCGCAAGCTAGACAAGTTTAAATGGGTGATGAAGTTGGAAACTTCACTGTACGCCCAAAGACCCACCAAAATGTTCAAAGTGTCTTCTGAATGATTAGAGGTATGGAAAGCGATTTTCTTAAGAGGTCCGGCAACCGCCAAAGATTCTGGCAAAGCGTTAGGAGAGTAGATGAAGAATGCCAAATTGAGCCCGGAAAGTAACCAATAGTGCCCGGAATTCTTGAATAAGTTGAATAATGGCATGGTGCTGAGCGAAAACTTGTGGACAAAGATAGTTTCGTACTCACGCTTGAGGAAATGGAGCATTACGAGGAAGAAACTCACAGTTTGAGTGTATGAATGCTCTTCGAAAGAACCATAGTAGAAATAGAATGCTGGGTGGATCAACAATGGACCCAAGTATTCAAGAATAAACACGGTACGCCATGAGATTTGTGGACCAAGGTCTTTGACATAAAGGGTGACTTCATCACCAGCGATGCCGTTGTCGGCGAGGTTTTTTTCCAAATTGAGGGCCAAGTGCTTTGGACGGATTGGTTTACCTTTAGAATCGGTTTTCTTTTGATCGACTGGTTCCTGGATTTGGGTGAGTCTCAACCGGTGCTTACTGATGATATTTTTGGCGGCAATGACATCAACCAATTCAGAAAGTGGGGCATCTGGAGAGAAAGACTCAATTGAGACTTCTCTGAGTTTTCTGGAGCGGGGTTTAACACTAATGGAAACCATGGTTGGTGTTAATTTGGTCGATAACAGTATTTTATTTCACATCTGGCGTTTTTCTTCCTTTTGTTTTTCCCATTTTTTTTATTGGGGGGGAACTAACCGCACCTTTCCTCATCGCACAAAAAAAAAATTGAAAATTTTCTCTCTTTGTTAGCGAAAATCACCATCGAGAGTATCTAAAAAATCATACTTGATAGACCGATCGTCACCTCCATATCACCATAAAAAATGCCAAAATACGTCCACGATATACAGAAGAAGCAACATAAGGAAAGAGCCCAGCCGCAAGAGCGGAAAAGGCTTGGGCTTCTTCAAAAGAAGAAGGATTACAAGCTTCGAGCAAAAGATTATCACGACAAGCAAGAACGTCTTCGTATTCTTAGAGAAAAGGCTGCCAATAGAAACCCCGATGAATACTATCATTCCATGACCAGTCGTAAGACTGATTCCCGAGGGGTGTTGGTCACCGATCGTGAATCAAGTGAATCGATCAGCGTCGACGAGGCCAAGCTTTTAAAGACCCAGGATGTCAACTATATCAAGACCAAGAGACTTAATGAAATGAAACAAATTGAGAAATTGATGGATGGCACCAGTAATAACTCTAATGCCATCACCTTTGGGTCCGAGGGGAAGCATACAGTATTTCTCGATGATCGCGAAGAGTTTGAAGAGTTTGACGTTGCCAAGCATTTCAATACCGACAAGCGATTGGTTGACCGTAAAGAAAACAGATTGACTCTCGAGCAATTGGAAACTCTTGATCGACCTGAACAAGCCCCGGAAATCGCCAAGAAAATGAACAACAAGAAATTGAAGAAGTTGAAACTCATTAAACAGAAGCTCGAAAGGGTCCAACAGTTGGAGCGTATTGAGCAGAAAATGGACGCCCAAAGAGAACTTATGAAGAAAGGTAGTAAAAAGAAGGTCGTCAATAAAGACGGGAAAGTGTCGTTTAAATGGAAGCAGCAACGTAAACGTTGAAGAACTGGTAATATACCCTCACTATCTCTTAGATTGTTCTTTATTTTTTGTTGTTTTTCATTTTTCACCAAGTTGATTTGTTTTGCATCGTTTTCTTTTCTATCTTGCATTTATTCAATGTGTATGTATAATATAGTTTATTTTCAGTGTTTGACCGTGGTGTATTATTACATCTTTTGTAATGACATGTGTTAGCATAAAGCTCACTGTGTGGTCAGAAGCAATTGGTACTACAAATAAGATCGAACAGTACATACAATCTAATAATATTTGTATAATAACAATAATAATTATAAGACCATTCCTGTTCATGTTGACCCTGGTGGGTTCCGGGTGACACTTTCCAACACACCAGTTTTCTTTTTGGAGAAAACAAACAGAGACCAGCGATACAAGAGGTAGCCACTCTTATCAGATATATTAATACTTAATAATCAAGGAAAGCAAAACCTCTCGTATAATTTCAATTTATATACAGTTAATAAACCATTCTCCCGCAAATGTCTGCGTTGACTTCGAGGCAGAAAATTGAGCTTCATAAAGCCATATCACAATACCTCAAACCTAATCTTGAACCGGAACTATATAAAGAAATCAACCTTCGACTAGAATTGACCGAGGATGACTTAAAATCTTCTTCTGATAACAACCTATTGGCCAAAAAATGGTCGACGGTGATCAGGTTACAGAAAAAAATCCTTGATTTGGAGAGTCAAGTGAGTAACTTGAACGAATTATTAGATGCTTCATCGAATGGCACTGGTATTAAATCTTCCAATGGCTCATTAATCCACACGAAAATCAACTGGCTTCCTAGTAGAGCATCCCAGGTGCTTAAGGCTCAGAAATCCGCAATTAACTCCCTTGATATCCATCCTTTTCTTCCCGAATTAGTAGCGGCATTGAATGACGGGTCGTTTGTGGTATGGGACTTGTTAAACCCTCTTCAACCTTCAAAATTAATCAATGGTCACACCAAAGCGATCAACGGGATTTGTTATGGGAAAAAACCGTTGAAATTGTCACAACAGGACTCGTCATCTGGGTCAATATTGGTGGCCACTTGCTCGTCGGATTTATACATCAAGATTTGGGACTCCACCAACAATTTCGAACTCAAACGAACCTTAAGTGGGCATACTCATACGATTTCCTCTGTTAAATTCAAAAATAATGATCCAGGCCAATTATTTTCTAGTTCCCGTGATGGGCTGGTAATATTATGGGATGTCACCAATGGCTGGCGATTACGATCGTTTGTCGGCCACAGTGATTGGGTCCGATCGCTTGATTTGACCCCTACTGACGAATTTCTCATCAGTTGTGCCAATGATCAAAGTGCCAGACTATCGCACGGTGACTCAGGGATCGGGTTATCGATCATGATTGGTCATACCCACGTTGTCGAGGATTGTAAATTTGCTCCCCGTACCGCCTGGAAATACTTGGACATGTTGGCCACAGCAAAGAGCTACTCAAATGATCCCACGGTATTGGAACAATACAATGCTTTGGATTTCAAATATTGCGCAACTGCGTCACGAGACGAGACCATCAAGATTTGGCTCTTACCATTACCAATCATCAGACCGCATCGCCCACCAGCCCCATCATCGAACCCTTCAGCAGTGTGTATTATAGAGCTCAAGGGCCACTCCTCATGGGTGCGGTCTTTACAATTCCATCCCGGCGGGAAATACCTTTTTTCCAGCTCCGATGATAAATCTATCAAGATTTGGGATTTGAGCGCCATTGAAAAATTGGGGGTTGCTAAATGTATTCGTACGTTGAATGGTGGTCACGAAGGGTTTGTCAATTGTATTAAATTTGCCACGCCAATTCAATACGATCAACCAACTGATGAAGGTGATAAGATAACTGATGAAAAAGAACGTGAGAAGAAAAAGCTCAACGAGTTGGATAAATCCATCAGAACGATTTTTGCTAGCGGGGGCACCGACAATAACATTTGCATGTGGGTTTGAGAATTAAAAAAAAAATAACAAAAAAAAAACGACTACTAATGAATTAATGAGAAAAGCTACTATTTTTATTTTTTTGCTTGAATGGATTTTGTAATATATGTTTGATTTTTTTTTCAACTTTGGATATAGGATATAGCAAGTATCATCGGTATTGTAATTCACAATCATCAATATCTTATAGATTGTCTTGAATTTACATTTTGAAAATATTGAGGGTATCAAAGAATTGCACAACTTGGGATTCTTTCCATTATCATTGTTCTCTATAAACGCAATGAAGCAACGAAGAAATAATAAAAAAGAAACTAGAACATAAATCCAAGAAGTAGTACAAGAAAAACCAAATATGGGTGGAAAAATCTTTCCCCCTCGTCAACAACAAGAAGGAGTATCGCCTCTCTTTTTTTAGGGTCCAATACTTATTTTAATGCTGAGAAAGACGAATGCATCCAAAAGGAAAACAAATAATAAAACGACACCAGTTGAGAGATTTTTAAAGAGACATCGAACAGTATAATGATCAATGAAATGCAAGAGCTAGGACAAAATTATAAAATAAAATTGTGAGTTGAAAGGAACGTATTTGAATTTGCATAAATGAAATTTTGCAAAAAAAAGGATTATAATGTGAATAACGCAGTACTCTTTTTACCAACCGGATACACCAAGATTGATGCCGCAAACAACCCAACAGAAATCCCAATGGCCACTTGAATCATTGAGAAACCAAAGGATAAACTATTATCCGAACTGTCACTAGTGGTGGTGGCGGAGGTAGAGGTACCGTTCAAACTACTGACAATTTCGTTGGCGCTGCTAATACCTGCCAATAATGAACTTTGACTGGCAATACCACTAGGAACTTGCACAAAAATCGCTGGCAACATTGCACTGATGGCCAATCCACGATAAATACGAGAATACAAATTACCTAATACCCCAATGACCATAGCGGCAATGGCACTGGTGAATTCCGAAGAGCTACTGAAATGCAAAGAACAGAAGTAACTGACGACGTACCCAGCACAGGCAATACCCACCATAACTGGCAATTGCTTCCAACTGGCCTGGTTCAAAAGCGCTAAAGAGATGCTGAAAACTGGGACAAAGAGGAAACGGTAATATGGGGACAAAGAGGGCTTGTAAACGCAAGTTTGGTTAGAAGTGGCCTCTTTATCAATCCATCCATAAAGCGCCGCACCAATGGTGATACCAAAGGAAAGGAAAAGCGAATAAATAATGGCATAAAACATTCGCACCGATCCATTGACAATGCTACGGGATTGTAATTCCAATGATCCGGTAAGAATGATGAAACCAGGCAAAATCAACGCCAAAGAACCTTGGACCAACGCAGAAAAACAGAAAAGTTTACCACCATTGATCGATCCAAGGGCTCTTCCGAGGAAACTAACAACAATAGAAGCTGCCACTTCAAAGACGTTGGTGTACAGAGAACTACGTGGTGCCACGTAAACTTGCAATACCGCTACACAACAACCGATCAAAAAGCAAATTGGCATATCTACCCAATTACCATTGAAGGCAAATGGACAAACCATTGCTGAACCAAGTCCATAAACTAAAACACGAACCCAACCTGGATACAAGTCAGGGTATTCACATAACGCATCTAGTTTCTTGGTGGCCTCTTCAACCCCAAGAAGATCATGGATCACGGCTTTATAAATTTGATGAGTATCATGTAACTTCGATAAGTTGACCCCTTCTTTGGTCCGCACCAATTGCATTTCGGTAGTTTTTGTGGTCGGATCATTGAATGCCATGATCATACAACCAGGGAAATAAATGAAATAACTATCGATTTCGAGGACTCGGGATGTCATCACCATATATTCTTCTAATCTGTAAGTTGGGGCACCAAAGGTCATCAAGGCAGTACACATCTTGATGATGAAGTTACGTTTTTGGAAAAGCGAAGCTAAATGTACCGTGATTTTTGCCTTCAATTTCCCTTTACTACGAGAAAGATTAGCCTTTTTTTCTTTGGTCATGCTTGGCTTGAAGGATGGCATATCAAAAGACGAAGCAGAAGTGCCCACTGATGGAGAAGCCATACCACTCTTTGACGCGCGGGGTTTGTTATCCTTCTCAAAGGCGGTGGAGCCACTAATAAAAGACAGTCTATCGTTCATGGTCACCGAGCTTTCAGCGTACTCTTGAGGTAAAGTGTACAATTTCATAAGGGTACTCAAAATCCCTTCTTGAACACGGTTTGGTGGGGGAATATATTCATCATCATCAAGGGTATCTTTCAACATATTGTCAGGGGTACCTTCAAGGGGGTCTTGGTTATTGTGGGCGTAGAAAAGATCACTGAGAGAGGTTTTACTGGACGATCTAGAAATTGATAATGGGGTGTTTTTATTAGCGTTACCTGATGACCCATTGCTCACCAGGGATTTCTTGCGGCGATGTAATATTTTGCCAAGTCTTGATGATTCGTGAGCTCCCATGATTTTGTTGACTTCTTCTTGAACGCGGGCGGCCTCTTCTTCGTTATCCTCGTCTTCTTGGTCGGCGATGTCGCCATCGCTGTTGTTCAGACCACGACGATGTAAGTAACGCCTTGGGTGGTGTTCAGAAAATAAATTCAATTCAAACGAGTTATTATCATTGATATTATTAGGATGCAAAAAGTTCAATGCATTGGGTTTTTCTCCCTGATTTTCAATAATGGATTCGTCATCTTTTTTCTTGAGACCTTGTTTGAAATTGAGGATTCTCATTAAGAAATTACCAGCATGGGAATCAGAAGCGATGGAAGTGACATCGGCATTGTTATGTTTTTGCTGGGCGGCTATTTCGTCCTGGTCTTCATCGTCGGTGATCTTTTCCTTGTCCTTTTTATTAGAAGTTGAAGAATCGGAATCATCATCAGAATCGTAAAATATCACGGCTTTCTTTTTGCTTGGTGATGAAGTAGTGGTAGTAGGTTGTTTTGGGTCGTTAATTTTTATGGTTTTACCATTATTAGGAGATTTTTCATTATTATTACTGGTGATGGATTTTTCAGATTCGCCATCGGATTCGGGGATTTCTCCATATTCGGGATTGACGATATTTTGAGAGATCATCAAATTGGCGTCTCTTTCGACGGAATTGGCACGTTTTCTGCGCTTATCATCTGACAAGTTTGATAAATGGAGATTTTCAGAAGATGTGACGTTGGAAGTGGCCATATGATTGCCAATGGATTTGAAAGTCGGTAAAGATGGGGTAGTGGCATGGGAGACTGGGTTACCTTCAGGAATGGTTGGACTACCTCCGGTATTTTTCAAGATGCTTTGAGAAGATTTGGACCTGCGGTATTGGGGACGACCGGCGATATTTGGAGATAATCTTGAAGGAGATGGAGGAGATTGGAGGTTGGCGAGAGAACTGTTATTACTAGCGGTTCTCAGGACAGGAAGGGAAAAATAGTCTTGTGACAATTCCTGAGGGGTGTTATTGAGGCCGGGTTTTTTCTTCTTGTTCCACAAGGCGGTGGCAGGGGGAGTGTTTGGCATGATGGTGGTATTTATTTGATGTTAAACTGAAGAGAATGAATGAATAGATTTGGAATAATGTGCCAATAGATTTGTACTCTTTTTTTTTTTTTTTTTCTTTTTTTAGGGAAAGTTTCTTTCTTTCTTTCTTTCTTTCTTTCTTTTTTTTGGCTTTTGATTTCTTGACGGTTTTGATAATCAGGATAGGTGAGAGAAAGAACGATGATATTTATAATTGGGCGGAAAGCATAAAATTTTTTTAGATTGCAACCTATGATGGGATGGCTGTAAGGTTGTTATTATGTCGATGCGTATATTGTTTGAATAGTAAAAGGGGTAAGTGGGCCTTATCGAGGCAGTACTGGATATAATAGATATGCAATAAACAACAGGAGATGGTATAATATGTTATTTACTATGTATTAAGGGTAGTATAAACGTCTAATGATATAATGCTAATATATATATATATAAATATGATATATAACATAACATATATAATGTATGAGAGCATGGTAGTATTCTCCACCCTCCACCAACAATTAGCGCTTAATAAACTATGACGACCACACTGCATATTTTTTACGCCAACAATAAACGAAGTGCCCTCACCCGGCCTCAACTGGCAGGCTGGCTGTGCTTACTGCATGGATCATAACATTGATGCATTTCACTACATACAACATTCACATCTCCAACAATTACATTATATATCAACAACTAACAATTACACATATTTATATTAACAATTACACATAATATACCAAAAATCAAGAAATACCTAAATAAAACAACCCACCTTCTTTCTTTTTTTAAACAGCAATCGTTTTACTGATACTACTCCCCTTATTAGCACTTGGATCATTCTGGATCAAACTCATCAACGTGTCTCTCCCCAATAACTTCACCTCCCCTGTAGTCTCTCTTCTTTTGGAATTCAAAAACTTCCCCTTCTCTTCATCCCATTCCTTGAACGTAATTCTTTTTGCCCCGTTAACCTTCTCCAATCCCAATTGTTGCAACTTTGGAGATTTCAAACTTATTGGGTCTATAAGCGTCGTCAATGATGGATCACAGAAATAAATAACCGTGTTCCGTTTATGTTCCATTTGGTCCACCGGTGGGGTCGTCACTCTGTGGATCGATGACTTGAAATACCCCCCTGACAAATATTTGAATGCATCACCAATATTTACAATCAACGAATCAGGAGTATGCGAAACATACTTCCAGGCCCCAGTATCATGCTCTCTGATTTGTAATGACACAATTGGTTGAGAAATAATAAATGTCAACGCTGTAGCATCAGTATGGCCCCTCAACCACGTCCCCGAAGTCAAATCACGGTATTCTGCAGAAACTTCATGGTAGAGCAAGAACCGTCCAAACCCTCCCCCGGACTTCTCAATATCATTCTCATGGACTGAAAAATGATGATCCCAAAGACTGCCTTCTGGAAGCTCTAAAATGATATCAATAAGTGTCAACACTTGCCGAAGAACCCTGCAATGAAGCTCCTTATAATACCCCGATACCTCATCAAGATAATACTTAAAAAACTCAGGGTATTCGGTTTTGTTAAAGAAAATATCATCATGGAGAAAATGTCTAATATTGAAAAACTCGACATTATCCCGTTGCCCATTTTGATACTCCCAATGACCTCTTGGCTTGTAACCGACCCCACGAATCACTCCCAATTCCCGATCAGCTTCATCGGGATGTTTAGTGTTACCAGCATGGAATTTTTTTTTAGTATCATCATCAAGTTCAAATAAAGATTGACCAATTGATTTCATTCTTTCTAGAGTATCATGATCAATTCCATGACCTGTCAATTTGAAAAACCCGTAGGTCGTCAACGCCGATTCCAATTGGTTTGCAAGTTGCTGACGAGATTTTAGACCTTGTGGGCCTTCTTGGAATGTGGATAAGTCAATGGCTTGCAAATCAATCATAGGAACATCGAGCTTAGTGGGTGGAGCCTCGATAAATGGACGGACTTTATGAGCGAGGTCGATTTCCGCTTTATTGATTGGGTTAAAATAGTGTTGAGAGAGCATTATGTAGATAATAATTGAAAGTTAAATTATATTAAAATTATTTTCATAAAAATATGTAGCAAAAAAGGTATTGATTTTATGTCGACTATAAATATACATAAATATATAATTTCCACCACTATTGGCACACCTCCCACACATTACCCATAATCTCACATGTCATGTTGCGATTTGACAGTGTGGGGGAAAATCTCTTCTTTTTTTTTTTGCTGTCGCATACATTCTATTATTCTAATTAGTAGTAAATAATTATTATAGGTAACTTTCTTAGTGTTTTAACATTATTTGGATTGTTGTATATAAATATATATATATTATAAACTACATGGAGCTTCATCCGTAAGACACCCAAACAGAAATTGCTAAATGCCTCATAGACAACCATCGTATATGGACTACACACATAGTGCATACCAAATTAGCACCACCGTACCACAGTAGATCATCTATTGATCTCCAATAGCCTACATTTATCATATTATCATCCCACGTTGTAGATCACTTCAAAAATTCAATCCTCGTCTCGTTGGTGTACTTGGCCTGGGCAATACCTACTTGCTCACTCTCCAAATCATATAATATATACGCCCTTCTCAAAAAAGCGTCCCCGAGGGTCCAAGTTTCCTCTGAACTCTCCATCAACCCAAATATACACTCACTCTCTTGACTATCCGATTTCCCATTCACATGGAATAACAAATCGGAAAATGGCACAACCACCTCGACCCCCTTGAACTGGAACTGGAAATCCGGTCCTTGGGCATCACAACTGGCTGTGTAATGCATATATTTCGAAGAATACGTAGCATAACTTTCTTGAATTTTAAAGGCAACCTCCGATGGAGCATATATCAAAGAAGTCCCGGAATCAAGCAACGCAGGATACGAATTGTTGTTGTTGGAGAAATATGATTTATTATTCACCACCACATCTTGCAATTCCACATAAAACGCCATGCTCTGATTCACCGCATACCCTGAGCCATCAATCTTTACTAGATCCAACATTGGTAATGATGATCCTTGATATTTTGCATGGTCAATGGCCCCAAATAAAATTGACCCTCGTTCTGAATCGGCGGAGCTCAAGAATAGCGAATACCCAGCCCGATCAATATAACCTTCTTTTTTCAACCTTATTGGGAAATTATCATACCGAAACCCTCCTAATCCTTTTGCCTCAAGCTCCAGTTCCGATAAACTGATATCTCCTCTGGCCATTGCGTCCAAAATCCACACCAGCGCTTCGTTCAGAGGGAACCCAATCCCAAACACCCCGAACCCCGCGGTATGTGATTGGGCTAACCCAAAGATGAATTGAGGAATCTCAATATTATTCAATTGCAAAGTATCATCAGCCCATATTCCTTGGGCCTGCAGCAGGTCGCTATAAGCGATCCGGAAGTTTGGGTGGTATTCTTTGGCACTCGAAGATGAGTTCATATTATAAGACCCATAAACTGATGATATTTCTTGAGCATTGTTGGAAGATGAGCCAGGAATCCATAAGTCCAGTGACCCTGTATCGACAGAAACTTTGAGTTTCTGGGGTGGAGTCCCCATTTGGATTTCCGTCATATAGGTTGAATATTCATTCTCAAGCTCGAATAGAAGGTCCTGGGCACTAACATTTCTAGAGTTCTTCGATTGAATACCAAGAGATGGTGATGATAGAACCTCACTAGCTGAAAGATTGAAAGTTGGGGAGCTTCTAACGATATCAAAATCCAAAATAATTGGTTGACGTGGTTGTCTTTTGGTGATCGGGAGGGCTTGTGAAGCAATTGATAGAAGAGTCAATGGGATTATAAATGACAGTAGCAATATCATTTTATTTTGTCTTAAAATTTAATATCACTTCGGTTTGAGTGTTAAATAATGAACCCTTGGAAAGAACATAAATATAGTCCCGATAACCTCAGGATATTTCTGATTATTTATTCATATCGTTCATAATATCCCACCAAGGCCATCATCGCCGTACCTCTTGGGGGTTATAAGAAGCACCCTTTCGAGTATTAACACTGGTGGCCATCGATCAACTTGAGTCATGCAATCATGCGGCATCGATGTTATCGGGAATGGAGGAGATCCAGGATTTTGGCCCGGAATTTTGAAAAGAGCACAGGGAAGGGTACAGACTTACATTTTCCATAAATATAAATAAATTTAAACATATAAACTAATTAGAAGATAAGATGACTGATTTTATATGGAACCGAATTGTTGATTGCATTCATCGCTCTTCTTTTTTTGCAGTGCGTAATTATTACGTGGGCACAACAGGAATGCGGCGGTTATGGTGAAAAGTCAATGAGCCAAAAAAAAAGGAATGATAGGAAGTATTAATAATAATTCTTTTAGTCTTACATACTTTCTTCTTTCGTGTATCGTTCTTTCTGGATGCCATTTTTAAAAGAGATCCGGCGAACAATATTATTCTACCTCTATATGTGGGAATCGACAGAATATTAATGGGTCAACTACAATTGAACAATCAGGAAACTGAAATTCATCAGAACTTTTTTTTTTTTGTTTTTTATAAAGAACCATTGATAACTATATGTTTAGATTATAATACAGTATAAAGAAATAGAGCAAAAGAAATTTGAAGAAAGCAAAAATAATGCAACAGAAAATAATAGTATAAAAGAAAAGACCAAGAAATGAAATATTAAGAAGCAATAATTTTCCAGAAATTATTTAAAAGAAAAGAAATTGAAAATAAGATATTTTGAGGGGTTGAATAGCAATCACAATATCAATGAAGATAAGGCCAATCCAATCATACTGAAGATGCTGACTCCTGAATAAACATTAGCATTGTTCAGTGACTCAGTAGATGCCGAACTAGAAGATGTGGAAGATGAGCTGCTATTGGTAGAAGTGGATAATGATGTAGCAGTTGATGTGCTAGATGCAGAAGTAGTGGATTCCGAAGCTGCTGAAGCAGAAGTAGTAGCAGTTTCAGTAGAAGAACTAGCAGCAGCAGTAGTAGTAGTGATAGAAGATACGGCAGAAGAAATAGAGGAGGAAGCGTTTTCCCTTTTGCTGATTGATCCAGACACCCAATCTCCCAAATCTTTAGGATAAGTGACTTTAACGTTACCGGAAGTGGTAATGGAGTCCCCAGAAGTGATTACTTCGACATTTCCATTGGATGATTGATAAAATTTACCTCCAGTATAATCTTGAATTGTGATACTCTGTAAATAAGTGCTGTGCTTAGTGTTACCAGTGCTGGCTGTACTTTCAATCATGAAGTTAACGGTATCTGGAGTGGTTGGCCAGTTAGCAATATCGATAGGATTAGTTAATTGGTCTTTGAACATCACTTTTTCAATTTGATCATCGACAAGCCAGGTGATCTTTTCCGAAGTCCATTCCATACTATACTTGTGGAATTCTTGGCTCAAATCTTTGTAAGTTTCTATGATGTCCTTATCGGCATGGGTACCGTTATAAGAGCCGATGATTTGGGTAGGTTTGGCACCGCTGATAAGCAATCCAAGACCAGATTTCGCAGCACTTAATTTAAAAGAGGTGATGACTTCACCAGCGGCAACTTTGGCAACCCAATCACAACGACCGTACCACATCACGAATTCAGAGGTGATGATCGAGGCCTTACCGGCATCTTCGATGGTAAGAACCGCCTGAGACAGGTCGGTAGACGCTTGAGGACCAGTACGGGAGAAAACTTTCCAAATGGATGGTGTGTCAACATTGTTGAATTTGAAAGTGGTGGCAGTAGTGGTTCCAAGACCAACGGCTTCTCCAGTGAAATCACTGGATGCGGACACAATAGTGAGGAGTGAGAGGACTATGAGTTTGAACGTGGTGGAAATCATTGTTATTATATCTATATATAAATAAATATCTTTCTTTCTTGTTATTGTTATTCTGATAGAGAATCAATAATATGATATGGAAAAAGTAAGTTAGAAAGAGGCAGGAATTTTGAAGATTTTATATCGGAGTGGAATCTTGGCCTTCCTTCATGTTGGCAAAAATTCTGCGTTGCACAAATGTATTATGCAGAAAAGGTCCTTGGAATTGGGTTCTAAAAAGAATGCCGATTTAGCGAGCCGTTCGCATATACATTCCCCGAGGCTTGCGAATATAAATAGTAATAATATCATTGGCTATAATATTTTTATTACATATTTTAGAAATATAGTTGTCTTTTTAGGATTTCAATGGTGGATGAGGGAAAAAAAAAATTGAATATAGAGATAGACAACAAGTGGGGGAAAAATGGCCAAAGCTTTGATGCGACCTAAATCATGCTAAATTGGCAAATCTCATTGGAATGAAAGAATTTCCCCAAAAATACCATATTTGGTAAATATCGATGGGGTTAGTCTGAAAATAACTTCCAAAAATAGCATACTGCGGTGGTGACTACACTCTGGGAAGAATTTTACCATTTCTAGAACCGCAGCAAAGAGAAGAAAGGGGAAAACAAAAATATCAGAAGATTGTTAGAATTCTACAGGTCTACAGAGTACTTCAATATATATAAAGACGAAACAAACGCACTCACGTATAATAAGAAACACTTTAGATAATAAAGTTAAATATAAGGACAGTAGTACAGACCCCCCAACATGGCTGTAAGCTCAGGATGGTTCATTACTTATATATGCAACATATGAAAATCAGTGAAATAACTACCTAAAGTTACAATTTGCCCCTCTGTGTAAGGTTGCAGTGTCCAATTATATGGTCTTACCAAAAGTGCAATCAATCATGTGTGTATTAGAATATAAATAAAAGAAGAAAATGAAAAGAAAACAATGAGAAGAAGAAAAGAATAGAATTAGTCCACTTTTTCACAGAACGACCAGTTAGAAAAGTGAACTATGGATGAATGTAAAATATTTGCATTGAATAATAATACCCTTTTTCACATCATTTCGATATCCGTATCATCAGTATATAGGACTTGCGCCATCTTGATGTAACTATTTTCGATATCATAAAACACATACGCACTTCTCAAAACCACGTCACCCAAAATATAAATATCTTCATCGCTATCCATGACCCCAAGAATACACTCACTGCTAGAAAGGCTAAACACTAAATCAGAAAATGGAACTGTAATGGTGAGATTATCATCAAACGATAATTTGAGATCGGCACCAGTAGCATCACAAGATATCACGTACCCACCAAGAATAGCGGAGTAGGTACCGCCATAATAATTCCCGATAGATTCGGTAATGGCGGTTGGAGCATAGAACAAAGTCGTACCAGAATCCAAAAGGGCAGGATAGCTAGTCGAAGCAAAAGTTTCTGAATCGGCATTGGAAACTCCATTTAAGTTCACAAAGAATGCCACCGGTTCTGAAGTAGTATCACCAGCATCATCGACATCTTGAATTGCCAAAGTCCCCAAATTTCCCAGGTATTTAGCATGATCAATCGCCCCAAACAACACTTCACCACTGTCGGCATCTGTTGATCCCAAATAAAGAGAATAGCAAACAGAATTGATGTACCCTTGGTTTTTCAACATCACCGGGAAGTTATCATAAGTAAATCCTTGAGCAGCCTCGTTACCAATCATTCCAATTCCAAATACCCCCTGCCCGGCGGTTTGTATGGTGGCGTCTCCGAATTCCATTTGGGTGATGGAAACATCACCCAAAGTTAAAGTATCAGTAACCCAATTCCCAGTGGCCAGAGAGCCATCGCCATAAGTAATGGAGAACCCAGCTTTTTTGAACTGGTAAGTGGATGACGCAATAGACGAGTAAGTGCCATAATCACTTTGAGTACCGTATCCTGGAACCCAAAGATCGGAAGAGCCAGTATCAAGATCGACTTCGATGGTCTGTCCAGGAGTACCGAGAAGAATGGTGGCAATGTACATTGAGTATTCATTTTCGATGGAGACGGCCACTCCTGAGGAAGTTGCCGATGAGGTATCATAAGTGTTGGAAGCGGATGAGCCAGAATAACTACTAGATGAGCTAGTTTTGGAGGTGAATGTAGACGAAGAAGCAGAAGCCTTCGAGGTGAATACAGACAAAGAAGCTGTAGAAGTCTTCAAGGTGGTATCAGAAATAATACCAGATGAGCTACTTTTGGAGATGGATGCAGAAAAAGAAGCCGCAGAAGTCTTTAAGGTAGTGTCAGAAATGATATTGGTAGAAAGCGTTGATGACAAAGCCAATGATGAGTAACTAGGTCCGGAATTTGGAGTGGTCCCCTCTGCTGTGATAGAAATAAGTGGTGCAACAGTTTCTGTACTTCTTGTGTGAGCATCTGGCAGAATTAATTCAGAAACTAGATCACTAAAATCTAAAAATGACATTGTTTCCAGGCTAGTTTCTGGTGAAAACATAGATTCGGGGAGCAAATCATCGGCACCATAAGTTACAGCAGCAGCAGAAATATCAGATGTCAAAGCAGAAGCAACATAGTCTTGTTGACGAAATTTACGACGTCTGTTTCTGAGGATTTTATTGGGAATATTATCCATGGTTTTAATCTTGGATTCATCAATTCTGGTAACTTGAAATGCGATCTTGATTGGGCCGGCTGATAATAATGATGAGGAAGTATTGTGCTCAGCAGCAGCAGCAGCAGCAGCAGCAGAGCCCAAGTACCCCAAAAGTAGAAGCATTGAGGATAAATTTAAGGTAGATACCATTTTTGAAATTGGAATATACTAGAATACTACTGTACTGATTAACGATGGAACCTTGTTGGAATATTATGGGGGGTATCACTATTTTTTTTTTGATTCAAGGACTGAAGAAGAATATTGTTACCACTAGATGATATATCAATATTTCAGTAGTCTAAATAAGCAAGCACAAGCAAAGTAGAATGGGTATCACTGGTCGTTTATGATATGATTATCGGCAGAACTGGCTCATATAACAACTAATCTGAAGTGTCTTTTCCAAAAAAGAAAATCAACAAACACACAACTTTTGTTAATATACAAAAAAAAAAAAGTAAATAACGAACTATTTTGATCAATTCAGGAACGAGGTATAATTTTATTTATACTTTTTCAAAAAATCTGTCAGGGTTTAAATAGACGGTAATTAATTCTTCTCAGGTACAGTCAGTCTGTGCAGATCTGAAAAGCATTCGACACACAACTTTAAGGTACGTCATTCTCTTTGCTTATTTTTACACCGACTCAAGACAAAGAATTCAAACGAATCAGTAACAATACGGAAGATAAGTATACGGGTGTTCATGATACGTTTGAAAGCCGACAAGAAGACTTTAAAGTAAGTTGATGTCAGGATAGTCTGCACAAAAGGCTTTCTGAGACTTATTTTGTTTTTGATTTTTTTCAAGTCTTTCCAAATTAGTACATGGGCTTATCCAAAAACGACTAATTCTATTACTTAATTCTTCAACAAAACACATATGTAATAGCATTAATACTAACATGGGCAACGCGCACAAAAAATCAGGACGTACATCCAATTTGTCGCGCCTGCAAGGATTGATGGTCGTGTCAGCATGTATACTGATATATCCAGAGACACGGGTTATGGAGTTTTTTGTAGATTTGAAAATCTTTGTACAAACTTACTCTTACAATCAATACAATATAAGGAACCACCGACAGAAAAAAAGAAAAAGTGTAGAATAAAAGAAGTCCGTGGACAAGAACAGCTCCGTTTCAAACTTACGGTCTCTCTGGGTCTGGGAAAAGTTACCACAAATTACTTCATTAATCAAAGACATTATTAGTTCGCTATAATACATCACCATTTGGAAAAAAAAAAAAAAAAAAAAAAAAACTATCCCCAGACGGTCTAATCACTTCTTTTGGAAAATCTTGGTCATTCCATCAACAGTATTATTCAATGTCGTCTCGACATAATTCTTCTTAATTTCCAACGCCCTGATTTCTTCTTTCAAGTCCTTATTTTCTTTAGTCAATTCTTCGATATAGTCTTCCCCCTTCATTGTCACAAATGCTTTACCAACACCTTTCCAGACTTTTTCATGGACGAGTTTCTTAGTTTTCTCGTCGCAAAGTTCGTCTATGGTCAATTCATTGAGTTTAATATTGTTGGTGCGTCGCTGTAATTGAACATTCACCATCTGGTACTCTGCCTGGTTCTTTTGAAGTGATAAATTCATCTCCGAAAGGAGCTATGTAAAGTGTTAGTAAGTCGTCTCCTTTTTATTGTTCTGTTCATAAGTATTGGTCGGGTTGCGATAATTATCTGATTGAGGTATTGGTAAGATCCTAATGATTTGGGATAGGTATTGTGCGAAGGCAAGCTTCATTCCTGAGCAAAGAAATAGAGCTTTCTCTCCTGTCTTGACCATTATTGTGAGGCGCATCAAATAATATCACAAATAACACAATATCCTGAATCTACCCTTCTCCTGAAACTCAAAAGACTGTATATTTCAGGCTCATAAAAAGTTAATCTTGAAACCTACTTTTTGCAATGCTTCGGGATTCATTGACATGATCAGTGATATTTGTGTGAATACTGAGGTAAATTTTCAAAACTTATGTATTAGAGGAATGTGATTGATAAGTACACCCTTAACTTCGATAAAGGTAACTTGTATATAAGAGTTCTGACTGTCACTACTGATGTTGTTAACTGGAGAAAGTGAAAAAAATCAAACGCTGCAGTTCATAGTTACCCGACGCAAAATACAGTGGTGGCGAATCTTCGGCATTGGGAGAAAATCAACTGAAGAACGACAGGCAAGAAGACTCTGAGTCCTATATACCTAATTGTTATTACCAAAAAGCGTACCACAAAATTGCTTCCTTTGTGTCGAATTGAAGACTTGGATTTGCTATTTGTCTTTTTTTTTTTTTTTATTCTCCTAACTTTTTTTTTTGGGTGCTTCTTAAAATAAAAAAACTGGTGATTGCAAATCAACTTCCATAATGTTACCCATAAACCTCCACAATCCCGCCATGAAGCTGGTCTCAATTTCAATGTTGGAAGGGGTTTCTAAAAAATTAGTTGCCTCCAAGCTAGTATCAAATATTACAAAAAATGGAGCGCTTGTTAATAAAAGAAGTTATTCGAATAATTCCTTGGTTGCTTCTCCAGGTATTGCCTTTAACCCACCAAAGCTCTTCTTTAACAACCCTTATGACCTCAAATCCTTCTATCCTAAATCTTCACTTTTGAGAAGATCTCTTTCATCCACAACAAGTGTCTCCGCTGGTCCAACTATTAATGGAGGGAATCACTCCATCCTTGCCCAGAAAGAGCAGCAAGCGAATGCCAACCTCGGCAACCCCGACTTACAAGCAGACTTCTATAGATCCTTGATTACTTCAAACTATCCTGATATTGTGATTTCCAGATTCGAATCTCCGAACATTGCTTCAAATAATGAATGTTTACAAATTTATGCCCAGGCTTTGGAAATGATTGGTAATCATGCGAAGGCCGCTGCTGTCAGAAACTCCGGCTTGGGAAATAACGCCGCCAACTTTGTTAATGGTGCCCCTGGTGTGGGTGGATTTGGTCTTAGCATGACCGGAACTAAAATTCAGCCTATTCATGTGATTGTCGATGAATCCTTTTTGACTATTTTTTTGAAAAGCATCAGGTGGATCCTTCCTATTGCAGTTTTTAGTTTCATTGCTTACGAAGTTTACTCAGGATTGGGTGATGCCGGAGGAATAATCAGATCTGAGTTTGAAGGATCTAAGACCCTTGAAGTGGCCAAGAGTGATGTCAGATTCTCGGATGTTAAAGGATGTGATGAATCCAAGGCCGAATTAGAAGAAATTGTCGAGTTCCTTAAGGATCCTTCAAGATTCACTAGCCTCGGTGGTAAAATGTGCAAAGGGATCCTTCTTACTGGTCCACCTGGTACCGGTAAAACCTTGTTAGCCCGTGCGGTTGCCGGTGAAGCTGGGGTTCCATTCCTTTTTGTTTCTGGTTCTGAATTTGATGAAATGTACGTTGGTGTCGGTGCCCGTCGTGTTCGTGATTTGTTCACCCAAGCAAAGGAAAGATCTCCTTGTATTATCTTCATTGATGAATTGGATGCTGTTGGCTCAAAACGTCATTCTAAAGACGCTGCCCATATGAGACAAACTCTTAATCAACTTTTGGTTGAATTAGATGGATTTCAACAAAACTCTGGAGTCATTGTCATTGGTGCCACTAATTTCCCTGAAAGTTTGGATAAGGCTTTGACTCGTCCTGGTCGTTTTGATAAACTTGTGACTGTTCCTTTGCCAGATATTCGTGGTCGTACTGAAATTTTGAAGCATTACGTTTCGAAAATTGAACTTTCTCCATCGGTTGATGTGTCTTTAATTGCTCGTGGTACTACTGGTATGCTGGGTGCTGAACTTTCCTCACTTGTCAACCAAGCTGCCGTCCATGCATCTCGTCAAAACGCCCTTTGTGTTGATTTGTCTCATTTGGAATGGGCAAAAGATAAGATTATGATGGGTGCTGAACGTAAATCTATGGTTATGACTGAAGAAACTCGTATGGCCACCGCCTATCATGAAGCTGGACATGCTCTTATGGCCATGTATACACCGGATGCTTTCCCATTATACAAGGCTACCATTTTACCAAGAGGTCAGGCGTTGGGTATCACTTTTATGTTACCAGAGACTGATCAGATTGATTCCACCAGAAAGCAATACTTGGCAAGAATGGATGTTGCTATGGGCGGTAAAATTGCTGAAGAATTGATTTTTGGATTGGATGGGGTCACTTCTGGTTGTGGCAGTGATTTACAAAATGCCACTAGTGTTGCTAAAAATATGGTGATGTATGCTGGTATGGCTACTAAATTAGGACCAGTTCAACTTTCTGGTGATATCGGTTCTTGGTCTCAACGAACTAGAGAAAAAGCTGAAGATGAAATCATTGACTTGCTTAAACAAAGTGAATCTAGAGCGAGAAAGGTGTTAATTGAAAAGAAGATCGAATTAGAAAGATTATCATTGGCGCTTATGCAATATGAAACTTTGAACAAGGAGGAAATGGCCAAAGTGATTAAAGGCGAGGTTATTGATAAGGAGAAAGTGTTTACTGATGAAGAATTTATCTTGAAATTACCACATAAGAGAAAGAAGATCGGCGAAGGGGTTGTTAGTGTTGGTGATGTTGCCATGGCCACCAGTGATAATAAGGGAAAACCTGTTAATATTGGTGATAAAAAAAGTGAAAAGTGCGATGACAATAATAATGGCAACGATCCAGACAAACCGGAACCTGTTAGAGTATAATGATTTCTTTTTTGTTTTCTTTTTGTGGCCAATATTTTCTTTTTTGACCTAGTGTATATAATAGTTATTCCTGATCTCGTGTGATCTCATTTTCTTTTTACCTTTTCTTTTTTTGCCATCCTCTCATCTAAAACTTATTTTTATTAAATTGTACTATTTTTATGAAGAACTCTTAGGCATGTCATAAGCTATTTATTTTTATAGTCAGATATCTCCCAAAATGTTCATATATGCTACTGACCTTATGCTATTATTTTATCTTTCTCTTCCAACTGTACGTTAAAATCAAGTTGATTAAAATTAGAAATTATTAATTGTTGCTGGTGTACTTGTAGTTTATTATTATTAGATATAGAGAATATTATAAAATAATGGCATTCAAGGGTCTGATAATTATATCAAATAGGCCCAAGATTGTATACGTATTCACGTGACACACTCAAATTTTTGAAAAACTTTTTCCCAAAAAGCATTTCGAATCTTCAATTCGCAATATGTTACCAGGAGAGAAGTATTATATTTATTGATAGTTATCTGAAAATTTTACTACAAACTTAGTTGGTTAAAAGAATCGAAGCAAATCGGAACCTTTAACTAATAGTTCACAGTTATATCAACAGAGAAAAGCTGGAAATATTCAATAAAATTTAATAATTTTCAACTATCAATTATCACAAATCCAAAACACACAACAATAATAAAATAGTCACATAATGTCAGCAGGCCGTGCCACTCGCAACTTAACTCATATACTATCCATTCTGTCTCCTTCAAACAAGGCTTCGATCATAAAACTTCCACCATTGATCACTGATGTGTCATTGACTTTCAAAAAGAAAAACTCAGATGGGCATATGGGGATCCGGAAATTCTGGCAAAACTACTTACCGACCATCAAGTTTTATAACCAAAGTTTGCCAATGAATGTGACCCGTATTACTTTGAATGAAATCGACACAAAAAAAGCTAGGGGTGTCAAGGACCTTCCAGTCGATTCGGAAGAGGCCAAGAAATTGGAAAGCGACATCAAATTGTTGGCTAAATGTCCTGCTAAGATAACCATTAGTTATCAAGGTGGTAAATCTGTCGAATTGGACTGTAAATGGAAAAGATCAGAAATCATTTTGGAAGAATTCACAAAGCTCACCAAGGCTGTGCCGGTAGCTGAAGAAGAAATCTTCAAATTTGGTGAGTCGCAATGAGAGAATACAATTTATGTTTGGAAAAAAAAATAAAAAAATAAAAAAATAAAAAAATAAAAAAAGATATAAACACGACTTTGATTAAATAGCATTAATATTATTCTAGAAAGGTCTCTCAAAGGAATGATGATGTGGAAGATATTCTAGCTGGTAAATGGAGATGAAAAAGGGACATGTTCATGTTATTTTTTCTTTTTTTGGTCTCTGAAGTGCCTTATACTTTGTTTCAAATATCATTGGTAAATAGTGTGAAACAGAAGTCATCTATTATGGATACAGTACGAGTTTTGTGTTGATCTTTTTTTTTTTTTTTATCATAGAAAGAATTGAATGTAAAATACTTGTGAATAGAACAGTTAGTTGATGTTTGTTGGTCTTTGTTAATATCCAACGATTGTAATCTTCACTTGCAAATGATGTATCATAGGATTTCAATTGGTTTTTTTTTTTTTGTCTGATTCTGTTCAAGCAATTGCTGGAGAACACAAAATGCATACTCTACAATAGCCTTGTGAAACAAATCATAAAAATGGATTAATAATTATATATACAGGACATAAACTAACGTAACATATGACAGCTCTTCTATAACATTTTCAAGCCGCATAATGAGCGATTAAACAGTATCAAATCAGCCCCTGCAATTATTTGACAGACTGAGAAAACACCGCTTTGATTCTCAAATTTTTGCCAATAATAATATTGGTTTTGATGATAATTATAATAATAATATCGATAATAGTAATAAAACTTCAGTAATTTTTTCAAGGTTTTATTTTATTTTAATTTTTTTTGTTGTTTTTTATCTTTTCTTCTTTGAGTGGTATTCCATCTTGATTAATCTTAACCACATACATCCATGCCTCCTTCTCTCTTGAAACACCCACTTAGATGACCTTTGGTGCCAAAGTTGCGATTTTACTAAACTCTTTCTTGACTTCTTTAGCGACAGCTCCACTGATTCTAGTACCAATCACATCCTGGTTGTTCTTGTTAATCAAAACACATGCATTGTCATCGAACTTGATCCATGATCCATCTGGTCTTCTAAAGTTTTGCTTCTGTCTGACAACCACAGCATGAACAATATCCCCTTTCTTAACCCGATTAGCGTTTGTGGCCCCAGTGATGACGGAAGTTAAAGGTCTAGCCTTCTGAACAACAACGACAATCTTATCGCCTAACTGCGCGTGGTTCTTAGGCGACTTCCTGAGTACCTTGATACATTCTGCAAGTTGTGCCCCACTGTTGTCGATGACATTAAGCATAGATTTCAAGTAAATCATTTTGTGTGTCCGTGTATATGTATATTCTTCTATCCTAATATCTCATTCTCTCCCTTTCCATCAAAATTTTTCAAGTGGGTTTTTTTCCAAAGAAAAAAAAAAGGGCTGTCTCTCCACACGTGACAAAAGCTTTTTGCCAATAAAATCAGGAGAATCCCAAAGGACCACCATCACCATTTGTTCAGTTGTTGGGAGTGATCTAAAAAGGATCCAGTTGAAAATGAAATTCCCTAATTTGCGCTCGATATTCTCATCTTTTAGAACAGAAGAAGAGGAGACAAAATACTCCAGAAGAGCCGTAAGTTCTTTTTTTATTGTAGTTTGTTTGTTTGATGTTGTTTTTTTTTGGTGGATGATTATCTATCTAAATAAGCACTGTCGTTAATTCATGTTACTAACCACTGCAATAAACAGTTTTTTAATTTCTTAGGGTTTTTGGGCACTTGTGTTTTGTTTTCGTTCTTCTCGCAAAAGTTATCTATCAAATATGACGGTTGATACGTTGATTCCCAGCAGAATCATCAAACTTACATCCTTCGTACGTCAATGATATTCTCTATATTACGATGATGATGATATTGACATCTGGTTTATCTATTGTTGTGGCCTACTAATGTGCACTTTTAAGGTCTGGTAGTTGCTGGTTATTATGGCTGGTGTATTGGTGTGACCCCAGAGTTGCGACCCAGAAAAATTCCCGTCTCCGCTTGCCCATATCTCATCTCATCTCATCTTATTGATCATTTTTACACAATAATTGCGCTTTCTTCGCATATTCCCTTCTTGTGTTCCCAGATCTAATTGATTAGCTTCTTTTTTTTCTCTTCCAGAACTAGCGCCTGGTGATTTTTATTTTCATCATCCATTATTGTTCTCAGTACTAATTGCATCCTGAGCTGTATTTCTTGATATATGTTTATTATCACTGTGCAATGAGTTGATGTAAAATAACAGGAATAAAAGAAAATCAAAAACAATGTGGTGGACATCTCTTTTTCGACCAACCGAGGAGGATATTTGGTCAAAAACTGAATCTTCTACAGTTTTGTCAAATACATCAATGTCTGAGTCGCCCCTTTCAACTAACCTAGAAAAAGAATATGATCACGAGTACGATTATGAATCTTTACCTGAAGGATCTTCTCTTCTTGCTCAATTAACTGCTGGGGCATTTGCCGGGATATTAGAGCATACCGTGATGTATCCAGTTGACGTTATCAAGACAAGAAATCAGGTTTATCTTGAACAAAAACCTCCTCCTGCTCCCACGGGATCGAATTACTTGAAATCAACCCTAAAACCATCAGGGTCAATAGGAATAATCCCAGCGTCCACCAAAAACCTTCTTTTTCACAAGTCAGGAATCATACCCACTCTCCACAAAATATCTACCACCGAAGGGCCCGCTGCTCTTTGGAGAGGAGTATCCCTGGTACTTGTTGGAGCTGGCCCTGCCCATGCCGTATATTTCACAGTTTTTGAGTATGTCAAAACTACACTAGTATCATATTTTGGAAAAGATGGTTTGCCAGGAAAAAGATCATTTATTGTTACCCATGAAAATCATCCGTTGATCGCGAGTATTGGTGGAATTGCTGCAACGACTGCCAGTGATTTCTTCATGACCCCTTTTGATATTTTAAAACAAAGAATGCAAATTGGAAAATCTTTGGAGATAAGGACTCCTCCAGAGAATTCTCCGATCGCTGTAAAAAGATCACCCCGGACCCCGCTCTTACATACTGTTCGTTCCATCATCAAACATGAGGGCCCATTGACATTTTGGGTGTCATATCCTGCGACATTGTTGTTGAACATTCCCAGTGCTGCATTGAATTTTGGAGTGTATGAGTATGTGTCTCTTATTTTGCGTCCTATTCTTGATCCCATAGTGGCTGGTAAATTCAAATCGGGTGATTCTTCCAAAGGTAACAGTTCAAAGGAGCACAAACATCTATATAATCCACTCCTTCATTGTGTCAGTGGGACTTTTGCCGGAGTTGTATCTTCTGCGCTTACAAACCCGTTGGATGTTGTGAAAACTTTTCTTCAAACACAGTATCTTTCTTCCGATCCAAATATTAGGGCGATTCATCGACGATGGTGGACAGTGGTCAAATTCTTGAGTGAGAAAGAAAATGGTGGATACAGAAATTTTGCTAGAGGACTAAGAGCGAGAATAGTGGTTTGTGCTCCGGGTATTGGTGTCAGCTGGGTAGGTTATGAAATGGCAAAGTGGTTCCTAACTTAAATAGTTCGTGGTTGAGGTTAGAAAGATTCGAAGGACTTAGAAGTCAATTATCAGGCCCCCTTATGGGCAGTGACTTTCGTGATTTTATAACTGGATCTTTTTTTTTTCTGGCAGTATTGCATATTGTAGTTTTGAATTTTCTGCTATCTTCCCCTCAAGTGTGTCACTTAGATATCATTAATGATGAGGTTACATCAACCAAAAAGAATATATTTGAAATTATTCTTTAGCTAGTGCTATTCCCTTTTGCTGAACTTCTAATCCAAAATTTGTAAAAAAAATGGTGAAGACTTTGTATAATTTTTTTTTTCTAGGAAGTAAAATTTACAGCGTAATTTTGCGTCATACAAGCAATAGTATGTTTCTGAAATTCAAGTAAATAGAAAATGCTAGCACAAATTGTTCTATAGAACTTTGAGTTTGGAGGGAGGTGATTCCTTGCTGATGATCAGGAGTTTTCAGAGAACTAAATCAAAATAAAGAAATGAAAGAAAATAAAAGAGAATGAATATCATATCTCAAGTTGAATATTCTGTTTTACACTATATTGTGCCCAGGTGAACTTCCCCCCAAAAACCGCACCTTTTGATGTTGCCCAGAAATATTTTATGTGTGGCTCTTGGAATGCGGTGTAATGGAGAAAAAAAATCTCCTCAACCACACCATAACGAAGAGAGTTTTATTTTTTATCATTTCATTTTATACTCTTAGTAATTATAACTTAAATTTTGTTAGCTTTTTACCAAGCTAATTTTGGTAGCTAAAGCATCAATGATAGAAAAGAATAGCTACAATGTTTGATCGGACGCCATTCATGATCACTTGGCTAGTCCGTGCATAACACCGACAACCCGGAATATCGTACTTGGAAATAGCACTTAGAGGCCCACTCCTATTTCTAGGCTAGAAACTTGAATATTCCAAGAGTTTTATGTGCCCTCCGAAGGCTTTGACCAAGGAGGCTCAATTCAATGAAGATATCTGAGTGATGAGATATATAAAAAAGTCGATGTTGGGTATTTTGAATGTATAGTTCTATTCTTAATAATTTTTTATTATCACTCATCTTCTCTTTTTTCAATTCTCACTTCTCCTTTTTATTTACTTCCTATAATATGAAATTCTCTTCTTCTGTTCTTCTTTCAGTACTTGCCACTCTTTCCTCCAGTGCCTTAGCTGCCCCAACTAAACAGGTTCCTCTTAAGATTGATTTCAGTGTTGAACGTTCTTCTAAGGCCCCAAAATCTGGAATTCTTGCCAGAGTTGCAGCATCTGGCGTTGCTCTTGAGCTTGAAAACCAATATTCGATGTATATTGCTGAAATCGAACTCGGTACTCCAGTACAAAAGGTCAGAGTTGATGTCGATACTGGCTCTTCCGACCTTTGGGTTCCAGGTGCCGGCACCTCCAGTTCTTATGGTACTTACGATAACAGCAAGTCTTCCACTTACTCTAAAGTCAAGGATGGTTTTTCTATTTCTTATGGTGATGGCTCCAATGCCAAGGGTAACTGGGCCAATGAAACTATGACTTTAGGTGGTGTTACTGTCACCGATTTCATGTTTGGTGATGCTACCACACAAACAGCCGGTGAAGGTGTTTTCGGTATTGGTATGATTGGAAATGAAGCCTCTGCTTGGGGATCTTCTGGGTTCACCTATGATAACTTCCCAGTGCAATTGAAAAACCAAGGGTTTATCAACAATATCGGCTACTCTTTATACTTGAACTCCCTTAGTGCTGACTCTGGTTCCGTTTTATTCGGTGCCATTGACAAAGCTAAATACTCCGGAGATTTGAAGACTTTGAAATTAGTTTCTATCGATGATTCTGGCTCCAAAGTAGATTCTCCAGTCGCCTTCTTTGTTGAATTAGACAGCATCACCGCTGGTGGCAAACCGCTTGCTAGTAAATCTTATCCAGCTTTGTTGGACTCTGGTACTACCTTGATCTATGCGCCATCAGCCATTGCTGAAGCCATTGGTTCCAAGTACGGTGAATACAGTCAAAGTTACGGTGGTTACGCTACCAGCTGTTCTACTAAGGGTGATGACTTTAGCTTCACCTTCGAAGACAAAACCATCACCGTTCCTTGGGAAGACTTGTTGTTCAAGGTTGATGACTCTGGCAAAGAATGTTTAGTTGGTGTTCTCTCCTCTGGTTCTGAATATTACATTTTGGGGGATGGTTTCTTGAGATCTTCTTACATTTATTATGATTTAGAAAACAACGAAGTTCAAATCGGTCAAGCTAAATATACTGAGGACTCAGATATTCAATTAGTTTAAGTCATTTTCCAAGTGATATTAACTTTCGCTAATTTTCTTGAGGATATATGTCCTCTTTTTATTTTCAGTTCTTTTATTTTCAGTTCTTTTATTTTCAGTTCTTTTATTTTTACTGATATTTTCCTTGATGATCTTTTAATTCTTCCATTCAACATTATTCTACCAATTAGTTTTCAAATAAACACTATATCTCTTCGAATACCAAAAAAGAAAAATTGTATGTAAACCCATCCTCCATAACCATTTATATCTTTTAAATTATTCTTTTATGGACAAACACCGCCTTCCTGACCCTAATAATTCTAGAGAATCACAATTTATAATCCATGTTCGTCAAAATCCGTCCCAAACATCATCCGCACCCGTGACGGCACCCGCCTGATGCTTTTTTTTCTTCCTTATCTCTCATATCTCTAAAACCTTTTTTTGACATTTAAATTGAACCATCGCTGGCAATTTTAGGCACATACTAAAAGATAAACACACTCCACAGCTTTTTTTTGTTCTGTTTGCTTTTCCTTCTGCTAAGTGCTGCTTTATACTCGTCTCATTTATGCTCATCCAGAAAGATAGTAACTCGCTGGAGAACACGGATCTCTTAGTCCGCACAACGACCAATAATAATAATAGCTATATGACTGGTGACCTCGAATCTGGGAGACGAATGTCTGCCACTTCTTCAGGCTCGTCTACATTTTATGGAAAACACTCTGGCTCCACCAACCCTACCAGAAACAAGGTTGTTTATAATCGCACTATTTGGGGCAAAAAATACCAATTAACCCTCCATCAACTTCAATATCTCACCTTCGTGCTCATTGGAGTTGCTCTCCTTTGGCCTTGGAATTGTTTCCTTTCGGCCAGTGAATACTATACCACAAGATTCACGAAGACCAATGGTGAAAGCTATGCAAGAATATACTCTTCAACGATGATGTCTGTATCTACAATTGCTCAGCTTGCCTTTAATTACTATCTTTCTGAGCGTCAGAATGGCGCCAACTACTATAAGAGATTTATCAGTGGTCAAGTCGTTAATAGTTTGATTTTTTTGATCATGGCAGGCTCCTGTGTTGCTTTCTTGGGTATTAAACCAGGTCCATTTTTTGCGTTATTGATGGTAATGATCTTGGGAAGTTCTCTCTGTTGTTGCAGCTCTCAGAATGGTTCCATGGCTATTGTTAACATTTATGGACCATTGTATGCCCAAGGATTGATGGTGGGTCAAGCAATTGCCGGGGTTTTGCCGCTGATTTCTCTCATTGCTTCAATAATAATTGTTGGTGAAAAACCACAAGTTGAACATGTGGAAAAAAATTATGGGGTTATGACATATTATTTGACTAGTACAGTAGTTTCATGTTTATCTTTGGTTGGGTTTTTAGCCTTCATCTACAAGTACGCATTTGAGGGCCCAAGTATAGAGGATCACGATGATCACCATCATTACGTTCAATTGGTTGATGAATCAGGAGATGTAGACAATCAATTAATCGAGGAAAACGAAGAAGAGTTTTTAGCAAGAGATGAAGAAGGTCATCATAATAACTCGCAGCATGTTCCATTTAGCTATCTTTTCTCCAAACTTAATTCTATTGTGATTACCTTGGTACTTGTGTTTGTGGTATCTTTAATTTTCCCAGTATTTGCGTCCAATATTGAATCAGTGAATAAGCCAGCAGGTGAAGATATCAGCAATGGCATTCATTTCAGTAATTCAAATATTTTCATTCCATTGGCCTTTATGGTTTGGAATATTGGAGATTTGGTTGGTCGTGTGGTTTGCGGGTATGAGTTTTTCCAAATTCACAATGAGAAGGCCATGTTGATATATTCTATTGCCAGAAGTTTATTCATTCCATTTCTCTTTATGTGTAACCTTAATGACAGTGCCTCGTCATCTAATAATCACGGTTCACCTCTCTTGAATTCGGATGTGGTTTACTTGTTCATTCAATTTATGTACGGTGCTACAAATGGGCATTTATGCTCCAATTGCTTTATGAATGTTGGTCCTAAGTTCACTAAAGATCAAGAAAAAAAGGCTGCTGGTGGTTTCACTACCGTATTTTTAAGTATTGGATTGGCAGTGGGTAGCGTTTGTAGCTACATTTTTGTTGCATTAATTGGATAAGTAATAACTAAGTCCAAAAAAAAAAATAGAAAAGAAAGGCTTCCGTTGCTTTTCAATACCATTCAGGGTAGGCTAGCGCGTATTTCAATTGGAAAAAATTTGAGGAACTTTTATATTTGGAGAAGAGGGGAGCAAAAAGAATTTCTCAACAAAAGCTTGTCATTTTAGCTATTATTGATTTTTTATATTTTATTTCATTTTTTCCTTAGCTGCATTCAATCATGATTATGTTTTGTTTTTGTGTTTCAGATTATTATTATTTTTTAGCAAACTTTTCAATTTGTGGCTCTACGTTATTGTGGGGGTTCCGAGGATTACTTCATTTTTCATCTTTTATAGATCAGATAAAGTTACAAGAACAAATGATTATTTTCTCATTCTAGAACAATTTTTTTTTTTGTGAATTCTGGAGACGTTTTGGCGGTTTTCCATCTGATTCCCATGTAAAGAAAATAGAACTTTTCTGATGAAGTGGACATATTTTTGACAATGTATCTTTTCAGATTTCAGATCTTAATAGACTTATTACAAAACAAAACAAAATATTCTGAAAAATTTTGGATTTAAACTTCAGGAGAGATATATTGCATAGACATTGTCTGTTGAAGGAAACAGAATTGAAGAAAAATTTATTCTAAAAAAGGTAAAAAGAAATAAAAATGAATGGTAAAAAAAAAAATCTAAATTATCAAATCTAAATTATCAAATCAAAAACAAGCAAGAACTGAAGACTACTGAAAAAGCCAACAAAAATCCGCTAAACCCCTTAGCTGGAGCAGATCCAACGAGATCGGCGATAGAGGCATTAGAAGAATTGGAGCTGGCAGATTGAATAGCGTAACTAGATGAGGAATATTCTAAAGTAGAAGCAGTGGCATCTAGAGTTGATGCATGGCTGGTAGTGGATGTGTGCTTCGTGGTAGATGTGGTGGCATCTGTAGTTGCTTCTGATGACTTGACAGTAGAAGCAGTGACAGCTAAAGTCGCTTTTGAAGAACTAGTAACGGTAGTATCTGATTTTGTAGTAGCAGAAGTGCTATGTGATGTACTGGTTGAAGCAGATTTGGTGGAACTGGTGGTGATCGCGCTAATTGTAGTACCATAAGCATCAAGGGTAGATTTGGAACTTTGTGTAGTACTAGTACTAGAAGCAGAAACACTGTGGGAGGTGGTACTAAAAGTGGTAGAAGAACCAGAAGTTTTCAGAGCACTAGAAGTAGTACTAGAAGTAGACTTTTCTTCAGCAGTCAATGGGCAATAAGTAGTGTACAGAGTAACCACATCATCAACTGTCTTGGTGATAACGGCAACACCGGTAGTAATGGTTGAGCCGCTGGAAGTGATCACAGTGGTAGCACTTGCCTTAACAGTGGAAGAAGTGGTAGAGGAGCTGGAAGAGCTGGAAGAGGTAGTACCAGAAGACTTTTCTTCAGCAGTCAATGGGCAATAAGTAGTGTACAGAGTAACCACATCATCAACTGTCTTGGTGATAACGGCAACACCGGTAGTAATGGTTGAGCCGCTGGAAGTGATCACAGTGGTAGCACTTGCCTTAACAGTGGAAGAAGTGGTAGAGGAGCTGGAAGAGCTGGAAGAGGTAGTACCAGAAGACTTTTCTTCAGCAGTCAATGGGCAATAAGTAGTGTACAGAGTAACCACATCATCAACTGTCTTGGTGATAACGGCAACACCGGTAGTAATGGTTGAGCCGCTGGAAGTGATCACAGTGGTAGCACTTGCCTTAACAGTGGAAGAAGTGGTAGAGGAGCTGGAAGAGCTGGAAGAGGTAGTACCAGAAGACTTTTCTTCAGCAGTCAATGGGCAATAAGTAGTGTACAGAGTAACCACATTATCAACAGTTTTGGTAACAACAGCAACACCGGTAGTAATGGTTGAGCCGCTGGAAGTGATCACAGTGGTAGCACTTGCCTTAACAGTGGAAGAAGTGGTAGAGGAGCTGGAAGAGCTGGAAGAGCTGGAAGAGGTAGTACTAGAAGACTTTTCTTCAGCAGTCAATGGGCAATAAGTAGTGTACAGAGTAATCACATTATCAACAGTTTTGGTAACAACAGCAACACCGGTAGTAATGGTTGATCCACTAGAAGTGATTACGGTGGTAGAGCTTGCCTTAATAGTGGAAGAAGTAGTGGAACTTGATTTTGCTGTGGAAGAAGCTTTCGTGGTACTGGTACTGGAAGTAGCACTGGAAGTAGATTTTTCTTCAGCAGTCAATGGGCAATAAGTAGTGTACAGAGTCACCACATCATCAACTGTCTTGGTGATAACGGCAACACCGGTAGTAATGGTTGATCCACTAGAAGTGATTACGGTGGTAGAGCTTGCCTTAATAGTGGAAGAAGTAGTGGAACTTGATTTTGCAGTGGAAGAAGTAGCGGAACTTTTCTTGACAGTCGAAGAAGTGGTAGAACTTGTCTTGGCGGTGGAAGAAGTTTTCGTGGTACTGTGAGAGGTGGTACTGGAAGTAGCACTGGAAGATTTCGATTTTTCTTCGGCAGTCAAAGGGCAATAAGTAGTGTACTCAGTAATCACATTGTCAACTGTTTTGGTAAAAACGCCGACACCTGTTGTAATAGTTGAGCCACTAGAAGTAATGACAGTGGTGGAACTTGCTTTGGCAGTGGAAGAAGCCGTGGAGGTGGCTTTAGATGATGAAGTCGTTGAGGTGGCTTTAGATGATGAAGTCGTTGAGGTGGCTTTAGATGATGAAGTTGTGGAAGTTTTACTGTAAGGGTTTGTGGTCAAAGTTTGAAGACCAAGAGAGTTTGTAGAAACTGAGATAAAAGAAACAGCAGAGTTATTTTCAACCTCAATTTCATCGGCATCATAATCACTCTTCGAAGTCATTTCCTTTAAATAGGCAGTCACGTCACTACCGGTTGAGGATCCAGATATATCCTCAACTCTGAAATTTAATGTAGATGGTACATTATACGGATACAAAGCAGCAAAAGTTGTATTCTTCTTATCATAAGCAAGGGAACCAATAACTTTTCCATCGAACAAATATTTCACAGAAACATCGTCCCATTCGATGGTATATTCATGGAAGCTCTCCGATAACGTCACACCAGTGTCATAACGGGCAATTTCATAAGTGGAAAAAAACGCAAGTACCTCGGTTGGACTATAACCAGAAACCTCGATTCCTAAAACTGTATGAGCAGAAGACACTTTGAAAGAAGTCAAACTGTAGCCCGCAGCTGGTTGGTAAAAGGCAGAATGACTCCCGTATAAGACATCGAATTTTGAAGTAATGGTAGAACTTGACCCTGAAGTGTTTTTCATGGTTAAGGCAGTACCGTTCTTTACACGTACTGGGGCATCGCCGCCGCCAGTTGAAGCATGACTGAACCTTGAGTCGAATTGGTTTTCCGAGGCATCACTTGAGAAATCAAGATAAATGGTGTCATTTGTTCCAACACTAGCCACGGTGGATGAAGAGACCGATGAAATGCAGAGTGCGAGTATTAAAGATAATAGCGAATGAATCATCTCTGGATGCTTTAATATTTTCTCAACCAAGGATATACAGAGAAAAGAAAAGAGAAATAATATTCACTTCATTGCAAATTGTAGATATTATCGAACATTATATATATTTCCCGGATATTAGTAGAGTTTCTCATTACCACAAAATTGCTGCGCAGTCTGAAACCTTTAATGCGCATGATATTGAAAATGCTGTCGCAGATTTTTTTTTGGGAGCGGCGAATAGTAACTTATATAGTATGGGACTTATCTATTTATAAACAGCAGGAAAAGCCTGATAGTGTCACTGGAAAAGCAATAAGCTGATAGTGGGTAAGCCATCTAAATGATCTTTATTCTTATTGTCTGTGAATGCCTCCTTTTGTTTCGCTAAGCAAATAGGAACCATGTAAGCCGAGTTTTTTTTTTTGCACTTATGTTTTATTTTATATGAAAGAAGGATGAGTGGATACACGTCAAGTTTTGGGTTAATAAATTCAACCCGGGTTGGTCTCTGTCTATTTTTGGTTTATTTAACCCCATACATACATATCTCTTTTATGTAACTCTAGAATATAATAGATCTCATTTTGAAGCAAAGCTCCTTCGAGATGTTGAAGCATACAAAGTGTAAACGAAGGTTAGTATTAAAATATCATGGCATTATTGTAAATTGAGCGTTACGATTATGATCATGAAAAGAAAGAAACTGAAACCCAATAAAGAGAAATTACCATATAATTTTTTTTAACAGTTTCTTCTTTCTTCGTTTGAAAATTACCAAATAATGTAGTAGTATTGTGTTCTTCCTTATAGAGAAATAGTACATTCGAAATTGTCAATTGTTTCCTATTTGAAATTTGATAGGGTATAATTAAAGAACGTATATCTAGAATATCATTTTAGAATATCATTTTAGAATATCATTCTAGAATAACACTAAAAATGGCTTTCATGACATTTTATTGAAAGTGATTAAATTATTTAACTCATAAATATCAAAAATGATCATGCCAGAACACTCCAGTAATCCAATGGAGAGGAAAACAGGTGAAAGAACTTCATCATGCAATGGCACATTCATGCCACTGAATAAAAACGCGAGGTGCTTGGAAATCTACAGTAAGATAATATGAGGATACTGGAAATTAAATTCCCTTTCCTGTTTTTATTTGACCAATTTTCGTACAACGGTTTTAACAGAATAAGGCACGATATGTCGCGTCAGGATAATGTACTGGCAACTTGCGAGGCAGATAAGATATGTCAACTCAAAATAATCCACTGAATAAAAATATTTTAGAATCTTTTCTATTCCTTATTTTCTGGTTTTCCATATGGAAATGGAAATAGAACTAAGATTTATGGATCATATTCCCATCGAAAAATAATTGAACCCTGGAATTAGTTTTGAGGTTGTCGCAGCTATTTCTGTACCAAATTTGGGGTGTTTCAGCAGCGGGATAGTGTGCATAAGTCAAATACATCTATATGGATAAATAAATTTGGGGGATATCATGACATATTTTATCAATATATATATATATATATACATTTCCTCTCCGCTAAGTAATTCATGAAATCCAAGCAATCATTAAATGATGATCTTTCAACAGTGTCTTAGTGCCTTATTGGCCTTCTCCATAGCTTCCGCTTATTTGGACTTTGGCGTTGGAACAACAGATTTATTGTACTTCGAGCTCAGCAAATCCACATCTCCTTTCAGCTCCTTGTTCACTTCCAACTCAAGCATCTCTCCGGTGCTTCAAGAAGCAGATGTTCAACTATCAATCAATGATGTTGGATCTTCAAGTTCTGCAAGCATCACCTCCAAGTTCAATATTCTTTATGGCGAGGCAACCGCAATCTTTCAAGCAGCAAAAGGTGACACCTCAACAAGCTTCCTGATTAAGGGATCTAATACAGAAATGACCATCGAAGTTCTGGGTAATGACCCAAAAAAAGTGGTAGCTATTTTAGGTGGAAAGACCTTAGCCTCTTATAATACCAACGTCGACATGACTGAAGACTTCCATGAATACACCATTGATTTCACCCCAACTGAAATGTACTTTGCTGTTGACGATACTATCATTACCAGTGTATCTTCCGGTGAATCCAACTATCCTAATTATGATCCCGCAAGTTTAAATTTTGTCATCATTGACCAATCGGGATCAGCGACAGATGATCAAGTTAGTGGATACCTTAGGGAATTTAAAGTGATTGATAGTAGCGGAGGTTACTGTTTTACTGGTGATAAGGGCAAGCCAGCTAGTATTGGTACTAATACTCTTTGCAGCTACGGATCTACCACCAGCACCAATACCTTGAAGTTGAACACTTACACTGCTTCAGCTACTATGTCGCCTTCTAGCACGAAATCAACAACGATCAAAGTATCTACTACCACCAGCCATAGCTCTACAAGCTCCAGTACCAAAAAGACTATTTCCACCTCAGCGTCTCACTCAATGTCTCACTCCAATAAAACATCCACAACTTCTCAATCCCATACCATAACCACGGATTCTCAAACTAATGGCACAACCTCCACTTCATTGACTAAATCAACTATTACGTCAACGTCCGGTTATGAAAATTCGACTAGAACTAGTTTGAAAAATTCAACCATTATTTCTGGAACCACTTATGGAAATACATCGATTTCAAAAACTTCTGCAAAACTGACCAGCACAGATTATGTTGAGGATGATTCTACAATTATTAGAACAGTCACATCATGTGAACATGAAACTTGCTCGAAAGCAGAAGTTACTACTGTTCTATCAGACTATGTTGCTTTAAGTACCTTATCCGTTCATTCCACCACTCACGTTAAAGTCACAGTGACTTCATACAATTCATATCCAGTCACCGTTGTCGTCACAAAGACTTCAAGCACAGAATCTCAAGACACGTCCTCAAGCCAATCAGCAGAAGAGAGTTCCAAAACCTTGGAGGCAACAGATTCCACTATACTGGGTTCACTGACTGTGTCTCTATCTGTTGCTTCAGTAATTACCAAAGAAAGTTCCCATACCTCAACCACTGATTCTACTGCGAGGGTCTCTCTGGGTCATACTACCAAATCAGAAACTGATACGAAACACTCATTGGCAGCTACGGAGTCTATCTCAGCTTCTTCAAGTAGTTCTTCAGCGCATATCAATGATACCTCTATTTATATTGGTGCTGGGATGGCCCCTAAATATATTGGCAGTACTTTTACCATGGTGATCACATTTATTATTTCTTTCTTTTATATGATTTAGAAAATTTTAGAAATTCCCATGGTGTTATATTTGATATCCTTTTTTTTTTTTTTTGTTCTTGCTTTTATTCACTCCTTTATTTAGATTGTTTATAGAAAATAATATAATATATTTTTTGAATCTCGATTCTTTTATCCAAATATGGGTATAACACCCCCAACGCGTATTCTTTTTATAAAAAAAATAATATTTCACGCGTCATTACAGTGAAGCAAAAGAAAAAAAGAGGAATTTGATTTCTTTTACTTTCCCATATTTTACGAATCTGCCTAGTATATATTCAGGTGTGGAATAAAATCAAAGTATCATTGTTTTTCGCAAAAGTTTGATATTGATTGTCTCAGCTATCAGACCAACGTTGAGAATTTCGGGAATAACATCATCATGGGTATCAAAGGTCTCAATAGATTAATAGCAGACAATGTTCCATCAGCTATCAAGTCTGCCGAAATGAAAACATTTTTTGGCCGTAAAGTTGCAATTGATGCCTCTATGTGTCTTTATCAATATTTGATTGCTGTTCGTCAATCTGATGGGTCGCAATTGACGAACGAAGAAGGTCAAACCACTTCTCACTTATCAGGGTTCTTCTATCGTACAATCAGAATGGTCGAAAATGGATTGAAACCTATGTATGTTTTTGATGGTAAACCACCAGAATTGAAAGCCCACGAGTTGACTAAACGTACTGAACGTAAAAAGGCTGCTGAAGCAGAAATCGAAAAGATAAAAGAAACCGCTAGTGCTGAAGAGCTTTCGAAATTTCAAAGACGTACTGTCCGTGCTACGAGAGAGCAGAATGAGGAGGTGAAAGAATTGCTTAAACTAATGGGTATACCATATGTGGAGGCCCCATGTGAAGCCGAAGCTCAATGCGCAGAGTTGGCCAGTGCTGGGAAAGTGTATGCTGCCGCTTCTGAAGATATGGATACCTTATGTTATGGTCCACCATATCTACTTAGACATTTGACTTACGCAGAATCGAGAAAAATTCCTATAGATGAAGTTGCCGCTGGTACCGTTGTGGAAGGATTGGAGTTGACAAGGGAAAGTTTTATCGACTTGTGTATTCTATTAGGTTGTGATTATTGTGAAACTATCAAGGGAATTGGCCCAGTAAATGCTTTGAAATTGATTAAAGAGCATGGATCTATTGAGAAAATTCTACAAGTGATGGAGGAAAACCCAACCAAATATGCGAAAAACGTGGTTCCTGAAGGTTGGCTATACAAAGAGGCAAGACAATTATTTTTGAAGCCAGAAGTCATAGATGGCAGCACCATTGATTTGAAATGGAACCAGCCAGATCTAGAAGGACTAATAAAATTCATGTGCGAAAAGAATGGATTTAGTGAAGAGAGAATCAAGAATGGGGCAGCAAAGCTATCTAAGGGAGCGAAGAGCGGAGTTCAAGGAAGACTTGACAGTTTTTTTAAAGTTAAAGCTGGTTCGGCTACCAAAAGCCCCGCTGTGAAAAAGGCCGCAGCAAGTCTGAAGGTTACCAAGACGAAGGTAAAAACCAGCTTCAGAAAAGGTAAACGATAAACTATACAGTGTTTTCATTTTTTATTCGTACCAACCACCGGAAATGTTCATACCAGTGGCAAAAAATAATTCATACCGACCCCCGGTATTTTTCGTACCACCGCAGCGGGATTTATTCAGACCATCTAAGAAAAATAGTTCATACTATTGCACTTCAATTATTCATACCAACAGAATATAAAATTCATACTAAATGCATAAAATTCTTATGCTTTAATTAATATTTTATCTTTGATATTATTAAACATGTTATAGGGGACCCGCAAACCCAATAAAGCCCCTTTGCAATACTCATTTACCATTTCAAAGGCTCATAACCAAATTTTGGAGTGGTTCGTCCTTCCTTAAAATTTTAAATTTTCATCAATTTGTTTTTGAGCTTTGTTGTGTCTTTATGTAATTTTTTTTATAGTTTTTACTTTTTTTTTTCGTTTGTTTTCTGTATTTTGTTTTCTAATTTTTTTTTTCTTCATCTTTGGTATTTGTTTTCAAAAGAGCTGCTGTTGTAAACAGAGATCAATATGTCTAGAAGCATGTCTGCAGAATCCCTTGTAACTATCAAGGGAAATATTTTCTGTGGCTTCTTTCACCCTTGGAGTTAATTGCTCCTTCTTGCTCAAGTTTGATCTTTTGACTTTACTCTTACATACTGACCAGAATTCTTCTATAGCATTCAACCCTGGAGAATAAGGAGGTAAAAACACAAGTTCCAAGCCACTCAGTGCCACTAGTAACTGAAGATCACGTCGTTTATGAACGGCAGCATTATCAAGGATCAAATATTTCATACCTTTGAGCTCCTCGTTATTTTCTATTTGCTGGATCACTGACTTTACAAAACTGTAGAAGTGATTAGCTGTAGTACCTTTACTCACTTTGTCAATGGTCGTTTCTGAATCAAGTTTTCTCTTCTTATTGGATGTAGCCACTGGAGTTCTGACCTTTAATTCAATACAACCTTTGACAGAAATTGCCCCAATGAACGAAATATTAAGCCCTCTGGTTACGGGAACAGTAAGAACTGCTTTTTCACCTACAGCAGACCATCCATACTCACGCCGCATACTGATATTGAAACCTGCTTCGTCGATGAAAATACAGTTTTGACTAAAGTTGAGCTTGTCTTTATACTTCTCTGCCCACTCGAGTCTCTGTTTCTTCAATTCCTCCAGACTTCTTCTCAAAGCCCATTTAGAAATACGTTTGAGACTTAGCTTACAGACCTTGGTTACAAAGTTATAGATTGTTGTAGCCTTGGCTCTCACATTGGTGAAGGCTTTCTTGAGTCTCTCCAACATAAAATCGAGAGTCACTGTAGCATCCTCCTTTATCAATTTTTGAAGGAATTCCTTATGCTCACCAGTAAGAAGGGGCTTACGACCTCTTTTCTTTGTTGGCTCCGAGATACCATTTAATTCATTAACAAGTATTTTGTTCCAATTTCTTTTCCATGTGTAAGCAGTTTGCAAAGGTATATCTTCTAATTTTGCAGCCTTGTAAGCTGACACGCCTTCTTCCATGACCAATTGCCAAAATCTTTGTTTGACAGCTTGATTATAATACCGGTACGAACCTCTATATCTTCGTTCTTTCATTTCAATTTCCATCTCGGCATTTTCTTCTTCTTCGAAAATAGGATCAATTTCCATGATATCCAAGATACCTGGTTTTTCAAAATGCTTATAGTCACTGTAACTAAAGCAAGCTTCAACTGGTGCTATTTCAGACTCTAAAGTCATTTCACTGGGTTCAGCATAGAATCTATTACCTAGGCCATCAACATACCCATCAGTTAGTAGCTTGGCTTTCAAGTCCATACTTAGTTTTGATAGTAAAAGCTTATGCTTTTTTTTTGTAAGTAATCTGGTGATCATATAAAGACCGAATTGAATGTCAAAAGTGGGAATTCATCATCTTAAATGGAGAACAGCTCCTACCATACATTCGTTCCCATTTCTTGAAAACCGTAATCACGTGATATTATTGATATTATTATAGATATCCGGTTTTAAAGAAAGTAGCACAGAATTATGGAAAAAATGAGTATAATTTGATTAAACTGAGTAGCTTAGAGGCTTATAGAGCCAGTCACTTAAAAAAAGAAAGGAATTAATATGAATTTTAGATACTGTTGGTATGAATAATTAAAGTGCAATAGTATGAACTATTTTTCTTAGATGGTCTGAATAAATCCCGCTGCGGTGGTACGAAAAATACCGGGGGTCGGTATGAATTATTTTTTGCCACTGGTATGAACATTTCCGGTGGGTGGTACGAATAAAAAATGAAAACACTGTATGTTATCAATTTAGTTCTTTATGTATATTAGCTATTTTTCCTTATTTTAAAATTTCTTGATTGATTCGATTCTATGGCGTAGTTTCTCGTACCAGAGACCTTACGATTTCCTGTTGTCTTCATTATCACTGCTGTCATCTATATTCGAAACTATATAGATTAAAAAAGCACTATTGAAAAGTGATTTCTGGGTGATAGTAGACTGGACAATTCCAATATGACCTTTTGACGGTATCCCATACCCCAGCCTCTTGTTTTTCAACATTCATTTTTTTATCTTCCTTATCCGCATCAACATCAATAGATTCATATTTCACGTCTAGCCCATAATCAGCCAAATCTAAAGTGACAATACGGCAATAGACATCATAAACAATTTGACGATCCGCACCTAATCCATTGAAGAATGAAATGATTCCATGTGGTTTGAGCAAGCCAATCAAAAGATCAAAAAGTTGTGGGTACATGTCCGGATGATAGTGTTCACTGAAAGTATCGTAGTAGGCACCGTTGAAGAAAACGTCGCCTCCATCAAGAAGTTCACTCAATTGATCTTGCCATTTTCCAGCAAGAATCTTCACAGTTGGCTTATCATACCAGCCATCGGTTTCAATCTTTGCAAGAACATCTGGATGAGCCTCACAAATATAATGATTAATCTTGAGGTGTGGGTGTGTTTTAAGTAATGAAGCAATACGTTCTTGGATAAATGTATCAATGATCCCCATCCCAAACCCAATATTAAGGAGGTTTATTTCTTCATCAGAATCGGCAGAAAGCTCTTCTAGCGATATACCTTTGAAAAGGGTATCACATCCAACTTTCATAAGCTTAGTTTCCCAATTCATCATTACACCATCTTTGTTATCTGCGGTTATGAGAGCGTTATCGTTATATTCGAGCTTTGTATTAAGGTAGGTTGCTCTATCATCCACAGGGTCATTAGTGTGTTCAGCTGCTTCTTGACTTGATTGTTGGTCTTCTTCTTCTTCTTCTTCTTCTTCTTCTTCTTCTTCTTCAGGAATAGCCTCTTCAACCAAATCTGGGATCTCTTCATCATCATCGTCTTCATCTTCGTCCCCGCCCATAAGGAAATCCAATCCATTATCTTGTAGTTTTCTAAATAATAATTCACTTCTAACACCTGCTTCCACAATTTGGTCATATATTTGTAGATTAGTCAAAGCACGATCTACTAGTATACAACCAGGGGTCTTATCATTATGATCAACCAAGTTCCAAGCCAATCCTGACAATAACAAACTTTCAACCATTGAGCTCACCACCTGGAGTTCCTCCGCAGTGCTAGTTGAAGGTAAATTGTAACAAAGCAAATGAAGGAGTGTTGTATTCGCATCTAATTGAGCCGAACTGAATGAGTATTGTTTAGTAAATGGATCAATATCGATAGATTCTCTAGATAAAGAATCAAGTAAAAATTTCAATTTTTCTACAGGAATCACAGGAAGTTCCTCACTAGCAGTTGAAAACTTCTCATCAAGAAGGTCCTCAAGTGTAAAAGAAGGATCAATACCTTTCTGATTTAATAAAGCTTCAAGCTTTTCCGAATAATTAGCTGAATCTATTGGACGGATCGTAAAACGGCAGAGCTTCTGCAACTCTTCACCCACATTATCGACACTCATTGTGTTTGCTCTATTTTTTTTTTTTTTTTTTTTTTTTTACCCTGTATCACTACTACTAGAAATATCAGAGAATACAATAATACTGATACGTAACGCTTATTTAACGGCTGGTGACAGTTCGATGATGATCAATATTTGTTAGTGGAAGCTCATCACAATTTTTTTTGAAAGGGTAACCCGGATCATCATCATCGTCTGATTGTTTGTATGATATGCGGGTAATGGATAGTTTATAATTATTATGACATTTATTTAATAACTATAGCAATGTTGTCATAGGGTAGGTACCATAATTTCATTGGATACCATATACAATTGCTTTGTGAATGCTATTACTACCAAATATTTGCAAAAAGTTATTACCATCCAGATATTGTGCTCATGGACCAACGATAACAAAATACCACAAATTCTAAACCTGCGTGACACTGGAGCGGAAGCAAGGGATAGCGACGGTTTTGTACCGTTCAGAGTGTTTGTAGGACCATGCGATGTGGAACTGTGGCATAATTGGCTGATCCCGCTGGCCAGTGGCCTTGCTAGCGGCATGCCGTTGTTAGTGTGTGTCGCTGATTACCACACTTGGTTCGTGCATGTTAAGTACTGCCTCTTGGGTGTGGTTAGCGGCGCTGATCAGACAGTACCGGGTAATCTCTTAGATCTGCAGTCGGTGCCGTTTGGGCGAAATATACTTATAATTCCCAATTTGCCCAAAAAAAAAAGTCAAATCGTCGTACGGTACCTATGCCAGAGTATTGCTGTTGAATTCCAGCTAGCCCACCCATAACACAACGGACTACCATATGTATTACATCCAAGAATAATAACAAAAAAAAAAAACATCAATACTTAACCTTTACTCACATTCCGAGATCTCATATTATCCTATCAAAGAAGAGTTTAATCAAAGGGGTATATAATCAAGCTAATTAATCATGTCTACAGGAATTAAACCCACAAAACTTTCGACAGTAAATAATTCTGTCAGCTTTACAGATATAATCAAAGGCACTTTTGTGGTTGCTGTGTTTTACAGATTATTGAACTTTATCAAAAATATCAATCTTTATAGCGTATTCGCTTACAACGGAAAAATCGCAGAAGCTCCAAAGCCAAAAAAGAAACTCTCGAAGAAGAAAACCTCTAAACAAAATCAACAAAAGGCCTTGTTTCCAACTGCTATCAATGTTGACCAATCCTTAAAAGACTGCTCTTCCGTCACTCCTTGTTCAACTTCATTTGGTGCTTCTTTTGTTGCTGTGAAGTCCGAAGAAGGGGAAATTAATTGGAACTTGGCTGATGCTGACGAGACTCCAAATTCCCAGAATGGAGATTTCTTCAAGAAAGAAGACAAGGAAGGTAATGTCATGGAGTTGCCTGACTTCATGAACAATTCTGCTACCTGCTCTACTGCTTCTGATGCTTCTCCTATGTCGCATTATAATGAAAATGGAAGCACAGACAAACTCCAGACCATCCCAACTTATCATTTTCAAAATATCGGCAAAGATGCTAATGATAACAACCAATATAGAAATTCTTTAATCAGCTCCGATAATGATTCTTTGAACGAAATTGATTTAGATCAATTGGCCAGCTTTGCTAATTTTGGTGATTTTGGTATGAAACAAGAAAACGCTATTGCTGCTATGCCACAGCAATCTGATAACACTGCTCCTCAAGATTCCAATTTGAAGACCCCAACTTTGAACCTGCATCCTGAACAATCATCAGTCCCTGAAATTGCTACCCCTGAATTGAAACAACAATCCAAATCCGAATCAAACACCCCAAACAAGTTGGGTACCCCTCACTCCAGTGTATCTTCTTCTCCAGACATTGATGGTGTGGATTATACATTCTCTAAATCTATTTTAAGTGGTGTTGATGCATCTACCAAATTGCTTCATGAAGACGAGTTGGATGATGACACTTCTCTCGGTGATGAAGATTCTGATAAAGAAAAAGATGAATCTTCTTTTGCTTCTGGAGTGTCATCTTCAACTAAGAAGAACCCTGCAAAGTCTCATGCTTGTCCATTCTGCCCTGCTGAATTCAGAATCCGTGGCTATTTGACTCGTCATATAAAGAAACACGCAATCCAAAAGGCTTACTCTTGTCCATTTTTCAATGCAAATGTTGAACATAAGTGTCATCCAAATGGTGGTTTCTCCAGAAGAGATACTTACAAAACTCATTTGAAAGCTAGACACTTCAGATATCCCCCAGGTACCAGATCTCAAGATCGTTGCAATGTTGGTGGTAAGTGTGCTGTTTGTGGTGCTACATTTGAAAGCAATGAAAACTGGGTTGAAAATCATATTGAAAATGGTGCTTGTCCTGGCTTGCCAGCTGGTTATCAATGCAGATCTTCTGGCGGAAGAAGAAAGAAGAATAGCAAGAATAAGTACGGTATGATGAGCCACCATGGTTTGATTGACATGTCCCCATCCAGTGCCGGTGTTGGTATTCAAGGTAATGGTACTTGCTTTGACAATATGAATGCTTACCAATTTTATGAGCAACAGCAACAACAGCAACAGCAAATGCAACAATTACAACAAATGCAACAAATGCAACAATCCCAGTTATTCCCAAATGGTGATATTGTTCAAAGATCTATTTCCCCATTAGATGGATTATACCAACAACGTATCAATCAACAGCAATATGTGCCACAGCAACCACGCCACCATAGTAGCTCTAGCAATGGTTCAAAATTGCCACAACACATGTTTGAAATGCCAACTCCAGCTCAACAACAACAACAGGCTGCCGCGTTCCAACATGCCAAAGAGGCTGCTATGGCTGCTGCCCAAATGAACAACCAGCTTCAGCAAAAACAGTCTCCTCCGCAATTTGTGGTTGAAGATGAAGAATTCATTGCCTTGGCTGACGAATATGCAGCAAGCTATGATAACGCTTCTAACAATGTCAATGTTCCTGTTAATGCACAAAATGTATATTCTAATGAAGAGGAAAATCATTTTTCTTTAGATAACGAATTGCTTGATTTTGGGACTCAAAATTTTGATTTCAATCAAGCTAATCAATTCACTCAACAACAGCAACATCAACATCAACATCAACACCAACATCAACATCAACATCAACATCAACACGATCATCAAGCTCAAATTCAGAATGGTGGCCAAATGGGGTTCTATGATATGAATGGTAGTACTGCTTTTGCGATGTACCAACAAAGCAATTATTGAAACCCTTAAAAAGAGGCGATTTACTCTTACTTGTTCTATGAATTGTGTTATGTATGTATTATAGTGTTTACAATGTTGATGGTTGTTAGTAAACCAGGAGGATTTTGGGTTTTATTATATTGGTTGAACATCATTCATCTGGTGAAGTTTTTTTTTTCTCTTTTTCTATTTTTTTCTCCTCTTTTAGTTTGATTTTTGCTGGTACATTTTCTTTTCTGTCATTATTTTTTGGTTGGAATATTATTTTGGACTTGAGTATTATACATGTTTTTTTATTTATCTTTTGGCGTGGATGTACTTTTTCTTTTGTTTTTGAATCTCTAATGTTTTTTATCGTCATTTGGTTGCGTTTTATCTATTTATTCAATCATTCATATATAATATATAAACAATCTCGTTTTATTCCATGTTCTACGGTATGTTATGTGCTTTGAGATGATGATCTCTATTTTGTCTATATTAACGTTATTGGTATAGATGGGAAAAAATTGAAGGGTTTGTAAGGACATCCCAAATCTTTGTTCGAGTCTCTCGCTGATTTAGAGGCCCCATTTAATCTTATAATTGTCCCCAAAGTTAGGTATGGCGAGTTACCATAGGTTTGTTATTCAATTACCATGGGAAAGCTCATCACTACTATGTTATGGGCTAGTGTTACCAAAAAAAAAAAGAAAGAAAAAAAAAAGTAGCATTAATGCATAATAATGCACCAGCGAACAACCACCATTTAGAGACTTTTTGATATAAGAGATTACTAATTTACGGTCTTTTGTAAAGGTATGTGTAATGGGGGGAGAAATATCAGTAGATAAATCATAAGCAATTGCAATTGAATATTCTTAGAAACCGGAGATAGAACACGCCAGAACAATGAGGTATTTTAATTTCCGATGATCAAACAACACGGCGCAATTTGTCGGCGCACATTGCCGGAGACCAGAATAGAGTGTTTAAATATCGACAGACACAAGGCTAAGGCGTATTAGACAGGTAACGAATCAACGTTCGTGTAGAATTTTGTTAGGAGATCGGGTGTGCGGATGTCTCTTGCTGCTGCCGTATTTGTTTCATCTTATGTCTGGGTGTATGTAACAGCGTTAAACCACGTGAGTCATGGGATTACCCTTCTGAAATGACAAAACAAAAACAAAAACAAAAACAAGCAATTAAAAAATAACAACAACAACAACAAGCAGGGGGAGGGGAAGAAGACCTTTTTTTTGTCTTTTGAAATTACAGCAGAATTAAAACCGTGTTTGTGATACACACAACTGAGACCCGTCAATTTCTGAACTTCAAGCTAGTGGAACTTATTTAATTTTTTTATTCATTTGTGTGCCTATTTCATTTTCCCAGGTCGCTCGATACCCCTTCCTTCCCAAATAATAATAATAATTATTTCTGTTTAAAATTGCTGGCATCTTAGAACTCGCAAAAACCTTGAATTTTTTTTTTTTTTTTTTAGGCGTCTAACAATCATCATCATCATTATTGTCTAACGGTTATCCCTATCATTGAACAAAATAGTATTCTTGTCATTTCATTATTATCCATATCCAATCCAAACAAATATATCACAAGAATTATAAAGTTATCTATATACTTCATCAACTATGTCAAGCTTCCAATATATCAACAAGGAGAATGCAACCGCCAGCAGCAGGCCTCTTAAGGGAAAGTTTCCGAATATTAATAAGTCCACAAATCCTCAAGTGACAAAACAAAGCCTCAAGCCTCAAGATATAACCCAGAATAATAATGCGCTTACAGAAAGAGTTCCGTTGGGTGGTAAAGGAGTCATAAATAGTGGCACTGCCCCAAGTAATAAGAACAACGGAAAAGGATTCAAAAGAAGTCTCAAAAGAACTAATAGTTTACTTTTAGATGACAACGATTTGAAGAGAAAAATTCAGGTTCAGAAAGATACTAGTTTAATTGAAGAGTCGATACCAAATAATGAAGAAGTCACAAAGCCTCAAGCGCAATTGCCAATAAAGGAAGAATCCAGGGACCTTGGGCCTCTTAGAAGAAGAAAGCTCAAGTCAAAGTCTGAGGATGTTCTTGGCTCGCCAAACAAGAGACAAAAGTTAGATACAGAATCTGCTAGTGAACTAAGTGACAACGGCTACTCGGACTTAGAGCTCGAGTATGTCCCAGATTGTCCATCGCCTTTGCCATATGTTCCAGACAACGTCTTGCCTTTATCAGAGGAAGATATCAAATTTTTCCACACTAAAAACCGTATTCCTGAAAAACATGCCACTTTTAAAGAAATTGATTTTGGCTTGGCCAAGCTCTTACCTTTTGATGGGATTCCGGAAGTTGAATTAGAATTGGATATGAGTGATTTTGATGAAGAAGACAAAGATTATGATGAGTTATATAACGTTGACTCAATGGTCAAGAAGCAGCCGACGTTATTGGAAAATTGTGATGTGAAGTTAATTAGTCAAAAAATACCTGATTTACATTATGATTCTTGAAACTATTTTTTGCAAGGCTTCGCATTTCTTGTATCCATTATACACTGAAAAAATAGAAATATATTTATATAATACCTTACCTTCATTTTCTTCTTATTTGTTTTGTTTTTTCATTATCTTTCTTGTTTGCTCGCAATTTTATATTATACACTAATTCTAATAAAGTTTTAGATTTTCCCGATTCTTAGCCGCTCTCGTTCCACCTATTGTAGGTTTATTTTATAATCAAATTGGCTTCAGACCTTGAACTATTATCATTATAAGTTTTATTATTAAGCTTCTACCAGGGCTTGATTATTGCCAAACAGTTGCAATTTTTTCAACAATAAATTATAAGAGAAGGATCAACAAAAAAAAAGAAAGAGTTTACTTGTTGTTCAGGCACTCAGATACTCGTCAATTGATCTAAGAAATTCAGACTGCAACAAAATCATTCTGATTGAAAATTACAAAACTGTATTGATGGGTTCATTTACTGAATGTCTCTCCTTAGACATCATGAGTAGGACCGTAAAATTTTGCTGTGTATTCTTCTCAGTTGTAGTTGAACAGTAAATAACAGATTATATAATAGAAAATTCTATTTATAACTAGTAATGCAATAGTGGTTAAGTGCTAATATTTGAAGAAATACCATCGCTAAGGGTACGAACAACAACCGTGCTCGATTGAGAAAATTTTTGGAGCACCAATAGCAACCCTTGATCGGCAATGAATTTTTTAAACAAGTCGTCACCAATCAGACACACTACGGCCAAGAAATTTAGCACGAGTACCAAAATATCACTATGTTCTTCGTCGGTGTCTTTTTCATTTTTAGTGTAATCAGCCAAAGACGTCACAATCATCCCTATAAGCTCCTGGTTTTCGACACTGGCCATAATTCCCAAACATTCATTGGACATCGCCAAATTGTTAAGAAGTGAGATGATCGCCTTTTGTAATGTTTTTTCTTCTTTTGAATCGAGGGACAGAAAAGAAATCATCGGGACGATATTTGATAACACGCCACTCTTCAATAATCCCACACGGCACGCATCCTCGAACCTTGAAATATTTGCCAAAGTCCATAAAATATTAATATCGATCAATTTCCTCAAATTGATAGATTCTTCCGTATGATCTTTCATGGAATTAGCCATTGATTTCTGATTATTTTCAAACGCCTCACGAAGTAGTATGATGAAATTATTTGCGATCAATGTTTTAGAATGATTAATCCCCCCATTACTCAAGTTTCTAACGATTTTCAAAGCTTTTTCTGTCATCATAACTTCATTTGATGTTATAAGTTCGGCCAACAAGGGTAAGAAACCGGCAGCAATAATTTGTAATGATTTCCTTGGGTTCCCCAGAGATAGCGTCGACACAAGCCGCAATAATTGGTTCATAAGTCGACAATTGGTGTATGAAGGCATCTTAGAACCTTGAGAAAATCTATCAATCTTGCAACTGCCCACAATCTTTGATGCACTGGTCGGTAATTGTGGTAATCCGTTTTTTGCGTGGGTAGATAATGGGGTACTAACGGCTGATCTTGTACCAGAAAGCGTTCTGAGAATATTCAAGACCGGTGGCAAAACCCCATTCTCGAGTTGAATATCTCTTTGATGTTCGTCATTGATAGCAAGGTTGACAAGGACAGAAATCGCATGAAATTTGAATTCATTATTGTATTCGGTATCATTAAGCATGGATATCAATTTAATTTCCAATTCCAGACTAATGAATATTTCATCATTTTTTGCGGTTCGAGCCATGGTAAGATTATCAAGCAATGCCGTTGCGGTTCCTTTGGCGGCGATATTGTGTTGGAGTTCAGTTTCATTAGTCAATATCGAAGAAATAGACACGAACAAATCATATTTAGAGCAGAGAATCGCCTTTTGGTGCTCATTCCCACAAGCAATTTCCGCAAAAGTTTCTAGAACTACTGGCAACAATGTTACATTGCTAACTGAATTGAATGAGTACAAATAAAGTGACAAAATTTTGAGTAACCCAGAATTTAAGAACATCTGCTTGGTATAATCCGAAATACTAGCATATTCCTTGGCAGTAAGTATGGTGAGCTCAATGATTTTGGAAGAGGAATCATCTTTCTTGGTCAATATTGCAACAATATTCTTGAAAAATTCTAAGGCTTGTAATATGTCCAGCTGTTCAACAAGGTCCATGAGCTTCTCATTTTTCATTTTGAATAAACTGAAAAATATTATAATAATATTAATAATTGTCGGATAAAATTTTGGGTTATTTATACGGACAGATCTAATCACTATCAGCAATTTGGCAAGAATACCTTGACTTAACATTATTTCAAACCATTTAGTCAAATCTGTTTTCCTAGTGTCCTTAGCGCAAATATAGGAAATGATTCCCACGAGCTGACAATCAATTTCTGTACCATTGTTCTCTTTAACAAAAACTAAAACAATGCTTTCAATCATTTTGTCATCCAACAGTGAATAAAAGCTTTCTGAATAATCACCGTTACCAACATCATCAGAGCCTATTGCTCCCCCCGATAATTCTTTATCAAATTTGAACATTATTGTCATCAACTCACATGCAATGTATCTAGTTTTGAAACTATTGCTTTCATTGGCAAAATAAATTAGAGTTTGGAAAAGAGAAATTTTCTTCACCACAAATTCTTTTTGGACTGAGTCTTGCTTGCAGTTTATTAGTGAGGAATAAATAATTGTAAGAATATCAAATGGTTGGATGTGATGAGGTAAGCTTAAGAGATTATTGTTCTTGTCATTTTCAACCTCTTTATCTCTATTTTGGTCGCTTTCAGACGAGGAAATCTTTTCTGATTCGGTTTCTTTACATTGGTACATGTATCTTCTTCTTAGTACATCTGTGAGTCTTGAGACAATATCACAATCGATCAACATGCTTCTGTTGTATTCACGAATAGACTTACTCAAAACCAACAAGAATTTTATGAAAGTCCTTTGCAAAAGAGTGAGTTTATCATTCCAGGTGTCTGAGACCTGGGATTTTACCTCTTTATTTCTAAGTTTATTTCCAATATCAATATCTGAACGATTCTGATCTTTGTTTATTGTCTCGGTGGTATGTGGCTCCAAAAATAGTATCACGAACATAAACTTCAAAATCCCTTTCTCAAAAAATTGCGATCTGTGAATTTTGAATGGAAAAATGACATGATGACATATTTCTAGTACTGAGGTATAGGCATTTAACAAATCTTCGAAACTCGGAATATCTAAAACACTAAAATTATTCGTTTCGGTAAGATCTTCATCGAGATCTTTGAGTTTACTATGCACTTTATCGTTATCGATACCATCATTTGTCTTGACTAGTAACACTTCAACTTTTTCATCATTTTGAGACGCTGCCGTTATCTCGAGATTCCGGTCCTGTAAGGTCTCAACAGCTTTTGAAAGTTCCTTGAGAACGATTTCCACACCAGTCACAATATCATAACCTGCGACGACCTTCCTACCTTTTTCTTTCGATAAATTGGCGATAAGCCCAACAAGTTTGAGTTTTACTGATAATGCTTGAGGCGAACCTATAATAGTTATGGCTAAAGGTAAAATTTCAGAAGTATGACATGCAGCAGAGACCGAATGAGTAAATGATAGATTGTAGAGAACTGCAGCGGCAGCAATTCCCGCAGAATTGATATTATTATTTTGTTTGGCACCTTTGAAACTCGTTGCTGATTCATCATTTTGCGTTGTGATGCTCATAACAACCGCTGAAAGAACATTTCTGGCCTGATCAATCAATCCTGACTCTGCGATTCTGCAATTTTGTTCTCTTGTGCCTCGAGTAATATTCGCCATGACATACCAAGCACATACTTGAAGCTCTTCAACGTTCGTTCCATTTTTGGGATGTGTTTTTGTATTTATTTCACAATCTTGTTCACTGAGATAATTTAGCGTTGATTTTATTGCAATTATTTTTAATAAATGGCTTAGAAGTTGTATTTCGAGGAAATCAGTTATTAACTCCGAGGTTGTGGTGAATGTGATATTAATGAGAATTTGACAGGCTTTCTGTTGGACCCAGCTATTACCAATTGAAAGATAAGGCAATAATAATGTTAATGATTGGGTATTTTGAAGCTTTAAGGCTATTTTAGGACGATAAGAAAGGATCAATATGAATTGTAGCGCATATACTTGAGATTTTGTGATGACGATATCATCTGATTTGGATGTGTCAAGGGTCTGAAGAAGCGTTGGGAGAATCTGCAAAGGAATTTCGTTGTCATTATGGGATATGTTCTCTGACTGGCCAAGGATGTTTCGTAGTAAATCAAACGATAATTCTTTTACCTTTGAATCCTCTGATTTCAATAGTCCAGCCACTACCAGTGAAAGATTTTCCTTGAGAAATAGCTCTTTAAAAGTTGTTGGATTATTACGAAGTACCTCAATCAAAAACCCAAGGATCGACAGCTTCACTGTATTTGAATTAGAAGGTAAAAGCTCTACCAACAGCAAACATGCTTCTGAGATCTTGTGGCGTGTTTGGTCATCTTGCTCATCATAATAATTTAGCACTAACGCCTGGAGGCCATCCAAGTACGATTGTATGGTATCCTTAGACGGCATTTCAAAGACCTTTATTTGGTATAAGAAATATCAGTGTTAGTGCTCTCCACTATATGATATCGGGATATATTATATATAGATCAATACTAATACACTTTCACCATGAATGTATTTTTAGAATGTGTCAAGCTTTTTCTTTCTATTTTTTTTTTCAAGACAATTTACTAAATCCACGCAGCAGATGCCCTTCAACATAAACGGACAGCAATAAGAACCCAAACTTCTAGAAAAAGGCAAGCTTTAAGAGAGGTTGAAAGCGAAAAAACTTTTATTGAAATGAAATTTAATGGGAATCTAATATACATGGCACACCATCAGCACCAAAAATAACACATATACGCAAAGAACAAAGAAAGCCATAATAAACATAAAAACCCAAAACTAAAAAAAACTTAAGAAAACAATTCGAGAAAACCCAAACTTTTTTAACATAAACATAAGGAAACGAAATAATAATAAGAAATAATAGGATTAATAAGTGCATTTTATCTCATTGCACCACAGAGAAGTCAAGTTTGATCGGAACTTTAACCCCAAAGTCTGGATAAACTTCATCAGTCTCTTCTGTTTCCCTCTCATAATATGAGTCAATGATTTCTGTCACGATATCAGCTGAATCTTCAGGTACTCCAGTGAAGCTATTTATTTTCTCTAGAAAGTCAAATTTTGATTGAAAGGCTGATTCAATCGAGCGGCTTGGTCGAAGTATTAAGGAATCTGCATGTCTTTGGGCTGAATAGGTGATGGTTTCAGACATTGGGGATTGAAGAAATGTACCTCTTTCAGGAGTACTAGGGATTTTTGAAGAAAAGCATGGTGTTGATTTATTGACAGAATTGACTGCTAAAGATGCTGGAAATTCATTAGAATCTATGACAAGATTTGATGTCTCGGAAGACATAGAACTTCTAACATAGACTAACTTCGCCTTGCAGAGTTGCACTCTGATTGCACGATCCAAGTCTTCACTGACAAGGCTATCTTGAGTTTGGTGAGATTTTTTATTGGGCTTCTGATCATACCCATAATCTTCAATGTCCCGACCAACATCAGATGGTTCATCTGGAGATTCATAATCTTCTTGTATGAGTTTAGAGTTGTGAAAAAAATTGTCATTCTCGTAAGGAGTGCAAACTGAAGTGATTTGTGACGATTGGGACACATGACTTTTACCTGGAATGAAACTGAATTCGGTATTATTGTCTCCATAAGTCGACAATGAGTTCATAGAGAGCTTTCTAAGATGAGCAGTAGAATTATTCTCGGAAAACACGTATTGAAAATCCTGTGAGTCAACACTAATGCTCTCGATATCACTGCCAGTCTCACCTGCTTGATTAAAATCTTCGTTGAAAATCTGATCATCACTATCGCTGTGAATTGACGAGCTAAATGCTGAATATATTGGGCTATGTAATTCTTCGAGCGCATCATCTAGCACCTGCTCTAATATGTCGAATTTTTGGCATTGGGCGATCACTTCTTCTCTTAGCTCTTGGCTTTTCTCACTTAATGATTTTGCCTTGCCATCTTGAGTATCAATTGATATCAACGATGATCTATGGAGCAGTTGTCTGGAAAGCATCTCTATCAGTAGGAAATTAATGAAGGATTATTATATTATCGATAGGTTCAGGGGAAAGATATTAGAGACTCATCTGGGAGGCGATACACTTTGTCAATGCTGAAATTGTACACGGGGGATTTTACAGTATTTAAATACAAGAGATTCTGTATCGAAATGTTGAACTTTGGGCACGCAGGGAATGGAAAAGGTTATAGTGACAACTAAGAGAGATGAAAAAATAGGGTCTCTCCCCCCTTCTCGCCCCTCCTCTACAAAATAACTATTATTGGTATTAATTACATATAGCGGCATAATGATCCCTGCAACGGGAAATGATCAAATTATCTTTCCCGAAAACAAATTGACACCCTGAATTAGAATTAGGAGTCCCTCAATAATTCAAATGATAGAAGTCTTTTGGATGCACTTAAACAATTTATTGCAAAAGAAATGGATAAGTTTTTAGAAGTTCTTGATAAAAAAAAACGAAGAGGGAGAAACCTACCGGACGGACTGATGATCCCTGTTGAAACATTTTGATGCTTCGCTCGCGGGGCGGTTTGAAACGTGCATACTTTTGCAGATCGCCAGTAATTAATTGTCATTTCCTATTTGGGTCGAAAGGGAGTCCACGGTTCATGGATTGTATTATTTGCAAAACAGTTGCATACAATAGACAGAAGCATTGCAATAATTGTTTGGCTTGTGTGTTTGTTTGTTTGTTTGTTTCAATTTACTATTTTTTTTATGCGGTTAATTGAACGCGTCTCCAGAAATAAGGGCTTATAGCGTGGGCGTGTGTGGATGTACGTTAGTATCTCATCAGTGTCAAAGTTGTAATTATTAAATAATAATAGTAGTAAGCTTCTGGCAATCAAATTGGTTTAGGTATCATTGCTATGGGTAAAATAGTTTAGGTAGAATGCTTTTTGTTTTTTTGTGTATGTATTAACCGTAGGTGTACACGAGCTTGGACAACGGTCACCGAACGTCTATTCGATCTGATGGAAAAAACAATCCTTGTAATATTGGCAAGTATTTTGTATACTAAAAGCAATATCTCGTAAAAATACCTTTTTTAAGATATTTTCCTTATTCGATCAAATAAAGAGAACGTCAAGTTTAATACCTTATTGGCAGCGCAATAATCCCAGCTTCGATACTATCGAAGTGGTCCTTCGAGACACATAATTTACGATGAAAGACAGGATAAAATAAATGAACTCAACTGACAAAACAGATTGTGATATCGTAATTACTCCGCGTTATTGTAAAACGGTTAGTGTTATTAATTGTATATATAACGATCTAGATCTTCAATCAGTATGAGGGATAGCCTAAATAACTCACAGGCATTTGTTAATAGATAGCTTGATCGACAGATAAATGACAGTCTCACTGGAATTATCACAGTTACCCGATTCTAGCTCATTACTATCCCAGGCTTTCAATGTAACTGGCAGCCCGTAACGGACGGCCCGTAATAGACGCTATGTTAACTCATTTACTCTACACCCTCTATACACAGCTCCCGACTAAATTAAGACTGAGAACGTATTTTCTTTTATGGTAATTCGCGACGTTTTCTTTTTTAGTATAATTTTGTTAAATATTCCACCCATATAATAACATGAAAAATTAAAATGGTGCTCTAATGAGAGACTTTATGTCTGTTTTTCTAAAAACTACATCAAAAATTATCAATAGTGATCTATTATATACTGCGGACAAGATAAGTAGATGTACAAGCTCTTTGAAAAAAAGGGCCTCCCTATCTTTTAACCAACAACTTCCATAGGTCGTGATTTTCCCCAATTTCGTAGCACATGGTTCTTTTAGCATATCCATCCTCACTTAGCTTCAAGTTCTCAATAATATCGTCCAACAAAATTGCCTTTCCTGCAGCGATTCCCCGTCTTAATCCTTCATGGGCAACGTTCACTATATGGATATGGAAGTGGTAATACGACGGCTGATAGTGGACAAACACTTTCAAATCATTCAACCCAATTCCGTAGCGGGTGGATACTTCCAATAGACTTTTTTCCTTCAAATTCTCGAGCCACAGCAAGTGTACTGCTCCACGCAAGTCACGCACCGAAGCTACGTCTTCTCTGTTGACAATTCCCACAATATATAAGTTTTCCAGCGAGCGGCCGTCCCATTTCATATCTGGTAAGAGCACAAATCCAGTGACGGGGTCGTGGTCTCTGTATATCACACTTTCCGCTTCTGCACCTTGGAAAAGAATGTTCTTGACCCATTGGATCCTTAGGCCTTTCATAGATTCGATATACGGAGCGACAATATCGCGGTACATTTCAGCGGTCTCGCGTACCATGTGGAGTGGTTGGTGGTTGTACTTGGAGATATGTTTCTGAGTCGCTGGGTAGATCAAGTTCAATTTTGTGGATTGAACATCCGGGAGATCAGACACTGAGAACCAGCTATATATGTCATTATCTCCAATCTTCAAAAGGTTTGCAACATCGATGAGACTTGCAAGACTATCTTGAGATGATGGATTGTCGTAGTGAAGTCTTTCGAGACGAACTATAGCATCTTGGTTGTCGATCGTTCCTAAAAGAGAAAGAGTTTTCTCTTGGGTGTCCGACTCAAGAATTCTAACAAATTTGAAAGATTTTAGAAGATTCTGGTATGATAAATTATCCATTATGGGTTGCACTGGTTGTTTTTGACGGCTTTCTTGCTATATCGCGGTTTTTCACCCCAAAGTTTTTCAATGTGATATTGTGCCCCACCCCTACACCCCATATTTTGCTTGTACATGTCAAGATAGCTATTATTATTATTATTATTATTAGCGATATATTAAAGATATATATATATATATATAAGAAAGAAGGAAAGCAGGTATTAGGTTATGGAATTGGGCACATAATTGGGAAAGTAATAGAAAAAAAAAAAAATCTGGGGACTAGAAAAACATGTACCATATCAAGAACACAGCAAATAGCGATACAACTGCCACCGGGGCGTATTGTCGTATCAACAATTCAAAATTGATCTTTTGTGCGGCCTTGCGGTACTTCAAAGACTGGGATTTTAAAGACTCAGACATATGGCTCATCTTATCTAAAGAATCGCCTCTATATAGCAAATCTTCGATGTTTTTGGACATGATCTTCTTGACATCGTTCAAATCGTTATTGATACGATCCAAGTTACTTTGGGTTCTTTGATCAAGGTAGATTTTCTTAGTCTTACTCAAGAAATTGTCAAAGTTAATGAACGCATACGGACGAAGTGACAAGTTGTTGAGGGTCTCCTGTCCATGGGAGTTGTAGAATTCTGTTGACACTTCGGTCAAGTACGCGAAGGCGAGTTTTCTAGGATACGACTTGTCGGTGATCACAAAATAATAAATCTGGTTGTCAATGAGATAATGGATAGCGTACTGTTCCGATTCGATAGTGGCCTGTGGTTCTGAATTCGGGGAGAGCTTTCCCATTAGAAGCTTGATGTTCTTCTTTTCCTTGATCAAACCGGGTTCGTTGTCATCATCCACCGATCCTGAAAGCGGGAGGTCTTAAAAATTCCTGTTAGTTGCACCCTATCAAATAATTAGAAAACAAATGGAAAAGCCTTTCACAGTTCCTAAAAACTTACTATCATAACGGAAAATCAATGTTGATTTGACCATCTTATTATATAGAGTATATTTAAATAACACTTGAAGCTTACAACAGTTCATATCATTTCTAAGGCATGAAATTTATATATATAAAAAAAAAAAAAAAATAATGCTATTATTATCACGTGCACGAAGCTTCATTTCTTCTTCTTCTTATTCTTCTCATAAGCATACAACTTTTCTGCACTGTCAATGTTCCATTCCTCTTGGTCTTGCTCTGCCTTCCTCTTTAATGCCAGGACATTGATGCTGTGATTTGACAAGTTCATTAGAATCCCCTGGAATGAATTGTGGTCATTGAAACCAAAGGTTACCTGTCCCTTCACATCAGCTATAAGTAGTTGATTAAGACGGTAGTCAATCGCGATGCTGGTGATCTCGTTTTCTAGAGTGATTTTACTCATTTCCTCCAACTTATCACCATCAAGCACAACAAGATCAGATCCGTCACCCGTGAGAATGTATCTATCGTTATTATTGAAAACACAGTTCTTATAAAATGCTGCATCACCAGAAGAGTTCCTGTTTAGGCTTTTCTGGGCTATTGGTGCTTTATAGTTCCGCAAGTCAAACAATGCCACATCTGTTGTACCTCTCGTAACCAAAGCATTCCCATTCAAGTTCGACATTCTCATACTTGAAACTTGATCCAACCCCGTATCTATGGTTATTTTTGGCTTCGCTTTCCCTTTGATATCCCATACGATAATCTTCCCACTACTATCACCCGTTATAATCCCTGATTTCATGTCGGTTCGTGGATTTTCGTTGCAGAACATCACCCTATTCAATTTTTTCGAATGAACAATACAATCAACTGACTTTTTCAACTTCAGATAATTCTCAATATCCCACACTCTTACTGTTTTATCATTTGAACAAGTGGCAAACATATTAGTGTCTTGGTGGTTGAAGCCTGCATCGTTGACATCGGCAGTATGTCCATTCGTATTTCTTAAATCAAATAAATATTGGTCGCCACCTCTGAAATCAACCGGAATCGTGCTTTTCTGTTCAGGATTATAGAGCTTAAATTTTGAAAGGTTGGTAGTGCACAAGAAATTCGTGGTTCCCGGTTGGTATTTCACGCTCTTCACTTTAGCTGCAGTTTCAAACACTGGAGCAGTCTCAGTCGCTGAGTTCATTTTTCCCACTGGGACTGACCCATGGAAGTAGTTGCCATTGAGTTGAGAAAATTCAAACCGCTTCACCACCAGTGAGTTCAATCCAACAACAAACCCTGAATCGCAGACAGTAATGGCATTTATCTGTGTCGGAGTATTAACGGTCAGGAACTGGTAATTCCGGTCTCGGTTAGCATTGAGCGATATGCTATGTCTAAGAGGAATATCATCAAATATCAGGGAGTCAGGCCCTTCATCTTCAGAGCTTGAGTACTCACTTTCATCATCATCAGAATCACCGCCAGCTTCTATAGCTTGTTCCCCGTTCTTCTTCTTCTTCTTCTTCTCCTCCTCTAGTTTTTCATTTTGGTATTTCACTTTTCCAGATAGCAAATTCTTATACTCCGGCCTCCAGAACTTTTCAAATGAAAAGGGCGTTCTCTCTTCAAAATTATTCTTTAATTCAGCAGGTAATCCCTCCATCGCCCAGTTATGGTTGGTGTGACTTTATATTGATATTTGTACTCTAATATCAAGTCATCACCCTCATCGACTGTGTTACTCCAGGAATACGGATTTTTTTATTTTCATCACATGAATTATCACCTGATTATTATTTTTGTTATGAGCCCCTGTACAGAAGCACTCGAAAATTCACACGCACACAGCCAAGTCAATCATCAACAATTAATCATGTTGGTGAGATTTACCCAATTTATAAGCATAGTACTTCTTTCCAACAATATAAGAACCAAAGAATATGTCTGATATAGTTGCCAACGCTACAGGTAATATCACGTCTAGTAACCCAAAGCTCCAACGAACAATTGCCCGTTTCAAGGCCAAGGTGGCTGCCGGCGACTTCTATGAAGCCCATCAGACCCTTAGAACATTGATCAACCGTGCCACTAAGTCTCACCAACTTGGACATGCTGTCGATTTGATCTACTATGGCTCTCTAATCCTTGTGGAGCACTCACAATACGCTTCTGCATCTGATCTCATTTTGCTACTTTTTGACATTCTTGGAAAAGATTCTGAAGAGGCCGAGAAATTGGAAACTTCTGAAATCACAAATAAATTGATCACTATTTTGAGCAAGTTCCCAGCCAATGAGGTTAGTCTCAAGAAATTATCAGCAGAAACTATCAATTGGTCTGCATCCAATACCGAGTATAAATTTGGTGACCCAAAGATCCACGATCTTATCGGCGACAAGTACCTTCACAACCCAACCCCAGAGAACTTAACAGAAAATTACGTAGTGGCAATGAACCACTTAATATTGGGTACCAAAGCCTCATTTGATAACGTCGCGGAGTTGGTCTGGAGCTGGTACTGTGATGCGACTGATTCGGTAGCCGGCGCGCAAGTCTTGGGGATCCCAGCAGTCAATTACGCAATTCTTAAAAACATCGACGCCGCTAAGAAGTTCATCGATGTATTAGCCGATAAATTACAGGCATCTCTGGCCGTAAAAGAATTATCAGTCGATGAGTTCTGTAAGATACGTTATTTCGAAGCTCCTGAGCTTGGATTTTTGAATTTCATTCAATTGGCGATCTTGTGTATCCAAACTGGTAATAAAGATTTTTTCGTTAAATTGAAGAACGAATACAGATCCGTGCTTGTGGGAGACTATAAACCTGCCGTTGATAAGTTGGGATCGGTATATTTTAATATCCAAGCTCCAAAACAAGTTAACTTCCTCCAAGAGATGATGAGCGGCTTTTTGAAATGATGCGGTTTCCATTTTAAATAGCTGGATTTAATTTACATTTTCAATTTTTTTTATTTGTTTTTCCAGTAATTGTGAAACATTTTATCACCAAGGAAATTTTGGTTAGCCCAAGTCATATGGGAGCTTTCATTTGTTCTCTTAAAGACACATTATTCTGTCTCCTCCAGTATTACTGATCTTCCAAGCATGCAAAAAAAAAATAGAAAGCGAGCTGGGAATATAATTTTAAGAAGAGGAGGAGAGAGAAATACAAAAGCGATTGAACAAAAAAAAGCAACCATAGACTGAACAAAAAATATCATATGCCCCCACCGAGGCTCGAACTCGGGACCTTTACATTGCAATACAGTTATGAGTGTAACGCGACCACCAACTGCGCCATAGGGGCTCTTGTGTTTGGAGCTCTTTTTTTCATGTCCCACTACATGTCTATTTAACAGTCACGTGATTTGAATTCTGATGGTCACTACATTGAAAATACTTAGTATTTGAGATATAGTGCCAAAACCCCTCAACAAAGACCTCCATCTCAGTTCATGAAGCTTCTAGTGATGGGTAATTCACTAGTGACTTCATCTCATATTTTCACATTGCACCTTTTTTCCTTAATAATCTTGATTATTGAGTTTTTTACCGGTGATGTGATTAATTCTTAAAGCAAGGAGTGTGAGGTTGTGAGAAAGTTATAGTATTTTACTTATCTATTAGAAAGACCGGCATGAAATGCCCGGCTTGCATGTTATTTAGAACCTCTGTGACATGTTAATACACAATTCATTCATTCATTATTTGGCAAAGTTCAATGTTACGATAATGTTACCATTACTTTTAATAACTATCACTATCTGTTTTGTGTTTTATCATTACTGATTGCTGTATCCAAACATGCTACTGTTATTCGTTATATGAAGGGCTCAACATCTCATTTCTTTCCTTTCTATATCTTGTATAAACAACGGGGTTTTATACTTTACTATATTGCTATAAATTATGACTGTGTTACTTAAATGTTAAAAAATAGTAATAATATGCAAGGGTTTACATTTATACCCATATACTTTTTGTTGCTAGATAACTTGCACTTCAAAAGAAGCTAGCAGTCTTGACTCTTTTGAAGCTCTAGCCCGTTCGCAAACAAAAGAGGTTGCGAGGAATTTTAATCACCCCTAATTGTTTCATGTAGAGACCATAAGATAAATACTTCACATTGAATAATTGGCTAAAAATTTATCATCCTGTTAGTTTGAGGCCTTTGCAGTCTTCAAAGCTGTCAAAGAGAACTTTGTTTCTGATATGCATAAAACAAAAGACGCGAACAAAAGGTCTCATCTGAACTATCTGTGAATAAGGTGAGAAAAGTTCTTTCTTTTTCGTGGTGAAATTTAAAGAGTCTTGTTAGTCATTTTAAACTACATCTTTAATGGAAATCAGAACGATATCTTTCAACTATATACACAAAAATACAAAACTGCTTGAAATTTACATTCATAAAATCAAAAAAAGAGGTTGAAGCCAAATATAATTCAGTAGTAAAAAAAATACCAAAACCATAAGTAATATAGTTCTATTTATGAATCAAGAGAGAAGAAATAAATAGAATATAGAAAATTAAAAACAACTAATGAACAAAAAAGGGAAAAAGAAAGAAGAGAAAAAGAAAATAAACGACAAAAGATGTCACTAACAGGAAAGCTGTTGACTACCAACTGACATATTGAAGTCAATCTTTCACGATTGAACTTTTTTCTAATGCTTCAAGCAATTCCAGCCCATCATTCTTCTCAAGCTCTCTTTTTGCAGTAGCGTAGTCGAACCAGTGACGATCTCTTTTATGTTTCTCTGGCCATTCTGTGTAGATCTTAACAAGAGCCATTTCATAAAAGTGATACTCACTCCTTGGAACAAGCTTAGTGCCATCTTTGGTGATGAAATTATTAGGGTCCGCATACTCTACGGATGATGCTAAGGGGGGAAAAGATTTGGAGTTGCCTTCACATCCCAGAGTTTTAATCATTCGATGATCATTGATTTTTCCAAGGTATTTTGCAACTCTACCGTCGACACCAGCTTCTTCCCAAGTTTCCCTGATGGCCGCTTTGCTATAATCTTCAACCTCATCTAACTCCACTCCCCCTTTTGGAATGATCCATCTACGCTTATCAGTGGAAGAGATCATCAACACACGTTCATGATCCGCGGATAAGATTACACCACCAGCAACAAGACGTGAGCCATTAGAGGCATAAGCTACATATGTTAGGGGGAAAACAACAAACATTATACCCCACAATTCGACTTCCACGTTATCAAATGATGCGTACCTTGATTCTCCCGACCGACACGGGACTGTGACTCCTTGTTTATACCTGACATGTTACTCAATTGAATAGGTGATGAGTTAATAACCTCTAGTGAACTTGGGAACTTGACTACTTCTTTTCTTTGCAAAAAAAAAAAAAAAAGGAAATGTCCTGATTATGAAGCTCATTGGGTCGCGGTGTGCGGCACCCCCTGAAAGGACAGCACAAAAAAAAATAAATCAATTATCATTGTAATTCCAATAGAGCGCCAGTTTAAATATCATTTACATCATTACCAGTCAGAGAGAAATAAAAATGGCGAGGGAATCTTCAATATTTAAGTCGCGAAAATCAAATGGAAAAATCTCCACAAATAGCGCGACGTTAGCCACGAATGGTGGGGACAGTGAAGAGGAAGAGGAAGAAGAATCTTTGATCTCATCTACTACACTATCAAAAAAGAATAAAAGTTTTGGCAAGAAGCGAAAACGAATGGGCGGCGGAGGCACCGGGAAACTAGCGAAAGTTGCTATCAATATTGGGATGGACACAGACACAAGCGAGGATAGCGATAGCTTCAAGCCGCCGAAGAAGGAGGTAAAGATAAGGAGAAACAAGGCGAATGTTCAGCTATTGGGTGATAGTGATGTTGATGATGATAAAGTAAAAGGTGATGGTGACAGTGAAGATGATGATTCTTATGATGGTTTGAATTTGAAGAGATTGGTGATGAAACAGAGGAACCAATATCAGAAGAAAAGTGGGTTGGATAAGCAAAAGTCGGAAACAGTACTGGAAGAGCCCGGAGAAGTACTCCAAGAAACTCCAAAACCCAAGGAAAATCCAGCTGAGATCGATATATATATGGGTGATAGCGATAATGATGGTGAATCACAAGATGTGCATGATGAAGAAGAGATCAAAGTCTACGACGATACAGAAATTGCAAAAATTAAATCCCAGAAATTGTACCTTCGAAACAAGCAATCTGAGGCTCAAGAAAGAAAAAAAATTATAAATTCTGATGCCATTGATATTGAGATGTCGGATTCTTCATCAGACGAAGAAAGTGAGGACAGTAAAGAGGACCAAAAGCTTGAAGGCATTGCCGCTTCTGACATGATTCACAATGAACCAGTGGAGAAAATGCTTGAGATTGAAAGTAAACTATATGAGTACAACCTTGATAACATAGAGGAGGATGAAGAGGTTTCTCGATGGGAAGCTCAGAGGATATATAATGCTATTACAGTGCCAATCACTAATATATTATCTGAGGAAGGAAAAGAACAAGACAAGATTTGGATAGATGGAGCCTCCGAAAAGAAAGAACATAGAGGGCATGCAACGAACCTTGGAGGAGGGAACCTAGATGAAATACTGAGAGGGGACTCTCTCAAGGAGAATTTTGAAGGGATTGAAGTTGAGCTAAATGGGAATTCAAAGTTACAAGATATTCGAAATTACCAGCGGGCACAATTACAAAAGAAGGAGTTATTTGATACTTTCCCAAAGTTGAGTAGTGATTACCAAAGGATCAAGCAGGAGATGCTAGCGGAAAATGACCTGTTTGGTGGGCACTTGATGAAACTTGAGAAGTTGCAAGAGGACCTCACAAACTTGCGGGAGGAGAAGAGGAACACGGTTGCAGATTTGGAATATGACTTTGAGGACCTGAAGGATCAACTAGATGACATCAAAGAACGACTACAAGAACTATTTATAAGCTTTGAGAATAAATAGTCATGATGTATGTATTATATAGTTGAGTGATGCGAGATTTCCACGTGAATTAGCACGTGTCAGAGATTCACGTTATCAATTTAATTACACCAGGTCTCTTCTTAGCAACGCGCGTCGCGTAGTATTTTGACAACCAGGATGATTTTTTTTTTTTCTTGCCTGTTTTGGTAATCGGTTGACAAACTCCACCCACTATTTTACTACTGCAAAACACACCGTGAGGAAACTGAATGAACTTTCTTGCAGGCCCTCCCCTATTCTGAAACACCGATCAAATTGACCCATTTTCCCCTTAAATAATAAACAAACACCTAAACCATCACATATACTTTACTGCACTGTGGTCACTAGTCTTACTGCCCTTCTTCTTTTGACAGCTTCCAGTTGACACACCATAAGGTCAAGGCTTTCCTTCATCTTTTTGCACAATTTTCAAAAGCATTGCCCAATACAAAGAAAAAAAAATTGAATCACAGACAAAACTATTGACTATTCAATAATAATATTCAACTCCAGTCTACTTCCATCTAACTTATATGCCACTATCAGTTTCCTAAATTTCACCTAATTCATATCTCTATTCACCCATCCATGGCCCCCACTTCGTCGACCGAAATTCTCATGGCTCAAGACTCCCCAATCAAGCGTCGTCGCGGTAGACCCTTGAAAGCCAGAAATGATAATCTTTCCAATTCAAAAATTAAAAAGGCAACCTGTTTGAAAGTAGCTCGTTCTTCAGCAGCTGTTCTTAAAGCTGGTTCCCCAAACCATAGATCCCCAACAATGAAGGTGCTGCCAACTGCCCAAAAACTAAAGGCGGTCCTTGCTTTACAAAACCACGGTCTACTGCTTTCTACTCCTAAGCCTAAAGGAGGACTGATTTTATCCTTTGGATCTGATCATAAGAAGAAATGGACCCCAATCACAAGAAGATTATTTGAGATTGGTGGCACTGCCGAAATAGAGTCTCATAACAGTGACAAAAAATCTCACCAAGGAAAAATTCTTATTCAAAAGCAAGAGAATGATGAGGATAGATCTTTCCTAAATTTCAGAAATAGTGTTATTGCTCGTAATCAAAGAGAAAAGGAGAATTACCGTGTTTCCCATCTCCATGAAGTCGTTAACCCCCTTGATAACCACGGACTAATCGACCCAAATTCTCTTCTTTCGTCTCCAATGTTCTCTGGTACGAAAAATCCAGACTTTTCTAGAGCTTCAAATCTTCTCAATGGTGATTTTTTCTCTTCCCCTATCGTGTCAAGTCGTCATCAGCAACATAACGATGTCAATCTTGTTACCTCACCAACTGGCCTTCCAACGTCTCCTAGCACTTTAACTATTAATAACGACCATCACCATCGGCTTCTTCATGACGATCATATTAATCTCCAAGTTGATCATGAACAAACTCTTCAACATCAACAAAATCACAATGAAACTTTGATTGCTGCCGACATTACCTGTAGTCCAGCTGCAGGATTCAATTTCTCGTCAATCATTCAATCGTCACCGGTTTTCCACGGCTATTATATGAAAACTCCTACTTCTGCCTCGTCATCTCGCAACAATACGAAAATCTCTGTGAGAGCCATGGAAATTAAACCATCCCCTAGTCAAATGCGAGGTTCGGGTGAACCAGAAATTGAAGACGATTCCGATTTGGAGTTTGCTCATCCACCAAGATGTAAGGCAAATGTCGACGGGGAATCTAATGATGAAGCTCCTGGCCCATTGTTGCCTCCTGTGACTATTCTGAACCTTGAATTCAGTAGTGATGAGGAAGATGATGACTTTCCTGAAAAGTATCTTATTAATCATAATAGACCAGTGGTGAACACTAGCGGAATCTCTTTGACGGTAGACAGCTCGGGAAGAGCCATTATTTCTCGTCCTCCAACCACCGCGCTCCCTGTTGCTTTCCCTCATAATAACTTGGCTTTTGGAAGTGACACCATTCGCCGTACCATAAACAAAACTACTCCATCATTAATGTCGTCTCCTCGGTATGACACACAAAACAACCGTCACTTTTTGCCCTCATCTCCATTTCCTGCTATCGCAATGGCTGAAGACTTCTTTGCTAGACCATCGAACCCAACTACTGACGAAACTCTTGAAACCAATTCAGAAATAGAAGAGCTGGACGGGAAGTTAGGGCAACAAAAACTTCATAGACCACATATCATTCACAATCCAGTGTTTGCCACTAATATTCCTACAAAGACCATGATTCCAGCTTTTGGAAATGGTGTTAAATTGGATGCCAGTTTCATGAGCGATGACTCAATAGACGAAAATGGAGCAGGTGATTGTGATGCCCGGGCTGCATTGATGAAGATGGTAGGAATGAGGGGATAATCAAAATTTACTATAATTGCAAATTGTTACTCATTTACAATAAAAAAAAAACGCTTTATAAAAATTTTTACTTTTAGCATATCTAACATCATATTTCACAGTTACTTTACAGCTGTTCCAATTCTTTCTTTTCATATTTCTCAAGTTTCTTTCGTTTATTTCTCATGTCTAATGTTTTTCTTTCTATGTTTCTTTCTAAGGTTTTTTCTAATGCTTTTAACGCTTAACGCTTTTTTCTATTTTTCTTGCACTTTCTTGCTCTCCAAATTACTATTCATAGCCTGATAATCTGCTTAGATCGTTAGCTCAATATTATTTCATACATTATGGCTACTAAGGCTAATTTTCATCTTTGTTTTACCATTGAACTACAAAAATCTTTTTTCTAGAGTTTTCAAGAACATTTTATTTGCCATTTTCTTTGACATTTTCTCCTTTTTTTTTTTTTACAATTGACTTTCACACTGAAAGACCTAACCATTTTGCATCGGTTTGCTAATAAAGGCAAAAGTTTTCTTTAATTGATGATATCGCCAGTAATCTGAGCCATTTAAAATTGTCCACAAATCAATTGTACCACATGGGTGGTACACAAAACAACAAATAATTTAAGGAGATCACCCGGTCTGGAAATGTCAATTAACTTCAAAAAAGCATGAGTCGTCTGGTGTGAGAGGAACTGATCAACAGTGAGAGCGCTAAGTTGTCGTCGATATATCAGGTATGAGAAGAGCAAGTGATGTGAGAAAGAACCGCAAGGGAATTGGTAAGGAGAAGAAAGGTTCCCGTGCGGGAAACAAAGGTGATGAGAAGCCGAAATCAAAATTAAATGGTACTGAACCCCAGAATAATAGAAACCAGAGCAATGGAAATAAGGTCGATGGTGATGTTGCCATGGAAAAAGCGGATGATGCTAACGAAAAAAAGGATCCAGAATATGATTCAATAACCCACACAAATACTCCAAAGGGACTACAAACTTACACATCACGTCCAATCTACGAAGTTTCCGATGACGATGATCTTCGTAACGACAGCTACTTCCCACAGCCCAAACGCCACAAGTCTCTGCGAATTGTTTTATACAAACCCAATGCCACAGCCGACGAAGGAGGAAGTGAATATCCTATTTATGAATCCAATTCTAGAGACGATGAAGTTATCAGCATTCCAAATATACTGCATACCGAAAGAATCGGAGCAGTACAAGAGGATTGCAGCACCCTCTCTTTTAAAGTTAACTCACAAAATGTGGATTGGGTTCTCACGGAAAGTTTCTTGTACTCAAATGCCACAAGTTACTTCCAGTTGCCTGATCCTAACAAAGAATTAATGGAGGAAAATGTGAGAATTAGAGAAAAAAAGACACAAACTGTGAAAGACAAAAAGAAACAGACGATCAGCAGAAAAGAGCCAACTGAAGACAAAAGGAGACCAGCCAATAAAGATAAGAAATGTGGGCAAATTTCTCAAAAAGAGCCGAGTAGCAGTATAAAGAGGCCAGCCAATAATGATAAAGATGAAATGATTCCCGAAGATGTGCCAATCAGAAGTTTAAAGAGACCAACCAATAACCCTGAGGATAAAAATGGTATGGTTTCTAAGGAGGCTCCAAAACCATCATCGAAGAAAAATACTGCCACCATGAACCTTTCACAATTAATTAAAGGATCTGGAATCCCTTTGTTCAAACTTACACCACACCAATTCTCACTAATCATTATGAGGTTCTGCTTCTGCTCATACAATGATTATTCCAATTTCTCTCAGTTTCCTGATATTTTTCAGGATATGAAGTTGACAACTCAATTCTTACTGAAAGTGATTGCTCATTCAGTAGAAAAATTTGATTATATTGATCATGACGATTTGCAAGATTATGTTCACACTATTTCTGGTGATAATAAGAAGGAGGAATCTCAGATTGACTTAAGATGTTTTGTTCTCTTAAGTCTCAGTATACATGCTCTACAAACTGAGGTGATTGATATTCCAAGTAAACCATACCGGGGAAGGCTACTAGTCTACATATATTCCCTCTTTAGGCAACTAAAACAAAAGTTAATATTATTATACCGCATTAATAAGCAGGTAGTTCCATCAAAACAGTGCACACTAATGTTTCAGGCGTTATTGGTCGGGTTGGAATTCCAAGTATTTTATTTTGAAACTCATTGCACCATTATCGAAACTGAAATACAAAAAAATTATGATCCCAGCAAAACCCAGAAAACAAACCATGAACTAAGAAGAAAGAATGAGCTTGCCAATCGTGCCTTTGACTTAGGAGAGCTAACGGCCATGACAATTGCGGGGCAGTATTATCGAGGAATCGAGCATCATGGATACTTTTTGGAAAAGAGTTACTTTAGGCTTCAATTTTTGGATTTGTTAGTTTCATGCTTATCATCTAGTCCATTAACAATTTCTTGGCCTGGTTTAGTGTTACCAAGTTCAGAACTCTCGGAATTTGCTCCTGAAAATATCAGAAAGAATATTTTGCAAAATGAGGGTGATCAGTCACTCACCTTTCAAAACGACCAGTTGGTTTATTATGTACCATTAGTTCGGAAAATAGTGACAACAACTATTTTTGGTGATTCTTCATGCAAGGATTCGGAGTTAAAGTCCTTACATGGATTGGAAAAAGAAAAACTCAGAATTTTAAAGTCATTGGGCACATTATTGCTAAATTTTAATAAGAAGCTGCTGGCAGGAGACTCTGAGTTATCGGTAGCCCATGGAATATTACATTATGAAATGAGAGTTGTGATGCATGAGATATTGACAATTACAATCATTCAAATGTCACTTGATGCCAAGGATTTTGAAAAATCGTATAAACGTGATCTCCGCTTCCTTAAAGGATTGACAATTCTCATTAAAACTTTGGAATTTTGGTTCTGGCTTGGTGAGAATGATGTGTTACGTGAGGAAGAAGTGGGAATCGTGGCTGATGGGATTATATGTCTAGTAAACATATGGGGAGATTTGAGAATCATGGAGTTATTGGAAATATATTTCGCTCTGAATACCGTTAGTCTATGTGGAGACAGCCAAAAGCCAATATATAAACGGAAAAAGTCTACATTCAATGATCTTGATAGGAAGATGAAGGCCATCGATTCAGAAATTAAGACAAAGAAATATTACAGCGTCATAGAAATTTTATCAGGAGAATTAGATAAAATGTTGAAGATTAGTGATATGGCGATGAATAATGGGAAATTGGCTTGTTTTCTCAAGGTAGAGAAAGCTGGGATCGATTTGCTGAAGCTGCTTACCATTTTTCGGACCTTGGCAGCCGTGCTCCTGAAACCGATAGGAAAAGTTAAAAGCCCAAAAGAGATTTGATCGCATCTCCTCCCAACTAATGTATTATAGCTTTTTTTTTTTTTTTTCTATTTATTTTATGAATATACAAGCCATCGATATTTATAGAGTGATTGCTTTAAGTATACCCAGAGCTTATTATATCTGTCAATATCCTGACACTTTTCATGTTGGGGCAATTTTTTCTTCGATTTCGGCCCCGCAACGTGCACAGAAGCCAATCACGGGGACCGCATTACATAAGCAAACCCCCCCAATGATAAAGTAACGTTTATAAGAAAAAAAACAACAAAATTCTTCGATCAGCTTCCTTAAACCAGTGCCATAGCGAAAGTATTATTGTTATCCACTATCAAAATGTTTGCCAGATCCTCTCTTCGTAAGAGCTCCGCCGTCATGGCTGCTCGTGCCGTGGTCCGTACCCAAACCAAGGCCAGCACTATCAGATGCTTCAGTTCCATCAACACCTCTAACAAAGTTAACAACAACTACCAACAATCCCAACGTCTCCAGCCCTTGAGATCTTTCCACTCTTCTGTGTCCCAATGGAACGCCCAAATCGTCAAGGTCCCAGATATGGCCGAATCTATCACCGAAGGTTCCCTTAAGGAATTCACTAAACAAGTTGGTGACTATGTTGCCGCAGATGAAACCATCGCTACCATTGAAACCGATAAGATTGACGTCGAAGTCAACTCCCCAATCGGTGGTACCATCAAGGAATTTTTCTTTGCTCCAGAAGACACCGTTAACGTTGGTGACAACTTGCTTAGTATCGAACCAGGTGCAGCTCCAGCCGGCGGTGCAGCCCCAGCTGCCGCTGCTCCAAAGGAAGAAGCTGCTCCAAAGGAAGAAGCTGCTCCAAAGAAGGAAGAAGCTCCAGCTCCTGCTGCTGCTGCCCCAACCCCAGCTGCTGCTCCAAAGAAGGAAGCTCCAGCTCCAAAGAAGGAAACCACTGCCCCAGCTCCAAAAGAAACTGAATCCGGCTCATTCACTGGTTTCAGCAGAGGTGAACATCGTGTCAAGATGAACCGTATGAGATTGAGAATTGCCCAACGTCTTAAGGAATCCCAAAACACTGCTGCCTCATTGACCACTTTCAACGAAGTTGACATGAGTGCTGTCATGGCTCTTAGAAAGAAATACAAGGACGAAATCATCAAATCAAAGGGTATCAAGTTTGGTTTCATGGGGTTGTTCTCCAAGGCTGCCACTTTGGCCATGAAGGAACTTCCAGCTGTTAACGCTCAAATTGATGGTGCTGACACCGTGTTCCACGACTACGTTGACATTTCTGTCGCTGTTGCCACTCCAAAGGGTTTGGTCACTCCAGTTGTCAGAAATGCCGAATCTCTTACCGTTTTGGAAATCGAACAAGAAATCTCCAGCCTTGGTAAGAAGGCCCGTGACGGTAAGTTGACTCTTGAAGACATGTCTGGTGGTACTTTCACCATTTCTAACGGTGGTGTTTTCGGTTCCCTTTATGGTACCCCAATCATCAACATGCCACAATGTGCCGTTCTCGGTTTGCACGGTGTTAAGGAAAGACCAGTTGCTGTCAACGGTCAAGTTGTCATAAGACCAATGATGTACTTGGCTTTGACTTACGATCACAGAATTGTCGATGGTAGAGAAGCTGTTACTTTCTTGAAGACTGTCAAGGAATTGATTGAAGACCCAGGTAAGATGATGTTGATGTAAGGGTCAAATCTTGTAATTTCGTTAACCTCAAATCATTTTATTAAATACAATAATATACCATAAACAAAACAAAAAAAAAGTAATATAATATTTTGTTCAGATGCCTGTGTGTAGATTATTATGTTGATGCTGTGGTAATATACTGACTGGGAACCTGATGCAATTATCTTGAATAAAGTACAATAACTAAAAAGGCTATAAACAACCTAACAGGGTCTGCAATAGTTTTTCTCAGGGTTCTAATATTTTAGGGTTAGATATTTCAACTTAAATAATAGTATTATATGTATACATACTGCCTGCTTAACGTTTCCACAGATTTTAAAATATCAGGCACGTCGTTTTCTCTGCTCAGATACGGTCTTATTAAGGACAATTCGTCAAACGAATCCGTTTATTTACTTCTTCATTTAGCGGATAAGTTGTAGTTTTCTGACACCACCTTATTATCATTTATTATTATTGATCTATTCCCTTGGTGTCACCTACACTCTTCCGCCGTCTAAGATTTTCCCAAATTGCCCGTGGCGGGCACTACCTGCATGGTTTGGGGAAAAGGTAAACAACGTCTAGTAAGACCATCAACAATCGGAAGAAAATTCTTTTGTGGTGCGAAATATTGGTAAATAATTCAAAATAAGAGGCGGGATATATAAATATTTGGGGAGCTGCTTGTTTTTTTTTTTTTTATTGTTATTATATCCCACAAATTTCACAATAATTCTGAAATAGCATTATTTTAACTATACAGGGGGACTCATTCCAATAACCACTGATTAGAATATTATCTTATCTTGTATTCTCTCCTCCCAATCCAATATTCGCAAAATAATTACCTCCAATTATCAATTCCCTCACCACAATTTAATAGTTAAGTAGCAGAGTCATTATATTTTCCTCTTCCCCCAACAATCCAATATGCAAGTTCCATTGCCATATAGAAACTATCAATTCGAGAGAATGTCAATGTCAGAGGTTCGTCCTAGACACATTCTAGTGTTTATGTTGTTCCTCTACGTTCTTCTCGAATGTATCGTCGTTGGAAGTTGTATCAGCAACGTCACAAAGTCGGCTTACGTCGCCAAGCTCACCTATATTGGCTCAGACAACACAGAATACTTCTATCTGGACACAATTTCCAAATTGAATGTTAGAGTCGGGTACTTCTCAACGTGCATCCAGACAGAAACTTCTACCAGTACCGGAAGCTGGCAATGTCACAGAAACGAAACCGAATTACTCATAAATGACTCCAATTTCAACAGTTCGTCACCTCCAGATGAAGATCTTGCCGTGTTTTTCAAAAACACTGCCTACATGTTCCGTCACGATTGCATGAGTCCTTGGATTCTTGTGGTTGCCATTATTATTTCATTCTTTACCATCTTTGCCTTTGCTATTGTTCCACCAAGTGAAGCTCTGATCTGGTACGTCGTCTCAACCGGAGGGGCGTTCTTCTCTTTTTCTTTGTCCTTAGTGGCTGCCGTTTGGCAAGAAACCAATACCTTGACCGGTACCAAGTTGATGGAAGTAATGGCTGACGATTACTTCAGCTTGGAAACTCACTACGGTAATGGTGCCAGAGCCTTGATTTGGATCGGGGTGGTATTGTTAGGTATCGGTTTCACATGCTTGTTATTCATGACAATTGTCAGTATCAAGATGGGAATTGACAGAGAAATGTCTTATTATCAATCTCAAATGGGAATGATGGACCCAGCTTTTGGAGTGCCAACAAGAAACAGCTCTATGATGGAGAAGTTCTCCTGAAGTTGCCTCTTGTTCCTATTTTGCCTTTTCCAATCGGAAGCACCTTTCATGATTTTTTTTTTTTTTTTCAACTGGGTTGAAAAAATTCTAATGATCTCTTATTCTATTGATCCATCACATACATATATTATTAACTTTTTTTTTTTTTTTTTTTTGCTTATCAGCTTTTTCACCACTTCTGTCGTTTTCATGATACATTCCTTATCTTCACAAAACTAGCATTCATCATCGCATTGACTTCCTGTTATCTTGTTTATTTTTTTCTTCTACGCATCGTTTTATTAGCTCTACTTTTCATAAAATTTAATCATAATATCTTCTTCCATGACTGTTGTTTGGAATCGCAAATTAAAATTTACGAATCCGGAAAATTTATGTAGCAGCATCTTCCTTTCTTTTTTTGACAGGAAGAAACTCCGGAGTGAGCTTCGTAGCTGATTATAAGGTTACAATGTTAATAAACCACGGAGTAATGTAGTATGTATAAACAATAAACACAAATATATATAAGCATGTGTATTTGGTATATATAAGCATGTGTATTTGGTTAATACTTCCTATTTCTTTTTCTATTTTAATTTTTTTTTTTTTCAGTGCATGATGATGCAAAAGAAACGTTCAACTTCTAAAAAAAAGAAAAGAGAAAGGAAAAATTGATAATAAGTCGAAAAATATCAAGAATTTGATATTAAAAAGATTATAACCAGAAAACTAAATTGTAAATTTAATGGAGAAGCTTCCTCCCGAAATATGGCTTCATATTACGGGTTATCTTCTGAATTCGGGTCTCGCAACTTTAGCGCAGCTCAATAGTAGATTTCAGAATATCGTTAACAATTCGCGGCTCTACAAATCAATAAAAACTAGCTCATTTGAATCATTGATTTCGTTACATAACATCATTACTTCTCAAGATTGCTCGTTCAAAACGAAAGTCGAACATTTGGAATTCAATATAAAAAAAATCCAAGAAGACTATAACATCCATCTCCGAATATGTGCAGACCAGACTGAAATAACCAATTTTCAATTTGGCAGCAGAACTACGTTAAGACCGGAGGATTATGATAATACTTATGAGGCTGCTTGCATCGCCAAACATCATGCTTGGATGCCGGAAGAATATGATAACTTCTTGGAGTACTCGTCCTCACTATCTCTTTCAAGCAGCTCAACAACTTTGAACCAATTATCAGAACCACGGTTGGTAAACGAACGAGACCCATCAGATCTCATTGCTAACATTTCATACCAGCTACCAAATTTGAAATTTCTTAAGCTAAACCAAATAACTCACAGTTTCTCATTCAATAACTCTCCCAAAAACTTGATCACCAATGACTGCATCGTCTCAGTCCCATATATCCACGTATGTAGCATGTCTTCCGGCCTAACTTACGAACCATCACGTCACTTGCCTCCAAAGATAATTACCAAGAAACTCCATTTGCAAAACTTCCTCATCGATTCCTCATCGATTTCCTCGATTTCCAACTCGCATAATTCAACACTGCACCTCCTATTACAAAATACAAGGCTTTCATATTTCGTCATCACCCAACTACCACCGAAATTCCCGAATTTGCATCATTTGGAATTGAAAGATATCGGATCACTTCATATCATGACACTAGCAAAACAATTCGGCCGTGCTTTACTCTCCCGCAATAAACTTTTCCCTTCCAAACTCGTGATTGATCTCTCATCCCAGTGTTTTCTGTCTCCTGAATTGACTTTCTATCTACCAGCTTCAGATCCCTCATCTAGTTCTCAAACAAAAGAATGTCATTTCTTATCAAATTTTTCCGAAAAATTCGCATCACATTTCCAATTTCTCAGATCACTCCAGGGTTTTGAAATTGTTGAATTCACTAATGTCGACTTCTTCAATGGGAATCATCAATCTCTGTTGATATTTCAAGACTTCTGCCCGAAAAAGATTTCTAACAAGCATGCCTTCTCTCCCATAATGATTAGTGAACCATTGATTGGGCTCCATTCATTTCTTGAGTTACTTTCAACCACTTCCAATATCACATTCAATCTAGATAGACCCAGGGAAACATATTTGGGAAATGGTAGGATGGGATTTCAATTTTGGCAAAACTTATTAGCTCCAATATATGAGCCCTCTCTCCCAAACAATATTAATTCAGATAGAGACGACATTTCTAGAAATGTTGATATCACTAAAGTCAAGATAATCGACAATTTAGGAAATCTTTTATACTATTATTAAGAGTAATTACAGATTTTTTTATCACAGCCACGTTTTGTGCTCGATTTATTAAGGGATACATTGTGATGATTCCTTATTTAAAGACCTCTTGTGACTACAGAAAATTATTAAACTTCTCATTAAGACATGTTCACAGTAGCCATTTGGAATTTAAACAAAGTCACCAGGGAAAATCATACTGTAAAGGATTGTCAAAGGTAAAACAAAGCAAGCAAAAATAAGAAATTGTTAACTGCATATTTAGTTAAATTTTTAGGTACTATGGGGTTCGCTAGAAGATTAGTTAGTATATAAATTAATTATAGGAGATATTAATCCTCTTCAAGAGAGTAAGAAGAAAAAGATTGAGAAATAAAAATAAAGTGAATAAAGAAAACAAATTGTAACATACCTACCATCGTTTTTGAAGAAAAATTTCATAATTACATTTTTTGATTTCTTCTTCTTCTTCTTTTCTGACAGATCACTTGAAATTGTTGTAATTTCTTCTCTATTCTGATTTGAAGAATCCGCAATTTTGATAGTTGTGGCTTGGCCATAAGGAATATTATTCACATCAAAAACTTTAAATTTAGAACTCAAATCCTTTTTTGTTAATAGAACAAACTTTCCCTTATCACTTACAACTCCAGTTTCAATCATCGATCGTATTTCTGGGTTATCTGGTAATTTTGAATCAGTAACAATATTTTCATATTCACTATCACAAGCTGTCGCTTTAGTCATAACTTCTTTACTGAGAAATCCTTTTTTGCCATTAATTTCTTTTTCGATAACACCTTTATCATAACTGATTTGTAAATTGGAGAAGGATTTTCTGAGGGAGTGAAAATCTGGTAATAAACGGACATTCCCATATGAATCGTATTTAATCAAACCATACTCATTTGCTTCTTGATGGAATTCATAGACTAAACCACCCGAGAAAATATGAGTCATATCCGAAGAATAAATTGTTTCAACTTCCTGAAATCCTCTTGGTCTGATGGTATTACATCCATACTCAGAAAGAAAAACTGGTTTTGGGAAATTTTCATAATCCTTGACAAGAATATCGTATCCACTGCTCTGCATAGTTTGCTTACCGCACCATTGATAAGAATTGACACCATAAAAATCAATGGAAGTATCCTCACCACTTCCTTCATCGCATTGTAAGTAATCTGGTAGAGATGTACGAAATAATAGATCATCTGCTGCAGAGTACCCAACTGGCACAATTCTTTCAATGTGATTTGCCATGTAAGCTTTCATATCCCTTACCAAAGCTTTAATAAAGATCGGAGATGCCTATTAATGTGTTAGTAGGGTTAATGACTTCTGGAGTTTGTAATTGTTTTCAAAGGTCCAAGTACTAACCTTAGCGGATATTCTGTCATTTACAATTTCGTTTCCAGCAAAAAATGCCAAAGTGTTATTAAAAGCTGCAAATTCTTGAACAACTTTAAAAACATGCTCAGCATAGAGCTCATTGTAGGTACTCCAAGGCTCATACCTATTCAAATGTTGATTCTTTAATGGTGAGTTCACATCCAAGACAAGATAAATTCCAGCGATAGCCAAGAGTGTCATACACTTATCATGATTCAAATTAGGATTGATAGAATAAACACGAATCGTCTATCGAGAGTCAGTAAGTTGGTAATAGTGAAGACAAACACTTTCAGTGGAGGATACTAACGTTAATTCCCAAATCTTGGAATAGAGCTATGTCTCTTGCACACGATTCCGGGTCGGAAAGAGGGTCTGTTCCGCCAGAGACGCCAGATGATCCGCCAGGTTGATAATCAACTCCTTTGATGAAAAACTAATGTAATTTGTTAGTCAATAATGTCCCAACATGTGCTATTTGAGTGCCAAAGTAGACTGAGTAAAGATGGAAGAAAACAAGTAACATACTGGTTGATTGGTTTGGCTCCCATAGAAATGCCTACCTTTAATGGAAATCGGTTCCACAAATCCAGTCACTGCCCAAATACTGAGTACCAAGAATGTCAATATCACACCGAGTACCATAATTTAATTTGTTTAAATTATTTGATGATAAGTTTAAGAATAAAGAAAGGACGTGTCAGCAGACAAGTTGAAATAAGCACAAAAGTAAACATAATCCGCTTTTTGTGTTCATGTTGAGCAACCCTCCTGCATCTTATACCTGCTTACGTAATAGCAGCCAAAAAAAATAAATGAAAAAAAAACATCATCGCAGTATATTTCAGTTCAGCATGCAAATATATATATATATATATATATATATATATATAGAAATATATCAGGGGATACAATAGGATAGAGCACTACGAATAATAATGAATATAAGTCTTCCCACATCAATAGAGCAAGCTGTCCAGGGAAAAGTACCCACATTGGATGAAGATGTGCGGTTGGAACTTCGAAAGTTGGGAGAGCCAGTAACGTACTTTGGGGAAGATAAATCTGATAGAAGAAATCGATTAATCAAACTTATAGAGAAGTTAAAAAGTGAAAAGCTGACTATTGATGATGTGTCTGCCATGTATGAAGATGAACAGCAATCTGATGAAATGGATGAAGATGAGGAGCAAGATGAGGATGAAGAATTTTGGACTCCTGGACCAGAAGAATTGCTAGATATAAGATATGACCTCACAAAGTTTTCACTAAATGGCACAAAATCTCGAATAATCCAACAACAAAGGGAAAGCGAGATTGAGTTTACAGAAGTATTGAAGTATCGCCGCGGAATAAACTCTGGGCTTTCAAAATTCGATCTCGTCGGATCAAACATCATTTCCACCAGGGCGGTTTCTGCTTCGAAATTCTCACCCCATAATGATTCTCTTATTGCCATTGGAACCTGGGCTGGGGATCTTAAGATTCTCAATGCCGACACCCTTGAAACATCAAAAGACATTGGTGCCCCAATCAAGTCACATGCAAACCAACTACATAACAAGATTAGTGGGTTAGACTGGTATCCAACCCCTTCTCAAGATCCAAACCTGATATGCCTAGCATCATCCAATTCTAATGACAATTCAATTCTTTTATGGTCTCTCAACTCTGCGAACCCATTAGCATCATTATCAGGCCATGAATCACGAATTATTGACACTAAGTTTCATCCTCAAGGAAAGTTACTTGCATCTTCATCGTACGATCGAACATGGAGACTTTGGGATCTTCAAACTCAAAAGGAATTATATCTTCAGGAAGGTCATGCCAAAGAGGTACATAGTATTGGATTTCAGAAGGATGGTGCGTTGATTGCGTCGGGTGGTTTGGATGCTATCGGAAGAATTTGGGACTTACGTACCGGAAAAGAAATTATGTCACTTTATGGCCATGTCAAAGATATCATGTGTTTAGATTGGTCTGATAATGGATACCAAGTTACCACCGGTAGTAAAGACGGTACTATAAAGATATGGGATTTGAGATATACTCCTAACAAGATGAATAATGTGGGGTACAAAGAATATCTTTATAATGATAGACCATTATTTACTATTCCAGCGCATAATAAGCTTGTTTCTGGTTTGACATTCTTTCATCATAATCAAGGAACCCAACTCGCCGATTTTCTCAGAAATGATTTGCCAGTGAATCCATCTTCAAAGTTTTTATTGAGTAGTTCTTATGATGGAACTTTAAAGATATGGTCGGCAGATAATTGGGTCAATGTTAAGACTTTACGCGGGCATATCGATAATAAAATAATGAGCTGTGATATTAGTTCTACAGGTGACAAAATCGTCAGCAGTGGCTGGGATAGATCAATTAAGCTATGGTCCACTAATGATTTTATATGATAGATTGTATTATAATTGTAACGATTTTTTTTTTTCTTTTTACCAATGTATTGTTTACGAACAATTAATTGTAGCAATGTAACGCAACATGAAATTATATCTGACAAAGAACAACCGTTATAATAAGAGTAAAGAAAGAAAAGAAATACAATGAATGAAGATGAAAAAAAAAGAAAGGAAAGTATGGGTAACAATAATACGAAGTGATAAAAACCAGAAACAAAACCAACATTCTATAACTAAACAACTGCCTTTTCCCTCAATGCGTCCTTCATCATAGAGAATTTCTTGTCAAATTCGATCTCCTGGTGGCCTGGGATACCACCATATCTAAGAATATCAACTAATGGGAAAGAATGAGCAGAACGACTTGGAGAAATATAAGTAACAATAGTACCTTTACTACTAATACATAGTTTATGGTGGTCTCTGAAATTGAACTGGAATGAACCATCACTTAATTCAAACATAACATATGGGTCACAGCGATTGTATCTTCTTAACCAAACATCATCTCCTCTATCGGAATCTTCGTTGGAAACTTTGCACAAGTTGGTCTTCATATACTTGTCAAAAAAGTTAACAATTTCACCTTCTCTCTTCAAACCACTTGGCAAGTTATCAATGACATAACTGTCAGCAATCCAACCTTCATTGGAATCATTAATAATGTACCAAACATCTTTGCCATTAGCCAACTTAAGCATTGTGTGCCCATTGTTGAAAAGAACACCAATGTCATTAGTTGATAGTTGATATGAGAAACCATGCTTATTGGAATAGTCAACCCATTTACTAACTAAGACTGGTTTAGAAGTGATTTGAACCGATGAGGTGGTTGATCTCATTCTAGCTTGTCTCTGGCAAATATTAATACCATTGAGGGTTTCTAAACACTCTTTGGCGAGGATTTCATCAGACTTCAGAAGCATTGGAGGGGTAGTGTTTATTTCAGCAGAAATTCTTCTGATCATCTTTGGGTCAGTGACCATCATTTCTCTGTATTTACTCTTAGCATTACCAGGTGATAACGAGTGAGGTAAGATCTTCTTCGGCTTCTCGGACTCCAAGTCAGATTTCAAGATTTCAATTGGGTTCTTAGAAACAGTATTAACCAAACCAGCGGCTTTCTGAACGTTATAGAAGTTTTGTAATGATTCTTGAGGAGTGAGGTAACTGAAATCAGGTTCACTAACCAAAATATCTTTTGGCAAAGACAGTGGAAATGGGCCTTTGAACCAAGGATATTGAAGAATTTCATCCATGGTTGGTCTTCTTAAAGGATTTGTTGAAAGAATGTCCGTGATCAATTCTTTAGCTTCATCAGAGACGTCTTTGTCAATTGGGAAGTGGTAATCATTTTCTTTAATTCTTTCATAAATTTCCTTGACTTCCTTAGATTGGAACGGTGGCTTACCAAAAAGTAAGGCATACATCATAACACCAATTGACCATGTATCAACTTCAAAGGAATGGCCAACAGACTTTCCTGCCAAAACTTCTGGGGCAATATAGTTCGGTGTACCGCAGATTGTGTATTTCTTGCTTTTGCCTTGAGGTAAAACAGCAGCCAAACCAAAATCACCGACCTTCAAATTCATTTCTGGGTCGAAGAAGATATTCCCTAATTTCAAATCTCTGTGAATAACTCTTCTACTGTGCATATATTTGATAGCACCAATGATTTGGATCATAAAATGTCTAACTTCTGGCTCAGTTAAAAGCTTTCTTCTCTTCAATAAATCCATGAGTGACTGGTTTGGACAAATTTCCAACAAAATGTAAACATTGACATCGTCTTCGAAACAATCAACGAATTGGACAATATTAGGATGAGACATTGATTTATGGATCTTGATTTCTGACAAAAGTTTAGTTTTTGTTTTTTCGTTCTTGATCGATGCCTTAGCAATGGTTTTAGCAGCAAAGACTCTACCAGTATCGTCCTTAATTTGAAAACAACGGGCAAAACCACCTTCACCTAGACACGATCCTCTATTGTACTCTCTTCCACTTCTCGTTTTGATAGTTGATGGCGGAGTTTTACACAATGAGGATAACTTTTCTTTCTTCTTCTTTGGTTTCTCAATTCTGTGTTGATCATATTGATTTCTGGCTTGAAGATTGGTTCTTGAGTTCAATTCTTTGGAACCAAGAACTTGCAAAGGCTGACCGCGGGTGTTGACCATGATGATTTATTTGTATAACTGATGATAAAATTGGATTTATGAAGAACAATGTTTTAAAATTTGGGTTTTAAAAAGAATGAAAATTTGCACACAGTGTTTTGAAAAACACAGTGGTTAGTGAAAGAGTGTACACAAGTCAGAAGCAAAAGAGGGTATTGAAGTGATAGCTAGGAAAACCGAAACTAAAACCAAAAAAAACAAACGATAGTCCACAAATACAAAACAGCGTTAAGACCTCCAAGTGACACAAAAACATTGGAATATACCGACTTTTTATACTGGCCGCCCTTTGTTTACACCCGGGGCCACTAACCACATAATGCATCATGCTATTTTGGGAAAAAGGTAAACAAATAATATTATTTGGGAAATATTTTAGGGGGTCCTTGTTTATTAGGTAAACAAAAACATCGAAAATCTTTCGAAATAGGGTTAACAACATCACAAACAAACAAACTTAAGTAAATAAGAGAACCCAAACAAGCAGGCATGACTTTGACACAACCAACGGCCAATCAATATCTCGGCCTCCACACCTGTACAGTTTATTACTGCACAGTTTCTTGGGTTGGTGATTCTACAAAAAAATCAATCAATATAAATAAAATACAAGCAGTGGAAGCATATATCTGTAGGTAAATCATAATACAAATATATTACGTAACTATAGTACAATAATCATTCTCTCATTTCTCATTTCAACTTAGCTTGACTTCAGTTCTTCAACAATATTCTTAAGCAACAAATGGTTATCAAGCAACTTTTTTGACAATTTAGTCTTCTCCTTGAATGACTTTTGTGGTGATCTAGAGTTTGAATCTCCTTTTTGTAACGAACAAGAGTTTGGTTCCTGGAGGAAAAACTCATAACATTGCACAGCATTAGATGGTAAGTCATACAACCATCCCCGACTTTCAATAATATTCATAAAAGCCTCAATAGTCGCCAAATTTTTCAAGGTTTTTCTCGAGCCCAAGATAATTAATTTACTCTTAGCTCTAGTAATTGCCACATTGATTCTTCTCCATTCTTTTAGCAATTCCCCCACCATTTGTTTCTCGTTTGATCTGACTAAAGAGATAATTATACAGTCTTTATCCAAACCCTGGAACCTATCAGCAGTTAGAATTTCCACATCCTTTCTTTGATAGAGTTTTCTTGTCAATAATCTAATCTGAGCCCTGTACAAGGACATGACACCTATCGATGATTCATGGACCCCACATGCCAACAATGATTCAACAATCTCATAAATCAAGACCCCCTCGACTGGATTATCGACTTTATCACCCAAAGTTCTTTCTTTTGCATCACTAATGGTATCATGGTTCAAGAAAATAACTCTGTTGGTCTCTTTAAAAACAATATTCTTTATCCAATCATGCTCTGGCCTGATGTTTTCTTTTGTTATATGTTGTTGCAACTGTTCGGGTCTTGGAATCTTTAATCTTTGCCTAGAAACCAAATTTGAGCCACATTTCAATCTCCCATTATAAATCAAAGTGTTAGATAACAACATGATATCTTCACACATTCTATATTGATGAGCTAGCTCGCCAACACTATCAGGAAAATCCTCCGAAAGCATCCTAAACAAACTTTTCAGGAGGCCCTTTCTTGCCAGTGGTGCGGTAATTAATGGCGGAAGCTGGTAATGGTCACCGACTAAAATGAATCTATCACAGAACCTAATTGGCCCTATACAAACTGGCATGGCGACCTGAGATGCTTCATCGATGATACAATAATCAAACTTTCTCGTATTAAAAACCCAATCAGTAACGCCTAGACATGTAGTAGCAACAACAGATGGTTTTCTATAGGCGTCATATAGTCCTTGGCTATCTTTGATATCGAAGTTATCAGATAATGGGCTAAATTCTTTCACTAGCGGATGGATTTTGTTTAAAGATCCCAATCTAACAAAATCTACCATTTTTTGTTCCTTAAGCTTGATCAAAATATTATCAATTGCAGAATGGGTATATGAAGCAATCAAGACGGTTTTGCCATTCTTGACTAATTGCTGAATAATCTCAGTAATAATAGTAGTTTTTCCGGTACCTGGCATCCCAAGAATAAGTGAAAAATCATTAGTGGAAAATACTTTTTTCATAGCACTGAGCTGATCTTCATTGAATCTTGATTGGTCAAGCTTATAGTCAATCAATGGAACTGGAGATGGATCAGTCTTTCTTTTTTTTACAAGGATATCTCTCATTAAACCATTGGAATCTTTAGAAAATAATTCAAGCAAGTTATACCTCGCTAATTTTAATCCATGGAATGCCGGGTTCTTATCAATCCTGTAAACTCGGCTTTCTGAATTTGAATCTAATGATAAGCCGGTGAGGTTTTGGTCCAGTTCCAAAACACTCTGAAAACTTTGATTTTTGATAACATCAAAATTAGGCATCCTCAGATTTGAGTGATCTAGTCTTCTTTGTGTTGTTATCTTAATCAAATTTTCCCTGATCATACTAACAAATCCAAAACAAATAGCAAAATGGCCATTTTCATCACTGACAATAACATGATCATGGGTGGCAACCTGAGACCAAGTCATCAGAGGATATTCATAGGAGGTTCCTTGACTCTTTCTTTCAAATGCATACGTATAATAACCTGTGGAAGCATCATAAGTTACATCTTTAATTTTTAGGCCAGAAATAGCTTTCCCATTTGATTTTTCTCTCTCTTCGCCAGTAAAAATCCAAATTTCCTTTGTCAATTTATTTATGAAATTTTCTTCCTTATTCAATAAATCTTCCCAATACTTATAATAGTCACCATACTCTGGCGCAATGTGTTCAGTATGAGTCAAGAATTCACCTGGCTGGAAACCACTATCCTCTTCACTGCCATTTTCTCCTAATTTATTAAATAGCATGCAAGTTTCCTTTACAAAACATCTATCACACATGGAGTTCTTCGCCAACGGAGGAAGCTGTGGCTGGATTTCTTTTAAAAACTTGGAAATGGAATTCCTCTTTATCAACAACATTCTTAAGTCTCTTCTATCAATCTCGTATTTGGTAGTCTGAGAAAATTTTGTATAAACTAGTATGAAAAAATTGACATCCATCTCATATCTATCTCTCATCAACAAAGTATAGAGAGATGTTTGTGCCTTATGTGAAAGATATTCCTTACCAGTTTTAATTTCTAATGGGGCAATAAATTTACCAGATTTCTTGCTATCTTGTAGCGAAGATTCAATTGTCGCATCAATTAGGCCTCTCAATCCAAAAATTGGTGACCAAATACTCTCCTCAATATCTAAAGTTTTGCTGATCGAAAATTTGCTAGTTTCTCCTTTACCAAATGTTGATATTGAGGATTTATCAGAATCAAAGATGTATTTACCTACCCAGTCTTTAATATAACCGATATGCACCTGACATTCTTCATAGATCGACTGTTCAGTCTCGCCAATACCCAATATTTCAATAAGGTTTCTGTGGATAGCAGATTTCAAGAGAGTTTCAATAAACTTTGAGCTATTTGACTTAGAAACCATGCATTCTTGTAAAATCCCATGAACAATATTTCCAACAATTAGTGGCTTGGAAGATTCACCTGGTAAATTAAATCTTGCGAGTAACGAGCTCTTTCTTTCGCAATTGAGCGATTCTCCCATAGTAGTAGCAGAAATCAAAGTATCTGGATTCAAAATGAGATAATTATGGTCATTATCAATTACTGTCGGGTTCTCCCCCACAACATGAATTACTTCACCAACGTCATAGGTAGTCAATAGCCAAGACTCTCTGACCACCAAATTCCTAATTTTACTGTCCTTGTCTTTTACTTTCAAGATTATTTGATTTTTTTTCACTCCTTTAAGATTGTATGATTTTTCATGCACTTCAAGCACCTCAAAGCGATGAAGCCAGCTTCGTTTAATCGCAATTTTGGCAAGGTTTACATCTTTAAGACTGTCCTTAAAATTTTTAGTCTCCTCTGTTCCGTCACTATTGATATCTTTTGAAAAGATGGCTGCACCCAATAAATCTGTGTTCTTTATTCTATTTTCCTGTTGTGTTGAAAATTGTCTATCCTTTTGAGTGAAAGTGAATCTACTCAATAATCTTTCCTCTTCGGAATCATCATAGTCAAGTTCTCCAGAATCATCAAAGGATGTTGTATTCGTGATGTCATTGGAGTCAGTATTTGCTATTTGATTATTCGGGATATTCTCAATTACATTAGTTTTCTCTAGTTTGCTAGGAGTACTTTGAACAACATCATTAAAGGACATAGTTAATGGTTTTTTGGGAGGCGCACTAACCACGATTGGCTGGCTTTTCATGTCTAACTTTTTCTCTAACTCGTTGAAATCGAAATCGTCATCGCTGGAAAATTCATCATTAAATTCATCATTATTATCAACCACAGGCTTTGACGTTCTTTTTTCAAGACCGACAGATCGATTAGCTTTACTGTTTGCTAGCTCATCGAAAAAGTCGTCGGAGAAGTCATCACGTTGATAATCATTGATACTAATACCTTTGTCTAATATCTCTGATGTTGTATTTCCACACATATTATTGTCTTTTTCAGTACTTTTGAGTTCCGATAGTATTTCTTGTAGCGAGCTTTTTCTGGGCTGATCACCATTACCGTGACTGCTATTTGTTCTCAACTTCCCATCACTTCCAATCCTCGCAAACAATTTACTTGAGTTTAAACTTAAAGATTTAGACTTTTCGCGAATGCCAGACTTCCTCAAAGATGACAGCAGCCAATCTGGGATTGGGGAGAAGGAATGTAGAGAAGAGAATTTCTGGGTTGATATATTCTTGATAGAATTCTCCTGCTGATTAGACATATTGAGGTTGGTATTATATTTCTTTTCCAATTGTGATATTGGATCTAGCCTAAAGTCTGGTAGCATATCTCTCCGGAACTCAATTTCATCATTTTCATCATTGATAGAAGGCTTGTTGGCATCTTTTTTGTCGCAATCATGTTTGTGTAACCTGGACTCCCCATTCTTATTCCCAGCATCGCCCGACCAGTAAATTTGATCTAGTTGACTGTTTTCATCAATACTTTTCTGGATGACAGGTCTACTGGGCGATGTGATATTTTTTGGCCTAGTTAACAATGTATTATGGGGTTTCGTCTTAAGGATATTGGGTTCATGGAGTTTAGAGTAGAGCTTATCCCCTAAAAGATTGTTGACTGGGAGATTAATACTTTTTGACACAAATTTATCTAAGCCTCGCTTCTTCTTGGACGAGCCATGTTTCTTCTTTGGTGAGGAAGAGACCCTATTAAAAGCTCTCTTCTCAGAAGCCATGGTGGAGCAACTGACAAAGTTCCTATGTAATAGCCTGCTTGATGAGCTTACTGACGCGACATTATTTTCAGTATTTTTTTTTTTTTTTTGATGATAAAATTTTCGCGTTCATCTGCATATACATACACTCGGGTTTCATCAAAACATCTTATCTTCTAAGATGAATGGAGTGGTAGGGGTCAAATGACTTTTATATAGAAGAAGATTGTCCAATATAGTCTCCTTGTGTTACTAGGATCGAACTAGAAATCAATGGTTAATTAATTTCACTCGTTTAAGTTGCAAAGGAATCGTTTTAGGAAAACAATATTTATTTAAATAAAGAAATGAAAACAACAGCTCTCTTTGAAAAAAAAATATAAATAATCAAACAAACATTGTGAAAAAGTCAAAGTGGGTTATAGTGATAACGACGAAAAAAAGGAAAATTTTAAAAAAAATAAAAAGAAAAACTGAATAATAATCATAATAGAAAACAAAATTAAGGAAATAGTTAAAGTGGTAGTAGTAGTAATTCAATTGAATAATAAAAAAAAAAAAAAAAAGAAGAAAAAGCAAAAAATAAGGGAAGAGTAAGAAATGAATAATAAAACACATAAAATGATATTCATGATATTACCATAGCAAAATGACTCGGAAAAAGCCAGGGTAGCACAAAACGCTACGATTGGGTCAGTTGACGAACTTTTTTATACATAGCTGCAATCCTTTTACTCGAGACTCTTATTGGCCAGAAGTAACTGGTGAAAACCCACAAATGTTTTCTAACTTGCTCTCTTGCTTCGACCTTCTCATGAGAAACCTCTTCTTCAATTTTGTCTCCCACTGCCAATAATTCCTTTTTAAGGATTGTGGCCCATTCTTTACGAGGCAAGCTTGCAGCACCTTTACTTAATCTTTTCAAGGATCTTTTAACAGGGTACAACCTCTCCTTGCAAACATTATCATCCATACTCTCATACTCAGAATATTCAGGCTCTTCTTTTGGTAATTTCTTGATCTCGATTTTCTTTGAGCTAGAACTATTGGAGTTGCTAGCGCTAGTGCCCCTACTATTTTTGGGTTCTGCACTTCCAGGTTTCACATCAGGCGTGGCAGACTTCTTTGCTTTCTTTAGAGCTTTCTTTGGAGCCGGAGTGCTTTCGTTGTCATCGCCATCATCACCACGCAATAATACAATCAAGTAATCGGCTCTTCTACTAAGATGAACAGAGTTTGGGACCTTCTTAATTTCCTTAACTTGTGTTTCTCCCTTAGAATTTGCTGTTTCCTTTTTCATCGTTTCATTGTTCAAGAACATCTTGTTGCCCAATCCTAATAATGGATCATCTCTTATCTGAATCCAAGAACCATATCCAAATTTGCTCAAACCATACAATAACATCTCATCATCTTTTTGGTTCCATTCACAGTTCCATCCATGTACTGTTTTAGATTTTTTACCAAGCCTGAACTCACTCACCGGAGTCTTGCCAATGGTGTCTCTGATCAACTTCATATCACTAGGACGGTTTAAAATTAGTTCAGCATTTAAGTTTTTGGCACCATGGAAATCAAACAAAACTGCTTTATGTTCCTTACGTTTCAATTTCCAAAGAGCAATGGCATCTTTTTCACCTTCTTCCTTTTTCACGCCCTTGGATTCATTTTCGCGTTGTTTATTGGCAGCTTCTTCTAATTCTTTGAGAGCTTTAGAACGACGCTCCTCTTCTTGTTTGACCAATTCCTTAGACTTACCAACCAACTGCTTGTACGTTTCTTTTAATAACTCTGGCGATTTATTGCTCAAACTACCATCCTCAATCAATTGATCCCAGAACAAATTGATATCACCCATCCGCAAAATGGCTCTGTAAATATTTCTCACTTCTTTTTCGGTAATGATGTTGTCGTTCAATTTCCGCTTCTTCAATCGGGATTTTCTGGCAGATTCATCCTCATCATCATTAGTGCCATCATCATACATGTTCTTCATATTCTTCAAAGCTTGTTCCCTTCTTGCAAACAACTGCATCTGCTCTCTCATCATTTCTTCATCTTGTCTCTTCTTTTCATCTTCCTTCAATTTCTGCAACTCTTCTTCAGGAATGATATCATCCCAATCAACATCTGCTTTATAGTCGGTGACTTCAAATTGCTTCAAAAACTCTTCACCTCCCAAATTTGATTCACCCAAGTCTGGTGTGGTGATATGGTCTTCCGCATGTTCTAAAACATCATCTAAATTCAAATCTTCCAACTTCTTTTGATTTTCATTGGCCTTGAACATATTACCAGCCCCGAATTTTAAAATCTCTGATAATTCACTTGTAGTAGGTTCAGTCTTGACCTTCCCAGTGGAACTGTTGTCAGTAACCCCCAATGAAATAATTGCGTATTCTAAAATCATCTTTTTTCTCGCCCTTTCCAAAACCTGTTCTTCAACAGTATCTTTGCTAACAAAACGGTACACCATAACATGGTTTTTCTGACCAATACGGTGGGCTCTAGCCATCGCTTGCAAATCCGCCTGAGGATTCCAATCAGAGTCAAAGATAATCACAGTGTCAGCAGTCATCAAATTAATACCCAATCCACCGGCTCTCGTAGATAACAAAAAAACAAAGTCTTTAGAGCCCTTGGCGTTATAATGATCAATAGAGATTCGACGTTGGAATGATGGAACCGTACCATCTAATCTTTGGAAGTTGTAGCCCTTGATAGATAAGTAATCTCCTAATATATCCAAAATTCTCACCATTTGAGAAAATATAAGTACACGATGGCCATCTTTCTTTAACCTTGTCAACAATTTATCCAATAGTACCATTTTACCACTGGACATGATTAAACCTTTCAAAATGTTTTCCCTAGAAGACGAGCCGGCCTTTGTCAAAACCTGCTCCTCTGCATTATCAAACAAATAAGGGTGATTAGAGGCCTTTTTCAACTCAGACATAATATTTAACAATGAGATCTGAACTCCTTTAGAGCCAGCATTTAAGGCAGCATAATTCTTTGTTAAGATGTTTTTGTAGTATTGCGTCTGCATGTCTGATAACTCCACTCTCAAAATTCTTTCGGTTTTTGAGGGCAAAGATTTCTCCACATCTTTCTTCAATCTTCTCAAAATAAATGGTTGAAGCCTTTTGTGCAATTCTCTGATATACTCTTCTTGTTGGTCATCTGGGGAATCAAAATCAATTTCTTGGTCAATTGTGAATTTTCCTGGCATTAAAAAGTTGACTAAGGCGGCCAATTCTTTAATATTGTTCTGCAAAGGTGTACCAGTGATCAACAATCTGTTATTGACCTTCAAAGATTTCAAGGCCTCGTATAAAGAACTTTCAGCATTTTTCAAACGATGGGCTTCATCTACTGCCAAAAATTGCCATTTTAAATTAGCAAGATCATTTCTATCTTTCAAAACGTATTCATAAGTGGTTAATAATACATTGAACTTTGGTTTCTTTTTGTTGTTGCCTTGATACCATTCGTTTTCTCTAATAACCTTTCTAGCTTTGGTGTTACCCATATAATACACAACATTAACATCAGGTGCCCATTTATCAAATGTTTCTTGCCAAGCAGGCATAGTAGATAAAGGCACCACTACTAAATGTGGTCCGTTCTGTCTTCTAGCATAAATTAGCCAAGATAGGAAACTAACAGTTTGAACAGTTTTACCAAGACCCATTTCATCCGCTAAGATCCCATTTTCGTTTCTGGACCACAAGAATGCCATCCAATTTAATCCTGTAAGTTGGAAGTCTCTAAGCTCACCATTCTTAATAAACACTGGTTGGGTCACAAGTTTTTCAAATGGTGGTCGTTGATGACCATAATTAGCACTCAAATTAGGCAAAATCTTTGATTTCATACGGTTTTGGAACTTTGTCACTTGATGAGGGTTTAATTCTGCAATTACAGCAGCATCTTCCCATGTACATTCATCATAATGCAATCTTTTCCACTTAACAAAATACTGCAATTCATTCTCACCTGTTTCTGGGTTATTTTCTCTTCTCGAGTCAACAATACGCTCAATGGTTTTACATTCATTTATTTCCCCAAGCTTTCTTTCTCTTTCAATGCTGATTAATTCAAGTTCTTCTCTGGTAATCATTGGATCATTTGTGATTTCATATGGAAGAATGATAGATTGTTTGATGTAGTTATCAATCTTTTTGATCCCTTTCATTCCAACAACATCAGCGTAGTATTCCCAAGTGTTGTGCAAATGCGATTTCTCATTCCATTTAATGAGGAATTTGTAGTTTTGTTTTATTTTGTTCATGTCCGAGCCAATCATATGTTCTTTCTCAGCAACTTTTCGTTTATGATGTTCAAGTTTTGCCGCCAATTTGGCCTCCTCCTCTTCCCTCAGCTGATCTTCAGTTGCACTGCTATTGTCATTGGACACTTCATCTTCCTTCTGCATTTTTTCTTCTGCTTCTTCTAGCTGCTCTTCTTCTTTTTCATCATCATCATCCAAAATGATCTTATGGTTCATTACTTGATCAATACCCTCTGTGGTTTGTGGGATCGCAGTAGTCGAAGAGTATGTAGAGTTATCATAATAATAGTAGTCTTCTTCTCCATCATCTGACTCCAAAAACTCATCGTCATCATTTTCGATATTATAATTGACAGATCTATTATTATTACGAGTAGAGAAGCGAACCTCTGTTGTGCTAGGAGACGTCGATACCATCTTCTTTTTATTCTTCTTTTTACCAAACTTCGTCTTCGATGTTCTGCCTTTTCCAATAGTGAACTCTTCATCATCATCATCATCATCATCATCTTCATCATCATCTTCAACATCATCCATCATTTCATCGTCTTCTTCCATATCATCATCTTCATCATCCGATATCATTCTTTTTTTCTTATGACTAGCGCCATTATTCCTACTTTTCTTTTTCCGCGAAGAAAACTCATCTTCGTTATTATCTAATTCCTCGGCGTAATTGCTGGCGCCGGTATGAGCTCTTCTTGATCTTCTCAATCCATAAAGTTCAGGATCATCAAGAATCTCCTGTGGCAAGTCGGTGGCAACCATGATGAGAACGTCGGGGTAAAAAACGCACTGCCTAGTAATGTAACTCTATAGACAGAACTTATTAATTTTTATCAAATATGAACGGTATTTGTTTTATGATTTGGGATTAATCTTGATGATTTAACTTTTGACTCAGTTTTCTTTCTTTTTGAAGGAAACAAACAACAAAGCCGTCAAGAGCGAAAAAATTTTCCAGTACTGAAACGCAATGGGTTAATGATTAAGTGGCAAGAGCAGAGTCCACTAAGCCAGTTCAATTGGGTAAAGAACTGATATTTGAATCAAAGGTTTTCTTTGGTTTCGATGTTATAATAGTACGGGGAAAGTGTCACCCACGATTTGGGAAAATTGGAACAATCGGTGAATGTAAAGCAATGCTGCTTCTAATAAAACAGCAACAATATTTTAGCGTAATAGACTAGTTGGTTTGTCGAGAGGTTCCAATAGTGTTTTCTATCCATCAAACACTAGAAATAATATCAACGACTATAACACTAATGAGGAAATGAATTTTCCAAGAGGAAGAACGCGAAAAAATAAAAAAAAAATAAAAAAAAAATAAAAAATAAAAATAAAGAGGAAATGTGGTGCACAACAAGAAAATAAACTATTCAAGACCAAAAAGATACGTAGCGATACTCTCCTGCCAGTACTCCTATTGTTGTGTTGTTCCTGTTGTTGTTGTCAACGACCGTTTGCGATGAGTTGTGGGTTAAGAAATCTTTGAAGCCGAAAAATTATTTTTCTTTCCATTCTCATTGAACGGACGAAATTTTTACGGTGAAGCAATTTTTCTGGCGTGCCGGCAGCATCAGTGAGCCCTGATTTTTTTTTTCCCTTTTACTTTTTATTTTCACTACATTGAGTGTGATTGTTGCACTCTTTAAGTTACAAAAAGGTGTTCTTGTAGTTATCTCAGTAAGAAAAAAGGGGTTTGAATCCCACCCAAAAAAATGAGGGTATATTATATCATCATCAACTTTGAAGCCACTACCGGCTCGGCAGCCGGTACGGTTCAACAAATGCTACGCAAAAGTCACTAATTTCCAACAAACACTCTCTGTATTCGAGTCAAATATTATATGTACAGGCCTATTATCTCAACTATTTTTCTTCAAAACCAAGAATCTCTTCAAAAAGCTCCTCACATGGAACAGTAGCCTTCAATCTAGCGCAAAGAAGGAAAACTCCGCTAAACTTTCTATGTAAGCTATAGGTTTCCTCTGGGGGTGGCGACAACCTCTCATTTAACATCAAACCAATGTTACCTCTAACTCTATCAGTGACTGTCTGTGATGAGAAGTTATATTCTTTGCCCTTATTAAGACTTGGTGAAAATGGCTCCCCAAGAACAAGAATTGAATCAACATGGGCCTTGGTCATTGCTGGAGTCTCCATTCCCGTTAAGTAGCCTAAGAGTTTACTGTAATGTAAGACACCTTCCCTATCTCTCTTGGCAGCACTCCTCAAAAGATTCACATAATTGGAGATGAACTCTTTGCTATATTCGATGGATGCACCAAAATCTAATAACTCAATAGTTCTTTCTTTTTCGTTATACAAAAAATTGGCCCAATTTGGATCTGTCTGCATAAATCTGAATTCTCCGATTTCTTTAAGGCATAATCTCATTATGTTAGAAGCTAACCAGTTTCTGGTATCTTGGTCCCAGTCACCTTTGGCGATTTCCGTACCTTTCATTTTCTCCATAGTAAGCACATGTTGACCGCTGAGATTGTGGAAAACCTTTGGCACAGTGAATACCGGGTCATCCATCAACAATTCTCTAAATCTAACGAGATTTTGCGCTTCCCTTATGTAGTCACATTCCCACTTCAATTCAGTACGTGCATTAGCAATGGACTTATCCAAAAATAGCCCCTTTGGTAAAATTCTGGAAGCGGTTAGCAAAATCAATATATTATTTAAATCAGAGTCAATACTGTCAATAACACCGGGATACTGAACTTTAACAACAACTTGAGTATGTCCTTCCCTGGTGACAGCTTCATGCACTTCACCAATGGAAGCGGCAGCCATCGGAACATCCTCAAATGATGCAAAGAATCTTCCCCTCCAATTTTCCCCCAATTCAGACAGCATAACTTTTTCCAATTGGTTAGGAGGCATGTAATGAGCACTGTTTTGAACTCTTAATAAGATCCGCTGGAATTCTTTTGGCAAAAAGGAGGCATCTTGAAACGACAACATTTGACCAACTTTCAAGGCGGCACCTCTCATTTTACTCAAGCTTTTGGCGATTCTTTCGACATTTCTAGGAGTTAGAAATAATGAAGAGTTATCATTCGAACCAGATGCAAATCTTTTGATACCTTCGGAGGCAGCCCCCATACTCACGCTTGCGGCCAAACTACCATAGTGGAAAATTCTACCCAATCTTGTGCTAGGAACCGCAGAGCTTTCCATTTCAAATTGTGGCTTTTGCTTTGTGCCAATAACTATTGTTTTTTTACCATAATCTTCATCTTTCTGCTTTCTAATGGCACCAAATGTTGAGAAAGCTCTTTTACCAAGACCTTTGTTTACCCCACCAATTTTTTGCTGCGCTTTGGCCTGGATTGACTTGTCTTTAGCAATTTGAAAGATATCTTTACTATTTTGCGAGACTATCCAATCATCGCTTCTAACTCCTTTCACGCTATTGGATTTGAGCTTAGCGAGTTGATAAATAGGTGATTCTTTAGTAAGCTCGTTGATAATAGAAGGGATGTAATTCTGCTCCGTTAGGCATTGAAAAGATCGAGTGCTCAAAAGCTTTCCAGACGCTTTTGCAACTTGAACACCACCATCCACCACGCACTTGAAGTCATAGATGAGCTTCCACACCAGGCTCATTTTTAATGAAGTTTTTGTGGAGGTGATTTGATAGTGTAGTTGAAAAACTCACACCCAAGTTACATTTTGAGCAGAAAAATGTTGTTCGGGCGAAATGTATATTTACCCGGCCTAATGTACATGCTTATATAATTGCTGACTGTGAGCGAAATCAAATTTTTTTATTTTTTAGAGGCAAAATCTTCCAGTGTTGAAGTTGGAGATAGGGATTTTCTTCAACGTTTTGTGATCCTTTTCGCGTCAAAGAAAAACAGTACAAAGTAATCATGTCTGAAGTACAACTTGACAGCAATCCAGAGCTTGCAAAAAAGTTCTACAACAGAACCTTGGAAAAGTTGGTGGAAATCAATGTTCCAGAAGAAACCAGAGGCGATATCGCTGAATTCATCGTGATGTTGGTTTCCAACAACAAAAGCCCACAAGAAATTATAGAAGAATTATCTGCTATTTCCGGAGACTCTATTAGCGTGGAATTCATCTCAACATTGTTTCAAGATTTAGAAGCTTTGAAGAATGCAGGCTTACAACAGCAGCTGGCGGAGCTTCAACAGCAGCAGCAGCAGCAGCAACAACAACAACAACAACAATTTACAGTAGGTGCCGCCCCATCGCCATTTACTGGAGTCAGTCAGTTCGCTAGTGTGGATTATAATGCTGGCGGCCCATTTGCTAATGCTGCCCCAATGAGATACAATAACAATAATGATCCTAATGGGGGATTTAGACAAAGAAATCAGAGATTTGGTCTTAATAATAACAATAATGGCGGGGGTATACGCAAGCATCAAAATAATGCTGTCAGAAAGAACTTTGGGGGAAATGCAGGCAATGCTCTTCAATTACAAAAAGCCTTGGCTGATTTGCTTAGTGGCAAGGATCCGACCAAAAAGAAGGTGCGTTGCAAAAACTTTCCACACTGTACCTTCAAAGATTGTAAATATGCTCATCCAACCAGAATGTGCTTTCAATTTCCAAACTGTCCTAATACAGGGGGCACCTGTACGTTCTTGCATCCAGGTGAGGATGATGCCTTGATGGCCGAATTCGAAAAAGTTAAGGCTGAAGCTGAACAAAGAAGAATTGAAAACAATCAAAAGATTGAACAACAAAACGGGATTGGTCTTTGTCATAAGGGTGCCAACTGTGTGAACCCAAGTTGTAAATATGGACATCCAACCAGAGCCAATGAAAGTAACGAAGTCAACGTGTTTGAATGGTGTGCTAATGGAATTAATTGCGCTGATGCAGGTTGTCATAAGGCCCATCCATCATACAAGACTAAAGAAGAAGTCTATGGTCCACAAACCCACTATAATAATAGAAAGTCAAACAACCTTGCCAAATTAGCTTCATTGATTTCTAATCCTGCTGCCGTGCAACAGACCCAGGAAAAGTCTTTGGAACAGTGTAAATTTGGCTCAAGATGTATGAATCCAAGATGTAAATTCAGGCATGCTAGTACTTCAGTGATGTGTCGTGATGGTGCTAATTGTACTAGAATTGATTGTTACTTCTCCCATCCATTGAGCCAGGACTGCAAATATTCTATCAACTGCAAAAACAAGTACTGTCTTTTCAAGCACCCTCCAGAGAGAGATGAAATGATCAATAAACCTTTGGTGTGGACTGCTGATGGTAGCAATGATGATACTAAGATGAATACCACCAATGAAAGACAATTTGCTGTCGCAGAAGGTGAAGTTTTGGAAAAAGCACCAGTGCAAGAAGACTCTTCCATGGCCACTTAACTAAAAGATGAAGGGGAAGTGAACATAGAGCGATGTTTAAAACGCGATATTTTCATTTTCCCATTTTGAAATGGCTGTTTTTTTTTTTTTTTGTTTTTTGTTCGACAGAAACATCCAATTATGAAGGCATCTATTTCTGTCAAATACTGCTTTTCGCTTGTTTGTTTTCTGTTTGCTACAATGTGTTATAATATTGTTATTATTTATGATCAACATCGTGAAATAATGGCTGAGTTGTAATTTATATAATTTATTTATTTTTTCCTAAATTTTGTGCTTTTTTTTTTTCTCTCTTCCACATTATTATATTTCTGTTTTAACCTGTTCTATAAAAAATTTTATCTCTTTATTTTGATATTTGACTCCTTTTGAGGTATGGTCTAATAGCATTGTGAAATGATTGAATAATATGTTGATTTTTCATCTGATTTGGACTTGGGGGAGAATCTCGAACCAAATGATTATTATTTTTCTGATTTACTTTGATTTAATTTGTTTTGTAAGCATTTCCCATTGCACTTTATTATTTTCTGTCTATTCATCATCATTATATTTTTTCTATCAAAGAATGTCACCTAATCACTTAGTGGGAATTCGTGATATATGGTCAGATGACCAAAAGAAATATCAAAAAAAAAAAAAAAAAAGTCAATGCGATGTAAGAAATCACAGGTAAAGATGGGGAACCCCAAACAAAAGGCAGATTAAGATTATATACAACACTCCAAAATCGTGTGAAAGTTCACTACCTGTTATTTCATCATTTAAACATAAAATAATGAGCGTTGATAATGTACAGCAGCAGCAGCCTCCAGAAGCCCCACAGGAACCCCAAGAGCCTGTCGAAGATATTCCACCAACCAGATGGGAGATCGAATTGGAGGTAAGTTGATTTCCTTATTATTGGTCCACTTGATCCCCTGGATATCTAAAATCGTGAAAGAAAACACATATCATTATGCTAACTCTGTTACTAACTGAAGAATGGTTTGTTCAATCTTTCTCCAACTTGAATTATTTGAACTATCTTGCTCAAAACCAATACCTTGAAGATGAACGGTTCATGTCCTACCTACGATATCTTTATAACTACTGGTCCCAACCAGAGAATGTCAGGTATATAATTTGGCCCAATTGTCTACACGTACTAAAGTTATTGTTGAATAGTCTGACATTCAAATATGAGATCTTGAAAAGAGAAGTGGCCGATATTATTATGAATGGTATGATTGAAAATTGGCATAAAAGCAAAAGTGTGGAAATGGTCGGGAAAACAAAGGGGGCTAGTAATAGTAATGGAAGTACCAGCATTGAGAACTATACGGAGAATAATAATGAGACTGAAACTGTTAATGGTCCAGCAACCAATCCAAATACAACTACCGACATCGACATGGCTAGTAAAGAAGATTCTGCTTCTCAATCAGCAATTAACAACAGCTAGTGGAAATATGCCCTCAGTCTGATATTAGTTATGTATATTTATATTATAGAATTCCTTGGACATCCTCTTTTTTTTTTGTGGTTTCAGATCTAGCATTTCCCCTTTTACACAATATACCTTGGAGCTAAACAAAAGGGCGTAAATTCATTACAAAATAACATAAAAACTAATAACACAAGTAAGGAAATAGAAATCAAAATCAATATCAAAATTCAACAGGCACGGGATCATTTTTTGGTGATTCTGGATCTTGTACCTGGGGGCTTTGACCTATATTTACTGCCATATACCCTCCTTTGAAGAATTTCTTCGCGCTCCTTGATCTTCCTCATTCTTAATTCCTCTTGCTGTCGCAACTTCCTTTCAGTTGCCTCTCTAGCCTGCTTTAGTCCATTGTACTTATTCACTAGATTGTTGTACTTTGTAACTTTCTCTTTGTATAGCATATTATCTGTAGTTGAGCCTTTCCATTTATAATCGCTGGGACCCCCCACAGGGAAGCTGCTCTGGCTCAATAATAATTCAGAGATTTCACCATTCTTCACTAGTATCTTAGCCCATTTATCGATTAGCTGATTCGTCACCTTGAGACTCTCATCAACTTGGTTTATGTTCCATTGTATTGTATCCAAGGTGCTGGATAAATTTGCAAGCAATGAGTTTATAAGTTTAAGCTTTGTGATCTCATCTACCTGGGTCAAAGGAAGCGCGTTAGATATGGTTGTCGTGCCGGTGAACTCATCACTGTCGCGAATCTGGTCCAAATTGGCCTTAATAGTTTTTAGATCTGCCAGAATCCGGTTTTCCAATGATGACATCTTTGTAGTATTAATAGCTAACTTGTCATCCCATTGGTGTTATACACATAAGCTGTTGTTTGTTTGCATTTTTTAGTAGGAGGCATTTTGTCGGTGCTCTTAGCAAGTGATTTGAAGTAATTCCTGGAAGGTCATCGATTTATGTCCGGGTGATGTTTTTTTGCAATTATTTTTTTCGGGTAGCTCCAATCCCATGGATACATCATCCCATCTCCTGAAGCAGCATATACTAGATCTCAATACTGAGCGTAGCCTCTTTAATGATGATTGGAAATGTTTTATTAGGGAATTAACCAACATAAAATTATGCTTTTATATGTAGCTTATACAGTGGAAAAAACAGGGCTCCTAAAAAAAAAATATGCTCAATATTGTTTATTACGTGACTTTTTTATTTATTTTTTTGTTTACAGGAAGTCTTATGTTATAGTTGTTCTTTGACTTGTTCGAATAAAGAATCATCAGATTGAAACATCGAAGAATAAGATGAAAATTAATTAGCGGAAGTGAAAATAAAAGTTAATTATGAGTGTCGAGAATTGAACAGAATCAAATAAGTACCAAGAAGTGAAAGAGTGCAAAAATAGAAAAAGAACGAAAAAGAAAAGTCTCAAAGAAATAGTAAATCAATTACTTCTTACAAAGAGACGATTTCAGAAGCACCAGAGTTATAGTTAGCCTGAGCAATTTGAATTTGAGAATCAGTAATGTCATAAACAACATAAGCAGATCTCAAGAAGCCATCACCGAGAATGTAGTAGTTAGAACCAGAGTCCAAGACACCAACCAAACATTCATCAGAAGTACCCTTGGCTTGACCATTCAAGTTGTACAACAAGTTGCTGAAAGGAACGGTGATGGTCTTGTCTTCGAAAGTGAAAGTGAAATCTTCACCCTTGGTAGAACAAGAAGTAGTATAACCACCGACTTGGGAAGAGTAAGTACCGTATTTAGTACCAACTGCCTTGGCAACGTCAGATGGGGCGTAGATCAAAGTGGTACCCGAGTCCAACAAAGCTGGGTACGAAGTGGAAGCAAAAGTGTTATCACCAGATTTGATGCCGTCCAAGTTGACGAAGAAAGCCACAGCTTCGGAAGTGGAAGAACCAGAGTCATCAATGTTGACAATTGACAAAGTTTTCAAGTCATCAGAGTATTTGGATTTATCAACCGCACCGAACAAGATAGAACCAGAAGTGGCTTCCAAATTGTTCAAGTACAAAGAGTAAGCGGCTTTAGAAATGATCCCTTGATTGGCCATTTGCAATGGCAAGTTGTCATAAGTGAAAGCATCGGTGTAAGATTGGGCTGAGGCTTCATTACCTTTCATACCGACCCCCAAAATTGATTGGCCAACGTTTTGAGTAGTGGCATCCCCGAATTCCAAACCAGTAATTTTAGAACCGCCAATAGTAACGGTTTCTTTGGCCCAGTCACCGGAGGCAGAAGATCCATCACCGTAACCGATTTTGAAGCCGGATTTGTCCTTTTTATAAGTAGAAGATTTGGAATTATCGTAAGTACCGTAGTTAGATTGAGTACCAGCTCCTGGGACCCACAAGTCAGAAGAGCCTGTGTCGACATCAACCTTCATCTTTTGGCCAGGGGTACCGATTTCGATTTCGGCCAAATACAAAGAGTATTCATTATCTAATTCCAAGTTAATACCTGCAGAGGAAGCAGCTCTGATGGCTCTTCTACCTTTGACTTGAGATTGAGTTCCATTGGAAGCACCATATCTGACGACGTTGAAGTTGAGTTGTGGTGGAGTGATTGTACTTCTTTCAACTGGGGCAGCAGATGCAAAGGAAGCCAAAGAAGCAGCAACTGATAACAAAACTGAGATGGATAATTGCATATTTGAAACTGAAATGAAAAGAATTGAAAAAATGGAGTTGAAAATGAAAGAAGAATTGAATTGATGAATTATAATAACGGAAATCAAAAGCTCTCTTAGTATGTAGTAGGACCTATTGGTATTTATACAATTTTATTCAATACAAAACTATTTTATTAATATATTTTTCCAAGTCTTATCCGTGTTTGAAGAATGCTTAATATCTAATTTTAGTTGTATGTCAAGAAATTTTATGAGGCGGTATTTCACATTCCGTGCTGCATGTTCAAATGTCTTTTCCGCATGCTGAGGTTTGAAAAATCTCCCATCATCCAATCTCCCCAGAAACTGACATTATCAATTCTATGGAGCCGTGCCAATGATTTTACCAAGGGTGCTGTAGAACACTAAGCCCAAGTGTGGACTTTTTCTTGCCCAGAAATGTTGCTATTTTTTTCTTGGTTTCACAATCAACAGAGGCGGCTTATTACAAGATCGTACTTACCTGTGGGAAATACCTCCTTCACAATAAGAACTATAATAAATTGCAAATTAATCTCCACAATAGCACAATCTCGTGATTTTCTTTTTTTTAGATGTAATAAATAATAAGGGCCTATAAAGGATTGAAAATATTATCGTCTGCCGTACAGTTGATAATCACCAATATAGTCCAACAGTAATACGTCATCTTGGTATCTAGAAATGATAGTTCAGAGGAAATGATTATAAATTTTGCAAGATCAATATTACTATGATTTCTGGGCCACCCGCAATCAAAAAGAAAGGCTCCATTATCTCTATTACCTGTAATCAAAGATCATAATGTCATTTTAAAATATTGCAGCATAGGAAGCTTCCACAGCATCAGATCAATATGACGTGCCATTTTGTTTTTAATAAATAAATGAAAAATTTTCTATTTAAATATTTTATTTCTTATTTCAACATTAAAGTAATATCTCTCGTCAAAAGGAACAATACACACATTCGAATAAGTAAGTCATCTGGGGGTGTAAAACGCTATATAGAATTACCAAAAGCCACGTTGACAAGAGTTAATTTAGAGATGACTGAATATATTTTCTAAAGCATGCTGATTTTTATTTGAAACTACTTTCCCCATTTTTCCTCTCCCTTATATTTTCATTATAGATATAAATTTATTCTTTTTATAATCCAAAAAATGTGATACACCCTATGATGGATTTATTACTATAGTTGGCTAATAGTCGTCTGTAGAGTGCTGCATATTACACTATAGACTTTCATGCAGTTTGCTTACACAGCGCCAGGCTGCATAATTGTGTGTATTACCTCCTATAATATAAGGATAACATTCAAAGAATTATTACGATATTAACGAACCATAAGTCGTGGAGCAGCCTTGATGCTGTTTGTGAAAGCCAGTATGCTATGACGACTGAATATTTAATATGTATGATATGGATCACTTACACAACAAAAAACACATACACACTGCAATGACATTAGTATTATTATAATAAAAACACGGCAGGAATGTGAATTAAAGATCCTTTTTTAGGAAAGAAATAACAAGCGATATCGGTTCAAGTTTATTTGAAGATACGACAGAAAGTAATTTATTAAACTTTATTCGAACAAACAAAGACGTAACTATAACTCATGAAGTAAAATGTGACTTACCATAACAAAAAGTTATCAAAGAAAAAATAAACAAAAAATAACAAGACGAAAAAAACACTCTCTATAATTGATACTCTATAATTGACTCTATAATTGATACTCAGGGTCTTTTTTGACCTTAGCATCATCTTTATTACCCCAATAATAATCACATAATGGGATAGCAATACTTGTCCAAAGTAGCAAACAGACAGTAAATGCAATGGCATATCTCATACCCTGTGTTTTTTCATAGTAAGGAGCATCACTGGATGGGAACACATGCTGTTGATATGGAGTGACAACAATTGTTCCAATCACAATCATAGCAGGAATTGTGAAGGATCTCAACACCAAACTCTTCTTGCAGGAAATATTACACCAACCAGCAAGCATTGGAGTATAGCAACCGTAAACACCAGTCAAGCAGTACCCAAACTTTCTAACACCTTCATCATGAGATTTTAGAAGAATCGCCATAGAGACGGTTAGAAGGCATCCGACAACCATTAGCACAGGCCAACGGCGATTCATTTTATCAGCAATATAGCCTGAACTCAACATTGTTACTAAATTCACTCCGGAGATGATAGTAGGAAAATTATTAATGTATGAAATACTGTACTTCTTTAAAGATTTCAAATAGACTTCAAAAAATTGAAGCATATAAGAAGCAGCAGTCAAAGTCCACAAACAATATCCAATGGAGAATACATAAGGTTGCCAAGAAAAGGTAATTTCTTTGAGAGTATCCAAATTGTAACTGATTTTCTTGGTAACACGGCCATCTTCTTCAAGACGCTCTTTGGCCCTCTTACGCTCCCATTCATTCAAGTAGAAAGCTTGAGTATTGTAAGGATAATCGGGAATCACAAAGAGACCGTAGATGATGATTGGTACGGATAAGCATGCTTCAAAGATAAACATCCACTGGTAAGCATGCAAACCTAGACGACCTTCCATCGAACTCTGCAACCCAGACTGAATGTAAGAAGAAGTAGCCTGACCAATAATACCAGCAATAATGTACAAATTGCCCAATCTGAGCACCTCATTACTCTTGAACCAACTTCCCAACATCACATGGCCAAATGGGTTAGTGGCTGACTCAAACAAACCCAAAAAGAAACGGCAAACGTATATCTGGTTAGCTGTGGAACATTTGTAAACGAAAAGCACAGTCAATGCCCAAAGTAAATCCATTATTGGTAAGAAATAACGAGGACGGAAGTAATTGGCTAAAAAAACTGCCGGAATACTACCGACAATGGTACCAATGTTGAAGAAAGTATTGAACCAAGAGAGCTGATTACCATTAAGATTCAAATCCTCCTTCATTCCCGACACATATGCGTTGGAAATATTGGTCTGATCTAGATATTTGAGAAAATAGGCAAGCATACTGTAACTAAGAATGAAGAATTGAAGCTTCAAGATCAACTTTTTTTCTTTAGGAGAAGTCCCTGGCTCGAACCATTGGAACCATCTAGCAAAGCCTGAGGAAGACGCTTCTTTTTGTTTGTGTGAACTAACGGAGACAACGTACTCTTCCTTGTTAGAAAGCGAAGAGCCATCAGGGTTATTAGTAACGGCAGACATGTTGTTTTAAGATATACACTACACAAAAGAAAAAGGGGTTATCTTTTTTTTTATTTCGTTTCTAGTTTTCAAAAGAGAAATCCCAGGAATATTTATTCTTGGGCTATCTGCCCCTCATGCATGTCGTCGGACAACCGTCGGAAAACTGTGGCGGATAACGAAGCCACAATTTGTAATCTGTGCGAGACAAAAACCGTTACGGGCCCCATTTCTTTTGTGATTTATCCCAGATTCCGTCGTAAATTATCACCAATTCATGGTTGCTTTGTGCTTCTATTGGACCTCTTTCTCTATGCTTTTGCTTCCCTGTTATCTGTCAGTTATCTGTCAGCTATCTGTCAGCTATCAGATTGCGCTACATCATGCAATATGGGGGTATAAGCAAAAAAAAAAATATTCCTCGCCTCTTTTGCCTATCTAAGTCATCCAGAGATAGCGGAACTTTAACCTTTGAACTGGAAAATAGTGGGAAGGTCCTCAGGATATGGTTACTGAGAGTCACGATTGTTTCCATCATTCACTATCACATTAATAAGCGATATCCACCTTTTTTTTTTAGCTTATTTTTCTGCGGCCCTCTCTTCCCTCTGTACTATTAATCCTTCATAGTGGGAAATCATCAGATATTGTAGCAATGTCTAAAGTAAAAATCTCAATTGGTATGTCGAACTATCATCTCCTAAGCAAGCAGCACATGCGAAGTAAAAATATCACTAACATTTTATTCAGATAGAGGCGGTACCTTCACTGATTGCTGGGCGGACATCCCTGGTCAAGGTGAAGTCATCTTCAAGCTATTGTCAGAAGATCCTCAGAATTATTCTGATGCCCCTGGTGAAGCAATTAGAAGAATCTTGGAAAAATATACAGGGGAACCCATCGCTAAAGATGCGAAGCTTGACGGTAACTTGATTGAATATGTTAGAATGGGTACCACTGTCGCCACAAATGCTTTATTGGAAAGAAAGGGTAGAAAATTTGCCTATGTCACCACTGAGGGTTTTGAAGAAGTTTTGGAGATTGGTACCCAAGCAAGACCTGAATTATTTAACTTGAAGATCCAGAAGCCCGGACCATTATATGATGAGGTTATTGGTATCGAAGAAAGAATCACTGTTGAGACTTCTTCAGATGATCCTAATGAAGTGATAATTGATCCTAGTGACCCGGAAATTATTATAACATCATCCACTACGCCGGTTAGAATAATCAAACCCTTGAATATCGATCTGAGCAAAAAGCGCCTAACACAGCTATTTGAAAAGGGATACCGTAATTTGGCGGTCTGTTTTGCTCACTCTTTCCTATATGATGACCACGAGAAAATAATCTATAAATTAGCTAAAGATGTCGGGTTCCATCATATTTCAATTTCTTCCGAAGTATCTAAAAGTATCAATTATTTGAATAGAGGTAACTCCACTTGTATTGATGCGTACTTGACACCAATAGTTCAAGAATATATTGACGGATTTTTATCTATTTTCAATAGTATTCCAAAAGTCCAATTTATGCAATCTGATGGCGGTTTGACGGATGCAAAAGATTTTAGAGGAATTTCGGCAATCTTATCCGGACCAGCAGGTGGTGTTGTTGGTGTTAAGGAAACATGTTATGAGAATAGAGACTTAGTTGGGTTTGATATGGGCGGCACGTCTACTGATGTTTCTAGAGTCAATGGTAATAATTTTGAAATCTCTTTCGAAAACAAAACCGCAGGTATCGAAAACAGTGCCGGTCAACTACAAATTCATACTGTTGCCGCAGGTGGTGGGTCTATTTTGAAATGGGAGAATGGTTTATTCCATGTCGGTCCTGAGTCTGCTGGATCTCACCCAGGTCCTGCTTCTTATAGAAAAGGTGGACCATTAACTGTTACTGATGCAAACTTGTTTTTGGGTAGATTGGTGATCTCCCAGTTTCCTAAAATTTTTGGGAAAAACGGTAATGAACCCTTAGATGGAGAGCTTGTGAGATCCAAGTTTGAGGAATTGACATACACTATAAACAAAGATACAGGGAAAAATCTTTCATCTGAGGATGTAGCATTAGGATTCTTGAATATTGCTAATGTCAAGATGGCTAATTCAATCAGAGATATTACGGAATCTCGAGGTTACGTTACCAAATCTCATACATTGGTTTCATTTGGTGGTGCCGGATCGCAAAATTGTTCTGCTGTTGCTAGAAATTTGGACATCAATAAAGTAGTGATCCATAAATATTCTTCCATTTTATCAGCGTACGGTATTGCCAAGGCGAAAATTACTTATGATTTGACTGAACCATACAACTCTGAGTTCTCTAATGATGCCCTTGAAAAAGCGCAAAGCACTATTTCTGATTTAAAGGAAAAAGTTGTGACTTACCTTGTCGAAAATCAAGGAATTAAGGATCAAGAAGACATTGATATTGTTGTGAGTTTATCAATGAAGTATAAGGGATCCAATACCTCCTTTTTAATTGAAGCTGTGAACGGCGACTATGTTACTCCGTTTCTCCAAACCCATGAAAGAGAATTTGGATTCAATAATCCTAACTCCCAAATACTTGTTTCAGCAATTAATGCTAAGGGTGTGGCTTCGCCTAATGGCAAAGAGGCTCCTATTTCTATCGATGATCAGATAAAACAAGTGAAATTGTTAGCCAAAACAGTAGATAGCAACGAAACTCAGCGTGTTGTATTTGAAAATGGTATTTATGACAACACTAAAATTTACCGTTTACAAAATATTGAAAAAGGTGCAGTTATACCTGGTCCTGCGTTAATTATTGATGCCACACAAACAATTTTAGTTGATCCTAATTCACAAGCATATATTTTGGATAGCCATGTGCTAATCGATTTATTTGAGCCAAAATTAGGCGAAGCAAATAATGATAATGACGCAGCTGTCGAAAAATCAGGATATGTGGCTGACCATGAAATCAATGAGAGCACACCATTAGATCAGGCAGATCCAATATTATTGACAGTTTTTGGACATAGATTCATGGGGATTGCTGAAACTATGGGTAGAACATTACAACGGACTTCGGTTTCTTCTTCAATCAAGGAAAGATTGGATTTTTCATGTGCTATCTTCGATTCTGAAGCAAGATTATGTGCTAATGCTCCTCATATCCCAGTCCATTTGGGATCAATGCAGTTTGCAATCCGTTATCAACATGAATTACATAAAGATACTTTGAAACCTGGTGATGTACTTGTGTCAAACCACCCTGAAGCAGGTGGTACTCACCTTCCTGATATTACGGTTATCACTCCAGTGTTCCACAAAGGGGAAATCGTCTTCTATGTTGCATCTCGTGGTCATCATTCAGATATTGGCGGTGCTGGTATTACTGCAATGAGTCCAAACACTAAGGAGTTATGGCAAGAAGGGGTTTCTATCAAAAGTTTCAAGTTAGTTAGTGAAGGCAATTTTAACGAAGAAGGGATTGTGAAATTATTCAACCAGGTTGCTGAAATGCCGGGCTGTTCAGCGACAAGAAATATCAGCCATAATTTGAATGATTTGAGAGCTCAAGTTAGTGCTAACAAAAAGGGTATTACATTGGTTGAAAATCTTTTCAATGAATATGGGAAACAATTTGTTCAATATTACATGAGAGCAATCACGTATAATGCTGAACTTGTGGTTCGTGATTTTTTTAAAAAAGAGTATCGAAAGAATGGTGGTAAAGCAATGGAAGCTGAAGATTATTTTGATGATGGAACCAAAGTAAAATTGAAAATCACTATTGATGGGGATAAAGGTGAAGCATATTTTGATTTTTCTGGCACAGGCCCAGAAACATATGGTCCAATGAATACCCCTGTATCGATTACCCATTCTTGTGTCATTTATGTCGTCCGATGCTTGATTGATTTGAACATTCCTTTAAACCAAGGTTGTCTTGTACCATGCCATATTGATATTCCTAAAAATACTATATTGAACCCTAGTGACTTTGTTGCCATTTGTGGTAGCACTATTTCAGGACAAAGAATTACTGATGTAATCTTGAAGTGCTTTGGTAATGTTGCTGCATCTCAAGGTTGTGCAAACTCTTTTGGTTGGGGCCGTGGTGGTAAAGACCCTTACACCGGTAAGGTGGAACCTGGTTTTGCGATGGGTGAGGCTCTTGGAGGTGGTGTAGGCGCATTGGAAGGGTATCACGGTGCATCAGCCTGCAATGTTCATTGCACGAATACCAAGACAACTGATATCGAAGTTGTTGAAGCCAGAGCTCCGGTGATGATAACTAAATGGGCAATTCGTAAAGGATCAGGTGGTGAAGGTAAATGGAGAGGAGGTGATGGAGCTATTCGTGAGATTGAGGCTCGTGTGCCTTTACGAGTATCTATCTTATCAGAGAGGAGAGTCTTTGCTCCTTATGGTGTAGAAGGTGGTGGACCAGGGGCCACGGGTCAAAACTTGTGGTTCAGAAAACAAGAAAATGGTGAATATATTGTTACAAAATTGGGGCCTAAGGAAATCATTTATGTGAAGGCCTTTGATCGTGTTCAAATTCAAACTCCTGGAGGAGGAGGATTTGGCCAGTCGTGATATCAATATTTATCAGTTGTTTTTCTTATTTCCGTAATAATTTTCTTCAGTATTCATATATTCATAGAGCAAAATAGATTTTTTTTTTTTTCTCGTTATTTGCTTTGATGATGTAGAGTTGACTTGTACATTTACTTCAATTGTTGGAATGTGCTTAGTTTATATTAAGCAAAGACCGTTAGCCTTCAGTTTTCCTTTAGAGGAAAATGATTCTTTTTTTAAAAAAAAGAAATAAACTTGAATAGTTGAAAAACTTTATTCAATAATTGTTTATCACAAGAACTGTATAAAGTTTGCATAGTTTATATAAACTAATGACGACAGCGATATGTAATGTCAGAGTTATCAGAAATTCAAAAAGCAGTAGCTTTGCAACCATTTTTCCTTCCTTTCGTTTCTTTTATGTATTTATTTACTTGGTTATTGTTTTCTTTTCTTTTTAATTTATTCAAATAACAACACATAATGCAAAATAACGTAAAATGGTAACACAAAAAGCAAAAATAAAAGTAACAACAAATGATAGGCAAATACCACAAAAATGACGAAAAATAAACAAAAACAAGAACAAAAAAAATAAAAAAAAAAAAAAATGAGATCATAAGAATCAACTTTGTCATTAAAATTAATCACAACTTCAATTCCTCAGGGGTGACCTTTTCAAATAAGTCATGGATAAGATCAGTTATATTGCCGATTTCATTGGTAATTTGTGAAGACACCAATATATAAGAGTAAATAATAGTGAAGTCCTTGTCATTGATGTGATCATCATCAACACAATTACTATTCTCCTTTTGGTACTTTCTGATTTTAGCCAACTTCAGCAACATTCGATCTTTGGCATGGGTAGTGGAAATACCTTTTGAGGGTAATGGAAGCCCCAATTTCATAGCCGAGGCAATCATATAAAAATTCAAAAGGATTCTTCCTTCAAGCTCCTCACGCTCATCCTTAATGAAATTAAGAACCATAAATGAATTATCAGTTGACAAGAAATTGCTACTGTTGGGTGACTCAGTTCCAAGTGATTGCAGCCCAGTAGAGTCCAAGTAACTCTCATTAGTCTTCAAAATAATCATGTTCATATTTTCAAAAGCATTAATGATCACTTCGGACGAGTCTAATAATGAACGATACTTTTCAAAATTAAACGGTCCTTTGATTCGAAATTCCATTGGTGCTTGCGAGCATAATGTCTCTAATTGAGAAAACAAATCATGGACTTTGAACTTATGAAGCGGCACCCCAACAAGTTCGTACCGTGGTTTACTGTTATCATCATCTTTGTTATTGTCCTCATTTTGGGAGCCTTTTCTCATCTTGTAATCTAAAGGATCACTATTCCATAATATTCCCAATTGCAACCAAAGTAAGCTCAATCCTTTCTTCAACCTGCTTCTTGCGCTCGACGGCAACACAAACGAAGTTATGAAAAGTGCCCAACAAATACCGACAGAAACACTAACAAATCTATGAAATCCAATTGCTCGGACCAATGGAGAGTTTCCACCTTCTCTATCATCTTCATCATCATCTAAAGTCATACTGAAACTATATAATGCCGTCAAATTGTAAGTCAATAAGATGAATCTACCATACGCGTTGAACTTTGGCCATTTCAAAATGATATTGAAAGAAGGAATCGAAATAAGAAAACCAACGGTCGCCAACGCCAAAGGATGACCAGAAAATAATGTCCAAGTGATCACTGCCGTCATCGACCCAAGAAAAGTGCCAATAAATCTCCATTTCACCGTCATTTGTGTGCCCCCAACCGTTTGGTTCATCATGATAGAATAAATAACCAATGCCCACTCGAGTCTCCAGTCAATGAAAATCATTCTAGTTTGAGGAATGAAAGCAATAGAGGATAGAATAAATGCCCCTATACCAACTCTCATTCCAAACTGAATATCCGAACGGCGAAAAGTGTTGAAAAATTTCCACAATTTGTATCGAGCGGTTTTGGAACTGCCATCAAAATCAGACAGGCTTTCAAAACCAGTGTGTTTGAAAATATTCAATTGAGGTCGACCATCATGATCTCTAATCTCGTGGTTTTTAACCAATGGGATTTCCAGTTCATCATGAGTCTCACTATTATCAAGACTGTTCCGTTTCCAAGAAAATTTCCAATATTTCCAAAATTTTGACCATCCAAAAGACTTTTTATCATTTTCAATATCACAAGAATACTGTTTTAACAATTGTAATGCATTGTTCAATTCGTTAGAGTACTCCATAATGGAATATGAAAAGTTGAAGCAACTTGCCGCCACTTCTTCTCCATCAGCTCTCAATTCATCTATAATAATATGTTCATCGTCATTAACAATTTTGAAAATTTTCTCATTGCTATAGATCTTTTCCATGGCAACGGTCTGTTTGCTGTTGAACAATTCTTGAGCCTTGTTTAAACTTTCAGCAAACATGCTAATATTTTCCACAATTTTATATGGTTCGTTGTTATCAAAAGGAACATGGTCCAAAATTTCTCTAACGGTGAAAGAAAATGATTTGATAGATGGACCAAGATAAAATATGAAAAGGTTGAATAATTGTGGTGGTAGGATCGTCTCTGATCCATAATCTTTGGTTGTTGAAGTTTCAATATCAAGCTCATCCAGTAATTCACTAACAGCGTCAAGATCGAGTTTCAAGTTCCCACTTTTAGAATGACAACCTTCATTGTTGAGTTTTGGCAAAAATTGTGGGCGCAGCTTATTTTTCCCCTTGTTATTTTTCAATTCATATTCATGAAGTAAATCCCATTGCATATCTGTACTATTTTTCAAACCAGCGAGATATCTGGTTAAGATAATTGTAGAATCCACAATTTTTGATAAGGTGGAATATTCAGTCTCTTTACCAGACACCAACAATTCATATTTACACTCTTCCAAATCAGTTTTCAACTTCTTAACACATTTCTTTAACTGGGCTTGAACTTTGGTGATTGCCACTTCGTGTTTATTCTGCCCGGTCAAAAACTTATCAGATAACAATGATAGGTAATCACTCATTAGATAATACGATTCGTTTAAATGTTTCTTGATGCTATCATTGGCGCTGATTGGCCACAATGTATAACAAAGAACAATAGACACCATTGCACCAGCAATCACAATCCTGAAAACTGAATTCAATCTATCAAATGGAATAGTATGAGAATTACCAATGCTTTCATCGTCATTAATGAATTTTCTGCTCCCTTCTTTGACAATGGTAGAAATCATAGAAGTTGAAGCCAACGAACACGCAACGTTAAAAGTCTGTTTACCCATTTTGATCTTGAAAACACTCACCACACTCAATGCAATAGAAATCACAATGATATTGATTAAATAGCTAATTTCATCTTGGGAAATGTTATACATATAGTTTGAAAAAAATGCACAAAACACACTGATGGAAAGACTGTAAAGCAATGAGATCATTATGAATAGTATTGATTGATGCATCGATCCAATTGACCTTGAAGGATGGAAATAAACCGCTACAGTCGCCACTAAATGCTTATTATCACTTGAACCGAGTAACTGGCCAATGGGTTTACAATAAACCCCCAATGACGCGATGAAGTACGCGATAGAGCATTTGAGGACATCACTAGAGAGATAATTTCGCACAATCACTCCAGTAAACGCGGTTAGTTTATGTTTTAGTCTTTCTATATATCTTATTTGTTGGTGATGATACAACGGCAAACCCTCTTCAACATTGGGTCTCAACACTATTATGGGCGGCGTACCAGTTATCGCTGAATCTAGAAGACTGACGTCATGATCATGAGAAGTTTCTCCAGTTGCTGGAATGATCACTGAGCTATTACCAACCACACGGCTATAGATCTCATCAATTTGATATCTATCCATCATATCAGTCGTGTCAGGATTATGATTATTTTGGTAATCGTCATCAGTCGCGGGGAACGCATTGCCAGAAATAATATTGTTACCCACTGAAAAAATCGAGTTCGCTGAAGTTCTCCTTTTGAGAATTGAGCTCTTTGAGTTGGCCCTGTTTAATTTAGGCATTTTGCTTATGTTCTAAGGATCACTTGTACAATCATAGGATTGTCAGTTACCATTGGCAAAGAAAAGACAGTAAAACGGTGTTAGGAATTTCATTCGATAAATAAATAGATAACAAACGCGCAGATCCCAAAATTTTCGGGAGGAGAATGGCGGAGCATGTGACACGCAACTCATCAACATCATTGATTTTATCAATTTTTTTTTAGTATTTCCTCAATTTCAGTGTAAGAAAGTTGCATTTATTCCATCTATTTCGCCTACAGTCAATATTTCCCTTGAAAATTTAGCGATAAGAGCATTTTTGACATGAAGTATTCCAATTGAAAAATGATATTAGCACGTGATAAAACACTGAAATTGAGACCTCAGTGATTTTATAATAATCCGCCCTTTTGGAGTCCTTCAGTCATCAGCATTTACAATAACATACTTAAACATCATAAATAGTTCTTTCAAATCAAAAAAATATTAATGAGCGAGCAGTTTTGCATAAACAAAAGAAATCAATAATAAATCACAATTTAGATTTTCTAGCAAAAATCTTCGGTAATGTTCTTCTTTGAATCTTACCAGTTGGTGTCTTTGGTAATTTATCAACAAAATACACCTTCTCTGGCACTTTGAATGAGGCTATTTTTGTCTTCAAGTATTTCTGGAATTCTTCCAAAGTCAAGCTGGCATTAGGGGCCAAAACTATCGCAGCATGGACGACTTGGCCATACTTTTCATCTTCTACCCCAAACGCAACAGCTTCAGCCACCTTTGGGTAAGTTAACATCACATTATCTAACTCGATTGGTGAAATCTTTTCACCGCCTCTATTTATCAATTCCTTGATACGGCCAGTCAAAGTCAAAAAGTTGTCTTTGTCAAAATAGCCCTGGTCGCCTGTTCTAAAATAACCAGCAGTGAAATTTTCTGCGTTGGCCTTTGGATTATTGAGGTAACCTTTGGTGACATTTTCCCCTTTGATAGAAACTTCGCCAATTTCCCCTTGTTTCAAAATCTCGTTTCTCTCATTAAGAATGACGATTTCCACTCCATGGGCCTGGCCTACAGTGCCTGGTTTACGCTTACCAAATTGTGGCAAGTTATTAGAAGTAACACAATGGGCACATTCAGTCATACCCATGGCCTCAACGACAGGTGCTCTGAAAGTTTGTTCCAATTTTTCCAAGTTTGCTGGAGCCAAGGCAGAAGAACAGGATCTGATGAATCTGATCTTTGGGACCTCTCCTTTAGGAAGACCAACCTTCAACAAGATTTGGTGGATGGTTGGCACGGCGCTGTACCAAGTCGCTTTGTAGGTTATGAAATCCTTCCAGAAATTATGGGCCGAGAACTTAGGAGCAATGATGGCAGTGCCTTGAGAATAAAAGGTTGAAAACAACGCGCCAATAAGACCATGGACATGGAATAATGGCATGACCACATAAGTGGTATCGTCAGAGTTCAAACTGTAAGTTCCGGAAATGATTCTCATGGAGGCAGTAATGTTTCTGTGTGTCAAAGGAACAGCCTTTGGTCTGCCAGTAGTACCAGATGTATGTAAAATCATTGCCACATCTTCCGGGGAAGGCTTGCCAGAAAATTTGGTCAAATTACAAGAAGCTTTGGCAGAGTCCCTTTTTGAAACAAACACTGGGGTGGTGGAAGTGGTACTAAAGACTTCATATTCGATTGAATTAGTTTTTTTATCAAAAAATACCTCAACAATGTAAGCGTGGTTATCGATAGCACTTTGAATGATAGGTTGGTTTCCTTGACGTCTAAAGCCTCTTGGCACAAAGATAGCCTTCGCATCAAGGTCCCCCAAGTAAAAGTCGAATTCATTCTTTTTGTAGTTAAAGTTCAAGGGAGCAGCAATTCTAGCAGTGTTCACAATTGCCAAAAACGACACCACGAATTCCAAACTGTTTGGGATGGAAATCCCAATAGAGCATTGGGTTGACGCGCCAGATAACGGAGACTTGCTGTTAGTAAAGATTTGCTGCAAATGAGCCACATTCTGGGCAAGTTGGAAGTAAGTGAGGCTTGGGCCATCAGGTATCACAATCGCCTGATGATTATTGACGGTAATAGCATCAATGAATGTCGACATTTTGTTGGTTCTTGTTAATTGGAGAATAGAAAGAGAATCAGGAGAGGGGCCAAAGGACCAAAGCTATAACAATAAGGGCCAAAGGACCAAAGCTATAATAATCAGAACGGGTGACTCCCCCTTATCTAAACGCACTTTCTCTATTTTTAAGGAAAAAATTTTCTCCTTTCCTCCCCTTCTTTGCTATCCTCACTGAACAATTAAGCCTATACTCATTTTATCTCATTCTCACTATTTGGAAGTTTCCAAATTTTTAGAATCTATATCTTTATATCTCAAATAAACTTCTTTCATTTGCTTTTTGTTTTTGATCAAACAACAAACTAAGCTACCAACTTATTAACTTATCAACCCAATCCACCTTTATTATTCATCCCAAGAATAGTTTCGTATTTTTTTTTATTTTTTTTTTTTGCTTTTTACTCTTATTCTTCTGAAATCCTGATAATAGATCCATTTTTTGTTTATTATTCTTTCTCAGCACGCTTTGTCAAATTCCTATTGTTCTTATTTCCAATTACAATAGTGCCACGCTAGTGCTAAAATCAATGATTTAACTTGGATAATCTTAGTGCCAGATGTGAATTCTGATTTCTACGGAGTTCGCTGGCCGGTATATCCCAACATCTCAAAAATTAAGCTGTAATTTTTGTAAAATATTGTATGATGTATTTTCCTCTTGTACTAACCAACTTGATTAAACAGTCAGGCTTATCAACTATTTCCTTTTTCGTGCTATATATCCACTGCATATTGTACCCATCAGAGTAATAGCAGACAAATTTCGATACAATAAAGATCTGTATTGCCTTATTGATGAGCGTTTGATGACGGTGCTGCCCACGCCACACCTTGCCAACACTTTTTTATTCCACAGCAGAAAAGAGAATTGATATTGCATCTCCTTGTCAATAAAAATTCTCAGTTACCATTATATTGAATGGACAAGATATTTTTGTCGGTGAAGAAAAAAAGGAGAAACCTGGTCACTCAGATCTAAAGGTCTACCAGTATCAAATATGCTTTGGATCGATCACAAGGCAGGGCACCAAAAAGAGGAAAACTGCAGGTCTGGACAATTGTGATTCGCCAAACTCTAAAATTCTGTAATCTACCATGTTTTCATTTTCCGGTTGTTCATTTAGAGGCGCCCTATACATGATACTAAACGGCGGCACAACAGTAACGGTTCCTTATGATTGACTGCTTTCATTTAGGCGATTGATGATACATCCTCATATATGTCTAACGATTAATTGTTCAATAGAGCCCAACTCAGTTAGGATTAGACCTCGTTCCAAGCACAATTAATGAAGAATTTGTAACAAATCAAAACCGTTGCGTATAGAAAAAAACAAATTGGGACTTATCTAAATGTACCATAATATAAAGTTTATTCGAGAAGCACCCTGCGTGGACTCCTTACCCTTACTAGGTAGGCCTCACAGGTTAACTATAAATTTTAAATTTGGCTCAAGTCGTCAAAAAAAGAAAAAAAAAAAAAAAGATAGCCAATTCCAGCTCTATTCAGATTAAATGGATAGATATGTCTATATTTTCTCTATATTCTCTCTATATATTCTAGCAGTAAGATGACAGTTAGTACTTGTGTTGTTCATAACAAAAGAATTATCATACCTCAAACATGACTAATTGTTAGGCATTTTACTTTCGTATTCAAGTTGCCAGCGTGTATCAGGCAAGTTTGCTTCCCTCCAGCAAATGACCAACCAAAAAAAAGAGCCACATCCCTTTGTGTTTGTTCTTTTTTTTTTCGCCCCCGTATGCATTTTTCTGTGATATGCAGAATCATGCAAATGAAGCCTTCCATGCGTTAGTAAAATGTTTCCAACTTGCCTCTATTTTTGTATAATGGGTGGACCTCTCCCATTAATATAGCTTTGCAACCTTTGAAAATTGAAAAAAAAAATATCATAAAATCAAAATACAAAAGGAAAAGGAAAATAATACAAGAATAAAGAAGAATATCATTCTTCCGTTCAATTGATTAACACATACCTCTCTCTACCTTTTCAGTTCGTCTTCTTTTTGACTTCATTGATTTTCCGTTTTCCGTGGATTGCAAATCACCAAAAAAAAATTTTTGAGGGAGAGTTTCTGGCTATATGCTACGTAACTAATAAATCAGAATTATGAATAACTTTGAATTATTTCAAGATCCCTCTGATTCGAACTGGAATACTCAATCATTTTCAGCAATTTCTCCAGATTCACAACAGTACTATGTTCATTCCCCTCATAATAATTCTCATCTTCCTCAACAGCAACAGAAACTTCAATTTCAACTTCAGTCCCACGGTACGTTGATGGGTAATAATCAAATATCTCCTTATTATGACACATCCTCAACACAGACGCTGATAGGGCCTGGGCCACTTCAAGGTTACAATAATGGATACGGTATTATTCCTATGGTCTCTGGCCTTCCTCCTGTTGATAATAGCCATCTCGTCAAACATACACTCCCCAACGCACAGACATTTAATGACTACAATAATATCCACACTTTGCGAAATCTAGTTCTGTCAAACAGTGATATCTCATTTGATAATTCGATGAATCTACTTTCAAGCCCAGAAATCATGTCCATGGGGTTCAGTGCACCACAAGAGACTATTCAAACCACCACTGCACTCCCTTCTCAACAGGCATACCCTTTAAGCCCATCCCCTGTGCCAGTATCAAACCTTAACCTCATGGTATCGCCTTCAAAAAATGAAAATCACATGGCCCCGCATCAAATCTTGTTGCCTCAGAATTCTATCGTTGATGGTGATATCAATGAATTGCACTCTATCGATCAACTCTCAGCCACAGGGGGGAGCGACATGCCGTCTTCGCTCGAAAGCTCTCCAGTCAACATCTCCAATTCCATTACTCCCTTATCAAGAAGTAACAATAGAAATATCTCCCATAATGATTTTGTAACCCACTATGGCCACCCGACAATTCCTGTCACTCCTATGACCTTGCCATCCACTAGTACTACTCTAAAATGTACCAGTACTACTCTTCGGTCCATCATTACTACTTCCAAATCTAAAAAAACGAAACCCAAAAAAATGAGGATCGTTCGTGGACTTAGTTCTGGTGGCTCGCTGCCTCGTCCCCCAAAAAATTTGGAAGCAACCAATGATGTTCATTTCGTTCCGGTAAGGTTGTCTCTAGAGAATACGTCAGTTCCAGACTTATGTTTACCAGAATGGTCGAATAAAGAGTCCGCTGATAAGCGCAGAATCATCAGGATCGAAAGGTATCAGGATAAAGGCCATATCACTGCCAAATTCTCTATCTTGGGAAGCGACGCCGAACATCCAAAAGATAAACCCCTTTCTAATGATAACATCGATGTGCTTGAGGTCAGCTGCCTTGAGTGTTTTGTGATGAAGGGAGAAGATGATGATGAGGTTGAAGATGGTTGGTTGGAAGGTGACGTTGGGTATGGTTACTCTCCAAAAAAATCTGGAGGCCGCTCCGAAAAGTCTAGATATGGTACAAATGATGGTGAAATTTCTCGCAAGTTTTACATCACAAGTGTAGAAGTTGTCAAGTTGGTGGAACTATTAATTTGTGCAGAAGATAAGTCAAGTACGGAACGTCGCAAGGAACGTGGAAGAATCAGATCAAATTTAGTTCCATTCTGGCTGAAACGTCCGATCTCGACAAGAATGAGCAGTACCTATAACAGCAATATACCTATCCCGGGTTCTGTGAATGGCAGTACTAAAGAGGACTTCCGTATCGAATTGGCCAAAAGAATTATGGGTTACAGTACCAGAAAACCAAGAGGTTTTGACAAAGAAGTTCGGATTTTGAAATGGGAGAAGTTGGAAGGGGCTTTGAGAAGAGCTTTGATGAGCTATTATGTGGAAATTCCTAAGGAATTCAGATAATTTTGAAAAATTGGAATTGGCTTTAGTGTATCATTACATAAAAAAGAGTTTGTTTTTATTTGAAGATGGTCACTTATGGTTATCGAATCAATGATCCTCTTATTGTTATTGATAAAATTAGCTAATTTATTATTGTGTTATAGAATATGAACGATGAGATAGAAGCACATATTTTTTTTTCTCTTACTATACCGTCAAGTTCATGATGCTTTCTTATTTTATTATGATTCTGTTTTGGTTTGTTTTAATTGGTACTTTTACTTTTTTTTCCCTTCTTTTATTGATGCTATTATGATTTTTTAATGTTATTTAGTTTTGATTTTGTATAATACAAGGATATCTTTCTTAGATTTATTTGAAAATATTTCATTTATTTTTTTACTGTAAGTGACTAACATGTTACAAGCATGCTGCATAATTAACAAAAAAAAAAAGACACAACATGGAATCCTGAGAAAGTAACCATAAATTCCCTCCAGTGATTCAGCAGCATTTACACTCATCACTTAATGAAATTCCCAGGATCAATGTTTGCCTCAGCTGGCCACAGTTCTCCGTAAATTCATAGATATATTGGCCAATCAAGGGTGATCCTTGAAAAGTGGAAGAAAAGAACCTGGTAATATAACTCTGATGATTATGGTTTCAGAGAGAAAAGTAGCTCCAAAGAATTTATTCCTGAAACGTGGAGCAATGAACGTAAGAAATTAAGTGAAAGATTGATTTCATAATACGTATTATACCATCAAGATCGGGACACCAACCGATGTCTTTGAAAGTCAAGCAGAAGAGGAGAGTAAACTAGCCAAAAAACTACACTGTATATCAATGAAAGATAAGGGTACATATTTATAAACAAAAACTAGATGCAATTGGGGAAAATAAACTAAAAGAGCAGCAAAAGAAGCGAAGATATTAGCAGAAAAACAGAATGAAAAAATTAAAGTATTGGTATATATGAGTAAAAGGTTACTAAAAATAAAAAGAGCTATGCCAGTGAAATGATTTTATCAAATTTGATTATTTATTTTGTTTTTGCATGTAAGTTGGAGATGAAAGGCTTGAACGCAAGCACAAAAATCAGTAAAAGCTGTAAACAGAGTTCTTCATTCAAAAAATCACTCAGTTAACCAGTTAACAATTCTGTGAGTTGCTGAAGATTTCTTTTTTGGCTTATTTGACTTGCGTGGCAGCCTTGGGTGGTCTGGATTATATTCATCGTCTGAACTGATTTCATCGCTTTCGTAATTGCTACCACGTTCGTACTCCTTCATGTAAAATTGGTTTTTTGGCTGACGTTGAAATTTAACGAATAATTCTTGTCCTGGTTTAACAAAAGTATTGTAGTGTTGAGGGATGAAAGCACACTCTTCGTTCTTGTTAATAATTACCAACTCGCCTTTTGAAATCAATTGACGGTATCTAGGGAAAGCGTCCCTCAACAGCTGTTGGAATCCAGACCAGGTGTTAGTATATTCATAAGGGAACTGGTAGGCACTTTGGTCACGATCGTTTTCAATACGAACGGTAATTGGTTTCTGCTTCTTTTTTGGAGCAGAATTCTTATTGTTGGTATTGGCACTCTTATTATTATTGCTAGGATTTTTCCCTTTGGCCATGATCATGAAATTCTTGTAACCAATTGATTCTGCTGAATATGTTGATGTAGAGTCACTGGTGAGAATCGACTTTCTATCAAAACTGAAATCACTTTTGCTGCTATTGTCACTATAGATTGAGTGCGCCCTTTTATGAGAATGATAATGATTATCCCAACCACCAGGTACTTTGAAAATGTCGGTCATCGTGGAGAATCAGCAACTGTAAGATTATAATAGATTTGAAATGAAGTGGAACTCTTTATATTTTTAAAGTTCTCTTCTGCTATGGTTATGTATGATGACTGAAGATTATCCTTTTCGTCGTTGCTAGGAGGCAAAAAAAGGTTGTTTGTGTGTAAAGTTTTTTTTGATGAGAATACCAACAAAATCTTGCAAACTAACAGGAAAAAATTTCCCGTCGCATGGGGGAGCGATCTACAATAAATACAAACAATGCTTGACGGGATTTCCCTCTCGTGTAGCGCAGTCATATTAGTTACCTCCTGTAGAAGTGTTAGTGGTCGGTGGCTGGACGGTTTCCACGACATTTGAAGCTGACGCATGCTGTGGCAGGATTAGACGGGGTCAAATTATTACAAAACACTGCTGCATTCATTGCTGAACACGGCAACAAGAAATACAACAAGAAATAAATCTCAATGCCAATTAACTGCTATTTACCAGAAATGGAATACTATTCACTTAAACTACAAAGGGCGACAAAATCATGAATTAAAAAAAAAAAAAAAATCTGTTAAGTATGGCATGCTCTAACTTAACTGACTAAATTTTCGCAATGTACCTCTGGCCAGTCAATGTATCCTGCCACAACTCTTCGCCTGGCTTTGGTTCAACATTGTGTCCCACTGGAAGCATGCCCTCTGGAACTCCGTACTGCTCATTTGCAAACCCACCAGGAGCTCTAGGAACAGAGTCTTTACCACCCTTACCACCAATGTTCGCATTTGGTTCTGGTTGGTACGTGTAATCCCCACCTCGACTGTTGCCTTCATAGGCCTCGTCACTCAAGCTACCAGAAGTTTTACGACCTTTTCCGCTGTTATCACCGACGCTATGTCTCTTGGAAGTCTTACTGGCATTATCATGGGTGCTTCTTTGATGATGCGCTCCGCCGCTCAACGCACTGATAATAGAGCTGAAAAATCCTTTGTTTTGGCTTTTAATTTCATGGCGCTTCTCATTATGATGGCTCGTCTCGCCATTACTATTGCCATCACTAACTTTAGCAGTTCCTACTTCCCCCACGTCGTGCTGAACCTCTTTTAGTCCTCCGGTACCAGTACCAGCAACCACATTGTCCCGTTTTTGTTCAACAAAGCCATTACTGTCGCTATTGGCACCAGATTTTTGGATTAGTGATGGATACTGATCCTTTTGTTGCTGGATGTTCATGCTTTTGGAACTCAGTTGTTGCTCAAGTACTCTCGGATCCAATGTTTTGACACCAAACGCTGAAGTGGCTGCTTCTCTACCAACACTACTGTTATCAACAGTTGAGGCATTCACTTTGTTTGCTTCTTCAGGCCCACTGTAAAAAGCGATGGATTTATGAAGAGATGTATCTTCTTTAAAATTAGGCGCCAAACTAACCATTTCATCAGCTTTGTCTCTCGAATTATCTGTGTGCCCATCAGCCTCATATTTACCATCACTTGAATTAATTTGATGTTGCAAATCGCCACCCTTATCATAGTTCGCTGTACCCGAGAGCTTGGAATAATCAATCAATTCCCTGGAAGCTAAAGACCTGGTGCTGGTTTTATCATCCAAGTACCTTCCATCCCTCATATTTGGACCCAAAGCAGGCTTCAGTGATTCCTTGTCAGGTTGGTTGCTTTCATCTTGAGCAGTAACAATAGAAGACTTTGGTTCTTGCTTTTTGCCCTTTTTCTTCTCTCTCAGTTCCTTGAAAGCCCCTAAAACTTGGGTTGGCTTCTTTAAAGCACCCTTTTCACCATATGTATTCGAGCGCTTCATATCGCTCATCCGGTTTGTATCTGATAACGCATTCTCCGATCCATCAACGCTATGAGAGCGTCCGTGACCGTGAGCACTTTTCATATCATCAATAGTACCGCCAGTAGTGGTTCCAACTGCGCCTTTGCTTTGCACAAATTCTGGTGGGTGACAAGTCTGAGGGGTAGTTGATGTATTAGTGGTGGCAGTCTCAACCAATGTATCATGAGTTTTGTCTTGGCTTCTAATGGTTTCGTATGCAGCTACACCAGCAGCTCCAAGTGTTCCGGCGACAGCAATTGGCTTGATGTTATCATAACTCTGTGTATCCTTCCTTGGTGGAATGGTGCCTGCTTCAAATTTGCTGCCACCAACTAAATATTCTGTATTGAAATTTGGAGCATCGATGACATTGTCAATGGCTCTGTTAGGATCATAATCAATATGTACACCGCCGACAGAATGTTCAGCGGTTGGCGATGCGGCAGCGCTACTACCCAAATTTCCTTCTTCCTTGTAATTTCCGGCTAATCCCCTACTAGCGGTCTCCGTGGCCGATTCAGTCATTTGAGGTTCTTTTTGGAGAGGTTTTTGAGGATCGCGTACTTCTTTGGGATTAGGATTCACGGTATCCTGATTTTGTTGTTGCTTAATAAAGTCGGGATGTTTTCCAGGTAGCTGCTCAAAGCTGGTATTGCCCTCATCGACATAATCATCATAAACACTACTGGTCTCCCTTGTATGTTTTGGAAGTTCGTGAGGGTCCATGCTACAATCAGATATGGTTTTGGATTGATCTTGGCCAGCATCCACCGCGTCACTATGTTTACCAAGAATATTTTTATCCATGCCATAAGAATTTCTTTTATCAATATCGCCAATTTCATCAATACCTTTGTACCCCGAAGCCTCATACTCATTAATGCCATGAGGTTCAACCCCAAACCCAAGGGCATGTTCTGCCGCACCAATCACTGTCCCTGCGGCTGCCGCGATGCCTGTCAAGATTCCTCTTTTATCACTTAATGTCAGGTTTCCAGTGGGTTTTTGATCATTAATGTTACTAGGTCCCTGCAGTGGTCCCACGTCACTAGTGACTTTGGGGAAATCATCGTGCGTGTGACCCTTGGCAGCATCGTATGTATCAAGGCTGTTGCTTGAAAAATTTGTCGTATTCCCTCCTCCAGCTAATCCTCCACTACCAACATTTACCACAGAGGGGTACGACATGGCCTTCAAATATTTGTCAGATTTGTTAAGGTTGCCAGTTACAGCTCCCTCTTTTCCTATTTCTTCCGCCTTATTCATACTGTTTATTATCACATCATCGCTAAATGATTGTCTTCGCTCACCATGCCACTTGGGTTCAAACCCAGATGCCATAGTAACAAATTCCGGATTTTCTTCTGTTGAATCACAAGCACTAGCATATATGCCAGATTTCGTGTTTCCGAATTTATTTGATCCATTAGCATTTTTGTTGACTCCAATGTTTGGTTGAGGCTGAGATGAACCTTTATATCCCATAGGCTCGTGGCTTGGGTATTGGTTCATGTCTTTCGATATGGACCCCACACCTATACTGGTAGTTGTTGCTGCTGCTTCCGCCGCCGCTGCTGATGTTGGTCCTGTAATAGTATTAGTTTTGAAATTGCTAACGGTATTTGGAACTTTGTAATTTCCTCCTTCCACGGATTTGGATTTTGAATCACCAGCAACTCTCTCCCCTCCTCCTTTGGTGTGTCCCCTAAATTTGGGCAACCATTTGTGGTTCTTGGAATGTTCCATTTCGTCAGACACTTTGCTTTCAGGAGCATTCTCCTCTCCTGATTTTGCACCATCATAATCACTTCTCTCTTTTTCTCTGGCATGTTCCGAATGCTTCAGCCATCTATTATGATGTTCTTTTTTTTCAAGCTCTCCTTTTTCCATAACTCTGTAACCTGGCTCGCCAAAGTCTTGAGGCTCTTTCTTCTCCCCTGACTTTTTTAGATGTAGATTTTGCATGATAAAAACGGTTTGAAAAGTGTATTCAAATCACACACTATTATTGCTAAACTATATTTAAATGAATTATTACGTCAACTTATTACATTTAAGAAATCTTAGGGTCTGTAGAACGTAAAACACCGCGCCTTATATGATATGGGTTTACTAGGCGGACTTCATGTGGGAAAAATTTTGGTTGCTCAAACAATATAATTCGATAAATGACCTTTTTTGCCTTATTATTATTATTGCTTTGAAGTACAAAAAAAAAAAAAAAAAAAAAGAAAATTTACGAAGTGCAAGCAAATAGTTTTAGCTTCTCTTTCTTTTTCCAACTCGCAGCATGAACATTGCTGGTACCCGATATGCATGATCTCCTTCCAAAACGCCTAGAAAAGGTAAACAACTCACACCACGGAACACTGAGTCATTGAATATAGAAATATATTTTCACCAATGGAAGAATTTTAGAAAACCACTACTAATTGACGTTGTAAACCTTTACATTCTCTATGTCTCCATGGAGTTTTTGGAGGATAGGTTTTCTAGATAAAACCAATATAACCTCGATATCAGATTATTACCCCCCTCTATCATATTTTCCTCGATCCACAATTTTGGAAAACAATAGATTTTATGGTGTCACGAATTGATGTGTGTTGGGGAGAACAGAAGGGGAGAATAATATATTGATGATCACTCCATTGCAGTATTTGTTTGGTATGAATATTATTTTTCGACATTCTGGAAATTATCATGTCATACTTCTAGATCCATGATGCTTCCGATTAGTCTAGTTATTACATGAAATATGGAGAGTATATACTTTGTGATTAAATGCCGCGCAGAATTAACATCAGTATGATCTGAAGTTACACATTGATTTTCCTTTAGTATAGGAGCTTGGAGTTATGCCAAATTTATGAATCTATATTCGTAGAAAGTTTCGAAGATAAGCAGCAGTCCCAGTAACAGAATCATGTTCACAGAAAATATACTAACAACACTTTCTTCCTACTGAGAGTATATTAATTGACCTTCTCAAATGCTTTTATCCATCCAGTAATTTGCACGAGTGGTGTCTGTAATAATTATTGTGCAGGAATATGGTATGCTCTCGTACTATCGTACATAGTACGATTATAGTCACCCTACTTCCATATAATGTTGTTGTCCTTATTATTTTTATCGTAAATAATTATTGACCCATTTTTATGTTGAAAACAGTTATGATCATAGGAATCAATTAATTGCTTACCCATTTTATTTATACAAATAATAATATACCTTACTGTGTTTATACCTGCAGAAGTCAGTGTTATGGCAAGTGGTTATATCCCGAACCATTCTTTGAGTTGTGAGCTCATCAAGTAGCTAGAGACTAATCACTGTGATAGCTATTTGATTTTCTTACTACCATAGATAGCTAACGCGAGATCAGCTAAGATAAGTATTGTTATAGTGTAAGGAATAACACTTCATCCTTATTGGTATTATTCGCTGTTCCACGTGATTAACAAAACAAAACTCTCATCAGACAGACGCGACTCCAGACATCATCCTCATAACATTCCAATCCAGGTGATGATCATGCGATGCTTAGGTTTTATGATGGCTTGTACAAGTACTCTCATAAATATAGGAGAAGAAACTTTGAAACATTAGGGAAGGCATTTGACTTTGTTTTCGTAAAATTGAATACATAATCAAGTGTATATTTTCCTGTAAAAAATTCAACATCTCTAGACTGTAGTTTCTGTATTTAATAGGAGTTTATTTTAGTATCCTGAATTTTTCATACTCTGATTTTCTTTGATATAAGGTTCATGGTAGTAGTGTTTGAATATACGTTATGGGCCAATCGGTGCAATTGATCTTTTGTTTGAATATACGTTATGGGCCAATCGGTGCAATTGATCTTTTGTTTGGCGTACATTAATTTCCACCTCTCAAAAATATTCACGTCTCAGCTATACTTTGGCTGGCAGTCAATGAAGTACCAACAAACAGTTTGATTCTACTATTTTATATTACATTATATTTTCTTCTTTTGCATTATTCATTTATGTTGTAATAAAGACAATAACAATCAAATTAATAGAAAATGGCCGAAAAGTTTCATAGAAATAGCACTATCATAAAATGCTGAAATACTTTCTCAAAAGCTTAAAAACTGGTATATAGATATACTTAAGAGCAGAATATAGTTTATTGAAATAGAATCCTGTACTCTCAGACAGATCTTTCCAGTAAATAAAAAGAGCCAAATACTACTAGTGCAGTAGGATTTAGAAAAAAAAAAAAAGTGGTATACATTCTGTTCAATGAATGACAAATTCTTATTTGAAAAACATTCCTCCAATTATTTTTTATAAAAATAATCTGCTACATAATATCATTTCTATTAATGCTTCATTCTTTATGAATTGTATTAATTGTATTCTTATGAATGCTTTTAAAAACACGATGTATACTTTGTCTAGCTTTATAGACTCGTAAAATTAGAAGTTTGTTAGGTCATTTCTAGTGACTGATTAAATAAATTGTTTGAGGTGCTCAAATCAATCAAATCAAATTGTATATTAACGAGTCACAGAGGTTCTAAATAACATGCAAGCCGGGAATTTCATGCCAGTCTTTCTAATAGGTAAGTAAAATACTATAACTTTCTCACAACCTCACACTCCTTGCTTTAAGAATTAATCACATCACCGGTAAAAAACTCAACAATCAAGATTATTAAAACAAAAAAAGTTAGGGTTAATCAAATCAAACCAAATTGAGGTGCGTTTAGCAAAATAAAAATAATCTGGTTGTATCAGAAACAATTTTAATGACAATATCAGCCGGCCTAGTATAGTGGTCAGTACGAGTCGTTGTGGCCGACTAGACCCAGGTTCGATTCCTGGGGCCGGCAATTATTAATTAATAATAACCTGCCCATTAATGGGATTACGGTTTCTGTTATTCACGATTTTGTGATAGTGTATTTACATTTTCCTGTAACTCTTTTTTTGTTTCTGGTTCTTTGTTTTGTACCCATAATTTCACTGACATTTTTAAAATTAGCATAGCTTTGTATGAAAAATCTGTAATTTGTATTCTAAATGTATACTCTATCATCGTAACTTCAGCTTCCTTCAGGACTCACCCAATTATTCAAAAAAATAAACTCAATTTTCATGATTAGCTCCATGCAATAATAATAGCCATTATAAAATTCATCAAATGAAATAGAAAATGATAAACTCCAAAAATTTACACAAAAGAAACACTAAACGTTAAAACGATCATAAGACTGTCTTTAATAATAATATACACAACCCAACTACAAGAGAAGGATTAATATTTGAATTCATAAAAATAAAATGAAATCCAAGATCATAAAGCTAAAGGGAAAATAATGAGCAAAAATAAATTAAGACGCGTCAACCAATGTGTAAAACAAATTCATAACAATATTAGAGAAGAGAAAAACGAAAACCAACCTGTAGAACAATAAAATAAGAAAATAGAAAAGATATCAAACTTATAATTCTTGAGAAGCCTTTGGTTTACCGGATTTCTTTGGCAACAAGGAGCCGTGAATGTTTGGCAAAACACCACCTTCGGCAATGGTGACATGTCCCAACAACTTGTTCAATTCTTCATCGTTTCTGATGGCCAATTGCAAGTGTCTTGGGATAATTCTGGTCTTCTTGTTATCTCTAGCAGCGTTACCAGCCAATTCCAAGATTTCGGCAGCCAAATATTCGAGAACAGCAGTCAAGTAAACTGGAGCACCAGAACCAACTCTTTGGGCGTAGTTACCTTTTCTCAACAATCTGTGGACTCTACCGACTGGGAAAGTCAAACCAGCCTTAGCTGATCTAGTTTGAGAGGCTTTAGAAGAACCGGCTTTACCACCTTTACCACCAGACATTTTATATTATTTTAATTATTAGAGATTGAGTATTATTAATAAACAACAAGTGTTTTAACGAAGTTGAACGAATATTTTTTATTCTTTAAAAAAGCGAGCAAAAAAAACAACAGGAGGGGACCAGAGGGATTAAATAGGGTGAGCTGAGCAATTTAGTTGAGTGCTGAGTCCTGGGGTCCAGCCAATCAGCGTTGTTGTTACTGCGTGCTCGCACCTCCCCCCTGGTCGGGGTACGTTCTGGCACGGTGCGGGATGCTCAGTTTTTCCTCCCAGCACCGCAACAACGCGTTTTGCGACGGTCGCTGCGATTTTTGGTGCTCATGTCGGTCGCCTTCCCGATCGGGAAATAGTGCATCAGAAGAAAAAGTCACCACAAAAATCGCATTTAAATGGTCCCTCCCCTCCCTCATATCACAACCAACTCGATAATTTTTTTTAATTGTTCTTGATCTTTTTCTTCCTCTTTTTCTTTTTTATATTTGAGTATTCTCAATACGTTCACACCACACATATATAAATAAACATTCGAAAAAATGGCCCCAAAAGCTGAAAAGAAACCTGCCTCCAAGGCCCCAGCTTCCAAGAAGCCTGCTGCTAAGAAGACCGCTGCCTCTACCGGTGGTGACGGTAAGAAGAGAAGTAAGACCAGAAAGGAAACTTACAACACTTACATTTACAAGGTTTTGAAACAAACTCACCCAGACACTGGTATCTCCAAGAAGGCCATCTCCATCATGAACTCTTTTGTCAGTGATATCTTTGAAAGAATTGCCACTGAAGCTTCAAAATTGGCTGCTTACAACAAGAAGTCTACCATCTCTGCTAGAGAAATCCAAACTGCTGTTAGATTGATCTTGCCAGGTGAATTGGCCAAGCATGCTGTTTCTGAAGGTACTCGTGCTGTCACCAAGTACTCTTCTGCTTGATCTTCTGATATTTTAATTTCTTTTAACATCGTGTTTTATATGATTTACTTTTTTGAGACATTACGGGTATGGGTTACGATTGCTTCTTTTTCTAAAAACAATTTTCTTTGTATATTAATATTATGAGCTTGCTTAATTTTAATTGACTGTAATTATTGACGATGTTTCTAGAATAGTCGCATATGTAGAATATTACATATCTGCAGTGAATGAATCAACAGTGATCAAGACTTAGAGTATGCATTGAGAGATTTCTACATCAACATTATTGGAAATGAAATGTAGTCGAAGTTTTAAGAATATAAAGAGCTAAAAAAACAAATAAACAAGCAGGAAAAAGGTGGAACGAAGTTGAACTTTTGAAGGATGAAGAAAAAAAAAAAAGAACTTATGAAATATCAATATGCAATGAGATAATAATGAAATCTTGAACATGAAAAAAACTAAAATACCAGCAAATCTGTTTATGGTGTTTTTTTTGTCTTCTCTGGTTCTTTTTTGTCAGTGATGATGTAGCCTTGCACCAGAAATGATTTCATCCCAATCAGATTTTATGATACAGAATGTCTGTGTAATTGATAAAAAGGCTAATCCAAGTGATAAACCGCACCAAAAACCAAACAATTTGTACTTCAAATAGAATCCAAAATACAATTCAAGGATCAAGCCAACTACGTAGTAACTGACAAAGCTTAAAATTCCCCCAATGCGCTGTCTTCCTTGAGCTCTTAGAACTGCCGCAGAGCAAATGTTGAAACCACAATCTAACATTTGGAAAATTGCCACAATGATTAAGCAATTGCTGATGATTTGCCCCAATTCTAAATCTCCATCGGCAAAATAGCGGGCGATATAATTTCTAGTAAAGAAAATAATCAGGAAATTCAGGAATCCTAAACAAATGGCAATGGAATAGAGACACCTGGTGGCCATGATTGCCGATCTCTTGTTGCCTGAACCAATATAGTTACCGATTCTCATCGAACCTACAACCCCAACTGCGAAAGGAATGGTGAAAAAATAATTGCTGTAGGTTGCAGTGACAGATTGTGCTGCCAATTGAAAAACGTCAAATTGTGCCACCATGACGGTGATTATCTGAAATGCAAAGGTCTCGGATAAGGTCATGATGGCCCCATAGATATTCAACCTGATTAGGCCTCCTAGGTCATGAAAAATGTCTGACCTGTTGATTTTAACCCAACATTTTGACCCATTGACAAATCGGATATATAGGCCAAGTAAGATCGCCATTAGCCAATAACTGATGACCGAAGCGATTGGGGAGCCAATGTAACCTATCCCGAATGTGTCACTGAGAATCAAGGCATAATTGAGACATAAATTAATTGGAACAACGATCGACAATATGTAAATCACCGCATTAAAAATCCCTTGAGCCTGAATAAATCTTTTACCATTTTCATAGAAGATGAATGCCGGGGCTTCCAAGAACATGATGTGGAAATAGATGGTGGCCAATTCGATAATTCTGTTATTGTGAACAAAAAGACGCAACACTTTATCCATATTAATCCAAAGAATACTTAAAGGAACAAACAATATCATTGACAAGACGACATTTTTTTGGAAATACAATCCCACTAAGTGATACTGTTTTGCACCGTATGATTGTGAACAAATTGTGTCAATGGCGGTGGCCATCCCCATGAAAATCGATGGCCCTGTGATGTAATAAGTGGTCATCGCCAAGGCGTTTGCCGCTAACTCTTCTTTACCTAAATGGCTGACAAAGAACACGGGAAAGGCATTGATACAGTACTGTAGGAGGAATCCAGCACAGTTGGGAATCGAATTTCTGGCAATGTAACTGAGCTCCTCGGCGTAGGTTGTCTCTTGTACGTATTGCTGATTCTCATGAAGATCTTCCTGAGAGTAGTCATCCCTGATACTATCATAAGAAGCTATTGTGTGTTGATTTAAAAGCTGCTCTTCTTCTAATGATTCCCCGTCATTTTTCTTTGGGATCATTTTACTGGATAGCATAGATGTTTGGTTATGCACACAATATTAGTGACATTTATCGTAGATGAGCCAGCGGAGTTAGAGCAAAACCAAAGGAGAAAGAAGTATATAAGAATTTTTTTTTTTTTTTTTTGCTTTCTTCTACCTACGAACGTTCCCGGGACAATTCCTTCATGACGTATAAATATATATATAAATAAAAGGTATAAAAATTTCCGATTGTGAGAAGCCTTAATCAAGTAATTGATGCGATAAAGGGCCTGTCGCAAAACTTGTCTAATAAACCTTAGGGAAAAAATGCGGCGAAAAAAGCAAAGGAAAATATTCTCTCTTTATTTTTTTCTTTCTCTGTAGGTACGGCTTTTTCCTTTTTCTTTTTCCTTTTTCTTATAATTATTCCCCTTTTTGTATTCCTGTTTATCAATTTATTCATGAACAATTCATAGATTGATTGCACTTCTCACCCTGGGAAAGTTTTTTTGCACCTTGTCTTCGTTGGGTAACACAATTCAAAACTGTGTACGCTGCTAACAATAATACTACTGCACATATCAAAGGCTACACTCAAAGATTCCTTCAAAACTTTTCTTTGTCAAAAGAAAAAAAAAAAGGCTACTATCTATTGATGCTTATATAATATATTAACCTACTACAACTTGCACAAACAATTCACACTAAACTACCAGTTTTCACCATGAATCACTAAAACTCACCCTTCATCAAAGAAAATAAGAAACAGCAAAATGATGCTCCAATCATAACAATCATCACAAGCCCCACAAAAAGCTTTCCAGTTTTCTAAGATTTCTCGCAAAAATTTACCCTTTGTAGCCTTAGCTCTTTCTCTTGACCTCTTCGTCCTTTACTGCATGAATCTTGATCCCCACTGGATTATCCGGTTTGCTGTAAGTATAACCTTTAGACCAGTCATAACCAATAGCATAGGCAAATATCGAACCGTTATTATTGAAGTTGGCTGCCGTTATTGGCGTGCCAATAGACTGGTACGATTTCAATCTATGTTTCGAATCCTTATCCCAGAACGACAAGTTCCCTTCAGAACCTGCAGTGACAAACGTCCCTTGCACAGGATGGAAGCAGATTTGATTCAATGAGTAAAGTCTGTTTTTTGTTCTTCCTCTATCCGTAACATTTTCCCGATGGCATTTGAAGGAGAACGCCTTCTTTTGATTTTCATCGCTAACATATTGCACCGAAAGTCTTCCTTCAATCGACCCCACAGCATACCCATCTCCTTCAACAAAACAAGATATTGACTTCGTCTGCCATTTCAATGGTGATGTAGTTTCTTTAAATTTAACCGTTGGATTATCCAAATTTATTATCACAAATTTCTTTTCAGCGGTACCACAAACCAACAATTTTCTACGAGTATCCATCACATAACATCTCTCTGGTAATTCAATAGTAGAAACAGGGTTTGGACTTCTCATATCCCAATATTTCAACGTCTTGTCCCATGATCCACTTACAATCACCGGGGTGTTACTATTCCCACATTCCGCGAACCTCACCACCGAAACCGGTTCATTATGGGCTCCTATTTGTGTAGACTGACCAGAAGCAACATCGTACAATTTAACCGCCTTGTCACACCCACCGCTAACAATCTTAGTACCATCACCAGTCCATCTGGTACTCAATACTGGTCCTTGATGTTCGTACATCGCTTTGCCTTGCGAGCTACCATCACCCATGATTTGATAAACTCTCACTTTGGAATCCCATGACGATACCGACAAAAACTCTCCCTGTGATGAGAATGCCAAGTCTGAGACCGTATCTTCTGGAGGATTGGCTAAGTCAATATCATTTAATGGTGGTGTGGTTGTCGAACTCGCGGTCCTTCCAAATGACATTATGAAGCTTGATTTTTTATTAAATTCTGAATGAACAACGCAATTGGAACACTAATGAGAAATATATGAAGTCACAAAATGATTATTAATGTGCTCTGAGGAAATTGATCGAAAAAAAATAAGATTTCCACGAGAATCTATCGCTGTTTGTGCACCGTCAATTGCTATGTAATAAAAGATCTTATAGAAATGTTGAGATGTTCGATCAGTTCGTATTGCTATGATGATGTGATGAAGATATACTGCAAAAAAAAAACAAGAACCAAAAAAAAAAAAAAAAAAATTGAGACGGTAAACCTTGCCGGAAGAGATACCCTGATGTGTACCGTACAGGTTCTACATATGTTCCTCAAGAGGACAACATTGTTATATGAAAGCTTTGCATTATGAATAACAAAAAACTAAGGAAAGTTGAACTTTAAGTTATACAGGAAAGTTATCAATTTACTTTTTTTTTAAAAAAAAAATTAGGACAAACAAATACACTGAAAAAAAATGAGCAGCCAAATAAAACACAAGCTAATTAATCAATTAATCTTAATATAACCGACTATTCACCCAAACCACAAAAAATATTACCATGAAAGTTTCCAGAAAATTCCAAACTCACTCAAATCTGTTCTAATAAAAATTTGAAGCCTTTCCAGCCCTGGTTGTAAGAGATTTTAAAAAAAAAGGGCATGGGGGGAGAGAAATCAGCAAGAAAGGGAAAGGTAATGCACACATACAAATAAAAATACAAATTAGAAGGAAAAGAAGTAAGAGCTATCAAACACTTCTATGAAAAGAAAGCGATTCATTCATAGATTTTCAGTCAATAAAAAGAAATCAAGGTCCAAAAATGACAAATCAAAAAAAAACATTTAAAAAATAATTTCATCATACCAAAAACAAAAGATAAAACAACCAGACACTAAAACAAGCACGATAATATTACACACAATGAAACCGAAACCAAAAAAAACCTGGAAAAAGAGCGAGATTACCACACGCTGCCTGATACTAATGAAACTGAATAGCCCGTTATAACAAAAATTTTCCAGTAAGAGCCAATATATTCAAAATTTGCGTCATCACATATGATGATACCACTAATTGACAAGCTTCTAACATCCAGAATTCTGAAGTACAAAAGAAAAAGAACCAAACAAATATAACCAAGGGAAAATAAAAACTGGCAATCGAAAAAAAAAAAAAAAAGATAGTCCAAATATAGCACTCAAAATATTTCATTGCATATCTTGGTTCCAATCATTATTGTCGAAATAAAAGCCGAGATCAAATCCATTTTCATTAAACATGAATTCGTCAGAATTGAAATCGCCATGCGCCTGCAGTTGCAGGGCTTGGGATTGTTCCTGGTTCCCATTAAATTGACTGGTTTCATCTCTTTGTTGTTGGCGTTGAGAGGCAGTGTCAATTGATGTACCCAAAAGTTCATGTTTGCCATTATTCACCACAATAGTGTTCTTCTTAGTACTTTTTGTTTTAGGGTCCAACTTCGACGACTGCTTTGTATCTCGTTTTTTATTAGAATGATAAATAGATGTGGCTGAAGGCTTTCTTTTGCCAGAAGCTGCCGGAATTGTTGATAGGGTTGGTGTATCACGACCACTTTTCCCAGTATTGGGGGCACCCACATCATTAGCGGCAATACTCATTATTGGTGTCAAAGGATCTGCGGGAGATGAAGATTCAGGGTCAGCAGTTACAGCGGCAGTCTTTTTCTTCCTTGGTTTCCTCTTCTTACCGGAGCTGGTGACAACTGTAGCAGTTGTGGTAGTTTCAAGTCTATTATCTTTGTCATCAATTTTGTCCTCCAAAGATTCTCCATCCAAAGCATTATTAATTTCTTCTATTTTAACCAGCAGTTTTGTAGTACCATCATTTTTCTTATCATTTTCTGGTAGTTGACCAACATTCAAATTATTATCTACAAACGCAGTTCCTTGAACAGGTTTATCATTTTTGAAAACCTCCAAATTCTTCTTGTTTCGGCGCTCTAGAATAATTAATTGTAGCTGATAATCCCTTAGTACGCTCATTTTATTATCCATCACTTGATTTCCTGTGAGCAGATTACTAGCACCAACCTCGTCGCCTTGTTTACTAAATTGCTGGTTTGAAGCAGATAAAGGTCTTTTAGAGTCACTAGGGCCACTTTCCTCATTATTTAACTCTTTGATATTTTGCTGCTGCTGCTTGCCACTTGCATCATCGCTATCAAAGGACCTTGCACTCGGAAGAGGGGCCATGTTCGATGAGCCATTCAATGCTTGACCATGCTGCGCCATAACTTGGGAAGGATGAGCTGACAAGGAAGGTTGTTGAGGAAGGTATTGATGACTTAGCATAGTTATTGGGGGTTGTTGGATAGGAGGCGAGACCATTGCCATATGATTTGGAGGAGTTCTAACTGCACCATTGACCCCCTTTTTTTTCTTTAGCTGCTGCTGCTGTTGCTGTTGCTGTTGTTGTTGCTGTTGCTGTTGTTGTTGTTGTTGTTGTTGTTGCTGTTGTTGTTGTTGTTGCTGTTGTTGTTGTTGTTGTTGTTGTATTCTTGTCTGTTGAGTCGACCTCTGCTGAGGAAAGACGAATGAATTCATTGGAGGGTTAACGGTCAAAGGGCTGTGAACCATTGGCGAGTTTGGGTTTGATGTTATAATCTGTCCATTTTTCATAATTTGTCCATTTTTCACCATCTGTTGCTGTTGCTGCTGTAAAGACGGCTGAGGTATTGGTGTGTGCTGAATTGGGGTTTGAGGGGAGTTGGTATGCAGAGGGAAGTTCACTAAAGATGAATTTTTGGATCTCCTTTGATTTTCGATACTATAATATATCTGAGCCCTTTGAGAACTCATTTTACCAGCCTTGGCATTGAATATATCCCAGAATATCTCCCACCATTCATGTAAAAAGCCACGAGGGGAATCCATCGATAATTCGATTTTTGGTTGAATATTATTGTCATTAAACTGAGACTTATTGACTGGTTGGCCGTTCTTACTCATCGGAACATTAGCTTCCTGTAAAAATGCTTTAGAACTTGAATCTAACCCTGCTTTTACCAAATAGTCGTAAATATAGGCATTTAACAATTGGTCAGGGTTTGCAGATATTGAATCTGAGATTAAAACTTGCATGTCATTATTATGCGAAGAGGCCATTCCTGGAGCACTATTGCCATTACTATTACCATTAGCGTTCATAGAACCATTATTCATGATTTCCGGATTATTATTTAAATTCTGTTTGTTAAAGGAATTTCCGTTGGTTTGTTGAAAATTCATACCTGTTTAGAGGTCTCTAAAACTAGCTATACCCAACAAAAAACAGATATCAAAAAACCTTTTAAGGTACTTCAGTAGAGCTTCTTTTATGATGAGAGATGAACTATTTTGAAAATAATTGCAGTGTTAGGTGGAGGGGTTTCCCAAACAATCCTGAATTGACAGGATTTTACAAAGGACCTAATTGACTTCTCTGAGGTGCTGATTAGACAGGCATCAACACTTTAATCAATTAATTGGGCGCACTAGCAGATAAGTCTTGGTTATTGAAAGAGGCCAAAAGTGCTAGTTGGTAAACAGGACCCGGAATTACTGTGAGTGTTCTCACTTTGAAGGACGGTTTTTGAATTTATGTATCGTAATTTAAACTCAGCTAGCACTAGTTTGATAGTTTAATAATTTTTTTTCTTGACTTTTTGACGCTAAGAAAAGTGGTAGTTCGAAAAACGGGGGAGCAAAACCACCGACTGTGCTGTTTTTCCACCGCGTGCAAAATATTCTTACCCGTCTAAGATCAGCGATCGGCTTCTGTTACACGTAAGCTGGGAAGAGCCCACTAATGCTTTTTTTTTTTTTTCGTTCTTTGATTATTACAGGGAATAACTATAAGAGTGATGGTTTGCTGGATTGTTTTTTTTTTTTCTAGATGTTCAATCATAACTGAGAGTCCACAATAATGAAAAAAAAGTGAGTTGAGAAAGACAGAGGAAGAGAGAGTGAAAGAGAGAAAAAAAAAGACATTACCCGCAACTTATACCAATAAGATTGTTTGTTGGGTCAATGTTGATTTGTATATCGACTGTTTCAACGATACATGATATCTTAACTGTCATTTTGATCAGTTGAATATCCATGGCATTCTATATCTGTCCTCACTGATGCATACCCGTTAATATGGAACCAAAAACTGGTATGTAGACTTCTTGTAAAAGCGTAAATGTTATTGGTGAGCTTAGTTATCCTTGGGTAATCAGATTCTTCATTAAACACCCTCGTTTATTTTCAAAAGAAAACAAGTGAAGAGAATATAACCATTGGCAGTCCAGAAAAACTCAGTTTCCTAATTCAAACAATTGACTCATTTAGACCCGTTTACTCCACCAATACCAGAAAACAAATATTATTTCTTTGAAAGGATATCAGTACTCATCAAATTGCCGACATAATCTTGTAGATATTGGTTTTCGTTCTCAAGTTTATGACATGAACGCTTGATCTCATGAGTCTTGCCCACCATCGCGTTCAATTTGTTCCCGAGTTCCACCACTTGTTGAAAGATTTCTTTCTCCTCAGAAGTAAGCTTCTTTGCCTCCAGCATGCCGGCCTCTTTATACGGAATCCTAACGTAGATATCACTCGATAAAGAAGTCTGACTCCAGTGCCACCCACCAGTAAACACAGACAGGAGGAATGAGATTTCTGCGACAACAAAAGATACCGCTTCTACACGTGATAGTCACTTGGGTCATGGGAGAAACCCGGAAAAAATGTCAATGATGATGTGACTAGGCAGTAATCTCTAACATTAACCCACATTATGAGTCGCCACCGGTCTAATCATCTAATACCTTAGAATATGTCACTCGCTAGACCCCTTAGAGCTATAATATTGGGTGCCCCGGGCTCCGGAAAAGGTACTGTGCTATCAAAATTGGCCAAACACTATGAAAACAAATTAACAACCGTTTCTTCCGGTGATTTACTCCGAGAACGAATCAACAAGGACCCAAACTCAGAACTTGCAGCTATTGTATCTAAAGGTCGTTTGGTATCAAACGAACTCATAATTAATACAATTTTTGATAGACTTGATCACTTGAAATTATTTAATGACCACCTGTCCTGGATTTTGGATGGATTCCCAAGAAATACTATTCAGGCTAAAGAATTAGATGAAAGATTACTTTACCAAAACCTTCCATTGAATATGGTTATTGAATTGGACGTTCCTTTTGAAGTCATTTTAAACAGAATTGAAAGAAGATTTATTCATCAACCATCAGGGAGAATCTACAATTTGGAATACAATCCACCAAAGGTTCCAGGAAAAGACGATATCACTGGAGAGCCTTTAACTAAGAGACCTGACGATAATGTTGAAGTCTTCAGTCAAAGATTAGATTTATATAGTGAGCTACTTGTTAACCTAAGGAGCTACTACCAAACAAAGGGTTTATTGCACACTATTGAGGGAGAAACATCAGATATTATTTTCCCAAAATTGTTGAAACTAATCGAAGAAAAATATAACACTATCTCAGTAGAGTAGTTTTTCTTCAACATCATGCCTAGCTCTTACACATATCATGCTTAGCTCTTATATATATATATCACTTCAGAGAGAATTAATATTCAATTTGTGTTGCTTTTGGATGTATGAATTTTGCTTTTTTTTCGTATGTTTAATATATTATGTATTCTCGAACTTCAATAGGCGAGTGTGGCTCTTCACCACCAAACCAGGATACAGGTTTATCTCTTATTGATATATATCCTGGCGAAATAGTTTACTGACCTCTTTGAACTTAATAATGATGAGCCTGAAACTGTAAAATCTTGTCAGAGTTCACCGGAGCGGAAGTATGACCATCCGTAGGTGCCGCATTGGAAGTGACGGATAAGTTATAGTTAGAGTTATCTTGGGACATTATGAAGTAATAATAATTAGCTGCTACAAGTTAAATTGGGGACTGGATGGTTTGTGTGTCGTTTATTCCAGCTTGGGATTAAATGATATCAGAGTTTATGATAAGACAAGTTCAGTCGAAATCAGATCCTCTCAATCGCAGCTCCCCTGCTACCAGTGGTAGGATATTATGCTTCTATATATAATTATTTAAATCTCTGAAGATCAATCTTCTCCAGTATCAGAATACCTCTGATTGGCTGATTAGCCGTACTTATCAATTCTCAGACTCGGGTCTCCGAGTGTAACTACCATTCTCATGTAGTGTAGTTAGTAATGTGATTTCACTGGAACTGACAGCTGCTGGTTATGTACCCTGTTCAATATAATACGGGTAATGTTAATAAAAAAATAATCAAACGCGCAGACAGACCTCAAGAGATGATAATTCCATCAATACATATCCTTGGTCCTTCTTAACTAAATTAGCTGTTAGGAAAAGAAATGAGCGGTAAACCCAACAATGACCTCGATCGTTTCAAATACGATGAGATGTCCAATAAGGTCCTCAAGGCGGACCGTAGATTTGTTTCTAAAAGAAATGACCAAGACAGTATTAAATCTCAACCAAAGTCGTTAAAAGGGCAAATATCTAAGAAGGAAATGGGTTCTAGGATTCGTGAACAGAAAGCCTACGAGAATTTAGAAGATGGTGATGCTAATAGCGAGAAACAAAAGCTCAAGAAACAATATGAGAAAGAAGAAAAACGATTCGAGGAAAAAAAGAAGAAATCACAAACCCATGGTTTACTTGGATCTGGCACTTCCTTATTGGATTCTAATATTGAAGGATTGCTCTATTACCCGAAAAATGAAGATACAAAAAAGACATATGAATCAATACTGCAGTGGGTGTATAATGAATTTTCTCAAGAAGCAACACATGAAGTCATTAGATCGGCAGTTGATGCGCTTCTTTCAATATTAAAAGATGAGTCTATTGCAAATAAGAAGAAAGAATGCGAGAAAATATTGAATGTGTGTCTATCAGATAATAATTTTAACCAGTTACTGGAATTATGTGAACAAATAACAGATTACCACCAACAGGGCGAGCAGGCGAGTCATGGGGACGACGGAGATGCCATGACAGTATTGTTTGAAGATGAAGAAAAGGAAGAAGAAGAGGAGGATGGGGAGGAAGAAGATGTGCATCAGGACGGCATAGTAGAAGATAAAGAAGTGCTCACGGAGGAACAAGACAAAGCCATGAATATTGATGGACTTCATGATGAGACTGAGGTTTTGAAATTTCAAGATTTTACGAAAAGGAAGCTTATGGTGGAAAGTATCGATCCACAGTGGATTAAAACCAGTCTTAGAGATGTCTTGCATAGTTTAGAATCAAATAGGATGGATGATTTGTCACTGAAGATTTTCAAGATATTGTCAGACTATAAATCAATTAGTGATGCGAACTTGAGAGCAGAATTATCAGAACTATTAAAGGACAATACTGAAAACAAAGACCTTGCTAATTTTATCAGCTTATTATGCGATAATCGATATAAAATTGTTTTCAGGCTACAGTTATTGGAATTTGAAGAAGACGAAATGGGAAAATTGAAAGTAATACAAGAGATGAATGATTTGGAACTATACTCTTTGATGGAAGAATTCGAGGAATTCGAAAATAGCTTGTCAAAGAAACATACAAAAAAGCGAAAATTGAATAGCGGAGAAGCTACTAAGCAATCTAATAGTGAATCTGCTCAATCAAAGGCTATTGAAGAGCCTATCATTACAAAAAGACAACCGAAGTACGTTCAGTTAGAATCACTAAAGTTTGATCAGGGCTCTCATTTGATGACTCAATCAAAAATTAATTTACCTAAAGGATCTTTGAAGAAAGTTAAGAAATCTTATGAAGAAATCCATGTTCCAGCACCAGCGAAACCAGATATGTCTCACTTGAAGTTGGTTCCTATTAAAGATCTCCCAGAATGGGCTCAAGTGGTTTTCCCGGAATCAGAAACCAACACATTGAACCCAATTCAATCATCAGTCTATTCAACAGCTTTTGGTTCAGATAATAATATTCTTTTATGTGCCCCTACCGGTGCTGGTAAAACAAATGTGGCAATGTTGACAATGCTTCGTGCTATTCACAACTTTCGCAATCCAGAATCAGGAAAAATCAATTCAAATAATTTCAAGATTGTTTACATCGCTCCATTGAAAGCCTTGGTACAGGAACAGGTTAGAGAATTTTCCAGAAGATTGAAACTGTTAGGATTGACAGTTGGAGAATTAACCGGTGACTCCTCAATGACGAAACAACAAATCAAAGAAACTCAAGTGATTGTCACCACTCCTGAAAAATGGGATGTTATCACCCGAAAAAACAATGATACAAGCTATACTAATCTTGTGACATTAATCATTATTGATGAAATTCATTTATTGCATGATGAAAGAGGTCCAGTCTTGGAGAGTATTGTTGCAAGAACTTTAAGGCAAGCGGAAGATTTGGATACACGTATTAGATTAGTTGGCTTGTCTGCCACCTTACCAAACTATAAGGACGTTGCTGAGTTTTTACAAGTGGATTTTGATAGTGGATTGTATTATTTCAATGCTAGCTATAGACCTTGTCCTTTGGCTCAACAATTTATTGGGATTACAGAACAAAAAGCCATTAAAAAAATTAATGCGATTAATGAAGCCTGTTATGATAAGGTTCTTGAAAATGCTGGTAAGTTTCAAGTAATTATTTTTGTTCACTCAAGAAAGGATACTGTGAAGACCGCCACTTATTTGAGAGACAAACTACTTGAATCAGAAAACTTGAATCGTCTTTTGAAAACTGATATGGGCTCACAGGAAATTTTAAAACAAGAATCTGAGGTTGTGAAGGATCCAGGGTTGAAAGATTTGATCCCAACAGGGTTTGCTGTCCACCATGCGGGCTTATCCAAAGAAGATCGTTCAGTTGCTGAAGATTTATTTGCTGAAGGGTATGTTCAAGTTCTTGTTTCTACCGCGACCTTAGCTTGGGGTGTCAATTTGCCAGCCCACACAGTCATTATTAAGGGTACTCAGGTATATTCACCAGAAAAGGGTGCTTGGACGGAACTTTCCCCTCAGGACATTCTACAAATGTTAGGTAGAGCTGGTAGACCAAGATATGATAAAAACGGTGAAGGTATTATTATTACATCGCATAGCGAAATGCAATATTATTTGGCAATCTTGAATCAACAATTGCCAATCGAATCTCAGCTTGTGAGTAAACTCGTGGACAACTTAAATGCAGAAATAGTTGGAGGCACAATTAAATCTTTGAAAGAAGGTGTCGAATGGTTAGGTTACTCTTATCTTTATTATAGAATGTTACACTCTCCAAGTGTATATCATGTGGGGGCTGATTATGCTGACGATGTGGAATTGGTTAACAAACGAACAGATTTAGTCCATTCTGCATTAATGGATTTAACTACAAATAATCTTGTTGTATATAATCAATTGAGCGGTGAGGTATCTCTGACAGAACTTGGAAAAATTGCTTCCTATTATTATATCAACAATGAATCTATGAACGTTTATATTGATAATTTGAAGCCGTTTTTATCTCCTGTTGATTTGCTTCGGGTCTTTGCTTTATCAGGTGAGTTCAAATACATTCCTTCTCGCCAGGAGGAAAAATTCGAAATTAAGACTCTCATTGGTAAAGTTCCAATTCCCGTTAAGGAATTAGAAGATGATCCATTGGCTAAGGTGAACGTTTTGTTACAGGCTTATATTTCAAGACTAAAATTAAATGGATTTGCTTTGATGTCTGATATGATCTATATCACACAATCTGCCAACAGAATCTTTAGAGCAATTTACGAAATTTGTTTGAGAAAGAATTGGGCTCAACTAGCTAAGACTACTTTGGATTTGTGCAAAATGATTGAACGTAGGATTTGGTTATCCAATTCTCCTTTTCGCCAATTCACTGATTGCCCATCTGAGATAATTAGAAAAACAGAAGCTTCTAGAGTTCCATGGTCGTACTACTTATCACTCGAAACTCCTCAAGAGATAGGCCAAGCTATTGGGACAGAAAAATTTAGCAGAAAAGCATTTGAAATGATACAACAATTTCCAAAGGTTAGAATTCCCGAAATTGAAGTTTTGCCAATCACTACCAGTCTATTAAAGTTTGAATTGACAATTATGCCAGAATGGGAATGGAATTATGAAATTCATGGTGCCAGTGAGAGGTTTTTATTGCTAGTGGAAGATGTGAATGGTGAAAAGATTTTGTATAATGATATTTTTTTAGTCAGACAGGAATTTGTCAATGAACAACATTTTGTTGAGTTCACCATCAACTTGCCGGTTAGTGATTCCAACAAACAGCAGATTATTCCACCAAACTATTTTATCACTTTGATTTCGGAAAGATGGTTGAATTGTGAATACAGAACCCCAGTTACATTCTTTAATATCAAATTACCAAAGAAGTTTTCTACCCCAACAGAGGTTGTGGATATGCCATTAGTTCCTTCCAGTCAATTAAAGATGAAGGAATTTGAAAAATATTTCACAAAGGTTAGGAATTTCAAGAATTTCAATAGGTTGCAATCTCAAGTTTTTGATGCTGTGTACAATTCGAATGATAATATTTTCTGTGGTATTTCTAAAGGCTCAGGTAAAACTCTTATCGCAGAATTGGCAATCTTCAATTATTGGAAATCACAAAAGCCTGGAAGGGTGATTTACATTAACCCGAATGAAGAACAAGTTGATAGTTTGTATAGGTTATGGACCAAGTATTTTTCTGGGATTGCTGGTGGTAAACAAATAGCAAAATTGAGCTCCAGTGGTGAATTAGCTATCAATTCAAAGAAAGTTGCTGACAACCATTTGATTTTGTCCACTCCAGAAAACTTCAACCTTTTGATTAAAAGATGGACCAAACAACGGAAAATTATCAGTAAGATTGATTTATTGATTCTCGATGATGTACATACTGTCGGACAAGGTGTCATCGGTGCTGCTTATGAAGCCATTGTCTCCACCACCAGGTTTGTGATGAACCAATTAGAAAAAGAAGACGATTTCAGAGTGGTTGCTTTAGGCTCTTCCATTGCTAATGGTAGAGATTTTTCTGAATGGTTAGGTGTATCGAAGGGCAAGATTTTTAATTTTGCTGCCACTGAAAGAAGTCAACCTATTGAAATTCATTTAAGATCCTTGAATATCAACCATTATCCATCGTTCGTCACATCGTTATTGAAGTCAAGCTACAAATACGTCAAACAATATGTGGAGAGTAGTGGTGGAAAAACATTAGTATTTTCATCTACTAGAAAGCAAGCCATTGATATTGCAACTAACTTCATCAAATTTGCAAAACATGATAACTATTCTTTTGCAGGCGCTCAAATGGCTACAAAACATGAAAAGTTGATTGATCAAATTTCAGACACTGTATTAAAGAGTTTATTGCGCAATGGTTTTGGTATTTATTACAAGAATATGGCTGAAGCTGACAGATTAATTACTGATCGTTTGTTCAATGCTCATATTATCAAAGTTATCTTTGCTAGTAGAGAAGCTTGTTATTTCACTCCTCAGGCTAATCTTGTGATGGTTTTGGGAACACAATATTTTGAAGGATCAGAGCACAGATATGTTGATTATACTGCAAGTGAGTTGTTAGAAATGATTGGTAACGCAGTGCGAAACTCTGCCGTGAACGAATATTATGATGAGGCCTTGGGAAAAGCAGTTATATTTACAACCACTGGTAAAAGAGAATATTATAAGAGATTCTTGAATTTTGCGATTCCAGTGGAAAGCAATTTCAATTATTTCATCAATGATTCTTTTATCGATGAAATTGCTAGCGGTGTCATTTCTACTAAGCAAGATTGTATGGATTGGTTAACCTACAGCTTCTTTTACAGAAGGCTACAATTGAATCCTAGTTATTACGGAGTCAAGGATACCACCCCTCTTGGCTTATCTGAATATTTGTCTGAAATGATTGAAGATTCGTTGAAAGAACTAGAAGATGCTAAAATGATCGAGATTGAAGAAGAAGAAAATGAGGAAGCAGAAGAAGAAGAAGCAGAAGAAGAAGAGAAGATCAGCCCTTTGAATGGTGCTTTGATTGCTTCTCACCATGGTGTCTCATTTACTACCGTTCAAACATTTAATGTTAACTTATTGGCCAAATCGAACTTAAAATTCCAAATGAGGTATTTACTTGAGATCTTGTCACTTGCGTCAGAATTCGGGTCTCTAGTGACAATCCGGAAAAACGAGTCGTCGATCTTGAACAGGCTATACAACAGAATTCCTTTGAAGTCATCTTCATTTACAAAATCACCTACGAGTTTTGAAAGCTCCATTAGTTTGAAGATTTTTATTTTGATCCAAGCTCATTTCTTGAGATTCAGTTTATCACCTGAACTCCAATCTGACATGAAAATTATTTTGTCAGTTGTTCTTAAGCTTTTGAACTGCATGATTGATTTGTTGTCAAGTGATGGTAATTTAATTGTATTACGCTTGATGACGTTATCACAGCTAATCAGTCAAGCAGTTTGGGAAAAGGATGAATCAATTTCTTTGAAGCAAATACCTTTTATAAATGAGAAAATATTGAAGAGATGTGATGAGATGAAAATTAGAAATGTCAATGAATTTATTGAGATCGATGATGACAATGAAAAGTTGAAGCTTTTGGGTAAAGATATTGCTGATGATGAGTTCAAATTAAATAAAGTGATTAATTTCTTGAACAATTATCCAATTATAAATAATGTGACTTACAGGATCAATGATGAAGAAAATTTGAATACTAGTGATGATATTGCTATTTCAGTGACAATACAGAAAGACGAGGGCGTTGAAGATGACGAGGAATTGATCATCAATTCTGAGTTTTATCCCTTCGAGAAATTTGAGAATTGGTGGATTGTGATTGGTGATATAAACACCAGGACTTTATATGCTATTAGAAAAGTGGTTCTTAAAAAAGAAGAACAGACTTTTAAGTTATCATTCAATGTGAACGAAGCAGGTAAACATGATTTGAATATTTGGCTTGTTTGTGATTCCTATTATGAAACTGAGGAAGTGAGTTTTTCTATAAGTGTTGCTCAAGCAGAAGATAATAGTGAAGAAGAAGAGGAGGAATGATGTTCTCCACATATGATTTATTTTTTATTTGTCTTATTATTTCAACTTTATTCTATATATATATATATATATATTTCAGATTACTTTACTAGTGTACTATAAATATAGAGTGTAATGTTACCTTTTGATTTACTGCCATATTGTAGTCATGGCATTGATGTATCCACTGTAAACAACCCATCTTGTTGGTATACATACGCGGCTACGGAGGAAAAATCGTAGAAGGTCCCAAAACACCTTGGTTCGGTATCTTAAAGAATACTACATCGAGTGAGTGTCCCGCGTACCTATCCATTGCCACAACAAATTCGAAATTATCACAATGAGTGAAGAATCCCAAAAGAAATTGCCTCCAACAATTCCAAAAAGACCTTCGTCTTCGAGGCTTACTAAAAGTGCTTCAAATATTTCTGACACCTCATCAAACCTGAGGGATATAGTATCGGATAAGGATCAAACTGGGGAGGACTCGGAAGGTACAACCACAGAAGAACCTGAGATCTCAGAAAATACGGCAGTAACTGAAACTTCTGATGAAGTAGTTAAGAATGTTATGGAAGAGGAAACTGGTTCTCAAGATGATGTTGTGTCAGAATCTAAATTGGGTTCCCAGATTGAACCATCGCAAGCATTGGAAAGTGATAAAAAGGAGGAAATTTTACCACAAATTACTGAAAAAAGACATCCCCCAGTAGTACCAAAGCGAATTTCTAGAACCAGTACCTTGGAATTCATGGACAGTGAACCAACAAATGAAGAAGAGTGTGAGCTGTCTGTGATCAAAGATAATGAGCAGGTTGTGCCACCTATTGCTCCTAAAAAAATTTCCAGGACTAACAGTATGGCTAGTTCCGGTGTTTCGGATCTGTTGAGCCAAGAAGAGTCTGGATCAATTGAGGAATCTGTAATTGAAGAGAAAAAGGAGGATGTGTCGGCGTCAATGGCCAAAAGGCCATCTATTCCAAGGAGACCAGCAAGACCAGCTTCCAATACCAACACTCCTCCGCCTATCAAAAAGAAACCTCCTGTGGTTCCAAAGAAGCCTTCATCGAAGATACTTGCGTTCCAGAACATGTTGGCCCAACAGCAGCAGGAGCAAAGTAATAGTAACCCATCCAGATTCGTGCCTGAAGTAATCCGCCGCAAGTCGAGCGGAATTTCTTCGGAAGAAGATAGTGAATCGGAAAAGAAAAGGTCTAATATATCCAAAAACTTGAACGGGATATTCGGGACAGCGTTGCCTGGTATGGCCCCTCCTGGTATGGGTTTCTTTCCAGAAAAAATCCCAAAAGCCCTGTCCTCATCTTCCTCATTAGTGGAAGATAATTCAGTTAGTCAAACACCAGAAAATGCAGACGATACTGCCAAAGAAACCGAGCCAAAAAAGCTTAGTGATATCAGAAGGGGGCGGGTTAAGGCATCAGGGAGAAGAAGATTGCCTACTGCTGCTGTGAAAAAAGTGGAAACTAAGTCTCAAGATAATAACAAATTCTCAGTTCATGTTGCAGACCTTTGGGAAGTTGTATTAACCGAACCTATTTCTAATACAGGAAATAGTGATGATGACTCAAGTGGGTCACCAGTTGAAGAAGCGCGAAAAATTGAGGACGAAAAGATGATTGAGAAGGACGAAAAGGAGGAAGAACCTGTGGAAAAAAAAGATGCGTTAGATATTCTGGTGGAGGAATCAGAGGAACCTATTGATGAAACTGATATTGCGGAATCTGCAAAAACTCAGGAGAATCAAGATTCAATACCAGAATCTGAAACAGGCACAAAAGTGCCAATAGAAGAATCAGTAAGTGATATAAAAGATTCAAGTGACTAATGGTTGCTACAAACAAAACAGTAAAAGATTATCGGAATGAGCTTTAGAGATTAGAATAAGTTTTATATATATATAATGGTGAGAATAAAAAAAGAAAGAAAGAAAAAAAAAAAAAAAAAGAAACCCAAGTTAATTATTAGTGTTTTATTTGTTTTTTTTTGACTCATCTTCTTTGAGGAGGACATTGTAGTCTCTGAAATGGTTGTTACGCCAAATACTTCCCAACAAAAACAATAGCATCATCACTAACAGAAGTGAGCTCTTCTCATTAGGAGGATATGTACACCAGCATAATTCATGCAATAAATGAAATACCGGAATGAAGTAATAATTCCAGCCAGCGAGCGCATATAAAAATGGCAACTGGAAGTAATACCACGATAAGAACTGGTAATGTAATGATCTTGAACAAATCACGCCAATTAAATTCGAGATTGACAAGACATAAAAAATGTATGCCGAAGAGACACTAGTGTTGTTCAAATTGTTGTTCAAATGTGCTTTGAAAGGATTTACGAGAGATTTGACAATAACAGTCAATGGGTTGAAATTGGTACACCACCTGCTAACCACGAACCCAGCCAAGAGTACCCCATTGATGCAAAGCAAGAGCTTATGGAAACTATCATTTTGGAAAACATCCTCTGGTAAAAACCTCCAGTTGATGGTCCATTCATAAAAGAACTTTCTATTGAAATTGAAAGCGTTGGATAAGTAAGCGTTTCTAATTTCCATCGCCTCAAGGCCATATAAATCAAATGGTTGTAAGAAGTCCCAGGCAACGCACACTTGGACCGCTAAAATGGTGATTATATGGACAACGATTGTAACTAGGCGACCACCATGGAATAAGTAAAGAATGTAAAAAAGGCCAGGTGCAAATAAAAGGGCATTCATCTTGATGGAAAGGGCATACGAATAAACTGCTGAAGTGAAAAATAACAACCAAGCTCTGGCCTGTCCATCAGGTATTTTTGTAGTAACCTGTAACAAAAGAATGACAAGCCCCATGAAAAATGTGACGAAGCAATCATTAAAAAGTCTCAATACATATATGGAGTGCATTCTTTTGCTCAATAATAATATACTAAATATCCAAGGTTTCTTAAGCAAGAATTTTTCGCCAGTTCTGTTGGAAAATTGGTAGACAAAGATGTAAAGGACAAACGTTACTGTTAACAAGAATCGAAAGACTTGTTGAATCATAACTAATCCATCGGTCTTATAAATACTGTCCAATAGCGAATATATTTGGATGAAACCGGCTGGATACACAATCGGACCAGAATCACCATAAATGTTATTATAATTCAATTCCCCGTTTTTCACTAATTGAACCTGTTGTCTATACGTGGTGAAATCAATTTCTGTGTAATCAACATTGTGAATGATCACCTTGTTTAACATAGATTCGGCAAGACATGTTAACACATAGTACAAGAGTATTGCATTTGGATCATTCAACATGTATTTAATTCCGTCCAATACATCGAGAAGTAGGTTCTTGAAAGTGAACTCTGGAAGTGGTGGCTTTTCTTCACTTTTTTCACCATCGTAAGATATCAGCTGTTCCGGCGCTGACATACTTTATTATGATTATTATGAAGAATAATTTTCATGTGTTAGCATAGAGACAAGAGAACGGCTCAGAAATAATTCTCGTGAGAAAAACACTCTGGTAGGAAGCATTGGTCATCACTATATTGCATTGGTATGCATATATAAGCTCTACAAATTGTAAGATTGTAGTTACAAAACAGATGGCCATAACATAAATATTGATCTATGACGCATTGCTCTTTTGACTTGTATTTGCCAACATATTGCATATTTTCTCATATAATATGTGTCTCAATTTTTTTGATTTCAACCCTTCATTTTTCAAATTGATACTTGATTCTATCACTTGAGATTTTGTGCTATATTTGGATGGTACTGGTTTAATTATGTCCCTGTGATTCTTGGCATAGCAGCTTTCTATTGAATTCAGAAAATTGTGTTGCTGGGGAAGAATAGCATCAACTTGTATACTTTGAAGTTTATTCAAATTCCATTGTTCAACTTTTTCTTTCAATTTTTTATTGCAAGCCCTAATATTTTTCCATTGGGTCATTATTGATAGAAATGCACTGATGCAAATTTCTTCGGAGTCAATCTCATTGAAGTTAAAAATTATCTGGTAATTGTATGAATTAATATTTGACTTCTTTGAATTCTTTTCATCACCCATGTTGATTGCCAATGCTATTCTCTTATGGACCGGTTGGGAAAATAATGAATCGGTGACAGAAGAATCTATTCTTTCCAAATATTTTGAATCATATAACCATCGATATCCAAATGAATTATCGGTTTTATCATCTTTATGGATCCCGAAACTATTGGATTTTAGATTGCCACTATGATATTTAATAATCTTCAATTTATAAGGGTCATTTGGAATGGCAAAGCTTGTCTTTTTTGATTGAAATAAATTATGACCAGCTTTCTCTGCGAGTATTATAGTCCAAATTACCTTTTGGGTTGCAGCTTCTTTGACAAACCAAAAATTTTTCAAAGGTTTAGTGCTTTCAATCAAGAATAATGGAGCTCCTTTATCATCATAAATGTGGAATTTCGGGTTTACGCCATCAAGCTGCTGCTGAACAACATCATTTCTTATTGAAATACTGGCTAGATGAGACGTATCATATTCCAATGAGAGAATGGGGTAAGATTCGATACATTTATCTTCATATTGCTTCTTGTGATATGAGGCCAAAGTTGCAAAACTAAATGAAGAAATAAGAAATGCCACGCCAATTGGCAAGAGTTCTGTCATTTATCATGTATATCTATATATTATTTTTTAGTTATGGTATTTTTTTTGTTATATTTATTTTGGTGAAACTTCAATACAATCGATAGCTACAAGAGTAAGAAAGAAGGGAAGCGATATCTAGAATTTATGGGTCAGGTGTGGACTGCAAAAAATCAAATTACATTCTTTGTGGGTGTTTGTGTAACTAACGAAGTGTTTATAGTTTTTCCGAGCACATGAAAGGACATGGAATAAAGTGGAGGAAGGATAAAGCTTGAATATCAGTCAAGGTGGGGAGGCGATGGAGTATATACCGAAGCATATATAGCACCACTATATACAATGCGCTTTCTATTTCTTTCCTTGTTTTGTTGCTTTTCTACTCGCATTTTCTATTTCTGATGGTCACTGTATTTGAAATCAAACCATTATTCCACCTTCTTTTCCATGTGGATTTTGACACAAAACAGTTTTGTTTTTGTGGATTTTGACACAAAACAGTTTTGTGTCAAAATCCACAAAAAGCCCTAAACACCCCCATCATATAACAACAACACCCCGCGTGACACACACACAAAAGAAGAAAAAAATTAAAAAAATTAAAAAAAAAAAAATTTTACGCGTCATCTTAGAGACTAGACTCCCTGCGCCCGTCTAATTAAGTCCTTTTTTTTTTTCTGCTGGCTCTTTCCTGCTGACTCCTTGACTATCACTGAAGATAAAGAGATATAATTGTTACAAATAGAATACTTTATAGGTGTCATCTCATAATAAAAAAGAAAAGCAAAATGTTATTGACCGTCAACCATTCGAAAGGTGACCTCAATGACTTAGAAGCCGAGCTATTGCAAAAAATAGAAATTAGCAAAATATCCAGACAACTCAAATCCAAATTGTCAGCAATCACCAATAAAAAACACATTGATCATGATAAAGGTTTCTCCCCTTCTGTTTCTAAAACCTCTACCAGACATTCAATGAAAAGATATACCAGCGACTTTGCTCAAATTCACTCATCAGTAATGAAACCTTCCATTAGAAGAAATGGCAGCAAAAGTTTCAAGCACTTGCCTTCGCCATCTTCTCCTTTATATACCAGTCATACTCCATCATCATCACCATCATCATCCGGACAAATGTTTAGTAGCCCAACTACTGGTCAAATTAGAACAACTCCATTAAGAAATAGAAAGTTTTATAAGTATGAATCTTTGAATGAAATAATGCAGGCCAGTGAGAATCCTGACAAAAAGAATAGACAGCAAAATGAGCAACGCTCCACCCAAAATCAAATGCCCTCAATCTTAACTACACCAAAATCAAAAGTTATTAGAACTACTAGAAATTTTAGTGGTGGTAACGAAGATGAAGGTGCTAATTTATTGATGTTCTTGGCCACTTCCCCTTCACCTTTCAACTCCAAAACTAGCGGTGGTAATCAATTCATGTCATCGCCAGTGAGAGCCTCTAAATCATATGATGAATTTGGCAGTGCTTCTACAGCCGCTCCAAGCAGTCCGCATTTTGCATACAAACTGTTTAGCTCACCTTTCCCTAGCGAAAATCCGTCAAGTAAATATCATGTTCCTGTCACCCCAAAAGTCATGAAATCTACCAACAATAATAGTTGGGGCTCCACGATCATTAGAACTCCAAATTTCAACATGAGTGATTATGTTAACTTCATGAGCCCATCTCCTTGTGGCAAAAAGAATGGAGCTGCTATCAACCGTTTCAACAATTTGAAAAGTCCTGAGTTAGATGCCAGTTTCACCAGCATTGAAAAGCTCTCCGGTAACAGCTATATTACCTCCAATATTTCAAAAGATGATGAAACTGAAGATGATTCTGAGGCTGAAGTAATTGAACAAACCATCAATCCCTTGCAAGGTCAGCATAATGATGACGGCCAAGAAACCGAGGACGAGCAAGCTGAGAACTAAAGAGAAAATGGATAAAGAAAAAAATAAAGCACCTTGATGGTGTACTTTCAACTTCATACTTAACCTTTAATTCTTTGGTCTTTCATCTACGCAACTATCATTTTTATTTTTATTACTATTGTTATTTCAGTTTCTTTATTTCTTGTTATTGTCTTCAAAATATTTTTTCTCTTTTTTTCACTTTAAAAATTTCTCTTGTATACTTTTTTTTTTCTTTGGAAGGGTCTTAATGGGTAATTTGTATGGATGGTGGATGGATAAAGGGTATCCGTGAATTATTATTACTATTATTTTTATTATTATTACTACTATACTATTAATTCTATACTATTACTACTGCTATTATAACTACTATAATTGTTCTCTACGCAATGCAGTATTTTGTGGTCGTAAATTATTGTTCTAACAACTCAAACTAACTGGAAATCCCTCCTCTTTTCTTTTTCTTTTTTTCTTAAATTCAGACGCCTATTATTCAGAAAGTCACAGTAGCAGAAAAATTTGAGAAATAGATCCATATTTTCAAATTATTTTCAAATAAGGAAGTACTATTACTCTACATCTATTCTTTTCATACTACATATATACTCATTAGCTGAATGTTACACCTTTCTAGTTTTAAAGGAACAATGCAATTATTAAGGTTTTGTTTTTGTGGGTGATATGGATGACATGATACATGCTTTCAAGAATTCACACCTAAAAATATATGGTCTAAGTAATATTGTTCATTAGATTTAAATAAATAACCATTCTAAATTTTATTTTATATTTCAACAGAAGTTGTTTCTTTGCACCTCGAAAACCTCTTAAGTCTTTACCAATGCTAACTGTACCTCTTGTTTGCTATGCAACTTCAATATCTTTTGCCACCGAATCATAATATGCCATATGAAATCCTTGATATGAGGCGCACATATTACATTAATATTGTTTGTTGTCTTTCATCAATAGTAGGGATCATACTCAGATTGTAGTGATCTACAGTTTCCCAATCTATGTTTATGATTTAACTAATCATAGGTTTTTCTCAACAAAATGGAACATGAATGAAGCATATTTGAATTTATTTACAAGTAATAGACGTTATCTTAATTAAAAATGAAGAAAAAATTTATGGAAGATAAAGCACTTCATTACTACATCAATGTCTTCTGTGGCATATTTCCCATTTGGGTTTTCTATGAATATGATGATATCATTCCCTTTCACACTTTATTCAAATTCAACGTGAAAAGCAAAGCTTTTTCAATCACATGGACGCTCAAATAACAGCATTTCATTCACTCACTTCTAATGTATATGGTTCAGTTTCTTTGTATTCATATCTAAACTTGGTAAATATAGAAATAAAGCGCATCACAGAAGTACTACATTCATAGCAAATAAATCCGATAATATACAAAAAGGGCAGTTGAAATGGAAGACAATAAAGGTGATATTTAATATTTTATCAGGAGAAATTAGAGCCACCAATTATAATTTCAATCAAAAAAATTTAAGCCATATATCTGCAGTACATTACATTTCGATTTACAGCTAGAATTTACAGCTAGAATTTACAGCTAGAATTTACAGCTAGAATTTACTGGATTATAGAAATTTTGTACAGCAACTTGTTGAAAGTTGACGCGTCTTGCGCTCAGAATAAAGAGTTGATATAGAGTTGAGTGCTAACTAGAGAGTTGAATATTGAAAGTAAAGTTATCAAATTGAAGAAGAAGGAAGTTGAACATAATTGCCAACTACAGTTATAAATACTCTATTGACTTTTTTAAGGTAAAATGACGCAGCAGCACTTTCAGACTTCATCCAGGTAGTCATCTAGGACCTTATTAGTGGATTAATACGGTTAGTGGCCAGATATATATACTATCTCCAGTTTAATTAGATATTTATTAGGGCAGCGCCGAAAAATCATTTATTTGATGACAAAAGACAATATTTCAAAAACTTGAGACGCGTCGCTTCTCCTGACGCGTCTCTGCATTCTTGATTGATCCAAAAAAAAACAACCAAAAATGGCAGACAAATGAATAGTTTGTACTTCGAACTCCTTGAAGGAAATTACTTACACCGGAAAATTTTTGTATCAAAAAACCCATTAGAACTAATATACATTAATGTAAAGTCATACAAGAATACCTTAACATCGGGACGAAATAAAACTACAGAAGACTAAACAGACATAAACAACAGCAATATAAAAGCGACAACCATAAAAATACCCATGTAAATCACATTTAAGCAGAAGAGTACTTGGTGACAGCACGAGTACCTTCAGAAACAGCATGCTTGGCCAATTCACCTGGCAAGATCAATCTAACAGCAGTTTGGATTTCTCTAGCAGAGATGGTAGACTTCTTGTTGTAAGCAGCCAATTTTGAAGCTTCAGTGGCAATTCTTTCAAAGATATCACTGACAAAAGAGTTCATGATGGAGATGGCCTTCTTGGAGATACCAGTGTCTGGGTGAGTTTGTTTCAAAACCTTGTAAATGTAAGTGTTGTAAGTTTCCTTTCTGGTCTTACTTCTCTTCTTACCGTCACCACCGGTAGAGGCAGCGGTCTTCTTAGCAGCAGGCTTCTTGGAAGCTGGGGCCTTGGAGGCAGGTTTCTTTTCAGCTTTTGGGGCCATTTTTTCGAATGTTTATTTATATATGTGTGGTGTGAACGTATTGAGAATACTCAAATATAAAAAAGAAAAAGAGGAAGAAAAAGATCAAGAACAATTAAAAAAAATTATCGAGTTGGTTGTGATATGAGGGAGGGGAGGGACCATTTAAATGCGATTTTTGTGGTGACTTTTTCTTCTGATGCACTATTTCCCGATCGGGAAGGCGACCGACATGAGCACCAAAAATCGCAGCGACCGTCGCAAAACGCGTTGTTGCGGTGCTGGGAGGAAAAACTGAGCATCCCGCACCGTGCCAGAACGTACCCCGACCAGGGGGGGAGGTGCGAGCACGCAGTAACAACAACGCTGATTGGCTGGACCCCAGGACTCAGCACTCAACTAAATTGCTCAGCTCACCCTATTTAATCCCTCTGGTCCCCTCCTGTTGTTTTTTTTGCTCGCTTTTTTAAAGAATAAAAAATATTCGTTCAACTTCGTTAAAACACTTGTTGTTTATTAATAATACTCAATCTCTAATAATTAAAATAATATAAAATGTCTGGTGGTAAAGGTGGTAAAGCCGGTTCTTCTAAAGCCTCTCAAACTAGATCAGCTAAGGCTGGTTTGACTTTCCCAGTCGGTAGAGTCCACAGATTGTTGAGAAAAGGTAACTACGCCCAAAGAGTTGGTTCTGGTGCTCCAGTTTACTTGACTGCTGTTCTCGAATATTTGGCTGCCGAAATCTTGGAATTGGCTGGTAACGCTGCTAGAGATAACAAGAAGACCAGAATTATCCCAAGACACTTGCAATTGGCCATCAGAAACGATGAAGAATTGAACAAGTTGTTGGGACATGTCACCATTGCCGAAGGTGGTGTTTTGCCAAACATTCACGGCTCCTTGTTGCCAAAGAAATCCGGTAAACCAAAGGCTTCTCAAGAATTATAAGTTTGATATCTTTTCTATTTTAAACATTTATTTTCTAGGGGTTTTTGTTTTGCTTTTCAATTTTGGGTAATTTCTAAGGTTTCTCTTCTATGTATATTAGTCTAGTATTTTAATGATCTTTTTTGTATGATAATGATTTCTTTAATGTAGATATGGACTGTTGAATGCATTAATGGACCTAGCTCATCTCTCGTTTTTCTGATTGAAAGTTAGAGAACATCGCAAGTCGGATGTTTGGATCTCGGAAAAAAGGGGTGCTACATGAGGGAAGTGCTTCCATACGATTGATATTGATAGGCTGTGTTATTAAAACAGCTTCGCAAGTTAGATATATACACTTCAGCTATTTACATAGCATTGCTTTCAGTTCAAGCGATATAATATCACAACGCAACATGTTGAAAAGCAAATATGCACGAGTTTACACGCTGACGGCCTATTATATATACACTCAGTAAAATATTTCAAAAAACAAAAACAAAAAAAAACAAAACCAATTGAGATGAAAATCGAGAGTGAAGACCAAGGAATGGAACCCTCCATATAGTTGTAGTAATTTTGAAAGTCTGCAAATAATGGATAGCACAACAGTTGAATATTCTAATGTATATGTGCCCAAATAGGCAGTCCCCTTCCTTACCTATCAAGTTCCATCCTCAACATAATGCTATTTTTGAGATATTCATTACTATCTTGTTACTGTTGGTAAGCGTCTCAGGACAAGTAGATAATAAAATTATTCTCTTATTTTACTGTATTTTATTTCGCTGTGTTGGTTCGGTTCATATATGAGGAACTTTTTACAAAGAATGTATAATATAGGATAACACATATTTGATGCGGTTTGGATAAAAAAAACATATAGACTGTTCCAAAACATTCAACTAATATCCCAAAATGAAACATAATATCAGTAATGGAAGTGGGGAAAGCAGATACAACTAATGTAACATGAATAATTGATTAAAATTCAAGGTCACACTGTTCGACAATCCAAGATTGCCACAAATATTACAACTCGAAACAACAGACATAGTCATAAATAGCTGTTTATCCACTATCGACCTATTATTGAAAGAATAAAAAAAAAAGTCAAAAAAAAAAGAGTATTTCAATCATTAATTTCCAGAAAGCAAAAAAAAAAATAACCAACCATTGGTCATATAAATTGCAATACATAACAAACTTCATAATACCTTATTTATATAATGTTTCACAAAAACTCACTATCTCCATTATCTCCCTTTTCCATTGGACAAACACTTTGCAGTTCACATTTATCACTAAACAGCTGGATCAGGCCAAGTATCACATCCCTCTCTTCTTCAACACAAAAATTAGAATAATATTACAATAGCACAAACTCAATTTTGCCTTGTTACACATAAATTTTTTTTTTTTCTATTTTTTCTTTTCAGATCATAAAATATTATTCCTGAACTTGTTGCTGTTGCTGTTGTTGTTGCTGTTGTTGCTGTTGTTGTTGTTGTTGTTGTTGTTGTTGTTGCTGTTGTTGTTGTGGTTGTGGTTGTGGTTGTGGTGGCACCGGGCCATGATTTTGAAATTGTTGCTGGTGCTGTGGATTTTGATTTTGATTATTGTAGTTTCTGTAGTTTCCGCGATGGTAGTTATTGTTATTGTTATTATTATTGTAGTTGTTTCTGTTATTATATCCCCTGTTGTTACCATAATTGTTTCTGTTGTTGTATTGTCCTCCTCTACCATCGTTTCTTCTGTTACCACCTCTACCATCATTGTTTCTTCTAACGTTATTTCTTTGATTTTCGAGAACTTGTAATCTAGCATTATCCATGACTTCATTTGGCAATCTCAAGTACTTGATATGGTTACCTCTGACATAAACCTCTGGCAATTTAATAAATTCTTCGGCGTTGGCCAGAGATTGGATGACATCGGTCAAAGTGAGATTCATCCAAGAATCACAAATGACAAGTTTACCGTTCAATGTTTCACCATTCTTTAATTCAACTAATATTGGTTGGCCCTTTGCTGATGTCAATAAATATAAAGGAAGCTATTTCCGTTGTTAGTTGCACAGTTCAGTGATGAAGAAGCAGTTATTCTACAGTAGATTAAGCATGATAAGAGGATCAAGAAAGTTGCAGACTTACCATAATGATCTTTAGTTATTGATTTAGAATGATTATTTATTACTGATCTCTGATTAAATATATAATTTTTTTCCTCTTTTACATTTATTTTGTCGGGTTTTTTCTTAAAAAGCCAAACACCAAAACGGGGGGTTCCAATAGTATTACCCGGCTGTCCAAATCATATATGCATATATACATATATATATATACAGAATTGTTCCTTCTGATAGTAACATGCTGAAAGATTGAGAGCAGGAGTTAGTAACTGTATAGTAAGAGCTTTCCAGAGTATCTTTTTTCATTACTTTACTCGCTCAAATGGCACTTTTCTTTTTTTTTTTTTGATCCTTTTATTTAATCCAAAATTTGAAGTTGCGACAATAAAGTTACAAGTGATATCGTCATCCCATAAAACCAAACAGCTTACAACATTTATTAGAACAATACAAAAACAAAAAAAAGCATTGGAACAACTATTAAGCCACCATTTTTCCCATAATGTTATAACGTTTGCTGAAGAATGTAAACCAATCATCCAAAACCCCCGATTCCTCCGTTGTAAAATCATCAATCTTGGACGAGTTTTCCGTAGTATTATCTTCCAAATTAAGTGATGATTTACCTAAACCCCTGGATGAGTCTTTACCAGCGAAAATATGATAGGAGCCTCCCGGGCCATATACCTTTTTATTTTTAGAAACATCAAATACCACACCTTTCACCCCCACGTATATTTTCTCAGAATTTACACCATCGTATCTAAGAAGCTCTGTTTTTGTGAATGAATCATCCTTTGGAGAGTCCAATTCGACTGGATATTCTGGTTCAAACAGCATTTTATTTTTTCACTGTATTTTGACGTTATTTTTGTGTTGTCAACCAGACAAATAAATAGATAGATAGGCCTATTTGAAATCAGCGCGGTTTTGCAGTTTGACACCGGGCGCGGCACGTGACAATAAGGAAGGTCCGGAGACGTCCGTAAAGGTCATGTATTTGGTGGGGAAGAATATGACCATATTCTGTAATTATTGTGCCAACAGGATCACGATGGAAGGGGGGTCAATGGTAATTGTTCTGTATACTACCGTGGTACGTCAAAGTGATGTGCCTCGTAGGTAGGTGTCTCCAGGGCACGTAGTATCAGCAACCAAATAATCTCAACGCACTCCGTAGACCTAATCATGATATTTTTTTTTTTTTTCGCACGCCCCCTTCTTTTGAATATTATTTCATTCATTTCCGTTCACAACACCTAAGCTTTCAAACCCAACAGTTCTAGGGCCGTGGCAATAACAAACAGCTCCAAGGGGATAACAGGCTCCTAGAAGTGGTAATTTTTTATAAAAGAAGATAACAATGTCAGAATTATCATCGAGAAAAGTACAAAAGTCGGCGGAACAAAATCCTGTTGTTGAGGAGCTGGAGGCACAAAAGGAGAACCAGCAGAAGGATGATGGGAACAAAGAGAAGCAAGAAACCTCGAAAGTGTTTTTTGTTGAGTTGTGGGAGTCTATATTTACTCCAGGAACCACACCAGCGCTCATTAAGGCCACCCACGGATCGTTTATTATTTTGATGTTGGTGTTTTTGTGCCTAATATTCGTTTCGAAGCCTGCGGTGCGATTCCATTTTATTAATCTTTTGCTTATCACTATGGCGTTCTACGCAGTGGTTGTGTGGTTTGTAAGGGAGTTGGAGTTGGCTAAACAACAAGAAGCTCTAGAAGCTTCTAAACGGGAGTAATAAGATCCGGGGCTACTAACTATCGCGCGAGATTAATGCACCAGCCTGCAGCACCAGGGCGCATGTCCATTTTTCTGATGATTACTATATAAGAAGCCGGGGCCCCCCATTTCCAAAAAGCACCGACACCCGCTAAAATCAAAAAAAAGGGGGAAAAATTCGGCCAAGCTTTTTGCAGCAGGTTGAGTTGATCACGTGTATTCATCACTCACACAAACACACTTTTTTTAAACATTATCTTCAACCGCACCCACATTCACGAACGGTGGTTGAGCTGGGCATTATTAAGTTAATTGTTCACGATAATATATAATATATACGCTATAATATAATACAGGCTCGCCTTGAATTTTTCTGTTTATTTTCATCTCTGTCTTTTTACATTTCTCTTTGCAAAGCGAAAACATGTCTCTTCAATTTCCATCCTCCACACTCGACTTTGTGGAACAGAAGCCTTCATTGGAATTTGCTAACGGAGCTGCTGATGACCAAAAACTCGACGAAGTTGCTCTGGTGAACCAAGTTAATAGCTCGGTTGGTGACGAGATTGCTGAAGATGCCGGTACCTCTGGAATTGTTCCAACGCTACAAAATATCGTTGCCACTGTCAATTTGGATTGCCGTTTGGATTTAAAGACCATTGCGTTGCACGCCCGTAATGCTGAATATAACCCAAAGCGTTTTGCTGCGGTTATTATGCGTATTAGAGAACCAAAAACCACTGCTTTGATTTTTGCCTCTGGGAAGATGGTTGTCACCGGTGCTAAGTCAGAAGACGATTCGAAGTTGGCCTCGAGAAAATATGCTAGAATCATTCAAAAGTTGGGGTTCAACGCCAAGTTCACAGATTTTAAAATCCAGAATATTGTTGGTTCTTGTGACGTAAAATTCCCAATCAGATTGGAAGGTTTGGCATTTTCCCACGGTACTTTCAGTTCTTATGAACCAGAATTGTTCCCAGGGTTGATTTATAGAATGGTGAAACCAAAGATTGTGTTATTGATTTTTGTTTCGGGTAAGATTGTTTTGACTGGTGCAAAACAAAGAGAAGAGATTTATGCTGCTTTTGAAGCTATTTATCCCGTGTTGAGTGAATTCAGAAAATTATGAATCACTCGTGTCCATTGCTTTGTTACCCATTACAATGATCATAATCAAAACCCAACCAGTTTAGTGCTGGTACTGACATCTAAAGGCCAAGATGGCCGCTTTCATATCCATCTCCATCCCGACCATCCACTGATTCCAGAATATCTCTTTTTTTTTTCTTTTGGGTTTCTCTATTGTACTGTATTTGTTTAGCTGGTGTTTCATTATTAATGTTTTTATTTTTATCATTTTTTCATTTTTTTCCACTCATAAGAATATTCTCTCAAAAACCCTCATCCCCATTATTCTATCTTTCTCCCTGGCTGCCTATCTTCAAAACACAACAGCGAGAGGAGAAAAAAAGAGATCTTTGATTTGTTATGACTCCTGATTAAAGTCTCAGTTTTTTTTATAATTTTTTCCATTTTTTTTTTAACTTAGCATGCATATCATTTTAATTTTCATTTTTAACAGAAAAGCTTTGATGAGACTATTATATAGAAGTCATTAACCAATTCTACCCTTTCTATATATCAACTCAAAATCATGAATATAAAACCGTTTGAACGAAGATTACCAAGTGTAACTGCAATTTTTGACCTACAAACCCCAATCCAAGATAGTCCAGGTTACTGACGAAGTAATCCCAATATCATATGTTTGGGTCCCTTGCTACACTATAATCTTGAATCTGCCTAACCAATTGAGGAGATGATAGAAATAGAATGAGAAATAGACGAGTGAATTCTTCTGCACGCACCAATAAGATGACGCAACAGTAAAAAAAATGAAAATAAAAAAAGGTTAGGGGGCGCAGGTCTCCAACAAAGCCCATCTTGACTGACTACGCAACGGATTTTTGGGAACAACTGTGCTTTAGTCTGGTAATCATCATCGTTCTATATATATATATATAAGCGGATCTGCACCCTTATTGTTTGGATTTTTTTTTCTCTTGAGCTTTGCTATTTAATCTCTTATACCACACGCACTCTAGCTCTAATAACTACATTAAAAGAATGTCTGCCAACGACTTCTATGGCTCAGGGGACAGGTCTCACGTTCCCCAACAGAATCAACAGTACAGCCAATACGACCAATATGACCCAAACTCCCAAGAAGGTGAAAGGGGTATGCTTGGTAAAACCGTCGGTGCCATCGCTGGTGGGGTCGCCGCTCACAAGTTATCAAATGGGTCATTTATGAAGACCGCTGCCGGGGCCATTGGTGGTGGTTACGCGTTATCAAAAATTGAAGACAAGTACAAGGAAAGTCACCATCAAAAACAAAATCATCAATATACTCAAGGTGGTTATGGTGGCCATTACGATAATAAAGGTATGAATGACGGCCAAGGAAGGGGGTTCCATCATGGCGGACCTCCAGGAGGAGGTTTTGGTGGAGGTTTTGGTGGGGGCTTTGGTGGACCTCCAGGAGGACCTCCAGGAGGACCTCCAGGCGGGAGTTTTGGCGGACCTTTTGGCGGACCTCCAGGAGGAGGCTTTGGTGGACCTCCAGGCGGGAGTTTTGGCGGACCTTTTGGTGGACCTCCAGGAGGACCTCCAGGCGGGAGTTTTGGCGGACCTTTTGGCGGACCTCCAGGAGGAGGCTTTGGTGGACCCCCAAGTGGACCTTCAGGAGGAAATTATGGTAGACCTTTTGGCGGACCTCCAGGCGGACCTCCAGGTGGTGGGTATTACTAAGCACACCGTTTTTACGTCTCATATTTTTCAATTCAACTTTTTTTTTTTTATCGCTTTTTACACGAATTTTCATTTGCATTCATTATATTAAATACTATGGATACATGATTCATACCTTAGAAAATGTCATTATTCAGATCAGTTACTTTTCAGAGAATGCCAATAAATAAACGTCATTCTAAAACCCGAAAAGATGCCAGCAAATATGTAGATTTATCAATTATTATTGACGATGATGGATCATGAAAGAAGCATCGATGATTGTGAAGCTGAGTGACAATTTGATTTTGTTTGATGAATGTATTTTAATTTATGGTTAACTAAAAGAATAGATATAATATGCTCTGATAGCATTTACCACCATATTGTAGACCTGTCATGAGTTAGAGGTACTCAGACAGCTGGATTTTGATTTCCTCATAAGTAACAGCAGGTGATCTATTCGGATAGAAATGCTTCAAATAACACATAAAACTTCAGTCCTTGGCCGCTAATTACCTTCAGGGAATTGAAAACAAAACAATTCTGAAAAGATTAACGAAATAACAAAATTTGGGGTGTCTGCTTAAGAAATATTTTTGACCATTCCCTGAAGACCACGTTACATCAATTCAACCATACACAAAGTGTTCTAAAATTATCAGCTCAGTTGGCTCATAAAGTTTGAAGCTTTCACCCAAAAAAAAAAGGCAAAATGGGTCTCCTAAGAAAAATAAAAATGCGCTGTATTAATTTGTTTGAAGCATATTTAATCAACATCCTCGCCATCACTTAAATCAATATCCTTCTTGAGAATCATCGGAATGACAAAGGATTCTTCTTCCTGTAATCCTCTTGCATCCACCTCATCTTTGGTAATGATATCAACATGCTCATCTTCTTCATTCAATTGCCTCTGATTTATCTCTTCATTTGGCAAAATGTCAAACTCATCTTCCTGCTCACTGTACTCCACGTTCTCTTCAATTTCAACAAAATCAGGAGCTAATGCACTCCATTTTTGCGGAATTATGTTAGTCCAAAGATAAACATAACCCGAATCAAGTCCATTGGCCCCAATGCAACATCTTTTATTGTTCCAATCAATATCAAACAACTCTTCTTTTGGTCCTTCAAGAACTTTGGTAAGCGATCCCATTGTAGTTTCCCACATATAAATATCATGAGCTCCTGAGCCATAAGTGGATGCAATCAAATATTCCCCGTTATGGTTTATAGTTATAGAGTTCCATTGAAGTCTATTGACAACATCCTGATATTTCAATTCGATCTCAAATTCGTCATTTTCGTTATTTTCTGTTGCAGATGCCCCAGATGCTTCAGAATCCTCAGATTTTCCTTCGTCTTTAGTTGGTTCTGAGGGATTCTTCAAATATTTTGTGATGAAGTCTTCATGGATTGATAATTGTCTAATAATTCTGTCAGAGCAATTTACGAAAATCTTCAGCGTCTTCTCAGAAATCACAATTTGTTTTGCATGCGAGCTACAAATCTTTTGAGAGTAGATAGTTTTCAACCAGCTGCTATTATCAAAATTTGATATTATATTTAGCCAACCTTTATTGGTACCCATAAACATTAATTTCCCATTATAGGCAAACTTTACACAAAAGGCTAAGTCTTTTGACTTTTTTTGCTTTTTAGGTTCAGGCTCTTCAATATGTTTATCACCATCCTCATTTTTGTCTGATGTTAGCGATTGTTCTGGTTGGTAGGGTGTTGTAGGGATTTTTAATATCCTGATATCATTTTCATTACTCCAATCAACATATACTGGATCATCGTTGAAAATTGTGCATACGAAAACAAATGTGTTAGTTGGATGTAGTTGAGCCGTCCAAACAGCACTCTCAAATATAATTTCTCTAATCACCGTCTTTGTTTTTAAATCCCATAGTAAAACTTTACAATCAGTGGAAGAGCTAAGTAAATAGCGGCCGCAGTTAGACCACTCTAATGATTGGACCACCCCCGTATGCTGCTTCAATACTGCAATGACTTGATTAGTATCAGCATCGAATATACAAATTGAGCCATCTAGAAGACCACTGGCTAAATAGTCACCCTTTTTATTAAATTTGAGGAACCGCGAGTGACCATACTGCAAGCTGTTGGTTAATGTTTCTGGATACTCTTTCGCAACCTCGAATGGGTCCAAAAGTAAGAGGTTCATAAGGAAAGTAAATCAATGTCAGAGGAGACAAAGGTCTTAGCTGATATCAGAGATCTCCTTCCAAATATTCTGGAGACCAAAATAAACATGGTTTGGTTTGACTGTTTTTTCACTTTATTACTTAAAATATTCAAGATCGGACCAGGGCATTAAACCACCATGATGCCAGAAATCAACAATAATTTTATATCAATTGAAGCTTATGAAAACAACCCCATAAATCAGAAGGTTTTATGAAGTCGATTTATTTTTTTCTTTCTATAAGCTGAAATATTTGAGAAGGACCTATTTGTTTTTCCATTACCACTAATTAAATGCTTAGACCTAGTTCACAAGTATCTTTGATTGCTGCCCTTTTGCTATCAATATTTGCAACTGCAGATGGTCTTTTCAGTGTATACGATGACTTATACTCTAGACCAAAGGTATGTATGATTATAAACCTCAGGCATTATTTCAATCAAATCTGCTCATATTAACAGGAATGGTTTTTTTTTAGTTCAATGTTCGTTATTTCGATTTAAGCCCAATATCACCAGAGGATGTACAAGGTATTTTAGATACTTATGATAAAGAGGATCCTACACAGGAGTTCGGATCATTTAGCATAATAAGAGACGGAACAGGAAAGTTTCTACTGGGTATTGAATCCAAAAATTCTGGAGAATACTTATGTCACATTCCAAAGGTCAAAAGCAACGAGACAGAGCTTGAGGAAGAATCAAAGATATCCATGGAAGAGCTTGAAAAGAATAGAGAACAAGTCAAAAAAGATGCCATGAGGATAGTGAATAATTCAATGTCTAATTTTCAAAGAATCGTTTTGGGAAGTGATGGAGAAGCCCCAAAAATCAACAATTGCATGTATAAAACTATAAATTACTGGACTTACGAATTTTGTTTCAACGATTCCATAAAGCAGTTTCATGAGATATTTGAAAATGGTCAGCGGAAAAAGGATCCGAATGTGCCGAGCTTTATCATTTCTAAATTGACAGATGAAAGTTTCCAAAAGGTGAGGTTAGTTGATGATTTTCAAAGTCCAGGATCTGTGAATTTAGTACAATTTGCTAACGGAGGTGATGTATGTGATTTGACTGGTGCTAATCGAATGGTCGATATAAAATATGTTTGTGATAACGAAGGTACAAGTAATGCTTTTGAATCATCGAACGAGATGCCAAGCATAAGTTGGTTCAAGGAGTTTAAAACTTGTCAATATGAAATGGAGGTCAATATCCCAGAGCTTTGTCAATTGAAAGAGTTTAGTCACAAAACAGAGGAAGATATCAATGTTATCGAATGCAATAGGATCGGAAAAAATGTTGAGACCGATCTGGATGAGTACGTCATCCCGAGAATCAATATTGAAGATTATGATTTATCTCCAATAGGTATGAATTTTTATGCAGGCATACCAAAGTCAGTTATAGGGGCCTATAGTGATGAGGAACAAAAAATTGATATTTTGATCAGCTCCGATCCATCATTATTGCAATTCGAACAGGTCAAGGAGAAACTAGACGTTCTCGGAGTTTTGGCGGTGAATGGCATTCAACAGCATAATCTCATTGTCAATAATTATCTTTTTAGGTCAGAAGGGCTTAAAATAGAGAAAGGGACTCAATTAGTTTTTTCTTTGAAATTGTATAATTTCATTGGAGAATACATTTGTTCGATTAGGGTTGAAAGAGATGAGAAAGACAGAATTTCAATATCTGCTGCTTATTTCCCTGATGGAGAGCTAGACTTGAAGAAAAATCTTATGTTTTACGCAAAACCAGAAATAGTGGTTGATTTTAGCTCCGATGATGGCTTAAAGGGACCAGCAGGCTCTGAGCCAGAACTATATTTATCTGATGATTTACTCGAGTTGGATCACCTATTGCCGGAGGAAACGGTGATTGTTCTAGATAAAGAGAACCATATGCAAGAGCATGATGAATTGTGAGATATTTTTCTATCATAATCTTTTCCAATAAACTAATATATCTTTGTTTAAGACCTCTGTGCTACTTAATGTAGACTTCCTGTCAAATCATATGATCCGCGGTTCGGTGCCCGTGCATGGTTTCCTTTTCCTTTTTTTTTTTTTTTTTTTCTCTTCTTTATGCTACGTTTCTCCCCAAATCCGTCCTTCAACAACCCTTCCGTACAGATACCTTACTATAGCTAAGCAATTTTATATTACCATATAGAATACTGGTTAGAGAAGAGCTAAAATGCTGAATCAAAATCCATTCAGTGATAGTAATCAGTATTTGGGTGCTGGCAACGCCCATTATGATATAGACTTGATGAGTGCTTCGCCCAGTTATAACACCCACCAATTTTCAAATCAGAATTCTAATAGTAAAACATCACAAAATCTAATTGATATGGAAGGTAACCAAAACACTCTGTTCCAATCCCCTTATAATAATAACAATATCTACAATTCAAGCAATAATTTGAGCCTGAATTCCGGAAACCTACATCCTAATGCTCTGCACAACAATAACAATAACGGACAGTTTTACGGAAATAATGGTGATACCTATACAATGAATACTTTAAATACCCAATATTCCAATCCTTTCAATGATTCGAATAGAGTTCAGAATCATCACCGTGATAATGAAGATAATTTTACTCTTTCGTCAAGAGAAGATGAACAAGGGAACCCATTTGTGGAAGATCATTCAAGGGCAATGGCTGGAAAAAAAATTGGCATAAGTACTTCCGAAATAAAAGAAGATACTGGTAAGAAATTCAATATAGGGAATTTTTTTGCTAGAATGCTTGGTCAAGGTGAAGTTGACTATTCTAGCATGGGCCCAAGAGAAATTCCGTTAAATGAGCCATCATCGGTAACTTATAAGAGTAACCATGTCTCCACCACCAAGTACAACATCGCGACTTTCTTGCCAAAATTTCTTTTGCAGGAGTTTTCCAAATATGCCAATTTATTTTTCCTCTTCACCTCTATTATTCAACAAGTCCCAAATGTATCACCAACAAATCGTTATACCACCATCGGTACTTTGCTTGTTGTGTTGTTAGTTTCTGCAGTTAAAGAGATCATGGAAGATGTCAAGAGAGCTAATGCTGACAAAGAGTTGAACTATTCCCAAGCTGAGATTTTGGATCCGTTATCCGGCACTTTTGTATCGAAGAATTGGCTAGCTGTTACAGTTGGGGATATTGTTAAAGTAGAATCTGAGACACCATTCCCGGCAGATTTGATTTTGCTTTCTTCCTCAGAACCAGAAGGTCTATGCTATATTGAAACAGCTAATTTGGATGGTGAAACCAATTTAAAGATTAAACAATCGCTAGTCGAGACCGCGAATATGATTAATCCAAGAGACTTAGCCAGATTACATGGTAAAATTCTTAGTGAACAACCGAACTCATCATTGTACACTTATGAAGGAACAATCGAATTAATAGACAATGAGAGTGGCCAAACCAAAGAAATCCCAATAAATCCTGAACAGCTATTACTTCGAGGTGCTACTCTTCGTAACACTCCTTGGATTTATGGGATTGTCGTTTTCACTGGTCATGAAACCAAATTGATGAGAAATGCCACTGCCACCCCAATCAAGAGAACCGCAGTTGAGAGAATTATTAATTTACAAATTTTAGCATTATTTGGGATCTTGATTGTTTTGTCGTTGATCTCTTCTGCCGGTAACGTTATTAAAAATACTGTGGACTCTGCTCATTTGTCCTATTTGTATTTGGAAGGAACTAGTAACGTGAAATTATTTTTCAAGGATATTTTGACCTATTGGATTCTTTTCTCTAACTTGGTTCCAATTTCTCTTTTCGTTACCCTTGAAGTTATCAAGTTCTACCAAGCTATTATGATTGCCTCTGATTTGGATATGTATTACGATGTTACTGACACACCAACGATTGTCAGAACTTCATCACTTGTGGAAGAGCTAGGTCAAATTGATTTCATTTTCAGTGACAAGACTGGTACTTTGACTCGTAATATTATGGAGTTTAAATCTTGCTCAATTGCTGGAAGATGCTACATTGAAGAAATTCCAGAAGATCAACAGGCAGTGATTGGTGATGATGGTATTGAAGTTGGTTTCCACACTTTCAATAAGTTGAAGGAAAATTTGGTTAATGGCTCTGCTGATTCGAAAGTCATCAACGAATTTTTGACATTATTGTCTGCTTGTCACACAGTCATTCCGGAAGTAAACGCAAGTACTGGGAATATCAAATATCAAGCTGCCTCGCCAGATGAAGGTGCTTTGGTTCAAGGGGCTGCTGATTTGGGTTACAAGTTTACTACAAGAACCCCGAGGATCATTACCATCGAGTTGACCAATGCAGGCCAGTCTCAACAGTATGAATTATTGAATGTTTGTGAATTCAACTCTACCAGAAAAAGAATGAGTGCTATTTTCAGATGCCCAGATGGTTTGATCAGACTCTATTGTAAAGGTGCTGATACCGTTATTCTTGAGAGATTGTCCCTGGATCAAAATCCGTTTGTCGATGCCACTCTTAGACATTTAGAAGAATTTGCTGCTGATGGGCTTAGAACTCTTTGTATTGCTTCTAGAATAATTCCTGAAGATGAATATGAACAATGGCAAAAAGTTTATGCAAAAGCATCTGTTGCGCTTGATAACAGAGCTGATAAATTAGATGAAGCCGCTGAATTGATTGAAAAAGATTTGTTCTTGCTTGGAGCCACTGCAATTGAAGATAAATTACAAGAAGGTGTCCCTGAAACCATTCATACCTTGCAAGATGCCGGTATTAAAGTCTGGGTGCTTACTGGTGATAGACAAGAAACTGCTATTAATATAGGTATGTCTTGTAAATTGCTTTCTGAAGATATGAATTTGCTTATTGTGAATGAGGAGACTAAAGAAGACACCAGGTATAACTTACAGGAAAAAGTTAATGCTCTTAAGAACCATCCGGAAATTTCAGAACAAGATATGGACTCATTGGCTCTTATTATTGATGGCAAGTCCTTGACATTTGCTCTTGAACCGGATTTGCAAGACTTGTTATTGGAAATTGGTGTTATATGTAAAGCTGTCATCTGTTGCCGTGTCTCGCCATTACAAAAAGCCCTTGTGGTTAAAATGGTTAAAACTAAAAGAGAGAACTCAATTCTTTTAGCTATTGGTGATGGTGCTAACGATGTTTCAATGATTCAAGCTGCCCATGTTGGTGTTGGTATTAGTGGTATGGAAGGTATGCAGGCTGCTAGATCTGCTGATTTTGCTATTGGCCAATTTAAATATTTAAGAAAATTGTTGCTCGTTCATGGATCTTGGTCTTATCAAAGAATTTCGCAAGCCATCTTATATTCATTTTATAAGAATATTGCTTTGTATATGACCCAATTCTGGTATGTTTTCCAAAATGGGTTTAGTGGTCTATCGATTGTGGAATCTTGGACATTGACATTCTATAATGTAATTTTCACGGTTTTCCCACCATTTGTTTTAGGGGTGTTTGACCAATTTATCAGTGCTAGATTACTCGATAGATACCCACAGTTATACCAATTGGGCCAATCATCAAGGTTTTTCAACGTTCGCATTTTCTGGGGTTGGGTTCTTAATGGATTTTACCATTCAGCGATCATCTACGTTTGCACATCCTTCTTCTATAGATATGGCGCTGCTTTGGGAGACGGTCTTCAGGCAGACCATTGGGTTTGGGGAACTGCTTTATATACTGCCACAGTGCTCACAGTTTTAGGCAAAGCTGCTTTAATTTCCAATCTTTGGACCAAATTCACTTTGTTGGCTATTCCAGGGTCCTTTATATTATGGATTGGTCTTTTCCCAGCTTATGCCGTCATTGCTCCGTTAATTAACGTTTCCAAAGAATATAGAGGTGTTCTATCTCATCTTTATACGTCTGCTACTTTCTGGGCTAGCACCTTCTGTGTTCCTGTTCTTTGCTTGTTGAGAGACCTTTTGTGGAAGTATTACAAGCGAATGTATAAAGCAGAAAGTTATCACTATGTCCAAGAAATCCAGAAGTACAATATTCAAGATTACAGACCAAGAATGGAACAGTTCCAAAAAGCCATTAGAAAAGTGAGACAAGTGCAAAGAATGAGAAAGCAAAGAGGGTTTGCTTTTTCACAAGCCGAGGAAGGTCAAGCTAACTTGGTCAGAATGTACGATACTACGAAGCAGAGAGGGAAATATGGTGAAATGGCGGAGGCATCGTGAAGAACTGCCTGACTTTTTTTTTATCTTTGTTTATTTATGATCTTTTGGAACCCTTCTATTTATGTATATTGTAGCTGTTGTTTCTTTATGCAATATATATATATATATATATATATATATATATATATTCACAAAAACAAAATGTCTGGTTATGGTGCCTATGTGACTGGGTGTACTCTAGGCTGCATTTCACAAGCTATAACTCTTAAGCTATAGCTTACCTAAGAACGCTGATCGCCGAGAAGGAGGGGCTCTTAATGAACTCTTTTTTAGACAAGCATTGGAAAAAATACTGTTATTTTTCAAGAAATTCATTACACACCTATCAAATACCCTGAACTATCAGCTACACTCTCCCAGTTAAAGTAGTACACTTACACTTACCATATCTCATATATGGGGCCAACGAACGTTACATCACTGGTTACCCTGCTAGTACTGATATTTTTCCGCCGGTTACAATTTTGTGTTAACGCACAAGATGCATATATCACGTGAATGTTTTCTTCTTAAAAAAAGTATCGCCAAAAAAAAGCGTCTGTTGTCATTTACCAAAAAAGAAGAAAAAAAGCTTAGCTGTTACTAACTCCAACCCGTACGAACACCCAAGAACCATCTAATCCGCCATCCCACACGCCATCAGCTGGAGGTTATAGCAAAACGACGAATACACCGTTTCTTGACTATTCAGAACTGTTGCTCAGTCTAATACATCTCTTTTAACCTCTCATCACGTTCTTCAATTATCGTTTTTGAAGAGTGAGTGTACCCTATTGTTAAACTAACAGAGGATAAAGGACTTGTTTGTTTCAACTGTTCAAGGTATTTTTCTTCCTTCTTGTTCTTTTTTTCTCTTTTTTTTTTTATCCTTTTGGTTTTTGCTTATTTCAGTTCAAAATCTTTGATTTTTCTTTCTTTCTTTGGGACATTCGCTGCTTTTGTTTTTGTTTTGAAAAGTTTTGCCTAACCACAAAACCAGGCAGATTTGGTAACACCAACCAATACAAGGACTTTCATAATTTAGATATTTCAGATATCTATCAGCCGAACAATAATCTAATCTACCTTCTATTTCCAACATGAAGAGTTTGCTCAAAAGTACCAGAAACAAGAGAAAGAGTGTGAATGAGAAGTCTTCTAAGTCCAGCTCATCTGGTGCACAAAAGACTACGAGCAGATCAGGTAGTAGGTTGGCAGCTGGTCGTACTATGTTTGATGCCAGAAATAAAAGTACAGATTCCGACCTAAATAGTACTGACGGAACTACTGCAGTCAACAGTTCTATCCCTCCATTTGCACGTAGTCCTCCTGCTGGTCAAAATTCTTATGGTTTGAAACCCAAAGGTCAGAGAGAATCAAAGGCCTCTAGTGCAATCATTGAACCATCAAGAAGAAGTTTGGATAGCCACGTTTATGATAATATTTCTGAGTACTCTAAAATTAATAACGGCTCTCAAAACCAAAATGATCCAGACAGCAGTAGTATAATATCCGATGAAGAGCCAGTAGGCAAACAATTTGTTTCTCCTACATCCCCTGTCCACAGGGTCAAAAGTGAGACTCCAAGTGTTAATAATGACGAGACAATGAATAAATTATCGTCATCAATGAGCAAAACTACTATGGATGCTGAAAGCAATGAACAGGAGGCTCTTAATTCTAACACGGAAATTGATGATCCAACTGCCGCATCTTCTGCTAATGAGAATAAGAGCTCCTCATCTGTCTCTTTGGGATCTAATACAAACACCAACACTTCCAATATCACCAATTCTAATAATGAGCAGGGCCATCTATTTTCATCCGGTGTTAATCAAAAAGCAAGCTCGACCAACAATACAAACCCAAGTGCTCAACAATTTTACGCTCCAAATCAACCTAACTCTGGGAAGTCTCAAGAGCAACGTCAATTTTTCCATCAAAAGGATGAAGCTACAGGTACAAAGAAAAATGAAAATGACCTTGAAATTAAATCTACCCAGTCCAATAGTACAAAAGATGACACCACAACTTTGGTTTCGAAGACTAATCTCAGTCATATTCCAACAACGACAACTAATGCAACAGCTAGCACTGCTTCTGCCCATTCCCCATTGAATGGCTCAAACTATGATCATGTTATTTTCAAATCTGGTTGGATTAACAGAGGTACTAATATGACCTCTTGGTCATCATCAGTAACCAGCGATACCTGGAGATTATATCGTGCTGAGTTGAAGGGCTCAAATCTTCTTTTGTTCAAGCCTCCAAGCGACTTGGGAATTAAACACTTCGAGCCAAGATATAATGGGCAAGGGGAAATGCGGCCACCTGAACCGTACTCAGCGGATAATGCTTCAGGGTTGAGTCCTTCCAACACAATTATTGAAGAAGGTATAGCCAGATCTTCTGCGAGTGTTGATGGCATCCAAAGTCAACATTATGATAACATGGACAATAAGTCTACCATCAATAATAACTGGAGCAATGTTACCGCGGATGCTGGCTCTGGTAACGTTAATATTAGACTACCAGGGGGCTTCCCTTCAAAGAGTGAAATATCATATGTCTCAGAAGTGTATCCACACCCAGATCTACAATTTGATGAAGCTGATACCATTTTGAATGGATCTTTGGAAGCTGTCTGCCATACTGTGTTATTTAATACTTCCGAGGATAGCAGATTATCATCGCAATTAATTTCTGTGATTCCTTTATTTGGAGACGCCAAGATTGCAGTTGATTACTTTGTTCAATATGCTTTTGTGTTTATGAGTCCTGCTACCGTTGATTCGTTAAACTCCAAGATTAAAAGCTTCAAATTTCCTTTACATGCCTCATTGCTCAACAGAAAGAATGTTCTGATAAACGAAACAACTGATAGTATCATTACGAACAGATTGGGATTGGTGGTTTCAATTATCCAAGAGCAATTCCCTGGTATGTTGATGGATGCTATGATTTTTGAAAAATTATTGACATTGTTAGAGTTAATTGGAGTGCACAATGATGCTTTTGCAAACGAATTGAACCGAAAAATTATCAGCCAGCAGCAGAAAATGACCGAACTATTGGTTTTTGATGCCGCCTCTGCTTCTAAAGCCATCACCAAGGAGGAGAGTGTCTTAACTGCTGATGAATTCTTGAAAATAGATTTGAATGAATTCAGTGACCAAATCAACTTGATTGACTTGAAATTCAACAAAGAATGGAACCCAAAAACTGATGCCTCTTTATTATACGAAACTGGATATTCATACTCTAGATATAATCCTTTGATCTTTGATCCGGTTTCAAATATTCATTATTTGGGTCGTATTTTGATCCAACATTTGTTCGAAGATGATCAATCGAAAGCCAGTGTCCAATTCCGGGCCAAAGTTATTCAAAAATGGGTTGAATTGGGCTCTATATTCGATAAGAAAGGTGATATGGTCAGTTGGTTGGCTATTGCCACTATCATTTGCTCTATTCCTATTCTCAGATTGAAGAAGACCTGGTCTGTCGTTGACTCTAAAACCTTGAAAATTGTGAGCACCGAGTGGGGTCAAGTTGTGTTTGAATTAGACAGAAGAAATATGACAAGTGATGCTGCCCATAGATCTTCATATCATGTCATTGCTCCACAGGGTATCGGCGAAAGTTATTCCAAATTTAGAGTTGTTCCATACTTCGGTGATTTAACTGTCAAGTTAACATCTTCTAACATTACTCTTAAACAATGTGAAAAGAGAGTACAACGTGTTAAAATCAGTTTCAACAGATGGGATGAATATTTAGCAATGGTTAAAGAAAAGAATGATTTTGGTGCATTACAGACCCCAAATCCAAAAACGCAAAGGTTGCTATACAATTTGTTAAGCATTCATGTTGGCTTGTCTCGCCTTACTCAGGATGATGTTATGCAACAATCCTTGGAGGTTGAACCGTCAAATAGCTCATCATTGTATGAATTTTATTCATCTTACGAAAATGACAAACCTCCAATCTCTGCTGGTATTTTCTTCCCGATCTTATTTACAGACTTCTTACCAAGCTATAGATTATTTGATAAAGATTCTTTGATCCAAGCTGCCGGCGGTCATGGTAGCAAAAGAGGCGGTGAGGTCACCAAAATACAGGCGGTTACTGGGGTCAACATTGTAGATTCCACTGCCATTCATCACCATTACAAATTGAGACGCTCCAGTCCATTGGCTGACAGTATTTTTGATTTGTTGAATATTGATAGTGATGTTTTTCATGTTGGCAAGGATTTGATTTTCAAAGCAGTTCCAAAAAATAACATTTTGTCTGCTGATGGCAATTCCAAAAATGATGAGAATAACGGAAACATTTCTCACAAACCAGTTGTTGTTAATGTTGTTGCCAAAGCATCTTCCTTCGAAAAATTAGTTGATATCTTGGTATTGACTCCTAATATTTTCAATGCTCACATTAATGAAGAAGATATGCAAAAATATTTGACCAAACATAATCTCTCTGGCGGAAGTATCAAGTTGGATATGGATATTGGTGTCTACACAGAAACTTTCTTTGCTTCTTACAAGAGTTTCTGTAATTTGACCACTTTGATTGAAGGTCTTGGAAGAAGGTTTATTGGTGCCAAAGCTGCCGCCATTTCGATAAAGAAGCTGAAGGACAATAAAGAATATTATGCAGCCCATAGTGAAAGATCTTTTCCAGATTGGGATAGCAGTGTTGAGTCAAATAATCCAGAAATCAATTGGAAATATGTTGCCCAAATTGAAGCTGGTATTTTGGAAGCTTTATATGCTCTTATTTCTGACTTTTATTCTGATTTCACTGATGAAATTGAAACAAAGCAAAGTTTTGTGGACATTTTGAAAATTATCGACCAAGAAATTGTCAATGAATGGAAAACTATTTTGAAACAGCATAGCGATGGCCATGACGAATTATATGAACTATATGAAAATTTGCAATTGCTTTACAAAAAAATTAGAAAATTCTACATAAAGAGAAGTTATAGACCTCTTGATTTCTATTCAACTCCTCATACTTTCTCCTCAGTTGTTGATTTTCCACCGGATCATGCCCACCTTCCACCATCTTCTCAATTTGTGGAAATCCAAAAACTTATTGAAAAATTGGATGTGGTTGTGTTCGATTTATTCCGTCAAACTACAGTTAATGAGTGGATGGTAGTTTCTGATTTGTTTGAAATGCAATCCACCAGATCATTGACTGGTATTTTCAGCTATAAGCAACATTCGCCGGCGATTTCCGAAGAAGATTTGAAGATTTTTAATGTGTTTTCCTGGTTGGAAAGTTTGTATGTGGATGTCCCTGAGGTCAAGTTGCTATCCAAATTCCCGTCAAATATCAGGGCATTGTACGGATTACACGGGAAAATAACTTCTTATTTCTTGAACCAAATTATTGAACCAAGAATCCCATTGTCCAAAAGAAGAAACAGAATGACAACAATTTTACAAATGTTGGCAATTATCAATTGCAGAATGCAATCCTGTTCGGTGTTTGCAGATGAAGGTTCTAGAATTCCAGCATTTTTAGAAACTTGTATTGCCATGGCCGTCTGTGCTCCTGAAAGTAGATGGTTTGTTAATGACTGGATTTATTCTGCTCTTAAATTGCGTTCTAGGACTGGTGACATGAAATGGGACACCTTGAGTGATTTGGTCCCCTCATTTAATAGTAAAATTTTATTGAAAGATTGCAGAGCCCCATTGACTCCATGCTTCGGCTGGTTGGCAGAAAGATTGTTGGAGGTTGGCTGCTATATCCCTAATGTTTCGGTCGAGAATCCTTCCTTGCTTAACTTTGACAAGAGACGTTATGTTTACAAGTTGATACATGGTATTATGGCTCTAAAGAGAGAAGATTCTTTATATTCTAAAGAAGAATTGAATGATATAAAGAAGAAATTTGAATTCTTATATAATATCAAAAGAAGTGTTTATGACTTGAGAGATATCAGGGAAATTGCCAGAAAAGAAAATAAAGATTATCCAAGAAATGAACAAAAGAATAAGCTATTCCAAAGACTTGTTGAGCAAGAATTTTATAAATTGAAGAGAGATGTCAATAAAAAGGAATCTCTAGAGATGCAGGAGCTCAAGAGAAAACAAATTAATTCAAAGATGGTTGGTAAGCCTCAACAAACTGACTCTAAGGATATCGCTACTATGAGTAGATCAAATATGAATGTCGGTATTTCTAACTCTACCTCGACAAACTCAATCCAACAAAATGCTGTTCTTAATGCTCATACCACCACTCAAGCCAAAGGTGGAGGTAGATTCAGAATTGGTGGATTCTTGAAAGCTGTTCGTCCATTCTCAATCAACGTGGGAAATTCCTGGTCAGCGCCAGAAAGAGTTGCTTCAATTTCTGAATTGCCTGATCCCGCAATATTTGAGGGAAGAAGTGGAAAAGCGGCATTACAGTTCAAGTTATTTAATATGAAACCATTAATTATCCACTCCAGTGATATTGAAGGGTTCTTCAAGCTAGTTGATGTCGAAGGTCAGGAATACTGTTTCCAAGCAACTAGTGACGTTGAAGCTAACGATTGGGTTAAGAATATAAGTGAGGCCAAAAGATATGGTTACTTGTCTCAGGAAGCTAAAGAAAGAAACGGTAATAAGGTCTTTGGTGTTCCAATACAACTTGTTTGTAAAAGAGAAAATAATGTTATTCCTTATGTGGTTCATAAATTATTGGATGAAATTGAAAGACGTGGTTTGGACGAAGTTGGTCTTTATAGAGTTCCAGGTGCTGTTGCCAATATTCAATTATTGAAACAAAGATTCGATGAGTCTGCTGAAGAAGTTTCTCTTGAAGATCAAAGGTTCCTTGAAATCAATACACTAGCGGGTTGTTTCAAATTGTATTTGAGAGAATTACCAGAATCTTTGTTGACTTCAGAATTATTGCCTTCCTTTATTTCTGTTACCAGTGGCGAAGACATTGTTGATGGAGTATGTAATTTAATCAAGAGATTACCATTCCACAACTATCATTTGTTGAAGAAGTTAGTGACTCATTTGAATCTTGTTACTGAACACTCCGATAAAAATAGAATGGATGCTTCTAATTTGGCCATGGTGTTCTCCATGAGTTTCTTGAGCTCTTCTGATACTGATTTTACTAGAAGCTTAGGAAGTTTACAATCTATTCTTCTTATGATGATCCAAGAACCTGAAAGATATTTCAAGAACGCTGAATATGATGCTGCAGTCAGTAGTTTCGAACAATAGGTTTTGCCTTTTTCCATTTTCTACGGGTGTTAGTTTTTTTTTTTGTGGGAACAGATTTTACAGAATTCGCCTTCTGCCTTGTTTGATTAATTTTTTTTCCTTCCTGTTTTTGTTCTTAAATTTTCACATTTGCTTCTTTCTATTTTCATTTTTAGCTTTCCCTAATTTTGTCTTTATCAATCTTTCACTTTTCATTATTTTGTTATATATGCTTTTTTTTTTCCTTTTTTTTTATTATTATTATTACTATTTTTACCAATATTGTTATCATTATTATTATTATTATTATTATTATTATTATTATTATTATTATTATTATTATTATTATCACTTATTTACTCATTATTACTTATTTATTTAGTATTACTCCCATTATTTTGTGTTTTTAATTCGTTGTTTGTTGTTATAGTTTCATTTGTAACCCGTTAAACTCAAAGCGCTCTTCAATACCTCACTTTCCCTGTTAATTGTTGACGATTCGTTCAACCTATTGTATGGTATCTGACTAGATCTGTTCTCGAAGCTGCTTAAATATTTTCAAATTTAACTCAAAAGTGTATCATTACATAGACCGATCCAATCAAAAAGAAGAATATATTACCCGAAAAATGGCTATTTGCAAACAGCTATATTGAATCTAATTATATACAAGTTATAATACTAGAATATTTATTGGCTAATGGTCTTTTTGAAAGCAGATTTCTTCATGATACGGCCTGCATTCTTGTTAGCTTTGCTCAAGTTATCCTTGATGGCTTTTTGAGACATTTCGATTTGTCTTTTGTTTTCACTTTTTTGTTTAGCATCTTTCCACATTTCCAGAATACTAGCCAGCTTAACTGAACCATCAGGGTTGAGTGGCGGTGGAAGAATTTCAGTTAAACCAAACTTTTGTCTAAACCATTTTTGCTTGAACAAAGTTGTTTGAGAGATCGAGAACATGGAGTTGATGGCAAAATACCAAATGATGGCAGCAGATAAATTCATAGTGAATGGAATAGAAGCCAATGGCAAGATGGTGAAGAAAAGCTTCATATTTTTTGACATGTTCTGAGCACCAGTTTCACCACCCATTCTCATGAACATCATAAAAGTGGCAGCGGTCAAAACTTGCAAACCAAGATAAGGATCAGCAGCAGACAAGTCAGTAAACCAGAAAAGACCCCCTTCAGAGAACTCTTGAACTGGGTAGTTTGCCATCTTTCTCAAAGCCCCAAACATCCCCAAAGCAAATGGGATTTGAACTAATGGAGCTGCCATATATCTCAATTTGATACCATTTTGCCTGAATAATTGCATTCTCTTTTGAGTTATTTGTTGGGTCATCATTGGATCGTTACCGTAAATTTTAGCTTGTTCACCCAAGGCGTCCATTTTTTCTTTGACTTGTGACATTCTACCACTAGCATCAGTAGCCTTCAAGTAAAATGGAACCATAAGCAATCTAATACCGATAGCCACAGTGGCAATAGTACCCCACCAAGGCATACCAGTGGTAACACTAACCATTTCAAGAGTTCTTGCGAGGAAATCAGCAGGCCATAACCAACCGGAAACAATACCGGCTTCACTCAAAGCACCAATATGATCACAGACAACACCGCTAACGGCCTGCACAGCATCACCAGCCACAGCCGCGGCTTGGTCATACATTTGAGGAAGAGAGTCAGTGATTTCAGTAATTTTTTCGGTAACAGATTCACTTGGAGTGTTGGTTGAATTGAATCTAGCAAACCCAAGGATACCAATTTTTGGAACAGGCTTGAGAGAGCCACGGAATTGTAATAAATTGAGACTACCTCTTGGGAGAGAGCCCAAAGCCCCCATTCTATTGCCCGCAGGGAGGGACAGGAGTCTGGTAACTCTACTGAACAAGAACTTAGACATGTCGGCCACCTTGATTTAATCGAGTAATAGATAACACCCTCTCAGACGCCATACGCTCGTTAACAATTCATTGAAATTTTCAATTTTTTTCTTCCGGTCAGGGCTAGAGAATCATGTGATAACCGCATATTTATACATAATTAGACATTTTCTTTTTTTTTTTTCTTGTGCTTTTTGTGGGATGATGTTGCAGAAGTTGATCCAACATTGTACAATTCAGATACTACCTGATTAGAAACAAAGTAGATGAGAAGCTCCATAAGAATAGGGCTCTTGCGCTCGATGCTTGAAAGCGAATGGAAAAGGTCTGTTTCAGTGTCCTGGAAGCAGCGAAGATGGGTGAATCCTGCAAGATATCATAGTACATCAGCAAACGAGGGCACCAATAATCATCAACGAGTAGTGGACCTTATTAAAAAATTGCAATCATATGGTGCTTCAAAGGATTCAAACATTACTCATGCCTTGAATGCATGTGGTGACTTGAAGTTGCAAAAAGATCACAATGAAGAAATGGAAAATTTACAAGATTTGTTGATGTCAATTGTAGCCAAAGAGAAATCACTAGACAAAGAAAGTATATTGGCCAAATTGACCGTTCTATATGGTAATAGTCACAACAGGTGCAGCAAAATAATCTATTTGAATGTTTTGATACGCTGTAACTTGTATTTTCATAGACTACACGAAGCATACACATTGACTTTGGGCAATTTACAGCAAGAGACAAAGCCTCCTATGATATCAAACGGAACACTTGAGTTGATGATTGCCAATTTGTTGCAACAAGAGTATATTGATCCAGCATTCAAAATTGCTTTTGATGGCTCAGACCATAAGTTGACTTCTAGAATATGGAATCTTATGTTATTCAAAGGTCTCAGTGCTGGTGACATTAATACCAGGGGACTAACCTGGCTTTGGAACCAGCGGATAGTAAAACAGTCAGTAACGTACTTATCGAACGGGCTGATTTCAAGACTTGCCGATGTATTTTCAACTTGCCCTTCATCATATTCAGGGAAGGTATATTCCGTGAAATCACACTTCCTCAAAAAAAACAACTTGAAAATGAAAAATGTATTCAAAAGTTTATTGATTTCATATTATAATTCTTTCACTGATTTCAAGTCGTCATTTGTTCGCATATACGAAACGTGGTCAATGAAGGTAAAAGCCATTGAATATCAGGATGTCAATTCACCTAATAACAGATATTTGCCTTCAATGTACGGTATCTGGGATTTTGGTTTGAAAGCTAGCGACTTTCCACAAATTACTGAAAGCATGAGAAAATATAATAGCCTCGATGATTTTGATAAAATTTTTAATGTTTCTTCAACAACGGCTTATCATGATACGGAAGCTCCATCCCTCATGGGGATCGCGCGTGATTTACATCAGAAATCGAACGAAATACCATTTTTGGAATCAAGTTTCCCGTCATTGAGTACCCTATTATATAACATTTACTTGTCGCATGTGGTAGATAAGAAGTTAGAGATGCGAAACCTTTCAAGAGAATCATTTTCGATATTAAAATTGATCGATATTACTGGCAAGGCCACTCAAAGATATCGATTCACACTTAATCACGAATCTTTCACATATCTTTTCAAAGCAGCTCTCATTGATGATGGTACTGATTCACTAATGTATGTTTTACAATTTTGGAAAAATTATAAGCAAGAGATGGATAAAATACACCTCAGCCCAGTGATAGCCAATAGCATATTAGAAAGAATATTTCAAAATGGAAAGTTGGCTGAAAATACAGCTGTTTATTATCAAATGATCATTGAAGACCTAAAAAGAAATGGCTATGAGGTTACAGAGAGTTTCTTGAATGTTTTGAGACTGTCCTTGCAAAGATGAATAGATACCACTCTTCAATTCTCCAGGTCTTATTTAAAGAGATCTAGCAAAATTTTGAACAATTTTTATGCAATAAGTTTTTTTGCACGCAAATCCTTATGGGATTTTCTGAAGAAGGATAAACTTATTCATTCCCATGTAAATATAGACCTTGTTTAAATTGCTCGATAATTAAATGTTCTTCCCATAAAATATATACATACACATATATTTGCAACTTTGGTTAGAAGCACTGCACATACTGTGCATTTTTTTTTTTTCCAGGCCAAAATTTTTTCCAGGTAACAAACATAAACATTAATCTTACAAGTCAACCTCTGATTGAACATTTATTTGCATAGAAGCTCTCACGTTTTTAGCATAGGAATAACAAGCGATAATGGCATTCACTAATCCAATGACACAGAGGCTATCTCCTCTTGAAAGAATGAATCTTATACAGTTAAAGCAACATCTTCGACAGGAAAGATATTATAGGCTCAAAAGAATACAGCATAATTTGTCGATGAAGGAAAGGAAGAATCAGCAAAACTTAATTGATAAAATATGCGAGCATGTGGAAGCAACCTCCCAAAAGTATAGAAAATTAAATCAAGATTCTAAGAGGAAGTTATTGACTGCTGGTCCGTCTCTGTCAGTCAACGAAAACAATAAACAACTTGTTTTGTCCTCAGACAAAAATAAACAAATGGTCCTACCAGGAGATAGCAAAAAGAGAAAGTTTGGTCTCTTTTCAGCGGATTTCAGTTACGATGATATCTTAGCGGAAGAAAATAATAAGATCACATCCAAAGAGTTTGAGAAAGATAATTCAATATTACATATAACGAAAAATAACAATAACGGCCATGCGCTATCTGAGGGCACCAGCAAAAGCATAAACAAACACCCAAGCAACAATTCATTTATGAAAGTTAATCCGTCAAGCGGATTTAGATTCACAAAGAAAAACTTGTCTTTATTAAAGCCTAGTGAGGTAGATATTGCAGAATCAACGCGTGCCGAAGAAACTATTGTCAATACACAAGATACCCCATCGAAGATCGTCACAGGAACACAACCCTCAATGTTTGGTTCCAGTATTCCTATTAAGCAAGGGAATACAACTTTAAGTGAACCAGCAGCGTCATCTAGCCCATCGCTTGCGCAAGAGAAACCAAAACCTAGTACAGGATTCACATTAGGTTCAATAAAGAAAGCTGAAACAGAGGATCAATCTAACAAAAGTTTTTCTATTGGATCCAATCCATTGAGTTCAACCGGAACCTCTCATCTGTTATTTTCACTGATCAGCAAAGCTGGTGCTGAAAAGGAAGCGGCATCAAAGGCACCAGTGTCGCTGTTCAAATTTGGAAATTCCTCAAACGTTATCGCGGATAAGCCAGTTGGCAATGAATTGGAAGGTACCAAATCTTCAAATGGTGGATTTTTGTTTGGAAAAAACAGTTCCAAGCCAGCTACTTCCAATGGATTGAATTTTTCTTTTGGCACCAATTCCTCAAAATCAGATACCAAGGCACTAAAGGAACCAACGATCGCGAAAACTGATGTGATTAAAGAAAATGAGTCAGAAGCTAAAGAAAATTCTTCTGATGATAATAAGACAACAGCCTCATTTTCGTTCGGTAAATCTAATTCTTCCGAGAAGCCTTTCCAGTTTAACAAGCTGGCGGCGGGTTCATTTGGTAAACCAGTGACTGACAACAAAGTTAAAAGTGAAAAAACATCATTATTTTCGTTCGGTAAATCAGTGGATGATAAGAAGGTTGAAAATACAAAAACACCTGCATTTTCGTTCAGTAAACCAGTGGGTGACAACAAAGTTGAAGAAGAAGCACCAGTATTTTCACTTGGCAATTCAAAAACTACATTAGCAGAAAAGTCAACTGGTCAATCTTCAAATGTTGGCTTCAATTTTGGAAGCTCTTTAGGTGGTGAAAATAATTCCACTAAACCAAAACTTACATTTGGAGATATTAGTACTAAGTCGAGTTCTGCTGCTGAAGAGAAGGAGAAACCGGCTACTGCTTCTTCTGGCTTCTCTTTTGCAAATAACAATAAAGACACTTCTGCTCCATTTAGTTTCGATAAAGCATTGCCTACCGACACTAAAGCTTCTTCAAACCCAACTAGTACATTTGCTTTTGGCGGCCAATCTAAGGAGACAAAGTTGGGTCCTCAGATCTCTACTGCTGCTGTCTCGGAGAGCGGCTCACTGATTTTTGGTAATGATCTCAACAAGATTTCGGATCTGAAGCCTACAACTGGCGGATTTGGGCTCAAGAAATCATCTGAGGCTAGTGGTGCTACATCTATTTTCTCATTTGGTAAAACACAGCCTTCTGCTGATAGTACACAAGCCAAAAAGTCCCCATTATTTGGAAATGTATCTACCACTGATTCTACAAAACCTTTCACTTTCGGTGGGTCCAACCCAACAAATTCTTCAACAAGTGCAGCTAGTCCTTCCCCCGGATTCAATTTCGGAAGTGCTAAAACCTCAAGTGCCTCTGGATCTGCTACTGCGTTTAACTTTGGAGCGACTAACACCAAAATAGTGGGCGCAACAACTCCAAACTTCGGATTTGGTAAAAATATGAATGCTGATGAAGCACCAAAAAAGTCCACATTAAATTCTAGCTTTGGAAATCAAATGTCCGACAATAATAATTTGTTTGGTGAAAAGAGATCATTTGAAACTAATGATGAGCCAGATATGAAAAAGAAAGGCGCGTTTGGGAGCAGTTTTGGTAACAATAGCAATTCGTTAGCGACACCAAAACCCGCCCAACCAATTTTCGGAGGTGCTAGTGGCAGCACGAGCTTCAATTTCAGCGGGAGCTCATCTAAAACTCCTATGAATGGTGGCTCTAAATTCAATTTTGGAAATGTTGATGGACAGCAATCACAGCCAAGAAGCAGCACACCGTTTGGGACAACTCAAGCTTCTGGAGTTAATAACAGTAATAATAACCAGATTCTGTCAAACCCAGGAAGCTCTGGATTCAATTTTGGAAATAATTCGAATAGCAACAACAACAATAATAACAATAGTAATAGTAGTGGCGCATTTGGAAATAAAATTGCTGATGGAAATGGATTTAGTTTTGGTGGTGCAAGCAATAGCAGCAGCAATGCTAATAATGCTTTTGGTAATAACGGTTTTGGTAATAACTCTCAATCGAATTCTGGCGGATTTAATTTTGGAGCACAAAACAATGGATCTGCCTTTGGTTCCATGAATAATAGCGGTAGCCCATTTGGGAATACTTCCAATAATGGAGGTGCTTTCAGTGGTAATAACAACAGCCAGAACAATAACAACAATAATAGCAATCAAGGCGGTGGTAATGGTGGATTCAACTTCTCGTTCGGTGCTGGCAATAATTCTGCCTTGCCTGACCCAACTTCGGTGTTTGGTAATCCTGGAACTCCAAATCCTCCCCAAATGAACGCTGGCAACACTTCGAACGGGTTTAATTTCGCCCAAGGGTCTACACCACCAGTGACCCCAGGGACCACTGGGACCCCCAGAAGGATCCTTCACCCTAGAGGTAGACTTCGTCGATGAAAACTTATCGTAGTAGTGAAGACTTATTATATAATGTAATCCCATACTAGGTAATTCTTATAAGATAAGTGTTTAGTAGGAACGTATTATTTGGGGCGCCGGACCCCCATTAACAGAAAAAGGAATAGACAGGCCGGGTGACTAGAGAAAGCAGATGTTTTTTAGCATTTCTTTTTTTTTTTCTTCAGAAATGGTAAGAAAAACCCACTAAACACAAGGAAGGATTGATTTCAAGGACGGAATAACATAACAGGAAGTGGCACATACTGATTCAATCGAGACAAAACCAGAGAGCTCTTTCTCTGAAAACTGCATATATCCTTCTCACACATACAAAAACGTCTTGTATTTGTTGTCATTAGCACCAATCTACGTCTTCAAGACTTGGACCTGTCTCCCGACTCCTACTTCAAACAGTTCAAATCTTCAACAACCATGAATACACAACCTCAGCAGTGGCATCTGACTGTAGTCAGTTCGGAGCGCCAAAAGCTAATTCTCTTTGTGTACGTATTTTTTTTTGTTATTTTTCTAACTGAAGGTATCCTAGATCAACTTTCATCTTTTTGTCATCTACTCCTCTTTGCTTTTCTTGGTGGTGGGTGATCCGCAACCTTTTCTAGATGGAGAACCTTTATATTGGTTTGATATCTTAATCATGGACCAATTATTTGGTCATCTAGGTTATGATGGACGGATGGATACCCTGCTCTTGCTTTTGTTTATGTGTATCACTAACAAAATTATTTTAGTTTCCAAGCGCTCAAACAAAGTCGTATCATGGGTAGTAAAACTGATGAAGACCTCATTAAAATTGCAAGAAACTTTGAAATCAGTGCATACCATCGATCAGCAAGTAAGGAACACTACGTTAATAACATCAAAGTTCAAGCGCAAGAGATATTGAAACGAGGCCAGATGCAAAATAACATGAATAATAGTAATCCTAATAATGGAAATATGGTCGGTGTTAATAATATGAATATGGGAAATGTGAGCAATGTGAATAATATGACCAACATGAATAATGCAAACAATATGAACAATGTGAATAACATGAGCAATATGAACAATAATATGGCTAACATGAATAACATGAGCAACATGGCTAACATGAATAACATGAGCAACATGGCTACCATGAATAACATGAATAACATGAATAACATGAATAACATGAATAACATGAATAACATGAATAATATGTCTAATATGAGCAATATGAATAACATAAACAATATGAACAACATGAATAACATAAACAATATGAACAACATGAATAACATGAATAATATGAACAATATGGGTGGTATGAATAATATGAGTAATATGAACAATGCGAACTCCATGGCCAATTTGAGCAATGCAAACAGAACTCTCACTCCGATGATGGTTCAGCAGCAGATGATGAACAATAACAATAATGTTTCTACAAATGTTAATGATAACAACAATAATAACGGTGATTCTATTGCTCGAAATTCAAACTTACAAGTGAATAACAATAATGCTAATAATAATAATGATAATAATAACAATAATAGTGCCATATCTGCATTCACTCAATTAACACAACAGCAGCAGCAGTTGGTTTTCCGCCAAGTTCAAATATTCGCTTCAAGAATGACTGTCCCAAAAGAAATTGTCAATACAGTTCCAAACTTTCCCCCAAATGCTAAAGTTTGGGCAGATTTATTTAACGAAGGTGGCTCAATACCTGCTAACATTATGAATAGTTTAAGAGATAATTTCAAAGGATTGTGTATGATGCTCATCAAGAAGAACCCGAAGTTGATCCAAGACATTTTGAAGAAAAGTAGTGGAGCTGGAGATACTATGAGTACCCCAAATAACAATAGTAACAGCACTAATACCAATGGCAAAGCTACTGTTAACAATGCTAATATTACAAATAGTAGCAACTCTGCGGCAAGATTACAGCCACAACAACCAGGTAACCAACAGGCCTCACAAACTCCAAATCAACCGATCAATGCACAGCAAGTTAGAAACACTATTGCAAATAATTTCACCCCAGATGAATATAAAGCTGTCATTCAGAAAGCATATGAAGATGTTCAAACGCTCATCAGAGTGGGTAAACTTCCACTGACCCTTCCAAATGAACAGAAGCAGTTGTACGCAAAGAGACTTGCTATGGAGAAACTTCAAAAGCTAGCACAAGAGAGAATAATACAACGAAATATGGCGAATAATGTCAAGAACAACTCATCTCCATCTGGCGGCGAAACTGTTAATCCAAACACTGGCTCATTTAATAGCCAAGGGACTCCAATTAATCAACGCCAGGTTCAAGAGAGGTTGAAACATCAACGGGAGGAAGTTATGAACAATTCCAATAAAAACGGAAATAACACCAACACGAATACCACCACAGCCAACGTTGTGGGCAACAATAACAACAATGCCAACTCCGCGAGAACCGTTAATCAATCTCCTTATCAAAAGCACCCCACTCTTAGTAATGCCAATAATAATAATAACCCTACTAATGGCCAGTCGCAGAAACCTAATACTACCCCTTTGATGGCTACTCAACAATTGAATATGGGTGGTTCTCCATTGATGGCTAACTCTTCTCCAATGGTTGCGAATAACGGCTTTGTTGGTAATGCTGCTAACCCGGCAAACAACAATAATAATGTTAGTGGAAATAGCAATACACCTAATAATGGCGGTAATGGACTAGGTAATGCTAAAACTGCTCAGATGGTCAAGGCATATCAGACTTATGCTATGCAGATCAACAATGATATGAAGAAGTCACAAGTAAATGATTTGACAAATAGCATGTCTCAGCAAGAAAAGATGGCTATGGCTGAAAATATCAGAGATGCTGCCACCTTAGTGAAGCAGGCTGAAAGATTGGCATTGCAATTTTTCATTGTGCTTAATTTGTCTGATGCTTCCAAGAATTTGCTTGAAATACGTTATAAGTTGGTGTTTGCTATTGAAAGCTTTCAAAAGGGTAGATTTGTGATGAGTTTGGACGAATATACTAAATTGAAAACTGCAGTGTTTCTGTTCTTTACCTTTTATAGACAGAGGACCCTCAACAGGCAACAACAAAATGGCAATGGTGATAATAGCAAAAATAATGCCACTACTAGTAACCAAGTGAGACCAATGGCACCAAATAATGGCAGTGCTGGTAGCGCTAATAATGGCCAACAACTACCACCAAGTTTCAGTCAACAGGGAATGCGTTCTAGTGCAATGTCACCACAGCAGCCGTTCCAAATGTTGAATCAAAATGCTGGAATTGCTGGGAATGGCTCAAATGTTATGAATAACGCTAATGGTGTCAATAATGCTAACCCGGCTTCTATGACTCCAATTCCGATGACGCCTCAGTTAGCTAATCCAGCATTGGCTCCACCTCCGCCAATCGCAGGAACTCCACAATTTCCACCAGGAACCCATCAACAAATCTCAGTTGGTCAACCCTCAATGCAAGGAATTCCAATTCAGCCACCACCATTTGTTTCTGGTCCTCCGTTCGTCCAAGGACCAAATGGTATGTTGATTCCTGCTGGCCCTCCTCAATTATCATCACCAAATAGGATTCAAACACCTTCTCAGCAACAAATCAGCACTTCGAGTGTTGGGATTAACGGCCATAACGATAATAGTGGAAATATTGGTAATAACAACAACAACAACACCGGTATGAATAATGGTAACGTCAACATTAAAAAGCTCCCTTCAACGAATAATACCAATAATAATACCAAGCAAAGAAGAGCTTCATTGAAACAAACACCAAAAACCACTCCATCTTCTCTTAGTAACGTTCCTAGCCCTCAGCCTTCAAAGCAAATTCCAAAGATAAATACTCCGGCCGATACTGCGTCGACTCCAACACCAAGTGGCAATTTCGCTAATAATTATAATGGCGTAACTAAACCTATTGTGTTGAAGTCGCCAGTGACTGGAGCATCTGATGGTAATGTTCCAGCTTTGACTAAAGAAGAAATTGAAGAAAAGAACGACAATTTGATGAGAGAAGCTGCTAAGGCCCAACGAATGAAGCTTTCAGAAAGCGGGGAAACAGAGAAGTACTTGTTGAGCTCGTTAGCCAATGTTTTGGACTTGGATAATGATGTTGTTGATTTGAGCATTGATCTAAATCATAATAGGAAGGACAAAGAGACAATTTGCTCAATAACGGCGGAATATGAGGCCAAACATCCAAATTCAGTGGTGGGTAACCAGATTAAAACCCCCGGACCAAACATGATTTCGCCAAAGCAATCGCCTAATCTAGTAAAGGGAGGTGTTAATGATGGGACTGCAGTTTCCTCAAATTCATCTGACAATACTACTGAATGGAAGGCCAAAGTTCATCCTCAAGCTATCAGGTCCAAGTTCAAAGAAGTTTCATCAATCGGAGACTCAATATTACCAACAATGCCGACTCCTCCGCAAGATGAAAAATGTGCTAATGTCAATAGTAATAGTGTGAGCAATATAGTGGCCACAGATAATGGACCCGCTGGTGATACTTCCGAGGCCCCAATCAAGCGTGGCTCTAGTGATTCCATTGACGATTTCTTTGCTGAAAATGGTAATGATAGCAAGAGGCTCAAATCCGAAAATTCTGATCATGGTAAAACGAGTCTTAGTGAAATCAATGGTGATGGTGCTTCTACTTCCAAAACTAATACTGATTCTTTTGATTTTGACAGTATTTTTAATTTTGATGGTGCTGCAGATGTTTCTAACGATGAAACTGGCAATGTTGGTGATGAGTTTTTGATGTTCTGACATTTTTTTTTTATTATTGTATTATATTTGTATTGTATTGATTACTTATTTTATTCATTTTGTTTTTCTCTTGCTATTATGGAACTTATATCTCGTGTTGTTTTTCTTTATTATATATTATTCACTAGAGATTTCTCGAACGTTTTCAATTTTCTCATTTTTATTTACAGTTTAGTTGAGTTTCTATTTTCATTTTTTTAATTTTTTTTTTTCAGTTTCCCTTTTATATTGTTTATCATTTTTTCAGTTCTTGAGCTTTGACCGTTTACAATTTTTGTTGTTATTTTGATTAATACTAGTATGTTAAAATGTTTTTATTTGGGTTGTCTCCAATTGCTTTGAATACCCTTCTTGTAGACCGACAAACCATGGCTCACGTGGGAGAGCACGGGTATAGTGCCGGGTGTTGTGCGCTCTTAGCTCCCCACAAACTATCGGCTAAATTCGAAACGAAGATATCTGAGGCCTAAATACCGGAAATAAGCCGTTGAGAGACTCAGATTTTTAGCCAGAACTAACATATTTGAAGCCCATTGCTTTTCAATAGCAACTGCTACCAAACCCTCACTTGTGCTTGATACCTAAACAGAGTGTACCGCTGTTGAAAGGCTGTTCTGCTCGTCCAAAATTTCATGTGTGCCAGTGATACTAGCATTGAATTATCGAATACACCATCTTCCAATTTTTCGACAGGAGAGATTTCATAAATACATTTCAATAGGGCCTTTGTTCTGGTATTATCTCCCCTATTTCTTTATTTTTTTTGTTTTTTTTTGTTTGTTTCTTCTCTTCTGTATCCCTTTTTCACCGACCTAAAGCTCTTTCGCACTCAGGAAAAATAAAGCAAGAAAACGTAATAATATCAAACTTTGTCCCCATCTCAAATTCGACAGTTATCCATATACCACAAGTTCCAGCTGCATCGCACCTAAACCTTTTCTAAAGATCTGCTTGCTTTCCAGGATATTGTTTGTTGAGTGTTAAGCCATCAATCTAGCATAACACAAAACTTGCCATGGCTTTCAAAAGACTCATTGGCACCAAACCCACTTCACATGTCCACGCACAAGACAATCACAGCAATGCTAAAGAGCCTAATAATAGCTTTCCAACCAGACTGATTCCACAAATCCATGACACCTCAAATGACCAGAAGGACTTATACACACTAATGGGTGATATGAGCCCGCCAAAGAGCGGATTTTTCAGTAAGACCAGATTGAACAGCTTCTCAAAGAAGAACGGAAATTCAAAGCATGTCAATATCAATGGCTTGGCTGATGAGACAAAGGCTCCAAAAGATCAGCTTATTGCTTCAAATCCAATAGATGATGATCGTACGAAAATGCCTGCTCATCGAGGTCTGGAGGCTGCTGTTGAAGATGATCTTCATAATAATTTGGTTAATGGTCTTTCAGGATTGTCGCTATCGGAAAAATATCGTGAAATGTATGATGAAAATGAGAGTGCCGTGGAATTTACCGATGCAATAAACTCTGAAGGAAATTGGGAAAATCAAAATATGGTGGGAATTGATATTGAAAATGAAGAAAATAGTGTGACATCATTTGATGCTGATCATATCAAAAAAACTTTTGGGCTGGCTAGTCTTGGTATAGGCGATGCTAATGCCCTTGTTTTTAACCCGACGGATTATAATAATGATCAAGCAAGTAGGAAAACCACTAGTACTACCACCTCTGTTGCTACTACAGCTATTCCTTTTCCGGAATCGGTCACCAATGATACAAACAACGTGAATGGTATTAATTTGGAGAACATTGGGGGAGAATCAAAATCAGCCAATAAACCCGAAAGAGAAAATCCAAAAACTTTATCTGAGCCATTTGTACCAAATTCTTCCCCCAAAATACAACGGTTTGAGCCTAATGGTGTCGAAGAGATCAATTTTGATTTACCTTTTGGCGATGGATCGATGAAAATCTACGGTATGGAGAATTTTGGAGCCAGCTGTTATTGTAATTCAATTGTTCAAAGTTTGTACTACACTCCATTATTCAGGAAGTATATCTTGTCTTTGCCTAGTGAATTAAATGATGAAATTCTTAAAGATGAAAGGATAAGGAAAACTGAAATGCCAGGCTCAAAGACCCACCATTTTACGGCTGCCGTCAAAAACAACAAGATTGATTCGGAGACTGGTGATTTGGTAGATAAGGCTAAAGATGCTAATAATAATGGTAATTCTAATAGTAATGATAACAACAAGGATAAACATGAATCTCAAAATAACAGTGATGGCACTAAAATTGGAAGAAGAATGTCGTTCTTTGGAAAGAAGGATAAATCAAAAGATGATAGGAGCTCTAACAACACATCAAGAAACAACAGTATTTCAGTAAATTCCAACAATGATGATAATTCCAATCAACCTGTCAACAGTGTTACCTCCTCGACACTCTATACGCTAGCTCATGACGGACATCTTCAATCCGGTGAAACCATCATTTACCGTTCTAAATCAAATATTCCAGGTTTGAAAGACTTAAAACTCGGATTCGAAGTTTCTAATAGAAATGTTACGGTTGTTGGTGTTGTTGATGATCCGAATGCCACTGCTGAACAACGAAAGCGCAGAGCACTAATTGATGGTCCCATTTTGAACCTTGATAGCTCCCTTACTGCGAATCACTCAGAGACTATGTTTGATGCCCTTAAGGATATCTTTGAATGCATGGTGGAAAATTCCAGCCAGATTGGAGTGGTTTCACCAATGCATTTGGTGGAGGTATTGAAGAAAGAAAACGAATTATTTAGAAGTATGATGCATCAGGATGCTCATGAATTTTTTAATTATTTACTTAACAGTGTTTTTGAGCAAATTGATGTTTATTATGAAAAGAAGAAGGAACAATTACAAAAGCTCAAAGTAGATAAAAAAACATACGACGCTCAAGCCTCAATATTGAACAAAGAAATGAAATTTTCCAGCGAATTATTTGAGGGATTGTTGACTTCACAAACTAAGTGTCTTCGTTGCGAAAGGATTTCATCTCGTGATGAAAAGTTCCTTGATTTATCAATTGATACCGAGCATAATTCTTCAGTGACTGCTTGTCTCAAACAATTTTCGAAAAAAGAAATCTTGTGTGAAGATAATAAATTCTATTGCGAATATTGCTCATCATTACAGGAGGCAACTAAGAGAATGGTTGTTAAGAAATTGCCGAAAATTTTGACCCTCCATTTAAAAAGATTCAAATATCTGGAAAAATTGAACAGAAACACAAAGTTATTCCATAGAGTTAGCTATCCACTCTATTTGAGACTTTTCAACACACTTGATACCGAAGATGCAAATACAGATGACAAAATTTATGAACTCTATTCTGTGGTGGTTCATATTGGCGGTGGTCCTTACCATGGCCATTATGTCTCATGTGTCAAGACTGAACATTCTGGCTGGTTGTTGTTTGATGATGAGACTGTGGAATCTATCGATGAAAACTTTGTATTGAAATTTTTTGGTGATGGTCCAGGCTTGGCTAGTGCATATATTTTACTTTATAAAGAAATTACAGAGGAAGAATATTTGAAAAAGACGTTATTCCAGGATTTATGCTTGGAATTGGAAGATGAATTGGCCGAGGAAATGAATTATCAAAATACTAGGGAATTCAAAAATGGCAATTCTTATGCCCATAACCATTCAAAATCTAGGACCGGATCCACATCGTCCAACTCTAGACCACCATCATCAAGAGGAAGCAATAATAAAGATACCGGCATCATCCACGAGGAAAAAATTATTGGTAATTTCAAAATACCAGACCTCAGCAAGCGAAAAGAGTCCATCACAGAAACCCCAGAGACAGAATATCCTGGTCCAATCAGACCTATAAATATCCCCAAGAAAAAAAGTTTTGGAGCAATTAGCCCGCTTTCACCAGGAACTATCATTCATAACAGCAGTAGCACCGGAAAGGAGGAGGAAACTCAGAGTAAATCCTTCAAAAGAACAAAGTCAATAAGTTTGAAGTCGCCAATCCATGCATCTTTCAAGTTTGGATCGCTTAATGGTATTTCCAATGGAGATGCGAACAAAGGTCGTGAATCAAATGATACCTCTACTGCTCTGACATCAACCAATGAAAGTCAAAACGCGGATGCCATTACTTCAGAGCTAAAGGATGGTGATGCCCCTAATGATAAAGCTCCTGAAGATGAAGTTCCAAAGACAAAAAGAAAATCTATCTTCGGATTTAACAAGAAACCAAAATCTAAAAAGTAAAATTAATAGAGTAGTATATATCACTTATTTTCCTTTTTTTTTTTGTTGTTGTTGTTTTTGTTGCGTATTAGTTATATTTTCCCTATTTGTTTGCTTTAATTAGGTGAAGCAAAGCAGAGAAAAATGATGATCATGTTATGCATCTACTGGAAATATATCTTTCTAGACAAGTTTGGTTTTCATAGTTTTGTTTGTATTTAGCCAACTCATCAATCCATTATATCGCCTATTATTAAAATGATGTAAATCCCAACTGAGGGTGCACAGCTGCACTATAAATTCCAAAAATAAGTGATATGAATATATCAGTAGACTCTCATATCCAATGAAGGTTTACTTTAAATGTATGAATGTCTGCAGTGCTCACTTTTATGTCTTCATCTTGGTAGCTGATTTCAATGCATGTTGGCAAAAACACTAAATGCACTTTGTAGAGCCAGGGCTTTTATCCAGACGATGGACCCGAAAACACCAGAAGGACAACAAAATTTACCTCACACTGCGCAGAATAGTTGCTTGACACTTAGAACAAGAACAGTAATAATGGCTGAAGGTATGCTATTTTCGAAACATATCAATTTCGGATCGTCTATATTTTTGCCACCGTCTTTTACACTTTCAATTGGTGTTGTTTGGACAAGCGTGCGGAGATTTATTAATGACAACTTACCCCCTATTGGAACCGAAGAATTCTAACAGTATATAACAGCTAATGCAGGTAGACTCCCTAGCTCTTTCCAGCTTCCTACCCCCGAGGAAAAGGTTCTTTATTCTAAGATCTTCAAATCTTTAGACCAAGAGAAACTTGGCCTTGTCACTGGTGAAGTTGCTGGCTTGACTTTCGAGAAGAGTGGATTAGACTCACAAACTTTATATCAAATTTGGGAAATATCAGATGCTCAAGGCAATGGGTTCTTGAAGCAGTTGGACTTTATCAGAGCTTTGCGTTTAATTGGACACGTTCAGAGTGGCAAGGCTTTAGATGCCAATCTTGCTAATATTCCAGCTCCAGCTCCAAAGTTTCAAGGATTGAATTATGGAATGTCTCCAGTAACTACAGGTTTACCATCACAAGGAACAGGATCCAGCTTGCAAAAGCATTACACCAGCTCATCTTTGCAATCTACAGCGCAATTACCTCCTGTGACACCAGCCGACATCTCGAAGTTTATCCAGTTGTTTAACAGACACGTTCCTTCTTCGTACCCTTCGATATCTGGTATGGAGGCCAGGGAGATTTTCCTCAAGGCAAAATTGCAAGAAAATATCTTGGGTCTTATTTGGAATGCTTGTGATAGAGGCGCCAAGGGTAATTTGAGCAAAGATGAATTTTGTTTGGCGATGTTTTTGATCCAGGGGATGTTGCGAGGTAGTATCAAACAAGTACCAACCTCTGTGCTGGAAACCACTTGGTCTCAAATCAATCAAATATTGGTGTCTATTAATTACGGTAATAATATCCAACAACAAAACTCTATTCAGCAACAATCTACCGGTAATTTATTAGGCTTGGATTCCGAAATTTCCCATGGCGCTGCCATCAAGCCGGTTATCCAAACCATCCCTGAAGCAAGATCAGTGCAAATTTCTGAACTGCCTAAAGTGACACACTCTAGTGCAATTCCACAAATTGAACAAGGATCAATCCAACCTTTATCTTCTGGGGCATGGACAATTTCCCCGCAACAAAAGCAACAATTTGATCAACTTTTTGATTCGTTGGATAAGTCACACAAAGGAACTTTGGGTCCAAATGAGGTTGCGTCATTTTTGATGTCCTCAAAATTGAGTCAGGATGATTTGGCCAATGTTTGGAACTTGGCTGATTTGAAAAATTCGGGCATATTCACTAAAGTGGAATTTGCCATTAGTATGTTTTTGGTCCAGAAAAGATTAAGAGGAGAAAATCTTCCGGTTGCAATTCCTCAAGAACTACTTTCTAGCGTTAACGGTCAAGACATTGCTGCAACACAAAAGTCAACCGGGTTCGCCGCTGTTGCTAGTGCAGCTCCACCAAAACCGCCCCAGGTACGTCAATCTTCTATGAATGATTTGGCCGATATTTTTGGGTCTTCGCCACAGGCTCCACCGGCAAACTTACAGCGTTCTGCATCTGTTCAAGTTAGCAACACCGGTGGCTCTCAAAGCTCGTTCTCTAGCGGACCAGGTGCGTCAAGAAGGTTCAAGCCAACCTCTAGTTTTGGTCAACAAATTGTTCATCAACAAGAGGTTAATGAAGTGCAAAAGACCTCTTTATTGCAATTAGACGAAGCCAAGGAAGATGAGGACGATAGCGGTGATGATAGTGATATCAACTATTTTTACAAGTCTTATAATGATAAGAGAACCGCTCCCCCAATTCCCACTTCTACGAAGCCAAATTATGACATTTTGAAGGATCTCTCTGTTCCTGGAGGGTCCCAACCAGTTGTTGCACCATCAGTTGCCCCACCACCACCAGCTGCCCGTGGTACTATTAACGATAATAATCGCGCCTTGCAATCTGAATATGATACAATCAGCAATGAAATTGTTTCTGAACATGTGGAAACCTCCAATACTAGTGCCCAAATCAAGTCGATGGAAGCTCAAAGCACTGAGTTAAAATCAATGATTTCAAAGGCTAAAACTCAATTGGCAGCTGCTCAGGAAGCTAAGAGTAATTTTGAAAGTAGATTACAACAAGCCAAGGCTTTATTGGAAGAAGAAACCCAGCAATACGATGGTATCAAAAAGTCTGTTATTGAATCTCAACAAGAAAACGAAGAACTTAGACAAAAGTCATCAATCTTGGAGGCAGAATACAACAACCATCAAGCTGAGTATCAAAACTATCAAGCTCAACTAACTGAAAAGCAAAATGAAAACGCTGTCTTCAAGGAAAAGTTGGGTACCATGACTGCAGAAAATAATGATTTGCTCAAAAGATTAGAGAACATCAAGAAGGCTTTGAAAGATCAGGTTGCCTTTAACAACATTCAAGAGCGTCAAATTGAAGTTTTGAAAACCAAGAATGTTACGGTTGTTCATGAAATCAAGGGTATAGAGGCAGAACTTGAAAATTCCAAATCTATTGGGGCACAAAAGGAGGCCGAGGTTAAGGCGTTGGAAAGTAGCAAAAACTCTGTTCCAGTTTCTACTATTAAATCGATCGACACTAGTGCTGATACCACCAATAGCACTCAGAAACTTGCTGGGGTTGCGGCGGTTGCAGGGGTTGCAGGTCTTGCTAGCGGTGCCATTTTGCATAATCATGCTAGTGGTGATGACCACCATGATTCTGGTCGTTCTACTCCAGTGAAGAAGAATAACCCATTCTTGACCGGCTTCACCGCACCTCCAGGGGCCGAATCTATGCCAAGCTTAGAAAATTTGACATTTAAATCTGTTGCTAGTGATGACGCTCCAGTTGAGAAAACAGAATCATTACCTGAACCAAGCTTGGATGAAGCTGCTTTCCCAAGTGAATCAGATGACAAGAATCAGGGGTCACCACTCACTCCGGCCACTGGGAGTGAAATCATCAAAGCTGATGGCATGGATGACGTTGGTGATTTAGAGAATTTCACCGAGTTCCCAACTCAGGCTGATTTTGAAAGTCAATTCGATGATAATAAATCTAACACTGAGAAGGAAACAAATACTGTGGTTACCAAAGAAACTTCAGATACTTCCCCACCAACCTCGGATTTCCAGTTCGGTGGCAATAATCCTACCGGGTTACAATTCCCATTTGGCGGTAACACTATCAGAAGACCAGAATCGCTAACTTCTTCGGTTCAAAACAATGCCGCCATGTCGGTTAGAGATGAATCTGTCACTGAGTACCCATCTTCAGACGGCAGCGATCATGATGAGGCAATTGTTCCTGAAACATCAGCTTTTGCACCTCCACCGATTCCAGCGCGCCGTGGTTCCATTGGTTCTGATAGTTCTGAGTCAAGCGATGATGATTTTGGTCCTCAAGATATTGAACAAAGAACTTTCCGTGACAATGAAACGGTTACTGGTGTTGATAAAGAAATCAAAAATGATGACGTTTCTCCAATTGTGATTCCGGCGGCTTCAATTCCTGCGCCACTGACTAACAATACCGAGTCATGGTTCGAGAATCTTGATGGTAGTAATGTTGAGAAAGCTCAATCAATGCCCGCGGATTATCAAAGTGTGCGTGCTAACTCCATTTCCACCTCATCTGATATATTTATGGATGCCAATGAAGACATTGTTACTTCGCCGGTGACCCAACAAGGCTCAAGTAAGATGAGCTATATTATCAATACTGGGAAATCTAAGTTAGACATCCATGGGTTCGATGGCATGAGTCCTTCCATTGATGAAAAAGAGAACCCAATGAACAACAACAACAACAACAACATCATTACCTCGACAAATAATAGTCATTTAGCTTCTTTTAACGCTGGACCATTTGACAATAATAAATCTGTGAAACCTTCATTGGGACTTGATTCGGATTTTGACTCGGCATTTGATGATTTAAGTCCAGTGACGGCGGAATCTGCAGGAGCGAAGAATACCATTGATGATTTTGATGCGGCATTTGATGATTTAGAACCGGTGAAAGAAAACAACAAGACTGTTGGTGATTTCGACGATTTGCAACCGGCGATAGAAAAACATGATTTCGACAGTGCGTTCGATGATTTGACTCCAGCCATGAAAGGCGTTGATGAGTTTGATAATGCTGATTTTGACAATCTTGCCCCATTGCAAGATAAGGCAGTTGAAGCTGACAACGACAACCTTGGAGGAAACGATTTAGAATTTGATGATGATTTCACCGAGTTTGACACGGCATTATCTATCAAAGCCCAAAAGCCACATGGGAATGATAATGATGAATTCGATAGTGCTTTCAACTTCTAGGCTGGTTTGTTTTTTTTTTCATTTTTCTTTCTTTCTTCCCCCGTTTTGCAAAGCTTTTTATCTTATCTTATCTTATTTTATCTTATTTTATCTTATTTTATCTTATTTTATTTTTCATTTATTTGTTGTCGTTTATCCTCTTCTATTTGTATTTATCTGTCTACCTATATAATCCAATAATATTTATGAGAATCCTCAGTACTACTACCACTTCCTATCATTTAATAAGATTGATTAGTGTTATACCATATGCACGTGCAGCTTCCAACAACAACAATAACAACAACAAAAAAAAATACACACACACATGAGTTAGATAACCTCCGTGATTTTTTCAGTAACTCAAGACCATAGATATTAAATATATATATGTTTATATATATTACACATTTGGCCAATTCCCTCCCCTAGTTCAATAAACAACACATGAACTCCAAGCCCTTGGCAATGAAAGAATCAACAACGCCCGGCGTCGGTGGTGGTGGTCCGCCTCCGCAATTGTTATTCCCGTCGCTGCTTTCTAGTGGGTCTGCGGCCCTGGACGTGAGTAAGCCCATGGTCACTGGGAATTTCATCAATCAAAACAATAGCAATAGCAATAATAATGGTAATGGTGGTGAGGCGATTTCTCTTGCGGGAGTGACGTATTCAAAAGGGGAGAATATCATTGGTGACGATAGTAGTGATGATGAGGAGGAGGAGGAGGAGGAGGAGGAGGTGGTAGTAATTGGTGATGGTGGAGGAGTAAATCAAATCATGGAAAAGTTAACAATTAATGAGATGGATAATGGTCGAGCTATGGAAAAACTGGCAATCAATGAGCTAGATATGGAAAATTTTGCAATTAATAAAACAGATCTGCAAAAATTTGCCCCCAACGCGGAGGAGAAACTTCAAGAAACCCTTGATCCTTTAGTTTCTATTCCTGTTTCGGACCATCGAAAGGGTTTGGTGGAACTTGACGATTCGAAAATGCTGGACAACGTGGATGGAAATTCGAATGTCATGGCCGATGGGAATACAATTCTCAAAGTTGAAGACAAAGGAAAAGAAAAAATAGAACAAACAAATGATGAAGTGACAATAGAAGAGGACAAGGACAAGGACAAGGTTGAACAACTCCAGACGATAAGAAAATCATCAATCACCACGGAATCCAAAGAATATATCATCAATCGAGTCCAAGTGCCTTTGAAATCGAAAGAGGATTTGGAGTTGCAAAAACAACGGATCCAAGAAACGAAATTGAAAAATGATCACGACCGGACAAAGTTGAATAAGAAAGACCCTAATAATTTACCGTTTGATTTCCAGCGATTCTTAACCTATTTGAAAAGTAAAAGCGCCGAGTCGATCGTGAAATATTTGAAATCGTTCATGATCGCGTTTAGTAAAAAAAACTGGCAGATTTCCGAACAGGTGAAATTGATCAATGATTTCAAGAACTTCATTTATGATAAGATGGCGGGAGTAGTACCGTTTGTCAACATGAAAGAAACGGAATTTATTAATTGTCAAGAGGGCATGGAGAAATTGATCATGAATCGTTTGTACGACCAGGTTTTTTCCCCGGTGATCCAAGGAGATAAATTGACAAATTCCCACCGTGAGGATAATAAAAAAGATGAATTGTTGACGAACCAAGTGTTGCGATTTAGCTGGATCACCAACCGACATTTGGACTTGGAGGATGGGTTCATCATGGCGGGAGAGACGTTTGTTCAGATGGCGATCGCCGAATTGATCAAGATCAACAATTACCGATCCCCAAGGGACAAGATCATTTGTATTTTGAATTGTTGTAAAGTGATTTTCGCAATGCTCAAGAACTCCTGCAAACCCACCAGTGCCGACGATTTCATCCCCACTTTAATTTATGTGGTGTTGAAAACCGACGAAGATTTACGATTGAATTCCAACGTTAGTTACATTGAACGGTTCAGAAATGAGGACGGGTTGGCAGGCGAGGTCAGTTACTACTTGAGCAGTTTCTGGGCGGTGATTGGGTTCATTGAAAACTTGAACAAAGAGAGTTTATCAATTACCCAAGAAGAGTGGGATAGTCATATGAGACCATTTGAAGAGACCAACAAGAACGAATTGGCGGACCTTGAACTTTCAAAACAAAACAAACCGACGAAAAACACCGATAGCGAGCCGAAAAAAACTAATGAACCCGCGGTTAATGGGGGGTCGTTGATCGATCCTGAAGCCGTTAAGAATTCGTTATCTCCATCATCGATCCCCATTAGTCAGATTTTTTCGCCGTTCCAATCGATTCAATCGTTCTTTCAAAATGTCACCGATGATAATAGTAGCCCTAATAAATCTTTTCTTGATGAAGTCAGTGATGCTAATAGCCCGGGAAATAGACCTGTCATAAAAACGACGACAACGACCACCACCAAATCATCAACACAAGAGACAGACCATAGAGATTCTCAACTTGCCCAATCGCAGAAAAAATCCCAAGAAGAGTATCTTGCTAAACAAGCGTTTGAAAAACAGGTCCTTGAGTTGACCGAACAATTACAGGGGATGTTTCCTTTGCTAGATAAGGAAATCATCAAAGATATTGTGATTATGAATAAGGCAAGGGTCACAGAATGTGTGGACGTTTGTTTGAATCTTACAGGGGCTACGTAGCACCTCATTTGAATAAATATTACTTACTAATTCACCCTAACGTATGTAAAATATAGGCATCATTTTAACAAATCATGACATACTTCACCCAAGATCTTGATCCCTTGAGCAATATCTTCTTTTTCTAAGAAACTGATCGATAATCTCACGCTGGTGGTACCCCATCCTTTACGATTAGCATCGACCTCGAAGTTATCACCGTTGGCCAAATTCACCCCTCTGCGCTTAGCTTCTTCACAAACTTTCTTACAATTTAAAGAATCCGGGAACGTAAGCCACATGAAATACCCACCTTCCCCACCTTGTAAGATACAATCGGCGGGTAAATATTTCTTGATACTCTCCACCATAATTTGTGATCTTTCTCCGTAGACTTTTTGGAAATTCTCAATGATCTTATCCAATTCCCCGGTGATCATCAAATTCCCGGTGATATTGGCGTTGAATTGCGATGGGGTACCCCCACTGGTGTTGGCCCCGCCTTGGGATAATTGATAACTCAACTTATGGGTGGCGGTAACTTGACACCCGAATCTAAGACCAGGAGCCACCAATTTGGAAAATGACACGTTGGAAATCACATTACCGTACCCATCATTATCATCGTCATCACCGTTGGGTAAGGTTTGACGATCGAGGATATCGAATCTTGGTAATGGTGGTTGAGCAGTGGCCCGATAATCAAGAAGATCATAAACGTCATCAGAAATGATCAACATATCGTATTTTCTCGCCAATTCGAGCAATTTCATCCGATTATCCAATGACATCGACATTCCTCCAGGGTTCGAGAAGGTTGGCACACACCAAATCACGTACTTGTAAATTTTCTTCCAGGCTCTGGCATCTTTATCACTATTGATAATCTCGAGGGTCAGTTCCGGTGATGAGTTTTGTGCCGCCTCGTGGAGTTGTAATTGGTGTTCCAAAAATTGTAAATCAAGTTGACCGTCATGGCCTTCCTCCACCGCGGTGATTTTCCCCTTGAACCCTGCATCGATGAAACAATCATTGATCAAATAATAACATGGGGAAGTGATGAACGCTTGCCTGGTGTACCCGGTATGAGCCAACGTGGTTTGTAAAAGGGCATTGAGGACCCCGTAAGACGCTCCGTTGGTGAGGTTAATGAACTCCGGTTCCACTTGTCCCAGTTGGCCAGAAATGTGGAATTTCTTATTGGTCCACGCAGCAATGGCTTCACGAACCCAAAGTGACCCTTCATCAGTGCCGTAACTGAGGGGATCACGTTGTAACCCATCCAAATAAGTCTTGTTGTTTATTGGTGAGTCATCTGAAGGAAAAAGCACATTAGTCGAGGCCTGAAGAATCTGTTTACGAGGCAAGAGGCGCGGCGAAGGGTGGCCAGGAAAGAAGTTGATGGCGTTTTTATTACTAAGGGCTTTTCCTGACATATTTTTTTTTTTTTTCCTCTGGTATTGATGATGAGACAGTGATTGAGGATGGTAGATGGATCGGATGGTCTTTGCAATTCAACAAATGGTTGAAATTGTTGGAGTGAGTGGTCGAGGGTTTCAAACCATGCGTTATCTCGGATATCGTTATCAGTCGTATTCTTTCGCAGTATATTATTGTATGGGATGGAATGAATGGACGGATGGTGTGTATGGCATGAATTTCTAAGGATGATGTGATCCGCCAATATAAATATATATTTATATAATATCCATTTCTACAAGAGCTAGCATTCCCAAGTTGATTTGAGTTAGAACCTACCAAGACCTTACTGAGTGAGCCCCAAATTTGCAACTCTTTAAATGAGTCTTATTCTTTAATCATTGTCATTATTATTTCATTTTCTATTAATGATGATGATATATATATATTCAAATTTATAAAACTTTCATTTTGACAATTAATATTGATATAATAAATGACTTTTTTTTTATTTTAATAGCAGGCAGATAATAATAGTACTTCTAACAATAAAGAGAGGCAACATGATAAGATAAATAGCAACAGTGGGTGACAAACTAGCAAAAAATTGAGAACATATTAATATATATGTATATATATATATTATGAGAATTGGGAAGACGAAGGAACCCTTTGGAGAGCTTCGGCAATAAACCGACAAAAAACAAAACAAGAACCAAAAGAAAACTAAAAGTACAAATGACTAGATCAATGCATAAAAACTAAAAATACAAATGACTAGATCAATGCATAATAATAATAATAATAATAATAATAACAGGAAATTTTAAGAAATACCAAATAGAAAAAAAAAAAAAAAAAAAAAAAAAATCATCATTATCATACTTTCCAATTTATTCATTTATTTATTTATTTTTAAACACGTTCATACATCAAAATATACGCACTTTTAGCATCTTCTTTATCTCCGGAGATAACTTCTTCATTACTAATGGACTCGACTTTTGTGTCATCGAACCTGATCCATGAGTTTTTATCCGAACGAAGCACGTCCACGGTGTAATGCCCAACATCGGTGCTTGATCCATGATGGTATACCACTCCGGTAAGCTTGTATTTCTTGGAAACGTTGGTATTCATCTTCAAAGCCTTAGAAAGACATTGAGATGGGATTTCAAGCCTGTGGGAATATGATACCCGTTTCTTCAATTTCTCAACATGACCAGGCATTTGAAACCCATCATCGATGAATCCATTGGCTAATGACGACGACGACGACGACGATGATGATGAAGAAGATAACGACGACGATAACGCAGGACCAGTACTATTGTAAGGAGACGATAATGAAACGTAGGAGAAACGTTTCAAATGGATCACAAGTATTTTTGGAAGTTTATCAATGAAAGTTTGCTTTTTAGCAATGATGTCCTTTTGGTCAGCCGTCGATTTATAAGAGATATCTTCTGGCTCAGAAAGCATGCTGAACGCGGTTTCCAAAGAATGGACTTTTCCATCACTGATATCCAATTGGACGTGTTGGAAAGGGTCCAAAGTCACTGATCTGGCCTCTTTTGATCTTGGGACTTCCAATTCTGAGCGGAATTGCCCGCCAAAAAGGTGGGTGATCGGGGTAGTTTTCACTTCTACTACTCTTTTGGCGACGGTTTTATTTTTCTTGCTTGACGACCCCACTTCTTGCCATTCGGAGCTGGTGGTGGCGTTGGTGAGGTTGTTATCGTTTTCGGTGGTGGTGGTAGAAGAAACGTTGTTATCGCCGTTATTGAACGAGTCCAAAGTATTGTTGATTAATGATTTCACCGATGGGCTCTTGATGGTGGCCAATAATCGATCTTTATCTTCGGTTTTGATGTTTTTGAGCGCCGATGAGAACTCTTCGTGTAACCCATCGAGGAAGTATCCTAAAAACTCTTCGGCATCTTCTTGTTGGCCCCAGCGCAAGTGTTGGAATCTTGGGTGTTTACTGATGGCGGCGTAAAAATGTTCTGGGTTCAACGGCGAACCGAAGTCATTCTGTTTGTTTGGTGGGGCGGCGGACTTATTATTATTATTAGACTGCAGCAGTTTATTGGACGAGACTTCCGGCTTGTGATTATTAGGGTTGAATTCGTCGATGAAGTCTAAAATTGCGTCCAAGAGGGGGGTCGACGACGCGGTACGGCTCAATGAGGTTCCTTGAGCTTTTTTCTCGATGGTTTTGAGGATATTGTAGAATGGAGAGCAAAACAAGAGTGCTTGAAGAATCGACGACATAAAACAAATGTTTCCGGTGTTGACGAGCCCGCGAGGCCTAATGGCAGGGTTGGTGGTGGGGACAAAGTTTGATTGGAACAATATCCGAATGAGCACTAGTGAAAGTGGTTCGATTGTCGCGACTGTGGGTAATGGCGGAGGTACAGATGCCGGTACTATGGTTGGGGGGATTTTATCTGTGATGTTATTCACATTATGGTCGTCGTCATCATCATCATTATTATTATTTTTATTATTATTATCATCATCATCATTATTGTCTGAGGGTTTTTTGGGGTTGTAATGGGGTTTGTTTTTTGCTTTGCCAATTTCTGACCATTTCTTTGCCACTGAGGGGGTTGATACTTGTTGTTTTGGGGTGGATGTGATTATTTCTGGGGCGTCATTGGTGGTATTATTTTGATTGGATTGTGGTGTTTTGTCTGTCTGGTGAGCAGGAGGAGGAGGAGAGGTGGTGGTGATGTTGATGGTGGCGACTGGTGGTAGGGACAGTTGGATTTTTTTCAGTTTCAAGTCATTCCTGACTTTCTTTGCCTTGATTCTATTTAGTTCGAAGTCTTTTTCTGAAGAGTTGAAGAAGAAAGGATACTCTCCCAGCAACAATTCGTCTATTGTTGGTATCATATTGGTTTAATTTTTTTAATTGTTATTATTTATTGAGTGGTGGGAGCTGGATATACAAGAGGACGGTTGTTAGCACACGGGAGGTCTAATTGTGTTCTATTGTGGGAGGGAGGGGTGTGTCTAAATAGGAGGTAATTCTGTGTCTGTCTGTAAGCCCAATGCTAAATATCTGCTAGGAAATTAGTCAATAACAGCAGTCGTCAGCAGTAAATGTCGTGGTGGCCGTCGAGGTTCTTTTTCGTCTGTGTTTTTTTGGTTTTTTTTTTTTTTGGTTTTTCTCCCAAAAATTTTCTGCCGGAAAAAAAAAAGCGGGAAAAAAGATCACGTGGATATGGAGGTCGCACACCCTCTTTATCTCCTACACGCACTACTGAAGTGCTATCACCACTACTGTTACTATTATCACTATCACTATTACTATCACCATTTATTAGTCTCTCTCTCTCTCTCTCTCTCTCTCTCTCTCTCTCTCTCTCTCTCTCTCTCTCTCTCTCTCTCTCTCTCTCTCTCTCTCTCTCTCTCTTCCCCCCTCAAAACTTGAGCTTGAACGCTTTGTCTATGATAAAATAACGTTAGTAACACAACACATCACTGCAAATAAAAATAACAAAACAATACTCACCCTCGTTCTTCACCGTATACAAAAAGTTGGCAATCACATCGGTCTCCTTCACCGTCTGCCCCAAGAAATGCCGCTTCACCACCTCTGCCAACACCGGCTTGGTCACCCGATGGCCAGGCGGTCCCTGTACCTGTCTTCGTTCACTATAAGTTTTCTTAGTCGATAACATGACCCCGTAGTTCGACATCGCTTCAGGAACATCGAGATGATATTTTGCCCGGTACTTGTTCAACCCCAGTGCCGGCAACGTCGAGAAATCAAGGGGGTCGATGGGGTCTTCGTCCTGGGGTCCGTTGGAGTTGATGTGTCTAGCAAGAAACTGTTCTTGGGCAAGTTTGAGTGCTTGTTGTTTGCTCTTGTTTGATCCTCGACTGGTGGAGGTGGTATTATTATTATTACTATTATTGGTATTTGTATTGGTATTGGTATTGGTGTTTGTATTGGTGTTTGTATTGGTAAAAGAAGGGTTGATGGCGGTGGTGTTTGTATTGGTGGTGGATGGTTGGTTGTGGTGTTGGTGGTGGCCTGGTTTTTCAGAATCAGTGCCTTCTTTATTAGATGCTCTTGTTCCCATGGTATAAGTTTTGATGATATATATATATATATATATATATATATATATATTGTGATGTTGGCTATTATTATTATTATTATTATTATTATGATGGATGGATGGATGGGAATCGATAACAGAAGTTGCGCCCCAAAAAAAAAAAAAAAGACGCTGCTCTGATGGATCACTGGGTGCCACACCCTTTATTAGTCGCCTAACAATTCGACATTCTACGCAATCTTGACACAGTAAGAATAATAAGAATTATAAGAATTACGCCAATAATAAGAATAAAAATAAAAATTAAGAATATTAAAAATTAAGAATAATAATAATAATAATAATAATAATAATAATAATAATAATTAATAATTAATAATTAACAACAACATTCATAATTAATAACATCCTACCAAATCATCTAAACCCCTTAAACACTCTTGACGCCAAATATGTCATCGAAAAAACAAACCTGATCCCCGCCAACGACGCCACCAACCACAAAATCACCGTCAAATACGTCGTGGCATTCGTCCCTCCAGTTGGATCTTTATCCGATGCCTCCTTGGTGGTCGGAACCCCACCAATATTCAACACTAGAGCAATGAGCCCCCCATTGGTAATACACCAAATAAGCACCACCATCGATCTAATGAACTGATAATAATCTCCTTTTTGTTCCGCAAGTTTCTTTTTACGGTCTCTTTCCCTCTGAGCAATAGCATCATCATCATCACCACCACCACCAGGGGTGTCATCCGATTCTTGTCCCGGAACCGTGTTGATCAAACCCTCTTCTTTATCAAACAAATCATCGACTTCTTGAGAAGTGGTAGGAATATCCAACACTAACCCTTTCCCATCCTCGGTTTTTTTCGTCTCTTTGGCCCCTCCGCCACTGCCATCGTCCCCCTTGGTACCCCAAGAAATGTCATGGATGTTGCAAAACGCATAAATGTTCAAGATATTGGTGTACATCGGTGATAATAACAAGTATTGGATGAACGACGTGAGCATATGCCACGGCTCGCCGTACATCACCGACGACACAATGTAAAGCACGTAGGTCGAGCACATCGAAATCACTAAGTCTCGGAACGTCGCGTTCTCGGCAAAATCCTTCGCGGTTAACGCCCCCGTGGCGTCCTTGATGATGGTCTTCACCGATTTCACCGACATCCAAATGGCACAGAATATCATGTACCCCATCATCACCGCGTACACCATCGTCACCACCCAATACGCTCCTTTTGCGCCTTTGGGTTTATTGCCAAACGCAAAGATAAACACCGACATGGTGCACGCGATATAAAGCCAGAGTAAAATGATCGCCAACACTTTGCCCGGGGCAAAATACATGATCCCATCTTTCGCCGACACCCCTAACGTCAAGATCCGGAACACGAGGAAGAACGACCCCACGGAAAACCACGAGATAATGATATTGATGAGGTTGTAAACAAACTCCAATTGCAAAAAAACTTTACGCGGCAACGAATGCGACGACCGGTAGATTTTATTGAAGTGCACCACCGAGTAAATCGCCGCGAAAAATGACCCGTTCAACCACCGACGACGTTGAGAAATGAACTCTGGAAGGGTATCGGGAACGTCGGTGGCCGCCGCCGCGGTGTTCACGTACCGTAACACCCAGTTCGAGTTTCTCTTGGTGACGATCTCAAAACACAAGATCCGATCTTCGGCAAGGTACATGTTATTGGCGAAAAGATCGTGTTTTTCTTCAGAGTTGTGCAACGTTTCCCCTTTGAAATACGCCTCCAATGGGCCATGGCCGGTGATCTCGTCGTTTTTGAGCGCCTCGAATCGGTACGCGGAAAACGCCCCTGGCAACACCGAAATGAACCCAAACACCGACTCGGTAGGCTTATCGAGGATGTTCGACATCTTGTACTCAAAGTTCTGCCCGGCCACAAGCAACCCGCTGAAAAGCCCATTGTACAAAAACTTCCCTCGAGGCCCCAACATCGCTTTGATCTCCCCGCACGCCCCACCAACGTTCTTATTCTGGTTGAATTCCCTCCAAAGTTTGTAAATCGATTTCTGGGTCGGTTCGGTCCCAGCATCAAACAACACAATCACGTCTGGTTTGAGCGCCGGGGCCAACGCCTGGAAACACCACCGGTGGGAATTGATCTTTTTTTGGTTCTTCTCCTTCAACGCAAAGATCATTTGTACCGGGATGATATCGTCGTAATCGAGGTTCACTTTATCGGTGACCGAATGGATATTTGCCAATGTGGTGTGTTCGTACAAGTGACAAGTCACGTCTTTCTTCAACACTTTGCTTTGGGCAAACCCTTCTTGATAACACCCGAGACTCGCCATCAACGCTCTAGCCCGGGGATTGATTTTGGTTCTCCCATCACTGACCACCGCCACCACGACTTTTTTCCAACCTTCGGGCCCCCAGTCTTTCTTTTTACGACACAAGTACTTGAGGTTATCAAAGATCCCCTTGAGGGTTCTTCCAAGAAGAATGTCGTCTTCGTTGTACATCGTCACCACGATCATCATCTCGCACGGCACTCTAGGGGTCTTGAAAAGTTGTTGTCTGAGGGTGAATTTATCAAAAAGAAACCGTTCCGGTTGCGAAGTCACGGCAGTATACTTCATTCTCATGAATTCTGCCGCTTGACGGTCTTGATCTTTAGCGATTTTGTAATGCGCCGCCAATTTCGAAGGAATCGGGCAATCGAGGGCCAAATTCCCGAAAAACAACGCGTCTTCGTTGATATTATCGGAATCTTCACGATTTTCATTATCGTTACCGTAGCCATCATCATTATCATTATCATCATATTTTGATTGGTTCAACAAGTATTGTGATTGGGGATCATCGGTGAACCCACTGGCTGGGGCTTGATGGTTTTGGACTTGTTCGAATTGTCCTTGGATTTGGTTTTGTTCATTTTGTCCAATCCCCATCCCATGGTGTTGTGATAGCACCACCCCTTGGGAAAATAAATTGGTGGTGGACCCCCCAGTGTTTGAAGGGATTCCTAAACGGATCGGGTTCATTTGGTTATCATAAAGTGCCACGCTGGGGGCCACGGGGTTTACCATGTATGAGTCCCCCACCACCGCGAAGCTGGCATTACTATGGTACCCGCCCCCGGTATTATTACTTAAATATCCTCCGCCAGTGTTATTATTATTGGAGATGTACCCAGTGTTATTATTGGAGACGTACCCAGAATGACTGGCAGGGCTATCATAACCAGTAAGATTAGCAGAGTTATTATAACCGGTGGAATCAGGATACATTGGTTGATCATAAGCGGTGTTTTGCATACTCAAAGGGATTTGTGAAGAAGTATATCCAGAAGAAGAAGCATTCATATTCAAAGCATGATTAAGTGGATCATCATCATTATCATCATTATCATTACCGTCATTATGATTATTAATATTACTACTCTGCGGTTCATCAAACGGATTAGAGTTCTGGAACGGATCAGAGTATCCTGAAGTATTGGAGTTTGCTGGGTGTAATGAAGTTGGTTGAGGGTTCAAATAACCAGAAGAACTGTTGAAAGGTTGTTGAGGCAACGGTCTCCCGGTGGATTGGTTATGGTGGACGATATTTTGCATAGGTATTGATTCTTGAGTGGTTGTTGGTTCGGGGTATTGGGTCTGATACTGTTGGATACGTGAATCAGCCCCGTACATTGAATGGGTCTGCTGGGGCATTTGGGGTAATCTGTTATCATAACCATCATCATCATCACCATCATCGCCAGTATTATTATTACTGCTGCGTGGAGGAGCGAGACTGTTGTAGCCTCCACCACCACTGTTGAAGTTGAAGTTACTCATTAGTGGAAGAATAACAGGAAACTTCTAGTTGTCTTTTTGTTGTGGTAAAGTGTAATAAAAAAAATCAAAGGTTGGATCTTTCAAAATTTTGGTGACGTTTCAGAAAAAGAAGAGAAAATAGGAGGGAGGGACTGAAAAAGGCAGCAGAAAAAAAAAAAAAAATGAGGAAAAAATAACAGTAGAGAAGTTGCCAAGTGAAACACCAAAATATTGTGTGTGTGTGGGAAAAAGCCTCCCTCGTGTTAAATGGTCTAGAATGAGGAAGAGGTTACTAATAAATGGTAGTGGAAATATATCCTGCAAGCTTTGTACTTGTATTTATATTGTTGTCCATTGATTTATTCGACGATTGTTGATGGCGGAGAATGCAGGGTGTGGCACCCGGAGAACGGGGCAGTGGATATCACCACCATCATCATTATTACCACATTATCTATTATTATCTATCTATTATTATCTATTATTATCTATCTATCTATCTAATATTATCTATCTATTATCATCTATTACTATCATCAGATTATGTGACAACCACCAACCCTTTTAAATCCTCACTCACTCTACCAATTGGTTTAATCCAAAAAAAAAAAAAAAAAAACAATATAAATAAACACTTTATTATTTATTATATAACTTGTCTAACTTATATATATATATATATATACGAGAACAAAAAAAATTGAAAAAAAAAACTAATATGTATATAAAACAAAACAAAAATCTAATAGCCAATAGCCCTCAACACCAAATATGAAAGACACCCAACACATCTGAACGCCGCGAGCGCCGCCACGGTATAAAGAATCACCGTCAAGAAGATTTGCTGCTTAAGAGCTTCATCACCAGTGACCAACACCACGGCAATCACCCCAACATTGGAAATGATCCAGGTGATCACCAACATCGATCTCACCCACGCGTAATAGAACTTTTCATCGTCGCTGGATTTCCCGGATCTCGGTGGGGCTGGGGGTTCAGGTACCATCAACATCTCTGCTTCTTTACGGTACGACGAGTCGATTTCTTCATCGGTGGTAGGGATTTCGATTTCAAACGTCCCGGATGCCGATTGCTTCACCACCCCTAAATCGGTCTTGACTCCATCGTCCCCCTTGGTACCCCAAGAAATATCGTGGACGTTACAGAACGCATAAACGTTTAGCACGTTGATATAGGTAGGAGAGAGTAAAAGGTATTGGACAAACGAGGTGATCATATGCCATGGGTCGAGGAACACGATCGACGCCACGGTGTAAAGCGCGTAGGTCGCGAGCACCGACATCGTCAAACTCCGGACGTATTGTTGTTTGACTAGACCGCCAAAACTGATATCTCCATCATTACTTTCACGTTCGCTTTCCAACGCCCCTTTCACGGTCTTGATCGAAAGAAGCACCGTGGCTAAAAGCATGTATAGCATACACGCGGCGTAAAAAATCGCGATCCCCATATACGACTTCCTGGCGCCCTTCGGGGAATTACCAAAGGAAAAGATGAACGTCGCCACGGTGGCGGTGGCGTACATCCAGAGCAAGATGATCGCGATGATTTTCCCGGGTTTGGGGAAGTACATGTTGGAATCCCCCATGGCTTTGGTCAAAATACGGAACACCAAAAAAAACGACCCGAGCGAAAACCAAGACACGAGCAAATTGATGGCGTTGTACAAGAACTCGATAAGAAGCAACGCGAATCTGATGGGGTTGTGCGACGAACGAAACACTTTGTAGAAATGGAAAATCGAATAAATCGCCGCGAAAAATGACCCATTCAACCACCGACGACGTTGTAGGACGAATTCTGGTAAATTGTCAGGCACATCGGTTTCTGCCGACGCCGCTTTGACGTATCGTAACACCCATTTGGAATCACGTTTGGTGACAATTTCAAAACACAAGATCCGATCTTCGGCAAGGTACATGTTACTGGTGAAGATCCCGGCCCCGGCCTGGTTATGTAAAGTTTCCCCTTTGAAATACGCTTCCAATGGTCCATGGCCGGTGATATCGTTTTGTAGAGCTTCGTAACGGTACGCGGAAAACGCCCCTGGCAACACCGAAATGAACCCAAACACCGACTCGGTAGGCTTATCGAGGATGTTCGACATCTTGTACTCGAAGTTCTGGGCGGCGATCAAAGGATTGACGAGTAATTTGCCACGAGGCCCCAACATCGCTTTAATTTCCCCACACGCCCCACCGACGTTTTTATGCCTGTCAAAGGTTTTCCAAAGATGGTAAAGCGATCTTTTGGCGGGCTCGGTCCCGGCGTCCAACAAGATCACCACTTTTGGCTGGAGGATCGGGCCAAACGCTTGGAAACACCATCTGTGCGAGTTGATTTTCTTTTGGTTTTTCTCTTTGAGGCAAAAGAGCAATTGGATCGGGCAAGTATCTTCGTTGGTGAGCTTGACCACCCCGTCTTTGACCGAGGCGATCCCTAATAACGTGGTGTATTCGTACAAGTGGGCGGTGACCGGTTTATCATTGACCATGTTTTTGGCGAACCCATCTTGGTACACCCCGAGACACGCCAACAACGCCCTGGCCCGGGTGTTGATCTTGGTACGGCCATCGCTGACGACACATACAACGACTTTTTTCCAACCTTCGACGCCCCAGACTTTGGAGTTTCTTTTGGAGCAGAGGTACTTGATGTTGTCGAACACCCCTTTGAGGGTTCTTCCTAAAAGCACGTCGTCTTCGTTGTACATGGTGACGACGATCATCAATTCGCAGGGGGCTCTAGGAGGTTTGAACAACGGTTGTCTGAGGGTGAACCGTTGGAGCGAGAATTCTGTGGGGTCGGAGGTGGCGGCGGTGTAACGCATATAACAAAACTCACGTTCTTCGTGTTTGGTCTTGTACTGTTTCAATAAATCGTTGGAGACGGGGCAATCAAACACCAAATTCCCCAAGAAATCAGCCAATCTTTTTTTAGTTCTTGCGGGTTGGCCATTTTCATCGAGTTCTTCTTCATCGCCATCGATATTATTAATATCATGATCATCATTTTGGAAGATCGGGGTGTTGCCGGTGGGGATTGCTGTTAAGGCGGACCCCCCGGTTTGTTGGCCTTCAAATGGGTTGAGCAAGTCGGTGGATGATCTTTGGACCATTGAACGTTGGTCGTAGTCGTCGTTCCAGGTGTTTGTTGGGTAATAGTCGCCGCTGACTGGTAAATTGAGGAATTCTTCTTCGGCCAACGATTGGTTGGAGGTGAATAAGTTGGAGTAGAACCCTGATCCGGAGGCATTAGGAGGGTATAATGAGGCACGAAGGTGTTCTGGGGAGTCAAAGTTGGGGTTATTAAGATGATGATGATGTTGTTGTTGGGAGGTTTTTCCCCCGGTGCCGTTGCCGTTGCCTTGGTATGAGGAGGAAGGTTTTTGGAAGCCGGAGTCGTAAGTGTAGGCGGAGTCACCGGTTTGTTGAGGGGATGTGTTTGTTTGGTAGAATTGTTGGCTGTTGTTGTTGTTGTTGTTGTTGTGGTGGTGGTGGATTGAACCTAGGGGGATATCTTGGGGAGGGTTGAGAGGGGTGATTTCTTCCTCTTCGTCGCGGTGATTGCGACGATTAATGTTGGCAGAGGACGATGCCATTGTTGGTTGGATATGGGAGGATTGAAAAAAAAATGTATGTGTGTATGTGTATATGTATAAGAGATATAATATATAATATATAATATATAATATATAATATATAATATATAATATATATATTTTTTCAATTTTTTTTTTTTTCTATATTTTGTTTGGTATCAGGGAAGGGAAGGGAAGGGAAGGGACGGGGATCCACAAAATATATATAATGTATAATATTTAATATATAATATATATAGGGAAAGTAAGAAAGACGCATCAAATGCAATGTGAAACACACGCTAGTGTCGGTGGAGGGGTACGTGGCCAGATATTGTGTCACGTGGGGGGAGGACACAGCTTCAAAGAGCGTTTCAGACTTGAAAGGCAGGCAGGCAGGCAGGCAGGCAGGCAGGCAGAGAGAAAGAGCGTTGCAGCTAACTTGGTTACAATAATAGACAGAGGAGACAGAGCGGTGGTAGTGGTGTACGGGTGTGTTGGTGGTTATGAGTGAGTGTAAGGGTGTAAGGGTGTAAGGGTGGGTTTGTGCACCGGGTAACCTTTTCCCGCCTCGCTCATTGCGCCTCTCTCTCTCTCTCTCTCTCTCTCTCTCTCTCTCTCACATGACACACTCCGCTGCCTCCCGCATTCCCAGGGATCTCCCCCCACTACCGCTTGGCACTCCCCCCGCCGGTCTCCCACTGGTTGCGGGTGTCTTTTGCTTCTTTCTTTCTTTCTTTCTTTTTTCCCTTGCTTTGTTTTATATATATTTATATATATATATATATGCCTTATATTATATATATAACATAACACACAATTCTTTCACATCTTTCATTACCTTACCTTACCTTACCTTACTACATACATACTTACATCCCCTCCCAATGAAAATACCCATCTTATCCCTATTCCTCCTATCGCTATCCACAGCTCACTGCTACTCCCCAGTAGCCATCCCATTCGACATCCACAGAGGCTCCTCTACAAATGACATGCAATACGCCGCCATCCCATCGCTACAGAAAAGATCCTCTAGTAGTCTCCAAGCAACACTATCCAACCAACAGAGCTTCTACATGGCAAACATCTCCGTAGGCACCCCTGGCCAAAACATTGGTGTCCTCATCGATACTGGCAGCAGTGACCTATGGGTAATGGACGCCCTGAACCCATACTGTGTATCTTCTTCTTCTTCTTCTTCTGCCTCGGTAAACGTCGAAAATCGTCTAAAACTATTGAACCATACCAACAAACATCATTTCCAAATTATAAAAAGAAATCTAGCCAACAACAACAACAACAACAACAACAACAACAACAACAACAACAACAACCCTCCTCCTTCCTCCACCACCATCATTGATGACTCAACAATCGTCACCCCATCTCCAACCATCGTTCAAAAAAACATCATATCACAAATCGAAAGCTGGTTCACAGAAATCGGTACTGTCATCGCCACCACCACCACCATTGGCTCTGGCTCTGGCTCTGGCTCTGGCTCAACCCAATCCCAAACCCAATCCATCGATACCTCCACCGCCCTGGCAACCATGGACTGTAGCTCCTACGGCACCTTTGACCAATCAAACTCGTCCACCTTCAACTCCAACAACACAGACTTCCTCATCAAATACGGTGACGACACCTTTGCCAGCGGCACTTGGGTCTACGACTCGTTATCCTTGGGTAACGTCTCCGTCACTGACTTCTCGTTTGCCCTTGCCAACGAAACTAACTCCACCATGGGGGTGTTTGGGGTCGGGCTCGCAGGGTTGGAAACCACTTACTCCAACGCAAACTCCGTCTCCTCCAGTTACACTTACCTCAATTTCCCCATGAAACTTGTCGCAGAAGGTATCATCCCTCGTAACGTCTACTCATTATACCTCAACGACCTTGCCGCTGAAGATGGCGCCATTCTCTTTGGAGCAATCGACCACTCAAAATACTCTGGCACCTTGACCACCGTCGCCGTCGTCAACACTTTGAAAAGTCAAGGTTACTCCCAACCAGTGAAGTTTGAAATCACTTTATCCTCCATCACTTCGTCTTCGTCGTCCAACACCGTCACCGTGTCTAACTCATCGATCCCTGCCCTTCTTGATTCCGGTACCACCTTAACCTACCTCCCAGTCACCTTCATCAACAACATTGCCACCGCCATCGGGGCAACTTACTCCAAATCTTCGGGGTATTATACCGCGTCGTGCTCCATTGCCCTGAACTACAACATCACCTTTGATTTCACTGGGGCGTCTATCGTTGTCCCCCTCTCCAACTTCTTGAGCTCGACCGACGGGGTACAACTCGTTGATTCTTCGGGCAACATCATCAGTTCCTCCAAGAGCTCGACTTGTGTGTTGGCCTTGATGGATGCTGGTGATAACAGTGCGGTGTTGGGTGATAGCTTCCTCTCCGCCGCCTACGTGGTTTATGACCTCGATAATTATCAAGTATCGTTGGCCCAAGCAGTGTATGATGTCTCATCAAGTGATATCGAGCTTGTCAGTAGTGATAGCACCTCGGCAATTCCTCTGGCGGTGCTGGCTGCTTCTTACAGCGCAACCTATTCTGGCAGTGTCACCAAAGAAACTGGAAACATAGGTTCTGGTGGATCCAGTGGGACTAAAAATTCTGGCAATCGTATGTCAATCTCCATGGGGATGATTGGCATGGTGATTGGATGTTTGACATTCTCTTTCTATTGATTTGTGGATATATATATATATATATATAATATAATATTATATCATATTGATATGTATCTATATGTACCTAAGCGTCGTTGTAAGTATCTCCCACAGGTGTACCTCCGGGTGACCCCAGATCGAAATGGTGCGGTGAATGAAAATAAGAGCGCACACACACCGTTCGTTCCCCCTTTTGGGTGTTTTACATTCTTTGACCCAAAACAATTTTTTTTTTTTAGGGAAAGGAAGAAAAAAAAAAAAATTGTGTTGTCACACACAGTTACCATTATTTACTCCATTGGTTATTATACAAAACCTGGCTTGATTCAACAGATAATATATATTATATGTATATAATCTATCATTTACAACCAACCAATAACAAGCAAATATAATCCCCCTTGGCCTTTCCCCCCTCCCCCTTTTTCCTTCGTTACCTCAAAACACTGCCAGGTTTTATTTTTAGCATTCCCTAACCAACTGACATTCATTCATTAACAAATTACAGTAACCAGACCCCAAATACATCACATCCTCCCTAATAATATAAATAAATAAAATAAAATAAAATACAAATACAAATACAAATACAAATCACCAAAAATGACGAGGACATACACCCTAGATCGGGTGGTGCCAAATATTCTGGCGTTTCTAATATTGTTGGCGATTTCCATCAACCCTATATACGCCCTTTCCAACTCCTTAACCACCATCGAAAGACCAACGTTTGATTTCAGCACCATTGGCAACAAATTGGAATTTGCCGGCCAGTTCGACTCGGTGTCCTTCTTCAATTATCCTTTGCAACAATACTTGTTGACCACCAACGTTAGCGACTTCAACGCTTCATTAAACACCTTATATTACCAAGATTCCAACGCTAACGTCTTCCCATTGGGTGACCTCAATGGACAAGTCGATCTCATTGACTCTTATGGGGATGACGGGTTCATCATTGCCGGATCATTCGATCACATCACCTTGATTGGCAACTCCACCTCCCCAACCACCATTGGTTCATTGGCCTATTTTAACATCACCTCCAACAGTTTCACCAATTTGGACCCAAATAACGATATCTCCAGCGACGCCATCAACGCCATCTACGGAGATGTTGATAATTCCGTGGTGTACATCGCCGGTAAATTGACTTATAAAGACACTTATGGTGCCTTGATTTATAACTTCACCTCCAACAGTTTATCACACATCCCATTCAAAGGGTTCAACCAAGATTCGGAAGTCACCTCGATTTCCAAAGCCGGCGATAACACCTTGGTGTTTGGCGGCAGCTTCTACGCTCTAGGGGTTCCTCAATTACAATACACCAACCAAACGTATTATCTTCTCAACGAAAAATACTTATCGACCAACACCTCGTCTCAAGACAATTCCACCACCACCGAAGAAGTTTACATTCAAACCGAACAACTTGTATCGTTCAAATACGCGTCGTTTGAAGCCGATAATACTGAATCAGGGTCGGTGGCGGCCAGCGAAATCATTTGTCCTACCGATTCAGACAACTGGCTTGTTAATTCCGGACAATTGGGTGCGTGGTTGGCCACTTTGCCCTTCACGGTGTCTCCATCCAAGATTAGGGTTTACAATTCTCGACTCGACGACACCGGGGTCAAAACTTTTAGATTATACACCTCCCCTTCCAATTCCATCATGAATTTGACCTACATCGACCCCACCACTAACACTTTGATGCAATGTGACGCCTGGTGCCCGTTGTTCAACCACTCAGACTTGTCCACCGCCTATGCCAACGTTAACGACTCGTCACTCACCAATGTTAGCTTCAGCAACGATGGCGGGGTCGCCGCGTCTTTGCAATGGACTGACAGTTATCAAGATTTCGGCTTCGTCAACGATCTCGAAGTTGATTACTTAAACTTCCATATTATCGATTATTTTGGCTCGCAAGCCGGGTTGAACGGTATTCAAATGTTCAGTACCCAAATCTTGACCTTTGGTAACGATACTTTGAACGAAGCCAGTTGCGGGACCTCCAGTAACAGCTCGTATTCCTCGGTTAACGGAACTGGCTGGGACATCTCGGTCACCGGTCAATACATGACCAATTCAATTAGTGATGTCTCCACCGCCGCGTCAGAAAATGTCGGGGTCACTTTTTACCCAAACATCACTTATGCCGGTAACTATTCTATCGATTATATCACTCCAGGTTGTCAAAGTGATAATACTTGTGACACCAGAGGCACCGTCCAAGTCAATTTGCTCGATAGTAATGGTACCTCGTTGCGTAAATTCACCAGTGCCCAAACTAACCAGTTTGAAAAAATCGAAAACCTTTGGGACGGCCATTTGAATATCAGTGATACCGGTAGACCAAGTATCGAAGTCACCGTGGTGGATTCGGGCTCTAGCACCTCGGCCACCATTGTCGTTGATAAGGTTGCCATCACCGTATTGGGACTCGATGATTTGTCCAACTCCACCAATTCCACCACCACCAGAACCGTCAGCTCTAATAGCTCAATTTCTTTCAATCATTCCGACTATAAGATCCCGTTGAACGGGCTATTTGAATACTCGTTGATCAACTTTACCAAATTCCCAAGTAATTATGATAGCTACAATTTCAGCTCTGAAGATTTCACTAACAAGTTTGTTGGTAATTCCTCGATCAATCAATTTGGGGCCACCACGTTGCCAAATAACTCGATCATCAACTCGTTGGAGTACCTTAATGACACTATTTATGTTGCCGGGCAATTCACCACCAGTAACGATGGTTCAAATTTGTTGGGTCTTAGTGTGGGGACTGCTGCCGACATTAATAATAACCTTGAGTTGTCAAAAGTTAACAATTATAACGACGGTTTGAATGGCGAAGTGAAAATGATCAAACAGATCAACAACCAACTATTCGTGGTTGGCGATTTCAACGATACCGTGACCAAAGCATCGGTTTCCAGTTTGTCATCCACCGCAAATTCCGATAACAATGCGTTGACCAAAGTGGCGGTGTTGTCCAACAATGACGATTGGTTTAGTCTTGATTCGGGGATCGCAAATTCTGGGGAAGTGGCGTTTATTAATACCGTCACCATTGACGCGACAGAATTCTTTATCTTTTACGATTCCAATTTTGAAACCATGAATGTGTGGGATAACTTGAACAAGAAATGGTTTAGTAATGACGATTTCAACACCACTGGGTTGTACCTCAACATCACCGGGGCCCACCAAGGTTCTAGCGCCATGTTGATGAGTGGTCATTTGGCGATCTTGGGATTGATGGCGTCCAGTGCGGTGTCTCTCGATGAAAAAGACGCGTTTTCCACTTTACCAATCAATTTCAGCGGTTCCGGTAATGTCATCAACCAATTATTGTACGTCAATGATTCGTTCACCGTTGTCGGGGGTAATTTCACCGCCGATTCCAATGAAAGTAACTTGTTGCTCAACAATAATGGTAAACTTACCGGCTTTGACGATGTGATTGACTGGAGTAATTCTTCAGTGACGACTTTGTCTAAAGACGGGGAATCGCGATTCTTATTTATTGGTCTTGATGGCGTTGCCACTTATAACAATGATTCGACCTCCAACGTTTTCATTTATGATTTAGTTTACGGCAACTTTTCGATTCCTGGTGCCATCACTAAAAGTGGGTCGTCTGTTGGGGCAGAAATCAATACTTTTTACTACGACGGCAATTATAAAGTTTACGTTGGTGGCGATTTTGACACTGCTTCGGCGTTGCCATGTCAAAGTTTCTGTACTTTTGATATGGAAGCCCAAAGATGGGAAAATGACGCTTCGACCAGTATTTCCAGCGGGGTGATCAACTACATGAACATTACTAGTGAAAGCGACCAATTACTTATTGCTGGGGAGTTTGTCATTAGTGGCAGTTCGTATTTCTTCACCAACTATGATTTCGACGACCAAAGTTTCAAAACTTTGGATCAATTTGCCACCACCTCGATCAAGAAAAGGGATGATGATAGTAGTAGTAGTAGTAGTAGCAGCAGTGGCAGTACGGCGGCGATTCCTGGGGAAATTAACAGATACATCTTGGTTGATGGTGCGGTTACTTCTGGCAATAGAATGTTGGTAATGGGTGATAATTTTGTCAGTGGATACAACAAATCCAATTGGGTGAGATTAGATACCATTGGCGATGAATTGAATTCGAATTCGACATTCTCCAAGTTCCAATTGATTGACATTGTTGCCAACAAATCGGTGGCACAAACCAAGGGTTATAACACTTACTTTGACTCCAGTGAACAGGCGCTTTTGGTGGTTGGTAATATTGTGTTCAATAGTTATAGTAATTTGTCGATGACCGCGGCGATTTTCAACGGTACTGCTTGGATCCCATACCTTTATACCACCACTTCCGACGACACTTTGGTCAATGGCTCAACAATCAATGATTTCTTGGTCAATAATGCGGTTGCCGTGGATTTGGCCGAAGCCAATGCGGTGAAGCATTTGATGGACCGAGGGTGGATTGTGTTTATTGGGTTGGCGTTGGCAGTGGGGACAATGATGTTGCTTGTATTATTGGCGTTGGTCATTTTGTTTTGGAAACGTAAGCACGATGGGTACGACGAACAGGTGCAAAGAATTGAGGAAGACGATATGGTACAAACCGTTCCACCAGATCAATTATTCAGCACCATGGACGAGTTTAAATTCACCAATGAAAAACTTTAGCGGGAAAGCAAAAAAAGAAAAAAAAAACCATTTGTGATATTATTATTTTTTATTTGTTAGAAATTATTATTATTTTTTTTTTTTTTTTATTTGCTTTCTTTGCCCATGTTCTGTTGTTATAATAAAGTTTGCTTTGTCTAGATCATTTTCTTTTTCTTTTTCTTTTTCTTTTTCTTTTTCTTTTTCCTCTTTGTTGCTCTGCTTGTTTGTCGTTTTCCTAATCTGTTTGACCAACGATCGTGATAATACCAATTGATATTTTCTGTTCCTGCTTATTGATGTTTGTTTGTTTGTTTGTTTGTTTGATTGATTGATTTCTTTAGATTTTAGTTTTTTATTTACCTATTTCTTTATTTTATTTTTATTTTTTTAGACCCCTTTATTTTATTTATCTATTTATCTATTTATCTATTTATCTATTTATCTATTTATCTATTTATCTATTTATCTATTTATCTATTTATCTATTCAAATCTTTTCTTTTTTTTTTTCCAACCTCTATGTTTGTTATTTCATTATAAAGTCCATTTTCTTCCTTCTTGCCTGTATGTGTGGATATATCCTTATTTTATTCAACTTGAGATATCAAAAGGTAATAAATAAATAAAAAAAAAAAAAAAATTCTCATTTCTTTGAAGATAAGTTGGAATTACGATTTTTATTATCATTAGATAGCGAGATATCGTGGAGGTATTACATTATTTATTATTAGAGAAGAAAAAAAAAAAAACATCATGGGGATTCATTATTATTATTATTAGAGAAAATATCAGAGGGGGGAGGGGGGATTAATTATCATTCAGAGGATAAAAAAAAAATCCCCTCCTCATATCATCTCAGCGTCCATATATCATGATCATATAAATATATTGCTAAAAATGTCCTTCTAAGTAAGCTCTTGGCGGTAATACCTCCTCCTCCTCCTCCTCCTCTTGATATTTTGATTTTTTATATTCAATCTGCTTGGAAGTTACCCATTATCCACTACCACCACCTCTTCTATCCTCTGGGAGCTAGTTTCCCCCCTCCCCCTTATATGAATGAACCTACAATGTCTAAAAACTGATATGAAATACAAAAAAAATGTACAACTGTCCCAACTTCATCAGTAGAAATTTTTTGTCCAGGCTCATTATGAATCGAAATAGTTCTATATTTAAATAATATAATGATGATATACAGGAAACCTTTAAAAGCCCCAATCAATGTACAAAAGAAACAAACATCCTCCAATGACAATTTTTGCTTGTTTAAAAATTCATTCCCGATGAACTATTATCATTGATGTTATTACCATTATTATTATTATTATTGATATTATTGTTATTGATATTATTGTTATTAATACTAGTAGCACTATTGGCATACGCATGGTTACCACCGCTCAATTCCAAACTCTGGGCAAGGTATTGTGATAACCCACTCAAATCCATATTACCATCATTACCACCACTACCCATCATTTGCGGGTTCTGGTCGGTTTGTTGTTGGACAATACTAACCTGATTATACAATTGCGACACAAGTTCATTGATACAGCTCTCAGATAATCTAAACTCCCCATTATTCGCGGCATTCACCACCGCCAACAATAAGCTAGCTTTCCCTTGGGGAGTCATGCTCAAAGTCCCATTATTTATATTCGAGTAATCCCCAGTAGTGGTGGTGCCAAAGCTGGTATGGCTGGTCATTTGCGATAACGGATTTCTCGGAGTCAATTCCGACAGCGGTTTATTGATATCCAGGAAATTTTGCGGCGACGACACCGTCGAACTATTCTTGGAATTATTGAATGGTCCTCCCACAGGGTAGTTGCTGGCACTATTAAACGAATCGGATTTCCCCAACAGCTCAGGGTTTCTTGGAGAGCTGAAAAGACTTGGAGGGTTGGGGTTATCATTTTCAAGACTCGACACTTTCCGTTTTTTCGAGTAGAGCACTCCAAACGACCGGCTATTGTCAGGAATGGTAATAATACTCGACATGTTACCTTTCTTGATCGGGTCCAGGTACAACGAATTGGCAGTGTATCTATTAACATGTTGGTTATACTGTGGCGCAGTGGCAGGGTTAAGCGAAACCGATGGAGGATCAACATGCGACGGGAGTCCTTGAAACCCAAAATTCGCATCTTTTGAAGCGTTAAAACCGTAGAGATTATTGGCAGTGTCCAAAGTCGCTAAATCAAACACCGGTTTATCGTCGCCGTAATTGAACAAATTAAAATCAGCGGCATTACCTTGATCCGAGTCAAAATTGAATTTAAAGTCGTTGGATTCTGGTACCCAATTACTCAAATAACTATCATAGCTTTCCATTATTGGATCGTTTTTGGAATTCCCAAAATTGAGGTCCTTGATCATAATATCATCAACATCATTGTCTTTCACCGGTGGCTGAGGTTCTGGTACCGGGTCCACTTGCGCTGCTGCTGCTGGCGGTGGTGGAGGTGGATTATTTATTTGTCTTTGGTCGACAAATCCTGCGGCATTCACCACAGGCTTGGAATCTTTTTTCAAAAGCTTGGATCTCTCAGATCCATTTCTAGTTGACCCTTTGGTATTATTATTGTTTGGTTCATATTCTTCGACAATACACGCATCAACCATCTCGGTTGGCGTTTGATACGACAAAAATTTATCTTCGACTCCCAAGTTGGTTAGCATATCAATTTCCCACGGCTCGTGAACGTTCAACTTTTTGATGATTTGCATCAACTTATATTCCGAATTCTTGAAATCGGTAGCGGTATTTTGAGATAAAGACGCCGCACTATGAGTGTTCCCTTCCGAATCATTACTATCCGAAGCATCATTGATAGAATCACCCCAGTATGATTTGTGATTACCAATATTGGTTATTTTGTCGTCACCCGACCCGTCGAATTGCTGCTTTGTATATTCTTCCAAATCAATGATATCGGTATTGATAAAAGAATTCCTAATAATCTCTACTGACACGTTTGACCAGGCATTTTTGATCATGATCATTACGTCGACTAAACTTATTGAGTGCTGGTCCAATTCCAATATCTTTGACGGAGGTCTCAACTTTGACTGTAAACTAATTGACAATAGATATTGCTGTAACCGATACAATATCTTGAATTCTCTAAAAATCCCCAAGTCCATCGGTAGAAATCTTTGCCTTTGTGACGTCAACAAGTTAGTGTCAACAAGGGCGGCTTTGTTATCGATATTCGGATTATGAACAAACACAAGTTTGATGAAATCTAGCTTCATATTGACCACTCGATGACTTGGCGCATCATCCAAAATTAACACGATATCCCTTCCGGCAATCGATAATCGCTTGTCCAAAGTTGATAACCAATCAGACAATTGTATCGAAGTCAACCAGGCTTTTTTATTGGTCTTGTAGCTAAGTTCGTATTTTTTGGTAATTTTGGTGATTGGCTTTCCTTCAAAGCAAACCATATTCTGGTAATGACCAATTAATAACGGTTCCAACTTTTCGGACCCATCGGCGTTGGTGGTTAACAAAACCGTCACCCCGTTTTTATTTTGGAGAATCCTTGAATCATTGGTGGTGGCGTTGGCAGGGTCATGGTAATACTCATCCTTGACATACTTTTGGTCCAACGGGAGCTTATAGTAGAGAAAGAAATCGTCTAACACAAAAATGTCCTTTAGATTGAACAGTTTCAAGTACGATTTCAATTGTAATCTTTCGGTCGCCAAATTCCATATTTTGCTTGGTTTGACCAACTCATTATCCAAGTTGCTCAAATTCACATTCATTTTGCCGAGAAAATGGTTACACCATTTGTGGCTAAACTCGCCGTTACCTTCTTTTGAATTTACTGGTAAGATCTTCCACAAAGTGGTAGCCGAGTTTTGGATTATTGGGATGGTGATGGGTATCCCGTCCCAAACCGATTGCGATATCCATTCGGTCAAAATTTCTCGGAGAAGCACGTTTGAAGGTTTTCGTCTTCTGATAAGCTTGAACTCGTGTTCTTTGAGGGCAATCAATTCATTTTTCTTGGAAAGAATTCTTGATATTGTGGTCTGTGAGGGCGGCTTGATTGTGTGGTACTTCTTCTTGGCCCAATTAGCTAAGTCGGCCTGGGTCATCTCGGGGTTTGCTTCAGCCATTAGACAAATGTCAATCTTTTGCCTAATGGTGTACCCCATCTTCTGTATATTTCCCATACTCATATTTAGTTATTGGTAAATACTTTTTTGGAATTGTTTGTTTGTTGGAATTGTGATCTTTTTTGTTTTTTCTTGATGTTTCGATTGATTGATTTTTTTTTTTTTTGATATAATAATCTTGATGAGTTAATTTATGAGATATAATAACAGGGCGCCAGATTGACAATAGGAAGATTGGAAAATCCTTTAATGTGATTTATTTATTGAACAGAAAAGGTGGCAACAACTTGTTTTAGTTTTAGTTTTTACTTTTCTCATTTAATTTTGACAGGTTTCGGAGACAATACGGCACTGATGCTTGTTGAGTAGTAGCCAATCAAATCAGGTGAAACACGCGCCTTTCTAATCACGATTCTATAGTAGAAGACTGAAGAAGGACGAAAAGAGTGAAGAATATTAAATAATAATTGGGAACTGGGTCTTCCTGGGCGGTTCTCGTTTGTGCTTTGGTTGCCCCAAAGGGTGATGGCGAGAGACAGAAAAGCAAAAAAAAAAAAAAGAGAAAGAAGAAAAGGACGAGCGAGCAAGTGGAATACGAACAGAAGGAATTGCGTCACTTGAGCTGTTGTCGAGGGGCAAATCAGGTCGAATTGAACCGTAGTTGAAGGCGAGTGGGAGGATATTTTGGTTACTTTAGTTAGTGTGTGTGTGTGTGCTGCTTTTTTTTTTTTTTGATCGTAAGATTTTTGTGCCCCGGCAACGTCCCCCCGGAAACGACGGTGGAGGCCGGTGTGTGTGTGTGTGTGTGGGCTTCCCATTTGTTTGTTGGTTTGATCGTGGGGACAGGTGGTTGGTGGCTACTAATAGTTATCCTTTGATGTTTAGCAGGTATCATTGAAGCCACATATATTGTTCGTTGGTTGGTGGGTTGGTCGTGACATTTGAAGAGTCCCATGGCCTTTAGGATATATGGGCATGCAGGCTGAGGGGGGTGGGGCCCTTTCACCAACGCCATGGATGATCTTCAAAGAGCCGCTTTCTCCCTATCGAAGAATAGGTGGTATACCAAACAAAGCAAGAGACAGAGAGGGTGCTGTCGTGTTGGTGGTGGTCTGTAAAGTACACTGTCAATCACCATGCATTGGCTACGACAGTCGATTTCACTCCGGCTGATTGGGCCATTTTATTACAAACAACTTTCCACTAGCAACCCTTTTACAACCGAAACGTCTATTTATCCAACTTCCCATCTGTTCTGTATGATTTCGATCATCATCTTGGGTTTATTCAGCCTCACCCCTGGTCCCTTTCTTTCTATAAAGTCATGTGCCCGCCGAGGGCACGGGCTAAAGAGAAAAAAAAAAAAAAAATGTTTTGGCGGCGCGATGAGATGGGATCAGTGGGGGAGGAGAGGGAGGTTTATTATCCAATATTATATTCATTTTCAAGGTATTATCAGTATTGCATTGTGGGATTAGTGATTGATATCAGAATCACGGACAAGAAATGTCCCATGATCAACATCCCAGTAGATCATATGGGTTTGCTCCAGGAAATAACGGCATTGTCCTCACAAAGCATGGCCGAAACTTTTATTCCCCCCAGCTATTCCACAAATCGCTATACTTTGATAAGATCGTTCCTGTCAGAATAAGGGATCTCGTCAACTCTGCCGACTTGATGAAATTGTATGGACCCTCTGCTCTTAGTCTCATTAATCAAAAGATCATCATAATAAACAACCACCCCATAAGATATGTCTCGATCACCGGAAGAATCTTGGGCCAATATAAGAAAATATTCGAGGAGAAGTACTACGACGATGAAGATTCCGTCAAAGAACCACTATACTTCTTGTACCTCTGTGATAGTAGTGGTACAGCGATATCCTGTGTGATTCCCCAATATAAATTCGTTGGAGCAGGCCTCCATACCGATGAAAATGCCAATGATGGCACATTGATCAAAGTTGTTGGAATGGTCAACCATTTCGTCAATATAAATTCCCTCGGCTCGACAAGACTGAAGGAAATCACCACCATGGAAATCGAAATTTTGGCGAAAAAGGATAGCAGAAGCATGTTGGTGGAACTCGAGGAATGGAAGAAAACTATCCAGTTTAGAGACTCACACTTGAGCAAACCCTGGGAAGTTTCCATGAATGATAAGCAGTCCGATGATGAGCATTACATTGATATCGACAGTTTGTCTATTAAAAATAACGTGCTAGTATCAAAGCGTGCCAATCCTCAGTACGCACAAGGTTTGAACATGAAACTATTAGACATCAGTAGCTACAAATACGACGACGAAATTTTGGACATTCCACCCGATAGTCTAGCGCTTGACAGGGAAATCCACATAAAGCATAGAAAAATCGACTCCCAAAGTGTGGAATTACAAGAGGTCATTGATATTTTGAGTCAGGAATATGGAAATGAGGTCAACGTTATGGAAACAAAAATAATGGAGTCATATCAAGAAAAAACAACAATTGATGTCCCAGCCACCGCAATTGAAGTAATTGTATCAAGTGGTGAGGATAGTGATATTGAAGAACTTCCAGACGATACTGATGAGGTGATGCAAGATTCAAAATCAGAAATCATTCTTTCAGATTCTGATGACCATCTAGTGATTGGCGATAATGAACTAAGGGGCAATGTTCCCATTGCTGATGAATTGAGAGAGAATATTCCCCATATCAATACCAAGCGGAAGCAACGAGTACGAAATTCTCACACCATGAAGCCATCAATAGACACGACGACAATTATAATTGCTGATGAAGACGAAATAACCGAAACATTACCTAACCCTGTGAAAGTGATACCCCATCCTCCTCCACCGTCTCCACCACCACCATTCAAACATCATTTCTCGTCATTATCAATGGAAAACTTGCAAGAGATTCTACAATTGAACAATATAGCAGAGCTGCTAGCGAATAATATTTTTTTTGTCCGACTGTTAATCTTTGACCACCAAAATATCATTAACAGGTTTACATTTGCGGTGGAATTTATCAAGTTTTTCATAAATTTGAAACAAAATGGCAAAGAATTATCGAATATGAACCATCAACAAATTGATGAGACTAAGTTGGGGAACTTGGTGGGAATGTTCTCTATTGATTTAAAAATTGTTTACAAGCATCCAATAATCTTCAATTTCCTAACCCTTTTGGTATTGAAAATAAACTATATCATCGTTTTCAATCGGGACAACAATGGATCAACCGATGTGCTCGATATTTTCGAAAGAAATGAAAGCGTAAATGACCAGCAGAAATTCTCGGAAGTTTTAGATTCCCTCAAATCCAAAGATATTGCTAAGCTATTAAACTCTAAGGAGTTTAATTTGTACAAGAGTAAGATATTTCATAACATTCGGCAAGAATTCACGGGGAAAAAATTGGTAAGAGGTTATAAGATTGAAAGTGAAATGGCCCGTTGCAGAAAACGGCGTCAAAAAGTCCAGAATATTTATATTAATTTTGATAAAATTTGTACTCTACACAAAGTCATCATCAGAGAGTTGAAACGATATTTGAAAGAATCTTACACTTTTTATTTTGAACAAGTATCAGAGTTGATCAGTTTGATCATCAGGAGCCACGGGAAGCTGGATGACAATGAAAAAATTGCCCGGATATTGCTCACTAATAAATATTTATCAACGATGGAGACCTACAAAAAAAATTTGACTTCAGATTTCATTCAAAAATGCCTTGAATCATTATTTCAACGGAGACTTGAGATTCCTATGGTTGGAAATATGGTGAGCCAGAAAAGTGTCAAAGATGGAATGATTTACATCCTAGATCAGTTGATAAGATTTACAATTTTTGAAACCACGATCCTTGAGACTTTTGAGAATGATTTGATTGAGAATTTCTTGAAGAGAAGCATGTATTGTGGTAAAGATCGGGATAGGGATTCAAAGGCAACGATTGAAACTACTGATGATTTGAAAAAAGTGATCAACTTTAAAAAGTTGAGGTGGAGCTTTGGAGAAAATTCAGAAGGCTCGTATTGGATGTTGAGTTTATGATTTTAACGATTCGTAGGATATTTTTAATGGGATTTCTCAAGGCATTTTGGAATTGTAAATATATACTTTCTATTTTATTTTATTTTTTTATTTAGAATTTGTAGGTAAGAGGAAGTTTCAGTATATAATCAGGTGAATCAAATCTATAAGGGCCATGAAATTTGACTCAATTTGTGGAATTTAGCTGGAAAAAGAGAAAATCAAATCAAAAAGTATGATTATTATGTAAATTAAAAAAGAAAATTGTTAGAAACAAACGCACTAGCGGAAAACACAACCCATAACAAAAAAAAAAAAAAAAAAATTCATTATCATTTCACACACATCATAAACACAATCTAATTATCTAAAAACTTTGGATCATTCTGTAACTTGGTTTGGAATTTACTCCACCATCCGTCCAAGACCTTCATTGACACTTTATTATTATCATCAACAAACCCGCTCAAGTAATTATACGCGTTCGAAACAATTTTATTGGCTAACATCGCGGTGCCTTCAAGGTCTCTTGAGGCCAATTCTCCAGCAGTTGGCCCAGAATACGACCCGCCAGTGATGGTCTTCTCTTGAGACTGCTGCTGTTGTTGTTGGGCTTTTTCTTGGGCTAGAAGATCTTCTGCCTGAGGGGTAGGCTCGATGGAAATGCCAATCACCAAAGTATCTTCGTCCAATGAATGGATGGTTGCCCCTTGGTTGTTAGTACTATTGTCGTCGTCCACCATCATATCATCATCTATCTGGGCGAATGGAGTGTTTAGTATAGCTGGCTGCTTCGTAGCAGCACTGTTCTTGATCTTGAAGATTGCTGAAGGTTTATCCACTGATAACTTGCCCAAGAGCTTGAAATCTGATGATGACGAGTTAGGGAGCTGGAAATAGATCAACGCGGTATAGTTGGGATCGAAGGGAGTATCGGGCAATATGAATAGCGAAACGTGGGAGATATTTGCGCTATTATCGACATTGAATACAAACTTCAAGTTTTCCACCTGCTGGGCAATGGCCACTAAGATAAATGTATGTTAGTGTTTTAGGTACTTCTCATCGATATATGATGTTCAAGCAAGATACGCACCAGGTCTGCCAGAACACACCAATCCAAACATGTTGTACTGTGTTATCTCGGTCTATTTTCTGTTTATTTAGGGGAATTGTAGGGATGCTGAATGTGTTGATTGGATATATACATATATATATATAAATATATATAAATATACATTTACTATATGGTACAGATTGAAGCCCGCCATCTTTTATATGATGGTGTTTGCTGCCGTTTTTTTCTAGAAGCTGCTGGAGAGGTCGGCGATGCCATGGGGTGGGTTCTGCACACTGTTATATGATAATATCCATCATGCGTCACTGGGGAACTATCTTACAGTATCCAGTAATAACAACACTCCAGTAATAAAAATAATAATAACAATAATAACAATAATAATAAATACAATATAATGCAACATTAATCTTTGTATATTGGGGTGCTGTGCCACGGACTTCTCCCGGGTAACACTCATCCCCCCACTCAGTATATAAAGCGCCGGTTGCCCACCGCGTGGAAAAATTTTCTTCCCTTTTCCCTTAACCAACAGGATTCCAGGGTATTGTTTAATACATTGCTGGTTTCTTGTTGGGATGAATCAAAGAAGGTATATTATTCTTAGATCCTGTGATTCTATATCTATACGTTTGTCCAAGATTAACTCAGCTACCGTATTCCCTGATGATCCGATAATCGAAGATGGATATTGGGGAAGTTTTATCTGAACATTTTCATTTGTTTATCACCGTTACTTTGATTGATTGTCTATTGTCGCCACAAAGGTTGTAGCACACCCTCCACTCACCATATACACCGTTTCACCGCCATTGTAGATTCTATTCAAGAAGTCAAACGTAACCTCGTCGTCATTGGTGAGGCCACTGTGAACTCCACAATTGCCGTGCTCTCCCCAACCCCAGCAGTACACATTGTTGTTATTATCTAATATAATACCGTGCTCACTCCCCACTGCGTATTGTTTGATCTTGACATTATTGCTGCTGATGAGCTTTTGACCATGAGAGTTATTACCAAGAGAATGGATAGCCCCATCTTTGGTTTCCACATGAACTGACGACCACATTGATTGAATATTGGCAATTTCTTTGGTTTCAAACGCCATCAACCCATCGGCCTGCATTTTCTCGGTTTTACCTCGTAGAACTATTTCACGATTACTGTAAAACACTGTGTATTCTCTCCCAAGAGCAAACCCTTGCAAGCCTGCACTAAGATTCTCTAACTTTGAAGGAGCCCAAACCATTTTCCCGAGGCTCGGACACATCTTGTGACCTTTATTATACCCCCATCCGTAAAAGCTGTTACTTGTTCTTAGAATAACGTGGTTTAATGACGCCTTGATATCCACTATTTTATTAATTTCCAGAGGAAACAGTACTTGTCTCAATGAACTAACCATCCCATGTTTTCCCAAGTCTTCTTTAGCGTAAGACTTGAACGTTCCTTTCCCAAGGGCTAACTCCCCTTTAGAACCCAATCCACAACTGTAGACTCTGCCTTCAATATCGACCAACACCGAGAATTCCCACCCGCACGCCATGTTTGCCCAAGTTAAATGCTCGCCAATTCTCCTGAACTTCTTGAAATGCTGCAACGATTCATCATTGGGGACAGTACCACATTGACCATAGCTGTTGTCTCCACTAGCCCAGATTTCCCCTGTCTCCAACAACACGAAGGTGTGGTTCCCTCCACTGGCGATCTTGGTGATCTTGGTGGCTGCTGGAAAGTCGATCTGGGTCAATACGTCTAGATCATTATCATTTCCGACCCCCAATTGGTAGTTCCCGTTAGACCCACAGTCATATAGTTTGAACTGATCCATTGAATGTTATATATTGTCTCTTGGAACGTCTGTTTTTTGCAAGTAAACCCCTCAATTCGAATGTTCCATCGTTGCGTTGCCTTTTTTTTTTTTTTTTTTTTTTTCCCCAAACGCGTAAAAAAAACAATCAAAATTTTGTGTAGGAGAAAAAAAACAAAAAAAAAAAAAAAATGAATTTCCAACCACACCGCGACCACCCTTCAGCCTTTATCTCACCTGCAAACATCATCCAATAGAGATATGTCTGACGACCAGATAAGTCCCAACAAACCGTTTGTTCAAGTGCCTGCGAGCACCGAGTCTTCGCCCTTGAAGACCCTGGAGTTTGTCAACATGCCTCCGTCCAGAACCTTGACCGATGGCAGTTTGAACAGTACCAATAACGACGACTATCAAATGTTGTCAAAATCCAAGTTCAGTGAAAAAAGTTCGCTCTCAAACTTGAAACTGTTTGCCTACCAAGGAGGAAGTACGGCCAACCCAGTGGTTAATGGATCAAATGGGATCACTGCTGATCAAACGAATTCTAATGGTCTCCCCAAGCAGATGGAGGACAATATGAATATCTTGAAGAAAAGGTATCCTACTTGCAAAGAATCAGTATTACTTCAGACTTATAAGAAAAAGAAGGGAAATTTACGAGAGGTTATTGGGTTTTTAAATGGATTACAAGTATCGCATCCTCAGTTCTTTAAAGCAACAAATCCACCCTCCAATAATAATATCAGCAGCAGACAAAAAGAAACCGCAAAACCTGTCACTCATAATAGTCCAGGTGCCACAAGACCTTCTGGCCGTTTAGCATCATTGAATAGTACTCCACAAAAGAGCGAGTTATCCTACAAGCTTAACCCTACAAAAAAAGTGTTATCTATTCAACAAAAGTTTGGGCTCAGTTCTCAGATCAAATCAGAAGCTCCTCAAGTGAAAAAGAGAAGATTGGTCCGGGGCTCTAGAAATCCAAAACCTGATTATCAAGAAGATGACTTCATCGCCGATGACGATGAAGATGATGAAGAGGTCGCAAAGATAAAGAAGCCTAAATCCATCCTTGAAAAATACGCCGCTAATCAAAAAGCTATAATCAATAGAGCGGTCAGCTTAAGTGATGATGAAGAAGCCGACGCCGGTGCGTCAGAAGATGAAGACGATTCCGATGCTGGTGAATATTATACACAAAGTGCGGCATCGCAATATGAAATGAACAACAGACTTTTAGAATTCTTGAACACCGCAGAATTGGGTGATATTTGTGACATCGGTGGCTGTTCTCCTGCCATTGCCGAAAACTTGATCAAGAACCGTCCTTGGCGATCTTTGTACGATCTCGAAAACAATGAGTTGGGCGAAACTGTTGAGACCCAAAGCAGAAGAAGTAAGAGAAAGCCTAATGGATTGAAAATTGTTGAAAAAGCCGCAGTGACCCTTAGAGGTTATGATGCCGTCGAGTCGTTAGTACAGAAATGCTCTCAATACGGTAATATTATTTCTAATGAGATCAAGAAGTGGGGCATCAACGTCGCTGGTGAAAAAGGAGAACTCGAAATCACCGAAGTGGATAGTGAAGAAGTTAATGATGATAATAATAATAATAATCAGGAGGAGGAGGGGGAGGATGGTGATAATGATATTGGGTCTACCCAAAGGAAAGTCAGAGGGACCTATTTCAGTCATAAGCCTAAATGGGCCGCCGACAATTTACAATTAAAGCCATATCAACAAGTCGGTATTAATTGGTTGAATTTGTTGTATCAAAACAATCTATCGTGTATATTGGCAGATGAAATGGGTTTGGGCAAAACTTGTCAAGTCATTTCTTTCTTTGCATACTTGAAAGAAATCAGCTCTAATAAAGGTCCAAATTTGGTCATTGTTCCGTCTTCAACTTTAGAAAACTGGCTTAGAGAATTCCAAAAGTTTTGCCCAACTTTAAAAGTCAGTCCTTACTATGGGTCACAGAAAGAACGTTTTGAATTGAGAATGACATTAGAAGAGACCGAGTTTGATGTTTTGGTAACAACTTATAACTTGGCCACCGGTAACAAAGACGATATGAAGTTTTTAAGAAGTCGGAAATTCAACATTATTGTCTATGATGAAGGCCATATGTTGAAGAACAGCAATAGTGAAAGATATCAGAAATTGATGAAAATTCCTGGGAAATTTAGACTTTTGTTGACAGGTACCCCGTTGCAAAACAACTTAAAAGAGTTGATCAGTTTGTTGGCTTTCATTTTGCCAAACTTGTTCAGAGAAAAGCAACAGGATTTGCAAGTTTTGTTCAATCAAAAGGCTACTACCAGTAGCAAAGATGATGGGAGTCGAAAGGATTTCAATCCATTATTGTCTGTCCGTGCCATTTCAAGAGCAAAGACGATGATGACCCCGTTTGTGTTGAGAAGAAAAAAACAACAGGTATTGAAGAACATGCCAAAGAAAGAAACATTCATCGAATATTGTGACAACACAGACATTCAACAAGATTTGTACGAAAAGCAACTTGAAAAGGGCAGAAAGGCTACGGAAGAATCTTCGGAACTTGATAAGAATCGTGACCAATCATCCAATATCATTATGAGTCTTAGAAAAGCGTCGATTCATCCCCTATTATTTAGAATACATTTTACCGAACCTTTATTGCGGAAAATGGCTAAGGATATTATGAAAGAACCGCAATATCGTGACGCCAACGTTCAGTTCATTTTTGAAGATATGGAAGTGATGACGGATTTCGAATTGCACAACTTATGTTTGAAATTCCCTAAAACCATTGGTAAATATAAGTTGGATCTTTCTGAAGAAATCCTCAATTCTGGAAAATTTATGAAACTAAAAGAACTTTTGCCAAACTTCATAATCCAAGGTGATAGAATTTTGATCTTCTCACTTTTCACCCAAGTGTTGGATATTTTGGAGATTTTATTGAATGAATTGAGCATCAAATTTTTGAGATTGGATGGGAGCACCAGTGTTGAATTACGACAGGATATCATTGATCAGTTTTACCAGGACGAATCGATCAAAGTGTTTATTTTATCCACCAAGGCCGGGGGGTTCGGTATCAATTTGGCGTGTGCCAATACCGTGGTGATTTTGGATCAAAGTTTCAACCCTCATGACGATAGACAAGCAGAAGATAGAGCACATAGAGTAGGTCAAACTAGAGAGGTCAGAGTATACAGAATGATCTCGCAGAACACTATTGAAGAAAACATTTATAATTTGGCACAGCAGAAATTGGCCTTGGATCAAAGTGTCAGTGGTGATGGTGACAACAGTGATGCAGCAAGCAACAAAAATGAGGAAAAGGCCAGTAAATCCTTGTTCAAAGAACTCTTCAAATGATTTTTTTTTTTTCGTTGTTTCCTCGCATTATATTGTGATTGAACTCAAGTAAAAACGCTCCTACTACAAATAAATCATGTTTTTGGTGTCTATTTCTTTTCTTTTTTTTTTTTCTTTTTTTTTGAAAAATGTTCTGCTTGTAATTCTAGATAATGATAACAATATATTATAGTTCATAATTGAATAACTATTTACAGTAAAATGTTTCATCGAGACATCAACCCAAATTGGAAACAGAAAAAAAATAAAAAAATACCCAAATAAATAACAGTTTCGTATATACATTTTATCTCAAGAGAAAGAAACAACAATAAAAATAAATATAATAGCCAGATAAATTCATTTCCTTCCATAAACAATTCCACCGGGGGATTGGTATGAATAATATCTATTCCTCATCAATATCTATTCCCAACTCTTTGGCCCTTTCTTCCAATCTCCGGCGCTTTTCAGCTCTGGCGGCTCTCATTCTTGCAAGTTCGGCCTTGATCTCGTGAGGTTCCTTGGGTATCTTATTCAAAGTTTCTGGATCTGGCCAGAACCCTGGAACATTAAATTTCTTATCAGTTTCGGTACCAACATAGTACATCACTGCTATTGGGGTCATCAAATAGAATGTGAACTAGATCATGAAATGTTAGCCAATATGAAAAGACAGACAGACAAGTCTTCGCAGATAGTTGTGGCATTACAGCACTTTTCTACTTACTCTAAAGATATCAAGATTCGATCTGGAGATCCTTGGGATCTTAAACTTTGTGAAAATACTCGACATCGTGGATATTATTTGTGGTGATGAGAATGGTAAGAATTAGCAGATAACACCAGAGAAATCTTGTTACTATTCGGAAAAAAAAAAAATTCCTACGGCAACCCACATCACCGCTTAGTCAGCGAAAACCATTTTCCACCACCATTACCGTCAGTATATATACAATATCATATCTTTTTTTTTTTTTTTTGCATGGACTATAAATCATTCAATATTCACAGTTATCTTGGTTTGTTCCTTTATCCAATTTTGAGGCATGACATGTCCAAATAATCAGTTTATGGATGAGTTCAATAACCGCAGGCCCTGACCCGATATTCGGAAAATGTTACCCGGGCGGTTTTGACGAGATATAGAAAACGCGAAATTTTTCACAAATTCTTCAACTTCTTTCTCTCTTTTCATGCTCTTCTAAAAGCATGGTTTTTTTGTTTTTCATTATATCATTTCAATTGGTAAGTTGAATATAAAATAAAAATCAGGAAAACAATATAATGATGATATAATTTGCGGTTGAGCGAGATTGTTCTGGGACATGCCTAGTTCCAATTAAGGGATGATCTTAACATGCAATCAATACTTATTCTGACAGATATTGTTTTTTTTTTGTACTTTTCAATTTTGAAGATGTTTCTTGGAGGATCAAATTTGCTAACTTTAAAAAAAAAAGTCTAATGAAGTTGGATAGAAGTGTGGATGATGTATATGTGATAGCATATCGTAGAGATGGCTTAATTTGATACACAAGACGGCCACAGGAAAGATCAATTTTTTTTTTATCCCCAATTTCCCGAATCTTGAAAAGAAAAGAAAAAAGTAGAAAGCTTCTTCAAGGACGTGTCCAATGATGAAGCGTTGTTATCTTTATATGGAACATTGTCTGAAAAACTCCTCGTAAAGTGAAAAGATACTATGAAAAAGATACCCGAATTGTTGAATTGTTTGCCCAATTTTTGATTATCCTATTCAACAATCAAAAACGTAGAAGCTCTAATGTCGCCAGAGGGCAATATTCCCCAGGGGAGCCTTTACTTTTGCCGTAATAAACCACGGAATTCGACAGCTTTGAGAGCGACATCAAGCCCGACACTGTATCTTGTAGATATTCAATGATTATCACTATAATAGTTGATTGGTCTTTCCCAAGATGTATCTGAATCACTATTATGCGTTGGATATTTTCCTATTTGAAGAAATTCAACTTACGTCATTCTGCACACCACCTCGAATGTATATTGTGTTGTAATAATCAACTATTTGCGCATTATGGGGGCCCCAAGCCAACATAGAGAAACTACTTCATTTGCTAAATGTTAATTGAATATCACTGATGAATTGGAGTACTGAGAATCAGCAATTGGACCTGATTCTTTTTTATATCTCGTTTCATTTTTCTTCACTTATATGGTATAAAGTTTCCTATTATATCCGAAACATGGACCAACTTCAATGTGTATATAACTTCAGGAAAAGATAATTGGTTGAAACTATGTGTTTCCTTGAATCTGAACTTTGTAAATTAGCCAAATAAAAGAAAAGTTATTCTAATACTTTGATGATGTTCCTATTGATAGAAATAACCGTTTGTATCATGAATGGGAATTCACTGAAAATAATTATTAAAACATATTAAAATATCAAAAAGAGTGTAACATATACCACCAGTATTTTTCATTCATTACCTAATCAATTATTTCTTATCTTATTCCCTATCTCATAACTACTATTCTATACTCATTATCTATTTAAAGAGGTGCTAAACCCCTCATTCCCTATATATTATTTTAATAAAAAATCAAGTTAATATTACAAAGATAAAAGTATAGCACTAATAATTAACTCTCCAATGGTTTTTCTGTGCTATGTGACAATTATCAACCCACAAGAAAGTGTCAACAGAAAATATCTATCCAATACTGATTACAAATGTAAACCTCTACGAAATGGAAAAGATATTTAAGGAAAATATACACTAGTTATTAGCCTTCTAATGTTAACCAGGTGAAAATTAAGAAAGATTATACAAAATTTATTGATCCCATGATACTTGATGCATTAAATAAAAATATATAAATCCCTATTTGACTTGAAGATAAACCACAACTTGATCCTGATAGCCACAAGAAAATTATAACCAATAAAATATTATAATAAACTCCCAATGCTCTGGTGTTGTTAAAAACAACAATATTGGTATCTCTGAAATTATCGAGCCGGGTAACTATTACATAAAAAGAATGTGATTTGATGGTCTTCTACATAACACAGAACATCTGGGCGTGTGGCGTAGTTGGTAGCGCGCCTGCCTTGCAAGCAGGAGGTCACTGGTTCGATTCCTGTCTCGTCCAAGATTTTAATTTTTTTGCCCGTTTAGTCTGTCAGCAGACAGAAAATCCAAAACAGAAAAACAAGAAAATAATAAGTATATGACAATACAAGTAAAATATTGGAAACGGAGCAATTATTTTTTATTTGAATAAAGAATTGAGAATTTCTAATTGTTTTCCAATCACTCGAAGTGGAGTTTCATTTGAAAGACATTAATCATCATTTCAAAATATTAACTGTCCTACCACATCATATTTTCCATTTTCAAAACAATTGGGAACTCAAATTTGACGTTTAGAGGAGTATACGCCATTCTTCCAACACATAATCTAACATGCGAGGATTAGATCATATGAAAAGGGCCTTACTGAGACCGAATATCCTTGAATCATGCTTGTCTTCGGCCATGATTCCAATCTCACAGCATCGGTACCCAAGAAATGAAGTATCCATGCATACTGATTCGATGAAACAGAACCCTTCGAAGCACATCTTCTTTGGAAATGTATCACTTAATAGGTTTTCATTCCTAAGATCAAACAGTGAATTCATTGGCCTTGCTGTTAGGTCTTCTTACACTAGATTGATATTCTTGAACAATCATCAACCATTGTGCTTCTATGAGCGTGAAAACAGTTTTCCATCGTTAAAGTTATTAAAAGTGTCTATGCTGGAAGTGTCTAATGGTTTGCGAGACTATTTGTATCGGTGGACAGAATCAAACAAAAGGCAGGACGAATCACTATGGGATTTCCCGGCAATTACATTTCTTGGTATGGACAAAAAGATCGGGGGACTTGAATTCAACAGTAACATAATAGATAATACCAACACAAACCAAAACTTCGACAGCATTGAAAATTCCAAAGTGAATGATGGGTTATTCCACTACCAGTCTTATTCCGGGGTTCCATGCTTTGCTATAGACATCTCCAATAATCAATTTCTACAAGATGAGATTGTCAAAATAATCGACGACAAAACGGGACATCCTGTTAACAATGAAAACCTCATGAATAAAGCAGACTTGCTAAATCTCGATACTGTGAATGGGCCAACTACTTCAACCTTCATTGATCATTTGATGTATCTTCCCAACAGCGAGGCTTCAGTGTTTTCACAAAGTGCAATGTACATCGACTGGCTTACAAAAAACAAGTATTGTTCTGGATGTGGCTCTAAAAATTTAATTGTCAACGGAGGCACCCAATTAAAATGCTCATCTCATCTTCCAGAAACACCAATTGATTCCAAGACTTGTGTGGTGGCATCCAGCTCAAGGTGCAATGTCGCGCATCCTCGGACTGATGTTGCGGTGATTTCATCGGTAACTGATACTAATGGGTCCAAGATTTTATTGGTGAACAACAAAAGATATCCCGTGGGAAACATGTATAGTTGTGTTGCAGGATTCCTCGAGCCTTCAGAGACCATTGAAGCGTGTGTCACTCGCGAAATTTGGGAAGAAACAAACGTAGTAATTGAGAACCATAATCCAGGAGATATTAAAATCTTGTTGAGTCAACCTTGGCCGTACCCTGCCACCTTAATGATTGGATGCTGTGGAATTACAAATTTCAATGAGAAGAACGAAGTCATAGGATTGGAGCATGACAATGAATTGAATGATGCAAAATGGTTTGATATTGACTATATAAAAGAAGTAATCATGGAAAATGAGAGAATTGATAATTTATTGATCGAGGCGTTGAAGCTAGGCAAAAAGAAGGATATTGAGCTTCTACGAGGTGAAAAGGCTAATATTTTGAAGAAAGAAGTTGTCCTTCCAAACAAGAATACCATTGCTTTGGAGTTGATCAAGAGAATCGTGCTCTAGATTTGTATTGTATATTTGAGAGAGTGGCTCGCGAGAAATCTAGAGAAGTATAAATGATATAGTATATAGGTAAATGTCACCGTGATTACATAAGCAACCGATCACCTTACCCTGTGAGCATTTCAAATTTTTTTTTTTTTTCCCGACATTTTTTTTTCATCGAAAGGCTTTTGGAACAATTGTTAAAGGAGACACAAGCCTGTTGAAGAAGTAAACACATAGATAAACTTCATTTCATTAATATCAAAATGGCCCCAAAGAAACAAGTCGAAGAAAAAAAGATCTTATTGGGTCGTCCAGGTAACAACTTGAAAGTATGTAGTTCATTTTAACCTCATTAAAGGTTTTTTGCGATTTTTGTAGTGTGATTGATTGATTCCTAACAATTATTTGTTTAGTCCGGTATTGTTGGGTTAGCTAACGTCGGTAAATCCACTTTTTTCCAAGCTATCACTAGATGTCCATTGGGTAACCCAGCTAACTACCCTTTTGCCACTATTGATCCAGAAGAAGCAAGAGTTATTGTTCCATCTCCACGTTTGGACACATTGTACGACATTTACAAGCCTAAGGCCAAGGTTCCAGCCCATATCACTGTTTACGATATCGCCGGTTTAACCAAGGGTGCTTCTGCTGGTGAAGGTTTGGGTAATGCTTTCTTGTCTCACATCAGAGCTGTCGATGCCATCTACCAAGTTGTTAGATGTTTCGATGATGCCGAAATTATTCACATCGAAGGTGATGTCAACCCAACTAGAGATTTGGAAATTATCAGTAACGAATTGAGATTGAAGGATATTGAATTTGCTACCAAGCACTTGGAAGGTGTTGAAAAAATCACCAAGAGAGGTGGTCAATCTTTGGAAGTCAAGCAAAAGAAAGATGAAGCCATTTTAGTTCGTAAGATCATTGATTTGTTGGAAAATGGACAAAGAGTTGCCAACCAAACATGGACTTCTAAGGAAGTTGAAATCATCAACACCATGCAATTGTTGACCGCCAAGACATCCATTTACTTGATTAACTTGTCTGAAAGAGATTACATTAGAAGAAAGAACAAGCACTTGAAGGCTATCAAGGAATGGGTTGACACTTACTCTCCAGGTGATGTTATCATTCCATTCTCTGTTTCTTTGGAAGAAAGATTGTCCCACATGGAAACCGACGAAGAGAGAGAAGAAGAATTGAAGAACATTGGTGCTGTTAGTGCTTTGCCAAAGATCATTGTCACCATGAGAGAAAAGTTGGATTTGATCTCCTACTTCACTGGTGGCCCAAGCGAAGTCAGAGAGTGGACTATTAGACGTGGTACCAAAGCTCCTCAAGCTGCCGGTGTCATTCACAATGATTTGATGAACACCTTCATTTTGGCCAACGTTACCAAATTTGAAGATCTTGTTGAACTCGGAGATGAAGCTACCGTTAAGGCTCAAGGTAAGGTTGCTCAAAAGGGTAAGGATTATGTTGTTGAAGATGGTGATATCATGTACTTCAGATCCGGTGCTGGTAAGAACTAGACAGCGTATAATGAGGTGGTTTTTGCAATGGTCTTGTTATATCTGTTTTTTTTTTTGGATTCATTTACACTGGTTATGTATGAATATATGATTACTTTAATTTTTTATCTGGACAAAATTGTAAGCCGAATTGATGATGCTATTGAAGTGAACTTGAGCATTGATGACTTTTGGGTGCAGCACCCCGTAAAAAAAATAGACCGAAAAAATAAACATGAAGCAATGATGTTGATGAGCGTTGTGAAATATTTAGCGCTCTCAACATTGGAGTAATACTGATAAGGAATAAAGCAAAAGAAAAATCCAGAAGGCTAGAACGTAATAAAAATAGAATATACAGGTGCTTGGAAATGACTAGTGTAGAAGAGACTATTGAATCACTACCACGCAGCATAGAGAACTTCAAGACAATTGATAAAATCTATTTTGATCAAGTCAAACGAAAATGGTATTTTGAAGACCCTGAAACAGAGATAGAACTCATTTTCGATGAAGTGCAGAGAAAATGGTTCGAAGAAACTCCCAATGCTTTTTCCAAGAAAAGAGAGTATCCAAATGTTGAGGAAGATGAAGAAAAGAAAACCATCAAGGAGCTCAGATTAAAGAAAAAACAGAAAATAAAACAAATGAAGGATGAAGAGAAAGAATCGCGACAGAATACAAAGAAAATAACCTCGGTATATGTTTCGAATCTTCCGAAGGACATCACAAAGGACGAGCTCGAAAAAGTCTTTGGCAAGTTTGGGGTATTAGCTGAAGACTTGATCAACAATACAGGGAAAAGAATTAAAATTTATACAGATAATGAAACCAATGAGGTGAAAGGCGATGCTCTAGTAGTATATCATAGAAGCGAGAGTGTTGATTTGGCGACAGATATGTTGGATGATTCATATATTAGACCGGGTGTTAAGATAAGAGTTCAAAAGGCGGATTTTGAAAACTATGGAAAGAAGCAAGGGGAAAGAAAACAAATTAGTGATGAAGTAAGAAAGAAAATAAGTAAAATGTCTAAGAAACTTGATGAAAAAATTGATGATTGGGATGATGAAGAGGAATTAAAGAAAGAGCAGCGCCAGAAATATTTGAAGAGATATGAAAAGATCGCTGTGTTGAAAGGATGCTTTGCGGTGTCAGAAATTGAAGATGACCCTGAAGTAGTGGAAGATATTAAGGAAGATATGATGGAGGAATGTGAAAAGTTTGGAGAAGTTGTTCAAGTGACTGTGTATGATAAAGAACAGGAAGGAATTGTCCTAGTGAAATTCACAAACAGGGAAGCTGTTGAATTGTGTATATCACAACTAAATGGGAGATACTTTGGTGGGCAACAATTAGAAGTATTTGTGTATGACGGGAAGCCGTACCAAAGCTCCCAGCTCTCGAAAGATGGTGACGTTGACGATGAAAAGAGACTCAAAGACTACGAAGAGTTTCTCAAAAGTGGACTGCTGATAAAATCTTAGAAATTTATTTAATTATTGTAACAATAAAGTAAAAATAACCTCAATCTTTGTGATATTTGATCAATATCATGCTTGTAGAGACATAATTATGCAAGTATCCCGTGCCTGCGGGTAGCACTTTTTTTTTTTTTTTGTGAGGGCCGAAAAATTGACAAGTTTCAATAAACAACAAATGCTGGATCAACAGAATATCGCTACACAAATCAGCAATTCAAACAAACAAAGAAACAAGCAAACGAAGCGAAGTCAATTATCTCCCAAATGAGTACCTTGACTTACAAGAAGTTTGATGAAGGTGAGGGCGTGTTGCCTGATAAAATGACGATTTATCAGGACTGTATCCTGGCCTTCAATGCCTCACCGGTCAATGCCAAAAAGTGCAGAATATTATTGGCTAAATTGGTTAGATTATTGAGTATTGGTGAAACCTTTCCAGCTAATGAAGCCACCAACTTATTTTTCTCAATTTCCAAATTGTTCCAGCACAAATCAGTCGAATTGCGTCAGATTGTCTACTTGGCGATCAAGAAGTTGTGCCATATCAGTAACGATGTTTTGATGGTCACTTCTTCAATCATGAAAGATATTCAAAACGGAGATATCATCTACAAACCAAACGCTATTAGAACTTTGGCTAGAGTTTTAGACAGCTCCACCGTCCATGCCACTGAACGTTTGTTCAAGAATTGCATTGTTGATAAGAACCCAAATGTCAGTTCTGCTGCTTTGGTTTCCTCATACCATTTATCACCAGAATCTAAAGATGTCGTGAAGCGTTGGGCTAATGAAACGCAAGAAGCCGTGTACGCCCAAAAATATTTCCCAGACACTCAATTTCAAAACGTTCATCAGGAATTCTACTCAAGATTTCCATCCAGTACACAATTCTCCCAATATCATGCGTTGGGATTATTATATGTTTTGAGAAATCACGACAAAATGGCGCTCGTGAAGATGGTCAATCAATTAAGTGGTAGCAGCAGTCCTTTAACCAACCCATTGGCAATCATTCAAGTCATCAGATATATTAGCAAGTTGATTGAAGAAGATCCATCTTTGGCAGATCATTTATATCCATACTTGTTAACCTGGACCACAAATAAATCGGAAATGGTTTGTTTGGAATCTGCCAAGATCATTTTGAATTACAAAAAATTCTCTCCTGAACAACATACAGAAGCCATCAGTGTATTGCGAGACTTACTTAATGCCCCAAGAGTCGTCACGATTTTTGCGGCTGTGAGAATGTTGAACAAGATCGCCATGACTAACCCAGAAAAGGTTGTGGTGTGTAATTACGAATTGGAATCTTTGATTAACCACTCAAATAGATCAATCGCCACTTATGCCATCACCACTTTGTTAAAGACAGGTTCTGCTGACACCGTTGATAGATTAATCAAGACCATTTCCACCTTCATGAATGATATATCTGACGAGTTCAAGGTTGTTGTTATTGATGCCATCAGAAACTTGACCTTGAAATTCCCTGAAAAGTATAAGCCAATGTTGGTTTTCTTGAGCGACGTCTTAAGGGACGAAGGTGGTTTCAAGTTTAAGAATACCGTGGTGGAATCATTATTCGATATGATTCACTATATTCCAGAATCTAGAGACTCTGCCTTGGAGAACTTGTGTGAATTCATTGAAGATTGCGAGTACCCAGAATTGACTGTCAGAATCTTACATTTATTGGGTGACGAAGGTCCAAAGACCAAGAACCCAACTTTGTACATTAGACACATTTATAACAGAATTGCATTGGAAAACTCAATTGTCAGAGCTAGTGCGGTGGTTGCGCTTTCCAAGTTTGCTTTGACCGAAGACCTTTCATTGAAGAAATCTATTGAAGTGTTATTACAACGTTCATTGACTGATTCAGATGATGAAGTTAGAGATAGAGCAGCAGTTTCTTTGAAATTGTTATCTTCCAGTACTGATAAGACAAGCAGTGTGATATTAGTGGATTTCATCAAACCAACCAAGAAATATTCTTTGCCAATTTTGGAACAAAAGTTGACTCAATATATTTCTTCTAGCGATAAAGCAAGCTACGAAAATCCATTTGATATTTCATCAGTTCCTCAATACACAGAGGAAGAATGGAAAGCCCAAGAATATAAGGCCAAGACCACTGTCCAAGCCTCTGAAGAAGAACCTCTTAGTGACCATAAAGGCAGATCTGGTCTTGCTGGTGGTGCCACCGAAACTCACAATGAAACTCAACAAGCAGAACTCTTACAACAACAATACATTGATGAAATTTCTCAAATCACTGAATTATCAGAATACGGTCCAATATTACACAGCTCTAGTGTGGTTGAATTGACAGAAAGAGAAACAGAATTTGTTGTGAGTGTCGTCAAGCATATCTTTAAAGAACACTTGGTGTTGCAATTTAATATTGAAAACACTTTAACGGACAGTGAATTGATGATGGTTTCCGTTATCTCTGAAGGTGAAGTGTATCAAGAGGAATTCATCTTGCCAGTGGAAAAACTTGCCCCACGGTCGAAGGGTACATTATATGTTTCATTCGCTAGACCTGAGGATGAAGAAACTGGAGCCCCAGGTCTTTTCTCAGATACTTTAAGTAATACCTTGTCATTCACATCCAGAGAAGTTGACCCAACCACTTTGTTGCCATTCGACGAAGAAGATGAGGGTTATCAAGACGAATACCAGATTGAAGAATTGGAAGTCACTATTGGTGATTTCATTGTTCCATCATTCACTGCTGATTTCGACAAAACTTTTGCTGAATTGCCTAGTGAAAATGAAGAAGTTGCGGTATTCAATTTGTCCAGTTCTAGTGAGTTGCAGGAAGCCGTCAATAGCGTTATTAATGTGTTGTCTATGAGTGCTTTGGGTAATACCGAAACCGTTGGATTTAGTGCTAACAATCATAAATTGAAGGTGTACGGTAAGAGCATTAATGGTGAAAGAATTGCTGGGTTGATTAACTTTGTAATTTCAAAGAATGGTATTGTTGCCAAAGCTACTGTCAGATCAGATAACAAGGCGTTATCTGAAACTGTTGTCAATGGTATCGCATGAAGGAAATGAAATGGGTAAAAAAAAAGTACAGTATTAGAAAATGACTTAGGGTAAACATTGATAGTTTGGATGTGTTTTATTGTATCTCTGGTTATTTCTATTAATTTTTTTCTTATTTTTCTGTAATTTCCGTCAACGTTTTTTTCTTTTTTCTCTCTCTATATCTCTTCTTATTGTATCGGATTCTCTCTCTCTATATCTTTATTTATAACATGAATTTTTTATTTGATCATATTTTGCTTAAGTTGAGGTAGTTTGTAAGTGGTTTATTTGGCAGGGTTTTGGCCCTCACCGGGTGCGGATGCGCGGATGTTAGGATGTCTGGATGTACTTTTCCTCAATGAGAAAAATCGGGAAATTGAAACATCGCGAAAAGAAAAAAACCTTGGTGAATCTTGTGATTTAGATATATTGATTAACCAGGATCATTTTTTCTAACACAATTAGAGAAGAAGACTGCGAAAAGCTCATTATATCTTGTCCGGAACTTGTACTTTTTGATTCTTTTCAATTTTCTGAAAAATATTATTTTGTGCTAGCTGAATCGATCATTGGCCTTTTGATCATATAATAATCACGGAGGCGCCATCTTGATTCATTGAATCCACTACCTTTTAGAAGATAACAAGCTAATTTTATAGTATACTGATCCATAATAATGTTCAAACAAGGCTATAATGATACTGGGGGTCTTCCACCACATTATCTTCAACAACAACAACAACAACAGCAGCAACAACAACAAAATACCGACCAACAAAACAGAATATTTAATGATTTGCAATACCAGCAACAACAAGCAGATGCGATGTATGCTTCTCCAATAACCACTACAAAACAACTCAATGGAAATGGAGTTGAAGGTATACTTCCTCCAGGAAACCATCCTCAAGTCAATGTCCAACAATTGCAGGCTACGATGAATGCTGCGCAATTAGCTGGACAAAGAAACATACAGCAACATTTTCACCAAGTGCAACAACAACAACAACAACAACAACAACAACAACAGCAGCAACATCAAAATGGGAATAACCAAGGGAACTCAGGGGTGAGCAGCACGGGGAGTGGTGGTGCACCAAAACGGGCACTTGATGATCCAAAAGTGTTCAATTGGATCATCGAGTTGACCTATGGTCCAAATAAAGAGCAGGCGTTGCTTGAACTTGGTAAGAAGCGTGAACATTACGATGATTTGGCTCTTGTGTTGTGGTATTCTTATGGGGTAATGACATCTTTGTTGCAAGAGATTATTAGTGTCTATCCACTATTATCGCCACAAAGCTTATCTGCATCTGCATCCAACAGGGTGTGTAATGCTTTGGCATTGTTGCAATGTGTTGCTTCTCACCCAGAAACCAGAAACTTGTTTTTGAAGGCGCACTTGCCGTTATTTTTGTATCCGTTTTTGAACACCGAATCGAGATCCAGATCATTTGAATACTTGAGATTAACGTCATTGGGTGTCATTGGTGCTTTGGTGAAGAACGATACCCCTGAAGTCATTGCCTTCTTGTTGACCACGGAGATCATTCCCCTTTGTTTGAAGATTATGGAATCTTCTACGGAATTGTCGAAAACTGTGGCAATTTTCATCATACAAAAGATTTTGCTTGATGATAATGGATTGAATTATATTTGCCAAACTTATGATAGATTCCATGCGGTTTCTAATGTTTTAGAATTGATGGTTGATCAATTGGTTAAGCATCAAACTGTTAGATTGTTGAAACATGTTGTCAGATGTTATTTGAGGTTGAGTGATAATGTCGACGCCAGAAAGGCTTTAGCCAGCTCATTACCTGAGCCTTTGAAAGACCAGACTTTCCAAATGGCATTGAAGGATGATGTTGCTACTCAGAGATGTTTAAACCAGTTATTATTGAACATTGGGGTTGTTAATTTGAATTGATTGCCTTTCTGTCTTGTTTTGATAATTTTGAAAATCCAAAACAAAATACGCATGTTTTTTTCTGTTTCATGATTTTATTTCTTCAACTAGTATTATTTCAACTTTTAGAATATCTTCAATAATCTCCTTTTTTGTTATTATGTCTTTTCCTTCAATTTCTAATATTTTTGCTTGTTTCCAATTATCAAAGTCATATATTCAATCTTTTTTTTTGGTTCTACATCATCGGGGGGTTATCATGTTATTACTTTTGCTGGCTCTGGTTTCTTTTTCTTTGATAACATATCATAAAATTTCAGGCTCATTAAATTAGCCAAACAATTTCCTTGATTTATCGAACCATGTTACCCACCATTTGTCACTTTAAAAAAACAAAAAAAGAAGAAAAAAAAAAGGAAGAAAAAGACTGCTGATCTATCCTTCAACTGTTTCATTGTCATAATTTTTGTTTTGTTTTAATCTCCGTCATTGATCTGTACGCTACTGTTTTCTGTTATGCTCTTTTATTAGCCTTCAAGAAAAAAAAAAATTGCAATGTTGCTGTTCTGTTCCATCCATTTACATTTATCATATATTTACATATTCATATATTAAATCTGCTTTATATAAGTCTTCATTTTTTCAGATTTAGCTTGTTGAAGCCGAAAATCCTTTCTTTTTTTTTCTGGTAAGAAAAAGATTTGTATTTGATATGTATTATCAAGACATATACTCATCTCAGTCATTGGTTGTATTAATTGTAATTAATACTCATCAATATCTTGTTTATAAATAATTGTCAAACTTTTAGTTTATTTACGAATTGTTTAATTTTATCCACGTCAGATATTCTTTTGGTTCACTCAATTATCATTCATTTCAAAAATTATAAACATGTGCCAGGATTGAATTCAATAATAATCACTACTAATACAAATAAAATGCAATGACTTCAAAAAAAAAAAATAAAAAATAATTAAAGGAGCATTTTAAAAGAAGCGATAATTAAGCTTTTGCTAAAGACAGTAGTGAGTGACAGTAGATAAGAAAAAAAATAAGCCTCTTGATTCAGAAATAGGAACTATTTTTTTTTTATAAAAATCTGAGAAATATAGATAAGTGGATATATTTTCCTTACCCTTTAGATAAACAAGAGGACCAAACATTACCTAATAACATAAGATTTCTTAATGCCTGCCCCCCAACGCTTTTTTGTTTTTATTTTTTTCTCAGTCACTTTTGAAATAAATGCCCTTGCGCCTGTTTACTGGTTCAGGGCATTAGTAGATACGCTACGCAGACTACATAATAACGGTGGGAAGAACGGGATATCACTATTAGCCATATTGATAACAAATAGGCATATATCAAAAGAAATAGACCGTATGCCCAGTTGGAATACCACTAATAAATATTGTCATCATTGAATATACAAATCGACACCGACGATCAAGAGAACAAAAAGAAAAAAAAAAACCACAAAAATGGTCGCTCTGCAGCCTGACGTGGGATTCCTGCAAGTTCCAATTGACCCGCCGCCAGCAGCAAACTCTGCCCCCCAACAGTATAAATAGATCCTCCCTTCTGTTTGGAAAAAATTTCTATTTTCCTACTTGACTGTTTGCCATCCACATCAATTTTATTTACAAAACCACATATACTTACAATGTCTGCTGAAACCGTATGTGATATCTTCTATTCTCTTTATCTTGTTGTACTATTTCCTCCCTCCCGTTCTTTCTTATGGGCGTTCCCATCCAATGTTTTTTTTCCTCTTGTTTTTTTTTAAAGGGATGAGTCGATAACTATATCGGTGAGCTCCGCTCAATACACTGCAGCGCTTATTATATCTCTGTCTTCTTTTAACGAAATCAATTACTAACAATTACTCACAGGAAACCAAGCCAGTTGTTGCTGAACAAGCAGCTGCCCCAGTCGCTGACGAAGCTCCAATCACTGAAGCCGTCAAGAAGGTCGAAGAAAGTGTCGAAACCGCCACCAAGGACACCCCAGTTGCCGCTGAAGTTAAGAAGGTCGAAGAAAAGGTTGCTAAGCCAGTTGAAGAAGCTGCTGCTGCTGCTGATGCCAAGATCAAGGAATCTCCTCTCAAGAAGTACATTGCCAAAATCAAGGCTTTGGTTGCTAAGGTCACCAAATAATCTTTTGGAGATTTCCTTTTTCAGTTCTTTTTGCTTGTTTTTCCTTTTATCTTTTAGCGCTTTTAGTACAAGATAATTAGAAGAGACCGCGGTTTGTCCCTCCATCCTCATTATTTTGATATGATATATATTTTTTGTTTCGTTGCTTAATCTCCCGTTTGTGTTTTCTATTAAATCTACTAATCTAATACTACATAACTAATATTAATTACTATTTGAAGCTGTAAAAGCTCGCCCATTGGTTGAGTTTTGATCTGTTGTTGCTAGACAGCGCCAATCTTGATTATTTTTTTTTTCCTTGTCCTTACGTTCAAGGATTATCAATATAGAGTATGACTACTACTGAAGCCTGATCATTGCCAGTAAAAAATTTACTGGCGCAAAAACAAAACAAAAACAACCAAAATCAGCATTAAGGATCACAAATCCTTACACATGAAGTATATACAATAAATTATTGCCTGTCATATGCGCTACCCATATCTGTGGGTGAGGCGGGTAATGAGCCGTTCATTGTCACATTGTAACAAACATTGCAATAGCTTCACATGCGAGTCTGGGCGTCCTATTGTTAATTCTTTAATATTGTATTGCATCATCTAAAAAAATAATTGCCCCACTTTGATTGAGCAAGAACAGTTGAGATGTGTCAAAGATAATCATCAACATGAAAATAATAAAGTTTCATTGCAAAGACCAAGAAACCTCAACCAGAGCACGTGTCTACTGCCCAAGGTTTAAGGCTATACTCTGTTTTATGAGCATACTGTAAATAGCGGATACTCGTCACGGTTCTCAATAATATCTTTCATTAGAGATTATTGACTCTTATCTAAGTTGAAAGTGCTACAGACTTTGAATTTGAACGTCTTGGTTGAAGTTTTTACTTGGGAAATAATTATTATCAAGCTCTCACAGGACACGATAATGTGGTGATTTCATTTTCAAAGAATATTGATCCAGGAAACTGCTGTACAATTCTAAGGAAAATCTTTATGTCAAAGTTAGAGCACAGACAAAATCCAAAAAAAAAACAAAAAAAAAACAAAAAGAATAAACGAAAAGGCATTTGTATCTAAAACTCAAAACTCAGCATCCATTCATTATGCTTTATGTAATGCAACCGATGCCGTATTTAGAGCTGATTTAAGGGCGATAGTCAAAGTTTTCGATGCCGCTAATTACATTCTCAAGCGAAGAAAATTACAGTTTTAACAAAGCTATTTCGTAAAATTAGTCTCTACATGATTGTCTTGGGCACGCTTATTTGGTAATTTACTTGGTAATTTACTCAAAACAAACTGATTCTTGCGTGGATTTCACTAATATCCGTATCCTTTGCTTATCTTCTGAACAGTCAAAGTTTTGGGTAATTGATGCAATTTCTAATGTTATATTCGCTCTACGTTATCTATGTAGATGCCAATAAATTTTGCATTGTTCATACCTTATTAAATGACCACCCAATTACTAGGACTAATGCCTCACACATAAAGAATTACACACAACACAAAGATGTACAGCTTGATCTATAAGCAGAAATATTCTTTGAAATGCTAAATGCTGAGTATTCAATTTAATATATTACAGTATAATTGTTTTTTCTTTTTTGGGCCATTAGCCTAAACGATCATGACCTTTGGTTCTTCCCTGTCCCATCTCCATCTTTGCGCTTTTGGCCCCGAATTGAATTGCTCTTTTCCCTTCATCTCTAATAAACTCCATCCCAACACAACTGGCGGTTTCCCGCAAAATTCTCTTCTTGATGCGATCTCCAACTTTCCATTTCAACGGCACAACCTCGCAACCGTATTTTACAACTTCCTCACTGAGGAAAGGATAACGCAACTCTTTACCCCAGCAACTCATCACTTGGTCATCTCGGCTCAAATTACGTTGCCAGATCCCATCAATGTCTTTTTGTAATTCTTTTGCCAACTGTTCATATCGCTCAGGAGTTTCAACCCAGTCTTTTCCTTCTTGAAACATCCGTTCGTGCCTCGAATATCCTCCAAACAATTCATCCGCCCCAAGACCACTAAACAACACTTTGCAATTACTGTAAGTTTTCATTTGTTGTGCCCCAGAATCTCCTTCATTTTCCGTTGCCACCACTCCCCAGCCTCTCAGAGCAAAATAAAATGCGATTGCAATACTAAGGTCCATTTCGGTGTTGCATGGCCACATCAATTTCTTAACCCGCTCTTTACCTTTCAAATATTCCTCATAACTAACATTAACTTCCACGAAATTGTACTTCACATTAGGAAACATTTCCTGAAGTGATTTGTAAGACCTCAATCCGAGTTTCCGATCTGGCGTGGCGTCATATGAAAGATTTGTACGTCTGTTGTTAAACGAGACATTAAGCAAGTCAATGGTTGGTTTAGGGGAAGTTGATTCACATGATTTTGTAAGAAGTTCACCACAAATCCCAGCAATCAACGTACAATCAATCCCCCCAGAAAATAAAATCCCAAATTGAGCGTTGGTGCATTCCACACTCAGATTTTCTTGATCATAGATTGCATTTGTCAAATCACATGGTGGAACATACTCATTGCCTAAATCTTTGAAATGAAATGGTTCAATGGTCATCATCCGATCCTTAATTGATTTTCTGAAGACTTCCAAGAATCCCGCAACATAATCTATATCATCTTGAGTCTTAGATTCAGGCCCAGTACTAACAGTCTTCGTCACTTCGATAATTGATCTTGGCGTTTCCGCAAGATGATTCCAATCAGCAGTGTTTAAATTTAATACATAAATTATCCCTGCCTCGCAGTCCTTCCAATCTGATTCACCGTGTGGGTAAATTGAAGAAACGTATAGTTCACCATCTTCAATTCTGTGGAATAAAGACCTTCTCCCCACAGAATCTTTTCCAAAATAGACTTTGTTTTCCACTTTATCGACCACAACATATGAAAATTCCCCCTTGATTAACCGAATCACCTTGATGACCTCTTCCTCTGTTCCTAATGTTTCTGCCAATTTAGAGGAATAATATGATGTATCATTGTGGTTACAAACATTATTCTCAAGAAGGTCCTCGTTATATAGCTCGCCATTAAATTGCAAAATGTATCTGGAATCACTAATAGGCTGTGAAGTGAATGGAGCTCTAAGTGACAAAACCAGAGAAAACATCCGAAGATTGATGGATGACGATGGCGAGGATATTGAATGGGTCATTAATGATGCATAGTTCGGACCTCTAGCCAAGATCTTTGGGACCAAAGATTTGAAAATTTTGTTATCATCGACACATTCAAAGATCTCACCAGCATTTTGTGCTATTGAACAAGCTTTGACCGTACCAGTTTGGGTCTCATTTTCAGCAACTGCTATTCCAATATCGTGGGCTAAATCATTGGTGATTATTTCAGATATCAGCTTTTCATTGGAAATTTCAATGTGTTTAGCATCAATAGTGCCTGAAGATCTAGTGGCATGGAATAATATACCGCACATTCTATGAGTCCCAAAAACAACAATAATGAACTCCTTGTGCCTATCACTTCGATAATAGGATATCCATCCAAATCATGGAGAAATTATTTAGCTTATTCATCTCCCATGGGCACATAACCACAACACCCCCTGCTATCTCCAGCATACACCCTCTAAAATTTTTTTCTTTTTTTTTCATACCCACAAATTTTTGGGGAATTGGAGATAACAGGCATCCTGAATTGGTAATGAGTGTGTTCCACGACCTTTTATTACTCATCATATAAACCACTCGATTTTCTTTTTTGAACAAATCGTCAGATAAGAAAAAAAAAAGTGGGAGGAAAAAAAAACAATTCCATTTTTACTGTCACTGGATAATTGCCCATTTCATAATAATTTGCAATTTGTTCCGTGATTAGACTTTCTTTTTGTTAATTTGTGTATGACTTTGTTATTGTTCAAAAGTTACAACACTCTTGCTACAATTACCAAGTCTTTTGCATTACAAAGTACTATTAGTAATCGCTATTTACAATCTGAAGTCCTAAAAGGATTGCTGCTGCCAAAGAACACAAGGTTACCTGTGAATCCAAGATTTTTTGCCACTATGAGTTCTGAAAAACCTTCTACTAGTGAGTTGGCCTCCAAATGGAATGCTACTACTGTCAGAAACACTTTCCTTAAGTATTTTGAAGATAAGCTTCAACATAACTTTGTGAAATCTTCTCCTGTGGTGCCATTCGATGACCCAACTTTACTTTTTGCCAACGCTGGGATGAATCAATACAAGCCAATCTTTTTGGGTACCGTCGACCCATCATCTTCTTTCTACACTTTGAAAAGAGCCGTTAATTCTCAAAAATGTATCAGAGCCGGTGGTAAGCATAACGATTTAGAAGATGTTGGTAAGGACTCTTACCATCACACTTTCTTTGAAATGTTGGGTAACTGGTCCTTTGGTGACTACTTCAAAGATGATGCTGTTCCATATGCCTGGAACTTGTTGACTAAAGTTTACGGGTTGGATCCAGACCGTCTTTACGTGACTTACTTTGGTGGTGACGAAAAATTGGGATTGGCTCCAGATTTAGAAGCCAAGAAAGTGTGGGAAAAGGTCGGAGTGAAGGAAGATCATATTTTGCCAGGTAACACCCAGGACAACTTCTGGGAAATGGGTGACCAAGGTCCATGTGGTCCATGTTCTGAAATTCACTACGATAGAATTGGTGGCCGTAACGCTGCCAGCTTGGTTAACATGGATGATCCGGATGTGTTGGAAATTTGGAACATTGTGTTTATTCAATTCAACAGAGTCTCTGCTACTGAATTGCGTCCATTACCAGCCAAACATATTGACACCGGTATGGGTTTTGAAAGATTGGTCAGTGTTCTTCAAGATGTTAGATCCAATTACGATACCGATGTTTTCATCCCATTATTTGAAAAAATCCAAGAATTAACCGGGGTCAGATCCTACGCCGGGAAATTTGCTGAAGAAGACAAGGATGGTATTGACACTGCTTACCGTGTGTTGGCTGACCATGTTCGTACTTTGGCCTTTGCTATTTCTGACGGTGGTGTTCCAAACAACGAAGGTAGAGGTTATGTCTTGAGACGTATTCTTAGAAGAGGTGCTCGTTACGCCAGAAAATACATGGGTTACCCAATTGGTGAAAAGCCATTCTTCAGTTTGTTGTTCCCAACCTTGATGGAACAAATGAACGAAATTTTCCCAGAATTGAAGAAAAATGAAAAGACCATTATTGAAATCTTGAACGATGAAGAACTTTCATTCGCTAAAACTTTGGACCGTGGTGAAAAGTTGTTTGAAACTTACGCTACTGCTGCTTTGAAAACCGAATCTAAGACTTTGAATGGTAAGGACGTTTGGAGACTTTATGATACTTATGGTTTCCCAGTTGATTTGACCCAATTGATGGCTGAAGAAGCTGGCTTGAAAATCGATGAAACTGGTTTCGAAAAGGCCAAGAAAGAATCTTATGAAGCTTCTAAGGCTGGTGGTGCTGGTAACAAGAAAGAAATGATCAAGTTAGATGTCTATGCCATCGACAAACTTCATAAAGAGGCTGATGTTGCCAAGACTAATGACTCTTTCAAGTACACCACCAACGGAGTTGATGCTAAAGTATTAGCTATTTACAACGGTTCTGAATTTTTGGACTCTGCTGCTGACGAAGGTATGGAATTGGGTGTTGTTTTGGATAAGACTTCATTCTATGCGGAATCTGGTGGTCAAGAATACGATACTGGTGTGATCAGTTCCCCAGAATTCGAATTTGAAGTTTCTAATGTCCAGCTTTATGGTGGTTATGTTTTGCACACTGGTAAGCTCGTTAAAGGTTCTATCAAGCTTGAAGCTCCAGCCACTGCCACTTTTGACGATTCAAGAAGATTGCCAATCAAGAACAACCACACCGGTACTCACGTTCTTAACTATGGTCTTAGAGAAGTTCTCGGAGATGGTATCGACCAAAAGGGTTCTCTTGTTACCCCAGAAAAATTGAGATTTGATTTCTCTCACAATAAAGGTTTGACTTTGGACGAAATTGCTAAAGTTGAAAAGATTGTCAATGCATACATTGAAGCCGATAATGTGGTGTATTATAAGGATGTTCAATTGGACTTGGCTCAAAAAATCTCTGGTTTAAGAGCTGTTTTCGGTGAAACTTATCCTAACCCAGTTCGTGTTGTTTCCATTGGGGTTCCAGTTGATGAATTGCTTGCCAATCCAGAAAACCCTGAATGGAGCAAATACTCTGTGGAATTCTGTGGGGGTACCCATGTCAACAGCACCAAGGTGATCAAGCAAATGGTGGTGATTGAAGAAAGTGGTATTGCCAAGGGTATTCGTCGTATGGTTGTGGTTTCTGGTGAAAAGGCTTTTGAAGTCCAAAAGATTGCTGGTAAATACGAGGAAGAATTGTCCGATTTGGAAAAAATGTCATTTGGTGCTGCCAAGGAAAAGAAGATCAAGGAATTGGGAGTGGAAATCAAGAAGCTTTCAATTTCCATGTTGGATAAGGAATCTTTGAAGACCAAATTTGCCAAGATTGACAAAGCTTACAAGGATGAATTGAAGAAGATCCAAAAGGAGCAATCTAAGAAGGTTCTTGATGAAGTTAAGGCTCATTTTGCCGCTCCAGAGAATGCTTACTTTGTCAAATACCTTGATTTATCCGCGAATGCCAAATTGATCAATGAATGTATTACATTTATCAAGAAGTCACACAAGGACAAATCACTTTATTTGATTCTTGGTGACAAGTCCGAAGGTAAATTGGCCCACGGTTGTTATATTTCTAACGAAGCCATTGCTAAAGGTGTCGTTGCTACTGAAGCTGCTGGAGTTGTCAGCAAGTACATTGGTGGTAAAGCTGGTGGTAAAGGCAACACCTGTCAAGGTATGGGTACTGAATTTGGGCACATTGATGAAGCTGTTGAAGAACTTTCCAAATTGTTCAGTGAAAAGTTGTGAGGTTAGTATATATATACCTCCACGGGATTAATTTTGCTGGTGCTTAATTTCTCGTTTTGTTTGATTCCTACAGTCTAGTTCTTCGCACTGATATGCTTGTACAATATTGCAATTTCTATTTTTTTTTTTTATGTTGGTGCTTTAGAACACCTTTTATAACGCAATTGTTTTTGTAACTATTATACTGAGTGATTGCCGAATTATATTTATATTTATATTGAGATATTTGCATTTAAATTGTTAGTTATATGTTTGTTATATGTATGTGGTTTTTTTTTTTTTTTGTATCTAGATGAGTCAGTAACATGTGTATCATTATCTATGATTTATATACATATCATTAGGTTGTTTCCTGGTAAATAGGAATTCACTCAACTCTCAAAAATGATACCATTCACCGACTGGTTCCCATTTGTTGGAAAATATCATTATTCTGCTTCTGACTGTTTCCAGGCCCATCCCTCCAGATTTTATTCCAGGAGAAGAGCCGGTTAAATTAGAGAGTGCTCATTGTATCCTTTGATCTACTATACTGGAAATTGCTAAGATAGTACACCACATAATTTTAAATGCACCCCAAGGCGCCCCATTACCACCAAGCTTCTTTTTTCCACCACCTCAAGAAGCATCTATGCTATTCTCTATTATTGGCTCATGATTGGGGTTAACTATATAAATATAATTAGAAATAATGATGTGTCAAAATAAATGACAATATCACGTGATTTTATGGTTATGGAAATGCAAATACGGGAAGCAAGAAGACCCTGTTTCACAACATATCTACCTGTCAGGGGTCGAGATATACAAGGCTGTTTTTATCGATGTGTGATGCAATATAATACATAGCATAGTATAAGTTAATACCCAGTGATTTCACTAGAAAATAAATGGTATCATAAAGAAGATAAAAAAAGAATTCGTTATGGGCACGCACGAGGCTTCATTCATAGAATGGATTCCCAACATGTGTTAGTGCCATCCCTCGCCTTCCCCCCCTGAAATTCTTAACAATTATACATATATCATCAGGCTTTTGTAGAAGTATGACATATATAGCATGTCAGAACCATATGGTTGAAGATAAAGAGGCACTGCCACCTCTGTTCGGAGTCACGCCCGGGGCACATGACCGCCAAAAGAAAGGACAGGATAGCCCCCCCCTCCCCTCAATCTATCAATCAATGAAATGAGATAACTATTCGGGGATAAAGTCGATCATCATCATCAAATTGCCCACCATTGGCGCAGAAGTGAGGTTGCGTTGCTTGCCAAGCGTAGGCGGTTGCAAAAACTACTGGAAGCGATGGCCCTCTTGGTTGCCGTGGGCTGTGCTGCAACGACAGGCCCAGAGATTTGGGAGAGGAAAAGAAAAACAAAAAAAAAAAAAAGAGGCGGAGCAGACACACCTCGATTGTTTAGCGGCCGGTGGTCAGAAAAACTGTAAAGTTCCCAGTAAACCACAGGATACAGTAATTCCTGCTACATCCATAGAACACATATCGCTGTTATTCTTGCCACCACTACCACGTAACTATACCAACCATACCTCCACTTATCATAGATGTGGTTGTCTTCTCGCTCCGTATACACCGCTGCACCACCACCACCACCGTCATCATCCTAGGGTTCTTTCATTTTGCAAGTGTGCCTCTTGCCCAGCACCGTGCACTGCCATACATACCATCACAGCTTTGCCTCTTTCCACTAACAACAACAACCAGATCTTGCTACTTTTTACCTTTTTTTTTTTTTTTTTTATTTCTTTTTTTCTTAAAGGGTTCTTTATCAATAAATTCATATCCATTATTCTGGCTGATCTTTTTAGTGGAATTTTTTTTTTTCAAAGGGTTCTTTTATCAGTATATATATGTCACATATCCACATCGTCTGCTAACAATCATAACATTTCACCAAATTCTTCAACAAATTATATCCAAAAACATATCCCTTACAGGATGCCTACTAGAGCAAATACCAGGTTGTCAACTATATTAACTGGAACAAGACGTCATTTATCAACCGGTTTCAACTACACCATCGACCAACTAAACTTCCATGACCCCAAATCTTTGAACAAATTTAACGACTTAGTCTCCAACAACCCATCCAACAACAACAATGACCAACCATCAGACAATGAAATCCAAGTGGAAAATATCGGCCTCACCAATCCTGTTCTGACAAAAGACCAACTCCAATCCTTTTATCACCAACTCAAAACCGACCCTGTGTCAGGATTGTCATCAGAGGACTTCTCTGATAAAGACCTTTTACACAACCGGACAAGGCATTTTGGCAAAAATGTTCTCCCTTTCACCCCGCCAAAGCCCTTATACAAACTCATTTACGAAGCAATGCAAGACAAAGTGTTGATCGTGCTTAGTGTTGCCGCCATCGTGTCTTTGGCGCTTGGCCTTTATGAAACTTTTGGCCAGGACGACGAATTCGATGACGAAGGCAAGAAAAAACCAAAAGTCGAATGGGTTGAAGGGGTGGCCATCATTGTCGCAATTTTTATTGTTGTTATTGTTGGTTCGGTCAACGACTATCAAAAGGAACGTCAATTTGCTAAATTAAACGCTAAAAAAGAGGACAAGAAAGTGGTGGCCATACGAGATCACAAGGAAACCGTGGTTTCGGTCTACGACTTGGTGGTTGGCGATGTTATCAGAGTGGAAACCGGTGATATTGTGCCCACCGACGGGATCATGATATCTGGTGAATGCGAGTGTGATGAGTCCGCCCTCACTGGGGAAACCAATACCATTAAGAAATACCCAATCGCCTCGGCCCTCGAGCTATACCAAGAATCCAACCCAAAGAATGTCTCCTCCATCGATTTAGCCACCAATTCCTCTCTTCAAGACCCGTTCTTCATTTCTGGCTCCAAAGTGTTGTCCGGGGTTGGCCACTGCCTCGTTACTGCGGTAGGTCCAAACTCCATCCATGGGAGAACCATGGCGTCACTTAAAACTGAACCAGAAGTCACCCCACTTCAAGCCCGTCTTGATGGCCTTGCTAACGGGATTTCCAAGTACGGTTTGATTGCTGCAGTCATTCTCTTTATCGTGCTTTTCATTCGGTTCTGTGCCTTGCTTCCTTCGCCACATAAGTACTCCCATCTTCCTGGGGCCCAAAAGGGTGAGAAATTCTTGGATATTTTGATTGTCTCGATCACCATTGTCGTGGTGGCGGTTCCTGAAGGGTTGCCATTGGCGGTCACTTTGGCATTGGCGTTTGCCACCACCAGAATGGCTAAAGATATGAATTTGGTTAGAGTGTTGAAAAGTTGTGAAACTATGGGTGGCGCTACCGCAATCTGCAGTGATAAAACCGGGACTTTAACTGAAAACAGAATGAGAGTTATCAGAGGGTTTTTCGGCTTTAAAAATGATGATGGTTCATCCAATAATGCTTTAGAATTTAACAATACTGGGTTGAACGATAATCACGAACAAGATGATTCATTGGTGGTCATGGATGACATCAACGGAAAAGTTGGTAATGAGTCGGTTCACAACTTCATGGTTAACAGTGTTTTGAACTCTACCGCTTTTATTAATGAGGAAACAGAAGATCCGGAAACCGAAGCATTGAGAGAAAATGAGTGCTCCAAAAGCTTTTTTGGCAAGAAAAAGCCTACTATTCCAAAAAGGGCTCCTGAGCCATACGTTGGATCAAAAACCGAAGTTGCCCTTTTAATTCTTTGCAGCCAACTTTTTGGTATGGGTACTGCTGAAGAATCTGGTAATGTCGCAGAATTGAGAAAACAAACTGGTTTGCTCGGAGTTGAAAAAGTTGTCGGGTTTATACCATTTGAAAGTAGAAGAAAGTGGTCAGGGGTAGTTGTGAAAAACCAATCTAAATCTTCTACTGAATCTGCCTACGCTAAGTACACCTCCCAATCAAGATACACTTTATTTATCAAAGGTGCTGCTGAAATTCTTTCCAAGCAATCCTCTCATATATCTAACTCTCAAGGTGGAAAGACTGCACTTTCCTCAGAAACTAGGGAATTTGTGGACCAAAAAATTAATACTTATGCTAAGGGGGCATTGAGATCTATTGTGCTTTGTCATTTGGAATTGGACGTCGATGAAGATTATTTGAAAAAACTTGGATTGTGGGGCACTAAGGGTGGTGAAGCGATTGATAACTTTTTTGAAAGTTTGAACTCTGCCAATGCTCCTGATTTGAAAAGCACTCCAGGCTTAGTCATTGACAGCATCGTGGGGATCCAAGATCCTTTGCGTGAAGGTGTTTCCGAAGCAGTGGTCGCCTGTCAAGATGCTGGAGTTTGCGTTAGAATGGTTACTGGTGATAACTTGATTACCGGTAAATCGATTGCCCTTGGTTGTGGTATTATTCGCCCTGCTGAATTGGACAATGCCGATGTTTGTATGGAAGGTCCAGTGTTTAGAAAACTTTCCCAGTCACAAATGAGAAAGGTTATTCCTGGTTTAAGGGTTTTGGCCAGATCATCTCCTGAAGATAAGAGAATTCTTGTGAGGGAATTGAAAGCTATGGGTGAAGTGGTGGCTGTCACAGGTGACGGTACTAACGATGCTCCTGCATTGAAGTTGGCTAACGTCGGGTTCTCTATGGGTATCAGTGGTACTGATGTTGCCCGTGAAGCTTCTGATATCATTTTGATGACTGATAACTTCAGTGCTATTGTTCAAGCCATTAAATGGGGTAGATGTGTTTCTGTTTCGATCAAAAAATTCATTCAATTCCAATTGACTGTTAATGTGACTGCTGTTGTGTTGACTTTTGTATCCGCGGTTGCCAGTTCTGATGGTAAGAGTGTTTTGACTGCAGTTCAATTATTATGGGTTAATTTGATTATGGATACCTTGGCTGCTTTGGCATTAGCAACTGATAAACCTGATAAAGATATTTTGAAATCCAGACCAAATGGGACCAAGACACCGTTAATCAGTGTTGCGATGTGGAAGATGATTATGGGTCAATCCATGATGCAATTGGTGATTACTTTTGTGTTGAATTTTGCTGGCAAACAAATCTTTTTTGGGGACCAAAAAATAAATGGTCATCAGAAAACTCAATTGTCAGCAATGACCTTCAATGCTTTTGTGTGGTTGCAAATTTTCTGCATGTTTGTGTCGCGTAAACTTGATGAAGGTGATGGCATTACTACCGTGAGAGGACGCTTCACTATGAGAAATTTGAACTTCTTTGCTCACTTGTTCCGTAATTGGTACTTTATCTCAATCATGCTTATAATTATGGGATTCCAGATTTTGATTATGTTTGTTGGTGGTGCTGCGTTTAGTGTTGCGCACCAAACTGGTGCAATGTGGGGTACGGCGATCATTTGTGGGTTGTTGAGTTTCCCATGTGGTATATTGATTAGACTCATACCTGATGAATGGGTACTCAAATGTTTCCCAACCAAGGCATTCCAATGGTTGGTTTATATTGCGAGCTTTGGCTTTATCAGAAAATCAAAGTCTAGACCAGGAAATGAAAGAGGAGTGGTTTCTGAAGATGAGGCAGACACCGAACATGAAGCGATTAATGAATCAGTTGGTGCTAGCATAGATAAAGGCAAGGATGGAATCAGTGGTACCAGTAGTGGCCATGAGGATTCGACAACACTAGACGAAAATAGTGGGTCAGAAAGAGCAAATTGATATATTGTTCTCTTTTTTTGATTTTTAATTTTTTTTTTCTTCAATTCGCTATTAGTACGTTCTGATATATCCATCCAAGGAACTCTATGCTAGACCAATCTTTTGGTTTTTTAATTCAATTTGTTAATTTTCGATTCACTGTCTCTTCACTGTGTGATCTATCTTTTATCTGGAGGGAAAGAAGAAGCTCTCCAAAAAATTTTTCTTATTTAATATTTTTTTTTTTTTTTCGCTTTTGTTTAGTTAAGTTAGATTTCTTCTTCGTTATCGTGCTCTTTTTTAATATCAATCATTCTCATGCTTTCTAAAGAGAAAAATTACAATATCATTATTTTTGTAGTAGTGACTGGGGTGGTGGTTATTATTCCATTTATGGGTGGAGGGCAGGCAGATTGTGCATGTTGGAAGTTACCCCATGTGAACTTAAAGTGGGTGGTTAGTGCAACAGTAAGTATGAGAACCCTCGGAAGATTACGGTATTTGCTTAATTCCCTTCACCAGTGTTGTAAAAACAAAAACAAAAACAAAAACAAAACAAGAACTGTAGGATTTACAAGACACATTTTGGTGGAGCAAGTAGTTGAAATTACATAGTCGAACTGAGACAACATTTCCCATTCACTAATGGGGTATAATGTCGTTGGATGTTACACTAGTTTCTTGCTGCTGTGGACCCTCACCACCCAGAGTTGATTATTACCACCCTCCATGGCATTGTGATATATGAGCGAAAACAAAAATGCGGTGATTCCATTGGACTTATTATGCGGCTGCTCATCCTTCCACCCACGTGAGCTACCGCATTTAAGTCCGGCGTTAACTACCCAAATCCGAATATCCTATAAATTAATAATCTATTGTGGATATATAACTAACCATCGATCAGATTATATTTCCTCTTCTTCTTTTTTCTCTGTACATATATATTCATCTCAACGGTTATCACAACATGCCTGAAGTTATCGCCCATAGGGGATTTAAACGATTATATCCGGAAAATACCTTGCTCGCCTTCACGCAAGCCAGGAACGCCGGTGCCACCACCATCGAATTGGACTTGCAATTGACCAAGGACAACCAGATTGTCATTTGTCATGATTCCACCACCGACAGGGTCTTTGATAAATCTGTCAATATCCATAATTCCACATTTGCCGAGGTGATGCAATTAAGAACTTTGAAAGAACCGCACGAGTCGATGCCAAGTTTGGCCAATCTTTTGAACTGGATACAAAAACCAGAGAATCATGGGTTGAAATTAATGTTTGACATTAAACGGTTCAATCGTATGGAGATCTTGAGTATTTTACAACAACAATTACTCGACACTGAGCCACAGGGTTGTCAGACCGATGATGAGAAGTTGAAGTTTTGGGGATCGAAGTTGATCATTGGGTTGTGGAATTTGCCACAATATTCGTACACGGTGGACCATCACTTGTTTGAAAATTTTGAAAAGGCGATTATTACATTTAGTATTGGAGAAGCCCTCAAGATTTTAAAAGTTAGCGATCAGCAAGATCCAAAAGACCAACTCAAAGGGATTTCACTATTGCATGTTGCAACTTGGGATAAAGGCTTATTTAAGAATATTGGATCGATGGGATTATACCAAAAGAACCACGCTGCTGTTTCGCCGTTGAAGTATTTCTTTTTGAACTACGTGGTGCCTCAAAAAGTCAAGTTTTATGTGTGGACCGTCAACAACAGTGCCGATATGGATTGGTGTTTGAATTTCCCGTTCATCGCGGGAATCATTGGTGATAACCCCGATATCCTTGCGGAAAAAGTCAAGGTGTTATCCGATGTGGCCCCTGAACCAGTGGATGATGATCAAAGACGGTTGGAATATTTCAAATCTAAGCTTGCGATGTTGTACAAGTTAAGACCGTGGTTCTTTACAAAATTGGCGATTAGACGGATGCTATTTCTTAGGTTGTATAAACTTTGCTTGTTTATCTTCTCGTGGAAACTCCAAGAAGTCAACGTTTTGTGGAGATGGAATGTTGGCAAACTTCTTTTTGATTTCAATAAAGCGGTTGGGTTGGTATAAACCACAGTAGAAAATAATACACAAACAAATGAATAAATTAAGTATTGTTATTTCATCGTAGTTTATTTTAAATATCAGGGGTAAAATGTATGTATGTCCCACACCCCCACGAAATTGCAAATTGGGGAAAAACGGAAAGCGGTGTGTCATTTCTTTAGCAAAACCTTCTTCATATTTAAATACCTTTTATTGAGATCGATCATTCAGAATATAAATCCACCATGAGCGACGATATTTTTTTCGCTCATGAGACCATCAACAGAGTGTCATTTCTTCGTGAAGATGCGGAATTCATTATCCAAGCCATCAATTTCGAAAACACCAACATTTTGTTCTTGAAAGATAATTACCCACTAGTCGAGCCTTTGGAAGAAAAGGCACCATCTCCAGTACCTCAACTCTTGAAGTTCAAAGCCGGCGCTGATAAGACAATCCATGAATACTTGATCAAATGGAGTTTGTTGAACAAAGACCAATCGTATGACTTACGATTTTTCCCAAACATCGTATTTTTAGGATTGATGGAGCCAGAAAATGACAGTGATAAAGCAATGGAATACAAAGATGGGAAATATTCTGGGATCCCGTGTTTTATGATCGATGTATCTGAGCTGACTACGAAATTCGCTCCTACATTTGTTGAGAAAAATGGCGACGATTACAAATTAGACCTTTTCAAAGTTTTGCAACAAACTTCGTACAAATTCGATATTCTTAATAATAGAAGCCAGATCTTGCAAATGAAGAATCACGAATCATCGTTGTTGGCGTATGGTAAAATGTTTCTTGACTGGTTAGGTAAGCAGAATTTCTGCCCGCAATGTGCTTCACCAATCATCAAGATCCAAGCAGGCACTAAATTGAAATGTACTTCGAAATTGATCAGTTCTACTACCGATGAGAAAACCGGGAAAGTGAAAAACATTTATGAATGTGGGTCGAAAAATCTTTCTGTTTCGAATATTCAATTTCCAAGAACCGATCCGGTGTGCATCATCGCGGTGGTCAATTTACAACATAACAAGATCTTGCTTGGTAATGGGTTAAGATTCCCTAACCCTAAATTCTACACTTGCATTGCCGGGTTCATGGAACCAGGAGAATCGATCGAAACTTGTTGCTCAAGGGAAATATGGGAAGAGACCGGAGTCCACTGCTCCAAGGTGATGGTCTTACACTCCCAACCTTGGCCATTCCCGGCTAACTTGATGATTGGATGTATAGGGGTGGTGGAATTCAATGGGAAGAATGAATTAGTGGATTTGGGTAATGATCCAGAGTTGAGGGACGCTAAATGGTTTGATTTTGAGGAAGTTAAGGAGGCTTTGGCCAAACAAGAATCGGGTGGGGTGGATAACAATTATCCGTTGGTGTTGCCTCCAAAGAATGCGATTTCCCACGTTTTGATAGACACGGTGGTCAATAAGAGGTTCACCAAGTTGTGATACGATGACATTGCAAACATTTGCGTAATATTATATGGGTATATTAGAAGTACGATATTAGTATGGTATAAATATCAATATAAATAGAGAATAAATATAGTACAACATAACATAATCGGATGTCCGATAAGTGCCCGTAGCAGGATCGTCCTGCCATGTGACTGTCACCTGATTAAACATGATTTTTTTTTTTTTTTTTTTTTTCTGGCAAAAATTCCACGGTGGAATTTTTTAATTTGTGATCTGACAACAAAAAGACAAGTCGTCATTGAACTCACCCCAGATCACTTGGCTATTTTCCTAGACCACAAGAAGAGCATAGACACACCCTTCTATCCACCGGTTCTTTTTTTACCCATCTATTTCCTTCAATTCACCCGCTCATCCTTGCCATTATAAAGGAGTTTATTTACAAATATATATATACATTGAGCCCCCCTTTTTTTTCTCCGTTTCTGATTTCCTGTTCACTTCGCCAACAAAAGAACAGACGCGTTTCTTTCCACTCCAACCATCATTAATCAAAAGTAATCAATCTCTTGATATATCATTATGGCCATCTTAACCTCTTCTATCGTCAACAATGGTCCAGTGTCCATTCTTGCGTACTGTCTCTCGTCCATTTTGATGACCTGCACTAACAAGTATGTGGTCTCTGGTAATCCTGACTTCAACTTGAACTTCTTGTTGTTGACCGTCCAAGCTTCCGTGTGTATTCTTACCCTTGTTATTTTGAAATCTTTGGGTGTCGCCAAGTACAGACCGGTCACCAAAGAAGAAGCCAAGTACTGGTCTCCAATTTCCATCTTGTTGGTTGTTATGCTTTACACCTCTTTCAAAGCCTTGCAATACTTGGCCATCCCAGTTTACACCATCTTCAAGAACTTGACAATTATTTTGATTGCTTATGGTGAAGTGTTATGGTTTGGTGGTAAAGTCACCAACATGGCCTTGTCCTCTTTTATGTTGATGGTTGCCTCTTCGTTAGTTGCTGCTATGGGTGATGACAAGAAATCCTCATCTGGCTCAGAAGAAATGACCGTTTTCGGCCTTAACCTCGGTTACTTCTGGATGTTCTTGAACTGTTTTGCCTCTGCTGCGTTTGTTTTATACATGAGAGTTAGAATCAAGAAGACCAACTTCAAGGATTTCGACACCATGTTCTACAACAACTTGTTGTCTATTCCAATTGCCTTGATCGCTACTTTTGTCTTGGAAGACTGGTCCCCAGCTAACATTGCCAGAAACTTCCCACCACAAACTGCCAACTTGGTGATATTCTTGATGGTGTTCTCCGGTGCCGCTTCTGTTGGTATTTCTTATTGTTCCGGTTGGTGTATCAGAGTCACTTCTTCCACCACTTACTCCATGGTTGGTGCTTTGAACAAGTTGCCAATCGCCTTGTCTGGGTTGATTTTCTTTGATGCCTCTGTCAACTTCATGTCAGTTATCTCCATCTTCATTGGTTTTGCTGCTGGTTTAGTGTACGCTGTTGCCAAGAAGAAGCAAAAGGAAGAAGAATCTCACCAAGCCTTGCCAACTACTAACAAAAATTAAGAGGCTTTAACAATAGCTATTATCCTCCCCACAACCACCACCACCACCACTACCATTTCCTCCTCCCCCTTGCCAAATTTACTCGGCGATTTCTCTGCTAGTTTTCTTTTATTTTCTTTCTATTTTTTTTTTCTGACTCTTCGGAAATTGCTACCTTTTAATTTGTTACCATTTTGGATGATCTAGAATCGTCCAATGATTCAAAGGTTTGAATTTATGTATTTTAGTGGGCCTCACAATTTTTTTTGATCAAAATATACACTGTTTATATTATGTCTCGCCGGTTGCGCTTTGATGATGTATTTGTTGATTGAGGTGATTTTTTCACGCACCTCATCTATGACTCCGAGGGTAAAAAAAAAAAAACCACAAAAATTTTCGTTGTTATTCCACTTCATTAGAGATATTTACTGATATATTATTTCAAAGGTTTTCTCCCTTTTGTTGTTAATCCACTCGAATCTATTATTCGCTGTTTTTTTTTGTTGACAAAGAAGAAGAAAGTCTGTTTAGTCACTCGCACAGATCTGAGTCAATATCTTTCAATAATGTTGAGAGTTTCGAGAACCTTGAACAAGCCAGCCTTGAGTTCGAGGTTGCAAGCCGTGGCCACCAGAGCCCTTCGCCAAGGGTTTGCCACTAACAGACCTAACCTTCAAGCAGAAATCTTGTCTGGTAAAGAATTGGCTAAGAAAATAAAGGTCCAAGCCGCTAATGAAGTCACCAAGATCCAGGCCGTCAACCCAAGTTTCCAACCAAACTTGGCCATTATCCAAGTCGGTGATAAGCCTGATTCCTCAACCTACGTTAGAATGAAGTTGAAGGCCGCTAAAGAATCGAAGATTAACTCATCTTTGATCAAGTTGCCTGGTGACATTTCTGAAAACGATTTGCTTTTCAAAATCAACCAATTGAACAATGATATCAACGTCCACGGGATTTTGGTCCAATTACCATTACCAAAACACCTTGACGAAGCCCGTATCACTAACTCTGTCAGCGACTCCAAGGATGTTGATGGTTTCAATAGATACAACGTCGGAGAATTGTACAAAAGAGCCGGCTCTCCTACTTTTATCCCATGCACCCCAAATGGTATTATTGAATTATTGAAAGCCAGCAACTTGGATTTGAAGGGTAAATCCGCAGTGGTCATTGGAAGATCTGACATTGTTGGTACCCCAGTGTTCTCATTGTTGAACAGAATGAACGCTACCGTCACCCTTTGTCATTCTAAAACCAAGAACGTCGAAGACATTATCTCTCGTTCAGACGTCGTCATTGCTGCCTTGGGAAAACCTAATTTCGTCAAAGGTGAATGGTTGAAACCAGGAGCTATTGTTATTGACGTTGGTATCAACTATATCCCTGATGCCACTAAAAAATCCGGTCAAAAATTGGTTGGTGATGTCGATTTCGAAAGCGCTAAACACGTTGCTAAATTAATCACCCCAGTTCCTGGTGGGGTTGGCCCAATGACCGTGGCCATGTTGATCTCCAACGTTTTGAAAGGTGCCAAAGCCCAAGAAATGAACAAATTCCACCCAGTCACTTCGAGCAAGTTACCTTTGCATTTGATCAAACCAGTCCCTTCAGATATCGATATCTCCAGAGCCCAACATCCTAGAAACATCACCAATGTCGCTCGTGATTTAGGAATCAAGGAATCCGAATTCGAGCAATACGGTGCTTACAAGGGAAAAGTTTCTCTCGACGTTTACAAGAGATTGGCAGACCAGCGTGTAGATGGTCACTACATTCTTGTCGCTGGTATTACCCCAACTCCTTTGGGTGAAGGTAAATCCACCACTACCATTGGTCTTGTCCAAGCGTTGGGTGCTCATTTGAATAAACCAACTATTGCCAATGTCAGACAACCTTCCATGGGTCCAACTTTCGGGGTCAAGGGTGGCGCTGCCGGAGGTGGTTATTCTCAAGTTATTCCTATGGATGAATTCAACATGCATTTGACCGGTGATATCCATGCTATCGGTGCCGCTAATAACTTATTGGCTGCTGCTATCGATACCAGAATTTTCCATGAAATGACCCAAAAGAGCGATAAGACCTTCTATAACAGATTGGTCCCAAAGAAGAAGGGTGGCAGAAGCTTCACTAAGTCAATGTTGTTGAGATTGAAGAAATTGGGTATTAACAAGACCAACCCTGATGACTTGACTGCAGAAGAAATCTCCAAGTTTGCCAGATTGAACATCAATCCAGATACCGTTTCCATCAAGAGAGTTGTCGATGTCAATGATAGATTTGTTAGAGAAGTCACCATTGGTCAAGCCGCCACTGAAAAGAATTTCAACAGAAAGACTGGGTTCGACATTACCGTCGCTTCAGAATTAATGGCTATCTTGGCTTTATCTAATGACTTAAAAGATTTGAGATCTAGAGTCGGTAGAATTGTCGTGGCCATGAACACTAACAATGAGCCAATCACCTGTGATGATATTGGTTGTGGGGGTGCCATTACCGCATTACTTAAAGACGCCATCAAGCCAACCTTGATGCAAACTTTGGAAGGTCAACCAGTCTTGGTCCACGCCGGTCCATTCGCCAACATCTCCATTGGAGCTTCTTCGGTAATTGCTGATAAATTGGCATTGAAGTTGTTGGGTACTCCAAAACACATGGATGTCGTCAAGAAAGAATTGGGCTCTTTGTTGCCAGAAGGTACCGACCCTAACGAATCCTACAATAAATACATTCCAGAAAAGGGTTACGTTGTCACTGAAGCCGGTTTCGATTTCACCATGGGTGGTGAGCGTTTCTTCAACATCAAGTGTAGATCTTCCGGTTTGAAACCTAATGTTGTGGTCATTGTCGCCACCACCAGAGCCTTGAAGTTGCACGGTGGTGGACCAGATGTTAAACCAGGTCAAACATTGCCAATGGAATATCAAACCCAAAACTTGGATTTGGTGGCTAAAGGATGTGAAAACTTGGCTAAACAAATCAGTAATGCTAAGTCTTTCGGAAGTCCAGTTGTCGTTGCTATTAACCAGTTCAATACCGATACTCCAGAAGAAATTGCGGTTATTAAGCAAAAGGCTCTTGAAGCTGGTGCCGCTGATGCCGTCGAATCAAACCATTGGGAAGAAGGTGGAAAAGGTGCTATTAAGTTGGCTGAGTCTGTTGTTAAGATTGCTGATAGTGTGGAAACTGCTCATGAAAAGGTTAACTTCTTATACGATGCTTCCAACCCATCGATTGCTGAAAAATTGGAAACCATTTCCAAGGAAATGTACGGTGCTGATGGTATTGAATTGTCCGAATTGGCTAAAGAACAAATCAAATCGTTCGAATCTAACAACTTGAACAAATTGCCAATCTGTATTGCCAAGACCCAGTATTCTTTGTCGCATGACCCAGCCTTGAAGGGTGTCCCATCTGGTTTCAAGATTCCAATCAGAGAAATCAAGGCTAGTGTTGGTGCTGGTTACTTGTACGCGTTGGCCGGTAAGATCATGACTATTCCAGGGTTGCCAACTCATTCTGGTTTCATGAATGTCGAAGTGGATGAAGAAACTGGTGAAATTGATGGGTTATTTTAAGACCATTTTTTTAAGATAGAATTATTTATCGACTATATTCCTGAACTTGTTTTTTTTTTTTTTTTTTCTTCTCTCGCCTCTGATTTTGTTATTATCTCGTTATTATTTCATTTATAGATAATAGATCATTAGTGATCAATGTTATTTCCACATTGACACTTGCATTTATGTTTGAAAAGTATTATTATTGTGTAGTTCTCCTAAACGTAATGCCAAAATACAAGTGCTTCACTGTAGGAAGTTGATCAGTTGTATGAATGCGGTTTCTGATCAGCCCCATACTCTCCCTCTCCTGAAGGACTGATAGTTTTCTTTTGCGGTGAGTTTTTTCAACCTCGAGGATTATTTTCTTGTGTAATTATTTCGTTTAATAGACTATTGTCTTTGTCAGGTGGCGGAACCATTTGATAAGCATAAACAGTAGGTCTACGCGGTACCGTTATTGTGGTACATACTATGTTGATTCATAGTAAATAATTGCAATTGCCATTATTAATGGGGGTGCTGATTTTCTGGGAATGATTACTTCCGTTAATTATGTAGTAACTATCATAGTTCTCAAGTAATGACTCGTTTTCTGAATTTCATTTTACAAAAATAGAAAAACCCATATCATGTATCGCCAGTATGTACATTATACAAGACTCAACACCATCACCACAAGTTTATGACGTTATTATTTACATCAATCAATGATGCCGTCAGGATCTTGAGTTGGTATCGATGCTCATCATCATAATAGCATTTGAATTGCAATCTATACTTCTCATCCAAGTTATTACCAACTAGACCTACCGACCCAACAATTACAATATTTGAGTACTTGTTTTTTCGGTACGCAAAGTCATTTTCATCGTCCACCAGGATCAATTCATCAGTGGGACTTTCCATCCCTGATTTCGCGAGATCGAAAAGCGAATTAACAAATCCAAAGATCCTGGTATTTCGCAAATCCATTCGTTTATACACGTCCTTCCATTCATACGTCAACCCCAATACCGTCTTATTAAGAGTCTCGTCAATTTTGATCTCTAAAAAACTCACTTTCAATATTTGAGCATCAACACATCGTTTTAACCACAGTTTTTTCTCGTGGTGGTGGTGCTCCTTCCCAATTACCCCCGTGGTGTCATCTCCTGCATCGTCATTATAGAACAATTGTAATGTGAATTGGTTCTTGCTAAATTTGAATTCTTCCAAGTTTATTGGAAGTTTAAAATTATCCTGGATATACTGGTTTCTTGTCAATTCTTCAATCAAGTAATAGTCAATCAAGCTTTCCAACAACCCCAAATCAACGGTCTTGGTCTTGGTGCGATTATTTCGATCCACCAAGATCACAAGATCATTCAAACTGCTGGCTCTATCATCTTTAGCGTTATTGGCATTTTTCCCATTGAGCATCTGATGGTTAATGACGTAAGAATTCTGCGATAAAAACTCGATTTTCAATGGGATCAGTACCGTTTCTCCGAGGTATAAAACTTTATAATAAACGTACCCTGATATCGATACCAACCCTGATGCTAACAATATTCCAAGATTACGTAATGCGTGGGACTTCTTTCTTCCAAAATGGATTTCGGGATTACCGATACTTCTATTTGGATATTTCAGTTGGATGCTTTGAAGAACCGCCCTCTTGAGCGCATCATCTGTCAAACCTCGCTTCCCTAGAGTGGTTAGACAAATCATTGCCTGTCGTCTGGGACATAACAAAGAGGATTTCGCAATTGAAATCCCGGGGAATCGTTTAAATTTGCATTTCCACAACCACATATTTTTCTCAATTTTCTTTTAACTAACTATGTTAATTGGTGGAGCCCTCTATCAGTAAAACCGAAATGATATGTGAAAGATGTATTTTAGGGGAAGCAAAGCAAAACCAATGGGATGGGTCATGCATATCATGTGACGTTTTTGTTTTTTTTAACAAAGACACTTACAACATGACGGAGCTTTTTGCAAGTGGATTTACACCATAATTAGATAAAATACTCTATTCATTTTTAAAATAATAATTATAATTATAATAATAATAATAATTAAATAAATCATACTCATGCTTTCACTTGACCAAGCTCGTAGAAATCCTGTCTACAATCGCACGCCTTTTTTCTCACATCTCGCTTCTTATCATCCAATGGAACAACCATATTCTTGAGAACAACTTCTTTGAAAGGCACCAACTTTATCAAATCAATATATTGGCACAACTTCAACAAGCACCCCAATGATTTCTCTCTAACTTCTGGAGAATTATACTTCATGAATACTTTGTCAATCTTCAAAGATTCAGCATTTTCATCCAAATCCTTTTTGAAATAATTGGCAGATTTGAAACAATTAATCAACGTCGGAATCAACGAGGATAAGTAATTTCCAATTAGTTTGACGGTCCTTTCAGTGATTAGAGAGTCCAAAGTGGTCAATGCCGCCCCTCTGACTTGGGAGCTATTCAACTTAATGGATTCAATGAGCAATGGGAAAAGATCCTCCAACTGCATCAAAATGATATCCGTGCTCATGTGGTTCGACACTAAACTTAAAGTGGTCAAATAAAATGCTTTTTTCAATATCGTCGAATTTTCATCATCGCCATCCGAATAAACCTTGGTGTTTGTTTGGAAACTAGAAATCAAGCTTGGGATCAAGATTTCAAAAAGTTTTTGTTTGTACAATGGCTTCAAGTTGATATTATGATTGACGCCATCTTTCTTCAATAATTTCCGTTTCATCCCGCTGTCTACTTGTCTAGTATAGTCGACTTTGAAAATTATCTCCTCTGTAACAAGAATATCAAAACTTTTGCAAATTTTATCACTAAGCGCTTTTGCTTCAGGAGACTTTGCAGCATCGTCAATCAATCCAAGCAAAAATTGTGCCGCATCAGCGGATAATCGGTGGTTCTTTAGTATCAAAGCCTTGGCAATCCACACAAAAATCTCAAGATCATTCACAGTTTCATTAAAATTATTAGTAATATGGCTCTTGATATTGCCAGTCAATTTCAGATATAACTCCATCGTAGAATCATCCTCAGAGCTACCCGACCATTTGTTTACAACCATGAATAGTAATTGTAAATATCCTAGCCTTTGGTATACGTCTCCTTCTTTGAGATTAAGTAATTCTATGGTTTTGTCGGTGAAGTCGTTCACAGATATTTGAGTGCTCCAAGTGGTGGATTTAAAGTCGATGCCAGCAATCAGTTTCACAAAGAGGTGAACCATTTTGGACTGATAATTAAATATATTCTCTGGCATTATCACTTCAAAAAGATCGGTCGCCTTGCTTTCCACAAACAATCCAATAAAGGTGTCAAGGATTTCTTGATGCATCAGTATCTCCGATCTCAAAACAATCAAGAACAAGATTCTTGAGCTCAACTCCACAAGGCTGTCATTGTAGAAAACATCTTTGGAATCGATGGAGAAACATAGGGTCAATAACAATGGAATGTATTTTTTCAAGAAATTGTTACTAGTTTTAAAGTCTGGGTGCGATTTCAAAAACTTGAATAATGAATTGTACAATACATTAAGAATCAACAAAGCATATTTCAAGCATTTGTCGTTGTAATCCGCCGCTTTGTTATCATTTTTTTTGCAATTGTCAATCACAATATTCAATTTGGAAAGAAGTCTGATTGAAAGAACTTCTAACAAATTAGAGTTTTTGCAGGATAAGTCGCTCAAGATTGACAATATTTTTTCCGAATTTTTAAAATCAGGAGCCTCCACAATCTCATCTGCTAACAAACTCAAAAACTGTGAAAAGAACTCTCCAGATATTAAAACGTTATTCATTTCCGTAATAGTAGCTAAAACACTAAGACACAGTTTATAAATTTTATTAAACTGACTTTCTTTCTCTTCATTATTTCCTTCTAAACTGACATACTCTATCAAAATATCAGAAATGTAATTCAAAATCATTCTAACTTCTGAAATGTTCAAGAAGCCTTTTAGTTCTAAAAGTAATCTCAAGTTTCTCAACGCCTGGATCTTCAAATCGGCGAACAGCCCAGAAGACGATACTAATGATCTTGATAAAATAATGATAATTTCATCTTTATGAGCCATCATAGCATTAGTCTCTAGGTCTAACGGCCTTGTGTTTGCAGAATTTGTAAAAGAACCATAGAGGTTAAGATAAGAGTGCAAAAAGAATGAAATTTCCTCAATTATCACCTTCTGTTCTTCAACATTAGCTGCTTGTAATTTATTTGATTTCATCAAAATTGGGCCGATGTTCTTTATAATATAATTGAAAGAATAATCATTTGCTTGTGCAATTACTGATAATAGCAAATATGACTGTTTCACTAGCTTGCTTTTTGGATCATTTATATTACTCAACAAATCCTCGATCAACTTCTCAAGATACAATTGTAGAAACTCATCTTTTTCAGCAAATTTGGTTGCCAATTGTTTGAAAAGTAATAGTGTCGAGCTAGTGACCTTCACGCTCTCTTTTTTTTCTTTTTCATCATTTGTCAACATTTCTAAATTTTCCTCAAGTTTATTTTCTCTCAAATCATCAATTTTTCTAATTACCGAATAATAAGGGATATTATCATTATGAAGGATTTCAAACTTTAGGGCATCCCATATTTCAATCCAATGAACATTCACCACTTCAGCATTAAATTTTCCAATGGCATCTTTTAACGTATCTAAAACATCTTGTTTGACACTCATGGAAGTTGAGGTCAATTTCTCAAATAAGTTTGGTAATAGATCCTCAATTGTCAGATCATTTGCAGTCAATGTATTTCTAAGAGCACTTTTCAAATCATTAGTAGTGATTTTATATGGATCATTCTTTGGAGGTTTGAAGGCGATAGGGAAGTAACAAAAACTATTATCGAACAAGTCCTCTTTAAAGGAATCAATATTATTGAACTGTTTTAAAATAATTTCATTGAGATGGAAAGACAACATCAAGTTTCTTGGATCTTTTTCCCCCGTGGCAATATTCAAGAAGCTCTTGATGTATGCGTCGTTGAGTTTTGAATCACTGGTGACCGCCACGAAGTTGCGAGGTTGTCTGATTATATTGTCAAGAATTTGGAAAGTAAGATACCTGACATGAGCGTTGAAGTTTTTGGCATTATAGCTTTCTGTAAACTCTTTGATTATCACCTCAGATATCTCGTTGATTTCAAAACGATCCATTAGTATCAATGAATTTAATCCTGTCAATATTTGCTTGAATGCTAAGATATCATCAAATTTCGTCATGAAAAACTTGATCAAATGGCCTATTTCTACTGATGAGAGCTTACCCAAAGGCAAGCGCTCCAAAACTTTCGAAAGACAACCCAAGGCTTTTGCTCGAGATGCACCGTCCTCATTTTTTAAATCGTTGCCCAATGATTGTATCAATTCGACTAACTTGGCATCATTATTTGTAATCTTCTTCACAATTTCATTCAATGGTTCATCTGAATCTGAAGTATCGTCAACATGGGTAAAATAATCAGACACCAAAGCAGTGAAAGGTTTCCCATCAATGTCGCTCATCTTGATGGTAAATTGATTTTATTTCTTTTACTCCTATCTTTTGCAAAATGAATGATGAGCTGAATAACGTTCTCGCTTCTCCGAATGCATTAAAAAAATATCGAGCACACTCCGACTTACTCGGTGTTCGGGTGTAATAGTGTTCGGGTGTACTTAATCTACAACGTACTACGAGTGAAGCTCTCTTTAGTCAAATTTAGATAAGAAATATATATTCATCAAAGAGAACAAGAAGAAAAGAGCCCCTTAAATGGACAAAAAAGAGAAAAGTACGATGGAAACAAAGATAAAAAATAAATAAAGATATATGAGACAGTAAAGCAAATCCATCAACTCAAAGATGCTCGGCACTGAAAATCCAGGTACCGGTAGAGTTATCGAAACTCTCAAAAGTAGTTCCTTCAATGTGGTGCAATTTTTTGATATGATGCTTGAAGGCAGAACTTTTTGGATCAGTAACTGATTTTCCCCTAACAGTTGGAAAGCACTTCTCCAAAGTAACTTTAACAGGCAAATTCAACCCTTCACCAATTGGTGGTCTGGCCTCCTCATTAGGATACAAATCACAAACCTTCGGTTCCAACGCTACAATCTTCTCAGGGATATTGTACAAAGAGGAGAAAGAGGTTATATCAACTGGTTCCTTGAATTCAATTCTACCAGATCCTATTCTGCCAATAATAAAATTTTTAACCTTTCTTTGGGAAATTTGAGACATTGATTCAAGCACTTCGATTGATGGAGAAATCCAGTAATTCTTCTCATTAAGAATAGTAAAGCTAGAAACATTTGGGATTTCAACGACCTTGGATGGTGCATTAATCCCTTCGGATTTCTCTGCCCCGGCAGGAGATTGGAAAGCAGGGCTTTCAGTAACCCCATTAATGAAGGAACCATCCTTTTTCAATTCCTCGCCACTCACATCGGTTTCCTCGTTATCTTCTTTACTCTTGGTATTGGCAGAACTTTCATGGGTATCGTTCTCCGAAGTAATGAATTTCGTGGATTCAGACTTTTCTTTCAAGTTATCATTAGCAAACCTTTTGATAACCAACTTCTTAAGATCGTTTGAAGTATTGAAGGTAGACAAGATATTTTGCTCGACATCGTAATTGAAAAATGATTTATTTTCCTTGGAATCGGAACCGATTAGTTTCAATGTTACATCCTTCTCCAAGGCAGCAGATTGATCAGCATTTGGTGATACAACCATAGTGCTTGGTGATGATTTTGCGGAAGAGTTTTGTAAAACCTTATCCATGTTAAATAAATTTTTTAAAGGCTTCGACTTGTATGCCGCTGTCAATGAAGTATCTTTCTTCTTGTTCTCACCAGTTAAAATAATTGGCGTTGCTGTTGGGTTCAACGTATTTTGGCCAACATTACCATTGAGCAAACTTGTTGAAAACAATGGGTTGTAAGAGTAAGGGTTAGGATTTGCCAGAGTTGGTCCAGCTTGTTGGTTATTGTTATTATTGCCAAACAATCCTCCACTGGTATTATTAGCATTATTGCCAAATAAGCCTCCACTAGTGTTATTAGTATTATTTCCGAATAACCCTCCACTGGTACTATTAGTATTGGTTCCAATACCACCTGTAGTTTTATTGCCAAAAAGACCACCAGCTGATGTGTTATTATTATTTCCAAATAACCCTCCGCTAGAAGAAGTATTATTATTGTTGTTATTACCAAACAAACCACCCGAAGTATTATTGTTACTATTGTTTCCAAACAAACCGCCGGAAGAACCACTATTGTTGTTGTTGTTGTTCAAAAGACCGCCGCCAGTAGTAGCAGGTTTGTTTCCAAAGAGACCACCCGTGGAATTGTTATTAGTATTGTTGGCTCCGAATAATCCGCCGGCCGAGTTGTTATTGTTGTTATTACTATTACTATTTCCAAAGAGTCCGCCTCCAGTAGTACTAGCCTTATTACCGAACAAACCACCAGATGAGTTGCTATTGTTACCAAAAAGACCACCAGAGGCATTGTTGGTAGAACTGTTGGTGTTGTTGTTGTTGCCAAAGAGACCCCCTGAATTGTTGTTGTTATTGTTGTTGTTATTGTTTCCAAAGAGACCCCCGGAGGTGTTAGTATTGTTGTTACCAAAGAGTCCTCCGGAATTATTGTTATTAGTATTGTTGTTGTTGTTGTTGTTACCAAAAAGGCCTCCGGAGTTGGCATTACTATTATTGTTGCTGTTACCGAAAAGACCGCCAGAGGTATTCGGTTTGTTTCCAAATAAACCACCTGAGTTACTAACATTGTTGTTGTTGCCAAACATACCAGTGGCGTTATTGTTATTATTATTATTTCCAAATAAACCACCAGAGTTGGAATTATTGTTATTATTTCCAAAACTTGAGTTGTTATTGCCAAACGTACCTCCTGAGTTACTAGTTTTGTTGCCAAACAACCCACCTGAGCTGTTAGTGGTGTTAGTATTTCCAAACATACCACCGCCATTATTGTTGTTGTTGTTATTGCTATTACCAAACAAACCACCACCGCTGTTGTTATTATTGTTACTATTTCCAAACATACCACCAGCATTGTTATTGTTATTACCAAATAATCCGCCAGTGTTGTTATTATTACTATTACCAAATAATCCACCAGAGTTATTATTATTCAGACTAAATGGAGCGTTGTTGCTGTTGTTGTTGTTGCTGCTGCCAAACATACCTCCAGAATTGTTGCTATTATTAGATCCAAATGGAGAGTTGTTACTGTTGTTGCTTCCGAACATTGGATTACTGTTATTGTTAGTGTTAGTGTTATTGCTGCTACCAAATAATCCACCAGAATTATTGTTACTCCCAAAGGCATTGTTTGAATTATTACCTCCAAATGGCGAGTTGTTATTATTCGAGCCAAACAAACCACCAGATGAATTATTGTTAGCGTTATTGCTTGAACCAAATAAGCCACCAGCAGCCGGTTTGTTTCCAAACAAGCCGCCAGCTGAATTATTGTTGTTGTTCGCTCCAAATCCACTATTATTTCCAAAAGAATTATTATTTGATCCAAAGCCAGTATTATTTGATCCAAATGCACCAGTAGTGCTCGTATTACCAAAAGAGTTATTGGCTGAACCGACCTTTCTATTGTTCAAATAATCTTGATATCTCAACTCATCTGTATTGAAAGCCCTATATTCTGGCATGGCGACAATATTTTCGAAATAAATGTTTGAACCATTGCTGTCCTTCTCAAAGGTTTCTGCGTATGGTTTGACTGAGGTACCTTGGTTGGAATTATTAGAATTCCCTGCGTTACCGAATCCACCGAACCCAGTGCTTGTGTTAGTGCTTGTGTTACCAGCACCGAACAAGCCTCCTCCAGAACTGTTGTTATTTGAGCCAAATGGGGAGCTGTTGCTGTTATTATTATTGCTACCAAAAAGGCCACCAGGGCTGTTTGCTGAAGAGTTGTTGGAAGCGCCAAATAGAGGTTTGTTAGCGCCAAATCCACCTCCAAAAGTATTTGCTGCTCCAGTGGTACTGCCACTATTGTTATTATTATTATTATTATTATTGCTTGAGCCAAAGAGACCGTTTGAATTGCCTGAAGAACCAAATGGAGACGAACTGGCATTGGCGTTAGAGGAAAATCCTCCAAACCCACCCATGCCACCGGTATTATTAGACCCAAACATTTTTAAGGAAGTTTCTGGCCAATTGCCTTTACTGATAACAATATCACTGATTGGTTCTCTTTGTACCAATTTCCTAAGTACAAGGCAAGACATCTTGTTTTCTTTGGTTTTCGCCTGCAAAAAAATTCTCACCAATTTTTATTATAGAATGATTGACTAAGCAACAGGGGCTCATAATTATTATCACGTGATGTTGTCGCGTTATTTTTTATTTTATTTCTTTGGATGTAATTTTTCGCGTCAGCATTTCTACTCCTGATAGTTGTTTGACCCATCTTTCGACACTTTTGAGGAATCAAGAACGATAGATAAAACATGACATTAGGCCGAGAAAAGGAACTAATCAACACTTTTGGCAAAGATGTATCAAAGCCCGAAGTTCTCAAGGCATGTTTGAAGCTCCTAGAAATGTTTGACATTAATGTCGATGAACTTTACATGAATTGGGAAGCGTTTTCCTATTCTAAAAAGAAAGAGACTGAAAATAATGATTCTTCCACGGTAATAGAGCTAAACATTGATGCATTGTCTGATTTGCAAACTCATATCATGAAGAATTTGGAAAAGAAATCTAAAGCAGGCGCTGCTTTATCATCGGCCAAGAAGACAAGAAGATATACCTCTAGCCCAATGGGATCTATGTTTGATATACTACCTTCATCACCGATGTCTCTTTCTAAAAGAAAATTGCAATTAGATGGGTCTACAAACGAAAGAGTTAGAAAGAATCCTAGACCTTCTTTGCTTTCGTCATCGCCGACCAAATTAGGCTATGATCCAGATATTTCGATGGAAATAGCGTCCCCTAAATTATTGGACATCAGCCAAACTGCATTTGATATTAATGATGGTACATATACAGGTGATATTGCTGTCACTTTAAACCCACAAATCTCTGTAGATGAAGGTTTGGAATTAGGTCCTCTAGATAACTCCAAAAAAAGTGATATTTTGCTTGCCTCAAATTTTGATGCAGAAAAATACAAATTTAGAATAATGAGACAGAAGCTATTAGAAGCTGCTGATGTCTTGGACGATCAAATCGACTCTTTTGCCGTGTATATTGCTGAGGCAAATCCACAACTCGGTCATATTGGGAACCCAAACTTGGTATCTCAAGAAGATATAATTGCCGTTGGGAGAATTACTCCAGACTCGCCATTAACAACATTTGATGAATCTATAAATAAAGAATCATTGTGCCTCGAGCCTTCCAGAGCTTCAGGTATTGGACAAAGGGTCAGATTAAATCTAGCTAATGTCGATAATTATTGCCTTTTTCCGGGTCAAATTGTTGCCTTGAAAGGAAGAAATGCCAATGGAAAATCATTCACTGTCAATGAAATAATTTCAACACCTTTGCTTGGTGCGGCAACCTCCACTGCTGATGAATTACAACTGTACCGGGAGAGTTTACATGACCACAAATTAAAAGTAGTTGTTACTGCTGGTCCTTACACTACTAATGATTCCTTAGATTTTTCTCATTTATCCAATTTAGTCGAACGCTTAAATGGCGAAATCAAGCCCCAATTTGTCATAATGTTTGGTCCATTCTTAGACTATAGCCATCCTAAGGTTGTTGATGGCTCCATTGAGGAAGCTATTGAAAATATGACAGGGTTTGTCAGCAAGCCGAAAACTTTGGATGAGGTTTTCAAAGCTGTTATTGTCCCAATTTTGAAAAAAATTCATCCTCAAATTCAAGTGATTCTTGTTCCTTCAACAAAAGATGCCTCTTCCAGACATCCCTCCTATCCCCAAGATTCTTTTGATCGTAGATTACTTGGATTGCCAAAGAATTTTAAATGTTTCCCAAATCCTGCGTCATTCCAAATCAATGAATGCTTATTTGGTACATCAAACAATGATATATACAAAGACTTAAAAGATGTGGTGGTCGGTGCTAAGGCTCTTGAAATGAATAGATTTGATAGAATCACTAACTATATTCTTGAGCAGCGCCGATATTATCCTCTCTTCCCTGCTGGGATATCACATCAAAAAGTTAAACTTATCAGTCCTCCTCCGGAAAGTATTGATTATAAAATTTCAGAAACTGAACAGCAAATGAGTAATGGTAAAACTTTTGAGATTCAGCAAGTTGGAGGTGCAGATTTAGATATCCCATACTTAGGTCTTAGTGAGTTTAATGATGCCACTCCGGATTTGCTCATTTTACCATCTCAATTAAAGTATTTTGCAAGAGTGGTGAAAAATGTGATCGTTATAAATCCTGGAAATTTCATGAAGCCAAAAAGAAATGGAACTTTTGCTATCTTGAATATTGAGGCCCCAAGCATAGAAGGGCCAGGCGTGAATGTTACAAAGGTAAATGGTGAAGAAAATTTGTATTTGCATGATATATGGAAGCGCTGTAGAGTGGACATCGTTAATTCCTAATTTTATATTCTCTTTTTTGTCTTCTTTAAGCTCTGGGTTATTTATTTGTTGTTTTAAGAAAAAGAAAAAAATATACATTGATATCATTTGTGTTTCAATTCGAGGTAGAGACTTAAAATTCAAATAGTACACAAAAAGTAAGAATACTCAAGAGCTACAGGTTATTTGGCCTTGAGTATTTCTGATAAACCATAGCAATCATCTTCGATGTCCAGAGGCGCAACCCAAAACATTATTTGGACTTGTTCAGGTATCAAGCCATTGTTGATTGCCAAGGATACCTTTTGTAACCATAACTCAGCTTTCCGATCAACAAATTGGGTAGCTTGGGAAGAACTGGATGTAATTATTCCGACATCCGATGCTGCGTGTTTAACTATTGTTTGGTCAAAACTCAATGGAGCATCGGAAGTGATGAAGGAGTTAGACTTATGTGGTAATGGGGCAGTACGTGGAGAGAGACCACTCGTTGGTATAAAGTTCACATTAGAACACTCAGTTGAAGCTTTTCTGAGCATTCTTGATACTGGAGGTGCCGGAGCAGTAGAAGACTTCTTAGTTCTCAAGCTATCGGTACTATGATTATTATTCAATCCTGGAGTAATATCAGAGTTGCCCGAGCTTATGCTGAGCGATGAATTATTTTCAAAATATGTGGATTGTAAGTTTGAAGGCTTTTTGTGAGCCACTGGTGGCTTCTTCTTTGGTTTAGCAGTACCGGCACTTTCCGCGGTTGTACTGTTTGATTCACTTCCAGTACGCGGAGCTTTCAAGATAGCAGGCTTTCTTGGAACGGCTGGTGGTTTTTTCTTTTGTTCAACCTTAGGGATATTTGCATCATCATTAGAAATTGGACCGGATATCGCCCTTCTTGGAGGAAGCGGCGGTTTTTTCTTTGGAAAAACAATTGAAACGGCAGACCCCTCTGGCGTCATAGCCTTGGCAGCGGTTGCCTTGGCCTCAGCAGATATCAATGACGTTAGTTCCAAAGAATGCGCAGAATTGGAGGCGTTAGGCTGGTGAGATAAAATATTCCAATCGTAGTCTGGCTGTTCCATTTCGTCCTCAGACGTTTCTGGCGAAGAACTATCATCAGCCAGGGTGCTATTATTTTGTATATTACTTCTTGGGGGTAGAGCTGGCCCAGGTCTGTCGCTGATATGTTTTTCATTCAAATTTGCAGCGAATTTCCTGTAGTCTTTTTTCAATTGTAGTTTTTCGTTTCTCAAGGACAACAATCTTCTCAATTCCCTAAGAACTTTAATATCGTTAAAATCGCTCAAAGATCCTGGAACAACTCTAAGGTACATTCTCAATACTTGTGAAGGAAACTTTCTCATAACATCCAAATAAGCATCGAAATCTTGCTCACCAGTGTCTCCAATTAATAAAAACTTTCTTCGTGGGAATTCCTCGAAAATTCTGTACAACGTATTTCTCTTTCTCTCGACAGCAGGCTCCATAAGAGATGATAAGATGTTACCGGTATATTGCTTTAAATGGATAGAGCCCGGTGGAAATTTCTGAATTTCAAAGAATTTTCTAATAGTTGGATACAATTGCCAAGGGCTATTCGAGACATAATGAAATAGGCAATGATGGTTTTCGAATAAGTTCCAGTAAAACTTAGCCGTACCTTCGATTGCCAGATCTTTCAAGTCTTTTACAAACACATTGTTGAAAACCGTCCTTTTATCACTAGTGACCTCGGTATGCTTAATGGTATCATCAATATCCGAGATTACGCTAATACCTTCTGGCTCGATGTAAAGCACTTCTTGGAATGAAAGAGTGGGTTCTGAGGAATAATTGCTCACCATTACTTGTACCAAGGATGGTTTGTAAGGAGTGCGTATTGTGAGTTCAAATTTCCCATTCAAATCTGTTTCTACCCTCTCAGTGATAAGATCTTCTGGAGAAAGCTTTTCTTCTGAACAAATAATTATCGTTAGCGGCACATTTGTCAATGATTTAGCAAAGAAATAGGCAATCCGTTGCCGTAGAACCTCCTCTGGTGTATTAAGAGACTTAGCATCATTGGAATCATAAAATATAGTCAGGCCACTTAGAGAATTATCACTTGCCGAAGACCTCAAAGACAATGTGTCGTCGTCTTTGTAAGCCAGTGATAAGCTGTTAGCATTACCAGGATGACCGGTTGTTTGCATAGCAAAATTGGAAGCCAAAAAATCGGCAGTTTTGCTGCTACCTGGCTTTATTAGCTGCTTAGCTAAAGAAAATACAATCCTGTTTTTTCTGTTCATCGTTCCTGGTGCTGTCAACCATCCACGAACCTCCACATAATAATTACCATCCTTATATAGGGTGTACGATGGATATATTGTAATCTCCGAATTCTCAGGTACTTCAAGCATTGTGTTGCCGTTTTCATCGTACGTGGTTTGTGGTTCTCTGGCCCCTGAGGTATCCTTCAGATCAATGAACTCTGATCTCATATTAGAAGAATTGTAGTCTGGATTGTCGGAAAATCTAGCTAGATTTTCCGACATGAGCGTAGAGCCCTTGGTACGTGCCTCATTTGCCAATTTTGAAAGCAATGGCTTCCCTTCACTTTTAAGGGAATTGAAAAATGACCCAATTTTCTTAAAACTGATATCTTCATCATCTTCATGTGATGTATATGTTGATGTAGAATAAGAGTAGCCACTGGGCATGTTAAAATATTGTTATAATGTTTTGGGTTTTGTTACTCTAATCCATTCACCCTTTCTGCAAAATAGCACCTCCAAAATTTCTAGGAATATCGTCGTTTTATGAAATATATGTCAACACCACTGTTTGGCAAATTTATTCAGGGAAGTAAAGAGATGATGCTTTACGTTGTTTGCGCACGTGATTATGATCACGTGATACTGCTTAAAAATGTGTCTTTGGGCTGTCTGTCAATTGCCAGGAGGCAGAGTGGTTATTATATTGGCTGCACTTCCTCTCCCAAGTAATTTCAATCTCAGATGGAGTGTTCTCATTACTATCAGATTTTTAAAATAAGATATTTTACTGGCCCTAAAAAGATTTGCGGTGTAATTATAGCCTGACTTTCCTGCAGACCATATCATCTTCCAAAATAAATAAGTATATATATACCTTAATATAAAAATAAGAACATCTATTATGCTATATATATATATATATATGAGGAAAGTATGTTTTGTCTACGGCCGATTTAGAAATAGAAAGTGCTCTATCGATTTTGTTCGTGTCTATCTCACGGATGGTTTCTATGAAGCAAGTATGCCAATTTCAAAAGTGCCAGTAGCAACCGTAGTTTGGGAATTGGGAGCCCTGTGTTGATGGTCGCCCAAAAACGATGTTCCATGTCCCCGGACTAGAGTCATAAATTTATTATCTGTACGTTATTCCTTGGTTCCTCTGGTGATCCCATAAAATGCTGTCTGGAGAATTTGTTTTAGTTTGATTCTTGTTTCGTGTGTGCGCGCTTTTTTTAATATAAAAATCTATTTTATATAACCCTAGTGATGTTTATCAAGTCATCATTAATCATAAGGCGGGCTCCTCTACGGACTTTAACAAATAACCTTTCTCCTCGAAAAATCAATACTGCCGCAATTTTCCAAAGCCTTGATCCATCAACAGAATTGAAAACAACATCACAATCAATCAGTTTTGAACAAGATTATCATATCAGATCAAGTCTAGAAAAAATCATTCATCGCTATGCAACAAAGCCATATCAGAAGATAACCCTCAACAAACTTGTGCAGTATGGTGGAACCAACCTCTCTGATGAAGAAATCATTTCTGCCGCCAATGAGACTCTATTGAACCTCAAAATCCTTAATGCGAAAAGACTCATCCATATCAGATCTTTGCCCTATATGGTGGTTCTAAACCCTCACATTTCTCTTTCATATTCTCTTTACCTAAGGTCAATGAGAGAAATATTGTCGACACCTCCTGTCCTTACCGTGGCTGATGCCCTAGAATTTGTCAAAGTCTGTGAAGATTTCCTTGATAAACATGCCGATGCCATTCCAAGATTATCTAAAGGTTTTACAGAAATCATTGGGAAGTATTATCCAAAGGCGGACTCTTTCAAATTTTTAGATATTCATTTACGTGAGCGTATCATTATGAAGCTCACAGCTCAGCATTTCATCTTTTTGATGAATCCTCCTACCGCAACCAACATTGGCGTATTAGATCTGAACTTGAATATCAACCAACTTGTCAAGCAACAAGCAGATTTTGTTAATGAACTTTGCAATATGAAGTATATGAAGAACTGTCAACTAGAAATTGAAACCAACAATTATTACACAAGCAAGGACACAAATAACAATGACTCATTAATCGTTGAACGCAATAAGGACATTTATTTCCCCTTTATTTACGAGAATTTAGAATATTGCATTCTTGAGCTTTTAAAGAATAGCTTTCGCGCCCATATTGAAAATGACGTTCCTTACGAAAATAAAATTAAAGTGATAATCAACAAATACATAGATGAAGATGCCAATGTCCCAATTTTACAAATTAGAATTAGCGATCAAGGAGGTGGTATTGATCCGGAAACCCAACAGCAAATGTATGATTTCAGTTTCACTACAGTCAAGTCAGAAGATGATAGTGACGTTTATGATTCACAAAACAATAGATCGGTTGCAGGCATGGGTTATGGGTTAGGGTTGTCAAAGACATATTGTCAAATATTTGATGGCTCATTACATGTAGAAAGTTACTACGGGTATGGTACAGACGTTTATATAAAACTTAAGGGACCAAGTTTATCATACGCCAATTGAGGCGCCTATCTTTATTATTTTCATTTTTTTTTTTTTTTTTTGCTATTGTTTTTTCACTGCTGGGTACTGGTGCTATTGGTATGGGTCTCTTGAATGCACGTCCATTCATTATTATGATTATCATTCTTTTACATAATTTTTTCTTTAATGAACAATTTTAGTGCTTCTTTTGTTGGTAGAATCTCTGCCATTTGTCGTGGTTTACTACATGCCTAACTAAAGTGTTAAAAGCATATCAACATTATCACGTGAATTTGCTACTTGAATCCTCTTCCGTGGGTATCATTGATGAAACATTTTGGAGTTAACAAATTTTAGAGGAATCCTTGGTTTATATTAATGTCAAAAATATATTTTGAAAAGGAAATGGGAAACTGGTAATGATAAAAATAATTTCCGTTTGCTCTTTTTTGACATCATAGCAGAAAGCTCAAAAGAAAGTCTTTCTATTTGATTGAAAAAATTACAATACAAGCGCTCAGCCTAATATCCTGGTGAGAATCTTCACGATTACTATCCATATAATATTGAATTTGGTACCAATTACTTGAGATACCTGGAGTCCGTATCTAAAATGAAATATTTATCAATGTATTCAGTCATTCTACTATGTTTTTGCTTCAAATCATTACATGGTTTTCCCTTGTTAGAAACATGTGGCTATTTCAAAAGAGACTCGCAAGATATACTACTACTGGAGGGCCAAACAACTGTTTCTTCTTCTTCGATTGTTGCTGAAAAAATCAAGAAGATCTCTGACGCGTCATCAAGATCAACTGCGACAACTTCCACTGATATTTCGTATTTGCCAGATATTACTGGTGCAGCGTCGTCGTCAGACGTTATTCTGGAAACAGAAATTGAGCAGTTGATAGATTCAGGTGATTTCTTTGCGCATGGTGGCTCTTACGTTTTCCGAAACTCGTCTGGCTACTATTTCATTAATGGTACAGCATTGCTGGGAAAATTGGATATTCTCGATAATGGTAGTAGTAGCATTGACATTTCGGAGCCCCTCGTTACATCTCTATCTCAAGATGAAATCGATCAATTAGTGAAATCTGCTGAGGAGAAGTATAAAACAAAGGATGTGTTCAATATTCAAAGCACAGGAATTTATGAGGATATAGGGCAATTGAAACTCATTTTTTAGTTGATAACAGCCGTCTTTTTATTTGATTCCCTTACTTATGGCAACAAACATGAGCTAGAAAACCTTATGAGAAGCAGAACTAGAAATTAAGGTGTAAACACTCGCCTAAACTTGTGTATTTGTTTAGTATTACGCGATCGACGTGGTTTTTCTGTAGTGCACAACTCAGCTCTCATGGATGCACCAAACACAGTCCCATTAGATATTGGTTTACCCTTTCTATTTCTGCTACCCTTATTTATTATATATCAATCAGAGGGTTATTTTTCGCATTTCGAGAGCGAAATGTATCTATTTAGTTAACCAATTTAATGAATGAATATATTCAGTGTGAGCATGCTATACACCCATAATATGATACTGATGGTTGTGTAGAACATTTTATCGACCAATATCCAAGTATCCCTTGGAAGCAATTACAACACAAACTATACCCAGAATCAATTTTTTCTAGCTCATTATTGACAGCTTCTCACTGATGTCAATGTGCATGTAGATTATTGTCCAAAAATAATATACGTGCTTATAAGCATTGGCAAAACCCTTCATCAATATGTATGAATTGTTTCGATTTTCATCACTGCTTGAAACTGTTTCCAGCAGTGATAAAATAGGGCCTCTAATAAACTGCTAACTAGAGAGTTAAGATAAGTAAAGCCCGAGGAGGAATAAAGTACACCGATCAACCAGAAGAGGGCGAGTAGAATCGCCTGGATGATCAATCGGCTTTATTATTGCCTTTCCCCGGGAACACCATGTCGGTGGAATATTATGCGGTCAATATATGCACGCATTTTAGGAAATTAGAAACTCCTTTATTGAAACAAAATTGCAGACCACCAAAAACGGTTGTCATATTTGAATTTTTTTTCTTTTATTTAACCTGTACCATATATCATTGATCTAACCCCGTTCAAATTTCTCCATGTTAGGAGAGTTCTCACAATTCAGTAAAATTGGCAGTGACTGTGAAGAAAGACTATTGTGGTATGCCTCTTCCTATGAGGATAAGGACACCTTGCCTCTCTATTACAGGCTAGAAAAAATTAATTCATTAGTGGAAAGACCTTCTTTTTGCTGGTTTCCAAATGTGATATCACAAAGTATTCTTGGACTCTTGGATTATTTGCGGGAACCTGAAAATAATCACAGAACGTTGGTTATATGATCGGTGTCTAGTTAGTTTACATGTGTACTTAAAGTATCGCTTTCTCTAACTGTTGTAGCTCCATCCTATTAGTATGGCAGAAGATTGTAGACTTACAATAATGAAATACATTTCACTGAGTTATCTAACTTTTACCGTAGTGAATTATAACGAAACAATTCAAAACTGAAAAGTTTAACAATCAATTACCCTTGAATTGGCCCATTAAATTAAAGTATAGAGGCCAGGAAAAATAGGAAACCATCTTCACGCATAACTGCTAACAAAATAGCCTGAACTAAAGAGGAAAAATTTTCTTTTGAAAAATTTTCAAAAGAAAATGCTTGCACATCTTAATTTTATTTTTTTATGCCAAACAATAAAATGGTGTGGCAAAATTGAACCATTGAGTGGAGTTTTTTTTGTTTTTATTGGGGTAGTTTTTTTTTAGCTTTACGAGAGCAATGAAATAGTAGTAGCCTTCGGAAATGGTCCAACGAACAAAGCACCATGTTTATAGATAGGTTTTGGCAACCTGCGTCTCACCAAAATAGGTCGAGATTTTTTTTCTTTTTTTTTCAGTGCGTCAAGTAGTGGATCTGCAATGGGACAAACATAGCAGATAGAGTGCATGTTTGTTTGTCTTTTGGCGTTTAGTAATATCGGTACATCTTGGGGACGGTTTGCATAAACCCATTTCTGTAAAGGATTAAAAGGGGCCCAAATTCCACTTGTTTCCTTTTTTCTGCTTCTATTCTTTCTTTCTTTCTTTCTTTCTTTCTTTCTTTGTTTCTTTTTTTCAATCTTTTATTTTCCACCTCACCTCCAAGTAACTTTGACAATTAATCATCAATGCCTGCCAGATCCGCTGACGCCATATTTTTCTATTCTACTATTGTTTTTGCAGTGGTTTCTTGGATCGTTTTACTCGTTCCTCTTGCTTACGCACAAGCTCAATACTTCTGGAATTTTTATGATGATGATTTTGATTATGCTTCTTCTTATGATGATGACTTGCTTTTTGAAACATATTCTGCTACCTCATACTCCTCAGTTTGGTGGGCCTTTGGTTATGAAACATTCCTTATTGCCTTCCTTGTCGCTCTCAGATTAATTCCAAACCGCTTTAATGCTTTGTTACCAGTATCTTTGGTCCTTGTTTCTATTTGGAATAACTACACGACCCTTTCTATTTATATTTTTGAGACCACCAGCTACATTCGTGCTATTAATGCTGGTAGCGCCATGTTAGCAATTGTTGGGTTTGTATGGTTGTTCTATTACAGTTATGAAAAGAAATCCGCTATTCTTGCAGATGAAGTTGTTGATGATGAAAAAGCCGTGGAGAATGCTACTCCTGCTGCTGTTGAGCCTGCTGCTGTTGAGCCTGACGCCAAGCATGTGACCGAATCTGCCACCGAGCCAGCCACGGAACCAGAGGCTAACACTGTTTAGATAGAAATTTGCGCTTGCTAAATCAAGACAATTTTCAAGATTTACTTATCCTCTCTTGACTTTCTCAAATAATTTTATTCTACTTTCACATGTCCTCCTTTAATGATTTCGTTTTTGTTATGACCACTACCTAATTTTCCAGTTGCCTCCGGCTTCCAACTAATATCTAATATACCATATTGATTTTATGAATATTTATTCATTGCTAATATACCACTTTTAAGTTATGAATGCTTGCCTAATGTGTGTGATCATCTAATTATCTAGCATGGCTCTTGATTTCTTGTCGCAGGTGTAACACCCCTAGTATAAAAATCTAACCCTTCGTATTTCATAAGTAATCGTTTCATAATTTAATATAAATGAAACTTCACGTATTGAAATCAGCCCTCGATAATATAATTGTTCACAAGTCATATCTAATTACAAAGTAATTTTTAAAATGGCAAGCTTCCTAAACTATATTTCCAGATATTGACAAGAAAAATGACATATAATCAAAGTTTGTGGTGCTTTCTTCCAGAAAATAGCTACCCACTAGATTCTGTAAGCATTTTATGCAAAATAGCTTTTACAGCTGTGAGTCAGTAAATGGCCAATCAAACTGATTTCTTGTAGTTTCACAAAGTGTTTCAGCTTCCAAAGATGACTTGATCCTTTGCTATCGTGCTCATTTTTGCGGCAGCTCACTGTTTTTGCTTTTGATACAGGCTATTTTTCTTACTGATCTATTGATGATTATATTTCCAATTTGGGAGCGGCCGTGAAGATTGTGACACTCTCAGTTGTCATTGCTGATTTCCTACTATTCTGGGCACTCCTCTGGGTTTTAAACTATTCATAATACCTCTGAGTTTTTTTCAGCCTGTTTCACTGTTCCAGTTTCCAATGTCCTCTCCCAGCTAGTTGGTGGATTTTTAGTCAACAAAAAAAATTCTCATATCGTCAGTCTTATCAGGTTTAGTGTGCATTGACTCAAAACAATAAATTGGTACTCATTTTTGGTCTTTGTTTCTATTATGAGAAACTCGTTACTTCTTTCGACCATATTTAAATATCTAACCCTATTTTTGGGATAATGGGGCCCATTTAAAATTTATTGTCTCTCAAATTAATGCCATCTCAATTTTGTGTTGTGATTCGTGCACACTTTTTGTGTGCAACAAATCAAAACCCACTGTTCTGGGTACAGGGTGTGACACCCGTTTATTGACCTTAACATAAGCAAGCTTCTTTCGTAGCTACGTGGAGAAGAAAATGGCGTAATGAAAGTAGCCATGGTTGTTTCAAATGATTTTTCTGTTATTTTTTTGAAATAATTGAGGTAAAGAAATAAACTAATCCCTAAATGCTGAAACCAATGCTAAATTTTGGAATTGTATCACAATGACTGAAGAGATTGTGCCCCCCCTCCTCCAAAATTTTTGACAGTATTTTCAGTAGAAACATTATATAGCAACAATTCGACAATAAAGTTTCTGCAGGATCTCTTTACTAATCATTTACAAAAAAAAAAAAAAAAACTATTGCTCCATGAGGTGCTATATAAACCGTCTCCCATTTCAAAAATGTTTAGGGAAAACAAGAAATCTCATGAGTCGTATCAAGCTTTCTTTTTATTTAATCAGGTTCCCATCTTTTTTTTTTAAGAATATTATAAGTGATCAAATCTTTTCTTACCTTTATCATGCATTTCAAAAAGAGTTCATCACAGTCCACCCTGTACAAGGTGCCCCTTGTTGGATTTTACATCAATTTTGTCTTTGCCTTTTGCGCCTGGATTGTATTGTTTATTGCTACCGCTATTAGCCAACATGATCTCAATTCTAGAATTGTGCCTACTTACAGCTATCATATAGCTCGTGGTAAGATTTTTAGTTTTGTGTGGTGGGCAATTTTCTACCAGCTTTTCGTTTTTGGTATCGCCCTTGTTCAAAGCTTTAGTGTTATGGGAGAAAGCTGGATGTTTTTTTGCAACTCTCATTTGTGCAACAGCTTGACCATTGTTGCTTTAATTCAGGCCATTCTTGTTACTGATCGGTTTATTTTTTCCATTTTCAACTCGGAAATCGCAGTTGGGGTCGGGGCTCTCTTGATTGCTATTGCTAATTTCTTGTGGCTTTGGTACTTCTCCAAGTTTCAATCCATTTGTGCCACTTGTGAGCATGATCGGGTGTTGGATCGTGAAAAGTCAGTGGGTACTGCTGTCGCTACTAATGCTGCTGGTGCAGAGGCCACTGCTAATGCCCCACATGAAGGCTACAATTACAATGTTGCTCAAAATGAGCGGACTGGCGGTGATGCTATGATGACCGGCGATGCTAATAAGTTTAACACCAGACCTTCCGTTAGTGACACTCAGCACAGTCAAACTACTGCCGCTGCGCCAGAAGCTCCTGCTCCTGTTTTAAATACCAACCATTAATAATTTAAATGGTCTGTTTCTTTTTCTACTTTAAAATATTATTATTGTTATTGTTATTGGTCTGATTTGTTGCGATTTTTTTTTGAATTTGTGCTGTTTGCAGGAGGCAGTGTTTCTACCCTACACATATTGCGATGTATCTTCTTATATAGTGTGTCTTGTTGAATATAATATTAAACTATGTATTGTATATATGATGATTATTTTGAAAAAGATTTTACTGTGTCAGTGGGACATAAAAAAAAAATAAGGGAACCCAGAGATGCAATTTTGATATGTGCACCAGATTTTGTGTTCCAAAATGAGGTTATTTCCTCCTGATTAGGGAATTCTGTTTTGGCGGTTTTCATGCAATTACTCCAAAAGGGTGATTAACGTACCTTCTGGAGAAATGGTAGCCATTTTTTAGTTGGTTATTTGTATGGTGTTATAATTTGAGCTCACCTTGTATTCCATGAAAATTTCTGTATATTTCAAAGAGCCATAGTGATCTCTCTAATATCGAGGTTGGGTTTCTATAGTTCGTGACATAAGAATGTCTTTCTCGCGGTTTGATAGTAGTTAATGGTAACAAGTAGTAGAGCTTTAACCACCTGGTTTATTCCATCCTGAAATATCTTGCTTTTTCTTATCTAAAATATGCCACTTTCTAAAGTTGGCAATATTTCCAAGATTCAATGGATGTCACACGCATTATGAGTTATTGTGGACTTGATTCCCATTTTTATTACTTCACGTCTATATGCAAGAAATTCATAAATATATAAGTTACGCCTTATTTTTATATTCTTTGTGAGTATATTTTAATGAATTTCAATTAAAGGAACGATATATTTTAGTTGGTATGGTATCACGCTCATGGTACAATTTCTGCGTGACCAATTGTGGCCAACCATCTTACGTTAGCGTTGTAGGAAGTTGTCGTCAGAGACGTACACTAAAAATTCCTTGTCTATTTAGGGAAAATCTTCAGGTCATTCGAAAGATGAAACGAAACTGGGGTGCAAAGAATCTACGTTACAATATTTCATATATGAAATCTTTGCCCAAAAGATTCACAAATATAAATTGTTACGTGTGGTATTTTTTTACTTTTTTAGTGGATTACGTTTATATGATGTGCCAAAAAAAAGAAGAAAGTTATTTTCCCTATGATGTCCTCCACTTCAACACATTTTATCAAGAAATAAATTAGATTAAATATTTATAATTGAAATGGTAAATCAATGTAATAGATAATGAGGATTTTTGGCATCTTGGCCAGCTACTGGAATTGGAAACTAGGAAATTCCCTCAGTCTTATTTTTCCAAGCAATTAACCAAATGTGTTTAACAAGAGGCCCAAAACACAACATGGGATCCCTAACTAATTGATTCCCTTACACAAAAACTAAATTACAGAAATGTTTCCTATTACCATTTTTGCAGCCAGGGCGTTTGAAACTGTCGATCTACATATGCACTAAAATAGCCAGGATTTCTCCAATACTAAAGAAAAATAGATATCATCCGTCCATCAGCTGTGCTGGTATATCTCACACAGATTGTATTGAATATAAATTCTTTTGCTCATTTATGGCCTACTAGTCTAAGCGAATAACCATGGAAAAGCCGTATTTTATCGCCATTTCTTGCAGAAAAAACATGGATTTTCCTACACAATAGTATTTTTATGGGGGAGAATCAGGTAATTTTCTTTGGATAAGTCCTTCTTCAAACACCACGTCTGCTGAAACGCACTAAAATCCCCCGTTGCGCAGGAGTATGTATTAAAGTTACAAAGATACAAAAATACAAAAATACAAGAACAAACCCGACAATTGGTAAATTGATAAAGGGATTTCTGTAATAATATCTTTTATACTATTTCACAAAGCTTTATGAGGTAGTTACAATGATTGCTGGTCGCATTCTTATCTTCGTATCATGTGTGGTGTTGTTTTTTTCTGTTGCTATTTTTAATGGTTTGCCATGTGTTAAATTGGTGACTGTTTGAGCTCGTGCAGTTGTTTTATCCTGTTAACTTTCCTATTGTTGAGCTTTCTTTTATCTTTAAGAAATCCACAAGTTAGGATAGCTCCAGAGAAAAATTACAAGCTAGCGATACTAGCGCAGCGCATGCAACGCTGTTTAGCGTCTCTTCTATGCATGAATCTCCAATCTCAAACATGGAAGTTGAAACATGAGTAAACGTTCGTAGTTTCATTGAGATGTTTCGAAGTCTGCAACCCTATCAATGGATCCCTAATTTCCCTGGTAGCATATATAGCGAAGGCAAATGTTCAATATTTTACAATGTCTAGTTTTTTTATGGTAAACACTTACCTTATAACCACCTTTTAACATTTCACGGTACTATCACAACACAAAAATACAATCCGTTATTAGCCATTAATTAATAGTACTTTGGATTAACACACTTATCCACAAAGACTCTAGTTCAATAACAAGAATAAAAAATGGTCAAGTTTCTCAAGCACCAAGTCAAGGCCATTGACAACAACAAGATAATTAAATGTGACCAAAAAGTTGAGCTTAAAGTTGTTCAACAGCCAGTCAAAGCAAGAGTGTCTGGACGTAAAGAAACTAGAAATTCCTCTAGACGTCTTGTGGACCCACAACCAATTGTTCAATTAAAAATTCAACTGGGTGATAGAGATATAATTGATTATAGTCTTGGTATTTATTTCATCAGAGCTTCTATTGATTGTATCGGATTTAGTGATTCCGAAACTTTCATGGCTAAACAAAGAAAATCTAGAATGCAAGAAGATAGTCAAGAAGATTTTGATGTCCTCAGAGGTACTACCACAGTTACTGCTCAGTTCTACAAGGGCAGCCCTTATGTTGCTTGTGGTGTCTTTGATAACTTATCTGTTAGATTCAAGGGTGAATATAGATTAAGATTTGACCTCTATGAGATCCAATCTTTCTCTCCAGATGGTTCTGTTTCTGTCAAGCCAAATGTCATTCATTGGAAAAATGCCACTGTTTACTCTTCTAGATTTACCGTTTACACCGACGCTTCATTTGATGGTCTCGAGGCTTCACCAATCCTTAATGAGCAATTGAAGAAAGCTGGCTGCAGAATCAGAACCAGAAAGCCAAAGACCAACTTGCCTGCTGGTATGAAAAACTTACCATACGAGGATTTCAGAATCGCCAAACCAATGAAAGGCTATCCTAATGGGCCAATTGGTATGGGTGGTGTTATTGGTGCTGGTCTTCAGTTCTATCCACAAATGAATAATGGTTTCAACCCTGCCGTAGGAGCTGCTTCTGTTTATAATAGTCCACAATTAGGATATGGTGGTAGCAACTATTTTGATTCCCCTTTGCCTTCTAGAAGCGCTACTCCTTTGCAAACTGTTCAAAGAAGTCAATCTATCACTGATGTCTATAGTAGATCTGCCACACCAATGAATGGCTATTCTGCAAATTCGGTCATGGGTACCCCTATGCCAACTATCAAGTCCCAATACTTCACACCATCCCAACAGGCTCCTGATACTCCACAAACCAACCAAGTTGATGTATTCTCCACCCCATTGACACACTTATCCATCAATGATTCCGCTGCTTTTGACGCCACTGGCTTAGACTTGTCGCCTCTTGAACAAGATGTCATTTTCAACCCACAAGCAAATCAAAGCTCGAATTATGTGTTGGGCAATAACAATGGTCTTAATAATAATCTCGGTGGTCCAATTGACAATGGTTCAAAGCTTGACTTCAACAACTTGGATGGTTTCTATCAATCTTTGTCAGTGGGTAATGATGTTACTGTTGACAATATCAATAATGCTCCAAGATCCCAAGAAGTACTTCTTGAATCATTCTCAAGTACTGTTAACAATAGTGATATTAGCCAAAAGCAGCTGCAACAACAACATCAACATCAACATCAACAACATCAACAGACTCCAGTACAGCAGCAACAAACTAAGTATGAAGATTCAAGTGATAATATTGACTTCATGTCTTTATTACAAGATAATATCAACTTTAGTGGTGTTTCAGAACAGCAGCAGCAGCAATTCCAACAACAACAGCAATTCCAACAGCCAAATTTTGAAAACCCATTCGCTATAAGTGAGTTGGAATTCACCTTCTAATAGACTTTTCAATTCTCTCAACTTTACTATTATTAATGTTTCATAATTTTCTTTACTCATCTTCAATTTATTTTCTCGGTTTTATAGATATAGATTATCTTCTTTTTTTTATGAGGTTCCTCCCTCTAACATATTATATTTACGGTTTATAACTTTTATTGTTTTCACTTTACGACTCTGGGCATATATATATATATTTATTTCTCGACCTTTTCATTTGATTAACCTTTTGCCTTCTTTTTTTTGTTTCCCATCATAATAAAAGTACTATATTTAATGATTCAATGTATCTAGAATTTGTACTGTAAATTTTTTAGGGTTTCAAAAATGGCGATTGCACTTAACAACATAAAACGGGATCTTGTTTTAAAATCACGCTACATGCGACATTTAATAATCGAATCTTAACTAAGCAAGAAGTACAGAAAAAGATAAAGCAAAAAATATTTCAATCCTTTTTTAGTATATATGTATAAACCATCTACTATACTTACTCAGATCGACTAAATAATACAGAACAGTACTATTCCGTCCCGAAGATCCTGCCTCCTTCTCGAACATTCTTCATGTAACCTAAATATTATGTATTTAAACTTAAAAAATTAATCAACATTGAACAAATCAACTCAAATTTAACAGAACAATCAAAATTCCAGAATATTTTGAAAGCAGATATTGGACTAAAGATATAATAAAAATACAACTATATGTTGTTCTTTGAGAACAAAAACTCACTGATGTCCAGATAACAGCCCTACTAAACATAAACATGAATCAACAGCATTCTACAAAAATTAGAGAGTGAAATATCTTCACTTCTTAATGATAGTTAGCAATTACATATTTAGGAACTACGTATTCTTATTGTTATTTTTACCATCTTACTTGTTACAAGGTGTTGATATGCCTGATCCATATAGAGAATCTTTTACCCAGAAAACTCCTAAACACTCTACGGTGCTTCTATTTGTTATATAAGGGGTTCAATATCCAGATTCATTTACCTTTATATCTATTTCATCAACTACAGATAGTGTGAATATATTACTATATTACCAGGAAAATCACTTTTTTCTTTCATTTAAAGTTTGATTTGTTAATGAACATACAAGTATATATCTATATAAATTCATATGTGGTACCACTATTTATTTGATGTCAGGGAAAGCCATATTATGGTGATTCTACTAATATTTGGATTATTATTTTGGCGAACGGCTGAATGATTTGTGTCTTTACGAGTCACAGAGGTTCTGAATAACATGCAAGCCGGGCATTTCATGCCGGTCTTTCTAATAGATAAGTAAAATGCTATAACTTTCTCACAACCTCACACTCCTTGCTTTAAGAATTAATGATCACGTGATATGACAATAGAAATGTGATTCACAAAACTGGAAACTAAAGCTTTCAAGTTGCCTGCTTAGCTTAGGGGTAAAGCGTTGCACTTGTAATGCAAAGATCACTAGTTCGAATCTGGTAGTAGGCAGCATCAATTTTTTTGTTTTTACAACCCAGTCTTTTGGATTTTGTAGAATGAACTTCAATTTTTTTTTTTTTCGTTTCGTTTCGTTTATTTCAAAGTATATAGCCTTATCAAATTTAACTTTTTAGGAACGTCTATTAAACTCAGCATGCTTTTGCTTATTATAGGTTTACTGTGGTGAGCCAGAATTGCACGTGATGAAATACTTCAAAAACGTGAGACAGAAAACAAAAAATCAGAACTTTGCGTTCAATATTTTGATATGAAAAAGTATTTATTTATACTGTCCCTAGGTTTTTTTTTTTAGAAGTTGAAGCCTAGTAATAGGAGTTTGGAATTGTATCCAGAATACTTTGTATAATTAACTGTATCATAGAAGAGGAAAAGCATAGCGCCTTATTTTTTTTCTGATTCTTTCATTCACATTTGTTCATTCACTCATTATTTTTCTGGCGATAAGGAGATATTGATAATGTTCGAGGATAGAGATGTACCGGAAATGCCTGGCATTTTACAGCCAGATAATGTTGCTTTTGATTTAAAACAAACAGTTGCTCAAATGCTTGGGCTCAAAAGATTTGATCGTTTCCCAGGAAGTCAGCCCGTTAGTTTTGAGCGGAAGCATATCGCGGAAAGATTAATGAAGCATGATTACTATGTATGTGAGAAGTCTGATGGGTTAAGATGTCTAATGTTAATATTGGCTGACAGCTTTGATGGAAGAGTTGAGGAGGGAGTATTTTTAATCAATAGATCTTATGAGTTTTATCGTGTGCCAAACATTCATTTTCCAATAAGCAAACGAAATTTAATTCAGCCTCATAATGGAACTCTAGTTGATGGAGAATTAGTATTGGATAAAAGGCCAGACGGCACGAAAGAATTGAGATATTTAGTATTTGATTTGCTAACAGTGAATGGGACTTCATACACTTCAAGACCAACAGACCGAAGATTGGCTCATATTAATGATTTGATCGAACCATACTATGAATACCGAAAACAATATCCAGAAGAAAGTGCGGGATTTGCTTTCAAAGTTACCCCAAAGAAGATGTCTACATGCTCAAAAATCCCAAGAATATTGGATTCCTTGCCTCATTTGCCACATATTTCTGATGGGTTAGTTTTCACTTGTTGTGAAACCCCATACGTGTTTGAAACTGATTCTACTTTATTGAAATGGAAACCTGCCGAAGAGAATACTATTGATTTCAGAATTGAATTGAAGTTTAAGTTATATAAAGATGAAATAGAGGAATATTATGATTACGATTCAAAGCCAAAAATCGAACTACATGTCTGGAAAGGTGACAGAAATTATGATTACTTTGGTGACTTAAGTATAACAGATCACGAATGGGAAGAGTTGAAGAAATTGGAACAACCTTTGAATTTGAGAGTTGCAGAAGTTAAGAAAAATAATAATGGGGATTGGAATATTCTTAGATTTAGAGATGACAAGGAACATGGAAACCATTATACTGTGGTGAGGAAGATTCTACAATCTATTGGTGACGGTGTTTCTAGTAAAGAGCTAGTTCAAACCTGCCCAGAAATCGAAAGACTGTGGATCAGGCGTGCTGCTGAAAGAAAACAAATGGCAATGGCAAAGCAGGGACATAGAGCACCACCTCCACAACAAAACCATGTGTCAAACAATAGATCAAATAGTGAATCTGATGAAATAGCATCCAGAAAACGAGCTGCTGCAAATATCCTACCAACTTATGATTTTGAAGATGATGACGATGACGATGATGTGGATGAAGTTGATGTGAAGAGACGGAAGGGTTGATTTACATGATTATATGATGAGTGATAATGATAGCTAACGCATTTTTTCTTTTTTTTTATTCTTCTTCTGTTGTACTATAGTTTTAATAGCTAAATCGCTGCCTAATGTGATTTGTAGATTTATAAATTCAGAAAATTCTGTAATGAAAGCATTAATTAAGCTACCCTAAGAAAGTCAGAAACAAAGTAGAAAAAAAAAAAGGATAATTCATAAAATATCATACATATACTATAATTAATTTAACTATGGTTATTATTATTATTGCTGTTGTTGTTGTTGTTGTTGTTGTTGTTGTTGTTGTTGTTGTTGTTGTTGTTGTTGTTGTTGTTGCTGCAATATTTGTTTTTGCATTTGGATATGTTTTTGATGCATGTATTGTTGGTGCTTCTGTTGTGCTAGTAGTTGTTGTTTTTGAAGCAAATATTGTTGCTGCTGTTGTATGGAAGGGGTCACATAAACTCTTGGTTTGATGATATATTCATCATTGCTATCAATTTTGAAATACGCCACTCTACCACTAATTGGACTGCTACTTAATCTACCATTACCAAAACCATTACTGTAGAATTCTCTCATTTTGACATATTTTGATTTTGATCTGATTGGCAATCTATTATTGGTAGCCAAAGGCATGGCAAACGATCCCTTAACACCCTCCATGACTTGAAACGTTTCTTCATCTGAATCCAAATATTGTGAACCCCCATGTGCTAAATCATCCTTTTCTGCTTGTGCCAAAGCTGAACTTGCCAAAAGCTTGACTTGATTCTTTCTTTGATAAGCAGCCAATAACGCGTCATAGGAGGCCGATCTACCAAGCACGGCTCTCTTGGCACCCATGGAGTGTGTTTTACAAGTCAAAGATCTTGCACAGAACCCACCATCCTTAAGAGGCACACCACATTGTTTCTCAACGTCCACGGGGCCTTTCACCTTAGCTTTTGCAGTGGTGGTTGTCTTTGATTTTTTCTCCATTTGCTTCTGTAATTTCTTAGTTTCCTTCTCCTTCTCCTTCTGCTCTTTTTCCTTTTCTTTTTTCTTCAACTTTTTCTGTTTACGCTCCTCAATCTTCTGTTGCTTCTTGAGTTCACGTAATTGTCTAGCTTCTTCTTTTTCCTTTTCCTTATCCAACTTCCTCTTTCTTGGATTCTTTGCAGTAGCATTTCCCAAACCAGATGAAGGACTGCTGATGGCACTAGCTGATGCAGATGGTGTCAATGATTTTTCGAGATTATTCTCAACCTTAACTGTGGATGTATTATTATTAGTATTATTTCCATTAATGATTGAGCTTGTAATTACCGGAGGATTTTTTTTCATTTCAGTACATTCTTTAATGTGCTTTTCAAGATAGGTGTCAAGGATTGGTCGTTCACAGTGGTTACAAATTCTGTATTTTAGAGGGGTTCTCAAAGGGTTCTTATTTTTCAGTATTAAGCTATCACTGATTTCTTTCAGACTGATATTTATGTTAATGCTGCTATTTTTTCCGGTAATGTTATCCACATAGTTACCAACCTCACGCCAGTTAGGATTTCTATTAGAAAGATTAGGATTATTTGGACTGGTTAGAGTGTCACTGTTATTAACCCTTTCTGGTTTAAGCTTCAAACTATGGATAATCTTGTTGGCGTTTGGGGTTCCCACCAATGCTTCTTTGGGTATCTTAACTTGCACATTATTATTTAATTTAGGAGGTCGTTTACCAGCAGCCATACCAACTGAAAAGTTTCAACAAAGGATATCAGTTTGTTAAAAAAAAATAACAAAAATCTAAAGCGCAAGAACTAATCCTTTAGTATTCATTCCTGGTCTATCTAGATTAGCGATCAGCATCACTTATCACTTTACGAAGCTGTTTGTTTTTGCCTTTCTTGACGGTGTTTGGGTGGACAGGGTCTCGTAACCAGTAATTGGCGGAGAAAGTCGATTGATAAGGAGAAATAATATTCTTTTGAAACAATTTGCAATAAATTTTGTAGAGTCTTTTGGATACTAGAGGAATATATAATTTGGTTGCATCATGTTCTTCTTCGTCTTGTGCGTGTGGCGTCAGGTCTGTGTGTGTTTCTAGGTTAGTGAAGTTATTCCATGCAGCAAAATGCATCGCTAAAGAAATAAAGGAAATTTTGAATCATATCAACCAGCAACATTTCACATTTTTTTTTTCTTTTTTGGATCTTATCCCTGCTTCTTTTCTTTAACATCAGAAAAGAAGATATCTATAAAAACCACCACAAATACTAAAGAAAGAGAGAAAAGAAAATGGGCTTGGATAGTTCGAGATGGGCCAAATCTGACGATGAGGAAACGAAAAATGATAATATTTCCAAGAAGATGGAAAAGAAATCGACATTTGGTTTGAAATCCTCAAAATGGGCCAACGATGAGCCACTAGAAAACTCGGTACAAGAAACAAAAGCAATCTCCCGGGAAAATAATCAAAATCATCGAAGAAGTTATAAACTGAAACAAAAAGGAGGAAAGAGTGAACATCAAGAAAACTCTGCTGTGTATTCAAAAGATCTTCAAGGGTTTGGAATGGCCCCTATAAATTTCAGAGCGTACGGCAAGAAATCCCATGAAGAAGAAGAAGAAGAAGAAGAAGAAGAAGAAGAAGAAGTTGAAAGTGAATCATCTGATGGAGAATATGAAACAGAAGAAAAATATTGTAATAATTACAAAAAGGCTCCAATTAAATTCAATCAGAGAAACACACGAAAGCCAATAAACTTCAAGAAACACACTCCGCATGCATCTCCTGAAAAGAAGCAAAACAGAGTCCCCAATAGTGCTTCGTCAAATGACTCATCTTTGTTCGATAGAATAGGCACTCCGTCTCGAAACCATGAAACTGATCTTTCATCAAACGCATTATCTGAAGAAGAGGAGGACGACGCCAAGGAAGGATACAATATAGAGGAAGAAGAGAATGATGAAGAACATGTTTCTGGGAATATTGCTGATTTGTCTGAAGGTGCCAAATCATTTGCTGCCAGATTGGGCTTGGCTGTTAGTATTACCAGCAAAAACGAAACCCAAAGAAACAACGAGAATGCCAGGAAGGATCGCGAATTACAAAGACAACAATACAAATATAATCGGATCAATGATAACCATAGAAAATGGGAAAACGCGACCAGGAGCCGTCGCAGCAACGTTCATTCTGGCCACAATTCAAGAGAAAGAATCTCATCAAAAGAGCGCACGTCAATCAATAACCATGGCCGTGGATCAAAACCAAATAAATCTTCGAAAGATGTTGAGACAGAAAAGTTGAAAGAATTGCAGGATAAAATCGACAAACTTCAGCTTGAGAATGCTAGACTCGTCCACGAAAATGGCGAAAAGAAATTAGACAACTACTTGAAGGATTTCGACAACAAGAAAATCGACTGGGCCGATGACGTTGATGATGAAGATTTTTAAAAGATCCTATCTTTCATTATTTTCCCTATTCTTTATTATTCTTCCCACTATGCTGTTATAAACAGTATTTCTGGAAGGTTTTGTGTTTTATCATATTCATTTTTCACTTTTTTTTTTGTATTATTAGATTTTTATGTGACATATTGGAACGCTAGTTATTTTTATTTATTCGAATTTTTTATTTTTATTTCTAATATCTTCCAGCTTGCGAAGATCGTAAAATTGAAGCTCTCCATGTCGTTAACCATAGTTAATATATGTGGTGGTACAGATTACATAATGTATTACATAATCAAGACTACTGAATTTTCAACAAAAAAATTAACAAAAACACGAACCAGTCGGTACAACAACAGAAATATTCTCTGTGGGGTTATTTCAATCCAATTTAATCATGATTGAAATGCTTATAAGATATGCTGCTTTGATATTGGAATCCTTAGATATCAAAATTACAAACAAGGCCCTTCATTATTTTAGCTCTCTAATTGTCAACTACATCGATGATTTGTTTTCATCACTTCGGGAAATGATGATGCAACAACGAAGATTGCATCCAGGGTATCTTGACTTAGTACTACTAATGAGATCATTTTATATTGAGCCTCAGGAGCTATTATATCAATTGGATATCTCTAAAGTGATCAAGGGTGGACCGTACGCGGGCTCTTTAACTACATTAAAGCGGCAGAGTGAAGACCTACTAAGTGAGTTGGACCAGACGCCGGAAGAAGACCAATTAAATAAAAATGACAGAGACTATAAAGAAGCTTTACAGCTAATGCCTCTGACAAATAAGAAAAAATTTTATATTCAGAATTTTCTTCCTGATTTCCCGTCAGATCACACATACAGATATAGTGAAGTTTACACAAAAAAGGTTCAAGACCCAAAACAATTACGACAAATATTGGTACACGAGGGGAATTCGGCTTTAAAAGGCTTGTTAAGTTTGCAGTCCTCAAAGAATGCTGATGAAGATTTGGACTCGAGAATCGAAAGTAACGGCGGCGCCACACAGCAGCTATTATCCCCACCTTTATCACCTGTGAATCCGGATTTGAAGCAGGATATTAATAAAAAAGAAGAAGCACCGCAATCTTCAAGCGAAGCTTCTAAAGAAAAGACCCAGGAAAATGATGACAAAGATAAAATTAATATCAATTTGCCTCTCAAACCTTTAGATATTGTGGAATATGCTAGTAAGAGACTTGGGTTATTAAAGAAGAAAGAAAATCAAAAACAAGAGAGAGTGAGCAGGCTAAGGCATGACAGACAGTTTGTTAGGTACCTAGCACTTTACAAACATCTCAGTCCTTACTCTCCTAAACCAGATTATGATAATGAACCGAAAGAATATAGGATGGATGAGTCAGTCGAATTGATGATGTCGGGGACCATGAATCAAGAATACAACACACTTATCAAAAACTTAGGAATCCAGAAAAAGCAGAAGCAGCTCAGATTCCAAGAAAAATTGAAATTGAAGAAAGAAAAACAGGAGGAGAGAAAGCGTAAGGCTAAGGAATTAGAGGAATTGAAATTAAAGGAGAATGGTCAGGACGAAAAAGAATTGAACGATTTGGATTTTGATAATTTTGAGTTTGGATTTGATGATAATTTTGATATTGATGGATCACAAATACCCAAGAATCCTGCTGAAACCAAAGCAGGAGCAGCCACTAACAATGCTAATGGGGAAGTTCAAGCCGCTGTAGGATTCAGCAAGGAGATCAATGCTACTATTAATGATGATGAAAATAAAGAAAAAGAAAAACCACATGAACCAGAGGGATCTTCTTCATCAACAAATGTCGGCAAGACAGTATCTGCCCAGAAAGCTCCAGTGAAAGCTCCCCCAGCAGCACAAAATAATGAAGAGGTAGAATTCAATTTCAATATGAGCGATGAAGAGAACAATGAGATTGATGATGACTTGGATGAATTATTGGAGGGAAATGATCGTGAAAATGAAGATGTAGCTATGTCTGATGATTCAGAAAGCGATAATCAGCGAATTGTTTCATTTCCTACAATTCAGTCTGAACCAACCATGAGAATTGACTCATCAAGCGTAGTTGAAACAGATTCACAGTTCGAAGATTTTCTGGCTACAGCAAGCCCAAGACTCCCACATATTCCATCCAAAAGGCCGTTGGGATCAGGAATGGCGACCCAGAGCGAGACTAATAAAGAAGAGATCGATTTAGGTGACGCGGAACTGATGAGCGATGATGATGATGATGATGATGATGATGATGATGATCTTGATGCGTTATTGGAAGATGTGTAATGTGAAATGTGTAATATATAATATATGAAGTAACTTATTGGATTATGTAATTTTCGCAGTGTGAGGTTACGAACTCCTAAGAAAAAAAAACGAAATTCTTCAATAACTTTTTTACTGTATGCAACTCTGTCATCATTTTTCAAGATGGGCAAATTCTATACCTCCACCAGTCAGCTTTGGTATCGATTGTCTGGATGATCCACCACAGCTTCATTTATGACAAGATGAGGAGAGTTAATTAAGTTTTTTTTTTTTGGTACTTTCTTTCGGTTTTCTTTTGAAAAAAAAAATTGATTGATATGGTGTGATCTATTAGAGAAAAAATAAAATTCCCAGATAAAAAACATATTGACTGAAGGAAAAATTTAGAAAGAACTCATCATGTTAATGTATCATGTTGTAAAATCTTTACGCACTACCAGACAAGGCGTGGATCAAAAGTCTGGGAAAAACATCAACTGGGCTTAAATAAGGATTACACCACACTCAGATTGTTGCTGAAATAATGTCCCAGAGACAACAGAGGCAGCAGGTGTCCCAAAACACAATAAACTTCCAGACTTCAGGGATCAGTACATCTGAAAAAAATGATAATATGTCGGGTATGAATAGAATTAATTCCAACCATATCAAATCACCATCGATTCCAGGAGACCAGCCAGCACAAAAATATAACAATGTATTCCCCAATCAACAGGCAGAAAGACTTCTGCTTTTCAGAACGAAGACTGAAAATTATCAATCTGCCCTAGGTATTAATTTTGAAAGCTCAAAGAAAGCGGCCGATAGCCCAAATTTAAGCACTTACACCATGAGTCCCAATGCAGATACTGGGGACCATGGATTTCAGCCTATTAGCAGGTCTAATACTTTTGATTTCTACAAAAATTCAAATAATTCAGATAGCTCAATCACACCATCTTTCTTGAATGTTGGAAGCACATTGAATGCATCAATATCTAATCTCACCTTTAGCCCCCTTAGCACTACTCGAACCAATGCTTCTGAAGGCATTGTCATTTCACCTGGCCTTAAAGAAAAAACAACGCCGTTAGAGAAGGCAAGATTATTCGCACAGAAGGCAAGTGGAAAATCTAGTCGAGATTCGTTTTTTCCAAAAAGAAGAACTTCAAACACAGATGATGCCGAAAGCATATTGAAAGGAAAAGCCAAACTATTACAAGCTGGATCAAGCAGTAAAGCGAAGCATGACCATAAAAAAAATATATTGCCAGAATTTGCCTCTCTTTCTAAACCAAGGGTTCCTTCAGCTAGTGATGGATCCAGTAGAAGGTCATCTTCGGAAAATCGGAGAATACCGACGACCATAAATGAGCTCAGTGATAGCACCACAATCAGAAACTTTTCTCACCACTCGCATCATCATTTGAAACTTAAATCGAGAAGAGATGGGGTACCTAATGTGCTTTCTTCCTCCTCCTCGAATTCAAAGTTTATTTCTGACTTTCCAGCATTGTATAGTTTTCACCCTAGTGCAAATACTACTTCTACTAATGAGGTTTTGAGAATTGTTACCAATCTTGAGGCCGAGATCTTGTCCCAGCCATTGACTGAAACAAAGAAAAACGAATATATCGACAGGCTATTGCATCTATTATATTCTTGTGTTTTACCACTTTTCAAAGGCGAAATTTTGTCAACTCCAATTGAAGATTTAAACAAATTGGTTGAGATTTATTTAATGTTGAGGATAAATAATAATGATGTTGAGAAGGAATTGAATGATATTAACTTGGATAGTGGTGATGTATCTACATCTTCTGATGCCAAGGTCATTGTTAAAGAGTTTCAGGATTTTATTAAAGTTGGAATTTCATTGATGGAAAATCAATCAAACATTGATAATGTCACACATAAATACTCGAGGTTGAATAGATTTGGTGGGCGATTTAATCACGATTCAAGCTCTTCAACTACTTTGGATTCAAATTCTAGCGTTAGTAGCTCTTCAGAGTCACAACTGTGTTCCCGTAACAGTTATGAGATTGAAAACAAAGTTGCTGCATTATGGGATTTCTTCCTTCATGACATATTATCCTATTTGGAAGCTATTTTTCTACCGTTACAGATGGAATTTGAGGGTTCTGGCTTAATTTTGAATAATCCCGCCATTGCTCATAGCTTTTGGTCACAATTATTAGTTTCCGATGATGAAAATATGGTAAGGCGGTACTTGTTGTTAGTATTCAGAGACTCAATAATCATACCAATGGTTGAAAAGCTTGGCAATGTGACTAATTTTTTTGCCGAATATCATGGAAACAACATTTCTACGGAAGATGTCTGGAGAAATGATGACTTTTATGCTCAAAAGCTTTGTTTGCTCCGGTGTTTTGGAATTTTGTCAACTACACAAGCAAAAGATTATAATCAGAAAGTCGTTGAAGGTTTACTAGATATCATGAAGCAGCAAACCAGAATTTAGTTATCATTCCATATAAGGGGAAGGAGAAATGATCCAAAATCTGTGAAACAAAATCCTCAACAACCCTTTGCGCCAACATACATGATCCACAAACACAAATGGTACTTACGTTTGCACAGTTCATCTCCTTTTTTTTTTCAAGTGTGTTTGTGTGTGTCTTTCCACAGAACATTGTCCAGATCTTTTACATCAATTTCTAGGGCTTGGTGATGTTTACTGCTGCTATATCAAAAGTCGAGGATGTCAATATAAGGAACCGTGGGCCCAATAGAATATGCAACAACAAGACCATAATAAATTTTAAAGATATTGATTCACCAGTGGGACTGTCACAAATATACGGAAATTCTAATAATTCCTTGAGTTACCTGAAAGAGAATTTCTATCAACCTTTCAACGACAAGAAGAGCGGGGTAACGAATAGTGGAAATTTTCAGCCAACAATAATAGTCAACAATAATGAGCGCATTCTATCGCGCTCTCCAAATGATGCTCCATTATCAAGAACTGTGGTATTAAAAGGTGTTAACTTGAGGCCTTCCGATGATAAATTTTTTTTTGAGCAGTTTTGTGGCAGATACGGGAAAGTTGCCTGTATATATCTTGAAAAGCCAAATGTTTCTCATTTCAATATTTATGTTAGTTGGTTTGACATTAACTGTACCAAACGAGCATTTGAACATATAGGGTATGATTTGTTCAATGAAGCAATGATTGAATTATTTGATGTTCAATACATCATTGACATGAGGGATTATCCTAATAATATTTGCACGATGAAAATTATAACCCCCGTAATATATGCTTGTTTAGTGGGACCAAGTATATATGGCGAAGAATACCATAAAATGCAATCAGCAATTTATAGTTTATTAGCTTCTGCTGGTGAAATTTCTTGTTTTGGCTTGACGAAAAGGTATATGAATGTCAGAATATTTGAATGTGGGTATTTTGATATTTCGTGTTCTAGAAGATGTGTGGATTCATTGGATCATTCCTTCCTAGGGAGCTCATGTTTATTGGTAGACTGTGAGATTGCTTCTTTAGCTGATAGAATTATACAGTTTGGTACCAGTAGCCCTAATTCTTCAACAATTATTTTCAACCAAAGTGCTAGTGCGACAGCAAAACTACAAAATTACAGAGATTGTGAATCAATGTTCCTTAAAACCGGAAAGCAACTTGAGTCTGTTTTGAGCGGTCATATTTCACTTGAAGAACTCGAATCTTTAAAAGTTACAAGTGCAAGAGTTGCTTCTAAAAATATAATCGACCTAGTCAGAATACACAAGGGTTTGGACACCCGCACTACGATTATGATCAGGAATATTCCAAACAAGATCAACCAAAAATCATTAAAATGCTTTATAGATTGTACTAACGAGTTCACGTATGAGTTTCTCTACTTGAGGATCGACTTTAGTAGCAATTGCAACGTGGGGTACGCGTTTATTTCATTCACAAAGCCAGAACATATTATCGATTTTGCAAAATTTAGAGTGGGAAGGAAATGGAATTTTTTTGGCTCAGAAAAATATTGTGATATTTCATATGCTAACATACAAGGATTAGAATGTTTGATTGAGAAATTCCGCAATTCAAATGTCATGGCCCAACCACAGGAATACCGCCCCAAAATATATTATACAAGCGGCGAACTAAAGGGACGTGAAAGACCATTTCCAAAAAGCAATAACGAGCTTCGACATGAAAGGGCTTTGCCAAGTAATGATTCATAGTACCTTTAAATAATTCTGGTGTAAATTTTTTCTTTTTTTTGGTCTCCTCATATGCGAAGAAATATACTATTCAGGCCTAGTGCCTTTTATTACTTTTTATGAAAAAATGTATAGATCATTCGTCAGCTTCATCTCCGGAAGAATCACTTAATTGTTGCTGTTGATAGGCTTTCATAAGTTCGATCATTTTTTCGGTATCCATCGCAGCATCAATCATATCCTTTGGAACATAATTTTCAGAATGTTCCTTCGATGCAAATCTGGCAGTAGAAAACTCATTGACTAATCTCATGTCAAAATCATCCTCATCATAATTAGAAAGGTCCAAATTCAAAATTTCGTGCCAAGAATATAACAATGAATCCGTTGTCCTAGAAAACGGATTTATATCAATCAACCACACCTTTTCGGATTTATCTGGTAAGTAAACATCAAAGACGAAGGTTTCACTCTGGAAGGTCCTCTTCAAATGAATATCGAAAAAGTCAAATAATTTATCTTTTATGGATTCCTTCATTTTGTGTAAATAGTCATAGTAATTTGGATCACGCTGAGAAACAGCCACTATTCTTCGGTCTCTAACAAAACACCTGAATTCCCAAGCAGGATTAATATCAAACCATTCTTTGAGAATCAAATCAAACTTGAGTCCTTTATGCTCTTTTTTCAAGTTAGCAACGTCAATATCTGAACATTCATCTAAAGATTGTGATAAATCATGGACAATGTATGAAGAAGCATTTAATAATAAGTAAACCTCAGAAGCCGATGAACATTTCAATGAATGATTAGGCAAGATCCAAGCAGCATCCTTTGGCGCAGACCAGTTGAGTTTAGGTAACATTGGGCCATTTTTTTGGATAAGAGATTTGATTTGTTCATGAATCTCTGAGAAATTCTTGGTTGGATCTTCAACTGATCTTCGCTGCTGCTGTTTGTGCTTTCTTGCCTCTGGTGTAACCACTGACTGCTCGTCATCGGATTGTTCCCAGTCACTGTATTCAGAGGCATCTTCTAAAATATAATCTACGAAGAATTCTGGGGGCATCTTTATCCCATCTTGCAAAATATATTCAATAAAAGATTGTGGCAAAGACAGAATGATATGTGATTTCGGAGTGATCTTCTTATACCTTGGGTACCATGATCCGTAGGCACAATTGAGGACCTGTTGTTTCGTGATGGGTATATCTTCAAAATAGTGAGTCCCTTCCATTTATGCTGTACAAGAATATTCTCTTTGATCCCCAATTGTTTGTAGATCTGGGGAATATTTTTCATCTCATCTCTAATCTCAAGTTTTTTGGGAGGTGTTGTACCCCATCATCGTGAGACGGCGAAACTCATCAGGCGGGTGACATTTTTTTTTATGTGGTGTTCGAAAAAGAGAACAACAAGAATCAACAAGCGGTTATTACTAAATTGTTGACACACACACATTCTGGATTTGTCAGATTCCTTATAAAAGAACAGTGTCTTTGTGGCAGTTAAGGTACGTGCTGTCTTTGCTAGATTATCAGACAGATTTTATACATGTGGTTGGTTTTAGGACTCCCTGTTTTTGATGTGCTGAGATTGGCCAATTTTCCAAAAGGAAAGAACAACTCGTGCCCTTCTGGGTGAAATGACCTTTCTCAATGCAGCCCTAACCGAGACCACACTATATTGAATTAAATCAGCGCTCAATACTACTATTGAAATATATTATTATTATTATTTTTAACCCTTTTATATTGTTGTTTTGTTTTTCTTTTGTTTTTCTTCTTTTAGCTTTTTCGAATACCCTTTCTGGTTATGGAATTGAGAACTCAGATTTAGGAGCAGCATATACTAACAACCGCCTTTTTTTTTTTTAGGAAAAAGAAATAAATCATTGGAAGTTGACTTAGTACATATATCGATTCATACTAATTGTATTGTTGTCATTGAGCAAATAGTTGAGTTTTAATTGAATTTATTTTATCAACTAGTTTTGCCTTCGAAGCTTTCCACTTACGGGGTCAATTTTATCATAATAAATATTAATACAGAAATACAGAAATATGGACATGGACGGAGATATCCCAATGGAAGAAGTTTCCGAATCTCGTTTGGATCCAAGTTTGGAAGATGATGAGCACGCAGATCACAACCCAAATTATTCTTTTAGTCAACCTTTTGAGCCAAAAGAGGGCCCAATCCCAGCATTACCAAAGAGTAGCGTTAATCAGTTAGATCAATGGATTGAACAGTTAAGCAATTGTCAGCCTTTGAGTGAAGAAAACGTTGGAAATCTTTGCAAAATGGCCCAAGATGTTTTGCAGTTTGAAGCTAATGTTCAGCCAGTGAATGTGCCAGTTACAATATGTGGGGATGTCCATGGTCAATTCCATGACTTGATGGAGCTTTTCAAGATTGGTGGCCCTTGTCCCGATACAAATTATCTATTCATGGGTGATTATGTTGATAGAGGTTACTATTCCGTTGAAACTGTTAGTTACTTGGTGGCGATGAAAATTAGATATCCAAATAGAATTACGATATTGAGAGGTAACCATGAATCAAGACAGATCACTCAAGTTTATGGTTTCTATGATGAATGTTTAAGAAAATATGGTAGTGCAACTGTGTGGAAATTATTTACAGATTTGTTTGATTATTTCCCAATTACTGCTTTGGTTGATAATAGAATTTTCTGTTTACATGGTGGGTTGTCTCCAATGATTGAATCTATCGACCAAGTGAAAGATTTGAACAGAATTCAAGAAGTTCCTCACGAAGGACCAATGTGCGATTTGTTGTGGTCTGATCCAGATGACAGAGGTGGATGGGGTATCAGTCCTAGAGGTGCAGGTTTCACATTCGGGCAAGATATATCAGAACAATTCAATAGAACTAATGATTTAAGTCTAGTCGCAAGAGCTCACCAGTTGGTTATGGAAGGTTATTCCTGGTCACATCAAGAATTGGTGGTTACCATTTTCTCTGCACCAAACTATTGTTATAGATGTGGTAACCAAGCTGCGATCATGGAAGTTGATGAGCAACATAATAGACAGTTCTTACAATATGACCCAAGTGTGAGACCCGGCGAACCAACAGTGACCAGAAAGACACCAGATTATTTCTTGTAACATATTCATATCTTAATTTTTTCCAATCTGTGTTCTAATTTCTCTCTTAAAATCATCACAAGTTCCTCTTTTTTTTTAGGTCCCTACTACTAATTTCATCAGTTTTTATCTATTTTTTTTCCATCTTTTTTTTCTAATTTTTTTCCTCATTGGTTTACCCTTTTACTTTTTATTTGTTAGATGTTTTTGTCTTTCGATTTTCTTTTATTTATTTCGTCTTATAACATTTTTTGTTTGATCTACATCTCACTATGACTTTTTATTATTATTATTATTTTTTTGTCTTTTGATGTTCATTGTTGAGACAACTCCAGGCAATAATCCAGCGTTGTTTCAAGATTCAAACTGGTTTCTCAATTATCTAACCACATATCACTCATTGCAAAAGAGCGAATTCTATTCTTTTGAATTGAAATTTGAAGAGCTAAATAAATATGTCAATCATCGAATCCCACTCACAAGTCTTGATGGAATTCACAAAGAATTAGTCTAACTCATAATATATTCTGAATTTACAAGTTATGTTATATATTTTTTTGTTTTTTTGAAATATTATTCCTTATTGAAGTAATACTAAACCGCTGTAGGTTATTTTGAAGTATATCACTGATTGGCTCTTGATAAGAATCATTTAAGGTGTGCCGGATAGACTTTTTTCTTGACCATTGAAACCTTTACACCACCCTGTCACAAAATCAGATAACCATGTAATAACTATAATCTTATACAACTTATTCTCCAATTTTGTCCATTAATTAATTATAGTGCTTACTCCTTGGAGAATTATATTCACTAGTCATGTCAAACTATAAACTCCCACCGATCAGCGAGGTATGCTTTTTGTCAGAATCACAGCAAAAGGAGTTGCTAGATCACTTATTCGAACACTGCGAGACCTTGCATGGGTATCTTATTCCAAAGCTTTTCCAGACTCCAGAGGTTAAGTTCGCAACATATAAGGATTTTATTGAACAGGTCAGACTTGAGCTTCTTTGGTTTTTATCAGCAGAGATTGCCAACGCGAAAACAAGTGGTGCGACCATCGATCCAAGAATATCCAAGATTATTGCAGCCCATCCAAGGTTGGGGGCTCCAAAGAAACAGCAGGTGGTGAACCTATCAGTACACAGTGCCAAAGAACAAGCTTCATTGTCTAGTTCCTCAGAGGAGGAAAAATTCAGATTACAGCAATTGAACGATTTGTACGAACTGACGTTCCCAGGATTACGATACGTTGTGTTTGTGAATGGTCGATCAAGGGATATCATCATGAAAAATATGGAGGAAAGGATCCAAAGAAACGATATCAACGAGGAAAGAAAAGAGGCATTCAACGCAATGTGTGATATTGCTTTAGATAGGGCCACCAAATTAGGAGCAAAGTTGTAAATACAAACTTAATCCATGAATCATTTTACATTTTTCTTCTATAAAGATATACACACCTTGTAATTTACAAAAGCTTCCACAAAAAATACAATAAGGAATCGATCAAGAAATTTTATGCTAAAGAGATTTTGAAGAAAAAAAAAATGTAAACAAAATGACCATGAAGGATTTTCCTTGGATATGAAAGGAAAAAGGTATATCCAACTATTTACAAAACTATGAACAACGTATAGTATAACAGAACAGTCATAAATGTTCGGCAGCATCTGCTCAGAATGTGGACGAGGGCTCAACTCATAGAACGGAAATTAGTTCTTGAACAATCATGAACCAAATTAAAAAAAAAAAAATAAAAAAAAAACCAAATTAACAAACAAACAACCGTAACTTCATGAATTCTTTCTAGTATTTCAAGACTTCAATTATATTGAACCAAAAAAGAGCCATCACACACTCACACACATTTTCGTTCTCTCTTTTTCACTCTCTTAATTTATTATCCACAACTTCTTAGATAAGTCAAAAAAAAAATTGAGCTCAGGTGAAAGAACGAGAAGCACCACGAGCTAATTCAATAATCTTCCAACCTTCTGTTTCCTTGTTTCCCATTTCTTCAGGGATTCTAGTAAACACAATGGCATAAGTACTCAACATGATGTCGGATTCAGTACCAGCAACAACGTTACCAGACTTGGCGTCTCTGTAAATATTGATTTCTTGAGCTCTGCAACTAACAACGACAACTGGGACATCAGCTGGTGGCAAAAGTTTGGCACTGAGGATATCGATACCTCTAACATCAAGAACCTTACCATCAGCATATAAACCTTTATCTCTGTATTGTTTAGTGGAGGCATTCCAAACATTGAATGGGGCTTCACTTAACCAGTTCTTCAAAACCTTTTCATCACCTTTAGCGTAACCTTCCAAGACTTCCGGTATTATGTAATCTCTCAAATTCTTAGTGAAGTCTTCAGTGTTGAAAGTTGGATCCATCAATTTGAATTGTCTGATAACTCTAGCTCTTTCAGTTTCGGCGAAGAACCCACCAATTTTCTCGGAAATGGTTCTTATAAGTGAAATCAAGCCATTTTCACTCTCATCCCATTTCAATCTTACATCAGAAAGCAATCTACCAACTGCAGTAGTGGCCTTGAAGTTTTCCCAACGCTCACCAAAACCGGGATTAGAGACCTTATAATCGGTGGTTACCAAAGCAGTTGGAGCTTCGTCGTTGGACTTGATAACCCTTCTCTTACCACTCAAGATTTCTTGTTCTCTCTTCTTTCTTCTATGTTCCTTAGTGACAAAACCACCATAGGCGTTGGAAGAACCATCGTCGATTACTTCACTAATATCTTTGTACGCTTGGGTCTTTCTTACTGGCTCAAATGCTTCATCCACAACTTCCGCGGTTTTTCCAACAACTTTTCTAGTACTTTTCCCAACTTCAGATTCCCAGGCGGCTTCAGCAACATCACCAATCTTTTCCCCTGTTTTCTTCAAAGTACTACCGACAACAGAAGAACCCTTTTGAGCCTTTTCATAAGCAACCTTGGCTCTTTTGAAAGCATCAGATTCACCCATTTTTCCTGTGGCGTCTTGCAATGCTTTAATCTCATCCTTCAATTCACTACTCTTTTCCCATTCTTTTTTAAAAACATCAAAAAAAACTTGAATTGGAGTTTTGCCAGGAGGAGGTGGTGGGGCATCACCATTCTGCTTATTATTTTTGGAAGATTCCTTATTTTCGTTGAATTGGGACGCAGTGTTACTGAACAATCTAGCGGTTTGCACCAAGGCTGGACGTCTCGCAAGGTAGACAGCTGTTGATCCTGTCTGCTTCAAAATTCTCTGACTCAACATTTTGAAGGTGTTTCTTTTTGGGTATTGATAGAATATATTACCTCTGACTCTTATATTTTTGCCCCAACTGTGGAAAATTTTTGCCCTTTTTTTTTTCCTCACTCTTTGAAAATTGCAGGTGTTGATGAAAAAAAAAAAAAAAAAAGGTCAGGAAGCCCTGGCGTACGCCTCTTAATGGGGGCATTAGATGATCCTCAGTATTGTTCATGGTGATTAGTGAGTGGAAGGTGGGATATTAGCTTCGATCAATATGGGAGAAGAGTCTTCGAGCAGCAGTCATCATTCAAACAGCTCTAGAAATCGCCATCTGTCATCAAGTCATCGCGATAATCGGAGAAGTGGCATAAACAGAGAAAGCAGTTCAAGCAGGTACAGACACAGAAGCAGCAGTGGCAGCAGCTGGAGAAGAGAAGAAGATTACGACAGGAAGAGAAGAAAGCATAGCACAGACAAGAGCAGCTCAAGATCCCGGGCCAGAACTGGAGATCTGCAATTGGAAGAAAGTAGAAGAGAAGTATTTGAAGAAAAATATAGAGCAAAACAGCCGCAAAGTCTCAATAGATTTATCGGTAGTTCTTCCAAACCACAACCGGAAACACCAGGTCCAAAGCAGGAGAAAGAGGAGGAGGATCCGATTTCTAATGATGGAGAAATATTCGCTGGGGAATTAGCTATTGAAGCTGCAGAAGGAAATAGAACAATACCCGAGGATGAACCTCCAAAAGTCGAGGAATTCAAGAATCCATTGAAAGTATCGTACGAATTCGGTGATTCAGGAAGCTCATATAGAATGAGGAAGCTTAAAAGATGTCATACTGAAGCTGAAGATTCTAATATTGCAGTTAGTGAACTAGCCAACAAAAGATACCCAGGTTTATTGGATTTCAATATTGCACAGGAAGAAGATTCTGAATTACGAAAAAAAGAGGCTGATACAGGCTATGAAATTAGAAGAAAGCCAATAGGCGAATTCATAGATAAGAAAGACTTGATACGTATCAAGCTCACCCAGGCTAAATTGGATCGTCTGGCAATGCAAAAGGAAAATGAAAAAGAAGAGGCAAAGGCACAAGAGGCACTGATTTCTCAAGCTGATCTAAATGTATTGAAAGCAGATTTGTTACGTGCGAAACTTAAACGAGATGATACAGCTTTCAAAGAATTGGAGAAAAAATATGACGAACTAGAACAGAAATTCAAGCGACAACAGATGGTAGAATCGCAACAGGTACCGAATAACGATGGCTTGAAAGATATGACAGCTCAAGAGTTACTATTACAAGAACAGCTTACCAGCGCATCGGACTATGATATCTCGAATTACAAATCTATTGCTAAAGATTCCAAGTATGTCAACGATTTAGAATACACTGAAGAGGCCCTGTCCAAACTTTCTGGAGTTGGCTCAAAATCAAATAATACATTTAGCATAAACACGAACCTCCAGGATGTCATAAAACAAAAGAATCAGAAACACGGTCCTTGCATTTACTGTTTAGCAAACGATATCCACATCAACAACAACTTGGCAGTATCAATTGGGGAGCATTGCTATGTGGCATTGAATTCCCCTCACGTAAACTTGATTCCTGAAGCACCTGAATCATTGATGATTTTGCCAATAACTCACCAAAGAAACTATTTGTATGTGATGAAGAATTCTGGCGAAGCAGAAAAAGAGTTTAGAGGATACATGAATGCTATTCGTGATTACTACAAAAGCCTTGGATTTGATTGCCTATTCTATGAAACCTGCCGAGGAAAAAATAGTCATTGTATGGTTAAGTCTGTGGCAATCCCGTCAAGCTTGACTAGGGCCATGAAAGGCTATTTCAAAAATGAGATAATGTCAATGAGTGGGAGCAGTGCTAGTGAGACTGATGGAAAGGAGTTTAATGACGATGGAGTTGGAAACACTGCATTATTGAATGATTTGACTGCAACCCACAAGATCTTGATTGATACTGATCCAATTAGTAATGAATCAAAGAAGAGTTTTAAAGAATTAATCGCCAAAGAATCTGACTATTTCCATGTGTGGTTCGATTCAGTAGGGGGATACGGACATATAATTGAAGGAGAGGGTTCACGTTGGCCGGCCAATGATGACTTGATTGTGAGAAGAGTGATTGGGGGAATGATTGGTAAAGATCAATTCGAAGTAGAGAATAACGGGATGTTCAATGGCCGGAAGAAATTTCATTGGAACTTTATTACAGGTGGAACAAGAAATTACAAAGAAGATGAGATTGGTGGAGAAGGTAAAGAATTAGATGTAACCCAACAAAATCTCGTTGACAAAGTGAATGAGAAGTGGTTAGAGTTTGATCCAACGTTGAAAGATGAAAGCGAATAGGTGTTTCATCCGAAACAATGAAATGGTCCTCAGAATGCTTTCCTACATGTGGAGAATTAATGAAAGTCAAACAAAAAAATTCATTTTTTTTTTCTTTGAATGTCCCAAAAAATAAATAATTGAAATAGAAAAGGAAATGTAAATAACAAAAACCTATAAAGAAGTAAAAATAAATTTAAACAAACTATTGATCAGAGCACAGAAAAGAAAAGAAATATTTCTTTTTGGTTTCTTTTTTTTTCCCTGCAAAAGAAGCAGAGCTTTGATACCAAACCAACACAACAAAAAATGAATTGAATGAAACAAAAAATGAAATGCTTATGTAATGATTTGAAAACAAACCAGAAAAAAAAATTGGGATTATTAATTACAAATGGTTATATCTCCACCATTGTAGATGTGTGATAGATTATGCTTTTTGAAGATTAGATCAGGCATTTTTTTCTTTTTTTACTTCTTCCTTAGCTTCTGGAGATGGTTGAGGAGGAACTTCATCCAATTTCAAAGTATCTTTAACTTGAATAATCAGACCACTGTCCTTTTCTTGTTGAATTTCAGACTTGATTAATTCTTCTTGTTCCTTAATCACATTCAATCTTTCAGTATTACTGACTTCTTTTCTTGGTGCAATATCGATTTGAGCTTCGTGGATCAATTCATTTGGAATACTACTTAACACAGTTTCCAAAGCGTCATACAAGTTACTAACGGAACTCAATTCACCATAGGTATAAGCGTTGGATAATAACAATAAAGTGGATGGAATCTTTTCACGTAATCTCAAGTTTAACCAGATTTGCAAATCATCTCTCAATCTTGTTGGAGCAACCCCATGGTTCTTGATACCACGGGAAGCACATGCAAATTGTAACTCCGGAACGGTAAGAGCTTCTACCCCTTCAAAGTCAATGGCTTTATCATCGGCCTTGATTTGCAACATTTGGTAACGGATACGGTAACGCAACATTTGGTCAGTACCAAATGGCTTCAAGTTGATATATTTAGCCATGGCCACCAATTGTGGTTTGGACAAGTTATCCAAAACCATGTCTTCCTTGAAAGTTCTAGCAACGTTCAACAATTCATCACGGGTTGGTCTATCGGTAGCAGACTTGATCTTGGTGAAAAATTCTTGGAATTGTGCCTTTTGAACTGGAGTAAAAGATGCAGGTAATCTAACACCGGTCTTATCGACCGATTCAATCAAAATATCGGAAACAGTTTTTCTGGTCTTACGCAACAATTTCAATTTCTTTTCCTTGTCAGCAGTTGATTCGTAAGTTGAAGGCAACATGTTTGGGAAAAGCTTTAAGGCAATTGGGAGTAATAATTCAGCAAATGGGATAATCACGAACATGGCAAATGGAACGACACGGACCAAATCAGAGGTGGTACGCTTCAACTGGTTGAATTCACGACGGGTAAGCTCGTAACCGGTCAACAACTTGATCAACAATCTGGAAGAAATCTTAATTTCAAGACCAAGCAATTTGGTACCATCCCAGTAATGTTTAGCTTCGTGCTTGACTTTGTCCCAAAGCGAAGGTTTGGCCACTTCGGTGGGAGCCGGGGTGGCAGTAGCTGACGACTTGTCCTCGTTAGTTTTTCCGTTTTCAGGAGTGGTTTTGGAAGAGTTGTGTCTTCTAGACTGGGCTGAGAGTGGATGGAGTTGGTAGGTGTTTCTGTGATGGAGATGATTCAAACGGGAACGAGAAATCAAGGGTATAATGCTGCTGTTAGCAGATCCATGACGGATTTGGGACCGCACAAGAGCAGGTAATATGAGTCTTACTGCCATTAGTGTGTTGTTACCAATTTTTGTTGGGGAGCTTTTAAAAATATTTTTTATTTCAAAAAAAAAAAAAAAAAAAAATAGGTTTTCCTAAAACTTTTGAGGATTTGGGTATACAAATGGCCGGAAATTGCAACAGTTCAAAAAGGAATCTCAACAGTTGAAAAATTCCAATTTTTTTTTTAACGAAAAGTCAACAAAAAATGTTTGCACGTGATAGAAGTCATGGATTTTTTCCCAGGGAAAAAGAATGCCGTCAAACTCCGGAGTTTATCCGAGGCTTTTTCTTCATCTTTCTGGCCGATAACGATACGCTTTAAGTAAACCCCCAGCCGTTTGCATCAGTTAGCGTACACTTCTTCCCATCAACCAATGAAGCTTGTCACATAAAAACACGTTCCATCAGTAGCAGATCATCAGTGTCACAATTTACGAGAGGTGTATGATGTAATGAGTAGGATCCAAATTAAAACAAAATAAAAAATCAATAAAATCAATAAAAGCAGTACGTACAAGAGAGATTGAAAATTAATATCTGAAATATAAAGATGACGGGGAATTCAAAGACGAAAATAATAAGAGTCAGCAAAATTTTTCAAGGAAAAAATAGTAGTGTCACAATTTTGAAGATGGAACTTTGATTTCTCAATAGAAGTCACTAGAAACCAAGATAAATAAACAAATAACAAGAAAAGCGAAAAATTTTCAGAGAGGATATCTATCTGTCTCTCACAACAGCTCTAATGGCCTTGAAAGCCAACCAAGCACCCAACCCATAAACTCCTAGTTCAAGTTGACTCAACAACCATCCTTGAACCTTGGATCTCTTGATACAATCACTATAGCGGATGTCACCTCTAAATGAAACCATTGTGTACAATGGTAGCCACTTGTCTCCAAAAATCAAATGCATTGCAGCATCCATCTTTTTACGGACAGCATATCTTGTTGTATTGACATTATGGCTCATTTCAGTATAATTATTTCTAGCCAATGTAATAATGGCATCGAGGTCCTGTTGTCTAGTAACAGAATATTCGTTGAACGCCGATTCCAATTCGTATTCATGTTTCTTGACAAGCTCTACAAGGACTCTGACATCTTCAAACCCGCAATTCATCCCCTGACCATAGAAAGGCACCATCGAATGAGCAGCATCACCCACAATAATACACTTACCTTTGTAGTTGTAAGGGAAACAAGAAGTGCAAACAAGAGAGCATTTAGGGTGTGTTAGGAATGCCTCCACTACTTGTTCAAGCCCAATTAAATCGACCGCATCCTTGAAATTAGTTTGGAAGAAGTCAATAACTTTTTCCCTTGTATCCAACAGCTCGGTAAGATCCCATGGACCAAAGAAAGTACTAGTAAATGATCCATCAAAGTTTGGTAAAGCGATCAACATGAATTTGTTCCGCGGCCAAATGTGGAGTCTATTAGGATGCAATTGAAACTTGTATTTTTTTGAGGCTCCTGGAGGTATATAAAGTTCAATATAGCAACAATCCATGTATTCCTGGCTGAAATCCATTCTAACGAATTTTTGTAATTGAAATCTGGTAGCAGAATAAGCCCCATCGGCACCAATGACGAAATTATATTCAAAAGTTCTGATGGCATTTTCTTCCAAAGTATTGGCCACTTTTTTAGTTTTTTCAAAATAAATTCTAGGATTACCGTTTTTTCCACTGAAGTCCATCTTCATGAGTTTCAACCCATAATTGACTTTGATATTCTTGTGGCGATCCAATTCATTCAAGAGTTCAATGTTCAAATAGGCTCTATCGATGGAATTGATAGCTTCGTTATGCAAGCCATATTTCATGGAAGTTTGATGACCGTCGACATCATGAATCATTCTACCTCTCATTGGTAAGATATTTTTGAGGACTCGGATAGACATCTCAAGATCTACAGCATTGAGGGCGCGGATACCACGATCACTGACAGCCAAATTAATAGATCTCAAGTTGCGGTCAACTGTTGTTTCGTTTCGAGGATCATCACGGTATTCATAAAGAGTGACTTTGTAACCAAGACGAGCGAATGATAAGGCGGCAAGACAACCCACAAGACCCGCACCCACAATAGCGACTTTCTCCTTTCGAGGTTCAGGTTCATCGATTAAGATTTTGGACATATTGAAAACCGGATGTATTTTTGTTGTTGTATTTTTCGAGAAAGAATGGGAATAAAAGTTGACGAGAGCCTCCAAATTTGTTAATATTATCCCAAACGTTTCTTTTTATACAAATTTTTTCTTTAGGTCGTGCAACCAAAGCGTTGGTGGGATCAAAAGGATGGTATTATCCAACGTAAACTTCGGATGGAAATTTTTTTTTTTTTTCAAAAGAAAAAGTATTAGCTGATTTTTTGCGTCGTCGCTTCATTAACAGTTGAGCATCTTGAGAGGGACATAGGAGGCAGGTAGCTATGAGATATTATGAGGGTTACTTCTTAGTTTGGGTTTGGTTGCTTTATATTATCTAGGATAATAATCGGATAATTGTTCAATATACACAAGCTAATGTTAGCATTAGGATTACGAAATGGTGGCTTCCTCAGTGGAAACCCCCCATAATATCTAGTCAGGTTCAAGATAGTGTCTATATACATCGCATAGCAGGAGAGTACCACCGACAGACTGTATAGTGACAATCCGTAGTCCAAGAAGTCTCATTGGTCAAAGGACCGTAGATACAGAAGTTGAGGATTCACTGTAATATACCACCACCGTGGTGGGAGGTTCCGATCCCAGTTATCATAATGGTTACAAAGGGATGGTTATCCTCACATTGGAGACACAGAGGTTCTTCCAAACACTGATTACATATATAGCATATATATAATCATTGTATTTGCTATATACATAACAATCAACGAGCAAAGGTTGGCATTATTGTAGTCGGTGGCCTCCATCTCATCTGATGATGTATACATATATATGCATATGAATGCATCACAGAAACAGGGCTTACTTTCAAAACGCCCCCCGCACCACAAGGGATGATGATGATGATATATAATATATAGTAAAGTCCCCCGAAAATGTCAGCGGTTATCAGAAAGGGGTTAGGATCTTTTTTTGCGTTTGCCACAGGATACTCTGCAATCCATTCTAATACTGTTCCAGATTACTCACCAAGAGGCCTTGATGAGCAGAAACAGAGTGCCTTGGACTCCATCCGCCAGTCACTGGAATACAAAGCACTACAAGCTAACAGCAATTTTCACGGCTCCGCATACTCGCTAAGTATTCCTAGCAGCTATCGTCAAAACCATGTTGCTCAAGGTGTGCTTTATGGACAAAACTATTTTGAAATTGACCCACTTGTGTACGTAAACGAGAACGATGGCGAGTTGGTGGCGTTCTACCATATTGGAGATAAGCTTACAGATCAGACAGGCAAGCTCCACCATGGTGTGCTCGGGCTATTACTAGATGAAGCTTTGTGTTTTTGCGGATTCCCAAAGTTGCCTCACAAAAGAGGTGTCACTGGGAAGTTAACCCTTGATTATGAAGACAGTGTTTGTGCCGGACAAACTGTTGTACTCAAGGCTAAGGTCACAGAGCATCAGGGCAGAAAGGCAGTTATTGATGGTCATATTGAGACTTTGGATCAAGGGAATGTGCTTGCAAAGGGCCGTTGTGTACTCGTCGAGCCTAAATGGTTCAAATATGTCGATTGGTTCGATCTTTTTAGACAGTAGTCAGCAAAAATCAATCAATAAGGAAATGCAAACCACCCTCTAATAAATTAGACACATAATGTTAAACTACTGATTTGCCCAATGCTTACTATTTGTATCATGTTCGTTCAGGGATATAGTATATATACGATGTAAACGACAACAATGTACGTAGTGCGCGGAGATGCCAGTGTTGGCAGGAAGTTTCAGAAATTTGAAATTTGATACGCCAATCTATCATAATAGAGCGTTCATTCTATAGGCTTTCTTAAGGAAACAAAAACAAAAAGCAATTTTCTGCTTGTGGTTATTACATAATGTCTGAGGATACTGCTTTGCTTGAACGCCAAAAGGAACCCCCTAAGAGGGACTCCCGTTATCTCAAACCAGAGGAGATTGAATGGGAATTTGGTGGGGTGCCTGGGGTTATTGGTATGCTCGTTGGTTTCCCAGCCCTCATGTACTATATGTGGATTTCTGCCGAATTCTATCATGGGGCTCCTGCCTGGCCTCAAGATGGGGAATCTTGGTCCGAATTCTTCCAACATTTCTTTGGCCTCGTCCACCAACATGCCTTTCCTCCTTCCCCTAGAGCCTGGACCATCTTTGTCACCTTTTTTGTCACCCAAATGATCTTCTACGTGACATTGCCTGGGATCTGGACCAAGGGCCAACCTTTGACTCATTTGAATAATGAAAAATTGCCTTACTTTTGTAACGCCGTTGCCAGTTTCTACACTTCCATTGCTATTGCTGCCATTCTTCATGTCACCGGAATTTTCAAGCTCTACACTATCCTTGAAATGTTTGGTGAGATCATGACCGTTGCGATCATTTTGGGATTCGTGTTAACTTTTATCCTTTACGTATACACATTGAATGTCAGTGGTGATTACCATAGAATGACCGGTAACCATATCTATGATTTCTTCCTTGGTGCTCCTTTGAACCCACGTATCGGGATTATTGACCTCAAGATGTTTTTTGAAGTTCGTATCCCTTGGTTCATTTTATTTTTCCTTACATCAGCTCTTGTGGTGAAACAATGGGAAGAATTGGGTGCCCCTACCCCACAAGCTTTGTTTCTCTTATTAGCTCATTGGCTTTATGCTAATGCTTGTTCTAAAGGTGAAGAGCTTATTGTTCCAACTTGGGATATGGCCTACGAGAAGTTTGGTTTCATGTTGTTGTTCTGGAACATTGCTGGTGTGCCTTTCACTTATTGCCAAGTCACTTTATATATTAATTACCATTCTCCTGAGGAATACCACTGGTCCACTGCCTACAACACCTTCTTGTTTGTGTTGCTTTTGGGGGCTTACTACATTTTTGACACTTGTAATGGCCAAAAGAACTCGTTCCGTAAAATGCTTGCTGGAGACACCAAGATCCGTCGTTCTTTCCCATTCCTTCCTTGGCAAGTGCTCAAGAATCCTCGTTACATCAAATGTGAAAATGGCTCGACTTTATTGATTGATGGCTGGTACCGTTATGCCAGAAAAATCCACTATACTGCTGACTGGACCCAATCCATCAGTTGGTCATTGATGTGCGGGTTTGGCTCGCCATTCATTTGGTTCTTCCCCGCTTTCTTCACTGTAGTTTTGGTTCACAGAGCTTTCAGAGATGAATACAAGTGTCAGAAGAAGTACGGGAAGGATTGGGACAGATATATTAAAGAATGTCCATACAGATTTTTCCCTGGTATTTGGTGAGGTGATAGGTCTAAATTTTATTTAGATTCCTAATTGCATCGTATCATATTATTTCCCAATTGAGAGGAAAAGACCGACAAAATAAAAGAACATTATACTGATTCTCATTTTTAATGTTTTTTATTTCTTAACTTTTTCATTCATTTCATATACTCATTATTTTAATAAACTGTTTTAGTCTGACTATGTCGCTTATTCTATTTGAAATGTAATGAATTATTGAGCATGTATATGACTGCTATGGAAGTCTGTCTAAAGATAGCTGATGGTGGGTAATCTGGAGAAGTGTATCTGGCAAGGAATAATAGAATACAAATGTGTCACATCATGGCAAATTAGGGGAAAAGTTTAGTTGTGAATATTCTAAAGAAAACAAAACGTAACATTTATTAGTGCATTAAAAACCATGGAAAGTCTAGGAAATTCCAACATATTATAAGGAAGAGAAAAAAACAAAAACAAGAAATGGGTGAAAAGATATGAGTGTAGTAATATTGGGGTCTCAAAATCACAAGGGATGGGTCTAATCAACTTGGTACTCCTCATTCATATCCAAGGCAACGATTGCACTTTCTTTAACCACGGTGTTTTTATCAGTGAGATGCTTCTTCAAGATAGGAATCACTTCGGAACTGTCAATATCCCCCAAGGCTTCAGCCGCTTCGTGTCTGACCATTGGAGCTTCGGATTCGTCATTCAACACCTTGATCAAGTCAGGAACCACCACTGGGTTACAAATCTGGCCAAAAATATAAGCAATCTCGTGCTTGAAAAGGGCAGACTTATCGGCAAACCCGGTAGCAAGGGCCATACACGCCTCATCGTTACCAATGTCTCGCAACGTGAACATCGCACGGTACCGTTTGAACAATGGCACGTCTTGATCATTAAGAATTTTTTGTAATTCAGCCACAGAGTGCTTGTTGTCGATTGGCAATGGTGGGGCAGGGTCAATTGACGAGTACAACGACGATTCCAATTCTTCTTTTTGTTTTTGTTGTTCCTTTTGCCACTTGATCCGTTCAATTGCCAATTCGCAAGTCTCTCTGATTTCCACTAATGGATCGTTCTTGAAGAATTCTGTCAACAAGTTCAAGCTATCTTCATCACCCAACGCACCCAACGCTTCAGCAGCCTCATGACGAACCATACATTGTTGATCAGTATCACTCAACACATCTCTCAAGTATTTTGTGGCGTGGAGGTTCTTGGTCTGCCCTAAAACATAAGCAACTTCATGTTTGAGAAGCTCAGAGTTGTCCGCGAACGCTTGGTTGATGTAATCGATGGCGGTGTTGGCCCTTGCGACGTCATTGGTAAAACTTTCACCAATGGATTTCAATGTGAACAAAACACGGAAACGAGCAGCAAGAGATTCTTTACCATTCTGATTCACAAGAACATCTCTCAATTCTTCCAAATTTTCAACAACCTCGGTTACCGGTTCTTCTGGGGCATCCCAATCGATTTTCTCTACTTTATAGTTATTCATACTGGCGGTACTCTTCTAAATATTAAAACAGCAACAAAAAACAATATAATTATAAAGACCTAAAGCAACAATGATAATAAACTAAACGTATAGCTAGATCCCAAAGGAAAGCCGGATATACTAAAGAAATCAATATTATTCTGATCTCGCTATCTGTACTTATTGTACTTATTGGTAAAAAAAAAAAAAAAAAAAAAAAATTTCACCTCATCAGGGGTGCACCCCATGCATGAAAAAGTTGTTGCGAGCCCCGGATACATATATGAGAATATACCAGCATTATACATATGTATATAGATAGACAACACTACTACCAAGGACATGAAACACCAAGAACTTGCTCCTCCCCCCTCCTCTGAGGCTGATTTTATTCTCAAAGCTGCTCCTCATATTTTTCCGAACTTACTTTCCGTAATTTAAATATTTCACAATATAGTGGTCATTAACCTATTCAACTAAACCCTCATCATGCGAGGTGTCTTCTCAAAAGACATGCATAATAATAAACGCTCATCATAAATATGCCTCCAAAATGACTTCAAATTGCAAGTAGTATTTTTCAATCCACATTTAGAGAGATCCTTAACCTTTTTTTACTCTTCATGCTCGTACGTGTTTAACATAGTGGAAAACCAGTGAATAAAATTGACAACAACCATTATGGATAATATCAAATTTAATTGATGTTAACGTCTGTAAATATCGAATGTTACATAATAATAGAAGAAATAAATAAAATAAAATAGAGTAATGCCTTCAAGAGAAAAGATAATAATAATAATAATAATAATAATAATAATAATAATAATAATAATAATAATAATAATAATAATAATAATAATAATAATAATAATAAAATAAATAAGCCATTTATTGAAATTCCATGGTTTGACATATGCTTTAGCCCATTTTTTCTCTGGCTGACAACTCTAAAAGTAAATGAAAGGATGTACCTTAATAATTTTTTTATTCTTTTATTCATTTTTTTTGTCCAAGATTTTTTTTAACAATAGAGACATAAAAAAATAGTATAAGGAGAACAAAAAATTATTAGAAAACCATGATCTTTGGTGAAGCGTTAATAGCAAAAGAGGGGAAACAATAACAAAACGACAACTCATAAATATTAAATATAAAGAAACAACAAATCCACACAGTAGATAACAGACCTCACCAAGCAGAAATGGGATACAAAATAAAATAATTCTCAAAAATATTTGCGGAAAAGAAAATAAGTTAAAAGGTCATGCTTATCATAATTAAATGAAGAAATAAAAGAAAAAGGCTTATGTATGAACCTTGCCAACTGAAAATTGCGCCTCCGAGACAATATTCTTAACAAATTTATGTCCTGTGTATCAATTTCTATTTCCGTGAACATACTTTGTGCCTAGCTTTGTGGACCATCAGGTTGCTAATGTTAGCGCCACTCTGTAGTTGAATGGAAGATTATTTTTAATGGTTGAAAATTTTCTTCCATCAAATTTGCAAAAGTTTTCGTGGTTAAATTGAGGAACTTCACCTCTCTTGTTAAACTCCTTTGGATTCTACAGCGTTTTCTGATAAAATCCATCTCTCCCAATTCTGTTTCAACTTCACTTCGTCTCCATTCTCAATAAGTTCCAAGTCTGTGATAGCATCAACGGCAGTACGTAAAATACTTAGACCTTCTTTTTCTTCCTCGTCAGAAAGATCCCTACTTTCTCTTATGATTAAGATCTTAAGTCTATGAAATTTCAAAAGCAGGCTAAGCTTAACACCACCAGTGGAAGGATTCATCAATTTTCTCAAATACAAATCTTTCAACAAATTATCTAAAGAAAAGTAATAAGTCAATTGTTTAATCACCACTGCCAATCTTGGGTCATAATTTGAAGGTTGTTGTGGCATTGTAGGGGCAAATTGTTGCTGGAACGTAGGCAGCATTACTTGCTGAGGATATTGAGGAATAAACAACGCTTGGCCCATAGCGCCCGGGGGTATCATTCCATTGTTAAAGAACATTTTCTGAGGCTGATTTGGAATAAACTTGGGCAACTGGGCCTGTGGGCCAACACTAGAAGTCCTTCTGCTTGGAGAAGCACTGCTGCCTGCACTTTCTGTTTCATTAAAAGATCTATCCGAAGAATAACCAGTATTATTGTTTTGTTGCACAAACTTGTAATTAGGGTCAAACTGATTATTGTACTGAGCCCCAGAAAGTAGAGTACCAGAAATCATCGGGTTTCCAGTTGCAAAACCTAATGCAGCAGTGTTGGCATACATCGGGTTTATAAAAGGTACCTGGCCAAAATAAGGAGCACCTGGGAAGCCAAAGTTGTTCATTGGTGGGTACTGGCTTCTATATCCATCAGTTTTGTTTCCACTATAGTTAACATATCCATTATTCATACCATAGAAACTGGCGTCGTCATAGCCGCTATTTGAGCGCAGCTTATATCCATTCCTATGTTTAAAACTATTACGGCCGTTCGAATGTTTTCCCTTCTTTTGATTGGAAGAACGCAACTCACCGGATATGTTACCTTCAGCTTCGAAATCACTAATCGAACTTTCAGCTTTAAATGAGTCTTTTTGTTGAGCAGCACTCGAATCTTTGACATCAAGTTTGGCTAAATGCTCACCAACTTCACTGGTTGAATCACTTTCTTTTGTCTCTCTATTGGAAACACCTGTAATTTTATCAACAACCTTGTTAGGTCTATTCTTTAGTTCATTAGTAGCTTCAGGTATTGTAGAGTGCTGTTTGGTTTTCATACCAGAGTGGCGGCTATGTTCCAATATATCATTTGATCTTTCATTATTATGATTGTGAGCATCCGCACCAGGGTTACCATCTGCACCAGGGTTACCATCTGAATCATACTTAGCCGTAACTTTGGCCTTAGCCTTTTTCTTTTTAGATTTATTCTTGCTTTTCGATTTATTATTATTAAAGTTGGCATTTTTGTTATTTGATGTTGTCAACTCAATTTCGGCATCGGTGTAAGGAACCCATTTGTCAGTTCTAGAAAATTTGGCTTTGGATTGCTGGTTAGTGCTGGTGCTAGACAAATCGGCGTTTTCTTTGTTTGCAGAAGTAGAAGGTTTTGGATTTGGAGTAGACTTATCAAGCGATGATGGAGATGGGCTTGACTTTGTATAGGAGATAGTTTGTTGACCTGAAATAAGGGCAGCAGCTGTAGACTTTCTCAGAGACCATGGATTAACTTGGGGCACTGGAGCTGGAAGCAAAACAGAATGATTCGAAGTTAGTTGGGTTGGAATTGAATCAATGTGTTGCTTGCCAGTCGGATCAGTGGAGGCGCTGTTTGTGGAGCCCGTCATTTTTGGATTACTTTTTAACAATTAGTTTTGGTGGAGACGATTGGAAAACAAAAACACAATAAAGTAGAAAAAGAAAGAGAAAGGAAGCGAAAAATAAATATTAAAAAAAAGGAGAACAACAATAAATTGAAGACACCTTTTGTAGTTTTGGTTTGGACAGCAGACTTTCCTTCCAGCGTGCGTTCTGATGATTTAGCAACGACTATAAGATGCTGTTGTTCAGAAATCCCTTAATTGTATTTTAAATGGCCAGTGAATAAAATAATAAGTGACAACCAAGGGAAAAATGAGAAAAGTTTTTATATTTTCCAAAGATGGAGGTGAAATAATTGATGGATGAGCAACAATTCGCCTTTCTGAACAATTTTGGGAAGCAGTAGAAAAAAAAGAACACCGCCCTTCAAACGTGCAACACAAAAGGAAAAGTTGGGAATCAGAGTTACTGAAAATAAAAGTTGACACAAATTGATCTTATGCAATATGACAAGTGGTAAACAAAATGAAAAAAAAAAAAGTTAAAAAAAAGTTCCAACAATTATGCTATCCTTTTCTTTTACTTTCTCCCAATTTCCTCAGAAATATTAATAAGAGAGATGTGTGGAATGGAACAAGGAAAAGTTCAGGTGGTTATTTGTTTATCTGGTGGAATGGGTTTTGTTCGAAAGTAAGGAAATCAATCAATTCAATCCGACCATTGGGGAAAAAACCACAGAATGCCACTCCCCGAAAGTCACAGGGAACAGGCCCTACTATTAGGAGATTTCCGAGGCCCTCGGTGCCAATGATTCGGTTGATGTGTGTATATGCAATATAATGTATCTATAGTGTGACCTGATTCAGCTCGGGTTACGCAGCGCTGATGATCGAGGCCCCGTTGATGCTTGTTAAGGCTTTATTAGTAACAACGATACATCACAGATTCATATGAATTCTATTGTGTTGCTACTCAGAGTTTGCTGAAAAAGTTGAGAGAATACAGGAGACATAGAGATATATACTGACAATTCAATAATCTCACTCCAAAATGTCAATACTATGTGTGGTTCCAAAGAAGCTCATCAAATGCTTTATGATGCTCAATGCCATATGGATCATCTTGTCAACAGTTATCCCAAACTTATCGAAAAATGACCTCTTCAAGGCCCAGATTCCTTCCGAAACTCTAAACCGGAACCAATTGATAAACTCCAACATATATTATGTCATTGCCCACCCTGATGATGAAGTGATGTTTTTTGCTCCTTCGATTATCGAACTTGGTAAGAAGAAACACAACAACACACTAGGTTTAATCTGTTTTAGTAACGGAAATGCTGATGGCCTAGGTGAAGTCAGGGCTAGCGAATTGGTAGAAAGTGCGAGAATTTTTGGCATTGATGAAAGTAATGTGCATCAGATTATTGATGAAGAAAATTTCATGGACTCGATGAATACTACCTGGGAAAGTTCAAAAATAAGTAAAAAATTAAGCAAAATCATTACCAAAGATCCAAACGCCGCGATAAATTTAATTACTTTTGATGAAGCTGGTGTATCTGACCATCCAAATCATAAATCCTTGTATTATGGCTGCAAAGAATATTTGGAGTCGTCTGGATCATCGGCAAACCTCTTTAAACTCAATTCCTTGAGTTTTTTCGAAAAATACTCATTTACTCTCGTTACCAGTAAAATCTTGATTGCTAAATATTTCAAGGTTTTGCAAAATATTCTAGAAAAATCTGATTTTGTGATCCCTATAGCTTTACTGGATGACAAATCCTCCTCTCCTGAAGTCCTTAGATTCTTTTCAGACTTGCCTAGTGCAATTTTGACTGTAGGGGCTATGTCATTTGCACATGCTTCTCAGATGGTTTGGTTTAGATGGGGGTGGTTGTTGTTTAGCAGGTTTGGTAATTTTAACGAATTGATCAAGGTCCAATAATCTACACATCCCCTTCACCCTTTATTTTCCCCTTCGCTCTCTACTTTATGAATTGCATTTAGAATATTAAAGTGTTTAAATTTTATACAGAACAAAGCATTAGCTCAAAGAATTAAATGAGTTTCCTTTATATATATCTTTTTATTCAGAACATTGACATAACATTATCTTTAGTATATTCGACCTTTCAAAAAATACCAAAAAAGCTCTCATCATCCTCTTCATCATATTGTTTGGAAATATTCTTTCTTTGCTCAATTATTTGACTACTCAATTGAACGTATTTTTCTTCGAGAATTTGGAAGAAAATTTGCCCATGTGGTTTATAAAAGTATAATAACTTAAGAATTTCAACGTTGCAAAGACTTCTCTTGCCGAGTTTTTCTTTCAATGAATCAACGAGATTATTGCTCTCAGTTGACAATTTTTGATATCCAATTTCTTTCTTCAAAGAATTGAGATTCTGCTGTGAAACAGTATACATAAACACCGGCCCATTATTTTCTCTAAAATCTTTGATGATTTGCTTGTTGATGATGGAAATATTATTAGGTTCACTATTAACGTCCTTGCTAATGGCTTCTAAATTTGAAAGCTCTCCCATCATAGAGACATTCAAAATATTTATCCAGTAGTTAAAGTATAATGAACAAAGAATTTTATCATCCAGTCTACTGAGATACGCATTATAAAAAATTGGCAACTCTTTAATCATTTGATCTAATCTTCCACTTTGTTTCAATTGACGGAACCTCATATTCAAAATTCTGGTCGTAGGAGAGTTTCCATTAGTGGTAGCCAAATAGCTGTTGAAGATGTTATCTAACAAAACCGCTCTCTCTTGAGAGATTTTATCCAAAAATTCGTCCACATTGTCGATAGCAGATTCCTCATCTCCGAACAAATCAGCATTGTCCTTAAGCGATGCTTCACTTGGGAGTTTAGTATTGTAGTCAGCCCACTTGAAACAAATTTCCCAAATACTACCAACAGCAGGTTTGCCAGAAACCTTGACATCATGAAAATTGTATTTTGTGTCAAATTCTGACAAGTATGCAATGGCTTCCAAATATTCACTATTAAAAGAAAAAGCGGTAACGACAGCTTTCAAAATCTCTATATCAGGGTAGAGAGGATCATCTTTAGAAAGATTGACCAATTCTGATTTGTCTTCTATGCCAGGGGCGACACCCCAAATCAGCTTAAGTTGATTTCTCAACAAATCGATACTGCCATTATACCCTAAGGCTAAAATCAAATTGGTGTGGGTTTCTAAATTTGGTACTAGTCTTCCCGATTCCAGTAAAGTCGTAAACTCTTGAAGTAATCTAGGAAGGTTTATTTCAAATGGTAATTTCCCTTTCCAGTTTTGGTAGCCAGCTGGTATGGCTCCAGATTTTGGAAATCTCGAATTCTTATATTGCCAAAATTTTGGTGATGCACATACAAGTGTCTTGAATTTCAAGTTCCAGAACCCAGTATCAATAATAACTTTATCGTCATCAATAGGAAACTTTTTCTCTATGGCCTTGATAATACGGTAAGCTTTGTCGGGTTTATCGTTAGCAAGTTCCATTTTCAAAATCTGCTCATAGTCTGCGATGGTCAATTGTTCATTAAACTTTGGGTCAGAGTTGAAAATCCCAAAGAAATCTCTGGTTAATCTCAAGCATTTATTTTCCATTTCCTTAACAAATTGTAAGTCTTTTTTTATCTGTAAATTCTGGGAAACCAAAGCGTTAACTGAAGCATTTCCATCTTCTATTGATGATGCCCCGGTAGTAACATTTTTAGTGCTAGCAATATTAATACCTGATTTATTCAAGTTATAAAGCTTTCTTAACTCTGAAGCTCTTTTCAGATAATATTTTTGACATTCAAGGGTTTTAACCAAAATCAATCTGAAATTTTCATAAGTCATAGCCCTCACAACCGCTGCCTGATTACCAGGTTCCACCAACTCACCGAAAAGCCTCAAAGTTGAAATATTCCCATGGTCAGATTTATGATCCATATTAGAGTTGATCACCTCCGTTATACGTTTTTCAAGTTTATTGGCAGACTTCTTGATATAATACTCTCTTCTCCAAGCACGTCTGATCTGTTTAGTGCTCTTATTGAGAATCTTATCCACTTTTTTGTCAGTTTGAAGGGGTTGTATGGTCTTGGAAAGTTCATTATTGATAATAGGGTTAACTGAGCTAGCAGAGGTTATGGGAGTAGCTGTGTTTGAAGTGGGTATTTTAGAAGTTGAAGTGAAAGATCTACTTGCCAATAGCTGGAGGCATTTGGCTTTGCCGGTATTTCTCAAAAGCATAGTGAATGAGAAGGTGACTGTTTCGAAATATGATGATTTCTATAGTACAGAAAGAGATCTGCAATTCACGCTTCTAACAAAAACTGGAGACAAATGGAAGGATATGATTGATAATTATTGATTGAGACCAATAGTCGTTAGGTTTAGCACCCCCAATGAGATTTTTCAACATTTTTTCCACCAATGAATTGCCATGAGAGAGTGCGACCGGGTAGTGTTACCGGGTCCACCAGTCTGGTAAATAGCATGGACTGCTAATAAACTATCCTCCTATTATCATTGACTCATCTAGTATTCCTTTTCTGGTTGATGACTGAGCTGTTGATTTGTAATTTTCCATAATATAATGATATATTAACATCTACCGTAAGCCGCAAAGATTCGGAATTTTTTGATCTACGGTAACTAAAACAAAAAAACTTCAGGAACAAAAAAAAAATCTACTAGATAATAATACAAAAACGAGTAAAATATTATAATATTAATTAATGTACACCATCAGCCACCTAAATAAATACCCACTCAGTAAGGTCTGAATCTCTTTCTCTCCTTCAAAGACTTAATTCTTGCCTGATCTTCTCTGAATTTCATCAATAATTGGTTCATTTCTTGCTTCTTTCTCTCTCTTATTTGGAATCTGTAGAAATCTTGTCTCTGCTTCTTCGAACTCTTCTTCGATAAGTCATTACTTAATCCTTGATTATTCATCAACTTCAACCTATTAGTCTTACCCATAATGGCTGCCTTAGTTTTTCTATGTCTATTAACCACAAGCTGGAACCCATCATCATCGATAATTTTCCCGGCATTTTGAATCTCTTCCTCTTCTTCCGCTTCCTTTTTGTTGAAGTTGCTGATGGACACATTGATATGATGTTTTAATTGGTCTACATCACAAATTTTACTCTTTAAACTATTGAAAATTCGTGTGGAGCTTTCTTCTGAATTTGGCCCTTCAAGAATAGGAAAACTTGATAATGAATTTGATTTGGAAAGCTTCTTAACGTTACTCATAAACAATTTAAGCGAGCTCTTGTCAACAAATGTGACCAACCCAGTGTTGAATGGCAATCTCTTATCACTTGCCGAGTCCTCAACCCTTTCACTATTGGCTTGATCGTAATACTCGCCGGTCAATTTATTCAAATCAATATCTGTTTTATGTTGTAAGCGATTATTGACGATGTCGCACTCTTGGATTAACGATGCATCAGAAATCTGTCTGAAAAAGTTTCTCAAGGACTTCAAATCGTCAATACAATTGGGCAAATTGATCACAAATATGCTTTTGTCATTTATATCTTTTTCCTGGCTGGAGCCACTATTGGCCTTCAGTTGATGCTGTTTGAAATATACATAATGGACAACTTCCTTCTCGTCGTGTAGCTTCTTGGAAATCAATAAGGGTGAAGTAGAGATTCTAACAGGGAGTATTTTGAACCCTTTTATTTCGTCTCTTTTTAAAAAACCCATGTGGTCGAATATATTGCAGGTTTTAATTCTTTATTTCGAAGGTGACTGCTGTACCAGGACAAAACGGCTTCAATCTCAAATTTTTTTTTTTTTTTTTTTTTTTTTTTTCCCTCTTCCTGCAAAGTGCGTCTAGCGATTCTTCAGAAAGCTCTTTATTTATTAACACATCGTTAAATTCTAGGGGAAAAAAACGCTTCTTCAAACTCGATCTGACCGTTTTAATTATCCATATACACATACTTGGAGTCTCCTTCAAAAGAAGAAAATAAAAAAAAAATTGCACCCTGTTCCGTAGGGTTCCAACCGGTTTGTTTGCCTCTACATCTCAATTCACCCTCCCTTCTTCCTTCTATTACATATCGCTGGTAAGATTTGATAGCATACATACATCATCAGCATGAATAGGAAGAACATGAAAAGACCAGAGTCGCTATTACTAGACCAGAACTCTCTCAACTCTTCATTTAATTTGGAATCCAATGAACCTTCGAGCAAGGAGCATGACAATTATAATGTGGCCTTCAAAAACTCATTCTCATTGAAGAAATCATCTAAGAACACTACCTCATCGTCAATAGAAGTTAATAAAAATAGGGGGAGCGGTGGTTCTGTTAACAATCTAAGGATAGTCAGTATCAACAATTCGACCAGCAGTTCAAACTCAAAGCCAATGTCTCCTGTGTCCCCAAAATATTTGGAAAAGAACAATGATAAAAAATTTTATGATTGGACCAGAATAGAGGTTCATAATTGGATTGTGAATTTGACTGATCTTAATCGAATTAGCAAATCTCAAGAAACTGCAAGAACTTTTCTAGAACACAATGTTACTGGTGATATTTTACCTTATTTGAACATGCAGCATTTCAACGACATGAACATTAAAGAGTTAAAGATCAAGTTACTATTGAAGAAAAATATCGAATCACTTCTAGTGCAGTTTATGGATAAATACTCGAACGATGAGGGTTTTGATGAGATATTATTAAATTCGCATTTAATGAATAATTATAATTCTTCAAATGTATCAAGTGCGCTTTACAATGATTACAGCATAGCGTTGACAGAACAAGTCTTGACTAATCTTTCAGATCAAATAATAAGACTTTATTCAAGCAGAGTACAGGATGTCTATAATAATACTAGTGGTGCTAACAACAGTAGCAGCGATATCAATACGGGAAAAAACAATTCAAAATCTTCTACTCGTGACAAAAGTGTGGAAAAGATGGATCATGACTTGAAGAAATTGCATCAGAATTTTCAAAGGTTCAAAGAAGATGTTGCTCCAGTAGTCAAACATTACAAAACTGCTAAAGCCAATGTCTCTGCCAATAGCTCCATCTCACAAACTCCTATTGAAAACAACTACTTCTTGAATAGTACATTGACACCTTCAAGTCTAAATGGGTCACCAAGCATAGTATCACCAATGCGAAATATTGCTTCGCCAACTAATCAGCCATTGTACAATAAGAGAAGTAACCTTCGAGATAGTCTTGAGGATTCACTTGGTGGCTCAACTGGCATGAATACTATCCAAGATGAAGATTTGAACGGACTGAAAAAGAAAAGCGGAGATAGGATGCTCCTCAACCCATTCAAAGAAAGAAAAGATTATGATAGATCACCACTAGAATCGACATATGAGGCATCCGTACATTCGAACTCCAGTTTTAATGGGAGCTCGACACAATCACAAGTAGCACAGCAAGATATACATCAAAGGACCTTGTCTAATTCAAGTATTAAAGCTGGTGCCATCACAGTTAGTAAAAATCTCCTCACAGGGACTCCATCGCCTACTGTGGGTACAAGTGCCTATCAAACTGCGCAAACTGCATTGCAGACTCCTAATTCTGGCACGTATCCTCCACTTAGTCATCAACAGTCCAACGTTTCCTTATACACTAGTAGCAGTGTTAATAATTATGGTGGCAGTAATGCCCTTGGGGTTCTTTCTGCACCAAGCTCTTCTACACATGGCAACTTTAACAGTCCAACTACAATACAAGGTCAACAGTCGATACAGCAATCACCAGGCCCACTACTGGGAGTCTCCAGTACTCCGACTGGGGTAAGAACAGAACCGTTGAAGCAACTTAAAGCCAAGTATGATGACCCATGTTATAAAGTTTTACAAAAGGCAATGATAAAACATAAAATCAACAACGTGGACTGGAGAAACTACGTATTGGTAATTTGTTATGGCGATAAAGAAAGAATATTGGGCCCTGAAGAGAAACCGGTGAAAGTGTTCAAAGAATTACAAGACAAAGGAGGTCAACATCCTTCATTTATGATTAGACAACTAGAAGCAGCGTCACCAAGCTCAGATAGATTTGATGATGACGGAAACACTAGTGGAGCTTACAGTAGTTATTAGATTTAATTTTTTTTTTTAAAGGAACACTTCATTGATCCCTTTTTTTTTTTTCTTTTTTTTTCTTTTTTTTTTGTTTTATATATATATATATAGGATTTCATGTCATTGGCTTTCTTAATGCAAAAGAATGAAAACAAGCTATATTCATAAATATGATTTTGTCCTGGTCTGAGGAGAGTGCAAAGAGTATGGTGTAATCTTCTACTAGTGTCAGAAAACAGGAACTCTGTAGCTCATTACCCTGCCGTCATCTGCCGCTATGGAAAATTGATATACGAAGGCAAACTCACTTCTAGTGTGATCTTGGACGCTACAATTAACAAGAATCATATCATTCTTAGTTAGTAAGACAAGAACGTATTTCAAAAAGATAAGGGAGACAAAATGGTATGTGTCGCAATCCCATTGAGCTCTGGGAAGATGCTTTTGGAACTAGTTGCATGGTATTTTGGCCACAGGGAAAGTTGAACTAACTGATAATAGATTCTTCGTTTTAGAACCAAAGATGGGATGTTCAGAGTGAATGTCGATGCCAACCAGGACTTCAAGGGAGCAATGGAAGAGGTAAGTCTTTTTTTACTCAGAACTTGGGGTTAAGGATGAATAATCAATGTGATCATTGTTATTGATTCAGTATTGCAATTTTTTAAGTAGTTGCTAGTGTTTTGTGAGAACTCAGTGAGACAAAGCGTTTCTACTAACACTTTGAAATAGCTTTCAAAGTCGCTAAAGAATGTTGATTTGAGCTCGGCAAAGATTTCCGATAAACCAAATGGAGGCGGCGAGATGGTTACAAGTTTATGTGGCCAAACTCCTAGTCAATTGAATTTTAAGTAAGTAAACCATTGGTTCAGAATTATGTTTTGAAATATGAAGTCAGGATTCACAACTAACCCTTATATATAGACATGGTGATATGCTATTCATTACTTATGAAGATGCCAATGTCGTTGATACCACAATTGAAAGTGGTATCACCAACCCGCCAGCCCATGATGGGGCGATCGAGCCTTCTAGAGTAACACAATTGGAAGTGGATACCATTCTAGATAAACAGCAGGGGCTCATTCCCCGTAAGAGATCTTCTCTATGTCGTCATGGGGACTCCGGGATGTGTGAATACTGTTCCCCGTTGCCACCATGGGACCAACAATACTTGGCTGAACACAAGATCAAACACAAATCGTTCCATGCACACTTAAATGAACTTAACCAATCAGCAAACAAAGCAAACGGCTCATCTTACATCCCTCCACTCAAGGAACCGTCATTTGAAGTGACCAAGAATTGTGTGGGTGGGCACAAACCTTGGCCAGAGGGTATTTGTTCGAAATGCCAACCTTCGGCAATCACTTTACAGCCACAAGATTTCAGAATGGTAGATCATGTAGAGTTTGCAGACTCTCAAGTCATCAACACATTTATTGATAGTTGGAGAAGTAGCGGGACTCAAAGATTAGGGTACTTGTACGGTAAATATGAAGAGTATCCTTTGGTGCCATTGGGGATTAAAGCGGTGGTGGAAGCAATTTACGAACCACCACAAAAGGATGATAATGACGGTATCACTTTATTGCCTTGGGAAGATGAGGCCAAAATCACTGAAACTGCCAAATTGTGTGGATTATCGAAAGTGGGGGTGATTTTCACTGACTTGACTGATTCTGGAAACGGCGACGGGTCAGTAGTTTGCAAAAGACACAAAGATTCTTATTTCTTATCTTCATTGGAAGTGCTATTTGCGGCTCATCAACAAATAAATAATCCTAATTACACCAGACATTCGGTGTCGGGAGTTTATTCGTCCAAGTTTGTCACATGCGTGATCTCAGGTAATTTGGAACAAGAAATTGAAATCTCTAGTTATCAAGTGAGCGCCTCCGCTGAAGGATTGGTAAAAGCCGATTTGATAAGTGGTTCAACTCATCCATCGATGGTTTATATCAATGATAAAACTGAAAAGCGGTACGTGCCTGACATTTTTTACAAATTCAAGAATCAATACAATATTGTGGTCAAGCAAAATGCTAAGCCAGCATTTCCTGATGATTATTTATTGGTTACTTTAACTCATGGTTTCCCACAATCTCCAACGCCAAAATTCATATCGCCCAAGAAATTTCCAATTGAAAACCGTCACCACATTGGTGAAGGTGCTGATTTGATGGCTATCAATCGTCATTTATCTTTACAATCCACAACATACAATGATAATAACATGAATGAATTCATGAAGTTGATGTCTGACTTTCATTTGGTGTGTTATTTGTTCAGTGTTGATATCTTGTCACCAGCAGAAGAAAGATTGATCTCTAAGATTGCCACCACACATGATGTCAACTTATGTTTTGAATTATTTGAATCTCCTGGATGGAAGACTTTGGTGACTATTATTAACAGTCAATAAAAGGTATATAAGTATTTGCTGGTGAGGTGAAGTGAAGAGGAAACAATCATCGCCCATAATACATACTATGTAATTCGTGAAATCAAAGCATTTCTTTTCTTGTAAGTAATTCTGCTCCTGTTGATTTATGAGGTATATATGTTCAATCGGTATTAACAGCTTGGCGGCATTGAACACAGCAGTTCTTTTTCTATAAAAGTAGTACCGTATGTGTGTTACAAAAATTTTCTCAAATATACCAACCTTTGGCTTCTATGGTAAAAAGAAAGTGAGGAAATTTGTTCCTTTCCAATTTCATTGAACAATTATTGTTTGTCCATAAAAAAGTGGAAAACCAAAAACATATGGTAGATCTGTGTCGAAAGGTGAAATGCTTCCACCTCATTCATTTACATTCCTGTGAAAATCAGTTGCCAAGTTGCCGGGGTACCCGAGGCAAATGTCCCCGGGCAGAAATTGGACACAACAATATTATGCTGCTAGTAATAGGCCCACTTAGTCTATTTGTCGCCAATCATTTCTATTTTTCATGCCAGAGGGAACTATGACAACGAAAAGCGACTTCGGGGTCTTGAAATTTTGACTTGCTTTTTTTTTTTTTATGCAGGGTTGATCTTTCAGTCGGAAAATCAGTCCAGAATAACAGGGGATCTGATCGAATAGATAATCCTATGGGACCATCAAAGTGAGAAATGTCTAAATCATGCTATATTTTTTTTTTTGGTGTTTTCGCGGTTGAAAATGGATCTTCTAGCACTTCTGGTAGTAGCATAAGTATTGTCGTAGGTGTCTACAGTTTAAAATTCAGTTCATTATTGGTGATACGCATAAAACAAAACATTAAAAGAAGTAGAAAAATGTCAAAAAAAATAGGGTCGTAAACTTTAAAAGGCATTTTAACAATTAAAGTTCTTTTTTTTTTACTGAAAAAAGTTTATAGGTTAATTTAAAAGCAATGGATCAAAGACGAATTGAAGAATAAAGGAAAAGAAAGAAGTTATTGAAAAGAAAAACATTAAGTTAAAATCAAATATCCCTCGCTCTAGTACATTGCAGGACAATCATCAACAAAGGTGGTGATTGGAATATTTGAATAATCTTCATTACCATTTGTGGCGTTCATGTTACCATTCATAGAAAACTGAGGTTCAGAGTTGTCATAGTTATTCATGTCAATGTCAGTAACCATTCCCATGTCATTCATATTTATAACGGGGCAAGCTGGCACACCATAATCCAAATTAGACAACATGTTGTTGTGGACATTGTTAAAAGCTGAATCCGTCATGAATGGCATTGTGGAATTGTAGTTAGCCCTCATTGATATATCGTCTATTTTAGAGAAGTTAAAAGAAGTATCCTCTGGTTTCGATCTTGGAAGTTCTTGGGTGCTATCATTTAGCTGGACATATGACACGTTTTGGTTCATGTTCATTGACATGTTTCGGTTCATCATATCCATACTCTGTTGTGGGGCACCACTATTTCTGGTGAAAAAATCATCAATAAGACTATTTACGGTAGATATACCTTCAGGCAATTGATCATCTCTAACTGGCTCGAAGAATGGAGAAGCATAACTTGATGAATAAACTTCTTGATTACCAGTGAATTTCCAATCATCAGAAAAATTGTAATTGCCATGATTTATACTCTGATCGATGTTCGATGTTCCTTCAATAGCAGCAGTCAAATGTGCCGAAGACCCACGTGTGCTAAGGAAATCTTCCATTGAATTATCACAAGATGAAATTGGAGAAGATACCGAATAACTGTCGCTTAAATTCACTGAGCTGGCTTGGTTGAGATTGACTCCCAATAACATTTGGCTGGTGGAGTTATCATAGGATGGTAATAGCAAACTATTTGGAGTACTTGGGTTAGAAGCGGAGCTTGCATTGGAAAATGATAACGATTTCGAAGATACAGTTCCCACAGAAGCATTTTTTATTTCCTTATCTTCAATCATTTCTGGTTCATGTGGATTGGTATGGAATCTCTTCTTCACCAAGTTAACTTGGATGTCGCGGTTGAAGGAATCGTCGTTGAAAAATTCACCGGCATTCGACTGGCAATTTTTCAAAGGATGGTTATGTTTACCATTGACAATCACGATGGTCCATTTATTAGTTCTAACAGAGTAGTTTGCTCTGATACGGAATGGACAAGAACAATTGCTGTTTTTCTTTGCTTTCTTTTGTTTGTCCTTTTGTTGTAATTCTAAAGTTTCTAATAACCCTTGCTGTTGCAACAAAAGCTTCTGTTTTTTAGAAACTCTTTTTTGACGTACTTTTTTAAATGAAGAAGAGTAACGGTAAGACTTGCACTTGAAAACAATTTTAGCAACGTCAGATCTTTCAATGACGATCAAAATCCCCAAAGGCATCAATCTATTCTGAATCCATGACTTGATTTGTGATCTATCATTGAATACTGGCTTTTTGTCATTTTCACCAAAGAGTAATTCTTCTGCAGTAACCATGGCTCTTGAGGATTATTAGTTTTCTTTATTGTTTGGATATGAACAAAATTTATCAGTTTCTCTATTTATAGAGCGTATCTTGTAGATTGTAGTGTATGAATGTGAAGTTAATAATATGGTTTTGAAAGTCAGAACCACAAAATCAATCAGTAAAAAGGAATTTGGTTTCAAAGAGCGTTAGCCAAATTAATGATACAATAATAAAGAGTAGTACGCTTGGTAACGTGAGTATATCATAGGAGGTTTTTCTTTTTTTAGTTGTTCTTAACTAATAAATTGTAGCGGTATTAAATTTTCCTGTGGGTTGAAATTATCTTTGCGAAAACAAACTCCAAGAGCACCTGCAATATTAATAATAGGTAAGGATAACAGAGCAAAAAGGGAAGACAATTCAAGAGAGGCACTATAACACTAAAGTAATATCGAGGAAGTGAGGTTTAGGAGACTGGTGGGATTTCCCGCTGCCTTTATATGGGGGAGAGCGCTGATTTTTTGCTCGAGGGGCTTGCGTGGCCGTGCGGATATGTACATGATAGACTGCATAATATATGCATAATCAAACAGGATCAGTGAGCTCAGACAAGTGAGAAGGTTTTAAGGTTTGTTGTGCACGTGATTAAGCCACAACATCTGGATCTAATCCCGAGAACGGAGCGAAGATGGAATCGATAAAAAAAAAGTTTTTTTTTCTTTCTTTTTTTTTTTTTTGGTACACATATGGGACTTTCTGATACAACTCTTATTTATGAAAAAAAATAATCTCTAAAACCATCAAGGATATAACTATATATATTATTATAAATGAAATACATCACTCACATACGGTAAATTACAATATTGGAAAAAGGTGTTAAAAGTATTGAAAAAAAAAAAAAGAAAAAATTCTAGTAAATACCAGACTGCATCAGCCAAACTATTTCGAGAGGCACACTCTAATGCCAAGATTATGAGAACAGCATGACTCCCAACAACGGAAAAAAAAATGTTCAGTAGATTTTTTTGCTAGTTAAATGAGTGAATAACTATATTTAACCTGCATTTCTGTAGATTCTTTATTTTTTCGTAAAAGGCATTACCATTAGATGTTGTTAAACTACATTATGAAAGAATATGTTTTGAATGTGTTTTCAGAGGTCATTTCCTCAAAAATTTTTACTTTATTGTTGATATACACCCTTGTGGTATTTCTCTGTATGTAGGTGATCATTTCCACCTGAATTTCCGCATTTCTGTTGTTTTGTTTGTGCAAAGTTTAATTCGTTTTGAGTTCGATGACAAAAAATTATCTATTCCATCTCTCTATTTTTAAAGACTCAATATTGAAGATGCTGGCACGATTGCCACTACTGGTGTTACCACCGCAATCAATAGCCAATATTACTTAATACTAATGATGGTAGTGATTCTATCAATATTTATCACTACAACTACTTCACCAGTAGTAATTACACCAATAGTCATAGCGCTCCCATCCACACCGTCAATTTACAGACAGCATGTCCATGTATGTTCGCACAGTTGATGGCCAAAGAATAGGCGGGGTTTTTCTCGCAAAACCTTCTCGTCAAAATCCTCTTTGATGGCACATTCGGCTTGCGCAGAATCCCCTTCAACCTTTTATTCTTTTTTTTTCAGTCACTTACTATTCTTTGGCACTGATCATCGGTGTACCAGAATAAATTAATCCATAATTACAATAGTTACTATTTTCCACCTATTGTGAAATCTGACTCACGATACACATAATTAATGTTGTAATTGTCTTAAGCGAGCATCTTTTTATTCTATTACAGGGTATTAGGATCACAAGGTTAAAAAAAGAAAGAAAAATTTTCTGCCCAGCACTTAAGGTTCTCTTTCGTCATGTATCCTCATGCATCTGATGGAATAGATATTTATTTTGCCGTGAACTGATCTTTCAGATAACTTTATAAAATCTATGACAAAAAAAAAAAAAAAAGAAAAGAAAAAATTCATACAACAGCAATAAATAGATTGTGACTAATTCAATAATCCGATTGATGATAAAATAACACAAATAAGTATACTGACATGAATTTATGTTGAATTTTAGATGGCCCCTGTTTCCTTTTCTTTTCCAAGAATGGATTGAATTTTTTTGGATTATTTATGACAGTTTTATGAGCAATAACGGAGTGTTTTTTTCTCAAACCTGTCTTAGGTATACATGCTACTATAACTATCATTGCTGGTATCTCCACAGAAGTTCAAACTTTACAAAATTTCGAGTAGGGTTTTGAATGGCTTAAATTTCAATTTGTTTTTACTTTTTATTTTATTTTTTGGTCAGTCATTTAGTCTATCCACTATATATAAAAATAAGCCAATCTTGACATTAAAGAACAATTAACAAAGATATACCACGTGTACCGGAATGATATCATCATAATCTTTGACCTTCTTCCAATAAATTATGATTTGTTCAAAACGATATTGCAATAGGATTTTAACATTGAATGGAGCTTAAGCATAAGTAACGGAGATTTCAAAGTTTGATCTTCCTAGTCAATCTATGTAACGAGAAAAAGAACTTAATCAAATTAATTACCCAGATAAGAAGACAACTAATAGTCATCCAATGAATCAAGTTCAAAATCCTCAGCCCCTCTGGTTTCTTCTACTTCATTTTCCAATTGTACAGCCGGTTGATGTTCCAATGTTGAATATTCGTCTCTATTCATAATTGACAGATCTCCTCCACTATACTTATCAACCCCAACAAGTTTCAAATAAAGTTCAATGATGAGCACCATCCACAAGATGATTAATGCCGCTCCAGATGTTAGCAACATGATGTAAGATGAGTGTCCTGCTCCCATATCTTTGACAAGAATCAATTGCTCCTCATTGGCACCCATAAACATTAAACCTGCTTCGACCAATCCAAAAGGAGCGACGTATTGGAATGACATGATCTTCCCTGGAATTGAACGCTGGTCCTTCAAGACAAAGGCAATTTCAATAACTCTCCCAAACCCAGCAAACATAAGGGCCAAACCGAAGAAATAGTGTACCTTGGTACTAATTTCCAAATGTTGCACATGAACAGACATAGCCCAGCCCGTAATCGCAATGATGAGCCCCGGAACAAATGAACGATGCCCATCTTTCGAAAGATAAATCCCCACCAAGCCCATACACCACCAAATGATCCCCATTGCAGTATGCTGGTAATCACCATGGCTCCAAGGTTCCCATGGTCTATGTTCAGTAAAAGTGTTGACACAGCCCCAGACACTAATCACAATAGAATCCCAGAATTCCGGAGGGTATCTAGTCTTTTGGTTTCTAAACCAAGGGATCATCAACCATAACAACATCACAAATCCGTAGAAAATGAAGGCCGAGCCCATAATCCCATGAGCCAAACATTGGCCTGTATGGTTTGTTTCGTTAGCATAACAAAATCCAAGCATGGCAACCACTGTCATGCACATTCTTACCCAGCCGGTCAAACTCGATAAGACTGCAAAGGTTCTGAATGTTCTTGAAACGAACTTCTCTCCACGTCTAGCAATGACATTTTCTTTGGATCTAAAAGATTGTGGCAAAAATTTACTACCAGAAAGAAGCAAACCAAAGAAAGTGGTGGTTGCTAATAACATCATCAAGAACCAAGCGGTCCCCAATGACGTCCGATTTTCATGGTCATTTGGATCATTGAATCGGAGAAATAACGCCTCAAAAAGCGAGTAACCAGTAGAAATCAAGAAGAAATTAGTGGCAAGTATGTTTCTCTCGGCAAAGGCAAACGCCGTGCTGATTGATGGAAGAATCAAAACCAAAACAAGTGACATTAGCCAATGGAAAGAATCCCACTTGAAGTTTTTGAGATAGACTGATAGATCACGATCTTGGTCTGGCTCATCCATAGGCATGTTCATATCGGCAGCAACCATAGAAAATAGAGCCAGGACGCATATTAGAATCCTAAAGTTTTTGGACATCGCTTAAATTTGTAAAATAGGTTATCGGTTACCCCAAACCCAACTCCTTAAGACAACTTTTGGTATCAATTGAATATAATGGTACTGATTATCTATTTCTTGACTTTTGCATCAAGCAATAAATAAACAACTAACGAGAAAGTAAAAGTGAATTATGGAAATTATATTTGTGGATATGTAGTTCTCTCTCCAGCTATCTATTTTTCATTTTGACCTGTCAACTGATCTCGCTGTTTTCGCTTTTGTTTTTTTGATAAGATTTTCTTCCTCTTTACTCCGACACACCCCCTAATTGCCCCCTATATAATCTGCCAGTTGCTGTCATAAGGGAATAGGAATCTACAGACTATGCAAATAAAACAAATAACAAAACCTTTATTGAAACACAGAACCACAAAAAAAAAAAAAAAAAAAAATTAAAATGAACAAGAGTGAGAATTCTGCTTCTTTATACTGCAAAATAGAGTAACATCCCATATCAGAAATCTCCATTTGGAAGATAGGAGAATGAAATTGACAGAATAATGACAAGTGCAAATTATGAAGTGAAGTATTAACTAGAGAAAACTCTATCGAAAGACCCAAAATAGAAAATAAAAATTAAGAAGAATATACTGATTTGATTACCCATCCATAATATCATATTGGAGGCAAGGGGTTTCTACACACTGGACACTTCAATTTATATCTCATCCAGTTTTCAAGACAATCATTATGGAAAATATGATGACATGGTGTGATCATAAAATCATCAGCTACTACTAGCTTCGTATCAGTTCCATTCAACAACCTGTCATCCTCTGCGACACTATCGTGACCATCTGTGAAACCTTCGTTTTTCGTGGTCACTGGAATATCCACATCTGTCATACAAATGGCACAGTCCATTTTAAATATTTCTTTATGTGTGTGATCCCCGTTTGATGAGACAACCGTCTTATGTTTTGAGTTGAGCAAATCAATACCAAACCCATTTTCTAAATCAGCGAGTGAAAGAGTTGGATGGTAGTTATAAATATTTGGCAAGTACCGTTTTGGAATTAATACCCTAGGACCGAACTTCTCCTGGATGTAAAGTGCGGCGATGGAAATTAACTTGAATATTGTAAGGCCAATTAAGAAATTGTAATCTGTGTGGTGATGGAACACATTATTGGAATAACCAAGAACATAATAAATTGGAAGTAATCGAACAATTGAGGTCCCAATTATAAACTCCCAACTGAACGAAGTTCTAGAGCCACGAATGACATTTCGCACAATTTGTGGGTACCAATAAGAATTGATAAACACAAGTATCAACTTTTCGGTGAAGAATCTAGGAGCTCTACCCCAAGTTGAAACATTAACAACCAAAAATGAACAGAAAATTAGGGAAAAGAAAAACCTGGAGTATAAATTCGATGAAACCGTGCGCTCATCCTCAAAGTTTGTGGTAGTAGTAGTATTTGTATTCAAATTACCGGCCTGGGTCTGGAATCCTCCTGTACTGGTAGGTAATACATCACCGTTATTGCTACTGCTTTCATTATTGCTTGAATCATCAGTTGGATTGCCTCTTAAAATCGTCCATAAATCAACATTTTGCTCATTCATCTGTAGCATGTATATACCAACCATGTACCGGAGCTCAAATATTGATGAAAGCGTGAATGTAATCAATGCGGCGATTGCCAAGGAAATATACAAATCAAAGACAATTACCGTAGATATAAGCAATATCATTGTGAGAGTCCCATCTATCAAGTTCATAATTGATAAGGTGTGGTAAGATATTCTAGAAATTCTAGGAGGGGTATTGGTCAAATTCATTTGACGAATTAATAAATATAGTTGCAATGAAACCAAAATCATGACTCCAATCACTACCTTCCTAATCCGAGAGATTTGAGAATAATGGCTTCTACCTTCCAAATTGTTGATTTCAAATAAAATCCCACAGTCTGGTGAATAAAAAAGCCCTTGATTAATTACAAATTTAGGAATCTCAGCTGTTGGGCGACCTATCGGATCAAGAATCTCATCATCAATCATTTCTAATTCTTCTTTTGTTAAATTCACCGGGTTGAAATTCAAGTAGCTCACAAATTCACATTTCAAAGTTTCTCTAGCATCTTCTCTCAAAACATCAAATGTTAAATTCTTGTGCACGCTCAGGGATTCAAGAGATTCATGATACTGAAACTTTTCCACCATATATGATTTCACCGCTTCAAAATTATTCTCATTGAGCAACAAGTGAGGTAACGCGTAGTAACTTTCAAACTTGGCTGATCTAGTGGTGGCAAATATGTTACCATTATCAAGAAAATACATTCCGCTCATGGAGATAGGATGTACTTCAGTTTGGTCAGTGTCAGTCAATTGCATGTTTATAATGACTGGAAAAATGTTTGAATTTGTAAGATTATCCTCTCCATTTCTTTGGGTTGTCACTTCAATATAAAAGTCACCAACTTCTATATTGCTGACATTGCCTATTCTTTGGGATACATAAGCTCTATTATCTGACAAGGTATTGTATCTCGATCCATTATCGTAAAATGAATCCGAAGCTGAATCCTCAGAAAAGCCTGTACCATCAGCAACCGAATTGGCTTCCTCGGCACCATTTTGAGCATTAGCAAAATTGCTATTTTCGTCTTCGTCATCCTCATAATTATTACGACTTCTATCAAATGGATTTTCATACACATATGGTGACAAATATTCGGGAACTGGCATTGGAATTTTGGAAAAATTTAGTGCAGAGGTTTTGAATTTACCTCTGAATGATCCTGTTAAGTTTTTCATAAATAAGGATTGGCCATGCTTGTTGTGGCTATTTGTATACCACACATCATTAGCAAGCGCACTGACATAGTTTGGCAAAATTGAATACTCTTCAGTTTCTTGAAAATGATCATAGTCCTTATCAGGGAATGGGTATAGCGACAAGTTTCGGTTATCCATTGCATCTTTATAACTCATTCGAAGACCAGTAATGTTTCCATATCCTGATTCGTAAGTTGAATTGAATAGAACGCTTCTCAGTCTGTTGCGTTCACTATTGAATGTATCCAACAGTTGTCGCTCATCCTCAGCTAGTTCATAGTCGGTTCCTGGCATAAATAGTATAAAACATACTATAAGAAGAATGAGAATTTCCCCTCTTGAAGTCATTCCCGTTTGTTTTTTCTTATATCTTTATCCTTTGAGAAGTGATATTAATATTAATATATACTATATGTCATACTGTATGAATCCGTATCACACACCTAAAAATCACTAATAATTCGCATTTACCCGGGTACTGTGGAGTTGTAAAAGTCAGGGTAGTCAAATTAAGTATACTCCATGAGTGTGGGTCATCACCTAAACAAAAAAAAAAAATTTTTTCTAGGAGCATGAAAAATTCAAACACAATAATAATAGAGTAGATAGATAGCCAAGTTATATTAACTACATTCATTCAAATTATGGCCTCTCCAAAAAATTCTGTGTCAAAGTCTTCCAAGAGTGATAAGCTATCCAATAAAGCTTCTTCAAAGCAAAAAAAACTGGTTCAGAAAGTAAAGGAACAACCGAAACAAGTCTTTAGTGTTGAAGAGATCAAAACCATTTATCAGCAGGTAAAGACCTCGACAAAGAATCTCAATGATATAGTGAAGTTACTTGACCAATTAACTGAATTGTCCAAATCACATAACGAGATCCTAGCACATGAAGAAGAAGCTCGGCTTTTGATTATTTCATTACTTAAGGTATTTGAACATTTCATAAAGCTGAAGACCTTGAGGTACTCCATCAAGAAAGAAACCAATGATAACAAGGTTGTGCTCAACAAGTGGTTGAAATCTAAATATGATTTGTTCAAAAAAACACTATTGAGCCTTATCAGTGAATTTGTTTCAGATAATGACATTCTTATTGATGCATTGGAAGGGTACTTCCAATTAATGAAGCTTGAAGCTACCACTTGGGCTCCAAAAAATGAGGCACATTTCCCTGGTCAGATGTACGAAACTCTTGTGAAGACATTGATATTCGATAGCAAAAATGGGAAAATTTTGGAAGATGGGACCACCGACAGTATTTTAATAGAATTCTTCACCAGTAATTATTTGAATAAGTGCAAAGATTTGAAATTCTACTTTTTGAGTCTGATGATCAATCTTTTAGAACAAGAGAAACAAAAATTAGGCGGAAAAAGTTTTAAAACTGTATATTCCAAGTGGTTAACTATTATGCAAGAAGATTATTTCCATTCAATTTTCTATGGAACCAATGATGATAATAAAAAAGATGCTAAGATTGATACAAAATCTAAAAATAATAAAGATGATGAAGATGAAGATGACTTTGGATTTTCTGATGACGACGACGATTCAGTTGTTGATGCTTCAGATGACGAGGAATTGGAATTGACTGATACTTTTGTACCAAAGCCACCACAAGCTATTCAAAAGTTTGCCACCTATAAGTCGCTTTTCACCAAAAATTGGTTGAGCATTCTTTCGATTCCAGGGATTGAATCTGCTCAATTGAAAACCACTTTAAATATTCTTCACAAGAGAATTATTCCATACATGATTAAGCCTGAACAGTTAATGGACTTTTTGACTTATTGCTATGATAACGGCGAGTCAATTATTATAGAGATTTTGGCGATCAATGGGCTTTTCCAATTAATGCAAAAGAGGAATCTCGAGTACCCACAATTTTACGAAAAATTGTATGATTTCTTCAAGAAACCAGAGATTCTTTCCAATAAGTATAGATCGAGATTCTTTAGATTGGTGGATTTATTTTTATCATCTACACACTTACCTGCATCGATTGTTGCTTCATTCATCAAAAGAATGGCGAGACTCGCAATCTTCAATAACCCTGGTGGGATTGTTATTGTCATGCCATTCATTTACAATCTTTTGAAAAAACACCCAAGTTGTATGATTTTGATTCATAATCCTTTGCTTAGTGACGAGGAATTGGAAAATTATGAAGATCCTTTCAATAACGATGAAACCGATCCACTTTTAACTAATGCGATTGAGTCGTCGCTATGGGAATTGGAAACGTTAGCTAGCCACTACCATCCGAACGTGGCTACTTTGGCTAAAATCTTCTCTAATCCTTTTACCAAAACTAGCTACAACATTGAAGATTTCTTAGATTGGAATTACAAGGGTTTACTCGAGAGTGAGCGGACCAGACGTATCAAAGGAGACCATATGATGGCTATTGAGTTTGAAGAATGGGACAGTGCTTTTAAGGGCAAAGAGGAGAACGAAGAAAGTAGATGCTATATAGATAGCTGGAGATTGTGATTGGGTGTACCTTTTGTAATATATGAGTTATAACATTTAATCTTGTAGCCCCCTATCGACTGATTTTTCTTTGTTTCGATCTCTTTCTCTTTCCATTTCTTTATTTGTTTCGGCAGTGTAGTTTTGACTTCGTTTCCAACAGGAGGGATCATGGCAGTACCCACGGTTCCGCGGAAGGTGTGGCAGTTGGTGTGTATGTTGAGCGACGATCCTTCTGCAAATCCCTCGCTCAAAGTTGTCGAAAACAGTGTGTCGTATAGGTCGGCTGACCCGCTTGCTTTGTGATGCAGGCCGCTTGTGGGACGGCGAAAACAAAAAAAAAAAAAAAAAGAAAAAAGAGAAATTTTTTTTCGCCCGGATTACAAAAACAGGCGGATTTCCTCGAAAAACATTTAGTCATTTCGTACCCTAGACCTGTCATCACCTTTTATTCTACTTTTTGTCCATACAATCAGGACGCCAATAAATAACACATTGTCAGTTGGACAAACATATTACACCGACGATGGAATACGGATACTTCAACAGCCCTCTCAACGGCTTGAATCTTGAGAATATTGAATCCCCTCCTGATATGAATTTGGATGGCAACAATGATTTGTCAGCTTTCATGAACAACAAGTTCTTCGACTTTGACAACTTTGGCAACGAAGAATTTTATAAAACAACGAAGCAAGATGGTCAACAGCAAATAAAAAGTGAAAATATCGATGATGTCTTCAATTCTCTACTCAGTAACAATAGCGTTAGTAATGACAATGTTCTCAATTTGCAAGGTCAATCAAATTTCATTGCTACTTCACAATATCCAATACAGCAGCAAGCTCAACCAAAAGTGGTCAGCAGTGGCTCTAAGGTGGTTAAGGAACCATGCATGAATGACAAGAGAAAAAGAAATACATTGGCCTCTGCAAGATTCAGAGTCAAGAAGAAGATGAAAGAACAATTGATGGAGCAAAGCTTGGTCGACTTGAACAGCAAAGTCGCTGAGTTGAAGGCCACTATCATGAAGTTGGAAATGGAAAACAAGTGTCTCAAGAGCTTGGTAATTGAAAAGAACGAAAGAACATCCAACGAGTTGTTATCAAGCATCAAAAAGAACGCTGGCGTATAAATGTTTTGTCTTTTTGCCTTTCATTCTCGACTTCACTCCACACATCCTCTAATCTTCAATTTCATAGCATGAATGCTTTCCTATACGTTTCAAACTTTCAACAATCATCTGTCTTTTAGTTCTCCTTTAGATAATGTTTCCAACAAACATTTCAATATCTATACAGCAAACATCTTGTTTCTGCTTTTTTCAACAAACTTTTCTTGCACATTTCCTGGGTTTTACATCGGTTTTTTCTGTTTACGCTTATTATTTTTTTTTCTTCTCATGTCATACCTGCTAATTATCTTGTGATTGGTTCTTTTCAACAAAAGAATCCGTTGGTTCTTTTCAACAAAAGAACACTTGTTCAACCACTACTAACGAACTTTTTTTTTTTCAACCATTAGAGAATATTTTCTGTCAAAATGGAAATAATTCAGTATATATATTTTGAATGCTTCTTCTAGAGTACTCTGAATTTCATGTTTTTTATGAATCCTATATTTTAGGTTGTTTCCAGCGACAATTAGTAGGGAAGTTTTTTTTTTTTTTCTCGCGGTTTGCCACGGGTAACCACCGTGATATATTATTTACAATGTTTATTCCAAGGGATTCACCAGCACAGCAAACTTCGAAGAATAAAAAGAACACAATAATTCGTGAACCTCATCAATTTGTACCCTAGAATAATGGTATGTTATATATAGAACTCAAATCATTAAACAATTGGAATGATCATGTTTTTGTTTTCAATATACTAATACCGTATGGTACAGGCTGTATTTGACGTGTTAGTTGGTCTTGTAATGCTTGGTGTTGCAACTGTGGTGTTTGTGTACTATACTGCCTGGACTTTCCTCTTGCCATTCATTGATGAAGAATCCGTGTTGCAACAATTCTTCTTGCCAAGAGAGTGGGCTGTTAAAATTCCTGCTGCTTTGTTGGTTCTTGGTGCCTCTGCGGTGTCATTTTTCATTGGTTCGGTTTTGATCAAATCTTCAAAGAAGGCCAAGGCTAAGGCTGACAAGAGTAAGAAATCCAATTGAACTATACTGAATTAGAGCTGATACTTAAGTATTCAATAAATTCTTTTTTTTTTTTGAAAAATCACTTTATTATTGAATCCTTTCTACACATCTTTCTTTTCTTTTCTTTTTCATTTCCTCTATTTCTGTTTCAACTGTCCTTCATAATAACTGTTCCTCCCGTATACTTATATTATTAGCTCGTGTTTGTTTATTTGTTTATAAAATATTTCCGCCTAATTATTAAAGCGTGTTTGCTAATCTATTCGTACACTCTTTTAATCACTAAAGAACTTTTTTCCTGCTTAATGTGTCAAATACTAATCGTGTTTCTTTAGCATCACCATCGCACAATGAGAACACTCCGCTTTTGCTGTCTAATGACTCATAGTTTTTGTATAAATATTACTCATTTATATTAGTAGTATGTTTGGATTGTAATTAATTCGTCGTAGTATTTTTGGATTATAGCTCATCTGTGAGTGTTGTTTTCAGTTGGAGCGATTAATAAAACTGTAAATCAGAATAATGAGAAGCAAAATGTCTATACTATTCGATATATAAAACATAAAGCATATTCAACTCAATAATCTTAGAATTTGCTTTTCTCATAAACCATGAAAAGGTAGTCAAGGCAAAGATGGATTGGAAATTGATTAAGTTTGCTATATCACATTCAAATCCTCAACCCGATGTTGGAAAAGCAGACAGAGAACTGGAAATAGTAATATATATCACTCAAAAATATTTTGCTTTTATTTCTTAAATGCAATAACAGTTTTTTTTGTGGAGAAAATTATCATAAAACTGTAAGAAAAACAAAACCAGACTTCTCTATGCTCATCAGCACAATTTCTTTGAAAAAGAAGAGAGAGAGAAGCTTGTTCAATGCTTTTGAACACTTTTGATTAATTTAGTTTGAAATCAAGGCTAGCTCATCCTATTCAAAGACCCTTAAAAGAAATAAGGCCAAGATACCCTTGCCGAAAATACATATAAAATAATACGGATGCTTGAGTACTAGCAAATAGGTCCCTTAAAATAGGAATGTTCTGAAGAACTTCCATATTAATTTGCATTAAAAAGATAGTTTGGATGTACAAGTATTCTACCACTATTTTATTACGTTACGTGGCAAAGCTCTCATAGATTTATTAGGAACTTCACTCAGGCCCCTGCAATTAAGTAATGAAGTATCCTTCTGATTTAAGAGGACGAAAAAATTCAACCTCAGAAACGACAGAATCCGTGGTTTCAATGTTACCCCAAACATTTGCTTCACACCATAAAAGCAAACAATATGAAATTTCCTGAGAAATACAACATAACTACGTAAATATTTTCTTTTTCCTACTCAAAATCCATACATCTCCTATTATTGTATCGGGAAACCAAAAGAAAAAACCGTCCAACATCAACAACCAAATGTCCATATAATCACGTGCCCATTTTTTTTTTTTTTTTTTTTTAGTGCGATTTGAGACGTATCAGATGGGGTTTTGATCGACTAAAGGTTAAATCATTTTGTATTTATAGCGCTTCCAATAAAAGCCCCAAAAGAGATCATCTATAGACAAGCATTGCAACTACCATAGTTATTTTGTCTCTCAAGCTTGGTTCGATTGATTTTCTAAATCATATCCCTGTATTGACTCGCCCATTGCGTGAATAATTGGTTTCCTTGTTGTTTTTTTTTTTAGGTATTTTGCCTTCATCTTATTAGTGCTTAAATCACTAAATACAATTAAGTTGTCGGCTCCATCCATCCCATGATTATACAATGTCTGCATCATCAAGGAGAAGATCGGTGAAGGACTTTCAGTTTGGAAATAAGATAGGTGAAGGATCGTATTCCACTGTTTATAAAGCAGTAGATGTCTATTCGCGAAAAGTGTTTGCGATTAAGATCCTTTCGAAAGCTCACATAGTTAAAGAAAAGAAAATCAAATATGTTAATATTGAAAAGCAAACATTGAACAGATTAGGTCACCATCCAGGAATTGTAACATTATATTATACCTTCCAGGATGAATCATCGTTGTTTTTTGTTATTGATTTCGCAGAATATGGCGAATTGTTGACTTTGATTCGAAAACTAGGGACATTGAACGAAGTTTCAACAAAATATTACATGATACAGTTGGTAGATGCCATTAAGTTCATGCATTCCAAAGGAGTTATTCACCGGGATTTGAAACCAGAAAACATTTTGTTGAATCATGACATGAAATTAATGATTACGGACTTTGGTGCAGCAAAAATGCTTGATGAAAATGGGAATGCCGAAGAATTACAGAGTAATTTATCAATTAATAGCAATGGAGGCCTGGGAGAAAATGGTGACGATAAGGAGAAGGCAGCATCGTTTGTTGGTACTGCTGAGTACGTATCTCCTGAGTTACTACAACATAATGAGTGTGGGTATGAAAGCGATATTTGGGCTGTTGGTTGTATATTATATCAGTTCATCGTTGGACTTCCACCATTTAAAGGGTCTACTGAATATTTAACCTTTGAAAAAATCATTGGCCTTGATTACAAATTCCCTAATCATTTCATTCCCGATCCAATCAAGCATTTGATTACGAATATATTGGTGATCGATCCGAAAAAAAGATATACGATAAAAGATGTCCAAGAGCATCAGTTTTTTAAGAATGTTCCATGGACAGACTTTAACTACATTTGGAAGAGGAATCCACCGAAGATAGAAGCTTATGATCCTAGAACATATGCCAATGGCAATACTACACCACCATCCACAACTGAGGTTTTATCAAAGCCAGTTGTTGTCAAACAGCCTATAAATTTCTACAAAAAGGCGATCGCGAACCCATCAAAGACTTTGGATATTATCAATAGTACTTATGTTCCTTCATCCAACCACATGATGCCAACAAACTCTCCAAAGAAAAATGTGGGTGCATTACATCAAACTGGAAAAGGGTACCCTAAAATAAATCAATTCAACAGAAATGCCGCTATTGCCACTGCCGCCGGTAATATAGCAATGAACAATATCACAACTCAGACTACCCCGTCAAATATCAATAGTGCCCATGTGATGCCTGCCCAAAACCAAAATATTCATAGTACCCAAAAAGTAAACGGCAATAATGCTTCGGTTAGCAATGTTACTAATAAACAAGGACATGCGTATAAATCACAAACACAAACACAACCCCAACAGACCTCGACTCCCCCTCATCCCCTGCAATCATCACACGGTGGATCACCGTCTCAATTTTCCAGCGTTAAAACTAATGGGAAAAGCCATGAAAAACAGAATTCACAATCTAGTAATCAGACAAGAATTTTCAAACTGCAGTCACAACAAAAACTTCAACAGAGCAACCATTATGTTTTCAATAAACCGCTAATTCAAGGTGGAGTCAACATATCAAAATCTCAACCAACAAGCCCGATATCTTTCAATTTAAGTAGCCAAAGTAATCTAGGAAACAGATCCGTGTCAGAGACAAAAAGTGAGATTTCTTCACGTATTAATAATGCGTCTTCTGTGGATAAAAATGGAAGTGGTGGTGAGAATCAATCCTACAGTCCGATTGAGAAAAATGGTTCCAGTAACAATATTGGTGATGAAAAAATGATTAACGGCTTGGCACATGAAATTTCTATCAATGACAATGCAACGCAAGTTAAAGATTCTCTAGCAGCAGCCAATGAAGCAATTCAAATTGCCCAGAAATTTAGAGCCAAAAATTTATTTGCTTCTACTAGTAGTTATCCAGGTGAAGCTATGAACGATTTTAATGATCCTAAAAAACCAAGCCATCCATATGCGCCAATGAGATTGGCATCTGGCAGCAACTCTGCTGCTCTGTCTCCATTCATGAATGGTTATGCTTACACTAGCAATCAATCCAGCACGCCAATTGAGCAACCAGTGGCGATCCCTTATGAAGGCAGACTTTCGCTTTCATCTGAAGCCCCTTCAGGAGTTGGTAAGAACCAGCAATATCACACGAATTATGGACTCAACCACTCGACCGACCTCGATCAAAATATTCTCTTATCATCAAATCCTGTGACAAACCCGAGTGGTAATGCAGAGCCTCATCCATTTGACTCCTTAGCGAAACCGGAACCAGTTTTATCAAAGATCAAGCATAATCAAAGCTTGACACTTGATACTGGCTTTCCATCTTCCAAAATTGAAGCATATTCAGAAGAATTGACCAGCTCCCCAAAATCACCCAGGGATATTGATTCCAAGCATACACATTCAGCTTCTGCAATGAAGAAAGTTGATCCACCAGCCAAGAATTCGGCTTTTGTTCCTCAAACAGAAAAATTGAAAATACAAAGTCCGAAGATCTGTCCATCACCCGTTATTTACTTTGATGATGACATCGAGCCAGAATTCGAAGCTGATCATATCCCTCCAGAAATTACCCAGCTTCTATATGCGGATGAAAAGATAATCAAATTGGGCACCATTGTTGTCAGTCATTTGTCATTTGAAGATATTTTGGAGACTGATCCAAATCTATCTATTAGCTCTGTATATGGATCAAAGTTGGATCTCAATGATGCCACCATCAACGAAATCATAGGGAAACATGGAAGGGTCATTGATTATTATTCCAAACCTGAAGTGATGATAGTTACAACATTGGGAAGGCTATTCATTCTCCAATCAATTAAGTTGTCAAACAGATTGTACGAGATTAAGCTAACCGACAATAAAATCTCTTTGTATGACTACGAATTTGATGAAGGCAGTGAAAGCAACTACGGATACTTGTTGGTTGAATTGATTGATAAGCAATGTTTGTTATTCTTAAGCCCCCATGATCATAAAAGGGTTACTGTGGATTTTGAAACCAATACCAGCATCACTTGGATTGAATGCTTGTTCAAGGCGAAACAGTTATTGAGGCCAAAAACGCGCAAGAAATGCAATATGGGCTACGAATCAAATACAGAGAACTCCTCACCGACAAATAAGACTGGCTCGAACATGCCATCATCACTGAAATCATCACCTATTAGCCGTGAATCGAAACTAAGTGTGGGCTCTCTGACAACTTCCGCCACAAGATCCTCACAAGGGACCAACAATAAGAAAAATAATTCTTCGGTCGCAAATGTGGCTGCTGCTGCTGCTGCTGCCGCCGCCGCAATTAAAAAGGAACATCGATAAGTATTTTCTGCTTTTAGTGGTAATATAAAGTTAATGGTTTCAGTTGAACTTAAAATATCACTGCTAGTTTTTCCTTTTCTTTCTTTTTCATCCCACTTCTTCATTTGAACATTTGTCTTTTTGTTTGGGATGACATGCCATAATAATGAATTTGTTTCTGGTCCTTATTTTTTTTTTTTGTCATTATTTTTTTGTTTGTATTGTGTTCATTCTGCGTGTGTGTTCTGAGCTTATTATTCTGTTTGGTTTTATAACCATTCCATGTACCATATAGCATCTGCATTATTTTTATTTGATTCATAGTTCTTGTTTTTACCGAAGGAGACGACCAAGATGAAATATAGACAAAAAAAATTCTCATTCTTTTATGAAGGATTTGCTTTGTAAAACGAAATTATTTTAGAGGAGATTTATGAGCCCAAGAAAGTTTTGTGCTGGAGCTCAATTATTTGATGTGAAAGGAAATTGCTCATATGAAAATAAAAAATACGTATCATACAGATTCAGTTGCTGAATATTTCATAAAAAACTTATATTCAAATATATTTACGTGCCTGTAAACACTATATACAAATTAGAATCCGTCACCTTGGAATTAAAGAAGTCTATGAGTTAAGAGCCAGTTCAATCTTGTTGCTATTATGTTCTTCAACTTGTTTTAACAATTTATTGAATTTTTTCTTGATGTCCTTCCGTTTAATTTCTTTGTCAATGACAACATTTGGTAAATCTTTGAAAGAATTTTCATCCAAGTGAAGGGCATTTGGCAATTTTTCATTGTAGCTCATAGCTTCCCTGGAAAGAACATTATGAACAAAGTGGCTTCTCAAAATCTTGATAGTGGAAGATTCTGTCAAAACTAAGTCAGAAACTGAGTACCCTGATTGCTGTTGTACCTTCTTGAAATATTGGAATCTAACGTTCAAATCGTACAATTCTGTCTTGACAAGCTCTTCGATATTAGTTATTTTGGTAGAGGCATCGATTTCTTTCCAACTGGATAACAATATTTCGTCTAATTGCTCGACAGTCGTGATCTTCTTAGTATTCAACCAGGTATTAACTTTGAAATTACCCAATCTACGTTGAAATTCTTCCTTTGTAAGCTGCTGTGGCAACCCAATGATTTCCAAGTTGCTAGGATTAGTGGCGCCGGTAACCTTTGAATCAGAGTTCAAAATGGCATCGGCTTCTTCATTTTTGGCGTCGATGTTACTGAGCTTCTCTTTTAGCTGAGCTTTTTCTTTTCTTGCAGTTGGGTTCAAAAATTTCAACCATGAGCCAAACTCCGCCTGGGATGCTCCTGTTGTGCTGAATGTTCTGACGCTAGATCTTATTATGAGACGAGAGGCCAACATCTTCTACCTGGTTTCTTGTGGTTTTAGTTGCTGATACAGTTGTTGGACTGATGTTGTTGATGGTTGAAAATTTCGTCTGCTCAATTTTGGGAAAAAAAATTTGACCGCCGAAACAGGGCTGCGCAACCACTGTTGATATTAATAATAATAATATGAGTTTAATAAACTATATGCGGTGACAACATTCGGATGAGAAGGTTGCCGAAGACAAGATAATATCAATTTTTTTTTTTAGTTTTGTGTCATTGGTCTCTCATATCGTTTTTGTTTTTCCCTTTTCTTGTTTTATCTGAATCCTCTGTTTGTGCCTGTCAGTTGTTGATGGTTGTGTCTCTCGCTTGAGTAAGTTTTCCTATGGCTGTTTCATCATGAGTCTGATCGACGAACCTGCAATTACCCAGCCACATATCAAGAACGTTGCCATGGGCACCCTAGGAGTATCCAACTCCGACGACGAGCAGCATTTCATAAAGAAAACAGGAATTATTGAGCGCTTGAAACCAAAGAAGAAAGCAAATACCAGGTCTCCAAGCAGCAAGCGACAGGGTCTGGAAGCGACAGAAGAAAATGTCAATGACGGGGGCACAGTTGATGTTAAGAAGAATTCGGTTCCAAATTATATTTCGAGGAAATTGAATAGAAAAAGAAAATCTTCAAGCACTTCAAACACTTCGCACAAAGGACTCAGTTCAAATAGTCACTTGGTTTCAGAAACCAGCAATGGTGCTGAGCCTCCACATCACAATAAGCCTCCAAATTCATCACCAATCTCAAGTTTTGATGCCAGTCCCACCATTACAATTCGACAACATTTTACAGATCAATCGAGTATTACCCAAAGAAATGGTCATCAGAAACGTGAATCAGGCCCGCATTCCTTGCTCTCATATCTTCGGCCATCTGCCGACCACTCACGTCAGTCGTCATTTGGCTCATTAGTATTAGTGGAGAGTCCACGCTCATCTTTGTATAATATTACTCAGACAAGTTCCAATAGAAAAAGCTCTTTGGACTCATCAAATAATGCACTGAGAAGAAATCTGGCTAGTCTAAAGTCTCCTGGCTACTCCAAATTCTCTTTCCCCAAATTCTCGAAGAGAAATAGCGTACTGTCGAGTGTACAGGATGAGTCCCTTCCGGTACTGGAATATTCTTTTGAACAGAGTCCCATAGGCTATTCATCTAAACAATTTAATAATTTGAATCCCTTTTCTCCCGAAATCGAGGATTTCTCTTGGAGACATAATGGCAGTAATGAGGGAACAGATGGTGAAGCGAAGCAGGCATACGCCATTGAACCTCAGAATTCTAACACCGAACCCCGAATTGATACATCTAATGAAGGTATAAAGTCAGTGCTGAAAAAGTTTCTAGGACTTACCATATCTTCAGGCACATATCATAGGAATAAAAAAAATTCATTAACAAGTTCACACAGACCAAAAAATATTAGCGTTGATAAAAGCTCTGCAGATAGGGACTTCTCCGGTGGAACAAAGAGTTTTATACAATCACCAAGTATTATTTCTCCTTCAACTAGACTGAAGAAAAAAACTTTTTCAATTTTTGATGATGATGACGATGATGACGATGATGACGATGCTCATATCAAAAACAATGGAGGTATGAAAGAAGTTCCAAATCATAGAGATCAGTATAACTTTTGCCAAGGATCATTGGAATCCTCTTTTGTTTCTGAAAAAAATGTCAATATCTTGGGTTTTGCTTCAGAGAAATATATGAACGAAAAATTTAAAAGAAACAGATTTCGTTCTAATTCTCTTAATGATCTGCTTCAGAACTCCGCCAGTAACTTTTATAAGAATTTACCAGTTAATAACCGAAATGCCACCGGAACATTTATTGACTTTGTACAGTCTTCAAGAACGCCATCAAGGAGCGGATCTAAAACTCCATCAAGAAGGAACTCGGTGGTAGATATGGTAAGATTTTCTAATTCTCAGGCCTCGCTGTCCAAACCCGGATCCCCTTTAATGGGTAGCACAACCCCCTCAAAGTCTGACGATCCCTTTAGTGCTAGATTGAGTAGAAGAAGAAGTCAAACTTTGAGCTCATTAATGAATCTGACATACCTATTGGGAAACAGATCGTCTGAGAAGTTTGGCGAGGAAAACAATACGGAACGAAGTACTTTTGGATTGAAGTTGAGAAGAAATTCAAGGAGCTTTCTTGGACTTAATAGTGGAACTGAGGATCTGGTATCCTCAGGAACGGTCAATCACGAGCTCAATAAACCAACTTCTAGAATTAATAATAATAATAAAAACCCCGCAGGTCTGGATTTGAAGTTTTCTGGCCATTCGTATGATGAATCAACTTCAGAAGACGATTATAAAGGGGAGAAGGAATCATTTTTCAAATATTATTCTGCCTCATTGAGTAATAAAGCTTCCAATGCTGATAATGTGGCAAATATCCCAAAGCCGATGCAAGAAGATACGTACGTTTCCTATCTCTTGAAGTTGATGACAAATGGCTTCTCTTACGAAATCACTGATATATTGAGTTCAAAAATAGCAATCAATAAGTACCCAATAGTGGATCCAAACAAATCATATGAAAAGTTCATTATTTTCCAGGATAAAGAGTCATGTAGAGAGCTCTTTTCAAGGACATTTGGTTCCAGTTACAAAAACTCTTTCTACACAAACTGTTTATATTTGTTCATATATTTGCATTTCTTGAGCATGTTCTATGATTCAAATTGGATTTTCCCGCAAGCTGATAATGATCTAAGAAATCCAGTTTACAATATTCTATCCAAATTTAACGCTAGGCATATCGGTGCTGGTGATAATACAGATAAAACAAAAAAAATATCACTGCTTTCAGAACAGCAAGATTTTTTGGAGTTTCACATAGATAAAGTGACTTCAATTCCTATTGATCTTGTATTTAGACACTTCTTATTCTATAACAAGTTGCCACCGGAAACGGAAAAGATTGATTTGACTTTAGAGATCATAAGCTATAATTATTACTATTTCATGAACTTGACAAATTTGAAATTTATTACAGGAAGCTATCGAATACATGATGATGACTTGAATAATAATACGGATAATGAAGATTTTAATGACACGGTTATTATCACTGAAGCCGAAAAAAAAGATGAAGATCGGGAATTGTGCTCAGAGAAATCTATCGCTGATATTTCTACCTTGGATACATCGAAGTTCACTATTTTTCACAGTGTCAATGAGATCTATACCCTACTATTCGTTTCTTTGGTTCTTCAAACGGACCATTTTAATAAAAACAATCGCTCTAAGATGCTGCAACAAGATTTTACAAATATTATCAATAATTTCAAAAAAGAAGACTTCAACAAAGCTAAGAAGAAGAAGTTTGGTGCTAAGCTCTCAGAAACTCCAGACTCTCAATTACTTTTCAATTTATTGACCCCGGAGCTTATTGGCTATTTCTATGAAAACATCACTTTCACACCAATGAAGTCGATACTTGAAATAATATCTCCTTCAGTTGCCAATAACGTTTATAACAGATCAGGATCTGTTGCTAGCACATCATCCTTGGGATCGCCTTTATCCCCGTCATTCGCGTCCTTACCAAGCTCGACAACCTTAGGTAGAAGGAAAAACAGCCTGTTCTTTTTGTCTTCTTCTTCTTTGCCAAATCCAAGCAATGACCCTTATTCAATTGCAACTAGCCTCGATATCAAGGCTCTAAATCTTGATTTTGAGATTTATGATAGTTCTAATACCGATCCATTTGCATCAAATTTCAAAGAGTTCAAGGAAATGTCTAAGTTCTCTGACAGATGCTTGCTTGACAAGGTTTTGGATACATTAAATACAAAGGATCCAGATTGTATTCTAAGGTTGGATCATTCGGAGGATCTTACTGATTTGCTCTTCAAAATTAGTTACGCCACAATAAAACCAAGTTTGACTAATATCCTTATAAAAAAATCTGCAACTATCAGAAAGAGTCTCTCTGCCAAATGGCCTCACAATCAAAAGACAGGCTCTGATATGTCTATATTTGTCAGAATTTTTAATATTGGGATAGTGTATAAACAGGAATCAAAACTAAGTTTGTTGCCAAAAATATCAAAGAAGAAGAATAAAAGAAGATCTAAAAATTTCAACAATGTTAACCTCAATGACAGTGATACGTTTGTATGGAAGAAATATTTTGCCATTTTGACAACTTTCGGTGTGTATATATTCAAGAATATCAATTGGGATGTGCTACAAAATTTTGAGGAAGAGGTGGAGGAGCAAGAAAAATGGGTAAATAATGACAAGATAGGCGAGTCTAACTCAAACGGAGATGCCGATTATGATAATTTGAAAAAGAAGTTGAGGCACATGAAGGTTTACGCATCAGCGTTTTTCCTTCAGCTGAATAATAGCGAGTTGGAACTTGCGATTCCAATTAATAAAGTGTTTTCCTATCATAATAAGTATAAAGATTTTCATAGTTTTTATGTTTGCTACAGCAATAATGATAACGATTCCAAGGTTTTGAAGAGCGATGAGGTGGATATCACTAATGATTGGATGAAAAACCCAAAAAGCAATAAGGTTTATAATAAGGGATTATTTTATTGTGCATCTGAAAATGAGGCCAATCAATGGGTTTTCAATATCAACTATTTGGCTGCAATGCATAAATGTTTACCAATTCACAGTTATGATAAGTCATTCACCAACTTGGTCATACCCAGCTATGAAAATATTCATGAATTGACGATCGGTAACCATATGACTCTATCAGAACGCCACAAAGAATTACAACAAGAAATGAAAATGATATATAAGATGAAAATGAACTACGAGCAAATCGCTGAATTTATTAAACACTTGGCGCCGTATCAAAGCAAAAATCGGATACAGTTGAAGCAATTAATGAATAAGATTTTCCATAATAATTTGAGATCTCTATGTTTTGAGGAATTTAAGACTAAGTGTTTCATATTCTTGGTTGAAGAGACTGCAAAGAAACTTAGAAGAAATCAATTGGAAAATGAAGAGAATAAATCGCTCGAGGTTGTAGTTAAGCAAAGAAGCTTGTCTATTGTGCTGTTGAAGCCAGAGGATAACGAGAAATATTTAGGGTTCAGTAATATTGTGAACGGCTATTCCGTTGCCTTCAATGAGTTATTGTTGCTGAGTTATGAGAGCTTCTTAAACAATAAAACTCATGCCCAGGTTGAGTTATCTGGTCAGATTGAAGATCCAGCCGATCCAAATACTTTTAGAATTGATGCCTTTAGTGCATTGACATCAATGACTAACATGTCTTATGACACAGAAATGAGCTACAGTCCAATTTTCCGCTCACCTCAATTTAAGCAATTGCTATAGATTTTTTTTTTTTTTGGACAACTCAAGGTGCATCAAAGCCTTAATTTTTTTTCCCTTGTTTCTGGTCATATACATATATTATCTATTATTTTTCAAGCTTGATATATTCAAATTTTACTTCTCTTTTATTGTGTTACTCCTCAAAAATATTGGGTTTCCTTCATATTTATTAATATAAATTGTATTTTAGTATATCTGGATTTGTAAAACCACAAATTTTTTCTTACGATGATGCTTAGTATTAGGAACGGTTATTATCATTTATTGATTTAATTAAATTTGAATGATTCATCCTGAAAGTGCTTCTTCTTCGTTACAGCAAACTCTGAGTGACTGAGAGAAATTATGACAGGATGACTCTAAATTAAGTGCTTTGAGAATACATCTCAGCAGGGGCTCATCATTATTACCAAATACGCCGTTTTCCCGCTAGCGTTTACCATCTATGCCCTCTATTTCACTACTGCTATTATCTTCATCATTGTCATAGTCGTCGTCATCATCATCATCATCATCATCATCATCATCATCATCATCATCACTTTGCAAAATAAGATTTTTTTCTTTAGAATTCGAATTAAGTCCCACATTATGGCGCCCATGAATTGCATTATAAATATTTCCTCTCTTTTTTTCAAAAATTTCGTACTGCTGATTCAAATTGATGGGTTGATCTTGTATGTCATTAGCCCCTGCATTAATATGGGGTCCATCTGTCCCATCTGTCACATCAATTCGCTGTCTCAATACCAACAACTCTCTTCTCAATTTATTATGGCTTTCAATTAAAACATCTTTATCATTCTCGACAGACTTCATATTTTGACCTAACCTCAGTATCTGACGATCCTGTGTTATTACTAATTGTTGCAATCTCTTAATTTCGGCCTCTTTCTCACTAATCAACTGGTTACTAATCACTAAATGATTATTTGAAACACTCGTCAAAGAATTATTACTGCTATTGTTGATAGTCGAATTTGCAATACTGTTTGCAGTAGAGGATCCATTGAACAACTTGTTATTACCACCGAAAAAGCTTTGTTTGGGCGTTGACAGTAGTAGATTATTTAATTTTCTCTGGAACATCTTCTTATCTATCAATACTATGTTAGCTTTTCCCGTATGTGAACTCTTAATTCTTTTCAATTTCCCCAATAATCTGTTTTGATGGATTAAATTCTTTTTCAATTGCTGATTTTCCACAATTAATTCCTCCTTGGTTTTACTATTAAGGATTTGATGATTTGCCACTAATTTAGTATCTTCAATGCCGTTATCATCTTCTGTGGCATCATCTAGATTAGGGTTTATCGCAAAAGTGTCAAATAAATTCATGATCCCTTGATACAAATTAGCATCACTCCTTCCATTGTTCGCTGATAATAAACTATTATCATTGTCAGCAATTATGCTATATTCTCCCATAAAGGCATTTTGATCTGTATTTCGATTGCCTCTTTTGTTTGCCAATGAGTCGAGAATATTATTTTTACCCCCAAACAATCCTGTTTTATAATTGACATCTTCATTCTTGGCTTTTTGTTCTTCTGTAAGGGCTCTTTTTTCCGTTATTTTCTGCAATCTATATTTATAATTCGATTGTATTGATCTTTTCTGGTGCTGGGATGCTAGAAGCTCCAATGCTTGTACTATCTTTGGGTCAGTGGCCTCATCATTCACGATGTTCGCTAGAACATTTTCAAAAGCATCCGAGGCCTTTTTGTGTAAGTTTCGAGCTCTGAGGTAGTCTTTCTTAAGTTCTAATCTTTCTGCCTCTTCGGCGAATTGGTATGCATTTTGGAGCGTCATGGTTGATAGCTCACAGATGGGAACAATTTACTGTAAGTGCAGTTGCCTATAATCACATTCATTTTAGTATTTACCTATTTACCTCATCGCACCGTGACGGATGATTTCCTGTACGGATAAGATGCGGATGAAAATCAAAACATTAGTACATTAATAGGTATACCTGCTCTGCACCTTTAGGAAGAAGAAAAGAATACAGCCTATTGTCTATATTGGATACCGGAAAATTAACTAATAAATCTAAAATCAACCACCATAATAATAATAATAAATAAACATCAATAAATAATAAATAACTTGTCAGAGTCTGTGAAAAATATTCCAAGTTTCCCTTCAAGTGGAATTTAGAAATCGTTATCCAATAATTTTCTTTCAATAATCAGAGGAAAAGTAAAAAGGTTATGATCAAAAATCTTTCAATTACTGTTTGCTTAATTCCTTACGTAGTTTTTTATTTTCTTCCAAAACATCCTTGACAAGAGACTTCAACTCGGCGACCTCTTTGAACAAAATATATTGATCCCATTTGATCCCAACTTCATTGGCAGCCTCAAGCTGAGGTGCAATTTTTTGGATTCTGCCCTTCCAAGTAGCTTTATCGACGCTGAACTCGGGATCTTCGTTCTCAGCCAATTGCTGGGATCTTAAGCCTCGAGACATTCTGCTATTACCTGTTTCATCATCGCTATCAAAACCGTCTTCCAAATCAAATTCCTGATCTTCTTCATTAGAATCGTCTCCAAAACCATGCATTCTGTTGTATCGAACTCTTTTAGCGTCCTTTGACTCTTTAACAGCAACATAAATGAGCAATGGGGAATAAATTAGCACCATCAATTTAGTGGCCAATTTTTGATAAGTTCTATGTTTCAACCACCAACTGAATGGGATTACCAAAAGACACAACTCAAGCAAATTCAATGGAGGAACAAAAACATCTTCATCAGGGGCTCGAATGTATCGAAGGGTCTTTTGCGCAAGAAGCGCCAAATATTCATCGTTGGCATTTTCAATTATATTCTCATAAGCAGTATTATAGAGGGCAACCAAAATGTTCAACAAAATAACTGTGACAGAAAATGAGTAAAAATAATACAATATTTCGCCATAGGGGGAAGTAAAGTTACTAATGGAATCAATATCACCTTCGCCAATAATGGTCGTGAACATGACACGCAATAATAACATTGTAATATCCCTTTTTCCATCAGCAGAGTCTAAGCCTAAAAAGGCCTGTAGGAATCCAATAATAATCACAATCAATAAGAAGAAAAAGAGCATCGATTCTTTAAAAAGCACCTTTAACACCACAAGCAAAGCACCAACAAATCTCTCAGAATCCAAAAACAAAAGCAACCGCGACCACATCAAAGGAGCTGCGCAGGCTAAAACTCTAAAGGCTACTTCATTATAAGATGCCCTGGATGGGCTATCGAAATTTTTGGAAAAAGCAATCATTCTAATGATAAAACTGGAAGTGATAATAGCATACATTGTATCATTGAAAGCATTCCAGAATCCGATATAGTTATATCCCACATGATATAGTTTGACTATTTCGTCGGCCACAAATGAAAGTGTGAACAAATAAAATAATATTTCCGCTTTTCCCAAATTCACATCATAGTCCAAGGAGTTGATGACTATACTGTAAAGCATCAAATAAATGACAGAAACAAATATCTGTAGCAAGTTTTGATATGCAGGAGTTTTGATACGATCTGGATCATAGTGGTTCCAATAACCTGGTTTGCTTATATTTTTATAAATCTCGTATTTGGTAGCATCTTGATCTGATTGCACAATCCACCCTCTCCAAAGCCATTTAATACATTTTTGATAGCCACTTGAACCAATGACAATCGTAGAATGCAAATCCACTGCCAATTCTAACGCACTGAAAGGATCTGAATCTTTATCATTCACGTTGATAACATAGCGGCGACATAGCATCTCGATAAATAAATAGTGTTCATCTTCCTCTTGTTCAATGATGATTTTGGCCAACTGGGCAGCAGCGGTCATTCTGGAAAGATGAAGCTCTGCATCGTGCAATTCAGATAATGATAATGCTCGATACCATTTAGCATTTATCAATAAACAATAAATCAAAACTGCCCTATACCTTCTCGAAGTAGTGCCAACTTTACCTTCACCTTTACCTCCTGCAGCTTCAATTGCCAAATTAACAACTTTAGTGGTAAGAATATCAGAGTAAGGGTTAGTAATCAATTCAAGATCAAGTTGGATTGGGATGACTTGATCAATCAAGTACTTTAAATTCAATGCCACTCGCAAGACTTGTCTGGGACTTGGAGACGACCATATTCCAATATCTGATGCATTGCTATCCACCAATAAAGATTCACTTTCCTCGAAACTCATGGTAGAATTATTAATTTGGTGATGAGCACAGCTTACCCCTATGTCAACTGTTATAAACTTTTTTGTTTTTGTTTGACATGCTAAGGTATTATTTCACGTGCGCCTGTACTTCAACCAAGCATGAAGGGCCGCTCCACCCATCAACCACTACGCAAGTTTATTAGCGAGTAATACCAAAAGGGAAAATCATCGTCTGTTCAGTTTAAAATTTTCTGAAAATTCTTTCTTCTCGCCCGTGAATACTAAAATGTGTCCGCGAAATTTGGCGCTAAAGAGAGAAAAGTTTTCTCCAGGTCAGAATTAGCATTCCTACCCATCACGTAGGTACGTACTAATGCCGTTCAATAATGTGCCAAAAATAATTACTAAGCTCAATCAACCTCATATCCTTGGCAGATACGTCAAATTTGTATTGGTAAAAAAAAAAACCAGGGAGCAAGAAATTTTTTCTCTTTTCCGTGGAGAATTTGAAGTATTCGTATTTATATGTGCTAAAAAATATGCCATAGATGCCGTGGCTATCAAAAGGGCCACTCCATTACCACGTTTTTGCCTCGGAAATACATATATATATATATATATATGCCGGAAACTTCAATTTTGAACTTATTAATTTTTTTTTTAAATGCTCATTATTGCTTTTACAGTTCTACCGATCACATTTCTTGCTGCTTCCTGTTATAATTGTTTTATCGAAACAAAATATTGATATCCGCTGTTACGAGCACAACAACCTCCTTTTCTACGAAAAACCAAATAATATCTTAAAAATGAAGCTCTTTACAAGTTTAGTCACTATGATCGCTCTCTCTACTAGTGCTTTTTCGAGACCAGTTGTGGAGCTTGGCTTTACAATTGTCACCAAGAATGGTACACTTGCAGATACTCTTGGGGATACTCACATTGGTGCTGCTATTCCAGTCCGCACTGCTATTCCTAATTAATGTTCATACTGACAGTCATTTCTTGTGTGTTCATATCACTTCAACAAGATTAATTAATTGCATTACCATTATCTGGCATAATGATGTGTATTGAATTAAAATATTTAGATATCTCCCCTTGCTTTTTTTCTCTGAAGCCGTGCTTTAATAAAGTTACCATCTCTATTCTTCTATTGATTAAATTTTTTATATTCTTGTAAGAGAAAATAGAAAAAGGTTTCTAGTTATTTTCAAATGTTTCCTAAAGCCCGTGTTGGCTTGGTACTACATAAGGAAGCATTCTACGAACAACAAAGCAATGATTTCCTATCTGCGTGGATCTCGGGCTGGATCACTGGAAGAATGTTAGAACACCTTTTCTTTCTTTTCTCTTTTTTTTTTGTTCTCTTTGTAGTTTTATTTCAAAGGAATTTTTCCCGGAACTACGGAGATTGCATTGCTTATTGTTATTATGTTTCCTACGGTGTCATCACACCAAACTCTGAGGGATGGATGGGTCACAAGGCCATGGATTATTCCGAGACTTTTGGGGTTGAATGGAAGATATTTAGCACGTGACCCTATCTTGAGTCTCTCACATAAAACTTTTGGGGATATCTGAAGCACTTTTACTCAAAATTAAAGGTGAGAAATCCCTATAAAAGCAGGATATCTTAGTTCATTTCACTCTATTTTCAATAACTATTGCACCTAAGAAGGTGGTTCTGGAATGGCGTATGAATCCGCGCGAGCGTAAAGTGCCGGCGGAGCGTTATGTTCGTTTGAGTCGCATCGATCACTCTTTTGGGCTTATCAACCGGGACTCCGGGAGATACCGCTTCCACCTACAGTATATAAAAAGGAAGCACGATACCTCACCTGTGGTTGAAAAAGTTTGTTTGCTTCCAATTTTATCCATTTTCACATTACTCATTTCCAGAAATATTCTGTCATAACATATACAGATTATGGTTGCAAGAATTTACGGCTCTATTATGGGTGTTAAGGTCCTTGCCCCAGTCTCTAGTAAGCCTTTATACCCTGGCGCTCCAACAACCCAATCTGATATTTTAACCAAAAAGGCATTGGCATTTGTCGCTCTCCTTCATAGAACTTTCAACAAGACAAGAATTCAATTGCTTGAAAACCGTCAAGCTATTCAGAAGCAAATCGATTCAGGAAAGCCTTTGGATTTTTCTCCGGAAACTGCCGCCATTAGAAATGATCCAACTTGGTCCGGACCTCCATTGGGTCCGGGATTAGTCGATAGAAGAACTGAAATTACTGGTCCAACCGATAGAAAAATGGTTATTAATGCCCTCAATTCCCCAGCTTACACTTATATGACCGATTTTGAAGACTCATCTGCCCCTACATGGCAAAATGTTTTGGACGGTCAAGTTAACTTATTTGACGCCAACAGAAAACAAATTGAATTACCAACAGAGAGAAAGCACTATAAATTAGATCCATCTAAACTTAATGATTTACCAACATTGATTGTCAGACCTCGTGGATGGCATATGGTTGATTCCCATATTTTAGTGGATGGCGAGCCAATTAGTGCTTCCATGTTGGACTTTGGGTTGTATTTCTTCCATAATGCGGCTCAATTAATCAAAAATAACCGCGGTCCTTACTTTTATTTACCAAAAATGGAGCATTATTTGGAGGCTAGATTATGGAATGATATCTTCAATGTCGCCCAAGATGTCTTGAAAATCCCAAGAGGGACTATTAGAGCCACTGTATTGATCGAAACTTTACCAGCTGCCTTCCAAATGGAAGAAATAATTTACGAACTTCGTGCTCACTCGTCAGGGTTGAATTGTGGTAGATGGGATTATATGTTCAATACCATCAAAAGATTAAGAAACAACAAGAATAATTTGTTGCCAGACAGAGATCAAGTCACTATGGGTGTTCCTTTCATGCAGGCGTACGTCAAGAGATTGATTGAAATTTGCCATAGACGTAAAGTTCATGCAATGGGTGGTATGGCCGCCTTGATCCCAATCAAGACTGATCCAGAGGCTAACAGAGTCGCTTTGCTCAAAGTCGAGAAAGATAAAGAAAGAGAAGCTATTGCTGGTCATGATGGGTCATGGATCGCTCACCCAGCTTTGGAGCCTATTTGTACCAAGGTATTCGATAAACACATGCCAACTCCAAATAGATTGCATTATATCCCAGAAGATCCAAAGGTCACTTCCAAGGATTTGACAGATACATCTATTGAAGGTGGTAAGATCACCACCGAAGGGATTAGGGTGAATTTATATATCGGTTTATGCTATTCAGAGGCTTGGTTGAGAGGCCAAGGCTGTGTTGCCATCAATAACTTGATGGAAGACGCAGCCACTGCCGAAGTTTCTAGAACTCAATTATGGCAATGGGTTACCCACGGTGCCAAATTGGCTGACACAGGTGAATCAGTGACAAAGGAGCTCACTTCTAAGTTATTAGAAGAAGAAACCGCAAAGTTGGTTAAATCTTCTGGCGAAGGTAACAAATTTGAGCTCGCTGCCAAGTTGTTCAGACCAGAAATTAGAGGTGAACAATTCAGTGAATTCTTGACTGACTTATTGTACCCGGAAATCACTACTGTGGGCAATCCAATTGAATTATCCACTTTAAAAGATTGAGTTTATATAAAAATAGCAGATTCAAATAGCAGATTAATTTATATTCAAATAGAAGAGTAATTTTTATATTTTAATATTCAAAGGTAATCTAAAATAAACTTATGTAGCGATACAAAGGTTTGGGTCAAATTCCCAATACGATTCTGAATATCACGTGTAGCTCATCATTGGGAAGAAAATTTTTTTTTCTGCTAACATACAAAAAGAAAAAACTTTCAACCTTTTGAAGCTGGTTAACTTTCATCTACCTATACACTATAAAGACAGTAAGAAATGGCCAAGTCAACCCAAAAGAAAAATGCCAAAGGGCGTTTGGATAGATACTATTTTCTTGCCAAGGAAAAGGGTTATAGAGCTCGTTCCGCCTTCAAGATCCTTCAAATTAATTCCAAATACAACAATTTTCTTTCTCGCTCCAAAGTTGTGATCGATTTGTGTGCTGCCCCAGGGTCCTGGTGTCAAGTCGCTTCCCAAGTATGTCCTCCAAGCTCCTTGATTGTTGGTGTGGATATTGTTCAAATCAAACCGCTTAAGAATGTCACATTTTTCAGATCCGATATCACTTCACAAGATTGTAAGTCTCAATTGGCTGGTTTTTTGAAGACCGTCAAAGCGGATGTTGTCTTACATGATGGTGCTCCAAACGTTGGTTTGAACTGGTACCAAGATGCTTACTACCAATCTATTTTGACCTTAAGTGCTTTGAAATTGGCAACAGAGCATTTGGCTCCAGGCGGGATTTTCATCACCAAAATTTTCAGATCGAGAGATTATAACAAATTGATGTGGATTTTCAACCAATTATTTGAAAAAGTCGAAGCTACTAAACCACCAAGTTCCAGAGATGTCTCTGCCGAAATCTTTGTTTTTTGTAAAGGTTACAAGGCTCCAAAGAGAATCGATCCTAAGTTTTTGGATGCAAAGGAAGTTTTCCAAGAATTGCCTGATGGCAAACAAAATATGGAAGCCAAAGTGTTCAACCCAGATAAGAAAGTCAGAAAGAGAGATGGTTATGAAGAGGGTGATTATTTATTGTTCCATGCCACTTCAATTATGGATTTGGTCAAGACTGATACCCCAATTGATATGTTGGGTTCAATGTCTCAATTCACTTATGACAAAGAAGACCCAGAGTGGAAAATCTTGAAGAAAATGAAGGAAACCAACACCGAATTTTTTGAATGTATCAAAGATTTGAAAGTTTTGGGTAGAAAGGAATTTAAAGCCATATTGAGATGGAGAAGAAAAGCCAGAGATTTGCTTGGAATTGAAGATGAAAGTAAAAAGGATGAGGATCAAGTTGAAGTTGCTCCATTGACTGAAGAAGAGAAAATTGATAAAGAATTAGATCAAATGGCTCAAAGACAAAAACAAAAACAGAAGAGAGAAAAGAAGAAGAGTAATGAGGTCAAACAAAAGGAAATCTATAGAATGCAAATGGATATGATTACTGATAAAGAAATTGGTATCGAAGCCGCCCAAAATGGTTCTGAAGCCTTATTTAATCTCGAGTCTGTGAAAAAGGCCGGTATTTTAGATGACATCAGAAAGGGTAAAAAGAGAATGGTTTTCAACAACCAAGATACTTTCAAGGACACCGAAATTTTCACTGGTGAAGATGAGATCGACGCCAAAAATGAGGATAGTGATATGGATTATCTTGATGATTTGGAAGGACAATTGAACTCTATGCATCAAACACATAAGGAACGTCTTATCGAGAGAAATGCTAGCGCCAAGGCCAAATTTGCCAGAGGAGGTGATGATGAAGAATGGGCTGGTATTGAAGACAAGGCTGATGATGACAAGGAAAGCGATGCTGATGAAAAAGATTATGAATCTGATGACACTGACGGCGAGTTATCTGACAGTGATGAAGATGAGCAAATTATGGAAATGATCCGAAAGAGAGACTCAAAGAAGCCAGGTCTCAGTGAAAGAGCTAAATTATTATTCGATGATCTGATTTTCAAAGAAACTGAAGACGTTGCGCCAGTTGCTAAAAATCAAAAGCAAAAGATTGTCGAACAACCAGCTAATAAAGAGGAAGATAGTGATGTGGAAATGGCTGACTCTAGCGATGAAGATTCTTCAGGCGATGAAAATAATGGTAAAATCCAACTTGTCAGAGGTGAAAAAGAATTCTCCAGAGAACAAGATTCTGACTTTGATTCCGAAGAGGAAGAAGAAACCAATGGCAACTATCAATCTAGAGTTGACATTGCCACCGTCGAAGCTATGACTTTGGCTCACCAGCTAGCTCTTGGGCACAAATCTAGACATGATGTTGTGGATGAAGGCTTTCACAAGTATTCTTTCCGTGATCAAGATGATTTGCCTGAATGGTTTATGGATGATGAAAAGCAGCATTCCAAGATTGCCAAACCAATGACTAAAGAAGCTGCCTACGCTATTAAAGAGAAAATGAAGCAATTAAACGCTAGACCAATCAAGAAGGTTCTTGAAGCTCAAGGCCGTAAGAAGTTGAGAGCTCTTAGAAGAATTGAAAAATTGAAGAAAAAATCCGAGCTTATTTACGGGAACGAAGCTCTTAGTGAAAAGGATAAGGCCGATGAAATTACTAAATTGCAACAACGTATGAGTACCATCAAAGGTGGTAAACGTTCCAAACCTAAGGTTACCGTGGTGGTTGCTAGAGGTGGTAACAAGGGTCTTTCAGGTAGACCAAAGGGTGTCAGAGGTAAATATAAGATGGTTGATGGTGTCATGAAGAATGAAATGAGAGCTTTGAAACGTATTGCTAAAAAGAATAAGAAGAACGGGAAGAAATAGATGCTGTTCTAATATTATTAGTCATTTTTTTTCTTTTTTCTTTTTGCTTTTGAAAATTTTGTTTTCTTGTGTCTGAATGTAATTTTAGTTATATTTTTTGTTTGTTCATTTAATAATATGAGTTTTTTTTATTTAGTTATCATGAATTATTGTAGTTTCTATGAGGGTTCTCTCTCTTGACAGATGAAGTCGCGTTTTTTTTTTAAAAAATAAAGACGCACAAAAAAAAAAAAAATCATGTAAAAATAACGCGTAAGCTGCTGTTTCAATCAACTTACTATTTGTGATCTTTCAGTTTTTAACTAACTATTGGTGATCTTTCAGTTTTTAACTAACTATTGGTGATCTTTCAGTTTTTGTTGCTATGGGAGTGAAGAAAATTAGACAAACAGATTACAATGAAGTCCATAAGATTACTTCAGGCCAAGTTATAATCGATTTGGAAAGTGTGGTGAAAGAATTGTTAGAAAATAGTCTTGATGCCAATGCCACCAATATCGAAATAGTGTTCAAGGACTACGGACTGCAATCAATAGAAGTCAGCGATAATGGGACGGGAATAAGTGAGGAGGACTTCGAAGGGATTGCATCTAAGCATCATACTTCTAAAATACAGAATTTCGAAGACTTGCAATCGAATGTGCTGACGTACGGGTTCCGAGGTGAAGCAATGTCAAGTTTATGCTATGTTGGTGATGTAAAATTGATCACTAGCACCAAGGAAAGTGCCCCCAAGGCCACAAAGTTGGAGTTCGATCATATGGGTAGCATAATATCAAAGACCACCACTTCCAGAAGTCAAGGTACTTCGACAGTCGTCAGTGATATATTTTCCAGTCTACCGGTGCGACGGAAAATATTCTTGAAATATTTGAAACGAGAATACTCAAAAGCAATAAATTTGATTCAATCTTATTGTATTGTTTGCGAGAATGTCAAAATATCCGTTTACAATGTCCCAGGGAAATCGAATGGGAAAAAAATGGTGTGTGGCACAGGTTCGGATAGCACTATGCTCGATAATATTATTAGTATATATGGATCTTCAATGAAGAAATCTTTGATGAAGCTTGATTTCACTCTCTCCATCAAACTCAAGAAATTCCATCAGCAATTAGTTGATGACCTTGATCAATTAGATGAGGGAGAGAAGGGGTATGAGGAGGAAGAAGAAGAAGAAGAAGAAGAAGAAGAAGAAGAAGAAGAAGAAATAAATAACCAGCGAGACATCAATGAAAAAATGTTGCTAAAATTTGACGGATATGTCTCCTATCATTCTTTTGGGTTAGGTAGAAATTCAAGTGACAGGCAGATGATTTTCATCAACTCTAGGCCTGTTATTACTCCGAGATTCACGAAAATTATAAATGAGGTATATCGCTCATATAATAGATTACAATACCCAGTAATTTTCTTGAACGTTCAAGCTCATGTCAAATATCTTGATATTAATGTCACCCCTGATAAGAAAACAATTAATTTCTTCAATGAAGGATTAATATTAGCAGAGCTTAAAGAAAAAATCAATCAACTATATGGGGATCAAAGTGATATTATACCTAATACCCTCACTTCGAATTTTTCGAGTGCATATAATCCTTCGCTATCTTTTAGTCCTAAAGGATCCCAAAAGGAAAGTCGAGAGTCTTTGGAAAGAAAACGAAAACAAGAGGATATAGAAGGCATCGAGAAGTATAATCTCGATGAATTATATTCGAAGGCAAAAAAACAGAAATTACAACAAAAGAATATTCAAGAATTTTTCCCTTCATCTCAGCACAGCTCTACCAATGAGGCCTCAGATCAGAATGAAGCCTCAGATCATAATTCTGAGCTCGAAGCTGAGCAGGATGGTGTTATCCCTAATTGGGACACAGAGAATATTGATGAAGAGGAACGTGGCGTTGATGCTGATGAGCAAGAAGATGAAGATGAAGATGAAGATGAAGATGAAGATGAAAAAGATGAAGATGAACAAGAGCAAGAACAAGAACAAGAGCAAGAGCAAGAACAAGAAAAAGAAGAAGAAGCAAAAGAGCAGAAAAAATCAGAAGAAGATTTGAGTTACAGAGAGCCTGACAAAGCCACTATCAGCAGCCAGACTGATGATTTTGATAACAGTTTAGTGAATGATACTGTCGAAGACGTTCAATCAAGAAGCTTTGCTCTTGGAATTCAGGAAACACCTGATACTGGTGAATCAAACACTGATCCGTTGAACAATTCTGACCTCAAAGATTCTAGTATTAGTGAGAATCAAACTGCTCCAAAAAAACATCTGCCTCATTGTAATTGCTGCCACGAATCACCATCCAAAAGAGAAACTGCTGAAGTTAATGAGAATACACAATCTTCTAGAAGTTCAAAATCAGCAGATTCAATTGTCAATTCAAAATTTTCAAAAAACTTCTTGACAAAAAAAAACTATGATTCTCTTAATTATACCATCAGAATCGACGCTGACCTAAAGGATATTAAAAATGATTTCAAGTATGATCATAATACAACATTAACTAAACTTGATAATCTTGTTTTTGACGACGTCACAGAGGATTCGAAGAAGGCTGAATCAAAACTCTCATTAACCATAAGCAAATCAGATTTCTTGAGAATGAAGGTTGTTGGTCAATTCAACTTGGGATTTATCATAGTAATTAAAGAGGATGATCAGGAATTGTTTATCATTGATCAGCATGCCTCGGACGAGAAGTTCAATTTTGAGAGATATTCAAAAGAAACAATATTCCAAAACCAACCTTTAGTGATTCCTCAAGAGCTACTATTGGACCCAATTGATAAAATTATTGTTGATGATCATCTAGACATTTTTAAAAAGAATGGCTTTGAAGTGGTTTCCAAGCATGATGCAGATTCTGATTCTACAAAGCTTTATTTGACAACATTGCCAATGTCAAAAGGAACGATATTTGATACTTCAGACTTCAATGAGTTGATCTCTTTGATTAAAGAGAACCAGGATATCGGAACACGAAAAAATTTGGAATCTTTGAAGTGTTCCAAGATAAGGTCTATGTTTGCCATGAGAGCTTGTAGAAGTAGTATAATGATTGGCAAGCCACTAACAGAGAAAACCATGGTTAGGGTAGTGAGAAACCTACATGGGTTGGATAAACCTTGGAATTGTCCCCATGGAAGACCAACGATGAGACATTTGACTAAGCTAGATCAGTTCCAAAGTTTCAATGATGATTATTCATTGTAACCGAGGAAACATAGAATTAGCTATCGTGACTGTTTTTTCTCTTTTGATGCTTTGATAATATATGCCATTTATTATTATAATCTACAAAGTTTTCAATAAAATATCATTATGAACACCCCAAAAAAAAAAAAAAAAAGAAAAAAGAAAAAAAACGAAAAAGGAAATAATGTGTAGAACAACGACAAGAGGATTAATAACCCTTGGAAACTAATTACCAATTATTTAATGTCATTTGATGGGCCTCTTAAATTAAATGATTAAAAAGATTTATAATCTTAAGAGAAAATATGAATGGAAAAATCAAGTCAGGAAAAAAAACATCATCATGTTAACAAACACCAATATCATTATTCATCACTATTCATCAATTCATCCCGCTATACAAATCGCCATTACCATTATTGGACATTACATTCTTTCTTTGCAGAATTGGACTTCCAGCAATCATTGCCTTGCCATCTTCATCATCACCTTCATGTTTTAATCCCCCGCAATTAGCGGCAGCTTCTTTCTTTAACTTTGGCGTCTGTGATGTGGGTGTGCCAAATTGGACAAAGTTCCAGATGGCAGGGGATGCCTGAAGATTAGATGGCTGAGTATTGTTATTATTCATTGGTGATTTAATCAAATCGTTCTTGGATTTAAAATCAGAGTTTTGGTTCTTTATATCGTAATTTTCTGCATCATTTTTATTGTGGTTCCTTGCAAAATTCAATTTCTTGGATGAGCCTCTTTCTGGAGTGTAAGCTTCTAAAGCACTAACCGCATACCCTTTACTGGGGCTAGAAAAGCTCATCAAATCAATATTGACAGGTCCAGAGGTTTGTGTAGAAGTGCCAACATCATTCTTATCATAATTATTTTCTTTATTTGAGTTTGTCGAGCCTCTGGAAATTTTGGGCGATGGTGTTTGGACTCCATTCCTACCACTATCACTTTCTAAAGATTTGTTAGGTTTATCCCCAAGAACGCTATTTTTCAAATCACTTGGATTCATAGGCTGAGAAATATTGTGCTGAGCCACGCTTGTTGGTTGTTGTTGACTTGGAACTTGTTGCGGCAAAGGTTGCTGGAAATTAGATGTGGTTCCAGCATGTGCCATGTATGAGAGTGAAGGGGCGATTGCCTGTTGCTGAGTTTGCTGCGATTTGGTATGGTTTTGCTGAGAATATTGCTGGTTCAGCTGCTGGAGATATAACTTGGCTGACGACGATAGTTCTTCTGGAATGATATCTCGTGGTGGCTGATAATTATTATTCAGATTGTCAGCATTCTTCATTCCATTGGGCAAATTACTATGTGTTGCCAAGTGTAATTGTAATTGCCGGGAAACACTACTACCTCGTTTAATCTTAGTCATCGAGCCGTTAGCAAGACTCTTCAAAAATTCTTGTTTATATGATTCTGCAATTTGCCACTTCATTCCCTTACCAGGTTCGTTTGGTCTTCTTGGGACTTTTTCAAATGCCTTGTTCAATGAGAGGTTATGGCGAATTGAGTTTTGCCACCCAGTTTTAGAGTATCGATAAAATGAATAATGTGAAGAAATCCATTCATAAATCTCGGATAATGAGAGCACACCATCTTCATTAGACAATATGGCTTGTGTGATCATCGTCGCATAAGAATACGGTGGTTTGATATCCTTAGATTCTTCTTTTGATAAGTCTGTATCCATGTTGGCGAAATTTTGATGTGACGATTTCATTGTTGACAACACGTTAATTCTATTATTGCTATTGCTGCTGCTATTACTATTTTCATGAGTATTATTGTTATTGTTGTTATCGTTATTAAAATAGGTATCATTATCGTTCTTGCCGTTATATAACGAGTATCCTTTGAAGCCATTTTGTTGTTGAGCTTGATAGGTATTATTAAATGTCAATTTGCTTTGATTTGAGTTGGAGGAAGAGTTAAAGTATGCGGCGCCGTAATTCGGCCGTTTTTTTAAAAAATCATTTAATCCTGGGAGCTTTTGAGCAGCGAGGTTCAATACATTGGGTGAAATTTGCGGAGTGGTATCTGGTAAAATAAACATCATCTGAGTTCCACCAATATCCATGACTGTACCACACTTTAAAACTGCGGGTAGTGCACCTTCTCCACATTGAATCCGGCTAGTGTCAATTTTGGCACCATTTCTACCAAAGACATTCAACTCCCAAACCCTAGTTTGTAAGTTATAGGTTATAGTAGCATGTCTTCTGGATACGACCTTCGCAGGGCCTAGGTCAATATCAATTAATTTCTCGCCCGGTTTAATCACATCGGTATTACGGCCAATAGTGGTTTCAAGGGACTTGACATAGTAAGTCCAGTTTTTACCGGCAATTTTGGCATACGCTTGTACTTCTCCCACAGGGTTCTTTTCATTTGAGTATTGATTGGCAACCATAGTTGGATGGTCAGGGCATGCTAGTATAGTTGTGACAGAATTGGCAAGTTCAAATGGGTCTTCATAGACTTGAGAGGGCTGTGAAATAATGAAATGTTAGTAATCACATACAAGATCAGAATGAATAGATATAAAAAATAAAATTGATATCCTAGCATGGTATACTCGCAATCTTCTCATAATGTCGTAAATCAACGAGAAGACAAAAAAATCTAGAAGGAGAAAAAAAAAAAGCCAAATCCCCGTTGAAGATTCGCTTGATTCCGGCAATATCATTAATGAATTTAAATGATCCCAATTATTATCATCGAGTCGATATTGAGCAGCCAGGCGAGAAATAGCAATAGTAAAAAAAAATGGGACATAAAAATATAAAAGTGCACCATCAAAGCATGTTATTGACTTATCAGGTAAACAAAAGCTGAAAAACAACAACAAATAAATACCCCAAAACACGGGGATAAAATATAAATAAACACGACATACACTCAAAGGTTCCTCTGCTGCCCTCTTTCTGGTCTGCGTAGACATATTTGGCAGGTTCAACTAAAAATACAAGGCGAATTATTGATGGATAGCAAACTTATAGACTCATCCACCCTCAGAAAAAAAATAATATTGTGTGTTTACAGTTTCCGAAGGTAAACAAGAGAAAAAAAAAAAATAAAAAAATCGTACCCGGACATCACGAGATATCCACGTGGGTAGCAATTGCATATACCATTGAGACGGGTGCTGGCAGCGGAGAAGAGCAACTCTTGCCATGCATGCATAGCAAAGCACTCTGTGCAAGAAGTTTGCAAAGTTATCGCTTTTTTTTTTCTATTAAGAAGCCAATTTTATATATAAATCTATACATTTTCGCATTCTGAGATAAATGAATAAATGCTTATCACATTTTTGAGCGAAACAATACTGAACAATGAATCCAACTGTTGAAGCCTCAATGAGCTCCGAATTGTCGACAGACGTTATTGCTGATATTATATCCTATGATTACCAAGGGAATTTAACCCACAACAGAAATACGGTAGACGAATTATTTGCTATTGGTAGAGTTTCCAAGCAAGTTTTCAATGAGTTTGTTAACAAGTTTTTGGCCACCAACAAATTCAACTACCGTGATGTAAAGATTGAGTATGACGATGAGATACAGGTTATTACCTACTCTTTTCCATCGTTCTTTCATTTGATATCTACCCCAATCTTGTTCACTTTGTTTTATAAGCATCCTCATAATGAATCAGAAGAAGGCCACAAGAAAAACTTGAAGATTAGTAAGAAAATTAGCTCTAGATTCAAGAAGCGGAACCATGATGCTATCCATGAAGAAGAGGAAGAAGATAGAGGAGAAGAGGAAGACGAAGAAGGTAATGAGAGCAAGGATGATGATGAAAAAATAATAGTTGACAAAACAAATAATTTGATTGTCACTTACTACCAGGTTAATAACTTTTTGCCTATTCTCTTGAAAAGTAAGAATAAAGTGGCCTCATTAAATAAAGATCTTTTGATTGTTCCCGACGGTGTCATCCTTAACCCTGATTCCTTGACTGAACCTATTTTTTCAATTGAGATTACCAATATGGAAAACTTGGAGAAGATGCGGCACAAAATACTCCACTCTTACAGCAGATTTAAACGCCCAAATAGTTACCGTACCATTTTGTTGTTGATCTTCAGTTACAACCTTGATATTACTGTTGAGGTTTGGAAAAAAGTTCCAATTCCTCAGAACTATGAAACCGAATCTGTGGCGAAATTGGTTAAAGGTGCTGTTAATATTCCAAAAATTTTAAATAAAAAGCAAGAATACCAAAAGATTTCTGACGCCATCAGGGAGGCAAAATATTTAAATTTGAACCCACAGAAGCATAAATTTACGTATTACTTGCAAAACAAGGCGTACCCAATCAGTTATGATTCATGCAACTATCAAACCAAGATTGACGAAGAAAACGGTATACCTTTACACTATTTTGATATCCATTTCCCTATTAGCGATCCAAAGGAAGAAGAGAAATACAAGAGCTCAATGATTTCCTTGCATTATGACGAAATAAGAAACTTGATTGGCGAGCTAATCAGAAACAAGGTTAATATGTTGAAGGGTGATGTGGATAATTTGTCAATTGTTGAAAACATTCGAAACAGGGCCAAAAAGAATTATTTCGACCTTTGTGACTTGGATTTCCCAACTGCTTGATAAGACAATTATGAAGGAAGTGGCTTTTGCTCAATTTTTTACAGTTTTATTGATTGAATATATGAAGTCCTTTAAACAAAACCATGAATTGTAAGATTATTGAGAAAAAAATAACCTTTTTTTTAAAAAAAAAAATAATTTACAATACTAACTAAAACAATCCCTCTAACTCATCATCATAATCATCTTCATCAATATTATCACCGACCATCTCTACCAACTTCTTATCAGTATTATTATCATTACTATCATCATTATTCTCGTTATTATTCTCATTATTATTGTTATTATTATTCTTCTCATCTTCATCTTCATCTTCATCTGAATCCTCTGCATCATCCTCGGAACCATCCTCAGAGCCATCATCCTCCTCGTCATTTTCTTCATCTTCATCCTCTTCCTCATCGTTATCAGAATTGTTTGATTTCTGATCCCTTTTACCTTTATCTTCCTCCGTCTTTAATTGTCGCTTCTTTACTTCTAATTCATGTTTTAATTTTTGAATGGTACCTATGACTCTACCCTTAAGTATCTCATTGTGAATATCGCTAAGGGTTTTCTCCTTTTCCTTGACGGTAGCTTCCAATTCATCAATTTCTTCCCTCAATATCCTGTTATGTTGCTTCGAAGATATAGTTTCTTCATCTTCATCCTCAGCTTCATCATTTTCGTCATCATCTTCGTCATCATCGTCATCATCGTCTTCGTCATCATCATCTTCACTGGCTTGCTCGATTTCAATTTCTTGGTTTCCGTTTTCATCAGCTTCAAAGTCATAATCATTAAGCATGTTTTCTATATCTTGGTCATCAATTTCATCATCGCCTTCAACTTCAACATCAACTTCCTCGCCATCTTCATCGTCAGCCTCACCATATTCATCTTCTTCTCCATCTTGCCCAAAGGCTTCAGGTGTAGTGCCTATATTACTACTTGGGGAAACAAGACTTTCCAAAGTATGAGAGACATTAATCGATGCTGGTTGATTGAAACCTGATGCTTGGAAATTGGCAACACTATTATTATATTCATCTTCATTCATGAGGTCTAAGCGAACAGTTTCTGCCTCTTCATCTAGCCTTAACAATTCCTCCACTTTGTTTTCAATTTTTTCGATGTTTTTGATATTCAAACTCGGTTTAAATCTATTGTGACGAATGTCATTCATAGGTGGAGCTATCCCATCATTATGTAGTTCATGAATAGAATCGTATGATTCTTTAATACTCTGTATGACTTCCTGTTCATGCCCATCCCCCTTTTGATTTTGGTTGCCATTTTCATCTTCATCATTGTAATTGAAGAAGATTTCGTAGTCCTGGGCACTAATCTTTTTGAAGGCATATAACATTTGGCAAACATCAATAGTTTTGAATATATTTTTTTTGTCAACTGATTTGTGACTCTCTAATACTGTCGGTAAATCCACCAACTTTGCCAAGAAGTATGAATTATTAATAATAATGACAGCCCTTCTTGGATCTTTCCATCTAATATTTATTCCTGATAAATCACTGCCTCCACTTTCAACACACTGCCTTACGTAATCTAGCTCTGCGTCTTTCATCAACCTTAGAACAATACCTTCTTCCAATAATGGTTCATCTTCTTTATCGGGAGCTTCTGAATCATATCCATCCCCAAAAACTTTCAACTTGATCAGGGGGATCCTTGGGACCACTTTGATTTTTGGAGCCTTGGGTTTTCCAAGCCCATCTTTCTTAGTATTATCTGCATCAAATTTCACTCGCAATATCAGCTTCTTTTTCTTAACAGGCTTTAGTTTAATGATTCTTGGAGGTTTCTTCGCATTTCCATCTTTAGTAATTCCTGATGATGCTGAAGACGATGAAGATGAAGATGGCGGCGGTTTTAGTTTTAGTTTTGGTTTTTCTCCATCTCCTTTGGATGAAGACAAAATGAGTTTTTTCTTATTAATCTTTAACTTCATATTATGGAATAAAAGAAACGCATATGATACAATTTCATTAGATATATATATATATATATATATATATATTGGTTTCTGAGTCTCATGGTTTCTGTTTTGTTTTCAATAATATTTTTTTTTTGTGCTTGCATTTCACATTTAGATGTGCGGATAGTAAAAGTATGTACATATTTGAAAGGAACTCATCAGTGCTCGAAATAGGTCTCCTTTATTGCAAACATTTCTCGATCAACCTCCAGGTGCTGGTAAATGGTAGGCCTACGACATTGTTATAATCGCCTTCAATCTTGCTAAAGAGTAATCCCCCCATTCCTTGTATTTGGAAGCCTCCCGCAGCCCCAGCGCCTTCATTTGAATCAACATATAGTTGTAAAAATGAATCATCCAAATTCTCATAGTCCATTGTAAGCTTAGTTGACTCCAAATGGGAATCGATCTTTAAATCCTTCAAAATATTCACATCAGTAATATTACCATACTTTTTCCAATTATTTTCACACAGATCATTGCTGTTTCTTCGGGAAAATATTACAACCGCCGTTTTGACATAGATTGGGAATTTGCAATCTTTAATGTGTTTCAATTTTTCGAATTGGTCGATTTTGGAACTAGGCTTCTCATATATTATCCCCTCGCATTCCACAATGGTATCTGATGCCAAAATAATGAAGTCTTTATTCAGGTCTTTGGATTGAAGAAAGTGGCTCAATACTGAAAGCCCTTTATATGTTGCTGTTTGCAAAACATACTTCGACAGTTAGTATAAGAAATTTACACAGATGCCAAAAGTATCAACAAAGTATATACTCACGTCATCAACAGAGTATTTTGATTTGTCTAAATCCTCCTCAAAGTTTGAGCCCATGATTTTGAAGTCTTGGATGCCCAATTTTTGAAGAATCTCTCTTCTCCTGGGAGATGTCGATGCCAACACAAATGTTTTCAGTTTGAGTTTTTCGTACAAAGGATGCGAAAATTTTGCTGCCATTGATAATACTGGTGATACCGAGGTTAGAAAGGGATATATCCAGCAAGGTATATAAAGATGGAGTTTTTTTTGTTTATAAGAAAGAGCAAAGATACAAAACTTCCGTGATTCCATAGATTTGGTGCATGATCCAAGAGAAAAAAAAAATATCAAGAAAAAAGTATCGAATTTTCCATCTCCTTTCTTTACCCATCGCAAACGTTTAAAGAGTCTGAACGATATGGCTCGAAAGATCACTACCTTTCAAGATAGAACAATTTTGAACGAGGAGAATTTAAAATTCTTGAAAGAAAATATTGATGCAAAGAAATCTACTTTAAGTTTTTCAGAATTATGGAAACAAATATCAAATAATCTTACCACAATATTAGTCCCAGAAGACGTTGATATTCAAATAAGATCCCTAGCATTGGGGTCTATGAGTTCCGAAATATCACCAAAGTTTCAAATGGCTCTATTGCTACTCATTAAGGAGCAATTAAATGTCAAAAGAATCTCATTGTATGACCCGGAATTTAATGATTTAGATAGGGAACTAATGACAAAAGAATATGACATGACTGTTGATGAAATCGATCCCTTCAGTAAGGAAAATAACGAAAATGTCATATATTATCTCCCTCATATACCGCTAGAAGTTTTGGAGGGGCTCATTGCCGAGAAGCATCCTTCGTACATGATATGTAACAATATAGAAAAACATTTATCAAGATTCACTGTGAATGAGATTATCACAAAGTTCCCTGAACTCAGTCTAGTATATTTCAAGTTAGAGCCCGATGTGAATGATGAATTTACTGTCGTTGAGAAGAAAAAGCCTCGGAATAGGAAGAAAAAGGGCCAGTCTCAAAGATTGGCACAAGTGATGGAGGATGAAAAAACTCAAAAACAAAGATTTCTAGACTCAGTCAAGGAAATCTATAAAGAAATAGATGTTATGTATAAAATAGAAGCATCGGACGTTCCAGCAGAAGCAGGCAACAGCTTCAGCGACTTATTTCTCTTGAAATGTCGCCAATAAAGATTTTCCTCGTTAATATTATACTTCTAGAACAGTTGGGATCCGCTATTTTGGTTCCAGCACCGCCCTTCAAAAATTACCCCCAATTTCAGTTGCAGATCATAAACACCCTGGAATGGAACCACACATTTATTAGCCCAGAATTTCCCAACCCCACTAGTTTTAGCTTAAAAAAAAAAAAAAAAATTAAAAAAAATTAAAAAAAAACAAGAATAGGGACTTAAACAAAAACCAAAACCAAAGCTCCTTCCAGTTCTCGTTAGATTCTTGATAAAATGGCAAATGCTGATATTGAGAATCCTTCCACAGTTGGCTCATCAGCCCAAGTGGAGGCCAAGTTGTACACACCTCCTAACCCCCATCAAGTGTTGAGAATTGCATTGAACTTGAAGTCATTGCTTGACAGCATTATTCCCAATGCTGTTCCAATATCTTCTTTGCTGAATATCTTAACACCACGAATTGTTGATCTCGCCTTGCAAGCTTGCGGTGGTAAAGGAAATGGCGAAATTGGCACCTCTTCCAGAAAATATAGAGGCTGTGTTATTTACTGTTTGATTATTGTGAGTACTTGGTATGATAAGTTGTCGCAAATGAATTTACATGAAAGTGACCTCTACCAGTGCAGATCTGCTGCCAGTGAACATTTGGCCAAATTGATCATCGAGAGTCACAACCTGAAAGATCAAAACTTTTTGTTCATTCAAATGTTATGCCGTCGGTACACTATTGTATTGAATGAGGAAGTTACTTCTCCTACTAGTGCCTTGGAGTTGGCTGTGGACAAGCATTCCATTGTGATAATCAGCTCATCTGGATATCAAAGATGTATGAAATGGTTGTGGAGAGGTTGGATTATCCAAGCCAGAAGTGATCCTCAAACTTACATCATGTACAAGGACGTTAACAATTCAAGATTTTTGAGCCATTTCAACCCGAATAGAATTAAGTCTCCACAATTTCAAAACATTATGGAGATTATGGTTTCTATTGTTTATTTGATCTTATTCACATACCTTATCAACAATCACGATAAAAAACCAGATGGTGCCGAAATTATTTTTTACTTGTTCACCATCAGTTTTTCTATCGATGAAATGGTGAAGTTTTATCATATTGGTTCCAGCTATTTCACTAGTTTCTCTAGTTGTTTCAACGACACCATGTATAGTCTTATTATTATATCCTTTTTGGTAAAGTTGTTTGCAATCCATCACAAGTCGGAATACTACAACGAAGTTTCCTATAAAATATTGTCCTGTGTGTCTCCTCTTATGTGGTCCAGATTGTTGTTCTATTTGGACTCTCAGAAATTCATTGGTGCTATGATTGTGGTTATTCAAAAGATGATGAAAGAATCCATTTTGTTCTTTACCCTTTTATTCATTATCATCATTGGGTTTTTACAAGGTTTCATTGGTATGGACACTGCTGATGGTAAAAGAGATGAGTCTTATATGCTATTTCATTTGATGGTCAAAACTGTCATTGGTGGAGTTGATTTCGGGGCATTTGAAAAATTGGCCCCACCATATTCTGGTATTTTGTACTACGCCTTTGTTTTTATTATCACTGTGATTTTGTTGAACATTTTGGGTGCTTTGTTCAATAGTTCCTATTCTTTAATCGTTGCCCGTTCTACCGATGAGTACTTGGCCTTAAACTCTGCAAAGACTTTGAAGTATATCAGATCACCAGATTTAGATTTGTTTATTCCACCATTCAACTTATTCGAAATTCTTTTCTTGACTTTGCCATTGAGCTGGTGGGTCCCAAGATATTATTTCAAAAAGATTAATTATTATTTGTTAACTGTTCTTTATCTTCCATTTTTGGTTGTTATTGCCATTCACGAAGTGAAAGTTTCTAAAAGAGTGCAATATAACAGATTCAAAAACTTGCCTGATGATGCAAATGAGATTGATACAGAATGGGACTTGACAGATGGTTTCCAAGACGATGCGATTATTGATCTCAATAATAGCAACTCCGAGGGCTCTACTTCTCTTCAAAATAATCAAAGTTTGGTTAACTCAGCCTTACTGGTTCAAAGAGCATTCGAAAGACAAGACCCAGAATTCTTAGTTGATATTAATAAATTCAATAGGAAGGTCAAAGATATTGCTCCTCCAATTCAAGAAAGTAATGAATTGGGAATCTCTTGGGAAGTCTATCAATTGCATTCTAAGATTGATAAATTGACAGACTTGGTCAATAATTTGTACACAGAGAACCAAGAAATAAAGAAAAAATTGAATTGATGTGCGCCTTTTTGATTGGAATGACTTTCCGTTTTTCTTGGCCTATGAAATTTTGAACTTAGTTTTTATCCACCTTTTTTTTTGTTTTCTTTTCAATTTTTGCTTTTCAACTCTCTTCATATGCCATCTTGATGTGTTTTTTTTTTTTCAAAATCTGGAGCACATTTTAAGGAATGTTTTCCTAAGAATAGACTGTAAGCTTCTTTTTTTGTTTGCGAAGCTAGAAGTATACCTTTTTTTTTGACATTTCAAAGGGTTATTTCGTATCAAAAACTGCTTCACTGTCATTGAATAGTATGACTTATTTGGTTTTTGTCCGGATATTTGTAGAACATTTTCTATTTCTTTTTTACCAAATAATATATTTCGCGTATCTAGTTTTACCTATCGGCCCGGTACCAGGAAAAAAATTCGATTTTCTGTAGACTTTATCCCTTTCTTAATCTTTTTTTTTTCTTTGGAAACCTTCCAACCGAGAAAGATGAAGATATTTATCTTCTTTAAATAAGCTGAAACAAAAAATAACGCCTTGCCGTGCACATAAGACATGCTCACTATCCACGTAGGCTTAAACATTATAACAATAATCACGTGACAGCACAGAGATGATATTTTTTGAGGAGATGAGATGGGAGTCAGAAACCTTTTTAAAGAAGTTCCTGACTTAAGCTTGTCCGTAACTATTTAGGATGGGAGAACCTGCCACAACTGCAAAAGTAATATTACACACTGATAAAGGACCCTTGAATATTGAACTTTGGGCGAAAGAGTGCCCTGTTAACACAAAACACTTTCTCAAAAATTGTTTGAATGGCAATTACATTAGCAATAATAGTTGCTTCAATAAAATATCGAAAAATAATCTAATATCATTTAATACTGGCAAAACAAGCCAAGAAAACTTGTTGAAAAAGGAGACCAACCAGCGAATACGGTTCACTAGAAGAGGGTTGGTTGGTTTTGGTAATGCTCTTGATAAATCTCACACTAATGAGGAGGAGTTTTTCATCACTTTACGGCTGTTCCCTGAGTTCAACAATAACTACACAATTTTTGGTACTATAGCGGATAGTTCAATTTATAATGCCATAAGAATATCAGATAGTGAATTGGAAGAAGGAAGAGAGTATCAGCCAATATATCCTACAAAAATTTTGAAAACCGAAGTGATCGTGCCGTATTTTGAAGATCTTGATAAGATTATTATTGCTAATGAGGATTTAGGAGAACCCGCAAAGAAGAAACCAAAGAAGAACGATTCCAAGAAGAAGAAAAAGAAGGCAGTAAAGTTAAGCTATGAAGATGATCATGATGATGTTGATGAACCGGATTTCAAACCCGTGAAAATTAGGTCAGCTCACGTTGCTCTCAAAGATCACAGTTTGTCAAAGAAGAAGGTTAGCAGCAAAAATTCGGAAGAGGAACAATTGGAAAATGAAGACCAGAGTTTCAATGAACACACTGAATTGAACGTTCAGAGCAGCATTAACACTGAAGGCAAGAATGACTCCGATAAACAGGAGTTGGAAGCAGAGATTGAAAAATTGAAAAAATCATTATCGAACAATAAGTCAGTGAAGGAGGAGAACAAGGAAAGTGATGTCACTTCTTTTATACAGAATCAAAAAGATGAATATCGTAAAAATCAAAAATTCAGCACTAACAGACAATTGAGGGAGATTCAAACTTTCAATATATTTGAAAAATTCGAGAAGAAGATCTCGAACTCCAAGATCGGAGAACAGGAGAATCTAATAAAAAACAGGCTGCCTAACTTCGATGAAGAAGACGAGGCACAGGATAGTGATGAAGAAGATGATTATTTGGATTTTATGGATCATCAATTGGACTTCAAAGAGGAAGATTCCCATCATGATGATGATTTGAAAACTGTAAATTTATAGAATTTTAGGTGAGAGTTATTAACTTTGGAGGAGTTTATACAACGTATTTGTTTATCCTATCTCCTTGATCACCAGTAATGAGTAGCGCCTTCAATAATCCTTAGACAAGACGTTCTCAAAGTCCTTTAGCAGCCGTAAGGCTCCCATGTTGTTGTCTTACAATGATAATATTTATTAGTATAAAAATCAGCTTTAATTACAAAATCTTATTAATGAATATATATTCAATATGTCATCATATTCGTCAGTCATCGTCACTGTAAACTATCCAATAATAAAAAAAGTTACCAAATCAAAGAAGATTTGCTCCCGTTCGGGTTGCTCTTGCTGGTTAAGTTATTAATATTGAAATTCTGCAAGCTGCTCATTGTGTTCCCGGATCCCGGGTTTACAGGGCTGCCGAAGTTCACAGAGTTTGGTACACTATCAAGGTTTGGATTCACAGATGGTGCAGAACTGTTAATACCAGTACTTGACCCAAAGTTCACACCACTGCTGAATGAATTGCCTAAATCATACTGGCCAAATCCAAGGCCATTCAATAAACTACCATTTCCTGCGGCTCCGCTATTCCTTTTAGGTAACACATCAATCGGTCTTTGTGTGGCCTTCCTAATTTTCACATGAGTAATAGCACCCAGCAAATCGTAAGAACATTCATAATTTAAGCCAATACCACCACCATGTTTACTATTGTTTATAATTATTATGATTCTACTAACAAAACCAGCCAAAGTCAACAAAGTTGTACTTGGGATAAATTGTCTCGCCATTTGGTACAATTCTGGTAATCCAATGAACTTATCAGTGGTTGTTCCAGTAAAGCTATCGAAACTTAAGGCATGATATGCCCTGAAAATTGCATCTTCAAGGACCAATTCTGAAATGGAACCCCCCGCACTTGTTAGAGATGGGCTGGCTCCATTATTTCCAACAATATTACGAGACCCGGTGATTTGTGGCACTTCTTGGGCACCATTAGTTTCTCCAGACAGAGGAATGGCACCAAGAGTATTGACAGTAGATGTGCTGGAATTTGTGCCTAGACTATTCCATAAGTTACTGGTTGTATTATTTGTGGATCCCTTGCCCCAAATTTGGTTTGAGAGGCTAAAACCATTAAGCAGAGAAGTAGCATTGCCACCAATAATATGCGATCCCCAAATATGATTATCCACATTGTTTGCAGCCGGAGCATCATTTGCTGGTAAAATAGTATTTAGTAGACTGGCACTGGACATTTTAGGAGTTTGACTGGAAACTGCTGGCACATTTGAATGGTCAGAAATACTATTGAAGGCCATAAAAGGTGAATTATGGTCATAAGCATGGATCCCGCCAGCATTCACCATGGGCCTTGTGCCATTGAGATTACTGGTAGAGCTATTGTCCCCCCAATGAGAGGGGCCCCCGGTTTCTTGATTCTGAATGAAATGAGAAGAGCCACCAGAGGATATTGAAGAGTTCCTGGCCGAGTTGGCAGTTTGAGAGGGATTATAAAGTATTGAATTTTGGCTAGTACCATAGAATTGTGGACTATTAAAGTCCTGTTGTAGAGCTTGGACAGACGGAAGTTGAGATGGAAAATGCATCTGCTGTAAAGCCGGTGAAATCTTAGTAGAATCAACCTCCAATGATGTTAATTTATTAGGTTGAATATTATTATCACTGTTTTGTAGATCATTTGTGATACTAGAAATCAGTGAATTTTCAAAAAAATTCTCTTTAATATCAGTTTGCAATCTAGCGGCCTCCTCTGACTTTTTCCTGTCTTGCCACTTTTGTCTCTTCTCTGCCTCTTTCTTTTCTTTTAACTTCCGTTCCTCATCCAATTTCCGTTCCTCATCCAATTTCTTTTTTCTCTTTTCTTCCAATTCTTTTTCCCTTTTTTGTTTCTCTAATTCCCTCTGCCTCTCCATCTCTAGTTCACGGCGTTTTTTCTTCTCCAATTGTTTTTTCTTCTCCTCTTCTTTCTTTTTTCGTTGTTCTTCTTTTCTCTTTCTTCCCATTTCAGTCTTTCTTTGCTGTTCTTCTTTGGCCAATCTCTCCGCCTCCAATCTAGATTGTTCTTTTTTCAATCTTTCGGCCTCCTTCGCCTCTTGTTGTTTTCTTTTCTTTTCCCGTTTCTTTTCTTTCTCCCGCTGTTTCTTTTCTTCTTTTAATCTCTCTCTTTCTTCTTCTTGGTTAAGCTCTTCAAGAAATTCCTTGGCTTTATCCTCTGCAACTTTCTGCTTATACGAAGCAATTAGTCTATTATGGACTAACCCAGTAATGACATTCCTGAGAAGATTTCTGCCCTCTTCATATAAATCATCATCATTCACATAATTATCTGTCGCAGCATCCGGGTATGCTTCTGCTCCTTCCGCATCATGTTCTTCTTCATCTTCATATTCTTGATCTGAATCGCGACTATCTTCATAATCATGAGAATCCTCATCACTATACTCATATTCTTCATCTTCATACTCTTCATCCTCCACCTCCTCGTCCTCTCCACCTATATAGTATTCCTCATCTTCCGTGTCATTATTACTATTATTAGTATTATTATTAGTATCATTAATATTATTATTATTATCATTATGATGATGATGATGGGGATGGGAATGAGTATGGTGATGGTGATGGTGATGATCATAATGTTGGCATTGATCATCATCTTGAGAGTGAGCATAATCTTTATTGTCAATTTGACCTTGATTTTTGTTTTGTTGTTTATCAGATTCCCGACAATTAATGTTTTCAAAATCAGAGCCGCCAAATACAAGTTTGCTATCAGCTAGGCTATATCCTACGATCTCTTTATATTGGTTTAGATTCTTCTCTTTTTCTTCCTTTAACTGCGCTGACAATGTTTTGAAATATTCTGCCGTCTTTATGCTTGTATAAAGCTTTTTGAAATCCGCATTGGTATTCTTCCCATCTTTGCCACACTGATCTAAAAACATTCGCAAATCATTTTTAAAAATACCTGCTGCTGACTTATCATTAGGGTTATTCATCACATTCGTAATTCTTTCCATAACATCCAAAAACTCTTTGCCATCATTTTGGAGTAAATCATCGGCTATTGAAGCAATGGCATTCTCATTCATATTAACACCAAGACTACCTTCTGGATTTTTGCATTGAGTATCATCCGTATTATCGTAATGTTCATTAGCATCTTCAGGGACTTCGGTGATAGTTGCAGAATTCAAATTTTTATCAGTACCATCTTTGGGAAGTCCTTTTGCAAAATTGAACATATTGATTTGTGACACCAAATGATCGAAGACACCCTTCATACTGACAGTCTCTGTTTGAAGTTCGAGGGAAAGTGGGTCGTCATTTTCAGATTCATTTTTGGGAGAATAATCATTGTCATTTGAATTGAGATTCATATTTTTCTCCACTGGACTTTGTGTGTTTTTACTATTTTCAGTATTCTCATTTCTAAAAACGATATTACTTCTCTTGTGTATCACCTGTGGCTCCTGTTTTCTATTTATCTGGAAAGATTCATGAACTATCTCGTCTATGGTGGCGTTCTCAAAAACTTTGGAAAACTCATCTAAACTGGCAGCTTTCTCAAAAACTCGATGAAGCTGATATATCTTCTTCTCCATGAATGATCTTCTTCTGCCACATATGTTGCAATCACAATCATTCTTCGTCACTTGTTTCAAACCTTGTAGGAACGATTCTTCATCAAAATTAAAAATTTCTCGCTTTTGGGAATCACCAAGCCCATTCCAAAATTCCAACACTTTGGTCTCTGAATCAGAAAAATCTTGGTTCCAAATATCTTCCTTCTTGTCCTTTCCTTTCTTCTTTTTATTTTTGATGTTGCCATTCTGCTGAGATTTGTCATCTTTTTCAGAGAGTTGCTCTACAATTACTTCACCATTAGCGCCTTGGCGTATCACCCTATGTGTTGGATAATCATCATCTGGATTCATTAGTTTGGCTTGAATATTGGAAGTATCAAGTTCAGAATTCTTGGATCCACCTTTTTTATTTTTCTTCTTCTTCTTCTTTTTCTTTTTTTTTCCGCCTTCTTGTTCATCATTGTTGTAATCAAAATGTATACTCTCACCCGTTATGAATTGATGATGATTATCATCGTTCTCTTTGACTGCAATTGCTCCACTCATCGTGTGGTTTAACCACTATCTAGGCAATTAGTGCTTATGTTGTTCAGAAATATGCAGTAGAATTATTCGCTGCAATTTTGTAACTTTTGCAAAATTCTCTTGAATCTCAAGGTTATTCCAATGCTTTAGTGTTGTCAAAAATACTAGTGAGGGTATGTATATATATTGGCAAGCTCCCACTTCCAGTTTCTACTGTTGTTGTGGTTGTGCCTCAGATTGTCACTTGATAAAAACGACTGTGAAATATGTAGTTTTTATAAATAGTCAATATCTAAGGATATGAATGATCTTAATAAATACTGTGGTGGTAAAAGCGTTAACAAAAAAAATCCTTTAATTTTGAAAGCTTCAACAGAAAAAAAAAAAGCACTTGGGAAATCATTCACGTGACTTTAGGGGAATATCTCATGAAGCGATAGTTTCATCTAATACTTTTTGATTGCATTATTGTTACTAGATCTAAGAAATGTAATTTGAGTAATACAAATAAGACACTATTAATAGCACAAAGAGGCACTGAAAATGATGAGCAAAGTAAATGAGCATTCCAGATAACTGAGGCCTAATAACCAAAGCTTGCAAAAACTTGATCTATATCACTGAATACCTAACCCTGGCACAATATGATTGATAAAGTTATATTGGTTAATGTTAGTTTTAAAGGCGCCGTTCTTGAAGAAGTTATTGACTATCTTTCAAAGTTTATTATTAAACGAGTTGCTTGGTGTTCGTATTCATGAAGATGCATCACTGCTTCTACCGTAGATCTACACCATTTTTGCCAAAAAATATCACTATTTCTTTTGTCTATTCTTTCAATATAGCTTTTTAATTCATTATTCATTGAAATATTCAACTAGCCTTTGCTACTTGGTTAGAAACATTTTTTTTTTCTTCTTCAGTTTCGAACACAGAGATCTGTTCGAGGCAGAATTGGACAGTAGGTAACGTACGCTAGAAGTCGGTCTTTCTATTTAGTAAAGAGAAGATAATTGCATCCAGCATTCAACGTCAAATATCCTGAAGCTATTAGGGTTTCTGATTCTATATAAAAGCACCAAGTTTATGCTTGATGCAATTGATCCGTCATTCTGGTAGCCACTCGCACAAGAAAAATCGCTGTCCACCGACGGGTAAGACAGGCTGTGGAGGCCTGTTTTTTTTGTTATAGATTTTGTGGTGAAATGATCACAGTGGCAATTTTATTGGCAATATCCGTTCATCTATCACTTTATTCAATAAACCCCCCTAGGAAAAAAAAATGTCCCTTGAAAAGACATCACAACAATTGAAGGATGCCTTCGCCAAGCAGGACTTTCAAACCTGTGTGAAATTACTCTCGTTAATCAAGGTCCAATTAGCCCAGCATAATTTGTTGGTTCCAATTTTAAATAATAAAATCAATCAAGGTGATTTACTCATTTCTAGATCTCTTTTGGAAATCGGTGCCTTGGCTGCTATTAATGTGTCAAACTTAAAGTTGTTTGAAAAACTCATCATTGAATTGAAGCCTTTTTACAATCTCAAGACAGAATTCTTCCTTAACAATAAGTCTGCCCTTGAAAACAAATTGGAGGCACTATACTTATTATTATTGTTGACTAAAGGCGAGATCTCACAATTTCACATCGAATTGTTGTCTCTTTCCTCTAGCATCAATGGTTTCAACTCAAATACAGTGGATGACATGAGTCAAATTGAAAACGATAAATATTTGAACTACCCAATCAAAATTGAAAGATGGCTCATGGAAGGGTCTTATGATAAGGTCTGGGATCTTATAAATAACACTGGCAGCACGAGTGCTGATTTTAAGGAATTCTTATCTTTCAACAATAGCTTGACCAATACTTTACGGAACGAAATCTCTAAATGTTTGAATGTTAGTTACGATAGCTTGCCAATCTCGAATGCCAAGAACTTGTTATTTTTCGACAATGAAAGGGCGTTGTCAAGTTACATCAAGAACAATTCTGGGGTTACTACTACTTGGAAAATTGAGAATGGTGTGATATTTTTCCCAAAGAAGGAAGAAGAAGAAGAGGAAGGAGGAGACGCTATTGATGTCGATGATTATTATAATGAACAAGGTTTTGGTGATGAAAGCCAATTTGATAGACCACAACAGAAGCTAAGCATCAATGAATCAATCATCAAAAACGTCCTTGGTTATGCTACTGAAATGGAAACTATTGTCTAGATTCCTAAATATTTGTATTTTAAATAAAAGAAAAAATCTTCTTTCGGTTTTATTTCTCTTTAGTTGAAATCCTTGTAGACAAGAGTTCATGGAACAGTTACGAGATTTTTTTTTTAAAAAAAAACTGATTAATTTTAAAATTATATTTCTATCAGCTCATATATACTAATTAATTGTAAATATTTACAGTTATTACAACCAAGAAACGTGCTTATTTCTTCTGTTTCTTATTGTATTCTTCAATCAATTGCTTTTGCAAGTGTGGAGGACATGGAGAATAGTTTTTAAATTCCAAAGAGAACTCACCCTTACCTTGGGTGGAAGCTCTAAGAGAGGTGGCAAATCCAAACATAGAGTTCAAAGAACATTCTGCCAAGATGGTGAAATCATCGCTGTTGTTTTCAGTGTCATTTACCATGGCACCCAACTTGTTTAACAAACCAATGACACCACCTTGGAATTCATTTGGTGCGGTAACGGTAACATTCATGATTGGTTCCAAAACCACTGGGTTAGCATTGTTAAAAGCTTGCTTGAATGCTCCAATGGTAGCAGCTTTGAAAGCATATTCGTTAGAATCAACAACGTGAGTTTGACCATCATTAATCAACATCTTAACCCCCAAAACTTTATGACCAGTAAGTGGACCCTTCATACAACTTTCTTCGAAACCCTTAGCACAAGCAGCCAAGAACTTATCAGAGATTTTACCCCCAACAATTTGGGTTTCAAATTCATTCTTTTCACCATCAGTGGCAAGGGCCATGTTACCAATGACTCTACCGAATTGACCAGCCCCACCGGATTGTTTCTTATGGGTGTAGTCAAATTCAGTGCTACCAGCAATAGATTCACGATAAGCAACTTGAGGTTTACCAGTGGTACAACTAACATTGTATTCACGCTTCATTCTTTCGACGTAAATTTCCAAGTGCAATTCACCCATACCGGAAATGACAGTTTCCTTGGATTCAGCATCGAACTTAACTCTAAAAGTTGGATCTTCCTTTTGGAATCTGTTCATGGCCTTAGAGAAGTTGATAGTATCCTTAGTACTTGGTTGAATGGACAAAGAAATAACTGGATCAGGGACAAACATGGAGGACATCGCGACCTCAACAGACCCGTCAGTGAAAGTGTCACCTGAAGAACAGTTGATACCAAAAGTAGCGCAAATTTCCCCAGAATTAATTTCATCGATTTCTTCCATTTCGTCGGAGTTCATTCTCACCAATCTGGCAACCTTAATCTTCTTTTTGTCCTTGATGTTGTAAATGTAACCACCCTTCTTCAATTTACCTTGGTAAACTCTCAAGTAGGTCAATTGACCATATTTACCATCTTCCAATTTGAAAGCCAAAGCAACAAGAGGTTCACTAGAGCTTGGAATCAATTCCACTGGTTTTTCAATTTCTGGGTCACTAACATCCAAACCCTTGTTCAAGATTTCAGAAGGATTTGGCAAGTAATCAACCACAGCATCCAAAACCGGTTGGATACCAGTGTTGGCCAATGCAGAGCCCATCAAAACTGGGGTGAATTTTCTGGCAATAGTGGCTCTTCTAATGGCAGCCTTAATTTGGTCAACGGATGGTTCCTTTTCTTCAATGTAGAGTTCAGCAATTTCATCATCAACATCAGCCAAAGTTTCAACCAATAAGGCTCTTTTTTCTTCAACCAAGTCTTTCAAATCTTCTGGAACAGTAGCGGCTCTAAGAATTTCACCTTGCTTACCTTCGTTATAAAGGGCAACTCTATCAATTATATTCACAACCCCTTTCAATTCAGATTCAGCACCAATAGGAACTTGAATAGCAGCAGCAGGAATCTTCAATTTCTTGTTGATTTGATCAATAGCCTTGAAAGGATCAGCGCCCATTCTATCCATCTTGTTAATAAAAGTGACTCTTGGAACATTATATCTACGCATTTGTCTATCGACAGTAACAGTTTGTGATTGAACACCACTGACAGCACACACAACTAACACAGCACCATCCAAAACTCTTAAAGCTCTTTCGACTTCAATAGTGAAATCAATGTGCCCTGGAGTATCGATCAAGTTGAAGTGATAAGAATCGTTATCCTTATCCCAAGAACAGTAAGTAGCAGCAGATTGAATAGTAATACCTTTTTCTCTTTCCAAATCCATGGAGTCCATCTTGGCCCCAACGTTGTCTCTACCTCTAACTTCATGGATAGCCTTAATTCTCCCAGTGTAGTACAACACACGTTCGGTGAAGGTGGTTTTCCCAGAATCAATGTGAGCAGAGATCCCAATATTTCTGGTTTTACCTAAACGAGCAACATCTTCCGGTTTGAGGGTGGCATTGATTTTATCAATGACTACCTTCTCCTCTTCGTAGGTGCTATTGGTCATTGAACTTTGAAAGAATCTCTTTGAAGCCAAAGCGCCGCCAAACACAGGAAGCTTGTAGCCTCTGCTGAGCGAGGCCACGAAACTTTTGGTAAGAGTGACCATTTGTTCTAGTTTACGTCTAATTTCTTTGAAACTAGCCTCAGATAGACTTCAACAACTCTGAAACCGGTGTCAAAATAAGGGTAGATTGATTCTTCATGATTTTTTTAACAGAAAGAAAAATTTTTGATATATGTAGAAGCACGTGATACACGTATAAAATTCAGTATTATAAAGGGTGCTCACACCCCTGAAACTTTTAGTTGTGTTAATGTTCCTGAAAAAAGAAAAAAATATCAATATCATCACACTATAGAGGGTAGTGGAACAAATAACACATACCCGCAAAAAAAAAAAGTAAAAAAGTAAACTCATCTATTTTTTGTCTCTGTTTTAAGGATATATAATATACATAAATTTTCCTTCTAAACTATTTCATTTTTATTTTTTTTCTTTGTGCTTGAAATCAACAATTAAAACAAAACTTAATTTTTGATACCGAATTCATCCTTTATGGCCTTACCAAATCTTTCAATACCAACAATAATTTCATCCAAAGGAGTTGCCGCATAAGTACCTCTGAAGAACAAATGAGTTTGTTTTTCAGGAGCAACTTGTTGCGGTGGTTCAGTTTGACCAACAGTCTTGAACCAAGAGCCTGGGATCATGTAAGAACCGTATTCGGCGGCTCTTTCGTAAATGGCCTTCTCAACAGCAAGAACATCACCCTTGAACTCTGATTCAAATTTTGGATGTTTAGTAGCATCAATATGGAAGGCGAAGAACATACCGGCAACAGGAGGGACGAACTCCATGAGTTCAGTTGGGAAGTGTTTGTAGATCGAGTCGACGGTAACATCTCTCTTGTGAGTATATTCGGCTCTTAATTTGATCAACCAATCCAAGTAACCGGTTTGACCCCAACGGTTCAAAGTACCTCCGACAATAGATTGAGAGAAACCCGAACAGTTTTGGGAGCTAACTTCTTGAATTCTAGTGAATCTTTCAATGAAACTAGCTTTGGCAGTAATCCAACCAACTCTAGTACCTGGCGCCAAAGTCTTGGAACATGAGTCCAATCTTAACACTCTACCTTCAGTGTCCAAAGACAAGAATGATTTAACCATGGCCTTAACAAATTCTTCGTGATTGTGGATAGACTTTCCAGATCTGGCATTGACATCCTTAGTGTATTCTTCCATTTGCAAAAAGTAGTATGGTTCATCTTCGACAATCAAAATATCGTGCTTGCAGGCAATCTTGTAAATTTCTTGACGACGTTCATTACTCAAACTTGAACCGGTTGGGTTTTGACCGGTTGGAATGGTGTAAAGCAACTTTGGTTTCTTTCCAATCCAGTTGGTCAAAACAGCATCAAGTTGGCTTGGGATGATTCCAAAAGAGTCCATCTTAACAGGGAATGTGGTGATGGCTTGGGCGTTAGCAGCTTCCAAAGAGCTGGCGAAGGTGTATTCTTCAGTCAAAATTGTGTCACCTTTGTCACAGAAGTTTCTGAGAAGGTCATTCCACCCTTGGGTATTACCAGTGTTGACAATAAGATCCCAGTCTTGGTATTGCATTGGGTGAACCATAGTTGTGTGTTCTTTCAAGAACTTGATCAATTCTGGCTGACCATTGGTATTTCCGTATTGCAAAGAACGAGACAATGGGATGTCAATACCTTCAAGGTGTGATGGAGTGTGCTTCGTAATTTCGCTGATGGTCATTTCACTAGCATCTTGAGGTTTGTAACCGATCCCGTTTTCGAAAGGTGGGGCAGGAGATTCGGTAGTGATCTTGTTCCATGGGAAGTAGGTAGGTTGAGGTAATCCACCACCCAAGAAGACAAGGTCTGGTTTACCGTAGTACTTGAATGCACCCTTCAAAGGACTTTCCTTACGTCTAAGTGCTTCAGCGGAGAGATGGTAATCCAAATCTTTTGAGAGAGGCAAGCTGGAATCAACAGTCATTATGTGTGACGCTATTTGTGGAGTATATTATGTGGTTGCGATGGAGGGGCGTGATGAAAGATTAAAGAGAACCACAAATTGAATGATATGAAATAACTATTACGGGGATTGTGAGAGATAATGATAGCTTTATATACAAATACAAATTAATTTATGTCAAAAGAAACAAAGCTGAAAATTTTTTGCAGGCTTCCTTTTGTGGTGCAAAAAACGAAAAATGAATCATTTTTCCTCAGTCATCGGTCGATGTATGCATGGCAGCACGTGGATATGCTGATCACTGCGTCATGCACTCTTTCGGTTATAAGCGGGGGGTACCCACTGTTAGCCGCGGGCCGTTAGATGAAAAGCTCGAGTTGTATCATAATATATGACTGTAGTCACCATCACGTAGGTTCGTTGTATGTTGATATATACTCATTATATATATGCTTATTGTATCTTTATGATATATTCTTTTTCCTAAATATGCCTATTTTCTGTTAGTATAGCTATTAAATAGAATATTGGCTCCGTAGCTCTTGCCCTTCCTCCGCCTATCAAGGGTTTACTGGCCGATAACCGGAGAGGTGAGCATGTGTGGAGGCCACCCGCGGGGGCACGAGGCCTTGATAACTCCATTCATTGCCATCAACAATGCGGCACTTTGCCATCGATTAGATTACCAAAACTTTAAACACCGTGGCTGGAAACTTAATTGGCGGATCAGGGATATGTAGAGACGACCCCATGTTAGTATTGTACAATATTACTAATCTTTATCATTTGTTGGTACAAGTCATTTCACATTTCATGGTCCCATAGATATCCCACAGCAACAGTGTACAAGCCAAAATGATTTTTACCGTTCTATGTTACATTTATTAACATATATATATATAATTCCACTGGATTATCATTATCTTCAGTGAAATTACCCAAATAAATGGCCTTGCATGGCAGCATTGTAACGAATTCCAGCGACTTTGTTAGCCTTCAAAACATTCTGGATTTCGTTGAACACTGGTAAACTAATATTCTTGATATCAGAGTTATCCTTGATTCTAGCAGCCTTGAGAGATCCCGGAATTGGGATAAATTGTGGAAATTTGTCGTGATCTTCGAGACTTGGGTTGTTGTGGAACTTGATCCACGCCAATGACAATTGTGGCAAACTCAATCCATGTTCCGTGGCGATGCTTTTCAATTTATCCAACATAATATTGTTTTGAGTGACATTTTCTTCAACTGTAAATCTATCGAAATGTTTTCTCATATCACCTTCAGGAAGATCGGCTGCTGATGTGATCGAACCTGCCAAAAATCCGCAACCCAATGGCGAATAGGCAACAATTGGGATATTCAACTCGGCACAGGCTTCGGCAACTCCGTTATCCAAGATTTCTCTACTCCACAAAGAGTATTCCACTTCAACAAAAGAAATTTTTGCCGCCTTTGCCGCTTTTCTAATTGTTTCGGCACCAGCTTCACTGAGAGAAACTCCGCCAATTTTGCCGTCTTCAATGTACTGATTAATATATTTCAAAGTATCTTCAATTGGCACCGATTTGTCAACTCTGGCACACTCAAAGACATCAATCTTGTTCAAATATTTTAAACAATTCTCAATACTGGTCTTTATCCCTGCTTCTGAACCATCTGGAGCGAATGTCTGCATGTTGATTCCCCCCTTGATGGAAATCACGATCTCATCCTTGATTTCCGGGTATTTGTCAATGAAAGCTTGCAAGTATTTCAAATTCAAATGATCAGCACCATAGAATTCGCCACCATTAAACAAGCGACAACCAGACTTGTAAGCAGTATAAAAGATCTTCACTGCTTCAGCCTCGGTCACTGGATGAGGAGTCCAAGTGGTTCTCATGGTACCGAAACCAACAATGTCCTTGGAAAGCTTGACAAATTTGGTCATTTTTTGATTTGTATAGTTTGTTATTATTATTTGATCTGTATCTGGATCTATTGAATATTTGCAATTTCTATCAAGGTTTAGCTATCTATTTATATGGTGGGCAATGGTAGTTGACTGTATCCGCCACTTCTCTATCCCCGAAACAACCTCTGAAAAAACATCCGGATTTTGTACACTGCCTGGGGGTGTCGGGGGTGTCTAAGGAGCCTCCGATGAAAAATGGGCTGGAGTGCAACGGACATACCGAAGACCACTCACTGAACTGATACAGTGATTCAGTGGCAAAAATATTTCATACCGTTACACTTTAATTATTCGTACCATTTTGGTTCAATTATTCGTATCAATGTTTTTTCTATCGACGGTTCCGAAGGAGGCCTCTTTGTTACTTAATTTCATCAAAAAATACTCAATTTTGCAGAACTCAAAGCTCTTTTCTACAATACCGAATATTTATAATACACACGTGATAATATTTTTAACAAATAAGAACGAATGTATGGCACAAGGCGTGCCCCATATAAATCGATGAATCCTCACACCTGCCATGCAATTCAGCATTACTATGTGATCTTTAGATTGAGTACAGTGACTCTTTTACTATTTAAAGAAGGTATGGGCTTGAAAGCTGTGAAACAAAGATTTTGGCAGCTGGTTATGGAAGAAGAAGACGTTTCAGCTTCTAAAGCAGCAAAGTTGGAAGTCGCAAATGTAAGAGCCAAAGCCTCGACTTTAACGAAAACTGTATTTTCATTGATGAAGCCGGTTTCAACATCTGTATGAAGCGGGAGTAAGTATGGTCTGCTGTCCGCCCAAAAGGTGTTCTCAAGGTTCCTGTTACCAGAGGAGTTGATGTTTCATTTATTGGTGTAATTTCTACCAAAGACTGCTCGGTTATAAGCCCTCGAAGAGGCCATCAGATGTATTAAATTCCTATTTTAGATGGTTATAACTTTATATATAACTTCATAGCTGTAGGTACCAATAAGACTTCTTCTCTGAAGAAGTTTCTTGTTTGTTTGTTTTTTTTGCAGGGGGGGAATGTCACTACCTACTGAACCAGGGCAACCTACTATAATTATAGATTATTGAAGATTGATGCATGTGTAAGATCAGGTCTGCAGAGTCCCCCATGTTTACCAAGAGCAGTAGTTTCGGTAGTTTTTTTTGAATCATGCACTTACCTTCTTGTATTTGACTACTAAAAATTTCGTTGGAAAATGGTGAAAGTGAAGAGAGTGACGAAGAAGTTGATGAGGATGCATTGTAGAGTAGTCACCCTGCAGTTAGTATGTTATATTTTCTGTGTGTTACTTGTTGGTGGGAACTCTAATTTTTGGATTTTCTTCTAGGTGCTCAAAATCTGCTCCTGTACTTCTCCTAGCGCGTTGTTGATCCTGAATAATTCCAGATTCTTATACTTGCTTCCACGGTTTGTCTTTGTTCTGCTCTTCATATAATTTTGACATACTTTTTTGAGCACAAACATCCATTTCGTTCATCCAACCAATGTATTTAATTCTAATAGCTACTACTCTTTCCCTCTACCAAATGGATTTTTTTTGCTTCGCGCGATATTTTATTCACTGTTAGGCGTATTATGTGTGTTATAGAACTCAATAAGTCGCTCCAAAAAAGTTTTACTGTTTAGAACTCGTATACGCAAATCATAAATATTATATTTTCATGTATTACTAGTTACTAGGGTCAGTGTTGAAATAAGAAAAAAGAAGAAAAAAAAGGTTTGTAGGCTGTTTTATTCAAATGAAAAAACAAAGTAAGAAACCTGACAAGGTAGATAAGATGCCTGACTTCAAAAAGATGCGGCCACTATTAGGAACTTCATATGATGGTATAGTTGGGTAACTTGAAGTCGATGACGAGCTGCTAGAAGGATTTGGTGGCGTGGAAGGTGGCTCAGTTGTTTTGGATGGCTCAGAACTGGTAGACGGTTCACTGGTTGTGGTGGTCGTGGTTGGGTGTTCAGGATCTGTAGATGGTTCACTGGTTGTGGTGGTCGTGGTTGGGTGTTCAGGATCTGTAGATGGTTCACTAGTGGTCGTGGTCGTGGTTGGGTGTTCAGGATCTGTGGATGGTCCACTGGTTGTGGTGGTTGGGTGTTCAGGATCTGTAGATGGTTCACTGGTTGTGGTGGTCGTGGTTGGGTGTTCAGGATCTGTAGATGGTTCACTGGTTGTGGTGGTCGTGGTTGGGTGTTCAGGATCTGTAGATGGTCCACTAGTGGTCGTGGTCGTGGTTGGGTGTTCAGGATCTGTGGATGGTCCACTGGTTGTGGTGGTTGGGTGTTCAGGATCTGTAGATGGTCCACTAGTGGTCGTGGTCGTGGTTGGGTGTTCAGGATCTGTGGATGGTCCACTGGTTGTGGTGGTTGGGTGTTCAGGATCTGTAGATGGTCCACTAGTGGTCGTGGTCGTGGTTGGGTGTTCAGGATCTGTAGATGGTCCACTAGTGGTCGTGGTCGTGGTTGGGTGTTCAGGATCTGTGGATGGTTCACTGGTTGTGGTGGTTGGGTGTTCAGGATCTGTAGATGGTCCACTGGTTGTGGTGGTTGGGTGTTCAGGATCTGTAGATGGTTCACTGGTTGTGGTGGTCGTGGTTGGGTGTTCAGGATCTGTAGATGGTTCACTGGTTGTGGTGGTTGGCTGTTCAGGGCCTGTAGATGGACCACTAGTGGTCGTGGTCGTGGTCGTGGTCGTGGTTGGGTGTTCAAGATCTATAGATGGTTCACTAGTGGTCGTGGTTGGCTGTTCAGGACCTGTAGATGGTCCACTAGTGGTCGTGGTCGTGGTTGAAGTGGTTGATGCTGAGGTGGTTGAAGTGGTTGAAGTGGTTGAGTTGGTTGATGCTGAGGTGGTTGAAGTGGTTGATGCTGAGGTGGTTGAAGTGGTTGAGTTGGTTGATGCTGAGGTGGTTGAAGTGGTTGATTCTGAGGTGGTTGAAGTGGTTGATGCTGAGGTGGTTGAAGTGGTTGAGTTGGTTGATTCTGAGGTGGTTGAAGTGGTTGATGCTGAGGTGGTTGAAGTGGTTGAGTTGGTTGATTCTGAGGTGGTTGAAGTGGTTGATGCTGAGGTGGTTGAAGTGGTTGAAGTGGTTGAGTTGGTTGATGCTGAGGTGGTTGAGGTGGTTGAAGTGGTTGAGGTGGTTGAAGTGGTTGAGGTGGTTGAAGTGGTTGAGGTGGTTGAAGTGGTTGAGGTGGTTGAAGTGGAGGTGGTTGAGGTAGTTGAAGTTGATTTGGTTGATTTTTTGGTTGAAGATCCACCACAATCATAACATAACTGCTCGTTTCTATAAGGAACAATTAAATAGCTGATCAGCAGGTAAGAGTTTTTCGACACGCTTAACGAAAAAGTGCCGGACAGCGATCCAGTCAGAAATTGGTAAAAAAGTGGATACACACCAGTTTTCAAATAAGCACTCAATTTGTTATTCAGAGTAGGACTATAATAGGGAGTACCTATTCCTTGCCCAGATGTTGACGCAGTAACCTCTTGATCAAAGATATCATAACACTCGAAAGCATCCTCATTACCAAAATAGGCATATCCAGTAACACCGCCCAGTGTAGTAACCAGGAACAGGTAAGTGTCCTGCCGTGAGTCCAACACCCATAAATACGCTCTGAGGATAACAACTCGGTTAGCAGGCAAAGTTATTGGACTACTCCAGGAAGAATATGACGACCCGAAGAAATTGGGGTTGCCGTTTAAAGTAGTGGTTGGATTTGCTTGAGGTTTCGTCAAATCGTATTGGTAAATGTTGAAGCCGCCATTGTCGTAGCAGCAATTCAAGATATCGCATCCCTGCCACGTAGCAGCAAGCGCAAAAGAGACAGTAGTCAAAAAATATAAGTGAATAGATAGATTCATTGTGGTACGAGTCTTTCCTATGAGGATGTGTGGATTAAAACGAGGAAAGCAAAGTGGGGGCCGGTGGAAACACCTCTACTTATAGTCCTGCTTTCTCTCATTCGTGAAGCTGGTGCATTCAGTGAGACTGTACAATACATACATAGCTCTAGAATGGAAGATATCCGATTCAGTGTTTGTAAGCAAATAAATTTCCGTTGGTTACTCCATCCTGTTTGCTCTCGGTTGTAGAGTTGCTGTGATACTGTAAACCTGCTTGATGTATGTACTTAAAAAAAAACGTGTTTGAATGTTTGCCCATAACTACCATAGTTTAATATAGTGCATGTTGCTGCCATATCCATTATCTTTCGTCATCAATTTTTATCATTTCTATTTGTATCATTGCTGTCTTTTTATCATTGCTGGTATGAATATTCTACATCCGGTTCACTGTGTGTGTGATAACTTTAATGCCTTGAAACCTCCGATAATGTCTGTTTTCCGCCAATAATGAGAACAAAAGATGTCAAAAAGACAGTTAGAAATCCTGCCAATTTTTAAGTGTCCGATGGAAACAAACACAGAAAGCTGATCAGGAAGATAAGATGAAAGAAAGGATTTCGTTAGTATATAGGCTGTTGTCTTCCGTTTGGTGAAACACATTGTAAGAAGATTGGCTCTTCAAAAGATTTTCTAAAACCCTAAGCAATTTTTAAACACTTTCAACCATAATCAGAAGATGAACACTATTATCAAAAATAGCAAAGCATAATATTGAGAAACTCATCAATATCAAGGCATCCCTTTTTGCCTCTGGGGTTTGGTTGATGTTGGTATAATCTTGAAAGTTGAGGAAATAGTGATGTGCAAATAAAATTTTTGCTTTTATTTCCTCCATAGTCGCGCTGGCGTCTAGATTTTCGTAGCAAACCCTGGTTTATTCTCCATTCAAATAAGAATGAAGATAAATGTAATCAATTGACTGGGTGATGCTTTAGACTTGTGTATTTGGTCAATTCTTGATGAGTCAAAACCTTGACTTGGCTTTTAAAAACAGAATCAAATGTAATCCTTTGAAAACTGGGATTAATAACAACACTAAAATCTACCAGTGGCTCAATACATTTACTTGAACCAGGTGAAGCTTTTTCTATCATTTCCCTTTCTGTGTTGAGATCAATTGACAAGCTTTTGGTTACAAAAGCAACCAAATCAACAATAGTTTTTTCTCTAGCAGGATCTTCAATCCAACTTAAGACACTGTTCCTATCGCTTGTCATTGTTCAATAGCAAATATTTTTTCGGTTGCAATTTCTGCAGTTTTCTCAGTCTGATTGTAATTTTTTACGAAAAATAATGTTGTAGGGTGGTTTGAGGTATTGGTGGGGGAATTTGTATGGGAACAATCAAAATCGCTCCAGCTGCTGGGCGCCATCCCATGCAAATTCTTCAGAGAAAAATTACACTCCTGAAAAATCTGTGAGAGACACCTGAATTTTATACCATCCGTGATGGGGGATCAAAGGCAGAGGAGAGTGCTGGCTGGCCCTTTGTTCCATCGTTCTACACCATATATTAACTGGAAAGTTCAAGCATATACTCATAAGTACAATTTATATGCCTTAGCTGAAAAATGAATGGATAAATAAATAACATAAATAAAAATAAATAAAATAAATAGTGATAAGGAAATTTGATCAAATTCTTCTGAACAAAGAAGTAATCCTGGTGTTAGAGTCATGGTAGTAGCAGGACATGCTATCAATCTTATCAACATCAAATTCTTCAAATGCATGAACATAATCGAATTCTTGACCCTTTTGCCGGAATGAATAGCCCAAGACAGTAAAATTATTCCCGTGTATCTGTGTGTTTTTCACCTTAGCAGCAAGAACTTTGATATTGGATGGGACGTTAATAAAGAACTTAACCATATACAACGTCCCACCAATCCCAACAAAAAGATTATCAGCGTGGCAGGTAATTGTCTTATTCCATTTTGCTCAATTCGGTCGCTTCTAATGAGAAACACAAAGTGGTATTAATTCAACAACAATGTCTTGAGATTGTGCAATTTTTCCCGTGCATCAACAAGCGGAAAATTGGCACCTTCATCGAAAACCAGGGTAGTACTCAACATAAGAATACAATTAATGGCGAGGTTGTACTCCTCCTCGGTTTTCTTACCACCGTTACTCCACTTCACTGTCTTTGAGCCAACTTCGGGACATTTAATACCTTCAATCATGGATAATAGTGCCAGTTTTTTTCTTTTAAAAATGTCAAATACAATCTTCAAGATGGTATCAAATTGGCTGAGTGAAAAAGTATGAAGCGATTCCATCACAATTTGGTATGGGTCTGGGTACCACAATTGGAGGAAGGCCGGAGTATGGTGGTATACCGAAGGACAACTTATATCTGCACCACCTTTAGGGTTCCCAACGTACAATGGATCACCTATTACTCTCCTTGGCGCTGGATTGTAGACCCACATTGATCTTCTGTTGTTTTTGAGGGTGGTTTGGACGGTCATACAATATCTGCATGGCGTGTAAGTATCAAGCCCGGGAACTTTCAAGAGGGGAACTTGTAGCTGACAAATCGCTACTGGTGAGCTTTAAAATGACACGGATTTTGTATTTGCCTAATTGCCCTAATTCATTTAGCACTTCAACCTCATCAAAAAGTATTTGCGCAAACTCATCCAATTTTTCAGTGGGGGTACAGCCCAGAACACCATGAAGTAGTCGGACGTTCTGCAAAACTCGGGCAAATTCATGATCTGCCATAAACTAAAGACGACTTTTTTTTTTTGTTTTTTTAATAGATAAATCTCACCCATTGAGAGATTGATCATGAAAAACAAAGTGTCATCAGAACTAGTTTCATCTATATCGTAAAGAGAACCTCTTCTGTACCAGGACTCGTTCATCAATTCTCGGTTTTTAATGTAATCCACAATTTCCTGGTTTCTTGATATGGAAATTAACATTGCAGCCAACGGCGTGTACTTGGAGATATCGTTGCCGACGATATCAAGGGAAACTTCTGGAATACTTTTGAGAGTTTCTTCAGGATCCATATCGAAGAAGATAGATACCTTCTTGAAGTGCTCTAATGATATCTCCTCTCTTAAACACATCCACAAATGTTGTAAGTTTTTCGATGGCGTAATATGGGCTCCATCAAGCTTTTTTATGAATTCTTTCAATACTTCTTTGTTCAGGGCTCTGACTATATCGTTTTTAGAGAGCCAATTCAGTATATTCTCCAATCAGCTCAATATTGCTTTCGACAAAGTTGGTTAAAAAAATCATTTTCTTCATCCATAAGTTCCTCATCATCATCATCATCATCATCATCGTCTTCTTCGCCCAAAAGAGCTCCATAGTGATTTTCAAGCCCTTTGTCATCAATCTCGTTGGTCAATTGTTCTAGAAAACTTCGGTTTAGCCTCAATTGAACTAAAGTAGTGTTGGCTTTTTGAAGCCAATCTACAAAATAACTCCTCAAATAAGCATCATTTATTGGTGGAATGAATAAATTTTCGGGTAAGATATAGCAGGCATAAGACTTCCTGAAAAAAACAGAACAGTCTTTCAAAAATGATATTGAACCTTCTGTATTGTCCAAAGTAGTTCTCTGGCGGCGAGTCCTCTCTCTAATTTCAAGATATAACAAGTGCAGTAACCCAGGGAATAATTGAAAGCCGTGAGTACGCAAAAAGTCACCGGTTGATACGACGATGTAGGAATAAGGTATTCCTTCCAAATAGTTTTCTTCCAGATATTCTTTAATATGTTGTACTGATGACTCAATTAACTGCGCAAGGTGAGGAGATTCATGTACCAACCATCTAAAACTAGTGAGTAACTGCTTTCTTTGAGAAATCCCTGGCTTTTTTTGTTCTAAGAACGATTGAAGGAGGATCCGTTAAAGGAACTATCGTTGGAGGTGGACTTATGCTGAGAATATTGCTTACAGTATATTTTGAGTCCGGTTGGCTCAATTGAAGAAAAAAAGTGGTACTTTAAGATTTGCCGTGGAAAGCGTTATGAATGGTCCCTGCCGCTCCTTGAAATCTCCGACTTGGCCTATAAAAAATAGCTGTCCATATACGAATTAAAAATGAAAACACTGTATCTTGTTAATATTAACATCTTCCTGGTTTACCAGAATCTTATTATCCTCTGTATCTGCCTTAATTTTGTGAGGCCCAGCTGTAAATTACACAACAGTGAAGATTGAATTCCTTGCGAGACAATAAAAATAACTAGAAAAAAATAGAGCCAATCCCGCCAGTATTATTATTATAAAAATCTAAAATAAATTAAAAATGATCAAAAATGATTAAAAATGAAAATTCAAAATGAAGAACCAAGAAAATAAATCAATATTATGATGTAACGACAGCCTGTGAGATGAACTAAATCAAATATTCTTTCATGATATCAACTAGGTAATAAAGGACCCAAGCAACATCACCAAAAAAAAACAAAAAACAGTAAGAAAACGAAATGGCAAACGGAAAGAGAAATAAAATACAAAGAAAATGGTCCCACCCTATAAGCATAACTGAAAGTATCAAAAGATATGCACAAATATCCAGGTAATAACAACTTGAAAAAAAAAAGAGGGAAGGGAAAAAACAGCCCTTAATTTACTGATCAACCAACCCCACTGGATATAATTCAAATAAAAAAAAAAATATTTCTGTAAAAGAGAAAAGAAATCAATCAATATAATGGACAATAGATTTTCCATGAGCACCGATTGCTCGATCAGACAATCCTAATAATTTCCAGTCCATTTGGTTTTGAGGTCTGTAAACATGAAATGGCTTACATTGATAAATCGTCAAAGCATAAGGATCTTCAGCATCGTCATCGTTCCCTTCTATATCATTTCTGCCACTATCAACTCTGAGGCTTCTTCTATTTTGTGATTTAGAAAAAGATTCATAATTGAGATTCTTGGATTCGAATTCTCCGTTTCTCAAAGCCCCAATACTATAATCATAATAGTGATTGCCATTTTGTTGATGATACTTGTTCATATTTTTTGAAACATTGAAGAAGTTGTTTTTCGACTGGGTGTTACCAGAAACATTCAAACTAACACTAGCCCTGAAAACCGCATCGGTCAAAAGCTCGTTTGTGGTGTCGAAATTGCAATATTCATCATCATTATCATCTGCAACGTTATCAAAATCAACGTCACAGTTAATTGGGGTGTTTGCAATCGCGGCACTGGTAGTAGTAGTGAAACTATTAATATAATTGACCTTTTTGTTATCAAAATTAGTTTGGAAAGTAGTATTATTAATAAACTGTGCAAATTCCCATTCTTTAATAATCCACTTCAAAAGTCTAACACTTTGGATTCGATCATACGGAGAAACAGTAATTGGCTGGGTAAACTTTACCGAAGATTTTGATGACCCAGAATTACTATTATGAATCTTGACCTTAAAGACCAATTCGTACTTAATGGAAAACAATTTCCCATTGGTTGTGAATCCTTGCATATGAGTTATTGGAATACCATTGTTAACTTCCTCAAGTAATTTGGTATTTGTGGTTAATGTCTTATTATTATGATTCAACCCGACTGATTGTATGGTGGGTACCGGTTTAATATCGAGTGTATCATCACTCTGAACACTATCAAATGATGTATCTGCATTTCGCAAATTTTCAATTGATGATGACGAAGATAACAATGACTGGTAATTTTGATTGACATTTCTCAAGTCTAAGCTTCTTCGTTTATTGCTTGTTGAAGATAGTAAGCCCCCAGTCAATCTTTTTGTAAGTTGTGGTCTATAACCATCCATGCTATTTCGCGATATCTTTGTGGAATTAGTATTACTGAGAACGTTAGAACTGCTGTTATTATTGCTTAAGGATGACAAAGGTAGCTTCTTCAATTGAGATGAGGAATTAACAGCATTTGATGATGAGTTCGAAATGATTTTTGTAATCTCTGACGGAAAATCAAATGAAATCTGGGTAGTAATACCGTCTGGCCCCAATTCTGCATCAAAATCTTGTTGCTTAGATAATAATTTTGTTTGTTTGGAAGACAATCCGGATTCATGGCAAACCAATACTTCCCGAAGTTCAAATTGGATTTTTTTCAATTTGAAGACCGGAGGCTTCTTTTTCATGAATGATAATCTTTTAGTAGTCTCCGTGGCCCCACCGTTGTGCAAGAAATTACTATTTGGAGAAATTTTCATATATAAAACCAATTCATCATTCGGCCCTACCGAACTGTTTGGTAATGAATATTCAACCAAAATATTCTTGTCCGGAGAGTCCATAGTTTTGGTTATTGGCTCATTGAATTGTCTGTATAATGGCAAAGTATCGTATCGTTTAACAATTAACGGAAATGAAATAGTGAAAACTTCCAACTTTGAACCATTGAACCATCCTATCTTTGCGGTTATGTTATGTGTTGTTTTAGCATTCCACCTGCTATTTTTCCCACTTGATATAATGTCCTTATTGATTGGAATAACAAATGGTAAGTCCATTCCTAGTACTTTCTCTGACCCAAGCTTTTCAGAGTTATAAATAGTATCCTTAAATATACCATATGCTCTATGAGCATCATTCGAGCTAATTCCAGCTGTCGAAGGTACGCTTACCGACTGAAGAGTATTTAATTCTAAGATTATGGTTTTGATAGCAAACGACCCACCGTCTTTAGAACGAATTTCAAGAACACTCTCAACTCTTGGGCAAGTTTTTGGAACTCCAGGACATCCTCTGATGAGACTATGATTGGAAGCTCCAAGGTTAACGATAAATGGTTCTGTGGGCATGTTTTTATATGATTAAGCTTGTGACCTTAGGATATTTTGTAATGCTATTGCTTTTTTGCTTTACTCCAAGGAGAAAATGAATTGAAGTTGAAATGAAGTTGTCTTGTTTCTTGATTCTCTTGATATGACAGATGATAGAAGTTTGAAGTAGTATCCTTATGTCTTCCTCTATTTATATTTTATCAGGCAATGACCAATTCAACTTTTTCGAGACTGGAAATATTTTTGCTTAAGTTAATTGTAAGACTTTGACTAAAGAAATATAGTGGAAAACAGTGTTATCACTTCTTCTTGATTGTTGTTAGAAGCAATTTTTCAAAATAAAAAAAAAAAAAGTTGATCCAGGAGATGAAATAAATAGATTCCAGAGTGTTTATTATGATTATTATGTATGCTTGAGTTTCTTCAGTCTCATTCGTTGATAGAATCCTCAAAACCCAGAAGAACAAAAAAGAAGACTAAAAAGTGTTGATGGAAACTTTACTGAGTCTTTGACAGGCCCTGGTCCATTCGACGGTTGCCAGCCATCTCTTCACCTAAAAACTTTAACTTGTCAATCGATCGTCTAATCGGATGGCATTCAGGGTGTGGTACCCCCACAGCTGGTGATTTGTAGACAGTTTTTGGCCCAATTCCAAAAATAACACCTGGGGCTGTGTGGGGATACCGTTAATAACAAAACATTTATACAGGGGGGCATATACACACTCATTCTAAAAATTTATATTCAAACAGTATGTGTTCCAATTGTGTGTTGGCGAGAAATCGCTTGAATGCATATTCCTGTGTGAATCCCTATTGTGCCTCAAAAATTCAACACCGCAACAATTCAGTATATACGAGCTCGAGGAAATGAAACCACATATAATTGCTTGCTGTTTATTCAATCTCTATTAGTAGTTTCTTGGGTTGGTGATCATTTCCAAATTATTTATTTGTAAGTTGAGAGAAAAACAAATGATGAGGAGTTGGCAGGTTGGGAAGCTACTTAACAATAAAAAGGATTTGCATATTAGTCATTTTTTAATAAATACAAATACATAATATTATAGTAGTCACCTTATTACAATACTTCTTCAAGAAAATACCTTCTCATGTAGTGATATGAACGATGTGTCAAATCATCAAGAGCTCTTCCTAGACACAATAACCTTCAGTACAAATTTTGAAGATCGCAGAACAATAAAGAAACCCCAAATGATTGCAGGATGTATATTAGTCTCTACTGAGAGAAAATAATGAACATTTTAAAAGTCCCAGGCGACAAAAAGGAGGTAATTATGTCATTTACAACTCCGAAGAGCATCGCACTCCATTTTGGTGGATCACAGCAAGTTCTATCATCACGTGCCATAGGGAAGATGTCCTTAATTTCATTAGTGTTGGGAGTAGTGATAAAAGATATGGTAACTACCACCAACGAGAAACACTATGCGCGAATTTCAAGTGGGTCAGCGTGTTACTATCGGTGGTGAGAGCTGCACTATCCGATTCATTGGAACGATTCCTCAATGGCCCGAGGATGTGGCGGTAGGTGTTGAATGGGACAACAAACTAAAGGGGAAGAATGATGGACAATTGCAAAATATCCGATATTTTCACACCATCAAGGGGCTTAAAACTGGGTCGTTCCTAAAAGAAAGGAAATTAAACAGAGATGCTCAAAGGGGAAGGTTTTTTTTCAAGAGTTTAGTCAACAAATATGCTGATTTCTCAGTTCATGATCGAGATATCGAGACCATCAAATTTGGATCAAAAAATGTTCAAAGCTATGGGTTTGATAATTTAATGCATAGCAATTCAGATTTAGAGGGGTTGAAAATAGCATCGCTAACTAAAGAAAGTATCATTGATTGTGAATTACTGATGGGAAGCACCAGAAGCGTATCTGATTTATATAACTATGATTATGGTCTTGAAAAATACATCCAGCTTTCATTATCAAATAGCCAAATGAAATCTATGAGGCTACCCTTATTAGCCAATTTAGACATCTCTTCAAATTTATTCAGCTCAACCCATCAGATATTCAAAATTATGCTTAATTTGCCAAATTTGGAGACCTTGAACTTATCAAATAATAACTTTGTGAGTGATGACACTTTTTTCGGCCATTTAATTTTGAACCACTCCTTGAGCAAAAATTTCGGCCAAGATAGCTTAAAACATGCTAAGGGGATGTTTTCTAACTTGAGGAAAATTAAAATATCGAGCAATTATCTTCGAAAATCAACTTTGATGATTGTTTTATTACTATTTGATAATTTAGAGGACCTTAATCTATCGGATAACTTGATTGATGATGAATGGTTTTTATGTGACTATACTAGTGTCATAGAGACTGATAAACATATTGAGATTCAGGAAATTATGCAGGAGGTAAATTATATTTTTAAAGATTGTTTGCAAGTTACGCATTTATCAACTGGCAAATATGAAATTAAAGTTCAATTTTTGAAATTTTTGACAATAAGTGACAATATCAAAAGAATCACACTGTTGAATTTATCATTCAATAAGCTCACAAGCATTCCATGGATTTTAATTGATGTTTTCAGGAATGGAGGATTGATGGAGTTGAATTTGTCCAACAATCAAATTCATCTTTTGACCCAGGATGATGCCAATTTGACTAATATCCCCGTATCGTCTCAGCTCCTCAACATAAATTCTCTAACTAAACAGTACCAACCGTCGTCATTAATTGAAACCCATAGCGAAGCGCTAAAATATAATGATCTTTCATTGGATTGGAAGTGGTTCAAGTTGTCAAGACTCAATCTCAATTGCAACCAATTTACAACATTCCAAGAATTAGATATTATAAACTTGAAATTCCCAAATTTAAAGCAGTTACAAATCAATGATAATAATAAAATATGGAACAAACCAGAAGAATTAGAAGAATATACTGCGAAATTCAATAAAATCAAAAGCCGTGACCCGACAGCTTTTGGTGATGGGACATTGGAAGATTTCATAATAGAGGAGATTTTTGTCAGTGTGGTTTACCGTTTCAATGATTCGCTAGAATACTTGAACAAAAGTAAGATATTGTTGGACGAACGCAAAAATTCTGAGCTATACTTCGTTGCTAAATTGAAAGAGGGGTGTTTCAATGATTGTCATTCTAGCGAAGCTAGAAGATTTATCTTTAGTAATTTTGGTACGAAAAGGCTTGATATATTGTGTGATAGGTATAATGTCGATATTATTGAGTTGCGCAAAGATATTGATTGTCTAACATCTAACAAGCTAATAGATCATAGGAAACCAAATACTATAAAGTATAATCTTATTGATATCACTTTACGATTCCATGATGCAACAATCAATGATTCCAAGAAAATGAAAAAACCAACCTCACACTCCTCTAACGAAATCAAGCATACCTTTTTCAATACAATGACGATTCTTCAATTCAAAGGAATTATCAAGAGATTGTTTGACGTTTATTCAGTATTGGAGCTTCGTATATTCTTCACTTTGCTGTTTGAAGAGTATTACGGGAAAAATAACGATGAAGAGGTTATTTACAAAACGGAAGAACTAGTCAACAACGAAGATGAATTGTATCAGTATGGCTTCAAGAATGGTGATGTGATTGATGTATATCACAACACTGAAATATTTGCATAGTCATCCCGTTTAAAGCATAATGATATTTAATGATAGATTTTTTTAACGAATGAAAAAAAAACAAAAAAAACATGTAGAAATTATTGAGTACAAAAGCGATTCTAAACAAGGACATAAAGCAAAAAATAAGACATAAGCATTAAAAAAATTAATGAAATTGGTATATGATAATATGCGAATTGAAAATATTAATATAGAAAATTTTTGGCATTGGCGGCCTTATGATTCTAATTTTTTTTTTTGTTTTTCCGCTTCTTGTTCCTTTTTTTGGCTTTATTCGCAGTTTTATTAGAAGGTTGTGGGAGTGACACTTCGGATTCTATTTTCTGATCATCTGCAGTTACAGAACATTCATTATTCAGTTCTCCCTCCTCATTAGTCTTCTCAATCTCAGCGTTTTCTTCAGTTTTTTTCTTCAAGATATTTGTAGGGTCATCACCTACTACATTCTCCGCATTTACAATTTTTGAACCAGCGTTGCGTTCAACGCTATTCTGGTTGTTTTCATCTTTTGCTTCTTGTATGTCCAGTACAGATGATTCATTTGTAGCAACTTCTTCTTGTTGTTTCAGGTCTTCAGTTTCATTGGCAGATGATCCGTTAACGCCTTCTAGCAAAACTGCTTTAGATTCCAATACAATTTCTTTTGCTTCAGAAGCTTCCGGGGGTTTGACAACATTGGTTTCAATAATGTCCCCGTTGTTTTCACTTTCCACTTCTTTATTTTCAACTATTGTGCTTTCATTTATAACCGATCCGTCTTCTTTCTTCAACCTTTCATTCTCATCAACAGATGATCCCTCAATGCTGTCTGCTAGAGATTTGCTATAAAATTCATCCCCTTTAGAAGCACTTGTGGCAGCAGGCAGATTTAGCTTTGAGACATCATCATCCACCGGTGATGCTGTTAAAGATGCCTTCAGAGAGTTCGCAATATTTTCAATGTTTTCACTCTTAACTTCTTGAACACAAGCAACTTCATTTGTGGAAGTATCACCAACTTCTGGCATTTTGGTAATGCTGGATACCAATGGGCTACTAGTTTTCAATTCTTGATCCTTTGGTGCAGACTTTTCCAAACCTGATTCATTGTCTTCTTTGGTCTTGTCAACAATGTCACTGGCTTCTGATGGCTTGCTCGTTTCTTCCTGTGGCTCCAATTTTTCATTTTCCTCAAAAACATTCACTGTTTGATGATTATCTTCCTTCTCATCAGCAATATCCGTTGATGTTGGAATAGTTTCTGGTGCTTCTTTATCATCAACCTTTGTGAGATCATGGGGCAAAATATGTCCGACAGGTACAACAGGCACGGCTTCATCGAGCACTTGTTCCTGATTATTACTAGTATCAGGAGCAGGACTGACAGCAGTTATATCCGCATCAGTGTTTTCCCCAAAAGTGTCATCTTGAATAGCAGATGGAGTAATAAGTTGCACTTCTGTTGTAGAAGCCTTCAAATCAGAGGTGTCATTTGCCACGGAGTTTCCAGATTCAACTTCGGTTTTTTCATCTTTTGCATTTGATATTTCTGCACTGCTAGTCTCCACTTCTTCAGATTTAACAGTTTCTGTGACTGTATGTTTATTGAGGACAACCATTTTGAGTTCCATATCTAAATCTTCTTTGGTCTTGATGTTATTGACAACCTCCCACATCACTGTTCCACTCTCACCATACCCTGGTAAATCACCCAACTTCACTCTGAAATAATCAATATCTTTTAACAAATTCATTTTTTCAAAATTATCCCGGAAAATTTTACCAGTTCTTGAAGCTTTATTGGAAGCAGAAGAAAATTTTTCAAATTCTTTTAGCATGACTTTTTTATAATTGTTGAAAATTTCTGACAAGATTATAAGGTATTGCTTTTCCGGCAAGTTTTTGGTTAAAACTTTAGAAATAGTGACAGTTTCTTTAACCAAAACTTCCATGTATCTGTTACAAGGAGAGGTTGAGATTTCAGGAACTGAGAAATCAATTTTGGAGAGCTCTATTGCATGATTGGTAACCCGATCATTCATGATGGAAATTAATTTGGTGAAGACATCATTTTGATGGTCCGTGAGAGATTGGGTTAGGTTTCGGAACTCTTCTTCAACGGTGACACTATTACTGTCGTCATTGCTGGAACCTTGGATCTCTTGTGATCTCTTGAATATCAGCTTATTTAGATTAGTCTTGTTAATAGTCGAGATAATCATGGAAACAAAAGGAATGAGTCGAATAAATAATTCTAAACCTTGAGATGAAATGGTCAAGTGTTTGGCAGTGATATGCTTCAAATCTGTAGTTTTTGTAGCATTGGCCCCTAATATCTGATGTCTCATCTTTGAATTCACCAATCTGATCAAATCAACTAGCACAAACGGGAAAGAAGCATGATGTCTTCCTAAAGTTAAATGCAAGATCAACAATTCTTTGATGGATTGAAGCACAGAAACTACCAACTGTGGTACAACAATAGAAGTATGATTGTTTGTATCCTCTTGAGTATGGTCACTCTCGGATGCGCGAGGATCAGAGTAACCGGTAAAAGTTTTGATAGTTAATTTTTTGAGCGCCTTCTTTTTCGATGGAGAGCTCGAAACCTCCATTACCGGAGTATTTACCGCGGATAACACACTTTTAGCGGAATCAATTTCAAGAACTTCACCTTTCTTAACCTTAAGAATGTCTGTTTTCAAGTAGGAAGTGAATCCAATAATGTCCACCCAAGATTCAGGAAGCTTAGCAATTGATTTACCCGAGGTAGTAGCAATATTATCACAAATTTGCGTAATTTCGTGAATGAGTTCTTGTCCAGTTCTTTGCAACTGATCCCCTTCAGCAACATTACTCAAATCTTTCCAAACATCGGCTTCAATAATGTCAATGGTGTTTTTCTTGAGAATCGTAGTATAAGAGATGTAGTAATCATAGATTTCTTTATTCAAGAATTTTGACAAGTAATTTGGTGGTGGGTCCACTTGTAAAAGACCGGTGGACAATGATGAAGTCGACAAATTTTCGAGTTTAATCAAGAAAACCTTGTTTAAGATATAGAATTTTGAAAAATAATCAAATCCAGTTATCAGACAGTTTGAAATCTGATCAGCCTTAATATTCACAATTTTGAAAAGTCTCTTATTAACAATGTCGATAATTTTAGTGATTGTCGAAGATAAATCAAGATTGGACAACATATTGTCTTCTGATTGGCTTTCATTAGCAGCGGGTCTCGGAGGCAAATATTGAATCAAATCAAGTGATAAGTCAAGTAATATTTTTTGGAAAAATGATACTCGCTTGAATGAAGTGATTAGATTAGAGTAAATATTGACCAAGATGATTTCGAAGTCGATCGGATTGGACATGGATCTTAGATTGTTGACGAGGATTTGGTTGGTATTACCAAAATTAGTCGGCGTACCATGAGTGGAGTTGGTATTTGTAAGGTTAGAGATGGTAGTTGATCCATTAGATTCGGTTTCCAAGGAATCATTATTGACTAAACGCAGGCGAGCGTCCTTATAGTTATGATAGGACTCAAAGGAATTGGTACCAACGTTTAATACCACAGTGTTCTTTTTCTCGTCGTCACTTTGGCCTAATAAATTCAAACTAGATGAAGAAGAATATGATGAGCTTGCTAACGGAGTAGTTGGGAGATGAAATTTGATGACACTTTTGAATTCCGTTACTAATTTTTCTTGTAAATTTTTGAAAAAAATGAAAATCTGGTCAGATTTTATGAGACCATAAAGGTACTTGATTAGAATTTTTTTGAAATGATCTATTGGTAAATTTGAGCTTGGCCCAAACTTTGTAGGATTTTCAATTCCAGAAGTCGAAAGAAATGATTTGAGATTTTCCGTGATAATTTTATTATCGAATTTAAGATTTTCGAGCAATAAGCTCAACAAACTAGCTTGAATAGAGTTGGCATTAGGTGATGCTAAGCTAAGCGAGCTTTTCAAATCATTAACCAAGAAATCAATGAAGAGATTATTAAGAGAAGTTCCAATCTTACTCTTTAAATTGCCAAGTAAAGATTTAAGATTTTGGAGCGACTGTATTGAAGATACGTCTCGGATAGCACAGTTCCCATCTGCATTGCTGAATATTCTGTGAAACTTATTTATTAAATCTGAAATAAACTTTGAGTTAGGCAAGAAAACTTCGTTATTTGAATCTGTGTCCACAATATGTCTGAGGTTCAGTTCAAAAGTTGCCAAATCACCACTGATCAAGTATTCCGCCAAATTTATTAAACTCAAGGAGTCCAAATGGTTGTTGATAATAGATTCTTCGGTAATATTTCCACTGTTATTGCTGCCTTTGTAGTACACCAATTCTGCAAAATCGGAGATTTTCAATATTAAATGGATTTGTACCATTGATTGTTGTAACTTGATGAGATTTAATTTCTTGGTGACATTCTTCAAAATTTTTAGGCCAAGTTCACTCTGGTTCCCTTCTAATTGATCGAACTTCTTTAATAGTTTTTGAGATTTGGCTATGCAAACCTTCAGGTTTTCGGTAATTTTACTCAAGTCATTGAATGTATTGAAAAATGAGTTTGAGGACTTCGAGATCTCATCGATCAAATGGATCTCAATAATATCTAAGTACCATGATAGCTTTTCCTGCAACAATGCATTGTTTACCAAAAACTGATCATTGGACTTGGGATGCGGCTGATTATTGTCTGTGTCTGTGCTCAAAATTTCATTGCCATCTATGACTTTATAGAAAGTTCTTGGATCATCAAGTCTGAAATCCTGGTGGAAATAGATTTTCGGAACATTCTCGATGTGGTTTTTATGTAATTCTCCTGGGGCTTGATCTTCATTAGTCTCTATGGTAGTCAATGCAGAACGAGTCAAGTTTCTATTTTCTTGAAAAATCTCAAATTGTTCTTCAATGGCCATGGTATATTCTGAAAATTCTGTATCGTCGACTTTTTCAGCTTTTGCAAGCCTGATTTGGGGAATATCTTTAATTGTTGGCGGGCCTAGTGAAATCTTGGTGGTTTTATTATTGATCATGATGGCTATCTTGTTTTTTCTTCTCGAGTCAACGCCAGAAACAAGCTCATATATCGAATTGAATCCCAATGGAGAATATTTTGTGGCAATGCCAAAGGCATTCCCCAGGCTACTATTTAGCGTGGAGTTGTTGGTGTCACTAACAAATGAATAATTAGAAAGAGAATCAAACGAGTTTCTAGTTGATGAAAGAACTGATGGCAGGCCAATGTTGTAGCCAACACCACCAGTTATAATCGAGGCATTATCCTCTTCATCAGACATATTTTGAATGAGTTCCCTACTAATATATCACTTTCCAATGGCATTGATTCTACCAAGCTCCTGTGTCGTTTTCTCAAATCTTGTTGGAATTATTGTGGTGTTGGTGCTCAATACACCTGCACACCATGACTCCACCCGTACATACATTGACCAACATTTGGCACCTTACAACATGATGACAGTCAATAATAAAGGTGTGTGATGATCACATACTGGTTGCTCAGCAGAAGAGTACAGACATGGAATTCGGGATTATTGATGTTTCTGTGAAATTAAAGTTTTCAAGCAAATAGCAGGATTCAAAAAAAGCTACACAGATGCAGAGAGAAGTTCTTCATGGAGCAATACGAAAAAAGTACATCTTCTGTAAAATTCCTTTTGTTTACATTCGGTAAAACTCCCTGATTTTATTCATAATATATATATCTCTTCCTTTTAGAGCCACTCATTCTCTGGCCATTGATGTTTCAGGATAAACATTAAAAGCAAGCAAAAAAAAAGCAGCAAACTCCAGAAATACGATTTGCAATGCCCTTCATCCTATTCAATAGAGTGCTCTCATTGATAGTGTTATTGATAAAAAAATACAGGTTTTGATACAAAAAGAAACATAAAAAAAATTTTCTGAACATATAATTTGATACATAACATAAAACCATAAAATATTAACAAGCGGAAAGAACAAAGTGAAATCAAAAACAAAAAAGGTCATCAAAAAAAAAAAAAAAAAAAGAAAAAAACAATTAGGGAATATTACCAATGGCCAGCCTCATTTTCTTGTTCAAGATTGAATGATGGATTGTGAATTTCTTTCTTGATATTGTCAACATTCTTTTTAGTTCTATTGGTGTACTTTAAGTTTAGTATACCTCCAGTGAGAATACGTCTACCCCATGATCCAGCAGCAGGATCGCCTGTTTCATCACGACATTGCTTGAGGAATGGCAACAAGGCGGTACCACCGGTACCTCTTGCACCACCGCTCTCTCCTGTTTCCTCAGTGAGCCCCACGGTCGATGAGCTCTTCTTGTTAGAGGCCAAGCCAATACGTAAGGTCTTTGAATTATTAGCGGCACGAGATGGAAGTATGATGTACCGGGTGACGATTTGAATATGTTTGTCTCTGAATGATTTCAACATCGCAAGACAAGCGTCGTAGGCAAGCACCAATTCAGGGCGTTCTGACCTGCATCCATTAACATACTCACGAATCACAGACTCTTCAGAAAGTGCGTCAAGAAAGGTTCTATGCTTCTCTGGCATGTAGAACTTCATTTGCTCCATGAAGTTGTTTTCTTTATTATTCAAACTGGACTTGGCGCCAGTGAGGGTAGATGAGGATCCAGTTCCATGATTACCAGGACGAACTCCTGTCGGATGGTGGACTACCCCTAACAAAGTATCGAAATATTGAATTAATGATGATTGCGCATTAGATCCACCAGAATAGGTTTGGGGCTCACCAGTACCGTAAATAATCCCATCACTTGGAAGTCCGAATTCACGCATGTTTTTCCAACCAGCTAAGAAAGGACGAATTCTGAAATAGAAAACATGGGGATCACACATATCTTCCATGGAAAGAAGAACCAGGCCCAAATTATCCAATAATTCCGCAAGGCTTCTGAGATGCGTGGTGAGGTCTTCTGGACGATTTTGGGCGGCAGCAGTAGCTGCCTTCATTCCAACATCTAAACATTTGGCTCCTTCAATTTCAAACTGAACACTGATGAGGTAAAACCACATTTCATCGATGGATCCAGTAAATGTATTTACCGTGGAAAAGTTATCAATTGTGAGCTTGGAAACATCGGTATATGTTTGGCCTGGAGATTTTAGTGCTGGTTTGAAATTCCAGAGAACGAGAGCAGCATATGTGGCTACTGGAGGAAGGCCTAATTGCGAAGCAACATCAGTATATGGAGTAGAAAGTTGAGGAGGAAGCGAAGAAACCGGTTGGCAATCAAAACTCCAAACGTAAGCGTGGGTTAAAAACGACAAAACAACGTAAGCACGGCGCACCTCACCCTCATTAGCAAGATGCTCAGTGGAGAGCACGGGAAGAGTGGTATCAATAAGCCTTCTAATTGATTTGTTGAGAATGAGGGCAGGAAGGTTCTCAACAAGGGATTCCCACGGCTGGTAATAATCTTGGGGAAGGCATTCTACTGGGAACTTTTCAGGCACAAACCCAGTAGAACGGGAAATGTCGTATTCAGCAAGATTGATCATAATGACTAACTAACTCAAAGTAGTGGTGGTATGGTGTGTAACTATGACATATGGTTCAGGCGAGTAGCACGAAAAATTCAAACGGAGCACACAACAATATATATATATATTATATTGTTATCACGAACGGTTGTTAAACGAAACCTACGACGGGTGGCACTGTCGGGTTTAATATGTTGGGGGTTTGTTTCTTTTCGAGGAATCTGCTGACTTTCTTTTTATATAAAATTTTCGAAAATTTTCTGCACGCAGACCCGTGCTGATGGTGCTCGCAAAGCATTGTATAAGCTGATTGTTTCGATCATGAGCTAATGATGCCTCCCTATACACCCCGCGTATATATGAGGTATATGAGGTGTGTATAAGAAATTTTGAATGTAGCTTTATCTTCCTAATAGTCTGCTTATCAGCAAAGTATTCAGATCTTGTGAAAACTGTATTTTCCAATATATTCCAATGAGACAGGAATCAATAGACAGGAAAGCAAAAAATAAATACGCAATGTGCAGTTACAGATGGATAACGATTAGATCAATAAGCAATGTACTATTTCATATACAGCAAGGTACCGCAGCACTTTAATACATTCCTCTGTTGGTATTTGACTCCTGCAAACGAATTCAGGACCTCTGGCTGACAAGCTCTGCTGGTATTGCTAGATATCCTCAAATTATCAAAGTTTACAATATTATAGACAATAAATGCAAAAGATCAATATATTATAGTGGATTTTTATAGTACAAAATTTTCAATGAACTCTGCTGGATCTCCCCTCTCTTTCTAATGGAGGGACAGGACTGCTCAAATCACTGATCAGAACAGGAACTGGGCCCATAAGACCTTTACTTGCTGCAAAGTCACTACTTCTTCCTCTAAGCAAGTCGGGCTGGTAATACTCATCAAGAATTGGATGAAACAAAACAGTCTGATTCTTTATGGTGAGGACAGTATTAGTTGGCACAGTGATCCAGTCTTTCCTTTCAAAAGTCAACGGTTCCGAAGCCACCATGATCACATCTTGCTTCCGATCCTCCCTTTCCATAACATACTGACCTGGCTCATATTCTGAAAACGAGGAGCCGCAAGAAAAGTGCAACGAGGCAGCCTCTTGGGTTTTTGAAGTAATGTAACGGGAAATAACCACTGACGAAGAATCAGTGACCGCAAAATTCAATAGTGAAGGTTCGTACGAGTAAGTTGGATCCGATTTATCAAGCTCATTTGAAAATTCTTTGAGCAAATTGATTGTCTGGAGTAAAGCTGCTCTGAGATTCTCAGCACCAAAGTTTCCGCAAGGTTTCTTTGGATCAAACCCGAGCTTATCGAGGCAATCTAGGAAAAGGGCAAAACAGACTTCAGAATCGGTACCACCTTGAATATAAAGGAAATATTTTTCTTTGAGGTGGTTGATTATACGACGTTTTATCTTTGAGAAATTAGAAACCCCGCCATTGTGCATAAACATCAACTGATGATATGTGAAAGGGTGGCAATTGGTTTCACTAAGGCTCCCGTAAGTAGAGGCACGAACGTGAGCAAATACCAAGCTGGATTTGGTTTTTTCGGCGAGAGTCTCCAAATTTTGATTATTCCATGCAGGAGTAATAGCACGAAACACACAAGGACCCTCGTTGTCTTTATCATCGGTGTAATAGCCCACACCAAAGCCGTCACCATTTATAGGGCGACGGAGGTCCAACCTAAGTCGAGAGTCATACGATTGATTGATGATAGAATGGGCAGGGCGTGTAAGAAGATGAGATAAACGAATATCCTCCTTGCCCTTGAATATTAGAAAACGGCACATTATTGTATTTGTTAAGAAAACACCACCTTAAAATGATAAGATTGCAGATATAAAGAAAGAGTGTTGATGAAAATGCTTGTTTGGAGATAAGTTATCTCTGCTCCTCGTTGACTACGTTAAGTCACATGACATAGTATAATAATTGCGGGCGGTCTTTGGGAGATAAGAACACAGCCACGGATGGACTAATATTTATAATGTGACTGATTATTATTCAAAGGCTCTCTTACTTTATGAAATCCAAGACTATCTGGACTCCTTCGGATCATTGGAGATCACCGTATCTTCGATTTTGTAAACTGACTAAGCGATCAGTAATCGAAGACGCTTCTTTTATTTCTATGCTACGTGCACCATGATTGATGCCTCATTCGTCACAAAAAATTATTAATCCGCCATATAATTATATATAACTTGTTACCAAGTATAATTAAGTGAAAAGATCATACAAAGGTATCGCCAACATGGAAATGGATATAGACAAAAATACCACCCAAAATTTCAGTCGCTACGCCAATAAATATGGCAAGGTCCTAAACAATACCCAACTATATTGTCTCCTACATGGTATTATCCTGTATATCGACCATGTTCGTCGGTCAATTAAGGATGCAAAGTTTCCTGAAGAACAACACAACACCGAAGAGAACAAGAAACGTTTTGAAGGTCTCGCTGTGGTGATAAAGGATTTGCAGGATCTCACAGAGGTTTGTAAACCGCACAACCTCGAAGAATATAAATTATTCCGTCAGATTTTAGGGCTTCAGGATAACGCCCCATATGAAAAGTTACAGTTTGTGAAAAAAGATTTGGAAGACTTGTTGGTATATGGCTGGCATATTTATAAATTCCCTCATTCTGACAATGATATGGCCTTTCGAAAAACCAAGTTCTCCAACCATTATCGTGCTGATTTGGATTTTCATTGTGACTTACCTCAAGTGATTTCTCTTTACCTTAATGAACTTTGCGAAAACCCACCTTTAGTGTCAAACTTAAGGCTTCCAATTCCAGGTGAACCCTTCCCAATTTCAAAAGAGCGCTTCCAACAGGCCGCTAATTTACTTGATCGATATCGTTTCCGTATGACCATTGAGCCAGATGGACGTGAGAGTGCTGCACCAAGTATGACGGTCATGGACCTTTTCCAATCTTTTGCGGCAATCACAAAGTTGAATGTCCTAAATTCCCAGTCTTCTGTTAGCGTTTCACTCAATCGCGCGAAGGCGACGGAACTCAAAGAAAAGGGAAACAAAGCCCAGAAGACTTCCAGAGGTCTTGCCTTAAGTTACTATTCTCAAGCGCTAATGGTTGAACCAAGTAACCCGATCATCCTTTCTTCCAGGGCCGCCATGTTCCAGGAGTTAGATTTCCATGATGATGCTATAAACGATCTTAAACTTGCACTTTCTATTAACCCAGCTTTTGCAGTAGCGTATGCTCGTCTAGCATTTTCATATCTACATATAGGCAATGCCTTTGCATCAATGAAGGAGTACGTCAAAGCTATCAAAGCATCCCAAGGTATGATTCTCCCAAATGGATTCGATTCAACTAATGAGTCCAAACTTAAGCGTTATATTTCAGAATGTAAACGCAAAACCTTGCCGCATTTCATAACGAAAATGGTTGTTTCTTTGCGTATAGCCGAAGCCAGAGCTCGTCAGCAAGGAATAAACCCAGAGGAGCTAAGAAATGTCAAAGAAGATATAAAGAGTATCATTGCGCGATATAGCGGTCGTGGATCTACTATGAACGGAAGAAATGCTACTGCTCCTTCGGGTGCGCTTTTCACAATGCCAGCTGTGACCTCGATTCAGATTCCAAATCAAGGGCCAAATACTGGTGTTGATAATACCAATAATAATACCAATGGAAATACAACGCTAGGTGGTAATGGCATGGTTTTCAATCTTGCTGATGAAGCGAATGGGGCGACTAATCCACAAGAGGCCATTGAAAGATATATCCAATTGACGTCAAATATTTTTCGTGGAAATAATAATCGTGATGGGAACCCGTTCACTGTATTTGGGGGTGGGCAGGGAACAACAACTACTACCACTACAACCACAACCACTACTGAAACAACTAATAATGAAAGCAATAATAATGAAAGCAATAATAATGAAAGCAATAATAATGAAGAAAACGCCAGCAACAGTGAAAACAACATTAACAATGAATCTGGCAACAATGGCAATGGTGATACTACTAGCACTTCAGCAGCCGTTAGTGATAATAATACCGAAGATCCGGGAGATATTGATATCGATAGTGTAAGAGAAACTCCACAGGCGAATACTAACATCAATGATAACAATAACAATCATTCCAATCCTCAAGGTAACAATGGTCAAAATAATGGTGGCAACAACAATAACAATAGCTTTGGTAGCATGTTTGGAAACTTAATCATGAGCACTGTTGGGCCAATGATTCAACGTGAGGTGCAAAATTTGACTGGTGCAAACGGTGAACCTGCAAATGCTACGATATTAACCAGTATAGTGAATGGTAATGGACCTCCTCAGGTTTTTAGAATGGATGGGAATTTTGCCCCTCCAAATGGAAGTCAACAGGAAAATGGCAATGGTAATTCCAGAACCTCAACAACTGCCAACAGTGATAATGGAGCGAATGTTAATTCTTCAAGTCGAGATAATCAAAATAGAGATGATGGTGAAGAAAGCAATAATAATATGGACATCGATCTTGATTGAATTGTCATCTTTTTGTAATAAGGTGCTATCAAAGAAAGCTTCTGCCGAATCTCCTGCAATTTCGTTTGAGATATCATTATTATGAGTGTATTATACATTTCTGTTTGTGTTGTTTGCGGATAACACTTGTATATTTCGAAAAACAAAAAAAAACAAAACAAGACAGTTTAGATATATTATACTTTAGTATTAATTAATGTTTTTATTATTGGTTTAGTATGTCATTATTATATTGTACAATTCTTTCTCAAGATTTGGGTATTTATGGTAAACACGTAAGATAATTCTTTTTACGAAATTAAAGCTTTATTCCAAAAGTATGCTAGATTATATCTGAGCCAGACATGTCGTCAAATGAATTATCAAGATGCTGTAACTGCATAATCTTGTTTTCCTACAATTATCATAAAAAAAAAAAAAAAAAAAAAAATAGAGGATTTGTTTTAGTGACACCAATCCCATCCATAATTCGAGTTCTTTTTCTGAACCCGAACGCGACAGCCATATGCCTCCTCCATCGACGGTGTTTTGGGGAGGGCCAGCTGACGCCTGGCGTGATTTTCAACACACAAAGCTTCAGGAGCCATCCCAAAGGAACTATGAGTGGTACAACTATGAATGGTATAACTATGAATGGGGTTACTGTTAACGGTGGTTTCCACTCATCTCATCCTCCAGATTTCCACTTTCCTTTTCCTTTTTTCCCTTATTCTGGTCCTCCACCTCAATTTTTCCCTTCTTCTTCTTCTCCTCCTCCGCCACAACCACCAACCCCTCCTCCAACCTTGGCTCCTCAACCTCTGGCTTATTTCTTCCATCACCCTGTTCCTCCAACCATGTCTCATCATCTAGCTCCTCATCAACATCATCCTCCTCATTTACTAGCCCCCCATAATGTACTAGCTCCTTATCAACATCATCCCCTCTATCTTTTAAATAATCCACAGTTTTCACCTTCCCATGATACTTCTTCTCCTGTCTCACATCCTCACACTTCTGTTTCTATTTCTCCTTGTTCTATCTCCGAAACAACCCCTCACCTGGTTTCCAATAATTCAACTGCTACTGCCAGCATGTTGCCTTCGGCTACTACTCTGCCTAGCGGATTTCGCAAGCATCACCTTCCAACTGAAATAACTTTCTATCAGTTTATAGATATATTCGAAATAGCTCTCATGTTAATAAACGATATTGAGAAAGACGATCCAGTAGGCAATAATCAGGAACACATCGAGGATGAGGATTCAGTAGGTAATAATCACGAGGGCTTTGACTCATCGAAGACCAGGGACATCTTTGAGTTAATCAAAAAAAAAGATGAAACAACTGTAACCAATAGAGTCAAAGAAACTTTCATCGGATTGAAAAAGGTGAAGATGAAAAAAGCATGCTTCTTTTCGCTTTTGTACGCAGTGCGAAAGAAGTTTGCGAGGATAAATAAAACGGTTTCTAAAGTGGACGACTATATGAAATTCTGGATTGAATGCACTTTTTGTAGTGGTAGAATTACCCAAGTCTGGAAAACTAAAGGCAATATGTTCTTAATCGACTGTATCAAAATTCTGAGGTGTCGATGTGAGGAAGAAGATATTGAAAAAACTAACGATGTGCGTGCTGCAAAAAGAGCTAGAATAGAAATCCCGCCACAAAGCCATACAATAGACAAATTCCGGTTCGACGAAATGTCAACTATGACTCCTGAGATTGCCTAACTCATATGGAGTGTAAACGAGCTAATTGAGGAGAAGTTTATGGTGCAAATCGAACGCGAGTTCGTTGACGATAAATTCGCAGCAGCTAACGCGATGGATCAAAAGCAGAAAAAATTGAAGGCAATTTGTGAGCAGCTAGAATGTTACTGGTTAAATGTAGACCAGCTAGATAGCGAGCAAAAAGAAAAGCTTAAGTTGACGAGAAAACTTGTAATTCATAAACTAGAATCTGGAGGCATGAAAATTGGCCATTTTTTTTTACAAGTTCGTCGAACGGTATAATGCTGGGTCCTCAAAGAATGAGGTAAAATAAATATTAATTATATGGAAATACTGTTTAAAGTGTATTGTGTAAAGATTTAAAATATCATAACAAAGTAGAATAAAAAGGGGAATCTCAGGAAGTTCTCAAAGTAATAGAAGGGAATATCATCCCGAAAAGAAAGAAATAGGTATTATCGTAAATTCGTCTTGACTTAATATCCAGCCAAAGGAGCGTATGTACCAGTGTGACAATATTGGGTCCAATCTTGGAACAAAACTTCGATCATGGTGTCGTAAAATTGACTGTCGACAATAGAGTTGACAAGAGTACCGTTACCGACTTTAACACCAGCAGTTGGAGCAAAATCCGCACCCCAAATTCTCAAGTTACCGTAAAATGGAGAATAAAATGAGGTATCAACGGCACAGGAAACGTTGGTGGAGCTGGTGATCAATTCAGGATAAGTCATAAAGAAAGAAACAACGTCATCCCAGAATGGCAAAGTCTCTTGATCGTTGTTTTCGGCGTAGTTACCAGTGTAAACAATGTCTTGAAGGGCGGTAAAATAAGTGTTGTTGTTAATAGCTTCCAAAGAACCGGCTTTAGCAATGATACGGTTGTATAATTCTTGGGAAGGAACCAAGTAGTTAGTAACGTTACCTCCAATGTACAATTCTTTCCATGGAGCAGTCAAAGCAATTTGAGCACCTTCAGGGTCTTGAATCAAGTTAATATCGGTGTTAATATCAACTTGGATAGCAGTGCCGACGGCTTGAGCGTATTGTGTATCGATGTAACCACCCATGATGTACAAACCAGCAGCCTCTTCAGCCAATTTTGGATAAATGCTCAAAGCTTGAGCAACAGTGGTCATCATACCAGCAGCAAAAATCATAACTGGATCGGTGTCTTTGTATTTCTTCACAGCTTCAATCAAAGCAATAGCACCTGGAGTATCTTGATCATAATCGACTTCATCCCAAGTGTAAGAATCTTCGTAATCAGGTGAAAAACCACCCTCCCAAACAGGGGCACCAAAAAGTTGACTATGCATTTGGAAAGTGTCATTGGTTTGCAAGAGTGGTTGTTGAGCACCCAAGTACAAAGGAATACAAGAGGTCATGTTGTACTCTTTAAGAACATTGTAACCGGCAGCAACGGCATCAACAGCAGAATAAGAACCGAAACTCATGGACATACCAACAACCTCGACACCACCATAGAGAGGAATCAAAAGTTGCAAAGCTTCTAAACCATCATTCTCGATGAAAACTTTTCTAGATTGAGCAATGCTAACTAGAGAAGTAGCAGCAAGTAATAGTGATTTGAAACTAACCATTTGTGTTTGTTTTTGTTTTTTTATATGATAGATAAAAGCAGAATTGCAATATGGTTTCCAAGAAATTTTTTTAGGAGCGGGTACATGTCACAGTGGAATAACCCTTCGCTATATATATATAAATTTGTTCAAGCACAAATCAAACAATAGGGAGCTTATTGAGAGGTAAAAAATTTTCAATTGTTAGTGCTGATAGAACATGTGCTTGTGCATGAACTTTCTTGATAAGGATAACAAGGATAATGTTGTTTTTTCTTCATTTGAGCAGTCTCCCTTTTTTCACTTGTTTGATAATGCAGGTCGCCAAATTGAGCAGCTTGAATCTCCTATTATGCAGTCCGCGGAAGAGAAGCCGTTTCCTCGGCATATTGCGATCGATCATTTGTGTAAGCCAATATTTAATACTGATGTGTATTTATATCCAGTGGTTGAAAGATTTGCTTCTTATCTTTGCTGTCTTCAGGGTCTGTTAAGATTTTCCAAGATTTGATGTAGTATTCGATTTGGCTTTATTTTTAGTTCAATATATGTACTTATACATAATATTGGAATTCCTAGTAAGTTTTTCTTTCCAAAATATGAGCTATGGCCTATAGTTGCCCCATGGCAAAGAAAAAAAAAAAGAAAAATAGAACGCAATTGTTACTCAGAGTGGGCAGCAGGGACTTTTAAGTTCTTACGCTATCATATCATGCTATTTTCTTGGCTCTAGTATCTGAATGATTGAACGGATAGCACAAACTCTTCAAGAGATACATACTTGTTTGAAGACCACTTTCTGAGTTCCTTTAGTTCAACGTGATAAAAGACCTTGTCGCCGTCTGTTAGTACATGCCACTTTAGTTGTCCCACTACACTACACCATCCATCAGTAGTGGCAGCAAAGTGAAAGTTTGACCTTCTGAAGCAGCAGTTTGGAGGAACTCTAAATGAAATGGCTGCATGGACTAGTCCCAGAGTGTCAGTAGCCATAACACCGTTACTTCTAACTACTTTCAGATCGATCTGAGAGAGAGAGAGAGAGAGAGAGAGAGAGAGCACATTATCCGCCGCCGCTTACCACCGACGGGATAGGATAGGATAGGGTAGATCCCACGTACGAGAAGTCGATAACAAACATGTCGGTCTTCTTCTTCTTCACGTGATCTGGTAGAGAGCAGGCCAAATTTTGGGCGACCACAAGAATTTGTCCTTCGAAACTCAACGACAACTTGTGATTTTTTTTCAACGACTTTACTGGAAAAGTGATGGTCTATAACATTCTAATTTCAATCATGAGATGTGTATCTGTCCAGCGCAATTATTTGTAGCCTCATATTGCTTATAAGTATATATAAAATATTATGAGGCCAAAAACCGAGAGCAATTCTTGGATTGTTTTGGCTCTTCTACACACAGATAAGACTGGGTCTCGCCGTCTTCTGTTCTATCTACACACAGATAAGACTGGGTCTCGCCGTCTTCTGTTCTATCTACAGAAGGAGCGGTTCCCAGGGGATAGATAATCTTGGATGTCTTTTTCCAACTACAAGATTTGGTGGGATCTTTTCTGTTGAATATATGTCATTACCTTTATTTGTAGGCCAAATAATTGATTAATTTTTTTTTTTTTTCCTTTTTAAGTTAAGAATGGTTCCCAGATGATTGATTAATCGGCTTGCAATTGTGCTTTGACTGCAAGTTAGTTGGTTGATTCGGATACTTTTTTTTTCCTCCTGGCAATCATCGGATATTGGATTGTTGTTGTCGATTGATTGACTGATTGTTTCTCTGTGGTCACTTATTGTTATTCATTTACTGCGTCTCCGTTTCTTTTTCGGACTTTTTTTTTTTTTATTCCCTCGGGGGGTGAGTCACCTACAGAGACCATCACTATACTATCCCTTCGGAACATTTTCATGATAAAAATAGACTTTATTCCTTCGGGAATTTCTCCTACTTCTCAGAAAAAAGTCTAAGGATCCATATCTATAACGTGAAAAAAAAAAAAAAAGAAAAAACTCCCAACATATAGAAAGACAATATAAACAATGACCAAAAAACCACTTGTGCTCCATACCGAACCTACCACTTTTGGTCAACAGCTATGGGATGATCTCGAGGAAATCGCCGAGGTGGTTCATATGCCCGAAACCACCGACCGTGAACAATTCATCAAGGACCTTAAGGGCAAGTACTCCGAATGTGTGGCAATTGGCCGAGGATATATTACAAATCATCGGGTTGGATTATTTGATGAGGAGCTCATTTCTCATTTACCACCTTCTGTCGCCTACATTAGTCACCAAGGGGCCGGGTACGATGCCAATGATGTTGCTGCTTTGTCCAAACGTGGGATCCAATTGGCCAATTGCCCAGGAGTAGTGAGTGCCGCCACCGCCGACACTAACGTGTTTTTGATGTTGGGGGCCATGAGAAACTTTGATTCCAGCCGTCGTAACCTTGAGGCAGGAATGTGGCCGACCACCGGGTCGGGGGCAGGATCGAAAATCGGGATCTCTCCCCAAGGTAAAGTGCTTGGGATCTTAGGAATGGGGGCCATTGGTAGAGAGGTCCGTGATCGGGTGTTGCCATTCGGGTTTGGGAAGATCATTTACTATAATCGATCAAGATTATCTCCAGAATTAGAGAAAGGTTGCGAATATATTGATAACTTGGACGATTTTGTCGCCCAAGCCGATGTCATATCGATCAATTGTCCATTGAACAAATCGACATTCCATTTGGTTGACGACGCATTGTTCTCGAAGATGAAAGAAGGAGTGGTTATTGTGAACACTGGTCGTGGGGCCATCATTGACGAATCAGCAATGATCAAGCATTTGCGTTCCGGGAAAATCAGAGCAGCAGGACTTGACGTCTTTGAAAATGAACCATATGTCAACACCGAGCTTCTACAATTTGAAAACGTTTTGGCAACGCCTCATGTAGGGACCAGCACTGAACAAACTTTCTATGACATGGAAAAACTAGTGGTGGATAATATCAGAGCTGGTTTGACTACTGGAAAAGTTTTAACTTTGGTTCCTGACCAAAAGTTTGAAGATTTTGGTTTGTGAGATTGCCGGAGAAATATTTTAAAGAAAAAGAAGTATCTAATCACTGATAATTCATTCAATAACCAGTAATTCATTTAATTGACACCCAATCCTGTGATATATATATATATTATATATATTATCCTCTAGTTCTCATAGACAATACATAGACAATACAATTGAAATAGATATAGAAATAATGCATGAAATTTGTTGGACAAAACACAAAATTAAGATAGACAAAGCTAAAAGAAAATAATAATAATAATAATAATAATAATAATAACACTGATAATTATACACCTTTTGGGAAAAACGAAAAAATAAAAAGAAAATGCAAAAATAGATAAACCCCCAAAAATAATCATTTGAATTTTTCAAAAAATCTATCTTCACCAAGTTCCAAATATTCTTTTCTTGACATAAACCCATCAAAGTTATTCATACTCGATAAGATTCCTGCACCAATCCATACGGCATTTTGTCTATCCAATAAGCTAGGGTTGCAGAAACAATTGATTTGGAAGTTTGGCAACAAAGAGTTCAATTCAAAATAAATTCTCTTTTCAATATCAGGAATAGAAGCCCCGCCACCACTGATTATTATATTTGACAATAGTTGAGAGATGACTTCTGGAGTATCTCTGAATTTGTTAAGCGAGTTCAATACAAGATCAATAATCCCTGGCACTGGGGCAGTAGGTTCATTATTGGCGACTTTTGTATCGAACAATAATGGTTTGAACAAAGTTTCTGTCAACAATAATTGTTCAGAGTTGATATTTATTATTCTTCCATCGGGAAGCTGATAGTTCTTGGTTTCGACTCCAAAATTGCCTAGATTCTGAGGAGTGATTTGAAATTGGGCTGTTTTTAGAATTGAGTATTTGAAATCGTTCAATAGGTTGGCATTGAGATCGAAATTTTTAAATGATGTGGTGACGTTAGGGAATTTCAATAATTTCTTAGAAACCGGGTCCGATTGAGGATAGAATGATCTTTTAAGATAGTTGAAAATTTGGAAATTCAAATAATCCCCCGCATATTTCGAATGAACTGCGCTCTTGGTTAGAATATTACCGTCTACCACCCCGGTGACGCTCATTACTGACCCACCAATGTCGATAATTAACCCATTGGATCTGCCAAGACCGTAGGTGATACAGAGCGGATTTTTTAAAAGACTGAAGCTAGGAACCTCGAATTTTTCAAATGCCAATTCCCCCAATTTCTTTTTATTCTTCTTGCTGTTCCAACTGACTTCTGTGGTAACCAAAGGATAAACGTCTTCTGAATCGCCATGGCCATACACTTTCAAACTCTTGAAGATATATTCCCAGTTTTTTTCCAAATTGTCCCAATTGTAAACCATCCCGTCATTCAACATTGAAAAAACCTCGAGATCTTGGTATTTGGAGGGTCTATTTTTGAGATATATGTCATCGCCAACGAAAATTTCATGGGATTGGGAGTTCTCACCGTAATTGGAGCTGAAAACTAATGGAGGGATTTCGTCATTTGAGAACCCGGCCCTAGTGTTAGTCGAGCCGTTTTCGATCACCACGGAAGGAATTGTAAAAGACATCACGGAAATCGAGCGATCTTATCTATATGATGGTATTAATTTTCGTGTATGTTTATTTACTTATTTATTTATTTATTTATTGATATATGGGGAATTACTGGGTGTTTTCATTTTTTTTTTGTAATTGTAATTTTTCTGTTTTTTACGCGAACATCCACACATCATCCATACATCAGCACACCAGAAAATTGTCCCCCCATCACGAAAAAACAACGTCAAAACGTCAACTAACAACAAACTCATCGATCGGCCATACATACTATTAGGCAAAAATGAGCGACGCCAAACAGACAGAATACGAGAAACTCAAGAAGAAACTTCATCAGTCGATCCTTGACAAGAAGAATATCGATAAAGAACTCACCCAGATAGAAGAAGACATTTATGGCAAAGAGACCCTTTATTTGACCAACACCTACCACCATTCGTACGGCAATATCATCAAAGGGTTTGACAATTTCCTTAAAACTGGGGGACAGTCGGCAGGTCATCATTCTGGTCTCAGTAGCCGAAGAAGAACCTCGTTCACTGATGATGACCGGATTTTCTCGTTAAGTAGTGCGGTTTACGTAAAGCATTTGCAAAGAAAGAACAGAGATGCTGATGATGGCGCGGGGAATATTGGAGAACAATTAGATGATATGGACGACGAAGATGACGAAGATCAACTGGCCTCGGCGTCGATGGCATCATCATCATCATCATCATCATCATCATCGAGGAAAAGAAAAAGAGATGTATAATAAAACATCTTGCCGCATAAAAATCCTGAAAACCTGGCAGTTTTCATTCTATTTCTATGCTTTTTTATTTTCTTCTTCTATTTTCCTTCTCCCTATTGTACCATAATAAGACCATCTGTATTATATTTGTCGATCATTTTGCACCGTAACTTAAAGCGGCTGTAGCCAGTACCGAGGCATCGGTGCTGCATAGATGAGAAATTTTTCAGATTGCAGTTTTTTCTTTCTTTGTCACTTCACTGTCTCCCATCCCAATTCATTATTATAATATTTTATATAAATATAGATATAGATAAATCGGCTGGGATTTATCGGGTTGGTTAACAGTCTTATCGGAATAACAAGAAATAATCATCCCTCCACCATCCAGTATACTCTTTCTCTTTACAACAAAATAAAAAAAAAAAAACAGAAAAAAGAGAAGCGGTTGGTACAAAAGTTTACAACCATGGCAGACGCAGCTGTGACACTAAGTTTATCGACGGCTATCTGGTCTTCGGTCAAACCGATTCTCAAAATCTACTTCATCATCTTCACAGGGTTTGTCCTCGCCCGGAAAAACATCTTGACCGTTGAGACTTGCCGAAATTTGTCGGATTTGGTGGTCACCGTTGCCCTTCCTTCATTAACTTTCAGCAAGCTCGTTGCTAATCTCTCTTACGAAGATGCCAAATCCATCGGGGTATTGTCATTTACCTGTGTTCTTTGTTTGTGTTTTGGTGGGATCTTTGGATTTATTCTTAACTACATCACCCCTGTGCCAAAGGTATTCTATTATGGGTTGATTTGCTCAGGGATGTTTGCAAATATCGGTGATTTGCCTATTGCTTTTATTCAAAGTATTCCAAGCGTGATTTTCGATAGTTCAATGGTGGATAAAGGAGTGGCATACATTTGCATTTTCTCATTTGCCATGATGTTTGTGTTCTTCAATTTAGGCTGTGCTAATCTTATCGGTTTGGATTTCAAAAACGATGACGATGATGAGTTGCCTTGTGACGTTACCAGTGAGGATAAAGATGCTGGTGACGGTGAAGTGTCTTTCTCTTCTTCTTCTTCCCAGATTGGAAACTCTGAAAACCCAGGTAGTGTTAGCGCCCAGCATTCAGCATCGCAAGCCAGGCCACGGGCCTTGAGCTCGGCATCCAGGCCAGCGGCATCGATTCTAACCTTAGAAACTTCAGGAGGAGTTGACGGAATTCTTCATGAATACAGCCAGTTCAATGATGCCGAAGAAAGGAATGCCATAGACCCATTGGATCAATTGAGTGTTGTACGGACTCACACAAAGCAGCAACAGGAGAAACCCGACGTTGATAACAACGATACTGAGTCCTTGAAAACCGTTCATAAAAAATCTTTTGTGGAAAAGTTTCATCTTTCGCCATTGTTATTCGTTCTTCGGAACTTTAAACGTCCTGCCTCGATTTCGGTCATTGCTGGATTGACGGTTTGTCTTATACCTTGGCTCAAGGCATTGTTTGTGGGATATCACAATCATGTCGATTACCCAAACGCCCCAGACGGGAAACCTGCCCTCCATTTCATCATTGATATTACTAGTACGATTGGTAATGCACAAGTGCCTTTAGGATTGACCATTCTTGGAGCCACCTTGGGACGCCTTGAATTCAAGACGGTTACCAAAGGGCTAGTCATCACCTCTCTTGCTATGGCGTTTGTTAGATTGGTAGTTATGCCGATTATTGGGGCAGCTTTGATGACCAAATTCAAACACTTGGGCTGGTTTAATGACGATATGGCGACGTTTTTGGCGGTATTGAATTGGGGATTGCCTTCGATGACAGTGCTAGTTTATATCACTGCGTTTTTCACCCCCAACACTGGCCCACATGTGCAAATGGACTGTGTGGCGATTATTTTGTTGACCCAGTACGCCTTCTTGATCATTTCGTTTCCGATTTTGACTACCTATACTTTGAAGCATATCTTAAGCGATTGAAAATGTACCTACTTTCATTTTTACAGTACTTGCTTGGGGTTTCTCACAGGAGATGTCAGATAGATTATTATTATTACTTTTTTTTTCTCATTTTTTTTTTTTATTATTTTTTTTTTTTTTTAGCATTATCCCACAATATAGACCTATTCATTAGACTTTTCTTTTTCTTTATGCATTTTCTGTTTCCATTAAAGATTGTTCAAGTTTTTTGTTATCTTTCAGCAATAATAATCTTCAAGAATATACAGTGTTTTCATTTTTTATTCGTACCAACCACCGGAAATTTGCCTTTGCAATTGCTCATCAACGAAGTGGGAATCTGGTAATTCTTTGCTTATATTTTAATATTATCTTTGAGGTGGGTTGAATTTTTTTTTTTTTTTTTGCTTGCTCAAGTGGCCAACAGCCATTATGTAACACAGTGATTACATTTTTTACTCGTACCAGCCACCTGTGTGTTCATATCACTGACAGAAAATAATTCATGCCATTGTGTTGCACTTCAATTATTCGATTCGCACTATTTGCAAATGAAACGCACACCAAATTTTGTCTTTTTATTGCTTTGAAACGCTTTTGATAATAGGATTTATGTAAATATTGTTGTAGGAACCACCCACCAAAGGTGATTGATTTATCTGCTATACGCACCACATGTTGACGAATGGTGTCTACGGGTGTTGTTTGCGGCTACCAGCATTCAAATTCAACAATCAGCCACCTGACGATAATGTTGCTATCAGTAGTGTGAATACATAGCAAAACTTCAGAGGCCCTTCCATCAATAATAGAGTAACGGAAGAACGGTGAACAATACAAGAGAATCTGATTTTTGTGCTGTCAATGGCATCTCATAGATGGATAATAAAATGCATCGAACTACAACATAACCAAACCCGGAACCACCTTGACACAACACTCTTAAAAACCCACAGTTTGAGATGCTTGAAATAGTATATACAATATATATATGAAGTAATGATATCATTTCAAAGGCTGTCTAGGCGTAAAGAAAAGAAATTTTAGAAGAACTGTTGCTGTTTTTGCTTCTGCACAGAATATGAAGGGATATGTATTATGTATTTACTAACCAAGGTATTCTATGTATTGCTCACAAAATTAAAGAAATCTAATAAATTGTATGGAGCAAACAAGATTCGAAGAAATTCAACTATAAATACGTCTATTGTAGCATCAGCAAAATTTGCAGCATTAGTATTATAGCATTTTCTCCAATCCGCATCCTCTCACAATGCTTTTCTCCGTTTATTTATTCTTTGTGACATTTGTTTGTTCTGTGCTTGCGTATGAAGATTGCGAGTACGATAACCTAGATTGTTTCCTGAAACCGTACGTTAATATTTTCCAATGGAAATATAATCTAAAATTACCATTTAGACAAGAAGATTTTGGAACGCCTTCTTTTTTCGGTGTTGAATCTTTTAACAAGCTGATGGTTCTACAAAACAGAACGATAGTGGCTTTTAGAGCGTATTTTTGGGCTTATGGTGGTGGAAGCTATACGTTCAAAATGAATGCTGCTGATGATGATGTTTCGATGTGGGGCTTTCTTGGTGCAGAGAATGCCTTCAATTGTGGTGACATGTACGAACCTATTGTTGGCTCAATGCCCGGAGTAGGTGCCTCCACCGTAACTTTTATCAGCGGTACTGGCTCTCAAAGTTACACGACTACTTTGAATTCTTCCTTGTATCCATTTCTTTTAAAATTTCAGAATAAGAATACTGAAAAGAACCTCACTTTTTCGTTTGATATCTTGCGGGATGGTGAGTCCGTGTTGTCCGATTTACTCGTTCCGACTGTGAATGAAGAAGAGTGTGATTCCAATTTGACTACCACATCTAGTACTACTACTACTCTGACCACTTCTACATCATCTGAACCTACTACCACTACCACTCTGACTACTTCTACATCATCTGAACCTACTACCACTACCACTCTGACTACTTCTACATCATCTGAACCTACTACCACTACCACTCTGACTACTTCTACATCATCTGAACCTACTACCACTACCACTCTGACTACTTCTACATCATCTGAACCTACTACCACTACCACTCTGACTACTTCTACATCATCTGAACCTACTACCACTACCACTCTGACTACTTCTACATCATCTGAACCTACTACCACTACCGCTCTGACTACTTCTACATCTTCCATACCACCTCCTACAAATCTGACCATTTCGTCATTGCCTACGCCACCTCCTACAAATCTGACCACTTCGTCATTGCCTACACCACCTCCTACAAATCTGACCACTTCGTCATTGCCTACACCACCTCCTACAAATCTGACCACTTCGTCATTGCCTACACCACCTCCTACAAATCTGACCACCTCAACATCTTCCATACCACCCCCTACAAATCTGACCACTTCGTCATTGCCTACACCACCTCCTACAAATCTGACTACATGGTCGTTGCCTACACCATCTGGACCACCTGAAGACCCTGATGTATCCACTACTTCAAGCCCAACCACTTCAGCTCCACCTTCCACAGACCTGACTACTACAGTTCCGACTACCTCAAGCCCAACCACTTCAGCTCCACCTTCCACAGACCTGACTACTACAGTTCCGACTACCTCAAGCCCAACCACTTCAGCTCCACCTTCCACAGACCTGACTACTACAGTTCCGACTACTTCAAGCCCAACCACTTCAGCTCCACCTTCCACAGACTCGACTACTACAGTTCCGACTACTTCAAGCCCAACCACTTCAGCTCCACCTTCCACAGACCTGACTACTACAGTTCCGACTACCTCAAGCCCAACCACTTCAGCTCCACCTTCCACAGACCTGACTACTACAGTTCCGACTACCTCAAGCCCAACCACTTCAGCTCCACCTTCCACAGACCTGACTACTACAGTTCCGACTACTTCAAGCCCAACCACTTCAGCTCCACCTTCCACAGACTCGACTACTTCAGACCTGACACCTAGTTCTCCTGTGTCTCCTACCTTCCCAACAACATCAACGACTTCTAGCTTCTCGACCGCAAGTACCACCCCATTAGAGCCAACTTGGAGCCTGTCTACTACCCCTCCAATTGACGATGAGTTCTTTAATGGTGGATGTGTCATTTATTGCTCCAGAGTTTTATCAATAGTGTCAGGCTTAATAGGTTATTTTGTCTTATAATTCCTTCTTTTTTCTACTTTTTTTTTATTGTTTTCATTTAATTAACTATATTTAGTTAACATCTGATTTTCTACACACTTTTCTAGTACTCGATAATAAGAAATTATAGTAATATAAATCCCTCACATACATACATATGATGAATTTTGTAATGATCTAACTACTTCTTTTCTCTTTTACTAACTCCATTCCATTATTCCTATATCTTTTATCTCCATTTCTTTATATTTTATCTCCATTTCCGAGATCTCCGGTTTGTTGTCTCATTTCCGAGATCTACAGCTTGCTGCCTCATTTCCGATATCTCTAGTTTTTATTTCCCTCGTTTCCTTTTTTTATCCCTTTTTATTACAAATAGGGCTTATTTCCCTTATTCTTTTAGATTCTTTTTCTTCAATATACTTCAAATACCGTGTTTCGTTCTAAGATCACTATTTGAACCTAACTAAACCATTACAAATTTAATTTACTTATGATGTTTTTAAACTTAGGAACCAGCTTTCCCGAATGTATTTTGACAGACAGCCTTTTTCTATACATCACAGACTTCAAGTTTAACATAGTAATATATGAATATTTCATGATGACCTCCCAAATAATATCAATCAGCAATTAGGAAGCTTGAGAGCTATGCCGAGCCAACGTTGGTTGATTTGATTTTTAGCCCAAAAAACTTTAGAGTATTTTGAAAACCTTCAGCTGTTTATGAATTATTGAAATTAGGCGTTGATTAGTTTTTGAAGATTTTGTAAGGGTACGTCGGTTAGAAAATAGCCATGAAATATTTCTTGAAAAAATCGGTTTGAGAAAAAGGTGAGTATTGGTATCTACTATTTGAGAGTCTTTGATATGTATAAGAATGGTCAATAGACGATGGCAGTTGTTATTGGTTTGAAAATAGAGTAGTCAAAATCTCGTGGGTATATCTGTGCAGATGGAAGATGCGAAATGGAGAGGATTTTTGTTGAGAGAAAATTGAATGTCTGGAAAAGTAAGTATCGATATGAAATATTTGATAGATTGTGATATAGATGCGAGTGGTTGATAAAAGAAGGAAGTTGTAATTGGTTTGAAAAATAAAGTAGTTAAGATCTCGTAGCGGTATGTATGTATATAAGTCGGTGCGTGAGAAATGGTAGGATATTTTTTGAAAAAAATGGATTGATAAAAAAGTAAGGTGAGGGAAGGGATATTTGATGGTATCTTATATGGATGAGATTGTAGAAAATGAGATTGAAATTCTTATGTTGTAGAAAGAAGAGAATATTCAAAATTTTGTTAAGGTATGTAAGTATATCAGTCCGTGTGCGAGAAATGAGAGTGATGGTAGAATATTTTGTGAAAATAATAGATTGAGGAAAATGTAAGATGAGGGATGTGATATTTGAAAGATTTTGATATGATTGGAAATGTGATATTGGAGTTAGATATTATTATTGGCTTGAAAAATGAGTAGAGTTAAGATCTTGTAAAGGCGAATATGTATGAATGTAAGTAGCGAAGAGATGGTGAGATATTTTCTTAAAGAAAGAGATTGAGAGAAAAGTAAATATCGAGATGAAGTATTTGATGTATCGCGATAAGATGGGGAATGTAGAAAGTAAGATTGAATCTCTGGTGTTCTGGAAAAATGGGGATATTTATTTAAAGGAGATATGCCAGTATGTCTGCGCGTGAGTGAGAAAAGGTAAAGTATTTTCTGAAAAAAAAAAAAGATTGAGAAAAATGTAAATATGGAAATGGAGTATTTGGAAGATTGTGATATGATTGGGAATGATATATTAGAGATGATTGTTGTAATGGTGTTTAGAGTTGAGAGAAGACGAATTTTGTATGTATGTATGTCAGTTGGAGGATTATGATGAGATATTTTTTGAGAAATTTGGATGGAGAAAAAAGTGAGATTGTTTGTGAAATTTTTGATGTTTATTTATATGATTGGGATGATAATATAAGAGATCGAGGTTGTTATGGTGTTGAGAAGTGATGTGATTAAATTTAGGAGATTGTATGTATATCTGTCGGAGCGATGGGAATTGAGTATTGTTTGTTTTCTGAGAAATTTGGTTGGAGAGAAAAGGAAGATTGTTTATGAAATATTTGAGAGATTTTATTATAGATAAGATTATAAAATAAGAGAGTGCGAGGTAAAAGTTTAGAGATTATGTAGGTTGGATGGAGATTGGGTATCGATTTATTTTGGAAAAAATGATTTGAGAAGAAAAGTATGATTGTAGATCGAGTATTTATTAGTTATTGATATGAGTGAGATATTTAAGAGGGAGAATGTACATAATATCCCTACAAATCTTCAGTAAATGGCACTCAATCATAACATATAATTCCATTCCACCCAATTGTATAGTGTGGTATACGGCTGGAGCCCACAATGTTGTAAACTCCGCGGTTTAAAGTAGCACACCCCCTGTTACTCACACATGTAGATAGAATCTTATTATACACAAAAAAAAGAGTGGTAAGATTCATCTGAAGAAAAAAATAATTAACCTGACCTTCTTAATAATTAATAGTGTCAATCAGCCAAATGTCAACGTCATTACAACCATGGCAGACGACGGTGTGTCCCTAAGTTTGTCAACGGCTATCTGGTCGTCAGTTAAACCAATTCTCAAAATCTACTTCATCATCTTCACAGGGTTCCTTCTCACGCGGAAAAACATTTTGACCGTTGAAACTTCCAGAAACTTGTCAGATTTGGTGGTCACTGTAGCCCTTCCTGCGCTTACTTTCAGCAAGCTCGTTTCCAATATATCTTACCAGGATGCCGAATCCATTGGGGTATTGTCGTTTGTTTGCTTTCTTGTCATGGGGATGGGCGGTATTCTTGGATTGGGGGTCAACTACATCACACCCGCTCCAAAAGTCTTCTTCTACGGGTTAATTTCTTGTGGTATGTTCACCAACATCAGCGATTTACCTATTGCTTTCATTCAAGGTATCCCACCGGTTGTTTTCGATACCCAGGCGATCGATAAAGGGGTGGCTTACGTTTGCATTTTCTTGTTTGCTGAAATGTTTGTGTTTTTCAATCTTGGGTGCAATCAGCTTCTCGGGCTAGATTTCAAGACCCAAGCTTCTCAAGATACAGATACAGGCGACGGGAGTATTGATGATAATGCTTCCACAGAAACTGAGAATCACATCCAAGCCTCCACTTCAGCAAGATCGCAAGCATCTAGCAACCTTAGATCTGTCCTGTTACACGCCTCTGCTGGAGCGCCCAGAAGAGTTAATGGACTCATTCGTGAATATAGTGAGGTCAATGCTGCTCCTAATTACCAAGGAAATGATATTGACCCATTAGATCAATTGAGCGTGGTGCGGACTCGCACCAGGCAGCTGCAGAATATTGCCGAGGTCGATGGAATTGAACCACGCGACTCAGAATCTTTGGAAGCTGCTGAGAGAAAATCATTTGCGGAAAAATACCATCTTACTCCAATATTGTTTGTTCTTCTGAACTTCAAACGTCCTGCTTCCATGTCGATCTTACTTGGGTTGATTGTTGCTATTGTTCCTTGGCTCAAAGCATTGTTTGTCCAGTATGACAATCATGTCGATTACCCAAATTCCCCAGATGGGAACCCTCCGCTCCATTTTATCATTGATATTACCACCCACGTTGGTAATGCACAAGTACCCCTTGGTTTGATCATTCTTGGGGGTACGTTAGGACGTGTTGAATCAAAAAGTATTTCCAAGGGGCTAGTTATCACCGCCCTTTGTTTGGCGTTGGTTAGATTGGTGATCTTGCCGATCATTGGGGTTACCTTGATGACCAAATTTAGAAATATGGGCTGGTTCCAAGATGATATGGCAATGTTTTTAGCGATATTGAACTGGGGGTTGCCCTCTATGACCACAATAATTTATATTATTGCGTTCTTCACCCCACTTGATGGCCCGTATGTTCAAATGGACTGCGTTGCCGTGATTTTGATGGTGCAGTATTTCTTTTTAGTCATTTCGTTTCCTATTTTGACTACCTTCACCTTGAAACACTCTTTGGGTTACTAGGGTCTATTTGTGTGTGTGTGATCTTTTATATATTTTACCTTACCATTATCTTACATTGCAATTTCTGATTATTTGATGGCTTTATTTTAAAACAATATCAACCTCGTGATGATTAATATATACTATATTATATATAGACCCAATATATCTTCTTATTATAGACCCCTCTGGCGATCTAAACGCACTCAGGAGATTTCCAGCGAATGAAATATATCAAGAAAACAAAAAAAAAAAAAAAAAAAATGTCAAGCAAATATAGGCGGCATTTACAATCAAAAATTTTGTGTTGGAACTCCGTTGCTCCTGTATATTAAGGAAAGAAAAAAAAATGATTGCTCAATTGTCTGGGACTTCTCGGGGAGCTGCCCTCGTTGGCGTTGGTTCTGGTTGCAACCGGTTTTTCCATCATTCTGTCTGTAGTAAATCTTCAATATCATCAACAGACACTTCAAGGACAAAGACAATAACAACAACAACGACACCGACTAAAGATTTGGAGTTTCCCCAGTTCGATACCATAGGAAACCCATCTACTTTAATGTTAATCCAGTCTCCGCCTTCTATTCCAGTCCATTTCCGTAAGGACTCGCTTGTATCACTCTACTTCCCTGACCAGAGCTTTGGCACCTCATCGCCGCTCAGCGATCTTATCACCAGTGAATTGAACTATTCTAGCATAATCAATAGTATTTTTAGTCTTTCGAGGCCAATTAGCTACCAAAAAATGATTTCTACCGTGCCGTTCAATGCAGTGATCAATGGTAATGGGCACGATTCAACTTTCAAAACTTTTTACAATTTAGAACTAGACGGTACTAGCGATTGGGCAATTCTCCCTCACGGGGCAATTCAAGCATACACCGGTTCGAATCTCATCATTAAAAATAAATTCCAGCCGGCCAAAGTTTCCAGAAAGCTTTGGAAGATTTTACAAAAAAACAAGAACAACACTGGCAGTACAGGGTTGAGCAAGTATCAACTTTATAACTTTATTTCGGGAAGAGGTAGTGTTGGCTTGGTTGGCAATGGTGAAATCATTGAACTTGATTTACAATATGGGGAATCAGTGGTGATTAACAAGGACCATTTATTGGGGTTACAGATTGATGGAATCAATGATTTGAATAATTTGGTATATCAAGAACCATTGTTGAATAATATGGGTACCACTGTCCCACAACTAACTGCAGGTGCTAGGGTCTCCAGTTGGGGAAAATTGAAAGGGTTGTTTTCTGCATTGAAGCCTGTACCGGCCGATTCTAAATCGGTTGTAGAGGTTAATATAACAAAGAATCGCCAAGTGGACCAATTTTTGACGAGTATAAAGAAGTTATCCCTCATCAGCTGGAATATTATTAGTAAGTCATTCAGTGGTATGGCGAAGTTTGGTGCAAACCTTATGACATCTGACGTCAAATATATTACGGTGATGGGGCCAACGAAAATCTTGCTTCAATCGAGTGCGAAGTCTGTTAGATTGGCGTCTTCAAGCTCGAAATTTTCAGCCTCAGGATTGGCTGGTACATTTTCGAGGTCTCTTCATAACACAAGCCCAGATACTACTGGTGGTAAAGCTGAAGATGCCGAGCTCTTGCCGGTGAAGAAAGAAGATATGTTGAGTTATGTTAGTATTCTGAATGGGAAAGCGGTATTTGAAAGCACTGAAAGCTTCCAGGAAACTGTTAATAGTATTGAGGCAAAGAATCCTAATCTCAAAAAGTGAATATAGAAATAGACGGGATTTTCAATTGATCTAATAATCAAAGATTGTAGAAGATTGTAAAAGAAGGAAACACCCATGGGATTGGAGTGTGTTGCGGGTGGGTGGCGGATCGATGGCGTATAAAATCTACCTTTTTTTTTTTTTTTTTGCATTTTCTGTTGTCTTTTTTTTTTCTGTTTCCTTTGAATGAGGGTTTCTATTTCTACTCAATTATTTCTCCTGTTTCTAGTCTTCCTTTTATTTCACAAATATTGTAACTTCTGGGATCAATTCATTTTTACTCAGCAATCCAATCAATTAGCAAATTACACAACAATGTCCATTCCTCCAAAGTTCTCTGGCTTAACCAAGATTGCCTCAAATTCTGCCACCGCTGCTGTGGCCCAAAACGTCAATTCCGTCGATATCTTTGTTGATTTCGTTTGTCCATTTTCCCGTAAACTTTTCGTGAAGTTCGACAATGAGTTGATCCCATTGATTTCCGAAAAGTACCCTAACCAATTCAAATTTATCATCAGACCAGTGGTGCAACCATGGCACGCTTTTGGGTCGTCCGTGACTTCTGAAGCCTTGTTGGCCATCAACAAATTGGCTCCAACCGAATCTTGGAACTTTACCAAAGCCTTGATGGAACACCAAAGAGATTACTTTGACACAGCAATTATCAACAACACCAGAAATGAACTTTATCAAAAAATCAGTAAGTTTGCTGTTGAACAATTGGACTTGACTAAGAAATACAACGTCACCGAAGAAGACGTTTACAAGGCTTTGTACATCCGAGAAAAGACTCCTGAAGAAAATGAGTACGAAAATATCAACAATGAAATCACCAATGATTTGAAATACTTTGTGAGATTCCACAGAGCCTTATCGGTCCATGTCACTCCAACCATTTCTGTCAATGGTGTCATTGCCCCATCAATTGAATCATCTACCTCGATTGAAGATTTGGAAAAGATCTTTAAGACCTATCTTTAATATTGAAAACCATATTTTACTTTTTTGTTGTGATATATGGGGAAAAATACATCGTGACAGAAATTGAATAATCTAAAATACCTTATTTTATTGTAGAACAGAAAATTAAGAGAGTTTCAATACACGTCAAACAATTTTTTTTTTTTTTTTTCTCCAAATATATTCTAAAAGAAAACTAAAATATTGTACATAACAGAACATAAAATCATCACAAATTAAGCAAAATAATAACCAAAGATAAAAAGAGAAGATTCCAAGCACAATCATCTGTAGAAATCAGGTCTATTTATATTTAACCCGTATTCTGACAACGCACTACCCAAATCGTCGGAAGTCAACACAATCTTCTCCTGCTTATTACTTCCTGAACCACTTCCACTATTAGCTAAAGGTTGTCCCGATACCAATGCTCTGGCCCTCGCTTGAGGGTTGGTACTGTTGTAAATGGCGCTGACCGATCTAATTCTCGAGTACTCGTACGCGTCAGTCGCGATATCACTGATGAATTTCTGGGTAGCAAGAGCCAAAATCCGCTTAATTCTGATATCTGAGCATTGTAACCCATTTTTCGCCAAGTAGAAATCGGTGACAGCATCGGGAATGATCGGGGCGTACTCATCGTTCACCAACTCAAGCACGTCTTTTAAACTCTTATCTTTTCTGGTGGTCTCTGGTAATGAGTCCACTAGCATCTTCGCAGGAACCTTGGCTTTCTTTGCAGCTTTCTCATTCTCACTTTTCACGGTTGACAGTTCTTGTTGTTCTTGTTGTTGTTCCTCGTGATCCACCAACTCTTCATCAACATCCATCTCTTCATCAACCTCTGCGAGGTTAATATTCAACTTCTGCGACATCCTTAGTAAATCTTATTATGTGTTTTATATTATGGAGATTAGATATCTCCTTGTGCCCTGGGTTTGTATTATTATTATTATTATTATTATTATTAATATATATATGGAATATATCGTGTGTGCCTTAGGATCTCTCTCTGATGGATAAAATTTAAAAATATTAAAAAAATCCGCCCGGTTACGCGGCCCTCACCGCGACGGTGGGAGTGATCCTGGGAACACCGGAAGGGAAGAACCCCAATCAAATAAATAAATAGACGCCCTCCGTTGTCATATAATGATATGGAAAGATCAAACAGCGTCGACTCATATTACATTTTGTTGCAACAATATTTCTTTTATCCAAACCACTAACGGTGGGTGATTGTGGGCGGGGTGTACGTACTTTCTATTAAGTGCGTTTAGTACTTTTGCGCAGTAGTAACAAGCAGTGGCAGCAGCAGCGGCGATCAATTTACTTCATCCTCAATGTTTTCGCTTATTTCCCTGTCTTAAAAATGGGTGTCGATATTGTCAATGGAAGGATACAAACAAGTAGCCCATCAAGCGGCTGGTCATCCCGGTGCCCTAGTGGATAGTTCCAGTGGAGAGCTATTCGCAAAGTTGAGTTGCCAACAGGAAATTGATTTTTATACTCAAGTGTCAGCTAAAGAATTGACCGATGATGAAGGACATGAGTACTTGGGAAGCAGCTTATACGATTGGATGCCAAAATTTTTGGGGAGATTGGATCAAGGGATAACAAAAGACTTAGAGAATAGCAGTATGGTGAACCAGCGAGAGTTGGAGCAGGCGAAACAAGACCTAGAAGCAATGTCTATCGGGGAAGACAGCAGCAGTAGTAATAGCCCGATGCCCATCGGTGATAAACCATACGTTGTGTTACAGAACTTGTTATTTGGCTTCAACAAACCCAGCATTATCGATATTAAGTTGGGAGCCAAGTTGACCGATCCTAAGGATCCAACAATTTCTGAGGATAAGCATCAGCGACTAGCCAAAGTGTCGACCACCACCACTAGTGGATCTTGGAACATTAGAATTTGTGGGATGAAAACATTTGATAATTACCCTCAGGCAACTGAGGCTGAATATGATCAGATTGTCAATGACCAAGATGTCCTGCAAGTTGAGGACCCAGAGGCGCCTCATAAGAACTACGTGGTATTCAATAAATTCTTTGGCAGGAATTTGACTACTGATAATATTAAGTTGGCGTTTAGACTCTTCTTCTTTGAGAATCAGTTGGATCATGTGCGCCAAGTGCAAGTGTTACAAAAGATGATTGATAGACTACAAGTGTTACATAATTGTTTGATAGATACTGAGGCAAGAATGTTCTCCAGCAGTATATTCATGGTGTTTGAGAACGATTTGGATAGATGGAACAATAAAGAAGAGGGATACGAAGATCCTTTAATTCGGGAAGACTTCGAAGATAGCGATGATGATGATGAGGAAGAGAAGGAAGAGATCTCTCGTAACAAGGGAGACACTGCACCTTTAAGCTCGTTAAATATGATAGACTTTGCCCATTCAAGATTAGCTCCAAAAAAAGGATGTGATGACAACGTTTTAGATGGGGTGGAAAATCTACTCAAAATTTTTGAAGAATTATTGAACGATTCGCATTCTTTCTGCAAATCAGGATGATAAAAAAAAATTTGATAAATAGACTCTACACATTGTACGTATTGTACATATTCAGTTATTATACTCGTAAAACAAATCTTCAAAATTTTTGAATTTAACTATAATATACACTAATGATATCTTCTCTATAACATCATTGGAGGGGCATTATTTCACAAAAGTATCCTTCCATCTTCTCCATCCTTATATGTATTGTATTTTAGTGTCTGTGTGATTTTCTTTTCTTTTATCAAAACACTGTTGTTGATACAAAATTCCATTATGATATCAAGACCTTCTATTCATCTTTTTTTGTAACTGTCCTCAAATACATCAACACAGCGTTCAACCAAACGAAAAATATTACCAATCACTAACCAAACCACTGGACCAAAAAAATACTAAATGAACAAAGAATCGGAAAATGGAATTATCTAGCTTCGAATTGCACCATTCTCTTGGTTCTGGCCTTGTAGATAACTCTGTGACCACATTCTTTACATCTGATAGATTCACTCTTACCCAAGGTGAAAGTGGCGGCACAAGAGGCGCAGATATATTTCACACCATAAGTCTTATGGTTGGAGAACCCACCGGCAGCAGCACTGCTATTGATAGCTGGAACGAAACCTTCTCTGCTAGTCATTTTGTTTAACTATATTGTCCTTTCTGACGATGGCAATAGATCGATTTTTTTTTTTTTTTTTTTTTTAATTTTGTGAAAAAAAAAAATATTCCTCTACGGATGTTTAGGTGTTGTGGTGTTGAGGTGAGTAGGTTCTCACGGGAATTTTTCTGGATGAGCGCCAGAACAATCGGATTCTTGACCCCCCATCATGAAGGAATGTAGCCAAATAGTGATGAGCACCTGAGAAATGATCGGGCTTCGACCTATAAGTTTGTCGCTGCTACTGCGATCGCGACAGGTTTGCAGACTCTACTCATCTTCCTCGACTCAACCACTGGATGGGAAACTTGAGGTTGGTCAAGAGCAATCAATCACCAATTCGAATTCCATCACCTTGGATCAACTATCGGATGAAGATATAAAGGCATTTGTTCCATATGTTGGCAAGGGATCTAGGTTCACAAGAAGATCCGTGGCCTATTATACCAAGAAGCTTTGGCCACCAAGGCATCAAGGTGATATTCCAGACAAAAAATTGGTTAGGTCGGATATCCTTTATGACAATAAACCAACCACAGAGGCAGCAAAGAATATGTTGACGGGGAAAGTGGTTTATGAACAGAATATGTTCGCGGCACAAAGTCAGTATACTTATGACATTCTTCGAATCTTGAATGAAATTATTCTGGTGGATGACTTACAAGAAGAATTGCAAATCAAATCTGCCAATCGAAGAAAAAATAGTAATAATGACCAACCAACGAAAAATCAGATACCAATACATTGCTATGAAGATATTCCTAGAATCCCTAATAACTTCAACCCGGTAACTTTTGAAAATTACATCCATACTTTAACCCACAAGAATTTCTATTACAAAAAAGCCTCGATGTTTGATTCATTAATTACTAGATTATTGAGAGAACTTTTGAGGTTGGATAATCCGAAGACCAAGCACTTGCAAAATAATATCAATATTTTTAATGATGTGATATACTTCCATTCAAAGAGAAAAGATTTGGCATCCATGAAGGAATATTTTTATCAGATATATCGTTTGAAGTTGGTGCCAAATACTAAAACTATCAATTTATTTTTGAACTCTTTGAGCCATTATAATTCATTACCACATCAGTATACTTCCCCAAGTTTAGTGACCCTTGGGTACTTGCAATGTTTACAAAGACATGATCTCAAGCCTGATTTGACTACTTTTACCTTGATCTATAACAATTTACCGGAATTTACATCGAAAATCATGTTGATAGAGTTCATGAATAAAAAGGAGATTCCAATCACCAAAGAGTTGCTCCGATCAGTTATTGGAGATTTATTGAACCGAATGACCCCAGAAAAGGTCATTGAATTCTTTCAAAGCGGTCAAAATGATTATACAATCAAAAATTTGGATACTATTGGAATCAACGTTTTGATATCGCAACTTTTAACCGAAAAGAAATTTGAGAAAGCCTGGAACTTTTACATTGAGTCGATTGATAATAAGAGTTACAAAAACATTAAGCCTCATGTGTTAAGCTTGAACTTATTTGTTCAAAGATTTGCCCAACATGGAAGAATTGACTTATGTTTCGGAGCAATTAGTACATTTGGCAAACAGTTTAGAATTTGGCCTGACATTGTGACCTATCATAATTTAATAAAATGCTCGGTTAAAACCGGATATCACAAATACTGGAGAAATATCATCAGAATTATTTATCATGAAGCGTGGGCCAAGACTTCCGGAACCATAATAGAAATCAGCTCATATTGGTTGACCCGTGCCAGGGCAAGGTCATTAACCGATACCCATAATAAGTCCATGTTACGATTCAAAGATCCATTGACGGAATTTGAGCTAAATTTAGCTCAAGAAATCAAAGAAAATGTGGTTTGGGAAAATTTGAAAATTATTGTTGAACCATCGTTGAAGAACTCCAATAATGATACAAAGTATCTTGAAACTGTTCAGAAACTCCATATTTTAGACAGCAAGCGTGCGCCTTCCAAGAAGAATAACGCTGCGGACAATGACTCTAATAAGAAAAAGCTTAATAATATTTCCCCAACTAAAGCTTTTAATGGGAAATCTAGTGTCATTGACCAACATCTTTTGGAGGACGTTCTAGACATTAATAGCAAGAATGTTGATAGGAAACCAAAGAACCAGAGTGGTAAACGTACGAGATACTTGAAGGATATCAAACATAAAAATATTGTCAAGTTGTATAGACGCAGAGTCGATTGGATTTTGAACGATCCTTCTACCGCATTGAAGAACACATTGAACAAACGAAAATTGATTGACGAAAGTTGAAATCCAACATCATGATGCTTATGACCCCTATTTTTTATATTTAATTTTTTGATCCTTATTTTAATTCGTGTTACCAATTTTTGTTAGTTTTATTTTATTACTATGTATATAGATGATCATTATGATTGAGGTGTTATAATGCTAGAATTTTCCACATTCATTTTCCGTTGTGATAGTTTCGTTTTTTTAAATTCAAAATTTACATTGTAAGGTATAGATATCAAATCACAAGTGTTTGGCTGAAAAATATATTAACAATATACATGTTCCTAATCGTACCACATTTTGATCAATTCTTCGGAAACTGCAGCTGGTGTCAATACTCCCAAATCGGTGATCAATGCGGTGATATATTCATGAGGAGTGAAATCCAATTTTGGGCAATTGTCAGCCATTTCTGATTCTTCTTCTTCGTCCGATGATACTTCAGTGTTGAAATTCAATGGAGAAACATCGATTTTCAAATCATCAGGACCTAGAGGGTACAATCTCACAAACTTATAGGATTCCGCAGCGACGTAAACTGGCTTGTTGAAACTTTTAGCGAGTAATGAGATTTGGAATGTACCAATATGATTGATGATACCCCCACTTTCCGCGACCCCTTCAGCCCCAACGAGAACCGTATCCACTTTATTGATGATGTACCCAACACAACTGTCGTAAATTAAGGTGGTAGGAATGTTTCTTTGTTTCAAAAGTTTGATGAATTTCACCCCTTCAGAACTTGGTTTGGACTCGGTTAACACTATTCTAAATCTAATATGGTTGTCGGCTGCATGTTGCAACAATTGGTATATCACTCTCGAAAACCCGTGTATAAGAATACAGTCATCGTCCTTGATGAAATTGAATCCGGTCTTGGCGATCTTGAATCTTGCTTCCTTGGATCTTCTCAAGAATAACTGACCATTCTCTACCAAGTGTTTTTTGCAGTTTTCCCAATCGCTGTACAACGGCAAGTTTCTCAACACAAATCGCGAGAACAAATCACAACCGGCAGAAAGGGATATTGAGTTGGAGATCTTGGTTTTTAAAGTGGTGGTGGCGATATCTAGTAGGTTGATCAATTCGGCTTGGGTAGATGGCTGCTTGGTTTCGATAAGTTCGACTAATGATTCAATGGCGGCAATCGGTTTCGATATTTCTGGATCTTCCTTGAGGAATTTAAGGTAGGTATTAACAATGTCGAATTCTCCCATGTTGGAAGATTGATCTGGTAATTCTGTGGCCATTTTTGTATTTTTATATTATATACCTTCAGCGCAAAGTGAGGGAGTTGTACACTATCATCTTCTCAGTGATGCTCACTCTTTAAATTCGGAAAAAAAAAAAAATCAAAAAAAAAAACTTGCCCGGATGATGGATGGTGGGTGACCCCCCTTAACAATATCTCTGTAGAGGTTATTTAAGAATCCTTGATAAACACAAGATAGAAAATCGTCAGTAAATGGCTTCCTTTGGAAAATAGTAGCTCTTTTATTATGCTTGTGCTTGATTATATGGCCCTTTTCGGGACTGAAATCCGAAATCTGAGGAAATGGGGCTAATCTCTCACTGCATGAACCGCTGCCAACATGAAAAAGGAAATTGGTTGCTTCCCAAAACTATTGTTGTTGATATGAATTTAAGGACCAAAGTTTGTCTTTATCTAATGCTTTTTGTCTTTAACTAAAAGTTTTGTAATCTTTATTATTTGTAATAATATGAAGTGAAAGTTTTATTACTTGGGGATTAGCTTTGGTCAATATCATATGATATGTTTTGAATTATTTAAGCCCAAGCCTTATTCAAAAGATACTTTAAGATCAGAACATACTCTATAGCATTCTTTTCTATTCTTCTTGAATTCCAATAGAAAAGGAATGTCATTGTGTCAATAATGATAATAGTATTGTTATCATTGATGAAACAGTTATCATCTATTCGTACATTTTGACATCACTGGTACTCAAAGAATCGTAAAATCTACGACAATTTAAAAATAAAAAGAAAGAAGAGCGAAAGAAATGATCCAAGCTTCTATTTGAAAAAATACCGTAGAAATCAAGGTGATTTGGGAATTAATTGATTTCCATTTCATTCATCGGCTTTTTTTTTATTTTTCTTTTTACTTTTTACTTTGTACTTTTACTTTTTTTTTTGTGGCACAAATTTTCTCTGTCAACATGAAAATTACAGAGGATTTACTGAAATTCTTGTTTGTTTCTGTGTCATCAAATACAGAATCGCTGAAACACAGGCAAAACAGAGACAGCAAAAACAACAAAAAAGAAAAAAAAAAAGAAACCCCATTCCCAACTGCTCAAACGATGAGGATATATTCTCTTGACAGTGCTTACTTCATTATTTTTTTGATCACTTCCTCTTTTGGAGGAGGTGTAGAAGCTCACCCATTTCAATGGGGAAAAGTAATATCGTCATATACAGCGGAGGAAAATTCAAAAGCTTCTGAGTTACAGAGACGTGGATTGTTGGAGATATTCAAAATAAAGAAGTCAGCTGAGGCAACAGCCGAGGCGAATGGACATTCGGTAACTATTTCCAAAACAGCCCCAACTCCAAATTCCCTTGAAGCATTCAACGATTTCAATAGCCACTATTACAAAATCTCTCCAGAACCAGTTGAGCTGTATGAAATAGGAAATGATATCGCAGACGATCTAGAGCCCCCTCAAAAGAATACCTCTGATAATGAGAGTGACTTTGGCCATGCTGTCAAAGACAATGAAAGCTCAAATCTGGTTCATGACAACAAAAGTTTTGAACAGTCTGTTGATAAAGCAAACGAGGACAAGACCATCTACAACCACATTACGGATCTATTTGATAAAGAAGGCCAAGGCCCAGTAGAAGCGAGTAAACAACCTCCGAATGAATCAGAAGAAACTTACAGAAAGGGATATCTTGATGCATTACGTGATTATGGGATCGAGGAATCGATAGAGTTTCGGAAGAGTAAAACAAAAAATTTAGATTTGACGATGCAACATCCAAAAGACCCGCAGGTTAAAATAAACTATAATAAACCAAAAATCCCACCAGCGTTGATAACTAATGATAATAAGTTTCAAAACGAAGAATCTAATGAAGTCATTGTTGATGAAGCATCAAGCCTTAATAAAAAGGTTCACCTCGATGACCCAAAGGAGGATTTAGCATATGAGCAATCAAAACAGTCTACATCAACCTCTTTGAATGATGAAGAATCGAATGAACACAATGTGCAGGATAATCCTGATCAATCACCAGATGATGAAGTGATTGATATATACTCCATCGGACTCGGGGCATCTAATAATGATAAAACAAAAATCGAAAGTGTGAAACTGACGGTTTCTAATGATGATAACATATCGGCAAATGGAACAAAGATTTCAAGAAAGTTCAGAAAAGACTACTTTATCTATGCAGTGATTGCCATTTTGTTTTCCATTTAGGTTAGTGATATTCATGTCAATTTAAATAAATTCTAATAAAATAATAAAATTACATAACTTCTTCTCCAAATGTCAATTAATTAAACCGATTTTTCTTTATTAAAAAAAGAAAAAAGAAAATTAGAAATAAGACGCAACACAGAACAATATAAAATATAACAAAAAAGAACAAAATGAAAAAGAGCATATGAGGACCCAAAATAATAACCAACCGACCAGATATCAAGAAGTACTGAGTAGAGAAAATCAAATCATAAAATTTCATGACTAAAACTCAAAAAAAAGGGGGAAAAAAACGAAGAGAGTTTCATGGAATGAAAAAAAACCGTTAAATAATCATAAAATAATCGTAAAGTATAAGGATTGGAAATAAATAAAAAGTAAAGCCAATAAATAAGGTACATAAATATTCCAGTTATAATTTTTCTTGTTCAAGCTTTTCTTCCATTTCATTACAATTTTTCATCTCATTGGCTTGGGTTGCGAGTTTTTCATTCAATGAAATATCATTTGTGGAAACAGCTTCATTCCCAGCAGATTTTTTGGGAACGCCATCATTCTCCTTCTCACCTTTTAAATTCCGTAATTTTTCTATTTCTTTTTTTTTCTCTACATCTACCCAGTTATCCACTTTTTGAAGATTCGAATCGAAGATTTTGATGATGTTAGCAAAAGAGTCAAGTGACTCTTTCGCTAAAATGAGAATTTTCCGATTAGTAAAGTTTGGATCAATAGAGTGAAACTTCAAGAAATTACTTCTGGCAGATGGCGTCGGAGAAGCAGGCACTGCCGATAACGAGGAAGCAGGTATTGCTGATAACGAACAAGCTGCAGGGGTGCCCATAGGGAAACCAGTAGTTGGGGTCATCACCGGAGAACCAGGAACAGAGCTCATAGGGGTGTGATATTCTTCGATATCTGTATTAAGGGCTTTTGAAAGATTTTCTGGGAGACGAAGCAACACATCACGAACACTATCTCTTGCAGGTTCAGGCAAAGAATTACCAGCGAATTTTGAGATCACATCAACCGCTTTCTTGACGGTGACCACAATATCACGCTTAACTTGTTTCATACCGTCCTTTTTTTTGCCTAATTTTTGACGTTTCGAGCTTCTTGAGTTTTGCAACAGAGGGCGATCGTTGAAGCCAGATTCTTCTTCTTCATCATCATCATCAGATTCTGCACCACCACCAGCTAAAATTTTTTTTTCCTTTTCGGTGATCAAATGGTGTAGATTATCGACACCGTTACTAAGTCTATCGTTTGCCAATTTAAGGATTCTAAGAAGCACTTTAAGGTTTTTCTTGCTTTCAATCGATACGTTCAAGTTCCAATTTTGAAGTTTTTGCTGTTGGGATTGAATATAACTAAAAGTTCGTTGGTTTTGCATAGTGCTATTGTTTATGAAGTTATTTCTAATCATGGAGATAGAGGAGTTAGGGAATCTTTGTTCAATTCTTTTAACAATTGGCATGGCTTTCTTTTCAACAAATTCCGCACCCACTTTGAAAGTTGGAGAGTAATCTTTTGAAGATTGGTAATAGTTCGACACTTTGTTGAAGAATTTTTGTTGATAATTTTTGCCATCTTTGTTGGCATGGCTATTACCATTTATTGTTGTACCAAGGCCAGACACAGTTGTTATATTAGCGGCGGACGTTGCACCAATCTTGTTGTTACCATTAGGCGTTACCAATAGCGGAGCGCCAAGCGAGTCCATTGAGGAGTTCTTTAATTTCCCAAGAGCTTCGACTGCTACCATTATATTCTTATTTTCAGTGTCATGAGCCATGCTTTTCTCAGGGACATCCTCTACATCTGTTTCGAGGGAATTCAAATCATTCGTGGCATCATCATACTCATCATCGAATATATCCTCGCTGGAATCAAGATGGCGCTTTCTAAGATTGGACGTCGATCCTGCTGCAATAGAAGTAGACAGGGAGACATCAACACTGGTCAAGTTAGATTGATATACTGACATATTCGTGCGATTGGACATGACTAATCTTTTATTGTTTTTGGGTCTTTTTTTTTTTTTTTTTTTCTTTCTTTTTTTTGAAGGAGCGGGCAAAGACAATTGATCCAGTTTTTCTTTGTTCAAATGGTGCAAAAGAAATTAGTCAAAAAGCGGGAAAAAAATAAATGAAAATTGAAAAATTCAGTAGATTTTTTTTGCGATGTTCTTCTCCCAATCTTGTGATAATCGACTAGATCATATGAAAGCTTGTAAAGCCCTCATCACTAATTTTTATTTTATTTTTTTTTGTTGGAAAAACATGTGAAGAAATTCGGTTTTCCACCGGTTTGCGCATCATGCATCATCGTGTGTATCAACGCATGTATCATACATGTAGTTTTTACAAATATAGTCGTATAGTAATGGTAATATATAATAATATGCGAATTTATGAATAAGTTAATACAAAGAAAAAGTAAAACATTCACTAGTCCTTCTTACTTCCTTTCTTGTCATGGTCCAAATAAATCCCAAGCATATACGCAAAGCGAATAACTACCAAGTCAATGGCCATGTTAACACTGTCTCTTGCCAAGTCAACTTTACTCCCGCTAACTTCGTGCCAGGAAATCGGAATCTCCTCAATGACAATCCCCTTTCTTAATGCAAGAATGAGAATCTCTACGTCAAAAATCCATCTTTCGTTATGCATATATGGGAAGATATTTTTAATGGCTGACTTATTGAACAATTTGAACCCACATTGAGTGTCCCTAACCGATCTAATCCCGAATATAAAGAGCAAAGAATGGAGAGAGTACATCAAGAAGTTTCTGATAAATGAACGCTTAACGACTGCATCAGTGTTCACCATGTGCGCTCTAGAGCCAATAGCCACTACCGGAGTTTCTTCTGACAACTTTTTCGACTGATGTTTTTCTACCCCTTCAATCAATTTTAAAACATCAGAGAACTTGGAAGCACCATCAGCGTCGGCGAAAATGGAGTATTTGCCTCTGGTATATTGCAATCCGTGGGTCACTGCTCCTCCTTTACCCCTGTTTTGTTCTAATTTAACAGCTCTGAAAATACCTGGGGCCAATCCGTAGCTCTCAGCAATTCCTAAAGCATATTCAAAGGTTTTATCCTTAGATCCGTCATCAATTATCAATATTTCAAAAGCATTAGCTAAATTCTGTGTTTGGGTAAGGAACGCGATGGCCTCATCGAGCATAACTTTCAATCTCCCAGTCTCATTGTAGCAAGGGATCACCACACTGAGTATGATGTCAGACAGCGCTGGACTATTTGCATCTGGTAATGGTAAAAGTTTTGAAAATTCCCCCTTTTTAGCAGTGGTGGTAGTATAATATAATTCTGATTTATAAGGTTTTCTAGGAATGTGGGCTAAGAATTTGAAGACACAATATACCTAAAAAAAGGAACTAGTTAGTAAAAGAAAATTTAAATTTCTCAAGGAAGTGGAGCAAGCTAATAAAACTCACCGCAAGTAAGCCTGTTAAAAGGACGCCGGTTATAAATAATATGACATTTGTCTGTAATTCTAAAGGTACTATTCCCATAATGTATCTTCTTTTCAATAATAAAAATAGAAAAATAAATAAATAGAAAAGATAAAGAAAAAGGAGTTGAAGAGAAATGAAATAAAGTACACAAGGGCGAATTGAAAAAGATACCAATGACCAGCACCACAGATCCCGTCTCGACAATGACCAATATTCTATCTATTCCTTGATGAACGCTGGAAAAGATAGTGATTTAAGCGGAAAGTCACCCATCACCATTCTTTCATACCGTGGCCCAGTCGTTCGGTCTTTGTCACGTGCAAGGATCCTCGCTTTAGTGCCACGCCTTTGCACACAAAAGAAACAACATAAGCCCCACCACCCATCACCAAATTGTAATGGAATTCCGCTGCCACAAAAACATCGTCCTAAAAAAAAAAGTCCTTCCTCGCTGACTCACTCTCTGCATCAACAACCATCATTACAACAATTAGCACCACTTCCAATCTGGCTGTTCGTGGACCATCGCTCCATAACCTGCGGTTACGCAGCCCTTGTAAAGTAACCACCGCCAAAATTTGATCCCAAACACACAATTTGTAGACACCAGTCGCGTAACATCTCTTCTCTAAGAGCAAACTCTTAAATAACATGCTGCCGGCCATAAGTGAGTATCCCAGTTATATGATATAAAAATATATACACATATATTTCATGGTGTATATATTCATACCCAGTTGGTACTTGTAAATCCCAGATCCAAACTAACATTGTTAAGAATCCTCATCGGATATGGATTGGGCCAAAAATGTCCCATGCAAAAATATCACGATTTTTGGGTTTTGTAAATTTGAAAACAAGGGTTGTGCTTTCAATCATGGTCGTGTTACAAGTGATAATTCCCAAGAAAAAGATAACACCGAACCAAAACCAACTCAAGGAACTATATCGAGTGTAAGCTCCGCTGAAGATTCCAACAGTGGTAGCAGCACCAGCAATAATGGTAGCGCAAACAGTAGCAATGGTAATGGTGTCAAATTCAATCCTGATTCTATGTCCTTCAAGCCGGCAACGCAATCAAAGTTCCAAAAGCTCTCTGCCAATCTCAGTGATATTCCATCATTTATTCCTCTGACAAACTTGGCGTCAGCAAGTGTGGAATCTTTCCATGAATCACCTTCGTATGAACCTGAAGGTGGTGTATTGGGAACCCCAGAAAAAAATTTTACAAAGCTAGGAACAATGGCGTCTTCATATAACTTTGACAATCCAGGATTCCAACCAACCGGTAGTCCAGTTATGCATAAATCGTATTTGAAGCTGTCAAATGCTGCCATCCCTTCACAACTGCCATCGTCTCAAGAACAGCAGCAACAAGCACAACAACTACAACTACAGCAACAACAGCCACCAAACCATCAAAAACAACAAGCTGGATCCTTGCAAATGCCTTCGGCGACTCCTCACTCTCTACTGCTGCCTATACCCCAAATGAACCATCCGTCGTTGCCTATTCTGCAGCCTATGACTCCAGTTGATCAGATGATGATACCTCCATTACCACAAGATCTTCAGGCATCTGTGAATCAACCACAGGCACCATCTTCGCATACAGGTCCATCATCACAAATAATTAACCCTTACTCATCGATGCCTAGCCAGCCTCCTGAAATGTATTTTACCCCTCCATCAGTTAGTTATCCCCTTCAGTACCATTTATATGCTCCAACTTCCCATGGTTACCATCGTGGGAATTATTTAAGCCCTAATGAAAGGGATTCTCACTCGCTATTCATTCCAAATGATCTACGCGAAACACTTCTTAAAAAGAACGAGGCAACTTTACAAACAATTCAGCATTCAAACTTACCAGAGTATATTTCAGTTTTCCATACCCTTGTACCACTAGATAAGACTTTGAAGAAAAGTATCAAGAGTTATGGTGTTCCGAATTCCTTGTATAAGGTCTTCTCGAACAAGGACGGAAACCCTTATGTTTTGAGAAGATTAGAAGGTTTCCAATTGACAAATGAAAAATCATTATCTATTATTAACCATTGGAAGCAGGTTTCAGAAGATTGTGGGAATATCGTTAAAATAAAAGAGGCGTTCACCAGTTTGGCTTTTGGCGACAATTCATTATATTTTGTCCATGATTTTTATCCGCTTGTTAAAACCCTTAGGGAGGCTCATCAAGGTAAAGTGAAATCGGTGCCGGAAACATTACTCTGGGATTATATTGCACAGATCACAAACGCATTGGTGTCGATCCACTCTAAAAACCTTGCTGCAAGATTATTGAATTGGGATAAATTTATTGTTACTGGTGCGAATCGTATCAAATTCTCAGGTTGTGGAATTTCAGACATAATTAATTATGACCAAGATCTGTACAAAATGACACAGTTGGATTGTGCGAATAGAATTGAGTATTACACCTATTTACAAAAGGATGACCTAAGGCAATTTGGAGAATTGATTGTGGAATTGATTCGCCAGAATAATGGGTTAACTACATCAAGTTTGGAACCCTCGGTGATTGATAGTTTGAGTTACTATTCTGATGAACTTAAACTGGCAATAAAATATCTTCTTGGTTTTGAACATGATACGCCAACGATTTCTGAATTTTCTAGCAGGATTGTTTCACATATTCTTAATACAATGAATCAACTCCTGGAGGCTACCGACACTTTCGAATCTACTTTAGCGAATGAAATTGAAAACGATCGTCTAGTGCGTCTTCTTACTAAAATTAATTTTGTCATTGATCGTCCGGAATTTGAGGGTGATTTGTCATGGTCAGAAACCGGGGAAAGATATCCAATAAAATTGTTTTATGACTACGTTTTCCACCAAACAGATCAAGAAGATAAACCAGTGATGGATCTTGTACATGTCTTGTCGTGTTTGAATAAGTTAGATGTGGGAGTTGATGAGCGTGTGCTATTGGTGAGCCGTGATGAAGGCAGTTGTATAATTGCCTCCTATAAAGAGTTGAAGAATTGTATAGACTCATCATTTAGGGCGTTATCAAAACGTTAGTAAGAAATAGAAACAAAAAAAAAAAAGAAAATAAATTTCTGAAAATAAAAAAAAAAAAAATAAATAAAATTAGTTGATACTAAATCTTAATTTTTACTACTTGTAGCTTTATATTGAAGACTTCTAATACTGTTTGTCACTCTTTCAAAATAGATATGGAGGTAAGCACTCACACATCTGCATGTTGGGGGAGCATTTTTGATAGCCAGGGCTGCGAACCAGAATTCAGGCCGCCAAACTTTGGAAAACTTGGAAATGCGATCGAGCATAATGAATTAACCATGTGCAACAAATTTGATATTGGATTTTACTGGTGGCGTTATATATGTGTTGATATATATACTCCTGAAAATATTATTATATCATATATTATAATCTATTTTTTGTGTTAACAATGTCTGACCCAAGTTCTATTAACGGTAAGTTTTTTGTGATCTTTCCATGTTGCCACCAAGAATTTATGGACTGGCCATAACAGAAAAAAAAACAATCAACGCAAACTCCATGATCATTTCAATTGTAATAGATTTTAATGAGACTTGTTGGAAGAACTCGTCAAAACTGCCCTGGATGAATATATGACTTTTTTGTTTTTGTTTTGGAAACTTATAACTAACCTCAATCTTCTATCTAGGTGGTGCTGCAGTGGCAATGGTTGGTAAAGATTGTGTGGCAATTGCCTGCGATTTACGTCTCGGTAACCAATCATTAGGTGTTGCTAATAATTTTGAAAAAATATTCAACTATGATCACACATTTTTGGCCTTGACTGGGTTAGCCAGTGACGTTACAACGTTGTCTGAAGTTTTCAGATTGAAGACCAACTTATACAAGATGAGAGAAGAAAGATCGATCGAGCCAGAAACTTTCGCTAATTTGGTGTCTTCCACCCTATACCAAAAGAGATTCGGTCCTTATTTCATCGGACCTTTAGTGGCAGGAATAAATTCTTTGACTGGTAAACCTTTTGTATGCGGGTTCGACTTGATTGGGTGTATAGATTATGCCAAAGATTTTGTGGTTTCTGGTACCGCTACAGACCAGTTATACGGGATGTGTGAATCTTTATACGAGCCTGGCTTGGGCCCTGATGACCTATTCGAAACCATCAGTCAAGCCTTCTTGAGCGCTGTCGATAGAGATGCTCTTTCCGGTTGGGGTGCAGTGGTTTATGTTATAACAAAAGATAAAGTTACCAAGAGATTGCTAAAGACTCGTCAAGATTAATGTATAAGCCTTTCGTTTGTTATTTATAAACATGATATCTTCTTTTGTCTCCAGGTAGCAAAATAAATTGTACGATTTTATATTTTTATCCTTCTTTTCTGATCTCCTTCTTAAAAAAAATAATAATAATAATGATGAAAAAAAAAAAAAAGAAGTGTAATTGATTGTAATTTTAAATCAAACCAGATGAAGATATAAGCTTACAAGCTTCATAAATGAATACAGGAAATTCCAATTATATTGCACCAAAATTGTAGAAAAAAATGACAACAAAAAAATAAAAACTTATAGAGATTGATAAAAACAGCTAAAACTAAGCTTTGAAGATTGAACATTGTTTTCAACCAAAGTATCGATACTACTTAAGATCATTTCTGGATCGGTTCTGGTTTTGATGACTTTCAAAATAATCAAGTTCAAGTTGGCAGATGAAGTCTTACCCAATTTGAAATTTTGATTTTTGCTGAAAACTTTTTTGAAAAACTGAATATCGATTGCAACTTGTTGTAAACCGCTGGTAGAAAATTCAGGAACGAGCTTGAAATTATCGTACAATTCGGTGGCAATATGGTTTTGTAGTTCATGAATAATTGTGTAGATCAAATTCTTGGATACCTTAGCAATTGTAGAATGAAGAATGACAAGATAAGTCAAGCATTCATAGATATGGTTGCTAATCTTCTTTGGGGCAACGGTTGTATTCCAGTCTGATTTACGTTCAGTGGATGATATTCCCTTGGCAATAATTTTACTCAACACTTGTTTCTTCAAATCGCAATAATTGTTGAATGTGGCTTTTTGTAATTTCGGTAACAAACTGGCAAAAATATCAAGTTTGCCAACAGACTTCGATAACCTAGTATTAAAAGTTTCATCATAAAACCTAATGATCTCACCCAAAGTTCTATCTTCCAATTCAATAAAATTATCCAAAGTCCACAACTCGTACAAATCCAAGGTGGTGGTTTTTGTTTCCATTAACTTTTCGCTATCACTATCAACGGTTTCGCCTTTATTTTCGTTGGTGACTTTTTTCATCATTGAAATCAATAAAATCTCTAAATTCTTCAAGAAAAGATTTTGGATCGAGCTGAAGAACTTATCATTTGGGGTTGTGAAAATCTTGATATTATGATCTTTAATTAGTTCCTTATTATGATTTCCCAAGCTATTATCAATGAATATTATGTCATTCAAATTCTTGATGACAAATTTTTGATAAATCAAAATCAATTCAGATATTGTCAACGAGCTATCGATATCGTTGAACTTAATATAATTAGTTTTGGCTTCATTAACATTACTGACGATTAGTTCATTGGAGTTCACCAAATCTTTCTTGATATTGGTTATATTATAGTCCTCCAAAGTGTTGAAAAATGAAACATCATTGGCCCAGGTTGAACAAATCCCAATAATGAATTTCTTTAAAACTCTGGAATACGATGCTTTCAAAGTTTCGATTGCCTTGGTCGATATATTTAAATTCCCGAGATTGTTGTAAGAAATGAAAACAGAAGTCATGAATTTTTCCAAATATCTAATTGTGCTAATGGAATTAGCATAAGGGGGAATGAAACCGTAATATTGAGGAGATTTAATTTCATAATTATCTTGTGTTTCAGAATTAACCCGAGTCTTAAGCGATAAATCCGACAAATTATCACGGGTAGTGTTCAAAAACCTTTCAAACCCTTCACAAACCAACTTGATTAGCTGTTCTCCATTTTTGCTGATCCTCTCCTTTTCATAACTCGCCAACTTCAAATGTACAGCAGATTCATTTTTGTAACCCTTTGGCAATGTGGATTGGATCTTGTTATTTAAAAATAACTCACAAACATTCCAATACTGCCTCACTTTGGTCGAGGACAGTACAATAGTATCATCAATCAATTTTTTAATGATGAGCCACATCTCAATAATTTCTGGACAATCGACTAATCCATGTGAGAGTTTATTCAATTTATCGACATTTGTTGATGTAGAAGATTCGCTTTTACTTATTCCTTGTAAGTAATAAATGAACGTGATATCGGTGATATTAATAGTTTCCAAAATGTGAGTTTGGGTAGCCTTAATGTTTTCAAACAATTTCTCGAAATTTGAATTGATCCCATCCACCAAACTATTGAACTGAGTATTGATCCAAACAACGATTGGATTATCCTCCACTCCTAATTCCAATAATTTGGAAATAATACTGACATAAGCATTGTCAGAAGAGTTAGTATCCGCCAATTTTTCCCATAAATCTTTCTTGTATGAATCCACAATTGCCTGCACTTCTTCCCAAACTCTATCTAATAATTTTCTAGTAGCAATCTCTAAAGAGCTACTCGTTGATGAAATAGAGTTCTCCATCATTGCAAAATACATATCCCTACCCTTGTTGTAATTAGAAGTTAAACTATCATAAGCATTATTTTCAATGTTCTTCATCAATGTTGTTGGCAAATCAAACAAATATCTGTTTGATTCAACCATTTCTAATGCGCTTTTCAAATTATTTTCTTTCCTTTTATTGTCCACGATTGGTTGGATGATCGCTGAGGCTTTGGAATTGGCCATGGTCAAATTATTCGATAGTTTTAATAGAGGATTCTCTTTTGCCGCATGATCGTCAATACCATTACCACCAGCTAGTAATCCTGAAGTTTGAATTTGATCAAAAACACTATCTAAAGATGACTTGGACTTCACGAATCTAATGAATTCATTTTTGATTAGCCCTCTCAATTGTTGGGATTGCTCAGCAATGCTGTTTTCCAAAAAATCTAACGATTGATTCAACGTATTGAAGCTATCAGCATCATGAAGATGTTTCAAGAATAACAATGGATTGAAAGATTTAGAGCCGACCAAATAATTCTGTTTCAGTGGATCATCATCGCTTTGAATAATTCTTTTCTCTTGTAAAGCTCTGCTGACAGAACTAAAATAACCCAATGGATCCGGTTCATCAACTATTTGTTTCACAAAAAATGTGCTGGAATCACTTAAGCTTTTTAAAATCTCGTATGCTTTATCCACATCCTCGGTATCTGCTGGATCATATTCGAACTCTTTTGCTGTGGAGTTGTTCCACGACGTTGGGTTAAGAGTGTCCAATTGGTAATATTTCAAAAGCGTTTCATCATCGGGCTCCAAAGAACTAGATGCTGATCCAGTTCCACTGACATTGTCTGATGAAGATTTGTAATTTGTTTCTCTTGTATTTTGATAATTTTTGCTACTAACTTTATCATTGGAGTGGCTATTAGGATTAGAATAATTATCCAAATGTCCTCGGCTGCCATTATTATAATTCGATCCACCGTTATTACTATTGTTGTAATAGTAACCGTTGGATCTTCCCCCTTCGTAGGAGTCGGACGAGCCCCCATACGGGTTGTTTTGATGATCTCTGTTCCTATAACTCATTTCCCCCTCCACTTTTTTTTCCCTAGCGAATGGTAATTTCGTTGGTTAGTATTCTTGTGGAGAGTTTGATCTGTAAACATTGAGGTGGTCTACGTTTTGTGGTGATGCAAACTTCCTACACGTGACAAGAGGCTTTCATTTTTTGGGGGGGAGTTTTTTTCTGTATGGGACGGACGACCTGTGGTCTGATTGCTGGGAAATAATTGCTCATATACCACTAATTTCTAGCTCGGGTTTTAGGATTCACCTACATTTATCGTCTTTGTGGCCAATCTATATATCGCCACAATTTATTTTCCATTTTGTTTTGGGTGACATTCCAGCGAAATCAACACTGCAAAACAGCACACATCAGCAATGTCCTCCAGACTTCCTTCAAGTTTCGACGGTGAAGAACTCGCTGATCGGTAAGTTGGTATTTAGTAGTTATATCTTCGTTCATGGATCATTACTAACCTTGCCATGTTTTCAGCGATTTACCATTCATTGACAGGGTATACAAGCATTGCCGTGAGCAACCATTTGTGCCTCTCGGAGCTTTATTGACCACTGGTGCAGTCATTTTGGCCGCCAAATCAATAAGAACCGGCCACAGAAAAGATGCTCAAAAATGGTTCCGTTACAGAGTTGGTTTCCAAGGGTTCACAATTCTTGCCTTGGTAGTTGGTGGTTGGTACTATAATACTGGTGATGGATCTAAGAAGAGAGAACAAGAAGAAATTCTTAGAGAAAAAGCCAAAATGAGAGAAAAATTGTGGATTGAAGAATTGGAAAGAAGAGATGAGGAAGCTAAGATGAGAAAGAAGAGAGCTGAGTTGGCCAGAATTAAGAGACAGCAACAGCTTGAAGAAGAAGAAAAGGAGTCCAAATCAAAGATTCTTGAAGAAGTCAAAGCTTTGGAAGAAAGCAAAAAATAGATAATGGATATATTTATATAAATGAGATGGATCTTGTGTTTTCTGATTTAGCTATCTACCTCCTTGGGAAGTCTCCCCTCCCTATACTTTTTGTTTTTTTTTACACCCTCTCTTCCTCTTTCTCGCTTTCTCTCTTTTCTCCCTTATGTAAATATTTATATACTTTAATGTCATTTAGTGTGCATTCTTTGTCTAGTCCCCGATTTCCAGTTATCTAAAGAAGGTTTCTTTCCAACAATCAGGTTATCTGCGTAGTGCATATATCAATAAATCGTGCATTCTCTTTTTGGAAAATTTCAGAACTTCAAAGGTTGGGACTCGGCACTACTAAGCTTGAGATTAGCATATTTTAGAATATCACACATAATGTTTAGAACCTCTTTATTTTCAGCCACTAGAAGCTTTAGCTCTAGCGCTTTCCGTTTACAAAACAGTGCGTTTTTCGATGAGTTTGCCGTCATTTTGAAGACTGATTTGAAGAAGAGCATGCTCGCAAAGGATAATGCTAAGTAAGTATTTACATGTGGGATATTTTATCATTATTGTATTGATAATACTTCATTTCAATGGGTTTTGCACTAATGAACCAAAATGATTATTCATTTCGAAAACTAATGTGAATAGAAAAGAAACTGTCAAGATGCTCCGTTCAGAATTGAAGAACTTTGAAATTGACAGCAAGGGAAAAGAAAATAATGAATTCGGGATTTCCAAGGTCATTAATAAAATGATGAAAACCAGAAAAAACAGTATTGAAGAATATTCCAAGCTTGAAAGACAAGATTTGGTAGAACATGAAACTGCCCAATTGAAATGCTTGCAAGCCTACCTTGTGCAACTTCCAATTGCCAGCGAAGATGAAGTCATCAGTAAGATCACCAAGTTATTGGAAGATAAAAAATCCAGTTTGAAAGAAGATGAAAAGATGCCTCTTGCTGCTGTAATTGCCAAAGAATTGGATTTCAAAACTTTGTCTGAACAATGGAAAACTTCTGAAAAAGATATCAGAAAGAACTTGTTTATGGTTTACAAACAATTGAAGCTCTAATTCTTGACACCAAAGTCCCATTTTTGTTTGTATATATATTGATGAAAATTGATAGCTGTGTTGCTAGCTTGTATATAAATAAGCAGAATATGAAAAACTTAATGAATGAACATTGCATTCTGCCTTATTAATTTTTTCTGGAGAAAATGGTTTGTTTCCATAATAATGTATAACCTGTAATATCTAACTTTGCAATCTACAATTATCCATGGCTTCATGAAGCCCCAACTAAATTACTCTAAGAATTATGAGTTCCGCATTCGCTTTTGTTTGGGGGTTGGCAATTCAATGAATGCAATATGATAAACTTTTTTTTATTATTCTTCGTAAGCATGAATTGAAATAAGTATGTATAAATGAAAATGAAAGCTAAACTAAATCATGAATTGTATCGCCTCCTTTTGTTAACTTGGTTGCAATTATTAAGCAAAAAAAAAAAATTAAAAAAAAAAAACCAAGCAAAAACAACTTCCTTTGGGCATCTCTCTATCACGAAATGCATTACCAATAACCACATAATGCTAAATTATTATTAATTGTTTCTTTCTTTCTTTATTTCATGGTTGGAAACTATTGCAAAGTTAGTTCCATTGATAGACATTCTTTAGAATATAAAAATACAGTTGACTTGTTTTTTACAAAAAACAAGAAAAAGAAAAAGTAATCGTCCTTCTTATACCACCTTTGGAAAGAGCAATCTAATAACTTTAAGCTTGGACATTACGGTAACCAACTGGGGATCTGAAGATAGCATCACCTTCGGCGTAACCTCTACCCAAACCAAAGCCAACACCTAACCACACTGGGAAAGCTCTTCTTTTGAAAACCAAGACAGAGGCCAAGACACCACAACCGAAACCCAAACCAGTCTTCACAAGGGTGTTTGAGAGAACGACATCCCACTAAAGTGAACTATATTAGTAAAGATCCCAAACTTTGAAAATTTCACCACCTCATTTTGTGCAAAAACCAACACATAATCATGAGAATGATGACCAATGGAAAATTGAACGTACCTTGTCATTCAAAAGTTGTTGGGATGGAGGGGAAACTTTCTTCTGTGTGACTTCAGACATTGTGTACTTTTGATATATGATAGGTGATTCAAACAACTGATTCTTAAAGTCTCCCGTAACATTCTCATTTGGTTTCTATTTTTGTTGAATAATTTTGTTCGCGGAACAGGGGCTCGTGACGAAAATCCTGTACGCTGGTTGGTCGGCCCTGTTTGACCGGGAGAATATTGAAGGGCCCACTATGGCACCATCCAAATATGGCCGGCAGCTTCCCTGATGTATTCGAAACAAGCCAGCAGCTTCTGCGTGATCCGTACCGGTAGACTACGGAAATCTTGTCACGTGCTGGTGCTTCCGAGGCAATGGTTTTCCAAAACGGAAATCTCCACCGCACCACCTGTAGAGATGCTTCTGAAACACAGAGGAGCATCGTCGTCTGAGTCTGGTCCCACCTATAAATACAGTAGCCGTTTTTTCTGGTAATTGAAGCTGCTGTTCTTGTTGTTTTAATTTTCTGACTCTTCAGTGTTTATTCTTATGCCTAGTTCACAGCGCTCCAGTTTGATTTATCGGCTCTCGCTCGTTCCTGGCATATTTATCTTTCTTTGGATCTGTTGGGCATTATATTCTTCTGATTTGCAATATCAAAACTCAATAAAGGGTACTGCTGGTTTTAACAACGATATCATGTCTGCAAAATTAGGTAAGACTGTCCACTATTATAAGTCCATATTGGCTGGACCTAAATACTCTTCTTGGTCTTTGTTTTCTGTTTCAAATACCAGATGCTCGGAAAACCTTGGCTTGTTTTCTTCATATTCAGTAAGATTTTTTGGTTCTAACAGTCAAAATTTAGTACCACCTCAACAGCCTCCCTCATGGAATGACACCCCAGAGCAAATCCTCGAAAAAACCAAGCGTTTCCTCGAAAAAGTGAAGGAGCAAGATGATTCGATAGCAGCGTTATCTGAACCGACTCTTGAAAATTTAATCATTCCTTATTCGCAATGGGAAAATGAAAGATTCAGAATGATCAACTATTTGACCTTGTACCAACATGTTCTGACAAACCCAGAAATCCGTAATGCCTCCACTGAAGCTGAAAAGTTGTTGGATAAGCAAGCAATTGAAAGTGGTTTACGTGAAGACATCTTCAAGAATGTGAAAAAAGTTTATGAAGATAATAAGGACAATGATTCGTTGGCCCCAGAACTTAAAAGGTTCATTTCCAAGCTCTACAATGCTTATCGCCGTAATGGGTTAGATTTGCCAAAAGAAACTAGAGAAAAAGTCGAAAAAGTTAGCAAAAAATTATCGGAGTTATCTATTCAATTCAACCAGAATTTGGGCGAACAAACTGAATTCCTTTTGTTAACCAAGGAAGAACTCGAAGGTGTTCCTGAAGATGTGCTTAGTCAATTTGATAAACAAGATGACAAATATAAAGTCACCTTTAAATATCCTGATATTGTTCCAACCTTGAAATACTCCAAAAACGCTGCTACCAGAAAGAAGGCATTTATCGGTGATCAAAATAAAGTCCCTGAAAACGCCGAAATCTTGAAAGAAGCCATCAAAATCAGATTAGAACTTGCACAATTGTTGGGTTATAAATCATATGCCGAATATATCCTTGAATTATCGATGGCCAAGACTGCTGACAGGGTCATGGAGTTTGAAAACGACTTATGGGATAAGTTGAAACCAAAAGCCGCTGAAGAACTTTCCAAAATGAAGCAATTGAAATTGCAAGATTATAAAGAGCGTGGATTGAACATTGAATCCGAAGAAGCTAAAAACTATTATATTTGGGATCATGGATATTACAACAATAAACTTTTGCAAGAACAGTACAAAGTGGATGAACAAAAAATTAGTGAATATTTCCCATTACAAAGCACTGTGGAAAAGATGTTGAAATTTTATGAGACTTTGTTCAATTTGAAGTTTGAAGAAGTGACCGATCCAAAACAAAAGTCAGTTTGGCATGAAGACGTTAAACAGCGTTCTGTTTGGAAAATGGATGATTTGAAAAACCCTGAATTTCTTGGATGGATCTACTTTGATTTGCATCCGAGAGACGGGAAATATGGCCATGCCGCAGAATTTGAAATTTGGCCTGGTTATTTCGATGAAACCACTGGTAAGAAATCTCGTCCGGTTTGTGCTCTTATTTGTAATTTCTCTAAACCATCCAAGACCAAACCATCGCTCTTGAAGCATAATGAAGTAACCACTTTCTTCCATGAATTGGGTCATGGGATCCATGAGATTGTCGGTGACACTCATTATGCAAGATTCCATGGAACCGCCACCGCCAGAGATTTTGTGGAAGCGCCATCTCAAATGCTTGAATTCTGGACTTGGACTTCTGCTGAATTGAAGAAACTTTCATCCCACTACATCACTGGCGATCCGCTTCCTGAATCCCTTATTGCCAGCTTGGTCAAATCCAAACATGTCAATGGTGGCTTGGGTAATCTCCGTCAATTACATTTCGGTTTATTTGATATGACCATTCATAATACTCACGATGGTAAAGCTGATGTCGACAAAGCTTGGAATTCTTTGAGAGAAGAGGTGACCCTTTTAAAATCCGGTGATGAAAATGTTAGAGGATATGGATCATTTGGCCATATGATGGGTGGTTACGCTGCTGGTTATTATGGATATTTGTATTCCGAAGTGTTTGCCACTGACATGTATTATACATTGTTTAAAGAAGATCCAATGAATACCACCAACGGTATTAGATACAGAGACACTATTTTGAAGCGTGGGGGATCTCGTGATGATTTAGATAATTTGAAAGAATTGTTAGGGAGAGAACCAAATTCCGACGCATTTTTGCAAGAGATTGGGATCAATAAGTGAATATGTATGCTTTGTTATTTTTACCCTGATATGTTTCAATAATTATTTAAATCATGACTGTACAATATACTTTAAGCGATTCTATTTATCTTATTTTAATGCATTATAGTTCTTCCTGGTGTTCGTTTTATTTTCTTTCCTTTTGAGAAGTCTAAAAAGAGACTTTTGATACAATTCAAAAATAAGAATAACAAAGTTTTATTGAAATATCTAAAAGAGACTGGAGAATCTAGAACAAAGAAGTGAGAGGGGGAAAGCTAAACAGTTTATAGTAACACAAAAAACAAAAGAAATAAAGATAATAAAAGCAGTAGTAATCAGAAATGAATATAATAAAAAAGGGCATAAAGTTGTTGACAATCTCAGAAAGCAACGCATAGTTTTGATATTTTATGGAGAGAGGGTGATTGCATGTCTTGGGGACAATCTTCTGTTTTTTGATGAGCCAGTTGGCTGAACGATGGTTTGTCTCCTTGATATGGTTAATTCCTGAAGGGTGGTGGCCGGATTGAATCTGTTGCGCTTATCGTACACATGTGTCAAATTACTTTGAATGGATGTCGAGCTAACAACAACAACAGCATCACTATATACCTCTGAGGTGGAATAACTACCATCATCAGAAGAAGTGGTAGCAGCATCACTATCATCAGTATATACATCTGCGGTAGAATAAGTGCTATCATCAGCTGTATTGGTGGCAACATCATCAGTATAGAAACTAGTACTGATAATATCATCAGTGTACAAACCAGTGTTGTTAGTATCATCGACATCTTCATTGAAGACTACAACTTTGTTGACGGTTTTGGCCACTGGCAATTTCTTGTTCTTGATGATCCGTTGCAATCCAGAAATGTAATTTAATCCGTTAGTGATTTTTTTCGTTGCTGAAGAAACTTCCCATAGAGTGAACCCTCCAAAATACTCGAAATTTCTCATTTCTGCAGTCCGACTCTCGACATCTCTGATATCCACAATATATTCCGAATCACACGCGGTACACACTCCAATAAAGATCTTCATCTTATTAGGGTTTCCCGAACCATTTTTGGTGAAGTTCGACCAGGTACCCCATGAAGAGTTGAAGCCGTTATCGTTGGATAATGCGCAATCAGGATTATTATAAAACTGAACAAACACAAAATCGACTTTAGCACTGGTGTCGGTCAATAATGCACTGGTACCTTTATCTGGATAAGGACATTGTGGAGTAGCACTAATGAGTAAAGTCTTGGATGTCCAAAGGGTACGAAGCTCAGCGACCATTGCTCCAAGACCCCCGGAATTACTATTCTCAATATCGTAATCAAACCCATCGATTTCGGCTTTTCCGAACGGTTTTGTGACGCTGGGATCAGCTTTTGGATGGAAGGTATTATAAATCACTGAGGCTGCAGCACGTCCCTCTTCAGCGGTGCTGACCCCATAGCTCCCCAACGTAGCATCTCCACCAAGTGATAAGAACACCTTGATCCCGAGTTTCTGACAAGTTTTAATATCTTTTTCGATCTGAGGACAAGTGTTTCCTCCACAAGCATTACCAAAGTTGTAACTGACAGCAGTGGAGTTCCAATTATTGAGAAACGAGATTATCACAATCCCCATATTCTTTTGTTTGCAGTACGTGGCTAATGACTCTTGATTGTCACCTTGACCCCAGTACGCTGCGACATTCTTCCCATCTTTACTGTACATCTTTGTAGCAGCAGACGTTTGAACAAGAAGAAGTAATGTCAAGCCAATTGATATAAGCTGCTGATGGAATTTCATTTTATTTGTCTTTTTCTGCCTCTTCCTCGGGGTTTTTTCTAGTGCAGTTTCTTTCCAAAATGCACTGTAGCTAACAAAACAAAAAACACAAAGGAATCCTGTAGATATATATAGATAAATGTAATAATATGAAACTATATATATATATCATACATAATTAGTTCACTTTTGGCTTTGCAGCTTATATACGCCAGAGAGCCTAAAAAGTGTCCGAATCTTACTTGATTTTACTATTTCGTAGTAGAACAGCTGCATGTCAAGGAGAATGCGCATCACCTACCAACTGTGAGGAGCCCACAAACAGAAAAGCTGGGCTTTTACCAAATCTGGGTCACCTCACCTACGCTGTGGTAAACGGGTCTCAATTATTACAATCATTACCAATTCGAGAAGTTCAGGGACAAATTCCTAGACACTATCACAACGCGGGTAACGAAAATTGATAATAATAGCACTGATAGGCTTGAGGGTGTCTCAGCATTAACCCTTCCATAGTATTACCATTGAAGATTAATTTTACAAACATACTGGAAAATGACATCAAAGCAGTATAAACAGGTAATATTAAGCAAGAAACAAACACACACCCCCAAAAAAATAGAAAAGCCAGAGGTTATAAAGATATTTATGATGAACTTTCAAAATAGTAACAGCAGATCTAGAAGTTTTTCATTATTATTTTTATTATTATTATTACATTTTCTCCATTTTAATCTTTTTTGCGAGAAAATATTTTTTCATAGACCAATTGAGTAATGGACTTTGGGTATAGCAATAATAAAAAGTCCAACAATTCAACGAAAATCTCGGTGCGAAGCCCATGAATTTGATCTTCTGTTGATTTGAATTTGGCCAACTCTACTACATCAGAATCAATTTCTCTCTTCGTATCCGCAGTATTACTGTTTGACTCCTTCCATGCTTGCTCGAACGACTCCACTTGTGCATCTGATCCCTTGAGCTCAATCACTTGGGTACTGCTGGTAGTCAAAGAATTATTATTATTATTATTATTATTATTATTATTATCCTCTAGCACCACGATCTTTGTAGTTTCTGCATTATCACTAGCAGTTATGGTGATTGGTGCGGTTTCAAAACTGCTAGTATTGTCAGGCTGTTCCCGATGCTTTCTGGCATTATTAATAAAGCTTTGCAACTTGTACAATTTCACCACTTTGAACACGAGAATCTTGAGCCGCAACGCGAGAATCACTTTATCAACGATTTTTAAGAACCGTCTCCAGGCTCGACTCCTGGTGCTGACAAAATAGTTCATGGTGAAGGAAAAAACCTCGAGTAAATTGATAATATTTTCCTCGGCCATTTCGTAACTTTCATAAGTCCAAGGAATTGACTGAGAGCGGCGAATTATTGCGAAAATAAATGGAATCCCAGAGTGTTTCTTCATTATGGAAAATAATCCGGTTTCCGGGGATTCAAGAGGATTATTGGTGGTGTTAATTGGTGTTGTAACATTATTATTATTAACATTATTGCTAACGCCATTTTTCACTCGCGATCTTTTCATCGCTGCCCGTTCTGCAAGCTTTCGTAAATGTTCGACCTTTTCATCATCCATTATATCACCTCACAAAAACACAAGTACATTATTTTGGATTGTTTCCTTTGATAATTCTTGAGGGCCCTTTATATTTTAATTATCGCATCAACTTTTTTTTTTTTTCCATCGATGCGCACGCGAGCGGGGTGGTTACAGCGCCCAATTTTTCGGGTGATAAAAGATAAGGTCTTCTTTTGTATAAATATATGATCATCAGAACAGTTCTTTGTTGTCATATATCATAAATTGTAGAGAGAAATCAAATGAGTAACAATATTAAACAAAAAAAAAAAAGGTCATAGAATCAAAGAATCAACAGGAATATCGATCAAGAACATCAAAGAAAATATTAATAACAATTGGTAAAGAAGATAAAACAAAAGTTAAAGAGAAAAAAGAAAAAAGAATTAACACATAAAACATGATGGACAGAACACAAAAAGCAAGATATCAAAGAATAAACAAAGCCTCAGGAACAAGTACCAAACAGGACAAAACCAAAATACCAGTAAACAAACAAGGAAAAAAGGAAAAAAGGTAAAAAGAAAACAGGACAAAACCAAAAAAAGACGGGAAAAAATTAACAAGGATGAAGAAGAAGAAGAAGAGCAGTAGTTATTCCCTCTGGTGCTTTGGGGTCAAGTAATCGTTATAAAACTTTTCATCCTCATAAGCACTAAGAAATGCCCCAATGGCCCCCAAATACCCTTCATGGCGTAAGAAATATGCCTGTTTTTCTCCTTGTGACCAGAAATTGATGGCATAACTTAAAGTGATGATAGTTTGCAAATGATTCCTAATAAAAGATCCTGCAAAGAAGATTTTTTTAAGTTTATACTTCGAAGCTTGCAAATAAGCGATTTGGCCAATATTGTTACTGACCGCATAAAGAAAAGATTTGGAAATGTCTGATTGGCGGAATTTCGATAATCTTTGGAACTGTGAAAGCAGAGGATAAACATTTTCTACCTCCTGTTGATGGTAATATCCATTGTTATTGCTAGTGCTATCGCTACGCTCGTTCGATGGAGTTTGTGGTGATTGCGATGCTTTGATATCATCGTTGTATTGGTTATCATCTCGTCCTGTGATAACACTGGCACTGTCTTCACTAGAAAGAGACAAAGCACTAGTATTGTTGAGCCCATCATCGTACTCGCTTCCGTAAACACTTTCATCGTTTTTATTGTACCCGCCATCCATCTTCCCGGTGACAGTTTTGAAAACTTTGCCAAAACTTGAGGCAATAGTGGTTGATTTAAGACCAATCTTGTTGTAGCTTGCACCATAAATGTCGCCAACCAACATGTCAACATTGGCATTATCACCATTAGAAGCCATTGTTAACATGTCATCATAAGTCTTTGCATTTGTCAAAAGTGAAAGAATCCCCCAAAGAGTCCCGCCTCCGATTGAAGACCCACCAATACGAATAAACGACCGAGGTCCTGTGACTTTGATCATCGATACCCCCGAACCGATATTGACTAGAAGATAGGGATAAATCGAGTCGGCTAACTGTTGTTGATCATTGTCGAGGAAATTGATGTATTTTAGTTTGCGCTCGTCTTCAATTTTCAAGTCGGTGTTGTCATCGTATACGAACACTTCGTTGGGAATGTTATGGATCAAGAAGTTCAAACCAACAATAAGACTTTCCATTTCATCTTTGGCTTTGATAAATGGGGCGGTGGCGGTGTGACGATGGTTGATTGTGTCGTTTTGCGGATCGTTTTTTGATAGGTGTAACTCTTGAGCTAATTTATTCTGGAATAAGATGGATCCTCCACCAGTACCAAACACACTAATTGCATGATTTTTGAAATTCCTTATGTAATATTCCATGTCTTTTGACCGATCGATTTGGATGATTCCGTTTTCAATTTCTATTGTGACGATCAATCTTTGGAGATAATTGATGAATTCATTAATTTTTTCTGTTTCGATCTTGAAAAACTTCAACATTCCCCCACATTTGTCGTCATTTTTGTTTTTGGTAAAGTAGGCCACTTTGGCCAAAGTCCCCCCAATGTCTATTCCTATATGATGGATTAGCTCATGTTGGTGGGGCAAAAAGATGTCTTTTTGTTTATGGATTCTTCCGGTGGAAGTAGATGCCTTGATTGAAGGGTGATCTGAGAGGTGAGCGCCGTTGACATTGAACAGAGTCATTTGAAAAGAATGGTGATTATGTATAAATATATACACGCATATATCTCTCTGTATATGTTTATATATATAAATATATATACTTATTTTATATGGTTATGTGTATGTTGACAGGTATGATTCTAAGCAATATGGTTTTGTTTTATTTTATTTTATCTTTTTCTTCTTCTTTCTGTTTCGGATAATTCAAGTCATGATCAATTCTTATAGATTGGGATCGACAGCTACTGATTCAAGGCTCGTAAAAAAAAAATCCTAGCACAACACCCAACAACATGAAAAAAAATCTTGAGAAAAAAAAAATCCTAAAAATCAGGGGGGGGAATGGGAAAATTTCATTGATTACTAAAAATGTTATAAAGGTACCATAATAAATGAGACGATGAAACTGCCCCGTATCCCTGCGTAGTTGTTGAAGAAGGATGTAACTATTCCTCCTCCTCGCTATCGTTGTGATGGTGGTTGAGGTGTTCCTTGTACGGGTAACCATTTACGACGTACACCGTGTACACGAGCCCTGGGATCGCCCCGAAGAGGCAAAGCGGGACATTAATCGCCACTGGATGGATGGACCGATGGAGCTGCTCAGTGGTGATGATGATGATGATGATGATAGTAATGATTGTTTCAGGGTTACTCACAGTCGACACTAATGCCTCGTTTGAGTAGCACCAGTATGGACGGCAAAACTACCGTGATGACAACCGCAGCCCAGTCTCTGGAGTGCATTGCTACCAATGATTGTGATTGATTGATTAATGGAAAGAGTGATAGTATGTATTTTGTTGTATTATATTATATATATTCTGTGGCATTCTCCTGCTTCCGTTCCCGAAGATGTTACTTTTTTTGTTTATATAATCTTCCGGCACTCAAAATGACTAGCAGCAACCTCGTTGGGCACCGCACAGTAATACTCAAACTTCCGCATTTGGTTGAACAATTCCACCGCTTCATATTTCAATTTTAGGCATCTAAGACATGTCAGTATATCATCTCGAACACTGTATTTCATATATGTATTACTCACGTCTTGCCTCCTTCTGGTTTTACTCGGCAAATAATGCTGTTGGAATCACCTTTTTGCCCATCAATTATGTATAAACCATTGGGCTCTTCCTCAATAAAGTCTTTAATTGTTGTTGCGTTGTCATTGAGATTGCTACTACTATTGTGACTCACAACATGCGACTCCTTATTCGTAGTTCTGAAGGGATTCCACATCTTCACTAATTACGTGGGTATTCGTCATTAAATTAATCATTAAACAGTATAAAGAGAGGCTCATTCGTACCTGCAGACATGGAGAAGGTGACAGACCATATCGGATTTTGCTATGCGGAAACGTGATTACTATATGATTCCGGGATGGTGGAACATGATAATTGATAACAAAGGTGATGATAGATGGTAAGTAAGTACTCATATATGTCCAATCCTTCAGGTGGCCCTAGTGCTCTGTATGACACTGAGTATCTACTAATGATAGAGACTTCAGTATACTAAAACAAAGGTGAAACAACATATATAATATTTTGAACTCAATTATAAAAGTACTGATAAATGATAATAATGATAATAACAAACAATTTTTAAAGCTTTCAAATGAAGGAATGATATTGGGAAAAAACAACTCAAATTGATAAAGTTGAAAAAAAAAAAAATTAAACTTGATGAAACATTGTGTAGTTTGTTCAAAAGCATAAATTGACCAAGTCTAACTGTCTCTATTACTGCGCTTTTAATCAAGAGAGGTGGATGATAATAATTTCCTGACTGATTCACAATGAAATATGCCACATGATACCAAATAAATTCCCTTTCTGGTGTGGTATAATTTTAGCATATGATACCCGATTAATTAATGAATCACCCGCAGATTATTTATTACTTTCTACCCCATATTTCAAAACCGCAACAAAATATCAACCATAACTCATTTGGTGATACTGACAGCCCAGTCGAGAGTCAAATGAGTAGTCTTGTCATAATCGACAAATTTAGAGGTGGCCTGGTAAGTACCTCTAGCAATGAACCCAGATGGGGCTTCCATCTCAGGCAATGTCACTTCATAGAAAGGCTTGTCAGTAGTATTTGGTGCGTAACTACCCAATGGTTCTTCCAATTTGTCAACTCTGATACCTGCTTTCTTAATCCCTTGCAAGTACTTAATCCCAGTGATGATCTCATGTTGGACCTTAAACTTGATACGTAAAGAGTAAAGGGACTTTTCTGGAACCTTGAAAGGATTCGATGATAATGACGCAGCCACACCTGGTTGTTCAAGGTTGACAACTATTGGAGCCTTTCCATTCACAAGCAAAGACATCTCCAAGACAACAACCTTACGGTTGTCACCAGGAGCCACAGGCAACAAAGAGCCGGTGCTAATACCAAGAGATTCCTTCCATTTCTTAAGAGATTCATCGTTGGCATCCAATTGGGCGTATTCTTCAAGAGTCTTCTTTTGGCCAACATTGTAGCCTGGGGTGTCTTCTGCAACCAAATCGTCGTGACCACTCATTTTATTGTTGGTATTGTTATGGGTTTATTAGGTTCGTGCTAACTTCTTGGAAGCTGACTTTAAAATAGAATGTTACCAGGTATTCGAGTTTTTGAAACGTTTTCCTTTTTTTCCTAACAAAAAAAAAAAAAAAAAAAAAAATTGGAGTTTCGAGAATGTTCTGTAATCCCAACACAATCCTAAGTTTGACCTTTCTTTTTTTAGTTTTCTTTTCTTCAGAAGAAAACTGGTGATCAAAAGAATAGCTTTTAATAAATATATAAAATATTTCTCATAATAGAAGGCAGCCAATGGGATTGATTGAAATAACAGATACTGAAAGTCTATGAGGTGTCAGTTTCTCGTGGCACGTGTGATTTATGCGAAACCCTTTCTATCTCCTTGTTCCCATCCCAACATGAAGAGATCACCAACAATCATAATATATTTCGTCTTGTAATGGTGGTACCTGTAATTGAATAAAAAATTATTGTATATTTTTGCAATGTTAAGTTTCTTTCATACCTACCTCTGATGGCAAAAAAAAAAAAAAGGTGCTTCTTAATAAAATATTATCAAAAATTATACGTTGGTAAAAAACACAGATCGTAACTAGTAGTACTGAAAAAAGTATTTCAAATATAAGAATTAATATTATCCTCACTTAATTTTAAAAAAATGAAACGATTATCTAGGAATATTCAAGAGAGAGAAAAATGATAAGAGGAAGAGGCTATGATGAATTTGCTATTCCTCATTCCAAATTTTGCAGCTAAGTAGAAACAAAACATGAAAGAGTTAAAAAAAAAGAAGGAGAAATTTCCTGAGAAGAATATATTACAGCTAACTTGATTCAATGTATTGATTGTGTTTCTGCTGGAAGTGAAAGTTTATAATACCTTTCCCAAAGTGCAAAACGGACACGTAATTTTCACCCTGCAAAGGAAAGCAATTAGTTCAAATAATATTGGTATATGAGCTAAGACTGTTTGAGTATTGTCATTCAAATCGATTAAATAACTCCATTAGACTTTTAATTTGATACTAGTTGGCCCATAAAAGAACGCTCTGAGTCGCCACGCCGGCCCTTCATTTTGGCTCTGGCTTTGAGGAACGCGAAGCACTTTCCAAACAGATTAGCAAACAATGCTTTGAATTACTACTGAAGGTATACCTTGATTTTATTTGAAATTATATTAATTCAAACTTGTAAGACACTTTAAAACTTTTCCTTATTTTCTTCTTTTGTTTTCTAATGCTAACAATATCAGCAGTTTCCTATTGTGATAATTCAGGAATGTTATAAGATTGTAAGACCTTTGGTTTACAAACATAACTATTGTAAATGTGTGTTTTTCCTTAATATTGTGTTTGATGTTATTTCATTATTAATCATTGACTGCAATCATTAAGGTTTTAGATATATAATAAAGTCGACCAATGTAAACAAATTGAGGATCATTAATTTTTCTTTATAATATAATTCTTTCATAGATAGCGAAAACTTGAATATATAACCAACTCATCTATTTGAAACATTAATGAAAGTCATTTTGTATGCTTATCAAATCACATATCATATTGTCTATCAAAAGAGTAAGTATTATATGACCGTCAACTTAGAACAAGAAGTATTGTCAGAAAACCTTTAACCAGGAAAGGATATATATAAAGAGAAAATGGAAGCATAATATATGTAGCGAGAACAATTATCAGATTAACAAATTGAATTATTTTACCAGCTACAAATACAATGCACAAACAGTGTATGAAAGCTTTCTAAAACAAAAAAAAAGCAAACTTACTGAATTTTACGTTTTTAAAAAGAAAGTGAATAGAGAAAATAAACTATATTACAATTATCCATATGTGGCTCTATTATATCATGCCACATGTTTCATTAAATACTCAAATGCCCCAAAGAATACCATGCTATTAATCACCGACCTCGTAACCGTCACCCCTAACCCACGATACATCCTCCTCGTTGGCAAATGAATCCTGGCTTTCACTTTAGTTTTTTCCAACCCATTTTGTTGTCGAATAATATTTGACACAATATCTCGCTGAATCAATGATTTGTTTGTATCTATTGGGAATACCACTGCCCAGGTGAGAATCCCTGAAAGTCCCCCAGCAATAGCGATGGAAATTGGGCCCACTGGTATTTTAGTACCAGAAATATATCCTGTTCCGTTGGCTATTGATTCATTGATCATCAATTTTGTGGTTTCGTATACTGCAAAGTACAACCCGCTACCCACGAGTTCTCTAAACATGTGGAGTTTCAACCCCGAGTAAAGTCCGATAATTCCTTCGCACTGAATGATCTGTTTAGACACTCCAACCACCGTTCGAGGAACCGTTACATTCAACCCCAATTTCCGACCTTCGATCATCCCGATTTGTGAGTAAAGTTTCGTGAACTCGAATGGACATGAGAATAATGTTACCATGACCCCGGTGAATGATCCGGCAATATATGTCGTGGGAATATTTGCCAATATCAAGTTTCTGTGGCTGGGCGTTCCTTCATTGTTCTTGTGGTTTTTATTGGATGACGACAGAACAATTTGCTCTTGAAGAGCGGCTACTTGAGGCTTCGAGTAAGTATAAATGCTCACCGCCAAAGACTTGGAACAAGCAATCGACAATAATGGGGCGGTGATCCCACGAAATAACCCTGCTACACCTTCGTGACGAATCGCTTGCCTAAGACAATCGATTGAGCCGCTGTACTTATGAGTCTGCATTCTAGTTTTGATGCTATCAAAGGGGAACCCCACGATGGTCGACCCCAATGAAGCCCCACAGGACAATATTGAAGTTTTCCAAGGAGTTAATGATTCAGGAAGCACAACCAATGCTTGTGACTTATCAATCTCAGAAGTGATGGCCGGAAGTCCCGGGGAAGTTAACGATGACTTGACGTATGTCATAATTGAATCATTCTTGAGCAAATGCAATCAATATATCTTGAAGTATGTGTGAACCACCAGCTATATTTGGCCAGCGATTGTGGAGATCTGTTCTACTTGTATCAGAAAAAGAAAGAAAGAAAAAAGGAAATGCAAATGGTTATAAATTATGGCTAGATACCTCTCAAAAATATTCGCGACCAAACTTTCATGAGTTTTTTTTGGATATATCAAAAGTTCATTGGCGGACGGAAAAACTTACTGCGTATATATTTTTTCTTGACTGATTTTTTTTTTTCCGTCACCAGCTACCATTCATTCCTGCGTACAAATTACGTGACCACCCTACTACTAATTACAATAATGAATTTCACTTAGCATTACTGGCTTTTGCGAAAAAACAACAACAACCGCGGCTTCTTTATTAAATGACAATCAAAAACCAATAACAATGCCAGCTTCATCACTGTGTAATCTTAATCACGTGCATGTTTTTTTTTTTTTTTTTTTCTTTCTTTTAACTGCCTTTTTGCTATTGTATTGAAAACGCCGCTGTTGTAAGAAATAAGGGCAATCAATGGGTAGACGTTTAACTTTAATATGGATGATGAAAGTGGAGCAAATATTGTAACGACCAGGCCACATCATAAAAGAGCACCAAGCATCAATTCACAGCTGTTTGTGGTTGGCGGTGGCTCGACAGGAGTGACGTCTGCGCAAGGATCTGGCGATGATGACCTGGAATCGGCGTCGTCTTATGGCGCTCTGAGTGATTTGGGATCAGAGCTAGGAAGTGAACAATTGTCAAGCTTCGATGCCGCAGAATACTTATATCGATCGTTACGTGATGCGGTAGGCAATAATCAAAGCATGTTGGACAGGGCGTTAGTGACGCAAGCACAAAAGTGAGTTTTTCAATGTGATGATGAAATAAAAAAAAATGTAAGCATATAAACATATAAAATACGATACACTCAAACTAACATCAAATATGATCAGCTCTGGTATTCTTAAAGCAAAATCGGTAGAGTTGCAGAATCTTGGGTCTGAGCTCAGCTCTAAGCTTGAGAAACTCCGAAACCACATTCATGGCTCAACACAGGGATCAGTACCTGGGGGAACGGCAGTGTCCTTCCATGAGTTATTTGGAAGATGCCAAAAGAATCTACTCTGGTGCGAGAAGCATCTTGCATCGCTTCAACAACACGTCAATGATGAATATCCTATTGAATATACCGAGGCACAGGATCAAGTTATGTCACGTACAAGGTTCACGGCTACGGACTCTGTTGATTTGGAAATAATGCAAAAAGATTGAATCATCATATCAAAAGAAAGTGTCTTTCTATTTATTATTGGTATTTTTTCATTTAATGGCCTTTATATTGGGTGTGTTTTCATGTGCTCCCCCCTCCCAGCCCAATTCTATAAAGTAAGTTAAGTCTAGTATTCCTAAAATGAGTGTAAAGAACAAAAAAAAAAAATTACAGAAAAGAAAAGAAAATTCCTATTTTAATGATTCAATTTTGGTTCATTCTCAGAGATTCTCCATCATTATTAAACTGGGGAAAAGTTGAAATTCTGCATGCTCTTTTTGGTGCGTGCTATGCGCACACCGTAAGTCAATAATAAAAATTTGAAGTTTTTGGGTCGAATAAAAAAAAAATGCATACAATCATCGTTTGATTGATTTATCATAAACTACCTCACCACACAAACTGTCATGTCGTCTGCTGCCAAACAGATCCTTAAGAACAAGTTCCAGGCACTTAGCAAGATACGGTCTGAGATCTTTGGTACCAACTTTAATCCAGAAGGCAAAAGAACTGGGGCCAAAATACTACGTCAACGTCTTGTGGGACCAACCGTCTCGAATTATTACAATGATCCTAACTTGATCCAGTTCAGACATTTGAAAGCAATTTACCCACAGTTTGACTTTGTCAATGAGGAAGAGGAATACCGTCTTACAATGGTGGCAGCGTATGTATATTTTTTGAGACATTTTTTTTTTTTTTTGATTTTCATTTTGGTTCTTATTTTTACTAACTTGATATTTAATAGACGTAAAAGAAGAGGTAAAGGTGCTCCAGCTAAGACCAAAGGAGGTGATAAGAAGAAGAAGAAATGAGGAGAGGGTTTTTTTGGTTGGCTGAACATTACAATTAAAATACGTTTCATGATATGAAGATTCTGTACATATACAAACTATAATACAAAGTTATTATCTATTCTAGATGACTCAGGAAATGTAGTTCTTTTTTAGTTCTCCGAACAAAGTAGAAGCCTCAATGGGTTTCATTGGTAGCATTAGATACAACAGGTGGTAAAGCTTGTTCCTAGAAACAGTGATAGGAATCCCCATCAATAAGCTCTTAAGGGTCGAAGAGCTGAAATAATATAATTTCAACTTATCCCATAATGAAATATAGGGGTGGAAAATATTTTTGAATGACAAAGGTTCGCTTTGAAGTTCCAAATAGATTATGTTCCCTTTATCATTGAAAGTGCCATCCATATGTGGTGTTTCGCCTCGCATGCCCAATCTAACTTTCTCATCCTCCTCAGCATTATAATTATAATCATCATCATCTTCATAAGCATCATTATCGTCATTATCATTATCATTATCATTATCGTCGTCATCATTAACATCATCATTAAAACTATCATTATAGCCAACTTCCTCCTCATCGTACTCATAATCCCCTTCCTCCTCTTCCTCCTCCTCATCATATTCGTAGTCACCGTCATCATCATCATCATCATCATCAGACTTTTCTTCTTCAGAGCTATAATAGCTCAGAATTTTACCATTCAAATCACCACTATCCACATAATCTAGGCTTTCGTCATTAATAAAGTTCAATAATTTGAAATTAATTCCTCCAGGAACTCTAAATTGGTCTTTGATTCTCAACAACACTGCAAAGATAGGGAAGTGATTTAAACAAGACAATATAACTTCCAAGCAAATGACGAATATCAATACAATCAACCTAACAATAGTAAAACTTAAATAGAAAGCCAAAACCGTTGGAACAATAAACAAAGTGATGGTGAATAGCAAAGTTCCTAATAATAATTGATCCAAAGAGTAATCCGCGGAATCAATTCTTTTCTTCAAAACATTATTCTTTTTCCCATAAAATAAATTGAATAAACTCTTCAAAATCACTAATAACCAATTAAAAATCTTTGCTGAAGCAAAATAAAAACAGTAAATGTGTAAAGTGACAAAATTGAAGAAATCACAAGCAATCGATAGAATAAATGTCGCTCCAAACACTCCCCCGCCATAACTGATTAAAAAAATGCAACCGGTTATCAAATAATTGGTAAAGAAATCACTAAGAACAATTTTCCCATAAAAAAAATCAATGATCCATAAAAATAATTCTCCAAAAAATACCGCTAATTTCGAATTCAATTTAAACCCTGCAGGGAAATTCATTAACCAAAAGGTCAATTTATAAAATTCTTCAAATAAAAATTTCCGAAGAATCACCTGTACTAAAAATTCTTGAATGACTAAAGATCGTTCATAGACATATTGTCCGACAGTAAAGCCGAAAATCACATCATTCAAAATTAACCAAATGGTATTGTACAACCGAATATAGTCAGTGAAATTATGTTGTTGCTTAATTTTGATAAATTGGCTGGGAATAGAACATATCTGTTGTAGTCTCAAGTCAATTTGCTGTGCCATGAGACTCGATTCCTTAATAGTTTTCTTTCCAAATGGCTTGATATTCAAAATCCAAAAGAAAATCTGAATGATCATTCGTATCCACACCACCAGATGAATCACCAACATTTTGAAGTTTCGCTCAATAAACGAATCATCACCATTATCGGATGATTCTTCGTAATAACTGTACGGGGACGCATTGTTGCCCTCAGAATACTTGGAAATCGATTTACTTCTCTGTCTCAGTTTTTTCTTTCGTTTCTTTGTATGGTTCCCATAGGTTGGTAAAATGTATAGATGATTTACTAAGAAAATCCGAAGATTTTGCAAGTTTCTAGCAATGCTGAAATTTTGTTCCCAAGGCTTGATAATTTTCAAGCCACTATTTGTCATTTGGGCGTTATCGTAAACACTCTCATTTCCCGTTTCATTATAAAAGAAAAGACGGTGAAAATAACATTCATTTAATACTCGGATAATTTGTTCAAAACTCTTCTCTTGAGGGCTCATATTCCCAATGTTTCCATGATACTTGATCTTCCAAGCAAAATCCAATCGTTTATCATGGTTAACATCATCACCAGGCACGTTTTCTAATCCTAAATCAATAGGCTTGATAGAATAAAACTGCATAACTCTTGGGTCAGGGACATCGAAAAGAATCACTTTTAAATCTAATTGAATGTTGGTGGAAATAGGGTATTGCGTCATGTTATTGTAAACGAAATTTAAAGGCAACCCAAAACATTCCCGGTTAGAAGTCTGGTGATTTAAAAATCCTAATACAAAATATTTCAAATCATTGCGATAGTCATAATTTCCAATTGAGTCCGAGCTTTTATTTTCTAGTTCTCCTTGATCGCTCTCGTGTTGATAATTTCTATGATTTCTTGATCTTCCAGCTGCTTTTCTTCTACCTCTTTTCCGACGATTAAAACTTTTCTCATTAGTAACTTTATCTCGCTCAGTTATATGTAATTGATCGCTGCTATTGTTAGCGCCATGGCCATTCCACCCAAATACAATTCTCCCATTTTTCACTTGTAAGATTTTTTCGTGGAATAGCAGGTCCAATTTTGCAGGATTGAAAGGAATCAACGTCACGATGATGTAATCTTGGGCCTCAGGATTCAATTGTAGACCAATTATAAGACAAGGTGTATTGAACAAATACTCATTTAGGAGATCTTTTGGGTAATAACAGTGTGTTTGCATGTTATTTGAATGCTTGATACCCCAGAAAAAAAAAGTAAAACAAAACAAAATTGATTCAAAAATTAAACAATTAGAGTTGAATGTTAGGGATTATTAATATTTATTGGGTATCGGCTGGTGGTTTCTTTGTTGGTAAACCAGCAAGAGATATAACTATAGTATGTGATTTGTTCTCAGATCGTACGTATATTTTTTTTATTTATTTTAGTTGCAACTTTTTTTTTTTTGGCTGGAAAAAAAACAAAAAAACAAAAGAAAAAACACGAAAAAAGGACTTGGCTAATCAGATCTATTATTTCGATAGAATGAGAGTAAATCATGTAGTAAATATTACTGGATACGACTAATGATGTCATTTGTAGAAGCAGAGTCTACATTATTGTCTGACACTACATGTGAGTATGTTGGGTTTTGATATATTTATACATTATCTGGATTTTGGTAATCGCATAAATTGTAAACGTGTGTCCTTCCGATTTGGAACAGTGTATAATAACAAGAAGTAAACTGTCAGCAATGTTAAGCGTGAGTTGCCTGCGACTGTATAATATACTAGAAACAAGCTCTTTATATTTCTATTGATAAATATTATGCTCAGCACATAGAAGGTTATATTTTATAGCGGTTATTAGTTCAAGTATCGTGCTGTCTGTTAGTGCTACTTTCTTATTGTTATATAAACTATTTGCTATTACACAAAGCACCTTATTTTTTCCGTCGTTTTACGCATTCAAGTTATTTTTAGATCTTTCGAACCTCAAAAGTAGCCAATCAAGAAAATCATACATTAATTAAGAAGAAAAATAACTCGTATATCCTGCTTTCTTGTAAGAGACCCAAGACAGAGGAAAAAGGGAAATAAATAGGGTGTGGGAGTAGGCTGCCAGTAATGTGGATAAAAAGGTATCATAATTCCGTAGTGTTACATATTCCATGATAGAAAGAGAAAGTGTTGTAATGCCCACAGGAATACGAGAACAACAAATGGTAGAAACCCATATCAAACGAAAGTCCCATCTATGTAACAACCAAACATGGTGATTAAATCACCACCAAGTGGAATAGAAGCAAGAAATATCAAAATTTAGAATATAAGTATGAAAGAACAGCAACATTAAGAATCATTAAAATTAGAAATAGGGGCGCGAAATTTTTAGCTCAATAAAACTAGAAGAGCAAAATTAGAAATGAGGAAAAAGCCCAAAATCAATAAGTCAAAGCAATTAACATGTCAATAAATATTTTAATCACTTAAAATAAGTGAGAAGTAGAAATCAACACATAATTTTCTCACAACTTCATTTTCTTAGAGGGCGAATCAGTAGAAGCAAGCTTCATTCTTTTAGCCTCTCGATGGTCATCGTGATCAGATCCATCAAATCCATCAACTTTTTCGTTAGACTTAGCGTCAGATTCCACTTGTGCTTCACGATTTGGAACAGAAATATGAGGCTGAGATTGGTGGCTAGTCTCTTTTTCAGGTTCCTCACGATTAAGTAATGAATAAACATCGGATGAAGAAGAAGGAGGATACTGCATAGTAGATGAAGCCGGACTGTTCACTTTGGGGGGAATATTAAGAGAAATTGAAGGAAGGGGATTATAGACAGTAAACTTCTGGTTATCATTGGAGGTGATGCGTGGGATGTGGGTACTAGATGAAACTGCTGATGTTCGACCCCCGACAGACAAGCTTGTAGACATTTCCTTCGGTGAGGGGAACCCTCGCTTAGAATTTGCAGAAGTAGGGACAGGACTGGTCAAGGTAGGCCTATCGGAGAAACTAATCCTGCTAGTAGATTTCCCACTTCCAGGAATAGGATTGAATAAATCTGGAACAGATCTTGGGGCATTAATAAAAGTAAGAGTCAGCTGAGAATTTGTACTGTCACCGCTTGATATCCTTGATCGATCGAAAAGCACATCATTAGAAGAGTGGCGTTTCAACAGGTTGTAGGGCGGGTTGGGACCAGCAGGGCCGTGTGCAGTGGAAGAAGCATCATGTGTGGAAGAGCCGATGTCTCCAGAATCTTCATCACGACGAAGGGGATGGTGGTGTCCATTCTGATGAAGAGAATGAGAGCGAGAGTGTACGTTACCTGGACTATTTGGATTATAATGCATAGTATGACTACCACTATTGGTAAAATAACCATTAGAGGGGTGTGGATATGACACTGCGCTTTCAGAAGTTCTTGTACTGGAAATGCTTGAAAAATATCCATTTTGTCTTGAATGTCGCTGAGAATTATCCGGAGAAAAAATTCCGCTGGCAGCACGCGATTCAGAAATTGGAGAGTTCATTCCTGATACCATAAAACGGTTGTGAGGTTCAGGAACTAAGGGATCATGTAATATACTCATATTACGTTGCTTGGCTTGCGTACTAGAATGAGGCGAAAACACAACCTCATGAAGGAAAACGCCATTCTGTCCAGGGTGTTTGGAAGTAGGAGCATTTGAAGGCGTCGTAGAAGTGATATTATTAGTATTAGCCGATAACGAGGTCGAAGACGATGAGGTCGAAAGAACTTGATGGTTTGATATTGACGCTGTGGCACCAATATTATTCGGAACATTGATAGGGCCATAATACGGTGTTGGAGACTGACTATGAGGGTGTGATACTATGTATCGAAAAGGATATGCCTGATTATGATTATTTGAGTCTCCAGAAAATGGCAGCTCAGATCTGGTTGCTGTATGGGTACCAGGATTCTCGGTTGTCAAACGATTTTCATGATAATCTTGATCTACCGGTCCAGTTTGGGATTTATAGGGTTTTGAACCGAAGTCGTGAGAGCCATATCTTGTTTGCTGAAAAGAATGGGAGCTATGAGGAGGAAAATGTTGTTGCAGAGATAGATGACTATCCGTAAAATCTTTTGCCTGGTTTCTCTCCATGATCGACGCTTTAAATGATGCCAACTCTGATTCCAAATTGAATCCCGTATATTGTCCACGGTTGCGAGCTTTGATTCCATCTGATGAAGAAGCAGTTGAACGAGAGTCTGAAATCTCATCTTTTGGACAATTGACCATTTTCTGAACGATTTCCAATAAATGAACCATGTCATTGTTTGTTTTCTTTAAATCTTCCATGGCAGAATCATATTGCATCTGTAATCTGGCATGCTCATGCCTTATAGTTGCTAAATTATAAGAAAGTTCTGAAACTTTCATATTCAACAGAGGAACTTCATCATATCGTGAATTATTTGCATTGAAACTTAAGACTGGATGATGGCTATGCATGCTTAGCTTGGCATTTTCACCTGTACTATTCATACTGTTCATACTACTTTTCCGGTCATTGGAATACACAAACTCGTCAGATTCGTTGATTTTTTTTCGATCACCAAGTAACTTTAGATTATCTTCACTAATATGATTTCTATCTCTTAAAGACGATGAGGAGTTTGGATTTTTTGAGGACCTTCTTTTAATATTTTTAAGACCATCCAAATCCCCTTTTCTGAAATTCTCTGAGCTGTGAGCAAACTCCCATTTGGCTGTAGGAACTATATTGTCGTTTCCAGAGTTATTCTTTAATTTTTGTTTATCATTGTTAGTGTTGTCATTGACTTTATGGAACCCGTACATGTTCAACTGACGAACAAAGCTCGCAACGTTGGAGTGTTTAAAATATAATAATAACACTTTGCAAAACTCTTCACCTGGAATCAAGAAAAAGGAATCTTGGGTGTCTGACCACCAAATTAAATGCAGTATTTTGGAGTCTTCCAACATGTTGTACAATTTATGAATGAATATTGTATGATTTCCTTTGGATGAAGATGAAGATGACGGTGCCGTTGTTGTTGTTGCTATTGGTGTAGCAGCTGTTGAGGAAGAGGATGTTGTAGTATTAGTACTATTAATATTAACAATGGGCACTATAGATCTGTTTGGCTTTTTAGATTTGTCTAATTTGTGTTGTTCCTCGTTGTATTCAGTATTTGATGTATTGGTCTCCGGGGATATCTTGGGTAGTGAGTCATCGGAAGGGCCATTAGTCCTTGAGTCAACCATAACGGTATCATCATCTCTGGAGCAACTATCTGCGACAAGAGGCATTTCACTTGATGATGTTCATAAGTAGAGTTAGTCAAAGTGCTTGGTAGAACAATAGTAATTTTATTTTTGTTTTGTTGTTTTTGGATTTTCCTGTGTTTTCTATAACCAGATATGGGGCTCTGGTACTACTATATGAGTTGGAGATGATCCTGGTGATGTGTGGAGAATAATAAATGTCGTTTTATTGTATCGGTAATAAAATTATGGAGTGAAAAAGATTGTAGAAATCGATTCTTTCAGCTTCTGGGGGTACGGTACATGCCTGTGTACAAGGGGAAAAAAAAGGAAACCGGCGGGGGAGAAAAAAAAATATTCTTGAATAGGAAATGCAATTAGGTGCATTAATCAGCTAACAATTGGGGAATCGGGAATGTGATGCGATGGAATCTCCAAAGGTTCTTACGTTTACGTTGCTATGGTTTAAGTGTTTCTAATATTTCATATATTGGTGTCGTCATTTGTCTAGAATTTCTTGCAACCGTTGTCCTATCTCCTGTTTGATTGCAGAATTGTTCTCGAATACTTCACGTTCTGGGGATCTCAACCATTCTATTGTTCTTGTTTCCTTGCTGCTGTCGATCACCAAGTCGTAATTCATCATGGTAGAGAGGTTCCCAGGATTATCGAAGTCGTTTACCTTCAACGCTTCAGATGACCGTTTGCCAATCGTAAGTCCCCGGCACCCCTCGATAATCATTTCTTTTGACTCAACAGCCATCAGCACCCACCCGGATTGGCTGTCGTGCATCCGTAATTGGTGGCAGCGGCCTGCAGCGACAAACCGGTCGACATCATGCATCATCACCGGGCCTTCGATTTCCAATAGCATCAAGATGTCATGGCAGTTTTGCACATGGACCGACGATAGCGATGTGATAGCATTGCCTGTCGTTGCCGTTGTTGTTGTTATGGTGGTGGTGACCTTGATTACCGAGTGACTGATGTTCCGTATCACTAGATGTCCGCTTGGGTTGTCAATGTGAATATACTGTTTGGTTTGATCCTCAACGATTCGATTTCTCGGCAATTGTGTATCTTGCGCAACTTTAGAACTGTTAATTAGTGGATTATCATTGTGATCCGAATTGCTAGCATTGAGGACCGGAATTTCCTTTTTGACAATAGCCTTTTTTAAATTTCGGTTTTTGAAACTAAACTTCTTTTGGAAAAATGTCAGTTTGCCCTCCAACAATTCCTCTAAATGACTAATTTCAGTAGAATAATACTTTAAATCATGGGATGTAATGCTTGGTACATTATGCTGTATGAGGGTTGACAATTGGTTTAGTTTACCCTTGGCGGTTGAGATTTGTGATTTTTCATTGATAGAGTCAATCTCTTTTTCCAATTCTTGTTTCGTAGTATTGAATGTTTTAAATAGATCAGGAGCTTCTGGCATGTCTTTTTTATTATTATTAGTTTTAGAAAATCCACGAGTATCTTGTCTTGTATACGCTGGTTATCTATTTGCACCTTCTGTGTTGGTGATGGTCTCCATTTTTTTTTTTTTGTGTTTCTCTCCAATTCTCCTGAAGAAAAACGTGATTAGCGACCGATGCTGCCGGGATGCACCGAGGGCAATCTCTAATAACGATAATGCGAGCTCACATCCGGCGCTCTCTCTCTCTTTCTCTCTCGTATACAAAATTAAAAAGTTAAAGTTAAATATTCTAAATAATTCAAAAATAGGTTCTCCACAAACAGTGATATGTGCTCACCGGAGATATTTTTTTTTGTGATCGGAGACAATGTCTTTTTAGCACCAATAAACTTCCGAATAGCAAGACATTCTATCTCTTTATTCTATTCATGATCAGCCAAAGATCCACATATATACTATACACAGGCAGGAGGCATCTCTTTTTTTTTTTTTTTTTTTCTTCTTACAAATTTCTTGTTTTTAGCAAGAGTTGTGTGGCCAAGCCTTTCTTTTTGAGAAAACAAGTAGTATCGTACGATGTATCTTGGTGTAAAATTAAAAAAACAAAAACAAAAAAAAACATGTTTTTTGGACTTCTCAATTAAATGAATTTTGAGAGAGACCGGAGAGTAGCATTTGCTCCAAATCGCGTTCACTAATTGAAGACGATCAGGTTGACTGACAATATGGTTTGAATGAACAATAATCAGAGTTATAAATTAGTTCTCTAACTCCCCTTCGGTGTGACCAAGTCTTTGCAAGAGATTGATCTTGGTTTAGAAGATCTAGTATAAATATCTTTGGATTGAAGGTTCTGATGCATTAGATTCTAAATTCACTTGCATATTTTTTCAACCCCATGCATAAGAGAAATGGACAGTCGCCAGCGCTCTAAAAAAAGAAGGTATGACGCTTGTTTTGATAACTGAGACCATGGTAATTTAACCACATACGCTTTTATAGCATTTTTATCACCAATAGTAATTACATTGAGATGCTGTGGGTTAATGAAAACAGTAATAGGATGGTAAATAACCATAACATATTCAAGGAGTTATTCACAATCAAGTTATCCTATTGCCTACAAGTACACAAGAAAGGTCAGTAAATGAAGAACAACTAGGTAGTTTTAACTATAATATACGCCGATCCAAACCAACTACCTGTATTTCAAAACCAATCATTTGTCTCTCAATTGTCCAATCCAATGATGGCCAGCTCGCGAATGAGCAAGTAGCTCGAAAATTCCACGGCGGATAAAACTGGTTTGAAATTGATTCATCATGCTAATCTTCTGTCGGATAGTATTAGTCGTACTGACTTCTGTTCTAATATTGAAAGTTATTTATGCTTTTCCATGATTTCATAAACAAATTACATTCTTATTTCTTGCTAAGGCTCTCTTTTGCTATATAGTATCACTTTGATAAAGATGTGAGCGATATGCAAAACCTTTTGAGGGATCACTTTTATATATTGTTTTTGGGTAAATAAGGAAGGATTAAATAAAATATCGACTTATATTATATCTACACTATAGCCATATGCTTGCTGTTACCATGAAATAGTTGTTGAATGCGGCTATAGAAGCCTCTGTTGGTTACAATTGGAGGGTGCTTTGCTTGGCTGTTTTGTATTTTGTTTTATTTCACTTCGCGTATTTGATCTCCCGCAAAAAAAAAAAAAAAACTTCCTAAACTATTTAGTAAATAATATTTACAACCAGTTTCTTCATATCTTTTTGTTGACTACAATGGTTTTAAAAATTGCTTGTTTTACAGACTAGCCATTATGTGAACACAACACGGTTAGTTCTTCGTCTTGTTTACTAAGAATTTTCTTCCTTTCAACATTGGTTTCGTGTGAAATAATTTTTAATTGTGATTGCAAAAGGAAAAAACGTAAAAAAAAAAAAAACAAGACATTTCTATTTTTATATAACACGGAGGATAGTACAAGATTTAATAAGAAGTTAGAAAAAAAAAATGAAAGATCTCTCTGCTGGAAAACCGAAAAACAAATGCCAGAATAAGCAGTGCTTGCTGAAATATTGGATACCCAAGAAGATACAAAACTGTATTGATTATTATGATCCTTTAGTAAACAAGAAAAAGAAAATTTAAAGAAAAGAATCTCTATTCACTTGCAAGCTTTCCTCTTCATCGTGGAGAAAAGAATAGCAAAAATTTGTTATTATCCATAATGTTTCTTATTAGTTTCAAAAGAATAGAGAACTGGCTCATTTTGAAATTTAACCGCAGCTGATAGTCCAGAATAGAACCGAGATGAGGGAAAGAAAGAAAACATAGGTTAATCAACATTAGCAACTTAATTGTACGTGTTCCATATCCTCGACTCTTCCAACATTTCTACAAGCAAGAAACAATACGTTCATAAAACAAATGTACCTATTCCATTATCATTAAATATTTGAAACTAAGTCCGAAAGAGCATTTTTTTTCCTCGTTTTTTTCTGTTCTTCACAGTAGTAAGTTCATATCATAAAAAAGAAATCATAATATCGTAAAAAATATCTCATTGAATAAAAAAAGAAAAGTCATGAAAAGCAGAAATAAAAGGTAGCTGATATATATAATATTATGCTAATGATAATAATAAATGTCAAATCTATTTGAAATAATCGTAGTCAATGCCATTGAAATCTTTATAGGATTTGTTGGTGTTCTTAATCGCCTTGTCTAAGCCATCGTTGAAGTGATGATACTTTTCCGCTTCAAAATCCTCACCGCCAGTATATTCATTCTTCATGTTCTTGAACTCGTTGATCTCTTTTTTGATGGTGCTCAACTTTGAGAAATAGTCATGATAATTCTTCCAATACTTGGTGGCAGAGAATTCATCCATCATTGTAGTATCCTCATCTGTAAGATTTTCAAGAGTAGCGAAATCGCCAGCATCATCATTAGAAGAGATCTTGGATAATTGCTTGGTTAAAGAGGTGATATTGGTCAATCTTTTTTCTAAGTCATCGGAATTGACTTGACTATAAGAGCTCATCTTGAAAAAACTGTAGAGGGGACTTGAAGGAGAAAAATGATAATAATTAGCAATAATAGTTGCACGCTACCAATCCAAGAAGTTGAAAAGTAGAGGCGATATATTCAGTTTTAAAACTATGGTATGCAATAAACGTAAGATCAGAAAACAGAAGTGATTGTTGGAAAAAAATTGACGACTGAGTCTTTATATGTACTATTGGGATGACTCCACTTTTTTTTTTTTTTTTTTTACATTACAGTAGCATAATACCCCACATTATCATTTGTCACCAGACATGAGGGGAAAGAGACAGGGCAATGACAATCTCAAGGAGCTTCAGAATTGCTTTTTCGATGATGGATAGATGACATAAATTCGCTTATGCAGAGCTTCACAATAGCACCTCACTGGCAATCGCTTCAAACCACACATTCGAGAAAAAAAAATACTTTTGCGCACGTGATAAAACTTAAGGGGGAGCAACCAACCTTACCCTATATTTCCTATATAGGAAAAAGGTAAATAAAAAAAGCAGCTAAATCTTTCTACTTTACACAAAAACTTCGTACCTTTCTCTTTCCCTTATAATTAGTAGTGTATCGCCCTACATCGCCACTCTCAATATCATTAATAAAATCATTTTCGACAGTGAAACAGTTCTTTATTTACTTTTTTCAATAACCATACGGTAATAGACCATAGCGTGCACCATAATAAATACATTCATACAATTGCATCATCTCCAATGACAAGTGAAATCCAACCATTGCATCAGAGAGCCTTGGGCAGCAAGACCCTTTTAAAGAAAAAATTATTTGAAAGTGTTGAAAAGTAAGTTCAAGAACATTTTTCCTCGAGTTCAAAAGTATATCTTTGTACTAACAACTAATGAAAGATCTGGAAACAGCAATGTGTTTGCATCTCCAACAGACAACATGTTATCTCCTTGTACCGAGAAATTGAAGAACCACAAAAATAGATTCTTTGCTAACCAAAAGGTCACAAAACTAAATCTTAAAAGCTCTATGTCCAAAGAGAAGGGCGGTTCAAAACTAAGTTCAGAGATTGAGGGCAAAGATGTGGATGAGCTCTTGAAGGCTAGAAAACCAGCCAAGAGAGAAGAAGACGAAATTGATGAAGATGAGATGATGAAGAACATCAATTTTGATGATATATAAATCTTAAAGTAATTTTCTTTTCTGGTACAAACCATTAATGATGGCTCGTTTATATTTTTTGGACTTGGTTTTTTTTTTTTCTTCATTCTTCATTTCTATACTTTTTATTTGTTTTTTTGATGACATAGATACCTTATTTTTGATTTTCTAACGGATTTACATTATATTCCTTCATTTTATTGATTTACAATATATTTAGCTCAAATATTTTCGCGATCATTACATTTTATATTCACATACACCAAAGATAAGAATAATAGAATTATTTACAAACAAAAAATACCAACTTTATCATTCACAAACTTAGTTTCTGGCGTCACTGGCAGTGTTCAACAATAATGCCTCATTATCCAAAATAATCTTGTTTGGAGACTTGGCTAATATACCAGCAATTTCTCTGGCAGTATCCAATCTCTTCAATTCAACATAATCCTTAGACTTCTTAATGGCCTCACCAATCAATTCCGCAGACTTGGCTTCACCCTGAGCCTTCACAACCATCTGTTGTTTCTCTTGTCTAGCTTTGTCAACCACAAAAGCGGATCTTTGAGCATCTTGCTGAGCAATTTGCTTGGCCTCAACTGCATGAGTGAATTCTGGGGAGAATGTCATGTAAGTCAAAGAGACGTCATCCAACAAAATGTGGAACTTTGAAGCTCTTCTAACCAAATTTTCACGAATTAATTTCGAAACCTTTTCTCTTTGAGTAATTAACTGAGAAGCATTGAATTGCGCAACCACAGATTTCAAAACTTCATTGATAATAGATGGCAAAACTCTTTCATCATAGTCACTACCTAAAGTTCTGTAAATAGTTGGCAAATGGTTGACTGATGGCTTGGACAACACTCTACAAGTGATATTAACCATCTGTAAATCTTTAGTCCCGGTCAAACTTGAAACATTTCTTGGCTTTGCTCTAATATCATAATCAATAGCCTTCTGCAAGAATGGAATGGCAATATGGGTACCTTCATTATAAATAGTTGGTTGAATACCTCCAATACGAGAGTAGATAATGGCTCTGTGACCACCTTCAACGTTAAATAAAGAAGAATTGATGGCCATGACACCGGCACCTAACAACAAAATGGCAGTAAGACCCGCAATAGGTGGCTTTGGGACTTTACCATTTGGCATGCTGGAGCTCTGAACTTGTCTAGCTCTGTCTCTCAATTGTCTGGCCAATTGTTCCCAGTTTGGTTGGTTACTCATCGTTAAAAAGTTATCGTTAAATCACTTTGCCCCATATATTATTGTGTTTGAGCGCCTTAATTTTTTTTTGCTTTTTTGCCATCCAAAATTTTCCCCCAGTCAATTTTTCCCTTTTCTTGCACGTGCTCATGCATAGATAGTTTAAAAGAGATGGGAGAATGGATGATGAGTTTCTCGTCTTTGCTTATTTAAACATCTTGAATTGAGGTCAAGTAATAACTAATAATGTCAGAAAAAAAAGAAGAAAACAAGTTCTTATTACAGGAGGCTGCCAGAGATGGGAAAGCGTTGACCGTGAGGTCACTTCTTAGAGAGAATCCCAGACTAGTTCAGCGGCGAGACCTTGATGGCAGAGTTGCTTTACATTGGGCAGTTTCTTCCAACCATCAAGAAATCGTGGCAATGTTGTTAAATCCTTTGTTAATAGCCAATGCAGAAGAAAAGAAGTTTTCAAAATTTGAAATCGAGATCGATGACTTGGTTGATGATGCTGGATGGACCCCACTTCATATTGCTGCTGCATTGGGAAATCTTGAAATTATCGAATTACTTATAACTCATGATCCTGAACCAACAATAAACCAACAGACCAATGCGGGACAAACTGTTTTACATTTGTCTGCTTCCAAAAATTTGTATGAAACAACGGCATATTTCTTGAAACATGGTGCCAGTGCTAGAGTCAAGGATAAAAAGGGTCAGTACCCGATATTCAGGGCTGCCTCGATCGGATCAATAAGACTTGTGGAATTATTGTGCACCGAAGGGAAAAGTCAATTGAATAACAAAGACAACTTTGGTTGGACGATCTTACATCATGCATTGGCCGAAGGTCATGGTGATGTTGCTATCGAATTGGTTAAACGTGGTGCCAACCCCAACATTGAGAGTGGCGATGGCCAAACACCGGTTGAGGTTAGTGTGGATCAGAAAATTGAAAAATATTTCAGACAACATCTTGAAGATTTGGGAATTGAACTAGAAAAAAGTAAAAAATAATTCGCGGTATCAACGAAGGGCCGATAAACAAATAGTTTCAATTTATAGTTGTCTAGTTTTATAAATCATCATCGTTGACTACATGTTACCACCTCTTTATATTATTCATTATATCATTCAATATACAAAAAGATAATAAAACAAGTGGATGAACACATAGCTGTCTTTCATAATAAAAATGCAAATAATATTTATATCTTACATGTTTTGCTTTTTTTTTATAAGAAAAGCATTAGATTGGAAAAAAAGGTGGGGGAGAAATTTATGAATCAGTGCGTTAAATAAATTACCATTGAGCGTTAGCGTTTTCAGTAGATTCAGCCCAGTCACCAGCATCACCTGGGGCAGCACTCCAGTCAGCTTCTTCTGGTTGAGCAGACCAGTCGGCAACAGCTTCAGCAGCTGGTTCAGCAGCTTCTTCGGTTTCTTCAACTTCAGCAGTTGGTTCAGCAACTGGTTCAGCTTCTTCTGGGTTTCTGTAGAAATACAAATCTGGCATGACAGACCATGGTTCAGATCTGGTTGGCAAAGTACCTCTCAATCTGAGGACTTCTCTGGCCAACAAGTACCAGATCAAACCAATAGAGTGCTTACCCTTGTTGTTGGTTGGGATAGCAACATCAACGAATTCAGTTGGAGAGTCAGTGTCACACAAGGCAATGACTGGAATATTAACGTAAGAAGATTCTTTGATGGCTTGAGCGTCGGTTCTTGGGTCAGTGACGATGATCAATCTTGGTTCCTTGAAAGATCTGGTGATGTAGTTGGTGAAAGAACCTGGGGTGAATCTACCAGCGATAGCGGTAGCACCAGTGTGAGAAGCGAACTTCAAGACAGCTCTTTGACCGAAGGTTCTGGAAGAGACGGCAACAACATCAGCTGGGTTTGGAATGGCAGCAATGATTCTGGCAGCCATAACAATCTTTTCCCAGGTCTTACCAACGTTGATAACGTTGACACCATCTGGACGAGTCTTGTAAACGTATGGTTCGTTACGGACCTAAAAAAATTGTTAGTAAAACATTGAAAATCAACTAAGGAATGCGTTGACAATGTGAATATTACCTAAAACCCTCCTCAAAGCAAAGAATATTGATTTTCGATAAGTGTTGATTTTCTCATCTTTATGCTGAATAATTTTTTTTCACTAGTTGGGCGACTCAATTTCAAATCATGATCCCAAATATTAATCTTCGTTGCAGCGATGGCCAAAAACTGACGCTGTTCGCTACTGGCATTGACTATTATCTCTTCATTCCTCATTATTTTCAATGCTCATGATAACTATTATGATTCTTCAAATTGGTCCTGATAAATTTTTCGTTTCCCCAAAACTCCAACGATTCATTGCCTTTAAAATTATGATCTATAATCTTCATTCATATGCTCCCATTCATACATTGTTTATTTATCTTTGTATTTTTAAATATCAAATTCTTATTTCCAAGTCAAGTAGAGATCTTTCACATTTCCATCAAGTTGAATACATACTTGAACGTTCTTAGCACCTAAGTGGACGTTGGCAGCCAACAACAATTTGGCATCGTCAGCAGTTAAATCGAAGGATTCTGGAAGGGACATTTTGCTATGTGCTATTGGTCTTGATACCTTATTACTGTACCTCTGTATAACAACTATTGGTGTTATAAAAAATTTGAATTTTCACAATGTGCAACTATCATACAGAAACACCCGAACATGCCTCCCTGGGTTTTGGAAAAAAAAAAAAAAGAGGTCCCGTGCGGCAAGCTACACGTGCCGGAATATTCAACGTCACTGTGAGCGTGACAAGCACATGAGCAAGTAGAGGGCTAGAAAATACTCACGCACCAAGAATCATTCCCATGGAACTCGTTTGACAAATCACTGTTTTAAAATTTTAGAGGAGTTACATATCGGCTCTATATACACTATGTACATAGTGGTGTCCAGCCATACTGAAATGTAATTGGTATTAGGGAAAGATGGAATTGTAAACTTAGCAATGTGATACTCTATTTTCATTACGCTTTTTACAGGCGGTACACTGCCTACCCACTCAACTTGATTATTGTATTCCTCATATATTGTTTCTTACAATGTACAGCATGTTGGAATCAATTCCAGTTATGTATTTTAGAGACGTATTGCAATGGGAAACTGAACTCTCGAAAGTCAGGAATGAAAACATTAATTGGTCAACTGTATAAACCATTTTTTTTTCTCTCTTTCATCTTCACAATAATTTGTAATTAGTGAAATAAAATACAAGAAGAGAAAATCAGCGTGGTGCCTGATTTACACCAAGTCAATCCAATTTTTTTTTTATTTATTTTTTCTTTTTTCTTTTTTTTTTTCCTGCATCGAATGTGCAGCTTTGATGAGATCTAATCAGTGTCCCCCCGAAGGAAATTTAGAAAAGTACGTGCGTCAGCAAATTTGACATATCTCATAAACGAGATTCTAAGAATCAGCCTCCAAAAAAAAAAAGAAAAAATATCAAGTGATAAAATTCAATTAACAATATGATCCACTGTTCTCAAATCATCTTGGACTTAACATTTTTCAACTAGAACCTCTTAGAAAAGGGACTATGTGGATTCTAGAAGTATTCGTGCATTGAAAGCAGAAAGCTTATTGTTTGTAAGTGGAACATTTAAACAGAAACTTTGGAAATATGTCATCATATAATGATTGATTAGGACCTACGCATATTTTCCTTTTTATTGTTTCACAAACCACCTAGGAATTTTCAGAGACAACCTTCCCTTTTTCGGATGGTGCTTATAACAGGAAGAATGTAATTTTATATATTGACAGAACAGACGTTAGACGTAATACGTAATACACAATTATCTATTAGCTGGAGTTCCAGAGATAGCCGTTTCGACGCGTTCTGTTGGGGTGGTTTCTGGCTCGTCATCGAAGTCATAAGTATCAATGAAGAAGGATTGAATGAATCCAGCCCCACTGAAGAAGAACAACGACCACCAGAACAACCAGAATATTTCATGCTCTTGAGCAAAAGAGAAGATATGACCCCAAATCAAAGGACCGATGGCTCTACTAGAAGAAGCGATTGTCACGATAATACTATTGACGACCGCTTTATATTCTTTTGGAGCACCTCTGTGGGTAATCAATGACAAATGTGGTTTGATGTTCGAGGAACAACTGGTTCTGATGAAGGCAAGGCAGTAAATGGCAATAAAGCAATACTTGTAACTGGTAATTCCATTACTAGCACTAGGAGCCAAGAAAACCACGTATGGCAAGAAGAAAAAGCACAAAGGAACCAACGACAAGAAAATTGTGAGAATCTTTCTGGTATTAAAGTTTCTATCGACCCAAGGGAAAACCACAAGAATCACGAAAATACCAACAAACCCAGTAGTTGATAACAATCTACCACTTTGTTCGGAATCGAATCCCAAACCTCCCAAAATATGGAAAGGAAATTTAGAGAGAAGATTACCATCTCCATCCTTCATCAAATCATATGACAAGAAAATTGGCAAGAACTCTGTGAAGACAATATCTTGAATATTTTGAATGAAGAACAAAAGACCAATGTTGACGAGATTTGGAGTAATAATTTTCCCCCAAGGAACTGACTTTGAATGGTCTGGATTATACTTGATTGAATTGGTTCTGATAAGCACTTCTGATTGTCTTCTGCTTAATGGTGGGTAACTATTTTCCACAGAAGATGCTTCAGAATCAGAATTTTCATCCGCAATTGCTTCTGCATTGGAAAGCAATGGAGTTTCTTCAGTGGCTGGACTTTGTACTTCAGCATCGTGTTCCCTTTTCTTGATAGCCCAAAGTCTTTCATTCTTGACCCCAAAAAATCCTAGAATCTTATCACCGGTGGCCAAGCCCACATCGTATTCGTATTTGAAGTGATAGTGGGTTTCTTCGATGAAGAAGAAGGCCATAGTGGCACTGAAGAATAAAAAGCCACTGACAACAATGTTCACTAAGGCAAATGGATACTTTTCATTCAAGTCATCTAAGAGTTTGAATCCTGTCGGTTTTTCATGATTTGTGAGAGAACCTCCCAAAGCTGGACCAATTACACTACCAAGTTGGAACATCAATGGCATAACGAGGAATGCTAAAGCCTCATTTTTCTTAGACAACCCCCTAACCTCACCCAAGATCGATCTAATGATGGAAACATTTCCATTAACACACCCCATTAGGGCTCTGGCAGCAAAAGCCATCCAATAGTTTGTCGAGAACCCCAAGATGAGCATGGCTATCCCCGTACCAATCATCCCAGTCATAACAACCCTTTTACGACCAAGACGATCAGCAGCTTTTCCCCATTGGATGGCAAACATAACCTGACAACCAGCGAAGACCGTTGCCAAGTACCCGGAGTACTTCGAGATGTCGTATTCATTTTCGGCGATACCAAACCGTTTGACCATAAAGAAAACATAGGGAAATAATGATGTGAAAGCAATCGGCTCAGCAAGTCTCACAATCGCTAAAGGCATGAAGTGTTAGTCGGAGGTTATTCATCAACCTCATTTTGGTTTGTTGTTCCAAAGAAGTTACCTCAAAATGATAATAAAATAAAAAAAGGTGTAAAATCAAGACATCATCGAGAATTTCCCCCCCTACATATTGAATGCTTGATGTCACTTACCCACAAGTGCAACTTGTACAAACGGAAATCCGTCTATTTGTTCCCTGAATGTTATAGTCTGTCCACCGGCCATATTAAATTGATACACAAACTCTCAACAGCGTAGTCTGTCTTCGGATGAAAAGGATGAGGAAAGTGATAGTTAAGTATTTGAATTCAAAAATTTCAAAAATCGGCTTTACCCGTTTAGGGTAATTCCCGTTTCGGGCCGGGGATACTGTACCGGGGATAACCATATTCGGAGACCCATGTTACAGTTTACAATTGTTAATGCTGATTGGATGCTATTTTGTTCTGGTGAGAGTTGAATAATAGAGGCCGTGTTACAGGATTCTACTGCATGGAAAATCATTTTCTTTTGCCCCATCCCATCTTACGGGACTTAGAATATAGGCGAAAATCCTCAAAAAAAGCAATAGTCGAAAGCCAAGCCAAGCCAACCTTTCACATGCACACAAATGCATCTATACGGAGGGTTTTTGCATTGATACATAGATCGATCTCGTATTATGTGCCTGGTATGAAGTTTTCAACTCAACTCCTTTAAATTGAAATATCATTGAGGATATTTCCTAGTCAGAAGCTCCTTAAATTACATTGTTCCTTACATTGTACGTCTTTTGGCATGAAAAAGTGAGCGTACATTGTTATTTCTTTCCTTTTTTTTTTTGGTTTTTGTTTTGCGACTATATAAATCCTCAAATAACTCAAAATAATATGGCTTCGAAGAATACCTGATATAGTACTCAAAGACCAAATCAGTTACTACTTCCTTCATCTTTCAGCTTGCTATCAAAGTCATTGAGTTTTGGTGTTGAAACTGCTGATAGATTCCCAGCATTCGGGTTATTCACCGTCCCACAATTACAACAAATGAATTTGACTTGATTTGGTAAATATCTTGGAGGAGCAAGACCGTTATGAGTGAAGCAGTTTATACAAATTAATGCATATCGGCTACTTGGGGAAAGTTCATCCTTACCAACTAACATTTCAAAAACACTTGACACAGGAGATAACCATGACGAGGAAGAATCTGGATCATAAGTGCCTCTCTTTATCATAAGTCGCTTCTCACGAACTCTATCTAGCTCCAGATACCTCTGCTCAATAGAATCAAGCTGATGCGCGTAATCGTCATCACCATAATCTCCATCAGTATTATAAGCATTCTCATCGATAGTGGCAGCATCTGCTTCGCCACTTGAAACAGTTATGGCTGGGGTTTGGCTAGTATTTCTAATGTTGTTTGTATTTTTCATATCAGGAGAATTTACTGAAGACGTTTGATTCCCATCGGCATTATTATCAGATGAAGGGTCCATATTATGGAAATCTTGAATACTATACTTTTGTAGTAATCGCTTCGTCTTATTGAAATTTGTTTTGACTTTCAAATCAGTGATCTTCTGTTGACGTTGTTTCTTATAGAATGTAATTTTCCTGAGATAATATTTCAATATCTTATCATTGTATATTCCGATGAGTTGGTGGATCAAATATATCGCCACAATAGCCACAAACCCACCAACGACGTAATACTTATCATCGGGGTTTTCATAGAATTGGTATTTTCCTGTTTTGTAGACATAACCAATATATACAAAACACCCTGCCGTCAACCATATTGTTACTTGTTGCTGGAAATGTTTAGACTTTCTTTTAAATGACACCAATCGCTTTTCCGTCGATTCGATCTTCTTGTGTATTTCATCTAGATCTTTTTCAAACGTTAGAGGATTGAACTGGTCGTTTGCATTAGATTTGAAAAGAATTGAAAAAAGTCCCATGTTGTTTGGTATGAATTGGTATTTTCTCAGTTAAGAGGCACCGTATGGTTAGAGGAATGCTTGAACATGTACTTACAAGCTACATGTGTGAGCAGTTTTTGCGTGTTCGCGTTTGCTGTTTTTTTTTTTTTTTTTTTTTGATGGCCTGCTGTTATATGCATGATAACGGCAAGTATGGTATGACCGATACATGTGATATGAGTCAACAAAAATCTACAAATCTACAATAACGCATTGGTCGCTGCCGCTGAAAGATCATGATTGCAAATTAGACCATCGTTAAACCATTTACAAAGGGTACATACATCTGATAACCCAATGGAACAAAAAATTAACTCTGTCAGCCAGTCAGTTGGTGTGCCTATTCCAAATAATACTGACCATGCAGTTTCTGTGACTTTACCGACTTGGGCATCAGTCGTTGGATATGAAGAAGGAGATCAGAACGTTGTTCTAAAGATGCAGACAGGGTATCCTAGATTTTTCATCCATAATTCTATTCAAAAATTGACTGATTACTTGATTCAGGAATATGGGAGGGTTGGTTTGGAAGGTTTGTTCATTTTCCCATCATATACTGTCAGCCAAAGATGTAAGAAATTTATGATCCAAAGAATTCAAAAATTAGAAAGCCCAACCGATAAAGGCTATAAAAAAGTGAGAATCGTCAAACTCACCACATCAGCTCCTAAATGCGAGAATGAAATGAACTATAGAGTTCAAATGGCTATTGGTTTAGTGTTCTTCCCAAAGCAATATTCTAAGTATGGAAAAGAGTTTTGGCAACACAGCGGAGAAGGTATAAGTTCAAGATTGGCCGAGTATTTATTACATGAATTTGAATATGAAAAATTGACGAAGCACAGGGAGTCGAGTACCGAAAATTTAGAAGACGAAGATAAAAAGTTTGTGGAAGAGAAGTTTGGCAGAAATTTGAAGTTTATCGAAGCCGATAATGCTAATGTCATCATTCGTAAAAGAATCATTACCGAGGTTCAACAGAACAACAAAGCTGACGCTACTGTGAAAGTGGGTGATGAAAGCGATGTCTTCTTATATCCAAGTGGGATGTCAAGTATTTATAATGTCCACAATATTTGGTTGGAAACGTTACCAAATCATAAAACTGTGGTTTTTGGATTCCCATACGTCGACACATTGAACATCACCAAGAAATTTGGCCCAGGATTGATCCACTTGGGTAATGGGTCTAATGAAGAATTGGATTGGTTAGATGAACAATTGTCTTCAGGTAAAGAGAAAATTCTTGGTTTGATTACAGAATGTCCTGGTAATCCTTTGCTTAGGACACCTAATTTGAAGAAATTGAGGGCGATTGCTGATAAACACAGCTTCCCTGTGGCAATTGACGAGACCGTCGGGAATTGCATCAATATTAATGCTTATAAATACGCTGATGCTACATGTTCATCTTTAACCAAGATTTTCTCTGGTGATTCCAACGTTATGGGTGGATCTATTGTGCTTAATCAAAACTCTAAGTTTTACTCTACCATGAAAGCATGGTTGAATGAACACTATGAAAACAATTTTTGGAAAGAAGATTGTCTCTACTTGGAAAGAAACTCCAGGGATTTTCTACAAAGAAATGCCAAAACCAACAAAAACACCGAAGAGGTTGTTAAGTTGTTTGAGAAGTATCAGGAAAAGGGAGCGGTTAAACAAATTTTCCATCCTTTGACCTCACCATCAAAGAAATATTATGATGAAGTGAAAAATCCAAATGGTGGTTACGGTGGCTTACTTTCCATATTATTTTCCACCACACAGATATCCAAGAAGTTTTATGACGTTTTGAAATTATCTAAAGGACCAAGTTTAGGTACTAATTTTACTTTAGTGTGCCCATATACTATTTTGGCACATTACACTGAATTGGAAGAGGTAAAAGAATTTGGGGTCGATGCCGATTTAGTCAGAATAAGCATTGGTATTGAGCCAACCAGAGAATTAGTAGATATTATTGAAGAAGCTATTCTTGAAGCTGTGAATTAGCTCTATTTTTCCTGTTTTTATTGTCCAAAGATTTAGATATTAATTAGACAATGTCAGCTACACATAATAATTGTTTCTTTCTTCTGCTTTTGAACTTTGTAAGTCGAGTAACATAATATTTATTTATGATGAGAGAGCTTCTGATTAACAAGAAATAAAAATGATAAAAGACAAGACCACTTTATTAGAAATTTATTTCAACAAGTATATTAAGCTTCTATGGTTATCCTTTTTCTTCATTTGCCGATATATGATTCATAGACACCAAGCACTGCGGATTATAGAAAAAGCAGATTTTAGTTTTTGATTTTTTTTTTTAACTTTTATTCATAGCGAGGGGATCAGAAGGTCATTTTTAAACAATTCCTCAGTGGTTTTCTCTTCAATTTTTTTAGTGTTTGAGTTCCACAACCTTTTCACCTCTAGCAAATCTTGGGTTTCTTGGATCGTTGATGAATTCTTCAGTGTTGGCAGAAGCATTGGCGGCTTTGGCAACCAAGTAGTAGGTAAGACCACCACCGACGAAGAATGGCCAGTAAGGCTTTAAGATAGGAGTGGCGTATCTCTTCATTTTAAATGTGGATTATGTATCAAATTGATAGATGTTGCTGTTGGCAGAGACGACAATAGTGTTAGTTAACAGTTGGGGGTTTTCTTTTGGTGAATTTTCCACAGAGAAGGGGGTAACCCTGTCCAGCACAGAGACTAGCAAATCAGAATCGGCACAATCTCGAGTCACGTGCAATGTATAACAAGGCACCAATACGTATCCTACTGCAAGAACCACAACAGAGACACTCCAGTTATTATTAATCTTTCCCTGTCGGGCCGTCTTTCCATATATTCCGCACTGTTATTGTCATGTTGTGTCAATCGGTGCTACACTATTTATACCCGTCACCACTACAACAACAACAGAGCCCCAAAAGCATCCACTAATGATTCTCCCTATTATAATACCCCAGATTTGCACCTTCTGAGCTCCTGCTCACTGTTATATTTTCTTTTTCTTTTTTTTTTCCTGTTGCACGTATTAGTGCTGTGCTAGTGCTTCCATTTCAGCTGGCTGCAGCCCTGGAATCCAATTTTTTTTTTTTTTTTTTCTGTATATTTTTCCTTTTCCCGAAAGTTGAATATTGTAAAATAAACTTAGCCAATTGGTTTTAATAAACATACTGGTTGCCGGAAAATTACAACGCTTCCAAAAAGTATAGAGTTGCTAGACCGTGATACCCTTTCTCACAATGGCCCGGTCCCAAAGACCCTCTCGGGTGAATAATGACCATTCTGTTGCCGAAGAAGACGTCGAAAGCAATGCGGGCAGCAATTCAATAAAACGAGCGACAACTCTGGAAGAAATTGTAAACAAGCTTCCGGTTTTTAATCCAACAATAATAAACCCTGGTTACGATGATATGGTAGACCTCAAGAATTATACCAATGTGAAATTCAGCGACCGATTAGACACATTGAGATTCAAATATCTCGATGGCGAAACCCCTTTGTTTATCAAACAGAATTTACTCAATATCAAAAGAAAAGTTTTCGTGCAAACTCCATTGGCCGATGATATGTTGACTCAGCAGGGGGAGGCATTGGTTCCCAAACAAATATACCCAAGAAATAAAATCAGAACCACAAAGTATACTCCCATCAATTTCATCCCTAAAAATTTATTCAACCAATTCCAAAACGTTGCAAATGGTTATTTCTTATTTTGTATCATCTTGGGTGCTTTCCAGATCTTCGGGGTTGCTTCTCCTGGTATGAATGCGGTTCCTTTGATTGTTATTGTGGTTCTTACAGCTGCTAGAGATGCTTTTGAAGATTCCAGAAGAGGAATTTCCGATAATGAGTTGAACAATTCGAAAATTCATTTAGTTACCGGCCTAGAGAATCCAAATGTGTTGCTAGATAATGTCGGCCCTTGGAGAAGATTTAAGAAGGCTAACTCTAAGTTTTTCAGAAATTTGTTATTCAAACATATAGTCCCAATTTTCAAGAAGAAAAAGAACTCCGACCCTGAAGTTGGGATCAAAGGCAATGAATTGCTGTCAATATTATCCCAGCATGAGTCTCTCGGAACTATTGAAGATGGTGGAGAGTTGTATAATAATCGTCTTTCTATCCAAACCTCAAGATTTTTGAATGCCCGTGATAAGATTTCCAGACCAATTCCCGACACAATCACTAACCCAGGTTACCAACCAACCGGTGCAATTAAATTTAAGAACAAGGCATGGAAAGATATTTATGTAGGTGATATTGTTAGAGTGAGACAAAATGAAGAAGTTCCGGCTGATATTGTGTTGTTATCTACCTCTCTCGAAGATCAAAACTGTTATATTGAAACCAAGAATTTGGACGGTGAAACCAACTTGAAATCAAGACAATCTCTTAAAGCCGGTGCAGGTTTAAAGTATGGTAACGATATTGAAAGAATCAAATGTTGGATTGAGTGTGATAGTCCTAATACAAACCTATATTCTTTCAAAGGGGTGATGCACTATCCTAATTATGAAGATCCAAATGGCGAAGAGCACTTGGAATCTATTACTATTGATAATGTATTATTTAGAGGATCTACTTTGAGGAACACGAAATGGGCTATCGGGGTGGTAATTTACACCGGTAGTGAAACAAAAATCATGTTGAATTCTGGTATTACTCCAACTAAGAAGTCTAAAATTTCCCGTGAATTGAATTTGTCTGTCTATATCAACTTTTCTTTGTTGTTCGTGTTGTGTCTTGTTTCGGGTGTTATTAATGGTGTATTTTATAATAAGAAGCATATTTCGCGGCTTTACTATGAATTCGAGCCGTATAGTGATAAAGCATCTGTGTCTGGTGTGGTTGCATTCTTTGTGGCCTTAATTTTATATCAATCTTTGGTTCCAATTTCTCTTTATATTTCTGTGGAAATTATCAAGACGGTCCAGGCATATTTTATTTGGTCAGATATCAAAATGTATTATGAGAAATTAGATTATCCATGCATTCCAAAATCCTGGAATATTTCCGATGATGTTGGTCAAATCGAATATATTTTCAGTGACAAAACAGGTACTCTTACTCAGAATGTTATGGAATTTAAGAAATGTTCGATTGGTCTAAATAGCTATGGTCAGTGTTACACTGAAGCAAAAATGGGAATGCAAAAAAGATTGGGTGTGGATGTTGTCAAAGAGAAGATTCAAATGGATAAGCTCATTGCGGACGATAAGCTGGAAATGATTGGTTTGATGAATAATAACATGGATTTCTTCAGTAATGGGAATGCCCAAACTTATATTGCAAACATGGACGAAAATGAATTAACTTTTATCAGTGCTGATTACGCAAAAGATGTTCTCAAACAGGGCTCACAGAAGGCATTAAATGAATGGTTCATGACCACTTTAGCTTTATGTCATACTGCTGTCACGGAGGACAATCCAGAAAATGATCACAAGAAGCTCATCAAGGCCGAATCTCCAGATGAAAATGCTTTAGTCGGCGTGGCAAGGGATGTTGGTATCGAATTTAGAGGTAGAAGTAGAGATATCATGTACGTCACCAGATATGGTATCGAAACCCCTTACAAAGTGTTGAATGTCATTCCTTTTAACTCTACCAGAAAGAGAATGAGTGTTATCGTTGAAGTTCCAAAATCTCACTTGCCAGAATACCTGAATGTGACTCAAGAAGTAAACAACGAACAAGAAGAAGAAAAAGTTGTTGTGGTCCTTACAAAAGGTGCTGACAATGTTATCTATGAAAGATTGAATGTTGCATCCGACTCGGCAATGTTGCAGAAGACTGCCCTCTATCTTGAACAATTTTCCAAAGAAGGTTTGCGTACCTTGTGTGTGGCCTATCGCGTTGTCGATAATGGATACTATAAGGATTGGTCAGAAAGATTCCATAGGGCTAATGTTTCCATTGATGATGATCGTGAAGAAGTGATCGAGTCTGTTGCTAACATGATTGAACGTGACTTTACTTTGATCGGTACCACTGCAATCGAGGATAGATTGCAAGATGGTGTTCCTAGCTCTATCGCCTTGTTGGGTGAAGCGGGGATCAAATTATGGGTTCTCACTGGTGACAAAGTTGAAACTGCTATCAATATTGGTTTTTCTTGTAATTTGTTGGATTCAGACATGAAATTATTGGTCATTGGAAATAATAAAGATACTGCTGCTGAAGCTAATGTTGATTCCAGTTCTTCCACTGAATCCCATACGTCTTCCAATTATGACAACGATAAAGATACTGTTTTCAGTCAGATTGATGAAAAACTTTCAAAGTATTTGTCTGAAGAATTTGATATTCACTTGAACACCAGGGAAGATATCAATGCTGCCGTTTCCGATGCCAAACAAAATCACAGCACACCAAAGGGGACACATGCTGTTATTGTTGATGGTGCGGCTTTAACTGCCATTTTTGATGATTTGCATACTGATTTGCGAAAGAAGTTTTTGCTCCTTTGTAAAAATTGTAAATCTGTTTTGTGTTGTCGTGTTTCGCCATCTCAGAAAGCTCAAGTCGTTAGGGCTACCAAGGAGCTTTTTAAGGTTATGACATTAGCAATTGGTGATGGTGCAAATGATGTTGCTATGATTCAGGCCGCTAATATTGGTGTTGGGATCGCCGGGGAAGAAGGTAGACAAGCCGTCATGTCTTCAGATTATGGTGTTGGCCAATTTAGATTCTTGACTAGATTAGTATTAGTTCATGGTAGATGGTCATACAAGAGATTAGCTGAAATGATTCCTTGTTTCTTCTATAAGAATGTGGTTTTTACCTTGACCTTGTTTTGGTATGGTATTTATGTCAACTTTGATGGTACCTACTTGCTTGAATTTACCTTGATTATGTTTTATAATTTGGCATTCACGTCGTTACCAATTATCTTTTTGGCGGTTTTGGATCAAGACGTCAGTGATACTGTGTCTTTGTTGACTCCAGAGTTGTACATAAGTGGTATCTTAGGTTTGGAATGGTCACAGTTCAAATTCATATTTTATATGCTTGATGGTGTTTACCAGTCAGTTATCTCGTTCTACTTCCCATACTTGTTGTATTACACAGGTACATTTGTTAACTCCCAAGGTTTAATTCTTATTCATAGATTTTGGATGGGTACCATGGTTGCTTCGATTTCTGTTATTTCTTGTAACATTTATGTTTTGTTGCAACAAAAGAGATGGGATTGGTTAAGTGGTATTATTTATGCTTTCTCTGTGTTGATTATTTTCTTCTGGATTGGTGTCTGGTCTTCTTCAACCTATTCTGGTGAGTTCTACAAGGCTGCGGCTCAGGTTTATGGTACCTTGACGTTCTGGTGTGTGTTCTTTGTGGGTGTGTTGTGTAATTTGTTACCAAGATTCTCGTTCGACACCATTAAAAGATTATATAGACCAAAGGACATTGATATTATCAGAGAAAGAGTCAATATGGGTGATTACGATGGGTACCCTGAAGGGTATGATCCAACTGACGCTAAAGACGTTGAGAAGTATAGACTTATGCATGATCGTTATCTTAGTGAAACCAAGCCGATTAACTTCGACTCCTCATCGTCTTCAAACTTTGCTGCTACTTCTGATGAAGCAAAGATTGAAAACGGAGCTAACTCTGAGTCAACCCAGAACAAGGTGTCATCGGTTCCAAACGAAAGGTCTGCAGAAGACGGTACTCCTCAACCTGGTGTTGAAAGAAAACCAGCTGTTGCACAAATTGTTAGACATCAATTGGGGTCCATCAAGAGAAAACTTACAATTTCTAAACTGAAGAAAAATTCTCAGGCGCACTTATCACCATTGGAACAAATGAGAAGAAATATGATCAGCAATGGCGAGTATGTGGGAAGTAGAACTTCCTTGTCTACTAGCCAAGTCCCTGGTCTTACTCAGGCAGAATCCTTGATGTCCGTTCACTCAAGAATCTCAAATATGGCGAGGGAGTGATCTCTTTTTTGCTTATCCCTTTTTTTTCTTGTTATTGTCCCCTGTCAACTTCAGTTTATTCCATAGATGGGTTACCTACATTGTATATACATATATATACATTTGTATAAGTGATTTTCTCTTTTCCTCTATCATACTTTTTTTTTGTTTTATTAACTTCCTGTTTCTGCTGTTGTTTTCATTATGTTTTTGTTTTGTGACTTTTTTTTTTTGTTTTGATTCTTCACTTCAATATTAATTTTCTTAACTTTCATTTGTTTCCCACTTTCGGGCCAAGTGATCTAATTTTATACTTTTCAATAGAAATTCCCTCCATACAAAACTTTTATGTGAGCTGAATACAAGTACACTTGATAATTTTTCAGAATTTATATTTTTAGGTGATATCATATTTCTTTTAAAGATATTAAAAAAAAAATAGTAAACTTAGACAGACAAGCTAAATTTATGGTATTAGGGATAAATAAACGATAACCAAAGTGACAAGATCAAAGAAAAAGAAAAGGTAAAAGAATAGTAATTAAAAAAAAAGGAATCAAAACAACCAAATAAAGAAAACGTAATTTCGTCAATGATACAGATCATGAAAGATCTCAAAGTTAAAGAAGGAGACATAGAGAAAGAGAGTGAGAAGAAGAATAGAAGAACACTAGATAGGTTCCAATGTAGTCTTTTTTTTTTCTATACAATCTTCAGCGGTTCCCAAAGCTCAAATTGATTTTTGGAGTCGGAAGATTGAATGTGAAACCACCATCATCCAATTTATGTTTAGATTCCACAACCCAACGCATACACAAGTGTATCAAGTACAACACTGAGCCAAAAGCTCTGAATGCTGCGAGACAAGCCACTGACCAGAGAATAAACGCCAAGTACTTGTTACTGCTGGTATCTTTAATACTATAAACTTGGGTGACGATCATAACCAACAACATGTTGCTCAACAACCAGAATAACACAACTCTAGTTCTAATATCTCTATAATAATCTTCTTCAGGAACTTCTTTTTCGGACAAAGATTTGATGCCTCTAGGAGTTTGTCTTCTAGATCTCAAGTTGAATAAGATTTCTTCATAACCACTATCTATATCTAATTGCTCACTTGGAATCTCTACCTCAACAACTTCATGACCAGCTTTATCAGTTTTGATGATGGCTCTCCCTAAATCGGTTGTTGGTTTGTTTTCACCTTTAGTACCCCAAGAAACATCATGGGTGTTACAAAAGGCATAGATTTGCAACGTGCAAGTGTAAGATGGTAACATGAGGAAATATTGGATAGAACTGGTGAATATGTGCCATGGATCCATGTAAATAAACGAAGTAAAAGCATAAAGACCATATGTGGACAACAACGAGATCACGATGTTTATAAATGTTGTCTCAGACGCAGAATCACTATGTCCATCCTTCAAGGTTTTACCAACAAAGTAGAAACCACAAGCCATACTGTAAAGGGCACAGATGGTCAAAATAATCATACTAGCAAAATATAAGTGTTTAGCACCTTGAGGTCTATTACCCATAGAAATGATGAAAATACTAGTCAAGTCACAGAGACAGAAATAATTCAAGATGGTGAAGATCCAATACCCACCATTGTGTGGAATAACATCGGTGTTGGCCAAAGAACCAGCCAAGAAATAGAAGGCCAAATAGAAATTACCCAAAGAGAAGAAAGAGAATAAAAGCTGGATGAATTGATAGAAGAATTCTATATGTAAGAAAAACTTTCTCACAAATGAATGATCGGTTTTCCAAACTTGTCTGAAATGGAGCTGCGAGTACAAGGCAGCAAACAATGCACCATTTAGCCATCTTCTTCTCTGAGAAATAAATTCAGGCAAGCTGTCTGGAACATCTGTTTCACCTTTTGCCTGTTTAACGTATTTCAAGACCCATTTTTCCGATTTCTTTGCCACTAATTCCCAACACAAAATTCTATCTTCTGCCAAGTACATATTAGCAGAGAAAACATCTCTTGTAGCACCACCGGATAATGTCTCACCTTTAAAGTAGGAAAATAGAGGCCCAGTTCCATCAGGGTGATTCTTGAGAGCACAATATCTATAAGCAGATAAAGCACCTGGCAACACTGAAATATAACCAAACACAGATTCTAACGGCTTATCCAAAATATTAGACATTTTATATTCAAAGTTTTGGGAAGCAACCAATGGATTCAACAAGTTCAAACCACCTCTTTCCTTCATGGCAATGATTTCACCGGCAGCACCAGCCACATTCGAATCATTATCAAAAGCTTTCCACAAATGATAGATGGAGTCCTTATCTGGTCTAGTACCGACATCCAATAAAACACAAACATTTGGATCCATAACTGGACAAAAAGCATTGAATAACCATCTATGAGAATTAATTTTCTTTTGATTCTTTTCCTTCAAACAGAATAGAATTTGCACTGGGACCATTCCTCTTTCAGCACCTTGGAATTTCAAATCTGTGTCTATTGAGACTTGGGTGGTGTATTCGAAAAGATGGGCTTTGACTTCTTTGGAGTTAACAAAAGATTTGGCAATACCATCTTGGTAAACACCCATTGCTGCCAAAACTTCCAAAACACCAGGCGAAATTTTTGCTCTACCATCACTGACAATCACAACTTGAACTTTTTTCCACCCTTCATCACTCCAGATTCTTGATCTACGTCTGGAGCATAATTGGGAAATATTTTGCATAACGGCATGCATGGTTCTGGCAAAAGATAGTTCGTCTTCATTGTACATGGTGATACAAATGACAATCTCGGTTTCTCTACCATACTTAGCAGATCTTAAAGTGAATCCATTCTTAATGAAATCATCTGGGTCTGAGGTACATGCGGTATATCTCATGAACAAGAACTCATCATCGTCACGTCTCGGCAAGAAACTTGCTAACTTTGTAGGAACAGGGTTTTCTAAGACTAAATTACCTCTTTCCAACTTGAATTCTTTTCTCAAAGCTCTATTTCTTCTTGGTTGATGGGTCAATGGGATATCAGCGTGCATGTTACCATCTAGACTATGGATTGCTGATTGTTGATCTAAACTATTGTTATTCATCGCAACAATTTGTTTTCTTCCGGTATATTCATCATAATTGAAATCAGCTGTTGACATGGAGGCCAGAGACGAAGCTACTTCATATTTTTCCTTAGATAAACTTCCATCGTAAGAAATTGTATCACTATTTTCATAAGAATATTTGCTTTGGGAGTTGACATCTGCCATGTTGATATCTTCAAATTGAGACTGTGCAGCATTTCTGTCATTGAATGGATCGTTGGAAACCTCCAGATAATTATCATAAGGTTTTAAATCTGGAGCATTTCCAGATAGGTTGAGTTCACTACCATTGGCTTTAGCAAAAGCGGCAGAGTCAAATATTGGCTTTGGAGGAGATAAGAGCCTCGAGCTTGTTGTGGTTGATCTAGATGTTATTGTTGGAGATCTTCTAAGTGGGGAACTACTTAAAGAGTAGTTATCGTCTTCGTTATAGTCTTCCATGATGACGGAAGTATGCTTAGATCTTTTCGGCGATTCTAGTCTTGTCCAGTTCGATCTATGAGTTGGCGATCTGCTCAAGAAATTATCATTCTGATCATTATTGTTCTCCATAGCAGCCTTAACAAAATTATTACCTTGGGTGGAAGAGTTGAAGATAGTTGGTGAAGTGGTGAAACTAGCATTGTCAGGCATTTGCATTTGACTTCTTCTGTTGAATGAAACAGCAGGAGAGTATCTGGTTTTAGCTTTTGAAGGAGAAGAACTTCTGGAAACAGATTCTTCATCATAACCATCATCTGGGAATGCATTGAAGTTTGAAGAATAGGCGGATTGATTGTATTTCTTTGGAGAAGAGTTTGCTAATGTTGGCTTTGGTTGGGACAACAATGTTCTCTTGGAAGGACTACCATCGTAAGGGTAGTCATAATCCTCATCATCAAAGGGGTTCGACATTGTTGATAAGGTTGTTATACTGTAATATTTTGATGAATGTACTCCATAGGAAAAAATTTGAACGACAAAAAAGTTGTTATAAATAAAATCCAAAACATTATTTCCAGATGTGCCTAATGCGGTAATACAAAAATATAAACACGCCACCCCATATGCAAAAAGAGGGTGCATAAGCCCATAATCAAAACAAAAAGTCTCAGATCAAAAATTTTAGTAGGCTACAAATTGCAATAAATAAATTCACGCAATAACGCAAAAAAATAAAAAAATAAAATGAAAGGATCCAATCATTAGTATAGAAATTAAAGGTATTCAGTAATCTAATTCCATATTTACCACTGGTTTTGCAGAAGCAAGTTTTTTTCTTTCTGCAGCCAAGATATCTTCTTTAATTTGAATCACCAGCTGATTCAATATCTCTGAACTGAAATCGTCGCCAAGAGTGGCATTTGAGTTAGACATGGCATCAGTATTAAGTTTGCCGCACCCTTTAAACTTGTTGGCCTCCACGTAGTAACCATAATCTAGGTTTTTCTCAAACTCTTCATCGTACACCATCAAATAATTATTTTGGACAAATTCTTCCAACCTTTGGTAAAATGGCAAACTGCGGATATCATTTTTCAAATTCTCCCATCTTAAGCTTTCAAGACTTTGAATTTGTTCGGTAGGAGTATTTCCAGAGATGTGCTTTTCTTCTATAAAGTCGACAATTTTGTTTTTGTAAACTAGCTTCTCATCATCAAATCTTTGTAAAACAGATTTTTTCATCTTTTTCAAGTCCTGCAAACTTTGCTTCACAAGCATTTCATAGATATATTCTCGATGCTCTTCTAAAAAGCTCAGGTCTTCCTGACCAACATTAATATTTGACAATAGTTTATTGTCTTTAAGGATAGCAAAAAACTCTTCCTTTGAACTGGTTAGGATATTGAATTGCTTTTCAACAATATAATTGAAGATAATATCTTTTTGGGCCTTCAATAAAATATTCTGTTCTTCAATGAGATCCCAAAAGAGCTCCAATGGCCCTGAGCCAGATCTGCCCAATAAATTCTGAAAGCTTTCCTCATCTTTGATATATGGGTATATTTCCTTGAAAGTAGTATTTATCGTGATTAGATTATTCTCTTTCATTTCTTGAAGTAATTTCTTGAAATTTTCCCTAGCGATTCTATCATTTCTTTTATTTTGTGACTCCAAAGTTTTTATCTGTGATCTCAAGTCTTTTGTGATATCTTCTTGAAATCGCGAATAAATTCTCAAAATATCAAGTTTATTCAACTTTAAGAAATTCTTGTTTTGCTTAACTCTTTCGTCTGTGGTGATCATTTTCAAGATGTCATCCCATTCTACTTCATTTGTTATTTTCGATTTCAAACTCGTTTCAAAATAATCCTCAAATTCAGATAACGCTTGAGTTTTCAATTTCTCTTCTTTCTCTTCTTGAATTTTTCTCAAGTAATCAACGTACTTCTGGAAAATCGCTTTCTTTTCCTTCTCTGAAAGAATAGAATGCTCATATATCGGTTCATCTCTAACTTTTTTCTTGAAAGTCTTCCATAATGTATAATACTTGACATCATCTTTATGTTGTGATATCAATTCCTTGAAATCATTTTGGAATTTTTCCTTTGTGTTACTTAAGTTCGACAATTCCCGTTTAGATTTCTCGATCAAATACTCTTCAAAATAGGTTTTCTTAGCCAAAGTGTCATCAATTACCCAGTATTTTGGGTTATCAATAAAGGTTTCCATCACCTTCTGGAAGGACCATGAGGTACTGACCTTATTGTCTTCTAATAATTGAATAAATATTTGTTTTTGTGCAGGTCCAGCTACCAGCGAACCATTATTAGCTGTGAATGTTGGATTCATCAAACTCTTCTCAACTGAAAAAATCTTATAGAATTGGGTATTCTCAGAGGTATTATCATCTGGTTTGTTGGTGGTAGTTGACGTTTCTCCGCTCTCCTCAACCTTGGAATTCTTATCTTCAGCAACCACCGCAGTCTTTGGTTCATTTTCTTGTTTGATAGGGAACTCCCACGTTGTTTTCCTAGTTTCTGAGTTATGATAGTAATATCTTTTTGTTTCCTTTGAAAAATACTTCTTCCAGGCAGACTTCTCTAATAATTCATCTAAATGATTATACAACTCTTTTGGCTTTTCCCATGTCGATTGCTTTGTTTCACTGTTATAGTAATAAATCCTCCCCGAGGCATCTTTTGCCTCCTTCCAACTCATACCAGGCTGTGATCTTATTTCCTAGTATTTATTCACTGGCACATATAAATCTTGATCTACGGAATTTGGATAAATTCATATATTAAATTAATTTTTCTTCTCATCGCGCACACTTTGGTTATGGCCCTGTCTTTTCTCATAAGAAAATTATACAGGCACAAACATTACCAAAAACGGAAGCTTTGACAGAATAAGTTACAAAATCACCACAGGTTGATACTCTCAAAGGAAAATAGAATGCTTTCAAATGGCATATAGTGTGCTCTCATCAAACGAAATGGTCGCCCTGTTTGGGCTTGACTGGGTGCTAGTCCTTCTAGTGCTATTGTCCTTGATGTTTTACTTCAATAGACTTGTGGGGTCTTTGATGACTGTCATATGTAAAATACTATTATGGAAGCAATACAAAGTATCGGTGCATTTTCAGTCATTCAAAATATCATTGCTAGCTGGAAGAATCTTCTTCAAGAATTTTTCAATTGTGACGAAGGATTGTACAATTTGCATATTAGAAGGAAATATCACCTGGAGATATTGGTTCTTCAATGTTAAGCAGTCAGAATTCGGTTTAGCGAACCAAGAGTTAGATGATGGAGGTGAATCAAATAGCCCAATTAGGAATGAAGGACTCAGCTCAAGGTTTAGAGTCGAAATGGATGGTTTGGAAGTGTTTGTTTATAACCGGACTTATGCTTTCATGAGTGTGTTAGAAGAACTTCAGAAATCATCCAATGCCAATGTTAAAAATATTACTCCTATTAGCTCTAACTTTGAAAGAAGAAATCATGATAATGTTATAGTAAATCATAGAAGGTTTACTAGCGGCTCTTTGGATGGTTCGGATAGGAGTAAAGATTCCCTTTGCGAAAACACTTCTAGTAATCACTCGCAGGATGAGATTGATCTGACCGGTTCGCTGGTATTTGATATTATCAAGTGCTTGCCGATCGATCTAAAAATTCATAAATGCGGTATCGTCATTGGTAATGAAAACACGACATCTGTTGTGGTTTGTTCTTTTATTAATGGAAGGGGGAGCTTTGATATTGGTTGTGCGGCCAATCCTTCGGTGGATTTCTATAGACACAATATCAAACTTCTGAGCGAGAAATTTCAAATAACATTGAAGCCAAATATCAGCTATAAGGAACCAATCAGCTCTTCGTTCTTAAATAGTAGCGATTTCAGTATCCACAAAGAATACACACGGAAGAGAAGACAGAGGAGATTCAGAAAGTATAAGAATTTGTGGACGTCGTTTTTAAAAATAATGCAAATTAAGAAACACAAAAAACAAGATACACACGACAAATCAATAGAAGACAAAAATGAATGGAAAGGATTACCTCAATTTCTTGAAAATGAAGATGATAACCTCTTGAATGATTACTCCGATTTGCAAGATGAATTGTCGCAAGAGTACGCAATTTATAGAACAGTAGTAGATGCCGAGAAATGCGAAATACTTTATTACTATGATATTCCTGGTAAAGTTCCTCATGATGGTCAAATCAATAATGAAAAATTAGGAAAGCTGGCCGATGGATCCCCAAAAACAGGTGTTGAAATTGAATTATATGAATCAACCATATACTATGGACCTTGGGCAGATAGGCAAAGAATTTCTATTTACAAGGCTTTCTTCCCTCAATCCAATAACTTCGAAGACAGTCAACCTACTAAAAAATTAGATGCTGGAGAAACCAGAGAATATAGCTTTTTTGATTTTTGTGTGAGATTTGTGGATGACAAGTCCATTATCAGAGTTCCGATGAGAGAATATAGCAAAGATATTGCAAATTCACTAAATAGATCTAAAAAAATGGCGGACACTGCGAAGATGGAGAAAGGGAGTGAGCCTGATAGTTTTGTCAACAAGGAATCTAAGGAAAATGAAGAAACAGGGAAAAAACCGTTTGCATGGTTAGAATTAAAGCTTTTTGAAGGAAGTTTTATTAATTCCGTGACTGATTATGAAAGAACTCTGAACGGAAGTGATGTTAAGCTTAACGTCTTATTAAAGGAACCTGAATTAAGGTCTTCCATTAATCATAATATTTTCTACAGGGCTAAGGAGCACCGTCTTGATATATCGATAAATTATCCTTTAATTTGGAAGCAAATAATAAAATGGAATATTTCAAATAAAACATCCAGCTGTGAATTTTTCATTTTGAGAGAACACGTTTCCCTCATTTCTGACATGATCAATGATTTTGCTACCGTGGAAGAAAGCTTGTTGAACGATCCCTGTGAAACGGTGAATTCCTATAATTTGTTCAGGCCATATGAATATAATGTGAACTGGAAGATCGAAAATGGTGTCAAGTTATATTTGAACATCAATAATCAAAATATTATTAACAATCCAGTGGATTTTGATGATAACACCTACCTATCTTTCCAAGCGCCATCTTTAAATATTGATTTGCTGATACCAATGCATGTTATTTTCCAAAAATCAAATTCAATTAATTTTGACATTTCATCTGAAAATCTTTCTTTAGTCGTTGATACTCCTGCTTGGAGCACCTTAAATACCTTCCTTAAAAACAAGGAGTTGGCAAATGGTACTGACTTCAAAATACGCGGCTCATATACTTACTATAGTAGTATTGAATTAAACTTGGTGGACAGTATAATAGTCAACTGCTTTTTATCAAATACGACATTCCATGCGTATGGGTTTTTAATAAAATTCATCATGGACATTAAAGAAAACTACTTTGGGGAAAATATCCACTTTCAAACCTTGGAAGAATATACTGATAAAAAGCATGAAAATGAAAATATAGAGCATGATTCTGATCTGGCGTTCTCTAGTAATAATGGAGAGAAATCAGTGAAGCCTGCATTTGAATCCGAGCCAGAGTTCAGGTCAAGATCACGGAACAAGACAAAAGAGCCTAAACAATTTCGTCGGATAGAAAACGAAATCGATGTTTTATTTTCCTTCTGTGTTGATAATGGCTGTTTAATTTTACCTTGTAATTTATACGATAGTGATTCTTTCATCGCTGCGAGACTTCCGAACTTTGATATTGACATTAGATTCACGAATTACTATATGGATTTACAATGTGATATATCTCCTTTGAAAGTTACTCATGTTGTGAATGATCCCGATGCTGTTAATAGAGTGGTTCATGATACAGATTTGAATATTAATCCTGACATGTTCATCAATGGATTATCAATTCATGGTCATAGGATTTTTGGCTTACCTCCATTGGAGCCGACATATATTTGTGTATGGGATATTAGCGCAGGCGCTATTTCATTGAATACTAATGGCTTATTTATTCAATCATTTTTGGGATCTATTCAGAATCTTGGTTACACATTCAGAGACTTTGAAAATTCGTTGATTGTGGAAATTCCGGAGTTGAATGATGTCACAATTTTTACTTTCAAATGCCCATCGGTATCTGCGAGCCTTTTAGATAGAGAGCTGAAAGTTTGTTTGAATTTATCTTTGGAGCCAATAAATTTGAGACTCAATGATTTAGCAAATGGCAGATACAGTTCGCGAATGGATTTGAAAATTAAGAATATTATTTTAAAAATGACTGAGCAGGAATCATCCAAGATTTTATTATACTTGACTACGTCATTGTATCTTTCCAATTTTTGCAGAAAGAAAGAATTCACCGAACATAGACGATTACAACAGGAACATCTAAAGACCAATGATGGCCCATTTCATAGATCACCTTTCTTCCTCAGAGAGGAAAACAGAGATGAATACTACAACAAAAATTATGGGAAAATTCTCGCATCTTTGTCTTTGCCAGATATTGCTGCGCCTATAACAAATCAAACTGTTGATTTCATCTTTGAGGATTCTCCTATTGGTGATCGCCAGTTGAACTCGTCTAATATCTTTGATAGCTCAGAGGATGTTTTAGATACATCTTCTGTTACTAGCACTGACGAAGATTTTGGAGAAGCTGAAGCTGACTCAAGCTTGCTCGAATTCCTACCAAATAAAAAATTATCTGGAAAAAAATTAAATAGCAAACAACACAAAAAAATTTTAGGGGAAAACTATTTCATCGATACAACTAATATTGCAGATGTGACTCCCCAGCTTGATATGAGTGATGAAAGATATGAATATGATAATTTCATTTTCAATTTGTCAAGCATTGATGGCTTTCTTTCGCCATCGTCAGTTCTTGGTCTTGTTAAAATTGCAGATGGTTTCATTGACTCCTCTGCTGATATAATTTTGGATAAATTGCAACTCTTTGTCCTCACCAAACTATTGCTAATGGAAGAAAGTACATTCGCGGCTAAAAACATTAGATTTATAACCCCTTCTGTCAATGTTTATTATGGTGACTTTTCAAAGGATGCAACAATTGACGGCTTTGAGAATGTTATAAATTCTGAAAAGAATGATAAAGGTTGTTTTCTGGATCTCTCTAAAGTATTTGATATGAATTACATCTATTTATCTGTCAAAACACCATCAATTGTTGCCAGTTTTAAAGAAAGTATGACCAATAAAGAAACTGCTTCTGAGTCTCTAATTGCTATGCACTTACCTGCTGTTTCCATAAAAGTAGTTAACTTGGATGCGCCTAACTCAGAGGATCTGGCAGCTACTCTACGTTTTGAAGATTTTGAAATTTGGCTTGACCAAAGCCTTTCTGTGGTTTCATCGTTTGATTTGGAAGCCTTGGAAGTATCATTGGATTCTGAGCAGATAAAATGGTTGGCAAAGATAATTAAATATAATAGTGATTGTTTAATGCCGGCGATTGATCAATTACAGGCTTTGGGGACAAGGTTTGAATATTCAATAATTGAATTGATTTACAAATTGTCTATTGCCAGTGAAAAATATAACATTCATCATGACTCGTCCGTTCTCACTAAACCTACCTACATTACAAGAAACTCTGAGGCGAAACATGTCAGATCATTTGATAGTTGGAGAATCCTTGTGAGATTGCGTCATATTTTGAAAAGTTTACCTGCTGAATGGGATGAAAAAACTTTCGTTGATTCTGAAAATTGGAAAGATCATGATAACGCGTTCAATCATGTCCTTGAAGTTTTCTCAAAGTGGAGAAGCTGGGAATTTTCTGATATCAGACGAAGTTTTGTATTCAAAAGTGCTTTTAAAAATCTCTTCAAAGATGAAGAGAAGCAACCACTGAAAAGTAAAGGGCTTTATGTTAATATTTCCAACTTGGTGGTTAGATTGGAATCTAAATTAGAGCAAGACATAATACGTTTAATTGGATTGGAGGCTGAAACCTTCAGTCAATACGGCAGGGACTTGAAAGTCGCCTTAGAGTTGCGGTCCATTGAATCAAAGATTTCAACGATCTCTTTGTGCTTAATTGATGCTATTATTATTTTGGGCACAATGCTACCATCGAAGTCAATGACAGATGAAAATCAGGAACTTTCTACCAAGACAAAAGATGGTGGGGATATTCATGTATCCGCTTCTTTAGGAAAATTCAAAAATACGATTGTCATTGACAGAATTCATCACGAATTTGAGGTTTTAGGAGTATTGAGCTCGAATGTTTCTTTGTCTGAGTCATTGGATCAAAATGCATTGAATAATATCTTGCATTTAGATTCTTGTAGCTCCAAAATATGTCTTGATAAAGAGATCTTCGCCCAAAACTCTGTGAATGGTATCGATGTCAATATCTCCAATACAGGATCCTTTATCAACAACTTGACAGTTTTGGAGTCCAATATCGATTCTGTATACTGTGACATTTCTAGGGGCTCTTATGATTATCTTAAACTTTTGGCAGTTATAAATAACTATGAAATAAACCAGTTGGCCCACATTAAACAACTGCTTCAAAGACTATCTTCAGGTACGACGACGAATGATAAAGAATCTACGACCACTAAAGAGCAGGGATCTTTGCTTGGTATTTTGGACAATATCAAAATTAGCTCTAATTTTGCTGTCGAAAATTTTTATTGGAATATTGATGTTTTGTCACCGGTGCTTGTCTCAGGAAAGATTGGACGATCAGAATTCAGTACAGTACTTGCGAAAAGGATGGTTTATTGTGAATATAATTTTGATGGATTGGAATGCAATTTTATTCATAATACCTACGGTAAAAAGTTTTTGGCGAGATATCAACAATCGTACAGCTCGATGGTAATAAAGGGAAATCTCAATGAGGACAGACCATTAATCCAGTTAGACTGGAATTCCAAAATTAATGAATTCTCCATTCCATCGGCGTTGAGGTCTCTTAATGATATTTTGAATGCCAAAGTGCAATTGAATGGTATTGTGGATGAGTATGTTCTGTATGGTAAAATGATACAAGAAAAACTCGAAGTGATGTTGAAAACAGAGCCAACTAGTGAAGAGTCTCATAAAAACAGTGACCCTGGATTAAACGAATTTTTGGAAAAGGTGATGTTCAAGACGTGTATCGTGAATAACATCATCAAATTCAGCGTCGGGGTTGATGAAACAAAGGCCGAGTTGAAATTCATGGACACAACTTTCTTGGGGGGAAATTTTGATATTGACAGCTCGGAATCTCTTGTGAAAACTGCTCTATATGGTGATTTGATTTTACCTACAACCTCATTGTCTCTATTTGATCCGATTGTTCCGCAATACTTAACCCAGCTTATTGAATTCAACCTCGAGATCAAATTAAGCAGCTCCAAGGGCCAAGAGGATTCAAGAAGAATGGTTGAAATGACATCCGATTTCTTTAGAATTTTCTTGAATCCTTATTCGTTAGTGAAAATAATGGAAATTATTGTCAGAGCCCAGATAATCAACGAGGCTTTTATTGAGAATGAAGCTGAAATTGGGCAAGTAGTTACGCCAGTGGTTACACCAGGGTCGAACACAAGCCCGGAGCTCTTCTTCAAAAATTTGTCGATTCACATTCTATCTTACAATTTTTGCTTTGGTTGGCTATTTGGAGGTGAAGAATCGCAAGCGGTTGGAAAAGGGGTCATTGTTGGTTGCGAACGGGTGTATATCATTACTGAAGAGACGCTAGGTAAACTTACAATTGTTGATGGGTACTGTTCAAGTTTAGGCAATGATACATCTGTGAACTTCAATGCCAAGAATGATTCGACTCAAAGAGCCTTATTACCCAACGTTCAATTAATCTTTTCAATTTCAAAATCATCAAAAGGTACGAAAAGCCTCAATGTTAAAGTAACTGGTGAAGTCCTAGATGTGAGATTGATTTCCCAATATTTTTACACTAGCGACAACTTGATAAAATCGCTTGCCATCTTCCAGAATTTGAAAGCCGAATTGGTGCCAACTATCAATTATCAGAAAAAGCCGGTTACCGAATTGGGGGATTCTAATTATATAGATTCTTTGGGGACATTTTTTGCCTCTGTTAATTGTGTGATTAATTTTGCCGGGGCCAATATTAGAATTGATAGGTCTCAAACAAGTGAATCCTCTTTGGAATTGCACTCTCCTGCAGTGGAAATTAGTATTGGTTATAAGAAAGTAATTGGGGCGTTGAAGCATTTGGTAAGATGTGATGTCACAACATTTGCATCAGACAACACTTTGGAATCATCTTGTGTGCCAGTTTTGATGGATATTTGGTACGGAATTAATTCAATGATGAAACATGATTCTTTGATGAGGACCAAGGAATTAATGACTAAGGAGAATTGCATAGAAGATGAGGAAAATGCGGCTTTGTCTTCTCATCCGATTGATTATGTTGCGTTGATACATAATATTGACTTTAGTGGCTTATTAAATATCCAGCCACAGAGTCTTACTTTAAGTTGTGCACCAAATGCAAAGATCAACGCGGTAATTTCTACCGGCGGTATCAAACTTCAACTCAATACTGTTGAAGAAGGAGAAAAATTGGGAGCTGGGTCATTGCTATTTAGTGAGATGACGGCAAAACTTCAACACGCCTACTCTCGAGAAGTCAGTGGCTCTTTTTCGATTGGACAAATTATGATAAATGCAATTCTACATCAAGAGAATCAATTGTTGAAAATCATCACTTCTGGAGAGATTTCAAAAATCATTTCGTACGTCAAAGTTAGTCAATTACAAGATCTAAATATCTTTATGGACACTTGGATGCCTAAAGACTTGATGGAGCAATACGAAAACCCATTCTCTAAGGTGAGCAGTTACGAAGCTCCTGAAATCTCTGAAACCAATGAATCGAAGAGCAAAACGTTTGCCGAAAGATTTCAACAAGTATCCACCACCAATGCGTTCCCATGGAACGTTAATTTTGTAATATCTGATGTCAGTTTGAAAATTGATCTTGGTCAAAGTTTGGGAGTGGCGAGTCTTCTTTTGGATAAATTCTGGTTAGTTCAAAGAAAGAGTTCTCATTGGGAACAGAATTTAACTATTGGAATGGATAGTTTGGTTTTGAAATGTGAAGGGAGATTGACGGCGGAAATTGCGATCAGGAACCTGAGATTAAACTCGGTGATCATGTGGGCTACCGAAAACGAGGTCTATGAAATTCCGTTAGTGTTCTTGTCAGGCGGGGTTGAGGCGTTTGAAATAATTATTGGGTTTGATTATCACACCATCTTCGTTGCTAATGTCGAGCATTTTTATTTAAGTCTCTTTAACCAACGAGATCAGGATGAGGCTAACCTTGATAAGTTATTTGGTACTGCATCGTTGAAACAGGTCAATATTTATACCACATGTTTGGCGTCTTCTACATTTGTGGATATTGTGAATGCCTTCATGAGAATTAGGGCCAATACCGAATCATCATACAATGAGGTTTTATTGGATGCGGGTGCCAACGCTCTAAAGAAAGAAAATCTGAAGCCTACCAAACAAAAAGACTATAGTATTTTAGAAAAATTCACCAATTTAAAGACAGGGGTAGGTGTTACGATTGAAGGATTCCTATTACAAATCTATCCAACTTCATTGATGGACACTGATGTGTTGGTGGTTAATTCTGGGAGAGTAGGGGCAAAGTATAGTAGAAGATTAGAAAAAGAAAAGTTATCTTCTGATCTAAGTCTCCAATGGAACAATTTGGATGTTGCTTTATCTAAACTTCGTACTGCTTTCCAACATAAGCAGGTTGATTTTGGAAATTTTGCTCTTTACATTGAACATTCACTTGGAGCTAAAGGTGGGACGATTTTCACTTTGCCGATGATTCTGATTGCCATGGAAACATCGCAGTTGAATAATGATAAACACGTGAATTATACCTTCAATAGTTCGTTTGGCGGTAACGTTGATATCAGATGGAATTTGGGGTCGATTAATTTCATTAGGGCGATGCATGAGTCTCATGAAAAGGCGTTATCTTCACGATTAGCCAAAAATAAAATGCTCAGTAAATCTAGTAGTTTGGCAGAGGAGAAACTCGAGGCGTTGAAGATTAAAGAAAGAGTGGAACATGCAGAGCATGATAGTGAATATGAGTATGTGGCAATTGAACCTCCAGTGATTGAGCCGCCGCACTTGAAAGAATTGGGGGATATCACTCCTCCTTTAGAGTGGTTCGGGCTTCACAGAAAGAACTTCCCGGCTTTAACCCATCATTTCTTCATTTTACCATTAGAGCAGTTTGTCATTAATGTTGAAAAACAATATAATTCTGTGTTGGGTAAAGCTTGATATTTTTTTTTTTTTTGTTTCTTTGTTGTTGTTTTTTCTATATATATATTATTGTTTGTGCTTTATGTTATTATTAATACCTTATATTATTATCATTATTAATTTGTATTATATTTTAATAGATCTTCTGATGAATGGTTGTTTTTCGTTTTGTGTGTATGGATTGTGTATGTGCTGCAATAGTGGTGTAAGTAAGTGATACCACACGAGGCACGTGCTTATGTAATATTTCGAATCCCCTTTTCCTGCAATCGGTGAAATTAACAAACCTAAGCATTGTGCCTCCGATATCCCCAAACTTGAGGGCCAGATATAATATAATTAAGAAATAGCCACAACAACAACATGGTACGTCACCACCTCCAATGATATGATATATATATATATATATATATTTGCAAAAGAAAAAACAACATTAGAATCATATACTAACTATTGGATGGGATGTTGAGATTTTCGTTTTCCATTTCTATTTGTATCGATTGGATCGAAGTTGATCATAACAGCATGTCAATTTCGATTTCTTTTGGGGTTATACAAAATTCAATGGAAGCGAAAAGTTCTTGATATCTATGGGGGGGTTTTTTTTTCATTACAGTCACAATCATTGAAACCGTACTTGACTGCCGTGAGACACTCGTTGACCGCGGCGGTGTCACTTGAAGATTTTGCGTCGCAAGTTGCTGAACGACACAATGATCCAGAGATTGAAAGCCAAAGAACTCCGGAAGTTCTCTTGAACCCTATGGTGATATCGCGTAACGAGAACGAGAAAGTGTTGATTGAGTCGTCGATCAACTCGGTGAGAGTATCGATAAAGATCAAGCAAAGCGATGAGATCGAGCATATTTTGGTGCACAAGTTCACGAGATTTTTGACAGGCAGGGCCGAGCAGTTTTTCATTTTGAGAAGGGCGCCGATTGCTGGGTACGATTTGAGTTTCTTGATCACTAATCTCCACACCGATCAGTTGATGAAGGCGAAATTGGTGGATTTTATCATTGAGTTCATGGAGGATGTCGATAAAGAAATCAGTGAGATGAAGTTGTTTTTGAATGCCAGAGCGAGATTTGTTGCCGAAGCGTATTTGACACCATTTGATTGAAAGGAAAAAAAAAAAGAAAAGAAAAAATGAATAAAAATAAGTAATAATAATAATATTATTAATAATGATAATAATAATAATAATAATAATTGATTGATTGATTGATTGATTGATTGATTGATTAAACGAAGCTATTGTATTTATTGTTCTGTTATTCCTTTTTTTTTTTTTTTGTTTTGTTTTGTTTTTATCTATTTTTTGTCTTTTCATTCTTATCTAAAATATTAACATTTGAAAGAAAGGGGGTTCTTCTTTTTTTTTTTTTTTTTTTTCGTTTTGTTTAGTTTTTATTTGCCTCTTCTCTTCTTACAACTATGTAAAAAAGTTTTGATTCATAGATATATGTATATTATACAATTAAGGTCATTCTTCGTTAGACAACAAGGCAGAGATTGCCATGAACCCAATCATGGCGTACTTCAAATAAACATTCTCGGTGATCAAAATTGTGATATAACCGACAAATGGGACGTAACCTTTCACCACCCCTAAAATATCGTCGTCTCTATTGAGGTACCCTTGGTTTCTTCCGTATAATCCCAAATCATTCACAGGGTTATTGTCACCTTTAGTAAGAAGTAGCTGTTTCCCGCCAGAAGTGTGAACCAATGGACTATATTCCGACCCCAGGGATTTCGCTTGTTGTTGTTGTTGTTGTTGTTGTTGGGCCAGGGTGGTGTATTCGATGTGATGTTCGTTCATGACACGGTGCACAATTGGAATACTCTTGTCCTTGACTTGATACACCACTATATCTCCAACATCGACGTAATTGTCACGGTTATAAAGGAAAAGCACATCACCTCTTTGGAATGCCGGTTCCATCGACCCAGACAACACCACGACCACTGGGGATTCGCTAGAGGTCAACACCGAAAGGAACTTCCAGAACATGAAGGCGCTGGCGAGCACTAGCCCGAAATTGAGTCCCTGGTGGATCTGCTGGCGTAGTTGGCGCGGGTGCATCATGTTGTGTTGTGAATGAATGTGTATATTTGATATGTATGTACCGGACAATTGTTTGTCTAATAATGGCCCCGTACCGCGTACCGCCATCTCTTCACACACCCGTTTATCTGAGTTGACAGATTGTGAATATTTTGGGTACGTACGGAACGTGGTGGGTGGTGGTGGAAGAGAAGGCAGGGTGACCGTGGCCTGTGGGAGGGAGACTGCCAAAAAAAAAGAAAAGAAAAGAAAAAGAAAAAAAAAAAGAAAAAGAAAATTTTGAGGTCACGAGGCCCCTCCGAACACACAGAACAATGCGTGAAAGCGATGAGATGAGAAGAAGAAATTTTCCAGGGTGCATTTATTTATTTACACGTTCTATCGATTATCATTCTTTTCAAATTCCACCCATCCCATCCCATCCCATCCCATCCACAGCAGAGTCTTCATTTAGAAAATGTGGTGCACAAACCTTTTAAAACGATCATTGACAACCCTTCCCACATCATCCTCATCCTCATCCTCCACCCGTCATGGATCAACGTTGGTATTGTCGCAAACTCGACACTTCCACTTTTCCCGGTCGTTGTTGAATCAGAATCATCCACGGACGGTGGTGGATGAACCTAAGAAATACTTCTCGTGGAAACATCCACTCATGTATCCTCTCGTCCTTGTTTTTCTCTTTGGTTCCCAAGTCATAAACATCATCAATATTCGCAAGGACAAGAAAGAAATGCAGAGCCTTTACGTTGCAAAAGTCGAGGTGCTCAACCAGTGTATCGATAGGCTTGGCAATGGAGAGAAAGTAAGCATTGAAAAAGAGTTGCAAAAGATCGAAAAGAAGTTCAAGAATAGAAAGGCTCTCAAGGAAAGAGATTACAAAGCGTTAGAAGAGTTGAATACCGAGAGTGCAGACACCAGCTTGAACGGCAGTTTGGATCAGTTGTTCAAGGAAAGCTTGGGAGAGGAAACTCGGGTGGTTAAACCTTTGGAAGCAGCGGAGGAATTGAATAATAAGCAAGAACACGTTAAGGAAAATGTCGAGAAAATTGTAATTAGAGACGTTCCAGGGGCCATGAGTGATGCAGCAAGTCAAAGAAAAGTTCCAAAATTCTTATAGATATTGTTATTCATATGAAAAGTTTTAGAAGATAATGTTGTTGTTTTTTTCTGGTGGTTTTTTTTTTTTTTTTTTCTCATTAATATTATTATTATTATTATTAATATTATTATTATTATTATTATTATTATTATTATTATTATTATTATTATTATTTGGTTTATTGTTACTTTGTCATTTTATTTTATTATCAAATCATTTCATAATTACTACTAATTATTTTACCCATTATTCAAGGCTATTTTTTTTTTTTTTTTTTTTCCCTCCCCGTCATCATCATCCATTTTTGCATCCGATTTAGTAGGACTTTTTTCTTTATAGAATAATCCATTCCAAATTTTAGTTATTACCACAAAGTATCACTCCTCCATGATGATTGAATCAAGTACTTTTGTTTTGTAAAACTCATCAATTAATGATAAGAAAGTGCAGAATCGTTGTGATGCTCCTTTTCTAGTGCTTAATCATCCATGAAATATGCACCTCAGCAGACAGTAAGAAACCGCAAAAAAGAAACTTTCTAAACCGCATGGCATGAAAGATGTATTATTCATTAGAAGACACACCAATCAGATACAATAATCATTAGGCATTTCATTAGATAGATTTTATAAACTTGCTACTCATAATTCGATCCACGAGAGTGAAGTGATCCAAAAAGACATAAAAAAACGTTGTCGTTAGAAAATATAATACAATAATAATAATAGAGAGAGAGAGAAAAAAAAAATTCCCAAATCAGGAATCAGGAACGCTATCATTAGGACTGTTCTGGGCAGTTGAATCTGCCATATACCCCAACAACTGAGGCGACATCCCATGCTGCGGCATATCGTAACCCATCATTTGTCCAACACCATTTGGAGGCCCGCCTGGTGAAACCCCTTGTCCTGGTGGGCCTAAGGGGGCTAATGGGCCTGGCATGATTCCATTGACAGGGCTCAACATGTGTTGTGGAGGCATCATCATCATCGGATGAGGTTGATTCATATACATGTTGTTGTGGATTGGGTATTGAGGATGTGGTGGCATGGCCCACTGATGACCGGGTCCTGAGGGATGATTATTTGGGTTGTTACCATGACCGTTGGAGTTGTTATTATGATTATTATTATTATTATTATTATTGGTATTATTGGTATTACCATTGTTGGGATTATTATTCTTGGCATTCATATCGTTAGGTGTGGTGACATTATTACTAGTTTTCGATTTAGTAGTTTCTAGTTTCCCCCCATTGTCCCCAACATCTTGGCCAAGTTCCGGGATTTGGGAATATAAGGTATCAAATTGCCTTAGAGCCTTCCATGCATGATAAAAGTTCTTGGAGATTATTTTTAGACACCACCGATAATTAAATATCAAGTCTCTCAATGAACTTCTTTCCGATTGATTTGGGGTACCGCCACTGGCATTATTGGCATCTGGGTTTCGATTTGGTGGGGCAGTAACGTATAAAATCATTGCAAATGCCCCGACCATCGCAAAATCTGAACAGGCGGTACTGTACCAGAATGAATGAATATTCTCAGATTTCAAAGACATGAGAAATTCCACTGCTGCCGCCAACCTTGTATGAGCAGCATTACGACACACGTGAACCAATTCGGGAGGTTCCATTGGGCTTAATGTGGTGATAATTTTCCGGTGGAGAGTGATTTCGGTGATGAAGTATGCTAATCTGAGATAAGTGTTTGAATTTGGCTGACGAGACGCCGCTAAGGAAGCAATGTTGTTGTTATTAATTGAAGTTGGGTTAAATTGGTTGGATAACGGCAGAGTTATGGATGACGGCGAGCTGGCGTTAGGAATTCTATTTGGGGATGGATGATGGTTGATGACGGTTAGTTGAGGGGGTAAAGAGCTATTCCAAGCCCTCAATTTCAATTGGATTGGTTTGGCGGTATTGAGAACGTCCTCGATGGTATTAGCAGTGGCCCCCGCTGAAGCAGATAAAGAATAAAGCTTGTTGAGGATTTCTGATAGGATTTTGGAAAGATTTATTAGCTCTATAAAGAAAAGTTTTCCGGTGTCCGAATTGTCGTCAATCGCATGAATTGGCGACGATGGCGGGTTCTTATTATTGTTATTGTTATTATTATTATTATTATTATTGTTGTTGTTGTTGTTGTTGTTGTTGTTGTTGTTGTTATTATTATTCATAAATGACAGCTTTGTGCTTGATTCGATAAAGTCGTCGGTCGTCAAATCATTAACTAACCAGTTGATCCCAGGAATCAAATGACTGGGTCTCGATTCGATCAAAGAAATCCATTTATCCTGGAAAAATGCCGCCCATGCTAATCTTCTTCTTAAACCTTTTTCCCATTTTGGCAATCTCCAATTGCCACAATCGACCCCTAACCCCAATTCTTCAATTAGGGAAACTACTTGTGAGCACAAGATCCATTTTCTCGATGAACCATTGTCATTAGAAGGGATATTTCTGGTGCCTTGTAATAACAACAACCCTGCTTGAACAGCAGTTAATTTTGGTCTTTCCAAGACATCGAGGAAGGTTTTTTTGGCGATTTTGTAGAGTGCGTGAATATCCGGTTTTTTGCGTCCAATCAATTTTGTCTCACTTTCCCAGAGTTCCATTGCTAGTAGGTAGACTGAGCTCAATAGCGGGGCAGAGACTTCTTTGTAGCCTCTGTCGTATTTTTCAAGAAACACTTTTTTGTGAAGAATAGGATAGAAAGGGTGGATGAATTTGAAATACATTTCAATCAAGATGGGGCCGTACGGCTCGACGATTTTTTCGATATCTTCTAAATCTCTGGATGATTGGAGGTATAGTTCATCGGTGTAGTCTTCTCTTAGTAGGAATCTCAGGCTACCGTCTACTCTTCTAACTGAGATGTCTTGGGTCAACTGTACTTGATCTATGCCGTTTAATTTCATATTATCGATCAAAACGCTGTCGTAAATGGAGGAGGTTCCGATGTAGAAGGATGAGCGAGGGTACTGACCTTTCCGTTTAGTTGGTTTGATATCATCATTAGGATTAGTATTGTTGTTGTTTCCGGAGGTGGGGGTTTTTTTTTGTCGTTTTATTAGATCGGATGAATTGAAGAGATCGAAATCGCTGGGGTGTTTTAGCGAAAGAGTGGTACTGGCTGCGGATGTTGGAGTGTCATTTTTGATGGAGGGTTGACGAGGAGGAAGCTGGGGCTGATGATGATGATGGTGGTGGTGGTTGTGGTGGTTTTGGTGGTGTTGTTGTTGTTGTTGTTGTTGTTGTTGTTGTTGTTGTTGTTGTTGTTGTTGTTGTTGATGGGGGTTGATATTTATGGAAGGATTGGGCTGATGTTTGAATTGGGTGGACATGTTGTTGTTACTTTTGTTATTATCATTATTCTTGGGTGTAGAGTTTTCGTTATTATTGTTGTTATTAATTGAATTATTATCGGGAGAGGTATTGTTGTTTTCCTTGGGGATGTCGAATAGATTGAAATCTATGTGATCGTCGCCATTCCAGTTGTCGAATGGGTCCATGATGAACAAGCGATTAAAGAAACAGAAAACAAACGAGAGAGAGAGAGAGAAAAAAAAAAATTAAAAAATAAAACAAGAAATAAAAAATAAAAAGCAAAGCAAACTGGGGAGTTCTTGTAGAATTGGGAGTGGGTGTGGAAGGTATACTGTTGTTATCTATCACCTACCTATCTATCTATTTTCCATTATCTACCTACTATCTATCGATCGGGGTGGTGTTCGTTATCTGGGTGCCGATATTTTTGTCAGCAGAAAAACACCAGAAAATTCTCCCCGTCACGTGTGCCACGCGCCGCTTGTGAAAAGAAGAAAAAAAAAAAAAAAAAAAAAAAAAAAAAAAAAAAAAAAAAAAAAGAAAAAAACCGTCCGCCGTCCACCGGGTAAGCGAGGCATGGTACTACCATAACTACTACCATCCCATCCCATATATATCTACTAGTTTGCCACCGTAGAGCAACATCACACCCTATGGCCACTTATAATAACAGTCATGACTCCCAACCACCATCTCATCAAATGCTGGCAGTCTCTTTGCACAAGTTTTTTTTTTTTTTTGGAGGTGTTGGAGGGAGACGATCGCATCACGGTTGGTTGTCTCTGCATGTAAGTAACTAGTAACTAGTAAGTAGTAAGTAGTAAGTAGTAGTGTCCCGTCGGACGCCTAAGTTATGATGGACGGTGTTTCCTACTATTCTATTCTATTCTATTCTACGGTCGCCAGCCAATTACAACATGAGATATAATAATAATAATATAATAATATAATAATCATAACATATCATATCATATCATATCATATATTTGGTATCCCAAATTGACAGACAACACCGGGTGGCACACCTCCCCCCTTCGCACGCCCATCGGGGCCGCGCTTATTGTCGTGCGCTGTGATTGGCCGGCCCCCACACGGATCCGCTACTCCAGCTTTCAGACATTATTACACTATGAAAAACAAATTTTACTTAGTGGTGATTCTTCTTTCCCTTCATCTCATCACCATCATCATCATCAAGTATTCCTCCCCAACACAATGTTGAGAGCCCTCCAGTGCACATCAGCAAACTCAAGGGCAATCTTGACCGCTCGTCGTGCTGTCAATCGCCCTGTTTTAGCCACAACCTCTCGTCTTTTGGCCACCAGCACCGACACTTTCTCTTCCACCAACAATGCTGCTTACATCGATGAAATGTACTCCTCTTGGAAACAAGACCCATCCTCCGTCCACGTCTCATGGCAAGCATACTTTAGAAACTTAGACAACGGCGCCATCCCTGCCAGCCAGGCCTTCACCGCCCCTCCATCTATCGTTTCTAACGGAATTGATCAAGGTATCCCAACCATGACCGCCGACGGTGCCAGCTCCACCATCAACACCCACTTAAAGGTCCAATTGTTGGTCAGAGCTTACCAAGTCAGAGGTCACAGAATGTCCAAGTTGGATCCTTTGGGTATCAGTTTTGGTGACGACGCCTCTAAGCCAGCTCCAAAAGAATTGACCCCAGAATACTATGGTTTCACCGAAGCTGACTTGGAACAAACCATCACCCTCGGCCCAGGTATCCTCAATAACTTTGTCCAAAATCACGGTATCAAATCCCTCAAGCTCAAGGAAATCATTGCTCACTTGAAGGGCGTGTACGCCGGCCATTTTGGTGTCGAATACACCCACATCCCATCCAGAGAAAAATGCAACTGGATCAGAGAACACCTTGAAAACCCTACCGTCTTCAAATACACCCCTGAAAAAAAGAAGCAAATCTTGGATAGATTGATCTGGGCTACCTCTTTTGAAACTTTCTTGTCCACCAAATTCCCAAATGACAAGAGATTTGGTCTCGAAGGTGCCGAATCCTTGATTCCTGGTTTCAAGGCCATCATTGACCGTTCCGTCGAATTGGGGGTCGAAGATGTTATCATTGGTATGGCTCACAGAGGTAGATTGAACATGTTGTCTAACGTGGTCCGTAAACCAAACGAATCCATCTTCTCCGAATTCACCGGTTCTAAGGTCAATGACGTTGGTTCAGGGGATGTCAAGTACCATTTGGGTATGAACTACAAACGTCCAACCGTCAGTGGTAAACACGTCAACTTGTCCCTCGTGGCTAACCCATCCCATTTGGAAGCCGAAGACCCTGTTGTCTTGGGTCGTACTCGTGCTGTTCAACACCTCAAGAATGACGTTGGCACTTTCGACAAAGCTTTGGGTATTCTCGTCCATGGTGATGCCGCTTTTGCCGGTCAAGGTGTGGTTTACGAAACTACCGGTCTTTCTTCGTTGCCAGCTTACACCACCGGTGGTTCCATCCACGTCATTGTTAACAACCAAATTGGTTTCACCACTGACCCACGTAACGCCAGATCTACCACTTACCCATCAGACATTGCCAAGGCCATCAACGCCCCAATCTTCCATGTCAATGCTGATGATGTCGAAGCCGTCATCTTTGTTTCCAACTTGGCTGCCGAATGGCGTGCTAAATGGCACTCCGATGTTATCATTGACTTGATTGGTTACAGAAAGCACGGTCACAACGAAACCGATCAACCAAGTTTCACCCAACCATTGATGTACAAGAAGGTTGGTGAAAAACAATCCGTCATTGACATCTACATTGCTAAATTGATTGAAGAAGGTAGTTTGACTAAAGAAGATATCGCCGAACACAAGAAGTGGGTTTGGGATCTTCTTGAAGAATCTTTTGCTAAATCAAAGGACTACAAGCCAACCACCAGAGAATGGTTGACCACCCCATGGGAAGGATTCAAGTCACCAAAGGAATTGGCCACCGAAGTCTTGCCACATTTGCCAACTGCTTTGGAAGGTGACTTGCTTAAAGATATTGGTGTTAAATCCTCTACTCCTCCAAAGGAAAACTTTGAAGTCCACCGTAACTTGAAGAGAATTTTGAACAACAGAATCAAGTCTCTTGACAAGGGTGAAGGTATTGACTGGGCTACCGGTGAAGCTTTGGCCTTTGGTTCTCTTGTCAACGAAGGTTATCACGTTAGAGTTTCTGGTCAAGATGTTGAAAGAGGTACCTTCTCCCAACGTCATGCGGTTTTGCACGACCAAAACTCCGAAGACACCTACACTCCATTGAAGCACATCAGCGAAAAGCAAGGTGATTTCGTCATCAACAACTCTTCTTTGTCCGAATATGGGGTTATGGGTTTTGAATACGGTTATTCTTTGACCTCTCCAGACGCCCTTGTTATGTGGGAAGCCCAATTCGGTGATTTTGCTAACACCGCCCAAGTCATCATTGATCAATTCATTTACAGTGGTGAAACCAAATGGAAGCAAAGATCCGGTCTTGTCTTGTCCTTGCCTCACGGTTACGATGGTCAAGGTCCAGAACACTCTTCTGCCAGAATTGAACGTTACTTGCAATTGGTCAACGACGACCCACGTCATTTCCCAACTCCAGAGAAATTGCAACGTCAACACCAAGACTGTAACGTTCAAGTTACCTACCCAACCACCCCAGCTAACTACTTCCACTTGTTGCGTCGTCAAATGCACCGTCAATTCCGTAAGCCATTGACCGTGTTCTTCTCCAAGTCTTTGCTTAGACATCCACTTGCCCGTTCTAACATGGAAGAATTCACTGGTGAATCTCACTTCCAATGGATCATTGACGATGTTGAACTTGGTAAGTCCATTAACGAAAAGGCTGGTATCAAGCGTCTTGTTCTCTGTTCTGGTCAAGTCTACGTCAACCTTTTCAAGAAGCGTCAAACTTTGGAAGACAAGGAAACCGCTTTTGTCAAGATTGAACAATTGCACCCATTCCCATACGAACAATTGCGTGACTTGTTTGACAGTTATCCAAACCTTCAAGATCTTGTCTGGTGTCAAGAAGAAGCTTTCAACTATGGTCCATGGAGTTTTGTTCAACCACGTTTGCAAACCACTTTGAAGGAAACCAAACAATACGCTGACAAGGAAATCAGATACGCTGGTAGAGACCCAAGTGCCTCTATTGCCACTGGTATCAAGGCCACCCACATTGCTGAAGAAGAACAATTCTTGAGCGATGTTTTTGGTAAATAACTATCCGCTGAAGGAACGAACGTGAATGATATGGCAACACCACCACCATTGTCATCATCATCATCATCTTTGCCTTCTACTTCTGATGCCCTACATAACGATCATTCCACACCATCATCAAATAAAAAGATCAATTATTCGTCTCCTGGTGGAGCAGTTCCAGAAGAAAAGGGCTGGTTCAGTAGGTGGTTCAACTGATCTGTGTCTTTTCTATATATATCCCTTTTAATTGCTTACTTATCCTCTCTTTTTTTTACATCATTATTATTCTTTTTTTTTTTTTTCAAGTCATCATTACCGTAATAGGCATTACAATTTGTCATATACTTTAAATAAATCACAAATAATATTGAGCCTTTTAATTTCGTGTTTTTGTAGTAGTTTTCATATATTATAAAATTACTGTTCATCGCCAATATTGAAGAACAAATAAAGGGGAATGATTGCTTTTTTTTTTGTTTTTTTCTTTTCAATATTTGAATATATAAATAAATATAAGACTTAAGGAGTCAAAAACACTAAACGAAATGAATAAATAATAAAATGAATAATTGATTGATTAATTAATTTGTAAAAAAAAAAAAAAAAAGCTAATAATAAATGAGATCTTTCAATTCACTCTTCACACCCAAGAGTCAAGAAATTCAAAAAGCAGTCATTTGGAGAGAGAGAGAGAGAGAGAGAGAGAGAGATGGAAGGGCAAGGAAGGGACAGCGTAGTTTCAAGAAAAATGTGTTTGCCAAGGCTGATAATAAAAAAAAATCATCTTTTGCCAGAATAATAATTACCACCACCTCTTTTACCGCCTTCTCTTCTATTGTCTCGTCTCCCATCATTTTTTCCATTATCTCTTCTCCCGCCATTTCTGAACCCACCCTCGTTTCCACCACCACTATAACTACTGCCACCACTGCCACCACCACCAGAGTATGAAGATCTCCCGGAACCACCACCATTATTACCACGGTATCCGTCTCGCAGACTTGAGGCAGGACCAGTAGGGAACGATATTTTCTTCTTCTTGGATGGTTCGTCGAAATTCTGACCTTCACGCGGTCTCTTATTACTAGTAGACTTGGTGTCGAGTCGATAAGCGCTCGTACGCGATGTGGTTTGGTTGTTGTCAGGTTTGCCAGCGGTTTTGGAATTTCCCGCAGAGCCCGCGGCGGCGGTAGTGGTAGCACCGGCCACTGGTTTATTGGTAGCCATCACGTCCACAAACCGGCCCAGGCGTTCATTGGAAGGCTTATTTGAACTAGCGGCTTTATTTCCTGGAATACTTGAATTATCTTTGCCATCACCACTAACGGATTTCTCAGTACTTTTCACAGAATTTTCCCCAGTTGGTTTAGCCAATGGTTCTTTGCGATCAACATCCGTTGGTTCATCATTGTTTTCCGTGGTTTCCTCTTCTGGTTGCTCTTTTTCATTTTCTTCATTCTTCTTCTTTTCCTCTTCTTCGGCTCTTTTGGCTTCTGCTTCCGCTTCCTCTTTTTCTTTTTCTTTCGCTTCTGCTTCTCTTCTCAACCGTTCTTCTTCTCTTTTCTCTTCTTCTTCAATCTCTCTCAATTTGGACTCCTCGGTTCTTTTGATCTGCTTTTCAATTTTAAGTTCATCTTGCAAACTCTTGAGCTCCTCAGCAGCCTTCTGTTTCGTGGCATTGTATGCTTTCTTTTCCAGCAATGGCATCTTGTAAAAATCGTACACCGCCACCCATTCGGCTTGCTTGGATTTCAAAAGCCCAATAATCGCGCTGGAGGCTAATCTGATATCCTCTCTTTCATCATTCACGAAAATCGTTTCGATTTGTTCTAACAATTCCTCACAATGATCGATCACCACCGGGAAATACCCAACCAAATTCTTGAGGAAAGTAATGGCGTTACGACGATACATGTAGTCATGATTTTGCAAGCAACTGATAATTGCAGAAACCGTTTGGGAGTGCCATCCGTAGAGTTGAAGAGTATATTCATTGAAAATTGCAAGGTCCCCTTCTTCGGCTTCATCATCAACCTCATCTTCGTCCTGATTTTCAAATTTAGCTTCGTTTTCATTTTTATTATTATAACCATCATCATCATCATCGTTATTGTCATCACCTTCCTTCATTTCAACATCTTCATTATTATCATCTCCATCGTCTTGCGGTTCACTGATAACATTCTTTTCTTCTTCATTTCCCGGTTTTTCTCCATCATCTTCAGTCTTCTTAGTTTCCTCCTTTGGTAATTCTATCCCCAATTTCTCCATAAAGAAAACTTTTTTAATTCTCAACAGGTTCAAATATTCAAGCACTTTACTGAAAAATAATCCAAAATTTTCCGCTTCCTGAGGAGTCGACAGGAAAATCGTGGAGCAGATCACATCACTAAATAGCACATTCAAGATCTCCAAAGATACGGTTTGGAACACTTCGGAAGATTCTTTCAACAACAATATCAAGAACTTGGCACAGTAAATCGCATCAAATGGTGAGTGGATCAAACGAGGTAATAGACAATTCTCAATGAACACCTTGGCTTGTAGTTTAGTATCCTTCTTACCGCTAAACCACGTCTTCTTTTCAGCCTTAATCCGTTTTTGAATCATCGCATCATGGGTTTTATGGGCAAGTTTATCAGACTCCAAATTCTTCAACATGCTCTCTAATTCAATTTTTTCCAATTTTTTCTTTTGCACCATATCTTTGCTCAACGACGAAACTCTATTATTGATAGATTTTTCTAACCCGCTGATTTGGTGGACCAATTTATCACCGATTTCATAATTCTTGGAACAATAATTGATATCGTATAATGACATTTGCCAAAATGACACGAATAATTCTCCCAGCAATCCTTTCCAATCAATGTATTGGAATCGCTCATCTTTCATGATGGCCTTAGAAATAGGATTCAATAATTTACTCCAAGGATTAGCAGCACTTTTCCCGGCAACGGTCTTCTTGACTGGGGGAGCAGCCATGCTTCCACGCCATAATTCAAACGCCCATTCAATGTCAATTTTATGTTCAAATAATAATGATTCAAGACTGAGCAAATTATTAGCCAAGAATTCTTGAGATGGACAGAAATGGTTCAACATCGTGATATAAGTATGGATCAAGCCGTTCAACTCATCATTTCTAAGGGATAAGATTTTGGAATGGTTCTCACCACTTCTATCCAAATACACCTGTTGCTTGTAGTACTCGGTCAAGAGAATAAAGAGCTCGGATAATTTGGAAATATCTTGTTCATTGGAATTGAAGATTTCCGCGTCTTTGGCATCGGTGCTAATTAAACTTTGTAAAAACTTCAAAGATGCATTGGAACATAATGTGCTGGCACGCTTATCGAAAATCACGTTATAAACGGTTCTGGCAACACTTTTCGCCCCACTACTCAACAAATCAATTTGGGACATTGTCAAGTTGGAAATATTCGCGATCCCACTGACATTATTGATGATTTCTTTAAATAAAATAATGGTGATGTTATCAAATTCATAAAGTCTTCTACTGATAAATTCAACAATTATTTCAAAGTTGAAATTCGATGGATAATTAACACATAACTTCCCAATGAAACTGGATAAATTTTGCAACCACAATCTGTCATTCAACCCATCGCTTTGCACGAAATTTCTCCGAGATGTCAATCTAGTGAGTAACACGTAACTCAAAACATCCCAGGCATAAGCATTATAATATCTCGCAGATAGGACAATCAAATCAATCAAATTATCATAACTTTCAACTTGGGTAGTGATAACCTGGAAAAACGGCAATGGGTTAGAAAAGGAAATTTTTGACAAATTTCTCATAATGGCATTGGCATTAGTTTTACTCAATCTTTTCAAGCCATCCTTGGTTTTTTTCGTGGCCTGATCATACTCGAGATTAATAAACAAATTTCTTTTCTTCAACTTCATTTCCAATTCCCCGTATAAGTTGTATCTTGCATGAGTAGGGAATAACGCAAACAAACTGAATGTCATTTCCACTAACGGGGAGTTAGTACCCATCAACGGAATAGCGACAAAGATAAACTTTCTGAAAAATTGTAACCACTTATCCTGAATGGTCTTGTATTCTTCTTCGGTGATCTCCCCAGATTCTTTGGATTTGCCATTATCAGTGATATCTTTGATTCCAATCCGCACAAGCTTAGTAATTAATTCACCATCGAGCGCCAACTTCGCCCCGCTGAAGGATAAAAGCTCATTAGCCAAACTGAATAATTCATCAATAGATTTGATCTTTGGTAAAGCCCTATCCCAGTTTCTATAGAAAAACACCAGTTTGTTATCACCAGCAGGTAACTTAAATGTGTCAATTAATTTTGTTTTCTGATGGTCATAATCGATATAATTATTATCCCTTAAAAACCCAATCATACTTTTTGACATCAAACTATTTTTCACCGCCTGATCTTTAATTGGATGGTAATTTTCGTAATAGAAATCATCGGCACAAGCTTGAAATAATCTGTGGATATGGTGAGGAATCTCATCGCTCATTTGTGCAAGCACCGGATATTTTGTAAGCAAAAAGATTGCCTCGTCATAACATCCAAACAACAAAAAGAGTTTCAAAAATTCGTATTTTAGATTGATTTTTCCCCCTAAAGGTTGATATTTTTCATCATTAACATCTCCGGCGGCTGGTCTACCACCAGAAGTTGATCCAGTGTTACCTCCAGGATTATTAGAATTATTATCATTATTATTATTGCTATTGTTTTCTTCATCATCTAATTTCAACGGGGCGGCTAACGCCAAAGCTGAGGCTGTAGCTTTGAAGATTTTGTCATTCATATACTCCTTGAATTGACCCTCCAAGTTTGGAAATTCCAGATCATCGGGAGTCAAATAATGGAAGAACGATCCGAAGGAAATAAACCCTTCTTTTATCAACATAACCACTAGATATTTTACCATTTCTGAAGAATTTGGTTTGTTGGTCATTGTCGGATTCAACACTTTGAGACCCAAAAGTTGTGCTCCAATGGCTGATCCACCTATCAGAAGGCTGTCTAAATTATGACAGTCAGCGGATGCTTCAACCTTCGGCCACCATAGAGATTTTCTGAGGAGTTGTATACAGAATTTATAATTCTTCAGGAGGTTGGCTGTGAAAATATCAAGAATCACGTCTAATACCCGATTTGGATCTAAACTATAAGTCCCAATAAGTTTCAAAATCACCTCATTCACATATTGAGTCATCAATAATGCATCGGGGCTGTTGATGGCCTCGAACACTTCGACTATTAGTTTAGAATACCCTTCAGAACATTCGTATAACAAATTATAGTTTTTGATTTTGCTTTGACCTCTTGCAAAAGTGATGCTTTTCTTAGCGTATCCGTCAATAATTCTAGAGGCCTTAGCGAGATCCGATCTCAAATATTTCTTCAAAGTTTGGCGAAACACATCACAATAGCTAATAAGGTTGGCGATATGATAATTTTCCGGAGGGAAGGTGTTCAACATCTGGATAAAACAAATTCCAAGGTCATTGTTGACATAAGTCCCTGATTTCTTGAGGAAAGCATTGATGAACTTTGTGGCGCTAGTATCAGATGGAAAGAGCTCCAATGATGAAAAGATGAAAAGAAACTCGTAGAAGAAGACTCCCAATTTTTCATTCTCAAAATGGTTGGAGTTGGTGCCGACAATTTCCTTATATAATTTGTCGACATACGCAGGATCGCCGGTCTTAGGGATATCTTCTGGTGAGAACCATACCCACAATGGACCATCATCATCAGCGTTATTTGAACCACTGCTCATTTTATATATATATATATATATATATATATGTATATACTATGGGTGGGGTAATGAATGGTTACTTTGTTTAGTATGGGATTTCTCTTCGCTTCTGTTTGTTTGAATAATTCTGACTTTCAAGTCACGTTTTTGACCGCCCGTCCAAAAAAGACGGTTTAAAAATAAAACACCCAGTACTTTCACCGGGTTTTCTGCGATAAATTTGAGACCTACTCATCATTCAGATCATATACCCGTTTATTATTAAGGTAGTGCTAGTATCCTCTATTGGAGCTGTGTTATTCAACCAAAATTAACAGCATTGAACAACTACAATAGAAAAAGAAAAAAAGAAAAAAAAAAAAAGAGCAGAGAAAAATTCTCGAACACTTTTTTTTGCCATTGAGACACACACACCACAAACTTTTAATCAAAAATGCCAATTGACTATTCCAAATGGGACAAGCTTGAAGTCAGCGATGACAGTGATGTCGAGGTTCATCCAAACGTTGATAAGAAATCGTTTATTCGGATGAAACAAAGACAGATACACGATGAGCGTATCAAGAGAGATCAAGATATCAAGATCTTGACCACGCAAAACAACATGTACGTCCATTTGAACAAACGAGTGGACAGTATGTTGAAAGAGATGAACGACGCCGAATTGCTCAGTGAATCAAAAAGAAACAAGTATCTTGAAGCCAGATTCGATGCCACCGAAAAATCCAACGAAGAAGGTCTTGAAGATGGCCCAACATACAATGAAATGATTGAGGATTTGTATACGCAAATTTTCTCTGACAACAAGGTCACTGACGGAACCCATTTGAGACAATTGGTTTTGGAGCATCGAAAGAAAATTGACGATGTGTCAGCCCGTAACAATGAGAAGTTGGCAACTTTACTTGAAGAAAAGAAGAACCACATCACTTCAGATGACATTCACACCGGATTCGATTCTTTCTACAGCAACAAGGACCAAGTCAAGAAACAATCCGATGCAGAAAAGAAAAATACCGTCACCAAAAAGCAAACAGTCACCCAAATTGAAACTTTGAACTCCCCAACAATCGAACAACAAAAGAAAACTGAAAGAGAAGAATTGGAAGATCTAGAAACGTATCCGGAAACTGATGCTTTTGGGAAGATACATATGAAGGATTACACCGACAGCGCTAAATTCCTCAGATCCAACCCATTCATTGTGTCGGTGCAACAAAAAGACGCCTTGATGATGAAGGCATTTGATTATCAATTGAAAGATGATGGTAAGACCGCCAAGAACATTGTTCATCAAGCGTTAATGATCCAATATATTTCTGACTTGGCCAAGGACAGCAAATCTATCGAGAAAATCGAATCGGCTATTGGGATGTTCTTTGGGAAGATGCTTCAAGATAACAGTTTATTGATGAAAGAACTTGAAAATACTTATAATCATATCAAGAACAGATGTGAGATCTTGAAGAAAGACAATGCCGGTATAGCCGATGATCAAGCCCAGGAAGAGCAAATCCAATTGAAGTCCATGGACCCAAATAGTCAGTTGACCGTCAGTATTCCAAATCCGGATACTGAGGCTGATAAATATGAGGAGTTCTTAAAATTGCCTGTCGCCATGCAAGACGCAGTCAAGACCAAATCTTTAGATGAAATCAATAAGGTGTTTGCCAGCTTAAAAATTGAGGAATCGGAAAGCATCTTGGATATCTTTGAAAAAAGTGGAGTTATCGGGGTGCAAGCAGTGTTGGAAAACGAGGAAGAATGGGACAAATTGAAAGATAATCAACAACCTTCGATAGAATTGAGATCGACTGATCCGTCTGCTGAATTGGTGATTTTGAAACCTGATGAATCCAAACCAGAACAATACGCCGAATTCTTGAAGTTGCCGGAGGAAATGCAAAAGGCGGTGTTGTCAGAATCGTTGGATGCCGTTAACAAAGTGTTTGCTGATCACATTAGTAGCGAAGATGCTGAATCTGTTCTACAATGTTTAGAAGGCGCTGGAGTCTTGGCTCTTCTTAGAAAACAACATAATTTGGAAGACGAGATTGATTGAAATGGTTTTATTAACGTATCTTACTATGATTAATCTATATATATACATCTTTCCATTATTGTATCAATATTGTGCTTATCTGTTGTAGAATGATTCGATAAATGAGTGACCCGCAGGTGGAAACTTTTTTTTTTTTTTTTTTTTTTTTTAATCAGTCATGAAATTCCAAAATTTCACAAAATTAATTCTCAGTCGACTTTCACTCCGAAGGACATTCACTTTCTAGATAACTTCCCCCCACCCATATCTCAGCAATAGAAAATGGCCCCAACTTCTAGTGACAAGAAAAATAGTGCTTCTGCCAGAGTCTTTGGTTCTGCCTCGGCCGGGATTTGTGAAATCGGTGTTTTCCACCCAGTCGACACCATCTCCAAGCGTTTGATGTCAAACACCACCAAGGTGAACAACTTAACTCTTTTGAACAACGTTATTTTCCGTGAACATGCCCAAGAAGCTTTCGGGAAACGTCTCTTCTCTCTTTTCCCTGGTCTTGGGTACGCTGCCTGTTACAAAGTCTTGCAAAGAGTTTACAAGTACGGTGGTCAACCATTTGTCAATGAAAAATTGACCAAGAACTTCAAGAGCACTTACGACAATGCTTTCGGGGCTAAGACTGGTAAAGCTTTGTTGAGTGCCACTGCCGGGTCCTTGATTGGAATTGGTGAAGTTGTTTTGTTGCCATTGGATGTCTTGAAGATCAAACGTCAAACTAACCCAGAATCATTCAAAGGTAGAGGGTTCATCAAGATTTTGAAAGACGAAGGGTTTGGATTGTATCGTGGATGGGGCTGGACCATGGCCAGAAATGCTCCTGGTTCATTCGCCTTGTTTGGTGGTAATGCTTTTGCTAAGGAATACGTTTTGGGTTTGAAAGATTATAATTCTGCTACTTGGAGTCAAAATTTCGTCAGTTCGATTTTCGGGGCTAGTTCCTCCTTGATTGTTTCTGCTCCTTTGGACGTTATCAAGACCAGAATTCAAAATAGAAATTTCGAAAACCCAGAAAGTGGGGTCAAGATTTTGAAAAACATCATCAAGAATGAAGGTTTCACCGCCTTCTTCAAAGGTTTGACTCCAAAATTGTTGACTACTGGTCCAAAGTTGGTGTTCTCCTTTGCCTTGGCCCAAACTTTGATCCCAGCTTTTGACAAGTTATTGGCTAAATGATTGTCTATATTCAAATTATTAGAAGAGCTAATAGCCTCTTTTCTTATCTTTATTGATTTGATTTGGTGGTCTATTTTGTTTATTTATTTGTAGTTGCTATTTTTTTTTGTACATAGAGTTAGCTGATATGTTCTTTAAGTTTACATAGAGTTGCTGTTTATGCCAACATTCTTCCTTTTTTGTTTGCTTGTAAGAATTTAGTGGTGTGTAAAGTTTGACATCAGTATTAGCTGCAGTGGCAAAACAGATGGGCAAGTATCGGATTATCTTGGCTTTCTGCTTGGAAAAATGTGTTCCGCTATTGAAACTCTGATGAGATTGATTCATTCTATGCTTTTGATCATGATAATAGAATTGAAAAGAGGAATTACTGCAACGGGTTTATCGAATGTTAGTTACTACCCTTCATGAGTGCCGTTTCTTTTTTCTTTTTTTTTCCTTTCTTTATTTGTTTATTTAATCCTTTTCTTTAAATACCGATTCGATGTTCTGGTTTGTTATTTTACAGAATCCATAGTTTCGCAGTATTGCAGTGAATACATGCAATTGCTTAGTTAGGAAATAGAATATCCATTATAAAGAATGATCTATGTTAGGCTTGTGCCATGGGAAATATTGTAGTTGTAGTGCATATTTTTGCACTGGTGTAGTTAATCATTAGTTTAATCGAAAGGTCTTGATTTTGGTTTTGGTTTTGCTATATCATTCATTGTATTAGTTGTGTATTAAGAGAACAAACGCATTTGTTTAATTTGGTGATATTTATGTATTTAAACTATGAATATCTACTTAGATTACTACGTAAATGTATATGAGGCATAGGAAAACCCCCTCTCGAAGCTTTGTCAGGCCTAAAAATCCCTTGGTAACCAACATGTTGACTCCTTATCAACTTGAGCTTATGTGTTGAGTAATGAATGTTGATAGTATTTGGAAAGTAAGTTCTGAAAGAATTGCAATGAAGTATGAGCAGCGAGCTCAATTAATTCTCGAATACTTAACCTAAACATACATATGTTGTATAGCTATTCATGTTTCTTTGCCAAATATTTATCAGTGAAGGAACAAATAAATTTCAAACCAGTAGGAAACCTATGACTCAATCTTTATCTATGATTCGAAAATCGAACCTTCTTTATATCTAATTATTCCCCGCAACAGTGCGATGAAAAAGAATCTTCATCTTTGCTTACTCATTTCAGAAATCCTAAATCCAATTCGAAAAGTAAAATTTAAATAAAATTTAAATAAGTTTTACAAACATACGGTGCGCTATAATAAATGCACACTCTCCATTCATCAGAAACACAAGTTTTACAATTTTCTGCCAATAGAGACTCACAATAGAAATATATTTTCTACAAGGTATAGCATATATATAGCAATCTAAACTAAGTGTACATCTGGTTAAATTCAAGAACCAGTTTCATTCTGTGTTAGAATTGATTTGTTTGGAATCTTTAGCCCCTTTTCTCTGAGAATAGACTACGGTGGAACAATTATACCAATTCCCAATTCTATTGTTATACTTTCTCTGTTCATGATGTACTAAGTTATGAAATATCAATACATAAGATATCTGATCATAATGGCCGGCATCGAATGATGAATAATATTATTCACCATTATAGAGAAAATATTGTTGGGCGGGAGGATCATGCAATCATCTCACTTTTCGTTTTCGTTTTTTAGAAAATAAAATGTTGAACAGATGGTTATTCAAAACAGCATCGTAACAGCATTTTGAATATTGATGCAACTCCCATTGCGTGTACCTTCTTTTAGCTAACCAATATGACGAAATAGGGGTTTTAAGGAGAAAAATCAGGCTACAAACATTTAACCACCAACAATAACCAATCTCATTACACAATCAAAAGTATACTAAAAATAGGCTCTATATTATAGCAAATTTCCGTGTCTATATTATAAACAGTTATATACAAGAAATGTCACTCCCATCAATTGTCATTAGACAATATGCCAAATTTATATTTCCCCAGATCTTATCGAAAATGAAAAATAAGATTGCGGTCCACAATTTCTCTATTTCTTCACCACTCATCTATAAATTCTCTCAAATGGTCTAGTATCATTGAAACACGATCCCCAAACATCATTCACCACCTGCTCTGCCATCTCTTTGTCTTTACAATTTGGATTGGCCATTACCGATAGTACTGCTCTACGTTTCACACACTCCTGGTGTCCTCTGCTGACATTTTTGATTGCTCCTTGCTTGAATTGATTCCAGAATCGACATTCTCCACTGAGCGAACTGGCTCTTATTTCACTACACGCGTGATGGCGCAAATTCATCCAATCGACTTGGAATTTCGCATCATCGTAGGCGTGGACCAACTCGTGAGATAGCGTGTCTTCCATATGGAATTTATTGATTATTCTATTTTGACAAACGAGAATCCCAAGTTCAGGATGGTACCCCCCGGCACGAGTCCAATCCGGACAGAAGTCACAATGAACGTTATCCCTGGAGATGGTTTTCGAAGGGTCGACTTTGGTGATTTCGGAGGTGAGGAAACGAACAGTTGGAGAGTAGTTGAAGATCCAGTTTTTGTATTCGTTACACGCCTGACAGTTGGCTTCGTTGAGCTTGTAAGCTAAGTCATTCTCATATTGGGTTTTGTCAGTTGGAGTTAAGCCAAGCCCGGTCTTATATTGAAGGGTTCTACGCCACCATTCGAAACCACTGATGGATGAGAGATCCGAAGGAGCTTGAGGGATCTGATCAGGAGGAGGAAGCTCGTTTTTTGACATATCTGAATGGGATTTCAAGCTGACAACCTGGGGTATAAATTTGATGATGATTTGATCTAACATTTCAGGAAAGATTTTGATGATTTTTTACCCGGGCGAAACTTTTTACGGATTTTTTTTTCCTCTTCTTTCTTTTGTCATTGCATTCATACGCCATGGAACTTCAAATATAATTATTAATAATGGTTGCTAATATCTGGGTGGCTGCCTCTGATGGGGATACCTCGACTGTAAAGAAATATATTGAATCAGGAGAGTACAGTGCGACTTCAAAAGATCCTAATGGCTATACCCCGATCCACGCAGCAGCGGCTTACGGTCACATTGAACTTCTTGAATACTTGATAGGGGAGAAAAAAGGGGATGTGAATGTACTTGATAGTGATGGGGATACACCATTACATCATTGTGACGAGTTGGAGCCGGTTAAAGTCTTGGTAGAGAAGTTTGGTGCCGACTGGAAGATCAAGAACCAAGATGGGGAGACAGCATTGGATGCGTATGATGGGGAGGATATTAAGGTGACCGAGTACTTACAAGGGTTAGCTGGAGTTGTTGGATCACAGAAGAGTAATGAGGGATCAATAAATATTGGTAGTTTGGGGGCGTTAATTGGGGAGTTGCTGGATGAGGAAAGAGAGAAGATCAGATTGACATTTGAGAATGTTGGGGATTTGAATGGGGACGTTGAATTTGATGAAACACAGCAGAAGATGATTGAAGAGATCGCCAATGGAGAGAATGGTGAAGAAAGAATGAAGGAGTTTATCCAGCAGGTGGTGAGAGACAATTTGGGGAAATTGAAGCAGAGCACTGACGATGAGCCACTGAACAAGAGAAGAAGGGACTAATGGACAATACTAGCCGGTGGGGCTATGTGTGCGTGTATGTGTGTGTATAACGTTGTAATATAATAATAACAATTAAAAAAAAAACAGGAGATTTAAATCATTTGACGGTGGTCGAGATATTCGCTTATCTGGAGGCCTCCATGTAATGCACAATTGTGTGATTATATGCATGTATCATGTCCAGATAAAACACAAAAAGAAAGCTGTTACCCGTTCACATACAAGCCGGAGCTCACCAACATTTTTGCCCAACAAGAAAAAAAAAAAAAAAGAAAAAAAAAAGAATCACGCCCCATCGTATAAAAATGATGCGCATCGCCTCTATATAAGGACCTACCCGTTTGCCAGGCGTCAAACCTCAACTCATCCCCCACCACCACCAACAACAACCATCGACAAGAAATGTCTTCTGCCATCGAGTCTGTCGACATTACCGATGCCAACGCCGTCGCCGCCGGCACCAACAAACCTGTTAGAAGAGTTGTCGCCGGTGGGGTGGCCGGGAAGCTCATGGGCTACAAGGCTATGGTCAACATCACCGCCGATGAACTAGCAAAGGAAAATTTGAACACCCTTCTCGCCAGAGATAGAGAAGAAAAACTCAAGTATTCCAAACAAAAACACATTTCTGAACAGCCCTGGACTTTTGGTAACTGGCATCAACATGTTAACTGGTTGAACTTTGTTCTTGTTCTTGCCATCCCAATTATGGGATTTGCCTTGGCCACCCGTTGTCCATTGCAATGGAAGACCGCGGTTCTTGGGGTCACTTTGTACATTTTGGGTGGGTTGTCTATCACTGGTGGGTATCATAGATTATGGGCTCACAAGGCTTATTCTGCACACTTACCATTGCGTTTGTTCTACGCTTTCTTTGGTGCCGGATGTGTTGAAGGGTCTATCAAATGGTGGGGTCACTCTCACAGAGTTCATCACAGATACACTGACACCAGACGTGATCCTTACGACGCCAGAAGAGGGTTCTGGTACTCTCACATGGGCTGGATGTTGGAAAAACCAAACCCAAGATACAGAGCCAGAGCTGACATCAGTGACTTGGTTGATGACTGGGTGGTCAGAGCTCAACACAGACACTACATCAGTCTTATGTTGTTTGTTGCTTTTATCTTGCCATGTTTGATTGCTGGTTACTTCTGGAATGATTACTTAGGAGGTTTTATCTATGCCGGGATCTTCAAAGCTTTTGTCATTCAACAAGCCACTTTCTGCGTCAACTCTTTGGCCCACTGGATTGGTGAACAACCTTTTGATGACACAAGAACCCCAAGAGATCACATTTTAACTGCGTTTGTCACTTTTGGTGAAGGTTACCACAACTTCCACCACGAATTCCCATCTGATTACAGAAATGCCATTAAATGGTATCAATATGACCCAACTAAGATCTTGATCTGGGCTTCCTCGAAAATTGGATTGGCTTACAACTTGAAGACATTCTCTCAAAACGCTATTGAACAAGGTTTGGTGCAACAACAACAAAAGAAATTAGACAGAATGAAGGCTTCTCTTAACTGGGGTACTCCACTTAGTAGTTTGCCAGTTTGGGACAAGGAGTACTTCTTTGAAAAATCTAAGGAGACTAAGGGACTTGTCCTTATTTCAGGCATTGTTCACGATGTCTCCGGATTCATTACTGAGCACCCAGGTGGAGCTCCATTGATTAGAACCTCTACGGGTAAAGATGCTACCACCGCCTTTAGTGGAGGGGTTTATGCACACTCGAATGCTGCCCACAACTTGTTGGCCACTATGAGAATTGCAGTGATTAAGGATGGTGATGTGGATGCAGACACTTTCAAAGTGCAAGAACAGTTGCTCAGAAGAAAGAAGGGTGATTTTTAGACGTGTTAAATACAAAATTTGAGCGTGTTGAGTACAAGTAAAAATACATGTATTCAAGATTGCTAATATATTTTCATACCTGTTTTTAATGTTTTCATTTTTTTTTTTATTTTTTTGTCTCTCTTTTTTTTTATCTGTTGTCATGACCTGGGAATATATTATCATTATATTATTATTTATTTATCTATCTATCTATCTATCTATCTATCTATTTACTTATTCATTGTTATTATCATTGGATTGTGGTAAGTTAGACGAGTGGGTGGATACATACATTTCACCCCCCAGGGTGCCGTAACCAGTTAGTGCCAGATCAGAACAAAATTCCAATTAAAAAAAATAAAAATTTTTCCCATTGCCTTCCGCAACCCTTATCTTGCCACCAGAACTACACACCCTGGAGTACGTTTTTTCCTTTTAGCCAATTTTCGTGGTTGATACCAATTGGGTTTAATCATTTGTATCACTGACTGTCACCATTGCGTGTTACTAACATTCCTCTTGTAATTGATAGAATCCTGATCTTCAATTTTCTGTATTTTTATCTTGAATTGATATCATTCCCAATAATGTCTGCTGTTCCTCCTCCTTCCTCCTCCACACATTCATGTTGTGGTTTTTCCCTCTTGTCCTGGAAGAACCCTCAACAAACCGCCAAGGTGTTTGGTGCCTCCATCGCTGCCATCTTGACCCTCAAGTATGTCAACCTCATCAACCTCTTCTTCCGCGTGGCCTTCATCACCCTCTTTGTATCAGGGGCTGCTGAATATGCTGGTAAACTCGTCACCGGTACCGGTCTTGCCACAAGATTCAAGCCAAAGAAAGAGTGCACCTGCTTGAAAGATTTTGTCAGCGAATACTCTCCAAAGCTTGCTCCACAGGTGGCCAAGTTGCAGCACGATATTGAAGCTATTGTGTTTGCTTCCGACGTTGAAAAAACTTTAAAGACTGCTGGGGCTTGTTACGCGCTTTACAAGATTACCTCTTGGTTCTCTCTTTACACCTTGTTGGTCACCTCTACTATTGCCGCTTTCACCCTCCCAGTGGCCTACGTTACTTATGAAAAGGAAATCCATGAAGCTAAGGAAAAATACTACTCTTTGGCTAAGTCTAAGGCTGGTGAATACAAGGACCTTGCCCACGAACACGCTAAGCCATACATTGCCCAAGCTCAAGAGCACATTAGTCCTTACACTTCCAAGGTTGCTGGATACTTGCCAAAGAACAGAACTGCCGGGTCAACCGTTGGTGCTTCTCCAGTTCCAGCCAAGCCAGCCGCCGCCGCCGCTGCTCCAGCTCCAGCTCCTACTGCTACCACCACCGGTTCTAACTTGCACACTACTACCGCCATGCCAAAAGTTCCATCTGCTGAACCAATCTCCTCAAACATTGACATCGACGACTTGAGATCTTCAATTCAAAAGGACAAGGCCGACGCTGCTGCCGCTGCTTCTACCATTGCTTCTGGCTTATAAGAAATTTTCTTAAACTATCAAATAGCCACCACTCTTACTTAGTTTATTTTGACATGAATATGTTGTACTTCTTTGTGTGTTTTTTTTTTTTTTTTTTACTTTTTTTTTTTATGAATGTTAATTTACTTTCTGTGTTTTTTCTTCTGTTGTTTTTGATCAAGTAGGTTATAACATCTATCCAGTTTATTGTGTCTTGCCATATATTTATACTTATATATTCCCGTGGGAGGTAATATGATTATATATTTTTTACATTGTACTTTGTTATTTCGATTATAGGTTTTTTTTTTTATTTGTGATGGCTGCCGTACCAACATTGATTCTCCTAGGCTTTTTTGGTTTTCCAATCACTCTTGGTAGGATTGGTTCTCTTACCGATAGTTTTTAATTTTTTTTTTTTTTTTTTTTATTTATTTAGTTTGTTTTCCAGATTTCTCTAGCCATGGCGTAGTATTATTTTATCTCAATGTTGTTGTCTGTGTGCCGTTTCAAGCTGTCAATTTTTTGTTTTCTTTGCTGCTACGGCGTTCTTTTACTGGTTATTTTGTTTATTCTTCCCATCTACGTCGCGTGATGGGTCGTGTGATAGGAAATCACAGAACCCAGCTTATTGTAGATAACCAAACCAAATATTATTCTCGTCAGCAGTACAGGATATTGAGATAATGAATATTATCTATAATAAATAAATAAACAAACAAACGCAAATAAAACATATCGTAGATTATAATCTTTAATAAAAATACATAAATAATGGACAATCGCTCACTGAGAATTCAACTCTTGCATCCTTTGGATCGCTTTAGGATGGCCTTGGGCAGCAGCCTTCATATACCATTTTCTAGCCTCATCGACATCCCTTTCTGTTCCCAAACCAGTTTCTTTGAAATGGCCAAGGGCGTACTCGGCTTTCGATAACCCTTTTTCTGCGGCTTTAAGGGCCCAAAGATACGCCTCTTTATCGTTCGATTCTAATAATCCTTTGGCTCCGGTTAAATACCACCCACAAAGTGCCATTTCCGCCAACGCATACCCTTGAGCAGCCGACCGACAATACCAGCCAATCGATCGTTTGCTATCTACCGTGCATCCCAATTTACCATATTCATAACACCAACCCAACTTGCTTTGTGCTGGGGAATAATTAAGTTTGGATGCCTTAATGTAGAGATTTAGAGCTTTGGAATCTTCGATTTCTGGGATAAACATTTTCAACTCCCGCAAGAAATTGGAATCTTCGACATTCAAAGAGTCCATCGATGAAGAAATTGGATAAAACCCTTCGTAAAGTTTACCCAATTCAAACAATGCATGAGGATTCTGTTCATCGGCCAGACTGGCCGCTTGTTCCAACCATTCAATTGCTCTTGAAGCCGACCGACGTTGCTGTAAAGTACCTTTGAGATAAATCATTCCCAATTTGAACATTGCCGGTACCACTTTTTTCTGCGATGATTTATTGAACCAAGTAAATGCATCAATATCATCTTGTTTCACCCCAATTCCCATTTCGTAACATATAGCCACACGATACATCCCATCGCCACTGCCACCATTGGCAGATTTCAAATAATAATCAAACGCTTTATCGTAATTTTTTTCCAAAATCTTCCCGTTGGTGTACAATGTTCCAAGATAGTAGTTGGCCTCAGGATGGTCTTTGGATACCAAACGCTTCAAGCGCTTTAACCCTTTATGCAAGAAAACATCTCTATTCTTTCTTATTTCTTTGGAGGTGGTCAATTTATTTGGTAAGTAATTACCATTCACGTCAATGACACTGATCAAGGTTGGTTCTTGAGTGGCTTCAATTATCGCTTTGACCCATAATAATTGGGTATCAGGGGATTCATCTCTTTCAGCATCGTTTTTCCGTTTATTGTATTCATTATAATCCAAAGGTTTTGGCGGCTCGGGTTTTTTATTATTTTCCTTGATTGGATCAGGCCCAATTCCTTGATTTCCTTGAGGTGGGCTGCCTCTCTTTGGGATAATTTGTTGTTGGTTGTTGAAATAACCGTCATTTACATTTGCACCTCCTCCTTCTCCTAAACTAGAAGTTATGGCATCATCATAATTATTATATTCCCGGTTGTTGTAGTTGTTTGCACTCTCGGTGTTTAATGGGTTAGCTTTGGCGCCTGTATTTTGTTTAACTAGATCATGTTCAAATGCGTTAGTAGACATTTGTGAAGAAGAAGTCATTTGCGGGGCAATCATAACAGGTGATCCTTGATTGAGATGATTATTTTGATTATAAGGATTGTTTTGATTATAAGGATTGTTTTGAGAATAAGGATTCATATTATTGTTATTATAATTGACACCTTGGTTTGATGGAGGAGGAGGCTGGTTGTTGCTTTGCGGATTATTTCCATAAGGATTACGACCACTCGATGATGGTGGTGGGTCTTGGTTGCCATTTTGGGGAGTATTTCCATAAGGGAGATTGCCACTTCCACCTGATGATGGCGGCTGATTGTATGGATTTTGTTGATTATAAGGGTTTTGTTGATTGTAAGGGTTTTGCTGCTGACCGTATGGATTTTGTTGGTTGTGAGGATTTTGTTGACTGTAAGGGTTTTGTTGGTTATAAGGATTAGGTTGACCATTATTATTATTGGGGAGCCCTTGATTGTTATTCATCGGTGGTCCTTGATTGTTCATACCAGGTCCTCTTCCATAAGGTTTTTGATTAGGAGGAGCTCCTTGTTGATAACTGGTGCCAGCTTTTGTAGGTGGCGCACGATTAGGGGAACCGTTACCCATTGGCATAGGCTTTCTAATTGGCGATCCGCCAGGTATGTTATTATTATTATTATTATTGTTATTATAATAATTCTGAGATCCCGCAGTAGTAGCATGCCCCGGAGATGGACCTCTCATCATTTGATTTAATTTTTGTTGTTGGGGAGGGTGGCCGCCGTAGTTGTCATTTGTATTGTTGTTGCGTGGTGGTCCATTACCAAAGCCGTTTGATCCTTGAATAGGAGGAGGGCCGCCGTTTCTTGGGGGATAATTCTGTCTTGGAGGGCCATTTTGAGGAGGTGGTCTATTTCTTGGTCCACCATTTGGAGGATACATGTTATTGTTATTATTGTTGTTGACAGGTTTTGGCTTACCTCCTTGGGGGCCAAAGTTGGAATAAGGATCGGTACTATATAAGTTGTTGTTTCTTGAGGCAGAAGGCATTCCTCCATTGGCGGTATTCACGTTCATTCCTCCACCGTTCTGTTGATAATATTGCTGCTGAGGAGGAGGCGGCTGCCGTTGATTATTGTAGCCATGCGGAGGGCGGTTGTTGTTGTTATTGTTATTGTATCCGTTCATCATGATGACTTAATAGTATATAGATGCGACTGTTTGATTTGATCTGCGGGCAATGAGCATCAAACAGTAGTTTTTATTTTCTTTTTTTATATTATTCTTGTTTATTCTCGGTGGCTGCCTGTGTTGTAATAAATTAGTAGTGCTTCTCGAGCAATTGACCAATAATACAACTATTTGTGATGAAGGCCTGTTTAAGGATGGGTGAAAGATGAAACCTCCCAAGGATTATTTTGTTGATTTTTTTTTTTTTTTTTTTCTGGCCGCTTCACAGCCCGTCCGCGCCGGGAGAGGCTTAATTATTCCTTCTTTCCTGTCCGGATGCGGACAGCGGCTCTTCATTTTTTTTTCTTGTGGAGAGAATTGATCATGGTATTATCACCATATTATTGTTATAATATTGTTATAATATTGTTATAATATTGTTATATTATCCATCAGTTATTGCAGCAAGCAGAAGGAAAATAGGATGGGATGGTGGCCATTTGCAAGCTCAAGCAGCAGTAATACTGAAAAACCACCAGTGCAAGATAATCAACAACTAGCCGCATCGGAGCAAGTACTACTAGAGGATCTTCCAAAAAGATTCAACCCTGATGAATATGATCCAAGAAAACAGCAGCAGCAGCAACAGCAACAACAGAATCAGCAGAAAGCCATGATGAAAATGGCCCTCGACTCAATATCTTCAAACGATTTCAAGTTCGAAACTTTGGTGAAAATCCCTTGTTTTAGAGACGCTGGGTTGATTGGGATCTCCTCGATGGGGGTTTTGGCAACCATCATCTTTCTTGTTCATAAAAATCCTAGCAGGGCCGCCAATTGGGGTGTTGGGGGTGGTTTGTTAGGTAGTCTTGTTGGCTGGGAACAGTGTAGATCCCAAAGAAAGAGAAGTTTCGAAAATGTTGAGAAGGCAAAAGCAGCACTTAGAGAAAAACCTAGACAAATGAAGAACCAGGAAGAAGGTAAAGATTAAGAGGGAGCTGGAGAAAAAAAAAATAAATAAATAAAAGAAACAACAAAAAAAAATATTGAAAGAAATATCATAAGAATGCGTTCGTTCTGTTGCATATTACTTTCCAAGCTTTTAACCATTACTTTTGTATATATATATATCTGAATATTTCTACTCACCAAATAGATTCCAATTGTTGCAATTTGCATCTTAAATTCTTACAAGTATTATTGCTCAATTTTTCGGTAGTTTGTATTACGCTATAGAATATATAATATGCACGAAAATAAACAACACATGAAGCACAAACAACTGTTTATTGTTCAAAGATAAGTTATGACACATACTCCTCCCTCTTACTCCTCCTCTCACCTTCTTCTCTTCCCATTATTTGTTTATCGAGAGAATAATATTATTATGATCAATAATATTTTTTTTTTTCTGTTTAAAACTCCCAAACAATAAATACAACTTTTAGCCGAGAAGAATATATTCAACGTTGAATATTCTTCCCCCAACTCCCATTAACCACCCCAGTAATAGTTTAAACTCAATTATTTCAAGTTCTTTAAAGTTTGTTCAATGGCACTGCTGCTAAGACCTTCCAAAGAATATTTGGCTTCTCTACCATGTTCGAATCTGGCGTATAATGTTGGAGGAACGCCAAATGCTTCTCTGATCAATATTGGCAATTCTGGATTAGATTTCTTTATGGTTGGGTATTGTTCACTCAAATAGTTTCTATGAAGGAATGTTAGTAAAGGGAAACTTTTAGATAAATTAAAAGAAAACAAAGCTCTCGCATATATAATAAATAAAGCATGTAAAAAGCTAGAAAACAAAATTTCACCAATATTTACGCAAAACACCTCAAAGCATTGCCACTAACGAAAGATATCAACTAACCACAATTATAAATCATTTCCTCTTTTCACATGTATATGGAAAAAAAAAAAGGTCATCTCCCCCTAATCAAATTAATAAACTCACCTCAATGGAACACTAGCTTCGCCAGTTTGTGATAAGTGGAATCTTAATTCTCTAACGGCGGTTGGCACACTGAATCTCAAAACTTTAGAACCAATCATTGTGATATTTTATATTTGTTTTAGATTAATCTCTTTCGAATAGTAATAATAATCCTCAGACCAATTGTTCAGCAGCCATCAACGAAGGCATTTTTTTTTGAACGAATGAAATCGCCAATATTAGAAATTACCCCGGTTGAGTGCCCTTCTCTAGAGGAGCCGTCCACGCGGGTGCATCAAACACTACAGCAGGTTATACTAGCTGGTTATAGACAGCATTTTTGTAATAAATAAATCTATTAATATTAAAAGGAGCCTCTGACAATTAAACCATAAACCATTAATTCACCTTTGTAATTCGTTACCTGCTGAACAGGAATGAATTCCACAGAATTATCGCCATTATTATTATCCAAAATCTTCAATAGAGCTTCAGTTGGTTCGGCGAAAACAATAAAATGCAATTTTTTACCTTTAGTTAAAACCTCCGCTAATTCTTTTCCATCATTGAACGTTAAAGTTGATACAAATTCTCTGTTGTTGACAATAAGCGTGCCCTGGGATTTCAAAAGATCATAAGCTTCACTACATACACTTTCAATAGTTGGTTTCTGATCCTTCTCCTCTTCTTCCTCACTATCTTCATCTACGATCAACTGTTTGTAACTGACCCCACTCCATTCGATTTCCGCATTCTTCGGCAAATTACCGACTTTAACGATGAGCAAACTTTTGTAAACAGGATCAACGAAATTTTCCTCGTATTCCAATGTATTATACTCTTCAAACGCTTTTGCCCCCAATTTTATATAAATAGAATCAGTAACGTAACAAATAAATGATCCGATTTTATCACAACCAATGACGTCCTTAACAGAGACAATATGTTTTAAAGATAATGCCGTATTTAGTTGATGAAGATTATTGGCATACTCCAGTGGAACGTTATTTTCATTTGGAAGTTCCATTATTGCAGGAATCAACGGGATTTGCCCCGCCAAGTTGGCCATATAGTTGGTAGTATCAAATCCTGCTTGAGAATAAGGCCCAATGTTGGCAGGGGCCCAATAACTTCTTCCTTGAACGTGCAACCCTTGCTTCTCGTTGTTATTCAATAATACAACAGCAGAGAGTTGAAGATGCTTCCCCTTTGGTAAAATTGTCTCCACACAGGTTCTCGAAGGTGGCAAAGGGTCTGGGAAATAATTCATGTAGATTGAGTTGATCTTTGAAAATTCCGACATTGCAGCAACTAAAAGATTAGTCGATATGATATTCGCTGTAGATTCAATATTATGTTTTTTCAAAATTCTCTCAAGTTGGTAAAAAATATCTGTAGTTTGACCATCAATGGATTCAGCAGACGAGGTGATGTTCGAGATAAATAATTTGTTACCACATATGATTGTGTTTAATGATTTGCCAACCCCTTCAAATGAAGAATCGGCCAATAATAGTGAGTCGTCAGTACTGGTAATGGAATCATAAATCTGCTTGAAAATGTCTGTCAACAACGGTTGCTGGGTGATGAATTGGCTCCAATCGGTATTTTTCAAACTGAATTTGTTATCGGTCTTATCTTCTACTTTGGTCTTTAATTGTAAGTAAAATACATCATCATCCATATGCCTAACAATCTTTTGTTCCGTGGTGACAATTTTCTTATTGATGAAAAACGGAGCATCGAGCACAATGGTTTCGAATTCCCCACCTTCCCCACAAATATGGATGTCGAATTGTGAGTTCAACCTTACCAATTGAGGATATATCTGATTCAATGTTAAGCCCAAATGATCTTGATTCAATCCAAATGCCGCCACTTTTAGGATTCTTGCGTCCATACCTGATCCACACATTTCTCCCATCAAATCGTTCTGATTCCTTTGCCAAAGATAGGCTAGCGATGTCAAACCTAATCTTTGACAAACGTGTTCGACCCTGATTCTCTGATACGATGAAAGAATTGCCCCGACACTTACGGCGGTGAGATCTGGGTGATTCTGCTTGCAGGTCGACAACAATTCGTATAAGTCTTCGGTTTCGTCATCCAAGGTCGGCTGGTATTGCATGCCAACATTCTTTGAGGTTCCCAAGATTTCTTTTCTATACATTGGTACCCCAATACACTCTTGATAATTCTGTAACACCGTATAACCGACGGTCTGGTACATGAAGCTATCGATTTCCTCAGAAGAAGAAGAGGTTTTTGGGTACAAATTGGCTAGCGCAACAAGCTCATGGCCATTACTGAGACAGTGGAGGATGTTGAAACAAGAGTCTTTACCTCCTGATACCAAGGCAACGAACTTCATCTTTGGTAGTTTGTGGGTTTGGGCAAAGGCGGAGGTTGAAAATGGTATTCGGTATGCTAAGAGGTTAATTGAAGGAGAGAAAAAAAAAAAACAGAACCAAAAACCTCTAAACGCCCCACAATAAATGCTGCCTACAACCGGCGTACAAAATCTATGGTACTATCATTTTATTCACATTTTTATTATCTTCATTATTTTTATTATTTTTGGAGCCGAGTAGATACTGCATTATCCCATCATTTCCTCTCGATATTCTCAAATTGCAAAGGCTGTCCAGCCTCCTCAGCCATCCATCATTTTTTTATTTTCGTCTTCCCTGATTAGGGGCTACAGGGGGGTAGGTGGATGCGCCTTACTTGAAAGATCCCTGTGTTCAGGACGTTGGCAGTGAATAATACCAAAATAAATGTTTATTGGGCAAATTAAGATGGGCATACTATATTATTCATACTAAATACATCATGTTTTTGTGATTCATTTATTACCCTTTTGCTTATCTTTTTCATTTTTCTCTGTTGCTTCTCTACTTTTCCTCCAAATGACTCTGAAATAGAAGAATAAGCAATATCTTTTCCAATTTCGATTGACCAGTCATCAGAACATATTTCTTTTCGTATTACACACATTGTCTGTGGGTGCCTTTGGCAGGAAGGGTTGGGTGGTAGAAGCAGCGGTGCAGGGATCATTGGATGGACCTTACCCAATTGGGGAAGTACAGATCTATTGTTCACGTCTTTCCAGCACAGTATTAATCAGTCAGCCCCAGCAAAGAAGTATATTGACTATTATATGTACCCAATCTTACAATAATTAACCCTCCTTGTACAATTGTACGTTATACTCGAATTCGTTTATGCAAAATACAATGTTCTTTAATGTGCCGTCAAAACCTAATGTCACCTTTCAGTCAAAGAACCAGCAGTTCCATTCCCCCTTGGGAAGTATAATAAATATTCTTTTATATTTATATATATATATGAGGTATCTCTTATTGTCAATTTTCAGACACTATAATGTATATTTTAATAACAAATTTAGCTAAAAAATTGACAACACTGTTAAAAGAAAGCACAGGGTGGTAACTGGGGAAGAAATATTTCAAAATAAAGTAATACCTAGAGTATAAAAGATGATTTTTTACAACCAGTCCATTTTCTTATTGGTGGTGCTTTGTCAATCCATCTTCACTTCAGCATATGTACCAGTATTTGGCGAGAATGTCATCATCTATAAAAGCTGTTACTCTGCCATGAATGAATTGACTTTTGGCAAACATAACCTCACTTATTGCTCGTACCCTCCAATGATCGGTACCTTGATAGTGTGCATTAATGACCACTCTCCTAATGAAAAGCTTCGAAAGCAAGCATTGGCATACGTTGATAAGACTTGCAAAAGCAACACAGATCATCAAGAGATCTACAATAACGCTACGGAATATTTGGATCTGAATGGCTATTTCAACTATCTTGCCAATGATACCAATGCTTCCCCTTCATATTCCCCAATGACAATTCCTGTCAGTATTTTCTCAGAATGGCATGAGGTATACTCATGCTTTTATCAAAACTATAACCGTTCCAGTTACTACGGATACGCCATAATCAGTTACTGGTTCCTATGCCTCATCATTGCCATGGTATTCAACTTTTTTCAAAGAACCGGATTAATCAATAAATTTTACGGACCAGTTTCACGGTGGATTCAGCTGAAACTCATCATGCCAACCCTATTCAACACGTCTCATAAAAAACCTTTGACCATTTTTACTGGGTTTTCCGTGATGTTACCAGCAAGACTTGAATTCTTGACAATAATGGGCTATTTCATCCTTCATATTGTTTTCCTTTCCATTGGTTGGTCACAAGTTGACCTGAACCATCCTAAGTTATCTACGGAAAGAATGCTCGCTGCTCGTACCGGGGTTCTCGCAGTGGCTCATTTTCCACTTATGTTCCTATTTGCTGGTAAAAACAACTTCTTGAGCTCTTTAACGGGTATCCCTTATGATAGTTTCTTACATTTCCATAGAGCAACTGCTAGAGTTATGGCGATTGATCTGTTGATTCACGCAGTATGTTATATCCACCAAACACTGGTCACTAGCACCTGGACAAACCTAGTCACTATGAAGTTCGGGGCGTTTGGCATATTAGCATTGGTTGCTTGTTGGATAATGGTATTTTTCAGTGGGTATTCCATTAGGGCCCGGATGTATGAGATTTTCTTGGTGGTTCATATCGTTTTGGCAGTGGTGTTCGTTGTTGGTGCATGGCGTCATACTGCGGGCCTTGGATATCAAGAGTACACTTACACTGCGGTGGCCCTTTGGGTGTTCGATCGTCTTTTAAGAGTGTTGAGAATCATTCAATTTGGATTTGGTCACAATACCCAGTTCGATATTGTTTCTGAAGATACTGTGAGAATCGTTATCGATAAACCAAATGGTTTTGCCGGATTGGGTTGGGGCAAATTCGGCCAATGGGACATCACTGCAGGCCAATATTGCTACTGCTACTTTTCTTTTCCAGGATACTTTTATCAATCACATCCATTCACCGCCACTACTTTCTCATCATCATCTCAACAAAACAGAATTGCGTTTTACGTGAAAAGAAAAACCGGGGTCACTGACAAGCTCTACCAGGCGGTGGCTGCCAAAAAATTCCCAAAAGTGTTCGTCGAAGGTCCATATGGGTCAACTCCTCCAATTTTCCAGTATAAAAACAATTTATTGATAGCCGGAGGAAACGGTATTCCTGGCCCGTTTTCTCAAGCGGTGAAATTATCAAATAGCATCACCTCGATGGAAATGGAAGAGTGTTCAAAAACTTCCAGAAATGTCCAATTATTGTGGATTTCTCAAAGCTTGGAATCGGTTAAGTGGTTTGAAAAACAGATTTTATCATTGGCTGCTTCACCAACAGTGAAAGTGGTTTTATGTTTGACTCAGGAAACTAAAGAATCACTTGAATTTTCCAGACTGAAAACACCAGGCTCTCCTATTAGTGCTGTTCAAAGTACCTCCAGTTTATATGGAATGACACCTTTTACGACACTTCTGGATAAAATCAATGCCACGAACGAATCATCTTCAAGCACCCCAGCTATTTCCAGTGAGAATGAAAAGACAAAATCACAAATCGAATGCAATGATAGTGATTTTGAAGGGTCTGAATATACTAAAGTTTTCAGAGATGATGAAGATATTTTGGACAGTGCGGTGATCGTCAGGGCTGGCAGACCAAATATCCATGATTTTATTGGCGAGTATTTGGGGGATGGGGACGATGATTCTTGTTATGGTTCGGTTTCTATTTCATCATGTGGTCCAGCTGCTATGTGTGATAGTATCAGACAATCAATTTCCAGTCAAGTTATTCATTATAAGAAAGGAAGAGTTGATTATTTTGAAGAGCTGCAAGCTTGGTGATCAAGATGAATTATTCTCCAACACTTATTTTGCCACTCTAACCTTTTTTTGTTTTTTGTTTTTTGTTTCGTTTCCCTTTTTAATCTCTTCGATAGAATTTATGACTTTTTAATGACCTGTTTAGCTTTGTGTGTTGTTTTTTATTATTATTGTTTTTGATGACCTGTTTTTATTTAGATGTTTCTTATATCCACAATTTACACCAAAGTGTATGATTAATCATCAGGGAAGTGTTCCTAAAACATATAGACACATATGAAAGTAATTAGCAATATGGCTGAGTAGATAATAGCTGCTCATTTGATAATTCGTAGTGTATTTGTTTAGTTGCACAGCATTGGTCGGGGAGTCATCACTGAAACATTGACAACAATGCCTAAATGTTTAAAATATCATGATAATTCTTCCCGTTGTTTTATTATCGCCAGTTGATCATGGTTGAAATTAATATGAGGAGAAAACAATGACTATTATAACAATATGTAAAACATCCTCAAATAGCTGGAATAAATGGCTAACGGAGGATCCTAAACTATAAATAACTTTCCGTTATTGGAAGATACCGATTTCCTTCTTTTCCATCTTCGGCCTCTGCTGAGATACCAGTTATTCCCGATTGCATTGTCTAAAGTTTGGGGTTCATGGCTGTTTGGTTTCATATTTTGCGGGTCCTGCAGCAACAGGATTTAGCCGAGAAATAAGAAAGTCCGAGAGAACTTTATATCAGCATAACACAACAGAGTTGGGTCATTGCAATACCACAAAACAATTCTAAGTATTTATGGGACAACACCTGTTATTGTAAAGAAGAAAAGAGAATTCATCCGGATATTATTACCAAAGACAATTGGACAAAAGAAAAGCTACGTTCTGTGTGTGTGCTTAGTGGGTTGTATCGGATAATGCGCGCCTCTATTCTTTATATCATGTACCCAAACATCGACTCGGTTTTTTAGGGGTTTTCAAGTTGGCCTCGAATAATATATTTGCAGGCGATCTCGAAAGTCATTCATATATTTATAACCACTTTCTTTTCATATTATTGTAATTTCTTTCTTCTCATAACTTTCAGTCCAACAATCTTTGCCATGGAAATTATTGTGCACCATTCAGTTTTGATTCCATGCGAATCTTATTGTCCTTTCGACGACGCCTATTTACATAATCTTTTGCAATGTCTTGATAATAATGAAAGCTATTCAGTCATTACAAAGTCTCTAACAGCCCTCAATAAAATTATCCAATCCACTAAGGAAAATATCATCGCTCTAATACATCATCACTTCAACGCCATCTTCGACAAACTAATGGGGCTATTGGCGCAACCTTCACTTAATGCTAACTTGGAATTGGTATTGAGGAATATTTCCGAATTGATATCCAAAGTGAATTCCCACCCAATTTTCAAAAACTGCCGAGAGTATACTAAAACTAAAATTTCCGATACTACGCCTTTATTGATTGATAGTTTGAAAATCACGGCATCCATGGAATCTTCAGCCATGAAATTTCATTCGATATTGGTGCTTTGTGAGATCTCAAAAAGTGGTATTAGATATTTTGGAGAAAATCTTGAAAATTTGAAGTCGATAATTCTAGAGAATATGAAGCTATCTGTTGAGAAACTTAGAGACGGCGATCACCAAGAAGCCCAATATTATTCGATACTTCATAACTCATTGTCTTTTTGGAATGGAGTGGACCAAAGAGATTTGACAACGAGAGTAGAGATTGTGTGTGTGCTTCAATCAATGCTAGATTTACACCTCACCAGGTTAGATATTCCGATGATCAAATTGTTGTACAAATTATACTTGTCAATGGAAGATCTACAAGGGAAAAATGTGATTATCCAAAATCCACAATTGATGAAATATTGCAAGAAATTGATTTACATGTCGAGCAGCCACGAGGTTGTCAAGCTCAGCATTGTGATTGAGTTCATGCACAGCATAGTTTACGATTATGGTATTTTTGAGCTTCAAAAGTTGAACCTTGTGGATATTAGTTTCATATTGATCCAAATATTGACAGAAAGATTAGCCAACGACGCCACATTAGAGAAAAATATTGGGATAAAGTACAATATCATGGGGATTATGGGCAAATTGATGCTTGTGGACGATGAATTATTCAATTATTTGGTCGATGATCCACTTTTGATCAAAATGTTAATCGACGAGTTCTTGACCGTCAATAACCTCAAATTCCAGCAATGCATCGCCTATTTTTTGAATAATTTACTATTGTCCACGGGAACCAGACGGTTCAAGAAATGTCATAAATTTCAAGACTTCATTTATATCGATGAGCTCTCGTCAATATTATCCAAGCTCAATACCGTATTGGCGACCAATGATAAAATTTGCCATAATCCCGATACCACGGAAAGCCAAAAGAACATTATTAATCTCATTAAGGTTTCGATATTTCAAATTTTCCAACTATTAATTCAACATTCTACCCCGTTTGACAAATTGCAGATCATCCAGTACCACTGTTTTGACAATTTGATGGCGGTTTTAGATGGACCAACCAATGAAAATAACCAAAGCAAATTAGTACGGATCTCCTTAAAGAGTATCGAGCAATTGTTAGAGGAATACATCTGGCTCATCCATGGGGACTTTGGTGGTGATGTCCGATACAGGGTGAAGGTCCCGACAATTACTCATGTGGTGAAGAGCCTTTTACACCAATACCATGCCACTTCACTGGAGGAGATCAGAAACCTTGTAAGGTCCATAATGTTCCGATTACTGTGATATAATAGATAAATAAATAATAATAGTACTAATATATGAATGATGAATTGTGTTCTCCAATTGTAGGATGATGATTTTATTTCTGGGACGTACGGTAACCCACAAATTTCAGCAAAAAACAAAACAAAAAAAATGTAAAGGAAAAAAAAATACATCTCATCAAATCATTATTACTGAAACACCCAAGGCGCTGACCTTTTTATTATATATTTATATATAATAGTATACCAAACAATAAAGGGACGGGCCTGTTTGTGGGAGGAAACTCGGCAATGGCATCGAATAACAGGAATAACTCACCCAGCGAGGACCTTCTCGCCGCCACTACCAGGCTTTCGAAAGCAGTGACCTCAACGGCCTCAGCGTTGATCAATACCTCAGATTCCAGCAATGTCTTGTTGAAAACCCCCCATTACCAGAAGGCGATTTACGATACATTGATTGGTCCCCATAGGAACCAGCAGCCAAGGACAGTGGCCGTGAAGTTTAGAAAGAAAAAAGCTCCCAGTGAGTTTTTGCGATTGAATTTTAGCAAGGATGAGATCAGTTATCGTGCCATCACCCATATTCCCGATGATTTGTTAAATGAGATCCCTGAAGGATCGAACCTAGAAAATAAAGACAAATTCACGCTTTTCCAAGGGTTCAATGCGTCGATACCCCAAGTTAACGAGGAATTGAATCTTTTCAAAGAATTGAATCTCGAAAATCTAAAATTTTCCACCAAGGACGATAGCCAAAAGTTACTCACATTAGATACAAATGATGAGAAAAGTAAAATCATAATAGAGAAAAAATTGAATAATCCCCTCCCCATAGATATATCTTCCAAGAAAATCAAACAATCCAAATCAGTGAAGAATTTGAATATCTATAAGCAAAAAATATTGAAGAAAATGCATTATTTGGAGATCAGGAAAAATTTGACCTCTAACGAAATAAGTGAAATCGACGCAAAAATCCAAAAACTCACTTCCATGAGGGATGCGTTGTTTCAAAAAGTTGCAAAGTTTGAAAAAGACGAAATATATCTTGAAGGGTTCATCCATGAAATTTCTGATAAGGTCGAAGCATTAGATAAAGGAGAAGTTGCCGTTGATGACGAAGCAGAGGATTCCAGTGATGAGTTGATAGATACCAATACTAATTTATCGACAAAGAATCCTGGAAAGAAATCGATAAGCTTCAATAAAGACACAATAGTTCATGACAGTGATAATGATCCAGAGAAAAAAACTAGTGAAGAAGCACCACAAGCCTATCAGTCTCTCCTGGAAGAGTATGATCTTATAGAGGATGCAGAAGCTGATGAATACTTCCTATCGCAATCGATATACACATCATTACAAAAGAAACCGCCAAAATATCACAAAATCTCATCAAAAAATAGGAAAATCAAACCAACATTACAAAATTACTACAACAGCGGGGCAGAAATCAGTAGTTTCCCTGCTCATGAGCAAGGCATTACCTGCTTTGATTTTGACTATCCCTTTGGAACCATGGTTAGCGCTCTGTTGGATAGCACAGTTAGGGTATGGGATTTAAGTACCCAGAAATGTTTGACATTGTTGGAAGGTCATGAGATGTATGTCAGATGCATGCAAATGGATAATAACTTGTTAGTTACCGGTAGTGAAGATAGTAATCTTAAACTATGGGATTTATCAAGGGTCGAAAATAAGGAGTACGAAGACGATGATGGTGTTCTCGGGAAAAGTGGTGAGGAAGACGAAAATGACTCTGATCCTTGTGTTTATACATTTGAATCTCACATAGATGAGATTACTGCATTGCATTTTGATGAGAATAATTTGCTTTCTGGATCTTCAGACCGTACCATTAGACAATGGGACATGAAAACCGGTCATTGCTTACAAACACTCGATGTTTTGTGGGTTACAAATAATGCCCAAGTGACTTCTCCTATTGATACTGGTATGTCATACCAAGGATCATCTACCCAGAATAATAGCAACGTTCCGTTTATTGGTACATTGCAATGTTATAGTGCTGCATTGGCGTCCGGTACCGCAGATGGTATTGTGCGACTATGGGATTTGAGATCCGGTGAGGTTATTAGAACGTTAACAGGGCATACTGGGCCAATCACTTGTTTACAATTCGACGAGAAATCATTAATTACTGGATCAGAAGATAAAAGTATCAAGGTATGGGATTTGCGAATGGGTAAGATTGAGCAAAACTTGGTATATGATTCAGGGATTGCTAGTCTTCAATTTGACTCGAAAAAGATTGTGTTTACAAATAATCAATCGTATGTGAGCGTTTACGATCGTGAGAGTGGCGAAGTTAACAAGCTAGTCCCAAAGGATGTGGCATTTACCAGTACCTCCATATTTGCCCGATATAAAGAAGGATATTTGGTTGGAGGCTACTCTAATGGAGTTGTGAAAACCTGGGCAGTATGAAAAATCCTAACATAAAAAAAAGGGAATAAATATATTTAATGAAGATCAGAATTAAAACAGGAAAAAGGGAAAAAAGTTTGAAACAAAATATTGCAAAAATTTATGTCAAGCACACAACTTAATAAGCTGGTGACTGGAAATGAACAATGAGTAAATGAAGTTTTCATGATTAATAATTTTGAAATTATTATTTTCCGGAATGTTTTTTTTTTTATGCGAACTCTGTAATATTTTGGAGCTTTTATATTCAACTTGTATATAATATACAACATTTTTGGCATCATCAGTATTAATTCATGACATATATGTATATAGTATATAGTATATAGTATATAGTATATAGTATATAGTATATAGCGTCTGGTTTATTAAGCTGTGAATTGTAAAAGTTTCATAAGAAAATCACTATCGAGACATTGAATACACAACAGAAAATAATGAAGATGTCGATCTACCTTTGCGCCCTCCTCTTGAATTTGCTAGTAATTGCTCTTGGTTTTTTCTCTGCAAACTTCATTTTCCAAGTTTTTGAGCGTTTGGAGATCATCGTTAATATAATTGACTTTATCACACATAATGGAGTTTTCAAAGTCAAAGACAAAAAAATTGCCATCCTTCCAGCCAATATTTTCCATGGTCAATTCATCATAGGTGATGTTAGCTTTTGCTAAACGGCGGAGCTGTTCCCTACCATGTCAGAATTGGTCAGACGTAGTTGGTTTGATTTCTCCGAGATTTTCCATTGCTAGATAATAACCACCAAATAAAAAATTTCCATTAGATGATAGAATCATTTTCCCACTCCCCAATATTCTTGGAACATTTATGGTCAAATGTGGGTTGAGGATATTGAACTTCTCAATTGCATCATATATTTTTATCTCGTTTTTGAATGATGAAACTTCATAATTTAAATATTCTGTAATTTCTTTTTCAGTAAGATCGTCATCTAGACCTTCAATGAAGTAGTTCATGCCCAAAATTTTCACTAAAACCTCATCAATCCCTTCAACTAAAATAGTATACTTGATACCAAAACGTTCAGCAAAAGTATCAAACTTCATTGAGATTACTTCATTTCGGGATTCAAATCCACACTTCAATTCTTTATAAATATTTTTTCCAATGTCAAAATGTAATATATCCTTAGCTGGTAGGTAATTGAGACAATCTTGTAGTTGTTGAGTTCATGATTCTTCCCGACTCTTGCTAATTTTTTTTTGGAATTGTTTCATTTTCTTGGTGACTTCTCGCTTGTATTCTTCAGGGTTTTTTTTTTAATTTTTATTACTTTTGAAAGTAGTGCAATGGCAAGCGCCGATCTTAGCGTGAAAACCTCATCATCAAACCTTTTTAAAGTATGGCTGAATGTTACCTTCACTTCGTCACCTCTTTTGCGAGACTTTTGGAACTGCATAAAATAACTGGACACAAAATTGGTGATGATAATTGTATCTGTGCATTCCTCTGCAAGGTATTCTGTGATCTGTCCCATGATAGAATTGTTCTTCGTTATATCTTCTTCATCATTTAGGGACACGAGGCCATATCTCTTAAGTTCACATATTAGTATGGTGTGTACTTGTACTCATGTTCATTTCTGCGGAAAAGAAAGCATTTTGACAAGTGATCTCTAGGGTGGACTTGTTTAATTCCGAGTATTGTTTTCCTGACACTATTGCGACAATCAATTCATCAACAGCTGGCTCACTCTTTGAAAAAACATTATTGAGGTCTCTCATTAGAGTTTCTTCCTTTTCAAAAAACTCTCCATTTTTCTCGTAATTCAATTCTCTATATAGCTGTAATATGGAGTTTTTGGTTCCTTGGATGTTATTGTGGTTCTTTTTGACTTTCGCTGATTCGGAAATCTGGACTTGGGCTGGTGGAAATGAAAAGAAAATCTTGTGCAAGTTTTTTGTGATTATGCTTTCTGAGAAGCATCTTTGGACTAAAAGTGTGTAGAACGGAGGGCTAAATTTATTGGTAATCTACTTGAAGTTGAAGGTCAAATCACGAGTTTGGGTATGTTTCAAAACGTTGAAAAGTTTCTCATAAATGGTTTCTGGGGTCAGACTGTTTTGATAGCTGTTTATATGGAATTGGTAGAGAGGAGAGTACAATGGCGATAAATTCCTTTTGTACCGCACTGCAACATTAGGCAAACGAGAGGACAAATGTTTGATCATAGTGTCTTGCGAGGTTGGTGATGAATTTGAAGATTAAACTGGTGAATAAATGTTTTGTTGTAATATAAAGAGAATAGAGCACATAAAAGGTTTCATGATGAGCTACAAAAGCGGCAGCAACCACAGTGCATACAACCGCACCGCACCATTGGTATGACTTTGCAAAAACACATTGCACGATTGTCCTGCTATTATTTCTCTTTGAATGAAGGTATAATAAATAATTAGTATGAATTTCATTGCTAGTAGGTACCAATAATTAAAGCACAATGTTATGACTTATTTTTGTTGAATAAACAATGAACTCGCTAAATAATCCATCCAGTGATTTCGAATGATAATAAGCTTTTCTTTATATTCCAATCCTTTTTTTTTTTACATTTCGATCCCCCAAAAATTTGACGATATAAATTTGTGATTTATTAAAATTGACATAAAAAGATATAACAGTATAAAAAAAACAAGAAACATGTAAATGAATGGCATCATACACCAATAATGAGAAAAAAAATATTCTACAATATTGGTAAAATGACAGGAATGAATGTTCAAATTATTATACCTGTTTCATTGACCTCCATTCCACTTGACTCACTCATTAGCCATCCTCCTCGATGCAAATTTAAGTTTCTTTTAAAATAATAATAATAATAATAATGATGATGTAATACACGTTGATGTATTCAGCCTGCTGTTTTTTTTTGATGAAATAATGGGAGGAATCATCATTATTTTATCCATGTGTTCAGAACCAATTGATTCTTTTTCCTTCTCCTCCTGCTCAATTCATTCTTCCATACATCCTTCTCTTTCTTTCCTTCCTTCCTTCCTTCGTTCTTTTTTTCTTTTTTTAGTACATTTATTGGACAAGCCCCAAAACTTCTGGAAGCGAACTCTTCATGTCGACCACGGACTTCAATGATCCATCATCCTTAGATGAATTCTTATGGTTGAGCAATTCTTGCTTGATGAGTTGGACTCTCAATCTTTCTTTTCTGTGATGAAGGCATTCGAAATAATCGTCAACTTTCCCGGTACAAGCCGCAGGGGATTGAGTTTTCGCACTGGTGTAACATTCCATGTAACGTTGGAATTCCCCAAAACAACGGGATTGCCCGCCTCTTAAACCGAAACCAGAAGACATTATTTTATTTAGTTGCTGTTGAGATAGTTTAAAATCCACCGGTTAGCGTGTGTGTGTGTGGAAGCCCGCATTTGCTTTCGAGTACAATTTTTCTGATTATTTTTGAAGTTTTTCATTCGTGGGACCGCAGGGGTTGCCCTGACTAGACCAACCGGACGGGTGGCTCTACGTCCACCATACATATTGTGATGATGATAATTAATACCAAATATATTAATGCCACCAGTAATTAAGAATGCTAAGCAAGTAATGGCATCAAAGCATTGCTATACAGACTGCCACGCACGTCTAGTCCTCAAAACCACCCCCGAGTCTTACGTAAATTAAACGAAATCTATGATAATCATCAATTCACCAGGTATATATTATACAAACATTCAAAGATCATCCTCCACCAAGCTGGTTTAATCACTATCACTATCTGGATTGGCAATAAACAAACCACCACCCCTGTTGTGGTATCCAGCACTGCCCCCAACCGTGCCCACACTATTGATGCTCTCGTATCTATTCACCATCGACGGACTTCCTGGACTAACCACCCCAACATCAGTATAGTCCGGCGCTACCACTGAGCCATCGCTATCTTCATCACCTAAAATGCTTCCATCATTGTATTGTCTGGCCTTTTTCTGTTCTTCCTCTTGAACGGCCTTCACAGCATCAATATCCTCTTTAAATTCGGCAAAAATATCTTCATCATCACTATCGCTAAGCTTCCCTGCTCCCGCAGGTGTCGTTGCTACCGATTGTCTGAACATCGTGGTATTTCCATCCAAACTCACCCTGGTAATGCTATCATTATTGGTGCTCACCACTGCATCGTCATCGTCTCCCGTGGCCAATAATCTAGGTTGTAATGATACATGTTTGATATCCTTGGAAAACCCACTGATGAACCCTGATGCCCGATGGGTTGATCCACCAGGTTGACCCAGTCTTCTATTAATCATGGCACTACTAATGCCTCCAGCACCAACGGTGTTAGTAGCAGATGAAGATGAAGATGAAGATTTCTTAGCAGGACGAATGGCAATTGGCAACTTCCATTTACGGATCACCGTGGTATTGGCACACATTGTCTGGTTCCGAATCGCTTCCACATATGATGATTTCTCTCCTTGGCCTGGTTGTTTTGAATTCTTAATCACCGCAGCAACTCCTGGCCCCACAGTACCACCACCGTTGGCAATTGTCGAATCAAACGGGGATACTTTATCATCATACACACTATTGGGTAAGTGCGGATTGGACATCCGATGACTTGGCCCTCGTAGTTGTTGACTTTGCCCAACATTCATTAGCTTGGTATTACGAATTTCCACAGGAACTGGGCCTCTTGGAACTTGATAATTGAAAGTACTACCCTGATCGTCGGGAGTTGGACCAGATAACATCGACCCTTCCCTAGAGTCAGTAGGCACACCAAAGAACCCCCATGGAGCACCATCATCATTATTAGTGGTTGCTTCTGGGTTATAATTAGCTTGGTTATAACCAGCTGACTCATTGATACCACCTCCTGGAGTATTGGCAAACTGTTGGTCTTGTAGATATTTTGTCGATTCGGGGAAATCAATATGGTCCATGGTACTGTGACCATCTCCATCGTCGTAGTCGATAGCCGTTTTTTGAGGTGGCGTTGCGTCTACTTCACTTATTGATTCACTGTTCGAGTCATCATCAGTGACGTTATTGGCAACCACCATTTTACGGGGTTTGTTATTATCATACCCATCACTGCCATACGGACTATACAAAGGTGATCTTGCAGTAAAACTTAATTCTTCACCTTGGTGATCTTCGCCATCATGGTATTGATCGAACCTTTCCAGAGCTTGGAAATTGGCAGATCCTGTATCATCATAACTATCATCAGATTTCAACGTAGGAATATGATTCAATAATGGTGGGATGGAATTATTTTCTTCAGCTCTGTTATTCATAACAGATTCATCATAGTATTGATTTGCTCTACCATCACCCATGAGTTCAGAATCGTCATCGCTGGGGTACCCAAAGCCGTCTTCATCCTCTGATCCCATATTGAAAATCGGTTGATTCAACAGCAGTGGATGCTCGATGGTGTCTTCATTAGTTGGTCTGGATATCGTACTAGTCATTTCCCTCACAGTATCAGCAGTGGAGTATTGACCCATCGAATATTGACCCACAGAAGGCCCACGAGATCTTCCTGCTCCTTGGAAGCCTGGGGGAACAAATAATGAATCCTGAGGGTAATTCCCTGCAAAATCTGCCGAAGAATACAGATTTGTTTGATCAGGTACCTCATAATTATTTGGGTAAGTGGTGTGTAATTCATCTAAATATCCACCAACAGGAGCCGAATCGTAATTTGATACTCCTTCCACCTCATAGTGGGTTGGATTTTCTACTCCCACATCACTATCCCCACCAATTATGGTATTGTTCATAATTTCCAAACCATGATGATGATCTCCTTCTTCATCCTCTTCTTGTTCATGTACTACTGTGAAATCATTATGGGTTGGTGCAATCTCATCACCATCACTATCACTATCGAATAAATGCGATCTTCTTTTCAACGATTCATGCCGTTCCATTTCTCTATTTTTCGGCGATAACAACAACAATTGCTGGTCCAATCGTTCATGCTCTGCTCGCAATTTCATGTGGTTTTCATTGAGCAATTCATCTAATTTATCTGTTGACTTCCCAGCATCGTCGAAATACGAACCATTCGAACGGGTTTTATATAATGAATATGGACCCTGTTCCGGAGAAAGATGATCGTTGGTTAGTGGTTTCAGAGAACTAATAGGAGGTGAAGGATCAGCCGAATTTTGACCAGTAGCATTGGTTTCTTGTGGATGCTTTGCTTCATGGAAATAGAACCCTTCAATATCGTTGGTATTCGTTGGTGGTGGGGGTTTCCGACGAGGCTTGGCTTTGGCAGGGTGCAATTCATTACTGGTAACTTCAGGATGGTGTGATTCTGTATGATTTGAAGACAAATTCAGTGAGGAAGAAAGAGTAGCAGTAGTTTCCTGGGGAATTGTCGGTAATTTTGCTTTCTGGGAATGTTCTTGCTTCTTAACTATCGTGGACACTGGCTTGCTATTGCTACTAGGAGTCAGTTTTTTTGGCGATGACACGGGGGTTTGATGAGAAGAAGGCGTAGGAGCATCTGAAAACACCGATCCAAAGATCTTAAGTGATGATCTTTTAAATAGAGAGCTGCTTCTCTTTGATTTATTATTGCTCATGGCGCCAAGTACTTTTTTGAATTATCCAAGAATTGGTTTATCTATGCTTGGTGATGCAACGTGTGGGTATCATCAATAGTAAAAATGATAATGACAATGGTAATAATAACAATTTTTGGCCCTGAAGATCGTAATGATCCTATTAAATGTGAGTTATTCCTATTATTGTTTTTAATTCTGGGTATTCTTATTGGGGGGAATTGGGTTCTATTAGTTAATTGGGAAATTTGGAAAAAAAAAAAGAAAAACAATCCCGTGCGCCAATGTTTGACACAAAATGAACCCCTACAGTTATTATTCGATAAAATTAGAAGATACAAAAAGATACATTAATAAGACGCAATAAATTATAGAAATCCCGGAGAACTAAGCTCTGAAGATCATTATGATCATAATTAATACGCAAAAAAAAACAATCTACGTTTCAATTCTTGACCCCAACATCCTTCAACTGGTATTCCCCAACCATTGGTGGCACCAACACTTCGTAACGGGCACATTCTTCATTAACGATTTCTGAATGACGCTCCACATGAATACTGGCAACCAAAGAGTCTGGCATCACCGGATAAGCAACTTTGTCCAAAGTGTTGTGTAACACATTACCCCCAAGATCAGAACCTGGCGTAACGAGCCCAGGGTATCTGCCAGCAATATACTGTTTAGCATCATTGGTGTCTCCTGCACTAACATTGGCAGCGTTACCACTGGAATAATACGGATCTTGTTTGACCAATACTAAATCAGACCAATTTCTCTTATTCAAAAACATGTTATTGTCTCTGTCCTCGCCATCAACATCCTTGTGGAACAATCTCACCATATCTTCATCGGTGTTCCTGTCAAACCGATGAATCTTGCTTCGCTTGTATAACAACGTTGCCATGCCGTTTGGTGGAGGAGCGTTGGTGATGGCACTGGAGATGACGTTCAATATTAATCGAGGATCTTGTTCTGGATGGGTCAACACATGCTCGTTGGCTTCAATTCTCTTGGAAATCATACTATGCTTGTGGATTTTGCTTTTGAATCGTCCCACAGCGGCAAGATGGACATCCCCTGACAAAATGGTGATTCTCACCCCATTGGCGGCCCCAAATTCTTGTAATTTCCCTACAAGATAATTACGTTCGTGTTTGTGATGTTTTGCGCACCAATGATCTTCCAAATCATCAAGAACTTCGATACTCCCATCGAACTCGTTAACCAATCCTTTGGAAACGATTCGTTTTTGGGCCAACATCCGCACTGGGGCTAATGCTCTGGAAGTTAAGATTTTTTCTAACCATACAAGACGAGGATAAGCAATTGGGACCCCCAATAATATTAGCAAATGTTTGATATCCCCATTAGCAGCCTTGATTTCTGATTCAAGTCTGGCAAAGATCTCATTATAAGTAGCGTAGGTAAGAATTTGATCGCGTTTTCTTTCAGTTCGGCAATCAAACCCGACATAAGCGATTTCTTTACCCAATCTGATATAATTAGAATGTGACAATTCTTCCATATAAGGTCCTGGTTGAGCCCCGAAAATCCAACTTGGTTCATTCAATTGGGGTTGTTCATGAGGGGCGGTGTGGTGTTGGAAAATCATGTAATATTTGAAGGCTACTTTCCCCAACCCTTTGAAAACTGGGGCATCCATAGTTTCGTGTTTATAAGTCCCGTACCCATCGATGACATCGTGATCATCGTAGATGTTTGCGGTAGGGATAGTCGATAACGCTACTGGGAATAACGCTTGTAAAGTCTTGCCTTGGCTACCTGACCAATGACCACTTCCGAACCAATCGGTATAATTTTGCAAATAGAATTGGTCCAACGAGTTTTTCAAATCGTCATTGAATGGGGCCTTCATTTTCTTTAGTGGATTAGATTCTTCCAACCAGTCTTGGAAATCTTGTGACACGAGTTTGACCTTATCACAGTATAATTGGTCACCACCACCAATGGCGACGTGATAGTGTAACTTGCCGTGTTTTTCTAACACGTCGTACCAAAGTGAGTTCTTGTATTCAGAAGTGTCGGTGGCGAGAGAGAACCCATTACAAGAGAAACTAACAACGTTCATCGATTGGGTTAACGATGGGATGTAGAAATGATATTGGGGTTTATTGACACCATTGACGGAATACACCACTTTCTGCTCAACAGAATTAAGTTGTATATCAATATTGTATCTCCAGAAAGAAAGACCATTGGTGGCAAAGAATTGGGTGCCCGGGAACGAGCCGCTGTTGATGGTTGGAGTAGTATTAGTGGTATTACTGGCGGGGCCCACGGAGAAGTCAATGGTTGGTGGAGTTCCAGGATTCTCAGTGGTTGAGTCATTGGTCACCAACATTGCTGTAGCTCTGTAATTATTCAATGGCTTGCCATCTTGTCGTTCGTGGGTTGCCAACAATCTGATGATAGGGCCAACTTTGACGTCGACGGGTGGGGAACCAAATGGGACGGAGGCAGGAGGCAGGTCTGGGACATTGACGGCACTTTGTTGACCTATGGAAGCATAATACTCCAACGGATGAGGCGCGAACCAGTCACTAGTAGACATTGGTTGTTGTTGTTGTTGTTGTTGTTGTTGTTGTTGTTGTTGTTGGTGGAGGGAAGAATAAATGGGACGATACTTTTTTTTTTAAGGTGTCTGTCAATGCTTGTTTTTTTGGGTTTTTTTTTTCTGACGTATTTTTCAATTACGGAGGCTGGTTGGTTGGCCAACACTACAAATTATGGTGACAAAAACAACTAATAATAGTAATAATAATACACAAATACATTCAATCCAATTCAGCTACCAACCGCAACCCTAACGAATACTTTCCTCTGTCGTCAACGAGCCACCCGTTACTCACCATGCTCTTAAAGAGTTGCTGACCAGCCACCATCAGCTTGCCGGTGATTTCATGGTATAGATTGAGGGCCTCGCTACTGCTGATATTATTATTATTGTCATCGGTGCACTGTTGGATTACTGTGGTTATCACTTTGATATCTTCGGCACTGTACTCGGTGTTCAACTTTGACGGCTGGTCCTCGACCAAATTGACAAACGAATAGTAGATGTTCCGGTCCTCTAGATTATTCCGGTCCTTGTGTCGTTTTATTTCGTAGTTCATCGGGAGCATCATCACGTTGATTTGGCCAATGGTGTGTTCGAGAAGATCGTAGTCGTAGTCGTCGTCGTTGTTATTGTTGCTGGTCATTGCCTTGAAGAACTTTGCTAGTGATCGTTCACTAATGGTCTTTGACGCCATGACATATTGTAGAAGGGGACGGTGGTCGAACTCCATGCTGTACAAACCTATATTATGTCTAAGTATCTATCTAGAGCGGGTCAACATGGTTTATAACACAGACAAAATCACCATATTTTTTTTTTATTTTTCATTTTTCGCGTAGCGCGAATATCCTTAAAAAAAAAATCCCACCATTGAAGAACTAATTGATATGTAAAGGATATATCACATAGATAGATATTATAATTACAATGGCAGAAGACCAGACACCCTTGGCGATATTCCGCACTCCTTACACCCTAGAAGATGCTCTATCCCCATCAACCCCTCCCACGATGATCCCCAACGGACCATTATCATTATCATCATCTTCATCGTCATCTTCTTCTTCCTCTTCTTCTTTATTCTATAAAACCGATGATCACCCATTCAACAAAAGAGGTTTCAAATACAAACCATGCCGTCCCAACCCTCTATTCCCCAAATTGCTCTATTCCACTTCCGATCTCCCGCCTTATAATGCCAGAATATCCTATTTTGATCGGTCTCAGGGCACAATAGTCAATCAGAAAATGGATACCGTAACCACCACCGAAGGCTGGAGAAGTGTCAGAAGTACTGTCCCCATCGCGGAGGGCAAATGGTATTTTGAATTCGAAATCATAAAGGGAATTGATAGGGAATTGCCTGACAATCGCTGCCATGTCAGATTAGGGATTGCCAGAAGAGAAGCATCATTAGAGGCTCCCATTGGTTACGATGCTTATGGTTACGGATTGCGAGACGTCAAAGGTCAAAAAATCCATTTATCAAGACCAGTGAACTTCTGCCACGACGAGAAAAACGACGATCAATCATTGGTAACTGGGGATGTCATTGGAATGTTAGTGGAATTACCATCGTTGACAATACAACGAGACATTGTTCATCAACAAATCCTTCATAAAACCCCTGGTGAACCTACTGATGCCACAAGTTATTATGATAATAATGAAACAGGATCATTATCTAACGCCAATAGTAAAAAACGCAAAAAGAGAAAACTTGATGATGAACGTCATCAAATCACCAAACTAGATGATGGCCACCAACAGCAAATCACCCGCGATCAAATCCCAATTCGGTACAAGAACCAGCTCTATTATGAACAGTTCGAATACATCCCCACCGCCCCGTTCGAGCATCTACTAAACCCAGTAACGGTATTTGGTGAGCGGGCCATTCGAGATTCCAAACCTTTCCGGCCAGCGACTTTACCAGGCCTGAAATTAACTGTTTTCAAAAACGGGACCTCAATGGGAGTAGCCTTCCATGATCTTTATGCATTTTTACCTCCATCATCAAAACTAAGTAAAGCACAATCAAGAGATAAACAGTACAAAGATGATGGCAAACTAGGATACTTCCCAATGATGAGTGTTTTCAAAGGTGGAGAAGTGAAATTGAATCCTGGTCCTCATTGGAATGGTGTCAATCAGGACTTGAAACGCCGGCTAGAAAATGGCGATATCAAGGGATATTATCAAAGATACCATGAAATAATTTCCGAAGACATTGTGTTTGATATTATCGATGAAGTGGAATGTGAGCTTTTTGAGGAAAAGGTACGGTGATTTTATTGTTCATTTGTGTCAAACAGTACCAAAAATAATTCATGCTATTACAGTTTCTTTACTCAAACTAAATAGAAATCAATTTCATACTACACAAATAAATAGTTCACCACCTAAAATAATACATTTCCTTCGTGGATGATACCAGCGGGTCATTTAAACCTGAAACATCTTTACAAGTATGGAGAATAATTGGAAGTCCAACAGATAATCGTTTACAAGATAATATAAGCAAACTACTAGTTTATTAAGCTGTAACTTGTAAAAATATTACAACAAAATTAATTTCTTCACAGTGAAGACAGTGAAGATTCCTCAGGGAATAAAAAGGGTGTCGATCTACCTTTGCGCCCTCCTCTTGAATTTGCTAGTAATTGCTCTTGGTTTTTTCTCTGCAAACTTCATTTTCCAAGTTTTTGAGCGTTTGGAGATCATCGTTAATATAATTGACTTTATCACACATAATGGAGTTTTCAAAGTCAAAGACAAAAAAATTGCCATCCTTCCAGCCAATATTTTCCATGGTCAATTCATCATAGGTGATGTTAGCTTTTGCTAAACGGCGGAGCTGTTCCCTACCATGTCAGAATTGGTCAGACGTAGTTGGTTTGATTTCTCCGAGATTTTCCATTGCTAGATAATAACCACCAAATAAAAAATTTCCATTAGATGATAGAATCATTTTCCCACTCCCCAATATTCTTGGAACATTTATGGTCAAATGTGGGTTGAGGATATTGAACTTCTCAATTGCATCATATATTTTTATCTCGTTTTTGAATGATGAAACTTCATAATTTAAATATTCTGTAATTTCTTTTTCAGTAAGATCGTCATCTAGACCTTCAATGAAGTAGTTCATGCCCAAAATTTTCACTAAAACCTCATCAATCCCTTCAACTAAAATAGTATACTTGATACCAAAACGTTCAGCAAAAGTATCAAACTTCATTGAGATTACTTCATTTCGGGATTCAAATCCACACTTCAATTCTTTATAAATATTTTTTCCAATGTCAAAATGTAATATATCCTTAGCTGGTAGGTAATTGAGACAATCTTGTAGTTGTTGAGTTCATGATTCTTCCCGACTCTTGCTAATTTTTTTTGGAATTGTTTCATTTTCTTGGTGACTTCTCGCTTGTATTCTTCAGGGTTTTTTTTTTAATTTTTATTACTTTTGAAAGTAGTGCAATGGCAAGCGCCGATCTTAGCGTGAAAACCTCATCATCAAACCTTTTTAAAGTATGGCTGAATGTTACCTTCACTTCGTCACCTCTTTTGCGAGACTTTTGGAACTGCATAAAATAACTGGACACAAAATTGGTGATGATAATTGTATCTGTGCATTCCTCTGCAAGGTATTCTGTGATCTGTCCCATGATAGAATTGTTCTTCGTTATATCTTCTTCATCATTTAGGGACACGAGGCCATATCTCTTAAGTTCACATATTAGTATGGTGTGTACTTGTACTCATGTTCATTTCTGCGGAAAAGAAAGCATTTTGACAAGTGATCTCTAGGGTGGACTTGTTTAATTCCGAGTATTGTTTTCCTGACACTATTGCGACAATCAATTCATCAACAGCTGGCTCACTCTTTGAAAAAACATTATTGAGGTCTCTCATTAGAGTTTCTTCCTTTTCAAAAAACTCTCCATTTTTCTCGTAATTCAATTCTCTATATAGCTGTAATATGGAGTTTTTGGTTCCTTGGATGTTATTGTGGTTCTTTTTGACTTTCGCTGATTCGGAAATCTGGACTTGGGCTGGTGGAAATGAAAAGAAAATCTTGTGCAAGTTTTTTGTGATTATGCTTTCTGAGAAGCATCTTTGGACTAAAAGTGTGTAGAACGGAGGGCTAAATTTATTGGTAATCTGCTTGAAGTTGAAGGTCAAATCACGAGTTTGGGTATGTTTCAAAACGTTGAAAAGTTTCTCATAAATGGTTTCTGGGGTCAGACTGTTTTGATAGCTGTTTATATGGAATTGGTAGAGAGGAGAGTACAATGGCGATAAATTCCTTTTGTACCGCACTGCAACATTAGGCAAACGAGAGGACAAATGTCTGATCATAGTGTCTTGCGAGGTTGGTGATGAATTTGAAGATTAAACTGGTGAATAAATGTTTTGTTGTAATATAAAGAGAATAGAGCACATAAAAGGTTTCATGATGAGCTACAAAAGCGGCAGCAACCACAGTGCATACAACCGCACCGCACCATTGGTATGACTTTGCAAAAGCACATTGCACGATTGTCCTGCTATTATTTCTCTTTGAATAAAGGTATCATAAATAATTAGTATGAATTTCATTGCTAGTAGGTACCAATAATTAAAGCGCTATACTATGACTCACGCCTCTTGGTTGGCATGAATGTTTTCGATAGTTGGTACGAATAAAAAATGGAATCACTATATGAGAATCACATATTATCTATAATAAGTTTTTTTTAACGATTAGTTTCATCAATTACAATTTGTAAAATTTGTAAGATATGAAAAATATTTGTATTTAAATATGAAAAAAAAAAGGAGTTCTCGTCATAATCATCTTGACAAAAAATTAAGTATCTCAGATAATTACAACCTACCTGAAACACACAAGAAAAAAATAAATAAATTAAAAAAATATCAAGATATTATCATATCTCATATTATTGTCATCACACATTGTCGTCTCATATTGTCATTTCTATCAAGCGCTCTTCTTTACATACAATTTCCCACTCAACATATCATTGGCCTCAGTATAGTTGCTCCAGAAAATCTTTTTCGATTTTCTAAACTTCTCATCAACTTCCCCAGATCTCATCAATTCCACTACCAGTCTAAACCCAATATGACTACCTTGAATGGAAACCACACAAGCACTCAATTCAGAACTATCCTTAACAGTCTCAAACTTCACCCCATTCACATAACGGAATCTCAATTTTGGATCAGATTCATCATGGAATGAATCATTCAATTTCCAATCGATCTTGCTATTCCATTTCTCGATGAATTCACAAGCTTTAACCCCCAATCTGTTGGCATTCACACGATCCAATGACGATGGATAATTACCTTGCTGAACATGTCCAGGAATCGCGGTTCTTGATCCAAATTTCCCGTGGGATTGTTCGGCAATGATATCGGTAATCAATTCAGTGGTGAAAATCTTAGACGCCTTCTCATTTCTGATAAAAATCTTCCCACTGCGGTTCTCACCTCCATCATTCTTGAAAGATTCCTCAAGTAAAGAAATGTCTTCTCTAATCTTCTTGAGGGAGATTTTCTCTTCAGGAGTATAACTGGCAATCGCCCCAGTGATCAATGAAATATAGGAGGCAATATAACCACAGTACCCACCTTGCACTTCAATAACAAACACACGCTTTCTGGAAGCGGAAGCTGATTGTTTGATAGCATCACAATATTTCACAAGTTCATTCATACAAGTATCGGACCCAAGCGAATATTCTGTACCCGGAACATTGTTGGAAACTGTAGCTGGAATAGCAACCATTGGAATGTTGAAGATAGGGTATTGTTTTCTAGCCTCTTGCAATTCCTGTAATGATGTAAATGCTTCATACCCACCAACAAGCACTAACCCATCAAAGTTGTATTTTTGGAAATAATAGGCAATTGTCCCCATGTCTTGAGATGGTAAAGAACGGTTGGTACCAATGACAGATCCGCCCAAATTATACCAGCTATTAACATCATTGTAATGTAGCTCACGAACCGCTCCATGACGAATCAAACCAGCAAACCCATTTTGAATTGCAAAAAGTCTGTGTCCTTTAGCAAAACTATAAAGCGCCATAGATCTTGTGGCGGCATTAAGGGCAGAGGTTGGCGCCCCTACATGCACCACCGCAATATTAAGTCTTTGATCTTCTGGTAACTTATGGGAGCCATCATCATACATGGTGGTTTCGATATAATTATTGTAACATTCAGCAAATTCGGAATCACGGAGACTCATGGCCTTATCGAAGTCTTTAGCAGCAATTGCCGCGGCCACGGATTTTGTCAATTTCACCGCTTCCAATAACGGCTTGCGGACAATTTTCCCTTCCAATATCCCAATCATAGGCGATGGCAGCTTACCATCGTCTTCCAAAACCGCTTTCACTGCTTCAACACCTTGCAAAGTACCCAACATACGGTCATAAGCACAAGCAGTACCACCTCTTTGGACATGTCCCAATTGGGTGACTCTGGTATCCAAGCCCAAGTCAACAAGAACTTTCTTGACATCTTCAGAAGTAATAGGCTTATTTTCGTTATCAATGGCCCCTTCGGCAACAATCACCGTGGTCTTACGATGTCCTTTTTCTCTATGTCTCATACAAACTTTCAGTAATTTGTCTTTCCAATTGGTGGCATCATCTGGTCTTTCAGGAATGAAAATATAATCAGCCCCGGTAGAAATCCCCGCCATAAGCGCCAACCAACCACAATGACGACCCATGACTTCAATGACAAAAGCTCTGGAATGCGAAGTAGCGGTGGCATCAATATAATCCACCATTTCAATGATTCTTTCCAAGGCACTAAACGCTCCGATAGTTCTATCAGTCATGGCCATATCATTATCGATCGATCCTACCAAACCAACAATAGACAATCTCTTGTATGGAGCAACTTGCATTTCGGTGAGTTTACCAGTACTCACCAACTCTTCCATAAGTGATGGCCAGTCTGATCTGAAAAGATCAGCCCCAGTTAATGACCCATCACCGCCACATACCACCAAAGAATCAATCCCATTGCTCACCAAATTATAAGCAGCTTTCAAACGACCACTACGCTCCCTAAATTCTTTATTACGGGCGGTACCAATCAATGTACCACCAAGTGACAACCATCCACGTACATCGTACCAGTCCATCTTTTTTATCATGTTACCACCAGAGACCAACCCATTGTACCCATCATAGATACCAAACACATCACAATCGTAATGGATCCCAGCACGCACTACGGCACGCACCACAGCATTCATCCCGGCTGAGTCACCACCAGACGTCATGATCGCAATCTTCTTTTTACCACTGGTAATCAAAGAAGCTACCGATCCCTCAGAGCTAGGACTAGTCAATGATTCAGAAGAAACACTACTCTTGTCAGCGATGGTTTGTAAAGGAGAAGCATATTTCGAAAATAGAATATAGGTCCCTATTGGATCTCTGGTCTTGAAACTGTAATCATTGATACCATTTTCAGTATCTTCCTCAGGATTATTTGTTACCTCGTACCCATTGTCCTCCAATCTTGATCTGATTGTGTCGAGATCCTCACAATAAAATACAAGCCTTGTTCCATGGCGAGTCATATCATTAGAATCATCAATGGTTTCCGTAGAATAATTCGATAATCTCAATTTTACCGCAACTCCCTGACCCAGTGATGAAGCACTTGGGAAAGATTCAAGCCAAGATTCACGGACTGATTCGTAAGAAATCCCTTCGAGTTCAAGGGTAGATGCTGCCGCATTGGTGTCTCGGACATAGTTCTTGACCAATTTGAATCCAAGCAACTTATAAAATTCAATGGCTTTTTTGTATGCCTCAGGCGACCCTGTCACAAGCGACCAGAAAGCAAAAGGATTACCGTTATTGGAAATCATAGCAAAAAAATTTATTTTAATAATTGTTATTACTTTTTAGGGATAGGACTAATAAAGTAGAAGCACTGGAAATAATGATTGGCTGCCCCAAATATTTTTATTTTATATCGGCTGGTTGTTCTCGAACGTCTGGAGATGGCGATGGGGCTCACATGACGCACTGTAGTCACTTACCGGCGCCGTCAACACACGTCCTAAGCATAAATTCCTTGAAAACTTCTTATTTAACTCATGATAAATAAATGATACGAGAAGAAGAGAAAAAAAAATGTACAGAGATAATATATCGATATAATAAAAGATCATGTAAATAAAAGAGATAAACCGTAAGTGAAATGAAAATGGAAATAAAGTAAAATGGAAATAAATAAGCCTTATCTGATAGTTTCAGTACTATGTTGTTTTTTTATTAAGACAAATTGAATCAATTATCTTCATTAATAGTGTCAGGCGGAAATCTGCCAAAACTGTTGTTCTCGTTATTTGGAATCGCCATATTGGTGAACACTGCTGCTGCTGCTGCCACGGATCCGTTAACGTTGTTCATTGTGTTTTCTCTCACTTGTTGCTGTGGTTGTTGTTGCGGTCTTACTGAATCTCCTCTTTCGCTGAAAAAAAGGGATTCTGGCGCTGGAAGCCCTTGCTGAGAATAAATATTACTCCATTGAAATGGGGCAAATCTTTGCCTTCCATTATCTTGAGGAGTTCCTGCAATTAAAGAGTCTGTGCCTGAATTTTGCTGTTGCTGCTGCTGCTGTTGTTGATGTTGCTGTTGTTGTTGTTGCTGCTGTTGTTGTTGTTGTTGTTGTTGTTGTTGTTGTTGTTGTTGTTGTTGTTGTTGTTGTTGTTGTTGTTGTTGCTGCTGCTGTTGTTGCACTGTTCCGGCAATTGGGGTAAATACAATATGATTTGTTACCGCATTGTTTAATATTCTTTCAAATTGTTGCTGCTGCTGTTCCAGCTGCTGCTGAAGTTGTCTTTGCTGTCTTTGTTGAAATAAAATTTGACGATTGAGTTGGTCTTGACGCAACATCTCAGAAGTTTGGTTCGGTGCTGAAGAAGGTATTTGAAGTGCTGTGTTATATTGCAAACTTTCTTCAGCTGCATAAATACTAGTTAAGTGATCACGAAGTTTCTTCACACCACTGCCACTGAAAACACAGAACAAGGACCTTTGTTGTGGTGTATACTCTTCTGGTGGGGCGCGGCAAAATCTCTTGAAATCAGGTCTCAAAAATGACAGAATGCCTGTCAACGATAAATGTGTTAGTTTAGGGCAAAAAGTCAATAGTAGATATATTGGATGGGTTGATAATTGGGTACAGTATGATAAATGTACTCGTTCTAAAGTATCACCAGGGCCTCTTTGTTGAACTAATTGAGTGATGCCTTGATCAGTTATGTGACCACACTTGACCAACCCAATTCTTTTTAACCTTGGTAAATTGGCTAATTCCACAACCGATGCATTGGTCAATTGGGTACAACATGCTAGATCAATGTACTGTAACCTGTGACAGCTTGAAACTAACAATTTGACCCCATAATCAGTTATGTTGGAACAGTGACCTAAATGAAGGTAATGGAGCGATTTGTTTAATAATGCTAATGATCGCAACGAAGCATCAGTGATATTTAGACACTTAGACAATACCACGTTTCTTAGTCTTGGAGCACATTTCACGATTTTTTCAATGGAGCGGTCGGTAATATAAGAGCAGTCAGTAAAATCCAAAATTCTTAAACGATTCAAGAATTGAATATCTGGCAATGGCTTAAATATTTGATCAGAAATATTTCTGTTTTGAGAGATTCTGAATTCCCTGAGTTGTTCCAAGTTTTGAAAAACATTTGACAAAGATATATCTGTAACATTTGGGCATCCATGTAGATCAATTTCAACCACGTATTTAAAATTTTTAGCTAATTCGTTGATGGCATCATCAGTAACATTTTCACTTTTCGTCAATTTAATTCTTTTCAAATATGGACATTGTTTGAACAAATTTATTATCGATGCTTTGGAAACTTTTCCAGAATCCGGCGCATAAACCCCTTGTAAGCGTGGACAATTTGTAGCTAAAGCGTTGAATATTTCATCGTTAATACTTTTCACTCCTGACATATCTATAGATTGAAGTTTCGAGCAGTTCTTCAATACTTTTGCGATTGAGGCACTGGTGAGTTTTGAACAGTTAACCAAGGTGAGACGTTCCAAATTTGGACAGTGTTGAAACTTTGATAAGAATTCATCGTCGGCAAAGCTTGAGATAAAACACACATTCAAACGGCGAATATATATACGATAATCGAAAAAGGTCGTCGACAGATCAAGGTCAAGGATTCCTTGAATGTTTTGGTATGCTTTTTTGGATTGTAGTTTTGGTCTAAACCAAATTAATTCCACCAATAATTGAGCCCAGTATTTACAGACTGGCAAAAGAAGGGCCAAGTCTGCCTTCTCCTTAAAGAATGAGAACACCAATACGAGGATTTCTGGTGGCAATACCGATATCGACGATAAGTCTTGTTTTGTATAAGGATGTACGAATCCGAGGATATTATCATGGTTGATGTTCACACTGTCATCAATCACTTTGACAGACGGCGAGCGATTATGTATCTTTGGGGAATTGGTAATTGAATTATTCTCTGAGCCAGACTCATCTGACGATTCAGAAGAAACATAATTGGCAAGATGGCTCATGTTGTTTGTGAATAACAGGAACTCCAATCACTCGGTAAACAAAACAACAAAACAGCACAAACAAATATTAGGAAATCAGAAAAATTCAAGAAAAAAAAAATTGATGGCAAAAAAGAAACAAACACCGTGCACAAAAAGGGAGCAAGATGGGTTTAAGTCAATAAATGAGCGTGGTAAATTATAAGAGACAGGAATCCTGGAAAGTTGAAGAAGCCGGAGATTTTCAGGTACCAATCAATGTGTATGGCCCCAGCAGGTAATGTAGTTTGGCGGGAACAATTGATGAACTGGCGACTCATAGCAGATTAATAATAATATACGGTGATAATAATTTACAATGTTGGTTGTGGGAAAAAGGCGGTGGAGAGGGGCTGTCCCGTGACTTGAGACTTTTAGTGTTGTGCGCACGCACGCATTCTTATCGTAAATAGCTACTGATTCATATAATAATAATAAAGAATTTCCATCAATAATAGCACCTAGCAAAGAAAAAGTAACCAAGAAAAAAATTAAGTGAGGTGAGGTCAAATAATATATAATAATAATAAACACCATAGATTTTCATTAAAACAACTTCATAAAATAATAGCAAACATTTGTTCACATTGCCAAACTTCAAAGCTTATCGCCAGCATTCTCCATAACCACCATCTTATCCCACAACTTCACCAATTCAGATTTACCCTTCCTCTCATTTTCCAATTGTTGTTTGAAAGCTTCAACTTCTCTTTTCAACGATTCATTTTCTGATTTCACAGCATTGAACTCTGATGAATACTTTCTTTCATACCCTTCTTTCAATATTTGGACTTTGTTGGTGTGCTTTTGCGAATATTGAACGTATAAATCATCAGATAACTTCTTCAAGCGCTCTTCTGTCTTTTTTTCTGACTCAAGTTGTTGAGATCTCAATCTTGTGAGCTGTCTTCTGGCATCCGATAATTCATCATTAGCTCCTGCTAATTTTTCATTCAATCTGTCGTTTTCCACAGATAACAGCATTTTATTATCTTCCATATGCGATAACTCAACATCCTTGGAATTGATAGTGTTTTGCAAGACAATAACTTGATGTTTAATTTTCTCTAATTCTTCGATATAATTTTCCTCAGAATGGCTTAGTCTCTGCTGATATCTAGATAATTGTTGTTGCTTGTCTGCAGAATCATGTCTGAGATCATCATACTTGTCCTTTAACTTATCATAATCACGCTGGGTGTACTTCATGAGTTCTTTGGTGTCAGATAATTCTTCCTTGTACTTTACAACTTGAATCTTCAATTGATTATTTCTATCGGTTAGTTCGCTAACAGTTTTATTCAAAATTCCAATTTTATTGTTGATAGAATTAATCTCTGCTAATTTCGATTTTTGCTCATCCAAAGCATCAAGATACTTGGATTTAAGTTTCTCATACTCATTTTCCAACTCGTTTAATTTCCTATCTCTATGTCTAACCATTTCTGTGGCTTCATTGCTTTCCTTAATGAGCTGTTCATTTTCCAAAGCTCTGACACGAATATCGTCTTTATAACTCTCAATTTCTTTTTCATAACCTTTAAGAACCCTCTTCATTTCACCACCTGATTCCTTCAACTCACTAATAGATAGCTCCAAATTATTTTTCATTGACTGTTCTTGCCTGGCTCCGGCTTTCAATTCATTTAGTTTTTCAGTAACGTCGGCCCTTTGTTTATTGATTTCATCAATTTGATGTTTTAAGCCAAAATTTTCTTCATCCATCGCTTCATGCTTTTCTTTCAATTCCTCAAGCTGCGTTTCCACCTCTTGAATACGCTCATCTTTGACAATAATTTCATTGTTCATCTTTATAGCCTTACCTTGTAAAAATTCCACTTTGTTGGTAAGCAAAATCTTCTCGTTACTTAAGTCCTCAATTTCAGCAAGATGTTGCTCCCTTTCTTGTCTCAATTTTTGGAGTTCTGTTTGCTTTTCTTTGTAAAGATTTTTGAACCTATCGCCCAATCTCGTGTACGAGGCTAATTTTTCATCTTTGGAAATTACATCCGTTTGTAAGACGTTGACATTTTTCTCAAAAATCTCGTATTCTTTTGTCAAGAACTTATTTCTTTCTTGTAATTGTTTCTCAATTAATTTCAAATCATCAAGTTGATGTTCCAAATCTTGAATTTTTAGATTGGATGCTGAAGCTGCTTCTGATAGTTTCAAAAGCTCTTTATTTTTGTTGCTCAACTCTAATTTCAAGACCCGTAAATCTTCATCGTATTCACTTTGGATTTTCGCAAATTGCTTAATTGAAAAAGTTGGCTTTTCTGCAGGATTTTCAAATGTTATCTCTGAATCATCTCTCGAAGCTTCAAGATTCCTTTCAGCAAGTGTTTCTTTGACCAATTTTGCTAACTCAGATAATATCTCTTCGTCTTCATCATCAGCAATCCCGAGTAATGAATCTCTCCTATTTTCTTTGGCAGCGGACAACTTCACAACAGTTTCTTGAAGTTTCTTCAAGGGTGACTTAGATTTTCTGGGAGACATTTTTGGCTTATGTGTTGATAAAGGACTAACAGTGGTCTCTACGTTAACTGGTTTGGAAGTATCTAAAGAAATATCAGCATCATCTATAATTCTGCTTACCTGTTCAGTTCTTGGACTAACTGCAACGGCTTCAGTCATTCGAGTTGGTGTAGTTGGTACCTGATCCTCATCATCATTATTGCTCGCCATCGATGATCTCCTGGAGTTTTCGGCAGGTGAAGAAATGGAATAGAACATATCAGTATTATCAAAAGTAACCCCTGAATCATCAGCTTCCTTGTTTGTACCTGCATTGCTACCCTTAAGGAAAAGTTTTCTAGTCATATTGAACATTTTTTTATCCCTATTGGTGGCGCGAACCTTTTTTTCGCTGTGTAGGAAAGTCACCCCGGGGCCTTTACTAATTGGGCTATCCTCTTCAATTCTTGTGAGTTGCTCATTGTCACTAATGTCATCATGTCCTTCATTTTCTTTATTGTCAATATCGACCTTGCTAGGGCTCTTAGTCTTCTTTGGAGTCCTGCCTTTCAAAATTCCCCTTTTTCTAGCACTCATGAGATATTCTCGATTTAGAATTGCATCAATGGTTGAAGGTTCAGGCTCAGGATTTTTCTTGTGGAGCTTTCTTTGAGCGCTAACTTCGCCAATTAAAGAGCGGCGCTTAATTGAAAAACCCGGACTAACAAGAGGAGTACGAATTTCGTTTTCTGTTGGGGTTCGTGGATAACTCTCATCGTCACTATTTGACTGTCTGCTGGAGTTGTATGATGATAGTTGGTTACTTGGGGTTTTCTCAAAATGCGATTCTTTTGCAGCATATCTTCTGAAATCCTGGTGATATTCACTATCATCTTCATTTTCTTGTTTTCCTTCCCCTTGTTCTTCTTCGAGGTAAAGTTGGCCGTCCTTACCCTCGATCCAATATTTGCCATTATCATCGACATAATATCCTTTTTCAACCCTGTAAAATTTGGTACCTCCCTCTTCAAAAGAATATTCGAATCTACTATCCATAAAAAACTCTGATTGATCCATTTTAGCCCGGCCTATTTCCACTTCATTATTTTGTTCACTTTCTCTCTTTCCTTCCTCTTCCTCAAATTCGGCAACATCAATTACCCCACTTTTGGTAATATCTCCCTGTGAAAGCATTTCAACATCCATGTCTTCTTCTTCTTGTCTTTCTTCTTCTTCTTCTTCTTCTTCTTTATCAGCATGGTCTTGAAGGAGGCGTTTGGTCTTGTGATCATTTTTTTCTGCAATCAATCTGAATTTCTCATCCAAATTAGCTTTGGATCTCATGAGACATTTCTTAGAAATGGCCTTGTTATTACTTGTGCTCCTTGAAACTGTGAGAGGTCCCATTTTAATTAGATCATTGTTTTCCTTGTTGGAATCCAAGGTCAAACTTCTTCTTCCATGTCTTTTGTTATTTATTCCGTGGGGGATCTTCTCCAATATGCTGAATGAGTCGTCACCGTCATCGCCATCATCATCACTCATATAGCGGCGGTCAATATGATCACTACTCATTGTTAATTGGCGTTAACGCTGGTAAGTTATTCTCCTGGTTTTGTAGGTTAACGTGCAACAAAAACAAATAGAAGATGTTTTCTTTTTTTTTTTTTTTTTTTGTAAACAAGGAGTGAAAATAAACGCGTCTTCTGAAAATGCAGAAATACCCGGACACTGTTAAGTAATGGGGTAACACACCCTCGTGAATCAGGGCCTTCATTCGAATAATATTATTCTTTCAGATCACCCAAATTGATGATATGACGTTAAGCTGCTCTTGTCGGTATTACAAATCATGAAAAAAAAAATTCACAAACTGTAATAATATAAAAAACTAAACAATAAAAAATATGTTATACAAACAAAAATACATAAGGGTTTGCACCATTTTGAATGGTTAACAAACCACCAACCTTTCCACAATAACATTCATCATGCCGATGGAGCAGAGTATCTGACATTAATTACAGCATTACCAAGGTTACCAAGTTCAACAGTCAAATCGTCAGAATTATCAACAACACTATTAATTGCAATACTACCTTCGGCAATCTTTTTATCCTTTCCTAATCTGTGAGGAACCAATGCTTCAAAAACTAATCCATCTTCAGGGATAGCCTTGAATGTAGCTTCTTCTGAAAATTTGTAAGTTGCTTCATGAACCTTGCTTCTCCTGGTCTTCAAAATCTCTTTGGTTCCCAAATCATTATTTTTCAATAACACCCTCAATGATAAATGTTGGTGAGTATCATCAAGCCCGTGTAATTCTTTGATAGTTATTCTGCCAGTAGATCTCTTACCCCCGAAAATCGCAGTGCTGGAAGTCATGGTACTTGAGAGTTGGCTTTCGTTAGCGCCGCCAATAATGCTTGCTGCGCCGTTAGTTGGGGTTGACACAAATGAGCTTTCCGCATCATAGGTAGACTCATTACCATTGATTGTGGATTGGGTATCAGAATTACCGTGCCCAAAGTGTAAAGAATACCTTTTGCTTTTTTTACCACCCAAGGCTCCCAAAATTTTTCCTCCGCCTTTACCAACTCCACCAGCAATTAATCCAACACCACCAACAGCACCTTTAGCAACACCGCCAACAAGCTTTACTGGAACCTTGCTAACTGCTCCAATACCAGGAAGACCACCGCCGAATTTTTCAATTTTTGGTCTAATATATTGAGGTTCAAACCCAACTCTAAAATTGATCTTTCCTGCTGGTTTTCCTTCCAACACCAAAGGAGTGGAAACACTAGTCTGATGACCTGGTTTCACTTGTGACAAATCAATCAACGCATCACCCAAGTAGTCGTCATCACCTGCCAAGTCCCAGTCAAACATTTGAACAACTAATCTCGTTCTCTTTAATGACGGTATTGGGAAAGATGCAGATTCATTGAATGTTGGATGCAAAGTCTTCTTTTGAATTTCTGTTTGGAAAACCTTGGCCCCATTAAGCTTGATGACAGCGTATGGGTCTGACTTCCCATTACTGTCAGCAGCGAGCAAGTCTTCACCGTTAAGAATATCGAGAGTAAGTTTACCAGTATCAATCATAAGTTCACTAGGGTGTAGTTCAACTTTAGATGGCGAGTAAGATACTTGCAAAGTGACGGTGCTTTGAGAATTGCCGTTGCCAATTTTAAGGGTCGTTGGCTCATTGTAAGCCTTCTTCAAAATTTCTAAAGTAGAGTAACAATGTTCGTAGTAAACATCTTCTGGGGCTTCTGCCTCTTCCTTGGATGCTTCTCTAACCACAAAGACAGAATTCTTTAAATCTCTAATGAAAATTGTTGAGTAACTGGAGGACACTAATCCTGCATTAGCAGGACCAGCAACTAGTCCTGGGTAACCAACTTCATCCACCAAAACGTGTAAAAAGGCCTTCTTATGATCCAAAGAACCCTTGATGATGTCAACACTCAACACACCACTGTTATGAGTGATTAATTCGGAAAGCGGAATTTGTTTTTTGTGAGGATCTCTGTTACCATAAGGACTATCAACTTCCACCCATTCATAATCTTTTGGTTTCTTTTTGAACTCAAGTTGCAATTTTTCTTGTTCTTCTTTTTCTTTCTCCATTTTCTCTTGGATCTTTTCATCTTCTTTTTTCAAGTCTAAGAGTTCCTTTGGTGAATACACAGCGGTTGTTGGGATAAAACTTATAGAGTATGACAAAAAGCCCTTAGAAGTTTTGGATTTTGGTTTAAACAATGGAGCTTTAACTATTTTTTCGCTTCCGTCAACATAGTAATATTCACCACTTGGGCTCTTCTTCAAAAGCTTGTCAGCCTTGAATGAGGTGTCCCCCAATATTTTATCACGTCCATTCTTTTCAGCATCAAAAACATCCAAAGTAACATATTGATTTTCGGAAGTCACTGGAATGTAACAAACTTCTTCAAAAATTGGACTTGAATTCTCTGGATGGACAATTGTTTGAAATCTCACTTTATCGTTCAAAGAAATTGAAACATATGGGTCAACCAGTCCGTGTAATTCAGATGCATCACGAACATGAATTCTGAAAACACCCAATGGATCTTTGTGTGATACTTCGCTAGCAATTTTAGCCATGGCCAAAGGTCTCCAAGTAGGAGTGATCTTAATAACACCTTTAGCACTCAACTTAAACAAAGAGTTACCGGTACTTTCAACTTGACTAAGAATGTCACCAAGAACGCCCTCGTATTCACCCAACATTGTGTCTTCACTGAAGCCCACTGAGTCCTTGATAACAATCTTGATGTTAGTTTCAGACTTCGAGCTGACCAAAGTTTCGATAACGTCACCAAACGATGGTTCATTGGATCTTTTCAAAACTCTAGTCTTATGCTTCAATTTACCGTCAAAGTAAATTTCTGCATACGGTGAGACTTGACCAACCAAAGAAGAAGACACATCCAAGTCCTTAGCTTCATTCAACACAAATTTCAAAATACCAACTTCGGACTCTGGAACCGGACCCTTGGCGCCGTCATCCAAAGTAGGAGCTTCAAGTTCTGGGAAATAGAACAAATCAAAGTTGGCAAAACCCACATGTTTGCCGCTAGATTTCAATTTCACATTCAATCCGGTAAATTTATCCTTTTGGTAGCATGAGGTTAAATCAAATTCTGCGGTACCCACTAATTTGTCCTTACCAAATCCACCAGACTTATAAACATTAATAAGCAAATTCTGTTCAATGGAATTATTCAACACATAATAAGTTTTATTCCAAACAGGGTTTTTAGTACCAGGTTTGGTGTCAGTTCTAATCTTCTTGTCTTCTGCAGAATTTTCAGTACAAAGGACAGCATAATAATCACCAGCATTAGAAAGAGTAATATCCTTTAATTCAACGGCAAGAACAGAATTGATATCGGTAGATGCAGCACTCATAATATCAACAAGGTTAACTTCCTGGTAATTTGGAGCGATAAGGAAACTCTTGATACCCCAGTTAATACCTTCATTAATAATAGACTTCAAACCAGGAATAAACTTCATAATATCAATACCAAAAGTATCACCACCAATTGGTTTCAAGGCGTAGTCAATCTTTGGAGGCTCCAAGAATTGTACTCTAATAAGCTCAATCATTGGGAACTTATCAGTAAAAGTCAATCTGATTTTCATTCTACCAACAAATCCCATATCTTCAACGTTGATTGGGAATTTCTTGGAAATGATACCTTTACCAAGAGCAGCCTTGATCACAACCTTTGGCATGATTTGCTTTCTAATTTCCGCCTTGGTCATGTTTTCTCTGTTGTTGGGATCAAATGCAAAAGCCCAGTCCATTTCATAAGCATCATTGGTAATTTTGGTATATGATTTAATACCAGTAATTTTTGGAGCCACTGAGCCCAAGTGGAAGTGGGTAAGTTCAATAGAATCAATACCACCACCTGGAGCCACCCCGGCCAAAATTGGATTCACGTTAGTCTTCACAATATCCCCCATTAAAGGCATGTAAATTGACCAAACTTTTGATAACAAATTATTACACCATTCTAAAGTTTCTGTTTCATTTTCCAAACGGTCAGAAATAGAAAGTCTCAACATATCATCACGGGTATCTCTAGTGAATCTTCTGAACTCAGCTCTGTAGACTGAAGTAGCACCAAGAAATACCAAACCAAGCCACAAGAAGCTGCCGCCAACTCTGGCAATTAACCAAGAAAAGAAACAAGTACCGGTAACCAAAATAGTGTTCACATATAAATCGCTGTAGTAAGCATCACTAAGATAAGTTTTCATCGCTTCGGATTTAGCCAACATTGCTTCACCATCACCGCCCTTATCAATGCCGGTCTGAAAATAACCAACGCTCTCCCAATCAAAAGTAGCAAGGTCGGTGTTCAACTTACGATGAGATGGCTTTGGTTTTGGCTTTTCGATAACTTTTGGCTTTTCCACTGACTTTAGCTTTTCTTCTTCTTCTGATTTCAGGAGTAAATTTCCAGCAGCTCCTGTAACGAGCTTTGCTACATCATTGACGCCTTTTCCTACTTCGATGGCATTCTTGCCAATATCTAGGGCTCCTTTTGCTAAACCTTTGTTAATGTTGTGAATGTCTGAGGCACCTTTCACAATGCCCTTATTAAGGTCGGTGGCACCTTTCATAATACCTTTATTCAAATCTGAGGCACCTTTAGTCAAGCCTCCAGCAAGCTTTCCAGGAGCCTTTAAAACATTTTTTGAGCTACCATTCATCATAGTAAACCTCTTATTAACTTTGGAGGATCCTCCAGAATCACTAGCAGTATCAGGTCCCTATTTTTGGTTAGTAAATGATGCCATTGAGATATATTACTGTGTATCGTCGCTTTATAAAGGCAAACCCAAGTCAGTCCAATGGAAAAAAAATTAAGAGTACCGGACAAGAGAATATTCAATTGTCGACACCCGTCATTGACATTGACATTGCCTGACGTTCTATCCGAGAAATGAACACTTACTGAACTCATGATGTTTTCTGATGGTTTGCTATAGCCAAAAGTAAAATTCTCAGGATATCGCAAACTTGAAATACAAGAAAGAAAGGCTGTTTGTATTGATGCGAAATGGCTGGTTGAGTCTATCTCTCTGCACGTGACTCCGCAGCTGAAACTTGCTCGAAGGGAATTTCCCAGTAAAACATTTGGTTGTCGTTGATGAATTTATTCCTATTTTTGAAATTTTACTTATCCATTTATTTTTTATAGTAGCGAATATTTATCTGGCATTTAGTAACGGAAAGCACCATTGATTGCTTAGGATCATCATGGGGCGATAGAATAAATTACTTGTATACCGTGTTATGACTCCACCGCCGCGGTATATTGTGATGCAACAATCAGGTGAATATGCTAGGTGTCCGGTGTGTGGGTGTTTATCGCTGATGGAAAAAAAAAATCTAACGGAAAAAAACAATTACCAACAGTGCACAGCAGCATTGTTGATATTGATATTGTCATTGGTATCATCGTTAGCAACGCAATAGGTGCCCCTCAACTATTACTGGAAAGAAACTTGAAACATGTCCAATACCGAAATAGCCAATCTCTACAAATCAGTGATTGATGAGGTGATCTCCGATTCCAGACAGGACTTTGAAGCAAACGCCATCGATGAACAGACATTGCAAGATTTGAAGGCCCTTTGGATGGACAAATTGGCGAACACCAATGTGGCGAACTTCAGCTGGGTAAACGAGGCCAGTGGTGCCCAAGAAACGCAGCAGCAACAACAGCAGCAGCAAAAACCACAACAACAACAACAACAACAACAACAACAACAACAACAACAACAACAACAACAACAACAACAACAACAACAACAACATCAACAACAACATCAACATCAACAACAACAACAACATCAACAACATCATCAACAACAACAACAACATCAACAACATCAACAACAACAGCAGCGTCAGCAGCAGCAGCAGCAGCAGCAGCAGCATCCACAACAACTTCAACAGCATCAACAACAGCTTCAACAACAACATCCACTGCAACAACAACCGCCAATTATGAATTTCAATTTACCACAGGTACAATACACAAACTCCAATAGTCTTATGAGTGGATCAGAAATGTTGAATGGTGCAAAACCTGAACAAATGGACCCATCAGTAAATTTATCATATCCTCAAGTGACCCAAAATGTGGTTGGACTACAATTACCAAGAGCCGAGCAGGATAACTCTGGCTTAGTTTTGCCTGGTACCCAAAGAATCAACCAAGCAGATGGAGCCCAAGATTTCAACTTTGAAGTTGAATTATCTAATGGTGATGCCAAACAATTTTTGGATAAAATAAACAAAAAACAAAAACAAAAGAAAAAGAAATTGAGAAGTCTTAAACAGGTTGACGGACCAAATGATAGTGACGATGATGACGATGATGACGATTTGAACGATCTTGATGACGCTAATGATGACGACGTAGCAAATGAATCTGATCAAATCAATTCCGACTTGGATGACTCTGAAGATGAAGAAAATAAATCAGGGGATGAAAACGACAAGATGGATGATAATTATATTTTCTGCTTGTATGATAAGGTCCAAAGAGTGAAGAATAAATGGAAGTGTAACTTGAAAGACGGGATTGCCAGCGTTAATGGCAGGGATTATGGTTTTACTAAAGCTACTGGTGAAAGTGATTGGTGATATTGTTAACTTGAGTGTATGTATTGATTTTCGCTTTGTCCGATATATCTTTGATTTTTCTGCTGAAAGTTTCTTAAATCTAATTTAGAGCATAGTATGCACTGATCCATTGAAATGATTCTTCAATATCGGTATTTATTTCAATATTTTCACTTGTATCGATCATGGGGGGATCAGCCTTGCTTTATGAATTTATTTATTTATTTTTTTTTGGTTTCATTCCAGCCCACTGTTAATAGAATAGGAATTATAATTAACACCCATTGTTTGAATTCACATTTGTAGAAACTCTCACTACAACCGTGTAAATTTAATCAATATAACAGTTGTATAAATTTTAATGTTAGACCATTAATACTATGCAATATAAAATCAAGAAATTGTCGTCAGTAAAGTCATGAGTAGAAAAGAACAAATTATATGAAATACGAATAAGAGAAATCTTGATAAATGGAAATGTTGAAGAAAAAAAATGATATCAAAAAATAGAAAGTAGACAAATCAATAATAATATGTAAGATTCGAAGCGACACAGAGTAACAAATTCCTCCTAGAAAAGAAAAAAAAAACATTGAAAATATCGAAATCAAAACAAATGAACTAGTAGTTAAAAGTACACTAATAAAATACACAAAGAAAAAAGGAAATAGGAAAGTATGCTGAGCCAACTGAAAAACAAAAAAAGAGCAAGAAAGCCAAAAAAAAAAAAAAAAAAAAAAAATACAAACAAAAACAAATTATAAATTTGGAAAGAGTTCATCTAGTGGGCTTCCCTATACCAAAGGAATAGATCCAATATCAACACTTGGTCTGTCATCTTCATTTATCAAGTTAGCATCTTCCCATAAAAAGCCGAAATTGATAAAAAATTCCGCCAAGATCTTCGGTTCGATGCTTAAGGTTGCGGAGAACACAATCACCAAATTCCGCAAATTCATCTTGTTATATTCATTTCTCGAAAGTACTTCGGTGTTCAAGTATTTTATCAACACGTAGAGCACGGCTCGGTTAACTGGTGGCAACTGGTGGACCAAACTCTTGAGCTGATACATGTATTGCAAATAGGCAGTATTGTTTTTATCATCAACTTTAATTCTGTTAAGCTGTGGTGACGCATTGCTCAAGTTTCGATTATAGTCCGATAAAACCAGGTGTAATCTAGCATCAATTTCATTGGTCATGACACTGGCAGGTAATTCTCTAAGATACAATTTAAGAAGACCAGTAACACTATTAATTTCTGGGCGAACTTCCATATTTACCAAATCAATATCGTAGCTAGTATCGAATTTCTCCTTTAATTGCTTTATCATAATGGTAGAGCCACTCAAACGGAAAATACCCTCTTGATATCCAGCTCCTGTTTGGCTCAAATAATCCAAACATCTGAAAATAATACTTGGAACTCTTTCACCTTGATACTCATTGGATGACAACTTCACCGCCTGTTCTAGACTATTACCAAAGATCTTATCATTTGAAAAGTCACCTTGAGCAAGTAATTCATCAGTCTTCACTGGAGTTAAAATATTACCATTATTATTATTCGTGGTACTTATCGTGGTGTTTATTGTTGTATCATTGAAACTTGACAAATCTGTGACTGGATTGATTTGGAAATCATCATTAGAACTGAAATTTGCATCGAGTTCACCAGGAGAAGCATTGGTAACATAGGCATTACCATTCCCCAATTTATTTCTGATCCCTCCAAAGAATCTCTTCCTAGACTTCTTTGGCTCTCTGAAACTATCATCAAATTCAGAACAGTTCTCATGCTTCGGCGATACCACTGAAGGAGATTCTCCTGAATTATGAGAAATATTTTGAGAACTGATAGATGTAGGAAATTCTGTAGATCTGGTGCGCAAGTGTCCGTGTCTTGGGGTTGATATCAAATTTGACGCAGAAAAGGAACTTGATACTCCGGCAGTACCACTACTATTCGCACTGATGCTATTATTTGCCCCATTATTTATTGCTGGTAAATTATTTTGAAGTTCTACTGGTTCATTATCATATGCACTATTGTCCAGTACATATTCAATCAAAGTATTAATCCACGAATCTCTTTCTTCGTCGGTTTCCGCACAAAATATGTGCTTATTGGAGCCCGAGCCAATTGAATTCTTCTTCATCTCTTTCAACAATAAAGCATGTCTATAACCTTTGGCATTACTGGTAGATTCTTCAGATGAGTTATCGGATTGTTGACGACCAATCTGCGCTCCCAGTAACCTAATAGAATCAATCAAGTTGCCATCAAGTTCATCGTAGACCAAGAAGTTCGGACCTTCGCAACGACAATATCTTACTCTCCAGTTGGCACCAAGACCCTTGTTTCTTCTAACCAAATAACCTTGTTTTTTGAATGCCTTTTCATTGATTTCATTGCTGAAATTGTATTCAATATCATCTAGTGGGTTCACGGTATTAGAAGAAATGAACTTGCAAATTTGATATACAGCCTTCTTAGGCAAAGGAGTGTTAAACAAAGTGCCAAAATAATCCAATATCCCATTTCTTCTCACATCAATTTTGGCCGGTAGATTATTCAAGAAAATGGATTTATCAGGGAATGGTGGTAAGAGGAATGAATCGAATAATTCTCTAAGACTACTATCCAATTGGATACATTGTGAATATTTCTTCTTGAACCTCCAAATTTCTTTTTGGGATTTCTTATCAATTGAAACAAACACCATAGTTGGGTCGAATGATGACGAGTTATTCTTGTTGATAGATAAAGAAGTGATCAACTTCAAAGATATTGTGTTCAATTCTTTCGGTTGAATGAATAAAGTAGTGTCATTATCCATATCAATGTCACCGTCAGAAAATGTACTTGATTGAGGAGTAGAAGGTTGAGATTTGCTAAGTTTAGGTTGAATGGAATCTAAAGTCAAAGGCATTGTCAGTACTGATGACAAAGTAGGAGATTTAACGTGACGCTTTTCAGAATTGGAGATGTTGGTATACGCAGAATATACTGGTTTTCCTTTTACCAGCTGGTAGAAACGTTCTCTTGGGTTAGAAATATTTGTGATTCCCATTCTATTTTCTGGATTCTGTTGCCCGTTGTGGCCCCCTGCAACACCTTGATTAGTATGGAGAGAATTGGCTTTTTTGGAGACGCCCGTCATTTGCTTAGCATCACCTTCTCTTGGGGATGATGGTGAATGGTCTCTTCTGACTATTGCAGGTGAATCCAAGCCCATGATACCCATTCCGTACATTTTTGGAGTTCCCGAGTCAAGATGAACGACCGGGGAGCCTTTAGGAATTGGACTATTTCTCCCAATGATTGGAGAGCCTTTAGCACTCTGGCTATTAGCAGCTTGCACTCGAGGTTGAAAGTCGATGGCGTGGTCATTATGCTGTTTAACTTCTTTAGATCTTTGGCTTTTTGGTGTTAGTGCCGCCACATCATCAGAAGATTTCTTTGGAGCACCTCTATTTGGATTTCTTTTTAATCGTTCTTTATCCATCTCTTTTTCCAATTCATCATCGTTATGAGCTAACCCAACTGAATTGTAAGATTTGTTGATTTTTGCATCCACGAGCAGTGCTGAAGATTCATGAGAAACTCTTTCTGGGAGAATATGCTTTTCAATATTATCCATATCATTCATGATAATTGGTGAAGCGACGTTCGCCTTCATCAATGGTTTATTCGACATACTAGAAGAATCTTTGTAAGTTTCAACCCTTGGAGATGGGAGTTGGATTCTGTTGTTACTATACGTTGTCGAAGGTGAGTTGGGAATTTGAGATTGATTGATAGCTTCCGAAACATACAGGGTTGATTTTGGAGAATATATCGAGGAGTTTCTTGATTGTGATTCAATGACATCTGGATCATCATTCAAACGCAAATCAACTTTTGAATTGCTTTTACTATTGTAATTTGAGCTGACATTTGATTGACTGGTGCCAGGTTGGTTGTTATTGTCCCCACCATATTCAGATGATGCTTCTGAATAGTTATAAGGCGATTCAAAACCCGTCGGCTCGCGATTAGAAGTGGAAGGTGTTAGAGAGTCTATATGATCTTTAATTTCCAAAGATTTCTTAAATATCCCTTGATTATTTTTCTTCAATATCGATTCTTCCGTATCTAATTCTTTGGAACTGGATTCAACTTCGGATTTTGAAAATTTTAATTGATTATCTAACGAAGAAGATGATGATACCAAAATTTTCGGGTCCAAAGTCTGGAAAGTTTTAGTAGATTGCAGGGTTGTAGCACTGGATTGGGTATTACTATTATTTCCTGTGGCATCTTCTTCATTGACAATGAAAATGCTGTTCAACTTCAGGTTCAATTCTTCATCAACATCTTTTACCAAGCTCTTATATGTATTCGATGAATGGTTGACGTTATTTGTGGCCAAAGACAACTTGATCAAAAGCGATTTAACAAAGGAAAGCTTTAGCAAATCAGGCACATCCCCATCAAATTTCAAATTCTGTATTTCCGCCAATGAAATGGTATTAATGTCAAATTTTTTCTCCATCGACTCATTATTGATGTCTGTATTTATTTTCAAGGTTGCCATTTTTTCCGATATACTATTCATGGTGATTTCTTGTTTTGTGGACTCAAATGAAAACTGAGAATCTATCGACACTCTGTTATCACCAGGCATTTGTCGTTCAAAGTTCTTTCTCTCCGTACAACAGGACAGATAAAGCAGTGATTACTTGATTTCTGAAACCACCGAACCACTAACAATCAGAAAAAGGAATAATGACACTGAGACAGGGGAGAGGTCTTTTCGTTTATGAATATCTAGTATAATAGATCTAGAATGTTGTTTTTTTTAGAGTTTTTATGAATTTTTTCTTACTTGTTATCTTTCTGTAAATATAAAAAAAAAAAAAAAAAAAAAATCGCTACGTGTACCCGCTGTTACCCGTGCGGTTGTTTCTAACATCATCTGTAGATGTAATATATATTGAAATACTATTTCTCAATCTCATAAATAGTCCGATATTGCAATTACTTCTAATGAGCTCTTTAGTTTTTGAGAGGTTTGGTCCTTTGGTGTCCATTCCTGTACCAGAACCCGTAGGTCTTCAATCAACGAGACAACATCAATATGTTTGATAACTTGCAACTCTTTAATCAATTTATTAAGAATCCAAGGGTACTGGAAATCATTGAAGTTATTAATTAGTTCCGGGTAGTTCACTTTGCTGAATTTCATTACATCTTGCGAGTTGTTAATATAATAATTCTTATGTCTGAATGCTGACTTGATGGTATCTTTATTGGTTTCAGACAAACTTCCGTGCCTCAAGAATTGACCTTCTTGAATTTGGGACTCATCGTCCACTTGAATGTGTTGACCACTAATATCCATTCCAGAAATATCATTAAGAACAAGATTGGTTGTCTCTAAACAGAACTGTAGTGCTGATTGAAAAGTCTCTTCATGTTGGTAAATGCTTGCACAATCCTCGTGGAGTAAGTTAGGCTTCGAAGAAGATGAAATCATTGGGTTCATTGAATTTCTAATTAAATAATCGCTTAGATAAACCAACATATTGTAGTCATCATATCCGAGATTTTTCACAGTCACGCAAACTTTCACCAAATTCACAACAAATTTGCTGAACAATTTTCCCTTATTATTCATATACACCAATCTGTTGATGTTCGGATGACTAAACTGACAACATAGAGAAGAATATAATGGTACCAATTTAGCATTCATGCTCCCAATAAAAGAAATCTTGACGTTACTTTGGCTTAGAAGATGTCTTATATCGTAGTCTAACCAGTAACTGTATTCAGAATCAGGATCAGCATATTGAAACATCTCATTTGCAATTTTTTTATCCAAGTGTTCAATCTCTTTTTTGACGCTATAAGTGCTTTCAATAGTGACATTTCCAGCATCAACATTGCTGTCATTGCTTCGACTTCTTTTACTCTTCCTTGTCAGGGTGTCATTCTTATCCCTTGATTTCTTTTCATTATTAGTAATAAGTGGTCCAGACCAAATCCCATTTATACTAATGATTCCAATCTTGCTTATATCGGCGAAGATCTTTTTGTATTTTTTAAAACATTTGCTGAGTATATGGACAGCAATAGGTCCAGAATTGAAGTTTCCCACAAACAACAAGTAGTCACATTCTGAAAACTTCATTATCCAATTCTTAATGATAATCTCAAAAAAATTTTCAACTTGATCAGTCACTAAATTCTTGCCTCTTAAAGTCAATAATTCAATTTCTAAAGTATCGGTATCAAACCCTTTGCTTTGCCCCCATCTCCTTGCAAGATTAATAATGGCCTTAGAAGAATCTACCAGATAAACTGACTTGTCATCAACATATTTCAACAATTCCAATGGCAAAAAGTTCTGAATATTAACAACCAAAAGCTTTTTTTGGAGGTCCAACTCAGAAGAATTATTCTTATGGTCTTTATGTGTTAACTTTGAATCATGGTACAAATGACGTTCAATTGGTATACTCATTTCTGCAATCTTTATGTTACGCAAAAGCTTCCGGGCGATCAATCTGATTCTAGTTTTGACTTCCAAAGGTCGGTAACATTCTTTAAAGGTTGGAAAAACATTTTGCTGCAGCTCATTCCTGTCGAAAATATCTTCTGATTCGCACAGATCCTTCCTCATTATTTTTTCATTATTACGATTATTGGCGGTGGTCTTCTTGTCTATCATTGCTTGTTCCATCTTTGACTTTGGTAATTCATTGAACATCATTATTGGATTATCCTCAAACTCGGTTTCACCAATTGCTAATTCTCCGATGATCAAATTAGGATCGTGAGATATGAAGGCCCAATAAGAAGGAGTATTAACATCAAAGCTTTTAATGACTTTTCTTGCTTTCTTGGAATCTATTGATTCATGATGATCACCGTCCTCGCTAACTAAATCCGTTGGTGATTGAGCTTGCGAAATCAGATTCCAAATCCAGTTTGAATTCCACCAACCACCATTTTCTTGCTTATTGATATCATATTTGTAATCCTTCCCGTCCTGCGGTTCTGATGGTAGCAGTGCTTTAGGTGTTGGTTGAAGGTTGACATCATTTGTAGCGCTGAATAGGGAATACCACTTAGATTCGCTTATAGACATCTCTTGAGTTTCAGTTCTAGTTTGATTGAGCAAATTACTAGAGCTATCTATCGGGACCTCATCATTCCCACCTTCAGTTGCACTTTCGAGAGTTGGTTTATATCTTTCCATTTTGTTTTTAGTGTCGAGTAAGTCCTTAGTGACAATTTCTTCATGTTGTCCCGATTCCTTTGTACTAGCGCCTTCAGCTTTATTATCATTAGACAGATGTACGCTATGCGGGTTCTGTTTACTCATCACTGATGTTTGCATCTGATAAGGCATTATTAAATCATTCTCCAGTTCAACATTATCAATGGGTACTGCGAGGCTCCATTGCAGTGATGTTTTATTGTCATCATTACCACGTTTTTCTCCATTCCTCCAACTCCACCATGAGTTTTCTCTGGCAATCGATAAATTGCTCCTGGATTTAGGCAATTTCATGTCAATACTCTTTTCCGATTTACTCGTGGTCATATTCAATGTTGCTGTTCCATATTTATCAGCATTAATTGCGCTACCGCCAATCTTCTGCCTCCAAGTTTTCCAATATACCGAGTCCAGGCTATCGTTGATGCTGTCATCCAATGCTGACCCATTACTATTATTGTTGGGGACCTCACCCGCGTTGAGTTGCGAATTGTTCAACAAATCGGAGTCATCGATAAAACTCTCCTGATCATCTTCATATTTCGACATCAGACTGTTTCCATAAATGATAATAAAATAATAGTACTTGTCTTTGACAAAAACACAAAAAAAGCAATAATAATATATAATCATAAACATGTGGGCTGCCTTTACCTGTCAATTTTCTAATTTTAATAGCTGCAATATCAACGGCTCATAACCATGCGATGACCGATGATAAGTCCTCTTTTTTTCCTTTATATTTTCTTGTTGGTAAGTCTTTCGATGCCCGGTACAATAACGAAATTGGAAAAATAGAGAATAAAATAATATTCAAAAGAATGGACTGGAAGCAGAATATAATAATTCAGCTACAAAAAAGAGATAGTTCTATAAATGAAAACCAAGATCTTTTGAGCTCATGTATGTGAATCGATATGAATTCATGATTGGTGTTTGCTAATCTTTTCTTATTTTTAGCTTCATTTATCTAAGACGTTTGAAGAATTGCTTTGATTACTAAAACTATTTGTTATTTCTAGATCATGATGTGCTAAATCGACTCTTTGCCACTGAAGATAAACTAAAATCGCTTCAGAAGACTGATCTACAAATGTATGGCCTTTATTTGCATCTCTTTTTTTTTAGGACTTAATTCAAGAAAGCTTTAGATAACTATCATGTCATTGATGAACCATTGAGATTTACTAACTATCTTTCCAGTGAATTGACAAAAACGATAAGTGAATTTGAGATACTCAAAACCAAGAATCAGCAATTAACAAACTCCTACGATTTGACAAAGTCAATCAACGAGAAGCAAGATAAGGAAATCAAACAATTGAACCACAAAATCAAAAGGCTACAAGACGTATCTAACAAATTGAATGACCAGATATCTGTTAAAATTGAAGAGAATCGTGCCAAAAGTAAAGCCTTGGATTTAGTCAATGATGATATGTTAGCCCTTCAATTGGAAAACAATTTGATGAATGAGAAAACCAAGGAATTACAAGCAGAAAATGACCAACTTGTGATTAGGTGGATGGATAAAGTCAGGGAGGATGCCGAGAAATTGAATGATGCCAATGCATTTCTTGCCAGTGCTAGGCTCGAAAGAAATATATAAAAGCGCTATTATATTTTACTGTAAATCATCGAGGTGATCATTAAAGTTCGTGTGTATTATTTTTATTTTTTATTTTTTTCCCTTTACATAATTTTAGTTATCTAGAATATAGAATCCATAAACACACTGTTATTACCATCCTTAACAATCTCATCCAATCCTTTGCTCACAGTGGCCGCCACGTTCTCAATCATCTTGATACCTTCAATAATATTCTGACCATGCATCCCCTTGATGTATTCACTACTACCACTCTGGTTCAAGTTCAAAGATTCTATTGGAGACACCACTTTCCCGGAGCACCATCCAATAACTAGCCCACAATCACTAATTTCCTGTTCTTCGATCGATGGGTCTATGAATAAGTTATTTTTCACTACCGACAATACAAATAACAATGGAGGGGAAGAACTATTTTGGGAAGTTGTATTATTTTCCTTAATTTCTTCATCTTCGTCTTGGGGATAAAGTAACACGGTGGATGACCAATCATCATTAAATGTCGGTAATTCTTCGATATCTTTATCATTGCTGTTAGAAATCAATAACGGTAACCTTGTAGACTTCAATGCCAAATAAATCCCGAACGAAATCATGCTCAATGGGTTTTGTAGAAAACTTGTATCTGTTTTGGTGGTTCTGGCGTTGGAGGAGCTGCTCAAAAACAACACATCAACATACAATTTGAAGTAATACCTGGTAGTCAATTTTAAACATTCAAATTTGTCTGCGAAATTTCTTAAAAGTGAATTTCTCAAAATATTGGTCCAATCAGAAATAAATGTCAAATCGTCTCTCAAATTGTCAATGGTCAAGTCTAGTTCAATCAAGTCTGCAAGAGTACTCATTTTCACCACTTTACTCTTGATACTTATTATCACTTCACTTCCATCACTTAATCTGATTCTTGATGATCCGTTAGAGTTTGGTAAAAAGTTTATTGACGCCTCAATCCCTCTTAATTGATGTGATTTTCTTCCATCTGGTCGTATTGGGGTCTTTGAGGAGAGAGATTGATAAAGATAGTCCTTTTCAGATACTGAGAAACTCATTTGATAACAATAAAAATGAGATAAATTTGCTGAGAATTTGAGAGAATCAAAAATATAATAATAATAATAATAATAATAATAATAATAATAATAATAATAATAACCGGTAATAAAAGGACCAGCTACTAGTGTTTTGTTCGGTTTTGCCTCATCGTCAAAAAAATTTTAGCGAAAAAAAAAAATAGAGCACGTGCTTCAGCACGTGACTATATCACAATCAGACACATATAGTGGTATTGGTGTTTCTCTAAATTCTAGCCTTTGTTTGTTAGTAAACCCCTTTTCTTACGCTATGAAGCCAAAATAGCTCTTCTGCACAGGCTTTGAACTATGTTTTTCGTTTATTTAATGCTTAATAAATCAGCATCTATACTATTGACTTAGATTATAATAATAAAAATTCATGCTAAATCAACTTTTTAGTCCTCAAATACATTTTGAAATAACACAACTGGCAAATGCCAACGGTAATCAATATAACAATCACCACTACTTCATAAATCATGTAGTTTGTATTGGCCTTTTCATTGATATTTCTCAACCTTATTTCTTTCTCCACTAGCCCTGCTAACTCTCGCTCCATCTCCTCGTACGATGTTTTAACTCTTTGTAAATCTGTGTTGATTGGATGGTACATTTCTTGCTGACGGAAAGAGTTTTCATTCCTTGCGTCGTCACCCACTTCGACATCTAACACCACCAGTTTTTCTTCCCCTGTTTTCGACCACGATAAATCGGTCATAATATTTTCCAAACAAACGTCAAAGTACTTGACCTCTTCTGATGAACTGAATGCAAATCGGACCTTATTTGTCAAATCCTCTTTGGAACGGTATAGATTATCATGGGAATCAAGTACCTTGATATTTAGCGATTGACCATTTATTCTAGGACCGACATTCAATCGTATCACTACTAGATCATTTGGATTAACTGGGTATCGGAAACAATGGGTGACTCCTTTACCAAGGTCTTTAGGCTTTAGTGGTGGTAAGACCACCCCGATGGAAGTGCAGTGTATTAGCGAGCTGAATAGTAAGAGCAATAGAATAATTTGTCTTTGTATCATTATTAAGGGTTAAACTGATCTTGATTTTTATTTTATCTTGGTAAAAGGGAACACTGATCTGGGCAAAATGATGCTATATTTTATCGACCATCAGTTTCTGGTGGAGAAAATCGTTGATCCTGTTATGTAACACACACACACACATACGCACACGGCCCAAACAGGTTTCTTGTAATCGTTTGGTTTATTCTGTATTTCACTGAGCCAACTGGGTTTAAATGGCACTTGAGCTTTTTATGTCACAGTGCTTCTTGTAATATGGATGAATAACCAGGGATGATCGGTTGGTGGTGATTTTTCATGTTTGTGTTGTGTTGGCCAAAAATCCCCAGAAATCTCAGCGGAGGAAGAAAAACGCCAAGTAATTTCAAAACGCCATCCTGCAAAGTGTGAGATAGACGGATAAGCCAAAATGATGATAAATGTTTGCTTAAATGGCTGTGGTTTTCAAGGATAACTTTAAACTATGTGGTTCATTCCGCGAATATTTCACTAGACAAGGAACTTTGAGCATTGAACCCCAGATCTTCGGGATTGAAAAATAGACCATTTCCCTTTAAGACTCCTTTATTGACAATTTGCGACCCCCCTTATAAAAATCATCCAACTTCATACAAATAAACAGATTTAAAAAAAAACAGATTTAAAATAAACAAATGTATAAATGTATTAAATAAAGAAAGCTTTACGAAACATTATATATAATCATTATGAAAAGAAACTCACTTAGTAGTTGTCGTCATAGTTGTTGTTATTGTTACCGTAGTTAGAACCGGAGTTGGAGTTGTTGTTGTTGTTGTTACCGTAATTAGAGTTGTTGTTACCGTAGTCAGAGTTGTTGTTGTTGTTGTTGTTGTTACCGTAGTCAGAGTTGTTGTTGTTGTTGTTGTTGTTGCTGTTACCGTAGCTAGAGTTATTGTTGTTGTTATTGTTGTTGTTACCGTAGCTAGAGTTGGAGTTGGAGTTGCTGTTGTTGTTGTTGTTAGAGTTGTTAGAGTTGTTGTTAGAGTTACCACCCAAGAAAGAAGAAGCAACGGAACTGAGCATCAGAGAAGCTTGGTTGTTGCTACCACTACCACTCAAGAAAGATGAAGCCATGGATTCCAAATTGGAAGCAGAGTTGTTACTGTTGTTGTTGCTGTTGTTGTTGCTGTTGCTGTTGTTATTGTTGCTGTTGTTGTTGTTGAAGTCAAAGTTGGTACCAAACTTAGAGTTGATTTGGTTTTCAACTTGATCGACAGCGAAGTTTTCAGCGGTTTGTTGGAAGCTGTTCATGGTGATGGTAATTATAAAGGAAAAATGTAAAGAATAGAAGTTTCTTAGTTTTTTTTTCTAGAAAGAAAGAAATTAATCATTTATTGAGACAAGCAAAGGGAACTACCGTCACTTTATAATAAAATCTAAATGCGCCTAGTTTGATTTCCCTACCAGCATTAGCATGGATGGAAATGGCCGATCTTGTCAATATCTGCGAATAATCGCACGTCATTGGTTCTCCGAAGAAGGTCGCAACCTGCCAATAACACGTTCCACAGCAATTCTTTTTTGACTATTATTCGGTTAGTAAATACAAGCAAAATTATTTAAAAATTGTAGATTATGAATGCGCAAGAAAAAGGTAGTATATTATTGAAAAAAATAAAAGGTTCAAGTAGACAAAAAAAAAAAAAAAAACGACAAATCAATTCTTAAAGTTTTGATTAGTAGCAGCACTCAATATACCTGGCAAAGGTTCGCTATCCATCTTAAAAATCAAACCAATGGACCCAATTACTGTAATAATCATCACCAAACAAGACCAGAATAATAAATTAAATTCAGCAGAAACGTCGATCTTTTCACAAGATGATCCGCCCCAGTGAGTGGTGGATTTGGAAGTTTTGTTAAAAGATGGGGAGCAGATACATGACCATTTGGTGGTTAAAGAGTTCTTGGAGCATGCACCATGAGTGTTACAATTGTTAGTGTATGAGATACATTCTTCTTCACTCGCAAATGATGATTGTTTTGAAAACACTGGTTTGGTGGCGAAAAAATCACGCTTGGTCATTGTTTGTTTACCATGACATTTCTTGGAGCCACGGTGATTTTTGCTTCCAGTGTCACCAGTCACAATAAGGGTCGATTCAATTCCGTGAAATTCGGCTTGATGGATCAATCTAAACGCCATTCTGAAGATCATTATACGCTCGAACTCATCCTCTCCATCATCGCCTTCAAGATTAAATTCGAGAACCCCAAAAGTTTTGTCGTTATCGTCAGTAACGCTCAAAACATTCTCTGGGAAAATGTCACGTAACAAGAAACTCAATTGCAACACGCTCTTTGCATTCATGCTAAGTTCTTCAGTATTTCCAAATAACATGTGGGAATCAGAGTATTTCGAATCTTGAGTCTTGACATTGGAAATAATCTTCATATTATCTTGAGCCAATTTGACTTCTAATTCTGGGTACTTATTCATCAAGCAGCCAAGTACTTTTTTTTCATCGACGTCGACTTTCCCATCAACGTTAAATACTTTTTGTATGGAGCTTTCATGGAACATTTTCTTGACATCGTGAGGGGTGTCACCCTTCACCATAATCACCAAATGACCATTTTTGATATTATTGTTATTCTTATCTGTTAAGAAATTTTGAGATTTTGATTGTAGCTCTGATAATTTGGCAAATTCAATATCATCGATTGACACATAATCGTCAATCTTGAGCTTATCATATAAAAGATATTCAAAATCCTTGGAAGACTCTAGCTTAGCTAGATTGTTTTCGTCATTGGCAACCTGGTCGGCATTGTGTGAAAAGATGAATGATGAGCCCAACACTGCTGAAGTTTGTAATAATACAGATAAACAATTAGAAAACTTCATTTTTGAAAGATAGCCAATCCAAAGATTTAGAAAAAATAAAAGCAATTCAATTGCAAGCTGGTCGAGGTAAAGAGGGAGTGGATATAAACAATCACAAAAAAGAGACGAATGAAAACCTTATCGAACTATATTATCTATAGCTTGATATAACTTTACAAACGGAGAAGGCCACTTTATCGTTACAAATTTCTAGCTGGCTGTTTTGGAGGGGGAGGTTTAATTTTCCTTTGTGATAAAAAAACCCAAAGAAAAAAAAATCCGCCATTGATCTCGTGATATGTCATGTGACATAATATATGCGGCGGTATAACCAGCAATTTACTAATTATCTTCAATATTCCGTGTACACATCAAATGTTCTACCAATATCTGTGATAAAACTTAATCATTTGGTAAATAAATAGCGACAAATATATTTCATTACTATCTAAAAGGTTTGTTTTCCAAGAAAAAAAGATAATGATGGGCTGTTTTAGTTCACTTCATCCAATCTTTGACAACCACTGATGGCAACAATTTCTGCAGGACAGGCAACCTGTTTATAAGTACCTGAAGGGTTGGAGACCCCTTCAAACCAAGTCCATTGCCATTTACAAGCGTTTTGGATGGCAGTAGGGAGACCAGAACATTCAGATTCGGAGGAAATACCCCCGTACTGTTGCCCCCAACTGTATCCGGAACCAAATTCTGATGGACAACCATTGGTGTAGTAACCCATCCCACCACCTGGCATCAAAATGTCGAAATGAGCCTCGGGATCGGTCAAGTCAGTTCCAGTATTAGCTAAAAATTCATATTGTTAGTACTTGTGTTGATATCCTCAAAGAAAAAATAATAGCAACACACATAGGTTATGTTGAGATCCTGAACATGGAACCTATGTTAAAGAATAAAAAAAAACAAAAACAATGATACTCACTAATTTGAACAACGAATGTTTTATCAGAAAGTTCATCAACATCAAAAGTTAATTCGAGGCAGGAACAAGCCAATTCATCCATGGTGGCATCAGGAACGTAAGCAGCGACAAACCCGTAGGAAAAGGTGTCATTGACAGCAGTACCGACTTGATCATTACAATAATAAGCACTTTGTTCCCCAGAAGAGGTGACACAACCGGATTGGATATTAGTGTCAGTCAACTTGTTACCCTCAGCATCACAAGAGTAGACTGGATGTGTCACGACGTTGGTATATTCTGGCCAGGAAAATGATGGCTTGCAGCAATCGTAATAACGAGTAGACTCAAAAGAACCAGAAAAACCGTTGGAAATAAGACTAAGGGAAACTGAGGTTTCAGTGGAAGCGATACTAGAAGAAGAAGAAGAAGAAGAAGAAGGCTTCACAACAATAGTAGTAGCAGATGCGTGAGAATGCAAGCTGGTTTCTGAAGTGTAAGTCACGGCAGTAGTTGAGGAAGTGCTAACAAGAGTAGTAGTGTCCGCTTCTGTGGCAACAGCAGAAGAGTCTCCAGCATCCGTAGTAGCAACACATTGATAATAGAATTGGTTCTGTGATACACAAGTGGCTCCAGCAACACATGCAGTTGGGCCACTCCAATATGATCCACCACACTGATGATATAACGAAGCCAAACTTTCAGCAGAAGCCTTTTGGACAATAGCCAAACAGGAAATAGCAACAACAGTCAAAGATTTTCCAAACATTTCAACAATTGGGCTTTTTCGAAGAATTGAATTAAAATTGAGAACTTAGTTGCTCCAAAGTATAGATTTATCGTGGCCTGTCGACTGACAGAAGCATATTTATACTTTCCTGGTAATATAATGAATTTATCTAATCATAACCTTCAATGGGGAAGATTCCGCAATGGAACCAGCTAATTAACTTATAAGATTAAAGTATTCTGAAACAAAATTGTAGTGTCAGCAAAACTGCGTGGTGGGAATTCTGGTGCCAGACAAATGCAGGTGAAAGTTTAGATCCATGGAAAGATCGGCAACTTTTTTTTCACCACGCTTCATGTAGTCTGCTTCTTTAAGGAAATTTTCAGATATTAATGGATCATCCTTGGCCCTGATGTATTTTTGAACCCTCTCGTACTGTTCATCAACAGTGTCGTTATGCGCGACTGCAAGCCCATTCTCAAACATACACACACACACGCACATATTACAATTTGACTACAACAAATCGACAGGCTACAGAACTACATACCGGAGAGGGAAATATCATATGACACAACATATGTTATAAATAACTGGTAAAATATTCTATAATTATATATACAAGGATAGGCAATAAACAAGCATCAGCTTTGAGCCCCCCGCATCACCAAGAAATCAAACATTTAAATCTTGATCTAAATCTTGATCCCAATATGAATGGCAGCAACACCAAACGTCAAATTCTCATAGCCCTTTCCTGGAACATAAAACCCTGCTTTTCTGATCATTCCAGAAAATTCATCCTGGCTAGGAAACTTTCTGATACTTTCAACCAAGTACTGGTATGAGGCCCGATCATTGGCTACCAATTCACCCATCAATGGCAATAAAGAGAAACTGTATTTGTTGTAAATGAAGTTCAAATATTCATTATCCACTTTGGAGAACTCTAAACAGGCAAAAATCCCACCTGGCTTTAAAACTCTGTAAGCAGCATTCAACCCCAGTTGGATATTGGTGAAATTTCTGATCCCAAAGGAAACTGTATAGAAATCTTTAGAGTTATCAGGAATTTTATCCAAGACTTCTCCATTTTGTTGAAGGAATTGGATTCGGTTTGGCGATTCAGTGACAAATTCCGTATCCAAATACCTCTTTCTCCCTTCGTTTAACATGTCGTTATTGATATCTACCACAGTCATTCTACTTTTCGTATCAAAATGATGCTGTTTTGCGTGTCTCAACAACCCAAAGGCAATATCCCCAGTACCCCCGGCAGCATCAATGAATTCCAACGGTTCACCTCCTGGGCGCATTCCGGGATCTAGCTTCTTGATGAAATGATCTTTCCAGAGCCTATGGATCCCAAGAGACATCACATCATTCATAAGATCATAATTGCTGGCAACAGAACTGAAAACATCTCCCACAAGACGCTCCTTTTGATTCAACAAGATCTCTTTGTACCCGAAATGAGTAGTTGATGGCTTATCAGTCGTTAGCTGGTTTTTTTTTGTCTCGTCGGCATGATTATTGGAATTGGATGTTCCTGAGAGCATCCTTGTTGATCCCAAGCGTAATTTGAAGGAGCCAACTTTCGCCAGCTTCCTAAGAGACTTGGCTAAGAAACTCATCTTATTCGTTGAAACACAAATCCCTCCAAACAAATGTATTTGATGGCAATTATTGTTTATATGAAGTCGAAATCACAAAGAAAAAAAAAATGGGGTTGGGCAACCCGGCTGCAATTTTTTTTTTTTCATCTCTTAAATTTAGACTATAATAACAGGGCAAGATTGACACATTATAATTATTATTATCTTGCGAGAACGGTTTATTGTTTTACATTCCTAGGAAGATGTCTTCGAATCCTTCAAATTACTTATATAATTTGGCGCACGCGACGCTCTTCAACCCAGCCTTGGCCCAGTCGTACTCGTTTGATTTCCATGCAAATACCACCCATCCAAACCTTTCCATCAACAAAACCTCACAATGTCCCATTTGCAAGATTCCTTGGGTTCCCGGATGGAATGTCAGTGCGAGAATCAAATATATCAAAGTGTTGAAGAAATCAAAAAAGTTCAGGGAACGGGTGTTGATTTATCACTGTTTAGCATGCACACAACTGGTGAAATTTGATGGGTTGATTCAAAAGAAACCAGATACAGCTGATGGCCAATATACAGGTAAAATCATCCCCGAAAAAGAGTGTGTTGATGATAAGAAGAAAAAAGAGAATATTGACGATACAAAGACGAATAATACCAATCTTCTGAAAGTTACGAAGAATGGTGCTAATGATAGTAAGACGACAGCAAAGAAGAAAAAGAAAAAGAAGATACAGTTACCAAAGAAGGCCCCTGTTCCAAAGAAAGATTCTTTATCATTGTTCGACTTGATGAATGATAATAACTGAATAAATAATGCCGAGTCTATCCATACACTTTCTTTTGGGGAAATGTTATCCACTTCAATTCTACTGCCACTTGTATAATATTTTCAGTAAAAAAAATAAATAGAAAATATAAATATTTATAGCTGGTCTATATATTTTTCATTCTTTTACCATTGCAAATACTGCTTTATCGCTTGTTGTAATCTAATAGAAGTCTGTCGAAAATGGATGAGATGGCGGAAGAAAAAAAAAATAAAAAATAAATAAAAGGTAAACAAAAAGGCCATCATCGCTTAAATCAGTGGTTGACACGCACAGAATACAACAAATGAGTAACTTAAGTGAGTAGCAGCTTCATCTTCTATTTTTAGTTCTATATCACTAACCTTCCTCTAGTTGAATTGCCAGTGATATCCTCAGACTTGGTCTCTTCACTCCACTTCAATTCCTCAAATACACTACTTCATACTGCTTCTTGGGATGGTTATGTCAACCTATATGACATCCAAAGGCTGATTTCCAGCTACAAAATCAGCCAGTCAGTCACCGAAGAAAATAGTATCGTGGGGAGATTCCATACCGGCTCGTCTATCCTTGACTCTTGTTGGGATGAAAATGATGAAAATATAATTTATAGCGGGAACATCAATGGGCAGATATATCGTTTGGATCTTTCGAGAATTGGTCCATCTACAGAAAAAGTTCTACCGTCTGGTACTATAGGAACCCAATCAAAGCTTGCAATTCAGAAACTCAAGTTTAATAAATACTATAATGTTTTGGGCTCTATCTCTTGGGATAAGTCCCTTCAAATATCAGACCCCAGAAGCCAGGCAAAAAGTTTGATAAAGCACATTGACAATAAACCTTTGGCAATGGATATGAATAACAACTATGTCATAGTATCAACCACAAAGAACTTGATTCAGTTGTATGATTTGAGATTTCCTGGGGCGCCATTGATTCAAGAACGTGAGTCAGGATTACGGTTTCAAACCAGAGAAATCCTCCTTAGCAAAAATCAGCCACCAATGCAAATTGTCAACAATCAACATATTTTTGACAAGCCAGAAATGACAAACCAAAACTTGGTGTACAATAACGAAGATTTTTTCGTTCAGTCATCGTACGAGGGTAGAATAATCGTTGATTTCATTGACCCATCAGAAAAATCCCAAGAACAAAAGTTTGCCTTTAAATGTCATAAAATCACCTCAAGTGATGGAATCGACATGATTTCTCCGATAAACTCAATAATCCTATTCAGAGAACCGAATCCGCTAAACTCTTCACCGCATCAGTTACTTTATACATCAGGATCGGATGGGTTGATTAATCTTTGGGATTTGAATAAAAAGAAGAAATTGAAAAAATTAAAGAAATTCAAGCATTCGATAATGAAAATGGGGATCTCTAATCCAAAGGGTGAAATACCAAGAACTACAGCTGATAAAAATAATGATCATATGTTGGCCATAGTGGTGGGAGAAGATTCTTTCAAAAATAATCGATATTTGGATACTGGAGTAACCACCAGCCCTACGAACTTACAGCAGAATAAAAATGGGATAGGACAAGGGGCAATGCCCAATGTGACCGATTTCAATACCAAATTGTATTTGAAGTTTATGTGAAAATTGTTGTACACAGGTATCAGCGCCATTAATAGACAGACGGATATGCATGTAACCCGTACTACTAGGTGTTTTTTATTTTTTTTTATTTTTTTTTTTTCTTATTAATTTTTGCAGCGCTCCACAAAACAAAAAAAAACAAAAAATGCGTCGATGGGATGAATTATTCATCAATCTATTTAATTTTCAAGATATTTTTTCAATTTGATATATTTTGATCATTATTATTAAATACCCCTGATCTCGACAGATATATAAGGGAGCGGAATAGAAGGTCTCATGGCTGACAATAACAGAGAATCAACTTCTGGCAATGGTCATTCAAAAGTGGATCCTTTGCTTTCGTATCAGTTGACCCAGTCGATAAACCATTTGATGCAACGACCAGGGCAAGTGACAAAACCTACTATTAAGAGAATTGCTGAATTTTATGGATTTGATACTTTCAACGAGATCACAGAAAATGATCAAGGAATTAAGGTCGATAGATTAACTATAGCTGGATCTATTTTGTTGATTGATATTGATTTTCTCAAACAGCAGCAGAAACAAAAAACTCTCCAAGACAACGATGGCGATGTGATTATTAACGATTCTACTGATGCTGAGATTGGTAAAGAAATTGTCGACGCGGTGTCACTTCTGTTGGCGTCAAAACAGAAAATAAAGGAATTATTGAATAATATCAAGGACCATAACAATACAAAGGCACAAATGCATAGATTGATGATTCAGCTAAAGAATCTTTATTCGTTAACTTATAGTGGCAGCTGTGCTCCAAGTTCTTGTAATAATGTATTATACAATTGCTTGAAGTCTCCAGAAACCAAAGATTTGGATCATGAACAAGTTCAATATAATGTGGTGAAGCTAAATACATTTTCGGATAATCTAAAATACCTTGCAATACTAGATAAGTTGTCCGTATATTCAGCAAGTGAGGTCAGTTTGCAAAATGACCGAATTTTCAATAGTGATGGAAATAGTTCCGGAAATGTGGTGTTGTTCGAATATTTAGATGATCTCGCATTTATTTTAAGCTTCTTGTTTTCTTATGAGTCGAAGATATTAATTAGTGACCTCCAAAAATCATCATCAACGAGTTTCAATGGCATGCTAGATATATTGAACGGTTATCTGAAGTTTGGTAAAACCATAATAAACTTGAATGATAAGGAATTGGGAATATTTATTAAGTATTGGGAAGATAATAGACTTTTAAAATACAAAAAGTTACAGGATGCTTTTGTAAAACAGTACAAAGATGGCGACGGGGATAATGGAATGATGAGTGATGATAAGGAATTTGAGAAAATCATTCAATTTTATGAAACCAATTTTGAAAATGATAACAAAATTTGCAATAAGGGAACCAAATATATCAAAATTGGTATAGACTACCATTTTAAAAATGGGCTACCACAGCTACAGAACTTGATAAGAAATGAAACATTCAAAAAAATTGCAGAAACGGCAGCCCAATCAAATTTTTCGAATGATGCCTGGGTAACAAAATCGACCATCTTGTCTAATCTCAATTTCATCTCCAGTTTGAAAATACCTTATTCCAGTTTATTGTCTAGTGAAAACCCAGAATGTCAAGCATGCTTAAATTTGAAGTTTTCCAAAGGGATTTGGGTACCCACAGATCTATTGGGTAGCTATTTTGGTAATTTTATAACCTATGATTCCGATAATGGAAATACTGGCGAATTCTTTGAGAATTTTAAAGGAGAAGATAAAGAAAAAGACGGATTTTCTGGTGATATTAGTGACCAAGAAGATGATGCTGGTGGTGATATTAGTGACCAGGCCAGATTCAGATCGAAAAAGAGGAACGAAGTGAATGAACTATATATCAAAAACTACAATGATCTATTCGCTAATAGCCATAATCTAAAAAACAAGAAGCCGAAGATAATCAAGCCTTCATTAAATGATGTTCTCAAGAATTTTAATGAAGAACATAAAAAGAATTATTTACTCAAATTTGAACAAAAAAAGAATAATGAGAAGCAGGGTGATCCTGCATCACTGAAGAAACCTATTGAAGTCAAGTTGCAAATCAATTATAAGCTTATCTCAAAATTAAAGAAAGTTTCTTCCTTGAATTTGTACAATGATTGCGTGGATAAATCTGACGATATTCCTATTGACAATGAAGGCAATGAAGAGTCTTTGAAAGATCAGTTATTGCAATATATCAAGGACAGCAGTAAATCTAGGGGTAATGTCAACATGATGAAAGATGAAGAAGGCTTGGGCATCGGAAATGTTTCTTCAATAGGGCCTTTACTCACTTCCAATAAGGGAATTTTTTTCAAAACACATCCTCTGAGCGGAAAAACTACCATGAATATTGTATCCGAGTTGATTACCACCAATAGCAAAAATAAGGTTGATAATAATATTGACATGTTAGTTTCCCTTGGCTTATTTCTTGAGAGTTTACGTTCGTTATCCCTTGTTTGGAATTTGGTGAAATCTTTGAGCAAGAAATCGATAGTTTTGACAAAACAACATGAGGATTATATCACAAGCAAGTTGCGAGGCCTTAATATTTCGCGCAGATCAAATTTCAGGGAGTTTATTAATGATACAACTCCGGAGGTTATATCTAATACCAACGGCAATAGATTTAGAAGAGCCTCAGGAAGGGCATCCATTTCATTAAATGAGGATGTGAGAAGAAGTTTAAGTTTTGGAGAGAATTCTACCATCCCTGGTGATGAGAGAAATGGTGCTTCTGGTGAAGGTATTAATTTAGATAAGTTCATTGCATCGATTAATGAGGAGGCAAAGGACGGGGCCAATGGATCATCGTTGGTTCATAGGTTTGGGAGTAAGCATCTTAAAACAGACTTTGTTTGTCCAGTGCCATTTTTGAATGTTTCAATTTATTCTCTCTCCAAAAACTCTTCAATTTCACAAAAAATATATCAAACTTGTGGGTTGATGGATAATATATCTGGGAGATTTAGTGATATTTATGAACTACAAATTTCCACCAATTTACCATTGTTTAATAACTTGTTGAAGGGTCATGAACCTGTGTCGGAGAATAATGATATGATTGCCGAGAAATCCCTGAACAATGACATTAAAATGTTGAAGATAATGATCTATAACGGTAGGGTGGAAAATATCCAGTTATTGGTCCAGGATAAGCTCTGCGTCTCATCTATCGACCAAGAACCAAATCCTGATGCCAATAATAGTGCTAAACCATCACAAAACCACAAACTAATCGGAAAATTGAAAGAGTTGACAAAATTTATCAATTACACTGAGGACTTATACTTGCTATTCAGTGTCCTTCTTAGATAGTTACCTTTTTTTTGATGATAATTCATGATTAAAACTTGTAAAACATTGGTGTTACTGTAGAGAGGCCGGATAACCTCTATTTAAAAAAATTCCCATCAAATCGCACTTTTTCTGAGCGATGGCCTTACAAAAAAAAAATTGGCAGCTAAGAGGGAGACAAAATCCTATTATTTAAAAAAACCATAAGGAATAGAGACATTTCAATATCAGCGCATCATTTCTTAGAGAAAATAATGTCTAGGATCCTCTCGAGGTTAACTCCTTCATCCGCCAAACAAAAAGGGTCTAGGCTCGACAGCAAGTTCAATAAATTGACAAACTCTTCTCAGTCTTCATCGCCTTCCTTATCAGATCTTCATGAGATTGCCATCTTCTCGTTTAACTCTTCAAAATTACAAATAATGAACAACAACCTAATCAAGAACTTTCAAATAATCAGGCCAACCTCCTCGAAGTCGTTGTATAACTACTTGTTGAAAATCCAAAAAACCTTGGTGATCTTTCAGTACCTTATCCAGGTAGGTTCAGAAGATTTCATCAATTGTTGGAAATACGTGGAGCTGTCTGGAAAATTCGAGAGTAATAATTACGATATTCTTCCATCACTTCTTGAGAACTTGGAATCGATAGAAAATTCAAATCTATGCCAAGAACCAACGTACATTTATTCTACCTCATCGTCCAATTCCATGAAGAACAATATCCGATCAACGTTAAGTTCTGTGATTAATAAATTATCAAAATTGAAGAACTATCTCAGTGATCCAGAAGATTTACAGCAATTTCGTTTATCTTTCCAAAAGCTACGATTCGATATGTCGAGACCAACCCCAAGATCATCGATGGATAGCCATCCAAGATTGAATCCATCCAGCAGTGTTGATGGGGGTAGAAATAGCATAAGTGGCAATTTGAGGAGCAACTATAGAACCGCTTCTTATGGAGAAAATACAAATTTAATTGACTTATCGAGCAACTCCGATGATTTTAATAAAATTGATTTCCAAATAATGGAGCCCAACGTTGATATTGCTGGTAATTTGCAAAATATGGCTAAACGCAGAGTATCTGGCAATCATCATCCTGCTCCCATCACCCCTAGAAACACTTCTCAAAGAAGCTTTTCTGCCTCAAAATCTTTGGACTTGAACAGGTTGATAAATTCTCCTTCAGGGTCGGCCAGTGGCAATAATGGTAATTACAAGGAACTACAGAAAAATGATTTCAAGAATTTTAGCAATAAGCTACTAAAGTTTCGTGGCAACAGTAACAATGACAACAATTCGAAAGTCTCGTCGCCATTGTCGAGGACCTCGTATTCTGCTTCAGACAATAATGAAAATGGAAAAGTGTTAACCCCTTTAATTGAAGTCAATGAGGCCTTAGTTTGAGCCCATAAATTCCCTTGCTTGTTTCGAAATAGCAATGTTCACCACCAGCACAATAAACCTTATTTTTAATGCCCCTTTAATTTATTTTATCTCTTCATTTTCTCTCACTTTAATCTTTTACTAATTAGCCTATCGCGATTAATAATGTCCCTTTCATTTCATTTTTGATCATTTGTTTTAATTCCCTTATCATCTGTGTGTCATAGAAAAACAATTTAGATAGAAGCGCTGGTGGATTGTCATCATATTAACACACTTTACTCTAAATGTCTTTGGTTGACAGGTTGTTTCTTTTTTTTTTTTTTTTTTTTTTTTTTTTTTTTTTTTTTTTTTTTTTTTTTTTTTTCAACTTATAATTTTAGTTAGAATTATTCTTTCTAATCAATATATTATAATATATTATTAGGGCTTTTCAGCTGTTTTTTACTTTGTTTTCTTTTTTTACAGCATACTAGTATGAATTTTATTCCTGGTTGGTTTAAATAATAATAATTAAAATGGCTTGAAATAGCTTGCGATGAATTAGTACCGTTACGTTGTCCTATAGTTAGACATAGCAGTTTTTTTAATAAATATAATAGCTATTGCTCTACTTAGTCTTGAAGTATTTAATGATTTTTAGATGTATTTCCTCATAACCAGCATACACTGTGAAGTACCAAACCAAATAAAAATAAAACATTCAATACAACTATATACAAGATCTGTTGTGACTATTAAGGTGAAGGTCTCCAGCCACTCTCGGTCTATAAATGAGCTATTATCGTATAATTATCTAGAGTTATTGCAACTCCCGCAACAATAACTAATCCAACGTGAAGCTTATACTTATTCATAATTCTTCTCCAATTCAATGAATTTTTCTAAAGCGTGTTTCAATCCAAGCTTCTCTACCTTGTTCTTGTCCTTGCCATGTAATCCCTTTAAACTAATAACAAGGTCACTTTCTTCACCGCTTTCCAAGCCCTTCAATGCTGATTCACATTCTGCATCACCGATGGTCACCAAATAATTAAAGGATTTACTATAAGCGTCCTTGATTCTTTTACCCAACGATTCTGCCCGATCATCGACTTCAATATTGAAATCGTAGCTTGTTAATGGAGAGAGTTTCTTGAATTTCCCAAGGGAACTATTAGATTCTTTGTAATAGTTATCCACATTCACTTCGTCAGTGGCTGCCATTGCCTTGTACTCTTGTAATGTATGGTCTGGTTTCCCGTTGTTACTCAAGTAATCTTCAATGTATTTACAATACCACGAATGTTTCTCTGGGGATACTGGAACCACCTTTATTTGGTTGGAATTCAACCAGAATGGCCATTTCCCTTCATAATTATCGATCAAAATCGCCAAAAATCTTTCCACCGATCCAAAAATCGCTCTATGAACAATAATCGGAGTTTCTGGTTCACCCTTTTCGTTGAAATATTTCAATCCAAAGTTGTTTGGTAATTGGAAATCGAGTTGGATGGTGGCGGTTTGATGGAACTTTCCAAATTTATCTTTCAAGATAATATCAATTTTCGGACCATAGAAGGCACCATCCCCTTCATTAAGCTCCCACTTCTTATTGACTTTTTCTAAAATATCTATAAGGATTCCTTCGGCTTTTTCCCAATCCTCTTCTTTCCCAATGAATTTATTGTTTTTAGGTCTGGTACTGAGCAAGATCTTGAAATCTCCCAACCCGAATTTCTCATAAATGAGCTCCACGAGCTTCAAATTAGCAAGAATTTCTGATTCCAAATGTTGGAAACTACAGAAAATATGACCATCATCTTGATGGAACCTTCTAACTCTGGTCAATCCAGAAAGCGCCCCTGATGCTTCATTACGATGCAACGATGAAAAATCACTGTATCTCACAGGAAGATCATTATGGGTCTTTGGAAATTGCTTATATATAAGACAATGACCAGGACAATTCATTGGTTTTAAAGCATAGACTTCATTTTCTTCTTTTTGATGATGCTGGTGTTCGTGCTCGTGCTCGTGCTCATTACAACCACCATCCTCATGGGCATTTCTATAGATCTTGAACATATCCTCATTATAGTATTTCCAATGATTACTGATTTCAAACAACTCTTTCTTGTACATTAATGGGGTCATAACTTCATCGAATCCTAATTTCTTCACCTCCTGGATTCTAATAAAATTAATCAACTTATTGAAAAGTTTGGCCCCATTCGGTAAGAAAAAGATCGACCCTGGTGAGTACGGCGATAGGGTGTAAAGCTGCTGTTTTGTCGAGATCGATTTGTTGGAAAGCGAAGCATTTGCAGAAATTGTGGTTTTATCATCAACGTTTTTCTTTTTGTTCACTGAAACCGTGGAATTCCAACAAACATTGGTGGTGGATAATGATGGGAACCTGGGAGTGAGCCGTTTTTGGCAGCTCTTCAAGAGCTGTGGAGACAAAAATTTTCTTGAGAGCATATTTAGTTCTATATATATATATATGGATATATATATTTCACCACGCGAAATTAAAGAAATGATTGACGAAAAGCGGTAGTCGGGTTGTAGGGGACGCCTTTTCAATTCGATCTAGTATAACAGAAGGACTCACCGGCGTGGATTTTTCAATTTTTGAGAAAAACCGTTTCTAACGTGCCGGGTGCGCATAGTTATTTATCAAGGTTTTACAAATCATATAACTAAGTAATATAATCCACAATAAACAGAAAGTTCTTTTTGTATAATGATGTACCATGGTGTTAACTATATAGAAAAATGCAAATCAAAAAATGAATGGAAAAAAAAATGCGAGAGGATATAGTTCAGATCAAATCTCACTAATTAATATACACACATGAAAATTAATCGATGCTTATTTCTCAGGTTCCTTTTCAAATTTAATTTCCTCCATCAACCAATCTTTCCAAAAATTTGCACTTCGTAGGATTACATCTTCAATATCATCATTATTCTTGTCGATCACCAAAGGTAAACTCTTGTCCTTCTTGTCCCCTAACTTGGCTGAAATTGTACTGGACATCGGCGTCATTAGTGGACTCAAATTTGTTGTACTGGTTGTGCTAGTGCTATTACTTCTGGATTTCAGTGTGTTTGTTTCAGAATTGATAGTGATTAGTGACAATGTTGGCGGTGGTAGAACAAAAGCAGAATGATCATAGTTCTGTTGAGAACTATCATTATCAGTATTATTAATAATGTTGTCTAGTTTCGGCGATGGTTCAGGCGTAAGTGAATTTGGAGGATATGAGTGGTAATCTGATAGGAACAGTGTTCTTCTCAATCTATTTACTGACATTTGAATCACGTTGGGTTGAGGCGAAGCTATGGGCGATTTAAACAAGTTAAGGTTGTTCACTGGCGAACTAAGGGCTTCGGGCGACTTCACTGATCCATTATCAGTACTACTACTCGTGTGCTTACCAACCATTCCCGCAGCTTCATTCTTTGGATTTAAATCACCATATGCAACGTATGATTTATGCTGGCTCTTCAAACTTTTTGAGGCTTTCTTCTTAGCAAACCGGTTTGAAAAATTGGTAGTCATCAATCCGTTATTCAAAAATTGTCGAATTTCAGCCTGGTCAAGCTCAAATATCAAATTCTCATGAGATTTCAAAAATGCCAAATAAATAAATAGTATTTCTATGTGTGGGTCAATACAAGAATATGAGAATTTCTTTTCCCGGACGGCTGATGGAATCAATGATGATAAAACATAGTTTCCTGTGCTTTCTTCTGCAATATCACTCGTTGCCTCATTTGTGGATTCAAGAACTAGTAGACTTTTGACTGTTTTAATCAACTCGTGATCTTGAGTTTTAGCGACAGCATTCCAGTAAATATCGCCTCCCAATTGTTCAATTAATCCTTGATCAGTTTCAGAAATTTGTTTAACCACATTTTCCAAATTAATTTTCGCGCTGTCTTTCAATAATGGGAATGGCCTCCAACCAAGAACCAAATCCCAAAGTCTACCTCTATCCATCTTATTGAATGTCTTTGCCCCACACCATTTAATCCACCATAGTAACCATTCGTCTCCATTGTTAACCAAATTGTAGCTAGATGTGAGAACCCCTTCTTCCTTAAAAAAGCTGGATAACTCATCGAGAACTTTTCGAAGCAAATATAAAAAGAATGATACTCGTTCATCAATTGATGCCCCTTTTACTGGTAAAGAGATGATTGATTCCGAAATGAATTTGTGTTTAGAGTCTGGGGGTGGTGAGCTGGCACTAAGTGATTCGGATGATTCTAGATCAGTCTTCTTCATTGATTTCTCTATTTCGTTCAATTCTTCTTCACTAGGTTCTGGAGCGTGTAGTATTACCAACACTAACCTTTCAAATATTTCAGGGAACGATAACTTATATTTCAATGGGATTGAATCATCAAGCAACTTCATTTCTTTATCAAACTCCTTTAAATCCTCATTTTTTGTTAAGAAATTATCGTAATGAATATTGCACTCATCATACACGTCCACGATGCAACTTGTATCAGATAAATTGCAATCATCAAAATAAATCTTTTCTTGATCAAACACAAAGGTTGATGTAGTGGAATTTGTGTCCGACGAATCTTCGACCTCCTTTGCAACATTGTTCGGATTTGTACTGTTTAAGAGAGAAATATCAGAGTTGGATCGTGACTTTGCTGGATTGGAATTAGTATCAACAATTTTGCTAATTCCCTTTCCCTTATGAATTTTTTCAAACTTTGCAAGACACATGTCTTTTCCCAATAATACGTATTTACTTCCATCATTATATTCAGTATAATGTTTATTGTTCAATAATGGCGGATACCACTCTGCCAAACCAAGAGCAATCCAAGCTAGCCCAGATTCATATTTGAAAATACTACCCCATTTACGAAGGAATTTCACAATCGAATATTCCAAAGTTTTGAATATCCTCTTCTCTATTAGTGACAATTGGTGGTAAGGATCGCTCTTTGTATAAGAACTGTTATTGCTTCCATTTAAAACGTTTGCACCACTATTCTGGTGGATATTTTTTCGGTAATATCTCTTTAAATCACTTCTAATTTGTTTAATAGGAATATTTCTTTGGTTAGGTTTCGCTTTGATATTTCTCTTTGATGTATTTTCATCGTTATTATCTCCTCTATTGGCATCCTCTTCTTTATTTTCGTCATTCACTTTCTCCTTAGCCTCTTCTTCTTCCTCTTCTTCTTCGAATTCATCAAAATTTGGATTAATATATGGATCAACAACAAAAGAGTGCTTCTTTAATAACATCGGCCAAATTCTATATCGCAAAAATGGTGGAACACCCTTTTGTCTAGCAATTAATGCTAAAGCCTCGACATTCTCAGTTTTAATATACTCGCAACATAATTTGATCAAACTCAATACTTTAGAATGGTCTTCGTCCTCAAGAGCCTCGTCTTTTTCATCTTCAGTTTTATCTTCCCCTCTATCTTTTTCTATATTTTCTTCTTTGTCTTCCCCTCTGTCTTCTTCTCTTTCCTTTTCTCTGTCTTCCTCTCCTCTTTCCTTTTCTCTGTCTTCCTCTCCTCTATCACCTCCCCTATCTTCTTCTATATTTTCTCCTCTACCCTCTTCACACTTCCTTCCCTCAACTGGTGCTTCATACAAGCTATTGGAATGATCTAGACTAGATATTATCTTCGGCGAATTATTGGCATGTTTCTGCTGCTCTCTATGAACCTGGCGGAAGCAAGCTCTATTATGATCATTCTGCGATGTTATATCACCAGAAGCACTGACTTTGGTGGTTATTTGAATCATTTTCCGTTAACTATGTTAGGCACTATGTATTTCACACTGCTTCTTTTCTTTATCTTTGTCTTTTTCTTTTTGATTTATGGCGTGGTCAACTATCGAATCAAGACTTTCTCTTCTAGATTTAGAATGAGACGGAAGAAATGTTGTTTGTTTGTTTTTCTGTGTTAGAGTAATTTGTATCAGGTTGAGCAAGCAAGAGATGTCACACGTCAATTTTTGTAAAAACTTTGGGACATATAATATCAATAGACTTAAGAATCGAGAACTATCACAAATTAAAGACCATGGCTAAGATCTTTTACGCTTTTTGTATTTTTTGGTTTAGTTTTTGTTTTTTGCAGCAACGCAATTCTAAAAGGTTCCTTATTAACGAAGGTGGAGAGTTTCAACGAGTAACAGGTACGTCACAAAAACTGAGGATCGGTAAGTTAATTACTGTGCGAACAGTCCCGATGAGAAGAAAGTATGGAGCAAAATGATGAAAAATGGGGAAACGTGAGCGACACTTTCTATTTCACTTTAAGTTTTTTTTTTTCTATCTCTGAATGTGTTCTGGTGATTACTGTGATAATTCTCCAGGCAGTCTTGCTTGACAATCTCTATAATGAAGTGGGGTTACTTGGCCATCCGAAGCAGAGAGAAAAAATTGTTTGTTTGCCGTTTTTTTTTTTTACTTATCACAAGACAGATTCCGTGATTTAGAAACTCTCGGGGCACCACCGGGCCCTAAAGGGAAGTCAGCCATGAATGATAGTTGCATTCCGGCACATAGTGACCATCACACCCAAACATTACTCCCGGTTTATTTACTCCACCTGGTGCATGGGCGTTTTTTGTAGGAGCTCTATTTGATTTCCGTCCTGCTCATGCTTGCTTTGTTGCATCCCACTATTGGTCATCATTGATACCTCACGTCACTAGACATTTTTTTGGTCTAGTTTTCGGTTGCTCAGCAATCATTACAACAACATTTAAAGCTTGCACGAGACACATTACCACTGTGCAGATAGCATTTACCCTACTTTAAGTGCGTGATATACATAAAACGCCATATATGAAAACTCAAACGACGCAAACATGATATACAAATCACGGTGAGCCAATTGGTGTATATATTTTTATGCTTATTTACACTCTTGGAAAAAAGTAACCTATCAACTAAATAAATAAAAAAAGCAATATTGTGAGCGACGGTATAGAAAAAGTTATGCAAGATACAAAAAATAAAAGAAGCTCCGATACCGGGAATCGAACCCGGATTTGCGCCGTGAGAGGGCACCGTGCTAGCCATTACACTATATCGGATCGCACATTTGCAGTAGAATCCGATACAATCAATTGTAGTTATATTTATGTTACCATACCAGTGGTATATATACATTCATTCATACACTTTTATCTATTCTAACCATTCTTTAAGCTTATATGTTTTAAAATAGTAATTTATCATCGTACTTATTACCTTAAATATCCATATAAATATAAAAAACAAAAGTTTTTAGGTTATTTCTGAATATCAATAGACAGTGACGTATTCAGAAGGTGCTTCATTCTTTATTATACTTTGTTTAATGATAGTATTTCAATTATATTAAGCTCCTTATTAATTTTTTTTTTACATCCTAATATGCCTAATCATTTTATTGTTACCTTGTACTTATACAAATCAGAAAATAGCTCCGATAATTATGTCTCGATTAACTGGCGCCTTAGAAATAAGTATCATGACACTTGAGATATTACTTGATATTCAAATGAGACTAAAAATTCCCTTGAAACCCAATAGGTGCTTGGAAAACTGATAGATATCTTTGCACAAAATAAAGAATCAAAATAGTGTCAGTCGTTGTATTTCATCTTCGCAGCGGCAGATGTTTGCTCACAATGAGTTAGGCATTTTTGGAATACACTCTCTCAGACAACATATGATATGAATTCAAAATATTTATTACAACTAGTTTTCTTTTTAAACATAGCACTTCATAATAATTTTTCTCCTTATCTCATGAGCTGATGAATATTGCTAAATATCTAGCTCTACTTTCCGGGTGTTTGTGTGTGTGCGCATAAGCTAAAATGCATACGTGCTATTGATTAAGGAACTCTATCTATGTTTGGTTGTCATTCAACTAAACAAAATATTTCGTATAAAAAAGTGAGACCCTAGACCATGTCAATATGTTTTTCTGAAGAGAGTGAGCTGAGGCCTTCCAGAGGAGCACATAAAAAGAACTTCTTCCTAGTACACCTAAATAGTATTGTGTGAATGACAAGCACACATTCTTGTTATCGTACTCACTAGTAGGGATTCATTTCATTTAGAACTTAGAAAAGAAAAGGAGCTGCTTTATTATAAGTTTCTGAAATGTAAAATCTTTTCACAAAGTCAAGCTGGTGAAGATGTTTATTGGTTGTAACCCACAAATATTTCACTTTAATAGAGTAATAATCTTCACATGTAGACCCAGAAATTCAAATAATAATAGAAGCTGCTTACAGGAAGCTAAGAGAAGTAATAATATGAGTTCTGCAGAGGTCAGGAAATATATCATTGGATTTTTTTTAGTGAAAAATTACTGCAATCTCATGCAAAATTTTATGCTTTCCTTTTAAAGATTGAGCCAGTTTTGATAGTTGCTCCATGTTAACGGAAAGGTAACAAAAAATAATAATACTATATTCTATCAATATTCATATACATTTGATAGATAATGATGATGATATGTTCCAACACCAACACCGGTTGACTTGCAAACACACATGAGTTTGAGCTTGGAATGATTCTCTTATTGAAAACTCACCACTTCCAATAATTTAATTGGCGAGATAACAAAGGTAGACCTTTGATATCACCGTTGGATTGCTTTCTTGCGGTTTCATGTGCTACAGAAGCCAATGAATCTCTCAAGTTTTGGGAGAAAGTGGTCATTATATTATTAGCTCTTCTACATCAAATTAAAGAAAGAAACAATGTCCAAACATACCTCAATATGTCCCGATGAAGAGTGCCCAATTTGCATTGAATTGCTTGTGAATGAGTCTCTTGAAATTGCGAAGCTACTACCGTGCAATCATATCTATCATGATCTGTGCATAAGATCATGGACAAAACACTCTAATTCTTGCCCAAAATGTAGGGAAGGGTATTATATTATCTCCATAATTGATTGCGATGGAATATTAGTTTACGAATACTCTGTTGAGGACCGGTATCTAATATATTGAAAGGATGAAGCTATTTGTCATCATCCTGCATCGCCTGATTATTGGTACTGTCAATAGTGTTACGCTTTCAATACCTATGATTGGCCGGACCTTTTCTATAATTCAGTTGAACTTGATAGTAATTATTCTGGCCACAGAAATTTCTGTCATGTTGTATGATTCAATGTACACATGCGTACATAAAGTGTACCTCAAACCTCAAACCAAGGGTATACTCGTTTACGTTTATTAAATTCAAAAGCAATACCAATCAGAAAAGGTTTAATTATTTTTAGTTTCAATAGATCTTAGTCGCCAGTCGGCATTTGTACTACGTGAGATCATTATTGTTGGACATCTTTGCTCTTATTTCTCAAATGTTTCCCGTGATCAATCAACAAGTCTTTTTTTTTTTTTTCAACAAGCCCGTTTCTTGGTTCAGCTTTCTGGAGATTTGGTCGCCCTATGAGTAACTCAGGTCGCACATACTTTGTCAATCAATTCAATTACATTCTGTATTATTTCATAAAGGAGATACATCATCGAACCTTCCAGCATGAGACACGGTTTATTGTAGGACCGATCCTTAGTAGAAAAATCAGTGTGTATATTGAAACTTCTTGAGACACGTATGTATATGAAAATCACTTGGCAGATCAACTACGCGAATTAACCACCACTCGCAGAAAAAAAAAATACAAATCGAAATTTAATAACAGGACCATTTGACCTAGATAGTATAATCTACAGGTATAGGCACAGCAAGTGATATATATCTTAACAATTTGGCTGAGAGCAACCGCTGGTGGCTTATTGCATCAGTATCGTGAGATTCTGACCAATTACGCGCAATTAAGAGGGGGATGGGATATAACTCCTCTTTTGGTACAAACCACCCCTAATGCAACCGCGAGTGTCAGCTCGCACGTGACATACCTGTTATAATGAACGTGTTTTTGAACAGTTTCCGTATATAGTGAATAGGGCGCACACAGAAATACCTTACCGCCAGCGACCATAGCCTACTTTGCAATTGATATACACGCTTAGCGCCTACTAGGTGGATGATCCGTTTTTTCTCCTAATTGAGTGATACAAACTGATACAAAGTGATATGCTTGTACGTGCAAACCTCTGTATTTTTTTATTTTTTTTTCCTGTCATTCCGTTTGAGCAACCAAGCGAGAGATTTATCTTGAACTATCATAACACCTACCACTTAACATGCTTTACATGGCATTATTTATTAAATCCTAGTTTGTCTATTTGTTTATTACAAGCCATACCGCCACCCAAATTGGGCCAATTGTAAACATCGAGGGTGTGCTTTTGATGCTTTTAACGCTTTTGAAGCTTAGTTGAGAGGGCTTATGCCGCTATATGCATATAACAGCACCGGGTAACGTCTTATTTTGGAGTGTCCCATACCCGATTGGGCGCCAGGAAGATACACCATCAACGCCTAACCATACCCCCCGCAGATCTTTCCATTTTTTTCCTTTTATTAGTGACGAATGGCTTGTTTTTGAATTTTCCTTTTGGTTTTTCCCTGTTTTCAATTGGAATTTATCAACAAACCACACAATCATTACATTCGTTATTCTTTTTTCCAAAGATCGTGCTTTGTAAGATCCAACTCTTCTATTCGTTCCTTTTGATAATTTCTTTAAAGAATACTCATAACAAATAAAAAAAGCCGCTGTCTTTTCAAGTCATTTGTTGTTCACTAAAGAAAACACAAGAAAAAATCCTGAATTGATAAAAATAACAAGTATCAAAATAACCGTTCATACCGCATAACATTGAATTCTGAAACGTTTTAATAACAATGAAATTCTCACTTGCCCTTTTGTCTCTTGTTGCCTCTTCTTTGGCAGTTCCTGCTCCTAAGGAAAATGCTCACCACTACCACAGACGTGACGCTGTGGAAACCGTTTTGACCACCCAAACCACCGTCGTTTATATCACTGATGGTCTTCTCGCCACTACTGTTGAAGAAACTACTGCTACTTCTGAAGCCTCTTCCACCTCTACTCTTGAACCATCATCAACTAGCAAATCTTCCTCTTCCTCTTCCTCTTCTGCTTCTGCTTCTGCTTCTAGTTCATCATCTAGTAGTTCCTCCACCAGCAGTGTCGATGGTGACTTGAGCGACTTCGTTGACCCAACCGGTGAATTCGAAGATGGTGTTCTTGATTGTTCTGATGGTGTTCCAACTGGTAATGGTGTTGTGTCCCTTGACTGGGTCGGACTTGATGGTTGGGCTTCCATCATGAACACTGCTGGTGATACCAAAACCACATGTCAAGACGGTTACTACTGCTCTTATGCTTGTCAAGCCGGTATGTCCAAGACTCAATGGCCATCTACTCAACCAACTGACGGTGAATCCCGTGGTGGTTTGATCTGTAAGAGTGGCAAATTGTACAGAACCAACACCGACACTAACTACTTGTGTGAATGGGGGAAGTCTTCTGCTTACGCTGTTTCTAAAATTGACAAGGTTGTTTCCTTGTGTAGAACTGATTACCCAGGTTCTGAAAATATGGTTGTTCCAACTAGATTGACTGCTGGTTCCACCAAGCCAATGTCTGTTGTCGACTCCTCCACTTATTTCAAATGGGAAGGTAAAGGTACCTCTTCTCAGTACTATATTAACGATGCTGGTGTTGATGTCGAAGAAGGTTGTGTCTGGGGTACTGATGGTAGCGGTCTTGGTAACTGGTCTCCTGTTGTTGCCGGTGCTGGTGTCACCGATGGTATCACTTACTTGTCCATTATTCCAAATCCAAACAATGACACTCCACCTTCTTACAGCTTGAAGATTGAAGGTAGCAGCGGTTCAACTGTCATTGGTAGCTGTGTTTACGCTAGTGGTAAATATAACGGCGATGGTTCCGACGGTTGTACTGTTTCTGTTACAAGCGGTTCTGCTAACTTTGTTTTCTATTAAATCAATTGAAAACAACAGTCTAAGTTAATCTGCTCGTTCTTTGAAATTTTGCAAGGAGCTTGTCAATTCCAGCCTTATATTTTGTAATGAGAGGATCCAGAATCACTATTACTTTCTCATACCAAACTTTTTTTTTTTTTTGCGCTGAAGAAGAAAATTGATCTCCTCCACATTGTATTTTACTTGGATTGATCTCTTCTCTCATTCAAAGAAATACCTAGATTTACTACTTATACAACTCCTTTTGATATCTTTGCTTCAACATTTATCTGATTCATTTAATCGACGTCTTTTTTTGATATTCCTTCGAAATTTGACTTTACTTCTTCCCACTTTATTTTATTTGCTTTATATTTTTTGATTCTTCGTTTCTATTGTTATTCTCACTCTGTCATTTGATCGTTTGTTTTGTATTTTCTAAAACTATGTACGTTTACTTCCAAATTCTCAGAGTGTATTAATATTTTTGTAGATGCTACTCTTCTTTTTATAGTTGTTCTTGCAATTGCTGGTTACATGGTGTGTATTAGCACTCTCTAACATACGTTATAGAAGAATATAGTACTAGGTTAGCAGATGTAGAGGTGTGGCCAATGCATGGATTGTTTATGATGTACGGGTTAAAAACCGGTGATTGGCCACATAATGGTTATGTAACCCCGAAGAGAAATGAGCAATTTTTTTTCGGCGTTGCCCATTTTCCCATTTTATTTTTTGTTGCCTTCCCAACCATCACCCTTCTTTTATGTTATCCTCCTTTTCACTAAAGGGTAACACCATCCTCATCCTGTTGATTATTATTGACATCACTTACCCGTTTATTTAGTATCATCATGTCTGATAAGTTAGACAAACACCAAGTCGAGGGTCACGACAATAATGATGAGAATGTCGTTGCTACTGATTCTATTGCTCGTCTTACCACTGCGTCTGTGATAGCTGCTGCTGGAGCTTCTGAACATGACGACAAGGAAGACGATGACAAAGATATTAAAGTCGCTACAGGTTCAGGATCCCAGGCAGGCCCGAATAATGCCAACAGCTATGCTAACTCCATTACTAACGATGCGGTCGAAGCTGCGGTGATGAGATATGTCGGTGGCGATTATAACCAATGGACCAGTGATTTTTTAAGCGATGACTTGACTGCTGTCGCTGTTGCTGCTGCTGGTGCCAACCACAACAATAACAATCACAACAATAACAACAATAACAACAACAGCAACAGCAACAACAATAATACCAACAACAATAACAATAACAGCAGCAACGACGTCAGTGGAAACAACGTTAACAACACCAACGACACCAATGACAATGTCGCTGCTGCCAACACCGTCGCGAAACAAGCATTGTCTTCCAAGTCCTCTAAGATTGGAAAGAAAAATATTGGTGAAGATTTGGAACAATCCAAAAAGAAAAAAAGAAAGTTGAATGAGGTATCTGCTGGTCCGTCCTCTAAAACAAACGCGTTAGTTGATCCTGAATTGGCTCAATTGGATAGCACCACTAATGAGCATGATCAATTAGTGCAAGCTGCTATTAACGATGCCAAAGAATTGGCGCGTCTCAGCAGTTTCGAGCAAGACTATATTTTGAGTCAACAAAATGCCAATCAACAGGGGCAACCAAATGACAACCAAGGTGGAGATGATACCAAAGTTGAATTTTTACCTAAGGATCTCAAAAATGATCCTGCTCAAGTAGAACTCCAACAACAACGCCTGATGCAGCAGACCCAGGTTCAACCTCAACCTCAACAGGTACAACCTCAACCACAACAAGTTCAACCACAACAACAGGTGAACAAAGTGGTTGGTGCTGGAGTATTCCAACAAATGCCCCATCATGAATTGAGTAATATATCACACATGCACAACACCGAAGTTGCTACTCTTGTGGCTCAAGCGGCAACTAATGCTAGTGCATACGTGACCACTAGACCTCAAGGTAAGATGTTCTCCAAAGAGGAACACGAAGCTATTCAAAAGTTTATCCAAGCGTACTGTCAAATCCACAAGATGACCGAAGAAGATATTTGTAAAAGAGTATGGTCCAATAATAGAGTTAAAGATAACTTCTGGGACTCATTGCAAAAAGTGTTGCCACACAGAACAAGAGCCTCGGTTTATAAGCATGTCAGAAGAGCTTACCACATTTTTTCTGTTAGAGGCAAATGGACTCCTGAAGAAGATGCTCAATTAGGGGCATTAGCAAAGGACAAAGAAGGCCAGTGGAAAGCAATTGGAGAAATCATGGGTAGAATGCCTGAAGATTGCCGTGATAGATGGAGAAATTATGTTAAGTGTGGGGCGAGCCGTGCTCAAAATAAGTGGAGTCCAGATGAGGAAGACAAGTTGAAGTCGATCATTCATGAGATTTTCCAAAACAATCCGCAAAGTCCGGTGATTAATTGGACCGTGGTTAGTGAGAAAATGGGTGGCTTGCGTTCTAGAATTCAATGTCGTTACAAATGGAACAAATTGTTGAAGCGTCAAGCAACTGTGAGGGCTAGTCAAATGGATGCCGAAGATAGAATTTGGTTGATCACCAGATTGAAGGAATTACAATTCGAAGATGAGGGGCAAGTTGAATGGGATGCTTTGGCGTCATTACATCCAAAAGGTTACTGGACTGGATCTGATTTCAAGGTGTCCTTTGAAAAAATGAGAAGTTCCATCAAGGATTTTAAGAACAAGAAGATGGATGATATTTGTAACATTTTGTTGCACAACATTAATGGAGGTGGCAATGGCAGAGTAATTAACAATAATGGAGTCAATAATAGATTACAAAATGTCGGTCAAGTAGGTCCTGTTGCTGAACATCAACATCACCAACAGCATCAACACCACCACCATCTCCATCAAGCACAGAATGTTGCTTCTAACAATATGTTTGATCAGATGAACCAGATTGTGAATGACCAAGCTCAACATCATCAACCAGGGAATGTCTACACCGATGATAAGGGTAAAAAAGACCATCATGTGGATATTGCCAGTGCCGCGGTGGCAGCTGCCAACGGTGACAATAGTTATTTGATATAATCTTGTTGGTTTTTTTTTTTTTCTTTGTGATATTGTAAAGTAGTGGTTATTTTTTTTTATCTTTTGCTAATTCCCTGACGTGTATTTTGTATTTTAATATTGATATTGGTTTTACTGTTTATTTTATTTATTTTATTTGTTTTTTTGTTTTTTTCTGTAAACGTCGAATCTTTTGTTGAAAACGAAACGGTCATTCGTGGCTTTGTATCTTTTATCCATGGGAATTTTCATTATTATTAAATACGATTTTTATGAATCTGTGCTATAATAGGGGTGTAGGTGGTGTTGGTGATGACGACATTATACTTAACAAAAATATACAGAGATAAATAGTGATACCAATATCTTATTTGGTAAAGGGTTTTATCTACCGTTACATAGTTTTTGGAAGGTTAGGAGAACAAGGGTTATCTGCCAAATTCACTACTGTTACCACCCCAAGAATTCCTTCAAGGGAGCCAAGATCCAGGAATTGATTATTGGAAATATCCAAAAATTTCAACTGCTTCAACCATTTTTTATTCCCAATGAACCGCTGTATATGATTGGAATATAACATTAGCTCGTGTAAACTTTCAAGGTTGTGCAACTCGGGGATCTCGACGAGATTGTTCGCTGATAAGTTCAACAGTCGCAAAGATGTCAACGGTTCAAGGTTTTCGACGATATTGATCCCGTTATCGCTAAGATCCAATGACGTTAACCGAGAGAGCATATCGAGATTGTCAATTTTGGTAATGCTATTGCTATAGAGATCCAAAGTTTCTAAATTCTCGAGATTCTCGAGCCCCAGAATTGCATCGATACAGTTCATCCCAAGATCCAAATGCTTTAAATTTTTCAAGCTGGAAATATCTAGCATGGTCTCCAATCCGGTGGAATTTATCTTCAATGATATGAGAGTTTCCTTTAGGGCGTATAAGTGGTGTATTCCCATTAGCCTAGTGTAGGTAGCGGTGAAGTGATTCAATTTACCAAGGTCAGCCATACACGCCCCCAAGTCTAATGACCCGTGCTGTATCTCGAGCGATAATAAATTGGTGATTGTATTCCATGACCACAGGGACCCCAATTCCACTTTATTCAACTTGATATGTTTCAACGTAGGAGAATCAATGGGCCCTTGAATGATTGGAGTAATATGGTCATGACCAGGGAAGGATCTACCGGTAGTGGTTCGTGAGAGTTCAAGGGTTTCGAGCTTGGGAAAATCACAAGGATTGATCTTGCACATAAAAGAATCGGTCAAACGTATCACTAAGTTTAGGAGAGCTGGAAATCCGCCTACTACTTCGGATAGCTCATCAATATTGGCTATATGCCCTTCAATTGTGAAGCTCTTTAATTGCGGAAAGAGGCATGGCATTACTGGGGATACTGGTAATGGCTTATGATTAGGAAATGAAAAAATGGTTAAATTCTCAAGATTTTTGAAGCCACTAGCGATTCCATGTCCAAGAGTTTTCCTAAAAGATGTTTGTAGAAATTGATGTCCGTCTACTTTGAGACTGGTCAAAATAGGCAAATTCATTACAAATTCCATTACCAAGTGTTGGAACCCCAGGTGATCAATTGGTTGGGGGGAGGAAAAGTCTTTAATATACGCCTGGAATGGCTGTAGGATCTCAGTTAAGTATCTTGGATCAATCACCATGGTTAAACTTCCATTATGTACAAACAGGTTGTTTGGAAATTTTAATTGGCAACTTTTTGGAAATATCACTTCATGAATGGTGAGGCTCGAGAAAAGAATAGAATTGACGCATCTAAATAGTGATGGGTTTGACTTTAGTATAACGCTGTAACGAAGAAGCTCTGTGTTACTAAGCAACAGAAAGATTTTTAACAAGATTTCTAGTGGGAGTTTGGTGATACCATGAGTCGTCATTATGAATAATATATGTCTTATTTAATATATAGATGACATACCAAAATTTAAATAATTGAAGAATTCACTTGACTTTAATATTTGCCTTCATAATGTGCTAATTGTTGATTAAGTAATGTGATTTATCATTTCAGAGCTCAATATTAGGTAAAATCTCTCAACTTTAAATGAAGCTAGAATTTCGTGATGCTATTACGTTTCTTTTTGCTATTGGCTACGTAAGACTGAGTCTTCTGTAAACCAGAATTCTTAATCAAAAATATTACCTGATCTTCATACTGAGTGTTTTTCCTGGGTCTCATATATTACAGGCTATGGTGAGGCAAGTTCACCAAGGTGAGGTTTGCGCGATCCTGAATTAGGTCAGTTAGAAGAATGTAACAAATTTGATGCGGTTGATACTGATGAAAAATGATATACTTTTAAAATTTTAGAAGCTCTGTAGAAATAAAAATGGTAATACCTTGACTGAACTCATAAGATTCCTATATAAATTTCGAGATGTATATTAAAAACTTATATATATTCATGTTGGTATTGTATCTTGTGACACTCGCATATTTGTACATACAGCTGCAATCTGGGCGAAAAATGTCAAACTTTTTTGCTTCTGGGGTCAGAAAGTATGAGCTTTTCTCCATTTACGATCATAGGATTATCATTATAATTGCGATCGAAGGGATATATGTTGAATATTTGTTTAAAGAAATAGTTACGATTTAAAGAATTTTTTCGGGAAATGATGCGGAGTACAATTTCACCAAAACTTGGATTTCATGATTCCATCCTCCATCGATTCCAGATATCGGCAAACCCAAGATTTTTAAGAACCAGTAATCCCAGATGGTTTCACATTTCCAACACTTCTAGGGAGAAATTAAACATTGCGTTCTTTGGGTCTGATGAGTTCAGTATTCAGAGTTTACAATGGCTTCTTGAGTTCAAAAACCAATCGCGAACAGACAATAAGTTGAGTATCGGTAATATTGATTTGATTGTCAAGCACCCAAAACTTTCAGGAAGGGGCATGTCCCTGTTCTCTGATGTTCCAATTGTGAAATATTTGGAACAGTATAATTTTAATAATAAAGATCATGAGATCCCAATTATTCGGGCAGAATCGAAGCAGGAAATCAATAACTTGATACCAAAGAGTTACGATTTGGCAATTGCCGTATCCTATGGGAAATTAATCCCTAGTGATTTCATTAAGAGCCTAAAGTATTGTGGATTGAATGTTCATCCATCACTTTTGCCCAAATATTCCGGAACCTCGCCGTTACAGTATGCATTGCTTAATGATGATGAATTTACCGGGGTCACGGTGCAGACCCTTCATCCGACAAAATTCGACCGGGGAGAAATCGTAATACAATCGAAGGAGATGAAAATTAGTGACGATGAGACGCTAGGGTCTTTGAGGGAGAAATTGGGGGAGAAAGGAGGCGAACTACTTCTGAAGGTTATTAGTGATGGAATGTTCAAGAATTTGCACGGCGGTGAAGAAGTGAAGGATGGCAAATATCAGTACTCCTATGCCAGTAAGATCACCCCGGATATGAAGCAAGTTTTGTGGGATCAATATGGCAGTAGGCAGTTGAAAAGACGGATCAATGTGTTGGGATCATTATATAGTTACAAGAAAGTTGATTTGAAAAAAAAGAAGAATAATAGCAATGGTAATAAAGGGCCACAGTTCAGGAGAGTTATATTTTATGATATTGAACCACTAGATTTGAAACTGGAAGGATTAGAGCACGATGGAGAGTTCAAGTTGAGCAAAGATGGTTCAAAAGTACTCGTGAAGACCATTGATGGGGTGATTAGTTGTGGGAGGTTGAAATTTGAATGTTTTGGGGAAGAGGATGCAGCAACATTTATGAAGAGATTGAAGAAAAGGTCAGGAAATGATGAACAGATATTTTGCAAGGCCTGATTATTTTGCAAATATATTGGAATGGTTGTAGATAATACAGAAATGACAAAAAAGAATTCATTTTTTTTGTTCCAAAAATCTATGAGGTTGTTTTTTTCTTATACAGACGAACAGTATTACAAATTATCTATATCTTATGAAAGGAAAATACTCTTTTATATCTATATTGTTTCTCTATCGGCTACAAAAAAGTAGATAACAGAAAACAAACGAGTGTAAACAGAAAAGAAAAGAAAAACAGAATATTAGAGGATCGGAGAAACAGATTCAAGCAAGGAAATGGGAATAAAGAAAAAAAAACTAGCAGCAATATATTATTAATTAAACTGGACCAGAGGGGATCACCTGGGAAATACTTTTGTAGATAATGATTGATATGGCGAGTTGTGAAGTTGAAACGAAAGAAAAATACAAGCACTATTATGATTTACATATAGATATTTGACGCTTAATCCATCATGTCACAACACAATTCAAAAATACAGCAGCACAACAAACATTTCAAACATCCATTGTCATCCTTCTTTTCAGGTTGTTGTTGGACGTAGATGGTTTGAGGTGGTGGGGCTTGGGCATAACCACCATGAGGTGGGTAGCCTTGAGGTGGTGGGTAGCCTTGAGGTGGATAACCTTGTTGTGGTGGATAACCTTGTTGTGGTGGATAACCTTGTTGCTGTAATAGATATAATGTTAGTAATGGAGCATTGAAGAGAAATAGGGGGAAATCTGGAAATAGCAGACACCCATCAACAGGGTATAGAACAAAAAAACGGCGTGAAAAGATACACAATTGGCCATTCAATGGCCTTGTGTATTATCATAAGAAGCAAGCTTTGTGTTTAGGACCCACAGATACATACATAACTCATTGCGTGATTAATATTATTAGTATTCTTAATAATATTAAGAGTTTAATCAGAATAAATGACAAATCAGAGATATCCCAGGTTTTAAAAGGGAAAAAAAAACACCCAAAATCCCGTCTCTCATTTCTGGGCACCGCCAGCGTGTCACCCGGGCCTTCCACCGCCGAACATGACAACCACCAAAGAGGAAACAGAGAAAGGAGAGCAAGAAGAAGAAGAAGAAGAAGAAGAAGAGGAAGAAGAAGAAGAAGAAGAAGAAGAAGAAGAAGAAGAAGAAGAAGAAGAAGAAGAAGAAGAAGAAGAAGAAGAAGAAGAAGAAGAAGAAGAAGAAGAAGAAGAAGAAGAAGAAGAAGACGCTTTCCATATATTATACTGTCTACTTGAGAGCGTGCACATTACGTAATATAAATTCTGTACAGAAGTTCAAAAAAGGACTGTACCGAGATCTCCAATAAACCTCAAACAACGCAAACCTTCAACGGTTTTCCTTGTCTCGCAAATAACGTGAAAGGAAAAGAAAATCACCACTATATTACATCTATCGAGTTGTTTACACCTAATAGCAAACAATGAAAACTTTTATCCTCTTTATACATACGTTGTCAACGTACTATGCGCCTAGCGTTCAACATGAGTAACGCAACACGAAGTTACGGCACTCAACTGTCATTTGTACTTAAAACTAGTCTCAAAATAGTAGGCAGGAATATAATAAATGAAAGATTGGGATCTCTAGATCTCGTTCTACAATTTTTATGAACTGTCCACCTACTTTCATCTTAATCAAGTTACGCCCATCCACTTAGAAAAAAAAAATTTTTTACTGTTTTTACAATTGTAAAAATTTTTATTAATAATTAATAATGACTTGTTGAGGCAAAAAGAAAGAAATATTACCAACTAACATTACTAGTAATTAACCATCTTCTTACGTTATACATATAGACCCCAACATATAAGTACTCAAAAATAATATGAACTTACGGATCTCATAATACAAAAAAAAAAAAAAATCAATTATGGCAAATCAATATAAAAATATAAGGAATAGCAAACAATAAAATAACATGATCAACATGTTTCTTATCTATAAATAAATGAACAGCAAACATATTTAAGGGATCAGTGTAGATAAATATTTAAAAAATGAATAAAATTAGTGGTATTTTTTGAATTTTTTAGAAAAAGAAAAAAGCAAATTAAATATTAGAAAAAAGCTAAATCACATGGGCAGTACTCTTGTCGCGGAGACCGAACAATCAGGGTACGAACAGCTCCACTAGTGTTCCAAGATCTTCAAGTTACCAGTGATGACAACATTTTCCAAGATAGAACCATTTGGAATGTCAATTCTATCACCATCATTACAAACAATGATGACAGTACCCTTAAGAGTAACACCCTTACCCAAGTAAACATTACCAGTAATGGTCAAGTGATCCAATTCCAAAATCTTTGGCATGTGTGGAATTCTAGAGTTGAACTCAGAAACCTTCTTGAAGGACTTACCCAATTTGATCAATGGGTTACCGTCATAACGGTTTGGATCCAAGACAAGGGCACCGTGTTCCAAGTAAAACAAGTCGGACTTGACCAATAACAAATCGGAACAAGTCTTAACTGGCAAGAAACGAGAACGTGGAACAACAACACCATGAGCATTGTCGAAGAAACGAATTGCAGCACCAACAGCAGTTTCTAATTGCAACACTGGAACATCAGATTGACCGTCGTAGTTGATGGTCTTGGCATTTGGAATGATTTCCACTTCAATCTTGTTTTGTTCCACCAATCTCTTAATAGCCTTCAAGTTGATCCACAAGTTGTTGGTGTTAAAGTTCTTGAATTTCTTGATGGACTTGAACTCTTCAACATGTTCTTTTGGAACTTGAGCAACTTCCAACAAACGAACTTGGCCGTCGTAGTTAATCAAAGTACCACCCTTAACATCGGCTCTGGTCTTGTCAGCCAATTCCATGATATATTCAGCACCAGTTTCAATCATGTGGTTCAAAATCTTCATATCAACAGTGGCACCCAAGTTATCACCATTGGAAACAAACAAGATTTCCTTACCTTCGGCCAACAATTCATCCAACTTACCACTGCTGGTCAAACTTTCGAACAAGTCACCATGACCAGGTGGATACCAAGCACTAAGAGGGTCATCGACATTCTTTGGAACAGGCAACAAGGAGTCCTTGAAGACTCTTGGGAATTTGGATTGGTTAAAAGTCTTGATTTGGATTCTGTGACCAGAATATTTCTTAACAATGTGTTGGGTGTCAGAATCGGTGTTGAAGGAGTTCATCAACAACAATGGAACATCAGAATCGTAGTTACGGTTCAAGTGTTCAATTTGACGGACAGCCAAGTCCAAGAAAGTGTTACCGTCACGAACTTCAATGACCGACTTTGGACCAATGCAACCCATACTGGTACCAAGACCACCATTCAACTTAAGAACGGCCAACTTGGACAACAATTTTGAATTGTCAGGTGAAGATTCAGACAAAGAGTTGTATCTAATGACTTCTTCAGGGTTTGGGGATTTAATTTTATCCCAATCGACAGCGGTACCAGCGGCCTTGTCAGTCAAATAACGACGGAAAAGAGCAAAGAAAGAGTCCATTTGGCCTTCAAACTTGTCTTTAGCGGCATCGTCTTGAGAGATTGTGTCTGCCAACTTATTGAGATGGTTTCTCATTTGGGAGGCAGCAATAGAAGTTGTAGTGTTGTCAAATGCCTGTGGATGAATGTTAGCGAAAGATGATATGGGAAGGAAGAGGAATAGGAAGAGGAATAAAGTGAAAGAGCTTGTGGGAGAGCTATTAATACATACGTAAGCACTTTGAGACTTGTTGTGTTTTCTGGCAACAGAGGAAGACATTGTAAACGATAATATCTTTTATTGTGTCTTCTTTGGTTGGTGAAAGAAATGAAATCTGTGTTTGTGTCGATGAAAAATATCTCAACCTTAACAAGTTGGAAAAAATATCAAAAAAAAAAAAAGTCAACGTGTTTGATAACTAATGTGGAGTAATCTTACCAGGGTAACCCCTATTTGCGCAACACAGCTAAATCACTTGTTTTCCACAACATAATCGCTTATATGAATAGAATAGAATATCTAATGTAAAGTGGTGAAATGAAACACGTGTTCTTTTCTCCAATATTTCAATTCGACATAGATAGTATATAAATGCGGTGCAATATATTTGAACCCTTTAGTGTGGTGAGACATGATAGTATGCATGAACGGTGTAGAACTACTAGACCAAGGCAAGTAACTATACTGATCAGGGATAGTATTGGAGGCAAGATACATATCTACCTCTATAATTCTTACTTGTCTACTTATTTGTGCTATTTCAATTATAACCAATCGTGGCTGGCATGTTAGTGTACTATCTATTATATTACCGCACTATTGTGACATTGCAGAACGTGGCTTTTTGTTGAGTGTACCGCGTCTGTGGCACCATCCTGCCATCGCTGCCAGCATAAATTACGATCTGAAAGCCTAAGAAATCGTGCAGGTATTAGGGCCTAGCCGTGACTATCTTTTCATCTTATTATACTCATGTATTGGTTTTACTAATTTCATATAGACTCTTCGAATAGATAATAGATATTCCGAATTATTAACTACGAGCCTTGTGCTTCAACTGTGACATCCAACGATGGGGAACACCGTGCTTAATCAGCGCTGCACGTCAGTTTGCTGAATAAGGGGCTTATTGGCACTAAGAAATATCAATGTTAGCAACAAGTATCACAATAATTACCAAAAAAATTGTATAGCTTCTAATTACGCTCAATACAGTGTGCCCTTACTAATCTGAAAGGTCAACTCTTGTGCAATTTTGCTGCCACACGTGCGCTAAAAGATTATACAAAGATCAACAAAAAACAAGAGAATGACCTCACTTCGCAATACTAATCAACTGTATTTTATTCAGAAAATATATTATTTTTACCATTTTACTTAGATTCGTGATATTATTTCTCTTCATGGTTTAAGCATTTGCGTAAAATAGTTGAGCAGTTAATTTGGGTTAATATTTAGATATATAAAAAAAACACAAAAGAAAAAAAAGTTTTAGTGCTCCTTTTATAGTAAGATTATGAATAACAAACAAGATAATATAGGAAGTAACATGTGAAATTAAGTGACAATTAGGATAAAATAGAATATTGAAGATCAAAGAATATTCTTTATAGTATATGCATGTTACACTTTGTTACCTTTATTCTTTATTAATGCGTCTGAAGATACTGTCTCGGTTTCTTTGACTATCGAAAGGGTTGAACCTCGCTGAATCTTCAATTTTATACATTTCATACGTGAATTACTCGACAGATTTTTTTATGGCTCACATAAAGCTTTTAGCTGTAAGAACATTCAACATAATCCAAACTATTAAGTGTAATTAAAATCAAATGAACCAGCGCTATAGTCCTTACTTGGTTTTCACAGCACATCTAATGGTCATTCAGCACAAATTAAAACAAATCCGATTTAAAATTCAAAAAAAAAATATTTTTATATTATCTTCCGGAATTTGTTATAGTTCTGAGACAGACGTCCATAAAAATACGAGCTTCTTCGTTTTCTATCTTCTTTTCTATTATTTTTAAATATTGGTGCCTTACATTTTATATAGAACTCATACTTACTAAATCAATTTATTTTATTCCATCTGATATAACAGTGAGTAGTTCAAAATATAATATGGGCCCCTCAATCCGCCAGATACATTGTGAACCCCTTTATATTACAAAATTAAATAAAAACGAAGACCCATGTTTATATTTGTACCATATAGAGACTCTATTATTGAGGATATCTTCTTGTTATTATTATTGCCTCTAGCTACATACTATTATCTTCTTTATGTTTTACCCTTTATTATCTTTATCACCATAAATGACTATAAAACCAATTCAAAAACCAATTGAGAACGTGGTATAACAACTGAAAATTATTGCAGGGCCTGAGATCTGTGACAGCTAGTTGATTCAGGGTGAGAGAGGAGATGCTATGTTCAATGGTATGGCAATTTCAAGTAGAATGAAAAAAATAAAATAAAAAGTAATACTAAATACAATCAAATAAAACCATACCAGTTAAAATCAAATCAAATTGTATGTTGACCATACCAATTAAAATAGCGGGGCTCAAAACCCCATAAAGATTATACGGGCACATCAAAATTCATTCCACGTGATTCATAAGTGGCCGCGTGGTCTAGTGGTATGATTCTCGCTTTGGGTAGCGAACTTGAGCATCAACTCGAGTACAACATACACATGTATGCGAGAGGTCCAGGGTTCAATTCCCTGCTCGGCCCAAATATTTTTTATCCTCTTTTTCATCCCATATTTTTTTTTTTCACCTTTCCTAATCTGCGAACCCCACTTGGGGCGCAATTTTTTTTTTTTTTTTGTTTAAAATACTTGTTGGGTTCTCAGGTGAGGAGATGCAGAAGAGGAGAAGATCAGAGAGATACCAAATGGCAAAACACAAACACAATTATAATTGCCCATGTTTTTTTTTTTTTTTTTTCCTTCAATATGTAATATACCCCATATGAGGAGAAGGTAACGCTAATAAACAATATATATATAAGCTTGATCGAAGAACCATTTTCTTCTTTAGTTTTTCCGACTTGGGTTATCTACTGAGTGTTCATTAAATTATTGTCTTATCACCACATTAAATATTCTAATACACTATGGACGAAAGAGTCGATCCTATTATCGCCTTTATTCTTCTGATCATCAACAATTGCTGAGAAATGTCGTACCCACGCAAAGACGTTTAGGACAGGGTATTACAGGCTACGACCATTTGTCATTTATTATTGTTCGCGCTGGTTTCTTTTTTTTTCATTTATTTCTTCGTTTGGCTTTTCATTTCATATTATAGGTTGTTGGTACTTGGTTCTGGATTTCCATAGGTTCATTCTGGTGTTGTTTAAGCACACATCTACTTGTGTTTACTATTAATGGATATTAGTTTCTTAATTGTTATTGCTTTTTATTATTAACATTTAATTTTTTATTTATTTTGGTTCGGATTTAGTTATTTAATTGATGCTTTGCCATCTCAGTCAATTTGTGGTACAGTTTTTCTCGTAAAAGAAAAAAAAAAAGTCCGAGTCCCCGACTCCGAAATAGTCGGATCATCTATCTGGCTACATGATTATTCACATTCGACAAACACTACACAGTACAGTAACTACACTTGTGACGGGAATAAAACACAATAATTAGAAGTAGAAAATATAGTAAAATAATATATAGCAACCATATACACAACAACAACAACAACAAACAACGCAATAAAACAGCAATCATCTAGATCATGTCAACTCTTTTCAAACCCCCGATGACTTCATCCATCATAACTTGTTTGTCCTTTCCACTAGGATCAAGCACTATGGCCGTACCTTTTTGGTTGACTCTATCGCCATCTATCAACAATTCCTCTCCCGCTGGGGCCTCCAAGATCTTAAATTGCAGATCAACCATGTTTGGCTTCATGTAATGGTTTTTTCTGGCCGCCACTCTGGCTCTGCTATCCTCGATAGAAATATTGATGAAAATGTAAACCACCTTGATATTCACGCCATGCGAGAGCTTGGAAACTTCCTCAGCAATATGATCACGGTATTTCTTCTTCAAGGCGGAGCACCCAACAATTGCATACTTTGTGGTTTTATGTGTTGTTTGTTCGCCTGATGGAAGCATTAGTTTCTCGAAAGAAATATCAGCGATTTTAGTCAACCAGCCCCATCTGTCGTCATCAGTAAGTGGAATGCCTTCGCTCATTTTTCTCACATTCTATAATAAGCACTGTTAGTATTCTTCCTAAAAATACAAAGAAATGACCTGATGATGATGATGATGTAAATTACTTACCTCTGCAGGATGAACGTCATCACCTTCGATAAATGGGATACCCAAATATTCTGCCAACCCTTCACTAATCGAGCTCTTTCCTGTAAACGAAGAAAATTCATGTTAGTAAGGTGCTTTTGGGAGAGGAAAGGGGGAAAAGAGAAAAAAATTGGGGTTGCTTGTTGGGCCGGCTTTGCTGAATCATCATCCTATTGTAATATGGTATATAGCCAATTCTCAATATCCTTCGTCTCTATCAGACGAAGATCAGAAAAAAAAGAGTTTAATAACTCATTGGAAGCACCATCTTTCTGATTTTTGTAAAGATCACACGACTAAGCCTCTAAGAATTACAACCATCAATAACACAATTCGAACAAAACTAGTCAAAAAAGGAAAACAAAAACAAAAGAGAGAAAAAAAAAAAAGGAAACCAGAATGATACTTACCACAACCACAAGGACCACCAACCACGAAAATATAGCCGTCATTATTATTTGTTGCTACCACAGTCATTGTCAAAATAAAAAATGTTAATCAACTTCTAAAACTGTTACAGTATCAAGGACAATTAAAAAAACACTAACACAAAAAACCAAAAAAAGAAAAAGAGAAGAAAAAACCCTGCAATAAATTGAGAATACAAAATATTATCGCTTTCTTTTTATAACGTAAGAAGAATAAGTTTTTTTCCGATGATTGTAAACATTTATAATTTTTTTTCTCTTTTCCTCAATCGCAAGAAAATCTGGGGAAACCGCGAAAAAATCTTGGAGGGGTGTGTCATCGGCTATCAAATAGACTAACCACCCCACGATCACCGAGTGTGTTTAGTATATAACACAGGGCTCTTTATTCAAGGGCACATATAAGCTACTTATCTACAACTGTGAAACATTTATGAAGGTTGTAGACTGGACCGCTTATTATTGGTGATAATCCTTCGTTGTCAAATCAACAACAAGGGACTCCATCGGAGTTTGCCAAGAGTTCACCGTAATTCTGGTGACGCGGGCTTTAAATCTCAGATATGCTTGGTAGTTTCTGTATTAAAATGTGAACTTTTTGGTATGGGTCAAGATTTACCACTTGGACGTTAGAGCTCTATGGTAACATCATTAGACACTGGCTTCGTTCCCCTATACAATACTGAAACTTACATATATCTCAATATTCGTAATCAATGATGATGAATTTTAATGAACTAATGATAATTGCTTTACAAATAAAATGAATGAATGAAAAAAAAAAAAAAAAAAAAAAGATGATAGGAACAGAATTAATACAACTGATATTTTTTTTTTCTTTAAAGGCAAAATAAAAAAAAATAAATAAAAAAAAAAACAAAAAATAAGAAACATCGCATCACACTACCCAATAAATTCACAGGAACTTTCATACATTTAACGTCTATTATTACGCTTGCTCTTTCCTGGTCTCTTGGTCTTCTTATTTCTGTTACCTCCGTCTTGTTGATCACCTCTACCTTGACCACCGGCTCTTCTTTTTCTCTTTCTGTCATTCCATTCATCCTTGGCAGCATTATTTTCTTCAATGGCGATTTCAAACTCATCATCGTCCATGGCCTTGGCACCATCCTTTCTCTTCTTTCTGAATTCTTTGATTTTGTCTAAAGTTTCACGCTTTTGCTTTTGTCTTTCTTGCAAAGTGGCAATTTGAACCTTCTTACCAAACTTCTTCAACAATCTTTGCTTTTTGGCTTCCTCACTCTGCTTGGTGGCGGTAGCTTCCTTCATAAGTTTCTGCTTCAATTTATCCATATGTTCATCACTCTTCACCATTTCAGCAAAGTAGTCGGCTGGACGAGAGAATGGAACCTTCAAACCAATAAGGGTTGTACGAGCTTCCTTAGTAGCCGCAAGACCTTGTTTGTAAAATGCCAATTCACGTTCAGTATCATCGTAAATATCAATGATGCCAGCAGAAGTTGGTTCTTCACTAGTGACGGATTGATGTTGAATAAAAGAATGTGATGACCATGGGAGCTTGATACGGTTGTATGAGTCTTCAAGAGCAGCAGTCTTGTTAATGGTAACTTTTGTGTGAGGAACAATATCGGCGTCTGAGTCGAATTCGACATCGGAATATGCGACATCTTTTTCTTCTTCTTCTTCTTCTTCTTCTTCTTCTTCTTCTTCTTCTTCATCATCATCATCATCTTCTTCGTCATCATCAATTTCAGATTCATTATCACTCTTTGTAAGAGCATCATAGTCCAATCCTTCTTGTTCTTCAGCATCCTCATCGTCATCCTCATGATCCACAGCCACTACTGCAGCAAAATCTTTCTGGTATTCATCCTCTAAGGATTCAACTCTGATACGTGGTTCAGTTTCTTCTTCTTCGCCTTCTTCTTCTTCTTGTTGCTCGTCATTTTCTTGTTTCTTTTTCAATTCTTTCAATTGCTTCTTTTTGTCACGTCTAGCCTCCTTCTTTTCCATTTTTTCCAACTTCTTCAATTGTTTCTTGGTATCCTTGTCTCCATTCTTTTTGATACTTTCCCTTGAGACAGAACTCAAATCAGTAATGACATCGGCTTCTTCCTTCTTGTCATTATTTGATTTAACTGGAGTAGAATTATTCGATTTTGATTTTGTAGGCGTTTGGGAGACTTCCTCCTTGGCTTTACGAATCGCAAGTCTTTCCTTCAACTTTGGCTTCACCATTTTCTAATATTGTTTAATATCTCACTTGTGGATGAAATCTTTTAATATCAAGCGATGAGGGAAGAGTGATAAAAAAAAAACCATCATATAAAATTTTTTTTTTTTTCCACAAAATTTTCGCTTACCCTGATGGCCAGAAAAAAAAAAAAAATGCCAGCGGTGCCAGCCCCGCGGGTGCATAACAGATGGATTAATTACAATACAGAACAGATAATTGATCTATCAAATTTACTAGAATATATAATGCATGGAAAAATATATACATATTTAAGCAGTTCCAAGGTTATCTATACCTTTACCGAGCTCTTCCAATTCATCTTCCACGGATTTTTCAGCAGGTTTCGATGGAGTTTCTGGAGTTTCATCGGGTTTTTTTGGCTCATCCGATAAAGCATTCATTACCCATTCTGTCCATTGTTTGACCACTGGTTTTTGGTTTGGAACATAATGACCACCTGGATGCTTGAAGACGGTGGCGGTACCTGGTTTGGTATATTTCTCAACGAATTCCATCGATCTATCGTTACCAACAACGGTATCTTGTTCCCCCATGACGTGTAAAGTTGGGATTTCGATCTTGTTGGCCAAGTACTTTTCGTTAACTGGGAGGTTTTTCGTTACGTATCCGCTGAAGTAAACGGCAAACTTCACTGGTTTGGTGTTACCGAGTGATTCCATGTTATTAGTGATCAATTGGGCGAACGCAGCCCCTTGAGAAAAACCCAAGATCCCATCGAATGGCCCGTGCTCTTTAATATAACTCTTGACGGTTTCAATGGCTGGGTCGATGTTGAAGTCATCGATATTGTACCACCATGATTTGAAATCGTTACCATCAGCCCCAAGACCAGAGGCGTCGAATGGCAAATCTTCTGCGGTCAAGTTGACTGGGCCATCAAGATAAAGGGTTTCGATTTTCGATTTCTTGAGCATCTTACGGAACCCAGACGATTTGGCAGAGAACACTGGGCCGGTTTGGGCAAAACCGTGAAGACAAAGGACTCTTGTTGGGACGGCGGTGGCAGACATGACTATGGTATGGTATGGTAGGGAGTGTACTGTTAATGGTTGCAAGAAGGACCGTGTGGTAAGCGAAACGGAAATGATTTGAATTTATACCCCATTCGGTGTTAAGCTCACGCCGCCGTGGAAAAAAGAAAAGAAAAAAGCACCGCGTGGGAGCCAGCAGTTTGGTACCAGCAATGGAGATTCTCCGAGGGACCGTCGCTACGATTATATTGTTATTGTTCTTGTTATTGCTACTAGTAGAAGGAAGCACTTGTTGGCCGATCGTTTGCAGATGTTATTCCTAATCTCTCGCCCAGCAGGTTGTCTGTGACGGTTTGCTCCTCCAACAGACCGTTGGATCTGGAGTTCCCAATGCCCAGCATATTCATCCATCGACATCCACCACCGACTGCTGGAGGACATTGGTAACACTTAGCGATAAATAGCGACAATCCTCCCCCACCAATACCAATGGCAGAGTATTGTTGAGCTATTTGTGGTCCCAGCCATCACGCCAAAAAAAAAAAAAAAAAAAAATAAAGCCTTCTGCTTACTAATGCTTGGTATGATTTCTATATATACGGGAGGTTCTTCTCTTCTCTTCCTCTACACTGTGGTGAAATAAATCAGTAAAAAACGGTTGCAAAGGCAAGCAGGAATTTAATAATTCTCCCCAATAACAAAACAAGGAAAACATTGTTATTCGCCTGTTGTGTGCGTCGTCGCTTTATCGATTATCGGTCACACCTTGCAATTTTTTTTTTTTTTTTTCTTCTTTTCTGCTGCTGCTGCCGCCGCTGCCTATCTTTTTTATCTTAAGGAGAAAGAAAGACAAACACAGGAAAAAAATTTTTTTTTTTTTTTTTTTTATTATTAGTAAGAGTCACTTCTTACGAGGAATCATCCCATTTCAAACCACAAGAAACCACATTATTTCCTTTCTCGGGGGTTTCTCATTAGATCCTTATCATTGAAAATAATATATCATGGGCTTATTGTACGTATCTTTCTCACTGTCTCACTACTGCCTTCTACACCCCTTGATGATCGATCCCGTTTATTTGGCCGACTTCCTCGAGGTCACATTGTATTTCACAATACTAACAAACCCTTAAGATCTCTTGGAACTCCTTTGAGCTTCACCGAGGGCGAGAAACACGTCGAACATGTCCATACCCGTGGAATTGCCGATCTCATTAAATCATTCAAGATCAATTATGACCGTTCCAATGAGAAATTCTTGTGGGGCGATGAGTTGGAATACATGCTCATTAATTTCAACCGTGAAAAGAAGACCGCCACCCTTGATGTCGAGCATGATTACATTTTATCCAATTTCGACGAAGGTACCGAAAAATATAAAACCAAATGTGTCCCGAACGATATCTTGTACCACCCAGAATACGGCCGTTTCATGGTCGAAGCCACCCCTCTTAGACCATACGATGGCGATTCGATCAGCGACTTCCTATACGTCGAAAAAAACATGGCTGCCAGAAGAAAAATCATGATTGACGAGATCATTGACGTTGACGGGGACACTACAAATACACACCAGGAAGTGATACCGTTATCGATTACCGCGTTCCCAATCATGGGTACCAAGGAATTCACTAACAAGGTATACGAGGCCAATGGCCAAGCTTCCCACTCTTTGTTTTTGCCAGATCAAATCATCAACCGCCACGCAAGATTCCCAACCCTTACTAAGAACATTCGTACCAGAAGAGGATCAAAAGTCGCCATCAATGTCCCAATTTACCCCGACACCCACACCCAACCCCTTGACGAAATCGACCATAACATTCCTAAACGTGATCTATTCTTTGAGGATAGCGAACCATTTTTAGGAGCCGCTAAACCCGGCCATATTTATATGGATTCCATGGGGTTCGGAATGGGTTGCTCATGCTTGCAAGTCACCATGCAAGCCCCAAATATTGACGCTTCTCGTTATTTATATGATAGTTTGTTGCCAATCACCCCGATTCTATTGTCATTATCTGCCGCCACCCCGATTTTCAAAGGTACTTTAGCTGACCAAGACGTACGATGGAATGTGATTTCCAACGCTGTCGATGATAGAACTCCATTGGAGCGCGACGTTAAACCAATGGAAAACCATCAAGATATTGGAGGAGTTCGTCCAGACAGACGCGATAACTTACAACCAATTGACAAATCAAGATACGATTCGATTAGTTCTTATTTGGGTGATTATGATCACGAAACTAAAAGTTACAAGAATTTCAAAAAATCTTTTAATGACCTTCCATTACCAATCAACCAATCGGTTTTGGACAGATTAACCAAAGAGTCTGATTATTTTGATGAAGTCATGGCCCAACATTTTGCTCATTTATTCATTCGTGACCCGCTTGTGGTTTTCTCAGAAAAAATTACCGATGGTGATAGCTATAACGATGATCATTTCCAAAATATCCAATCGACTAATTGGCAAACTCTTAGATTCAAACCGCCAACCGCTCACCATCATGGTTGTTTGAGTGACACTCCAGGGTGGCGTGTGGAATTCCGTCCTTTGGAAATTCAAATCACCGATTTTGAAAACGCTGCTTATTCGGTGTTTTTGATTCTTTTATCCAAAGCGATCCTCAAATATAAACCAAATTTCTATATTCCAATTTCCTTGATTGATGAAAACATGATCACCGCTCACAAGAGAAACAGTTTAGGTGATGATAAATTCTGGTACAGATTCAAGGATTCCAACGATTGGGATAGACTTTCCATTAACGAAATTATCAATGGTAATTCACAATTCATTGGTCTCATCCCATTAGTCGAGAAATATGTGAGTTTGACTTTCAATGATGTTGCTGATGCCCAACAACTTGAAGCTGTGTCGTTTTATTTGAAACTTATTGCGTATCGTGCATCTGGGAAGATCCCAACTTTGGCAAGCTACATTAGACAATTCGTTATGCAACATCCAGATTACAAGCACGATTCTATCGTGAGCCACGACATCAATTACGATTTGTTATGTCATTTGAGAGGCATTGGTGACTATCGTGATGAAAAAGCATTGGTTGGGTTGTTTGGCGAGGAAATTGGCGAATATTTAATTAATAATAGAAAAAAGAGAAGGTAATAGGAATTGAGGCTTTTTTTCTCTCTCTTTCTTTCCTCTCTTCAGAAAATTAAAAAAAGAAAAAGAAAATATAAATAGGATTAATAATAATAATAATAATAATAATGGAGAGGACGCTTTTTTTTGCTTGTTTGCTTGTTTGCTTGTTTACTTGTTTGTTTGTGTGTTTTGCCTTGCTTTTGTTTTTTGTTTTTTTTAGACACTCATTATCTTTATACTTTTTGTATATTGAGAAGCTTTAATTTTTTTTCTTCTTCTTATTGTATTGGACTCACTTATTTCAATTTAACAACCAAAAAGTTTTCATTCATTCATCACATTCCAGGGATCTTAGTAATCATTTTGGGAAACTAGACGGGAAATGAAGTAAAATTGTATTACCGTGGAAAAGAACTGTGTATAATGTCATAACTCACCATTGTTTTTATTATTGATTATGTTTCACTATTTCAAAGTTGCACACTTATTATAGATTAGACAAATGTATAGATAAGGAATAACGTCATTACAAAAAAAAGAAAAGAAAAGATGTGTTTCTATAAATAAAAAGGGCAAATCAGATTCATAATTAGGAGTATAATAATATCGTAAAATAATAGTGAATTGAAAAAAGAAAAAAAAAGAAAAAAAAAAAAGATTAGGAACTAATACCAAGGAAGCAAAAATAAAGATTAAAAAAGGGATAGTAAGAGTAGGTTTCTAGGATTTTAAAACTTGTATGTATGAAAAAAAAAAAAAAAAGGGAGATCACTTTTCAGCCCTCAAAAATTGAGAATAGAAAGAATCGAGAGAAATGAAAGAATTGAAAGAATAGAATGAATGTAATATTCAGCGGGGTTTTTTTTTTTGAGAGTTCTATTTGACTTATTGATAGTAAGCCAGAAAATAGCAGACTAGTTCTGAAATGTTTCTTTTGAACAAAATCAATGCTTCTGCTTTTGCATAAGATTCTTAATTCTGAGCCAACCTCCGATTTTCTTATTAAGTGGAGGTTTAGGCGAATAGGAAGATTCAGTGCCGATGACCCCACATGGGCATTTCACCGGAACCGCGGGCATTGCAGAAGAGGCCTTTGATGTTGAAGAAAGTGGGGATGTAGTTGATTTTGATTTAGCGGAGTTATTATCGGCGCTTTCAAAGGATGATGAGGATAAAGGAGCTTTTGAGGATCTTGAAGTTTGTGACAGGTTAGGACGAGTTCTAGGGGCGCTTGTAGAATCTTTGGTAAACTGCTCAATACTATCTATGGTACTAGTGTCTGATTTCGGAATATTTTCCGTCTTGATCTTTGTTGGTTTATCCAGTAGATTACTAGATATCAAGGAAAGATCACCAGTCTTTGACGCCGATGATATATTTTCTGTTGACGGTGGTGTATTTTCTGGTTTTGCTAATTTCTGATGTTTCTCTTGTTTTCCTAGGTTCTTAGAAAACTCCTTAATAAATGGGTTATAGATATTATCCCGAAGGATTTCTACCACCGAATCCTTAGCCGGAACAAGCACCAGGGGCGAGTGATACCACACGTCTTGATTTTTATTTTCTGATTGAATGTTATCTAGCACATCTTGGGGTAAGTTTATTTGATGAGGGGCATCCTCATTGACAAAAGTATCCATAAGGCTTTCCCATTTTTCGATTAATAACCCTCTGACCCTATCAACTAGTTTATCGTTGAGATTAGGATTCACTGGGTTAGATGGCGAAGTCGGTGTTGCTTGATCACATGGGCATAGAAGTTGATTATCACCGGCGCCACATAATGGATCAATTTCTTCGATAATGTTGATTTGCGTTGGTGGTAAAACATCTTTTGAAGAAGGGTTTGGCGTCTCATTAATTTTAGAATTGTCGAATTTTTTCGCAAATTCATAATCCCAATCATTCGATAATTCCGAATTATATCCGCCATGATTGATCTCGGAATTTACTAACGCAATGTCAACGATTGATGACACATCAAAACTGCCCTTCATGTTCAGAAACGCATCAATTATTGCGGAAGACTTGCCAGAGATAGCGGATAGCTTGTTTGAATCAATTGATGAGGCAATTGATGATTTTTGAACCAGCGGGTGCGAATGTGATGATACAACCAGCTTTTTCTGGGGATACATCGCAATATTGATGTTGTTTAGCTCTGGCAATTTGCACTTCAAGATACTGAACCTTCTATCAGCAAAGCAAACGTTCCAAATCTTTTCGTAGTTGTAGATTTCAATAAGAAATTCCAAGTTTTCCTCACAACGGTATTTCAATACAAACTGCTTGAATTTTTTCGATATTTCAATCAAATTTTGGACCCTGTCAAGTAGGAGTTGGTCATGGGAATTTATGGTTTTAGTTTCCAGAATTGTCGAGTTCGAACGAGAAGGATTGATTTTCTCCAATGAGCCATCTGAAGTCTGAACTTTCAATACTAATGAAGGCGGCTTGTTATTCCCATCGGTGTTATTGTCTTGTGAATTTAGACGAAAATGCTTGAAGCTGTCATTGATACTTTCTGAAGGCGCTAGGAATTTCAAACCCGCGACATTGGACACGGGATCTTTCTTTTTTGATAAATATTGGGCGAGTAGCTTGGGATAATCTTTTGTTGTGTGTGCACTGTCGTTGTTTATTAAGGTCAAATAACTCCTAAAGTCTCGTTCGTTTATACCGTCAAGAATATAGCAGCAGTTGACGAGTTCTTCCAAGGTGAATTTAATACCGGGCCGCTGCTTAGTGGTATCGCCTGCCATACTATTCTTTTTTTTTTTTTTGGATTGGTGCAATCTCAAATGTGATGGGATTGGCCTTGGATGTTTGTTTGTCAATAACAATAAGATCGTTGCTTGGAAAGAATCCCCGTGATTCCAACTAATAATTTTATTTCATGTGGAGGGGAGGAGGAGGGAGTGAATGAAAGAAGGATGAACGCTCGTGACTCAATAGGGAAAAAATACGAGACTGCGCTATGTCCGCGATTGTTAGTAATAACCACTAATGGTACGTTATTATGGATCGCTGCTCCTTTTTGTTTGCCAGCTTTTTTTTTTTTTTTTTTATTATTTTGTTTAATCGTAATTAGTTACTGATATTCTATAATTACTTGTTGGTGGTTGTTAGGGGGCCGTACTGCTCGAGGTTTTTCAATTGCCAAATACACCGGAGCTCACAAACGGCAATTTAATTGAATAGAGAAATACGAATCTGTCAGATGAGTGCGAGGCTGAAACTGGTATCTTGTTAATATATGATGGCTGGAATGTTCCATGATAAAACTGAAATGTAGAAACAGTTTTTGGGGAATTGTAGATATTCTGAATTTGGCGTACTTAATTTGCAAAAAAAAAGTACGACATGATTCAAAACACACCTGGTGAAATATCGACATGGATGGAGACCTCTCTTCTGATCTTCCAAATAAAAAACAGATTGAGGTTAAGGAAATTGAAAGTTCAAAGTTAAAATCCAATGCAAAAACCTACCGAACAAGTTCAGTGTGTTTTAGAACCAATATAATACGTTCAAGACACTAAATAAGGAAGAGAGAGAAGGAAGAACACTCACAACTTTGGCTATGAAAATTTTATTAATATCTGGGAAGCTATCAGAAATAAAAAGAAAAAGTGAGGAAAAAGCCTGTCATATATATAAGAAGTCCCAGTGGTTTTTTCCTTCTAATTTTCTCTCTTTTTAACACCATCTTCATTATAATACATACTCTGTGGGGTTTATATCATCATCAACATCAAAATATTATATATATAATGTTTCCAAAAAGAGGCCTTAGCATCAATGATCTTTTGAACCCTAGTGATCAGTCCAGAGGAAACAGGAATGGATCGATGCTGCCATTAAATTCAAGATCAAAGAACAGAAGAAATTCCTCCCAATCTTCAAATAGCTCACAGAGCAATGGCCATCAGAATCCTGCTAATTTGCAAGCTTTCACACAAATGCAAGTCAATGATCCTTTCGGTCTTCCCATCGAATTTGCCATTCCAACAAATCAAAGATTCACAGGGAAATATCCCTTGTGGAGCGCCTACCAACGAAATACTAGCAATCCTAACCCAGGATGGCTTCCTAATGATACCACCCTTCTGGATTTTGCATCTTCTTTCCAAGTGAACTCTAACCCCCCAGCACCCCAAATGTCATATCCTCCTGGTGGTGGTGGGTCATCCCAAATGTCATATACCAATGCATCGCAGCGAGTACCATACAATATGATGGCCCAAAAGACAGTCTATAATCATAATAATAGTTTCCCTGAACAACCCCTGCCAATCTACAATAATAATTTTCCCCAGCAGATAACTTATGATTCTCTACAATCGACCCCTTTTCGGAAGAATTGTATGATGTGTCGTCGGACTTTTACTAGCAAAGAAGCTTATGAAAGACATCTCCCGAGCCATCAAGTGTTCGTTTGCCCGTTTCCTAACTGTAACGCTAAGTATTTCCAGCTTGAGCCTTGCAAAGCCCATTACGCTAAGCATTTCAGATGATTGGGTTTTGCCAAATTAGCTATTGTTCTAATATATTAGTATCAATGAATTAGTTTCATTTGTAAGAGAAAGAAAAGGTAGAAATGGGTTATTTACAACTGGAAATTCAAACACCGCCGCTGCTTCTTAACTTCAGAATTTCAGAACATGTGCCTACAGTTTAGACCACCGTCAGAAATGAAGGGAAGCACCACAAGACAAAAAAAAGCAAAAAAAAAGGGGGAGGGGAGGAATATTGTTGGATATATCTACTATAGGCCTCAAAGAAATACTATCACCATAATTCTCATGGCTTTACTTTTCCCATGTCTATTTACCGACCCCTTTACAGCCACTACAGCTTTGACAGTTTTCTTTTTCTTTTTTTCTTTTTGTGTGTACACATATATCCCCACTTACCGTTGGCAGACAGGAGCCAGATACCACCACACCCAAAGCTATATAATCATAACATTGGAAATTATTATTATTATAATAATAATAATATATGAACAATTCCACCATTCCCATCCGTCACATATAATAATAATATAACCAATCACCCGGCTGGTGCTTATCCTCCCTTCCTCCCACCAGCGCCCCAAACCAATTTTTTTCTTTTAGCGCCAAAAATTTCTACGTTTTGGGAATAGGGGAGTTTATTAGCCCGAGATTTAAAACACTGGGCGCTTCTGCTACTTTTTTTATTTTTTTTTTCTTCCTTCCTTCTCTCTCGCTGCTTTGTATTCTTAATCTCTCTTTCTCTCTTTCGTGGTATCCCTTGTTTTTTTTTTTTTTTTTAAAACTCCTGGCAATAATTTGTGTGTTGACACTCCAAAATAACCAATACCAAGATGGAACACCAAGTAGAAGTTGATTATGTCAAGGTGTTTTTGAGCAACTCTGATTTATTCAAAAGAGATGATAGTGGGCTAGGTGATGGATGTGTGTCTTGTGACGATAGTGCCCTTCTGTGCAATTGTAAGGTTGGCCAAACATGCAAGATGACAATCAGAACATGTACCAACTGTGCTTATTACAAATGTATCAGTGCTTCTAAAAATGTCGGAGGAATTGTCGGGGGGATTATTGGTGGTACAGTATTCCTCGCACTAATAGTAGCGTATATTGTTTGGAATCACAAAAAACAAAAAAGATCAAACCGTTTCTTGAAATTGGAAGCCCAAGATAAGGAACTTATGGAAGTCATTGAAGGCGGGGAATATAAAGATAATAATGGCATCAAGATGGATACTCTTGATCGAAAGTTTAGAGACAATATGGAGACCCCACCACAGTTCAGCAAAAGCCCTGGTGAAAGCTATTTTGGTGATAAGAGCCCGAGATTTTCCAGAAAATCCGGGAGAAGAGCTTCCAATTACAGAAATTCCACCAACACATTCACCAGTTTGGCCACTTCTGCGTTGTCCAGAGCCTCAAATATTATTCCTATTGCTTATGTTCCAGGGGTGAAGGTGAGAAGCACCTCCACTTTGATGAACAATAGACTGATTGTGGATGATGTTCAATCGCTTGATTCGAGAGTCAATACCACTATTGGTACTCCTTTGTCAACCACCACCGCAGTTAGAGCAGTGCCAAAATTGGTCGATGTCGGTAAGAAAGCATCAGTGAAAAAGGATGATGTTATTTATGAAGATGAAGATGAAGATTACGCCGATGATAGAACCGATTCCGCCTCATACACATCTAGTGAAGGGTACCGCAAAAACAATCCTAGCTTGAAGACCTTGACCAAGAGCGAAGAATTGCGTAAAAATAGAGCTTCAATCCCAGGATTGACCCATATCATGGAAGAACAACAGGATGATAATAGTGCATTCAATGAGTTGATATCTCTTGGAACTGACTCCGAAGAAGAAGAGGAAGTTATCAAAGAGATTACTCGTGGTAACACCCCTGTCTTGGTCAAATATAATAAATCTACAAATAGACCTAGCTCAAGAATATTGGAGGTTGAAAACGATAAGAATCCAATAAATCCATTTGATGATGAATATGAATATAAAAACTGAAGTTTCTTTGTTTGTTTGGCCTTCATAAAATTCTTTATATTTTCCTTTTCTTTCTTTTCTATACAGTTCCCATTTGGTTTACTCTTCACACGTTTCTGTTATAAGTTTCACTTTCCTTTCTAATTTTTGTTACCTTCTTTTGTTCTTTGTTTGTTTTTAAACTTTACTTTCAATTTATTCGTTTTCCGTTTCCTTATACTAGATGGCCCCCCCTTTTTTTTTCTCTCTCTTTAATTATATACATCATTGAAAGGTTCAGCTTTTCATTAGAAGCACAAGTTTCACTTTTTTTTTCTGGAATTACACATTACACCGGCAACAATTATACTATTCTTTACAGTGATTTGCTTTCTGTAAAATTTAAAAAGTGTTACGCAAAATATAAATACTAACGACAATTAATTTCACTGTTCATCTGATAACTCAATATATACAAGTTTTGATACAAAACAAATTATACCCAATCATCTACCCTTTCTAACATAATACATAAAAGCTCTTTGGTGTGTTTCAATACTGAATGGTGAGATAACTTCAGATTCACCAGGTCTGGCAACTGGATCTCTCAAATAAACCGCATGACATGTGTTGAAAGAAATTTCCAAATGGTGTGGCAATATAGCAAACGCACCCAAGAAAGCTCTTGGCTCCCATGGGGTGAAGTAGCCCTTATTTGGAATTTGTCTACCGTACAAATGCTTCTGGAATGGCAAGTTGATCTTCACTTGGTTTTCTTTTTCTTCAGAGTATTCCTTACCGATTATTGATTCATGTCTTTGTTTGGCAAGATTTGAAAGAACCTGTTTTTTCACTTCAGGAGGAATTGTGTCCTTAATTGAGTTAATATCATTTAAAGTACGGGTGATCTCCAATGCTAATTGTTTAATCCCTTTAACGGTCTTGGAGTCTTGGATCTTCAAGAGATCGCCAACAATCTTGTTAAATTCTTCATGTGATTTTCCAAAGAATTGTTTTGGGTTACCTTTGTAGTGTTCGTTGATTATAAGTTTGTACATCTTCAATAATTTTTCGCTGATTTCTTCATCCCCACCGTACTTGGACCCGTATATACTTGAAGTCAATTGAATTGGCTCTTGAGATACTGCGGCAGCAGCATCATCAGCAGCAGCTGCTTTTTCTTCCATGATTTTCTGTTCGGCAGTGACCCCAATAGACAAAGCATCGACAATGACTGCTTCTCTCATAGATCCATTGTTGGATTTAACCGATTCAAGTAGCTTAACTCTTTCGGCTTTCTTTAATTTGTCCACGTAATTCTTGACATAAGCATCGCCTTTTTTAGGGTTATTCAAAATTTCTTTAATATGCTTATTCCATCTGATAATTTGTCCCTCTGTGATTTTCAAACTGTTTTCAAAACTTGGCTTACCTTTACCCAAGGCCTCCAACACTTTTTCTGGGTCACAAGAAAACACATCACCAGGTTGCAATTCATAACCAGGAGATTTTATCTTGACGCCATTCACCTTGACATAACCGTGTAAAACATATTGTCTAGCTTGTCTTACTGATGAGGCAAACATGGCTCTGAATAGAGCGGTGTCCAATCTTTTTTCCAACACCGCAAAAGTTTGCAATTGGAGTGGGGTAGGAGGAATCACTTTACCTTGTTCGATTTTTTCAATGGAGTCCAACTGAGCAACAGACGACAAGTTTGGGTTGAAAGTGGTTTGCCATCTGGATTCAGTGAGATGTTCCCCATGATAAGCTCTGGTCTCCGCCTTGGCTGTCCATTTTTGTTGATATAATGTTAACGAACCGAACCTTGGTACGGCCTTCTTGTACAAGTTGAAGAGATTGTACTTGTTCATTGAAGCACGAACCAGCCCTCTAACGAGGGAGTTCAAGTTCTTTGCTTTTCTGGGCATTTTTTCGTTGTATATATGAAACCACAATCACCAAATGGTTGTACACTATTGATTACTTGATTTCACTCCAAAAAAATTTCGTTGAAAAAAAAAAAAAAAAAAAAAAACTCGCTGTGTGGTTCACATATTACCCGGTGTAATGGACTACACACTGTAAATAACACCGTAGGATTATATCTGTGAAATATCGATAGAATCTCCAGTGTTTGGGTGCAATTGTCATGGTAAATAGTGATTTATGATTGGAGCGCAGTGATTTTATTTTTCAATACATATATATAAAAGTTGCCCATTTATTGTGTTTTGATCTTGTAGAATGTATATAACGCATAAGACAACCTATACTCAATCATTCCAAAATAAATTGGGAAAATTTAGGAAACATCGTAACAAACATTTATTCATCTATTGCATATTCCATTCTTATTATCACTATTATTATTATCATCATCATTATACATCTACTTCTGTCCTATCTGGCGACCACTTTCCCCAGGATTGTTGACACCTGCACGTGACCAAAACAGGGCATAATCTTAAATTGTTACAATAATTGAACATTTCTAAATAAAATATCCGTTGTTCTACAAAAAAGGGGACCACCAGTTAAAGATAAACTGAAAAAATAGGCGGCCTTCCAATATAAAATATTTACATAAGGCAAATAATAATATTCTCTGCCCTCAAAGTTATACACCAATATCGATACAATATACAATGTTCGGGTTCGGAAGGAAAAAGGAAGACAAGCAAGACGTCGATAAAAAGAATGTCAACCTTGTGGAACGAAGAGTCCCTTTTGAGCATCCGTCGGATGACATCAGTCCTCCTGCTGAGAAGCCATTGACCAAAGAACAACAAGAAAAATATATATTGGTTCTCAAACACTTCCTTACCGTCAAGGAAATCAGTGATGTTGAAAAAAAAACCGCATCTTCCACTTCGTCCCCGTTGACAGAGATTGAAAAAGCCTGGTTGACCCGCGAATGTTTCCTTCGTTACTTGCGTGCCACTAAATGGATTGTCCAAGATGCCATCGATAGAATTGAAGGCACTTTATCCTGGCGTAGAGAATTCGGGATCAGCAAAATTGGTGCCGACAACACAGTTAATGCCGAGCTAACCGCTCCAGAAAACGAGACCGGCAAAGAGTTGATCTTGGGGTTTGATAACGGTGCACGCCCATGTCTCTATTTGAAACCAGGGCGTCAAAATACTGCCACTTCCCATCGTCAAGTTCAACACTTGGTGTTCATGTTGGAAAGTGTCATCAATTACATGCCTCCAGGACAGGATTCTTTGGCATTATTGATTGATTTCAAAGCCCACAAAGTTCCTGGTGGTAAAGGTTCCAAAATCCCTCCGGTAGGTACTGGAAGAGAAGTGCTTCATATTCTTCAACAACATTATCCGGAACGGTTAGGCAGAGCGTACCTTGTCAATATTCCAACGCTTGCCTGGGCATTCCTTAAGATTATTCACCCATTTATCGATCCATTGACCCGTGAAAAACTTATTTTTGACCAACCATTTGTCAACTATGTGCCAGTCAACCAGCTCGATAAGGAATTCGGTGGAAATGTGGACTTCGAATACGATCATGAAGTTTACTGGCCAAAAATGAATGAAATTTCTTTGACCAAACAAAAACTGTATATGGAAAGGTTCAATAAGTTTGGTGGAGTGATTGGCTTGAGCGAGGTTGATTTGCGTGGAACCAATGATGATCTTAAATTTCCTGCTCTCACTTTGGATGAAATTGAGCAAGGGGCTGCTGAAGAAAAATTGAGTAAAATGATCTCCGAATTATCAGTTGCTAGCCAAGAAACCATACCCATCAAGGGGGAGAAAGCTTCTGAAATTTTGACTTCAGTCACCAAAGAAGAGGAGACTGCCGTTAATGCTTGAGCCGATCTTGATAGAGGTACTTTTCGGGAAAAGGGACACATCAGAATACGTGCTTTCAAACTTTAACAAATCTTTTATCCTTTCAAACCCTTCTCTCTTTTAATAGATTCGTGTTTTTTTTTTTCCTTTAGAATTTCACAGTTCATAATTAATTATTGTTTCATATTATCTTAAAGAGTGTCTTCCTCGAAGTAAGCTCAGCCTCTGAATGAAGAATATTAGAAGTCAAAACATCTAAAACAATAATTAGTATAAAAGACCAAGACAAAGTAGACGGTTATTTCTTTTTCCTGATTAAAAATTTGATGATTTTTTAATCAATTTTCAGTTAATGGGTCAAAAAAATTCAGCTCCAATATCATATTCAATTCATTCTTGACATATTCAACTTTACCAGGATTAATCAATAAAGTAGAGTCATCCAAATCTTCAATTAAAATATCATGGACTATCGCGTCAATACTAATGATGATTGATTTTATAGATGGATCACTGGGTGATTTGTTAGTGGGAAGAAGAAGATGGATGGATTGCTTGCAGCTAAAAAGATGCTCAATTCTCTTACCATTTGATTAAATAGCCACCGACAGCTTTAACCATTTTTTGTTGAAATCTCACTTATATTTATTGCATTGAAAATAAAAACAAATAAACATGAGAATCAAATAATTTTTTTTTTATAAATATAATTGTGATAAAAAGGGCATGTGGGTTTCCTCACTCCCTCAGATAGTTTGTCATCTGCAAGGAATTTAGAGCCCTGTGCTGCTGTAAAATTTTCGGAGGGAGAATTGGGAAACCATATAGACGTTGAGCAGGTATTTATATATACATTATTTTATTTCAATTTTTATTGTTTTAAGCTTTCGTTTTGTTTGGAGATACCCACGAGAGTCATAAAGAATAGGTACTAGGCTGATGGTTCCAATGATCCTAGCCAGGAATTTTCTAATATTCCTGAAAAGAATACGATCCATTAACCCAATATTTATTCGAGATTATTATTTCAAGAGGAGACCGTTGAAAAATAGAATCCTAGAAACAATAGCAGAACCAGAGAATTCAACTGTGACCAAAAATAAACTTATAGGATACTTGCAATTGTATAATAGTGAATTCAGCAAAATCGAAGAGCAATTGTATTTCAAGAAAGCGGCGGATAAAAATGTACCGTTCAACATCACTAGACATTTACTCGATTTCCCATTGAGTAACCATCGTGAATTCTCGAACATTCAAAATACTTGGATGGAGTATTTTTCTCAATATGACATAAACTTTATCAAACAAGCGCTAATAGAAATGTCATTAAAACAGGATGAATCGCTACGGCATTTCTGGATCATTTCAATAAAGTTATCTCTATCATCGTTGGATTTCTATCGTGATATGCTTGGTCTAATTCAAATACTATGCGATGAGATCAAAAATAACCCCAAGTTGATCTCCAAATATTTTAATGATGATTTTTATGATTGTATTATAGGATTTTATTTTTTGAATCGGAAAAGTTTGTTGGTGAAAGCGGCTCACGATGTAATTTATCCAGTGTTGAAATCTCAGGATTCAATGAAACTTGTCAAATGTTGCTGTGTTCCATCCAATAAAAACTCGGAGGACTTCACAGAGCTGTTCAACTCATTACTATATATTAAAAAACCTTTGACAGGATCATATAATAAAGTCGGCGATGGTATCTACGATTCTTTGATTTCTTTCCTCAATACCAGATTACTTACGGCCGAACAAATTTTGGTCAACGAGCTGCAAACTGATCAAGAACGATACTGCTCATTGCCAAGTACTGGTACTTCTGAAAACTCAGTGGGGAGTGTGTCACTAGAATTAACGTTGGCGATGTTAGACATTCACATTAGATTGTTGAGGAACCGTGATATCCCAAAGAACCCAACGCTTCTTAATAAATTGATCGGACGCATGGTTCAAATTTGCGTTGCATCAGGAAGAGACCTGTTGATAGCCAATAATAGTGGCAGTCATGATACCTTAATCAAGGGGCTCAGAAAAACTTTCAATTATTTAGTAATGGATGAAACCAACGTTATGATGCTTTATAATAATGATCTCCAAGTCTATGAAAATCGATCTTCTACAAGCTGGTGGACTCAAAGATTTGTGAATTTGATGGTTGATTATTGTTTTCTTGACTCTCGTACGTATCTGGCAGAGTCTCGATTGGTCTCGCTTTTAAAAGTAATTCCAAAATATTATTATTTTGAAAATGTCAAATTTTGGGAACATCTCTATCACAAATGTTCGGAAACCCGTGGCACGGTGCTACGATTCATCAGTGCCGATAAACTATTCTTCAAATATGGTGTTGGAAAGAAATTGACTGATAAAGAAAACATAACTCTGGAGCTTCTGTTTGACACATTTAGTAAATATGTCTTGCACCATGGTCAATACTACAAATTGATTGAATACAAGTGCAAAACCTACCAAAATACAAAATATTTTTCGGCAATCCTAAATCCAATTATCGATCATTTTTTGAAAGATGGTGGTGAAGGAAGGGCGAAACTCGTGGAAACACTATCTTATTTAGGGAACTCAGAATACCGGATGATACTATCTCCAAGAATTATGGGATATTGCATATCAGCGCTTTGTGAGCAAGGTGATTATGACTCGATTCTTGATATCATTAAAATATTTTTGGAAGATTTGGGCAAAGCCCAAAATTCTAGAGATGAGTTGGGTTTGATAGATTCAAAATTAATCAGTAACTACGTTGATGAAATAGCGAAGTTTTACGTTATTGGGGTCACCAAAAGTTGGATGGCAACTCTTTCAGAGGAAGAGCTCACCTCAATAAATCTCCAGCCTCAAACAGTTTTCCACGATGCCAACTCGATGCATTTGCTCAAGAAATTGATGGACATATTAAACTCAACTGAAAGTTTCCAGGTTGGTAAATTCCCAAAAGTTCAAAACACATTGACTCACTTCTTCCTTAAATCAAATGACTTTGAGAGAACTTTGAAATTGGTAAAGTTATTAGTGGAAAATGATCCTCAAAATGGGTTGGAGAAAGAAACTTTGATGCAGTGTTCGAAGAAAATCCTGAACAGAATGTTCAGGAGTAATAGACTACCAGAGGGCCCACACAAAGAACTCCATGACATAGTAGTGGATTATGTGAACAATATGCATAATGTATTATCTATTGATATGGAAAACTGGTCCAAACTCTACAGCACTTTGGCATTTGTGCAGACAAATTATCATCAAGTGGGTAACTATTTATTCTGGGTAATCAACAAAGTGTTATATTCATATGCTTATGAAAATGGGACTCCCATAAAGTTGAGTGATGAAGACGAGAAGATCTTCAAAAAGATTCAACTCATGAATGAAATCGATCAATTAGAGCTCCACAAAGATATTTTACCACAAGCGTTTAAAGCATTGAAGTCATTAGAACTGACAGAAGTGTGCTATAAGGGCAAAACTCTATTCAACACATCACAGCAACTTATCGATGAGTTTTATAGTACAATCCAGGATTTTTTCACTCCAGGTATCATTTGTCGATTGATAGATTTAGGGGTTGAGAAATCTCCACATAAACCATTTGAAGGATTGGAATTGATCATGTTACTCAAAGACTTGCAATTTATTCGTGGCTCAACTTTGCAAAAACTGAAAACCAAGATTGAACTGACAATCATCAGAAGCTTAAAGAATTTATACACTCAAAGACAAAACAGAATGCACATTAGGTGGAGTCAGGCGCGTGCTAGTAAACAACTCCTCAGCGAGCTGGTAGCACAGGAGAACTATAAAGCAATGACAGAAGGTTACAAACCACCAGAAATTCAATTATACGAAAGGGAAGAAGTCGCGGAAATTTTCTCCATCATGATGGAAAAATTGTTCACAGAGAATTTGAAGGACTGATAGGTGGATGAAGAATCTTCTTTTTTAAGAATTTTGTAATATATTAATAGAATATTGTACATAAGCAAAGCAAAACCAAATTTTTATTATTTTTTTTTGCTAATGAATTAATGAATTAAGGGATTACTTTATGTTTCTTATTATTATTATTACCAACCATCTAAGCTGGAACCGATCTAATGGCACGTGCATAATGCCCTCGTATTTGAAGGAAAAAAAAAATTTTAAAAGGATGGAATTTTTTTTTAAAAGATAAACACAGAGAGTAGCACGAAATCAGGGGAGATTCTATTATCGGGCATCTGGAAATAAAAGATATTAAAAAAAAATCTCAGTAGAAAGAATTAAGAAAAAAAGAAAAGAAAAGGGAAGAGGACAAATAAGAGATACAGGCCATAGAAATTAGGGCAAAATACAGGAGAGGACACAATAAACAAACTTGAAAATGTCTGATATTCAATCAATCACCTTACTTTTACAAGAATCATTGAGTGCCACCACAGCGAACCAAGCAGATCAACAACTTCGTTCCATCGAAACCAACCCAGGATTTGCCATTGCTTTGTTGACAATTGTAGATTCCAATCAAATTGATAACTCCATTAGATTGGCAGGGGTTTTGTTTTTCAAAAACTTCTTGAATAGAAGATGGATCGATGCCGATGGGAAACACAAGTTGAACCCAAATGATGTTGAGAATATCAAGAGCAAAATTGTCAAGTTGATGATTGGTTTAAACAATAACAATTTGAAAAAACAAGTCGGAGAATGTATTGCCATCATTGCCAATTCTGATTTTCCTGATAAATGGACCAACTTGGTGGATGAGTTGGTGGAAAGTTTGAAAACCAACGACTTGAACAATATTCATGGGGTGTTGTCAGTGGCGCACTCTATTTTCAAAAGATGGAGACCTCTTTTTTCCTCAGATGAATTGTTCTTGGAGATTAAGTTTGTGTTGAACAAGTTTTGTGAGCCATTCATGCAGTTATTGGTTGAAACCGATAAATCGATCGACGCAAATTTGAACAACAAACTAATATTGGAACAATTGTTTGAAAATCTTTTGCTCTTGGTAAAGCTCTACTACGATTTTAATTGTCAAGATATCCCTGAGTTTTTTGAAGATCATATGAATACTTTGATGAATGCCATCCACAAATACCTAGTCTTTAAGAGTGATTTATTGACTGATAAGGACGAAGATGAAGAACCAGATGTATTGAGCAAAGTTAAAGGTAGCATTTGTGATTTGATTCAGCTCTATTCTACCAGATACCAAGATGTATTTGATCCATTGATTGAAAAATTTGTCCAGAGCTCATGGAATGAACTAACTTCTTTGACTTTGCAAGTTAAGTATGATATTTTGACTTCCAAATATTTGACATTTTTAACCTCCATTATTAAGATTCCAAAGTACTTTGATATTTTCAATAACGCTCAAGTATTGAATGAAATATTCATCAATATCATTTTGCCTAATATAACATTGAGAGAATCAGATGAAGAATTGTTTGAAGATGATCCAATTGAATACATCAAAAGAGATATTGAAAATAATGATTCTAATACCAGAAGATCTTCATCTACCGAATTTTTGAGGGAATTGAAAGATAAAAATGAATCATTAGTAACAGAGACTGTCTTAAAATACATTAACGAGTTCTTGGGCAATTTTAATTCTGATGCCTCCAATTGGAAACAAAAGGATACTGCAATCTATTTGTTTATTGCCATAGCTGCTAAAGGGAATATTACGGGCGCGGGCGTTACTTCAACAAATCTATTGGTGGATGTGGTTTCATTTTTCCAACAAAACATTGCTAGGGATTTGATGAATCAATCCATTGAGAACCCAATTTTGATTGTTGATTCCATTAGATACTTGTACATCTTCAGAAACCAATTGACTAAACAACAGTTAGTAGAAAGTTTCCCATTGCTATTGAATCATTTGAACTCCGATAATTATATTATTTATACCTACTCATCTATTACTATTGAAAAAATCTTGTCTCTTAGAGATAATTCATCGACAGTCTACACATTATTATTCAACAAATCGGACATTGAATCGATTTTCAAAGATTTGGTTACCACGCTATTTAAGAAGATATTGGTTAACAAAGACATCCCAGAAAAATTATCAGAAAATGATTATCTTATGAAATGTTTAATGAGAGTTTTGATTTTGAATAACAATAATCTTATTAAACCACCACAATCTAACTTTGAATTTGTCGGGTTGATGATTAATCAATTGATTGAGATTGTGGTGATCATTTCCAAAAACCCATCAAATCCAAAATTCACACACTATTGCTTCGAATGTATCGGAATAATTGCAAATTACAATAGCAACAACAACCCAGAATTTGTGGGAAGCTTTATGGAGATTATAATTCCTAAATTTTTGGCAATTTTGGGAGAAGACATCATCGAATTTGTGCCATACATTATTCAAATGATTGCCTTTTTGTTGGAATTATTGAAACACGCATCTAGCAGCAGCAACAACAACACATTGCCTGCATTTTACAAGAGTTTAGTCAAACCAATGTTGTCCCCAACCCTATGGGAATATAAGGGTAATATTCCAGGAAACACCAGATTAATCATTGATATGCTTGAGTTCGATAGAAGTAGTTTCAATGATGATTTACCAGGATTGTTGGGGGTTTTCCAAAAATTGATTTCTTCCAAGGTTAACGACTCATTTGGGTTTGACTTATTGGAAATCATCTTGATTCATGTTGACTTGAATCTATTGAAACCTTACTTGAGCCAAATTGCTACTTTGATTTTGACTAGGTTACAAAACTCTAAAACAACTAAATTTATCAAGAGATTGATTTTGTTTTTCAGTAAACTAGCATTAGTTGATTCGAACTTTACGATCAAAAATGCTAATGTTAATACTTTGGGTCCTGATTTCGTGACGAATTTCGTTGATCAATTACAAGAAAATTTGTTTGGCAATATCTATAAGACTTTCTTCATCACCAACATCCAAGAATTCCACAACGTCAATGAAAAGAAAATCGTGGTCATTGGGTTGACTAATTTGGTTTGCCATAATGCCAAATTCACTATTAATGGTCCTTATTCGAGTTATGTTGTCGAGTCTTTAAATCAATTATTCAAGGCTACGGTACACAAGAGCGAATTTTTTGCCAACGAAAAGGCTGGCACTGCTGTTGGGGTCACTGTCAGTGAAGACTTGCTTAATGATTTTGAAAACCAAGATTTCACTTTCGGATCAAGTTATTCCAGATTAGTTATTATTGGAACCAAGAAGTTCGACCCTATCAGTGATTTCAACAATAAGGATATCGAAAAGGGGTTTTTGATGGTTCTTCTGGACAGCAAAAATAAAGGATTTGAAGTCAATGGCGCTGATCAATTAGATTCCATGTTACAGAATGAATTGTCGACTTTCAAATTTTGAAATGCAATCTTTTTTTTCCCTCTCTCCTTTAGTGAAGCCGGCTTTCCTGGCTAATTATGGCTAAATACAACCCTACATAGATTCTAATCAGTAACACTATCTAACAATCAACGGCTCCAATTTAGTTCACGTATTACTTTGTGTTGTAGTTGTTTGTACACAATTCGCGCGCCATCAATAAAAAAAAGAAAACATGTATTACAATAATGCCAAAAGAACGGATAAATATTATTTAGCCTGAAAACCCCCAACTTGAAACTGAATATATATTACAATATCACATTTTTGTTGTCAACACACATTGTGAGGCCCAAGTAGAATGAGCTCAATTCTAATCAAAGAAATCATCATCCTCGTCATCGTCATCACCACCGTAACTGTTGGCAGCATTTTTACGATTAAACACAATCTTCGATTGGTTTTGCAGGTCCTGGTCCCTAGCTATACCGTCCAAGATTTGAACGAGCTCCTTTTCAGTCATTTTTCTTCTTAATTGACCAGATTGTGCCAATTTTCCGATATAATTTTCCACTGCTTTGGCACGGTCAGGTCTAACCATATTGATTCTCGATAATCTTTCTCTGGCTTGTGGTTCTAACACCTGCGAAAGAAGAGATATCTGCAATGATTCAGTGCTAATAAGTGTTAGTATTAGTCAACTTTATAGCTTCGTTTGCTCTCAAAGTTTATTCTGTAATCGAAATAACTTGGGATATAAATTACTCACTTGTCAGAAGACTTTTCCGATGGCCCTTGTCCAGAATTTCTTTGCAATTCGGCTAAGCGCGCCTTTCTTATGGCCTGAAGTTCTGCATCTTCCATATTTTCCCCTCCTCAAGCTCTATTTTTTGTTTAATTAATATTTCCTTCCATGTTTGGGGCAACTAAGATGATTTGATGTGATTTTAGGAAAACCAATTTTTTCCCATGATCTCGTGATTGATCTGTGATACACTGCATAGAAAGGTGGTTGTATGTGGGGATGTCGTGGCAAATGTTCCAATGATGTAATTGTGAATTACTTTTTTTCTCTTTTTTTTTTTTGCCTCCTTTTGTATAATCCACTAAACTTTTTAGACTGCAAAACTGTAGATAGGCGATAAGGACATCAGTTTTCCTGTTTGCGAAGAAACCGACTCAACCCAGTGAGTGCATTGCATTACTTGTTAACGAACCTCTTTCTTAGAGACAGTATCCCATCCCCATTCTTTCTCCCCGTTTCAGCTGTCATTTTTTTTTGGATTGATCTTGAAGTCATTCGATAGACTTTTCCAAAAGAAAAAAAACAAAAAAACAAAAAAAACCATAGAAGTTTGTATGATTTTCGAAGATTTTTACAACTTTTTGTTCCATATCAGTGACAATAAAGGTGAAAGTTTATTGAAAATAGGAAATCCAGTAGGTGTGTCAACGTTGATACGTCAAAGTATACTCAAGTTTCTTAAGGACCTTGAACAAAAGAGAACATTGTTGGTTGGTGCTTTAGCATTATTAACCGTTGGTTATATTTTAAGCCCTACTATTAGTCTCAGTTTCCAGTCAGAGAAAGAAAGAAAGCAGGCAAGAAAGAAAATGTTTTTAACTAAACGTATTGATAAGTATTCCACAACTCTTCGGAACCCCAGAAATGATTGTTTTGCAAACTCGACATTGCAGGCTTTATCATCCTGTTCAAGCTTGATTAGTTATTTGAACATCTTCAACAAGTTCCATCAAGATTTTATTGAGTTTTACCAAAACTCTCCGTTGAAAGACCAAATGAAGGGTGATGATGGGATTAAGAACTTGGATAACTTGATCCCGTTGCATCATGAACTTTCAATCTATATCTTCAAATTGAATACCCCTATTGTTTATTCTAATGTGATTTCTGTTAGATCTTTCCTCAAGGTCATCGAAAAAATCTTCAATTCCCAAATTTCATCTAACCAACATGATGCTCATGAGTTATTGCAGATCATTCTTCAAACTTTGGAAAGCGAATACTTGAATTTGATCAAAGTAGTGACGTTATACAAAGAAGACTTAACCAAGTTCACAGATGATCATGTTGATGATGAAGATGTGAAAAGAAAAGTTGATGGGTTTGTGGATAAATTAATTATCCCAAGCTTCTCATTTTATGGACATGGTATTTCTCAATTTACCTGTTTATCTTGTCTACAGAAATCCACCTTAACAAAATACCCTTTTTCTATTCTCTCGTTGCCAGTGCCTCAGAAAAGACAAATTGAGTTGAGCGACTTGATTTTGAAGAACCAAAACGAAACGATTTCTGATTATGCATGTATGAATTGCAAGATCAAGTCTATTTTGAAGATCGAAAAACAGAGAGAATTCAAGAAAGGTATGAATGAGGTGTTGAATGGGGTTGATGACAGTTCATCGAACAAAAGTGCCGGTGATGAATCGCCCGGTAGTAGTGATGATATAAAGACACAATATCTTGCCAAATTGAAGGACATGGAGAATTTTTGCAGAATCAATGATGAAATAGAGGACAAAGATTTGGAGAATTTCATCAACAACTACGAATATGAGGGATTCAAAACTTCAAATTTAAAATCTACGATCATCAAAAACCACTACTTGATTAAGTTGCCACAAATTATGATTTTCCATCTATCAAGATCAATTTTTGAAAATAACTTTTCTACAAAGAATAAATGCAAAGTGAAATTTGAGAAAAAGATCAATTTAAAAGTTAACAAAAAGATCTTTATGGACTACAAGATGCAAGAAAATGTGACTAGTTTGGATGATGAAGATGATAGCGATGATGAAGATAGTAGCAACAACAACGATGATGATAGTGATGATGACGGTGTTGTTGATGATGATGATGATGATGATGATGTTGATAGTGATGTTGTTGATGATGATGATGATGACGATGATGATGATGACGAAGATGTTGATAGCGACTCAATCGCTGATGATGAAGCATCAGATATTGAACCCCATGAAAAATTAAATGAGCTAATACACACAATCAAAAACATGGATATAGAAGGTAGCAACACAAATACAGAGGCCCATTCAAGGGAAAATAATTTTGGCCATTTGATTGACTTCAAAATGAAAGCGATGGTCAGACACACTGGTAGTCATTACTATGGGCATTACGAATGCTATAAAAAGAAGCCAATGTATTATAAATCGCATCATAAAATTATCAATAAGAACCCAATTATTGATTTGGACAATCTTGCAATTAATGAGTACAGTAATTCCGAGAAGGTCGATGAGTTGAAAAATCTACAGGAACAATTTGTTGAAGACAACGAGAGAATTGATTTCCAATATTATAGCTCTGACAAGAGCAAGCAAATTAATGACGATGTTCCAGTTGTTGACATTAATGGCAATGAGGCAGTTATGTCACCGGAAATAAACTCCCCAAAAGAATTTGATGGTGTCGCCGCCATTACTGTTACTGATTATGACGAAAAGGAAGAAGAGGATGCTTCGGATGCTCATACTGATTTAGGAGAAGAAGATACTATCCCAGAAAATGAAATAAGAAGAGGAAGATCCAGAACATTGTCACTCTCGTTTAGAAGAGGTTTGAGTAGACTATCAAGAAACAGTGGGTCCAATACTTCCTTAAGTTCCATGGGCTCTTTTTCTTTAGCACCTATGGGATCAGATGCTCAAGACTTGAGTAGTGTTGATAGTGCCAAAAGCAAATCAGGAAGCTTTACTAGTAGTAGGGCGTCAAGTGTTAGTCGCAGATCTACTATTAGCAGAAAAACGGAACACAAGGAGGTAAAAATAAGTAGCATAATCAAAAAGCCGTTCTGGAAGTTGAGTGATAGTGAGGTTACAGAGGTTACTGATGCAACTGTATTTAACGACACTGCAGCAGTTTACATGTTGTTTTATGAAAGAAGATGAGCGCAAGCTGGAGTTATAACTGTTTGTTTCTTTGTTCCCTCCTTCCGTCCCCCCTTTTTTTTTATCCTTTCTCTATTTTTTTTTTCTATTTTTTTTTTCTTTTATTTGTTTATTTCACTTTATTACTGGATACAATACACACATTTAGACTCTTTGGATGTTTTGATAAGATATGCAGCATGTGACCTGCCCTATTCACAGACCGGTGAATGGCACAGTTCACTCCCGGTATGACAGCATATTGCAGCGTGACTTCCGGCAAACAGAGCACTGCCTTTGTCGGATTTCACAATACGGGGTGAATTCTCTCACAAAACTTTCGGCCTTTAGGGGGTGAATGATAGTTTGTTGTGTTTGTCTTCCTTCACAATAGTTTTGTGCTTAGTCTTACGTTCTCCTTTCAAATTCACAATGCTTTCATTCCGAATTAGACCACAAAATCATATACCAATAAAATAACCACCTTAAGCCTCATCCTTTATTTCTCATCCCGCCTTCCTTGTTTTATTTTTTTTTTGTTTTTGCTGCAGTTGCAACTCAGGAGCCCATAAATATTCATTGAAAGATCCACTTTTGTACCCCAATTCTGGCTGTGTGGTACCTTATCCTGTCTCTCCTAAGTCATCAATTCTTGAGCCTCCAAATTACAGCCCACTATTATACTATTCATTATTTTTTGTTGCATCTTTTTTGTTTTTTTGTTTTGTTTGTGTTCTGGTCCTTCCTATTTTGTCCTCTCTTCCTGAGTTTCTCTCCCATTTGCTAATCTTATATCATTTCCCCGGATTCAAAAGATTTATGGAGGAACCACATATATTAATAAGCCACCAAGAAGAGTAATTTTGCAATCGCTAGTGGTATAATTATGGAAGCGTTAAGACCTTCTGCTGATAATGTTCCAAGTATCCTTCAGAAGTCTTCACCTCCGCTCGATAACTCCGTTGTGCCACAACAACAACAACAACAACAACAACAACAACAACAACAACAACAACAAAACAATGGCAATGGTACGACTTCACAAATTGGTTCCAAGAGCGCTTCGAATCATTCCATTTCAACCTCGCTGACTTCTTCTTTCCTAACCCACCAATCAACTAATCCAACCTCTTTGAGCTCAGCAAATTTGCACTCATCAATGTCAAGCAATTTAAACACCAATAATGGTGCAAATTTAACAGGTGTTCAGAGTTTGGGTGTCAATTCCAATTCACGAAAAAGTTATGCTAAGCAATTCAAAAAGCTAAAATCCGAATATAAGATGATAGCTGGGGAACTATCTAAGTTCAAAAACAAATCAGGAATACCAAAGGCAAACCATCTACGATTGGTGCTAATCAAGTTTTTGAGATCTCAAAATGATGAGATATTCTCCCAAATTCCAGCGACATATTGCGTCAAAGCCGCTACTATTGGTTGCAAAGTGTTACTAAAGTGGTGGAGTGCCATCATAAACGCTTTGACTGACACCAAGAAACCAATCCCTGCTTCCCAAAAGTCTGCATTTTATGAATGTATCTCCAGAATCTTGGCTCGTGCTGAATGGAAGCTTGTTATTGATAATGCTCATAATACTACGGATTTGGAGAATGACTATACCAGCAAATATACCAGTTTATTGACCAAAACTTTGGATCACGCAATAAATCAGTTGAGTAATAAAAATAACTCCACCCTATCGTTATCGGCTTTTACTGGCAAAGTTTTTGCCACTAGTTTTTTCCACTTGAAGGGAGTTTCAAATGCGTTATTGTTTCTATTAAATGTTAGAATCTCGTCTATTTTAACAAATTACGATGTTTTTTTCAAGGATGAGAAAAATTTCAATGAAATTTCAAGCCTATGTCAAAGTTCAGATAAATTCAGGTACAAGTTTCCGACGAATGTTCACTCGTTCATCCAAGTGGAGACTTTGACTTATGGCATGAAATTGGATCATTTGAATACTAAATCTAAGATGAGTAGATTATTTTCGAGTGATAATTTGGGTTGTATCAAACTCGATTTTGACACGAAGTTAAATGAACATTTAAGTAACAATTTATCATCATCAACATCATCAACATCAACATCACCAGCGCCATCACCTCCGAATGGTTTACTTGATTCCAATTCTGACTCTTCAGAACCTAAGGATGATGGGACTATGAATTCTCAAGTATTATTGCCCCTGCATTCCTTATCAAAAATCAGTAATAAATCAAGTTCTCACCAAAGTGGCAGCACTGGCTCTTCAATTTTTCAAAGTCCTTCTAGAGCCAACGGTAGTCCCCAATTGAATTCTCGACCAATATTAAAATCCTCTCATCCGCGCAGTAGGAAGTTCAATTTCAATGCAACTAAACCACCGAGGGCCCCAGTGGAAGGAATTGCAGATCCTCAAGGTCCGTGGGTAAAAAAATGGAGTAATTTCAATAGTGATGTGTTTATTTCTTTTTTGAGACATTATCTCACCCATATCAGTGACTATTTGGTAGAAACTAATAAAATTGGAAGTATTTCCACAGCAGAACATATGAAATTGAAAATGGCTGATCTCTTGCATGATCGTCATTTGAATAATTTGAACTGCTTGATTGTCACTCCAGGCTTCAATATTGTTTGGAGTCATGTTTATGATATCATTACGTGGACTATCAAGAATAATGCTTCTAAAAACGCTGGTAATAGTAGCAAGAAGCACAATAATAATTCTGGGCTTAGTAGTTCCAGTTCAATAAGGTCCAATGGAAGTATGTTATGGGGTCAAAAATTCAATGCGTCTGCTGATGGAGGTAATTTTGGATCTAATAACAATATGACATTAAATTTTTTCAATTTATCATCAATATCAAGCCTATCTTCGACAAATGATCACAGAAAAAATACGATTTTGCATCCTATTGCCAAAATTTTCCTGATTTTGAGAGACTTTTTGTATAATCCAAAGTCTACAAATGAGAAACTTATGGCAGGTTTGATCATTAACAACTTCGATAATTTATTGATTCGCTACGCTAAAGAAATATCTGCTTATGATTTTGCAAAAGCTGGGCCAATGTTAGATTTAGTCCAGGAATTTGCCACTCAAGTTTGCTCATGCCCTTCGTCCTCAGATGCCAATACTGGGAATATAGGGTCTGATGGAACTTTTGTCAGCGGTTATGAACTGAACAATGAAAATGATTGGAATTATGTACACAGAAGCAGCAATAATTATCTCAGGAGCTTGCACTTTGGCAAATGTATTAATTGGGAGTTCTGGTTAAATGCCGTCCAAAATATGTTGATGACTGAGAGTATCAACTCCCAATTGAAAGCACTTGCCTTCTTATTCAATATATGGGACTTTATTCCCGATGAAAATGCTGCGGCTGTTAAGGATGATGAGGGGAAGAAATATAATCCAAATTCGTTCTTTAATGAAAGTTTAAAATATAACTGTGATTGGATCAAGAATCCAAACTGCTCTCTCAAGTATAACTTCTCGTGCTGGTTGGTGTCATCAAAAAATTGGATGAAGTTTTTTTGCCATTGGTTGCCATTGGTTCGGTCATATTATTTGAGATTGATTGTTTGGAGACTCCTTTCAATGAAATTGAATTCTCACTCCATTATGAGCTCCGATTTTTCAGGGACAAATAGTGATGGAACTATGGATGATAGTTCATCAATGATACTTGCTCGCCAAGGGTATTCTTCAACATCTTTGTTCTCGCAAAATGGAATTTCTTTTAACGCTTCCAGACCGATTTCCAAAGCCGAGGGTTCTAACTCTCGTAACATCAGTGGTCGAATAATTCACAATAGCTTTAATGACTCTTATATCAATAAGGAAAAAATCAAAAAAATTGTGACGGATCGCTTGAACTTATCGTATCAAAAAATTATAAAGATTTCACAATTCAGTTCTGTGGGTTACTATTTGATGCCAGACATGAATGGTTCATGTCCTATTGTGAGCAAAAGGTTTTCCATAACGCCTATCAATTTTAAAAATACTGATGAGAATTTTTTTGTTGACTCTAGTATGAATTTCTTAAATGATAAATCTGCTAATGGTGCTGATAGCACCCAATATTGCTCGGAGAGGAACACACAACAAGACGATGAATTGGATAATAAACAAACCAAACAGACAAGCAAAAGTGGCACAGATTATGTGGAACCAACGGACCCCTCTTTTTTTGATAACTTAGTGCCATCTTTGAATGGTGTGATCAACAGCCGCCAATCTCAGAGGCGTAAAATTAGTCCGTTTGAAATCTTCGATGATGCCGTATACAGTAGTAGCGCGTATTCTTTAATGATTAACAATGATGGGAACAATGATGGAAATAATAATTGTGGCAACGACGATGATTTCAACACTTTGACGTCTATCAATACAATGGTTACTATAGATAATCCATCAAATGAAAACGGCGAAGAGAAGCCTGTGAAGTCAAAATCTGTTGCGGCTGGTGATAAAAATGCCACTAAAAACTCTATGATGTCAAGGTCTTTTTCGATTAGGAATTCCAAGAGCAAAAGTTTCACCAACTTGAACCGATCCAGCATTACATCCACCACTAACATCAACACGAATGGCACTAATGTCAAGGATAATGGTAGTGGGAGATTATTTGGGTTCGCTATGAAGTTATTTAAGAAATCTAAGAGTAGCTCCAATATCGTTAATGATTCCCAAGGACTTGGATTGTCTTTCCATAACCACGGAGAAGAATTTCCTAAACTACCGGATAATATAGACTTGCGGAGCTTTGAAACCGGAGCTGAAAAATCTTTGGACCCTCTGAAGGAGAAAAATATTTCTGCATCTACTGACAAGTCTACCTCTGTTTATGCTGCATTAGGCGACTCTATTATCGATAATACAGATGCTTCTAGAGGATATCTTCTGGGTAGAAAGGAAAAAAGTGATACATCTTTGGTTACAAGAAGAAAGACCTTCGATGGTAAAAAGTATAACAACAAGATAATAAATGATGGAAGCAAGTCGGCAACAGATTTCAAGAAATTGAATGATCAAGCTAATAAAACGAAGTCTTTGATTCCTATCTCCAAACCATTATCTGCTTCTGCTCCTAGGACCCCTAAATCAATTGTATCGAGGTCAAGCTCAAAGGATGAAAACCATTCCATCAAAAGTAAAGACGCGGACTCATTCTTTGATGATGATGATTATGACGATGAAGATGAAGATGATGACGATGATGATATTTCCTCATTTGCTAGTTCCAAGAGAAAGTTAAGAAACAAAGCGTCAATGAGATCTTTGAAAAATTTAACCAATGGAACTAAATTTGGATCAGCTAAGAGAAATGCTACATCTACGTCGCTAAAATCTATGTCCTCTTCAATGATGAATAGTGCTGCTGCAAATGGATCTGGTGGCAAAGCAAAAAGTGATGGCTTAGAATCGTTGCCTTTACCCCCAGAATTTCAGAATAGGGTTCCAGAAGTCCTGCGTCAAATCTTCAAGTTTTCATTAATTTGGAATGATGAATCAATCAACTATCAATTGTATGTAATCAATAATTTACCCTTTGCTAGGTTTCATAGTCCGACTTCTTATGCCAATTTCAATGCCAATAACAAGTTTCCACATTATCCAAGCTTGCCTTTCAGTCAATCTATGGGTATTGGATACTTACCAGCTGATGAAGAGTACACAAATGGTACCGAAATTGAAACTGAAGGATACAGTAGTGATACTAGTAATAGTGGTTCTATTGTGGCTGAGCTTCTGGAAAACACTAATGAAAACAGTAAACTTGTTGGTCAATATTTTGATAGTACTATCAATGTGGGTATGGAATCGAAGATTGATTTATCCAATGGCCCATTCAATACGGAAGATAGATCATTGCTGGTAAATGAGACTTCTGTGACCACATTTTTCACTTGTCACACCGAGGTTTCTCCTGATGTCACAAACTCTACCTTAATGCTTCTGAATGAAGGAGATCATGAGGGCATCGATCATATGATTTCAAAGAGTTTTGCATTACCTGATGATCAATCTTTCGCAGATCATGATGCTTCAAATATTGTTTCTTCCCTAGGCGCTAACCTTAACGAAGTCAAAGATTCTTCCATGATACCAAGATCACATGAAGATATGAAGCCCAAGGAATTACAAAGACTACATAGAGAACGTAGTTTTGCCATGGAAACTTTGAGAAAATGGGGCATTGTGGGAAAATCTTTGAATGAATGGAATAATGTTGTCAAAGAATATGAAGACTTTATCAGGACCCGAAGAATGGCTATGGAAAAACAAAAATTTTTGAGCATTCACAATGATGAAGTCTATGCTAATGACTTCCTAGGAATAGATTTTGTCCCATTGTTAATTGCAGAAGCCCCAGTTCCAAAGATTAACGCTTCATGATATTGTTTAGTTACTGTGATAGGTTTTTTTTTTGTTTATTATTCCGACTATAGATGATTGTGCACTTATTTTAGTATATTATTATCATCTCTTTTTTTTTTTCCTTTCCAATTGTATTAATTATGTTTTCTGTTCTGTTCTGTTGTGTTCTGTTGTGTTCTTATTTTTAATTTAATTTGGCTTTCAAACCTTACTTTTCTACACCGTCTGTTCATAGATGCATTTTTTTTCTTTTAATTTTTCAAGTTTGACTTCTTCGCTGTTCATTATTATTTCTAGAGGTGCTTTTAATATTATTGTTCATAACCGTCGGATATGGATGCATATTTAATAACTTTTCATCAAAAAAAAAAAAAAATAAAAAAAAGATTGAAGTAATTGGAGGAACTTGTAATAAGAGAGTGAAGTAGTTCTGTAACAGGCCCTTCACAGCTGAAGCACACCCGGACAAAGGCTGGGAAAGACTCTGGTAAGCTGATATGTCCTCGCCTATATATATATATATATAGTGAGGCTTCATTACCACAGTAGGAAATGGTATATAGGAATTAAGTTACCCCCATTCTTGTTCATCAGAATCGCCTGTAAACTAACCTAGTGTAAATACCAGATTATGAAGAATCTTGGAAGTTTGGCAGATGATTTTCCTGTAATAATTATCGCAAGCAAACCAGTATTATTCAGTGGTAATCCTCAGCTTGAGATTGTAATTTCAGGTTTTTTTTCATCTATTAATTTTCATCTATTGTTATTGTCAAATCAGGTAGATCAATAATAGTTTTCCAATGCATCATTCAAAAGAAGTATATTTGTTTTATCACATGTGGAAACTGTCCTTGCAAATCTGAAAAATTTGAGACAAAAAAAAAACCACTTACAAAAAAAAAAACAAAAGCGTAAACTGGTAGAACAGAACACTCACAATAAATTAGTACCTGATAGCACTATTCAGTAAAACACATTTTTTTCTTTTCCCCCAGTATAGCAATAGCATCTTCTGTGTGTGGATGCGCGCAGATACTTTCAAAACACGGGGCACAATATCACATTTGTTCCGGGTAATACAGTGTACTGTGGTTTTTTTCTTTATTTTTTTATTTTTTTTTTTTTTTTAAATTGAAAGAACAATTTTTAATACAGCCAGCTTTGTGAGGTACCAATAAGTCCGACTTTGACCGACTTTAGCCACAACGTCTATATTAAGATAACTAAATAATCATCTGTCAGAGTTGGTTAATTTTTTTGTCATCATTTTTCAGGAGCAGTTTGCCTTTTCAATTTGCTGGTGGTATTTAATATTTTGGTTTATATCAACAATACATTTGAAAGTGTAAGGACTGCCAATTCTACAATAGATCTTCTTGACGATATATCCTTATAATTCAATTATCTATTGAGTGCCTTTAATAGTCGACTTGTTGCATTCTCGTTGCCCATTTGTTTCTTGATGCTTTTTTAAGAAAGCTATTAACAATGGCCCTTGATAATAAAAGATTGAGCAGTCTGCCTACAGATGAAGAAAATAGAAGCAAAAAGCGAAAGGTGCTAGATACTTTAAATGATGAAGGACCTCTAACTCAAGAGGATGTCATATATTTTCAAAAGGAGGCAATCTTCAGAAAATTGTCGCTTTACAAGGAAGAATTATTGATCACAAAGAAAAGTTTAGAAAATTGGAAGAAAGATTGCAATTGCAACTCCGAAAAACTTTCCTTATTGAGTGGCTGGTGGCTCAATATAATAGAAACTTTGAATGCTAATGGAATGGTCAGCAAATCGGAGATGGATAATATTGACTCTCAAAGAAGTGTGCTTTTTGTTGGCGAAGAAGTTGGAACTAATAGAGAGAATTTCAAAGTTATGTTAGAGCTACGGAGAAATATCTTACAAAAAATACTAGATCCATTATTGAAGAAAGCTGGTATAAATAATACTGATGCTGATTTGAAGCTGAAGGTAGAGTCCCTTTTAAATGAGCTTTCAAAGGAAAAATCTAGACGACAGACATTGCAGCAAGAAAGAGGGCGCTATTTAGAAGATAATAAGGAGTTAAAAAGTAAAGTAATGGAACTAGTGCATCAGAATAATAGATTGACTTCCAAAACATTGAAACGAACAGATGAATCATTGATGGATGATGGCAACAAAGATAAAGATGAGGAGGAAAAGGACATTGCAGAGAACAATGGTATGAAAAAAGAGGAAACTCAAAGTGTGGAAAAAATTTCAAATGGCGTTTCCATTAATGAAAAGGAATGTGAAGAACAGGTAGATGATTTATCTGTCCAAATAACTGAATTAAAATCTCAGGTTGATATCTTGACTAACCAGATTGAAGAGGAAAGCTCCAGATCATCAAAATGCAAACAAGAAATCTCAACTTATGAATTGCGACTTTTAAATCTCACCGAGGATGATCTACAGAACTCTATCGTTTATAAGAACTTGATTAGTAAAATTGAGAAACTCAACAATGAAAATGGTGAATTGACAAATAAAGATTCTACCTTAATTAATAAAATCTCTGAACTTGAAAACGAGCACAAGAATGTGACTGATAAGTTTGAATCAAAAGTGTTGGAAGAGAAGAAAATGCTACAGTCTCATTTAGAAAAAGCAGAAGCTGATTTAGCCAGAGTTCGTACGAATCGTGATGATTTGATTGCCAAATTAGAGATAATCAGCGCCGAAAAAAAGTCCAAAGAAATTTATGATGAGTTGATGAACACAATTGAGAATCAAAAGGAAGAAATTGAGAAATTAACGTCTGAGAGACGTAACCAGCTAACAGAAATTGCTGAAGGAGATGTGGATATTCAAAACTTAAAGATGCAAAACCAAACTCTTATAAATGAATTGAAGGACATGGAAGTTGCCTTCAACCAAACTCAAGCTCAGCTCAACAAGAAATTCGAATCTCTTATTAATAATGAAAATATTATTACCAAATTAAAATTAGAGAAGAATAAGGCTGATCAAAAATACTTTGCTGCAATGCGAGTCAAAGAATCGTTGACTAATGAAACAAAAACTTTGAAGATTCAGAATGCAAGATCCAGTGAACTTATCTCTCAGTTGAAAGAGTTCGAGAAGTTGACACAATCTAAAATTAAAGCTCTTGAGTCGAACTTGGGTAATATGAAAATTGTAAGTGTCGAGAAGACTAAGGAAATCGATATTTTGAAGAGCAAATTAAACGAGCTCATCAATTCTTTTGATATTTTGAAGAAAAAGTTTGACCAGTTGAGTAATGAAAAGAAGACTTCAGTGGGAAAATTTCATGAATTTGAGGAAACAATCAAATCGCTAAAAAGACAAGTTGAACAATTAAAAGCTAAGAATTCTTCTCACGAACGGATTATTGGAAGATACCGTAAAAGAAACGGTGATTCTGAAAAGAATAATAGTATTGTTGAATACAAAGAAGATAATACTAGAATTGAAGGATTGATTTCAATAGCTAAATGTTCAATATGCTCAATCAGATTTAAAGATACCGCTTTGAAAACATGCGGCCATGTATTTTGTCAAGAGTGTGTTAATAATCGGTTGAATGCAAGATTGAGAAAATGTCCTTCTTGTAACTGCGCCTTCTCTTACAATGATTTACTTTCAGTTCATTTGTGATCATGTATTATTGCAATCTCCAAAAAAGATGGCTTATGTTTTTGCCCTTTATTGTACCAAAACCTTTCATTTGCTTCTATTTATTTTCCCATTTTTTATATCATATTTTTTCCCCTTTCTCTTTCTGTATTTGGCCTAAGGATTTATTGTTTGTTTTTGTACACTAGTGTTGTCCTTTGATTGAATCATGATTTACATTCTTATAAATATAAATGTTACTTCAAAGAGAATTTCTGTTTAATGAATATGCTAGCTAGCAAGTAGAGAAACCTATAGCCCAAATAATGCCACACTCTGTTTTGCTAAACGCATCCCAACAAATCAAATGTGTAACAAATTAATTCATATCCAGAACTAACAATTTTGAAACAAACACATTCAGCTTCTCTGGTTGTTAGTGATTATTATAATGCTAGGAAAGGCGAGTCCTATCAATTATAGAAGGCCACTACAGGTAGTGAATCTGATAAGATGTAACTCATCGGCACGCAAGAAGGCATCAGTGAATCTATCTGTAGATGAAGATGCATCAGCAAAAAAAATCAGTGATGGGTCGATGGTTGATCTGAATATTAAATTGTCCAAGATATATGATGAGATAGCACAAAAAGAGTATGATGAAAATTTTTTTAAAGAAATTCTGTATTCTAAAATACCCCCTTATGCGGATAAGTTAACCAAGGACATTGCCATCTCAAAACCTTGGAGAGGGGAGCAAGGCGCCAGTGAAATATCAGCAAGGATCACGAATGATTCAAATAAATACATCAAAAAGAGAGTTTCAACAGCACCTACAGGGTTTGAATTGAAGAAGAAATTGACTGTACCTGAAAGGATGATAAGGGCCAAAGAGAACTCTTTAGATTATACATTGTTGAAACATACAAGTGAGGAGGATTCAAAGTTTAGGGAAATGATGAGAGAGAAGTTATTAGGTCCAGAGCAGGTAACAAGGGTAAGCTTTTCAGATGCTTTCTTTTTAGCTGATGCAAAGATTGCTGATGCCAAAGCCAAGGGACAGTTCAATAACTTGCCAAAAGGGAAACCACTTGACCATACATATCAACAAAATCCTTACCTTGATACTACGGATTACCATTTGAACAATATTTTAAAGCGACAGGAAGTCAAAATACCATGGATTGAGAAACAGGGTTCGGTTGCTATCGAAGTGAAAAAATTCAGAGAAAATTTGAAAAAGGAATGGGTGACTAGGGCAGTTCACAAGATTGATAATATGAAAAAGAATGATACAGGTGACGATAAATTGAAATGTGCGGAATATTACTCGGTAAATTACGCAAAATTGATTGATAGGTCATGGGAAGACCAGAAAAAAAAGTTTTTGAACTTATCAATACGACATTTGAATGATTCCATCAGGGGATATAACTTGCAGGCACCGATGGCTTCGCATATATTTTATCTAGTGGAGGAGAAGGAGCTTGCAAGATGTTATAAAGATGGCTCTAAGGAGATTGTTAGTGCTATGAAGAACTATATATTTGGCGACACAAAGTCTCATATGACCTCACATGAGGCTACCAAGCAACATATCAAGTCTGGACCTCAGCAACTGATCTCTGGAACTCTTTGGAAAATATTCAGTAAAAAATAGTATTTGCTTCTATGCAGATATATGTATATATTTATGTAGACAAAACAGCAACAAAACAGATAAAGAAGATAACAACTCAGAGAATAGTTATGCACCGTCTATGTGCAGGGTGTGATACCCTATAGGGTTATGAGGATGGTGCGCTGAAAGTCCGGGTGATCTTTTGAGGATGGAACTCCTTTCCTTTTTTCTTGAAGACGAGGGAAAAAAATAATAAAGATTTTGTAAAGTTTTGTGTTTGTGGCATTACATTAATCGATTATCTTGCGATCCGCGTTTGTTTGCAATAGCAGAAAAGTTCTCAAAGACGGTCTATAAACCTATAACTATTGCGGAGCTCATTTTGGAAATAGCGACTATCTATTGCTTTTCCTCATCTACTCTTATTCGTTGTCTTACAAATCCAACACCCCTTTTCTCTTTTTCCCTATACTTTGAGATTCAAGTTTGGTAACCAGAGCCTCCTCAAGGTAAAAGAAAGTTTCGTGGTTTACCTCTCCTTGATAAACATTACAAGTTCATCAAAGCACACCTGAAATATGGACTTGAGAGTTGGAAGAAAGTATCGTTTGGGCCGCAAGATCGGTGCCGGTTCGTTTGGTGATATTTACATGGGTACAAACATCATCACCAGAGAAGAAGTAGCAATCAAATTAGAATCAATCACTGCGAAGCATCCTCAGCTTGAATATGAAGCCAGAGTTTATAGAGCCCTTAGCGGAGGTGTTGGGATTCCATTTGTGAGATATTACGGTACTGATTGTGAGTTCAACTGTATGGTTATTGACTTGCTTGGACCTTCATTGGAAGACCTTTTTAACTACTGTAATAGAAGATTTTCCTATAAGACAGTTTTGCTTTTGGCAGACCAACTACTTTGTCGTCTTGAATATATTCATGCCAGATCATTCATCCACAGAGATATCAAACCAGATAATTTCTTGATGGGTACCGGCAGAAGATCAAACCAAGTGAATGTAATTGACTTTGGGTTAGCTAAGAAGTACAGAGATAATAGAACTTATATGCATATTCCTTACAGAGAAAACAAAAATTTAACTGGTACGGCCAGATATGCCAGTATCAACACACACTTGGGTATTGAGCAGTCAAGAAGAGATGATTTGGAAAGTTTGGGATATGTTTTTGTATATTTCTGCAAAGGATCTTTACCTTGGCAAGGTTTGAAGGCAGCAACTAAGAGACAAAAATACGAGCGTATCATGGAAAAGAAAGTTACGACTCCAATTGAAGTGTTGTGTAAAGGCTTGCCAAATATTTTTGAGCGCTACTTTGAATACGTCAAAAACTTGAGATTCGAAGATAAACCAGATTATGGTTTCCTTAGAGGAATATTCAGAGATTATTATTTGGAACAGCATTACAGATATGATTACATTTATGACTGGACAATAGTTAAATACCAACAAGCTAAATTAGCCCAGAAGAATAGCAATGGCGAAGAAGAAGAAGCCGGTGCATCTAATCAAAAGAGCTCCACTAGAGCTCCTTTCCTTTTAGACCCTACTATTGTTCCTCCACATCAAGCTAATCAAATAGTGTTTTATCAACCAAACCAACCGGAGGCGCCACAGACACAGCCTAACGTTTCAAAGGCTGCTCCTCAAACACAAGTTCCGGTCCAAGCCCCTGCTCATGCCCAGGCCCAGGAGGACCCAAGTTTAGTTCCAAATATATCTTTAGTTGTTTCCCCAAACATGCCTCAAGAACAAGCCGATGGCAATAAAGCAAAGAAAGACCTTGTTTCTTCTGCATGGCTTTAAATTATGTTGGTATATACATACAATTCATTCTTAAAATTACACTGCTCATATTGTCATCTTATGAAATATCTCCCGGAGATATTAGCAATTTCTTTTTTTCACTCTAATCGTTACTTTTCTCCTCTTATATGTTCATTGTATTTGTCATTTTTAGTTTTCATTTCTTTAGCACATCATTTTTCTTTTTCATTCACTATTTTATTCATTCGGCTTTTACTTATATATGCGAAAAGAAAGAGAAACAATAACATTGTTGTCTTGTTTCATTAATTAGTTAGTTGATAAGTTGATATTATTGTAGCGTAATTCACCATAAGCATAAACCAGGTGTGTGGGTTTTTTTTTTTTTTTTTTGTGAAGGAAAAATTGAATTTTGTGCAATTTTCTGTGGTCCATAGATAAAAACATAAACCTGAGACAGAAATCATATCAAAAAATAATTCACTCTAAATATCACAAGAAAAATAGAATCATCGGGTACCGTGATATTTTTGTTCAGTATTCAATCATCACTGTGGTTCCAATCCTGCTCACTGCTCCTCTTTGAACCATTGTGCTGTGAACTGTATTATATATTATATTAAATGAAAGGAAAGGATTGATAATAGTTATGCCAACTAATGACACAAACGGGACTAGCCCGTCGTCCAATGCTAACACACCAAACAATAATAACAACACAGAACCTCATCAGATTAATGACTATAAGAGAAAGATTCCCGCTGTGGGAAGCAGTTCCAATAATGCCAATGCGGGACCAGCCACAAATCCTGGCGTTTCTCAATCACCATACAGGCGAATATCGGGGCCTCAATTGTCTTATCACAACCGACAAACTAGCAATAAGAATTATTATGGCTCTTCGCATAACACGGATGATTATGACTCAGCAAAAAGATCATTCAGTGGTGGAAGAGGCAGTCAGAAGCCATATTATTATGATAGTCTAGAGCAACTGCAACTACAAAAGCAACAGCAACAAGCGCAAAAACTACAGAAGCAGCGAAGTGGCTCGCTACCGTCAATGAGAAAGAATAATAATAACAATAGTGCTCAGGAACAGCCCGAAAAGCCGTTCTTGTCGATAAATACTGATCGTGATGCTAGGGCAGCTAATGAAGACCCTAAAAGTGCCTTGGATAGACCGTTATCATCGGGCTCAATAAAGACACCCAGATCTGCATACCACTCTGCTAGCTCATATGGTAATCCTAGATTTTCAAATTATGGCCAGCGAAAGTTCCACGGCTCAAAATATAGTGCCCTTGGCTCTGTGGAGAAAAATGGCAGCACACCTAATAGCGCTAGTAGCTCCAATAATGATGTAAAGAGTTTTGATACAAATGAACCGGCAGATAATCACAGTGGTGACTCTTATTACCCAAATGGAACATCATATCCCTATTCAAAGCATTATAAACAATCTGGACGTTATTTTGGAAAATCAGGAAAGCCAGATTACTATGGGAACAGCCAGGATTCTTTTTATGGCTCCAAATATTATCATGGCAATAGCAATTACTCAAGTTATGGGGCCGGATATGGTTATGACCATGCTTCATATGGTAAACATCCTAAAGGTCATTATAGCTCTTACAACAATAATAATAACTTTGATGACGATTATGGGGGCCCTGGAAAATTCAATAGGCCAAAAAAGTACAATAATTGGTATGGGTCAAGCCCGAACCCTCCGTCAACACCAAGCAATAGTAAAACTGGCTCGGCATCTTTGACGTCCTCCCCTTGTACTGATGATAAATCTATAGATTCTAAGATTTATAACCTCGACACTGCAATAAAAAGCAATGATGAAAAAAGAACAGAGGAGGAAGAACATGAAGAGGATGAGGATGAGGAAGAAGATAATGAGGATGACTATGAAAAAGGAAATGATGTTGATGGAGCTAAAAATAATGGTGAAAATTCTCTAACAAAGACAGAGCTATTTCATAAATCAATTGATAAATCGCTTATATCTTCTGCGGCAGCGGAAAGTCCTAAGACAAATTATCTTGGAATTGAGGACCGTAAGTCTGGTGAAGTATCACCAAACAATATGCAAAAATCTGATACGTGTGGTGTTGATAATGAAGAAGACGGTTACAACATTGATTCCGATATTGAGATTCATTTTGACGATGAAGAGGACGATGATAAATGTGAATTCAAGAAAAGGAGTAGCAGACCTGAAACCCCTGCAGTGACAAAGGAAAAGGAAGTGAAAGCAGAAGAGCCTCTACCTAGGAATTTATTGACGAAACTCAACACACCAGAATCAGCACAGATTGATTTGAAGAAGAAACGGACAAAAGCCACGGGATCGGCACCAAAAAGACAACATCATAAACTCTACATAGCTTTTGGTGAAGGATGCGTTTTCCCCCTTAATAAGTTGGAGCAAGCATTATTTGACTTGAAGAACAGACCAAGAGAAGAAATCATTCAAGAACAAAAGTACCTACTCAAACGAGCCGTGACAAATTTCTCAACAAATTATCCCTTCTATAAGAACAACATTTTGATAAATGAACAAGTGGTGAAACCACGATTAGTGGAAATTTTCAAAAATACTACACAAAGAATTTACTATCAAACATTAATATTAAGAAAGGAATATTCAATATTGAAGGAGAAGTGGGACACACAAACAGAAATCAACGAAAAGCAGTTAGTCTCCATTTATCCTGACTATCAATCCCAACTATTTGATCATAAATTTAAAAACAATGAACCCATTGAAGATAAAACGACATCCGGTCGGAGAAGTAGAAATCATATTGCTGATAGCGTTACTTCTGAAGCTGAATTTGAAAAGATCTTGCAACAGATAAAGATGAACGATCCTCTATATAAAGCCGAACAGCATGCAGCAAGCATTCCACCAATGATCATGAATCCAGTTGATAAATATTCCAAACACTTCATCAATGTGAATAACTTGGTTCTCGATAAGAGCTCATTCGTGAAAAGATTGTTCACTGATCCGATCGACAATTTCACCAAGGAAGAGCATGCTTTATTCACAGAAGCTTATGTGAATAATCCAAAGAAGTTTGGTAAGGTATCACAATTGATGGGAGGGTTGAGGACATCTGAAGAGTGTGTAATGCATTATTACAATACCAAAAGGCTGGTTAACTACAAGCAATTGGTGGCCAATAAAAGGAACAGGAAGACTAGTACCAGAAAAAAGACATCCAAGTCGCGTAGCAACAACAGAAAAAGTGAACTGCATGAGGCAATTGAAAACAATGTTCCTTTACCAACAACAGATGTTGAAAACGAGGGAGAGGAACCACTCAAGGACAATGATGAACTCATGATTAAGGATAGTACTGAGGAGAACCCTAAGAGAAGTATTTCTGACATAACTGAACATGAGAAAAAAATAACAGCAGAAGAATCTCTCGAACCACCGACGAAAAAGCAGAAGCCTGACATTAATGTCGCTGTTGAAGTAGCTAAACCTACTGTCACCGCCACTGAGTCAGCTCCACAGGTGAATCATGTCCCAATGCAAATTCAATCACCTATACAGCCAAAAGAACCTCTTTTGCCACCTTCAGTTCCAATAGATAGGTTCCATGTGAGCCACATAAAACCGAAGTCTACTCTTCCCGAGAAAAATGAAGAAATTATTCCGTTCAAGGAACGAAAATCTAAACCAGTTTCTAGTTATTGGAGCGTATCGGAAATTGGACTATTCCCTGGTCTTTTGCAAAAGCATGGTACGCAATGGGACATGATTGCTAAAGAAATGGGTAGCAAGACCACTATTATGGTTAGAAACTATTATTCTAAGAATGCTGACAAGGAGGGTTGGAGAGACACTGCAGAACATGTTGATAAAGAAAGAAAGGAAAAAGAGAAAAGCTCAGCCAGTAACGTTATGATAGGGAACGAGCATGGTAATAACGCTTTTATTCAAGCAAGAAATCAGCAATACGATTACAAACACGCTGAGCCCCCATTAGGTTATTTTGTGGATAAAATCCCAACAGGTTACTTCAACAGCAAAAATGTTCATTCTTCACCAGTTGCACCAAGAAAGCACGAGGATATATGGGCGATGAAATCATTGGCGCCAATGCCACTGGTAACACCCACTATTCCTCCTGTTGACACTTCTATGATTTCTTCTAGTTCCAAAGACATTCAGACTCCCAATGGGTTGTTGGGCACTTTCTACAGCAATAGACCACTTGAAGCGCCTCGTGAGCAAAAGAGCAATATCCACACCCTTATCAATACTGCTTCCAAACCAGCGCCAGAAGTGTATCACAAATCTGATATTAGTTCAGTCTTGAATGGAGTAAAGGAGGCTCCTACTGATTTATCGATCCAAAAGTCTTCAATTTCTTCACCTCGGGTATCTATTTCATCTATTGTTAATCAAGATCTGGCAGCGGCAAGATCCACCTCACCGGTTTTGAACAGACCGGCGAGTGACTCACCAAAGACATCGATTGCAAATTTGATTTCTCCAACAAACAATCCTTTGTCAGCTAAAGCTAGTCATATCACTCCAAAGTCATCGATTTTTAATTTATTAAATAGCGGCTCCTCTGGTGAGAAGCCCCTGGCCATGCCAAAAAATCATTCATCACAAGTCTCACAACATTCAACCGCTTCTAGTAGAAGTACCACTCCAGTCAATTTGCCACCCCTTTCAAGTTTCAGCAATGCCGGTGCAAACACCCAGCAGTCTATTTACGGTGATAAAAAGTACGCATCTGCATACGATACGTCAAGATCATTACTCTCCTTTGCGTCATCTGGTAGCCGTTCAATTTTGAATCATTCATCAAGCCCTGCACTTGCGGGCCCATCGAACACATCATCTTTTTCTAGTCAGGGCACTAATACTTGGGAAGAACGAAGATTACCGGCATTGAACTCTGTGTGGAAGCCAGCGACTGTTCATCAGGCTACGCAATCAGGATTTGATACCTTGATTGCTGCTGCTTATCGTCAACAGGAACAACAACAGACACGCTCTTATGGTGATCAAAATGCTAGAAAAGCTGGTGATTTGAGTGAATATCATTTGAGTAACGGCAATGGTAATCAGGCTCAGTAAATTGAATGAATGAATGATTCGATTTCAGGGCATTATATTATTATCCGAAAACTTTCAAGATTATTTTTTTTTATCACAAATTATTTTTCTTAATCAATCCATTTGTTTTTCATCTTCTTTTTTTGTTGTCATTATTGGTTTTTTCTTCTTTTTTTTTTTTGATTTGGCTTTTTTCATGTATGAGACTGGGTAATTTGATTTTCTATTTATGTATATATATGATGATGTGTTTTATGAAGTTCTTTTAATTATTTCATTCTAATTATTTTTACAACTATCAGACCAGATAGCTTAATTATTTCCATTTTCAATGGTTTACTGACCCTAGGTTTGAGGTGTCAAATTTATGTATTAATCTGAACAACTTTTATTATCAGCCACTTGTATAAAAAGGCTTGCTATTTATTCTGTTGCTCCAAAATTGCATTCAACATTGGTACAACATAAGCATTATAAGCATTCTCATTTACCCAATAATAACTTAAGATCACACAAATTAAATAGATGAAGACGTTGGCCATAAAAGTAATGGAAATACCCACAAAATAAACCGTGGCTTGGTTTCTGATTATCCAACTAATTGCCTTGTACCATCCATAATCTGTATCCATGAAGCTTGGTGACTTCTGTAATATCAAACGACTATTGAAATTGTTAATCTGAATAAGATCATTGAATTCGAGTATCAAATCCGTCTCAATGAATTTATCGTATGCATCAGCGGCGAACATGAGGTGGGAAAAAAGTTTGACTTCAATTTGTGAATCTTTTGGGAATACCCACAGAGATGATGCGGTCAGGTAACTAAGTTTAGGTACTCCTAATGAGTAGAACATTGGAGGGACGAAATGTTTCAATATTGGTGGGATTATTGGATTATCCATGGAAGACTGGTAAGAAAGACAGTCCACCAAGAAAGATTGGGTAAGAGAGGTCTGATATTGTGGGTTATGGGTGGTATGATCACGAGTATATAATGAAGGTATTTCCAGGGTCATGAAGCGAGTTAGTGGCCAGGAATTCCAATGTGATCTTTCGCGACAAGTGGTTTGAGGTGTTTTTTTACTATAAGGAAATTCATTTGCATCACGATGGTACATTTCCCAAAGTTTAGAAGTTAGAGATGAGTTCACCAACGAGGCCTTGATAGAATACACCTTGTGGGATTGAGTAATTGGCGAAACGTTGATGGAGTCTTGGTTTAATGATATTGTCGAGCCGCAGTACGGTTCGAAATCTAAATATACATCGTAATTCTGATTCGAGTCTAGTAAATCCAATAACTTGGATTGTCTAAGGCTCAACGAGACAAACGGGGGTTGATTAATGTATTGATAGTCGAAATTTAGGGGAACAATTATTTGATGACTTTGTGATGATGTGATACAATCGTAGAATTTGACAAAGAGGAAAATCGACCAAGGAAGTATTATTATTGTGCAGACAGTGACAAGTTGAAAGAAGTACATCCCCAATCTGAATATCCTAAGGGCAATTGGGAACGTGGATTGTGGAAGATTAGCAGCTAGACGCATTTTTTTTTCCTGTATCTTTATAAATAATCAATTTATGATAGATTTTTTACACCCATTGTTGTGCAGATGTTAGGATTGTTGTCAAAAACAACTATATTGAGAGTTGCTTTTCAAGGGTGTATTTTTTTTTTTGGTGTCCAGTTTTTACCCGACCCGCTGATTAAACATGATGACAATATATTCGGAACTCAATTTGGCTTATAGAAACAATTTCAGAAGATGATCGTCCCTGTTGCGATTCTGAAGGGGATAGAAAGGAAAATAAGGAAGTTCAAGATCTGATTTTGTCGTAAAGTAAAGAATTGTGAACCACAAAAGACACATGCATGTCAGCATATAACCGCACTCCAACATGGCTGTAATATTAGTATTTGATTTTACCAAAAAATAGGGTTTTGGAAGCTAAGGATAGATGGGATGAATTGGATTGTCTTCGTATAATAGATTTTTGCCGAGATGCTCCTTATTTTGAGCTCGAAAGCTTCGTGACGGGTCCCAACTCGAAGTCAATAATTTTGGTTGAAAATCTTACTGCACATTTTTCTTTTATTCTCTGAAAATAAAACAATACTATAAATGTTTCTAAGTATTCGAGGAGTCTTCAAAATCAGCTGGATCAACGTATGATGTATGATTGGTCATTTTTAGAGAGTATCGTAATAAATGTGAATTCCAGTGCATATTTTGCTTTCTCACTAAATCGAGGTGGTATGTTATATTCGCGCATATATAGCAGGATTACAAAGCCGGGCCAAAATAGAAAGAATATACTTAATATTAGAACGATGTGTGAATTTATTTCATGAATTAGTGGAAAAGAGAAATATGGACGAAAGTTTGCACAAAAAATTGAGAAGACTGATAAATAAAAAATTCAAAAATAATAAAAATAAAAACCCTATTAAATTTCACGAGTAATAAATAACAGACAAAAGAGAAACAGTGAACATAAAAGTACTAAAAATATATATAAACGTTGAAATAAAAATGAGAATAAAAAACAAGTGTACAATTTTACAATAGGGAAAATACTCCGTCTTTTGATTGAGAGCTTCAATAGCTTGTTGGAACTAAGATGTGAAAGGACCAAAAGACAATAACATGTTTGAAGGAATAATGAGGTCCAGTATTAAAAGAAGGCAGTGTATACTGCAAAATGGGCAGAAATATTCACAAATAACGAGAGACATATTTCTAGAATGATGAACTTAGCCTGAGAGAAATCGATAATAAAAAAATTATCTGAAAAATATAAGAATACGCTTCCAAAAATAGCGATAAAAAAATGATAAAAAAAATTCATGATAATGGTGATAATGACAACAATATGAGTGAAGTATTAAATGATAATGCCAATGCGCGGATCTAAACAATAATAATAATAATGAAAAAGACACAAAAAAAACCTCAATTTTAAGCTTTGAATACAGCTCAAACTCTAACAAACCGAAAAATTTAATGTGTACTATGACCTCTATGATACTTCAAACCATTCAAGTTCTTGTACCGCTTACCACATACCTCACATCTAAAAGGTTTATCCTTCTCCAAGTTGAAACTACCATCAGGATATGGTTGGTTACTTTCAGGATCAATAACACTGAATGTACCATCAGGGTTTTCAAATAATTTTTGGTTTTGGTGTCCGTGAGCTTTATGATATTTCAAACCGTTCTGGTTCTTATAAGTCTTATCACACCCAATGACTGGACATTTGAAAGGACGATTTTCTCCATCCACATAAAGGTGACGGGCTGGATCGTCAATACAGATCTCTTCATCCTCATCCTTTTTGATATTTTTATTTGACGAATGATCACCATTAGGTTTTATACCAGATGTCTGGAGATCGATATCAGTTTGATTGGCATTATTATTGGAATTATTGTTCATGTTCATGTTTTGATTATTCTGAGAAAATTGATTGGAAAGATTATTTGAAAGATTAGATGAGTTGAGCTGATAATTTCCAAATTGATGAATGTTATTGTTATTATTATTGCTGTTATTGTTATCCTTCATGAGAACATTATTCACATTGGAGCCATCCTGAATATTATTCAATTGGTGGCCCAACGAGCCATTAAAGGTGAAAAGAGAATTCGAGTTGTTGGGTTGCTGCATTTGGTTAATATCTAGATTATTAGCATTACCAAGAAGATTATTATCAAGGTTCATCACCCCGTTATTCACCTGTATACCACTGCCATTATTATGATTGTTGTTGTTGGCATTATTTGACAAGAAAACTTCATTGGTAGATACTGCCTCCATGAGATCGTTAGAGCGTTTTAAATTCTTGCTATTATTAGAAGTCACTTGACCATCCCCATTGACTACCAAGTCATTCAGAGGAGGGGAAATTGATATATGAGCTTCTTCATAATGTTTTAATAAATCGTGTAAAGTCGGTAGTATGTCACCACAACAGCTGTAATCTTTGCAGTAGTCCGCCTCAAGGTTCGGCAAATAATTGACGGGCGGAGGCGACATGGTCATCATTAAATCCTGGTTCATATTCAACATTGCATTGTTTTGGTTATTGTTTAAGTTGCCTAATATATTGAAAGTCGGATTATTTTGATTATTATTTTGATTGGATGGATTACCATTGCTATTAAGCACGCCGTTATGGTGGAATAACACTTCATCTTTAAGCCAGCTACCAATAGTCAAGGAACCGAAGGAGACACCACCCATCCCCTGAGTATGGGCAATACTTTCTCTCCTGAGCCTTGGATTATTCAAAAATTGATTAATGTTATTGATATTGTTATTGTTGTGGTTGGCATTGGTATTACTGTTCACATTGCTACTCATGTTGTTATTGTTGTTGGTATTATTGGTATTCTGCGACTGCTGCTGACCTCTATATCCAAAGGGAGAAGATCTCTGATAGGCAATATCAATCGGTGCCGTCATCTGGTTTCCAAAATCAAAATCATTATTGTTGTTGTTGACGTTCATCGCGGATGAGCTGTTGTGGTTGAAGGAGGGAGGGTCGTTTGCCATTGCAGTATCGAAATCAAAGTCAAACATTTCGGTGTCGCCAGTGGCACCTGGATGAATGTTGACAGAAAACTCAGAGTTCATGATTGAAATGACAATAAGAAAATATTAATAATGTAAAAAAACAAAAACAATTAGGCAAATAATAATATAATAATATTCGCTCTCCTCCAAATTGAAATTTCCAAGTAATTGAGGAACAGGGGTAGAAAAGTCAATAAATTTCCGTTCAAACCGATGGACGCCTTACTCAAGTATATTCTATGTTTGGGGCCCGAATATATTAGAAATATTGGGTGTCTAATAGATATAAGGGAGGAATTGATTGTTTGTCCTAACCAATGCTGGTGGAGGTTTTTTGGATTGTTAGGGCTGCTCACCTGTTTGTAATCAGGCGGAATTTCTTTTGCTGGAGGAAAAAGAAGAAAAGTTTTGGGGGGTCTCTGATGGATGGCCAACAAACAGAGGGTATTTCCGTTACCCGCACATACATGAGGGTAATTGTTTCATTACGTAATTGCCACTGTTTGTGTTGTATAATGTCTTATGTCAGCAGGTCATGTGAATGGATTACCGATGGATTACATAAAATGTCGCGCTCTATTAGGTAATCACTGAAAAAAACAAAACAAAAAAAAGCTTGGATGACTTTTTTGGGAAACATAAACAAATGGTGGTCATACAAAGGCGTTTGATTGTGTTCTAACAACGGGACATCACTTCTGGCCGAATTTGTTACAGTGATATTGTCTGAAGTATGACTTCGACCCTAACATGGTTCGAATTGGCAGAATTCGATGATTTTCTTACTGCCTCGGTAGTTGACCCCATTTATTATTGGGCAACTATCAGAAAGGCATATCATCAAACTAACTTCAAGGCCGATAAAACATTGTCAACAAAGGAAGCTTTGGCCTTGATTAGAAATCATCTAGTTTTCCCAACTGGTGAAGAGGCCACTTTGGCAACGGCAAAAAGACTCAACTTCTTGATGGAAGATTTCATGAAAATGGGGAAGGTGCGAAACTTCTTGAGAAGGTACCCCGAAGAATCCAAGATTCGGGAATTTAATAGGCATGCCAAAAGATACTTTCAACTTTTTCAAAAGGATTGCGGGTTTGATGTTTGTACCACTGACAGATATTTGAGTAAATCCGGGAACCTAGAGGCTTGTGTGATTGCCAAAAGAGTGTATGAACCCAATGAAGAAATTAAGTACCTTTTTGGCTGCCTTGCACAATTGGATGAGGAAGAAATCAATAATTTCGATCAAAATGATTTCAGTATCATTAATATCAGCTCCAAAAATACCCCTTGTCTTATGTTGGGTCCAACAAGATTTGTCAACCATGACTGTAATGGCAATGCTAAATTTTGGTCCAATAAATCCGGGATGACCATTGTAAGTGTCAGAAGAATTTTGGTCGGAGAAGAAATTACTGTTACTTATGCTGCGAACTACTTTGGTAAAAAAAATAAAGATTGTTTATGTGCCACTTGTGAAAGAGATGGCCTTGGTGGGTTTGCACCTAAACAAGATAACGCGGAACAGCCGCAGATTGTGGAGGATGGAAGCGCAGATGAAAATGATAAAAAAGTAATAGAAGATGTCCTCAGTGATGAGGAAAATAAGGAAGATCAAAAAAATCGTTTCTCAACGCCTGAATCAGATATGGCAGACGGCACTATGTATGAACTTGTTTCAAGTGGAAGCGATTCTGAAGGTGAACTTTTAAGTGATGATGAATCAGATATAGAATGTATTGATGATCCTACAGGTGTTTCCGACTTATTACAAGTCCCTATCAGCTCTTCTACTGCTGATAGTGATGGCCAAAAGGAGGGCTCTCGTACTGGAGATCTCGGCTCTAGTACAAAATCTAATGGTGGAAATTTTTCTTCTATCGTCAATAGAGGTGGCGACACATCTAAAGAAAAAAGCTCTGCTCCGCCAGAATCTGCTACATATGATGCTGGGGAAAAGTCAAAGGGTAAGAAGGGATCAGTGTATGGTGGCAGATTGCGACCAAGGAACAAAGTCAATAAAAAGAAAAAGGTTTTACAAACCATCGACTTGTTCCGGATCGATGACTCTCCTGATTCCTTTAAAACAAACCTCCAAACGTCTAAAGATAGTTATGCATCAAATTTCTCCGAATTCTCTCAAAGAAAAATATTCAAAACCTTTCAAAGACTTTACAATAAACGTTATTATGATGCTAAATTTCAGCTGGAGCATGACATTTATGATTGTCAAAATTGTGGTTGCTACTTCGAATATGATCCCAGTACTTTTGAAGCCATGAACTATGAAATACACCCATCCATGCATGCTGCTAATGGGGATGCCAACAAGTCTTCTATCAACAATTTGTATTGCCCAAAATGTTTGAGACATTTTAAGATTTTCAAATTAGCGTGGCCTTTAACTAAAGTAGATTTGACGATAAGCAACCGAATGGAAAGCATCAGACAATTTTTAACTTTTTGGCCAGCAAAGAGAAAACCGGTTGATTTGATTCCAGAACTGAATAAGCATCGCAAACTTGATGGAGATGGGAACTTGGAAGTAGAAGATAAGGTGAAGGTAGACGAGTTGGATCCTCCTCTGAGCAATGGTGACAAAAATGCAGGCAAAGTCAGTTACCGTTATTACAAAGGAAAGCTCGTTGAAATTTCGGGAGAAAACAATGTAAAAGATCCAGAACGTCTAAAATTGGGCAGTGTCACTTCTGTCTTGAGTGATATAAAGGATTTGAAATTAACTCTTAAAACGAATTCACCAAACTCTGGGACTAACTTGAAATCAGATATTCCTTTGAAAGTTCATAGATTGAGAGAGTCTTATATCAAGAAGTTAAACGAAGAGTGGATTGTACTTTTTCAAGCTTATGAGGCTTTTGTCAAAGAACAAATAGCGGAGCTTATTGAGAAAAATCCCCATATTTTAAAGACCTCGTTCTTCAAGAATTCCAAGCAGGTCTCGGCTGGATCTTGGAGATCTTCTATGACACCAGTATTCAAAAATTCATCCAGATCTGGCTCAAACCTCGCGCTTAGAACACAGGAAAAGGGACCAAAACTAAAACCACGGAGCTTACCATCAACCTCAACCAAAGCAACAAGAAGAAAAGCTAGTGTGGCTGATATTGCCAACCATATTAAATCAAGAGCTACAAGACAGAGGGAAAAGACCAATACGACTTCTAAAAGAGGTAAATACGTATCGGACTCGGATGATGCTCTTCAAGACGTTGCACTTGGGGATCATGGGACTACTGAGATTTCCTCTAGATTGAGGGACAACTCTCGAAGACCGGTAAAAGGCGACCAACTGTCGTACTTCAAAAAGCCTAGACTTGACAAATCTAATTCAACTTCTTCGGCTCTGAAAACTGCTAAGAATCAAAAGGTTTCTATGAGAGATTTGATTTTAAAGTACAAGAAAAATGGTGTTGAAGAAAACCAGGTGAAGTATTATAGATCGAAGAGCGAAAGAATTTCTCAATCCTCTCAAAGCTCTTCTGAAAGAACAAAAGCCAAGCAGCCTACTCTGAAACTTTTTGCTCCAAAAGAAACAAAGCAACCTAATGCAGTAAAATCGCTTGCTTCTAATTTGGGCTCAAGTTATTATGAAAAATACCAATCAAAACCAAAACCAAAACCAAACATGCCAATGTCAGCACCAATGCCAACGGTTAGATCTGGGCCTATATTAGATCCAAGAAAGAGAAGAAGACCGATTGCTCAAGAACCTAGAACTGTGGGTGAACCAGAAAAGAAAACTAGAAGCCTGCCAAGGGATTACAAGAAGATAACTTCTGAAACTAGCCGTCCCAAATCCAATAGTGACAAGTCTTTGGTTAAAAAGACGAATAATAATGGTCTTTTTGTTGAAGATGGCATTGCAGGAGATTCTGATGAGCTGGAAATTGTTGAGTATGGCACTTCTGCCTCAGTAGCAGCTGATGGATACGAGTCATCTTCGGATGAAAATGGAAAATACAATGTTTCGATGAAGAAGATTGATGATCTTCAAATTGCTGGTAAAGCCTTTGAGTACTTTGAAATCGATTGATTTTACATTCTTCATTTATGTTCATTCACTAAGTAACATGTTTTCTATTAAGATCAATATCCTGTTTTTGTTTCATATTGCTTCTTTCACATTTGATGTCCGACTGTATTTGTAATATAGATTATATTTTTATGTTTGTTCTTTTAGTTCTCATTCAGGTTTTTGAATACGGGTCAATTTATTGTTGTGATTATTTTAATTCTAGCAGATAACAATGTCTCATCCAGAAAAACTTATTCCTATTATTTGTTTGTTATAGTTTGTTCCATGATATTATTTGTATCCTTATTAATAAACAACTTAATAATTAGTCAACGGACGGCCAAAACGGCTTTGCATAAAAAAAAATGCAGGAAAAAAAAAATTGAGGAGGGATTAGGTGCAGAAAATTTTGAGTAATCTTCCTTGAACTATCTACTTTGACTCTCATCTGAACAAACTAATAAAGGAAGCAGATAAGCCAGATCCCGATATCTACATTCTTTGAGTTTTTGCTACCCTTTCCCTTTTTCAAAACGTTCCACGTTAAATCATTATCATCTATTATCCGTCAAAGGATAGTTAGTTTTTCGGTATCTCCATATACAAAAGATATCACAAGACTATACCATAAGATGGATACAGAAGTATTGAAAATTGATGTTACTTCTATCGAATATGCCGATAGGAATACAGAATCACCTAATATAAATGACCCTGTTACGGAGAGAAACCTCCAGAAAGCTGCCAAAATCATAACACAAGCTGGCGGTTTAGTGGGGTTCCCAACAGAGACAGTTTATGGACTTGGGGGTTCAGCAATCAACGATGAATCTACTGCAAACATTTTCAAGGCAAAAAACAGACCATCTGATAACCCATTAATCGTTCACATTTCCTCGATGAATCAATTGGAAAGAATTATTACTGCGAACACGAATAACCCATCTAAGGCGAAAATCCCAGAGATTTACAAACCGTTAATAGAAAAGTTTTGGCCTGGTCCGGTTAGTATCTTGATTCCTATCGATACCTCTATCAATGACAAAAACAATCCATATGTCTTATCTAAAAACGTTACCAATAACCTTGATACCGTTGCGATTAGGTTCCCATCGGACCCCGTGGCAAGGTCGTTGATCGCGTTATCTGATACCCCCATTGCTGCTCCAAGTGCAAACACTTCGACAAAACCTTCGCCAACCATGGCTTCGCACGTATATCATGATCTCAAAGGCAAGATTCCATTAATCTTGGATGGTGGTAATTGTAATATTGGACTTGAGAGTACCGTCATTAATGGGTTAGTATCGCCTCCAACTTTGTTGAGACCTGGTGGGTTATCAATTAAGGAAATTAAAAAAGTTCCAGGTTTTGAGAACTTGGTCACTGAGCTTAATATCAAGAAAGATAGTAATGAGCCAGTCAGAACACCGGGGATGAAGTATAAACACTATAGTCCAAATGCCATGGTATATTTAATTATCAATACCAAGCCGGAGCAAAATATCTTCAAATCCGAAGCGATAGGAAAGTTAATCAATGCAAATGAGACTAGCAAGTCTGCCTTAGTTAGTGAGCTTGGGTTTGGGCAATTCAAGGAAAGTGATAATTTGATTCTACGAGAATTGGGAACAACTGTGAAGGACATCCAGTTCAATATGTTTAGATTATTGAGAGAAATGGATCAGTTATCAGTGAAAAGGATCCTTCTTATCGTCAACAACTCCACACTTGAAGACGAAGATGGCCTTGCAATTATAAATAGGCTAGGAAAAGCTGCTAGTGAGAAGGTCTACATATAGTTTTCATTATTATACTTTACAGATTAATGCTTTGACAATCACTAAGAGGATATTTTATTTGAAAAAACTATTGAAAATGTAAATATTGTTTACGATAGACAATTGACTTAGTCAAACAAACCGAAACCCATGTCATCATCGGATTCATCTTCTTCTTCAGCTGGGGCTTCTTCAGCGGCAGCAGATTCAGAAGCAGCAGCAGCGACTGGGGCAGCAGCAGCGTAAGCGTCTGGGTTGGCAATTCTGTCCTTGATTTCTTCAGAACCTTCGAAGGTGTAGTCAGTAGCAACAGAGACAGCAAGAACATTCTTGTAGTGGTTGATGATACTGTGAGAAACAGATGGCAAGGTTGGGTAGTTGATAGCCAAAGAGATAGCAGCGATGTTGTTGATGGCAGAAACAAAGTGACCAACCAATTCTTCATCAGTAATATCCAAGATAGAAGATGGGAAGATTTGACCATCATCGTAAACTTGTTGGACAGTCAAACCGAAAGTGAATGGAGAGATGTTCAACATGTTCAACAAGGTAGCTTCAGATTGACCGACCTTAGTACCAGCAACGACAACCTTAATGTCAGAAGTAATTTCAATGTTACCTCTGGTAATCTTAGTTGGGACACCAATAGCTTGGAAGAAAGAGGTCTTGGATGGATCGAAGGCAGTTTGTTGAGCTGGAATGACAACATCGACATCGGAGAAAGCACCGGCTCTGGCTGGGGCTTGGACCTTGTGGTTGACAATTTCATCTCTGATGGTCTTCAAGTCATCGTTAGTGAAAACGAAACCAATGTTACCTTTGACGTGAGACAACAATTTTTCGAATTGTGGGAAGTCAGACAACAAACCTCTAACGGCAGTTCTGATCATGGTGTTCTTACCCATCAAAACGACGGCTCTACCACGGAGAGCCTTTCTAACTTCATGCATTTGTTGGGAAGAAACATTATCAACACCAACGATGAAGATAGATTTGTAGGTTTCCAATAATTCCTTTAACTTGGAAAAGTATTCGACTTTGCTTTCACGAGAACCTCCCATTTCGACTCTTTTATAACTGAGGATAGGCTTTTTAAAGTTTTCTCTTCAATAAAGATGATGATCTTTCAAAGTTGTCTAGGTATATGGTTAAAACCTGAAAAATTATCAAAAGTTTTCTCCCTCCTCAGAATGTTGTCAGAGTGCGTTTAGATGTTTATTTCAGGGCTTAGTTATCAGAGTGTTGCAAAAAAACACCTGCTGCGTGACCTGATATTGTACATGACTTACCACGTGCAATAACATAGGGCTTGTAAACCCACCATAGTATCATAGATACAACGTTATCTTTAATTTATTTATTATGATATCGCCCTCATTAAATTGAAAGTAGACTAAAAATAGAATATTTCAGTCCTTTTAAGTCTATATTAGGTGATTTTCGCAAAGTTTCCTGTAATTAAATGGTTGACTAGACCCTAAATAATGTGCTATCTCTCCCAATTTCGCTCTGTATGCTTGGAATTTTTGTCCAAGCATTCTTAAGCCAGTCATAAAGTGCTCTATGGCATTCCTCTTGTCCACGAACCACCGAAAGAGATGTCACAAGTCCCGATGTGCCTGCTACACCATCACCTTCCTCATAAACAGAGATTTGGGAGTGCGATATCGTCGTCCTGCACGTGTTGTAAATGATGATATCTTTCCTAAAATATGTAGGTGCTTTTATTAGCCTAATTGGGTAATATCTTTGAATAACAGGGGGGTCTATTTCTGAAGAAAAGATCCCCCTTTTGCCCCCTGGGCTGCGCTTAGAGTCAGAAGGAGCATCAGAAATTTGGTGCAGCAGAGACATATATATACAACTGACTCTTACACTAACTAGAAATCAACAACATATAAACGCTATACACAGTATATGAATGTCGGTGAACCAGAAGTCATCGATCTTTTATCATCAGACGAGGAATGTTCCGTCTCTAAGGAGAAGTCGGATACGGCGCCCATAATCATTGAAAAGAACCCCCGAAATGCTAAGGTTGTCAAAGTCGAAAGAGATGAGCTAGAAAAACCGAAAAAGAAGAAAAGAGAGCGGAAGCCAATACCAATACTCAAAATACTAACTTTCGAGAACGTCAAGGGACACAAGTTTTCTGTGTCTGTGGATGCTTTCAATTACAAAAAACATGATTCTATTGATCACTATTTCTTATCACATTTTCATGCAGATCATTACTATGGAATCACCAAAGGATGGAATAATGGAGAAATATACTGCTCGGAGATCACGGCCAACCTTTTGGCTTTAAAATACAAGATCAATCCAAGCATTATTCATCCATTGAAGTTGAATGTGACTTATGAGCTAGTTGACAATTTATTCATTACATTGATAGACGCAAATCATTGTCCTGGTGCTGCTATCATATTGTTTGAATATATCACAAATATGAAGAAAAAATCGAATATTAAAGAGGAAGATAACCTTTATGAGAATAATTATCATGATATGCAAGAAGATGAAATCTGGGAGCTTTTGGAGAGAGAAAAGTTTGGTATTGAAGAAAACAATATTCTCAATGAATCTTCTAATCTAAATAATCGTCGATTTATCAGAGCATGTGAGAACTGTGGTATCAAAGTTTTCAGGATTTTGCACACGGGAGATTTTAGGGTTTGTAAAACAATAATTTGCAATTCTTTGATTGCCAACCATAAAATTGATAAATTGTATTTGGACACCACTTATTTTGATCCTCGTTACACGTTCCCGGATCAAGATTTGGTAGTTAAACAATTTGCAGAATTTGTTGTGGAGTTAGTATATGGGGTCTTCTTCCAGAATTTGGCGGAATCTAACGGAAAAGGAGACTCCACATTACTATATTTTCAAAAGAGAATCACTGATTTCTTTACAGAAAAGCCAAAAGAACCTCCAAAAACAAAGCGCAAAACTAAATCTAAAGCTGGGTCGTATGAAAATGAATTTCTTGGGCCATCCACAGGGTTCAACAAATTTAAATACAATTATCTTATTTGTATCGGGACTTACACTATAGGCAAAGAAAAAATCGCCATTGAGTTAGCTAAAAAGTTGAATTTGAAAATTTATGCGAACGGAGCCAAAAGAGAAATTTTCAATACTTTCACCGATTCAGATCATAGCTCTTTCAGGGATTTGATTATTGATGATCCTTTTGCTACTAATATTCATTTGGTTCCCATGCGATCCATATCTTCACCAGCTTTATTGGAAGCTTATTACAAGCCCTTAAGATTGACTTACAAGAATATTATAGGAATAAGGCCAACTGGTTGGACACTAAGATCGAAACCCTCATTCACCGCCCATGAATTGAGGACCTTGACGAATGAGGAAATTTTAGCTGCCACTGTTAATAATGATAAAGTGCATTCTTTCGGAATTGATGATTTTTATGCACAATTCAACGCTAGCAAAGTTTTGCAAATTTACAACATCCCGTACAGTGAGCATTCAAGTTTTCGAGAGTTATGCATGTTCATAATTTTGTTGAATGTCCAGCAAGTGATACCTACCGTGAATCTTCATAATCTTGAAAGTATTAGAAGGATGGAACAATGGGTATCTATTTGTAAAAAAATGAAGGAAGAAAAGCACTACAGCATTGAAGATTTTTGATTTTGGTTTTGGTTTTGGTTATTAACAGTAACGTTAAAAATTTCTATAATATAATATACAGACAGTCCCCCAGGGCTTGTCAGATTCATTCAGTTTGTTCCAATAAATCATCTAAAGTCTTATCATCATCATACCTCCAACATACTTTCTTAAAACCAAATTTGTTTTCATAAGTTCTTCTGGTTACTTTGAATTGAAGTTTGGGTTTATTTGATATTCTTTGATGTTTCTCCATTGAAAACAATTTATTGGATATTTTCTTCTTTTTAGATACGGCTTCTTCCTTAGTATCATATCCAAAGAATTTGATCATTTGCTGCTCCTCATTGAAATAGACATTCAAGTATTCGGAAGCAGGAAGATTTGTATCGCACATCACCAATCTAAAACCTAAAAAAATATTCTGTTTCCCATTATAACTAATCATGATGTTTTTTTCCTGTGAATCATATCCATGCTTTTGTAAACAATCTTGATATAGAGAGTTGGCCGTAATATCATCACCAGTATCAACACTCAATAAGTACGCAGAGATTCTGACCTGCGTCAGATTATCTCCGTCAGTAGATCGTAGTAAAAAGCTCACGGAACGAGCACTGCTTTGATTAGTGTTTCTAGTTGAAAGCTTCCCTTGACGATCATACAAAGCTTGGGAACTTTGGAACATGTCATCTTCACCCTCATCATCTTCGTAATTTTCGGGTTGCGGTTGTTGCTTCATCATTTCATGATATCTGCTGTAATCACTTTCCTGTTTGACTTGATGACTTGGCAGAAAAAAATTTGCCTGTGTTTTCGAAAAAAGATTATCTTTCATATTATTATGATTCAACTTTTGGTCCCTCAAATCATTAGTGCCCATGTCATCAACACTTGAGAAAGCGGTATCTTCTCGATGAACCCAAGAATCAGAGCGATCTTCTTCTAGGGACAAATTTGCTTCATGCGTTCCCATAGACCTCGTTCTCCTCTTAGCTTCTTGTATATTTCCTAGTTGTTTTGGTAATTTTCTCTTTGCTGTCGTACTGTTCCCGCGCAACCAAGAAGCAAAATATTCACGGAAGACGTTTTGTTTATCCATTACCCATTTTTCCCCGCAGTGATTGAGTATCCGGTTGAATAATGGTTTAGTTTGCTGAAGGTATAGGGGAACAGTATCAGGTGTTATAAACTTGATATTGTTTACAATACCTTCAAACCCATACTTCCCGAAACAATACTTGAAATTAAATAGCAAAAATATCATTTGATTTTTGAAAATCCCATTCTCCGTTTCGATGCCTCCATCATTGTGAAACCAATCCCTCTCCAAAACCAGATAATGAAAATGTTTCCCGCTGTTTCGCTTGTAATCATTTACAAAGGCATCGAAGAGATGACGAGCCCCTGGCAAAATCGTCAATGCAAATGTCTGTCCAGGATAGAACTCATATGAGCCTAAAGCAAATGACGTTCTGGAGATATTTCGTAGAATATTTGGATTTTCATGGGCAGTGAGATCAGTTACCGTGAAAACGTTTTTCTGATAGAGTTCATCTGTATTTAGAAGAATGAACGGCAAAGTGTAGTTGTTTCCGAGTTTTCCCTTTCCATTTAAGTCACTGAGGCATGTTATGTTATTCATTTGGTATTAGTTTTGGTATTATTATGACGAGTAAGTGGCATATTTTTGATTTCTTTTTCAGGTAAATAAAAAACTTTTTTTTTTAAAAAAAAAAAAAAAGCATTTTTGGCGCGTTTCGCGTTTGTGTAATCAAAATATCTTTATAAGCCGAACAGTAATAAACAGATCAACGAATAATAATATATTTTTCAGAAGTTATCTCGTCAAATATTCCTTGTCCATTTTTTCTTTTTTTCTTTTGCTAGGAGGTAGAAGTTCTCAGCTGGTAATGATTTTACAGACATGTAAGCCTTTTAAGTCGAGAAATGAAAAGACCTCAAAGCATACAAATACCATCAGAACAGAATGCTATCCATTAAATACATAGGATTCAATTCAAGTCAGAAAAAAATATTAGAATACCAGCAAGAAAACAAAAGAAATACAAAGAAATATACAATCCCCAAAAATAAAAAATAAAAATAATCCTGAATTAGAGTCTATTACTGTTTAGCAACAAGTCAATATTTTCATCCAATAACTCGTCAGTGTAAAACTCGGATCTTCTGGCGTTTTCTTCAGTGTAACCTTCATCGCCGAGCAAAATTTTCAAGGATTTGGCGTGAGATTCTTGCCATTTCTCCAAGAAATTGAGAGGATCCTCAGCAAACTTCTTAAAGAATTCATATTTCGTTCTAGAAGAGTTCAACGCCTGAATATCTAAAGCAATTTTAGTGTCAAGTTCTTTAATGAGAGGATCATTCTTGGTGATCATTTCCTTTTCCATGGCAGTATACTGTTTAGCATTCACCTCATCAAGAACTGGGTTCCTGATTTCCACGTTAACATCGAGAACTACTTCGCCCAAGGTTGACGATTTATCAGTAGCAACTTCATAATCAAGAACAATAGGTTCCACTGGTTTCAAAAAGTTTCTGATAACATGAATCAAATCTGAAAAAGCTATTTGTTTAACTTTGAAAAGCTCTTCTAAATCTTGATCGCAATTCACTAATCTTTTATCCGTCTTATCATGTAATTTATTTATTTGAATGTACTGCCACAAGGAGAAAATAACGTCTGTTTCGCTCATTTCATAACTGCCCAATAATTCTGCTAACTTCAGATCTAATTTAAATTTTGTTGGATATTCTTTTGGTTGAATGGTAATTTTACATTTCACTTTATCGCTCCCTTTTCTTTTCACATCCATACCATCAAATGATATTCTGTTACCTTGATGTTGTGGGGTCTCGTGCCATTCAATCACCGATTGGTTGAGAGTGCTAGGAGTAATTGATTCAAACTTGGAATTAGTATCCAAATCAATGGCTAGCCCTGTCAAATAATTACTGAATTTGAGTCTGCTTGGTGAGTCCACCGGATCTTTATCATTCAATAATCTGCCTTCCACACGTAACGTCCAAGTGGCTGGGTCGTTCTCATTCACTTCTTTCCCTTGAGATTTCAACAATTCTTTTTGCCATAATTGGTTCTCGCAAGTGTTGTAAATGAATATTCTCAAGATCCCGGACTCCTTGATCCCTGTCTGTGCCGATTCCTGTAAGTCAGCCCATTTCCTAGTAGTAAATATGTCTAATCTTCTCTCGGCATCCTGCAACTTTCTTAGTTGTCCCACTTCAGGAAACAATTCATCAAGGCTGTGAGAAATAGAGAAATCCGTTGGCTTTAAACTGAGCACTGGAGGGGCCATGGTTTGAGGCGACTGCACCGCTCCTGGGTTGGTCTGTATTGGATGTTTGATCATTATTATTATTGTTATTATTCTTATTCTTATTGTTATCTAGTAAGTGGGTCAGTCAACTAAATTTATTTCATCATAACAAACATTTTAGTGGAAAACCCAAAGAAAAAAAAATCCGCTCCTCACATCCCTACACCAAAAATAAATAACAAGACGCGTCAGAAAAGTTCGCGAATTTTTTGTTTATTAAATGATGAGCCATTTATCTAAAGTATTATTATTATTAGCTCTCTCTCTCTCTCTCTCTCTCTCTCTCTCTCTCTCTCTCTCTCTCTCTCTCTCTCTCTGTATCTTTCATTTGGTCAAATATTGAAGAATTGAAGAATCAGCGATTTTATAGAAAGGAGTAAACAAGAAAAACCAAGAAATCATGAGTGAAAATAGTGCAAACGGTGAAGAACAGAATGAAGTTCTTAGTGTGGAGCAAGAGTACGAGCTTTGGAAAAAGAATTGCCACTTCATGTATGACTTTGTTTATGAATCACATATCAATTGGCCATCTTTATCAATACAGTGGCTTCCAGATCTACAGCTAAGTAATGATGCTGTCAATGCCAATTTGATCCTCGGTACAAATACATCGGGAGCTGACACAGAAAATGTCAAGTTGATGTCCACCAATTTACCGTATTATCTAATGAATAATGAAGACACTGGTGATGCCACAGATAAATCAAATATCAAGACGGCTACCAAAATCAAGATCAAGAAAAAGTTCAAGCATTTCAATACCGAAGTCAATAGAACTAGATATATGCCACAGAACCAAAACATAATTGCCTCAATTTCAGGGGAAGGCACTGCTTATGTGTTTTATAATGATGTAAATAAAAAGGGAAATAGATCACCAATATTGAGCTTGAAGCATCACAAAGATAATGGGTTCGGTTTAGATTGGAGCCCATTTGTTGAAGGCCAGCTTCTAACTGCTGCAGATGATAAGGAAATTTGTCTCTGGGACATAAACTATAAAGCCGTTCAAACCAAATTCGATGAAAGTGAAATCAAAATGGATAGTATCAAACCACTTCATGTTGTTAGCTCGCATAAAGACATTGTCAATGATGTGAAATGGCATAAATTTGATCAAAATTTGTTTGGATCGGTTTCAGATGATAAAAGTTTGATGATATTTGATACCAGAGACTTGTCCAAACCAGCGATGGTCAAGGAAAATATACATCTGGACTCTGTCAATTCATTGGCTTTCTCTACGTTTTCCAGAAATTTGCTAGCCACCGGGTCGTCCGATTCGAGCATTGGCTTATTCGACCTTAGAAACTTGAACTTAAGATTACACTCTATGATGGGACACTCTGAATCGATTACCTCTCTTGAATGGTCTCCACATACCGATGGGTTCTTGGCCTCGGGATCAGAAGATCGAAGAGTGATCATTTGGGATATTTCCAAGATTGGAGAAGAGCAATCCCAAGACGATGCTGATGATGGTGCCCCAGAATTGTTTATGATGCATGCAGGTCATACAAGCATGGTTACTGACTTAAGCTGGCACCCTAATGAAAAGATGAAATGGTTGTTGTCTAGTGTTAGTGACAATAACGTGATTCAGCTTTGGAAACCAACAAAGAATCTTACTGATCCTGTCGATGGTTGGGACAATAACGATGTTGAATTAAAAGATCTTGAATGAACCTATATACGAAAAAAAAACGAATGGAATATTGTGGCCCAATGATATGTGTCTGTGTTCTGTAAAATATTGTGCTATATATATTCTTGAAAAAATTATTTCCTTATCTCTTATGTTCTTTTCCTTTAAAACAGGATTGGAGATTATGTGGTGTATGAGCGATGTGTGTCTAGGTAGGGTTAGTGCAGTGTTGTTTTTTTAAATGCCATTTTTTTTCCCTGACAGAGTGGCTCCAAAAATCGTAACTGATCTACTGATAATCAATTCCACATCTTCAAGCCAATATCGTAAACTAGATAGACTGACCATTTCATTTCCGGCCACAATGGATCCGACAGAATATACCTTACCGGGTATCATGAACTATTTGCAGTCTGAGTTCACTCAGATTGAGAAAATGAAGATTGCAAATAACTTGGAGCTATCTGAAATGAAATTCAAAATCGCCAAATTGGAAGGGGTCAAGAACGGATTGAATATCACCAATAACAAGTTAGTCACTGATATTAGTAGTTTGAAAAACGACAACACAAAACTCTTGGGAGTGATACACCGGCTAAAGAAAGAGAACGAAGAACTCAAGCAGAAATTACACGATGCGGGAATCGACAACGACGATAAAATCGATGACACTAAAGTTACATCGACCGAAGCCAAAGAATCAAGTATCGATAACGATCTTCGGGAATTGATCAGTGGCTTGTCGTCTACCAAATCCCAATCCATTTTGATCAAGGACATTGAAGAGCTCAATTTGCAAACTGTCGATTCTCACAAGAATGATATTGTCAACACTCTTGATTTGACGCCCCTCATAACTTCCCGGAAATTTTTGCAGGATTGTATGAAGGAAATGTTTTATTTAATCAAAAATGGTAATGGAAATATTGTCAGCAACATTAATGAATTTAGTTTTGATAATAATTTTAACAATAGTGATCAAAAAAGTGCAGAGAATAACCAAGATTCCGGAAACTTTAATGTTTTTGACAAATACAATTACGTGACTGCCGAGCAACAAAATGACATCAAGTTGGCAAATGAAAGAAGGCTTGAAGAAGAAGAGAATAGACTATTTGAAGAACGACATCAACCGCAAGATCAACGATTTTCTTCGCCGCAACGGCAACCACAAAATCCAATTCAGCCCTCAATACCTGCAGCAGCTCAAGTGCAAGCTTCTGCCCCGCAGTTGCAATTGCAATCGGACAACAATGGTGGACTTCAACAACCAAATGAAATTGTTCCATTAAATCAACAGCAAAGTGGCTACCCTCGCTCCGAATTTTTGGATAAGCCTAGGGGCAACGATGAATTTTATTCATTGAATGAAAATGACAATAAGAGTTCTAGTAACGATGATGAAGATGTGGGAAATAACAATAGTGGCAGTAGCACAAGTGGAGCAAGCGATGCCTTGTCATCTAGCTCTGATCCCCGCACTCAATTCACTTTATTATTAAGATCACCAGATTTATTGAAGTATCCCAAATTGAATCCTAATGAAGAACCAAAAATTAGAGAAGCCCCACAAATCAAACCAAAACACAAACTTGAAGGAAATAAAAGCTCTTCCGATGGATACTATGATATTGAAGAGGCCAGTGACGTAGAAACTATTGTTGATGGTGAGGACGATGCTAACCGTCATGAAAATGATGATAATGAAAACGATAATGAGAATTATGACAATGATGATATTGTGGATGATGATGATGATGATGATGATACTAATGAAAAAAAAGAAGGTGATAATGATGATGATGATGATGATGATGATGATGATGATGATGAACCTATTGAAAACCCTGACAAAATGACTCATATTTCTGAAGATGAGGAGGAAGATTCTATTCTTGAAAGCCCAAGAAAAAGAAGTTTCCAATTGGATATTATTGAAGAGCAGGACAACGAGGAAAATGAAATTGAATACTTGGTTGAATTGAAAGATAATGACGACGATACCCATGAGAAAATTGAACCCTCTGCGAAATTTTCCACAGGTGGAATTCTGGGTGTCATCAATAAATTAGAAATCAATGAATCGACTCAAGAAATTTTAACCCTTTCTTCTAATTTGGTCAAAGTTTCTTCCATCAAGGATGGAAAATTGGCGTTAATTGACGAAAATTTGCCAACATTAAAACTTCGGGCCGGAAAAGCCATCTTAAGGTGGATAGATGACAATCATTTCTTGTTGTTCAATGATTTTGAGCCATATGTGGTGAAGTTTTATCATAAGAAAACTCTCGCAGAGGTTAAAAGAATCAATGTCCTAAATGATTTGAAAACTGAACAATCCAAAAGTAAAACCCTGTCTGATGGGAATGATAGTGATGATGATGACGACGACGATGCATTATTGCCGCTCAGAGATACCACAATTTTGGGTCTTGATTATGATTTCAAAACAAAGGGTTTGCTTATCAATTGCAACAAATTTTTCTACGTTTATGATGTCAGTTCAATTGAAGACGTTAAATTGATTGGATATGATTCGTTGGTGGATCAACCAGGATCATTTTTCACCATCAAGCTTGGTAAATTTATTGGTAAAGATGAAATTCTAATCTTGTCTCATAATGGTATCCTCAAAAGAATTGGAATCAATAGACTTACAAAGGGAGACGATCTTGAACAAATAATTTTTACAATTAACGATTTACCAAGCCACAAATCGATCAAATTCACTAATTTTTTTGCCATACATGATAAGAATGGTGGCAACCGATCAAAGGAAACCAAGTATGATCACCAATTGATTTTTGTTTTTGAAAATGTCGCTAAATCCCAAACCATATACAGGCTCTTTGACTTGAGCATCAATAAATTGATTGATGATTCTGCAGTTATTGTTCAGCGGGAATCGAGGAAATCGCTTCGAAGCCCAAAGCTTAGTGAAGCAAAACTCAATCAAGACCCAAATATTCAAAATCAAATCAAACCGTTCTATGATTCTTCAAAGTTAAAGGATTCTGACTCTACAACGCTTTATATTTTGGAAAATTCTAATGATTTGCCATCAGAATTGAATTTCATCGATTTCAACAAGCGGGAATTGGTGGCAAAAGTGAATTATTATGATACCGATGATGTGGTTCCGGAAAAAGATGAGCGGTACAATAATGAGGAGTTGAACTTGTCTTGGTACAGTGGTGATGAGTTGTTTATTTTTGGTAATGATTCTACGATAAGGAAATTCTTGGTGTAATCAAGGTGTAAAACAAAATGTATTATTTTATTTTATTTTATTATTATTATTATTTCTCAGTCAATATATTCTATTCAGATTGTGTTTCTTCTAAGACCTTTCTTCCTCGTATTGTATTAGGGGTATTTCACCCAGGTCCCCGGAGGCCGGGAAACCTCCTTTTGACCAGTCAAAATGCACCGCTTTTTTTTTTTTTTTTTTCCTGCTCCCCAACAATCAGATGAGGGTTTGAAAAACCAACATTGAAAATTTCAGTTTTCCGACCTTTTACCCATTCGGTGACCCATAAGCTTGTCGTATCCATCAAAACACCAACACCAAGATGTCTACTGTTGAAGAACTCAAAGAAGTCGTTGACAAATTGCAATCCAGAATCCATCAATTGGAACAAAAGGCCGGTATCATCCCAGCCGTGCCAAAGTCCATCCGTATGATTTTGATTGGTCCTCCAGGTGCTGGTAAAGGTACCCAAGCTCCAAACTTGAAGGAAAAATTCTGTGCTTGTCACTTGGCCACTGGGGACATGTTGCGTAGTCAAGTTTCCCAAAAGACTGAATTGGGTGTTGCTGCCAAGAAGATTATGGACGCTGGTGGATTAGTCAGTGATGAAATTATGGTCAACATGATCAAGTCTGAATTGGACAACAACCCAGAATGTAAGAACGGGTTCATCTTGGATGGTTTCCCAAGAACCATTCCACAAGCCGAAAAGTTGGACGAAATGTTGAACAACAAGAAGAGTCCATTGCAAAAGGCTGTCGAATTAAAGATTGATGACTCTCTTTTGGTGTCCAGAATCACTGGTAGATTGGTCCACCCATCTTCTGGTAGATCTTACCACAAGGAATTCAACCCACCAAAGGTTAACATGAAGGATGACATCACTGGTGAACCATTGATCCAAAGATCTGACGATAATGTCCAAGCCTTGACTAAGAGATTGGAAACTTACCACAAGCAAACCGAGCCAATTGTGGATTACTACAAGAAGACCGGTATCTGGTCTGGTATTGATGCTTCCCAATCCCCTTCTAATGTTTGGTCTTCTATCTTGAAATGTTTTGGCAACTGAGCTTTTGTACTTTCTCCTTTACTCGACATTGATTGTTAGGATACAAGATTACAAAAAAAAAAGAGACAAAGTTCTTTTCTCTAATTCTATTTCATTACTACCACTAATGTGAAAAACGATAATGATTTTTCTTTATTATTCAAGGTTAATTTATTTTATTTTATTTTATTTTATTTATTTTCTTAACAGGAAACAAAAATTTTATTGCTATTTGTGCTTTCTAGTGTAAAATGATTAAATTGAGATTCTTCTCTACAACAAGAAATAGGTTTCTTTATCGATGCGCATCAAACTGCATTGAGATAAACGAACCACTGGAATTTTAATGTGCTGCAAAAATAAAAAGACTATTTTGGAACTTGGTACCCTACGTGGTTGAGAGCTCCCATTTGCAATATGGCTTATATTAATTCAATGGAATGTTAAGCCCGCTTGATTAGTTGCCCTATACCAAAATGGATAGTTTCGCGTAAATTTTATCCTAATTTCCTTTTATAAAGACACTTCCCATTGGAGTCCCCAGTGTGGCGTCAATGGCTTTTTTCTTTTGATACACTCTTAGGCTATGTATCACCAGATCATACACACTTCTGCTGAATTATTTTCAGCCCTGTGTTTAAAAAGTGTTATCCATTTCACTAATACCATTATCATTAATAGTGATTGTGATATTGCTGGCGTATTATTATTATTTACATAGCCCAAGGATGACAAATAAGATAAGATATCGAATTCATTTTTTTTGAAACAAAGAAAAATAAAGTATATATTCTTCTAAACAAAAAGACAAAACCTTTCTCATTGATCGATTTGATTATTTTATGAATCATTTGAAATTTTTTGGATATTGCCAATAGAGAGGAAAAGCCGCTCCTAGAAAATAGAAGAACAAAAAGAAAAGAAAACCAAGCAGGAAGATGGTGCTCAGTGCATCATTACCAAACATATTAATTCAAATCGCACGATTTGAATAATCTAGCATCTTTTGGATACCAGATTTCAGAGCATCTTTAACAGTCACAGGAACAGTTGCAAGAACAAGAAGCACATGAAGAACATTGGCAAGGTCCAGCAGCAGCACAGGCACATTGTTTAGAAGATGGGCAGGAGCAGGAAGACATTATAGCAGTAATGATTAGCAGAAGTTTTTATTATTAATATTATTTGATTGTAATATTTATTTTGAAAATAATTTTATTCTTTTTATTGGAATTATTGACGATAAGTTGGCCTTTTTTATAATGATATTTTGCGTTCTTTTCGCGTTCACCTGTGGTGTTCTGCAGTGCAGCAGAAAGCTCTCAAACTTCTCGAATCATCCATTAGTCTCTAGCCACGCACGGCTGATATATATACCAGCCGTAGCAAGAAAAAGAAACAATGACTATTAGATTAAAAAATGAAAAGAAGAAGAAGAAGGTCAAAAGTTCCTTTGTTTGTAAATTCTCAGAATACTCCGAGTAGGTGATAGTAAAATATTCCCCGTGCTATTATTAATCGAATAGCCACACAGAAGATTACTAACTATAATAGCACGGATGATACTTGAATTATAAATAAATTAGTATTGTTACAAGTGCAGTGAAAAAAATATAAAAGAATAGCACCAAAATTGCCATCAAAATTGTAATTGCACGCAAATAACAAAGCTATTTTTCAGAGTATAAAAAATGAGAGATGTAGATGTAGTGTAAAAGTAGACCAATGGTCTGTGTTTTGGCTAACAGGTAAGCCAGAATTGATACCTCTTCTAGAGTCCTGCAATATTTAACTTGATTTTTTTAGGATGATGTAGAGGTAATGGACAGTTTAGCACCTCTTTAAATAAATAATAGGTGTAGATTAATAATAACAAGATAGGAAAATGAGATGAAGAATATTATGAGGAATAAAATAAGGAATAAGTGAATTAGATAAGAGATCAGAAGAGTTCCCTTTCAGGTTTCTTGAACGTGCCAGGATATTCTATTACTTTCTATCATCTTCTTTCATCTTTTATTATCTTTTAGAGCTATCCAATAGTTCTAAGAGAAGATCGAACTACTTAAATAGAGCGGTCTTTCTTGTTTTTCCATTTTATTATTTTTATTTGAGAGGACACGCTTAAACCTTTACACAGTATTTATGTTTACTTTAAAAATTTATTTTATTTTATTCATTATAACCATTAGTAGACCGAATTATAATTCAAGACTCTCAATCCGTCGATTAACATGAGATTAAGCTTATATTACACAATACATGCTGGTATAAGTTACAAGCCCAAATCCCAAAAATATACATATACCTAGATTCATTCAATGGAATAAAATCAAAAGAAATTTAAGCCTTTAAAAAGATTGGAAGCATTAGCATCCCAATTGAGGAGAGTACCGATGTGTTGTTAAGAAAATTATGTCGTTATATAAGACCATGCATGGTGGGAGAAGCGGCCCCGAAAACCATTACCGAGCCCATTGGGATGCGGGAATACGAGAGGTGGAAAAAGCGGGACGTCCACGCCATGAGGATTCATGTGCGAACGGCAGAAAGCGCTCAACTTTACACAAACAACAGACTAGAACAAAGAAAAAAAATATTAACATTTAGCGAAATAGCAGTATAATATAACAAAACAGGCTAGGCAATTGGAGACACATATATATACATGACAAATTAGAAATCCCAAAAAACAATAACCATGCAAAATAGATGTGTAGATAGATGGATTACACAATTTAGCAAAAACAAAAAAACTCGCTAACCCTTAAATAATATAGTACAATATTTGGCAACGCCGACCAATTTCGAATGAAAGAAATTAATAATATGCAAACTGAACGGATCAATATCCGAGATATTCCTCCTCGAACCTCAACATTTCGCGATTCAACTGCTTGCTCAACAAATCGGAATGGATTAATTGGTTCTCTGTTAGCATAGTATAATCTTCGTCAGCGGTACTATTAGTGGATTCTCGAGTCATACCCACAGCGCCAGGGGAGTAGAAATAGTGAGGGCTCAGTACATCTTCGTCGTCATGTAAACTTTGGATATCACTATCGTAGTCATCAATGTTATCTCTGGTGTAGTCTCCGAAATAGTTAGCTGCCGAGACTATATCATGGTCGAAATCGTCTGGGCTCATTAATGTCAATGATCTGTTATCATCCTTGTCTTCTTCGTAAACTCTTCCGCCATTGTAGAATTGGTTGGCAGTTTCGTGGATCATAGATTCATCGATGGATGAAACATATGATTCAAAGCTAATTACCGACTCATCGTCATGATGACTCGTGTTGAAGATCAATGGGGCAGAATAGGTGTATTCCATTGATCCTTGTTCCGAAGCATCCGCCGACTGTTTTTCATCGTCGACATCATTTTGGGAGGCATCCGAGCCGATCGAGCCAGTATTATTATTATTATTATTATTATTATTATTGGAGTTATTAGACTTGGAGCGACAAAGAGACAACTTTGACCATTTTTGTTTCAATATACAGGAAATTGCAAACTTCTTTCCTTTCTTTGGTGAGCGCACTTCCGATGGAGTATCGAAAGTTATTGAGCCAGTGGACGTGTTGATGTAGTAGTCCGTCTTCAACTGGTGATCGTATTGTTTTTTCCAGGATATAACAGTGGACATCTTTCAAGTGAGTTAGATATTGTGTGGTGATGATAATTCCCGAATATTATTGAGATGATGAAAGGTATATGCCCAAAAGGTAATTAACTGGCAGTTGTTTTGTTGTTTGGAACCCAACGGGAAGTTTGTGTATATTTATAATTGTCGGAGATGACAAATTGTGCCAAAATTGCAGAAAAAAAGGAAAAGGAAAAAAAAAAAAAAAATTTGCCGAATCCCGCAAACCCTCATTAATTCCGCCGGCCCAAACGTTTGGGCCCAACAAACACCACCGGGAGGAGAATATACCCAGCACCATTTGTACAACAGAACAACATTAGTGGTAATTATCTTTTTGGGGGTATTTTTCTATATATACAGCGGAGATGGTGGTAGTAGGCAATTGCAAAGAGCCCAGGGTCTTTTGCCAATGTAACCATTAAGTAACGATTTCTAATCATGGCGGATTTCTAATCTATCCGAAAAGCAAAAAAGCTCTTTTCTTTTCACCGTTAGTGCCGCGCGGTAATAACGGCCCAATTCCAGCAACGTCACCATTATCTCCGCGCCAACTATTTTGCAACACCACATTTCCTTAACATTTCTAATAATAATGATAATATTATAATACTAGAAGTGACCGAAAGTATCCATCCATGGCCAGTTTTCATGATGGTAGATCTGCTTGGTGTGCACAGCATACAGAAAATGTATTTACACTCAACCGTTGCGTGTGTGCGTGCGTGCGTGCGTGCGCTAGTTTAGCTACCAATGCCCTCATCCCATACATTACCTTGGTGCTACACAGGTACTACTCACTACTACTACTACTACTACTACTACTACTACTACTACTACTACCACTACTACCACCACCACTACTACTACTATACTACTATCACTTTCTATAAATTAACAATCAATACATAAAACACTAAAAAATAAAAATCAAAAAATCAAACAACATTAATAACATATACCAGCCTCAAAATAATCCACGCCACAAATAATACAAAATAATAACATAAATATCAATATCCTGTGCTAAAAATCAAAAGTTCTCTTCTTTTAAAAAAACAAACAAACAAATAAAAGTAAACTCATTCAATTATCATTTAAAATGTCCCCTTGGGTTGTTCACATCTCCGTTATTCATACTGAATCCAATCCCCATCATCTGAAGTTGTTGTGCCGTCATCCCTTGTAATTGGCCTCCCATGTTTGTAAATCGGAAATTTTGTTGTTGAAAATTTCCCGATGGTTCAAACGGTATAGTGTTTGCCGCATTTCTACTACTCTGAAAATCCGGAGTTTGCGGTGACACATGTGATCCACTGTCAACACCAGATCCACTACTGCTGCTTGCTAGTGACATTCCGGCACTGTGCTGATTGAATTGTTGTTGGTGTTGCTGAGGAAATCTGATCGTTGGATGTTGCGAATTAATAGGTGAGGGAACAATCGGCACAACGTTACGACATGGGCTGCTATTGATAGAACCGTTTGAGCTGGTATCAATATTCTTCATCCCATTTCTACCCATCATCATGTTAACGTTCGTCATTACAGGCTCCGAAACCCCCGCTCGCCCAATTACAGGAGTCATTCCCATTGGCACATTAATCGAATTATGTAATATAGTCATATGTGAAGGCATATCATTGCTAATTCCTTGTTGTACCGGAACCAGGATTAAATTTGGATGTGGTTGGGTAGGAAGCGGTGAAAATTGAGGCGGCAGTTGGAGATGTTGACTATGCTGTGGATGTGCAAAAGGCTGTGGTTTATGAGATAATATAGTAGGGGCAGAGTTAAACTTTGAGTTTGTAAGCGGTTGCATTGAATTAGCAGAAGATGGTACCAGTGGTACAGCTCGTGTTTGGAGTTGCCTCTGGATCTGTGGTGTTTGATCACCAAGTACTTTGCCGCTTCCATAATCAGACACAGAAGTCATACCATTTCTAATGTTTTCCTTTATGTGCTCACCCTCATCATTAAACTTCATTCTTTCAATCTCCATATTATTGATCATCTTATCCCAGTTCAACGCTTCCACATCTCTAGATAACCCTTCAGTGATATTTTCTGTTCCGTTGATTGGTATAGGATTTCTGATAATATCACTTATACCACCCATTTTGGGCTCTTCATTGACCACAACCACTTTTCCCTTTCGATCTGCAGAATTAAAATTAGGATTAGGCATCCCCTCCAAGTCCGAAGTTTGTATAGCCGTAGTGTCATTGATTTGATCAGCACTGCTAGGTAGAGTATGTGGTGATATCATTGAGTTGTTGCGATTGGCAAGGGATTTAGGTACCTTTATGCTAACATTAGTTTCGATAGGCCGACCATTATTGTTTGAAATACCAATACTGTTTGGGATATTAGAAATCGAACTACTTTGAAAAGGATTTTTAGATTTAAACGATATTATCGTAGCAAATTGTTTAGAAACCTTGATGAACTCTCTCAAATCTTCCAATCCACTTTGCCTATCACCATTATGTAGCATGACGAACCTTTCTATGTTGCTTGCAGTTTGTGAAATATATACTTGAACATCTTCTAGGGTTTTAAGATCATCATGAGGGAGCTTTTGAAGCTTTCGTGACGGAGAGACATCATGATTGGAAATGCATTCGAACGAATCAATGAGAAAAGATACTTTCAGCTGATTAGAATTAAGTTTATAATCATTTTGAGATAATTTTGACTCAAGTCTTAGCAACTGTGATCTCACTTGGTTTTTGAAAGCCACATAGTTGCCGTTTGGACCTGTAGATTTAGGTGACGCTGGTAGAGTGTTTGAAGTGCAATGCTTTGGGGGATCTGCCACCATATGGCTCAAGAAATTCAAATTTAAATTACCATTCAATCCATACTCATTTCGAAGCTGGAAATATCGGATAATTAAATCTCTGATCGTGAATTTTGGGTGACTATTGTCACATTTCGCCATATTTTTTTGTTGAGGATTTTGATTCCGCTTATTCAAATCAATAATAATACAAGTTTGTTCGAGAATAAATTCCCAGAATGATGAGGTCTGAGCGAATTTCAATCTCCATTGGATAAATTTTCCAAGTGCCAATAACAATCCGAAATCATAGTTGATGGAGTTGAAATGAGGACTGACTTGGAACCTTGATGTGATTTTAGAAGGCATTTTATCAAAATTGAAGTTGAAATTGGTAAAGGAATTTTTACCATTTATCGATACATCACCTGATACTAACCCTATGATTCCTGGTTGGATTTGTGATTGTCTTTGTTGTGATATTACACTATCACTCCCCGGTCGTAATTGCTGGTCATACACAAATGATGAGCTTCTTTTCCTCCAATCAGCACCACCATTATTATTATTATTGCCATTATTTCCCAAAGTTATTGTTGTGGATGTTGTGGTGGTGGCTGTTGAAGATGATCCCCTCCCTGTATCAAATTCAAAAGAATCATCACTGTCATCGCTGTCACTGTCACTTTCACTATCTCTGCCTTCTGAAGCATCCCTGTCAGCCTCGTTGCCCACAATGCTATCTTGTCGCTGGCGTTTCTGGGGCTTCCAATTTTTGTTCTTTGTTTTTGAGTTTGAGTCCGTAATCATTATTGAGGTTCATTAACTTTTTTTTTTTGAATTCTTATTTATGTGTTTATAGTTTGATGGATCTTTCTGTAATTGATATTATTGGGATTTAGTGTATCACTCTCTTCCACTTGAGGTTGTCTAATGGGATTTAATAGTAAGGCACTGCTGGATTATTTGACCCCTTACCTGAATGATAAATGCTGCTTCGTTTATCCAATAATAATTACCCAATGGATCTGATCCTCCAAAACCTCAAATTATACCCAGGATAAAAATGACCGTAGACAGAACCTCTGTATTGTCCTGATCTGTTCTGTGTTACTTATTCCAAAGTTTCTAATCCAGTAATTGCGCAGACCGGTGATGATAGTCTATAATGATGATGATGATGATGATGATGATGGTGAAGATGATGATTACTTATCGGCTCGGCCAAACCTCGTCTCCATCAACAGTGACGTTGTGATGGTTTAATTAAGTCTATTTTTACTTTTTTTCGAATTTTTTAAATTGTTGGAATCAATTGATCCAGCGGTATGGCTGAATTCTCACTGTCTGTTGATCTGTCGACCAGGATCAATGTCAAATATGGTGTCAATCTAGTAGCGATTTTTTGTTTCCATCAAGTGTGGGTGAGTGAGTGAAAATACTTTTGTGGTCTCATTTTTTTTTTTTTTTTTACCAGGGTTAGTAGACACCGACACACACATATATATAAACAAGATTGAGCCGTAAACAATCAACAACACCGCAAACATTTTATCATCATTTTCTGAGTAACTATTTTCTTTTCCTTGTTTTTTTTTTTCATTTTACCTCGTTTTATCTCAATCGTCTTTGTTGAACTCAAAAATATGGAAAGAAAATACCTATTTTTACATGCAGCATTAGTTGCAACAACCCTCTGATGTCTTGCGATGAATTTCCTTTTTTTATTCGGTAAGTGCTGAAGGATATCCTAATTAATTAGGATTTTAACAAGTTGTAAGTAAAAACAAACACTACAATAAACTCTACAAAATGGGTTGAGAAACCATCATTTATGAAGTCATTTCATGAAGTCAATGTTTAATAATTATGCCCTAACAATTAGCAGAAAGAATCAGGTGGTAGTGGAAACAATTGTCATTATAGTATAAAGCAAGTAAGAAAAAAAAAGGAAAAAGAAAAGAAAAAAACTAAGGGTAAAAAAAAAGCACCAAATATATATACAAAAAGAAAAAAATTGAGTAAGTAAGATTTCCGAAATATCAAAGAAAATCAATTGCAAAGCGTAGACCGTATTGCTTCATTGCGAGGCACAAAGCAGGAAACAAAAAACAAAAAACAAAAAATCAGAGGCAAATTGGAGAGTTATATAATTCAGATCGATAATGGATGAATTTATGATCTTGGATTCAGAACTTTTCTTCAACAAATTTGGAATCACTATTGATCACTTTAAACCCCCATCTGGCGAAGATATTAAGTGCACCAATCTTCCAGCCTCTAAATAATGATTCTAATCCGGAATTATCATTCTTAGAATCAGTGTATACCGAGCTAACCAAACTGCTCCAGTACCCTTTATAGCCTACGAATTTCACAATCATATCTGATTCGTTGATTTCTAAACCATTAGAATCCCGGAATTTATCATTGGTGCTCTTAGAAACCAAATAGCTGGTTTGAGCTCTTCTCAACAAGGTTTCCACAGGCAATTTCACAATCAAATCAATGAATTCACTAAGGAATCGCAAACTCAGATCATATATTGGATGGATAGATACACCACCGCTGCCAATCTCATGTCTAGTGACCATCAAATATGGTACAAAGTTCTTTATAAATTTGTTGGCAGTTGAATTCAAGATCGTTGGGAAAAGTAGCTGGATAGGACAAAAGTAGAACTTAAGCATCTTGATATTATCCCTAAGACTTCTTTTCAAGCCAGGCCATCTCGATTCAGCCTCGTAACGCTCTTGGGCAGTCGCAGGAATATTAGTAATAATCAACTTGGTACGTATCAAATCCAACGGAGCCAATATTATTCCTGTGGTTATCGAAGCAACAAGAATCAATACAAATGACTTAAATGGATCGGGCGAATAATTGATGTCAATATAGAATGGATCAGGGATTTCTAAAAATGGCGCAAAAAATCCTGTCAACCATGATTCAAGGGTAGCTGATAATGCTTGATAAATGTATGATACATTGGTAGCCTTCCATAAACTGGTAGTTCCTTCCTTAGATAAAATTGAAGACATAACGTCAATGGTATGCAAAGACAAAGGTTGGATGTGCTTGACGTCAACAACCGGCACTTCATATTCTTCCACATCATCCTCGACATCTTCACCTTCTTCATCATTTAGTCCAATTGATTTAGATTTGTAAGTAGAGTTATTACTAAAGAAGTAATCTGCACTGTCCCCTTGCTCATCATACTCTGATCTTTTTTTCTTTGACTTTTTTTCTTTGACACTTTTACCTTCAAGTTTGCCGCTTCCAATATTACTCAAGCTCAGTACATCGAAAACCCCTATTTGAAGCAACACTCTCACAATATCGAATGGTTGGTTCAAAATCACTTTGAAGTAATTTCTCGCCAACTTCTTTAAGAAATGGGTCAAGATCTCCAGTGAGCTGTTTACACTGTGCCAAAATGACTGACCCATATTGCCACCAGCCAGGTGGCGGGCTGCTGAACCACGAGCAGCTCGAATTAGGGTTCTGCTAGTTCCATTCTTGAATTTTAGTAACTCACTAGCAGATTTCAGGCTATCATTGTTGAAAATGGTATCGACTATAGATTTGCCATCGGGATACAACACACCAAGTCCCGGGCGATACGTTACAGAGTATCCAGCATCAAACAGGCTCGGATCGTAATACGGTCTGAGTTCGTTATTTGACATCTCTTGAACTCTTTTTAATCAAATGGTGTGGCGGCGGTAATGCTCTTGAGTTATCCCTTGATTCGATGTGATGGTGATATTCCATAATTTTTTCTGCTCACTTTCGGTCTCTTCACGTGCACCAACATGTGACAATACCAAAACATCGTTTTCCAGCTAGAAGACACTGACAGGGCCGAAATCCATACTTGATGTATATTTGGTATGATAAGATTAGACTGCAAAAAAATAAAATACAATAGGTTGTAACACCTGAAGAATTTGATAGAAATATATAGACATTATTATACATCGACGATGGATCCATTTAACGAGGTCCAGAAGGACGGAGAAGAGCAAATAAAAACTCTCAACAAATTTCTTTCCACAGTAAATTTTGCTAATATTTCCAACGACCAACAATTAGAATTCGAAAACCAAATCAGTGAGCTCCATGAAACAATTGAAGATTTAAAAGAATCGATAGACCAAATCAAAACTGAACCTGAGCTCTATGCTGATCTATCTACAACAGAGATTTCTCGTCGTGAGAAAGTAATTGAAGCATTACAATCAAGTTATCATCAAATCAACCAGGAATGGCAAACTAAGAAAAGTAAAACCTCAACCGGTGACAATCCGTTCTTGAGTTATGAGGATGAAGTGTCAAAGACAGAAATCCAAAATAAGGTAGCAGCGAACCGAAATTTTCAGCTTCAACAAGAGTTGCAATATCAGGACCAACAATTGGACGGAGTTTACGATTCGGTACTGAGAATTAATCAGCAGGCAAGATTAATGGGAGATGAGTTGGAGGATCAAGCTGGGTTGATTAGTGAGTTTGAACAAGATATGGATCGGGCCCAGGGAAGATTGAATAAGAGTATGAAACGATTGAACACAATATTAGAGAAAAATAGGGAGTGGTTCAGTGATTGTTGTATTATGTTGTTGATTGCAGTTCTAGTCATCTTGTTGTTATTGATTGTTATTCTTTGAATTGATAATTTTCCAATTATTGGTTATTTCTGCTTTTGTATCGGCTTCTCATTTACTTCTACAAGGAAAAAAAGGAAATCTTTTTTTTTTTTTTTTTTTTTCAAAGTATAGATTGAATTAAAATGGATTTAATAAAATATCATAAGGTTCTAAACAATATTGAAAGTAATGATATAGGTTTAAACAGAAATTTAATTGGTGTTGATTAAAATAATAAAGAGCAAATGAAAATAAAACAAACAAAGAAAAAAAAATATAATAAAGTGATTTCAGAAGGCAGCTTCAGTAATATTAGATCTATCGCACATTTCTCTAAAAATTCCATTGCTCATAAACAATTTCTTAGGTGTATCAAACTCTTTCAACTCCCCCTTGTCTAATACCATGATCCGATCAAATTTGATGATAGTATTCAATCTGTGAGCAATACATAAAGTTGTACATTGTTCAAACTCTGTTCTAATGGTATGGTTAACGGCAGCGTCTGCTTTATAGTCAACTGAAGAAGTTGCTTCATCCAAAATCAAAATCTTGGTCTTCTTCACCAAAGCTCTAGCCAATGCTAACAATTGACGCTCCCCTAGAGACAAGTTTTTGCCTTCTTCTTGAATTGGTTGGTCCAAATGGAATTTATGAAGTGCACTCAAATCAGTGCCTTGAATCTGCTGTTTTTTCACGGTGTCCAATTGAGATAATTCAACCAATCCACTTCTGCGGAGCGCATCCCAAAGTTCATCATCGCTGCTGTTATGGAACGGATCTAAGTTGGACCTAATAGTCCCCTTGAATAACACTGGATCTTGAGGAATAATACACAATTGTGATCTGAGAGTAGCTAAAGGCATTGTAGAAATATCCAAACCATCAATTTCAATCGCACCATTTTCAATTTCCGTCAAACGATAGAGAGCAGTCATGATTGAAGATTTCCCTGCACCAGTTCTTCCACAAATTCCAATTTTTTCACCCGATTTAATGCTCAATGACAAATTCCTCAATACTAATGGCAAATTGTCCCTGTATCTGAGGTTCACGTTTTTGAACAGGATCGATGAATCTTTTTCTAACCATTCCTGTTTCACAGGCTGGTAATTGGCAGTGATATTCCCAGGTTCTTCTTTTGGAAGGTTAAAGCCGTAGTAAACCAATCTTTCAGCGCTATTCATCACATTTTCTACCTCTGCTAATGAAAGAGCAGCCATCGTCAAAAGTCCACAAGCCTGAATAACATACGATACCACCAAACCTGTCGATGAAGCACTCATATTGAATTGACCGGTTACACATAAAGCGGCAACCACGAACACGAACATTGCACCAATATTATCGAGATGAACTCCCATAAACCGCTGAATGAAGAAATAAGTGTAGCAAGCGTTATTCATTGTGTCCATATGCAAATCATTTTTTGATAAAAACTGCCCAACAGCACCATATTCTTTGATTGTACTCATACCAGCAAGACATTCTTCAAAATTGTTGTAAACAAATGACCGATTCACTGCTTCCAATCGCTTAACTTCTCTACCAGTCGCTTGATAATATGACACTAATGTAGCCACGAAAATCAGTAATACCGGAATAACAATAGCCATCCATGGCAAATAGATTATACACAATATGCCAATACCAATACACATTGCAGTAGGGATTAAAAATTCTCTTGCTTCATCGCCGAGCTGATTGTCCAACGCGTCAGTATCTTTGGTGAATCTGTTCATTAGTCTACCAACAGGAGTGGAGTCCAAGAACGACATTGGTGCTTGAAAAATATTCTTGATGGCTTTTAAGTTCACTTCACGGGCACAGTGGTTCAACACATAGGCTAAAGTAATGAATTCTAATATATTCAAAATGAACCCAACAAAACAAAGCATAATATATATCCCAATGTAAAAGTTATCGGATCTTTCTGGCCATTTTTTTGCAGTCCAGAACGATAACCAAGTGTTGACGAACAAAGTGCAAAATGTGGTGATGATAAATTGTAAGACAATGAAAAGACACACTAATATAGGATGGTTTTTGGTTCCCAATCTGAGGAATTGAAGATAAACTTCAAACGAAATTCTATTCACTGCTTGATCCTCTTTTTTGATTAATATATCTTCCTCATCAAAGTTGTCGCTTTCCAAATCCACCTTTACAGCAGCTTTAGTCTTTGATTCTTCTTCGCTTTGCTTATTGTTTTCACCTTTGGCAACATCTTTGCTTCCATATTTCATCAAATCAGCAAACCCTTCATTAGTGGATATCAATTCATCAACAGTCCCAATACTGATTGTTTTATCGGTATTTAAGTAAATCACCCTATCAGCATTGTGAATCAAACTCAATTGATGGGTTACCAAAACTCTGGTCTTTTCACCTAAGTAGCTCAACAAGCAATTCTCAACAATGGACTTACCAACCCGACTATCAACTGCACTAAGAACATCGTCTAATAAAACAATATCACAATCATTGTAAACGGCTCTGGCTAAATTAATTCTGGATTTTTGTCCCCCAGATAAAGTCACCCCACGCTCACCAACTGATGTCAAATCTCCAGCTTGGAAAATCTTGAAATCATCAACCAAGGAACAGACTTCAACAACCTTGTCGTACTTTTCCTTCACATACGGGTTGGTGAAACAAATGTTTTGTCTTATGGTAGTACTTTGAATCCAAGGCAAATCACAAAATAATAAGCTTCCATCAGTTTTTAGAACCCCTGACGTACGTTTCATAGTCCCAGATATAGCATTGAGTAAAGAAGATTTGCCGGATCCAATGACCCCAGTGACAATAATAAATTCACCTTTCTTGATATTAAGATTCACATTGTGCAAGCCAGTAAAAGCAGTTGGATCAGAGCTCTCGTTGACAGAATTTTCATTATCTTTTGTATCACAGTAATCTTCATGAACCACTTCTTGTGATGATTTTTCTTCATCCTCTTCTTCAGAATCAGAAATGCCATCAGCTTCAATGCTTTCCCACTCAAATTCGGCGTTTTTAATTTGAATAGCCATAGCGTCATCCTCCACAAAGTCGCAGTCAGCCATTTGTTGCCTCTCCCATTCAGGATCAACAGGAGCTTCATCAGGACATAACACAAAATCCTTGACTCTCTGGATAGCGGCGAAACCATCCACCAACATAGACGCAGCCAAAGGTAACAAAATCAATTGGGTGGACAATTCACTGAATAAGGAAAGAGAAGAAAAGATACTGGCGACCGATTTTCCTGGATCAACCTTATTCAATGTCACGAACGACACCATGGAGCACAATGTTGGTACAAAAAAACCTAAGGCAAAGAGTACCCCTTTAATAGCTTGCATATTGAAAAGAATTTTGGTTTCTTTATTCCGATGCTTTTTGATATTGTCATGGTACGGAGTTTCCCAGCTATAGTATTTGATCATCTTAATTGATATTAAAACTTCTCTTATTAATGAAACTCTTTCATCTGTTTCTACGGTCACTTTCTTTCTAAAGTATAAGAGCGATTTAGATGAAACACTCATTATTGCCAAAATCGCTAAGAACACTGCAATACCTGAAAGGGCAGAGACACCGAGGTTAACGATCAATAATGCAATAATTATGACAATAGGTATAAACGATGTTAACAAAAATGGAGAGAATCCGACAGCCATATCTAGCCTTGAGATATCAGTTCCCATTAATGAACTAATTTTACCGGAGGTGTAAGTCTGCTTTGATTTGGAATTTATGGTGAAAGATTTTTCCAAAATAAGCTTGGTTATTATCGCCTTTGTCTGGATCCCACATTCTAAAGAGTGCCCAAAGAAATGGTTGATTGCAAATCCACAAAGAGACATGAGTGAAGCAACCCCAATAGCGTAACCAACCCCTTTACCCAGGGAAATGGCATTCCCAGCATGTTTTTCAGTGACCCTGTTCTCGACAAAGTCAATCAATTTTTTGGTCAACAAAGGTGATAAAACAGAAGCGACGTCGAATACAATTTTCCACAAGATTGCCAACATAAATTTAAGTTTTAAGGTCTTGAGAAGTGCTAATGGTATCGAGCTTTTTGTGAGAGCAGCTTTCTCTAAGTCATCTTCAGAAATTGATGGATTTTTCCTCAAGGCACGCTGTTTATTTTTGGCCTCTATCTTTTGCAAATGTTGTTCGAAAGTTTTGTACAATGTTTCAATCTTCATATTATCTGGAAGAAGGAAAAGATCATTCTCGTTCACGGTTCTTTTGTAACCCACATTCATCAAAGGTATCAACCACCAGAAAAACAAGTAAGAAGCCGGACTTTTGAGGAAGTTGCGGGGCCATGATTTCATTTCAGAGGCATCTCTAAATGGAGGGACCTTTTTCGATATTAATAAAGGTGTCAAAGCATGTTTCTGAAGCTTTGGAGCATTTTGTTCCAAATCTAGGGATAGCTTCTTCGAGCTATTGTCCTCTATAGTTGCGGTAGGCATGTATCAATGGACGTTTTCAAATGAATGAATCTCATCTCAAAATTTGTCATGTCAGAATGAATTGAAAGGAACATATATATATATATCTATATATGCATAACATGAAACAATATGTGGCAGATAATTAAATTGCCATATTCAGATTAGCAAAGGGATTTGTAATACGGAAAAAACTCTGATTTTTCTAGTGATTACTTATCCAAACTCAGGCACCGTCCAGCGTATTTGCTTGCATTTCTTCAATAAGCTTTTATTCATTTCCAACTAACAACCCAACCGAACATGTTTTGCAAGCAGCTAGCGATAGCTCTTGTTCCCGTTCCCGTAACAGGAGAATTCACTTTGGGGATTACTACAGTATACTCATCGGTGATGTTTATTGATAGGGTCCTGTACCCTGAGGCATCCAGTCACGGGAACAAGGAAAATTTTTGTCAGATTTTTTTTTTTCTTTCTTTTGGGCTAAAAATGTTTTTTATCTTCCCTGTAGCACACAAATACAGGCTTTTACGTTGTATTTTTTTTTTCTAAATTTATTTCCCCTTAGTCTTGTACACTGTAAAACCTGATTTGTCATTCACTGTCATATAAGCGTCGATAATATACTTCTGTGACATATATTCGAAATAATAGCTTACAGTGAACTCTTTAATAAACAGGAAGAAAAAAAAAAACAAAACAAAAAAAAGAAAGGTGTCAAAGATCATTCTACATAATCCAACAAAGTGCCATAAAAAATGTCTGAACCTATTAAAAACAAGATCGCTGAGATATCCGAGGCTCCTACTCCTCAAAACACCCCAGCTTCAAATGTGGGATCATTGATGTCTAGATCGGCCAATCCAAAGGTGCCAAATACTATTGATGAGGAATCAGAAGAAGCTGCCAAAAAACAACTCGCCAGTAACCCAATGTTTTTGTCCCTTATTGAAGGAAAATTGAACACTTTGGTTGGTCAAGACTCGGGTTATGTTGATGCTTTCCCAAAAGTTGTCAAGGAAAGAATTATTTCATTGAAGTCCATCCAAAAGAAACAAATGTCTTTGGAAGAAGAATTTCAAAGAGAATTGTTTGCCCTTGAAAAAAAATTCAATGAAAAGGCCAAGCCTCTCAACGAACACAGAAAGAAAATCATCACAGGTGAAGTTGAACCAACTGTAGAAGAGATTGAAGAAGGTAAAGCTATAGAGGCTGAATTGGAAGGTTCTGATGAAGACACTGAAGACGAAGAAGGTCAAATCGAAGAAATTGATGAATCAAAGGAAAAATCTAAGGATGGAGAAAATGACAAAGAAGAAGACGCTGATGCTGAACCAATTAATGGTATTCCAGCCTTCTGGTTGACTGCTTTGGGTAACTTGGAACCAATCAATGAAACCATCACTGACAGAGACGGCGATGTCTTACAATATTTGGTGGATATTAGATTAGAGCACTTGGAAAAACCAGGGTTCAAATTGCTTTTTGAATTCAGCAAAAATGATTTCTTTAGTGATAAAGTCTTGGAAAAAACTTACTATTATCAAGAAGACTTAGGTTACACTGGTGAATTTATATATGACCATGCCGAGGGTTGTGCTATTAACTGGGCTTCTCCAGAAAAAAATGTTACAATCAAGATTGAAAGAAGAAAACAAAGAAATAAGTACACTAAACAAACCAGAACTATTGAAAAATTGACACCAACAGAATCTTTCTTCAACTTTTTTGACCCTCCAAAGCCACCAACCGAAGAAACTGAAGAAGGTGAAGACGAAGAAGAAGAAGACGAAGAAGGAGAAGACGATTTGGAAGCTAGATTGCAATTGGATTACCATATTGCTGAAGAAATAAAGGACAAATTAATTCCACGTGCTGTTGACTGGTTTACTGGTGCTGCCATTGACTTTATGGATTATGAAGATCTTGACGAATTCGGTGAAGTAGACACTGATGAAGAGGATTATGATGATGATGATGATGATGACGATGATGACGATGATGAAGAAAATGGTGGAAAGGGTGCTAAGCAAAGGGATCCTCAAGAATGTAAACAACAATAAGATCACATGGACATTTGCTATTAATTAAATCTGCTCCTAATTTATCCGCGATGTGTAATTTTTCTATATTATATATCTCATCACAGCACACGTGTTTCTAATTAAACTTTTTATTTTATAATCTTTTGCAGATTTTGTTTGAATGCAATGATATTATTTCGTTTTATTTGCTTGTTCTCATTTTTTCCTTTCCTTCATTTTACATAGCTAATTTACTGGATTTATTTCTTTCTTGCTTCTTTATTTCTAATATTCCCTCCAGAAACTTGTAAGGTTTTAAGTGACTTCTTTTCGTGCCATTTGATTGACAGTTTATATGTCCTTGAGAGATTGAACATTTAGACCCCCCACAGTGGTGCATGGAATATATGGGGGAGAATCTACAGAAAATTTTTTAGAAGTATAGGGTGCGCTGAACCTGTCACCACGAAGACTTAAACTCAAGATTTCTTCCCTACCAGAAAGAATATCGGCATTTTTAATTAAAGGTTTTAATACGGAAAAGACTGAAGTGTGGGAACGATATTGTGAATACATTTTCCAACAAATGAACGGCTTCACGAAGATTGGATGTCCCAAGGTAGCTTACCAAAGTGGGGCACCTATATTCCAGAGATTATTCCATACATCTGACCAAGCAAAATCTATTGATATCAAAGGTATTTTATCAGGAACCCAAAGAGCCCCTTCAAGACCACAAAGGAATGTCGCGGCAAGTGGCACAGTACCATCTTACAATTCAAGAAGAACAAATGCTGAACGAAATCAGCAGCAGAATCCACCACGACAGCAAACCTCAAGACAGCCAAACTCAAGATACCAAAATTCATATGGAAAACAGCTGTCAAATGGCCAAGAAAATAATAGATCCTCGTATGGCGAAAAAAGAATGGGAAACAATGGACAAATACGGATTCCTAGATTCAATCTTCCCCAGGCCAGTTTCAAAGCCATTGATTGTATTAAACATTTAATCAAAAAGGTTTATATTGACTTTGAAAATCCTCGAGGTGTCATCAACTTTATGGATGGTGATAGTGGAGATATTACAACTACCAACATGAGAGACTTGATCAACTCAAGAGAGTGGGATTTGAACGAAGTTGGATTTGCTATTGTCAGTGTGTCTGCTTCGGGAAAAAGAAAAATTCCTCTTATCAAGTGTGTTGATAAACGAACTGCTATACAGAAATACTCCGATGAGCTAGCAGATGTAAAGGCCCAAGAATTGGCGGGAATGAGTACAAAATTTGCAAGTATTGCAGAAATGAAAAAATCACAAAAGAGTACTGCAAGTTCTGTCAAATACGTCAAGATTGGCTGGTCAATTTCTGAATCTGACTTGACCACAAAGAAAAAGACAGAAATCATGAATGCTATGAACAAGGCTAATACGGTGATGATTATTTTTGATTCTAAGGACTCTTTGGATAGATTGAATGTAAATAATGTGGATATTAATGATCTTCAAAAGAAGAAGGGGGGCAGTGCCACTTCTGCTATCCATGAATTGGAGCTATTGCGAAGAGAGAAAGCTTTGGGGGCATTGGCAGATATGCTTGATGGTGATGACATAGTTAGTCACAAATCATCAACTACTGGGTCTGTGAAAGATCGGATGATTTTTACATTAAAAGTTAACAAACAAGCGGAGGCGACACCAAAGCCATCTGAAAAAAACACAAAATCCGATAAAGAAGATTTAAGTCTAAAAAATTTAGACAACGTTAAAGACGTTTTGAAATTGGATTTGACAACGATAACTGATAAGAAATTGCTCAAAGAAATCCGCAAAAGACAGAGACAGGAAAAGCAGAAATTAAGAGAACTGAAGAAAAGAGGGGAGTTGAACTAGAAGAAATAGGCAATTGAAAAAAAAAATAGAGTAACTTATAAAAATGAAGTGAGATAGCTTACATGTACATATATGTATATATCTGGTAGTTTTCTCTTGTAAATAAAAAGGTATTTTGTGTCAACACTCCTTTATATATATTTTCATTCACCTTGCTTGTATTGCTTTTGATTGCCTTAGAAAATGAAATATTATAACTCACCCAATTTCAGTTATCATTCCAATCTAGATAACTCTAAGAAGATATATAAATAAATAGTTCAATATTCGCTGTAATTATGGCATAATTATTGTTGCATCTATAGGGTTTTCAAGCATGTCAAAAATGCACTTACCCGGTGAGACATGAGAGTGGAAATTTAATATGAAATTTTGAAGCAAAATTAAATAACTTTCATATTGAAAACACAGACTTCCAGCAACGATTGAAAGCTTTGTCTATTGAAAATATGAGTTTCAATAGAAAGAGAAGGTTTGATGACGGTAACCATTGGGAGCCCCAAGGCGGCGATCATTGGCAACCACAAGGCGACAATCATTGGGAAGGTCCAAGAGATGGTCCAAGAGATGGTCCAAGAGATGGTCCAAGAGATGGCCCAAGAGATGGTGAAAGATACAATGGCCGTCCATCACAACAACGTCACTATCCACAAAAAAGATTCCATCCTAACAGAAGAGGTTATCAAACCAGATTTGAACCACTTTCTCCTATTGAGAGGGTTACAATCAATGTTTGTAGAGATATAAGCAAAATTGGTGATAACTATGATTTACTGTTACTACTCAACAACTTGAACCATATTGCAGCACCATTTGTTGTGGAATTCACACAGGAGGATTATTTCAGAAACAACTGCTTAACCACAATCTTCACTGTTCTTACGGAGCAACCTCATAAGTTGTTGATGTTGAGTTGTTTGGTTCAAATTGCTAACGCGCGTAATCAAGCCATTGGGAAGTTTGTGTTAGAGTTTTTTCACCAAAAATGTTTAGACCTTTTAACATCATCAATTCTTTCGCTCAATCCTAGAGGAGATGAAGGTGATGAGGAAGAAAAGTTCCCAGAATTACTTGTGGGTGGGGAATCTAATAATACTGGATCCTTCAACAAATTCAAATTAGTATTAAGATTCCTCGCTACTTTAACACCTATAATCAACAAGGAATCAGTGTTGAAGGTTTTTGAGCAAACCTTAGAAGTTGCCATTAATTTACAGAATGAATTTCCAAGTGAAAGATGCCCCTTGGCTGAATCTTTGTATTATGGTGTTTTAATTTCTGTTCCATATTTAACAGTTTTCAATAGCAGTGACGAGGAATTCAAGGCGTCGATTGATGAAAAGATAATAAAAAAGGCAGAAGACTTTAAAATCGTTGATTCAATTGCGATTGATTTAGTTTGCGCATTCAACCCATCTGAAGATGCCGCTTTACCAGGACAATCAAAGCCACTTGTTAACACTATCTTGCCAGTTATTAAGGATGTCGCAAAAGATAACTACAATATTGTCTTGGGAAAATTATTCCCTGATTATGAAGCTCTCATTAGGCCTGGAATTGAAGCTGGTTTGAATGGTGAATTGTTAGACTTGAACAACTTTCCCCAGCTTTCATTCCCATCAATTGAAATGATGAAAAAAATAGCAAAGATGGAAATGTGCAACGGTAAAATTGACTCTCTATGGAAAACTCCAAGATTGTTGTGCAATTTCTTCCCACCAAATGATGACTTTGAAACGTTCCCAAAAGATACATCTTATGAGGGTTTGTTATTCAAGGATTTAATACAAGATATTGTCGAGGCATTAGAATATAATAAATCGTTAGTTTATGTTCAATTATTTTCCTTGAAATCATTTTTCAAAGCTGATTTGTTTGCCCCTGTTAACTCTTCTTTGAATGACTTGATTGTGATTCATAACAATAATGCAAGTATTGAGGATGGCAGCCCAGAGACAAAGAAGTCTACTTGGTCCATTGAGCAAATTGTTGTGAAGAATATTTTATCATTAATTTTTCATTTGCCATCCTCTCAGACTTTGCCGGTGTATTACTATAGTGTTTTGGCTTATGCCTGTGAAAATATCCCTGCTGGTATGGCGCCAAGTTTCGGTAAACCATTTAGATTTTTGTTCAATAATATTGCATCTTTAGATTTTGAATTAAGATTGAGATATTTGGATTGGATGTCATTTCAATTGAGCAATTTTGGATTTAAATGGAAGTGGCCTGAGTGGAAAAGTCGAAGTGAACAGTTGAGTTTGAGCAAGTTTAGTCCAAAAAAATTTGTTTTTAAAAACTTGATCCTGAAAGAAGTTAGTTTGTCTTCTAAAAGTAATATCTACAACACTTTTGGTGAAAATGAAAGTGCAGAATTCGGCAAATATTTGAACACTTCCTTATTGAATACTGTTGAAAAGGTTCATAGTTATGATAAAGAGGTTTATGGTGGTTATGAAGTCGTCAACGAAAATAGTTTGAAAGAATTAATTACCACTCAAAATGTTGAAAAACCGCCATTGAAATTTGTGGAAGACCCTTCGCTCCCATTTTTTGAAGAAGCAACAATGATTGTGAAATTGTTTGAAGGTGAAGGCGGTGGCAATGATCAGCAATTTTGGGAACTCTTTGATAAAATTGATGAAAAATTGAAATCAGATGATAACTTAGCTACTAAGGAATCAAAGGAGAAATTTCTACTCAACCTTTTCTTCCAATCAATTTGTTCTTCATCTTCCAGATCTGTGTCCCATTTTGAAAGTTTCATTACAAAAAATAATCTCAGAGTTAAGAAGATCATTGGTTTACCAATTGACAAGAAAGAACTTGTGGATCTTAATGACTCTTTCAACTATGAGGAATTCTACATCACAAACTATCAACCATTGGTGGATACCGAGGAGCTTCTTGCCAGGGAATTATGTATTGTGAGGGCAGTTTTGCGTTATTGGAATGACGCCCCACAAAATGGTTTTCTCATCTTGGAACTTTTATTGAAGTTGAAATTGTTATCAAACAAAGCCATTATTCAATTTCTCTTTGAGGACAATGACGACTGTGTGATTTTGACGAATTCAATGGCCATTGAAATTTTCTTCAATGTTGTTTCCAAGATTACAGATGCAAAAGAGTCTATAATGGTGGCTGAGAAATTCCTTAGTTTGTTGAACAAAGCATTGCAGGATTTGAAAGCAGCAGATTCGCTTACCGATGTTGTCAATGCCCCGCAAATCGAAGAAATCGAAACCAATGCCGTTGTCTACGATCTCAAATGGAAATATCTCGCAGGTACTGGTTTATTGAAAACCACTTTGAGAAAATACCAGTCAAGTTTTCTTGCTGTTAACAATGAAATTATCAACTTAGCAGCAAAAGAAATTGCTCATGAAGATACCCAGAAGAAGGTGATTGCCTGGGTCAACCAAATGTCTATTCTTTAAGCGTTTTTAACTATGTATTTTTAATATGATGATAATTATTATCACACTGTACCAGTAAGTAAGTTAGTAAGTAAGTATCCACAGTAATGGGCTCTTCTCCCCGTTTAACGTATCCACGTGAATGTCACACCATATCTGCGTCATCGTCATGTCGAGCGATTTGCCACCCGTCTCCCAATCGGGCAAATGTGCCTGTCACCCCCGTTTACCCGCCAGCCACTTAGTTTTCGCTTTTGCTACTCCCACAGCTTTTCTGCCTCTTGAACCCCCCGAAAATCAAAGAAAAAAAAAAAAAAAAATCAATTAATTTTGTATAACAGTCCCAAGGATACCATACATCATCACCTTTACTCCCTTCACTCGGACTATCAGCAGCTCGTCTAAATATCTACACACCGCTTTGCAGTACTTACCAATCTTGAAGGAATACATCAACCACTAAGCGGTCCTATTGTCTTGTTGAGAAATATCTGTGGTTATTTTCTTTTTGTTGACCTAACCGACTGCCTTTCCTCTAGATGAACTTTCTGTGATAGTTGGAGAATCTTTTTTTTTTTTATTGTTTGCCTAATAACTACCAAGCATTATTGCCTTTTCATTACGAGACACTAGGCCAAAGAAGCTCATATAGGTGTCCTATTATTTGTTTAAGTTAAGTTTTCTTCTGTTGCCTCTGTTTCTCTTTTCTTAGGCTAACCAGTACCGCCCATCAACTCCCACCAAGTGTACATTAGTGTGTTTTTTTCCTTCTGTTTATTTGTTTATCATCGAAATTACAATATTGTGCTTCTTATTTTTCGTTACCATTATTTCTGAACTCATCGTCAATTTTATTAGTCGAGTATTGTGAATCATCTGAATCTGGATTCAATAACTGAGTTATCATATTCTTGTCTACTGGTCTTCCACATTGTGCCATTAATCTGTTTTGAAAAACAAACAAAAAAAAAAAGCGAGAGAGAAAAGTTCTATTGAAAGTTATTATAAATATTGTTACATTGTGAAAATGTCTCAAAATAATAGCAACAACAACTCAACAACAAATTTGTCTGATACTACTTCAGACCGCGTTCAAACACCACAGTTAAATGCTGAGGTTATGGATAACTCTCTAAACAACTCGCCATACCAAAGAGATAGTAAAATTAATAATAGTACGGGAAGTCTTGGATCAAAGCCAATGCTGCTAAATCAGCAGTTACCAAAGTTGAATACTGGAACTGCAATTTTTAATCCACCACCAAACTTGTCACAAATGGGAAATTCAATAAACTTGTCGCCAACTTTGAATGGACAACCATCTTCAAGAAAATCATCATTCATTGGTAATGTTAATGGCTCGCCAATAAATAGCTTGGGAAATAGTTCGAGTAATTTGATGAATTCAATAACTAAGCTATCATTAAACACTTCTGGGCCAAATGAATCAGAGATAAATGAAAAAAATAATCTTAGTTTAGGTCCAGGGGTTCCAGTGAAATTAAGAAACTTACCCTTCGACTTGACCTCAAGAGAAGTGTCTGCAATCTTCAGTTTGGCTAGTGATTTTAATGGAGCTGATTTATTCTATGAACAAGGAAATAACTTGGTGATTAATGCCAGATTTTCATCAATCAGTGAGGCCACAAGAGTCGCCTCAATTTTAGATGGAAAAAAAATCTTTGGTTTGAATTATTTACCAGTTAAGGTTGATTTTGATGAACTAACCAGCTATATACAACAGGCCAAGAACCAAAAGTCGAATGCTAATAACAATATTCCTTCAAGCGCCACACTAATGAGCCCAAGTGTTAATATTAATTCGTTGGCAAACAATTTGCCATTATCGTCCCCGCAAGCGATCTCCTCCCAAAGTCCATTGTATCCATCTCAACAAATCACTTTACCAAAAAGACATTCAAACTCAAAGGCAGCCACCAGATCAAGGTTTTTGTTTAATAACGGTGATTTCACTAGCAATCTGATTACTGAAAATATTTCTAGCCCGGTCGAGTTACCTCCAACAACTCCCACGACTGGAAATGCTGGCAAGTCATTAATTATGATGGAAAATCAAGCCGATGCTAGGGAATATGAGCAATTGGTGAGGGACCCTTGGAATAGTAATGGTAATAGTGTCAACAACGTCGGGGGAAATGTTAGTTCTAATATTCAAGAAAATAATCAAATCATTAATAATTTGGGCACAAACTTGTCAACTCAACCACCAACGCCTATTGGTTTTGAATGGGGTTCTGGTGAGAATAATTCAAATACTAGAAGAACAAGTTCGTCATTTTTTCCTAATGGTGCAAAACAATCCGCTCAGCCTATCATGGTGCCGCAACAAAATAATGTGGTGAGTGGATTAAATAAAAGCTCATCACCACCAAACCCCAATATTACTAGCTTGAATGTGAACACTAATCTTGGACCTAATAATACTAATCCAGGAACTAATCCTAACACCCCTATTACTGCTCCTGGCAGTGCTGCTCCTAGTGGTGTTGATTTGTCTCTATTAGCTAGACTTCCTCTACCATCTAATCCAGCGGATCAAAATCCACCATGTAATACTCTATATGTCGGTAATTTGCCTCCAGATGCCACCGAGGCTGAATTGAGAGCCTTGTTTTCCCCTCAGAAAGGGTTCAGACGTCTTTCCTTCAAGACAAAGGCTCCAAGCAGTAATGGTAATGGTAGCTCACATTCGCATGGTCCTATGTGTTTTGTTGAATTTGATGATGTTGGTTATGCTACCAGAGCTTTGGCAGAATTGTATGGTAGCCAGCTTCCTAGACCTGGTGGTATGCAATCCAATAAGGGTGGTATCAGATTGAGTTTCTCTAAAAATCCATTAGGTGTTAGAGGCCCAGGCCAGAGAAGAGGTAGCTCAAATTATAACAATAATTTCCAAGGTTATAATCCAAGCTACCAACAACAGCAACCTGTCCCTCAACAAATCCCACAAACCCCACAGCACATTCTCGTTCAACAGCAAACCCAACAACAACCTCCATCTTCAGCACAAATCCAATCCCACCAACAGCTTTCTCACACTCAACAACAGTCACAGAATAATGGCAATATTGGACTTTTGAGCACAATCACAAATCAAGCCTCATTAGCTTGAACATTCCCATTTTCAGTTTCCAGATGTGTTATTTTGCTACTTCATTTATTTGTTTTTCTTTTTCCCATTCCATCATGTGCCATATTATCATTTCATTATGCTAGCATTATTTGTTGTTTCTTGAGGATTGATTGTTATTATTATTATTTTTTTCCCTTTTCTATTTTCTGGTAATTATCATCAATTTTGTGTCACATTAGTTGTTTACTTCTATGGTTTTAATTTATTTATCTTTTTATTTTTGTCCTTTTGCATGTCAGGGAGATCACAATGCTCATTGATCTTATCATTTCTTATTCTTATTTACACTTGATTTTTTCACTTTGTTTGGTCCCTTCTATGTATTTACACATTTTATTATTATTATGGTTACTTGCACTTCTGTTTTGTCGTCATCAACCTGATTTCATTTTAATTTTAATTTTGTTGCCTACCTTCATGACATATACATGTTTTTTTTTTGTCCAACTAATCTCGATGCTTTTTATTTTTGTTTTGTTGTCATGATAGCCTTTTCCAATTTTTCACTGTTGTTTATTATTATCATTATTACTTTTATTATCTTACTTTATTATTATTATTATTATTGTCATCATTTTTTTGTTTACATCTATATTGTCAATCTATTTAGCTAATACTATTGTGTCATTTTTATATTAAATAATTAACAAATGGTGGTAAGTCATCAATTGTTGTAGTGTATCTACTCTTCAAAGTAAGGTATACTCTAGCTTGCAAAGGATTGTTGGTGAGTTCTTCGCATAATAATTCTTCTCCACTGAAGGGAGTAGTTTTCTGTTCTATACTAATCAGTAGTATATTAGAATATAATTATCGCATTTTCATTTACTAAACACGCCTTGAAAGTTATTAAATAAGTCATAACATTTAAAAAGAAAATGCATTTGTAGAGTAAAATAATATATGATTCAGATATCAAGTTTATGCTGTCTTTATTTCAGAAATTTAGTTGTATATGTATAATAGACGGGCAACAAAAGGCTCTTATTTCTTTTGAATTTTTATAAACAACTTCCTATGAAAATCGTGAAATAACTATCTTCTTTTTCACCATCCCAATAATGCCTTTTTTTTTCTTGCACATGTACTCCTTTTCAGTATTATAATTTTAATGATATCTATCTACCCAAAATCACTTATCATTCCTTTACTGCGGGTATATTCTCACGAGAGGTAATTGTCGACAGTATATGAATATACATATGATTTTTATATTAACGAGTCACAGAGGTTCTAAATAACATGCAAGCCGGGCACTTTATGCCTGTCTTTCTAATAGGTAAATTAAAATACTATAACTTTCTCACAAGATTGTGCAATGATACTCCTAAATTCAATAGAAAATGCCCGAATTAAGAAACTTTAGCCAAGTTTAATCGATAGTGTAAATAAAAGATATAATCATCTAGCCTTCTATATTCTCTTAAATAGCACAGAAAAATTTATGTGTTATTGCACGAGAAAAGGTACCCCTCTAATTGAAAAATTAGCAAAGACGGAAGAAGCTTGGACAGACATTCAACAGCTTATGATCCAGTTTGACCACAACAGGGATTATGTTGATTGGGAAATGATTGCTATTGAGTCCACGGTACGATAATAGTCATAATTCCTATTTAATATCATATATACCATGCATTATATATGTCTTAGAGTAAAAGGAAAAATAAAATAGTTTGAGATTTTATTCAGTAATAGGGAATGAAAAAGGAAAGTAGAAGACAGCTTGGACGGTCACCCATCAAAACATGTATAAAAAGAAATTTTGTGAGAGCAGTTCTCGTTAAGTCATAGAAAAATTTCTGAACTTGCAAGTTTGTTGCCCATCATTTTAATTATTGATGTTGAGGAGGCACAAGCACCATCGCTCTGACCAGTGCAGTTAACCCTTTTTTTTTTTTTTTTTTTTTTTTGGCGAAAAATTTCTCAACTGAAAAAATCGAAAATCAACACTTTAGACATTATTGGTGTTGTTTGGGATTAATAAGTGACGACAGAGAAAGACCGGCTTATCAGTAATTGCTTTCTTTTTTCCTTCTTCTTATTCTTTGATTTTTTTTTCTTTTTGTGTGTGCATTTCCTTTCTGTGTGAAGAAGAACAACGGTAAATCATCCAACTCATTATCGGCATCAGTCAAATAAAATATTAGATCGTCCGACCACTTATTCAAGAGAAATAAATCAGAATGAACAGTATACGACTTCTTGGTGTCCGCTCATTCAATGGCTCAACCACTCAAATAATACCTCGCCGTACCTTGGTTAATACTGGTTCACGAGTCCGTGGGATGCTCAGGGATCCTGCTGATTATTTGGTGTCCTCCAGTGGACGTCGGTACCCTGAGAATGCCACTGGAATGGCCCCAATCATCTCTAACTTGAAGAACTACTTATCCCAGAACTCTGTGGAAGGGATCGATGACAAAGTATTGCTACAAGTCTTGACCCACAAGTCTTTTGCTCATGGTAAAAAGCCATTCAATGAAAAATTATCTGTCTTTGGGGTCCATTTGTTGAAAGAAATCTCTGCAATTCACTTGATTGAATCCGAAGCTTCTGAAGGCGCTTCTGTGGAGGGATTGAATGTTGATGTTTTGGGTGGTACTTTATCAAAGAGATTGTTACACAAGAGTGTGCTTGCACAATTTACCAGACTTAATATCCCAGGAATTGAAAAGGATATATTCTGGAGAAATAGAAACTTAATGATCACCGATCCAGCCGTTAATGGTGAGAATGTGGTATTATTCGATACTATTCTCGCCACCGTGGGCGCAGTTAACTTGATAAAGGGTAAAGGAGTTGCCTCTGATTTTATTGGAAAAGCGATTTTATCAGGAGAGAATTCATTAGTCGAATTGGCAAAGGCCACTATATCTAAACCTCAGGAGAATAAGAGCGAATAAGGGATCATTTATTTTTTTGTAAATAACAAGCCGGCTTGAGCTAATAAATGAAGTGTGAATATATTTTTTAAACTTGTGATGTAATGACAAAATACGGAATCCATACATATATATATAGTAGTGGTGTATATATTTACATATACAGATTTGGTAAACATTGACGATAAGTCTCAGTTAGGTTTTTGTGATATATTAATGTGCAATGAAGACAAAAGTTGGTTTGGTCCCTGGTAATTTCTCGAAATAATATATTTGCGTATCATGTAAACAAACCGCTTGAAGTATACATTATCCTGTATTTGTTCCCTCCCCTCCCTTTTTTTTTTTTTATCTATTGGGATAGTAACCATTCAGGTGCCATGCTTTCATCTATAGGAATACTCAGCATATCAAAGGCTTCTATCAAAAGTTCCACTAAAATTCTTCCTCCTTTGGAACCAGTGAATCGTCGATATTCTTCACTAACACTGGCCAAATTCCAACCTTGTAAACGACGCAAGCAGCCAATCACTGTCCCAGTACGATGGCGACCCATACCACAACACACTAATATTGGATAATAATCTTTATTGGTGATAATTCTTAGTGCTTGGGTGATCAGGTTCTCACTGAGCCCATCCCATGGGTTTGCTCCTCCATCGCCCATGTCGGCAATGCAGTGAACCGCAATGTCATTATTATCAGCAAACTCGAGGAAATCATCGCTAGGATCTTCAGCAGCAAGCCAGACGATATTTCGAATATCGAGCTGTTTAAGAAACCCGTGGTTTAGAGGCGTGGGCTGGCCAGAGCGATACAAGTGACGTTCCACCGGGCAGAAATTTAGAGGAGGGATGACTTTTTGCATCGGGGACAGAGAAATATTGATAATATTTGATGGAGCTTTGCACAGGAGTCTCTGCGATACTTTGGTTTGGTATTGTTGTTGGTTGATCTCATCTATTGTTATGCGTTCATCATCATGATCATCATCATGATCACCATTTACTTTTTGGTCTCTCGGTATTTGCGGGGCTTGCACCTGAGAAATATCTTTCGAAGGATGGTATGACATGGCAGCGAAAAACAAAAACAAAACAAAAGAACAACGACCGGAAATTGAAATAAAGCTTCCACTTCCACTGAGTGATATGTAGCTGCTAGAGGGCTCTGGAATGGACTCAATATTATTATTACTCAACGCTTTCTTCTGGCTAAGCAATTGTCGCCGCGATCACGTGCACATATTTAATATGGGAGTTTTTTTTTTTTTTTCCACACGTTGTCAAAATGCGCTCTGTCTATCGTGGGTGTGTCTGGTCGTATTATTACTGTGAAGATTCCCAACACCATAGAAAAGAGCAATAATGAAGCCAAAGACCCAACCCAAGAAAGTCGCTTCCAAGCCCTCTGTCGCTAGTGCTGCTGCCGCTGCGTCTGGAAGCAATTCTTCCATCAATTCCCACTTCATAAAGGACCTTTCGAGTTCGGTGGTCAACACTTTCACCAATTATTTCAAAACTCTCCAATCGTCACCAAAACTTCTTTTAATCGACACCTTCTGTCTTTTCCTCGTTTTATTGGGGGCCATACAATTCTTATTTGTTCTCGTGGCTGGTAACTTCCCATTCAATGCCTTCTTATCTGGGTTCATTGGGGCTGTGGGCCAATTTGTGTTGACTATTAGTTTACGTTTACAATACAGTGATGCCAATAGAGATAAATTCAAAGGTATCACTGCGGAAAGGGCAATAGGCGATTATATATTTGCTAGTTTGATTCTTCATTTTATTGTGTACCATTTCATCAATTAAAAGAGGCGCACGAAATATAGGCTTATGTGATGGATTTGGTCTTTGTGCAAAACGAAATGGTTAATTTATGTTTTTCCTTTATGCAATCTGAGATTGGTTTAGCAGCAAAACTTTGAGCTATTGGATCTTGGGGCATATGGGTTTATGCGGTTTTATCTTTGCTAATTGTGTATTTTAATGAATTCAATTTTTATTTTTTTTTATTTTTTGTCGTTTCGGTCCAGTTCGAGTTGCGGTTGTAGGTCTCCATTGATTTTCATGTATAAAGCCAACAAGAACTCAAATAATATTGAAAATCTCAATCTACTTGGTGGCTTTTAAGTTTTGAAAAATACCCAAAATTGAAATTCTCGTAGTCAAATATATCATTTGACAACACCAAGATAATAATAGTGTGCGTTCTGAGCTCTTTTTGAATCCTCAAAAAGAATATACTAAGTCAAGTACACCAATTGATAGTGTATCACATGAAAATATCAAAAATAGTCAACAATAGTGAAATAGAAAATCCTTTTTCTTAAAACGTAGATCTATTGGTTCCTAAATATTAGAATTTTGATGATTAGAAATTAGTATATTAATAAAATAACAACAAAAGTAGGGAGAATGAATGACAAAAAGCTAATTGGAAAATGAAAAAAAAAAAAAAAAGGATAAATGATGATTACAATAACAAAATGAAGAAGGCAAGAAAAAAAAAAAGAGAAAAAGAACAACGGGATTAAAAGGTGATCAAAACTAGTAGTAAAACTAAGAAGAGTTAAAACATCTGCGGAGAGTTTATTTTAGTCTTTATTTTTCATAGGCAAGCACACAAAGACGTGTGATTATTGATACATTAAGTGTTTGCTGATTAGGAGTAAGTAAAATATTAAACGTCCCTTTATCTAAATGACTCCCAGAATTCCGGCTATCTAGCCTCACATTATGATACAACATTTACTGTCCTTTTTATCTTTATGGTTTTCCAGGGCAAATTGAGGAGAAGCTGTTGCATCTGCAACGGCAACTGGAGGAGATGGAATTTCTTCATTTTCTTGCACAGTCTGGCTGGCAGCGGAAGCTCCAACAGCAGCCTGGTATTGCTCTTTGATAATTCTCACCAATCCGTAGAAAGAGGTTTCGACATTAATTTTCTGCTTGGCAGAGGTTTCTAAGAAAGGACAATTGAACTGTTTTGCCAAGTCAAGCCCTTCGTCGTAACTAACCTGTCTTTCATCTTCAAGGTCACACTTATTACCAACGAGAAGCACCGGAACAAAGTCAGAGTCTTTAACACGAAGAATTTGCTGGTAGAAAGTGGTAAGTTCTTCGAATGAAGAACGAGAGGTAACAGAATAGACTAAAAGGAAACCTTCACCGGTACGCATATATTGTTCACGCATGGCAGAATATTCTTCTTGACCAGCAGTATCCAAGACATCAAGAAGGGCGGGCTCATCATCAATGATACAATGTTTACGGTACGAGTCCTCGATAGTAGGATCATATTCATCAACGAAGTGAGATTGAATAAGCTGAATGGTAAGAGCAGACTTACCAACACCACCGCCACCCACAACAACAAGCTTGTATTCTCTGATAGACTGGTTATATGTTAATGTTTTGTCCCTTTCAGACTGGTCCACAATAAAGAGTGTTTTTTCTTTTCTTTTTTCTCTTTCCTTTCTTTTTTCGTGTTGATTCTCATAACTGGAAGTCAATAATACGTACTCCAGACATTGAATGTTCCTTTCGTGTGACTGATGATACTCAAGAATGCTATCTCCAGCTATTTGCAGAACCGAAATTTGTATCAACAGATTTTGTTGTTTTTGCTAAAATGGGTGGCTGGCGGGCTCGCAACGCAAAATGTTAGGCAGCGCAGACATCGTAAGATAACACTTTTAATAATATGATAGAGAAGTACAAAGAATTGAAAATAAAATTATACTATAAAAAAAAGATTATTGTAAGAACCCCCACAAATATTGAAGAAATGCAAAAAAAAAAGGTTTATTTAAAACCGAATATAGTACACCTAAACTACCACTCATTTCATGCCATACTGCTTTTTGCAGTCATCGCAGTACCATGTTCCTTTTGGAGGGCTACTTAAACCAACACACTGTAAATGAAACCATTGTATTTTACATTTGTCATTATCACACCCAATCATTTCCCCAAAAGATACCTGTTGACACACACAATAAACGTCATTGACCCCTTCCTCTTCTTCCTCCTTATGAGGCACAGGCAGAGGCGACGCATGAACTGGGGCCACTGTAACCGTAGCGGAAATTGCATTCGATGTTCTTTTGGAGCTAGGTTTTTGTCTCTTTGGTGCTGGCTCTTCTGTTCTAGTTTGCGCAACACCTACAGATTTGGCTGGGGCTTGTGGTTTCCGTTTGCGTCCCGCTGGTGTACCTTCACGGCGAGGGCCTGGGCGTCCGGTATTATTATTTGCTCCTCCATTTGTACTATTGGTAGAAACCGTTGGGCTGTTGGAATTTGCGTTGTTATTGGATCCAGTGGTGGTGGCTGCCTTGCGCGCGGCAATGGCCTCCCTTCGTGACTCACTTCTCTGACTTTGGGCCGACTTATTTTCAGGTAATTTGGCGTCCAGGATTACTGCTGGATGATTCTTTGGACCATACTTCACTATTTTGGGGATTTCATGGTTGATAACCGCTTCAAGAGCGTGGTTGATGCGATCAAGATGTTTGGCGACAAGATCGGTGGATAAATTGGCAATCGTCATTTTCTCTTCGTAGCACGGAAGATTACTTAGCAATATATCTTTAACGACGGTCAAATCACTAACTTTCTCGTTTACACTCGAATTTTCTTTGTTGTTTTCTTTCATGAACTTAGAAATGTGATGGTTGAGTTCCGGCTGGTTTGACACGCATTTGGCGTCGATTTCCTTTAGCAAAGTGAACTGGCGGACAATGTCCTGAGGGAATGCCTGAAGGGCATCGACAAAGTCATTTAGGGCTAAGTATCTCCGAGGCTGGGACATCGCTGTTCTTGTTGTTTTTGCTGCTCTATATTTATTGACCCCATGATATTACACTGGTTCAAATTCGAGGCTGATGCACCGATTTTCCTTTTTATGTCGCCAGGGCTGTGCAACCAGAAAATGTTTTCTGATGATGAAACAGGCTATCTGCCTCCGCCTGATCATACCCAAGAAGAATAAGAAGAAGAATAAGAGGAAGAAGACGAAGAAGAAAGAGTATGTTTTGTCCATCCGGTCTTTTAGCCTCGCAGCTTTCCCCACGAGGTCTTTCTTCAGTGGAATCTACTGCCGAATCATTCAAATCATGGGACACTTGCATGGCCAACCATACCTGCAAGATCGTCGCCATCGTCCTCATCGTTATTGCCTGTCTCTTAGTGTTTTGGGTGATAAGCAGTATAGTTAATTGTCTTTGTTGTGGTGTCACTTGTATTTCATCCTTCTGCTGCTGTCTTTCGAAGGCCGGTTCTTGCTGCTGTGGTGGTGGCTCTAACAAGAATGCTCAACAAGGTTACCAACCTCCAGGCGCTCCAATGTATAATACTGCTCCAATGTATAATCCTGCCCCGATGTACAATGCCCCTCCAAGCTACAACCGTTATAACTCTCCAGACAATTATGGTTATGCGAAAGAGGTCCCTGAGTTGCTCGCAGCTCCCCTTCCTTCTCAAGCCTTCTCAAAACCTAAATCATCAAGCGTTTCTGCTCTGCAAAACAGTAAGCCGTACGGTGCGTCTAATAATCCATTTGATGAAGAGATTCCAATGCAAAACCTTAAGGGATCTGGTACACAAACTGCTCAAGATGATGGGATCAATGAGTTACCTGCTTCAGTTATTGCTGCTAACGCTAACGCTTACAATGTGTCACAAGGTGGAGTGAACCCAAAGAAGACAGGAGTAATAAGAGAAAGTGTGAATATTGATGATGAAACCGGAAATAATTCACAAGGCCTTTATGGAAACACCACTGGTGGTTACATTAATAGTGACTATGGCAATACCCAAGGTTACGGTTATACCCTGAACAATGCTCAAGGTACCGGCTATGGCCAGCAATATGCTCAAAATACTGGTTACAATTATACCAACAATTCTGATTACGGTGGACAACCTGCCAGTTATGGTGGTACCGCCCCTGCTTCTGGTTACTCTGTAATCCATGATGCGTACACAGGGAGTTCTAATAACCCAACTTCATCAAACTTTGCCAATAATAGACCAACCGCGGCTCCTTTGAATGACAGCTATAGAGGAATCACAGATACCAACCCGACCACTTATATTGGTGGAGAAGTTGGAAGCAACAATCAGAGTAATCAAGGCATTGGCTCTGCTACAAAACGCGCCTCGACCGCTCCTTATCCTACCGATCACCCATTCGACATGTTGAATAATAGAAATTATTAGTTAACTTTATGTCCAAGTGACTTTTTTTTCTTTCCGCATCTGAAAAACATTATGACGGTTCACTGTGAGTTCTCTATAACCTCTTATAGAGCAATATTAGCATTTATTTAAACCATTCATTGACTGTTTTGTTTTGTTTTGTTTGATTTTGTTATTTTCCTACATATTTTTGTCGTTTTTACTTTTGGCTCCGAAAATAGTTTTTACTAGATGCTTTTGATAAATATCTGATAAAATCTTGTGGTTTGGATTTTTTTTTGTTGATGCTTAAACCCATTCATGTTGCTTCTGTTTCTCTATTTGTGTTAGTTAGTCTTGTTCTTTGTTATAAATATTTATGTATGTATGGTAAGTGTTCATGGAGTGTAATTTTTGATTTTTAAAAGTGGACACGTTGAAAGAATATTGAGGATCTCAGACGTGAACTTGAAGATTATTCAGTTTGTTACCACCAAGTTGCAAAAAGGCCTGGTAGTGCAGCAGATGCCTTGATAACGGTATGTCTAACAGTGTCGAATGGCACTGAATACCAAAGGAGGAGGGAACAACACAGAGGAGAGTAGCAGAACAAAGTGTGGGATGCCGTGGATTATGATCATATTCTATAATACGGTGAACTGTTATTATCTCACATTATCGAGGACAGTGCTCTAGTAAACTTATTGCACAACTTGAACATAAAGATACTCCTCAAACTTAATAGTGGCTAAATGGCCTAAAACTCTCGTAGACCCTTTGCCAGAAAGAAAATCAAAGAAGTGGAGTTTTCATCCTACCACAACTTTCGATATTTTGGTTACTTCTCGGAAATAAGATTAAGAACACTCCATATTATACAATCAAATCCTTCAGGAATGCCCTACGATACCTTTGGATGTACAATAATCATGATACCCATCAAGCATACTGATACTCTATTAGCGACAATGTCATCTCAATGATCTTGCATAATAATAATAATAATAATAATGGTATCTGGAGATATATCCCCGAAAGGAAGGAGCGTACCAGCCAGTCGATGGTAGGTGTTTCACGTGACCAAAACGGCGCATTGGATTTTTTTTGTTCTGGTCGCCTGCGACTCATCATCGCCTTATCTTCCTGAATAGCAGAACACCATTCTTTTTCTTGACTATCATCGCTCGTTCGCAGTTTGCGCTTTTTCCATCGTTTAAGGGTCATTCAAACAATCCAACTGCTCTTTCTCTCTATCGTTGCTGTTTATCATTGCAAAGGCTATTTTGACAGAAGAAGATAACCAGAAACAGTCGCGTGGATAAAAAAAACATATCGCTTATCTAACAATGACCGCCACAACACCTTCTTCTTCTACCAGGCCCTCGCCACCTATTAACCAGAGAACTTTCTCTTCATCCTCTGGAAATATCCCGATCACCCCACAGTCCCGTCGTCAAAGTACTACTGCGAAACTTGTATCCCTGCCTCTAAAAAAGTCAGACTCGTTTCTCAAACAAAATGACAAAACAAAGATGTCGGTGATAAACTCAATGCTCCATCAAAGTCCTTCTCTGAACTCAGTATTTTCGTTGAATAGTGGCCTGGGTGCCACTCCTCCAGCCCCGTCTCTTTCGGCTTTGGGAGGCAACACTCATATCATCCCTAACCGCAGTGGCACACCTTCGGACCTTGACAATTTAGATATCCCGAACTTTGGGGTGGATACCAGTGATTTCGACTTGATTAATGAAGTGCACAAGCACTTGGTTGCAGAAAATACTGGTCTACATTTACCTGGTGGTGACATGTCCCGAGATTTGTACAAGTATACCAATAATACTAATGCCATTGATGCCAGTACTAACTCTAGTGCCAGCAGTGTGAGGAGTGGGGGCCATCGCATTAGACGTTCGTCTTCCTTTTCGTTTTCTGAAAGACGTGGATCTCTGGCCAGTGGATTGAACGTTCCAGGTGGGTTCAGAAGAGAGTTTATTGTTAAGAGAAAAAGAGAAGAATTTAAAAAAATTAATAAAGATCCCGGAGAAGTCGAACTCCCACCGTTTTTGGCAAGAAATTTCATGGAATTTTTGAGCATTTATGGGCATTTTGCTGGTGAATCACTTGAAGATGATGATTATCAAACTTGCACCTTGTCGAGCTCCAAGATACTTGATGAAGAAAACGCCCCATTGTTGGGTGATCGAGGTAGATCAGACGATTATCGATCTATTGCGCAACCTTCAACTACCGTCACCCGTACTGCTACTCCGGTCAAAGCTTTCTTTTTGCTTTTGAAGAGTTTTGTGGGGACTGGCGTTCTTTTTCTTCCTAAAGCTTTCTATAATGGTGGTTTGCTCTTTTCAGTTTTTACTTTGATGTTCTTTGCCATTTATTCATTTTGGTGTTATTATATTCTTGTGCGTACAAAAGATGCCACAAGAGTCTCGTCCTTTGGTGAGATGGGTACCCTTTTATACGGTAAAACTATGAAATTCCTCATCATTTTCTCTATTGTTTTATCCCAACTCGGGTTTGTGGCGGCATATTTGGTTTTCACTTCTACAAATTTGCAAGCATTCCTTGTTAATCTTTTCAACATCAAGTTGGAAATCCTTCATTTGATTATTGCGCAATGTTTTATATTTGTTCCTCTTTCACTTGTTAGAAATATTACTAAACTTTCCCTTAGTTCGCTCATTGCCAACTTTTTCATTTTCATTGGCCTTGCAGTGATTGTCTATTACACATTAGCTGATCTTGCTGCAAATGGACCGGCCCCTATTGCTAATTTTAACTCTAGCTCCTGGTCCCTTTTTATTGGGGTTGCTATCTTTGCTTTTGAAGGTATTGGTCTTATTATTCCAATCCAAGAGTCTATGATTGAACCTCACAAATTCCCAAAAGTTTTGTTTGCGGTGATCGTTACTGTGACGGTTCTCATGCTTGTTATTGGTCTGCTTTGTTATTGGACTTACGGTGATGCAACAAATACTGTGATCATTCTTAATCTTCCACAGGACCTGATTCTCGTGAATTCTGTGCAGCTTTTCTATTCAGTGGCGATTCTTCTTTCCGCTCCACTTCAACTCTTCCCAGTTATCAAAATCGTTGAAAATAAGGTGTTTGGTAGAAGCTGCGGTGGGAAGAAGAGTTTGCGTATCAAGTGGTGTAAAAATGCCATGCGTTCTAGTATTGTGATCACCTGTTGCATTATTGCCTATTACGGTTCTGCTAACCTTGACAAGTTTGTCTCATTTATCGGTTGTTTTGCTTGTATCCCATTGGTTTACATGTATCCTCCAATGTTGCATTATAAGGCTGTTAGTAAAACTAGACTTTCTCGAGCATTTGATGTGTTCTTGGTGATTTTTGGTGGGTTTGCCATGATATATGTCATGATGCAACTTTTCGATGGGAATTGAACAACAATAAAAAAGAAAAAAAAAAAGAGAAACATTATGCTCCAGGCACTGTTCTATGATCCTTTGGTTCACAAATGCTAATTAATGTACATCAATTGGAGAGTGTGACATGACACATTAATAATATACCACCACATATTGTTCTCGATAGAGCATAAGCGAAAAATATAATACCTGACATATTACACCCTTTTTTGTTTTATTATTCCCTTTTTTTTTTCGCTGATTTTGATCTGATTTTTTGTTTCTGGGTAGAAATAGAACCATCATTTTTATCATTATTAATTATTTATTATTTTTCATTTTTTATTTTTTTTCATCAGTCCATAAAATTTTCCTGCTAGTTTTGTTTATGCATCTTATACACTATTCATTTTGCACTTCAATTACATTCCCTTGAAACATTACATTGTTGTTACTATTGATAATAATTACAATTACAACAAGTAAGTATTCAACGGGCTATGCAATTCTGTTATTTATCATGCGATATATGCATAATCTGACATTCCATCACATATATGCATGCATCATGCGGGCTTCCCAAATGGGGCAATACACGTGTATCCACCAACCTGGTACCGTCGAGTGGTGTGCTTTCATATGGGAGTGCTCTGCTAGTAGGAAAAAAAAAATCTCTACTCCATCGTAAATTATGACTAAAAATACCCAGTTCTCACTGTTATTATTTTACTTTTTTTTTTTTCTTGTCTAAAAATTTTGGATTTCCTCGAAGACACCGCGATTTTCATAATTCTTCATCGCTCACTCCAAGAGCTAACTCTCAAAACCCTAATCCTTTTTTTTTTTTTCCCTCTTTACTCTGTCAGTAGCAACTTGGCATTGACAGGCAGCACACTAAAACACCGATGCCCATTCCGCCAAATATCATGGACACCAACTGGATTGATTTCAACCCGTCAGAAAACTTCTCGCCCTTGGACAACAATCTCGGGTTCCTCGAGCCTCATGCCAGTAGTACCAACCATAGTACCCCTAATGAAGATGATCCTGAACAGAAACTACTTAAAGATTCCCGGGGACCGACAATAATACATCACCACCACCATCATCATCATGTGGATTCTTCGGAAAACAAAGATGAGCCTGCCACTAATGACTATATGTCCTCTTTGAACGGTAATAATAACTTACTAAACAGTATACTTGATATTCAAAAATGGTCGGATTTCGGTTACAACCCACAAGACGCTCAAGCGACGACGACGACCAACAAAACCCTAAATAATGCCGATAATAACATGATGAAAGTCCGGTTACAACACACTCCCAAATCTTTGGATTTATCTCAATCGTACGCTAATAATAGGAACCCGGTTGCTCTGGCCTATTCTACTCCTTATGATGCCAATGCCACTAGTGCTTTCGCAATAGATAACCAAAATAAGTTCTTCACCCCGTTAATATCCCCGGCAATGACCCCTTTAGAGTCGATGATGTTGGATGATCATGCTCCGGCACTCCATAATACCCGTGATGAGTTCTTCACCCCACTAACTTCCCCAGCAATCAATCCAATGAATCATCCATCGCCAAAAACCCTTTTGCAATTGAGTGAGGAACCACTGGCAAACCCCCGTCAAAAATCCAAAACTGCGTCATTTGCAGCATCAAAAAGAAGCACCCGGACCTCATCCAAAGGAAGAATTCTCAAAACCAAACCATCGAGCAAGAACAACTCGCCAATTATCAAAGCAACCCATTCTCCAATCGTTAGGGCAGGCGCTCATGTTGGTGCCGTTAATGCAAGCCGCCGTCCCAACGTTAACACCCATGTCTTGGAAAATGACACTCAGAATATCGATCTTGATTTGCAGCGCCTCGAGAACTTCAGCTTGCCTGATAATTCTATTGGTACAAACATTGGTATCGATAACGCTTTCAATGGTGATGACTTCTTGGGTCAGCAGGTTAACGAAGCTCAACAATTATACTCTGCTTCGGTGAACGGGTCCCAAACTAGTGTCAACAGCCTTTTCCAACACTCGCAATCGCAGGTGAATGGTACTGGCACAGATATCAATAATAACAACAGTAAACCAGCAACCCCAGCCACTCTCATGAACTTAAAATTTCAGCATAGTAACCACAATGATCTACATGAAAAAACCAGCCAAAACTCTAAACAAAAGACCTCCAAATCAATGATCAAAGAAATAACATTCCAAGCTTCGGCTGCCACTCCTGCTTCGATTGCAAAATCAGATAGGGCTGGCGTGACTAGAAAAGCATCATCTTCATCTATATCGAGTTCTACAAGCTCGTCTAAAAAAGCTATTCAAACTTCCACTCCTTTCTCGTCATTCAAGACCTATAAGCAGAAATCCGGTGGTAACAAAACAATTATGGATTCCGTTATTGCTCACCAGCTGCAGTTCAAACTCAATTTGAACAATTCTAATTCTAAACTGGACACTAGTGCCGCCGGAGAAAAGAAATCCTCTCATCGTGAAGCTGAGAAGGGCCGTCGTGATAGAATGAACATTGCTATTCATGATCTTGCGTTGTTGATCCCTGAAGAGCTTACAAGCAGTGTAGCTGTTCCTTCTAAGGCAACTACGGTGGAATTGGCAAGTCAATACATTCAAAGTTTGGTTGATGAAGTGGAACGCTTGAATAAGGTTGTTGAAGATAAAAATGAAGAGCATGATGCTACGACTTAACTTGTTCAAAAATAATGAAGATATTTCATGACATGATTTTTTATAATGGAAGACTATAGACTAAATAAGTAACGATTTTTGCCCCCAAATAATAAATATGAAGTTTTTTTTTCCCTTACAATCAAGCTGCGTGTAAATTGAAAATATCCATTACGAAAAAGAAGAAGACAAGTTATAAAGAATCAATGAATAATAATACCGCCACGAGTACTAAGAAAAATAAAAGACGTCCCTTTAGTGTACAGGTGCCCCATAAACCATAACCGATAAGGGTATCAGCAGTATAAGTGAAACGACGATTAAATTGTTTATCCCATACCGTTGGCTTGAGAATCAAACTTCCTTGGGATTTTTGGCGAGAGATAAGCAATCCTTGGGAATCGATAACAGACTTTGGAGCATTGAAGGGGACATTGATTGACAAGTACACTGGCTTGTGGTCTGAGAGAGAAATTTCAGGAATTGAAGAATATGAAATCACCTTTACAGGTGGAAGTATTTTATCCAGGCTTGGTACAGGTAGATCAGTAGAAGACGATGATCCAACATCCTCCACTGGCGACTTGTAAGATTGATAAAGAATTCTATCACACCACAGGGGTATACGTTTAGAATTATACTTTGCGGTTCCTTCGAAGAACTTATAAGTTGGACGAAACTTAATTGGGGCTTCGTCAAACCCCCAGAAGACCTGGTTTGCATTACGAGCACATGTTAATTCATCCACTTCTTCGAGATTTTTAAATGAGGTGAGTAGAAGAGTATCGGCAGCTGATTCTGCTTGGTCCTTAGTAGTAGAAGAATCCGTTTTGAAAATATTGGCAGTTGCACGATAATTCAAATCACCCATGATAAAACAGTGGGAATCTGGTTTTAAAACACTCCATTCATCACCAAAGTCCATGGACCTCACAATATCATAAAAATCCTGGTTTCGACGGTTGTACTTCTCAGTCCCCTCATTGGCATTCAAGTGACACGATACAAATGTGAATTCCGTTTCATCATCTTCATGAGTCAAGGTGAGTCTAACACCACAGCCACCTTTAAGAGATGATCTAAAGTACCCACAGCTAGAATCTGCTTTACGAATACTCTTTATATTTTGCGGAGAGTCACTAATCACCAAGAGTCCGATTGCCCCAATGTGAGCTTTGGTGATGAGGGTGAAATCCACATCATGACCGTGCTTTGATCTAAGAACATCCAAAATTATATCACCAAGTTTTGAAAGTTTAGGCCCCACAATCCCAGGAAAGGAACCATTAAGCACAGAACAAAGTTCTTGGAACGCAAAAACGTAAAGTTTAGCATGATCACCAGAAGCTTTCGAGCCCGGTATATTGGCAAAGAGGTTATCGACAAAATTGCTGTAGGCAGTCAGCCCCGCATCACTGCAAATGTCCTCGGCACTTTTACCACAATTGTAAGTGAATAAAAATAGAGGAATTGACATTTCTTTCTAGGTGATTTTTATGTATTTGTTTTATTCATTTGCTATTACTCCTTCCTCTCATGAATTGCTTGCAAATTGGTGTATTTACATGTCTCAGGTAATAGCAGTGCTACAAACCAAATGCCGTTATCTATATAAATACCCTTAATAATAATTACGGACAAAGAGCATAATAATGGTTTTTAAAATCTCAAAAATTACTATCTGTCGTATCAATTATTCAAAGAAACTAATAATAGCCTAGTGCCACTGGTTATGGCCACAACGTTATCTTCACTAATGCTTCCTGCACAAATCTCGTAACTCGGCAAGTTCACCTTAATCACCTTTGGATCAACAACACCATTATCGCCACCCGCAGAGGTTTTCAAAACCCGATCAAAGTCATAAACCAGTATTTGTTGTTTGGTGATATTTGCTAACTTTTTTTGTGGATTGTTGAAAGAGTTCGTAGACTTAGAAATTGTCACGGGTGTCGGTGATGATTCTGGATTCAAGAATCCAAAAAGTGTCCCACTCAGGCTAGGCTTGGTATATCCCGCACCTCCAATGATCTCATTCAAATCATATTTTTTGAACCAGCCATTGAGTCCCAGAATCAAAAGCTCATTTGTAGTGGTGAAGATGTTACTCACTTCGGACTTCGCGTTGTTTGAATCATAAGAAGTTGGGTAAATAGAAACAAGCCACTCATATGACTTCCAATCAAGTATTTTCACAATATTTGTCGCTTCCAATATCAAAAGGTACTCCCTATTATAAAACGATGCAAACTGAACCATGGTTGGAATATTGGTAAGTCTAAATGACATTGGAGTAGGTTGTATGTCATTGCAATTGTAGATCATCACTTGTTTAGAGTCCATGGCAACAGCAATCACACCATCATCATTGACATCCATAGAGTTAATGAACCCAGGTGGCAAATCAAATACCTGATGCTTGATATCAGATAGTTTCATATTATTGGAAGACTGTTGATCACTTACGTGGTTGATCAAAATAATCTTGGAAGAGTCTACCGACGCAGCTAGAAGGTAACGGCTGGTAAACTGAAGAAAATCGACAGAACTTTTGAACACGCTGGAAAGATCGATCTTTGTTTTGGCCAAGATATATTGTTTTTGGAACTTTGTTGGTAAAGTATAAATGTCATCGAGGGCTACCGGGTTGAAGATCAGAATACTGGCGTCACTAGTACCGACAGCCAAAAGGCAGCCATTCCAATCACCACATTTAGCTTGTTCCCCTATATCAAACCTAGTATTAAGAGTTAGTTTTCTGTTAAAAAAATAAGAAGAAGCAGAAGAAGAAGAAGGAAAGTAGATATCGGTTTCTTCAAGATAGTAAGTAATACGCTGCTTATGCAGAAAACATACACAATGGCTCGCGCATCATGATCTGGGGTATAGGAGTGTTGATAAATCTCTGAAAGAATAATCTGGAGATCCTTAGTTTCTCCCATTCTGAGCTAAGTGCTTTCTCAATACTATGGTAGCAAATGTCAAAATATTACCGTGATGATTCTTTTGTTTGGCGCTGAAAAATCGTGATGTTGCGAGCCCTGGTTGCGATTACAACCACAAAATGATCACAAATTCGAATACCGCAGCACCAACACTTTGGGATATATGTTGGCAACAACACATTGCAAGTTAAATGGCTACGGGAACTCACTCTTCACTAGAGAAGCTTAGACTTATTTTGGGAGATGACGCCCCAATTGATGCAATCACACCAGCATCAATGCCCAAAGTGGCTCTGGAAGAGGACTTGTTAACAGATGATCAAGTGGAGAATCAGTATATGGAATCGCTTAGGAGTATTGACATGAAGCTAGCAGATGAGAAATACTACAATAGCCAAGTGAGGAAGTTTCTCAAAGTGAAGAAGAATATTAAAAGCTCCAAGGGCTTGGTTGAGGAGCTCATTGGTTATCTTGGCAACTTTGAAAACAATCTCTCAAACTTGTCAGCTCAAATGAATAATTTGAAAAATCAATCCGAAAAATTAGACAATCAGTTGAGCGCCAATTCTCAATTCGAGAAAACATTGGTCCCTATTGTTACCGATCTTATTATCTCTCCAGACATCATCAACTCGATTCTCAAGGATCCCGTCAATGTGGCTTGGTGTGATAATCTTAGCTATCTAAATTTGAAATTGGAATTGCATCATCGTTATCAGAAAGACATTCTAGAATACAATAAATCATCAAAAGCCGATGACAAATCCATTGACCCTCGAAGTCTAACCAAATTCCTTGATGAAATGAAGCATTTGCTTGACCTCTGCATTCTCAAATCGGTTGAAAAAATTAAAGATTTCCTAGTGAACAAATTGAAGCTCATCAGATATAGCAAGAATTTTACTCTACAAGTTCTTCAAAAAAACTTACTAAAGTCAAAAGAAATTTTCCAGTTTTTACTTACACATAATGAGCCTCTTGCGGTCGATCTTCGTCAAGCTTATATATTGACGGTACGATGGTATTATTATAAAAACTTTGGGAAGTACTTGTATTCTCTTGAAAAATTGAAAATATATAATATTGACAAGGGCTATTTGCTAGGAAACTCATCTATGGAAGCGAGTGATCTGGGTGATTCCACTGAAACTTCGTCTGCAAAGTTTACGAAGTCCACATCATGGTTGAGTCCATTTACCAGTTCAACAACCAAGTCAGCTATGAATGCAAAGAGACCAGCTACAGTCGCGTATAGTAATTATTTTTCAGTAGAAGATCGTTTGAATATCCTCACTGATGATGACCCAACCGTATTACCTGCTCAAATTGCAGAAACTAATCCTTTGACCTACTGGCTCGAAACACCGTATCGTTCATTTAATCTTGCCATCATAGACAATGGTACCGTTGAATACCTCTTTCTCAGCGAATTTTTCCAAATCACCAACCAGGATGAACTTCCAAAAGTATTCCAGGAGATCTTCCAAGGAATTTTTCAGATTGGTATCAATTTTACTAAAACTTACTTGACTAATAATACCAATTATGATCTTTACTCGATCCTTATTTGCATCAAACTTACAAAAATTTTCTTATTCAAACTCCAACATCGAAAAATACCTGTCATGGAAAATTATTTCAATTTGCAATTAATTACCTTATGGCCAAAATATCAATTGATTGTTGATGCCAATTGTGAAAACATTAAGAAAGCCCTTATCAAAAACTCTTCTAATTCATATTTCAGCTCATTAACTGGTCCATCGTCAGAGTCTAACATGTTTGAAGCGTTTGCTCTGGGCCAATCTACTATTGTTCATCCAGTTACGCAGCAATTTGCCACTTTACTTACATCACTTCTTAAAATTGCCGCCATTGACACCTCAAATCCATCGCTCATTTCAGATCTCACCAATTCGTTTTCTAGGGCTGCTACTCCGCTGTCAGGGGAGTACAAGATCCTGAAATCACATCAAAAAGGTGCGTCGGAGAGTTCTGAGACCTCTGGTGCTGCTTCTTTGAATACATCATCAAAACCTGAAGTTCCAGAAACTGAACCCTTACTGACAAGCATTGTGCGTTTGCGGAATGAATATGAGAACGTACTCAATAAATTGAGCGCCCATGTTGCCCCTAAGGAAGTTACCTCCAAGAAACGTGAAAGATTCTTGTATAACAACTACTATGTACTATTCAATGTCACATCTCAAGCTGATGGGAATATTGCTTGTGCTGAGAAAGAGCATTACCAGTTGTTGATGGAAGCTTACAAACAGTCGCTAGTATGATTTTTTTTTTTATTCATGTCGACATGGCCGTTATAAAAATAAAAGACGTATTGTACACATTCAGAAGAGAAACCTAATAATAACAATAATAATAATAATAATAATAATCAAAACAAACATAACCAAAGATGTGATGAAAAAACAAAATGACAACTTTAATATTTATAGAAAAGAGGAGAGGGAATCTTTGTGCAGGTTTGCTCTTTCTATCACATTTCCTTGCGGGTAGGACAATAAAAATAGAAATTAAAATTTGATCCTATTCCGTAATTCATACCCCTAAATGTTTAGAATATAACAGCTAAAGTTTATGGATATTCTTCAACATCATCATTAATACTTTCGTAATCATCTGTGTTTTTTTCTTCATTGTAGATAAAAAATTGGACAAAGATAATAGCATCCAAAAATAAAGTACCAATACTACCAATTAACCAACTCATGTTCACGACAACGTAGTGCCAGCTGACACCAATGCATAAAATGGAAGCGACGTACGAGAAGTTACCAATGCAAGCAAAGAAGAAGAACAAAAAGGAAATGCCATCACAAGACTTACGCTTAAAGTTCAACACGATTTGAGGAACACGAGAGCACAAGTAGAACACGGCACACAAGTATCCAAAGAACTGGCCGATAGGATCTAGTTCGACATCGTCACGGTTGTCATGATTATGATCCGGTGGGGTATTTGTGTCATGATGGCTTGATCTAATGTAAGAAATGTACCATCCAAGAACACCAGAGACCAATACCAAAGCAATCAAGATGAAATTATACAAATCCGATTTCCATTTAGAAGTGGCAGTGGTCTTCTTCTTTTTAGCTGGTGCTTGACGCTCGCTATCGGTTGCCAAGAGATGACGGGTTTCATCGATGGTGCTATCAGACGAGTTGATCATTTCATCCAAAACATCTTCAGATAAAGGATTAGCAGGAGACAAGTGGATTGGATCGACTTTTTTGTGGGCTCCGTAGAGGAGGCATTGTATTAATAAAACAATATCGGCGAGTGTGTAGTATATCGCAAGAATAAGCATGGTTGGCAAAACATTCTGAGCAATGGAACCAATGACATTAAAAATGTCACCGATAAGCCAAAGAACAACAAAAAGTAGTGAAAGACCGTCAGCACTTTTACGACAAAAGTTCTCATATATTTGTGGGGCAAAAACAATGATCCAGCAGGCAATAGATATGGAGCTATAAGAAATTTTGTTAGCAATGGGTTTCAGGATTTCGCAAAAAGCAAGTCACACGCCTCCAATATCAAGGCTTTAATATATCCAATTCAGCTCAAAACTGAAAACTCTAACACAAAAAATACATACCCTAATATACCACTAACAGCTTGTGCATTCAAAACCACCGGCGATGGTGGAGCAGCAAATTCGTCAAACATTTGCTGGTTTTAAAGTTTTTTGATGGATGAGTAATAATCAGAATCTTGGTTCCCCAAAGTGTCAACTCTATTTATTGGTTGAAAGAAGTAAAAAAGTAAATGGCGTGAGTGGGCCAGTTACTAGAAAAAGATAGAGATAAATTGTAACTAGACAATACCTCTTCGGTTTGGTTCTGAATACAAAGGTTCTAAAGAAACGAGACTAAAAGCCGTCTCCGAAGAAAATTTTCCAAGCTTTTTATAAGCGAAGAAGCATGCGATGATCATGTGCGGTGCGCAAAGACCAAAAAATACAATCGGCTACAGATAAAGATAAAAATATGACACAAATTAAAAACGTTCCCTCCATTATAAATTTACATATTCATATAAAAGAACAAAAAAGAAAAACATATAAACACAAAATGAAACAAATAAAAAAAATTGAAATCAAACTAGTATAGTAGCAGAATCGAGGGAATGAGAGAAACAAAAGAAGAAAAAGTAGGCATGAGAGAATCAGAAAAAGGAAAAAAAAAAAAAAAAAGAAAAGAGAAAGAAACACTAGGCAAATTCCATTATATCAGAAGAAGCACTACTTTCATATCCAGTAGCATGAAGTGCCTTTGTTTCGGCTAACCATGGATCGTTGATCAATTCTGCAGCCTTCGCACGGCTTTCTGGTTTAGTTTCAAAGCAGCGATTTAGGAAATTAATACCCTCTTCACTAAGTTCACCTTCTTCTGGTAATTGTGGTTTATTCCCATTAGCAATGTGATACATAATCGCAAACTCATTATCAAGTTTTGCCCAAGGTCTGCGACCGGTGGCCATCTCAAGAACACAACAGCCAAGGGCCCAAACGTCCGAGCTCCCCAAAACATCGTTACCATGACCAGTTATACTTTCTGGGGACATGTACATTGGTGTACCAGTAACACCTGCTTGTCCTGGTAATGTTGCCGTCATTGCCCGAGTGCGGCCAGAAGCAGCAATTACTTTAGCAGCACCAAAATCAACGAACTTAATGACACCAAGACGATTGAGCAAGATATTTTCTGGTTTGATATCTCGATGAGCAATATTGTTCAGATGTAAATAGGCCAAACCTTCTACCATTTGTAATGTATACCATTTAGTCATCATTTCATCAATTCTACCTTGACGTAACAAAAACCCAAGTGACCCAAGTTCACAAAATTCCATAAATAAATAAACTTTATCACTATGAACTTCCACACCAAAGTAGTGAACAATATTAGGATGCTCCAACATTTCAAGAACCGTCATTTCATCTTTTATTACTTTCCCAATATTTGCCACAGATTGACTATTTGGAAACTTGACCTCTTTGACTGCCATAACATTACCATTAGTTAAATTGGTGGCTTTGTAAACTGAACCAAAGGTACCCCCACCCAAGTAATCACCTTTTTGCCATTTAGATGAGAACTTGAAGAAACTTGATGATAAATAGGTCAAAAATTTATTTTCAGATTTCCTATCATCAAGAACTTTACCAACTTCCTTATATTTGCGCAATTTCTCAGTCAACTGATTATCAAGCTGAATAATCTTTTCATTCAATTCAGAATTCTTATGTAACGCCAAAGTACTCTCTCTTTGAATGACTTTCTTTTGTAACTTGGAATAGGATAATAACACTCTGTCGGCCTTGTTTGATCTTGCACCCATAATATCAAAATGGGAAATCAACAACGACAAGCAACCTGCCACTTTTGTCTTCAAAATTTTGAATTGCTCATCTGTCAACAAAAGAATGTTGAACTTTTGGAAAACTAATAAAGCAAACTCAAGAGCAGAAACACACCATCTAAAGGTCTTCTTTTCCTTGGAGGCACAATCGTCAACAACAACCTTGATCCACTCAATACTCAACTCGATCATTAAGTTCATAAACTCACCCACTTCATCTGCTTCAATATTCCGAAGAGACGATAAACTGGTATCTCTGATAACGTAAAATAAATTATTAAGAATTTCCAAACAGCTTTGATCTGGCTCCCTTTCACGGGCCATAAGCTCAAGAATTTGGTCTTTTAACACCAATCCCTTCTTCAAACAAACAAATGACATTCGGTTGAAATTCTTGTTGATACGCACCAACTCCTTTTGAATTTGTAGCAAACTACAGGTTTTCTCTGTTCTCAAGGTTTTGATAAGTTTGACAATTTTCTTATCTAATAGTAAATCTGATACTTGAGGTGTATTAGTGCCTTCCTTGATTGACTCCTCGTCATCTTCGAGAGCTAATCTATCAAACATTTTCACTGCAGCGTCAATACTATGTCTTGGTGATGCTGTCTCCAGTAGAGATTCGGACAGAACATTAATTTCCTCCACATAGTGCTTTTTCATATTATTTATGAGAGTCGTTTTAGCAGCTGGTAAATTCAAAGGTGATCCATGAGCGATCAATAAAGCATTACCATATCTTGCGGAGACCAATTTAGGGAAAGTTGACTTTTTATCTCCTTGAATAACAATGTTCCGCACCTTGCCCTCCCAAGGGATCTTACGAATCACTGGAAGAACTATCAAGTATGGCACATTGTGGAAACGTTTCTCTTCATTGTAACTTTTGGTAATAGAATCTTTATCAACGGTACTAACGGATTCAACCTCGCTAGTACTTGGAGACGTATGCCCAGAGTAAATAGTGCTAGCCATAAAATGTTTGTTGGGCTTTCCCCCTTCATTGGTGGTATATTCAAGTACCTGAGCACCTTCTGTACCAACTACTAAAGCATCAAGTGACGGTTTCTCTATATCCGCTCCAAGCTTGGAGCCTTGGAGTGAACCAATGATTTCTTTTTCTGGAACATCAAGAAGATCTTCAGTTCCAAACACATATACTCGAAGATTTTTTCTCGAAGCCCTCGCGCCATTTGTCTCTTCTTGTGGTTTCCCCTTGTTATACAAAATGTCGTGCAAATTCTCATTACCATTAATAGCAATCATGACATGGTTTTCTTTGTGAAAGTAGTGGATCAACGCTTTGGCAATTTGATAATCTTTATTGAAGTTCAAGTGCAAAATTAAAGAGTTTTGGACCATTCGAAGGGCACTATTAGTTAATTTTGTAAGTTGACGTTTCAAGTTACTAAAATTATCAAAGGTAGTTGTATACCATTTAATAAACTTTAGTTTCACATTAAGTTGTGGATTATCAAGCTGGTGCTCCAAATAATTCAATAATCGGACACACAAGCGGCAAGTTAAAAATAAAAAGTTTCTCGATACCTTGAAACCTGAATTAATTTCCAAGAAGTATCCAATGTTCTTCAAAAAGTCCCACTGTCTTCCAAGAATCTCTGGTTCCTCGTAGGTCGTGAAAGAATAGATGCTTCGGGAACTGTCCAACAATTTTCTATGTAACAATACAAGCAAATAGTCAGTGAAATCCAACAAAAGATTGTCTTGTTCCTCATAGTCAATTTCCAAATATTCCAAGTTAATATCCGGCACCCCATTCAAAAATTTAAATAAATTCTCTTTGACTTGGAAACACAACTTAATAATAACCTTGAAATCATAGATTGTTTGATCGATACCTAATAACGTTTGCTGAGAAACATTTTTAGCATACTGTAATCTAATACCGAGGACCTCCTTCATCAAATTAGATGGAAATTTCACGAGCTCCAATAGAATTGGTAAAAATGATGGCAAATTCAGTTCCTGATATATTTCCTTTGAGCTCACATAAGACTCCTTAGCCTTTCTAGTCCATGGATTGATGACACTGAAGAGCTTTTTATCAACAACTTCGGATAAATTCTTATAAGCCAAAATGTTTTCTGCAAACCATGAGGCATCTAATTCATTGATATCGTGGAACTTTGCAACTTCTTGATCAGATGAATATTGCATTCCGTCATCGCCATCAGATATTACCGATTCATTGGCTATCGTTGGGCTAAGGCTTCCTGTACGGTTGCTACCATCTTCAGAATTCAGTTGTTCCTGTTGTGATTCGTCGAAATTATTGTGACGCGATATTGATGATTTCAGAGATGAGGAATGGCGATGATTGAACTCCTGAGAAAATTGATTCGATGAAAGACTTGAGCGGCTATCCCCGCGTCCTGAATTGTCATTAGAACGGTATATTGTTTCGCTTTTAAACCAATTGATCAAGGTTGATTTTTCAAAATAAAGTGCACTGATAATGTTCCTCCAGCTAATCATTGCCTCTAATTTCCTAGCAAATCCTTCAGTCTTGATAATAGGCTTAGCAGCTTCCATTTCCTCATGCGACATCCAAAGCTGTTCACAATTATCATACTTATCAAGCAAAGCTTGGACAACCGCACCAGCATCCTCGTATAACATTGCATTCAATTTATGTGTCTGTTGAGCAGTCAATTGCAAAATCTCTTTGTAATTTTCTTTCTCGAGAATACTCAAATCCACAGAATCATCAAAATGGCCTTCAATGATCAATGTAGAATAGAAAATTTTCTCTAATGGTTTTTCATCATACTTGAAGTTCAAAATTTCTTCGATAACTTCGTCCATCAAACTTCTACTAAAACTCAAAATTTCCCGTTGCTCTGACTCAGTGTGGCCAAATCTTTTGGCCTTCAAGGACAACCACACATCTTTTTTGCACTGGATGATGAACATACTTGATGAAACAGACTCGCCATGAGCATTCACGATGTTCGTGTTTTCCTCATTGGCACCGAAATTTAATTTCTTCAACATTTTGTTCTTTTCATCGTTCACAATATCACTTTTGACCACCACCCCTAGCATTGCCTGCCACTCAAATCTTTCCAAAAACTTTTGATCTTCTAGTAACCCAGGCTTGAGTTTTGATTTGATCAATGGGTATATAATGCTATCATCGATCTGAAATGCTTCATTTACTTTATCTGCATTAATTCTCGAAATCTCTGTGGCGTAAGTAATATTAAGGTCCTCCTCATCTTCCGCATCTGCGTCACCAAAAATCTTTTGGAATTCATTGTCAGGCTCTCCAGTGATTGTCTCAAAGTCAGCCAAGGTTTTTGGTTTTCCAACAAATGCTGAAGGACGAATGAGGTCGGTATTGTCGGTAGTCAATAATAGTTGACCGGCCGCTTCGTTATCAGAAAACTGCGCTTCTGGAAGAGGCAAATTGTTATCTAAATCTGAAACAATTTTGTCCATTCTTCCATGAGCATTAGATAAGGTTAATGCAGCAGTAGGAACTGAGGGAGGACTATGCATGGATAATTGAGCTGGTGAAGTCTTTTCTTCAGTGCCACCAAAACTTGGGGAATTAGGTTCAAGATACTCCTTATTGAACAATTGCTGTTGCATATGCAAAGTATTTTGTTGCTCTGAATATCTGTTAGGTGGGGTATTTTCCATTGTTTGGCTTTCCAGCAGGCCATATGGAGTATCAGGAAGGGTAGAAGACCTTTTTAGCGTTGAATCCATAACTTCATATTCATCATCAATTTCTGAATCATCAAAAGGAAAATCTGATTCAAATTCACCTTCAGAATCAGACTCCATTATATCCAAGTAATTTTTGTTGGTATCAATAGCTTTTGTGGCATAGTCGTCTGTATATTCATTATTCATTTTCTTGATGTATGCTTTTTCTTGAACTTTATAACGAACTTTGTACTGCTCAGACAGCTGTCGCTGCATAGTTGTTGTTGATGGATGATGGTGGTGATGATGAAGAATAGAATTGGTCAGCGTCGTCGAAGAAGGAGATGAAGGCGAAGAAATTGTTGATGCATTAGATGAGATGGAGCTTGTCTTCTTTGGATATCTGCTAGAAGAATTCTTTCTCATAATTTCATTTTGTTTACTTGATGGGAATCTCTGAAGTTTTGCACTTCCTGGGAGATGGACATTAGATGTTGGCGAAGTATTTGCAACTGCTGATTGAGGGGCATTAGAAAATTCATGGCTAAATCCTAGAGCATGATTATCTGATGAGCCAAATTTTGGGCTAAGAGGACTATATAAACTATGAGACCGCAAAAGATTAGGCTTTTTTTCAGTAGAATAAGTATCTAGCTTGATAGTCTTCGATTGATTGCTCTCTGACTTTTGATGAGCATGATTATCCTCGGATACATCTTGATGCTTTTCCTCATTGCGGGTAGGCGAACTCATGACCGATATAAAAACAATTCAAGATTGATATAAAACGGATTTGTTTGTTGTTGTTTATAGTTGATATGACTGGCTCAGCTAATAAAATAATATGAATTAGTAGCTGTCACAATACCTATGTCTAATTTCTTCCAGCTGAGGCTTCCTTCAAAATATCGACAAATTGAAAACGAAATGAAAATAATAAAATAAAAAAAAAAAAAAAAAAAAAAAAAAAAAAAAAAGAATAAAGGAATGACAGAAAGGTAATTCAAAGTCTTCAATATATGAAAGAGCAAAAAGAGATGTGTTGATCTTCGATGAGGTATGTTTCTATTATCAAGTATTATCTCACCAGAGTAAATAAAACTCTCCTTCTTTGAACTTTTCGATGGTTTCCGTCAAAAGATTCTTCGATTGCCCGGCTGATGTGTGACATCCTCAATCACCCGCGTAATTGGCTCTGTGAGGCTGGTACTGCAAAAATTATTAATTCCAAATCATGGTGTGTACGATGAATAGTACACAAGATTGTAACAAACAGGCTGAGCATTCTGAAAATGTTGTCAGTACGGAGAACTCTCTCCGTTAATACAATTTTTTTGAATAGAATATTTCCCCGGTCTTTTGGTCATTATAAGCTGACTATCAGTGATACATTAGGAGAGCTTCCATCTAACGATAACTTCAAAACACCCAGAATAAAAAAAGAACTCCAAAACACACTCAACCATCTAGAAGAAACTAAAAATGATTCCGTCAAATTTTATGTCACGCTCAATAGACTTGATAAGCTTGGTTATCTTGATTCCAAATCAAATGATTATTATCTTTTATATCACACGATGATCTTGAAGAATTTTAGACACATTTTGCACAATCATCCCCTGTACGATTTTCAGCTATTCGAATACTGTTTTGTCATGTTGGAACAGGAACAAAAGACCATCACTAGACATTTGATACTATCTAATGCCAAACGTGAAAGTATTTATGAAATATTGGCAAGTATGGGAGCACTATTGATTGAAAACCATCCGAGCGATGGGCAAATAGTACGATATTTGGAATACATAAATAGATACAAATTATTTGCTTCCAAATTGGCAAGATATGCTTCATATGACAAGGAAAACATGATTATGACTTTGGATTTCATGAAGCAAAAATTTTTGTTAAATTTTGCAATTTCAAGGAATGATTATTTTTCTGCAATCGGTACATTCAAATCAATATTAGAAATAGACCAGAGGAATTCAGGAAGCCCTAAGCTTAATGTGATTGGCTGCAAGGATTTTTTTAAATTTGTGAACTTGGCAATTGATAATAGCGATTCTGAAAATGTTGAATTTCTTATTAGACAATCTAGAATACTTGAAAAGAGCATTTTATTGTCCTCGAAACAGGTCTCATATTTGTTTAAGAAAACCATTTTCAAGAAAGATATTCTATGCTTTGAAATATTAGTAAAGCATTACAACTATTTACTCAGTTCGTTGCCACCAGCTTTATTAGTTATACTTTTAGAAAAGACAAAAAATTATGATGTTATCATATTGTTACTTAAAAGATTGAATAAGCATCATTCGTGTAACTTGCAAAAAACCTCAATCAATGCCATAGGTGATGTATATTTGAGGGGAGTTGAAAAAAATGAAAATCAGATAGATAATTTTTTGACCATTTTAAACAGCATCGATACCTCCTTGTTAGTTGACAGTGAACCGCTCATCGAAAGGCTATTTGATTTACATTTACAAGGAAATGTTTCACTGAAGGTAGTTTCTAAAATTATGGGGTTGGTCTTGACGTCAGACACATCATTCATAGTGAAAAGATTTGTCTCGCTGGGAATTTTTAGTGTTATTTATAAAAATAATACTTCCACATTCAGGAAGATTGACAATATTTCGATTTTTGTTGATGAGGTTAGTCGCTCTGCCCTTGACAACTCTTCTAAGTTTGAGCTTCTCAAATTTTCTATCTTGAGTCAGGACTTTTTGGTTCACTTTTTTGGGAAAGTTTGTTATAATTACGCTGGTAGTGCACCATTTATATATAGGTTCTTTAGGAAATTCATTTCACCAGAATCAGAGAATCTTGTTTTAAAAGAACATCCCTTAAAAATTTATTTTGATTTTCATAATGTGCTAGAAGCGATATATTCATCTGGAATTATATCAGGATTTAGAGCAACTAATTTCAAGATGGCACAATTCTTTCTTGAAACCTACTTGATTCGCTGCTATCAGAATGAAAGTCTGCCAAAGAGTTTATTAGATAAGTTGTGCCCCGATCTCTGCAACATTATGACCCCGAAGCCCTCACTACGTGGAGATGTAAACCCAGGTCATTTAAAAGTTCCTGGTAACATATTAAAGTTTTTACGTGAATTAAAACTTAACTCAAATTCTAATGGATCCAGGACCAAAAAACACTTTAGGCAACTTATAAAAGCTGACAGCAGTAACTACAAAAATATCAAGGTTGAAGGATTGGGCCATCTCATGTTACCACTGTATCATGTCAATAACATAAAGATTCGACCAACTGATCCAGAAAATGACTTCTTACGGAAAATGGATCGTATCTTTCACAAAGTTCAACTGATTGTTGAATCTTCATAAACTTCATGTATCATATATTTTTATCAAAATCCGAAAATTTCTGAAATAGACCCAAGATTCGGTGCACACTATCATCTAATCCCAAATTATCATTCATGGTTGTAAATTCTGATTCCTTAATGGAATATATATCAAGTAAGTGATCGTAATCCCTATCCTTGTTAATAATTAAATGATGGACAGCATCAATTAATTGAGAATCTTGTGTTTTCAATATTGTAATATAGATTTCTGAACTCAAGGTATGGTATCTTGAGAAGTAATTGATCAAAAAATATAATAACAATTTCATTCCCATAGCAGTATCTTCCAATTTCTGGATATTCTTAAGCAAAATTCGTACAAATACTAGAAACTGTTTCTCGGTTATTGGAAAATTGTGATTATCTAATTTATTAAGTTTCTTCAATATCAAAAATAATTCAACTGAGCCTCTTAAGGAATTCATCTTATGACATGACTGAATGATGAGATCTATGAATGTGCTGTTCGTTATATATTTGGAAAACGATACCTCATCATTTCCAGCAATCCTGACCAAATTTCTAGTAAAATCATTAAAATTGCTCAAGTTTTTAGAGTATAAGTGAGATTGAAATCCAAGCAATGACATTACGAATAATAATTTGCTTTTGGGCTCCTTAATATTAGGATAAATCTCATCATACAAATTTTGAATGAACTTGTATGCTTGACTCCTTGGAGATCCAGTATCGTTCCTCTCTTTTGAAAATTTATGAAACAAATTATCGTTGATCATTTGGGAAATATCGCGGTAAGAAACATCAAAGTGTCTAGAATAATTTGAGTTGATGTGGTCAATATTAAACCAAAGCTCTTTCATAGTTCCCTGTGATAAGTGGGATTCCAAAATGTATAGTACCTGAGTCTTTCTATTAGGGTAATATTCATGTTCATCTCGGTATCTTATCAATACATCAAGTAGTAATTTCTGGTTATTGTGAGAGTTGCAAGCAAATAAATGCATCAATTTCTCTAATCCACCTCTACACTCTAATACCGTGAGGTTTTTGCCTTTCATCAGTGTATTTAGCAAGGACACAATTCCATCTCTCCCATTAATGTGCTTTGAAAGGGTTTCATTGGCGTAAATCATTTCCACTACTTCCGATTGATTGAGGGAGATAGCCTTCACTAAAAGATTTTCAATAATCCTAGAGTTTCCAGAGACCTTTAAACTGGTCAAATTAGTATCGAGTACCTGTCTTTGGCTATGGTCTCTCTTTGATGGATCATACAATAGCTTGATTCTTTGATTATGGCTATATGATAACGAAAGCAAATAACAGGCATTTCCAGAATCATCACAATCAATAGCTTTCTGGATTAGTTTGAATATCGCAATTTCTTTATAGAATTTTGATATCGAATAGACACACTGAATTGTGTTGACGGAAATCAAAGGTTTCACCTTCAGTCCATAAATTTTATGAAATAATGAGATAGCATCATAATACCTATTATAATTACAAGCTTTTTTAAACTGATCCAAAAGGGGAGACCGTAATAACTTTTTAATACCTGTAAAAATGAGCATAGTTCATTTTGTTTCTCTCATAAAATGTACATCTAAACTCAGATATAATATTATATGGATGCTAGATTGAAAAAAAAAAAAAAAATTGGATCAAAAAAATTGAAAAGATGCAATAAATTTAAAAAAATGCGAATTCTGTGGATCGAACACAGGACCTTTAGATTACAAGACTAGAAGTAGAAGCTTCAGTCTAACGCTCTCCCAACTGAGCTAAATCCGCTGATGTTTTCATTTTCAAGAGCAAATATTATATGATATTCATTATAATTAGACCCTCCGTTTTGGTATATAAATAACCACAAATTACTGTTATTCATAATCTTTGGCTAATAAAGCCATTAAAAAAAGATTGCGCTAGTTTTATCCCTTCTTAACATCATAAGAAATCTTATTATTAAAAAAAACTAAGATTTTTGTGAGAAATATGGCGTTATTACAGTATTGTTTGTATATTAAAATTCTGTACTTTACATTTTAAGTATAGATGATAAATCGTAAGGATTTTGAGCTCTTTATTTGAAAGGAAAACTATTTACCATTAAACCGGGATTTTTTTTTTAAGCTTCCTGACAAGTATTTTTTTACTATTTTTAAAATAATCATGCTTTTTAGAACATGAACCAAATAATTCCACTTTGTTTTAAAATTGTTATTTAACGTAAAACATGTTGGACTCCGCCTGTTATCCAGGGCAACCCCAGACTGTTGTACTTCACCGGAAGTACCAGTAGAAGGATCAGACTGATTTTCGATTACAATACCATCCTTAAATTATAAACTACCTTCCATGATAAGTGGGAGCTCCAAAGCCAAGGTTATTACTATTGTATGAGATTTACAAGTTAGATAACAGCATATAACATAGTTAGCTGTTCCAGCATCACATCACGTCGCTCGTCAATGGATGAGTGAGCAATATCTCAGTAATCCATCAATGACTAAGCGAACCAACCTACCACAGCTGTGGTGGTGTCAACAAGCCATATGGTTTGTTGGAATATTTCAAAAAAAAAAAAAAAAAAAAAAAAAAAAAAAAAAAAAAAAAAAAAAAAAAAAAAAAAAAAAAAAAAAAAAAAAAAA